CAAGTACATGACGGATGCTACGTTCAAGTACATGACGGATGCTGCCTACGAAGAGTGGAAGAACGTGATGAACGGCCATCCGTCGGAGCCGAAGTTCACGAATCCGGTTCTCTGGGGAGGAGAGCCGCCAGTTTGAACGTTATTAGTATTTATATCAATTTCCTCTAAACTTCCTTCTAGTCCGTTGTAATTTTCGGTTTCTCATAAAATTAATATTCAGATCAATCAAAATTTCGCTTCTTTTTCAATTCCTTCTCAATTCTCATCTCCTCAAAACTTGAACACAATTTTTATTAAGCCATAAAGTTTTGTAGAGTCACATACTAATTTAGTTTTAAAATATGGAATTCCATGTAATTGTTCTCGTGGCCACCTTTCAACTCATAAAACATCCTTTACCACTTCCCTTCTGATCATTTTCTGACAAGTTATGCGTAAGGAAGAAAAAAGCAAAGCGGAGAACACGGCCCAAGAGCCGGGCTCCCGTGCTCCGACGACGAAGCGCGAGAAGCAAGTGGCGGTAGGCGGGTGCACAACTACAGTAATCCATTGAGTTCTCGCAGGTGTCGCCGATGAATAAAAAACCGAAAAACAAATCGATTCTGTTGATCGAAAAGGACGAGCGTCCGGGCATCGGCAAGAACGCAAAGGCGCGCGCCGGGAACCGATCGCTGGTGATGGCGAAGACGCAGCCGACGTCAGAAGGGGCCAAGACGATCCGCATCGACGAGATGAAGAAGCCGATGAGTCTGACTTTGGCGAAGAATCAAGAATTGATGGAGGCGGTGGATCTGCAGAAGAAATTGGAGAAAAAGATGGAAGAGAGGAGGAGGGAGGAGAAGACGCAAGAGATCACCGCACGGAACAAGACCGTCGAGGGCACCGATATGGTCGAAATCATCAATCGGCACTATCGGGCCTTGCAATCCGGCGTGAGGAAGATCAAGTACACACGGACAGAGTACGAGAGTGTCATCGCCGAAGTGCAGACGATCTTCACCGCGGAGAAGACTCTCATAGACCTGGATCCGCCGTGCGTGGTGGTCGGCGACCTCCACGGCCAGTTCAACGACCTTATCAACATGTTCGTGCTGCTCGGCCGTCCTCCAGAAACTGTCTACGTCTTCACGGGCGACTACGTGGATCGGGGACAGATGAGTTTGGAAGTGATAATGCTCCTGTTCGCCTACAAGATCTGCTACCGGATCACATTTACCTGCTGCGTGGCAATCATGAAATTCCACGTGTCAACAAGAAGTACGGCTTCTACGACGAGTGTCTCTCCTGCATTCCCAAGCACGGAGAGGTCATTTGGGCGCTCTTCCAGCGCTGCTTCAACAATATGCCCATTTCCGCACTGATCGCCACCAAAATCATGTGCATGCATGGCGGACTCTCGCCCTCGCTCACCACTCTTGACGTGAGCATTTTCCTTCATTTCAGACCACCAAATTAACATTTTGAAGGACCTGCGCAACTACAAAAAGCCAATTCGCAATCCCTCGTGCGGCATCATAAACGACATGCTGTGGGCGGATCCCGACATTTCCGTGTTCGAGTGGAAAACGAGCAGCCGTGGTTCCGGATTCGTATTCGGCACCAATGTGATTGACGACACGTGCGCGCGCCTCGGCATCGAACTCATCATCCGAGCCCATCAATTGTGCGTCGACGGGTATTGGGTCGTCAGCGGAAACAAGCTCATCACGATCTTCTCGGCGCCCGTCTACGGCAATCAGAACAAGAATGCAGCGAGTGTGGTGAAGATCGACGAGAAACTCACCGTCCAGTTGGTTCTTTTTGTGCCCGAATCGGTTAGTTTAGCACTGGTAGAAGTTATGAATTCCCACAGTTTCAGCCTACAATCAAAGAGACACTACAGCAGAAGAATCGAGTTTGGGATCCAGCTATTGAAGCGGTCGGCTGATTGAGTCACTTGAACTTTCTCGTTTTAAATTCAATAAAAATGAAAGCTTTACTAATAACAGAACAATCCAATAAGCGAATAAAATATCACATGAGCCATATCATACACGACTTTCGGGGTGTAAACGGACCAGACAAACAGATGATGTTGGAAAATGTAAAGGCACACGAGTGACGTGGAAAGGAACGAGATTCTGAAACTGAAAAAAAGGTGGAGGAACGACGAATCGCCTCCAGATGAGCGTCTGAATTAAAAAATATTAAGGGAAAGCGAGCAAAACGCCTACCTTCCACAGAGGAACGCAATGGGGCCTGCGAAAGTGTAGAGAATGAGCTGGAAACCGACCAGAAGCGGGATGTAATCGAGCAATCCGACGTAGGCAGAAGTGAGAGAAAGAGTGGAGAGACTGTTGGAATTACCCTGAAGAGTACGATGAGAGAAGGCATGCGCTCAATCTTACGGTGTAGAAGAATGACGAGATTGAGAGGAGGATGCATTCGGAGCGGCTCAATTGCAGTTTAGAAGTGAAAGATCCAATTTGATAGACGATCAGAACAAGGAGAAGTTGAGAAGAGGGGGCGACTGTCAGGAGGAGAGACATGATTCCGGAAGAAAAAGAACCGGAAACGAATGATATTGGAAGGATGGATACACGTAGAAGCATGAGGAAGTAGGCGTCGTATCTGGAACATAAGAGATTTGCAAGAATGGGAGTTGTTCTAACTCACATAGTGTGTTCGAAATAACGGAGAAAGTGGGAAAGGAATGGGAGGAGAATGATGGCCTGCTTCAGAGAGAGCATCCAGACAGCAGCGGAGAGAAGAGTGACTGGCAGTGGATGACGACTGGAAGGGTGGGTTAGTTGGGACACTGGGAGAGCTAATACCCGAAGTAGGTGTTCAAATCATCCAGTCGGAGATCGAGAGCATCCGGGAAGAGAGTGGGCGGCAGGAGGGTCTGCTCCATCGACCATCTCCGTCGAGTGCTTTGCATGAATCCAAGTGCGATCCGATGGAAAAAAGCCAACAAAACGACAGACCCGATCTGCAAACACTGCATGAAATAATCGACATTCCGTCTGAAATTACCTTCTCCTTCCCTCCGTCTCTCCATTTTCTCAAATAAAAAATGAATCGGAATGCGATTGCACTGCTCGCCAGGAAGTACCAAATCTCGTGTTCCTCTTCGATCAAACTGCTCGCGAAACAGATGAAATTTATAAGAAAAAGAGGGAAATCCGAGAGAGCGGATCGCTGAATCCAAAGGGAAGATGAGACTGTTCCAGCCTAAAATATATGGAAAGCTATTAACGATGAAAGATTTTCTCACAATCAAGATAATGATAACGCAGACAGCAAGAGAGAAATTGGGGACTTCGGAGGCAGATCCGATCAGCTCATATTGGACTGTTTTGAGCCATTTCTCGAGCGCCGATCTCATAAACCGACTCGTCAGATCACAATCGCTTGTTTCACAGATATCCGACACGGGTAGTCGTCTTTCTGAAAATACTAGTGCTTTCAACATCATTTCATTGATCGTACCTTTCACTAATCTCTTGAAATGTTCGTGTTGTCGCTTCTGACGAACAGCGGATGGTTCATTCCGAAGGGTGGCGATTAGCGAGATGCCATACGATTCCGGCGGAACTGGGAATCCGAACAAATCGAATATGGTGGCAGAGATGTCAATCTGCTCGATGCTTCGCATGTTTGCTGGAATCAACTGAAATCCCTTTCAGACTTGCTCTGGATTTCACCGACCTTCGTTCAATGATCCCGTCATTCTCACGTTATTATCGTTTCCATTTATTGTCCAAATGACTACTGGAACCCGGGTCTCATCTCGACTGGCTCCTCCGTGCGATCCTGCAGCTGTCATTCCATGGTCACCACACACAATCAGATACGTTTCTCTTTTCGTCTGAAAATGAATGAGTATGATAAAAACATCACAGTTAATCACCTCAGAGATGCTTTCATGAATCATTCGACCGACTCCATCCATTTCAGCCAGTTTATCATTGATTTTCGAAGAAGTTCCACCCAAAGAATGTCCGATGTGGTCGAGTCCCAAATAGTGGAGTATCAACGCATCCCATTCGTCAGATGCCATCTCTTCTTTCAAATGACTTGTAACATTATTATCCACTTCCGTAAAGTCATTGACAAAAAAGGAAGTGACGCCTTCTGATTTGTGAAATTGTCCAGGGAGCAATCGGATCCAAGTGTCATCCCCGAAAAAATGCACCTTTTTCCCATTCGCATTCAACCTCGATATCCAGTTATCAGTTTTGATTTCATCCGTCGCCAGGTTGGTGAGGATTGTTCCGAAGGACGGAAGCGTGCCAGTGATGTAGGCGGTGATACGTGGCAGTGTAACTGTTGGCATACGTGCGTAGGCGTCGAAGACAACTGCAGAAGAGGCTTCGATTGAAGCTCGAGTGAATCTAAGAACAGAGACATTTTCATGATTGGCGGTAATGAATTCCTACGTCATCGGAGAGTCGGAAGAAGTGAGAAATGAGAGTCTGAAGGCGTCGATGACCACGAATACGAGTCGTGGATTTGATGATGAGGTGACGTCATCTGAACTGACTCAAGTTGAACTAGGATTATATTAGAAACAAACCTTTCGCGATTCTCGGAAGAGATACTGTAGTTGTGATGTCGACAGCGACGAAGCTATAAACGAGGAGAGCACACGCGCAAACGACGAGCACTCGAGATGTCTGGAAACGGCCGTTTGAATGAGCGCCACAAATAGCAGGTGCTCACCCAGAATGTTCCATTCCGCCCACCATCCGCTGCCAGTCTCATGCCCGGAAGGCTGCTCTCTTTCAGCTTCGCTTTTGTTGCGTATCCTCGAAACCCGACACCTCTCTTTCTCGTCGTTTTTCCTCAAGAAAAGAAGGATTGTGTTCTTTTTCTCATCCCCATTTCGATTTTCACATAAGCGCGATTGCAGTTTCTCCCTGCATCACACGCTCTCTCCGCGCGCAACCACAAGCTGGTTTATCTTTCGAACATTAGCCAGGAGGATCCTGTCGTCATCTGTCGCCTTTCAAATATAACCAAACACAATGAATTCGTCTTCGTTTCTCTATCGCACTTTTCGTTGACTTTCTTTCCAGCAACCGCATGATTTCATCGTTGCTTTTCGTGCTTTTGACGGTTTCAGTCACGGAGCAGGCTCCTGCACTTCCGTCTCTCGGGCTTCTCGAAGGATCCAACGGCGTCCTCGTCAAGGAATATATCAATGCGATCACAGCCTACGGACCGGGTCTCGGAGTATACTGTTAGTCAATTGCTATTCGGAACAGTTAATGCTGGAAGGTTTACAGCTCCGTACAGCTACGTGGACGTTTCCTACGATAACATTCCGTTCGTCGGAAAGATTCCGATTATAGGAAAGGATGGAACGTCCTCCCGTCTAGGAGTGTCTCCGTTCTACCCGCCAGGAGGAAACCCTTCGAATCCATGGCCTCCACTTTACAAGTAAACAAGTTTTCTCATTAGGTTTTTCACTTTTGACCTATTTTGTAGAGCCCGTCCTCTTCCCCTTCACGTCCCAGAACCACAGGACGTCGTTGCCGTGCCTCTTGACGAAGAAGCCCTCCACGGAGAGCCTCTCTTCCCGCCGGAGCTGATCCTTCCGAGCGAGATAGCGGCTGAGGAAGCGGCTAAGAAGAAGGCGTTGGAGACGGAGGAGCCGGAGAATCCGTTCGGAGACGGATTGGATACCAATGATGCGAAGGACTCTGTCAACTGGCCGTCGGCAGTCAGCACGTCGGAAATCGAGGGAGAAGATGCGCAGGAAAAAAATGCGGTGCAAGGTTTGAAACTTTTCCGTTTTCATTTTCAACTGGTCATTTTTCAGAAGATGAGGTAGCGCAGCGTCAGGTGATTGTGGACGAAGCTAAGGAGAAAACGATGCGGCCGTTCGAAGCGGCCAAGATATCGATCGGAGCGAACGACCGACCGAAGAGCCCGTTCCGGTCACGACGCATATTGATGGAGCGAGTATGAAGACTGAAAATTTGAAGAATAATTTATTTAACTCTCAAAAAAAAGTGGAATATGTAAATAAATAAATGAATAAGTAACAGTGAAGCGTGCGAGATCAGTGTTCGTTTGTCGCCGGCTTTCGGTACCAGAAGCGAGCACGATGGTCGTCACTTCCTGTGATAAAAGCGGGCATTGAGGGCGAGTGGACGAAAGTGCGGCATGAAGAGGTGTGACCGAGAGCCAGAAGTCTCTTGCGATCGGAATTGCGCGCATCCCACGAGCACATACTTCCACTTTTCTCGTCGGGGAACAGCACTGAAAGCATCGGATGTTAATTAGCATTTCAGGCAGTCATTATTACCATAATCCTCATTGTGATTGAAGGAAGCGCTAGTCATGAAATCTTGTGCTCCGGTGGCTCCTGCTCCAGTATACACAATGAGACAACGATTGGTGGAGACTTCCCACAACTTGACGACACTATCCATTCCGCTGGTCAAGATGTACTTTCCGTTTTTCGTGAACTTGGCCGAGCAGATTACAGATCCATCGTGCGCTCTTTTGAATGTTTGAACACAGCGATTCGAGACCGCATCCCAAATCTTGACGTCTCCGTCTTTCGATGAGGTCACGTACAGACGAGCATTTTCAGAGTAATGAACCTGAATAAACGTGAATATTAAAAGGAGAATGTATGGAACAGCTTACATCAGTGACAGGTTCTCTGTGCTGATCTTCCGGCATCGCCGACACATAGGCCTGAGCAGTTTCGATGTTGTAGAGACGAACAGTCGGATGATCGGTGGCCACGAGCAGAAATTCTCCGCCAGGATGACAGGAAAGTGAACGAATTGGATACACTTCCTGAAGCAGATCGTAGGTTTTGAGAACAATTTAAAAAATTACCGTTAAAGTTTTCATTGCCCTTTTCACAGCGGTTTTCGAAAAGTCGAACAGTTTTACTGTTTTATCATTCGAGCCAGAAATCAGGATAGCGTCTCGCGGATGAAAAATCATTGTATTGACGTCCTAAAAACAAGTAAGTGAAGAAGCCTGGTTCTTTTATACTGCTTTACGTCGACGTGGTCGTAGAGGGTTCTGATGACTGGATGATGAGCATCCGGTCCGTTTTCGTTCATTTCGCGATGCTCTCTTTCTCTTGCCAGTATCCGTTCAACGTCCATTATCTTTATAGAACAGTCTTGTGATCCCGTAGCCACCAGGGATCCATCTGAATTGAAGGCAGCAGCTCTGCACGGCGCCTTGTGAACTGTCAGATAGATTGTCTCGTACTGAGACGGTTCCGGAGACACTGGCTGCACATCCGCATCGTACTCCAGATCTAACCCCGTCGAGACAGTCTCGAACACCTAAATAAACAAGAACTTGGAAATGACATCTTCTAAACATTTACCGCATTAGACTGTTCTTCGGCTTTGTACTCGGGATCTTCAACGAACTGCTTCGCGATGGTGACGAGACGGAAAAGTTTATCCGATGGAGGTGGATTAGGAGCTGTACAACCCAGAGTATTCGCCAAGTTCATTGCGATTTGCTGGTGACCATCGTAGAACAATTGCCTGACATACAACGAATTCGTGAAAATATGAAATTGAGAAATCTTACCCGATAATCAGTCGATACATGTACTCACGGTCTCTAATATCTGGTTTCATTTCAAAAAGTTTTGCTTCAAGTGATTTTCACAATTCTGTTTCACTGAATCGGTTTTTGTTGGTCGAAACTTTCAAAAACGCGGTCGACGCAAATATTTCGTCCAACGAGTTTAAAGGCGCACGCATTTATTGACATGGCGGGTCTCGCCACGACAACATTTACCGTAGCCGGTGCCGATTATTTTTACATTTTTCCTATATTTTTTGGTTTACCTAAATTCTTCCGCCGTGAAATTGCCTAATTCTGGATTTTTGTGAATAAAAAAGCACAGCAAACTTTTTTTTAACTGTTTAAATTTATAATTTTCTAACAAAATGTTAAATTTTACGTAAAGATGTGTTGTTTTACTTTCGTATCCGCGTGATTATCAGTCTACAGCTTTTTAAGAATTTTGTTTTAGGTAATAATGAAGGTCAATCCTTTCGTCTCCAGCGATTCCGGAAAGAGCCGCAAGGCCCACTTCAATGCTCCATCCCACGAGCGCAGACGCATCATGTCGGCCCCGCTCACCAAGGAGCTCCGCACCAAGCACGGAATCCGCGCTATCCCAATCAGGTAATTATTTCTTCTTTATCTGCACCGCTGTTCCATTCAGTAGTCCCGGACGATGTGTTCTTTTCGTACGGTTTGGACAATATGGAGAAATAGGCATTGCTCTTTTTGCAGCGAAACTGAATTTATTTTTGTTTTGTTAGCCATAAGTGTAAAACATTCTTTCAGAGTCGATGATGAGGTCGTCGTCATGCGCGGACGCCATAAGGGAAACACCGGACGTGTCCTCAGATGCTACCGTAAGAAGTTCGTCGTCCACATCGACAAGATCACCCGTGAGAAGGCCAACGGATCTACTGTGCACATCGGAATCCACCCCTCGAAGGTGAGGTTTGTATAAACTAGTTCCGGTGCACATCGGCTCATGAAAACTGTCAGGTTTGTGAGTTCTGTTTTTTTATTTGCGCTCGGTCTAGCTTGAAGTTTCTTTTTTCGGAATTAGGGTTTCAAAAAGTTTATTATTCAGGTCGCTATCACCAAGCTGAAGCTTGACAAGGATCGCCGTGCTCTTGTTGAGCGTAAGGCTGCCGGACGCGCCCGCGTCACTGGTCTCCTCAAGGGAAAGCACACCGACGAAACCGTCAACTAAATTGTTATTGAACAAATAAAATTGTTGAATTTTTTGAATTTGTGTCTGTAACTTCAATCTTGGTAATTTTCCGTGAGGAACAAGCGATTTACTGGACGTGTCACTTATTGTTTCCGATTAGTTAAATCTCGTTCGAATGTGAAAAGTGCTCAGTTGAAAACCGTCTGAATATCGTCGTTTTTTTTTGTCTGAATCGTGCTGGTTCCGTTTTGTGAGACTTCGCACATGCCTGGAAAATATGCTAACTTGTGCTTAGGAAGTTGTGATAAGTGCTCATAGGCTCCTGCTTTTCAGTATCTATTATCGATGTTGCTCCGATATCGGGATAGACACGAACGAGGCTACCTTTTTTTCTTTTACAAAAGCCACGCGCAGATAGGTTTCGTTCGGGAAAATTCTGATTCGGGACTGTTCTGATCCGGGGCACAGTTCTGATTCGGCACTGTTCTGATTTAGGACAGTCCTGGTTAGGCGTAAGCCTCGACATGAACTCGGTCGTGTCCAATATTTTCCTCATCCATTCGTTTTCTCTTCCGTCCGCATTTGTGCGTCGTTCATGACGCATTCGAATTTGCGCTCGTTATTGCGACTCGTACGATTTTCGTTTCATTTGTTTAATTTCGTTCGTTTCATGTATAAATTACAGAAGATGTCGGGCACACGGAACCCGGAACGTCGTATCGAGAACAATCAGTTCGACGTCGACGCGTGGAATCTGTTGCTCCGTGAGCATCAAGTGAGCTTAAATTGAATAAAGGCACATTAAGATAGCTTAATTTCAGTCCCGTCCAATCGATCAAGAAAGAGATTTCTACGAGGGCCTCGTCGGTCAATTCCCTAATTCAGGACGCTATTGGAAAGCGTACATAGAGCATGAGGTGAGTGATTATCGGGTTGCTTCTGCTCAATGATAATGACCTGATAGAAAACGGCGCCGCACACGATTAGCGTTAGTCGATCCTCGACATCAATTCAAATGGCATTCAAAATGATAAAACATGATTACATGTATAGTCGCGAAATAAAGATTTCAAACGCATTCATCCTTCTCGCCAATAACTTTACTGTTGGTCTTAGTCGTATACGAATAAATTTTTTCTTCGTTTTTAACTTGTTCTACGCCAAACACCTCAAATAACTTTATTTTCAGCTGCGATCCAAGAATTTCGAGAATGTGGAGAAGGTATTAGAAAGAATGAAGAATCCAGATGGGAAATTCAGTTTTTGCAGATATTTAGTAGGTGCCTCGTAACGGTTCTCAATATCGATCTCTGGAAATGCTACATTCACTACGTGTTCGAGACGAAGGGACAATTGGAATCCTTCAGAGAGTCGATGGCCAAGGCGTATGACTTCGCGTTGGACAAGGTCGGAATGGACGTGCAATCGCACACCATCTACACCGAATACATAGGATTTCTCAAAAAAGTGTACGTTTTTGTAATCTCAAACGTACGTTCATAAAGAGTTTGTAGTCCAGCAATTGGTCAATACGCAGAAAATCAGAGAATCACGGCAGTCCGTAAAGTTTATCAGAAGGCGTTAGCAACTCCGATGCATAATTTGGACGCGATCTGGGGAGATTACTGTGCGTACGAAAAGGCGATCAATATGACTCTTGCCGAGAAGCTGATTTCTGAGAGAGGAAAGGAATATCAGAATGCTCGTCGTGTGGAGAAAGAACTGCAACAAATGACACGCGGACTTAACAGACAGGCGGTCTCCGTGCCTCCTAAAGGAACTGCCACGGAGCTGAAGCAAGTGGAGTTGTGGAGGAAACTAATTGCGTGGGAGAAGACGAACCCGTTGCAGACGGAAGAGTACGGACAGTTTGCGAGAAGAGGTGAGCGGAAGGATAATATGGATGAAAGAATGTCTATTTTCAGTGGTTTACTCGTACGAACAAGCACTACTCTGTCTTGGATACTACCCGGATATGTGGTACGAAGCGGCGCTGTTCATGCAAGAAGCCAGTCAGGTTCTCGACGAGAAGGGAGACGTCAAAACAGCGCAAATATTCAAAAACGACGCAGTCAGTAAGTATTTCCTGGTCGTTCCTCAATTCATTTGTCTGAATAGGTTTGTACGAACGAGCCATCAGCGGGCTGATGAAGGAATCAAAGCTGCTCTACTTCGCCTACGCTGATTTCCAGGAAGAGCAGAAAAAGTTCGAACACGTGAAAGCGATTTACAACAGGCTTCTCGCAATTGAGCACATAAATCCTACTCTGGTAAGTTCGGATCAAGATTTTCGGTGACCGATTTTTAAAATTCAGACTTACATTCAATTGATGAGATTCGTTCGCCGAACCGAAGGACCCAACAATGCGCGTACTGTATTCAAAAAGGCCCGTGACGACAAAAGAACGGGACATCAGGTGTTCGTGGCATCCGCATTCATGGAATACAACTGCATGAAGGACAAGGACGTCGCCATGAAAGTGTTCGGATTGGGACTGAAAAAGTACGAAAACGAGCCGGACTACGGACTCGCGTACGCCGATTTCCTTTCCAGTTTGAACGGTAACTCGTAAATATTGGCTTCTCCTGATTGCTATTCACATTTCAGAGGATAACAACACGCGTGTCGTGTTCGAACGCATTCTGACCTCGATGAAATTGACGACGGACAAGTCGATGTAAAAATTCACCAAAAAGAGTGATCACTGATATTACTGCTTTCAGTCGTATATGGGATCGTTATTTGGATTTCGAGAGCAACGTCGGTGACTTGGCCAGTATTCTGAAGGTGGAAAAGCGTCGAAAAACAGCTTACGAAGAAGCACAGAAAGACGAGTCTCTCAACCATTCGATGCTCGTTATCGACCGTTACAAGTTCATGGATTTGATGCCATGCAGTGGAGAGCAGTTGAGACTCATGGGTTACAACACACTGGTATTTTTTTGTTTTGATAGGCGAGTGGGATAATGTGAAAGAGTTTCAGAAAGGCAACGAGACTGCAAACGGAACGACGACTTCCGGACCGAAACCCGTTCCCAGCAGAGGGCCTCAGGCAGCCAGTGCCATCATGGGCGGAGCAGGAGGACACGCCGATGTGGCCAAATACGGATTCCCGAGACCGGATATATCTCAAATGATACCGTTCAAACCACGCGTCAACTGCAAGGCCTCGTTCCATCCAGTTCCGGGAGGAGTCTATCCACCGCCACCGGCAGCCGCCCATCTGATGACTTTGCTTCCGCCGCCGAACTGCTTCCTCGGTCCGTACGTCAACACGGAAAGTTTGTGCAACGTGCTCTCTGCGATGAATCTTCCTAATGTATCATGTGAGAGTTTTCTTGAACAATACGTTTTGAATGTTCTGTATTCCAGTCCCGAAATCGGAGGATAACGTGATCGGTCCGATGCTCGAGCAAGATATCAAAAAGGACATGTATCAATTGTTGGCAACGACTTCTGACCCAGGAGCTGTTAGTTATTTAATAACTAACCAACTTCCATCGAATTGTAAATTGCAGGTGGTTCGTTCGTCAGCTCTGGCCGATCTGAAAAGGAAGAGAGGTGATTCGGATGACGACGAGGAGCACTCGCATTTGGCGGGAACGATAGGATCCCTCGGCACTCGCGACGCCTACAAACGAAGAATGAACAAGAAGAACGAGTGAAACCGTCCGATCTCGCTGCTCTTTCCGCCGTGTTCTTGTGTTATCCGCTTTACATTTTAATTTGACCCACAAGTTTTATGCTAACTTTCACAATACATTTCAAATGTTTTTTGTTACTGTCTCCTTGTCGAATAAATTTTTTCCCTGATATTACTCCTTCTAATTTTCTAATCCGCTTCTTCCGGAGTACTGTCTTTGACAATCTTCAGAATCCTCTTCCTTTTAGTGATCTCTTCAGATGCTGACCAGTCTCGTATTCTACCCGTCCCTCGGCTACAATCTCCTCAGAAATTACGTGCAGCCGAATCGGTGGGCGTGGTATAACCGAGTCGACGACACGCTCATTCTTGGAGCGATGCCGTTCCGATCGATGAAAGACGAGTTGGTCCAGAAAGAGAACGTGGGCGGAGTCGTGTGCTGCACAGAAGAATACGAGCTGAAAGCGGCTTATCAGGCGATGCAGGACGAAGATTGGAAGAAAGAAGGCGTCGAGTTCTTCGCAGTGCCCATGAAAGACTTCACCGGCTCCGCTCCCCGCCCTCAGATCCACGAGGCGGTAGAGTTCATCGAAAGTGTCGCAGCGAAAGGAAAGACGGTTTATGTGCATTGCAAAGTGAGCGAAGGCCGTTAACAGCGTCTCGTAAACATAAAATTTGCAGGCGGGACGCACCCGAAGTGCCACTATTGCCACGTGTTATCTGATGAAATCCCGCAACTGGATGTCGAACGTGGCGTGGGAGTTTCTGAAAGACAAACGACACCAGGTGATACTCCGGAATGCGCACTGGCGGACGGTCAACGAGTACAGGCGGTTCCTCGATTCAACGACGGTGTCTTCTTCCAGTTGATCCGCTCATTAGAATCTCATTCGATTAGCTAATTTCTGTTTTGAAAATTTTTTTCACAGGTTTGTTGCAGTAGGAATAAATCATCGTCTCTGTTCCCCGTCGAATATCGTCGTTTCCTCCCCGTTTCGGCTCCCCGCTTCTCGCCTGTTCTCTCCCGTTTTTACGAGGGAACGCGTTGGCGATGGTTTTGTCGGCGGCCTCAAATACGGGAATAATCAGAAGGCGGCGAAGCGTGTCTCCGCGCCTCGCATACTATTTCGTGCATCGATCGGAGGAGCCGACGGGAACGGGCGCCTCCTTCCAGATCATTCCGCTCGCCTCTATTCTCCTCACTCGTTCGCTGCAGAATGATCGCCTGTGGATGGTTGTACCCGTTGCTGCCACTGCTTCTTGCAGTCCAAATGGTATGTCATCCTGTGGAGATCCACGTGCCCTATCCCTTTTCAGGTCTATTCCGGCAATTCCTCTGTCGTAGTCGCCAACTCCACCGTCGTTCCGCCCGTCTCCACCGTTACACCTCCTTCTAATTCTTCAGTTGTGAATGGCAACGTCACGACGGTCGCTCCGGTCTCTGGCGCCACAAAAGAGAGCAATGGGGACGAGGAAAAGACAGTGACCGAGCAGATTCGCACGTACATTGAGGACTCGGTGAAGTCTGTGAAGAAGGCGGTGAGTGAAACTCTGTAGATCCATTCCCTCTACCACCTCATTTAGATCTCAAAGATCGGAAAGTTCGTCGGAGACCTGTTCGACCAGGACGCGCCTTCCAACTCGACCGTTCCGACCAACACCTCGACCCCCTTCACTTCCACTCCGGTTTCCCCTTCTGCCTCTTCCGTTTCTCTATCTACCGTTACTCCCAAATAAGTGATTTATTCAATGAAATGAACAGTTAATCCTCATTGCTCCGTCCATTCCGATTGAACTCCGATCGCTCTCAGCTGAAATGTCTACTTTCCTATCCGTCCGTTCTCCATTTTCCCACCTCGTCTCTGTCCAAAAGAAGGTCGATGTGAACCGCACGGAAGACAGTATCCCGGCAGTCGATCATGGCCAGACGGTGTCGTTCTGCCTGGAAGAGACTCGATGAGAAGGGGTGAAACATTGAAAGCCGAACCATTTGCAGATCGCCCGCCTCGAGCGCTCTGCTCCTTCGGGTCGCCAGATCCTCGATCCTCGCCTCGTACTCGTCGATTCTCTGGATGGCCCTCAAACAGACCGTCGCCTGGATCGTCTTCCCGTCGTAGTTCGCCTTCTCCATCTTCTGCTCGAGCACGCGGCGGATCGTGCGGACGGACGTGAGCGGGTCGCCACTCAAATTGGTCTCTTCCTTCATACTCATTCCATCGCCCTCACTGAAATTGAAGTGACTACACGAGACCGTCAATCGCATCGCCCACTAGCTGTGTCTCTCCACTTTCACGTCTCTCCTCGGAACTCTCTTCGGTTCGTCTTCTACCGTAATCCGTTCCTCTTCTTTGTGTGGAACACTTTCGGTCATAATCGAAGTCTCTGCTTTTGCCACATCATCTGGCAGCGGATAACCGAGCACCGTTAGCTTCTTTATTTCGACTTGCCCCGCTGGATTCAAAGACTGCAGCAGTGGCTTTTCGATTGTCACCCAAACGTATTGACCGATGGCATCAGTGAATGCGTTTCTGAGTTCTCTGATTAGCACAGTCCCCTTGAATTCTGCGCTCACTTGCTCTCCAGCCTGCTCGCAGATCGTTCTCTTCTGAAGAATTCCATCGAAATCGGCTTCTGATACTTGGCAAGTCTCGCATTCTTGTAATTCACTTCCGAACTTGAATCAGCTCTCCCAATTCGAACGGTGACTCGAGAAGCTGAAATGAAATGCTAAATCGGGATTCGTGGCGATTTGAAAGTACGTGTGAATGCCTCATCCGCATCTATGACCACTTTATAGACGTTTGCGAGTTTATCCAAGCCCAAAACGATATCCATCGGGAACTGGTCCCTGCAAAAAGAGAAAAGCTTGTCAAAAGACATAAAGGAACTCACCCCGGAGTGCTCCTGAACCGTCCTCCATCGAACTCACTCGGATAGTGACTTCCTAGAACAAGAGTTTTCCAGAAGAGCTCACGAAGAGCCACTCCCTTCCGCGACTCGCTCATCCTGTGTATTGTGGCTCTTTTTCCCCTACCGAGAGTTCATCCCATTCAGTCTCCCCGGGAGACCGTCCGTTTCCAGGAAACGCCGTCGGAGCTGACGCAGTGTGTCCGCAGGGACGGAGGGCTCACGTGGAAATGAGCGGCAAATTGAATTGACTGCCGCTTTCAGATCATTCAGAAAACATTCCTTCCGATCATATTAGAATGACAAATCACATGAGGATATGAACTGAACGTAGTTTAGTAAATTCAAGAAGGAAAATTAATTGAATCTGAATCAATATCTGCAAAAAAGGCAACTTACGAAGTTTACAGACGGACACGCAGGGGCACTCACTCCGGCGTAAACTGGACGGCCATGGCTATCGGGAACGAAAAGAACGAAAAGACAGAGTAACCAAAAGTGTATCCGAGTGCACCGAGTTCCTAGTCATTTACCACGAACCATTTTGACCTTAGTATCATGAGTTTCATTCGTTTTCTAGGAATGCCAGACGACCAAACGAACGTATCCCAACGGACCGGAATGTCCTTTCTAACGAGCTCTACTCTACCTGAAAACGTGCGAATCCGCGTGCTCCTTCAATCTTCGAGCATTCGGCGCATGTTGATCAACTGATTCACTTCCAGGTTTTCGGTTCCTTAAACGCTGTTTATGCGCCATCACAAGTCATCCACGGCAGTCCCCGCCCGCTTCACTCTGTAATCGAGTAATCGGGTGGAGCGGGTGTCTGATGCGAATGCTCGCACATTTTACGTGTTCGCCCTCTCTAAACGTGATAGCTCAGTCTAACGTGATAGCCTTGTCTTTCTCATATCCTTTTAGACATTTCATGTATTTCAGTAGTGCATCAGAACCTAGATAATCCATTTTGTCGAATGTCTATTTACGAACTGTCCGCCTGGAACTACGTAATTGCACTCTGCCTCGTCGCTCGTCTACTGGCGCTCCATCCTTGATCAGAATTATTCGCGTGTCAGTCATTCGTCTCTTTTGATTAGTCAGTCACATCTAATCAAATCGGGCGGACCTTTGCAAATGTCGGAGCGAGGGTGTCTAGAGTTCATGAAGCAGCTCACTCTGATCTCTTAGCTGACCGCTCCTGCCCCACTCAAACATCTTTTTCAGAAATGACGACGTACGCGACCGACTTCTTCTTTGTCGAATCCAGCTCAGTCGATCCGATCGAGACCACGACGCTTAACATCACTCTGATCACAGAAGATCCGGTATGAGCGGTTATCTGAGAGAACATTCGGAAAGAAGAACTTTAGGGGAAAGGATCTTTAATTCTAAACGAATCGATCACCGATCTGAACGTGACGACCACTGAATACATTCCGATCGTCGCTGCAGCCACCGCCTTCGCTTCGCTCATTACAATCGGGATATTCTCCGTCTCCATCTTCATAATCGTGCTCATCAGAGGAAACAAGCGATTTCAAGAAGTGAGTCACTTTCATCCCTCGCTCATTGATTTAATTTGCCTTCAGTTTCCGTTTTTCGCGATTGTGTATCATTTGACAGCTGTAAATGCAATTCATATTCTGATGCAGTGCACAACAGTGCTCCCGATAATGATAATGGAGGTTAGTGCCTCCGAATAGGAACCATTCTAACCGCACGAACTCTTTCAGAGCGATGAAGATTCTGCGAACCGCTTCTGGTACAAAGTGGGATCGTATCTGATAATGATAACTGAACAGGCATCCCTCTATTTCACACTTCTGATGACCATCAACAGATTCGCAGTTTTCGTGTTTCCTGCAATGCTCTCCATATTCACAACGAAAGGAATTCACATAATCGCTGCGTTCATTTGGGTTTACATCAACTTTATTGTCTTCTGGAACTACAATTACGGAACAGTCAAAACGTTCTCCAAAAAAGCGTTAACCACTCAGGAAGTGCTACTTGGATCCAATATTTTCACAAAAGTCGGTCACAAAATAATGTAATATTTCAACGTCCTATCTTTTCAGTTTTTCACTCTTTCTTCCACATTCCTTCCAGTTGTCATGCTCGGAATGTACATTGTTATCTGCTTTTTTATAATCAAAAAACGAAATGTGGTCGAGAATGAGAGAAAGAACGAGAAGGACATGTCCCTGGTCATTCAGGCACTTGTTATCACTGTTGCCCTAGAGGTACAATCTCATTCCTGCTTTTGCTCACTGTTCACTTTTCAGTGCGTCAATCTGACTGATATCGTCACACCTCTTCTGAAGGATTCATCGAAGTCAGTTCAATGGGTTTGGACTATATTCGCCTATTGGTGAATTTTCTTTTCGCCGTCTTCCATGAACGTAAACTTTCAGCGTTACAATATTCAATCAACTGGTGAATCCGCTTCTTTTTCTGACCGTGAACAAGATGGTACGAAGTGTGGCCAAGCATGTATTTGACAAGAACATCAGCAATTTCCTGTCGGACACGAGCTCATCTGCACGTGCTCCAGGTATTCATTTTCTTTCTCTCAATTGCTTCCGCGTCATCAACTATTTCAGAAGGCGGAAGAATGCAGGCGACACGAAGGCGTTTCTGCTATGGCTGTTGCGGCTGGCTGTTCAGAGAAGAACGGAAGGAAAGTGCGGTGGTCACCTTTTGACTGTAACACTCATTATGTTGTCGAGACGGAGCGAGACAAAAGTAACAATGATAATAAATATATTTATTGCGCTACACCGAGTTCAATGACCCGTTTGTGGCGGCGTAAAACTGGTTCGGCGCATTGTAGCGGTTCGACGCGGAAAAGAAGGCGTCGCGGGTGACGGGGCGCGGCAACGAGACGCCGACGACGCGCCGTCCTCGGAATTCGCAGCTCTTGCCAAAGTACGGGCGTTCGCAGCGACACACATAATTGTACGGCGCCGGGTTTCTGAAAGAGAACGACGATTGGTGGGTGGGTGATGAAGAGAAAACGCATACTTTTTCGGCCGCGGAAGGAAGCACTCGCCACGTCCCTCGCACCGATCAGCTCGGCATTTGTCAAGACTTCTGTTCGTCAGCTGTAGGTACGGTCCCAGGGTGTTGGTCACGTACTCCTGTAGGTATCCGCAACGGCTCTTGATCTTCTGACTCGTGCTCCAGATCACCACTCCGTTCACATTCATTTTAATGGAGAGGTCCAGGGTGCTGGCAAGGTTTTGCTGGAATGAAAACAAATAAAAGAAGAGCATATGGACAGCGTTACTTTTGAATAGAAATCTTCTGGGTTGTGGTAAGAGTCGTACTCAATCTTTGTGAAGATGTGTATTTGACAGTTCGGGCAGTAGTTCCTTTTGATCCGTTTCGTTTCCGTAATAAGAGCCTAAAGTTCGAAGGGTCTATCGAGTTCTGGCTGGCTGACCTTACTCCAGTATTAACGAAGTTATAATCAGGAACTGTCCTTTGTGCAGTATACAGATAAATAGACGGGAAAAGGGCAGTGCTTTCGACCCACAACCAGCTCAAACTGTTCTCTGAATTGTTTGTATCTGTCATCTGACGGCTCTGGCTCACTTGTCATTGTACTTCTGGAACTGTTTGTTGCAATCCGTCTCATAGGTTTGTCCAACATTTCCATTGCATTTCGGGAACAGATAATATCCCCATTTGGCTTTCGGACGGAGCCTTCTTCCCAGTCTGATCGTTTCAATAAAGAACTTCTGACTCGCCTTCTCATAAGCTTTCTCCGCCTCCCAAGCAATCTGTTTCGGAGACCAATAGGGGTGCTGTTGACGGCTGAGACGGATCGACTCCCTCTTGTAAACCTAGACACCACGGGTAAACAGAAAGTACTTGTCGGAGTGCTCATTACCTCGAACCCACCCCAACTCAACTCCCACATTGGGCGGAACTCTTCGATGTCAATGACGGCGATTCCGTCAAAGTTCTCATCGGGAATGGTCTCTATGATGTTCTTTTCGGCTTCGATCAGATGATCAGTGAGATTTCCCTCCTGGAATAGAATGTTATTCATTTGCAATCGAAAAGCGGAAAACCTGGGGGAGTCCTCCATTCATTGGCTTTGTAACATCTTGCCCTTTAAAGTATGGAATCTTTCCAAAGCTGTGCTCATAAAAGATGGCAAACACTTTGCCACCAGTAAACTGTTGATCTGTGAGAAAGCACTGTAGCCACCCCGGAGGTCAATTCATTTCGTTTACCTTGATTCTGCTTTATACCGTACTTCTCCACCTCTATGTAGTTGGCGCCCGTGCACACCCAGGAGGGCACCATCCACACGACGTCTGTCCGGTTGGCTCCACCCACGTAAGGAGCGAGGTACTGACTGAATGGGATACGGTAGATGCCTAGATGGATGGGAAAAGAAAGTGACTCACGTTCGAACGAAAGATCCGGTCAAATAAAGAAGCAGGAGGAGCGGCGGCGGGAAGACGACCATTTTCGGACAGTCTGGAAGCAGACTTTGGTCCTCGGAAGGAAACGGAAACTAATATTTTATTGTGGTTTTCGTATGTGATGTTTTGATTTTATGATCGCCGACGCCCTCGCCTTCCTCGCCCATTCTCGAATCGTTTCTTCCTGGACGACTCACCTCTCTTCTCTTCTTTTTCTTCTTCTTCCTTCTTCTTCTTCTACTTATACGTCTTCTTCGTTCACCCCATTTCAGTTGATTGCCACCGGACAGACGACACGGCAGTTGGGTAGCGGTGAGCGGTGGCAGCGGAGCAGAGTCAATAAAATGCGTGCTCTTTCCGGTGCGCTTGAAGCATGAATGATGAGGAACAAAAAAGAAGAAAAAAGGAGGGGGAGGTGGAGCAAGGTGTGCAACAAAACAATACAAAAAAGCAATATGCAAACAGAACCGGAGGCCGGATTGAAATGATACTGCCGGAGGAGACGTCTCACTCGTTGTGTTTGCCAACAACTACTGCCGTCGCCGGAGCAGTTCCCGACTCCTCACGGCCGACGCATGTGATCACAGAAACATGTGGCCCCGAACGACGGTCAATGAGCGATCGCTTTGAAACGAAACCCGACACAAAACGGCTCGGGTTCTCTGGGCAGGGCCACGTGTGACCAAACTGTTCAAGCTGTTTGTTTGCTGGAGAAAAAGGTACTGCGGCAAAGGTTTCATTAGCGAAGGTTCGAGCAAACAGATATTGGGAGGGGATCAGAACAGAGATTCCTGCAAACAGCATCTATTAATTGCAGTTGTTTCATCAATCGTTACTCGGAGAGCTTTAAACCAAGAAACACTTTCTTGCGTCGGAAAGTCGGAACACGAGAAGGCTCTCGAGGAAACCTGAGAGAATAACTCTTTCTCCACTTTTATAAATAAGAATGATGACTTCTCAGAAAAAGATTATTCCAACGTAGACCAAAGTTCGTAAGTTTCTGTTCAGCACACATGCTCCGTTTTGATTGAAAGAAAGAGAGATGGATGGGTTGATTAAAATCGGTATGCACATTTTTGAATAATGAAAAGAGCGATGTAGAAATAGAGACAATCATTTTTTGTAGGCCGCTGCTGCTCGACGTCGCACATTCTGCATTTCGCGAGTGACCGGCTCCGGCAGCGAATTGAGAAGCGGAGGAGGGAATGCCATGTTCTGAAAAAAGGCATTTCTGCGCCACTTGCTCTCACATGTTCTGAAGAACAAACCGTTGGCAAAGTCGTCCTTTTTCCTTCAGGATCATGCTGGCAATAACTGGGGAGCATCTCATGGAGTTGGACGTCTAGAGACGGATCGAATCCGGTGATGTGTCCGTACTTGTCCATCTTGTACGGCATTCCTTCCAGAGTGGGGAGCGACAACGACAAATCCTTCATCGACAAGTCCATGCGCTTCATAAACTCTGGGTAATGAGTTCGAAGAAACTGAAATGAAGTTAGCTTGAAGCGTGATTTTTCGCGATCTACCTACATTTTCTTCATTTGCCTCTCTAAGACGTTTTCCACATTTCAGCATGTGACTCTTGAGATTGTATTTGTATTTGATTGGTTGATTGCAGAAGTTGCACATCGCCTCCGTCTCGTCGGAATGAGATATCTCGTGTCTTTTGAGCTTGTCCGCCGTTCTGAAAGTTGTGAAACACACCTGGCACTGCCGAACTCTCACGGCTGGATCTTTGGCTACTGCAAATACATGTTATGTGTTAGCTAATATTATCGTTCTATTCACTTACCTTGTTGCAATTTTTCAACTAATTCCGCATTACGCGCAGCAATCTCTTTCTGTTTAGCAGACATCGGGACAGATGCCTGCGACGGTGCATCTCCCTTCATCGCATCAGCTCTCTTTTGCTCCAGTTCCTCGATTCTTTTCTTCGCAAGAATTTCTCTCTGATTCTTTCTCAAAATTTCATTTTTTTTCTTCTCTTCCAGCCACTGTGCCGAAAAGACTTTCGGAGGGACAAACGGAGGAAGGGAAGTGTCGGAGTCTCCGTCGCCGTCTTCACCTGGAGCCAGATCCTTCTTCGGTCCACTCGCTTTCTTTGAAGGCGTTTGATTCGATCCTTTCGGCGGGACATTCATTGGTCTTCTGGTGGGCTGTCCGGATTTAACTGGAACATCCCCCGTCGGCTTTCTCATCATCCCAGCTGCGTCAGCCTGCTCATGCTGCTTTCTTCTCGCTTGTTGCATCAGCGCTTGCCTCTTCGCCAAATGCATCTGCTTCAGTTTTTCAGATCTTTCGGCTTCCGTCATTCGTTCCGATTCAGCTGGCTTCGAACTTGATGCTCCCTGTTCAGGTTGTTCAGCATTTTCGGATATGTTCTTTTTCAGCATTTGAGCCCTCTTCATGAGCATTTGCAGATGTGCTTCGTTCTTTTCCGACTGCAACTTTTTCACTTTCTCAGCCTTCTTCTCTTCCATCAGCTTCTTAACTTGCTCCGATCCAAATACGTGTGTCTGTCTTTCTTGCACTCTAGCTCTAGCTGCCTCCCTCTGCCTCGCAGTTTCCGCTGCATCCCGTGCCAGTCTGGCCTTCTTCGCGGCCTCCAGTTCTCTCAGTTTCCTCAGCAACTCCTTCTTCGGTTGACGTTCTTTTTCATCGTCCTTCTTCAACTGTGATCCTTTCGGTTGTATCGGTGGCTTCGGAACAGTCGGAACAGTCGGAGCGACTACTGTCCCATCGCCCGACAAATCAACAGTCGGCTCTCTTTCTTCTGGCTCTTCTGGATTCTTCAGCAGCGCTGCATCCTCTGCTTTGGCGGGCTTCACTTCAATCTTCGGTTTCTCGATTTTCTTCAGCGCAGGGTTTATCTCAATCTTCTCCGCCAGCTTCACAGGTTCCGAAGTCGTCCCTGAGGCTCCTTCGACTAACGGATCAGGCTGAGCAGCCGGAGCTGGACCGATAGTTGGCTTATTTTGAAGTTTCGGTTTCTTGCTATCCGGCGTCTCAACTTCTCCTTCTCCTCCCCCCATCACCAAATCCGCCTTTCTTTTTACCGGTTCTGAAACGCCATTCTTATCTACTTTTTCTACTTTTTCACAAACCATTCGTAGCGGCAGCCGGAACTTTTCTCGGTCTTCCTCTTCCTCTCTTCGGCTGCTCTTCCGTCGGCTTCGCAGCTTCCTTTTTATCAACTTTTTTCGGTGGTCGTCCCATCTGAAATAAAGAAAAACCTTCAGGTAACAATTGCGAAGCTTCTGGTAACAATCGTGAATGTTCGTATAAGATTAGCAGGCTTCAAGCGACTTTTGGGGGATCAGTACTCGAAATTGGTTAAAAACCAATAAAACGCGATAAAAAAGATCTGAGAATCAATTTATTGAGATCGAGTCAACAAACAGGTCAACTGGGAAGAGAACAAAATAGTATTGGGAAGTAAAACAAGACAACAAGAACTATTAGAAAAAGTAAAGAACATGTTGTGTGCGGGGTGATCTAGAACGAGGAAGTAATTTTTTTGGATCCCAGTCGCATCGTGGTCCTCATTGGAAGCAGAACCGCATCAGAAGTGGACGCCGGAGCCACGTTGGAAGAGCCCACGAAACGGCCCCTCGGTCACTTTGCGAGAAGTTTGTTTAGAATAAACTTACAATTGGCCGTTTACATAATCACAGAAGAGCACGGTGATGATATTCGAGATGGAAGCCGGACTCACTATCAGACTCAACCGCACGGAGCATTGACGAGATCGGAAGGAAACGGAAGGTGTGCTTTTTGTGGGAATCGGGTCATGCTGTACAATTTCCACCGCTGGCCATCAGGGATAATCTGCAATATCACGAAATCACGAAGACCATTTCGAAACTGCCAACTTACAGCTTGCAACCACTGCAAGGCGACCCCATTCACAAACGATTGAAGAGTGTTCCCTTCGAATCGGAAACCAGCCATCAGTTCATTCACATTGATTATTTCTGAAAAAATTTACATAGTCTCTAGCGATAGAGAAGCCGATACCTTTTCCAGACAAGTTTCCAGACAAGCCAGACAAGTCCAGACAAGACGATCATGTGCTGCATCTATCTAATCTCTCTTCGATCGATAGTCGCGTACAGTTGCTTCTAGAAAACACGTGTCTTAAAATTGCCTCAAATGTTCACTTACCGGGTCCACAATGTGTCGTCTGTTCAGAAGCTTGGCTTGGAGCTGCTCAATCTAAATTAAATGATTTTCTGAGAAATCCTGAAAAATTACTCGCCGCGTTGAATCTTTCCAAACGACGTCTTTTTGCAATGCGGCGCAGACGTGCTCGAAAATTGAATCATGAACTGGTGCCGTCGGTTCGTACTTGGAAACGTACACAGCTGCCAGTTTAACATTTTCTATGCGATTCCTGTGCCGATCGGGAAGATCCAGAGAAAATATGGTTAACGGCCAAACTTTGAGACAGAAAAATTCCATTATCTCATTATTATCTGATGTTACCTTCCGTTCGCGCTCATCGTGATTCCGTCGCAGGAACACATAAAATGAATTGAGACAAGCGCCATAAACAAGGAGATCCCGTAGCACTCCCTCGGACATCGGAGAAGACAACGTCCATCCTTTTAGGATGTCTGTTTGGCATCCAACGATGATTTGGCCATACGTGTCGAGCAGATTCACAGCGTAGTCGACCGTGTCAGAAATCGATAAATGCGCTGCTCGGAAAGAAGGAGAGCATTGACATCTGGAAAAAAATCGTTATCCCTATAAAGTACGGGAGTTTGCGCACACAATACTAAAGAAAGAACGATTTCATTTCTATTTCTACAGGAACATCCGTGCTTTTCAACTAGCTTCTCACGTTATTGAGTAACTTACTCGTATTCTCCTTTTGCACAAGATGAGCAGCAGATGATGTCCTTGATCTGAGTTGATTCCACCAGAAACGTCATAATCCGTTCGTTCACAGCTTGCTCTGCCCGAAAAAAAAACGTCTGGCTGAAAATGCAATTCTCGCCTACAAATATTATTTTGAAATGGAAAATTCACCTGTTTTTGTTGTGACCGATGAGCTGAGAAAGTAAATTCGATATAAATCTTTGAACGACAGCAAGTTCCAAAGCTTTTCTGCAATAGAAAGTTTTAATAGTTATGTTCAAAATTTGAAAATTTCATTCCATTCACTCACTTCTTTTAGTCGACGTGGTTTCTGTGCAGTGATCATCGAGATTGACGGCGTCTTCCACATGGAACTTTGCAACTTCTTCTATTTCTGTGTCTTCATTTTCTTTTTCACTTTCTGAAAAACTATTTATTATTTGAGCTTTTTTACAATTCCATGTATTTACCGCTCGAAACATCGTCTTCTTCTTGTCGCTGAGCATGCTCAATATGCGCTGCGAGCGAGGGCCAGTTTACCAGTGGAGCGCAGTTGCAACGGACTGGGAAGTGGGAAGAAAGGGGGAAAATTAGGGAGCGAACGAGAGAACATCGACTCTAATGAAAGCGAGGGCGACGCGATACGGTTTTTGTAATGACGATATTGTCGTTCAGAGAACTTTCGGTTGTTTGAAGTGGAAGGAGACTGACCATTACGGTACTGCGCCTTACTACGGAAGTACATTTGGACAGACTTTGGAAAATTCTGAAGAAAAATCAGTATGATACAATAGACTATTCTTAAGGGAAGAGTGTTTTCAAAAGTTACAAAGTAGTATCACCTGGTTTCAAAAGTATTTTCCAAGTCAAAATCTATTTTCCAAGTTAAAACCAAGTCTTTTCAAATGTTATTTTCTAGAAAGAGTTTTGTGTCAATACTGTTTTTTTTAATTCGAGAACCTTCTCTAACGTTCCCCTTATTTCAGTAGATTAATCTAGAATTCTCAGGCTCACCTCGTTTCCCATTTCGATCTCGGCAACTTCATATTTCAACGTTATCTTTACAAACAAATTCAACTCTCCACCATTGTCTGTTATCGGTTGATGACTCTTCCAAACTATTGAATTGGGAAATTTATCACCATCATCGCTCGTAACGTTCTATGCAGAAGTGCGTGGATTCCTGGAAAGCTGCTCCGTTTACCTAGTGACAAAAGACCTCCGCGCTCCCAAAAGTGCATCTTCTCTTCTATCCGTTTCCCGAAAAAACGAGCATTTGTCACTTGGATCTCGGGTCGTGCTCCCCACCAAAGCTTCGAAATGTGTACCAATCGTTAAGCTCATTAAAAGAACATGTGTCCATCCATCCATCCGTCCGTCCATCCATCCCGATCTCATTCCATCGCCCACCCACTCCGATCGTGTTCTAGATACGTTTATCTAAATGTCTCCCGGGACAAAAAAGGAAACGTCGAGGCGCTGCTCTGCTCCACCCTCTTCTCATATGTTCCGCGTGAAGACCCAATTGAGATTGCCGTCCTGAATTGGACGGTTATCACTACGAGAGGCGGAGACGAGAGACGCCAAAAGGCCGGCAGTGATTAGGGGCAGTGCTCTTTTATGATGCCGCCATCATCGGACGAGGAGCACACTGATAAGCGGAGGGCCGAGACAACATCAAAGACGCCGTCGCAGCCGCCGGTGCATCGAGAGCCCTGTTGTTCGTCCAGAGAGAGAGAGAGGGAGAGAGCTCAGTTTTTGAGCCGGCCGGCGCCACCGCCGACGCCGCTAATTCCCACCGTAACGAGTGTGGCGTGGCTGAGAGCTCCGCCCACCGGCACCCACAGGACTCATTCGAAGGCCGACCTCACTGCCGCGGACAACTGATGAACGGAGCCAAGTTCTTTCGTCCGTGGGAGAACCACCACCCGCAACACTCGATCTCGTCTCCCGACTCGCCGCCCGACTCGCCCGAATCTGGCGGTTCGGTGACAAAAAGACGGAAATGCGAGAGATGCACATGCCCGAATTGCAAAGCCATGTGAGTTTAATGGGTTTTCGTGGAGGGATTAGTGTGAGCCGTCGGAATGGGCCTTCGAATCGGGAGGGCCTAGTTGAATGACGCTATTAGGACTACGGTATTCCCTCGCATTCACCCGCTGTCCCTAGTTTTGTGTCTGTTCTTTTCTTTCCGGGCGTTCGCTCGTTCGTCGATAACGGTGAATCATCAGCACTCTGCACACTTTCCTCCATGACCTTTTCGTGTGTGTCCAACTCTCTGTCGGGAGGTTCTTTTGAAATTAGTGTTGTGATCGCCCTGATTACTTAGTTCTGTTTGCCAACGTGGCTAGGGCACCAGCCAACAATCGTAACATTTACAGAAAGCACGGCGACAGAGGGTCCCAGCACACTCATTTGTGCAGCGTTTCTGGATGTGGAAAGACGTACAAAAAGACGAGTCACTTGAGGGCCCATCTCAGGTAATAGAGGAGCAGGATTGATGAGTGATAAAGCAATTGCGATTGCAGAAAGCACACTGGAGAGAGGCCATTCGTGTGTCGTTGGAGGGAGTGCGGAAAGAGATTCGATAGAAGCGACCAACTGATCCGCCACGTGAGAACACACACGAAGGACTGCCGGTGAGGAAAAGAGTACAAGCATTTCTAGGAGTCGTTTCAGATTCTCGTGTCAATTCTGCGCGCGTCAGTTCGCCCGATCGGATCACCTCCAGCAACACATGACTTCCGTGCATAACATCATCGTAGTCGACTAGTGTCATTCTTTTCCAGCTCTTTACGTTTTATTAATTCGTGTCAATATATACAGAGAACTTTTCATTGTCAAAGCATTCGTTGTCCGAGTTCACAGAACCCATGCCGTCGTTTAATAAATGATTACCTCCCGAGTGCTCTCTCCCAAACGTCCAGTCCCGGGAACGCAACTGCCGTTCCTGTTTGGAAGCCGGCGCCGACGAACGGGGAGCTGACTCCGAAAGTGTGCTTGACGTCGCCGCTCTTGTAGTTCACTCCGACGTGGTCGTTCTGCTGATAGTATCCTCCGACTCCGTAGCCGTTGTCAACTTTCAGATTGCCCGCGTCTCTTCCGTGCAGCGGGAACGAGACCGTGTTGTGTTGACCTCCTTCCACTCCTAGTGATTGCACCAACGGGATGCTCCAGTGATTCTGAAATGATTACCGTTTTGAGAGGTTCACGTTCGTTTAAAAAAGTGTGCCTTGTATCCATACTGTCCGTCATACCAATTGGCTCCCGCTTCTTGATCTCCTTGGAAGTAATCCCTAAAGTTAATCTCTCTTACCTGTTTTCCAATTCCATTTACCTGACTCCCACAGAATTTGAAAAGCCTCCTCCCCATGCTCCGAATGGAATTCCCAATCCGACTCCAACTCCAACAGCTCCTTCCTCATTCAATGGATAGTATGGTATTCCTTTAACGTCTACATTTGCTATGTTGATGTTGACTCCAGAATCGAAAGAGTTCGAAATAGCTGCAAGAGGGTCCGACTTCTCAATAAAGCGTGCGCAGTCTCGGAAATATGCCGCGCATCTTCCGGCATTCCTCGCAGCAGTCTTCTTCGGTTCGCAATGCTTTAGCACCAACGGACTGACTCTCGAACACTTTAACTGCAGAATTTGTACTTCTTCTGCTGTCAACTGCCGATAATGCTGCAAAGGTCGAAAATTAAGAAAGCAATGTGTCATACTACACTCACGACTACTTTCTCTTTAGATTCCTCGTCATGCGCAGGTCGAATATCACGTCTTTTGGCAGCTTTCGTCGAAGGAGGCAACGGCGGCGGTTCGACCACTGAAACAAGTAAAAGATTGTATTCTTTTGGATGGATGTAATCTTCCTATTCAGGTGTGTAAATCCTGTGTTTTGTACTCAAACACTCAACCCACTTTCTTTTCATTTCCTACTCTGACTCACTTTCCCCAGAACTCTTCTTTCCACTGTCCCTCACATTTCTTGCTTTCAATTGGTCACACATCTCAAGGTCTGGATTGCGCGCGCATGCGAGCGCTATGAGACGTTCTCGATCAACAGATCCACATACTGAAAGGAATTGAATGGATCGAAGAGAAAAAGGCTGAATACCTGAGAATACAGTTAGAAAGAGTGAAAGTAGATACAGGTAGTTCTTCATTTTTGATAGAAATGGAATCATCTGACGAATACGACGACGGCCGCAGATATTGTATTTTACACCAGAATAGCAGAGAAACGAGAAGAGCGAGAAGGCGCACGAGTGTTTATAACCACCGAAGATGATCACGTTCGACCTAATGGGTTGAAGGTCGACGAGGTGCCAACAACAACGGCGCGAAACGGGTAGAAGACAGCGGGAAGGCGCCTTCGCACGTGCACAGACAATGCATTGCATCTCAATTTCATTTTCAGACTGGATGGACACTAGCCAAGCAAGATGAATGGCAAAACAATAGAATATATAGAAGTCTTTATTCAGATCCTGAGTGTGTTCGTGGAGGCTTCTAACTCTCTAATCAGTACTTCCTCGACGCGGGCCGATCGTCCTGGTAAATGAGCTTATCAATAGACTTCTTGTAGTAGAAACGTTGCGTGATAAGAGCCATGACGGAAATGACCTGAAACCGTTTTCTCCTGCGTCAACCTTCCTTCACTTCTGCCCACCTGCATCACAACTAATGTCGTCAGCAACAGTGTACTGCTAACAAGATAATCGGCTTTTTCACATTTCACCGGTTCGCTCTCCGTCAACTTCATCTTCTCCTCATTTGGTTCATTCTCCAGAATCAGCATCTTCGGTGTCTCCACCTCGACTGTTATGTTAAGTTCTTCTGCCGATCCTTTGTGACTTCGAGGACTTCTGTGCTGATAAACTGAGGCTTTTGTCGGGAAAGGAAGCGCTTCCATTTCAGAATCCATTGTTTTCGATATTGTTTCCACGTGGAACACTTCTGAAAAGTAGAGAATGTGAGAAGGCAGCTGATTCGATCGAAACCTCTTTTCGGCAACTTCTCCGGCTCTGCTATCACTGGCACCTTCGATGAACTTCCCTTCACATTTTCTCTACTAATTTCCAATCCGTACGAATCCACACCAGAGCTCTTCACGCCCATTTCAGCCGTGTTATCTTGTCCCACACCGTCTCCGAGTTCGACGTTCGGGAAGTCGTATCCATTCCCGAACTTGTTCGATGTATTCTGAAAAAAGTAATGAAAAAGTGTGGGATCAGTGAGTGAACTCACTTCATCGTGTTGCGGTCTTTGTCGGGAAGAAGTGGTTGATGAGACGGTGGAGGTGACAGGGCGAGTAGATATCGAACGGGCGGTTGAGGTGGAGGTGGTCGAAGGACGGGAGGAAGTGGTCGAAGGACGGGAGGAAGTGGTCTCTGTCCTCGGTGACAGCGTCTGCACGTTTTCCTTCGGAGCAGTTGCGCTCTCGTTTTCGTTGTGCTTCACGTAGTGAACTTTTATAGGGCCGAGATCCAACGGTCTACAGATTGGAGGCTGAAAATTACTTTGAAACAGTTCACCAGAAGATCTGCTGACCGAAATGCCCTCGCATCCATTCTCATGTCTTCTGCAAGTTGTTATCTGGCAAGAGAAATGAACCATGACCTGATCTGCGTAACGGAAAGCACGAACGGCAGTGAAAGCGGACTGCAGGTCATTGGAATATGTCACTTCGGGGAAGAGACTGGCATCTGTGACACATCTGAAAGTTTTTGGGCATGGAAGAGACAGGAGGCGACTGAAAAAATACCCTCGCTCGTCAATGAACTGGAAGTCCTTTCCGGATTCATCCCGAACTACACAGGAATGCACTACGAATCCGAATCGATCTGAAATTTGTATGCAATCGGACAGCCACTCCGATCAGGACGAATACCACTATCGCAAGTCCATTTATGCACGACGACATCGCCCACATTGGCGAATCGAACGACAGGTCCGTTCAGAGATCCCGAGAGAACGTCGTACCGGCACTTGGGAGCACTTTTGCTCTGTAACGCCGTCGACGGAATGTCACTGAAAAGCTTCGTTTTGAACTGTCCAAACTTGCTCTCCACTCACGAAACATTCAGTCTCTGTTGCAAAAGAGACTCCTGCTGCCTATAAATGCAATTCAAACGGTACGCCTTGTCGAATGAGGTGACGAACAGCGGATGATGTTGTATAATGACGGTCACGTCGTACGAGATTGACGGCGGTGTCACCTGGGATGGCAGGTGCTCGACTGATTCGTCCAACTGTTCCCCCACTTACATTCCGACGTCTTCTGACGTTGCACGGTCCTCGGAACGGAAGATCCATGATGATCGGTTGGTTCGTGAGACGGGTGCAGTAGTTCAAGTGACACACTCTGGAAGGAAACATTGTCCCGGGAGAATTTTATTCTACTCAGTTCATTTTTGTCTGACCGTGAAGTGAGGGATCGTTTAGTGTCCTTGCAATTTACATTCCGATCCTTCACTCATTTCGCGACAATAAACAACTGTCCACCCTTCCAGTTCGCTCAAGTGCAACCGTTATGGGTCAATGACTCACGTTTGCGGGAAGAAGCCACGCACGTAAACGTGCCCACCGAAGGATCCAGTGGGACTGACGTGCAGACGGATGCCTTCTGAGCCGCACTCCTGAAAACGGAAAGATGAACGGAAGGGACCAGGTAGCTACCGTACCAATCTCGGCGGTGACATCTGTGTATTGTAGTAGTTGTAGTTGGCCAGGACTGCTCGGACGAATATGTGCATTGAAATGAGCAGGTTGTCAGCTCGCATCATTCCTTCAATGGAAAGACGATCGGAGAGTGGTCATCGGCAGAAGCCAAACCGAATTATTACGAGAATCGGCCCGACGCAATCGTTTAATAGCACGATTTGGGAATTCAGAGACGAGGAAGGCGGCTGAGGAAGAAACGGTCGCTGAATACACAAAGTATGAAAGGGGAGGCGGAGCGGCCGAGATGACGATGATGATGGCATTGGTGGTGACGACGGCGACGGAGATGAGGTGTGTGCTGGCTGATGGCGCCACGCAAAAAGCGGATAGTGACGAGAGTATTTGTGCCAAGGACCCTGCAACAAGGTGTAATTAGAGTCCGGCCCCACGACATTACGAGGCTTTTTTGGTTTACGAGACTGGGAATGTTGTGGATCTGGAGTCAGAAATGAACCGGCTGGGCCGAAAGTCTTACTGTGAGTGCATTCAGGAAACAGGAATGCGAACGTGCTCCGAGCAGAGTATCTGAACTGTAACTCCTTTGTCACTCAATTTTAGCTCAGATAGTCTGTCGGACCTGTCAAGATATACCGTTGAAACTGTAATAGAAAGGCGAGACGATATATATTGGTATTTTTTGGTATCTCTATCGACAGCTGAGATTCGTCGATTTGAATAAAGGGTAAAGCTCTATTACGGTAAAGCTCGAGGGGACCACGTATCAGTTCCATTTTCATGTTGTCTTCTTTTCGTTTTCTTCAATTCCGGTGTAATTCATTCAAAACTGTTTCCGGTCTTTTCCCTAATCCTCTTTCGTTTCAGATATCGCCCCTATCCTAATCCGTTTTTTGTCACTTTTCATTCCATTTCTCGCATTTCATCGTCTGCTTACGCAACAAAGTTGTTGGTCAACGAGTCGCAGAGTGGAACAGATTAAGCACGGATTTGGACGGAATGAAACTTTCGTTGCAGTTGAAAGCGGCCGCAGAATGGCATCTCATTATACTTTCGAACAAGAATTCTTTGTCGTTTTTCAGACGTCGTTCGTCTGCGATGGGACTGAAGGATTGGATGATTACGAGGTGACCTATTCTGACGACGCAGTTGAAAACTGCCACTTTCAGCCGACGATCAAATTACCTGCGCACCTGTTTGTTCTCACATCAATCACGCTAATGTTCTATTCATTCTGAAAAAAAAACAGAAAGGATTGTTGTTTCCTCTCTTTCAGCGGCGGAAAAGATTACAGCCGAGGTTACGAGTACTGTACTTCAAAAAGTGAGGGATACATTTATTTATTAGAACTCTATAAATTTGCAACAATGAAGGGAAAGTCACCGATGAGAAATGCACGGCAAAACAGACGGAAGTATGTACAGAAAGGTACGAGTGAGTCGGTTCGGAAGAGAAATACACGTTTCGGGTTGAGGTGACTTGTTGGAGTCGTAAGGCAATTTGGGTAGTTACTAGACTGTGATGAACTATCGATCGGAGAGCTCGGGCGGCGGGTTGTAGATCGTCTTCTCCTTGTAGTACACCTCCTCGTGCTCCTTGTCGCAAATGAGCATGATGGATGCTCCGAGAGTGAAGAGAGTGGCTCCCCAGGCGATTCCGTACGACCAATCGACTTCCCAGTTGCGGCGCGATCCGTATTCTCCCATTTTGACGTAGAATGCAACTGGGAACATGATGAGGGCGACGAGTTCGAGAAGGACTGAAAAGGGAAATGATGGGGGAGCTGGAGATGGAGAGCGGGTACCTGAGATACCGGCGATCATCGTCGCGATTCTGTACCATCTGTATTTTCCACGGACGTCCGATTTGCTGAGTCCAACAATGTTGAAGATGGCGGAGAGAGCAGTCAGGAACAAGGCGACAATGAGAAGAACGGCGGCGGCGGTCAGGAATCCTGAAGAGAGACAGAAAAGTGTGATCGAAGTTATAAGGGGTGACTCACCAGAGTTACGGGATGGTTTGTGGCAGCTGCCAGGGGATGGGGCTCCAGGGAATGGGGAAGCATGGGTGGGCTCGTTGGTCGAAGTGCATTCTTTGAAGAGACCCGTTCGGAAGGAGCCAGATTTGAGCCAGGATGTCGAGCTGAGTGCCACGATGAGAAGGCCGACGCCGATGACGAGGCAAATCAGGGAGATTATCTGCAATTGGGAATTCGTTAGCTGTTGTTTTCAAGTTTCTCGCTTCATCGGAACCAGATGGCGCGAAACATGTGTCAGTTTTTCAGATTTTGAGTTGACTTCTGATTTAAAAAGACCGCAACGACTTACTTTGAGGGGCCGGACGGCGGAGACGGCTTCAATGGTAGTTCGTTGGACGGCTACCATCTTGTCCTTCGACGACGTCTCGAAGTCGTGAATTCTGCAATGAATCACACATTTGTATAGTGAAAAAAAGAGTGGGATAAGAGAGAGAGAGGATTGAGCAGAGCGAGCTGGTATAATCGGCTAACTAGTTTCGCCTCACACAACCTTTTTTCTTCGCAACTGGCAAATGTCAACAAATGTTTATGAGAGGCGGCAAAAAAGAGTCATGAGAAAAGCAAAAAAGCAAAAAAGAAAAAGAAGAGGAAAAAGTGTCTGAGAAACCGAGTTGCTCGAAATTGAATAAATGAGTGAGGAAAGTAGGGAAACGAGACGGAGACCGCAAACTCTTCTCCTTCTTCTCCCTTTCTTCGCCCCTTTCCCGATAAACATTGGAATATTCCGAAAGAAGAAGAAGAAGAAGGAAAAGAAGAGGGAAGAAGGTGCGCACCCGAAAATAACTGAAGGATTGAATTTCAGTGCGCATTTGTATCGAACTGCTTGTATAGTGGGGGGGGGGCGGAGCTATGACATGATTTACAATATTTATGAGAACACGGGTTGATCACGTTATAAACATGAAAGGACGAACGGCGAGAGGCGGTGATTGATACGCCAAGTTATTATATTACAAGTTGAAAACAGATGGACACGGGGAGTGGAACAGATTGGAGAGGGAGAGAGAGAGAGACGGAGAGGGAACGTGGCACATGCCTTCTTCAAAAACAGCCCCGACTTTGCTTCTCTCTCACCCCTCGTTCTGTGCGTGTTTGTGTGCTCATGTGTGCTCTTCAAAATTTGGAGGCTCGAACAAGCAAAGGGGCGCCGCGGAGGATTACAAAAGAGAAAGATCACCGAAGAGTTGATCGCGTTCCTTGTAAGAAAAGAAAGAGTTTGTGGAAGAAGTGAGGGATGAATTGGATTGGGACGAGCCGAAGTGTTCGGAGGCGGAGGAGCGAGAGAAGCGAGTCCTTCGCAGTGTAATGGAAAGTGTGACAGAGCAGTTTTTAGTGAGAAATAGGAACGAAAAGATGAAAAAAGAGATGCTCGCGATACTAATCGACGTGATAATCTGGGTCAGAAAGCGCCGAGAGGAAAGCGAAAAGATGGATGAAGTTTGGTTTGAGCAGTTGGAGTGAAAAAGAGAGAGAGAGAGAGAGACGCACAGCTTTCATATGACTGTAGTAGTACAGAGCGCCTCTCACACAATGTGCGATGTGTCATAAAAGGGGAGCGGGGGAGAGGGGCGAACAATGGATGGATTGCGACACACTTGCACTCGCAGGTTGCCTCGGATCCGTAAATGCGCAGTTCAAATTGGCGGGTTAGCAGACGGCGTCAGGTGGATTCATGGCGCCATTGTCAGGAAGCGATCAGCGGGTTTGAAATTAGAACACATTTTCAAGCTCTCAAAACAATTCGAAGGAAGACACTGGCTTCATAAGATGACTCATAGGAGTGAGGGACCAAGAATCTTGTTTGTTTGCCCAGGATGGATTGTGAAAGAAAGGTCCCGAAATCTATGCAAAGTTAGGTAAACTTTTGATCAAAAGAGAGATGGCATGTAATATGTGTGAGGTCTCCTGCGCACGTATTTGCATTAAAATGAGTGTGAAATGATGCATACAGGGGGGCTGACTCATAAATGGTGTGCGGGGGCGGACGGCCGAACTGATAGGAACAAAGTGTCAGAGCAGCGGCGTCGGCTGTCGGTACGAGCCGCCGCACGATAAGCACGTATCGATCGAGACTCGATAATGCATCGGAAGAGGTTCGATCGGAGAGGGGCAAAGCAGGTCAGTCAACCCGCGCCCTCCTTCTCCTCCGATGTATATTCCTTTGAAGGAACAAAGTTGTCGACAGACTCGTTCCCTCGGTCTCCCGCCATCTTCTGTTTGTCTCCGCGGCGTCTGACGGTCGCCGACTCTCCGATCCAACACTCTCTCGGCCGAATGAACCCCTACTTGGCGCTCTTAGAAGCCGAGAGAACTCCCTCGGCTTGTGTCTATTTGCGTGTGTTTATTTATTGTTCGAGCACGGCCAACCGTCCGCTGCTGCCTTCTTTCCTTGCTTACTTCATTATGTAATAGGAACTGAACGAACTGTACTTCCCTTCCAACACGATTTTTGATTCGTTTCATATGCAAACTCAAGTGTTTGCCGTAGTTCCAGGTGGGGAAATGCGCACACAAACCTTGATGAAATTGAGAGAGTAAAACAGAATGGACAATGAAAGAAAGTACTGGAAAGAGCCTGAAACTGACCCGATCAAAAAACATTTGGAGAGCACTGAAGCAGAAAAAAAGCAGTCGGCTGCGAAAAAAACGAATCAGAATGAGGAATCGGAGTGAGAAACAAGTTTGGCCGCACGTCTTCGCCAGTCATTTTGTTGGTAATCTAACGAGAAACAGTAAGCAATTTTCGGATTAGAATCGACTAGAAGAAACGGATTATGGATTGGAGAAGGAGAAGAAGAAGAAGAAGAACTCGTTTGTGACGATGGTTTCTGAAGTTGTTCAGGTTGGAAACGTGGATGAATTTGCCAAGAAAAGACCTTTGTTTGCGAAAATGAAGCGAATTTCGGAAATCTTGTTTCGAGTGAAGAGAACGAGAAGAAGAAGAAGAAGACGACGGAAAAGAAAGCGAAAACGATGAACATGAAGAAATGGAAATTCGGAGGAAATGAAATGAATGAACGAGTCAACCCGAAAAAGGGGCGAACGGCGAAAGAGAATAAAAGACAAAGGAGTGCCCCTGCCCGGTAAGAAATCGGCGAACAAGGTCAATCCATTGACCGGTAATGGCCAGGTTGGCGCATTCGGAGGAACCAAAACTCCCCGATAACATCTTCTCCCATCGGATTTATCACCCTCGTGGTGGCCGCCTTAATCATCGAAACGGGAAGGCGCACAAGAAAAGTAGTAATAAGTGGAAAGTGCGCGGAGGGGAGAGAGCAGGCGTCTGCGAAGCGGAGGAAGTCCCCAATTTTCTTGTCATGTTTCCAATTGCCACCTGAGTTTTTGTCGCGGTTCGAAGACAGTGATTTACGAATCGACAGATCGTACTTTCAAAACGCTGGACAAAAAGTGAGGGTTGTCTTTTTTGAGCGTGCAACTCTGAAAGCCGTCTGTGACTGTTCTGACTTGGCAAGAACTTCTGGAAAGATGAAAAAGGAACAGTCAAATCATGTAGTACAAAAATCAACTAATCAGAAAGTCGTGTAACAAAAATAAGGTCTCTCCAAAAGCACTTCCTTAGTGAGGAACATGTTCAAAGTTTTTATGACTTGGCTGAGACAAAACAATGTGAAAAGATACGCAGGAATTCAGTCCTAATCCGACTGTGAAATGGCGTTTTAATAGGTCGATGGGGCGATCTAATGAAGTTGTGCCGAGTGCCACACCCTCCGGGATGACCTACAAGTCGCACCCCCACGGAAACATTTGTCAACTTTAAAACCAAAAGTTTCGGGTTACGAGAGAGAAAGGCGAAACATGCAAAAAAGAAGTGGAAAAGTATCTCATTTCGAGTGCACCGAGCGACGGAAAAAGAGACTGATAGACATCTGGCGGCGAGACTTAATCGGTGCCGAGGGATCTCGCGCAACAACTTGTCATTCGCAGACTAACACTGTTATTTTAGCATAAATCTGGGGGATAGGAAGAGTGAAAGTAAGGGAAAGAGGGAGCACTTGGCAAATGGATGAAGAGAGTGTATAATTGGAATGGAATGAGGGGAAGGGCGGGCGTGGAAGTGCTTAAAAATGCGCCTCATCTCCTTGATTAGTGCTTTGTTGCTTCGATAATGCGGTTGGGATTTAGTGGACGTGTCCCAGATGTGCAAGGGATTCGCGGAAGAAGTAGTAGCTAGGAGGCGAAGGGCGCAAAATGCACTCACAATTGAGAATGTGTCTTGTTTTTGTTACAACTCGCGCCACGAGTCACAAAGATTGATGGCGCGTCGCTTTGCTCGGTTTTATGAGTTTTCATTTGAATCATCGAGAAGAAGACACGGAGAGCGAAGAGAAATGAGCAAAGGCGGAGCAGAGAAATTAGAAAAGGGCTAGTGAGAGATGAACTCTTGCAAAAAACTGTAAACTATAAAAAATTGAATCCAGGACTTTTGATTTTTGTATGTTCCAGGTATCGACAGACTTTCATGGCTACAGTAAGATGTGATGTACAAATATTGTATGGATCAGAAGCCACAAGTACTCCATTCTGACAAGCATCCACTCATTCTCATAAATTCCCAATTCAATGCTCATTTCCTGTTGTTCTGTTCACATCTACGCCACCCAAACAAGCCTCATTTGTTCATTCTTCGGATCTTTTTTATCAAGTCGGCAAAAATAAATATTTCATTACAACGAAATGCGTACGTTGTAGTCGTTTTCGGGAGAGTCGCATATTAAATAAAAAAGGGAGAGGAGGTGTTGAGGGCGGGGGCGAGGACCCTTTCCCTTCCGTCCCCGGCCACCTCGAAAACTTTTGTGTGTCCGTCGTTTCCGCTCATCAACATGTGCGTTGACGTACGACAATCAGAAGGGAAGGAAATGTGTTCGGCGGGAGAAAAAAGAAGAAGAAGAAGAAGAAGGCGTGTTTCCCTTGTGTTTGCTCTCCATACGATTGCCCTGTCGCATTTCAAGCACGAGAAAGTTGTACATGCCAGAATTTATGCTACCCCTTGTTATCGCATCTGATCTATTCCTAGTTGTGATAATAGCATTTCCCATAAATATCCTCCTTATCTTCCTCTTTCTCTCCTCTTTATCCGTCTGCTCCCTCCGCTCTCTTGCTCATATCCCTTTTGAACTCTTCAATGATAACCAGTGTAATACTTGTCTTTTTCCCTTTTTCCGCTCCGTTTACTTATCATCTGTGCTCTCCGACCCGTCCGTTTCGTTTTGTCATTGTGTGAATTCACAATGAGGGCTTAGAGTCAGCCCGTGAACATTCAGTCGTCTCTCTCTCTCTCCCATTAGGCCACCCTCTTGCCACGTGCCTCATCTCATTTCCTTTCTTTTCGTCACCATGACAATCTTGTTAGACGACACCCCCGCTCACTTTTGTGTTATTCCAACTTTTGTACTTTCACGAGAAATTTGATAACGCGTCGGCGCGGCCCCGAAGGGTTCGGCAGGTTCCTTCGCCCCCGGATGTTCATTCAAATGCTCCGGAATTACATTCCACATCGCCTCACCCTGCTTCCAAACCGCGGTCTTTTCCGAGAACAAAAGGTGGCGGAGACTCAGACAGACAGTTTTTCATTGTTCTGAAAGTGTTTCTCTTCTCTCCACAACACTGGATCACATTAAATCGATTCGATTCGGCCGCAGATCTATGCGGGACCAATGCACAGATTCCCAGGCTTTCAAGCCTTTTCTAAGCAAAAAAGTTCGATCAGAAATTAGAGAGCGGACCATGAAAGGGTGGTGGTACCCGAATTTTTTGCGGACAGATGCCCGAAACCCGATCTGCCAACTTTTTTCAAGTGTGTGAAATTGCATGTGTGTTTCTCTTCTCCTTCCTTCTCGGCGCCTTTTTCTCCTTCTTCTTCTCCTTCTGCGCCATTTGCTCTTTCATTCCATTTGATGTGCTTCTTCTTCTTCCTCTTCTTCTTCTTCTTTTTCTCTTCTCTTCTTTTCTGGAGGTCTCTCCTTCCTCTTGTTTTCCAGACGCCATAACTCATCAAAATCCATTCAATTTCTTTGATTGAACAAGCTCTTAATTGCTTTTTACGCTTAGCATCGGAATGATGTTTGACATTCAGATGACAACTGTGAGCGAGGAAGAGTTTGTTCGCGACATTACCGTATTTGCCAACAGTTCCCGTGGAGACGTCTGGACCCTTCATAAGGTACAAAACTCACCAGAAGAACAAGAGAGGGAATTCCAAACTATTCCAGACGCCCTATGGAATAATTGCAAAGCAGTCTGCCATTTGCCGCTTCGATGATCAAATCATCAACAGACAGGCGCAATTCCAATACAACCGGAAGCTGGCTCGTCTCGAACTCTGGTTCATGTTCTACTCTCGCAGTGAGCTCTTTCCCCCTCTCTAACCCTCTAAAACTCACCGCTCTCGACAGACGGCCGACCACTCAGAATTCGTGAAATCGCCGAAATACTTGGCACGAAGCCAGAGGAAAACGACGCCATTGTGATCGAGTTGTCCACACATCCGACACTCCACATCCCCTACTACAAACTTTACAAGAATCCGGACGATTCCTCTGATTTGATCGCTGCTCTTCCGGCGTGCCACGTCGATAACTACATTGTTAAGTGAGTCTGGTGTTAGAATGATGGCGTCACGAGCGCTCTATTTCCAGATGGATTGCCGCATTCGGAGCGGAAGCGGGACTGGCTCCTGTCTCGAAAGAAGCCAATTCAGAAACGAATTCTTCTTGCAACCAGTCGACCACCAGCACCGAAGACTCATAAATTAAGACTGAAAACGAGGCAAACCTGCTTTGTAGTACGCAGGCCACCTCCCAATAGTGCACTTCTAAATAACCTGATTGTCGCCTCGACGGGTAGATAATAAATGTTTCTGGTCAAAAACCAAACGGAGGAGCGATGGAATCCAACGTGCACTTTTGTTTTTGTCCCTTCAATACTTTGCTCTGTCTATAAAAGCAATCACCATCGCCAAAGACTAATACTGTTTCAAACTTTTAAACAGAGCTCCGGCCGAAAGAGCATCTTATCGACTTGATAATTCCTATCGTCCACTCTATCGGCCTGACCCCTCTCCGAATCGTCCTGCTATCAACCGAAGTGACCACTTGCACACAGACACACCACTCCGACGCCAGACTTATCTTTTCGAAACTTTTCGTTTGAAACATTTGTCTCCCTACGGGACAACAATATGATTTTCTTCGAAAAAGAAACGTATCTGCTGAGAGATGATAACAAATATTTGCTACTTCGGATGTACTCTGGTGGTCTGTCTGGTAGTCTGTCCGTCTGCGAAACACGTGAACAGTTGCCAGTACATCGTAAAATGTCTCCATTAATGGCCATTGACTTATTCGAGAAGTTTCGGTTCTGTGAAAGGTCGTACGGTGCTTGCAGACTTGCTAAAGCGGGCCCCCGCGCGGGATTTCAAAACAAAACGCGCATTTTTTCAGCCTTATCTTATCTATCGAAATATTTATCTTTTCTATCAAAGCCACCGACAGAATTTTGTTCCAATAAAAAAAGAGAAAGGGTCTTCATTCAGGACAACACATGTTCTTTGTCATACACTCGCCCTGTGCACTCTGCGCCGCCGTCGCCACCGTCGGCAACGGTCACTCCTCCCTCATATCTTATCACTTTCTTTCCGTCGCTTTTCGTCAAAAAAAACTTGATAGCTGTTGCAGCGGTCATTCGTGCCTTCTGTCCGTTTTGAAGCCCACCTCAATCCCTTTTCTTATTTTCCTCTCACATTCTCTTCATTTTTCGCTCTAATTATGAGGCCAGTATTGGGAGGAGAAAATACGAAAAAGCCTCTGTTTTTCTTGTGCCTATCGGCAGAGACGCCGAATTTAAAAGTAAGTAAACACTTTTGTTCGTATCGGTCACATGGTTTCCCAGGGCCGCGGCGGCCTCTGCCGGGTGTCCCATTTTCTGTTCGTCTCTTTCCGCACACTTTGCTCTGTTCACTCTTTCGTCTTCGTCATCTAATTTTGAAGTTTTCAGTCTTTGACGAATGCATTGGGAAAATATGAAAGCGACGTTGCATCTTGAAGACGGATCCACTTTCGTGGGCTCCATTTTCGGAGCCACGAAAAGTGTCGTCGGAGAAATCGGTAATGAATTTAGTCCATATTCTTCTAAAACTTATAGTATGTTTCAGTTTTCCAAACCGGAATGGTAGGATACGTTGAATCACTCACCGATCCGTCGTACGCCAAACAACTGCTGACGCTGACCTATCCGCTGATCGGCAATTATGGAGTCCCTTCGACCGAACTGCTCGATAAATTCGGACTGCCGGCTGAATTCGAGAGCGAACGCGTTTGGCCAGCTGCTTTGATCGTCGAGAAATTGTGCAGCGAAGGCGAACACAGTCATTGGCAGGCAGTGCAGTCCCTGTCCGAATGGCTTCGCAAGGCCGATGTTCCGTGTCTCTCGGGCATCGATGTCCGTCAACTAGTCAAGAAGATTCGCGAGACTGGATCGATGAAGGCGAAACTCGTGATTGAATCAGACAGTTCCGCCTCATTCGACTATGTCGACGTGAATGCCTCCAACCTCGTCGATTTCGTCTCCCGGAAGAAACCAATCACTTTTGGAGAGGGAGAGCAGACTATTCTGGCAGTGGACTGCGGACTCAAGAACAATCAAATCAGATGTCTGGCCAAACGCGGTTTCAAAGTGAAGGTCGTGCCCTGGAATCATCCGATTGACGTTGAAAGAGACTACGACGGACTGTTCCTTTCAAACGGACCGGGAGATCCGGAAGTCTGCAGTGCTCTCGTCGATAGGGTGGCCAAAGTGATTGCACGTGGAGACAAACCAGTTTTTGGAATCTGTCTGGGTCATCAGATCATTTCCAGAGCCATCGGAGCAAAAACGTATAAACTAAAGTAGGTTGGATCCTAAAAAAATAGAAAACATGGTTTTATTATCAGGTACGGAAACCGCGGCCACAATCAGCCGTGCACACACTACGCAACCGGCCGCTGCTACATCACTTCGCAGAACCACGGATACGCCGTCGACACCAGCACACTTCCTGCCGATTGGAAGCCACTTTTTACAAATGAAAATGACAAAACGAACGAGGGAATCGTGCACTCCTCGAAACCTTTCTTCAGTGTTCAGTTCCATCCAGAACACACCGCGGGACCGACTGATTGCGAGTTCCTCTTCGACGTTTTCGCCGATTCTGTTCGTCAGGCGGCGAGTGGCGTCTTTGTTAAGTTAGTTTCTTCAAAATGTGTGTCTTCACAAACAAAATATCTGCAGTGTTGATCAAGAGCTCACTCGAACCATGAAGTTCGAGCCAATTTATAAGGCAAAAGAGCAGCGCAAAGTTCTCGTTCTTGGCTCTGGAGGTCTCACGATTGGACAAGCCGGAGAGTTCGACTACTCGGGAGCTCAAGCACTGAAGGCGCTGAGAGAAGAAGGCATACGGACCGTGCTGATCAACCCCAACATTGCGACAGTTCAAACTTCCAAGGGATTCGCTGACTTCACCTACTTTCTGCCTATCACAAAAGAATACGTGACAGATGTAAGATAGATAAATTGGAAGTTCCATGTCAACAACCAGATAAAATTGACAGGTTATCAAGAAGGAAAGACCGACGGGAATCCTGTGTACATTCGGAGGACAGACTGCCCTGAACTGTGCCATTGACCTGTACAAGGATGGCATTTTCGAGCAGTACGACGTTCAAGTACTTGGAACACAGATCACGACGATCATGAAGACAGAGGATAGAGATCTGTTCAACCAGGAAATGTCTGCGGTCGGAGAGAAAGTCGCCCCGAGCAAGGCGGCAACGACTATGGAAGGAGCCATCGAAGCCGCCGAAGAGCTTGGATATCCAGTGCTCGTCCGTGCTGCCTACGCACTCGGAGGACTCGGATCTGGATTTGCGAACAGTAGAGAGGAACTTGTTGCAATCGCTCAGCAAGCGCTCGCACATTCGAATCAAGTTCTGGTTGACAAGAGTCTGAAAGGATGGAAGGAGCTGGAGTACGAGGTTGTGAGGGATGCGTACGACAACTGCATCACTGTGTGCAACATGGAGAACGTGGATCCGTTGGGAATTCACACTGGTGAAAGTGTGGTCGTCGCGCCGTCGCAAACTCTCTCCGACAGAGAGTACAATGCTCTGCGCACGTGTGCCATCAAGGTTATCAGACATTTGGGAATCATCGGAGAGTGCAACATCCAGTACGCAGTTGATCCGAATTCTCTGACTGTGAGTTCTCACTTCTCTCCAGTTAATCATCTTTCTTTCCAGTACTACATCATCGAAGTGAATGCCCGTCTCTCCCGATCGTCTGCACTCGCATCCAAAGCCACCGGATATCCATTGGCTTACGTGGCTGCTAAATTGGCTCTTGGACAACATCTTCCAGTCATCAGAAACAGTGTCACCGGAACAACAACAGCTTGCTTCGAACCGAGTCTTGACTATTGCGTTGTGAAGATTCCCCGTTGGGATCTCGGAAAGTTCGCAAGAGTGAGCACGCAAATCGGAAGCTCAATGAAGTCAGTCGGAGAAGTGATGGGCATCGGAAGATGCTTCGAAGAAGCCCTTCAGAAGGCGTTGCGAATGGTGTCTGACCACGCGGATGGCTTCTCCCCGTACACTTTCAGTCGACCGCCAACTGCCGATGACCTGGAGAAACCGACCGACAAACGGATATTCGCTTTGGCCAGAGGAATGTACTATGGAGATTTCGATGTGGAGAAGGCGCATCAGTTGACTGCCATCGACAAGTGGTTCTTGTTCCGAATGCAGAATATCGTGGACATTTATCATCGCTTGGAGAAGGAGAACGTTAATTCGGTGTCAGCAGAACTACTGTTGGAAGCGAAACAAGCTGGATTCTCGGATCGACAGATTGCCAAAAAGATCGGAAGCAACGAGTACACAGTTCGGGAAGCTCGCTTCGCAAAAGGAATCACTCCGTGCGTGAAGCAGATCGACACTGTCGCTGGAGAGTGGCCTGCCCAGACCAACTACCTTTACACCACGTTCAATGGAGTTGAGAATGACGTCCCGTTCAACATAAAGAATGCTGTGATGGTTCTCGGATCGGGTGTTTACCGCATCGGATCATCTGTCGAATTCGATTCGTCGTGTGTCGGATGTATTCGGGAGCTGAAGGCATTGGGATACTCAACGATCACTGTCAACTGCAATCCGGAGACTGTGTCCACTGACTACGACATCTGCGATCGCTTGTACTTCGAGGAAATTTCGTTCGAAACCGTTCTTGATGTGTATCATTTGGAACAGCCTAAAGGAATTATTCTGGCCTTCGGAGGACAAGCACCGAACAACATTGCAATGGGTTTGAGCAGAGCGCAAGTGAAGATCTTCGGAACGTCGCCGAACGACATTGACAACGCGGAAGATCGATTCAAGTTCTCTAGAAAGCTGGAATCACTGAAAATCAGCCAGCCGCAGTGGAAAAAGAGTGAGAATATGGAGGACGCTAAAACGTTCTGCGCTCAAGTCGGGTATCCGTGCCTCATCCGTCCTTCCTACGTCCTCTCCGGAGCAGCGATGAACGTGGCTCACAATCCAGAAGATCTTGAAGTATTCCTCAAGCAAGCGGCAGTTGTCGCCAAAGAACATCCGGTTGTCGTCAGCAAATTCATCAGCGAGGCGAAGGAACTCGATGTGGATGCAGTTGCGATGGACGGAAAACTGGTTGTGATGGCTGTCAGTGAGCACGTGGAAAATGCGGGAGTTCACTCGGGAGACGCGACTCTGGTCACTCCCGCACAAGACATGAACAAGCTTACTTTGGATCGAATCAAGGATATCACTCTGAGAATTGCGGAAGCATTCAATGTGAACGGACCATTCAATATGCAGCTCATCGCCAAAAATAACGAGCTGAAAGTGATCGAATGCAACCTCCGTGTCTCTCGATCTTTCCCATTCGTCTCTAAAACTCTCGATTACGATTTCGTGGCTCTCGCTACTCGTGCCATGATGGCCGAAGACAACGCTGCCATCCGAGCCACTATCAAGCCGGCGGCGACGCTTTTGAAGGGAAAAGGAAGAGTTGGAGTGAAAGTTCCGCAGTTCTCCTTCTCTAGACTGGCTGGAGCTGATGTGATGTTGGGAGTCGAGATGGCTTCGACTGGAGAAGTCGCATGTTTCGGAAAAGACAGATACGAGGCGTACTTGAAGTCACTGCTCTCTACAGGATTTGTCGTTCCGAAAAAGAACATATTTATTTCGATCGGAGGATATCACGTAAAGGACGAGATGCTTCCATCGGTTGAAATTCTTCAAAAGCTTGGATTCGATATGTACGGATCGAAGGGAACTGCCGACTATTTCCATTCGAAGGGAATCGACGTGAAGCCTGTCGATTGGCCGTTCGAAGAAGGATCTTCCGATGAAAAGACTTCCAGCGGCACCCGGTCCGTTGTGGAATTCCTGGAGAACAAAGAGTTCCACTTGGTCATCAATCTTCCGATCCGTGGCGCCGGTGCCTACAGAGTGTCCGCCTTCCGTACCCACGGATACAAAACACGTCGTATGGCTATTGACAACGGAATTCCTCTGATCACTGACATCAAGTGTGCCAAGATCTTCATTCAAGCTCTCAAAGTGGTAGGCCGCCGCCCTGCAATGAATTCGCTCGTCGATTGCGTCAGCTCGAGGAATCTGAAACGTCTCCCCGGGATGGTGGACGTGCACGTTCATGTCCGTGAGCCGGGAGCTACTCACAAAGAAGACTGGGTGACATGCTCCAGAGCTGCTCTCGCTGGAGGAGTTACCACTATTCTCGCAATGCCGAACACTACCCCTCCACTCGTTGACACGGACTCCTTCTACGAGACGGAGAATCTCGCATCAGCCAAGTCGGTCGTCGACTATGCTCTCTACATCGGCGCAACACCAAACAACTCCAAGTTTGCCGCCGAGTTTGCTGACAAGGCTGCCGGTTTAAAAATGTACTTGAACGAGACATTCAGCACTCTGAAGATGGACAACATCTCCGATTGGACCAAGGTCAGCGATCAATTCAACTTATTTTGAAACAGTGTCCTCTTTCAGCACTTTGCCGCCTTTCCTGAAAACCGTCCGATCGTGTGCCACGCCGAAAAACAGACTCTCGCTGCCGTTCTCTGTGTCGCTCAGATGGCCAACCGCGCTGTTCACATTTGCCACGTGGCCACTGCAGACGAAATCAATCTGATCAAAGATGCGAAGCTGAAAGGATGGAAAGTCACCTGCGAAGTGTGCCCACATCACCTGTTCCTGACTGAAGAGGACCTTCCGGAAGGAATCAGAGAAGTCCGCCCGAGACTTGTCAAACCAGAGGACCGTACCGCTCTGTGGGAAAACATGGAATACATCGACTGCTTCGCCACTGATCATGCTCCGCACACCTGGGCCGAAAAATGCGGAGAGAACGGAAAGATCCCCCCAGGATTCCCTGGAGTAGAGTACATGCTGCCGCTTCTTCTCACTGCTGTTCACGAAGGAAAACTCACAATGAAGTGATCACTGAACGAATTTCTTAGAAAAAGTAATGATGCGTTTCAGAGATTTGACTGATCGAATGTCCGTCAACCCGAGAAAGATCTTCAGTCTGCCGCAACAAGACAATACTTACATTGAAGTTGACCTGAACGAAGAGTGGACAATCCCAGAGAAAGGAGGCGAGAGCAAAGCCGGATGGACGCCGTTCGCTGGAAGAAAGGTCTTCGGAAAAGTTCACAACGTCGTCATCCGCGGAGAAGAAGCATTCGTCGACGGAAGAGTGGGTTCAGATTGTGAATGAGCATATTGCAATCATTTGGTGTTCAGATTGTGGCCACAGCCGGATTCGGAAAGAACCTTCGCCTGTACCCATACTCTACCCATCACATTGGAGATGGAGACTTCGAGCCAGCGCTTGAGTCGATTCCAAGGCAGATGACTGAAAGCTCTTCCGATGAGCAGAGTCCGCTGCACACGCCACCAAGAGCACACACTCCGATCGCTTTCCCGGGAGAGCTTCTCGCGAAGAACTGCATAAGTGTAAAGAATCTGGACAAGGGACAAATCAACCGCATTTTCGAGCTTGCCGATCGTTACAAGCATGACGTGGAAAGGAGTCACCCGTTGAATCACATTCTCAGCGGAAAACTGCTAGTGAACCTGTTCTACGAAGTGTCCACCCGCACTTCTTGCTCATTCGCGGCAGCCATGCAGCGTCTCGGAGGATCCGTCATTTCAGTTGACAGTCAGACGTCTTCCGTTCAGAAGGGAGAAACTCTGGAGGATACCGTTCAGATCCTCGGAAGTTACGGAGACATTGTTGTGCTGAGAAGCAAGGAGAATGGAGCTGCGGAGAGAGCTGCAAGAGTGTGCGCCCAGCCAGTGATCAACGGAGGAGACGGTACTGGAGAGCATCCGACGCAGGCACTCCTGGATGTGTATACGATCAGACAAGAAATGGGAACTGTCAACGGACTGACTATTGCTCTCGTGGGAGACCTCAAGAACGGAAGAACTGTGCATTCGCTGGCTAAGCTGCTCTGCCTTTACAAGGTATTCTTGAATTTCCGATTTCTCAACCATCTCTCGTTTTCAGGACATCACTTTGCATTACATTGCCCCGACCGAAGAACTTGAAATGCCAAAGGAAGTCGTCGATTACGTATCTTCCAAGTCTAACTTCGTGCAGAGAACGTTCCGTGATTTGGCGGAAGGAATCAACCACGTCGACGTCGTTTACGTGACCCGTATTCAGAAGGAAAGATTCGCTTTTCCGGTAGGCATTTTGACTGTGGATATTCATCAACGCTTTTTTCAGGATGCCTACGAAAAGGTGAAGGGAAGCTATGTAATCAATGCGAAACTGCTCAACGAGGCTGCCAGAGAGGAGGATCAGCCTCCGAACATCCTGGTCCCGAACCGTTCTCTTCCGATCGTCATGCATCCGCTGCCACGTGTCGACGAGATTGCTGTCGAGTTGGACCACGACGAAAGAGCCGCCTACTTCCGGCAGGCACGCAACGGAATGTTCGTTCGCATGTCCATTCTTTCACTTCTTCTCGGCAGAGGACATCTCTAAACTGGCTTTTGCCCACCATTCCGTGTTGTTTGTTCATATAGCACCAGAATCGCGCTCTTTTTCAAAACTTCAGTAATATTTTTTTTTTCTGTTAAAATAATCAAATCATGTTATCGCAATAATTCTCGGAACCCAGATTAATTTACTTTTCATTGTTTTTCTTATTTTTCATGTTGTTCTTCGCTTACAATTTATTTTTCATTTTTCCTGAATAAAACTGCTCCGTCCCGATGTCGTTTTTCTCAATCGATCGAAATGGCTGAACTTTCCTCGTTCGTTTTCTAGGTCAAAAGACACACCGCCAATCGAGTGAATAATTGAAATCAATTGGAAGAAATGCTTTCCGAGCGAAGATTTCGAGATGAAATCAAACTTTTTGTGGAGAAAATGAACGAGCAGAAAGTGAATTGGACGATTTGTGAGGTAATTGCAAATTTCATGTTTTAAACTTGTCACAAAACGTTGAGGGAGGGAAATACGCGAGAGAATCCCATCTGGAGACCCTTCCGGACAGACGCATCGTCACCGCAGAAGCCCACATTCTGTACAATCCGACGTACAAAGTGCCCGTTCTCTGGTTCAATTACTTCGAAAACAGTCCGTTTTTCCATCTCATTCCATCCGAATCCTCCCGTTTCAGACGGATCTCCTCTCCCATTCTCTTCGGTCGTCCGCGATGTTCTCAAGATTCCGGAGCAAGAGTCGGAAGCCTCGATTCGGACGAGAATATCACACTTTGAACACCCGTATTTGGGTTGGTCGCTGGATTTGATTAGGATAATGACATATTTAAGGCGTTCTGTACTTTAATATCCACCCATGCAACACATCGAGCATTATGAAAGAGCTGAACACTGACGAATCGTTCCTTCCTCCGTGAGTTTCGTTGCATTTGCTTGTTGATCCCAATCCCAATAATTTCAGATGGTTCAGTGTCTACGGACAACAGATTCATTTACCGATTCCGCAATTTCCTCCAAGCGAATCATTGTTAGAAATGTATAAGCATTGAAATATCTAATTTAAAACAATCTATTTAGTTTCCCGTAAAATTATTATTATCGCAGTTCATCACAACTTTTTCTTCTCCGGATTACTGATAGGCCTGTTGTTGGCGGGAGGATCGAAGTAATCCAATACTTTTAGACAGAAGATGATGATGATGGCGACGGTGATGTAGAGAATGCCGAAGCCAATTCCTTGGTCACAGTACCTGCAAGAACTTTTACATTAGGACATTCAAGATGCTAACCAATAACCCTTTGAGTCGCGCAATTCTGCCGGGTGATGGCGATTCGAAAGCGTTCTGATAGACGAGTTGGGTCCGTTCGGCTACATCCGGCCAGTTGTACATTTTGGAGACCGCTTCGTGTTTCTTCACCGGATCCATTAGCCTTCCCCTTTCTCGTTTCTGAATTGTCTTCAGAAGAGCATCCACGAGATCTGAAAGTTAAATTGGAACGGTAGAACTTCAGAATTTCGAAGTAGACCATCAGGCACGGGTTCTTCCAATGAGATCAACTCATCGACCGGAAGGACCTCGGGCACTCCGCCGACTCGCGTGGACACGACGTGCAGTCCGCAACTGGCCGCTTCGACGATACTCATGCAGAACGCCTCCGTCAGTGAAGTGTTGATGAATATCTGTCCTTGATTGAGAACTTCTTTCACTTGGTTGTGCGGAAGCATTCCGAGCATCACGACTCTTTCGTGGAGCTTATGCTTTTCGCGCATTTCTTCCAAGTCTATCCGCTTGGGACCGTCTCCACCGATTATGAATCGAACGGTTTTGTGATGGGAGCACACCTGATAACGCGAACAAATGGAACTTTGAACTTTCAGAATGGAATCACTTACTTTCGGAATGATCTCGCAGAGTAAATCAGCTCCCTTCCGATACACAAGTCGTCCGAGAAAGATGATGGTGGTGGGATTACTGTGGAACTGCTTCGGATCCGGAGTGAACAGCGGCGTTTCGATGGCATTCGGAATCGTTGAGACTTTGTTCGGATCCAGTTTTCCACGTAGCACAGTGTTTTCTTTGCTGGTGTAGGAGACACAGATGATCTGATCCACGTTGATAAGCGAGTACTGCAGGACGAGTGTGTTTGTGAGAATAGCTGAAGCGTCCGCGAATCCGAAGAGGGAGTGGTCAGTGAACACTGTACGGAGACCCATCAGTCCGCCAATCATGAGGGATTCGTGCGCGAGAGCAGAAAAGGTCTGAAAAAGAAAAAGGGTAACTGATGATAAATAGGAGAAGAAACAAACTGAATGTCCGTGGATGATTTGCACATTCTCACGAAGAAAGACTTTTCGGAGCCATGGCATGCTCCCGACGATTGATGAAAGTGTTGCTCCGTTGTAGGCGACTATGAATGGCAAGTAATAGACCTGAATATCGTTTTTATTGACGAAGATTTACGTTATGAATTCTCACTTTCAACCCATTTGAGAGGAATCTGACACCTTTTCTGTCTCCGTAACTGTGTGTTATCACAATTACACGATGTCCCAAATCAATCAAACATTGCGCCAAAAAGTATATGTGAGTTTCCACGCCACCAGCATTCGGGCAGAAGAAGTCTGAGACGAGCCTGAAGAGAGAAAATAATGAATCATTTTTTGGTGGCTCGAATACTTACGCGATGCTGTACGGACCAATAGAAGGCTTCTTCATGAATGTTTACGTGTAAAAAACGTGTTATTGATTTAATATTGATATTTTCACTACGTTATCAGTTCTATTAATTGTGAAAACGAAGCACAAAAAAGGTAAAAGAACCATGTCAGCACAAGTGTGCAAGTGCGCTCTACTGCACTCACTCAAAAACGACTTTTGAGCAATGAGCCAGTTTTAGAAAACTCCATACTGAGCTGTTTTTTATTCTATTTACATTTTTTCCGTTTGAGAACTCTATACGAAATTTTTTACTTTCAGATCACAAACAGCCGAAATGACGCCGCCTATTACGGCTTTTAAAAAGACGGGTAAACAAGGGGACGCTCCGCTGACTGCGGTTGTCGTTTTAGATATCTTCGATCAACGATTCGCACCGCTTCAAGAGTCTTATCCATGTTTTGTAAGTTGTTCAATTTGATGACTGAAAATTCAAAACGATTGCGAAACTCTCCAGGCGTTTATTCCTGTTTGCAACGTTCCTGCGATAAGCTACACCTTGACGTGGCTTATGCGAACCGAAGTGAAGCACGTCATGTTGGTGGTCAGCGGATTGAATGCAAAACACGCTGATAACGTTCAAAAGTGAGTTATTAGGAACGTATACCTGTACATATGACGTCGTTTTCAGTGAATGGAAGTTCGCGTTCGAACAAATTTCGGTCGTCGTTTGCGACGGAGGCATGAGTGTCGGAGACTGCATTCGAGAAGTGAATAATCGAGAATTGATTACTGGTGGAACCGTCTAGGGGAGAAATATTATTTTTTTGTTCGTATTCAGGAGATTTCTTGTTGGTCTGGAATCCAACCGCAGTGACTTCTTCTACTCTCTCACGCCAAATCGCCGATTTCCGGAAAAGACGGAGAGAAAGCGCAGACAACGTGATGACGATGGTATTCAGTAATCGAGAGAATTCGGAGAAGTTTGTGATCGGTGTGCATTCGACAAGCAACAAATTAATGTTGTATCCGGGCGCCAATTCGCTCAATCAATTGAAAGTTGACAAGAAGGACTTTTACGAGGGAATCGACATCCGGAGAGATGTTACGGGCACTGGAATTGCATTGTGCAGTCGTCTCATCGCCACGCAGTTCAGTGATAATTTCGATTTTGTTTGTATCGATGATGTTATCCGGGAGATTCTTTCCAAAGACGACATCCTCGGGATGGCCATCCACGTGGACGTGATGTCACCGGAAGAACGCGCTTTTTTCGCCTAGTGAGTGTTTTCTGTTAACTTTTTGGGAAAAAGTATTTTTTCAGCGATTTCGAATCGCTCGTCACCTTGAATTCCCTCCTCATGTCCCGCTGGTTCTATCCACTCGTCCCGGAAACTGCAGATCTTTCAAGATTTTTCACCTCAAATCCGAATAATTTATACTTGGAAGAAGACAGTGAAAAGCTGACAATCAAAGCGAAGAATTGGATGTAAGCATTTATTCATGTCGCTTATTACTCAGGATTTACAGTTTGAGCCATGACTCGTTCATCGTTTCTCTCGGCTTGAAAACAGTCGTCGCTCGGAATGCGGTCATCAACTCGTCGAGCATCGGAAGGCACACTTCAATCGGTGATAACAGCTCCATTAGTTTCAGTTTGATCGGAAATGACTGCAAAATCGGATCAAATTGCATTATCGAAAGCTCGTTCATTGGAGACAACGTGACTATTCCGGATGGAACCATTGTGCAGACACGTTCAGTTGTTGGAAATGGAGTCGTTTATCCGAAAGAGTATCCACACATTCCGGATTCCGCAGTGCTCCGAGAGCCGCTCAGTGATGATCAATTCGACCGAATCTCATCACAGAAGGTCGGCTCCGTCTACTCGGCAAAAATGAAAAACAATGCACCGTTCTGGACACGATCGGTCAACGGAAAAACCCTTTTCGCCACCGAGGAGGCTGAATCCGATGATTCTGAAGAAGAAGAAGAAGGTGACGGTGATGGTTTTGAAGACGGAGTGGATGATTCCACGAGGCAATTCCACGATGAAGTATTCGAAAGCATGCAGAAAATTCTCGAATCAGAAGATCAAGTGGTAAAGGACATTGACAGAGTGCCCGTCTAAATTGTTAAATTACAGATGAGAAATCTTATTCTGGAGATCAATTCCTCAAAGTTGGCCTGTAATGTCACAATGGATGACGTGGCACGCAATGTGTTCGCGGCGTTTATGAAGCTGAGAGGCAATGAAAAACTGGGAACAATGTTCAGTCTGGTGCTGAAGTGGAGACCATTATTCCTGAATTATTACAAATCAACCGAAGAGACTCTCGCGGCGAAGTCACCGGAGCAGCGGAGAATGGAGTTGGCGTCGAAGCAGAAGTGCCAGATTCAGATGCTCCTGGCCATCGAGGACAAATTCGAGACGCAGCAGTTGGAAGCGGCGGCGGCCGTCAAGTTAGTGCATTTCCTGTACGATAGAGCCGATGTTCTGGACGAGGAGGCGATTCTGAAATGGGCGGAGACGATCGCCGACGATTCGGATTTGAAAGAGGAAATGCGAAAAATTGTGGACTGGTTACAGCAGTCAGATGAAGAAGAGTCCGATGAAGAATAGATATAGATCACAATTATTAGCTTCTGTTTCTTATTTGTTTTGTTTACTTGTGTCTTTTTTCGTTAGCCGGGTTTCGTTCTGATTCAAAAGGTGACCCATTTTAAGTATTGCTGCCTCCCCAAAAATATATTGAATTCCCCTCTTTTTGTTATTTATAATTATTGTTATGAAACGAAACAAGCAAACTATTATCAGCTGAACTAATTTATATTTTTTACCATTCTGGGTTGGAATGCACCCTTGGAAATATCTGAATCGTGCAAATAAGACATTTCTCTTGACTTCATTTTCAGATGTCATTCAATCTCGCATTTTTTAACGGGGATGTTCGGAGGGACAGAAAACAAGAAGCGATGCTTAGAAGCATGGTTTATACCGACTGCGAGTTTTGATGAAAACGGAAATTTTCAGAACGAAAGAGATAACTTTCTCAACAGACTCCAGGAAATGGAACGGAAAAGGGAGAAGGACGAAAAAGAGGACAAGTCGGCGAAAAAGATTCAGAAGCTGTGGAGAGGATATCTGAATCGTCAAGCGTGTCGGCGTGAGATCAGATCACAATTCGACACGTTGACCGAGAATCAGAGAGAGCGAACTGGAGAAGAAGTGAGGCAGATGGCCCAGTTGCTCATCAATTTCTACAAGAGCCACAAAGACGAGGAGAGGCTCGTTATGACTTTGGTGGAATTGGTCAAGGCCAGAACGGTGAATCGGTCATTCGAACAGAGTATTTCCAATACGGCACGGCTTCTTCTCGCACGAAACTGCGTGAAATTCTTGAATCAGGCGACGGAGAATACCATCTTCTTCCATATTTTTAGGTGATCTTTAAAAATATTTATGCAGTAGGTGAAACGCTTTCTTTTCAGATTCTTGGAAGACTATGTCATCTGTCAGCAAGCATTGTTTGAGGCAGCTTCCAAATTAGGTCTTTTCGAAGCGGAACTTCATCTATTTGAAGCGCTTGTTGGGAAGAGAGAGGGAACTATTCAGAAGGCTGCGATCAACCCGAGACATCTTCAGTTGCTCTCTAGAATTTTTGACTCTTTCGTGGTAAAACAAAACCTCCATCGTCTTCAGAATGAAAGAGACTTACAGAATCCATCCAAGAAGGCAGAAGCCTCCCTCAAAGTGGCAGACCGTCTTCTGAAGGCTCTGTGCGTCACTCTTCCCGATGACATTTTCACCAATTATATCATTCACTTCATAAGAGATCACATCAAGCCAAACAAGTGAGCGTCTGCCTAATTTCATGTTTACATTTAACTGTTCAGTCCGAACTACGGAGTGTTCTTGGAAGCAAATAGACTGGCCGACACAACCAAGTGGAATGTGGGTCCGGAGCTTCTGGAGAGCTGCTCCGTCCGTTTGCGCTCCATTTTCCTCTCTCAAATTGAACACGTGGATCGTTCCTCCGAACAGACCCTCGATCAGTTCTTCGTATCTCTGGCCTTCTTTCTCGAAAAGAACAGATCGAAAAAGTATCCGATCAAGGAAGATTTCACGCAAAATGGGAAATTGCGAAATGCTGCCAATAATTACCTGGAGGATTACTGTCAAAGTATTCTCACTTCGGACACGTTCCGGAGATCTGCCTGTACATATGGTGAGGGCAATCGAAAAATGTCTCTGGATCGGTTAGCCTTTCAGCAAACCTGCCGTCCATCGATGTTAACGTGATCGTTCTGTTGCGCCAACACTTCTCCCAACTTCTTGACACTCTCGCCGCTTCGAACGTTTTTGTAGAAGCGTGAGTGAACATCTCACAAAGTGCAAAAAGAGCTTTTCGTATTCAGACTGTATATGTTTATCGCGACTCATTCGAAGAACGGAGATTTCGATGCGAACGACGGCAGTGCTCCGTCCTCCTCTGCACTTATTCTCTTCTGTAATTGCCTCAACAAAAGAGTCTCTTCTGTCGCCGATTCGGACTTTGTTCCTTCGCACATCTTTTCCGACTTTGATAGAGTCGTCGAGTTCCTCAGAGACGTCTCCATCAAACTGATCAACCTGATGTTCCCGGGCATCGTAAACAGGGGAGACGCAATCAACGCGGAATTGGTATCTCACTGACAGAGCATAATACAACTATTATGAATAGTTTCAGAGTTGGAGCGAAGTCACTCAATCTGTATTCTCAATTCTTGTATCTATCTATCAAAAGGACACTAGAATCAAGTACTTCCCCGAAGGATTCTGGACGAATCACGGAAGAGAGGTAACCTTCCTTTATTTTCACGTCTTTATTTTTCATTTGTAATCTTTTAGGTGCTCTCCATTCCGGACGGTGACCGAATCGCACGAAGACGTCTACGAAACGGAAGGCTGCAATTAGGGTGCGTGTTTCAGCTGATCTCAATAAAAAATCGCATTTTTCAGAGGGACTGTTGACAATGAGTTCGTGACGCGTCTGGCTCGAATTTACGAATCGGACAGCGACGATTCGGATGATTCAGATAGCGAAGGCCGCTCGATCGATCTTCCGGTTGGTCTGAGACGTGCGATCTGTGTGATGAAGAACATTCCGTTCATCGTCCCATTCATGGACCGCGTCTCGCTTTTCAATCGTCTTCTGATCCAGGAACGCGAAAAATATTACGGTGGAAGGCCTTCGGACTTCGGTTCTCATTCATTGACTGTTCGGAGGGACAATGTATACATGGATGCATTTGAACAGTTTGCACCCCGGGTGACAAATGATAGAGGTGCTTGTATTCCTTCTCTTTGAAGTTTGAATTGTATTCTTTCAGTTCGAGAACTGAAAGCCCAGATTAGGGTGAAAATGGTGAATTGGACCGGAAATAATGAATCCGGAATCGACGGCGGAGGCATCTTCCGAGAGTTCATGAGCGAAATAATGAAGACATCGTTCAATGTCGATCAGGGATTCTTCACGCAGACAGAGAGCAGGCTCATCTATCCGAATCCGACTGCTCCATTCCTTCTCGGAGCCGACGCAATGCAGCATTACCAATTCATTGGGCGAATGCTCGGAAAGCTGATTTACGAACGACAGCTCCAGGAAGTTCGGTTCGCTGAATTCTTCATTGCTCAGCTTTTCGAATCGGATAAAAACAAAGATATCGACTTGCAGCACATGAAGAGTTTCGATCCTCTCATCTTCAAGTTTGTTCACTTCAATCCTTTATTTCCTCATTCATTTTCTTACAGACACTTGAAAGATTTGCTGAAGCTAAATGAACACGAACTGGAAGAGCTTCAACTCGATTTCAGTGTGGTCACAAGTGATATGGGTCTCGTCAGAGTATGTTTTTCACAGTTATCTATTTTGAAAACGGTTATCTTACAGAATGTCAATCTGAAACCAAATGGATCTAAATTCCGGGTCAATGTAGATAATGTACATGAATATGTTCGATTGTATGTCAACCATCACATCAAGTTGAGAGTAAGTGCAACATCCGGGATGAGCGGTGCGCAAGCCCTTTTTCAGATCGCTCCGATGGTTGATGCTCTGCGAAGAGGCATCAGCGAAGTGATCAACGTGGAGTGGATGCGAATGTTCGCACCGCACGAGCTCCAGATTCTGATTGCCGGCACCGAGGGCGTCTTTTCCATCAAGGAAATGCGTAAATACTGCGAATTGCGGTTCCAGCAGAGCAGTCAGGCGGACGACGACTTCGCTGAAATGTTCTGGGATGTCATAGACAAACTTTCTCCCGAAGACAAAAGAGCTCTCCTCAAGTTCGTCCTCGTCTGCTCTTTCACTCATTACAAACGTGTATTTCAGATTTGTAACCGGATGCTCTCGTCCTCCAATCGACGGATTCAGGAGCATTTATCCACGAATGGGAATCCTCGTGGTACTCATTCGGCTCATTTCATTCCCATAAATGCGTTTTAATTCAGGTCACGTCAACCGATGACACTCTGCCGACAAGTGCCACGTGCATGAACATGCTTACCATTCCCAAATATTCTAATCGCTCCAAACTCGAAGAGAAGCTTCGTTATGCCATTAATTCGGGAGCCGGTTTTGAACTCTCTTAATTTATTTCATTTAAATTTTTTTTATTTGCCCGATTGTATGTGAATGTATTTACCGTTCGTTCGGAGTAAACGATGAACAGTGTTTAAATTTTTATTAAAACTAGCAATAACAAGATAAAAAGAGTTTAAAAAAATTGAACCCAAAGCAGCATGGGATAACAATCGAAGAAATTTTCGATGTGGCCCGTGAGTATGTACATAAAACCGTGTCAGCAAGGGAAAAGGACACTTTCAGACAGAATCACAATAAAAGCTGGAATATATCACAGGAAATGGAAGCATGAGTGAAGCAATAAGCTCGTAGAATAACTTAGTTTTGTATCAAATTGACTATAAACTCTTCATATGACGTCTTCGCCGCGTATTTCTTTGCGAATTCGATGATGGCCTGTTTCCTTCGGGTATGTGGGAATGTATAACTGAAAAAGGATACTTATGGAAGAGAATATGCCCAATTTGGCGTACTTTTCTATTTCCGCCACATCTCGCCGCGCACTATTCAGAATGGTATTTCGGACGAATGACGGAAGATTACAGAGTGAAACGACGACGCCGTCGACCAGAGGACCTGCTTCTCCGAATCTGGAACTTTGCGAAATTGCAGTGTCTTCTTCTCTCTTCGAGCCTACCTGTTAATGGTCCCTCGAGTGCGAACCTGCACAATTCCTGGCTCAACGAGATGAATGAATAGAATGTGGTGGGCGACTTGCGAGTTGGCAGCCAACGCCGGCTCAGTTCCGATTTTAGGCGCGGCCAGATGATCACTTCCGTCGTCACAGGAGCCAATCAACTCATCTGAAATGTTCTCTTACAACCTCTCGTCGATGTTTCTTATTACTCACAAACTGGGAAGTTGGACATATCCTCCGGCCTCTCTAGCCAAACGAGCATTATCCGGAGAGCGCCCGTCCTTCTGCCGACTGAATTGTGACCCATACTGGATCCGCCACCTGCGTACGGTCGGAAATCGCGATCACTCAGGTTGGACGGCGATTTCTCTCCAGCCCTCCGAGCACTCAGCATTCCACTGTTATCTGTGTGGGAGCTGTCGAACGATCTGTCATCAGACAACATAGATCGGTTGTTGGAGCCTCCTAAAAAAAGTCATTTGCTTTCTTTTTCCGTTTGAGCTGCTTACTTCTAGAACTGCTTGCAGGAGAAGTTATACTCTGCTTGAACATTCGTACACTTCGCTCCGTTGGCATCAAGAATGCGAGCTCCGAATTGCTGCCTTGCTCGTCGCACCACCAGAGAGCGTGCTGGATTCCGTCGACGATGTAGTGGTCAACGCCTTCTGACTCGGTGAATTGTTCTGTAAAATATTCCAATTAATCACTTTTCCACTCTAATTTCCCACTTCTTTCACTCGAATAAGCAGTTGACCAGTGCCCTGTCCATGTGTCATGCATCCCAATTTCGATTCCCTCGCCGAGATTTGCCAGGAACATACAGAAATCGGAGCATGTGTTTTGTACATTCAACTGCAAAATATCCCAGTGTTAACGAAGTAGTAGAAGACAGAAACTGACCGCATTTTCCAGAATATCCACGGCATTTCTTTGTCCCTCTTTCACGTAGAAAACATGGGCGGTGAGCTGATTTCTAGCTGGCGCACAGTCGACGGTCTCGTGCAGATCACGATAGAACTTATCACTGAAAAATTGCATTTCGAATTAAGAGTGCTTCAAAGTATGCTCACCTTATTGAACTGTCGAGCAGAACAATCTCCGATCCGTAAATTTTATCATTGATCAAGCCGAAATCGTAGAGCATCATACGAATGGAGCTGCATTTGTCAACTTCTTTCAGCGGAGTCACGAGCCTTTCTTCAGGAAGCATCCGTTCGAAAACGTTGTGTCTCCTCGCTTCGTCGAAAAATGATCGCCCATTCTGTGAATTCTGCTGTTTCATCTCCTCAGCGATCGCTTCTGTTTCTGCTGTTGATTCAAGATTCCGGAATGCACTGTCTCTGAAAAAATGTACGTTGCTGTATATGCTTCGTAAAGAGGGATCTTACAGTCGGCAGGAGTTTTTGTAGAATTCGGGCGGTATGTCAAACTGTTCTCCAATCGACTTCTGTGGTTGCGTGCGGTTTGGAGTATTTCCACCTGGAAACTCTGGAAGCGATTAACAAACCGTCGGAAAAGGAGGTCAACGAAACGAGAACAGACCACCACCAAACACAAAAACAAATGATACCATCAGAGTCGTAGAACGTTTGTTCTTCGTCCGATTCTTCGAAAAACACAGGTTGTGAGACAAACGGAGGAGTTGCCACACCGGTGAGAATGGAACCAACAGCCACCAGGGAAGGAACCGCAGCCGGAGCAGTGCGGGTGGTTACTGCAGAAGGGGAAAACACAGTGACATAGGAAAAGAAAGGGGATGATCACCTTTTGAGGCATTCGACGCCTTCTGGTGTGGGACCGATGTAGCCGAGGAGACAGACAGTTTTGTAGAGGAATAGGACGAAACTGGCGGGTTAGGTGAGGAACATGAAACACAAATATGTAGAAAAAGAACGGACATGCAACAGGCACCAGATGTAAGTGAACAGATAAAAGAATAACGAATGTCAACTACTAACCATCAAAGCCGTCAACAGTTGAAACTGCGGACATTGGGGTCATGGGCGGCATTCCGACGTCCGGTTGATAATTAATTGGCTTCGGCCGCAGTTTCGCGATTCCCGTGTTCGCTCCTTGCATCGGTGATCGACGGACGTAGAGAACGGTTGCACTGTCTGAAACAATCAGTAAGCGGACAGTTTGAGTTTAACCCAGTCAACTTGATTGAATATCTTCGATATGAGATGCCTCATGCAAAGAGAGCAAAGTGTCTCCGTTGACGAGGACGTGCAAGAACTTCGTAGTGTTTATCCTTTCCGGACCGTACTTGTGAAGCAGTCTTCGTTCGTCCTTAAGAGGTCCTGGCTTCCGTCCGACCACACAAAAGAGTGTGTACATGAGTGCTTCAGCCGCATCCAAAACTCGCTGACTGGCTGCTTTCGGTTTTGCGTTGTCTCCACGTGTTTTTTGGCCGTCCGGGCTCTAGAAACGAAATGCGAATAAGAATGTGAGAACTATTGAATACTCACCGATTTGCTGCCCGTCACTCCTAATTGAATGACATCACAAACGGTTCCGAGCACTCCGACGCATTCTGCGAGCAATGGAGAAGCCGTCAGCCAAACAGAAACTGCATTGTATGCTGCGACAACCTGCGAATATTCACGTCAATCAACAGTAAGGATGTTGATGACATACTGTTGAATGGAGATCTTTTGAGTGCATTGGTGGTGGTTTGTTCAGCTGTTGTTCGATGAATCGACAGAGAGAAGCAATAACGAGAGTGCCAGTTGACACATCCACTGAAACATCGGAGAAGGGGATGAAATCATGCTCAGGACAAGACTAAACGTACTGTTATTGAACAAAACTGTGTGATGAACGTGAGAAATGCAGTTGAGAACATCTATTATTGCGAGGGCGGTAGAATGATCGATTGTCTCGATTCGGCCGAACTTGTCACAAATAGCAGAGAGGACTCCTCGAACGATCGACGCGCACAGTCCTTTCTCTGGCTGTCCGGAACTGCTGGCTGTTGTCGATATCCTGATCATTTCTTTCGTCTGTTCCTCATTGAGTCCGAGATCGAATTGACAACTCTCTTCAACGAGAACAGCACAAAGAGCAAGGGAAATGTGCAGATTTGAGGGATCTGTTTCGTTTCGAACACTGAACATCAATGTCTTGAAGATCCTTGACCGGAGATGTAAATAAGTGGCAGCGTTAGACTTGAGACCAGCGGCTTCGGCGATTTCTGGAATTCCCGTATATTACTTTTTTTCGTTTTCTCAGCAAAACTCACGTGGAATTTTGCTCATTCCGAATGTAGTCGGCCAGCAAATAACAGAGGACAGAGCCCGTAGACATGCTCTCCGCACTTCTACTTCCGAAATAGATGGATGCAAACGGAGTTTTGAACTTTCGATCATGACGATATCAAGTGCGAACAGGAAGTGCGGCAGCAGACTTTCGATTCCAGGAAGGCCTAATCGGAAGAGATTCCGACCGTAGTAGAAGAGTGTGCACATCATCACTCGCTCCTTTTCAACTAAAGTTTGAAATAAAGTTGAGTAGAAGTTAGCGAGCTGCGCATTTGGAATTTTTTCAGCTGACGACTTCGAGGTAATGATTCTGATGAGTGAGGCCAGGGCTGCAGCTCTTCCAGCAGTCACCCCGTCCACCATGTGATAGTCTTCCGCGTGCTTCTGGGAATGTCCACCAGCAGTGCTTGTTGAGCTCATTACGTCTGATTCGCCCGCTACGGAAGAGCATGAACTACCTGAAAGTGTAAGTTTGCAACTGCGAAATGGAACACCAGGTGGACGTACCAACACTTTTCCGTCTTCCAACCGCATTGTGAGATAAAGCAGTACTGTCGGATCGACCCATCATTGGGCTCATAGCGTCCGGAATGTCGTCCAAATCAACCGAGTGCAGCGAGAGTCCTGATATCACATCTGCAAAAAAAAACGCATTGAATTGAATTGAATTCATTAGTGTGTTCCTAATTCCTATATTCCTCTAATACCCACACAGATCCGCATTCTGAAGTGCCAAAAAGGGTTGTGATCCCCATAATGGATTGCACGTGTTGGACACAGCTAGCTCATACAACAACGATCGTTTCGAGCCTCCAGTCTTTATTAGAAGTGGCTGTTTATCACGACGTCGTCCGGGACACGAACGGCCCCGATTACGACGGGAACCCGCCGTAGATGAGGTGGACGAAATCAGAGCGTCTGACTAAATTCAGAATCAGAAAAATTGTTTCGCAATGGACGGAGGAAGACGAAAGAGAACGAGCGAGAGGTGCCAGGCAACAATGCAAAACGGCACAATAGGTAACCTCGGAGTCGATTTCGCAATCTGATGGATTCAATGCATCAGATGCGAGTGCCGGAGCGCAATGAACCGACCGGGAGGCAACTAATCTTCTCTTTTTCTCGCTCCCATATTTCCCGAATCGAAACGTTTCTCTCGTCAAACTCGTTTTCGTCTCGCTCTCTATACCTCGTCAACTACCGTAATATCTCTCACTAATTTTCTGTACATATAAATAAGCGCAAACAAGCGGGTACTGACAGAGACATAGAGAGTGAACAGAACCCCGAAGTGGGAAAACTTTCACGCCTACGCTATAAGAGGTTGCATCTGCAGAAGAAAGCGTGTCAATTAGATAACGTCTGAGAGATTTATGTGAACGAGAAGGTAAAACTAAAACAGAAAAGGCTGTTTTAGTGCCATTTCGAAACGATTCTCATGTTTCCTGCCTTCTTCTGATACACTTTTATGTCGTTCGACTGAAAATCTACGAGACAAACAAAAAAGACGTCGCGTCCCCAAACGGAGAAGCAGAGATGTTGTGACAAGGGAACGAAAACGGAGGAATAATGACAGAGACAACTGCATTTACGCGGACAGGGGCTCTAGCGAAAGAGCAAACTTTGTGAGAAGCTTAATGCGACGATCGATTTCAAAACGAAGGATCACTGGGGAGGAAATCCGTGAGCGCCTTCTCCTCACAAAATCCCTCAGCTTAACAGAAAATCTCACCCGTTAGCAGCAGTTTGAAAAGTACTATTTCCAGGAAGAATTCAATTTCAGAACAATCGGCTAGCGATGTGAATAACCGTAACTAGACAGAAGAGAGTGTTCGGTGAGCGGAAACACGATTATAGTCGGCGTGACCAGGAGAGAGAACCTCGCTTCGGCCAGTACTTGCCACGGCGCATCACAAGAAGAAGGCATTGAATACCGGGCATTATGATGCGAAACGGTAAGTGCTACTCCGAATTGAACTCAAGTAAACGACGACCTGTCATGGTTTGACGGTCTCCCGCATAGTAATATGTTTTCAGTTTTTTCTACGAACATAATACTTACCTGGCGGCTGCTCAGAGCAGTTAGCCGATAGGTATACGGTCTCTCGCTTCTCTTTTCTCACTCAAAGCAGAGTTGTCTTCCATTTCTCGGCTGCCACAAATCGAACAAATGAACAAACAATACGGTGGCGGGCCGACCGAATCCCGACGGTTGTGACATGTTTGTGGCTCGCTGCGGAGCACGTCTCTACTCTCCCTCGCCCGACCTCGTTTACCGCATGTGACAAGCGCGACTTTTCGAGCTTATCCAGAATGGGAAAGGCGAATGGAAGCCATCCTAATCTGATTATGCATTACGTTGTGTAATGGGTAATGGACATGCTTACAACACCCATCCGACATGGAGTTGGCTTAGAAAACACGAATTGGATATTGCGTAGGCAGAACATTAAGACGAACTTGTACCACTCCTCGACATTCGGAATAGCCATCTTTTCCAGGTTGAACTGTTTGGGTCAATGTTCATTTTGAGCAAACAGGAAAATGTTGGTGGTTGGATTTTGGGATTTAAATGAGGAAAAGCTGGGAGTCCCCGAATCAATATCAGCTATAAAAATAGTGAAAGCAGTATGCAGCCAAGGCACAATACCACCATTGTTTGCTGTTCAACCATTTTATGTTCATTCCCGAATTGGCTTCTTTTGCACCTCTCTCACTCTACTTCCTCCTCCCGCTCTCTGTTTTGCATGAATGATACACCTCCAACAGAAACTGATATTCAGAATGAGTAGTATCGGCTCTTCTTTGTTTGGGAATCGCCTTACTTTCGGTCTGTCCACAAAGTATTGACGGACCGGAGGAAGAGCGGACGGTAAACACGTGGAATATCTCGACTAACTGTGATTGTGATCCTCTGTCTCGCGAAGGAACAACAATTTAGAAGTGAATCGTGCAACCACTTCATTCAGTTGCACCGAAAACGGTTGTTGTTGTTGTGGTGGCGGAAGATGAAGATGAGCATGCTGATGTAGTTGATGAGAAGACGGCGAGGAACTGGAGGGTTGCATGGCGGGGAGCATTTACAACATCTGGAGATCACCAACAGTTTTGCACGAGAAAAAGATAGTCACGCACAATCAAAAATGTAAGACGGGATTAAAAACGGGGAAGTGGGGGCTTAGAACATCTTGAGAGGGATCTGAGATGATCGAAACTCAAATCAACGATTAAGAGGTAAAGTGAGGAGATAAGCACGGAATGAAGTGCTGCTGCTGTAGGAGCGGGCGCCGAAGAAGCACTTCTATGTGCCGCGGCGGCCGGGAAAGTCGCGAACCGTTTGCGAACGTCCCGCCTTGCTTCCTCCGCCGCCGCACCGTCCAGTTTGTTTTCTTCTGCTGCCTTCCACACCCATCAAAGGTCAATAACCGATTGAAAAACGATGATGCGTTTGAAGAAGGACGTCTTCTTTTCTCGGATAATTGAGGGGCACATACGGATCCTTTGGTGGAGTGGCGCAAAAGGGAAAACACACTCAGGAGGCAGACATTCTCGACGACCGAAACCCGCCTTACGGCGAGGTAATTAGAAGTATTAGTGCTGCAGGTTCATCCGGTACACAAAGGAAAATGAATAAGAAGGGGGCCGTCCGTTTCATTGGATGGATGATCCATCCTCAATCCGACGAGGGAAACTTTTCCTACTCTCAGCGGGTGGTCACTGTTTGATCACTTCACAATCGGACGCGATTAAAAACGACCTTGGTGAAGGGACGGCGCGGATAAACTCGAGTCTAAAAAAGAGGCGACGGATTGGAAGAGAGCGAGACTGTGATTATGCATTGTGACGACGTACTTGGCCAACTTTCCAATTTCTTCTCAATATTCGGTCAGTCCGTTCAAGAAATACCACTTGACTTCGGATTGCGAGGAATAAAAAGTGGAAATTGGAATGAATCCACTAGCTGAGACTATCCTGTGAATCCCCTACTATTCCAGGATCATTCGATCAGCAATTCCCTTCTAACATTACCTTTGAAGTCGTAGCTGAGCCTTTGCTCATTGAGCGAAAGCGCCTGCTGACGCCGTCGGCGCGGTGGTGCAATGGGAGTAATTGTGACTGACGGGAAGGGCGCGTCGATGAACACACGTTGGAAATATAGGTGCTAGTGTCCGTCGATCTTCGTGATACGCATCTCGTGCGCCTGACGACGATTCTCCTCTTCTCTCTCGCGCCTCTATCTGTTCATCCACTTATTTGTAACGAAACCAGTTGTGTCAATAAAATTAAAACATTCGCAAATGTCGCTTCTACGATTTAGACACAATTTCAGAAAACGAAGGCGTCCGAGTGGAGATGACAAGTGAGAAATTGATGAAATTGGAGAAACGGACGGGCAAACACTGATCGATGCGACGACGGTCGTGTTTGTTCAAACCAACCAGTCAAGCTTATCACACACTTATCACCGACCGACGCTTTAATACATACGAATTGTGTGACTCTTCAGAGGAAAATACGAAAATTGATGCGAATCGAATCAAAGGCAAGTCAGCAGATATAGGCTCTTTTAGAGTTAATAAAACGCCAGATCATTCAGAAATGTAACCGAAAACGTACCGTCTGAAACACCGTCGTTGTTCTTTTTGGCCAGCGTCGTATGCTCGTTCCCAGTCACTCGAGAGCTGTTTGATGGAGAATTCACAATCGAAAAGAGCCAATCTCCGACCAAATTGAGCATTCGGTCCGTTTTCGGTCGCTTGTGTCCGACAAACGGCGTGACTGCTTGATTGGCTGAAAGCACAGATTTCACGTTTCCATGATTGAAAAAAGGAGTTCTAACCTTGAAGGAAATTCGTCGCGAAGCGCTGAGCAGATTTGTACGGAGAAACAGAGTCGACGATGGAATGGCTGTGCTGCGAAGATCCGATCACTCCGGACGTTCTTCCCATTTTCATTTCACTCGGGTGAATGCCTATAAACGAATGCGTTTTAATGAGAAAAAGAACAAGCAAAAAACCTGCTCGGAGGGTTGCATCATGGCCAGCTGGAGCGGACACTGTCGAGTTGGCCACGAGCTGGCTGATGCTCTCTCCGACCTCTTGCTGAGTGGATGTCTCCGGAGGTGGTGCTGATTTATAAGTGAGCGTAGAGGAGGTCTGTTCCGAATATCGACTTTGATTCGAGATGTTCACGGAATCTGTTACAGAAACTGTTCGGTTGGAGACTTCCCTGTTGCGATCTGAAAACAAGATGCTCATTTAACACTTACTGAAATATGGAAATACCATTGGTGGAGATCATTCTCTGGTCCCTTCTGATATCACTGGAAATCGTGTGAGTTGAGGAAGCACCCGTGGCCGTTGAGGTCTTTCCGGATGCCGTCGATCCAGAAGACATTGAAACTGGTCCCTGGATATCATCAACGATGATTTGCCCGATTGCACCGCCCAATGAAACATATCGGGAAGAGTCGCCTGTGGTAGAAGTGGTACGCTGGAAATAAAGGACGGTAAGATTAGGGATACTTGTGTCTGAAGGATACATTTGTGTGATGACTGTGGGAATCGGTGAGAACTGAAGCTGTCCTCGTACTTCCTCCCGTCTTTCCTTCAGTTTGATAGTTCCGAAGATCGATCGAAACACGGGAATCACCTGTACAGATAGGCAATAGAACGCATAATTTCTGCTTAGCGAGCCTACCGTAAAACAAGTCGATCATTCTTTGCAAAGTAACGGCGGCCAAGAAAAAGGAGACTCCTTGAGCAGCTGACGAGCTTGCTAACTCAAAATTGGTTGTAGAAATGCTTGAAGATGTGCGACGAGGTGAGTTTCCATCTGAATACAGTGACACTCGAGCAACAGGGAACAGAACTCACTCAAACAGACATTCCTCGTGGCGTCGTGATTGAGAATCTTTGCAGGAGAATCAAAGAGACAGAGCATGTTGAACCAGGTACGGTAGAGAAGATGAACCTCGTTTTCGTCCTCATCAGATGACATTGGTACGTTGCCAAATGGAATCACGCTCTCATCAGCTAAAAGTAGTGAATTATTCATCTTCCCATTTTTGTATATAAACTCACTTATATCAATTTTCAGATAGTCGTCTCCGTACATTTTGCGACAAACCAGAACTGACAGCCCGAGAATCTTCTTAGCCCAGCATTCGATGATCGGAACCTGCACACATAGGGTAATTCCTGCCTCTACTTTGCAAAACACTCACATTATGTCTCCACCGCCTGGCGAGTGTTGCCAGTGAACTCCAGTAAGTTAACGAAGGAATATGTTCGTTGATCACGGCATTCAACCACATTTCGAAAAGAGTGTCTGCCACACGGACACACGTCCGAGTACCCATTTCTTCTGTTGCATTTGGCTCGCAGAGCAGAATGTCAGCACTGTTCAGGAGAAAACTGAGTGATCTAGCCCACACCTAAATTATTGTTTTTTACAGGTCCATGTTTAAATTATGGGTTTTCACTTCATCTTGGTACTTTCTGCTCGAATTTTTTGTGAGATGCTTCAATGAATCCAACACCATTTCGATCTCAATTGCTTGTCGTTCGATGGCCAATCCACGTGGAACCTGAGTGCCCGATGATGACGTCAGAGTGGCATCCAGATCATCGTCGCGTCGGCAGAAAACCCAGCGAAGGGCATCAATTATGTTTCTGAAAACGAATCAGGTGAATAATGAAAGGATCAAAATTTCACCTGAAGTATTTCTCGGGGGTTGCGAGCAAAGGAGTAGGGATATTGTTGTCCGGAGTGTCACAAAGAGCACGGAGCCAATGGAGGTAGATCCGAACGGCGCCTAAATGTATCAATTTATAGGTGAAAAAAGAGCATGAATGAGGGTCTCACGTTCAGATGGGATAACATCGGACTAATATAAAAAAAGCCGTTCTGAATGCGATGGAAGCATTTATACTGGCTGAAAGAGTCGCTTCGGTCTAAGCACTACCCATATTCTTTCTACGACTACTAATCTCTATTCTCTGTGTTTTCTCACCTTTGAGTGTTTCATATTCCCTGCTGGTTGCAAACGATAATGTGAGCGAGTGATTGAGCACTTGCATGCACCATTTGAGGTGCTCTTCATTGTTCAACCGAATCGATCCTCCGTTTTCATCCGCATCCGATCGTGTCAGTTCGTACAAAAGCGCCGATGCGACGGACTGTGACGTAGCTCTGAAAGGAATGGTGACGAACAGAAGAAAGAGACGAGTGCTTACTTGGTAAACAAGTCAAGAATGCTCGAGTTGAGGTCCGAGAACTCGAGAGCCGGCCATTCTTCGTACATATCGCCGCATAAACGGACCTGGAAATGATCAACTAACTAGTCGAAAAGGAAGGGTTTCCGATTTGCTAAAACGGATTCAAGGTTGTTTTGGCGGAGGTTCGATCAGATAAGTCCTTCCGTTCGATGACCGACAGACAGCAATCAATCAGTAAAAGGCGTGAGAAATAATTCAGAAAATGCTGGAATTCAACAGAACTTGGCACATTAGCAGTGACAACGAAACGGTATCCATTAAGAGGAAAATAGGCCATTCAGATTGTTGAAAACTTTGTCAAAGGTGACGAATATATCGGTGTACTTGTGACCGCGCGACCGCGGCGCAAGACACTCGTCGGGGAGAGAATGGACAAAAACGTACGTCAGCGCGACCGTTTACTAACTTTCGGCACTGGGCAATGGCTGGCCGAAGCCCTTTATCAACCGAAGAGAGAGAGAGATGGATCTAGACGGAGAAAAGGACAACGTGTAAGTGAAAACGGAACCTTCCATGGTTGGGTCGATTCTGCATTTAAAGATTTTACAATGCTTTTTCGATGTACGCAGCAAAATAGCGAGAAGCGGATTGAATAAACCGAGAGAAACAGAACTTTATTTATTTTATCTGTTGTCCGAGAGTACTATGCAGACAAATCGCCGAAAAGTCTAGTCCGCAAAAGTTAGGCCACGCGCGGGAGTCGCAAATTTTTTTGGCTTGCGAAGAGACCAAACATTGCACAAATAGTCCGAAAATAATCAAAATATAGAATACCTCAGCGTTCTTCTTTCGTCGTTTTTTTCCGCCGCCGTCAGAAGCCCCGTCTACCTCGCTGTCGGTCGCCGTCGTGGAAGATGAGATGACTCCTTCGGTCAGTGTGGGCAGCTCCTTCAAAATGTTCACAATCTGCTCCATTTTTTGCCTCCGACACCGCGATGCTGCGATTCATGTTTACTTTTTGGTTGGTCTCGAGCGTGCGAAACGATTCGAGCTGTGAGGAAAACGGAGAGCAATGTTACCGAGCCAGCGACAAGACTATTGAAAATATAAATTCAAACTTCCCGCAGTACTCTTTTTCGAGAAACATGTGCAAAAGTACGCGAAATTCTAAAAACAAAAGACTTGATTCTTCTACTATTTTTACCATTTCTCAGCTGGAATCCGAAAAGAAAACTAGAAGTTACCAAAAACAATGCATTTGTCATTAAAAGTACCTTGTTGTAGCCAGAAAGTAGCGAAAACTTTCGCATCGTTGTCCGAAACATTTCAAATTCATTCAGATGGTCTGAAAGCGAAGGATTTTCAGATAATATGGAGATGGAACAGTACGATGAGTCAGTCGGGAGCGAGAGGGAAAAGAGGAATAGAAGGAAAGATAAGCATGGAGCGGAGAGGTTCGGAAGGTGATAAAACGAGGGAGAGAAGAGCAGGCAATGGGCCGTTTGAGTCATTCTCATTTCTGGTCGAGGCACACTTGTTTGTTCTCTTCCATTCTAGTTCTCTTTAATTGGATACGTTTCTTTGTAGACCTGAACTATTGATGTCTCTGAATGAAATTCTGAAAGATGAAGAGAGGAAGAGAGCGGCGGCAACAATATTCACTTGTGGAGCCACACTTTTCGATTAAAAAAAACATCGGCGCCTTTGGACAATAAAACATCGTCCTTTTGTGAAACATTTGGGAAAGGGGCGTACGAGAGTTGCTGCTGCCACGTCGACAGATTCGATTAGCAAGGAATTATCAGAGAAGGCCATAGACGGTCACATTAGCATTCCCGCAGAGGTCACTTTGAGTGCACGAAGCGACGGAGACGTTCAATGTTTGTGGCGCCATTTTTTGCAGAACTCTTCAAACTATTGTGCTGTGAATACGTGTATTGGCATTTACGAAATGAATAAAAATGAGAGGTCGACGAAAGAAATAACTTCGGAGTGAAGATCACGGGAATACTTTTGCAACTGTTTCCCTCTTTTCTTCTGAAAGAGTTTTCATCCTGCAAAAGTGAAAAATGGCACCATGATAGCTTCTTTTCAGAAGTGTTTGAGCGCAGTGTTCCTGATGATAAACTTTATCCAAAAAGAAGCTGTAAACCAAATCTGGACTTATGTTGTTCAATCAGTCCTATCTGAAAACGCACGTCCATTAGTTCAGGGATTCCGATTCGGCACTAGGATAAGGAAGTGTTCCGACGACTTATATTTCATTGCATTTCAATAGAGACCCAGTTCCAAATGAAACGTCTTTCCCAAACATTTCAACCATTTCATTTGACTCTTTTTCATGAAAAGGCGGCAAAAAGCGGGGATACGTCTGCGATAAATGGTGCGATAAGCGGGCAGGTGCGGCCGCTTCCAGTTCCAGTGCCATCCTTCTCCCCAGATCGAATCTTCCCGCGGCCGGCGCATTCCCTTCGTACACGTAATCCTCTCGAGCTCATCCGCCGCGTTCTCGGTCGTTCCGTTTCTCCTACGTTACCAGTTTGCATGCGGATTTGTTCCACTCGTTCTCCTCCTCAAATAACACCTGCTTTTGCCTCCTCCGCCTTCTTGAGTTTCGACCGGTTCGATTAATCGCCCCGTGAACCTCTTCTCAGTTTGGCGCAAAAGTGACCGTTGACTGCCAAACGGGCGAAGTGTGTTGTGGTTGGTCAAAGTGATGGAACTGTGAGATTGTGAATAGCCTTCTCCGCCGACTTCTTAGAGGACAAGTGTTGCAAAAGTATTATGCGTGGCCGATTTCTGATCGCCGCTTCTTCTTGACTTTTCAAATTCGAATGGCACTTCACGATTAGCAATTCAATCACGTCTCCGTCTCCCTCTCCCGCTCCTGAGGATGTGGCCACGGCTTTTGCTTCTTCTTCTTCTTCTTCTTCCTTTCCTCATTCCCTGCTGATTCTGCCACAACAAAAACGGCGCATTTTCCACTTGGCTGATAAGCACTTCTCACTTTATCCGCCACATGCGTGAACTTGTAAATACATGAACTGGTTTATATCCCTCGGCTATATAGTTCGTGGTTTTAATATCTGGAACCACCTTCATGCGCTTCCTTTTTCCGTCCTTCATCCTACACCATCCTACACTCCGTTTCCACTCGAGACCGTCTCAAATGTTTGCTCTGGATGCGTTCACTTTCGTTTCCAACTGGTCGTTTTCCCAAAAACGGAATCCTCTGATTGGCCACAATTCGGCGGTCACATCGGACCACCGTTTCGCAACGTTTCTCCTGAACCGGTCGATCTGTTTTTTGTGCGTCGTTTCGGCCACTCTCTCTCTCTCTTTCCTTTTTCGAATAGCTTGCCTCCTCCCGTCTCTCATCTGATTCTGCTTTTTCTTTTTATTCTTTTGCGCTTTCCGCCTAATGATGACCGTAAAACATACGGTTTCCGGCTAAACTACAACCAATTACTGACTCGTCTCAAAAGGACAATTCTGCGTCATAAAGTTGCCACAATCCCCCGTCTCCCCATTAGCTACCGTATTCCCCCTCCCCTTCTGCCATGTCACGCTGACCCCTCACATTCCAAACTCATCAGTTTCCAACCGCTCATTACTCTTCTTACTGTCATAAGTAACCGGTATTTCTATTCCCGTTTCGACTAGAATAAAAGTGTTTCCGGGCCAGGTTTCGTGTGAAATATGATGGCCGAAACATCGTGACCGCCACTCGAATGATCGTATGTTGTCAGCCCTGCCTCCCCCTCCGATCCTTCCAGCAGCCACTCCATTCTCTTCCCACTTTCGTTTTTTCTTTAAACCGTTGCCTACCACTACTATACCACCGTACACTCATTGCTTTTGCCCAATTCTCATTATAAACACGCAATTCGTTTTCCTTCTCTTTCGTTTTCTCCCTAATTCGTTGCGTAATCCGAGTTCAAGTTTTGCCCCATAAACTGCCGTACTTTCCGTCTCATTAGTCTCTTTTGGGAGTGGCCATTTGTGGCCGCCCACGTCCTTTTCCCGGCTATTCACACCCTCACTTTCCAGAGACAACATGTCCGTCCGCCACGTCTTCCTTCTCCTCATGGCACTCGGAATACGGACGGCACTGTCCGCAGTGCTTCTCACCTTTCCGCAAGCACGCTTCCCGCCTCTCGATTACCTTCCCGACGACCTGACACTTCCGCCGTGCGGAGTGCCAAAACCTACAAAACGTTCGTTTCAATGTAGAGATTCTTTCAATAATTCATTTATTTTCCAGCGTTCTACACCACTTTCCACATCGGAGACACGTACAATATCACGTGGATCACTCCGTCCACAACCAACGTAACACCTCTTTTCGTTTGTGAATCGCCCGTTTTGTGTTCAGAGCACTTACCGTATCCGTCTCGTCGATTCGGACGGTTTGACAGTCGAGCAATTCCCGGGGATCATTCCGGAAGGAGACAATGCGCAGTCCGTCAAGTTGAGATCTCCTTGCGAGCAGTGCATGTTGCTCGTCGAGCAAGTCATGTCGAATGGAAAAGTGTTCCGCTCTTGCGCAGATGTTAATGTGATTCGTGGCATCGGTAAACTTTTCTTCTCCCTCTTTTTTTGCAAATATGATCGCTTCAGTTAGGGATGATGAACAGTGCAGTCAACGGGGAAGTCTGATGAATTCCACGTGTCAATGTGAAAGCGGATTCACTGGAAGTCAATGTCAGCATTACGGTAACTTCTAAGCAATAGCCATTCTTTCGCATTTAATGTTTAGCACACTGTGAAACCAGCGATGACTGTCTGAACGGAGGCGTTTGTGTCGATCAGCTGGACGCTCTCATCAGAAAGAGATGCTTCTGTTCTTACGGATTCTTCGGCCAAAGATGCGATCAGAGTGAGTCGCTTTTTAACGTTCAAAACTCGTTGTCTCTTTTCAGAATTCAACTCTCAGAATGACAATTGTTTCGCGTACGACGAACTGGTCGCTGCTGACCTTCCCCTCTACGGAATGTTCAATCCAAGATGCTACCAAAGATACGATCTGTCAGCTGAAGACCGTATTTATTCACGAAGAGTGGAGGAGGAAGTCGAAGTTATCATGGACTTTGCCACCAAATCTTGGCTTTCATTGGGCTGGCGACCGACTGAGCTCAGCACTTCCTGCCGCCTGTTCCGATCCTCGAGGACACGCGTGGAAGATCGAACGAAATGGACGAGGTCGCGCGGAGAGAGTTCGTCGCAAACCGGTCATGCCGAAGAACAATGGATACAGTAGGAAGCCAAGCGGTCCCTCATAAAACGTACTTCGTTTTCAGCCGAACTCGGTCTCCGGTCCTCCCTTCATCCGATGGACTGTGTCGACATGATCACGGCGTCCGTTCGGAAAGGCCGTCTCTTTATTTCAGACTTCTACTCTCGCGACCGTTCGACGCCTTTGGAGGACTACTGGTACGACGGAGAAATGAGTTTGTCGGCTGCGTACGGAACACAATCCGCAGGGCGTACTGTAGTTATGTTCCGAAGGGAACTCAGAGGTAATAGTGGAATCAGTTCTGATCTGGCCAACGATTGAATTCAGAATTCGAGCCCACCGACCATCCACTGGGACCGAACGAGATTCTTGTTGTGTGGGCGAAGGCAGAGAGTGCGATGGCAAACAGCTTCCACGGATCGAACAGAGGGGTGGAGAAGTTGAAACTGGCGGAGACCGTCAATGTGACCTTCGAGCAGCCGACGCCCCCGAACGAAATCGCATTCGGAGTGAAGAACGTTGTGCACGACCGTCTCGAGCCGATGACGAAGACGACTGCCGCCACGAACGAACGTCCGGTTTCCCCGTCTACTTCTGCTCCAACCGTTCCCGCTCCAACTGCCCCCTCCACCTTCACTTCCACTTCTTCTCCTATCACTACCTCTTCTGAAAACTCTACCTCTTCTATTTCGAATTCTTTAATTCTTATTCTGTTGATTTTTCTTATTCTTTGATTCACACTGTTGTCTAAACCCTAATACCGGTATTTAGCTGAAGATGTAAATAATATTATCAGTCTGAAAAGTGCACGCAACCCCAGCCAGTCGATGCTAATTTTCAGAAAATGCCTTGTGTCTGAAAGGAACGCAAAACAGAGTGGATTCGTTCAAATCTGCCCGACGCTCGAGATTTTCACGAAAATACACTAGATAAAAACAAACAAGGGAGTTTGTAATATTTATTCTCTAAACAATCTAATTATGCTTCCAAACGTTCGCTGCTGAAGGCGGTAGAATCTGCTTTTTGTGCTTTATCAAATCGGCAGCCCGTTCAGCCATCATCATCACTGGCGCATTCAGATTTCCACTGACAATCGACGGCATCACACTAGCATCCACCACCTGCAACAGAATTAGCGTTACTTTTAGAGCACCTCTCCCCTCTCGCCTTTAGATTTTCTGTTCCGTAAACAGTCATCGACTCTGGATCAACCACTGCCATTCTGTCCGTTTTCGATCCCATTTTGCAAGTGCACGACGGATGATACGCGGACGCCGCCTTCTCCTTTACAAATCGATCGATATCCGCATCTGACTGTGTTTCCACTCCCGGAGCCAATTCCTTCCCTCGGAATTCATCGAATGCCTTCGAAGCAAACAGTTCCCGCGACACGCGGATACACTTGCGGAACTCCCGCCAATCCGCGTCTTCGTCCATGTAGTTCGGGTTGATTATCGGTGCTCTTCTCGGATCGTTCGCCTGTAGCATGACGTATCCTTTCGATTGGGACCGCATCGGACCAACGTGTACCTGGACAACACATTTATTTTTTATTCACTGTCAGAAGAACGAAGCTTCCTTACTTGATAACCGTGACAGGTACCACTGGTTCTTCCGTCGTCATGTACTGTTGACGGAAGGAAATGGAACTGGATGTCTGGGTGGCTGACAGACTGATCCGATCTTGCGAATCCGCCTGTTTCTAGATGAGAAGACGCGCCGAGTCCCGTCCTGTTCGTGAACCATTCCAGACCAATCTTGATCATGTTGTGAGGGAACTTCCAGGAGCTTTTATCGTACAGGGTGACTGGCTGAGTGCATTCCTGTTGTACATAGATCTCCAAATGATCCTGCAGATTCTGTCCCACTCCGGGTAGGTCGACAACTACTGGGATCTCGTGAGATCTCAAGTGGGCGGCTGGTCCCACTCCACTCAGCATCAGAATTTGCGGAGTGTTGATGGCTCCGCCAGACAGGATGACGTCTCCCTGACAGTAAACTTTCTCGCGACTGTACGAATCGATGCTGTCCGTCCCGACAAAGTTGAGTTTTCGAATGAACTCTATTCCGATCGCCCTGGTCTTGTCGAAGAGAACGCGCGTGCAAGTGATTCCGGATGAAGTGATGAGATTTGGACGACTTCTGATCGGATGCACGTACGCTTTCGAAGCACTCCATCTGCAAGTTATGAATTTCTTTTTTCGAAATGCTCGTTAGAGTACCGCTCTCCTTTGTGGATATTCATATCCATAGTGGATATTCCCTCCTGTTTCTCTCCGTTCATATCCTCCGTTTTCCCAATCGGATGCTCATCTCCAACTTTCAGCCAAGCCTTGTGCAGCGGATTATCCGCGTTTGCTCTGCTCACGTGCAACGGTCCGTTGTGTCCGCGGTACGCATCTGTTTCTCCAGTAGAATGCGAATATGTTTCCGCTTTTTTGAAATACGGAAGACAATTGGCATAATTCCATCCGACAGCTCCCTCTTTTTCCCACCGATCGTAGTCAAATGCGTGTCCTCGAACGTAGCACATCGCGTTCAACGTCGAACTGCCTCCCCACACTCTGAATTTGTGTTTGGTTCCGTTTCCACTCAATTTCCGATGAGTTCTCACCTTCCTCTCGGCCAATAGAATACTCTGTTTCCGAGGTTTTTCTGCGCCGTCGTGTGATAATGCCAATTGTACGTTTCCGAGCACAGATTGTACATAAGGGCGGCCGGCATGTGTATCCGCCAGTCCCATCGGTGGTCCACTGGTCCTGCTTCGATGAGAAGCACCCGATTCGATGGATCTTCTGTCAGTCTATTCGCTAAAAGTAATGCTGAGGTCTCTTCTAAATTACAACTTCCTATTCACCTAAAACACAGCCAGCACTTCCTGCGCCCACGATGATATGGGTCGGTTTAGTCTCGTGGACATCGGCTGAAAATGTGCCTTCTTGCATGGAGTCCCGCCAGTTGAAGAGCCGTTTCGAAGTGTGATGGAGCGACCGAACAGCACGGTTTTGCAGCATCTTTTAAATGAGTGGTGAAATGAGGGCTTGATAGGATGAAAAATATCAGAAAACAACTTGTACAATCTACGGTCACGCAGGCTAGAAGAAGAAAAACTTTATATCACAGAGTGCCACGAAAGGGACGCAATAAAAAGTGAGAAAGCACATTGAAAAGGCGAAAGGGAGAGGGCCCTTGAAAATAGATTAGGTATTGATATCCTTGACGGATATTTTACTATACATTGATGTTTATACACTAAACCGGTCAGCGACGGAAAAGAAGAAAATAGAGAAAAATGATAATATGAATTCAGGCCGAAAGCGAGAAAACGCATATGTTGTTGTGTGTAGATGAGACAGTTAATGACTTTGTGTCAATCACCTCTCCATCGAGAACCACGTACGATCCTTCGCTCAAGACATCAAGGGTCATCGTGGAAACTTCGAAATGCTGTACGGAATATATTTTTACATTGAAAACAATGAGACTAGCTACCTGGACGAACGGAAGATCCAAGTGAGTTTGTTTTTCGATCGCAAGTAGATATCTGGCAATGTCGACTCTCGTTTTGACGTCTTTCTTGAGGATGTATGAGAGATGGATCCGGTTGTCCTCTAGCTTGGCAGTCGGAGCAAAAGGGCCGTCGGCGGAAATGTGGGAGAGAGTGACCGCGTACACGTTGATGAAATCTTCTTCAATGGTCACCAACTCCTCTTCTGACTTTTCATCTTCATCGTGCAGAGTCCACCGTTCAAGTGGCACCGGTTTTTCCTCTGCATCATCCTCCAACGATAGCTTTTCTGCTTTCTCGCTCAATTCTTCAACCTGTAAATAAATCGGATCATTCAACGGTAACTCATTTTCTGTGAACAAACCCTCTGCTCCATAGTCTTTTCGTAAATACTGAACACATTTGACGACGGCTTGAAGCTCTTCGGTTTGTAAATCCGATACGTCAGTTTTCCCTTGTACGTTCGTAAGGCTGCAAGAGAAATCAACTGTATCGTTGAAGAACAAGCAACTCACCGAAACTCCGAATAAGTCCGCTCAAAGAGAACCGATGTGCTCCTAACGATCGCCTCCATTTCTCGCTTTCAATATCTGAATGCCCACTAGTTGGTGCCGGAAGTAGCTCGTCATTCACTCACCAATATCTGCCATGAGACCCCATCCGATCGAAAGGAAAGAAGCGTACGTTTGGCTGTCCGTTTTCACTGCATGCAATGCCACCGATTCTGCTTTTGCCGTCGCCGACGTCGAGATTTCCAGTGCTCGTTGCATCACAGCCTTTTCTTCCATTTTTGTCCCATATTTTGCCAACACCGAACACAAAAGTCCGTTCCCAGAGCCACTTGGAACGATTCCAATTGGAAGAGTAGGGAATATCCGGAAAGCGTCTTCTCGGCAAAGAATTCCATTTAGAGCCTCAAACACCAAGCCATCTCCTGACAGAATCAGCACTCCGTTGAACTTTCCGAGGTCAGTCTTTGTCATCAGGACATTTTTCGCATGATTAGGACCAGCTGCAAAGACTTTTTGAAACTACACAATGAAAAAATACTCACTTGTCACAACGACTTCATAGCGAATCAAGTTCTTGTCTAGTTTTGGGCCGACTGTGTGCGCAAATGTTTCCAAACTCTTTCCTCGTCCACTGTGCGGATTGATAAAGACAAGCAGGCTTCCTCGGCATGTCTCTGAAAATATTTTCTGATAAAACAAAAGAATTAAAACAGATTTTGTTGCCTATCTAAAACAAAAAATAAGACATGGCCGGGTGAGCGCTCTTTTCGCACATGGCCTAGAATTAACAAACGGCCTAACTTTGCATTGGAAAAATAAATTGGTCTTGGAAAAATTTGCCAATTTTGATAAAGTTTTTGGGAACAATTTACGTTTCGAGCATTTAAAATCTTTTCCTTTTTTTTCGAGCTCATATCAGTTAATGTATGACGCTCTCTCACACTTTTCACTTTTCGAGCTTCTTAAAATTTTTCACTTAAGTGAAAAACGAATGCATTAGCCCTTTTTTAGACTTGAAGTTAACTTTTCATAACTTCCAGTCAAAAAATCATCTAAAGTTCGCGCACTATGAATTTTTCCGCGTTCCGCGATGGCCCATTTTCGAAATGCGAATGAGCAGGCTCACCAGGTGGGGGCGGCTGTCTGGAGAGAATTACATCGGTGAGCTGCTGGTTCTCTTCGCTCGCGGATCGGCAGCAGCAACAGAGTGTTCCGCCCATCTCGATGCAGAAACACGAGCCCTGTATACTTCGAAATCTTTGTTTCTGATCGAATATCACACTAAATACAGTCAGCAGCAGAGAATAGTAGTTCTCGTAAATCGTAATTACTATAATGAACATGATTGTTGGTGGGTCTAAGGCACAATGTCGGCTGAGAGGGAGTTGGCGGGTAGGAGACACAGAAATGACACGGATGATATTTGCTCAGAAGTGAACTATACAGTAATTGAAGGAGAAGTCTAAGCGAGTTGGAAGCATGAGCATAAACGAAAAGAGGAATGTTGCTATGGTGCAAATGCGCTCTCATGACGAGCAAGCGGACCCCAAATGAAGAAAAGAAAGGCTACATATTTTGTATTAGCAAACAGTGAATGTTCCCGCTGGGTCAAAGTGATTTTGAAACATACTTACGAAAAGAATGAGCCGAAGGAAATGGGAGAAAGGATATTCTAAATGAACCAGCGGGAAATTATCACGTGAAAGGGAAACATGAATTGAAGAGGACGAATTGGAAGTGCAATTGGTCGCGTTAAAGTGGAGGAGGAGGGTGAGAACCAGTCTGTTTGGAGGAGAAAAAGGGGGGGGAGAAGTTGGCAGCAACCGATAAGACCAATTCCGGGAGTGGAGTAGAGTTTGATTGGAGTCCGAGAAAAGAGCAGTGGACAGAGCAAACACACTTTGAAAGTAGAGGTCGACGGAAATGTTTGGGCGGTCGAGCCGCTTGTAGACGCTACCGGAGCTTTGAAAAACGCGGAAGTGCAAAGGGCCACGTTTGGGGAGAGAAATAATGAATACGGGTTGGTGATTCCTGCTTTGCGCTTGTGCTTCGTATCAGTTGGAAGCGAGGAGAAGTCTGTTTTGAACAAAGTTAAACAATTCGGAGATCAATGATTTGTGTAGTCTTTGTGTATGTTCGAGTCGCAACTTTTCTGTTTCTGTTTGTACAGGAAAAGATGTTTGTGCCAACTACAAAAGTGAGGAAACTTCAGTCTTGCCGAAAAAATTAAATGCAACAAGGAAAGGTTAATCGAGTCAAAAAGGATTAATATCAGCAAAAACGTCATTTGTTGGCTTCCCTGCGCATCCGAATTCGACGATTTTGAAACCAAATCTTCACCTGAAAAATGTATACTTACCTAAAGAATACGATCATTCTCGAACTGACCTGGTACTCATCGAGACTGAGCATTCTTGCGAGTCTTTCTCGCTCCTCACATCCAACATACTGGCTTTGAGCAAAGTACATTTCGAGCAAATAGAGCTGCTCCACAGTGAAAGTGGTCCTCCGACGAGGCGGGCGTGCAGCGGAGGCAGTCTCCGGTTTGGCCATTGTCGTCGAACGCCGTTTTACAGAAATGTGTTCCATATTTATGTCCGATCATGTCGTCAAACATGCCGTTTATTAGGCCGCCTTCTCACTTTTTCCTCCGTTGAAATTACAGGTATACATAATGGAATCACACCTTTTCCCTCGTTTTATGACCACATTTCGACATTCTAATGGGCCTGTTCGGACGTCTCCGTTATATCAACAGGTAGGTATTACGGTAAATAAAAAACGAATGGAATAGATTATGTTCAGGTTGTGAGCTTCACAGATAACCATAGTTGCCACGGGCCGGGCCGGGCCGAAATTTCCAAAACTCCGGCCCGGCCTATATTTGAATTATTGATCGCATGAAGCCATTTTTTGTAGGATTAGGGGTTCTTTGCAAGCATCGAACATTGAAAAACAAATGTATTTCTCATAAAAAATTCATAATAGCAAAAAAACAAAGAAGAAACACTAAAACTTTAGTTCGAAAATTTCTTTTGTAATAACGAAAAAAAAATTTCCGCGAAAATTTGAATTCCCGCCTTTTGAACCGGGCCGACCGGGCCGGGCCGGGCCGGCACTTCACCGACCCGGCCCGGCCCGGGCCGGCACTTTACCGGCCCGGCCCGGCCCGGCCCGGGCCGGCCCGAAATCTGGCAAGTCTGCAGATAACCCCACCGTCCGCATCTGATAAGGAAACCGCCCATTGTCTGTGTCTCCACCTGTGCCGTTATCTCCGTTCCGCCTACTTTGTATCAATCAATCGATGACTACATTGAGGTCTTCTGTTTTGGTCTCATTCGATTTCTCCCACGTGTGTCTTCATTTTTCTTATTTTCTTCTTACCACTAGTTTCCATCCTATCCTGAAGGTTTTCAGACATGAAAGGAGTCGTCGAAGGCCAGTGTGGACAGCAGAATGCGCTCGTCGGACTCGCCAACACATTCGGAACCTCCAACCAGAGGATTGCTCCGAGTAGTGGTAAGAGGAGACAGTTTAAAGTTTGAAAAAGAGTCTAAAAGTATTTCAGCAGCGTCATCTGCCTTTCTTCCTACTTCTTCTCTCGGGGAGCAAATGGCGAGCGAGTTCTTGAGGCAGCAAGCTAGCACAACAGCCCCGACGAGTTTCAGTATGAAATCTATGCAGCAGAGCCTGCCACAGACGTCTTCTTCGTCCAGTTTGGCAATGAGATGGACACAAGAGTTTCAGCCGAGACAGGTTTGCATTGGCAGACCCTTTCCTCAGTTTTATCCCAATTTTCAGAATCAATTGGCGGCTCAATGGACTCAGCAGTACACTGGAAATGCTCCGGCTCTTGAATCCGCGTGGCGACAAGTGACTCCCACAGGCCAAGGGTCTTCGATTGGACCCCAAAGTGTGTTGACAGACTCTGGAATGTGGTCTTCCGAGTATCTGGACACTGTGGACACATCTCTGCAGCATTCTGGATCAACTGCTGAACGATGGGCGGATGACTTCTTGGATCAGAAAGACAATTATGGTATGGAGAACACGTGGCACGATAAGGCATTCGAGCAGAGATGGGATGAAATCAAGAGGGACATAGAGAGTGAGCAGACGAAACCGAATGAATACGTGTATCAGGTAAGGCCAAAGAGAATCTGGAAGTGAAGGAATGGGAGGACTTTCAGGAAGCGAATCCCTTCAATAGTGTTGCGGATCCGTTGATGGAAGGGGACAATATGATGAGACAAGGAGACATCGGAAACGCGATGCTGGCTTATGAAGCCGCAGTTCAGAAGGATCCGCAGGACGCGCTAGCTTGGTGTCGACTGGGATTGGCTCACGCGGAGAACGAGAAAGATCAGCTCGCGATGCAGGCGTTCAGCAAGTGTCTGCAAATCGATTCTGGAAATAAAGAGGTTTTTCTAACTCTGCGTTCATCTGAAATCTTAATATTTCAGGCACTTCTGGCTTTGTCCGTTTCTCATGCGAACGAGGGAATGGAGAACGAAGCACTCCATCAGCTGGACAATGGCTGTCTTCTTACGTGGTAACGGGTGCACTGAAAGTCATCCTTCACATTGAACTCTTCAGGGATCTCCTGCCACTCAAGTGACACAAAACCCACCACTCTACTCTTCGTTCCTTGACAATGACACTTTTAACAGAGTGGAAGCCCGTTTCTTAGATGCCGCCCGACAGCAAGGCGACACGCCGGACCCTGACCTTCAGAATGCTCTCGGAATTCTTTATAATCTTAACAGGAACTTTGCACGCGCTGTCGACTCTCTAAAACTGGCAATTTCCAGAAAACCTACTGTGAGTTTCCCATTTTCTCCTTTGATAGTAGGACTTTTTCTCAGGATGCTCGTCTCTGGAATCGTCTTGGAGCCACTCTGGCCAACGGGGACCGTACTGCCGAGGCCATTTCCGCGTACCGAGAGTCTTTGAAACTGTATCCGACGTACGTCCGTGCTCGTTATAACCTCGGCATTTCGTGCATGCAACTCTCGTCGTACGAAGAAGCCTTGAAGCACTTCTTGTCTGCGCTAGAGCTCCAAAAGGGAGGAAGTGACTCGTCGGGCATCTGGAGCACAATGAGGTACGAGAAAAAGCAAGAGAAGAAGGTTGACATTGATACTTCCAGATCAGCAGCAATCAGAACCAACAACGTGGCGGAAGGTCTGCTGAGAGCGGTCGAAGTAAGGGATCTGGCTGCCGTCAAAGCGAATCTCGCATGAATATCTCTGTTATTATCTGAATGAATTCTCTTTCATAAAAATGACTCATTCGCATGTTATCCGTCAAAAGTTCCCCCAGTTCGACGGGGGTCAGTGAACAGGCGGCCTCCCGGCACATGACGAGCCCATTCATCAGGGAGGCGTACAGCTGGTGCTCCAGGAGCACAGTCACAAGGCGCTCCCGCTTTCTTTGCCTCTCTTCCTTCGGCCATCACTTGCTTCCCGTTTCCTCATCTCATTCTTTGAAGTAATGATCCGAGGCTTTGCCGTTCTATTATGTCTTTTGTTAGTCGCCGTTAGTACCACAACGGAGAAAGGTCTCGAAACGGTTCCCATTGATGGAAACGCCGGTTCGGAAGGCGTGAAAGATGCGTCGACTGTGAGTTGTAATTGGAGAATCAAATGAAAATGCATATTTCAGATCAATCAAAGTAATGGGCAAGATAAAGCTGTACAAGAAGAGAAAGTAGAGAAGTTTGACGAGGAAATACTCGAAATCGGTAACGATGCGAAGCCGGTAACCGTACAAGAAAACATCACGACCACACAGTTCACGACGACGACAACGGTGGCACCAAAAACCGGAGTGGAAGCATCGATCGATGGAGTGGAGACACTGGAGCCAGGTGGGGAAAGCTATAAATTATCAGGATGAATGGGCACTTTGCAGGAGACGAAGGAGAACAACTGAGGCAGCCGAGCGAGAAGGAATTGGCTGAGTTGAGTGATAAAGTAATGGAGCGGAAAGATGGAGCGCCGAAGAATGTGCAGGGCTCGGAGGAGCCATTTAAACCAGTGGAGGAGGAAGGACTCCGAGGTTCAGAGGAGCCGACTACAGATGAACCGACGAAGCCGGCGGAAGGAGAGGAGTTCAAAGGAACGGAAGAGCCATTGAAGCCAGCTGAAGAGGAAGTATTTAGAGGATCAGAAGAGCCGACTACAGATGAACCATTAAAGGCAACGGAGGAGGAGGGACTGAGAGGTTCGGAGGAGCCGACGACAGAGGATCATCCAGTGGAAGAGGAAGAAGAAGCGGAGAAAGAGCCGAAGAAGGATCCTGTGGCTGATGGATCAGTCAGTCTTGAAGACAAGGATCTTGTTGCGAAGAGAAAGGCGGCCGAATGGGAAGACCGGTGGAATCTCATTCAGTTTCTGATAATGCTGACTCCGAACGAAGAAGAAGAAGTCTCGTGGTGGCAGATAATCTCGGAGTCTGTCAAGGTGAGCCATTCCTTCTCCGCCCGGGACCGTCGCTCTTTTTAGTGCTCTCTCCGTGGCTGTCAGACGTACTCTCACTGGAAGATCTATCCCGTTTACCTCCCTCGCATCACCAGACATCGCCGCCACGCTGACGGGCAATTCGAAGTGGAGCAGGCGGCCAAGAAACCGTGTCCTTGCCAAAACTTGGAGGCGTACTTCGAGAAACTGTATGAATCGATGGGAAAGGAGCAAAAGAAGAATACTACTCAGCAGTAATTGTTTTTATAAGTATAGAATGTGTATTTGAGAGTGTTAGCGGTTCCCTATAAACATTTGAATGTGCACGTGCAGTCGCAAGCGCACGGGAGCAATAGCTTTTTGTGGATCACGCGGACGGGGCTGGCTCCGTTCGAACACTGCTCTATTCCACATTCACACGAACACTCCTCGCAATCGGCTGAGAAATTGGAAAGAGGTTAAACAGTATGCTTCGAACTCACTTTTGCGTGTGATTACGGGAAAATCTGAGGAAGAGAACGGACAAATTTCGGTTTTCCATAGTAGATCAACGAGAGTCCGCTTCTGATCGTACTGATGCCAGCACTGCCAGCCACGGTACACCTGAAAGCATGTCGGTTTTCCGAAGATTTTGAAAGTGAAACTCTCACTAAATCAGCGACGATTGAGTGGGAAAAGTCACGCGTTCCGGTGTTGAGTTGGTCGTTGATGCACGAGTTGGAGTCTATCTGAACGGAAGGGGAGGAGCAGCAAACTGGGTCCAGACTGGGAAAGAGAAGAAAGTTATCAAAGGGAGGGAAAGAGCTCACACGGCCGCTTGAGTGGTATTCTCCAGAAGATACACGTGGAATCCTCCGAGCCACGTGTTCCCGGTGCATCCTTCAAGCAGTCCGGTGCACTTCGGAACACTTTGCTGCGGAGCACAATTCGTGGTTTCTCCGAGAGCAATCTGTTCACATTCCACAGTGAGACTTCCCAGCAGACTGTAGGCGGTCTTTGCCCGTTTTATCGAGGATACTCGATATCCTTTGTCACATATCAGTGCCTAAATAAAACTTTGCAAGAAATTAAACGAAAGCAATGGATGAGGTACTCACGAAGTCAATGTCAGCTGAAAGAGTAATAGAAATAAGTGCGTATAGAAATGCAATCGTTCGGGTGATCATGTCGGCTGATAAACGCGGTCTCAATCAGTGTCTTGTCCCGTCGGGTCGGTTATCTTTCCGCGCGATGACTCACTGCGTCGGAACAGGATTACTCCCCTTCCTTCCGCGGACTTCTGATTGGAAGGCCCGTCTCTGGCCGAATAACACCTGGCTGTCCACTCACAAATAACAACAATAATAATAATAATAATAGAGAAAGGGAATGGGAGGAGGGGCCCACATAATAGCGGCGCGCAAGGTATCTCGACCGGATGTGTTCAGTCGCGCGAGCTGCAGGAGCCCCGACACGAAAATTGTGCTTTCGAGCCGTTTACTACTTCCCTCCTCGCGTGCATTCCAATCGTACTTTTAAGTCTATCTCGAACACTTTCATAGAACTCTAGGTTTTCGAGCTTTTTGGCATTCTCCTCTTCCGGCTCACTGACTTCTCGTTTCCGTCTCTCGTTCTCGTGGATACATCACACCAACAAGACGAGACGGATTGACACGTGGCAGTGGAAATGAGCGAGAATCTGCACACCATCATTCATCATGTCGACTTTTTTCCTTTGCGAGTAAGTGGGGGGCCCCTTTTCAAATGTTTGGCCTTTGCCGAACAACTGCGTTTTCAAAGTTATTTGACCTTGCCGAATGTGGCTGTTTTCATCGCAAAAAGTGAGTTCTGAAGAGCAGAAATGTTATTTATAAAATCAAACAATTGACATACATTTTGTTCTCAGATCCGAGTTTTCCGAAACGGAGACATGTTTGACCAGGGACGTATTCTGGTGGTCACCCGGAAGCAGTTTAAGCATTGGATAGTCTTCCTAGACGCCCTCACTGCACTCCTCAGAACTGCGACCGCGGTCAGGAGACTTTTCACCATACAAGGGATACCAATTCATCACGTGAGCCATTTACTCCTCGTTTTTCTGTATTTTCTGTTCTTTCAGTTTGACGAATTGGAGACGAATGGGGAGTACGTGGCAGTGGAGAGTGGTCCGTACATCAGTGTGCCCTATGGTCAAACTAGATTCACTTTGCGCGGCAAAGTCAGATTCCTGAACACAAGTTTCATTCCTTTCCATATTCGCACTTTTTCAGCGTTACAATCCGATAATTCGAGTTTCCCAAATCGTTCCGACATTTCTCAATTCGGCGGAAAGCATGGATATCTATTTGAAGAAGGAGGGATACGGAACAATCACAGGTAGGGAGGGGGCACTTGTCCTCTGTGGGAGCAACTATCGGAAACTGCTATACGTCCGGTCGTTGTTCGCGAACAATTTGAGACATAATTCAGGTCTGCCCTATCCATTCGACGGAATTCTAACGAGGAGTCCGAGTGCATCGAACATCCAAATAAAGCATCTTCAGTCGCATATTCCTCCTCTAAAAGTAAGTTGGCCCACTTCTCCGACTGTCTCAATTAAGTTCTCGTAGATTGGAGGAAGCATGGAACATCTGAATGAACTGGGAACTGCCAGTTGGTTGGGTAAGAATGAGAAGTGGATGATGGGCGAAAGAGTGAAGGTCGAGCCGAAAGGGACTGATAAAGAAGAGGTGCTAAGTTCGGAGATGAAGGAAACGGAAGGAAGCACGGCTTCTGAGAAGCAGAAGAGCACGACGAAGCTCCCGAGACTTCTCAACTCAAACCGTTCTTTCAAAAGAGGTAACCGTATCAATTCCAGCTATTCTTTAATATTTTTCATTCGCCTTCAGAGACGCCGGCTCATAAATCGACTGCTGTGTCGGAGGAAGTGAGGAATATTTGTGAGAACCTTCCGCCGATCGACCTGAAAGGAATCACTTCAAACGAACAAAACGAGGTGAAGCAGAAGAACGACAGCGATACGATTTCAATAAAAACCGAGGAAGAAGTGATTTCGATTCTGAAACCCGAGAAGGCGACGACGGAGTCAATTGTTTCGTCAAAGGTTTCCAGAAATATGGCTCCGGCCGACGATGAAGTACGGTATCATCGATCGTATCAAGTGACCGAAACCACGTTCCGGACGAGTGGGAAAGGGGCCGAAGAGCCGGAAAAGGAAACAGAAAAAGCGAGTGAAAAGGAGATAACGGAGATGGGGCAAGGAAAGAAATCAGAGAAAAAGGAGCGAGCCAAGTGGACGGATGGTGCTCTCAGAAGAGATAAATCGGTGGAGACGAAGAAGAACGGGGCGGCGGAGCAGAAGAAAAAGAAGGAAGATATCGGAAAGATTGAAGAGAAATCAACTAGGAAAGCGGAAGAAGTTGTGGAGCAAAAGGATCGGAGGAAGGAGGCGACGAAGGGAGAACTAAGACAGCTCGACGTGGATATAAATGACATTCCAATACGCTCAGACGTCACGAATCCAATCGGAAACACTTCAAAAATAGGTAAGGACTCGGAATGAATCTGCCGGAGTTTCTCTGCTTTCTTTCAGTGACAAGCCGTTCGAGTATGCACTTGTTTGTCGACGAATTCGTTGCGGAGGATGAGCTAGATGACGTCATCGGAAGAGCCGCCCTTTGGGATCAGAACAGAAGGCGTCAGAAGATGCGTCAGCAGTGTACTCAGACCAGCGGATCGCTCCGTTCAGTTTCGGCTCCTCGACGTAGAGTTCAATTATTCGATCCTGATTTCGATTAAATACCCAGTTCTTTCAATGAGTACGCAAGTTAAAAAGAAATTGAAATTCTTTTTTTCACAACAATAAACTTTTATTGAAGAGAAATAAGCATTACTGTAAGAAGGAAACGAATGGAAAAAAGGAGTAAACGTAGTTCTAGCGAAAGGGAGCAGGTAGAATTGGCGAACGAAAAGGAAAAGATTGAACAGGAAGCGAAACGTTTGCGGCGGGACATCGGACACGAACGAGAGGGAGCTCTGTCTGTGAGTCATTTTCTCATTATTATAACTTTGGTCATAGCGTTCTTGTACTCCGAAACTTACGAACTCTATGCCAGCCAGATGGAAGCGATTATCATTCAATTATTGCACATTTGGGTACCACAAAAGAGGGAACTAAATAATAGTGGAAAACAAATATAATATGCTTGTTTAGGGCATTCTTTGTGACAAATATCGGTGTGTGCAGTATCCCGGAGTGATGGCGGATTTCTAGAGAGAAACCCAGAAAGAAGGAAGCAATGAGAGGAAAAATTATGAAAGAGAGGAAGAGGCAGGAGAAGACGAAGAGAGAGCATGGAGGTATCAAAATTTGTGGTATTATGCGGTCAATAATTAAGCATTCTGATGATTATGAGATTGACGTGACGGCTAAATCGTCATTTTGGATATAACACGAACTAGCGCTCCATTCTCCTCTTTCAATCGCTGATTTTCCATCCGAAGATTCTGAGAGGTCTGAAAAAAGAGAGGATTAATTTCGTAAAGTTGCATCATTGTGATCACCTTCAGCTGCAATTCTAAATCGGCAATCTTCCTCTCCATACTTCTGCGTTCATTCTCATCGAAAGAAGCAAGAGAAGTAGACTTGGCCACCGACAGATTGTGTGGCTGTGCGGAAGGCGAGGCATTGCGAGTTCTCCAAGCTGGCGTCGTTGAGTTTCCGCGCCAGGTCTGAAAGTTCAATCGGTCGAAGCAAACAGAGAATGGAAACATACATCAGCAGTCTGCGATCTCCGCAAGTCGTCCACCTCCCTTCGCAGTCGATCGCACTCCGTCCGTTCCTTTTCGAATAGAGCTTTGTAGTTGAGGTTGGTCTCAGTTGGACGGCTCTGGAACACGGAAACTATGGAAATGCCAAAAGATAAGAGTTACCTGTAGAGCATAAGAACCGGTTGGGTTGGAAGAGCTGTTCGAGGAAAGGGATGAGGACGGCAGGAATCGGGAAGACGCGGTCGCGGAGAGCGGAGCCACGCCAGCGGATCTCATCGAGGGAGCAGCCGACAGACCAGCAACAACGGCACTACGCGAAGAGAGCGATTGGCTCGACGGCTGAAATAGTTACAGTTTTCAAATTGAGGCAATGAAAAGAGTATTTCACTCTGTCGCTGCTAAATGATCGTTGCTTAGCTCTATCTTGTGAATATGGTGCTCGAATTCGTAGATTTCTAGATCTAAGAATCATTGGGCTCGAAATACTAGTGGCCATGGCGGCTTTTGCAGTCTTTGTGCCCGGCTCCTCTGTGCACCCATCTCAAAATCTATTTGTTTTGAACCAAGGCGGGGCAACGGCGAGACGTTATATGAAAGTGGCTAGAGGCAGAGAAATTGCGTCTTTTCAAAGTTTCGAGAGGACACACAAACATCTGCACAGACTATTCGATGTGTCACATTTGTTTTTGGGCTTAAAAATAACTGCATTCTTGTTGTATTACTTTTCGAAGGTAGCGCTATAGATGGAATTTCAATGGCATCTAGAAAAAAGTCGCTCAAATTTTGCGTGTGTGGGAGTCCGAGCAAACAGATAGAACAAAGATAGGATATGGTATCGGTTTCAGTCGATCAGTGATCTTGTTGACACTCGGATGCGCCGCTCTCCCAGACATTACAGCAAAAAAACGTCCGAAACGCAGTTAAATATTTCGGAGAAGAGAAGTTAAAAACCCTTGACTGGGGCCCGAAAAAAAACATTCTATGGTATCTAATAGAAGCAAACGTAGAAGGGAAAAGGAAAACTGCATTTCCACAACATAGACCTTACCGTTCCGTTCGTGGCCGGCGGGAGGGACTGTGCCTTCTCAGAGAACCGCGACGTCACAGTTGGCAGAGTTCCAGCATTCGAACGGATTGAAGCGGGCGAATATGGTTGCGATGAGATGGATGCAGTGGCCAGCCGCAGACTCATGGCCGGACTGGACGGTTCCATAGCATGAGGCCGCAACTGGACCAGGTCCTCCGGATTGACCGGCCCGGTCGCGCGACGATTTGAGCGAGAGATGGAGAGCCCCTGAAAAGAGGACAGCACACTAAAACACGCCTCTACCGGTTCCAGATGATCAAAACACACGATATAGGAGAACTAAGGAAGATCAAGGGGAGCGGGGAAAGGAAGAAGAGGGTGTCAGATTTCATGCCTACCTGACTCTTTCTCCTCACATTCGCCGCGTTCGAGTTGGGCGAGTTGGCAAGCGAAACAGTTGCCGAAGTGGTCACGTCGCCGTCTTTCACCTCCTCGCTTGTTGACGAGAGATCCTTCTCTTCGGAAGCAAGACGTACCTGCAACTGAAAAGGAACTGCACGCCGAGCTGGGAAAGAAATATGCAGTTAGATTCAGGGATACAGAGTTGTTTCTTGGTGCGATTAACTTTTGAATCTTAGCGAGAGAAGTTCTTACCGTCGATGGCGTCGTAGAAAGCAGTTGCGAGTTGCGTCTGATAGTCTCGTCCGTCGCAAACTTGCTCGCCTCCTCCAGCTGCTCTTTCGTAACTCCTTGAGTGGAACGACGATGCTGACGTTGCATTCGCGAGTTATTGCGCCGTTCGGCCTCGCTTTCAGTCACCGTCTTCGACTGCCACCGGCTGAAATAAACGTTGATGTCTAGTGCTCCCCAAAAACAGAATTCATTCCTGGCGAGGGAACAATTGTGGATTGAGGGTCATTGTCTAGCGTTTCGAGACTGACAACATGTTAGATAGGGCATGCAAGACACAGAGACACACGATGAACCTCATTTTGACGGGATTGATTTGGTGGGGCACAAATCCACGAGGATATTCGGCGATAACTGGTTGAGGAGTTGACGAGGCAGTCACCGAAGCCGACGAGGCGGTCTTTATTGGTGGACGGAATGCACTGACACGTGGATAGGACGCCAGAGAAGAAGAAGACGCGTTTCGCAGCTGTTCTATGTGAGAGCGAATCTGACCGCTTGACGAGTTGTTCACATTGTGCCACAGAGAAGCCCATGGGACGTTCGTAGGCTGTGACGGACTACGGTAAACCTCATCTGGCCTGCTGAAATGTGGACACAGAACGTAAATGGACTAGGACATTTGGATAAGAAACCAAAAAATAACATAAAAGAGACGATAACTCAAAAGGACGGGATGGGAAAGCAGTTTGGAGAATAGCGTACCTTGGTTTCGAGAAGGTAGCGGTAATAGTGACACTTCCAGCCGGAGAAGGAGTGTTTTTGGCAGACGATGAGATGGTCGCTGCCATAATGTTCGAGACTGGAGTGGACGGGACAGAAGTCGGAGTGACGGTGGTCGAAGAAGACGGTACTGCAACGCTCGAAGATGGAAAGGAGTGCTGCGAATGGAGGGAAGCCGGAGGCGAGATTATCTCGGAGGCCGGCGTCGAACTGCTCCGAGTGACAGACGCTGACGAACTTCTGAAAAAGGGAACGCTCGTTTGAAGAAAAATGCGAGGGAAGATAGAAATAGCAACACAGATGACTGTACATGCGCGTTTCATATTTATACAACAGATATGATTCATCATCGTCTTCGTGTTGTCTTTATGGTAAAAAGAGGACGCAGCGTTTGACTAATGCTTTCCAAAATGACATTTTGACTAAAGGTCGCGTGGCCTTAATTCCGTCTTATGTAACACACCTGGATGACAATGGGAACCCTCTGTTGATCCACGAACTTGGGCTCTGATGAATCGCTTTTGGAGGAGCTGTTGACGGAGCGATCGGGACGGTGGCACTGACTGTCTGATCTCCGCTTCCGACAGAAGAGCTCTCCTGAAAACACTTGAAAAGGAGTTTTTATCGGTTTGTGAGTAATTTTACAAACCAGAGAGGATCTTGGAGTTTCTGATGATGCAACTGATGCAGATCTTTGTGAGGATGAAGTGGACGAAGAAACGAATCGGGATGAGTTGGAAGTGGAAACGGACACAGAACGGGAAGGTTCCGATGCGGCTTCACTTGTTTCGACAGACGATTCTCTACCGGCACTCGAGCGTTCTGAGTAACCATCCAGACTTCTGGAAATGAATAACATTGGTGAACAACGAATCAGAAGAAAACTAATAGTGTGAAAATGGGAATTTCGGGAAAGTGCCGAACAAAAGGGGAAAGTAGGCGTAAAATGAGAATAACTGATTCAGTGCCTACCTGGAGACTGACAAACTCCGAGAAGTCTCCGTTCGCGCTTCAGATACCGTAGTCTCTTTCCCATTCCTCGATTCCATCTCACTTATTTCTTCGGTTGTTTCTTCTTCGTCTTGGTCGCCTTCTTCTTCTTCCTCAGCTTCCATTTCATCTTCTGCCAGACATTCTTCATCTTCCGCAGTATCTTTCAATGATTCTCTCGAGACAGATTGCGAATCACCAATCACTATCGTAGTTGTGGTGGTGGTGTTGGCCGAAGAAGTCGAACCAGTGCTCGGCGCAGAGTGCAAGAACTCGTTTTCGCTGAACAAGAGAAGCAATAGGTGCGAAGAGGAAGAAAACATGCAGACTCTTGTCAACTCAGACGGAAATGTATACCTGTGCTGGTCTTGGTGCTGCAAATCGCGCTTTCGTTCACTTGACAGCACGTGTTCCTCGTGTGACGGCGTCCGTGCATTCTTCTCCTGAAGCACAGAAGCCGGCGGTAACGACCCAGCTGGTGATTTCCGCTTCTCCCGTGCTTTCACAGTGTCTGCCAACTCGACTATATAATCCACACACTCTTTATCGGCGACCCCGAGCACATCAATACCCTATAAGATGGTTCATTCAATGCAATTCGCTGTTTTTTGTAAACTAACCGAGAAAGTGAGATCAGAGAGTTCAGCACCATTTTCTAAGAGCATCTTGCAAGCATCCCGCTCCGCCCAATGAGCTGCTGCGTGCAACGGAGTCCAGCCGTCTTTGTCTTGTGCCCGCACGTTGCCGCCCGCTTTAATGAGCATCTCCAGCAATTGCGTGTATCCTCGTCCGGCTGCCACATGTACTGCAGTTCCGCCTGTCCGTGGATGAGGAACATCTCTGGAAAAAGGCTGATCTCAACACCGCCATACTGTGAATGCACTCACTTGTACTCTCCAGTGCTTATCCAAGATTTTACATCTCTGAGCATAGTGTGCAATTCTTGTTCTCGGCACGCTTCCAGGTCTATCATCTGCCGTTTGTAGTCGTCTTCGAGGTACTCTCGACACTGTTCATCAACTGCCAGATCCAGAGCCAGCTCTTTATCACTGTTTACAATTGAGAGATCTGCTCCGTGCTGGCACAAGTACCGCACAATTGCGACGTTTCCACAACACGCGGCTGCGTGAAGAGGGGTCCAGCCTTCGTTGTCTTGTGCATTCACGTCTGCTCCTTTTTCACACAGAAACCGTACCATGTCTGGCTTTGAATCAATGACGGACTGGAGAAACGAAACTAATTTTGAAACAATTTGAAGTGACGCTCACCTGATGCAAAGCCGTTAACCCGTCTACTGTACACGTATTTATGTCGGCGCCTTTGAGCAGCAGCTCCTCGACTTCTTCTTCGTCTCCCGACATGCACGCTGACAGAAATATGTCACTATCCTGGAACTGCACTTTCGGCCTCTTCATCCGTCTCGAGGGTTCGGCGTTCATCTCGCTGCTCTGCCACCGACGTAACTGATCCTGGAAATGATATTGTTACTGTACTTTCACTCGTCACTGCGCAACAAAATCAACTAGCTTCTAACGGAACAAAATGGGAAAGCTGACATTCGAAACGAAGTGCAAAAACGTGCGAGGCCTCCCGAGCAGGGCAAAAATTGCCACACACAATTCGTGTTTGCATCTGTTTGCACGAGTTATTAGCAAAAATTACGACTGGATTTGCGACTTCAGGGCTGTGTCGGTTCATCTAACCGTGTGAGCAGGCACGGGAGGAATTGGTGATGAAATTCGCTTTGAAAGGGGAAGTGCAATCAGCGGGCGTAACTAAAATGAGGATGGCTCGGGCACTTTCGTTCTTTTTTCTTTTGAGAAGAAAAGAAGAAGGAAAGGGTCTTCCCGGACGGACAGAGAGTTGTCACCGTCTGACTCACTTTTATTGTATGTGTTTGTATGGAAAAGAGAATAAGCGATAGGCAGAGCTGACATAACATTTTGTTTTCGTTTATTCGGAAAAAAGAAACATATGAGAATCGGATGTATACACATCGGGGAAGAAGAGACGGGGAATCCTCTTTCCCGCCCACCTTCAGTTCACTTTTGAGGCGTTTTCTGCGGCCAAGGGCAACGAATTCGCTACAGATTCATGCGAATTCAGTAGTATTAACGCGAAATATTCACCTTTCTTTTGTTGATGACGTTGAATGTGATCTGCTGCTTCGCCTGCAGCATCTGCGCATCGTCCTCGTCGTCTTGACCCATCTGTAAAAGCGAAAAATGTGAGTTGTTTTTTCGGTCAAAACGATGAAAGGCGGAGAGGAAAGCGGAGAGAAGTGACGTTGACGAACAATGGTTCGAGAATGTGCGGCCTGTAGCTACAGAAATGCTGGCAATGTGTCACAGGAGCCTTATTATGTTACAAGAAGGAAGAAATATTCAATTGGTTTTATGAGTAGGAATGTTGACTCCTCTAAATGGCTTTACATCCGACAAACAGATAGACTTCAAAGCTCTTCATACCTTGAAAAAATTGCGAAAGGCGACGGAAAAGCGTGGTTGGGGACACTCAAAATGAGTCAGCGACTCTTGACATTCTCACGTTGCCACGTCAAATGATCACACGCATTCTTTATTCGAAAACGGAGCTTTGCACGCAGAACAAAGAATCTTTGTGTGGGAGTAGTTCGTAACTGGAGAAGAGGTTCTTTCTTGAAAGTCAATTACTCCGAAGACGGAAGTGCTCTTCAATTTCCCGTATTCAACTGGAAGAAATACGAGAAGACAGACAATCGATAAATTCAATCAAAGAGCGGGAGGAACGAAAGAGCTCGAGGAAAAGCGGAGGGATGATAGTGGTAATGGTAAGGTGATGAGCTGGATAACGAGCAAATAGCGCAAGAATTAGAGAAAGACGAGCCTGTACGGGGCAACTTGGGTGTCTGGTTGTTTCAGAATGGAAACGGACACTCGTGGTATGCAAATTGGAACATTTAGCATGGATCACAGAAGTTTGGCTGTCGACAAGTATGATCTTGGAGAACTTCTCAAAGATGTTACAAGTTCGAAAAGAGGTTTCCTAGTACTGGTGGGAGATCTGAGGAGGGGAACGGCCGGATTACGGGCGAAAAGTCAGAAGAGACGGATAGGTCGCTCGTCGGGTTGTCTGTCTCTCCGCAACGAGAGGGACGTAAGGGTGAGAGAGAGAGACATCGGCTGTCGACGCACTTGAAACTTTCCGCCTGCACGCCGTGTCTGCGTCTCCTCTTGCGCAGTACCGCTTCTCCGAACAACCGCATCATTATACACACAGCAGTTGCCCGCCGTGCCCTATCCCCCACCGTTCTTCATCCACTCCTCTCTTGCTGGTTCGCACCGACCCAATCATGTCTCTCTTTCTCGTCGTGTTTCGTCTCTCTGAAACTCTCAAGAATCCACACACACACACACTCACAAACAAAATTAGTACTCGTTAAACTGTCAACGATTTGCGGTTGATTTTTTGCGGAAGCAAAAGAGAAGCGGGTCAAATAAGCAGGCAACAGCCGCCCACTGTGGCACTCCAAACGGATGAAAGGATAGTCATTGCGGATAGTGGCAAGTGGAGACTGTTATTGTGGCGGTCGCATCGCATCACGTTTACGACTCCGGAAGCACGCGGTGCGTCAAAGTGCTATAAACTAAGATATACACGGCCCAGCCGTAGTAGCCGGCGGTGTAACTTCGTTGAGCGCCCTGCTGTCGGAGCACATAAATTACGAAAGCCCTCTGGAAATGAGCAAATATCTTCGGAATATATGTTGAACTCCCATAACTGTTTGTTAATGGAACCTTGAGTCTACCAGTGCACACTGATCAGTAACTTTGTCTGATCATTTCGACCTACACTGGCGTCTTTGTTCTGTTAGCGCGGGAGCGGCAGCTGTACCTTGTTGATGGATGACACAGATATCGATCTGCCTCGGAAGCGGATAGTGAACGTAGAACACACATCTCATCCGACTAAACCGTGAGGACATCGATATGTATCTATTCGGAAGGACAAAAACCGAATGAGTGTGGTATTTTCCGGAAGGCTTCTCGCATATTCCGCCAAGACAGCTGGACCATCATCAGGACGGAATCCGGGAGGTGCAAACAGCCGGTGCTGCATGGGCAGGTGTATAAATTGGGCTAATTAAACGTCTCTCGTATACGTGCGCAAGTGTCAGTCGACAGTCAAAACGGGAGACGAAGAGAGATCGGGCGGTCTTTCCCCCAATCCAGAACTATTGTGAACAAACGACTGACTGTTCTACGGCCTTCCGCCAACATTATCAACATTATATGCCCCGCGCGCGAGAAGTGACTAGCAAGGCGTCGGAGTGCCCTTAATTTGGAAATTATTATTCGCGGTGTGGCGCCGAACACCGCTCGATCGGTCGCTTTGTGATCGCATTTGTATACATATCGGGGATCGGATGTAAGAGGAGAAAGAGGGCGAGGGGGAGGGCGACATCTGCTGATAAAGTGCATACTTACACGCGTTTTCTTAAGGAACATTAAACTAGGATGAATGAAAAGAGCAGCAGGCTGGGAGCGAAGCGGAAAAGAACAACCTGGTATAACGAGATGCGTGTGAATTGGTCGGCGGGAGATCGAAAGCATGAAAGAGATAAGAGGGAGGACAAAAAACGAGCAATGTCACTGGGGATTTAACCTAGTGCTCTGGGTGTGTGTGTTGTGATGAAGCAGTTGTCGGAAAGGAACGAACTGAATTATTCCAGTGGTGCTACTCAATTTGTGACGATTTCTGCCAAAATGTGACATAGGGTAAAAAATGTTTTCGGTGGTTTCCGTCCTTCAAAATGGAAACACTTTTGAGACACGTTGACAACATCACGCGAAACACATACTTGCAAAAAAAGTGAGGCACAAACTGAGCGCGCGAGCGAGTGTTTCGCAAAATCGACTGCGCGAGACCACAAACATGGAAGTCAATTGAGAGTAGCGACGTGAATGACTGCTCGAACACCTGGCAGACGAGGTGCCGGAAGCAAGCGGCAGCAGCGGATCGGATCGATACGCCGAAAGTGGAAGTGGGAGGGAAAGCGGCAAAGGAAAGAGAGGGCTGTCGAACAACAACTATTTACATGAATGAACCGATAACACGAGAATCGCCGCGCGGCTGCCGCTTCTCGTCCGGACGGTCGAGGTGTGCTGCGCGCATCCTCGCGCCCTCCGAACAAACAATGCTTCCCGGACGAACTCATCGTTTTTCGCCCGGGCTGTTGCGCCTGACGAGCCAGGAACCGAGCAACATGCGGACGGGTTAACAAGCACGTTACGAGCAGACGCGGTCATTCGGCGTCTCGTTTACGAGCCGACACAGTCGCAGATTCATTTTCGATCGTCAAGATTCAAACGAAGATGTGCCAGGCACCTGCTAGCAGAAGGGATGAGAACTGGTTTTACAAGCACCTGCGGCATAAACACAGATGGATTTGCACTTTTTACGGACTTTCCTTTTCAGTTTCAGCTACACGACTGAAAAAAAAGTAGTGTTCTTACGCTATGCAGAAGATTGACGACGACGGAAGTACTTGCTTGTGGAGCAATCGTTTGGAATCTCGCAGAATCTGGAATATTGTTTTTAATCTGTCAGAGAGACAGATTTATTGGCAAAAGTAAAAAAGCGATGAAAAAAAACATCCGATGATGAAAGAAAAGAACAGGAAAAAGAAACAATTGAGCGATTTATTGACAACGTATTTACAAAAAGGAAGAAGGCAGAGACTAAGAAGGCGTCGGGGAGAATCACAGGAAGGTGTCATCTGGTTTGGTGTACCGGTACATTGTAGGCAATTGAGGAAGATGAATCTGGAGAGGCCCTGTGGACATAATCCGCATCCGTCATTCCGGAAGAAAGCAGTCGAGAACGCAGACCACGAGGATCGTCCAGACGGGAATCTGTAACCAAATTGTCAGGAAACGGAATGACCAGATGAGCTGACATCTGACGAGATTCCGTGTCTGTCCGCCACCCTGAATGTAGCTAGCCGCGTAGAAAAGTGCGGTGAGCAGAAGCAAAGTGGCGAATGTGATCATAATTCCAGCGAGGTCACGGTTTCTGTCCTGTTTCTCTGCGCACTGCCACACATCGTTCCACAAATGGATCGTGTCGTTCATTGTTGTTTCCACGTCGACACAGAAATCCACATCTGGAGTGATGTAGATTTTCCAGTAGTAACCGAAGAGCTCATTGAACGGGCTTTTGCAAAGGTTGCAGATTTTGCTTCCGTTCGTCAACTGTAAAACGAAATGATGGGCTGATAAATTGAGAACTTTTAACTGACGTCGTGATCAAAAACATCTTCAGAAGTGTAGTTAACAACACAGTTGCGCCATTCGTACAATAAGTTCTGGAACTGCAGTGTATTGTCACTGAAATGAACTTCCGATTTGTTTGCCGGGAAGTTCCATTCAATTTTGATGCATGCTGGAAAAACACAATATTGGGGCTATTCAACGTATATTTGTTTTCTTTCTTTTTTTTTCGTTTTTTTACATCGCTGAATTGGGTTTTTTGAAAAAAAAACGGAAAAAAACATGCCAGAATAGCCCCATAAGTTATCAGTAAAACGGGTAAAACTTACAGTCGCATCGAGATTGCTCCCAGATTTTCGACGTCAGTGCGGTGGAAATGTCACTGCTGTAAGAGAGCAAATAGTTATCGTAGATAACTTGGGAACATGTTCGATTGTCCAGCGAAAATACGTTATCCTAAGAAAAAAAACAAACGATTGAATCGGATCAAAATATAATTACCAAATGCTTAGTTTCATACTCAAACTGCTTGAAGTTTATGAAATTCTGAAAACAGTTTGTGCACACTTTCGGAGGAATCGACCAGTTTGTCGCGCAAGCCACCATCTCTGACTGAACTACGGCGAATTTCTGCAGATTTTCAAAAGTTTTTTTTTGTTGTTCGGTTTTTGCAAACCTCAACGTACTTCTGGCATGGTCCGTCCAAGTCCCACGGGTCATCTGTTATCGGAGCAGAGTCTTTTGTGAGCGATAAGGCGGAAAAAATGAACAGACTGAGCAATATGATTCGCGGAAACTGACTAGACATGTTTGATTCGCTGGAATATATTAATTTCAAGTTAAAGTAAGTTCGAAATGAGCAATTTCATCAATAATTAGGGCCGAAATAAACATTTTGCGACAGACACTCATCTCGTAAATCGACACTCCGTTGCTAAACACTGACCTTTGCGTTACTTCGGAGTGTCGTTTGCGCTATCGAAAAAGTCACGTCCATTCAATTTGGTTATTTTTCAATGTCGCGAACTGTTTTTCTGTATATTTTCTGAATTTTTTTAAGCAAAAACATTTTTTTGCAGATGCTGGCCCGCTCCGCTCTCTTGGTTCATTCCACTGAGCTCGCTCTCAATGCCGCACGTGCTGCTTCTGGTTTGTTTTCTTTTACGAAAATCTATATTTTTAGCTGTCAGAATGAACTGTGTTTAAATCAGAATCTCATTTGTAATATTTAAAAGCAATGAGACGAAGTTTCTTTGAAAATTCCGTTAAAAAACATGAATTTTGAATATGCACGTACGCATGTCATAAGCTTGCAGGCGCTGCTGCTGCCAATCCAAAAAAAACCGGCAACCGCATTAAAACTTTCGAGATCTATCGCTTCAATCCGGAAGCTCCGGGAGCCAAGCCGACCATTCAGGTTTTCCCATTAACACTTCAGTAGATTTCCACAGTTTACCGTTTTCAGAAGTTCGATGTCGATCTCGATCAGTGCGGAACCATGATCCTTGATGCTCTCATCAAAATCAAGAACGAAGTTGATCCGACTTTGACCTTCAGACGCAGTTGTCGCGAAGGAATTTGCGGATCCTGCGCCATGAACATCGGTGGACAGAACACCCTGGCCTGCATCTGCAAGATCGATGCCGACACCTCGAAGAGCACCAAGATCTATCCGCTTCCACACATGTTCGTCGTCAAGGTATTCAGTGTTTTCGGTGTTTTAATAAGCTAAATGTTAATTTATTCAGGATTTGGTTCCGGACATGAATCTGTTCTACGCTCAATATGCTTCGATCCAGCCATGGATTCAGAAGAAGACTCCACTCACTCTCGGAGAGAAGCAGATGCACCAAAGCGTTGCCGAACGTGATCGTCTTGTGAGTTAATTCTCGAAAACGTCCTACTGAAATCTGATTCTCATTCAGGATGGACTGTACGAGTGCATCCTCTGCGCGTGTTGCTCCACCTCATGTCCATCCTACTGGTGGAACGCCGACAAGTACCTCGGTCCAGCGGTTCTCATGCAGGCCTACAGATGGGTCATCGATTCTCGCGACGACTATGCCGCCGAACGTCTTCATCGCATGCACGACTCATTCTCCGCATTCAAGTGCCACACTATCATGAACTGCACCAAGACCTGCCCAAAAGTAAGCTTCATTTCAGAAATCATCTCGCATGCTTCATTTTTTCAGCACTTGAACCCAGCCAAGGCTATCGGTGAGATCAAGTCGCTTCTGACCGGTTTCAAGGAGAAGCCAGCCGCCGAACCATCCCAGTTCTGAATGCAACACTCCATTTGTCTAGTTTCGATGTAATATTTAGCTCTGGTTGGTTGTCTGTCGTATTCCCCAACGCCGAAATATATTCCCGTTCCGATGTTCTTACCACCTGGCGAGCCGTGTGCACAATAAACAAAAACTTTAGACGCCTCCTCAGTCCGACAAACTAACTTGTTTTCTTTACCACACATGGCCACCTGAAAGTGTTATCCTCAGTCTGTCCCCAGGAAGAAAACATAATTAGTTCGATAATGTGATACTGGGCACCCAGTGGGCAGGTTGAGGGCGCGGGAAGGAGGATTGGTCGAAAATTAATTGCGAGTGGGGGAAGAAAAGGGTACACCGGAACTAGCAAGAACAAAATACAACACGGGCGACAACGGCAGGATGGTCGTCTCCGGGAGGACTCTGTATTCTGACACTTTCTTTCCTGGTGATAGATGGCTTCGTTCTGTTTGTTTTCGACAATAACAGGTGCCAAGAACAGAAGGAAGCGAACGTCGAAACAGATGACGGCATTTCACATAATTCGCCGTTGGATTGGTTGAATGAGTTTGCATTCCACTGACACCTACACACATGTTACGGTCCCCTCGGGGGCGAAAGGGCAATTAGGCATGCGTGGGAACAGTTCTAACATCTTGTTTCAGAGAAAAAAGAAGATGGAGTCAGGGAAGGCGAGAACCAGACTTTTCAAAAAAGATCAGACGTTTTTTAATAAATTTACAAAAAGTCCGAATTTGAAAGTTCTAAACATTTAGTACTGAAACCCGGGACCGTGACCAGTCTGGCGAGAAAATAATGATGAAGTTGATGGAACATCATCCACGTGGCAAGTGAACGCCCAAGGAGCATACGTGTATTTCCGGTGTTCCTCCCACGCGAATCCAAACTTTCTCTTTTTTATTGGTCAGCAGCGATGTGTTCACACACCTCAGAAACTTGTAATAGTAGTTATTTATGTCGTTGGGTCTCGGAAACCGGCAGCAGATGATGTATATCTCGCTCCCTTTCTCCGTGTGAACACAAACAATCTCCGGAAGGAAATCCCCTGATATTCCTGAACCGATCCATCTCTTTCTCCCCGTTTTGCCGTTTGCTCCGCCTCTTTTTCATCTCAAGAACAACGGTTCTGTGTTTTTTTGCGTCGAAACGGAAGGAGAGAGAAGAGAATGGACAGGCAGAAGGGGCGGAGTCTCTCGACGGACAACCGACGTACGAGCCTCTATAAAACGGACGGAAACGGAAAAATGAGAAGAAGAAGAAGAAGAATAGAAAGATGAAGAACAGCTTGGTTCTACTCTCAACCATTCTCTCGATTTCATCGCTCGCTTCGGCGGAAAATGGAGCTGCCCGATCCAGGTAAGAAGAATAAAAAAAATAGTGATTTTGTAAAGTTCGGCTGCGGAGAAACGTAGTAAATGAAACCGAAACTGATAACGAGAACCGGTTTGACAGATGTTGGACAAGTGGTAACGGACGAGCTGCGCAATGGTGGCCGGAGGGCGAAACGGTGACTCGCGGCAAGTACTACTATGAGTGCAAGCGCGGCCAGCTGGAGCCGCTCGGATGTCTGTCGAACGAAGGGACCAAAGTGGCCCTGGCGCACACTTTCCAGCAGGACGGATACGAGTTCATCTGCCAGCTGGGTACGTACTTTGCTTTCCTTATCAGCCGCGTCTCTTTACGACGCCCCATCAATTCGAGATGCGTTTTGTAGGAAGCGACGGCTACATCGAGTTCGGTTACAATGCGTGCGTCGGCACAGATGGACGTACTTATCAGAAAGGAGAGACTTGGACTGATGCCAAGGTGAGGAGAGGAGAAAGTTGCGATCAGGCGGGAGACGGCTTGCAAAACAGAGATATCACTTCCGGTCACAGTGGGGTCCCACCGGGTGATCTTTCGTCTCGAGACTCTTCTATTCATTTCTCATTTTCCCCTTCCAGAACACCTACTACTACCGTTGTCGCGACGACGGACGCGTCGTGAAGGCGTCGATCGAGGGGTGCATCGCCCACGACAAGCAGCGTCGGGTGCCGCTCGGACAGACCGACGACTTCGACGGATACACGTGAGTTTATCTCTGCTTATCCGTCTTCCGGTCGCCGCCGACACGGCGCCAAAAGTGTAAATGATAGGTGACATATGGTCGCAGTGAAGGTCGAGAGCGGCTGATTTGAACGGAAAAGCGAGGGAATAAATACGAAGTGACGGGGGGCAGACTAGGTGGTGGTTCGGGTAAACAGAAACCGAAACGGAGACTAAAGACTGTCGTCGACTGAAAGATTGCGGGATCTTTGGAATCAGTTACTGCATATCCCTGTCACGGTTCTGATGAACTGAATCTGAGATGTACAATATCTAGTGTAGATCCGAACACTCCAAACCAATATTGGTAGCTTTCCGAAAGTCCTGGCCATCCAGGGATCGGTAGCTATTGAATGTCCCCGGGACTCTGTCCTATCTTTGAATCTTGGATGTAAAAATCCGTTTCGGTCGATCCATTCAAAGTGCGAAAGCGATAAAGTGCGCCTTGTCACTCGCCGTTTAGACAACCTTCAAATCCACCGTATCACTTTCGGATCCAGTTTTTTTTTCGCATCTTCAGAGTGACCTTTTTCATTGAAAATCGCACGTTTGCGTCTTTGAATTGAATCGCAATCAATTTTTTTAATGATAAGCGAAAGTGCAACAAAGATTCGGTTTTTCTGCAGATACAAGTGCCAGCAGAAGACGTCGGGAGTGGTGCAGATGTGCAGTGTCGGCTGCATTCACGAAGGCACTCGCTACTCGGTCGGACAGCAGTACAAAGTGAGTCCGAAGGCAGCGGAAGGGCGTGTCCATCCCCGAATCCGTTCACAAGAGAAAGTGATTCTCGATCAGCGAACGTTTGCAAAAAAGGAAGAGAGAGATTGATAGTATCTTCTCGAACATTGAACCGATTAATTATGTTTTCAGGACGGCGACTACCTTTTCTATTGTAAGTTGCAAGGCGGAAAGTGTACGAAACAATGCATCGGATGCGTGTTCGGCGGCCAGAATCTGTACGATGGACAGAGGTACAAACGGGACGGAACCACCTACCAATGCGAGGTTTAATTGACACTTCGGACGGCCGTTTCCGAAACGCTTTATTTGCAGATTCGTCCGGGAAAGAGGAATCATCGCGCGGTCGGCTGTGCCATTTCGGAGAACGGAAAGGACGTGAACAAGGTAATCGGATGCCGTTGGTACGAGCAGAATCCCGAGTGGAAGGTCGAGAAGACATGCGAGAAGGACGGGGAGAACGCGGCGAAAGTGACGACCGTCGGCTGCATTTACAAGTACAAGGGATTCGATCGCATTTTCCTCGAGCCCGGAAAGTACACCATCTGGAACCTTCCGAAGCAGAAGGACGTCGTCGGATTGGCGTGCCGCAAAACCGCCGACAGTGCCGAGTTGAACGTGTTTGACGTGTCCAGATTGGAGCAGAACACCGCCGGACTCACCTACGAGATGCCACGTGGCAAATGAGCCAGTCCTATGTCATCGGCACCCTCGAGCTTTCGATTCCAGTTGTTACAGTACTCCCAATACGTGTAATTGTTGTTTTATAATAACTTCAGTATCACTCTCTTGATAATAAATTGATCTATGATGTGAGAACCCAGTTGTCGGTAAAATTGGAGAAAACATACGTTGTTTGAAAGCTCTCTGTCAAACAGTTTATTATAATGATTACTTAATACAACACTTGTTAATGACCAGCTAGTGGAAGAAAGTCTACTTGTACTAAGTGAGATCTCAGACTACGTGATGTGTGAGCAAAACAGGGCTTTGTAACAATGGCAATAAGTTATTTAAAAGTGGTGGAGGCTGAAAACTATCTTACACAGGCGGGGTGCGGGTGGATGGGGAGGAGCCAGTTAGGCATTGACGCGCTTGTCGACTAGGTTGCTGGTGTATTTGTAGGCGATGTCCATAGTCAGGTCTTTGAGGCGATCAAGCAACGCGCTCGGCTCTGGAACATCCACCGGCTTGCCAGCGCTGAAAATTCAAACATGGTTGACAAAAAACGATCGATCTTGCTCACGTCTTTTCCGCCCACAAGTTACGGCCGCGTTTGGCACACTCATTCGCGACGTACAACGGGGTCGGGAGCGAAGTGGTTAGAGCGACAATTTGATGGTGATGGCACAATGCGTATGTGAGTTCCTCAAGCTTGTCCATCGGCGCTTTGCAGTCGTCAGCAAGAACTGTGTACAATGGAGTCTTTGCTGTTCCCTGAAACAAAACGGATAGAATACGATGAAACTCCAGCTCTTTCCTGAAGGGTGCTGTGCGAGTTCAAGAAGAACTGCTTGCACGCAGGATGGGTGACAGCAGTATCAAGCACGATTCCAGCCGGAATGTTTTGCTCAGTCGGTTTGACTGCGTTGTCGATCTCTTGTTTGAAGAATCTGTAGCTGTGATCCTTCGTAACAACAATATAGATCAGCTTGATATCAGATTTGAACGATTCGACGACGGAACGGGCGAGAGGAACCTCGAAGGCAATCAGAGAAGCATGCGATCCTTCTGAAGCACCACTTCGATAGATGATAACTTTCTTAGGAAGTCGCTCGCGGTGCTTCTCATAAGATTCCATTGAGTTTCTCACGACGTCTTCAATAGATGCAATAGTCTAAATATAACGATAAAACCTCGCTGAATTGAACAGAATATTTTACATCTTGACCATTTGGGCCTAACAAGAAGTCTCCGGCAAATTCGTGACAAGCCTTGGCATTAGAAGCGTAACCAACGACGAGAGGATTGATGGAAGTTCGCCCGTCTGCAAATCTTGCAGCACCGACGGGCTGAGAAACGCCTACTCCAATGATCAGCTGGTCGTCACTGATGCTAAAAATTTTTATTGAAGCACAGTTCCGAAAAGTTACTCACGTTTTCTTCGAGTCGACAACTGCATGATTAAGACCTCCGAGTTTAACATTGGTTTTGTTGATGACGTTCTCTAACGTCAATCTTTTTTGTTGTCTAATAACCGAAAGAGCCTTGCTCATCTTCATATCTTGGATGATCATATCGTATTCTCTCTCCAAAAGTTTGAATTTCTCTTAATATAATAATATAAATAGCTTCAAATAAATAAAAACTTACGGTGCAAAGTAATGATGCTGTCATCACTAATGATGAAAACAAACTTGCACTGACAACTTGCGGCCATAGCGAGTTTGTCTACAATGTTATCGGCCGAAACCAGTTCGCATTCACCAGGCTGTCCGAGACGGATTCCTTTTCTCTGACATGTTTCAACAAATGCGACCGAGAACTCCCTGAAAACGTATAAACGTTAGATAAAAACACGTAGAAGGCTCATACCGCAGATCTTTCGGCGTGAATCGTGATGTAGACGTTCCGACAGCGTAAAATGCCCAAACGGAAGGCCAGTCAGCGGGTTTGAAGAAGCTTCCTGGGGGAGATCGCCACTTGCCCAGAATAGCTTTCGCTTTGCTGCGTTCGCTGAATTGGATGTCGTTTCCGTCGATCGCACGTGCTTTCACCATCATCGGGAACTCGTAGACTTTGATTCCAAAGTGCTGCAGCAAGTCGTTGGACTCGATAATTTCAGCGGCACTCTTGCCAATCATAATCAGTTTTTGACGGTCCGGCGGTAAAACGGCGCACTCTCTCGTTGTTTTCTGACTTTGAGCACCAGTCTGCTGCATGATAGTCACGCGCTGATCCCGGTCAATGCTCATCAGTTCCATTGGATAAAAGTTGTTGTTTCCACGATCTTTGCAGATGAGCAAATTGGCGTTCGGATATCTGCAATTCATACAATAGTCCTGGTTGAATTTCTATATCACCTTAGTTGAACGCCATATTTGTCCATGAAATACTTGTGAACTGTGCAACTGCCACCTTCTTTCAATTCAAATCTGGCTTTCATTGCATTGTCATGGTGAATTCCTTCGATACGTAAATGCCGCGGCCGATCGGTATACGTTGTATGGCAGTGAAGTCCTCTGATGACTGGAACAACTTTTTCTTTGTCAAAATCCGAGATTCCATTGGATGGGTCCTTTTGCAGAATCTCGTATACCTTTTGGAGGACCGGCTGAACTTTGTGGAACGCTGTTTTCATTGCTGAAACAGAAAAATACCAATATAAAACAACTTTGAACTTACCATCGATGACAATAGACGGATTGTTTTGTCCTCTCCCACAAGGACCCTCGATGTACTGTACAGTTTTCTTGAGACCCGGAAGCAACGACTTTCCATCGCCAACGTCTGGATGGTCGTAAATGTCGTATCCATCGTCCCATGGCTTCATACAGAAAATCTTTCCATGCTCGAAACAACCGAAGCGTGCTCTGAAAAGTCGACTTTGGAAAGAAGATAAACGAATCATTACGTGTCACGAATGCAGGTCTGATTGAGGATAAGCTCCATGAATTGAGTGTATCCTCGATTATTTGCTCTGATGTGAGGATCCGCTGTCCGTCTGGCAATTTTTTCAGAAGAGATTATGAAAGACTCTTTCTTCGCAGCATGTATTTCGAGCACGATACACGAGAGGCTTTTCAGATCTTCATTGCCGATGTTGGCTCCGTTAATATTGAAGAGCTGTGTCTTCTTAGCGATATCGTTAATTTCAGGGAAAAGGTCGATAGTCGCGAAAAGACAGCTTTGTCCATCGTAGACTATATGGTTTCCGTCCACCATTTTGAAAAATGTTTCGTTATTTCTAACGGCATAGAAAAGAATGTCGCAGCATTTTTTGTGACGATCACGAACGATGAAACTGCAATTATAACTAGAGTCATATTTTTCCTTCAAAAAACGTACTCTTCTTTTCCTTTCTTCGTGAATACAGCTTCCTTGTTTGTCGTCAGATCAGCCTTCATATGAACCACGTATTGGTAGACCATAGTCTCCTTGAACAGCTCGATTCCGAACACGTTCGTTTGGATGTCAACCGCTTTTCCTCCAGATCCAGGATCATTTGGAACCGTGTAAATCTTTTCAGCCGGCTGAAGATCGAGTTCCGCGAGACGTTTTAAGCAACCGATGTTTTGCAGAATGATTTCTGGTTCTTCGGTACTCGAGCTTTTGCTGCTACCAGCAACAAGGGCCCCGCCAGCGACGCTTGCACTGACAGACATTTCTTTGGTTCTGAAAAAAAAAAGTTTTCCTCCTATTTTTCTGTTGAAAATTATCTGTGAAATTAATGAAAATAGGGATGCAAAACACGCGATTCTAGGCGCCTGCGCCTGTTTTTTCAACAGACGGCTAAGTTTTTGCGTTGAAAAAGCAGGAGTCTGAAAAAACAGGTGCCTGGTTTTTTAGGCGCCTGTTCTGCATCCCTAGATGAAAAATCAAATTGGAAAATCAAACGTGAAAAAAAGCGCGGGAATTTCTTTTTCCGGAAAAATTAGGATCAATAATAAATTCATTTCGAACTTTACAGTACTTTTTCGCATTCGTTGTGAGATATCGAAAGCATCACACCTCCTGCGCCTTTAAATGAACGTAACAGGTCGACTTGCTCAATTATAATTTTTTTATAAGCATGTCGTTTTCCTTTATAAAAAGTTTTTAAACTTTAGTAACGAGTTTATTGTTCAGAAAAAGTGAAAGAGATTATTTATCGAGTAGTTGTCTGTGAAATATGGTCAAAAGCTGCCATTTGAGAAGTAGTAGACAGGAAGGAGACATACAATAGAAAAATGAGTATTTTTGAGATACAGAAAGAGCAGTACCGAGTGGGAAGAATGAAAAGCTACAGACAGACAGCAGGAAAAGAACACGTTGGATGGAATTGACTAATCAGAAGGACCAAAAAGAGAACATGGACGGGAACGGACTACAGTATGCACAATAGGGGATGTACTCTGTGGGAGGAGCAGGGGAAATGGTATGTACACGCCTTTAGAGCGGTTATTTACAGGCGCTGCAGTGAAAAAAAGCCGAACACGGACGCTTCTACGGCAAGAAATGGGAAATCTGTAGAAGGGTTATGGTTTGGCAGAAGAGGACGGGGAGCAGACGATCTGCTGAAGAGACTGCATGTTGTGAGCAGTGAGCGAGGAAAGGATGGTCGAATCGACGGGTTCGAGGCACGACGGACACGTGAACGATTTCATGAGCCATTCGTCGACGCATTCCTGGTGGAAGGAATGCATGCAGGGAAGGAAACGGATCCGCTCTCCCGGCTCGAAGTCAACCATGCAGATGGCGCACCTGTAAATGGACGGAGCACTTTTAGAGACATCACAGCCAAACCCACTCGTTGTTCTTAATATCTCCGCGGAAAACATCGGCTGGTATCTGCTCGAGAAGACCACGGATCCGATTCTTTTTTGCTTCATCAAGTTCCTTCAAATATGGAATTTATTCTTTTTGCCACATTCCGATCATTATTCACTTTTCCCTGTTCCTGCGCCTGCCGTTGTCTAATTACGTTGTGTTGATAGAGTTGATTTACGTACGAACTCTGGAAAAGGCTCAGTGCAAACAATGCCGTGTTCGTTTCGTCATTCGTCCGTTTCGGGCGGAAACTGAACAAATACGGAAACGGACGGACACTTACGCTCTGCTGCATCATGCTCGGATTGGTGAAACTCATGGCCGCATCTGACGACCGGCCCCTGAAATAGAAAAATGCGAATGACTTCTGATTTTCTGTTCTTTTTGCGAGAGAGACAAAGTAAATTACCGTCGGAGAGGGGTCTCATCGTGCTGTCTGACAAACCCGAACAGCGACGGCAGGCAGTTTCCCATTGTCGATCGGAAATCAAGCTGAAAAGGGAAACATGAGCGGCGGCGGGAGAGCGATATCTGTACGATCGATCGAGCGATTAGAATATCAACTTTTCATTAACAAAGTTTCGTAAAAAGTGACATTATTCCCACTCGGAAGAAAAAAAATGAGGAATTGTAATTTGGGTTAGAGAAATGAGTGAGTCATTCGCAAGAATAAATGACGGACGCAGACGAGAACAACGACGTCATTATTCTCCAGAATTGTATGCCTAGGACAATCTTTCAGAACAGAATTTGCGTGGAAAATCGATGTAGGAAATAATAAAGGAGGTTCTCAGCTGAATTTCGCGCGGAAATCTTCCGCAAATATTGATTCTTTCTTTTCTTCTCTTTTCAAAGTATAGATCGACAGTCGGTTGCTTCTTTTTTTGCAGAACTTTCGGTTTTTGGCAAAGAAAATTAGACAAAAAGTAAATTGCTTGCCAATAAAAAATGGAATCCGTGTTGAGCAAGTTTTCAGCGATAAATTGGAAACATTTCAAGCATGTTTTCTATGCTTTTGGCAGATGAATTGACAGATTATTCGTACAAAAATCGATAAAATGCCTTTAAAACAGGTAAAAACCAAAAGAGGAGCGGGTGTCTCGAAGCAGTGCCTCGATTGCAGCTGTCGGGGGCAACGAGAGAGCTGCGAGCCGATGGAGACGCAGACGAGCAGACGGCCGACGGAAGAGTGTGCGGCCGGAGAGACACAGAGACACGCCGCATGACCGACTGCGCCAGCCCCCCCTCGATGTCTCTAAAAAGACACCCTTCGGCTGACCATTTTCCCCTCTTGTCCATTATTCACACTACTGACTCTTTTTCTCATCGATATTACCAACTCGGATTCAAATTTATTCATACGACACAGAATACACAAAACATGTAACCATTGATATTACGATAAAGAACCATAGTGAGGAGTACAAAGAAGATTAGTTATATATCAGTTAGTCCGTAAGTTGATGGATTTCTAAATAAAGAATAAGTCAAAAACTAGTCAATGGGATGGTGGAGTTGGTCGCCGGATTGCCTAGACTGTGCGCATGAGATCACACAAATCACAACTGGGAGTTTTAAGAAATTGAAACAAGAAGTGGATGAATTGAATGGGAAACGATACAAAAAAGAATCTAGAGAGAAAAAGAAACATTGAACAAGAAAGAAAACAAAACATGAGAGTTTTCACCTAGATAAAAGCAACCGAATGGCCATAAATAGAAGTTTTCACCCGCAATGAAAAGGAGAAAAGAAAAATACTAGAGAGAGAGTGGGAGAGAAACTGGGTTGGAGCACTCGACTAGGAAAGAAACGTGAAATGTGAGGAAGGGAAACATGACTACGATAGTGGGAAATCGGGTACAATACGAACATGAAACTCTACCAGTGTCACTAATCGGGGTCGCTAATTATTCCTGGGAGAATGATAATTATGATTATAGTATTATCACTGAAATGGATCACTATAAAACAAGAAACGAAACGATTGCGAATAGACAATTATGAATGAAAAAAATTCCGAAAGATTAATCATTTGATCGCTTGGCTTTCTCCCGTTCGGCGGTTCTTCCATTTATCGCTTCGATCGCGTCTTTGTTGGCGGTCTCTCCACAGCAGACGAATTCGTCCTTTTTCGTGTACTTGACATTGCTCACTTTGATGCAGTAAGTGTGATACCATTGTTCACACTTTTCGCACTCCACCTGCAATAACACTTTCATTCTCAAGCTGATCCTCTTTTCGCTAACCCAATTGAGCGGTCTCCTTCCTTGGTACAAGTGACTGATGCAGTTGACAACGCCAACGCCGCACTCCTCTTTCGGGTCCTTTTCTCCTGTCCCTTCCGCCTCCGCATCTTGTTCTTCTGCCGGTTCCGTCGGCTCATCCACGGTCACAAGAGCTGCCTTCTTCTGTAATTCAATTCGTTCATTTGATCGAGACTTTTTCTGTCACTCACTCTTCCACGTCGTTTTTTCGGTGGCTCATCGCCGTCCTCATTTTCTGGAGTGTCGGCGCTCGCCTTCGCCTTTCTCACTCCCGACTCAGCTGATGTTCGCTTCAGATTGTTGTAAGGTCGGCGACGTTTCGGAGTTCCCTCTTCCTCGCCTTCAACAATTTCTTCGGCGCCGGTCTGAAACTGTTCCGATGATGGTTTGCTCGTTTCAATTTTTGCTACCTTTGCATGAGGCGCTGTTCTTGCAGATCGGAGTACTTTCTTTTTCTGCGGAGTTTTCTCGTCGTCGTCGGATTCAGAATCGACGGAAGACTCGCCCAACTGCTTCATTTTCCTTCGTGCAGGTGTTTCCTTCTTCTGCTGGTCTACCTTCGGAGCTCTTCTCACGTACTTTCTCTTTTGAACCTGCTCTTCGTCTTCAGCGCTCTTCTTCCCGGCTGCTGACTTCGTTGCCTTGTCTCCTTCCTCCTTCTCTTTTCTACTTTCTTCGTCATTCCGGCGACTCGTTTCCTTACTCTCCAATCGTTCATTCACTTCCTCTTCATCAGTCTGTAATTTATTTTCCCCTTCTTGCCGTTCTTTTTCAGCATTCTCCCCGGTCTTCTTCTCGGCGGTTTCTTTCACAAGTGCCTCTGCGCCCGTTGTTTCGCTCAATGATGGCGTCGCAGAAATAGGCGGGGGAGGTCTCGGAAAAGGAGAGTTCATTGGAGTCGGAAGAGTGGAAGCAGCGGTAGAAGACGATCCAGCGCACGGAGTAGCACTGTTGCGGAGAGCATCCGACGCTTCCTCGATGTTTCTTCTCGTCGTCTTTTCGTTTTGAGCGACCGCCACCTCACTGTCTGGCAATACCGGCGACGGCGTCTGGGTTCCACCATTATGCAAACTGTCTTCCAATGAAACTTCTCGAATGGCATCCCGTTTTTCCGTAGGTTTCGACGCAATTACCGAATTAGGTTTCTCGATCGGCTGGTTCTGCTCATCTGTTCCCACAACATCAAGAATCTCGCTGTCCTCTGATTCTGTTCTTCTGCGAGAGTTAGCGGTTGATCCTGAACTCGCAGAGTGGCGTTCTTCGTCCAAATCGGAAGAGCTTTCATTCCTGACGAGGTCCTGGACAGCGTCTTCAGGCCCATTGGAGCCGAGGGCAGCCTCCGTGGATGTGATGACACCAACTTCTCGAGCAATCCGACTTGAAGGCGCAACTTGTTGGAAAGCAACACCGACAAAGCCATCATTGATATACCCTTGTTTTGGTGCTTCCCATTTTTGAAAAGAATTGCTCGAAATTCCAGGGAGAAACGGCATATTCTGCATAAACTGAAGATACGGGGCGTTCGGATTGAGATACTGAAAAACATAAATGTCTATCAAAAATTAAAAAAAGTTACTTACGTTCGGGTACGGGCATGGGACTATAGGACGAATGGCAATTGGCGCGACGATTTTGTTTGAGGAATTCGGCCCGTTTGCATCGTTCGAAGCAGGAGCAGAAGGATCATTCACACTAGATTGCACAGAGGAACTGCTCGCGGTCGGCTTCGGCGGATTGACTAAGCTCCCCAATAGGTCGACCATATCGATTTTGTTGGGTTCTTCGAATACCAGAAAGTCAGCCAATTGCTTCTCTAGTCTGCCGACTTCACAAACTCGTTCCGTATTCTTCAATGCCTCGATCACGATTCGGATGAGATCAATTTTTCCAAGAGTGGGATCGTCGTTTAATACATTCACTGTCACGAGAGTTTGTGCCAACCGATGCCCAATACTGGGAAATTCAATTTTGAGCCGTTCAACCTGTTCGTCGAAGATTATTTTGAACATTTGAGAGCCATGTCCGTACAGAAAACTGATGACTCGGTTAGAGTCAATACTGGCGAACTTATTGTGCGGCGCTAATGACTTTTTCGGATGCGAAGATTGGGATGTACTCTGAAACGAAACAAATAAAATAGCCATATGCTTCTGAAACGCTTCTCACTGGGATTTGCTGATGAGCGTCGCTGTCAGTTGATCCGTGGCCGACTGATATACCAGCCACGTCTGCTTCCGTTCCGCCATTAGTCGAATCTGCTTCACTCTGCTGTACGACATTGACTGTCGACCTGTGGGCTTTTCGTTCTGCACACATCGCACTTTGTGAGTACAAATCAAATTTGAGGTCTCGAATGGCTTCCAAGTGACGGCAAGTATCCTCATCCTTCGGACTTTCCACGACGAACGCAAACTCGGCATCAGGCTGCGATACCACAGTTCCGGTGAGAACATGAGCCCCGTTTTTGTATCCGAACTTTATCGTGTCTCCTTCTTTTATCGGTTCTTTCACCTCTGTCTGGAAAATGAACAGAAGATTATTCACACTTTCTCCGCCTATTATTCCTTGTCTACTCGGAAACGTTCACTTCCAATACGGCTATTGCAACCAAAAAAGGCTTCCCCCATCCCTCTTTTGTTCGGAACTTACCAGACGTCGATCATTCAGGTAGGTGCCGTTTTCCGAGAGGTCTTGTACGGTGTATCGCTCAACTCCGTTTTCGAAAATTTTCTGGATCATCGCGTGCGTTTTCGATATGTAATGTGGTCTGAAAAAAGTTTTTCTTTTTGCCAGTCACTCTGTGATTCATAATAATCGAATATACTACGAAATATCACATGTGGCTGGCAAAACAGGTGAAATATCTAATTTTTCCGATGGCCATTTGCCAATGACTCATTTGAATGCGGGAGAAGTTCACTTGAATAAAAAAAGCGAGAGGGAAAAGATGGACGGAGTGCTCTCTCCGACAGAACAATTCATTCGTTGTAACATACATTCTGGCGCGTGACCCCCAGAACGAGAGAGCAGAAATGAAAAACATCAAGAGGGCGAAGACGATGTGATCGCCTACCGTATCTACCCCGAATTCTCGTATTTCCGTTTGGCCAACCAGGTTATAATCAACCGACTACCAGCTGATAAGTGACCATAAAATTGAGACATACTCTATATCTGAACCGGGCGGACCTGCCCGGAAAACGTAGTCGCTGATTTCACTTCGACCGAAACATACTCTGTCCGCTTCTAACCTGAAATTGAATTTTTTATCTACTAATGATCAAAGAGTGCGTTACTTACGAAACGAGAGTCTTTTTGTAATCCTCCGGCGACAGCTCTGTGGTATTTCCCCGGCCGGGATTGTACATGACACGACGCAAATGAAGCTTCGACGTCATTTTAGTGTTAGTTTCAGTGCATTCCCTCGTACTGAAAGGAAAAATAATTGAAATGTGGACACACGAGTAGGTGGAATGGAATTGTAAAACGGGAAGAGTACGAAATGTTCAAAGTTAATTTAATATTATGATTAGTCGCTCAATATGAGGTCACGCATTCAAAAGAGTAATCGTATAGTGAGTGACTCTGTATGACCCCATTCTCTCATTAAAATAATATAAAAAACGGGCAGCATGTGCGATAGGCGAGGCGATCGGGGAGCACGGCGGAAAGATCTCATAAATTCGGAAAGCAACGAGTTGGAAAAAAAAGGAAATTGAGAAGTTAAATGGGAACATCTGTTCAGAGAGACGCACACCACCCGGGGAATACGGTGTCATGTCTGCTGAATCGGTCAGTTTCCACAACAAAATGTGACGTGGATCACGGAAATTCGGAATTGACCTTGGAAACACACACACACATGCAGCATCAATAAACGGCGAGAAAATGACGCGTTACTCTGTTCGCTGTCTTCTTTTTCGATGACATATTACTATCAGCTGCGGCACAGTTGTCCTGCCTTTTTCGATACGATTGATCGACAAAAAATCGGTCGCAGCCAGAAGACAACAACTTTTTTTTGAAGGACGGAAAAGGGCGTATTTTCTGTGTACTTTAGTTTTTGAAAAAGTTTATGTCAATACGGGAGGCATTTGTGGAGAGTCGATGAGTTGCGCGGTGGATACGACAACTGAGAAAGGTGCTCAGAAAGAAAGCTTCTCGTTGCCGAGAAACAAGAAGACGCCGAGGGGAAAGTGTAAAACGTACAATTAAGGCGGACGTGGAAACTGATTTATAAAAATGATGCAAAACATGTGTTGAAATAAATGTTTAAATAAAAGTAATACAAAAAAAAGATTGAAATCTAATTCTCGAATGAACAAGTTGAAAAAATGAAGGCGATCCGAAAGGGAAAAAGAAGACATTTGTGTGCTGTGAGCGAAATAATGGATGTGATGGGCCGCAGTTGCGACGAGAAACAAGAACGAACTCTTAGCCGATTGCGAAATGTTTTATTTCGACTTCGAAATTTCGTTTAATTGTGAGTCTGGGGATATTTCAGAAATGTAGCACTGTCAAAAACACGAGACCTTTCTATTTAAACTCAATTTATCGCTATTGCCCCTCGGTGTTTGCAGACTCAAGCCAAAATTTCCTGAAATTAGGCTTGAGTCTGCAAACCCCAAGGGGGCAAGAGCGGTAAATTGAGTATAGAATCAGAAAAAATGGAACTACACGTTTTTAAAAGACCCCAGAAATGTGTATCCGAAGATGAAACGCCTGGCAGGTAAAAAAGGCTGTTGAAAACTGCGATGGTGAGATGAGATGAAGGAGAGGCGAAGACCATGTAAAAACAAGAAGAAGGCCGAGTGATAACGACAGAAGGCCGAGCAAAAAATTGATCGATAACGGGAAGAAACGGGCCTGACGAGATGTCGACAGTGCCGCGGCGGGACGAAGATGGCGCGGCGCCGATGGGCAGACGCTCGCCCGCTCTCACTCACTACGCCGTCGCGCGCGCCCCACTCTCACTCGGATCGATAGACCAGAGACGACGAGAAGCAGGGAGCGGAGACGCAGAAGGATCACATGCGCCGAGAAAGTGTGGCCAGCGCCGGAGGGCGCAGAAACGGGCGGGGGGAGGGCGCAACGAGTCGCTCGCGAACTGGATGGCCACAGAAGACGGGCCGAGTCTATAGTACGTCGCGCTCGTAACAGTGCTTTGTTCCCACCAAGCGAAACACTTGTTGGCGGCAGCAATGACTTCGTCGACATCTTCTTCGTCTCCTCTTCCTTGATAAATAAGCGTTGATAACGATCCGCCTCACATACGAATCACAAAGAGTCTTGCCCTTCATTTTTGTAGCCCTGACATATTTGCAAACTTGTTTTTCTCCTCCAAAACTCAATTAACCGAGATGAGAGAACGCTGGTATAAGAAACGAGTGACTTTGTGTCTCTTGGATTGCAATTGCGAAAATATCCTTTCGACTTTCTCTTTCTCGTGTTTTAAAAATTGGATGCTCACTGCGAAACGCAATGTTTTCGATTCATTCATCACTGAACAGCTGCCGTTATCAAAATGTCTTATGACTTTTGTTTTCCGCACGTTGCATTGATTTCCAGTATTATTCTGACACGCGTCGAGATTATTTCAGTGCAGACAATCGAAGCGTCCCTCATTATTTCCACTCAATTATATCAAAGTCTTCAATCTCAAGGTTTCAGCGCTTTCGATTTGCAAGAAACGCGCGCCTTCTATGTAAGAACCTTTGTTACACAATACACAATTTCAAACCGACATGGATGAAGGTCGAAGGGATGTAAACGCGCTGACTAAGCGACTAGTCTTGATAGCACGGGAGAGGTGAACAGGGAGCGTCTCTAATTTGTCCGCCAATTTCACTTATCATTGCTTGTCATAATTTTAATAGCCTCTGCACACACTCACGACCTTACGTTTCTCCTGTGATTTCGCTATGTAGCTGCCGGTAACTCAATTCATCGCTATTGCCTCTCGGTGTTTGCAGATTAAAGCCAAAATTTCTGAAATTAGGCTTAAAAACACCGATGGGACGAGAGCGGTAAATTGAGTATACCCGAAGCCACAATCTCGAAGGAAGGAGCGAATAAGGTACTTTGGTAATAGTGATAACATACATCAATACTAGGAATATAAATTGAACGTAAACAGAACTGAACATAAATGGGCAGCGGAAACGCAGAGAAAGGGTCACAAGGGGGTTTGGCAACGAGCCAACAAGCGCTATCACTTTTCCTGATAAGCTCCATGCACAGAAAGGTACAACCGCGGGGCAGAAACTGGATGACTCACGGTGCAGCAGACACGATAGCCATGTCTTTTTTTCTTCTTTTTTTGATAGCACTTGACAAAAGGCGGTGTATTGGATATGTTTACATTCGAGGTTGCCACTTTGCATCGTCGCGCTGACGATACTCTTCCCGACGACGCGAGGATTTGTTTATATAAACGGAGAGCCGAACAGAGAAATCTAAGGAACGGAGCCGTCTCCCGACAATTACAGGTTTCGTGTCGCCAATATTTGTGCGGGGGTCGGGGAAGCGCCATTTTGCGCGGAATTCCGACAATTCACTTCGCGGATTGACGGTCTCAGTTTACATGCGGGGGAGTTGGAACGGAGAAATTGTGAGAACTTGATAAAGAACGGGAAGAATCGAGGTGTCGTCACATAAAAAAAGGAAAAGCAGTGATGCAAGCAATGTTTTGGGAACAACAAAAAAAACATTTTACAAGGGACGGCCGGCGGCCGCCCTTTCCTGTGTTTCTCTTCCATTCACTCAAAATGATGTGTCGACAAACTACGAAATTCCCGCCATCTTTCAGTTTAAATTGTGCATTCGTGACTTCGATAGACTGAAAAAGTGTCTTCCTGTTAATATTTCAATGCCCAAATTCCTGTTTGTCAAATAAGAAACAAATTTTATCGAATTTTAAAGTTTCTTTATTGAAGAGATCACATTTTGTACTGCCATTTCGTTGCAAAGACATTCCTCTTTTGCCGCCCATTCACAACGTTTAGTCGAGATAGCAATCGGACGAAGTCGATTCGGAAGACTGTTTCCTTCATTTTCCCTTCGCAATCTCTGCCTTTGCTCCTGAATTATTACGAAATACGACCTCTATTTCAGTATCCATCCGGTTACTCAGACTCGGACATGACCGACTTCCTAATTGCCTACGGCTCACAAACTGGTCAAGCCGAGACGATTGCCAAGAGTATCAAGGAAAGGTCGGAGTTAATTGGACTGAAACCTCGCCTTTTTGCTCTTGACGAGAATGAGAAAAAAGTAATCTTTTCGGTATTCTGATAGTAAACAGTGGGAATATATTCCAGTTCGAATTAAACGAAGAAAAGCTGTGTGTTATCGTTGTTTCATCGACTGGAGATGGAGACGCACCAGACAACGCGGCTCGTTTTGTGAGAAGAATTAACAGAAAAATTCTCGCCAATGATTTCATGAAAAACCTCGACTACGCAATACTCGGTGAGTGACACTGTCTGTGATCACAAGACGAACTGTGGTCGGTTGTCTGATAACGATTGATGTCCTAGTTGCGTCCTTTTCTAACCGCAAAATGACGATACGGTGAATTTAGGGCTGGGCGATTCTAATTACTCGAGTTACCAAACGATTCCTCGCAAAATTGACAAGCAGCTCACGGCTCTCGGAGCAAGTCGGCTTTTCGAAAAAGGAGAAGCCGACGATCAAGTGGGGTTTGGGAACAGAAAATATAAAAATGTGGGGAAGATGAAACAATTGTAGACTTGATTTGGCTGTTGAACCATGGATCGAAAAGTTGTTCGCTGTTTTGGCGGCGCGATTTGGTATCTCAGAAGAGAAAATGAATGCTATCACGGAGGCTCCACAAGTTAAATTTAACGAGATCAAGTCGGAAGAAGAGAAAAAGGCATTGCTGGAGAAAAGACGCGCGGATGAAGAAAACGACGAAGAAGGAAAAGGCGGAGTGACGGGTGTGGACATGCTCATTCCGGAGCACTACGATTACCCGGAAGTTTCATTGCTAAAAGGTACTGCTTCTGAAGGATAGTTTCTTGATCTTCATGCTTATTTCTAGGTACACCACAACTTTCAAACGACGAAAATCTTCGAGTACCGATCGCTCCGCAGCCCTTCATAATTTCTGCAGTCTCTCATAAAAAACTGTCCTCGGATATCAAGCTGGAGTGGCAGAATCTGTGCAAAATGCCAGGAGTCGTCACCAAGCCTTTCGATGCTCTTGTGGTGTCTACGGAGTTCGTCACTGACCCGTTTTCCACTATAATCAAAACCAAACGAATGATCACTGTGGACTTTGGAGGTATGATCATGCACTTCACTTTCAATTCTATTGGTACTGTTTTACAGAGAATTCTGCCGAACTCCAGTACGAGCCGGGAGATGCCATCTACTTCTGTGTTCCGAACCCTTTGGCGGAAGTGAACTTCATTTTAAAACGCTGTGGAGTTCTGGCAGTGGCCGATCAGCAATGCGAACTTTCGATCCATCCGAAGACTGAAAAAATCAACGCCCAAGTTCCGGGACATGTGCACAAAGTCACGACGCTCCACCACATGTTCACCACGTGTCTAGACATCCGGCGAGCGCCAGGAAGGGTTTGTTGTAAACTATGATAATCACAAATGAGGGAACGTTTCAGCCGCTGATCCGTGTTCTGGCCGAAAATACTTCAGATGCGACAGAGAAGCGAAGACTGCTTGAACTGTGCAGTGCCCAGGGAATGAAGGATTTCAATGAGTACGTCAGACAGCCAGGACTGTCACTCGCAGATGTGCTGTTCGCTTTCCCGAATGTGAAGCCACCAGTCGATCGGCTCATCGGTAGTCCTTTGCTCCTTTTCATAGACCCAAATCTGTTTAATTAACAGAGCTCCTTCCTCGTTTGATTCCACGTCCGTACAGCATGTCTTCTTACGAACAGAGGCGGGCTCGTCTCATCTACTCCGAAATGGAATTCCCGTGCTCCGAAGGGAGAAGACATTCCCGAAAGGGACTCGCCACCGATTGGCTCAATTCGTTGCGAGTCGGCGACAAAGTACAAATTCTCGGAAAGGAACCAGCTCGCTTCCGACTTCCGCCTTTGGGTCAGCCGAAGTCTGCAGCTGGAAGGCTGTCATTGCTCATGATCGGACCAGGGACCGGAGTCTCCGTCTTCCTCTCCTTCCTCCACTTTTTATTGTGAGCCCTTCTTATTCTCTTTCCGTATTTTTGGTATTTTTCAGAAAAGTTAAACGTGAATCTCCCGCCGATTTCTCCGAAGTTCCACGTATCCTCTTCTTTGGTTGTCGAGATGTTTCTGTTGATGGAATATATATGTAAGAACTTTCCATTTTGAGGCAAATTCCGGCGACGAACGGACGCCCGCACAATCGTAAAGATCCACAGATTTATGTGTCTGCGCCAGTCAGTCGGACAGACGTCGTCGCGCATCCCATGATTTTCTCAATGTCTTTGCTAGAAAATACAAGGGAACATTTGCAGGAACGAGTTACGCGGATTCATGAACGAAGGGATTCTCACCGAACTAATCATCTGCGAGAGCGAACAAAAGGGCGAACGAGTGCAGGACGGACTGAGGAAGAATCTCGATAAGGTGCTTCCATTCCTGACGCCATCTGCAGAGTCGAAGATCTTCATCTGTGGAGATGCGAAAGGAATGTCCAAGGATGTGTGGCAATGCTTTGCAGACATTGTGGCAGCTGATCAGAGTCTCAATGACTTGGAAGCCAAGAAGAAGCTTATGGATCTGAAAAAGTCGGACCAGTACATCGAAGATGTGTGGGGTTGATTTATTCTACTGTTCTATATATCATCTTTCTCTTATCATATTATTTATGTGATTTGTATCCTTAAGGGTTCATAAAATATTGATGTTATGAACGATTGTTGTTCCACTCTTCGACTAGAATCAGCTATAACGTCTACAGGCCACATCGTGGTCGCCCATCTTCTTTGGACCGTTTTTATGACCACATTGTACTCTCTTTCTCTCTGCGCAACCGTTTTCTTATCGACATTAATGATAAAATGACTTCACACGTTTCGTTTGTTTCCCCCGCGTTTCGTTTCCGATCGCTTTTCCACTCGTTCCTTTCAGAATGATCTTCCACGGCGACGAGATCGAACTGTCCACAAAGCCAGTCCACGAAACCCTTCTCGAGAGATTCGAACTGCTCGATGAGAAGGATCCTGACAACATGGCCTTCGTGACTGCGCACAATGAAACGGACTGCCTCGGATTCAGAGAACTGCACCGGAACGTCATAGTTCTCTCCGAGTGGTTCGTCGAGAACGGCTACAAAAAGGTACAAAACGTCTTCATTTCTTCTCCTTTTTTCAACACATTTCTTCCTCCAGGGCGACGTGGTACTTCTGGCTGCCACCAATAACTGGCGCTTCTTCGCCGCTGCACTCGCCGCCTGGAGAGCCGGATTGGTGGTGTCAGCCGCCTCCGATCAGTTCACACCATGTACCCTTTCCCTGAAGTTTGATCGATTTCTTATCTTATTTTTTCAGTCGAAATGCATTATCAAATTGAAGATTCCCAGTCGAAAATCGTGTTTGTCGATGCGCATACTATTCCTGTTGTTCTGGAAGGGTCGAAAGGAATCCAGACGATCCGACATGTTGTCTCGTTCTCGCCCTCTCCACCTACGAACGTTCTTTCCTTTGAATCTTTGGCCAGTGGAAAAGTGAAAAATCTGAAAATGCCGGAAATTGATGTGGTAAACGACATCGTCTTCCTTCCGTACTCGTCTGGAACCACTGGCAAACCGAAGGGAGTCATGATCTCTCATCAGAACTTTGCAATGATGTTGGCTTCTAGTCTCAAGTAAGCTTCTATTATTCTGTTCTTTGGGCGACATTCTTGTTCCAGAGTGTTCGGAGACATTGCTGCCTCATTCGGACTTCCGGAAGACTTCGTCATCCCGCAGGATCTGCACTTCCTCCCGATGTACCACGCGATGGGGATGTTCCGAACTCTCCTCAACGCGTACCGTGGCTCCACTCAAATTCTCTTCTCCAAATTCGACCTCGAACTGATGCTCCAACTTATCGAGAGACATTCCGTCATGAATCTCGCGGTCGTTCCGGCTATCCTGGTCCGAATGATCAATTCTCCTTTGCTGAGCAAGTACGACATCAGCTCAGTTGTCAGCATCTCAGTTGGCTCCGCCCCCCTTCCGGAAGGAGCCGTCCAGAAGTTGAAGACCATTCTTCCCGATGTGAGAATCGTGCAGGGGTACGGTATGACTGAACTCACGTTTGCCTCTCATCTTCCTGGTCCGGGATCTCCGGAAGGAAGTGTGGGCCGCGTGGTTCCCGGGACGTCGATGAAAGTGTTGAAGGAGGATGGATCGCTGTGCAAAGTAGGTGAAGTTGGAGAATTGTGGATCAAAGGACCACAGATGATGAAGGGATACTGGCGGAAAGAGCATCTGAGCAAGGAATTGATAGACGAGGAGGGCTTCATGAGGACTGGAGACATTGTTTACTTCGACAAGAACGGAGACACTTTCATTTGTGATCGAGTCAAAGAGCTTATCAAAGTGAACGCGAAGCAAGTGGCCCCTGCAGAACTCGAATCGGTCCTTCTGGAGCACGATGACGTGGCAGATGTGTGTGTGTTTGGAGTGGAAGACGAGTTGAGCGGGGAGAGACCGGTGGCTTGTGTGGTATCGAAAAGGAATCGGGATCAAGAGACTGCCAAGGCCATCATGCAGTACATCAATCGTCAGTTGCCCTCTGTGTCTGTATAACTGTACTTAATATTGTGGTTTTTAGAGAAGTTGGCCCGTTACAAGCATGTCAAAGAAGTCGAGTTCGTCGCAGAGATCATGAGAACTGGCACTGGGAAGATTCTGAGAAGGAGCATGAAGAAGATGTTCTTGGACTCCAGAAAGTCTCGTCTCTAACTCTACACTTTAAATTATTTACAATGACATCATTATTAGTTTGTACAGTTTGCCAATGAATTCTCTACTATCTCTGCACAGAGTTGTGCTCGTCGATCGCTTTGTTCATGCACAAGTCAAGTGTTTCTCTGAGTTGAGTTCTCCGCAGAAGATATTCATCCGAAATGACTGCGTACAGGGCACTCCGTTCACATCTGAAATGCCATCTGTTCGTCCGAACTGTGTTTTTGTTTCACTTACACGTCCGCTTGCACACAACAGTCACTGAGAAGAGCGCATTCCTTTCTTTTCCGGGACACCTCCAAATGACAGTTCCCTTCCCTCCGCGGCTTTCTCTCTTTGAGAGCGCTCGCCCTGCACACTCTTTCCGTGATCAGAAACTCGCGAGTCACATTGGCCACGGGAACACATTTATCGAGGTAGGCGAATGCTTCGCTTCTTCGCTGGTTCATCGTCTGAAAGTCTTCCGCAAGGGATCTCCGACACGATTGCCACGTGGAATCGGAAGCATCGTCCGAGTCAAGGCCATCCACGGAGTGAGGCTGAAAAGAGTTGAGAGCATCGGAATGGACACGGAACTCACGTTACTCTGCTTCGAACAATTCACTCTCATGTCATGAGCATCCTTCTGACACTGCAGATACTTCAGGCACAGCGAAAAGGGTGGAGACTCAATTATCCGCACTTTCTTCTGCTTTTTCGGTTCGGCAATCGCATGAGGATGGATTTCTTCTTCTAAACAGAAATTGCCAAGTTTCGCAATGTTTCACATCTACCGTACCATGCTGTGCACATTCTGCCATTTTGATCTCCACTTCTTCTTTCAATCCACTTAAAGTCCGTCCGTTTTCACTATACACCTCAACCTGTTCGCATCTGAAATCACAGAATGACAGAAGCACTGATGAGCTCGGAACTTTTGGAAAAGTACCTGGATGCTGGCTCACAGCATCTCCGCAGAGCATCGCAACGATTGGCGAGCCGAGCGATTCGGATGGAGCAGTCTCCGTCGGTGGCGGTTCGGTTGAAGAGGTATCCGGAGCAGAAACGAATCTGAGCGGGGGAAGGTGAGGGAATTGAAATACCAACTCACTTTATCCGGGTTTGTGATGTACGTCAAATTACTCTCCTTCATAGTGCTCTCCACACATTTCCTGGATTCTCTCTTGATAATCTCATCGTACCTCGCAATCCCTTCGAAGTCATTTCGCATTCTCTGAGCACACTTCTGCTCCACTCTCTTTCCTTCGCACACCCTGATCAATTGCACCTTTTCATCGATGCATTCATGATAAGAATCACATGCGAAACGAAAGTCCAAAGGCTGAAAAAGTCATCTGAAACGAAATGGGAAAGTGGGAAGTAGGAACTCACTGCACTGCCGAAAACAGTAGAAAAGATGAGGAAAACGACGAAGGCAGGGGTTCGCATTCCGGCCGAAGAATGCCCATTCCTCGATTCGGACAGCCCGTCTCGCTCGATTATCTTTCTTTCTTTGTTCAATAAACCGGTCGAGAATAAAATTAATCAGAAAAGGATTTATTCGATGCATCCATCAAATCACAGATTTCGGAGAAAGAGAGAAAGAGAGAAAGAGAAGAATATACAATTGGTAAAACATGGAACAATGACTATTTCGGTGAAGTTTTTCAATTCATATTTGGTCAGGGATGAGAGGTGGAAATGGACATGCGTGAGAGAGAGAAACCCTGTGAGAAGAGCTGCTGAGAGAGTATATTATATTATTATTAGGGGGACGACCCCAATAGTGATGTTCCAAATGTTCAGTGAGAACGCGGATATCTTAGGTTTCAAGCGACAATTATTAAACGGATAATACATGATAATAATTGAATATTGGATGAGTAAGAGAGAAGGAGTACCCTGAAGACGGCTGAAACTACATAACAAACAAGAGAAGTGTGTCACCGATGGGAAAACAAAAAAGCGGGAAAACGGATGGGAATGGAATGTAGGGTCTAATCGGAGTCTCCGTCCTCAGAATATGCGTAGTTCGGATCGTGACGCTTCATCAAAGGCGATGCTCCTTCGCCACGTCGATGAAGTTTTTGGCTTGGGTAACCACGTTGATGCGGGGGACGGCCAGCGCCAGAAGAACCTGCAATTGAGAAGGCGGTTTAAAATTTGAACCACAAGAAGAAATTTTTCACCACTATGCGATCCTGCTCTGTTGTTGTGCTGCTGGAGGATCGAGTGGGCGGGACTGGCGAGGGACCACGATTGCAGGCGACTGCGGATTTCCGAGAAAGTCGGCCGACGGTCAATGTTCTCGTGCCAGCACTCCACCATCAGACTGTAGATGTTCGTTGGGCAGTTGTGCGGACAGTCGAGCAGGTGACGGTTGGCGATGAGTTCGATGACCTGCTGGTTGCTGGCTCCCTCGTACGGCTGCTTTCCGAACGACCAGATCTCCCAGAGCGTGACTCCGAACGACCAAACATCAGATGCCTCGCTGAACCTTCCATGTTCGATTGCTTCCTTTGACATCCATCTGACGGGCATCCACGATCGGTGATGCATCTGGAATGATAATGGTTGAACTGATACACGTGTCACTTCACCACTCACCTTGTAGTAATCATTTCCGTACGAAGTCCGCATCAGTCCGAAATCAGCTATCTTGATAGTTCTTGTGTCACCAACGAGACAGTTACGAGTGGCCAGATCCCGATGAACAAATGACATTGAGGTCAGATATTCCATGCCGAGAGCAATCTGCGTGGCAATGTACAGAAACTCCGCATTCGCCTCGTTGATTCCGTTTGTGTCGTGATCGGCTGGCGGCATCCGAACTTTGAGCAACTCGTGCAGATCTCCGTGGACCATGTACTCGAAGACGGCCAAAAGGTTGTTTTCCATGTAGCACACTCCAATCAGTTTGACGACATTCGGGTGATCGAAAGTGGCGACTGCACGGATCTCCTGCTCAAGCATAGCTCGGTCTGCATTCGTCGCTTCCGGTCGGCACTTTTTCACAGCCACGGCCATCGGATCCGGACCGAACAGACCCGATGTGTAGAATCCAGAGTGGACGATTCCGAACTGACCGTCTCCAATCTGCTCGCGGATGCTCAACTGGGACGGAGTGATCTCGAAAACTTTGTACGAATTGTCATCGATCGGCTCTTGGGAAGGGAAACGGCGGGCTTGCTGTGGGTGTTCGATTGGGTACGGAGGTGGTCCGAGGTGTTGAGCAGAGGGCAGAAGGGAAGCCATTTCGACGTGAGGAGGCCCTCCTCTTCCAATTATTGGAGTCGAAGTTCCATTCAGTTTCCGGTAGTAGGCAGAATTGGCGGCGCTGTTGATGATGGACGGAGCGCTGGAGCAGTGGAGAGGAGCATGCGAAGAGTTCTGATGACGTGACTTCTGCGACTTCTTCTTGGCGCGACAGCAGCAGGCACAGCAGAAGAGGAGCAGCAGCAGAAGAGAGAAGAAGACGCCTCCTCCGACGAGAGCCACTTGCATTGTGGGGTCGAGGGAGTCCCAGAGAGCGGTAACCGATTCGGAAACTCCGTTCATTCCTCCTTTTCCGCCTCCTTCCGCCAATTTCTTGTCGTTCAAATGCGGATACATGTCACTCGGACACTGTGGAACATCACAGTATTCCTCCTGTCCCATCGGCTTCGCATAGCACCACGGCTTGGTTTTCTTGCCTCCCGGATTGCGGCAGTAGTTCTTCGCGCCCATCAAGTCGGGAAAGCGATGCACATTGAAGTCTCGTGAGGTGGAATCGATCCAAGGAGCACATGGCTTTCCGGAAGCCGTCTGCGCTACTGTGCCTTCGTATTGAGTGCCACTGTTCACGTAGCACCAGTGGGTGAGATGACCTCGGTTGATTTCCGCCGCTGGATTCTGAAACTAAAAGGATGCATAGATCCGCAGAAAAGTCTCGCAGACTTACAGGTTGGATTGCAGTGTTCATGACTGGAATGCAATTCGAGGTGGAGGAGAGACGGGAGCACAGTGGGAACAGCGCTTTCGGCGTGTCTCCCACGAGCTCGTGCTGTGCAGCAAGGGCCAGTTCCGACGGACACTCGTCATTCTGAAACGGGCGCTTGTTGGAGTAGATCGGATTGACTGAATAGATCAAACCTGAATGACATCGCAGTCGTGGCGGCAGATTGCAACAATTTGATTATTAGTATCCGACTCGCACACTTTGTACATGTGATGACAGGCGACCGCTTGCGAGAGCTGCCGGCACTTTTGTGATATCGTCGGCGCGCCGTTGATGAAGAGCATGGCGGCACGGAGGTTTCGGTCGATGTCGTACATCTCCTCGCGACTCTCGTTGGTCATCATGACAAACTTGTTGGACAAGTACTGCCTGCAGGCTTCTCCTCGGTACTGCACACAGTCGCCGACCCGGTATTTAATACCATCAAGCCATCGTTCTGAAACTGCGACCGGTGCAAAATTGGCTCCTGCTGCTGAGTCAGGCACACGATATAAGTCCGCATCCTCTTCGTCTGGTAACCGTCCTCGATCCATCATCTGAATTAGAGCAGGTTAATCGGGAAAGGAACGAAAGAGAACTCACCTCGTAATCTTCGTATTCGTCGAAAGCAATTGGCTTCTTGGAGTGATGTGATCCTTTCTTTGCGATTTTACAGCATCCGGGACGTTGTTCACCTGAACTTGATCGTTCATTTCTATCAAGTCGCGGGAAATCGCAAAGGTTGGGCGGGCAGATGAAGGGGACTGGCTGTCGCTTTTGAAGGCGCCGAAGAGCCGAATGATAGGGAGAGCAGGATGGCTGTAGAGCCTGGGAACTGACAGCCCATTTACGAGTATGCAAATGGAAAAGACACCTAAGAGATGGACTGTTGAGTAAACATCGTCCTTCCCTCCTTCCCTGTCGTATAAAGTGTTTGGATTTGAATTGTGAGCCCTGGTGCCCGGGGAGCAGGGAAGTCAATAGGAAGAAACGACGAGGGAGGGAGGGAGGGAGGGAGAGGAAGACTAGGTTGAGCCATAAATCAAGTGAATCGCATTCCGACGCCTGTTATTTGTTGCACTTCTCACTTTTTTCGCCTCCTCTCTTTTCATTTTTCTCTGCTCTCGAGCTTCACTAAAAGTTGCGAATGAGCCGCAAAACGAGGCGAGAATGAGGAGCGATAGGCGAGAAGAATGGGATAGATAAATTGGAATCGGCGACATTTATGGGCGGCGCGTATGATTTATGTAGGGGGCTGGGAAATGGAAGAAGAAGAAGAAGAAGAAGAAGAAGAAGAAGGAAAGGGGGAGCCCGCTGACTGATCGAGCGTTTTAGAACGGTTTGTAAAGGGAAAGGAGGGAGGGCAGCAGCAGCAGAACGAGATGGATACAAATGATATGGTGCTGCAGCATGCGAGAACGGGCGGATGATCGATCGAACGCAGCATCTGGAGCATCGCCCATCGAGAAAACAACCGAGGCTACAGAAGAGAGACCAACCGGACAGGCCAGGCCACTCGCAGATGTTTGGGACACTGCACCTGCGCACATTTTGTTTTTTTTTACCAACTAGAAAAGTGACAGTCCAATGTGGTTAAATAACCAAGGACACTTGCGGAAATGTACCGACTCCTGCTGTGAAAAGTGACAAAATGAAGAAGAAGAGGGAAGCTTATCACCTGGTTTCCCCTCCACTTATCTTCATTATTTACGTGGCACAGAAGTTTTTCTGCGTTCCCGACGAAATCAGTTCACATGACGAACAAGCCTTATCGTTACTCCGCACAAGATTCTTTGGAGCAAAGAGTTTGAGTCGGCTGATTTAAAATGTATGCAATCGGAGAAAAGTCCCATTATTCCAAGCACGCACTACGGCCAAAATGTGTTTCCATTCACCCGGTTTGACGGAAAAAGAGGAAAGGAGAAGGAATTAGGAAAATAATTGGAAATGGTCCGAATCAATAATGATAATCAGGCTGGGGTCACAAACCACTGATGCATATATGGCATGATCATAAATAATTGGTTTGCTCGAACGGGGGAGGTAAGATAAGAGATGAAGAGAGAGCGTGCGGGGTGCGGAAACGCACAACCACGGGGATGTGCACAATTTTCGGGAGTTTGATAACATCGATTCGATGATTTGCTTCGTGTCTTCTCTCAGTGTTTGTGAGAGGAGCACGCAAAAACGTTTCTAAATGAAATATGTCGTCTCGGCACGGAAACAGACTGTAGAAAAGGGAGGGATGAGCGGCAGATGGGTGAAGTATGCGGTCCTTTCAAGGGGTCTTCTAGTGTGATCTGGGAGGAGGGCTATGGACTAATCCGATCATATTTATATGTGCTTAAGAGTTACTCAAAATTCTCGGAAGCATTTAGAAAAACAAAGGGACAAATGACCGGTGTTGGTGGTCGAGTGAAAGTGGAAGAGGTGCGAAGATAAGGAGGGCGAGACGGAGCGCGCGACGAGAAGACGACGACTGGGGTGGCGGAGGGCGGAGAGACGACGGGTTCGATCCTCTCTCATCCATCACTGGAGCTGACAACGAATCGAGGACAAAACAAAGGGCTGCGGTGGTGTTGGTGGCAGAACAGAGAATGAACCGTTTTGGGGACTTTGTCTTGGAAAGGCAATTAAAAGAAGATGGGTTTATTTGGGTAAAATGAACCTAGGAGATTCTGTCATCAAGATATCATCGCCATTGTTGTTGGACTTGAAACAGCAATAGTTTCAAAAAGTGCGTCTGCATAGGAAGAGCCCACTGGAGAACGTTACAAAAAGTGCGCAGTGCATATGTCAGCTGTTTCAATTGGATCTGATTTATAACGTGGCAACAAGTGTTTATTCCCTTGGAGACCTCTCCGCTTTTTACTGCTCTTTTGACGCTAAGGCCTTATGTGTTTCGTAACAACTATGTCATTTCGCAATAGTATGAAAAGAGTGCGAAGCCTCCTCAAAATGAGCTGCCAGTGCGCGTCGCCGCCTGAATGGCAACAACTGCAAAGACAATTTCAATTTGCAACGGCGACCCCCAGCTGATGCGGCACGGACGGACATCGCATCTCGGTTAATCATGAGAAACGGACGGATGCGGCAGCGGAAAACACGCCGACAATTGGGTTGGCTGACTATACAATGACCATGAAAAGGAGTCACTCACCCTGAGCACGCTGGTCGTGTTGACGGATGCTGCGGGATTCGAGACGATGCACTGATAGTAGCCACTGTCGAGCACGTCGAGCTGCGTTATCACGAGTCGCGAGGAGCTCTCTTTATCTCGAATCTTCACTCGTTTCGACTTTTCCACTGGTCCCTTGTTTTTCAGCCATCTGAAACAACATCACTTCAGTTTCAGCTATTCAATAAGGACTCACATGAACTTGAGTGGAGGTGTTCCAAGTGCTTCGCATCTGAATCTTACTTCATCGCCAGCGTTCTTTGTTGCATTGCGAAGTTGAGAAGTGAGCCGAATGTACGGGCGTTGGCCTGTCGACGTGCCCTCCATTCTGAAAACAAACAGTTAAAGTTTTTAATGGCAATGTTCTCAGTCTCATAAATTTGATGGAGTGGTGCTCTCTCGACGGAGCAGTTGTTGGGAGAATAACAAATACCATGACATATGGGCTCGGCATTATGCAAAAGAGAGGCGAGAAGAAACGCATTAATTGGATAATTGTGACGTTTTAAAAGCGGAAAACTCTTTTATAGACATTGAAGAGCAGAACAAGAGTTCAGTGATAAAAAAAACCGACAAAACACTGGAGGAAATGAAGGAGTGCGAGAAGACGGAGGAGGCCCAAAAGGCGTCGCAATGGCCATAAATTGTGGATGCTGTCGGTCAAACTAGGAGCTCATTATTCACGAGAAGCGGCAACGAAATGGAGCAAGTACTCGAGCGTGTCCCTCCCGAAAATGAAGTGAAATTGGTAGAGAAAGTGTGTGGAGATGGGAGAGACCGTCCGGATGGGATGACACTTGTGAGACCTCACACAAAGAGACTTCCTATTCATATTAGAGGAACGAAGAAGAAGAAGAAGACGGACAAAACTTTGAGAATGCAAGCGAATTCGGAGTAGTACTTGAATAGAAACAAAAGAGGAAATTCCTCATTTAAAGAGATCGATCAGAAATGGGAGGGAGCATGGGTGGTAGATCTAAAGTTGAGGGTAGATCAAAATGAATCAGACGTGGGACAGATTGATCAAACATGCGGATTGTGCAGATTTTTGCACTCTTGCTCAAGGGCCCTTAAAGAATGGTATCGAATAGAGCTAATCGGATGAGGGACCTCGGCAGCACACACACATGAAGCATACACGTACGTGCTGAGCTGTGTGCTCTCATCAAGAGTGTGGGAGAGGAAGGAGTCTAATTAGGTCGGAGGAAGAGCAATGAAAAGCGCATCAGTCAAACTAATCGAACATTTGCGTCGACTCATTCTCGCTCTGTTTCTTCGCAGACCCGGCTCACTAAATCACGATTTGAGAAAGTTGTCCGTCGCGTAAATAGTTGAAATAATGATGAAGATTGATGGAAGGAGGGCGAGGGAACGTGCTGGCGACGGAGAGACAGACTCCCGTCCCGCATGTCCGACGGCCTAAGAGAGCTCCAAATTTGTGCCGAAACAGAAAGAGAAAGAGGTAGAGAGAAGAAGCGAAAGGAACCGACAACCGGTGGATAAACACGAGAGAAACATTTGATAAAAGTGGATCACAAACAGAAAATACCGCACGGGCAGGGGGAAACACTACCAGTTGTGCCTGGCAGAAAGAGAGAGAGAGAGAGAGAGAGAGAGAGAGAGAGAGAGAGAGAGAGAGCATAGAGACGACTGTTTGGCTCACTGGGACATCCGAAAATGGCGTCATTATGAGCGCGAAATATGACGCTGTTTGCCAGAAATGGAAATACGGTACGTATTCAGGAGCATATTGATCCATATGCAAATACAATTGGATCATTCTGCACTTGAAGTCGTGAGAAACAGAATAAAGTAAACAATCGAACGCATTCAGGGAATCTAGATGTCCTACAGGAAGATTTCATATAATTATGGTAATGAAACTACCGTACTCCAATCAGAAAACTAAAGGGAACCGAAAAATAAGGTGAACCGCACACAGTTGCCGAAACCTCATTAATTAGGAACTGATAACCTCGCTGCGGTAGTAGCATTTTTTACGATGTGTCATCATTACAAGGCCAATAAATAATGAATCGAGTAGTCGATGAGCGGGTGTGCGAGAGCGGCTGCGCGGAGAGCGGACTGAGGCGGACCACGCGGCAGTCATCCGCGACGAGAGAGCACGCTGATTCGAGAGACACAGAGAAAGAGATGAATGACGGACAGAGGTCAGTCCGTTTTGTCAGTCAACGGATGGACACGGTGAGTGGAAGAGGAGGTGGTGGTCCAGTAGCCATGCGGTGGCCGGGGTGTCAAGTGGATTATGCAAGGAAGAAGAGGTGGTGATCCGTTATGTCGACATGACACCTCCGGACGGACTGATGGCTAACCCAGTTTCCGGAGAGCATTGATGACAGTAACCAATGGAATTTCTGGGATTGTACTAACTGTATCGATCTGAGTTGATTAAATAGTTTGAAAATGGTGGTCATTCAGAGATATCGTTCGAGATTACTAGAAGAATCCCTTAGAGAGTCAATTCTAAAAGTGATAAGAAAGTTATACCAATTTTGAATTCCTTTAATTCCTTAAAGAGGAACTTCTCCAACAAGTTTAGCGATCGTTCTTTAAACGTAGTTGAAGAAAGGAAGCTTTAAACAAGGATTAAAAACGGTGGCAACAATCATAGAGAATTAATGTCAAGTTTAAGGGATTTTCGAATTTTAAGTCGAACCGTTCTAATCGTTTTATTTTCAATCCTACTTTTCTTTGGAAGGTGCGCTAACGTGTGACAAATGATGAAAAATGGACGACGGTGCGCAAAAGATGTTGAGAAGATAAGGCGGTTAGTGGGGAGAGAAAAAGGAATAGATCGTCAATGTCCGAACAATTATACGACTGTCGGTTGAGGAGGGAAGGACGAAATTATCAGCGAGGCACATTGCATAACCGCGACCTGATGGATGTGGGAACTGCGAGAACCATCTGGCGGTAATCGGATGAACCGCGTCCCGTTTGTTCCTTTCCAAATTGCTACCTCTCCGGATCATCGCCCCCCGAGTACCCTCCCTAATTACTGTTATTATCGTATCAACTCACGATGCATTTCCGTAGTGAAGACCGTCGTCGTCGGCTGGTTCTATCACGAGATCATCGTCTTCCGGTCGAGGAGACATTCCTGGAAAAAGATATGAAATGTTGAAGGTACGAAAGGAAGCAGAAGAAGAAAAAGAAGCAGGTGAAGATTCAGAATTCGAAATTCGAAAGGCAAAGAGAGAGACGCAGCGTTTTTTCATTAACGAATTCGCCGGACCACCCGTTTTTCGATTGCAAGTTGCCAGCGGAGAGCCAGCGGGCGGATATTTATTAGTAGTACATTTTGATGCTTTGCATGTCGATGTCATGGATGGCGGAATGAGTTAGTAAAAATGGAAGTGGATTGAAAGAGAACAAGAAGGAAAGAGAGAGAAGGAGAAAAGTCAGAGAGCAAGCAAGCACCTGGTTAATGAGATTCTGTAGCCAATTCCAGCTAAAGACAGTGAATAGGTGGAGTGGAAATGCACATAAATGAGGTGTCAAACGGAGGTATACGAAGATGAGGTAGCAGGAGCTCGTCTTCCAAGAGTAAGAAAATCGAAGCTAGAAATCGGAGAGCGATGCATTCACGCATTCACTGCAAATTGGATGAAAGTGCATCAGCCGGCTGGACGGAGCGGACAAAAATTCAAGAAAAGGGTCCTTCAGGCAGTGCAAAATTTGTTTATGCGGGGGGATTAGGCGGAGTACAGAGAGCGAGAGAAGAGACGATTATAATCAAAATGGACAACAAGTAGCCGGGGAGAAAAAGGGAAGTTATGAATATTAAAGAGTCTCTTCTTTCTCCTCCCTCCGTTTGGAATGAGCGCATTGGGCGAAGGGATGGGATGATCGAATTAGAAGAGCGCTTGTTCTTCTTGATTCCAAAAATATGAGGCATCTGGAGGAAGAAGAAGCAGATACCTCTAATTAGAAGTATTCGGCTTTCTGCGTCAACAACAACAACAATGGAGAGTCTCAAGGAACGGACGGATGGGTGGGAGGAAGGCAAAGAAGAGGAAGAAGAAGGAGAAGAAGAGCAGCTGATTTGGAACAGAAGGGTGTGAAGAGCTTCGGCACCAAGGTACGGAGAGGGAAGTAAACGACGGAGAGGATGAATACTTGTGAAAAGAAGATAGAGGGGAAACCACTTTCAAAACGGAGGTGCCAAACTTATGTGCAAACAAGTGGGAGAGAAGAAAGGAACTTGAATAGGGAAAGAGAAGGGCCGTGACGAACAAAACAAGGTTGGAAGGAAGGATTAGAAGAGTAGGCAGTTCGGCTACGTCACAGATTGCTGAGATGCCTGCACTCGGAGCAGGAGGAGTCTTCTCGAATATCAATTTCGGAGTTGAAGTGCAAACGGTGAGCGCCCGCAGGTGTCTCCTCCTTATTGTGCTGTTGCGAGCAGGAGCAGGAGGAGAAGAAGAAGCAGGAGCCAGAGCTCAAACAAGGCAGGAAGTATGGCACACCGAACACTTGTGTCTCACTTCTCTCGTGCATGTACACACTCGCGTCCGAGACGCGCGTAATTACGGTATTACGTTTCGCCGAGTACACCGACAAAACACGATGGATAGGTAGAAGTGCAGTGGAGCGAGAAGGCGGATCAAAATAGGACTGCCGACCACAATGGGTTCGAAGCGAGGCGACGACGGAGCCATTCATGAAGTGGACAGAAGAAAGGATTCGTGCACAAATGGGACAAATTATGAATGGCGGCGCGAACCACCGACTGCTGCGGATTTCGAGAAATTCGGCTTGCTCGAGTAATTACACTTGAGGGGTGCTTCACACGAACAAAACGATAATGGAAGGCGGCACATTTGAGAGACTGTCAAACAGAAGGCATTTCCTCTAATGTGGAGAGGAAGATGAAGTACGAAGAAAGAAAAGGAACAAGAATCTACGGAAGGCAACGAACGTCCTTCACTAATCAGCGTTTCCGTTGCATTGCATGGGGAAACATTTGGAGAAAAAAACGGCGGGTAAGAGAACGAGAGGGTTTTGTGAAATTCAAAGTGATTCCTCCTGAATGGAAATGATTCGAAAGAAGCGTTGGAACGGCGATGCGCAGAGAAGATCGACAGGTTTTGGAAACTAATTTGAGTTGTCAGATGCCGACGGGGTCACTTTCAACGCTGGATTTGCAAACGCCGCCGAGGACGACGCCGACGACAAAAAGCCGATTTGACGGCGTGTAAGCCAGGTTGCGGAGGCCGCGACAGGGGGAGAAACTCAGACGGAGAGCGGACGCGCCGTGTTCAAAACGTCTCGAATTTCCGGACGGATCACCTCCGCCGCCGTCGGCTTCCCTCGCCGGGGCTCCTGAGAAATTCAATACGGAGGCACGAAAGTGCGTGTACTTGGGAATTGTTTTAAAGTTGGATAAGCCGAGAAACTGACACCCAAAAACACACTCTCACGGAGCACGAGCTCACCAGAGATCAGCTGACTGTTTAACGGAAACAGGATACTCTGGGGCGAGACTGTGTTGTGATCATGCACAAGATCAGTCGGCGGAGGCGCTTCCGCACTCTAGAGGACTCTTCTTCGCAGGCCCGCTCGGCTCTATATGAATCGCGAATGAAGACGTCGTCTCTCGTGGGGGCAGCTCGAAATCAAATATTCTCGCTGCCGGAGTGCCCTCCTCTCACATCAAAAAAGTTTCATCCAGAAATATTGGCGGAGATAAAAAGTAAATGATGGGCGGCGTGGAGCAGCAGCGCGAGTGGACATGCTTCGTGGTGTCCGGACTGGCTCGGAGAGAGCGTGCTCCGAGAACAGACGCAGACAAGATCCGTCCGTTGTCAGATGATGTGATTGACATGGCAGGGAGGGCCGAAACCCGCAAAACTTGACCAAGAATAAGGTTTGATAGATTGCCAAAAACATGGATACGAAACGAAATGAGAAACTGGTTAGGCGGAGGGCCACGTCATAACATTCTTCGAACAAGTAGAGCCACTTGAGCGGGGCACACTTCACACTCGTTGAACGATGAGAAGGGCGTTTGAGGAGAGGAAGAAGGTGGGCGCGGAGGTCGAGAGATGGTTGCCCCGGGAAACGGAACTCCATTCGTACTGGAACTTTCTTTTTTTCTCAACACAAGTTATCAGCAGCAGCGCAAGAATGTTTCGGAAGGAAACGAATAGCCAAACAGAAACGGAGGGAAGGTATCTAATCATGTGTGCACACGGATGACCCTCTCCCCTTCCTTCTCCGAACATGCTCCCGCTGTTGTCTCCTCCCTTTCTCTTTTGTTAACATTACGCAATCGGAGCCACAATTAGAGCATATGTGCAATTATGTTCACACCTTTTATGCCCTCCAACCACTCACAATACTAGGTGTCGAGTGTACCGGAGGGATGACCTCTCCGTACTCAAATAGACATCCATTCATTCAGGTAGAGTACAAATAAACACACAGTAAAATGATATGTGCAGAGATCTTTAAACTTTTACTATAAAATCCTCTGGTTCGTTTCTCAAAGTGAGAATGTTCAAGTGATTGTAGTTGTGGCCAGTGATAATCTGCAAAATATTGTCTATGAAAAGATTTTTCAGATTGCTTTAAACTCACTTGATATCCTGATTTGAAGATTACAAATGGCTGATCTCTAAGAACAACTGCTTCTACCTCCCGGTAACTTGGAGTTCTCGATTCTTTCGTGAACCTCATCACTGTCAATTTTTGGAAGTTGGTCGCCACGTACAGGTCGGGTCCATCCATGACTTGAAGCGTAGGCCTTCGCCAAGAATCCTTATTAAAGGTGGTGTCCAAGCTGACATACAACATATTTTTAAAATAAACTTCGAAGTGGGGCATTCACTTTCCCAAAGTCCCGAATTACGAAAAAAATTCCCCGATTTTTAAGATTTTTTTCAAAAAAGTTAATGGTACCGAGAGAAGTACACGGCGAAATGGAAGAGCTGGCCTAGATTTTTCTAGTCCCCAGATGGAATTCCCCTTTCTTCCGATTTTTTTTCATTTTCGTGCAAATTTTTCAAATTTTCACTCGTTTTTTTCACTGAACACACTTATTTGCAATATTTAAAAAATGTATGTATTTTTCCGTACCGTGACGCCAAGAAAATCGATAATCTGAAACGTTCAAAGTTTCCCGCGGAAGAAAACTGATTCATCTTCCAATTTTTCTTCATGAACATGCTCATTATGGCCAGTACTGGCAAAGAACAACAAAAATTTTTTTTTAATCTCATGGTCACTACGAAATCTGTTATTTTCGAGCAGCGGTTGATTGTGCGTGCTACGAGTGAGAATACAAATAATTTGACATTATTTTATAATGAAAATGTAGGCGGAGAGTTTCTCATAGTAACATCATCAAAAATTTTCCGAAATGTATCGTGCTTCCCCCTCGGCGCATCGGTCTAACACAGCGGCGAGAGTCACCGTACGCCGTCGGGGACTTCAGATGCGTGCCGCGGGAAGAATGCGTATTCATCTTACCTGTTTTCTTTGCCAATGTACTCTTTGTGCTTGAAACTAACAAGCGACAACAAATATATTAGAAAATTCTTCTGGGGTGTCTGCGAAAACCGCATCTGAATATGCAACAGTACTCTGTTGGCTTCAAATGCGTGCTGCCGGACGAATTGAAAAATTGTCTTCAATTTTTTGTTGCTGTTTATGAGTCTTGAATAATACGAACACATTCCCGAAGGAACCGGATAAGATGAATGCGCGCACAATCAACCGCTGCTCGAAAATAACAGATTTCGTAGTGACCCCATTCCGTTTTATTTTACTTTTTCCCAGATTTCTTGCAAATTTCTCTTTTTTTTTTCCGTAGTTTTGGCATTGAACAAACATACTGGCTGTATGTAGAAAAATTTATTCTAATTTCTGTGCAGTGACGCGAAAAAATTCGATAATCTGTAACTTCTATCAAAATTTCTTTTTTTTTCGGATTTTTCGCTTAGTTTTCGGTTTGCGCGCTGAAGAGTCAATAGAAAGAGAATTGCAGAAAATTTAGAATAAAAATGCATTTTCAATTCACGAGTTTTTGTAAACAAAACCCGTGTTGTTTTCTCCAAAAGTTCCTGATTTACGAATAGAATAGTCACCCATTTCCGATCCACTTGAAAAAAGAAAATTTTAACTGCAGATCAGTCTTTTCAAAAATATGCACGACATAAAATGCGCGTATTGTGGCCACTTCGGTGATCGTTCGCAAATGTCAATCGTACCGGCTGGTAGACGAGCCCGCGAAAATTGGATTGCTTCACTCGGGTCCACATTTTGCCGGACCATTTCGATTGGAAAAAGGCGATCATGGATCTGCGATGCCCACTTCAAGAAGAGGAAACGAAGCAGAAGATCACGATGGGATGTTCCTTTGGTATACGAATGTGTATATTGCATTGGACGGGGCTCTCATTTTCATGTGACGAATTTTTAGAGTATCTTGAGTCTTTTCAAAGGACGACGTTTGATTAGATTCCACACCACTAGTCTTACTTGCAGTTCGCTGATAGATAGTTTTCAATTGGAGATGGGAATTTTGAGCAAATTTGTAATTATGTGAGACCAGAAACAATTTTAGCCTACATTGGGAGGTGGTAAAAAAATTGGGACGTCGTCGAAAAGCGATCAAGCGGAAAAGGAAAACATGTCGCCGATTTCGGAGTGTTCACCGCTTAGTTATACTGAGGAACAAGTGGGAGCTTTGATGGGAATGCAGCAACAAAATATAATTTCAGCCAGATTTTTCTCCCCACTCCGACGCCGAAGATGATGACGAGTTTGAAGAAGAGGGAGAGAAAACAGACTCGGGTGTACAGCCGGAAGAAGAGCCTGATTACATTCTGGTAAAATGGGAAAATTTGAAATGTATTCTGTCTCGTTGCGAATCTTGCGGGACAAGAGACTCGACGTTCACACTTCGACACGCGGGTGCCAGCCTTCACTGTTCTTTCCGATGTAATATATGCCTTGTCGACTGGGAATGGGAAAGTTCGCCACTGACTCAGGGGAAGAGCCAAGCCCGATTGGTCAACACGGATATCGTTACGGCGACGTTTACGACTGGTGTACCTTTCAGTGTATGGTTTTCTTTTTAGAATTAATCATGAACTAGTAAAGTTCAGTCTGCTGACCGATTGTTCCGTCTTCTGAAGTGCCCATTTCCATCGAAAAGTGCTTTCATGAAAGCCGAATCGCAATACGTTTTTCCTGTTGTCGACGAAATATACGATGAGATTCAGAAGAAAGTAACTGACATTGTGTTTGAAGAAGGAGAAAAGGTTTCAAATTGGATACAATTATTTGAATTGTATCTGTTTTGAAGAATGGTGGAATCAACATCGCTTCCGACGCAATGTACGATAGTCGCGGGCACAGTGCTGATTACTGCAGAACCGCTGTGCTCGACTTGAAGAACAATTTTGTTCTCGAACAGGAAGTGTGCCGAAAAAGCCGGACTGGTGGGCATTTTTGTTCATTTTACGAAGAGCAGTGACATTTTTTGAAGTCTAACTCATAGAAATCTATGAACTTATAACAGGCAGCTCAAAAGCGATGGAACCGAAGGGAATCGTCGCGTGTATGGAAAGAATTCGTGATTCGATGAAATTGAGCCATCCGAAGATGTGTATTTTGTCGGTCACGACCGACAGGGCACCTTCTGTACAGAAGGCTCTGCAGCAAAACTTCCCCCACACAAAGAAGTTTTACGATCAGTGGCATTATATCCGCAACATCAGCAAAGATATTTGGAAGGTGGATCTTCTAAGAAAGGGTTCAGTTAGACAAAATTGCCATTCAGAAAAAAGATCAGAAGCAGATGGCACCTGTGCTCCCGTGGATCAGACCACTCGTCAATCACTTATACTTTTCCATTTCGAAACACTGTGGAGACGGGAGACTGGTGCAAGAAACATTTATGTCGTTTTTTTGTCATATTTTGGACATTCACACTGGATTCGAAGTAGCGTGTTTTTTTTATGAGATTGAGTAGGGGGAGGAGGGTGGGGCTTTCTCTGTGGCTTTTACCGCTTAATTCTCGCGATGCCGCCTGAAGAGCACTGATTCGTCTTCCGATTGTTCTTAATGAAATCGTATTCATCACGACCCGAGTTGAAAGGAATAGCTTTCTCGAGCTTTTTCTGCGCGGCAGGCGGAATGAAGTTTTTTGGGGGGAATGCGGAAAGAGGAAGGCGTAATTCCCCTCAGAATGCTTCAGCATTCTTCCGGTGGCATCATAAAATATCAGCGGTAAAGCCCAGAGGCGGCGGCGCCGCCAAGACCCAAGAAGATCACGGGTTCGCGTGAATTTTAACACTGTTTGTTTGCACGCAACACTGCGAACACAACCTTACCTAGGTCTGATAAAATTCAACTTACATTAAATAATTTAGAACATCCAATGGTTCAAGTTTACAATTGTGTTGGCATGTGAGCATGGCGACTTACCCCAGCACTCTTGGCTGAGGCTCGATAATAAGAAAGATGAAAAAGCGTGGAAAATTCTCAAAGAAATTAGTACTAGAGGGAGGCGGTTTGAAGACCTTTACACCGTTTCGCCGTACTTCGCAACAAGTCAGACTGAGAGCTTCAACTCGATTACTTGCCTTTACAACCCCAAAGATCATTTTTTGTGAGGAATAAAACACCGTTTTCCGAACAAAGTATGAACTTTCAGCCCACAAAACAGTTTCGAAACTCGAGCGAAACTCGCAGGAATTCATTGGAACTGCGGGAAGCTCGAGATTCGCGAAGGAAAGAGACCGATTGTTGGATTCAAAACGATCTGGTGCAAGAGTAAAAAGGAGGAAGTGAAGAGAAAGACGCGAAAACAACCTAGTAATGACTGGAGAACAGAAATTATGAGAAGAGTCCGCGGTGTTTCATTGGTTGAATGGAACAACCAAAATATAGAAACTGAAGAAGCCGCTGACCTTTCTGATGAGGGCGAAGAAAGCGACGAAGAACTCACGGTTACGTGACCAATAATTAAGTTTTATACAAAGACTATTTGTAGAAAAGGCTGATTAATGATATCATGGAGCCGTTCGACTCACGAGACAGCGGCTCGGAAGAAATGTCTGATTTCAGTGCCTCAGATTAAGTGCCAAAGCACAAAATTGGCTCTTCAATGGCCGCATTCATATTTTCGATTGTTAATTGTTTTTCTATTATGAATATTTGAAAAAGAAGTGACGATAATCAGGAAATTTAAGAATCAGCCACTTTTGTAAAACCGAAAATAGGAAGTTTTCGATTTTTCGCATTACTTTGAAAAATATAACTTTCTGTAACTCGCAAACTTTAATTAAGACTCAGGAAATGATTGAGCGATCTCGTTCTATTTACTTTTCAGCACGCAAACGGAACATTGAGCGAAAACCCGAAAAAACAACAAAAAAAGTTTCAGATTATCGATTTTCTTGGCGTTACGGCACGGAAAAATACATACATTTTTTAAATATGGCATATAAGTGTGTTCAGTGAAAAAAACGAGTGAAAATTTGAAAAATTTGCACGAAAATGAAAAAAATCGGAAGAAAGGGGAATTCCATCTGGGGACTAGAAAAATCTAGGCCAGCTCTTCCATTTCGCCGTGTACTTCTCTCGGTACCATTAACTTTTTTGAAAAAAATCTTAAAAATCGGGGAATTTTTTTCGTAATTCGGGACTTTGGGAAAGTGAATGCCCCACTTCGAAGTTTATTTTAAAAATATGTTGTATGTCAGGTTGGACACCACCTTTAAACGCTCCACGAAAGTGTCCCTTCAAAGAAAAATCCCACGTGTCCGAGACACGAACGTTTGCTGCGTAGTCCAAAGTGATCAGTCGTCGACCGTCTGGAGTGAGACGGATTCCGTGCAACGGAGCCTTGTGCATCTGCTTTTCTTTGAGAACTCCTCTCGTACTTCTTATATCGAAGATCCCGACTTTTCCATCTCTCCTTCCCGCGTATAAGTAGTGTTGTTTCGAAGGAAACCATTGAACAACATCTATCGGATTTTGACTTCCACGCCAACGAATCGATTGAGGAAGGCTCATTCCCACTCTAAAATGGTTTTCTACCGCCGGCTGATCAGTTCTACGCACTCACCGGAAGTCGATCACTTTCAGAGATGCGCTCCCGTCGCCCACAGCCACTCGCGGGTTCGTCATGTTGTATTCGTTCCAGTCGAAGTAGACGTCACCATCATCGAACTTTTTCGAGTGAATCTCGGTTCCCCTCGTTGTATCGCACACTCTCATCCATCCGCCAGTGGTGCCCATCATGAACATGCGATTATCAAGTGGACACCATTTAAGAGTACGCAGAGATTGTGGGCGCAAATTGCTGGAAATGTCAAGTAAGGTACTTATGAGGTCTCATATGAGAGTGATATGAACACAGACTTACAAATTCATCGGTTTACGCCATTTTTGTCTATATAAATTTTTGCACTTGACAATCGAAATCACGCCTTCGAATGATCCGAACATTAATCTGCAAACAGGAAACTACAATAATCGGGTCATGTTTGGACAAACAATTTCTCTTCGTTGTCCAAATCCAATGCACTGATGTCCTCCTGATGACCCGTCCTGCTGGCATCACAACCCATTGCGATATGTTTGTCCCATTTGAAGTCCATAAATGCCTTCGCCACTTGTTGCCTTTCGAATCGAGCACTCAGACTTCTAAAATGGGTTTCGTTCAAAGCAGACTGATTGAATAATGTACCTGTTAAAAGGGCTCAGAAGCAAGTTTTCGAGACGAATATTGTCCTTCATATGGCTAGTCAGCAGGGAGTTTTGTTTTCGAACAAAGTAAGGCTGAAACAGAAAACTTTGTGAACTGGTCAGAATCAATAAAAAGGTTGTGTTCGGGCTAGAGACATACAAAGAGGACTGAGAGTGCACTAGGCACTCGGAGAACATTTGGATAGGTCAACTGCTCTATTTTTGTGTTTTCAAGTTTATTGTTCACTTCAAAAATTCAATCCACTACTTTGCTCTCTTTTTTTACTCCCTTCAACTTTTCCGCTTTTCTTCCGTTATGTTCTAACTTTTTCTGTAAATACAATTGCTTAGAATTTTCTATTTTCCTCGAGGTATCATTTGACGTAAATCGTTGATATATTATCAAATTCGGGGATGTAGCCCAGTCGGAACAAGGAGGATTGCGAAAGCAGGCGCGTTTCTCGCGTTTCTGTTGGCGCGCTTCTTGCCCGGCCGACCGTGCGCCCTCCGTCGCGTCGTCTTCTCCTCCGATTTCCTGCGAACGAATGCACGTGCCTCCGCTTTGTTTTCCTCTGAAACCCAGTTGCCACTCAGTGCCTGTTCTTTTTCACATTTCCCCGTCAAATGTAGTTGCGCACCTGGCAACATAAACACAGCCAGGCATCATTGCGCGCACGTTCATCGATTTGCAAACAAACCCACTGCGTCTCGCTTCCCTGCTCCTCTTTCGAAATATTCCTCGCTTTCAGAACCAATTGTGCACTTTCAGTAAATCGCATGAAATGGCGGCGATCATTAATCAGCGTGCCAACGACGGAGAGACGAGCATGGGCGCTGCGAAACCAAGTATGTTCCGTCTTCTTCGTTTCTTCGATTCATTCTCTCATTTTTTTCAGTTCTTCTGCACAAAATATCCGGACACGTGGCTCGTATCAATGACGTAATCTTGCTATCGAAAGACGAAGGCGTGTGGACAGCAAGCGACGACAGATCAATCCGTCTGTATCTGAAAAGAGACAACGATCAGTTCTGGCCATCCATCCATCACTTCATGCCGGTGGCTCCCACTTGCATTTTCTACAGCGAAGAGACCTACAAGTCGGCTCCCGTTCTGGTTTTGGTTTCAAAAACAAGTTTGCAGATTGCTAGTCGGTCTGATCAATGGAAATGTTTACGAGTTCAATGTGGCCGACGACTTCAACAGCATGACTGAGAGCCGGAAATGGACCAATCATGCCGGCCCAATCTCTGGGCTCGGATTCGCTCTTTCCTCGGAACTCATATTCAGTTGTTCTCGCGACAAATCCGTCGTTTGGCACTGCTCGGAGACTTCTGTCAAAATGGGCTCGTACCTGCTGGACAATAGTTGCACTGCAATGGTTATCGACCTTCCGTTCGTGTTCGTCGGAGATCACGGCGGACACGTCACCGTTCTCCGTATCATAGACAATCATCCGAACCTCGTCAGCAAACTGAGTGCTCATACAAGTATCTAGTTTTCCAATAACATCCCTTTTTAACAGAAAGTGGTTGCAGACTCAATAACATCTCTGACGTGGGATTGCAACAAGAAGGTATTATACTCGGGAAGCAGTGATTATCTCATCATAATGTGGGATATCGGAGGCGGCAAAGGGGAGGCTTATGAGCTTAAGTGAGTATATGATCGCTTGTTTTACTATCTGCTCTTCTGACTTCAGCGGTCACAACGGAAAAGTGACGACGCTTTGTGCGGCTCCGGCTGCTAAGAGACTGTTCTCGGCAGACGAGCACGGAAAGCTAATGTGCTGGGATATGAACTGCAAAAGAGTGGAAACGCCGGAATGGAAGACATCGGACTGCTGTCAGATGTGCAACCAGCCCTTCTTCTGGAACCTTCAGGCAATGTGGCAGAGGAAAGTGGTCGGCATGCGACAGCATCACTGCAGAACGTGCGGGGCGGCCGTCTGCGGCAGCTGCTGCAACAATTGGACATCGTATCCGCCTATGGGTTACGAGACTAAAGTGCGAATCTGCAATGACTGCAACAACAGAATGAATGACAATCCACAGAACTTCAAGTTAGTCTCATTCGTCTTTCTCTTTTAATCTCTATTTATTTTAGTTTGACTCCTCTCGCTATCCCTCATGAAATCCGAACGGGAATCACAGCTATGCACCTCCAGGAAACGCTTGGTCTTCTGGCCACGAGTGGTCAGAATCGCGTCATCATGATTTGGGATGTCCGTAGTGTCTGTTCTGCCGTCTCTCAATAATCCTTATCTGAATTTTTGTCTATTTCTCGAACTACTACTTAATTGATTATTTTCTCCTCCAATTGCGTATTTGTATATTGCCTCCAACAGACCTATCATCCCGTTCCCCACTCCAAGACCTTCGAATCTTACCAATATCCCACAGGTTTCCAGTAATAGTGTGATTCGTACTTCAACTTTGATCCCATCCCGATTCTTTGTCTCACGAAAATTATTATTTAAAAAAAAACGCTTTTATGAAGGACTCTTCTCGGAAGAGTTTCAAAAAGAACGACTAGAGAATGCGAATGCCGGGAGTATTGAGGTCAGTAACACTGGATGAACGTACTTACAATAAAGAAAGCTCACAGGGAGAAACTGAGTAATCGGAAGGAAAAGAAGGTATAGGGGGGTGACGCTAGGCGAGAAAGTGACTAATAAAGGCAAGGAAGGGTGGAAATCAGCAACCACACGCTCCTCCGGATCCGTCCTGAGGGAAGCTCCGTTCGGACAGACACACTGACTGGGACCGCATTATTCCCGTTTTCAGACCTTCCCAGCCATCCACTGGTCGAAGTTCTCCTTCGTCCACTCGGTTTTGAATCTGGAAATGAGCATCAGATTATAATGACACAATTGAATTATAGCGAACCTCTTGGGCGATCATGAGAAATGCTTCGCTCACATTATCTCCACTTCTGGCAGAAGTCTCAATGAACTTCATCTTGTGGTACTTTGCGAAGTATTCGCCTTCCTCGTAATTCACCTGAACGTTCTTTACTTCATTTTCTTCTTCAATCCGAAATATTCTCACCTGCCGCTGTCCGTCAATGTCGCATTTAGTACCGACTAGCTGGAAGACACATTTTGATGGATTGGGCCCTCCTAAATTGAGAGCGGCTTCTTTCACCCAGTTTTCCACGTGTTCAAAACTGGCTCTGTTGGTTATGTCGTAGATGGCGAGTACTCCGACCGAGTTTCGGTAGTACGATTTGGTAATCGACCTAGAACTTACAAATCCTTCAGAACGTCGTCAATTCTGATTCATACCGAAATTTTTCCTGTCCGGCAGTATCCCACAATTGAAGCTTTACACGATATCCTGGTCTCAGCTCAATCATTCGGGCGTAAAAGTCAACACCGACTGTCGGATCGCTGATTTCCGCCATTCTGCCTTCTGTGAAACAACGCAACAGACTTGATTTGCCAACCGTCGAGTCCCCAATCACAATTAGTCTGTACTGATAGTGGAACAATGGCCCATAGTCATCCCCAATGAAGTTCGATTCCATTTTTTTCTGAAATTAAAAGCTTGACTCAACTTCAATGATGCAATATCGATCCAGCAATAGCAGGAAGTGGTCAGCATGGTATCAGAGAGTACTTTTATTCATTCTTTATCACATTTCTTTCTCAAAATGCGAATTTTCGCTTCTCAAACATGTGAAACTTCGAATAAAACATGTAATCAATAATATTAGACGGCTGACAATTTAAAGGCGCATGCCGTTTTTCCGCCGTCGGGTCTCGCGGCGAAGAGCCGTTTACGAAATACACAACCGATTTTTCAATTCTGGTATTTTTGTGAGTCCGATTCATTTTTTGCAATTGCTTTCCAAAAAATAGAGAAAAATGCAACTATCAAAATAATTTATCGACTTTCAAAAAAAATTTAATACACGTCAAGATTCTGTGATATTGTGAGCTGTTAATCGAATGTCGTCATTTTTCTAACACGTCCTTGTAATTTTTGAAAATGTGCACATAAATATGGCTAACCTTCAGGCGATGCAGCCTCCAGTCTCTCAAACTCAGCAGACGTCGCGGCCGTGGCTCGTCCTTGTCATTTTTGGGTTGTTTGCTTCCACAATATTTGCCGTTTATTACAATTTCCCGGAGGTGTCGTCTGAAGAGAAAGTTCATCTGAAGTATCCACGGAATCTGGAGGATGCGAAGCTGCTCGGACGAGTACTTTCCAAGTACAAGGAGAATAACTACTCGGTTGTCTTGTGCGGTGTTATTGTCGTCTACATCACACTGCAGTCATTTGCTATTCCCGGATCGATATTCCTCACCATCCTCTCGGGATATCTGTTCCCGTTCCACGTTGCCCTTCTTCTGGTCTGCTCGTGCTCGGCAACCGGAGCCGCCGTATGCTACACGCTTTCCAATCTATTCGGCCGCTCTTTCGTTCTCTCCAGATTTCCGGAGAGAATATCGAAATGGCAAGAAGATCTGAGCAAGCACAGAGATGATTTCCTCAACTACATGATCTTCTTGCGAGTCACTCCAATTGTTCCCAACTGGCTCATCAATCTAGCCAGTCCGGTGCTCGACGTGCCTTTATCTCCATTCTTTTGGGGAACTTTTCTGGGAGTCGCCCCGCCCAGTTTCCTGTACATTCAAGCCGGTTCTACTCTGGAACAGCTTACTCATACCAGTGTAGCTTGGAGTTGGACGTCGATCATTTTACTCACCTTTTCGGCGGCTTTATCTCTTGCCCCAATCCTGCTCAAAAAGAAGCTCAAGTCAGATTAACCGGTTTCCCTTCGATCTCTCTTGTTTTTAAACCTTTTTACGTTTAATCCGCTTTTCCCGTCTCGAATTTACTTGTTTAATCTTTTTTCATAAATAAACAATTTTAGGTGATGAGACAATGATGAGAGTGGCAAGACGCAGATTTTGTAATTACGTGGCAGTTCGACATGCGAGCGCCGGAATGGGCACTGGATTTGGAGGACAACAAGACAGGCAATTCGGGACGAGAAGTGCACTTTCCAGACGAGGATTGTGAGTCGCTTCGCTCTTTGATGAGTAATAAGACACCAAAAACCACAAAGATAGGCGCAGAATGTTTTGTAATAGTGTTTTCCTCTCGATGCATCTGGTCGATGACGTTTATCAATAAAAGCATTCGGCCTTTTCCGCTTTCAAGAAATGAACATTGGCGAACTCTTGCACGGAAAAAAGAAAATAAGAAGAAGAGCCAGACATCAAACACCAGATGCTCTTGTGCAAACGAATTCTATTAGTTTCTGGTGTGATCTCTTCGGAGTACATTTTTCGGGCTCTGAGCATCCAATCCGTCTAAGCAGTTTATACTTATCGTAATTCCAGACTCCAGAGACGATCGACCGTCATAAATCTGCAAAGTGAGCGCGCATTCGTCGGAGTCGCCGCCTCTGCTGCTCGCCATCTCTTGAAACTCCGTTACTTTTTGGCTACTGGAGTTATCGGTGGAAGCGTCGCTGCCAGAACGGTTTGTATCGTGGTCCAACTATATTCCGAGTATTAATTCTATTTCAGTGGTACGAAGAATGGAAATCGAATCTGCCGGATTTCACGCTTCCAGAGTGGTTCGACAATGAAGCATGGAACGAGTTTTCCGGAAAAATAAAAGGAATCAAAGACGGATTCGGATCTGAAGGACAGAATAAATGGGCACAATGGATAGCCAAGTTTGAGCAGTTCAAAAAGCAGAAAGAAGAAAAGGAAGAGCATCGGGAAGAAGGCGGACCCGGAGGAGATGTACCAGTCAAAGGTCCGTGATCCCGTGATGTTTGTTCATCTTTTTAATTAAAACATTTCAGAGCCACTGGTGCTCGCCTCGCTCATGTCTGCCTTTTCATCGAAGAAAGAAGAGGAGAAGAAAGAGCATGTCTCTGCCGAAGAAAGGATTCAAAAGCTGCAGGAGGAGATGCTCAAGACGCAAAGCCAGTACCAACGAGAGCTCGAGCGCCTCGAGAAGGAGAACAAAGTGCTGAAGCAGCGACTTCTTCTCTCCGATGATAAGGCCGCCATTCGATTGAAACGACTGAAAGTGAGTTGCATTATTTATTTCCAACCATTTCGTAAATATCAATGCTCAGAGATCTTTGATCGACATGTACAGCGAGGTACTAGATTTACTCAACGAGTACGACTCTTCCTACAACACCTCAGACAATCTTCCGCGTGTTGTAGTCGTAGGCGATCAGAGCGCCGGAAAGACTTCGGTGCTTGAGATGGTCGCTCAAGCGAGAATCTTCCCTCGCGGATCTGGTGAAATGATGACGAGAGCGCCGGTTAAAGTGAGTTAATGCACTATTCCTCGTGACTAGACTGTAGTTTTGTAGGTCACACTTTCGGAAGGTCCATATCACGTGGCACAATTCAGAGATTCTTCACGTGAATTCGATCTCACAAAGGAGTCCGACCTCCAGCAGTTACGGAATGAGACGGAGGTGAGAATGCGGAATTCGGTGCGTGACGGAAAGACAGTCTCGAACGAGGTGATCGCGCTCACAGTCAAAGGCCCTAGCCTTCCCCGGATGGTTCTTGTCGATCTGCCCGGAGTCATTTCAACTGTCACTGCCGATATGGCCAAGGAAACTAAAGATGATATCATCCGGATGAGCAAAGCGCATATGGAAAACCCGAACGCAATCATTTTGTGCATTCAGGATGGGTATGTCCGTCTTTCCGTTTTACCGAATTAAAACTAAGATTTCAGATCTGTGGATGCGGAAAGAAGCAACGTAACTGACCTTGTGAGCAGCATTGACCCATCCGGAAAACGGACAATTCTCGTGCTGACAAAGGTCGATATGGCTGAGAAAAATTTGGCGAATCCCGACAGAATCAAAAAGATTCTCGAAGGAAAACTCTTCCCAATGAAAGCTCTGGGTTACTTCGGAGTGGTTACTGGCAGAGGAAACAGTTCTGATTCCATCGAAGAGATTCGCAAGTACGAGGAGAGTTTCTTTGCTTCCAGTCAGTTGTTGAGGTGAGAGTGCATTCTTAGCTTCTCATTACCTTCGAACCTTGCAGAGACGGAGTACTCAAACCATCTCAAATGACAACCAGAAACATGTCTCTGGCAGTTTCCGATTGCTTCTGGAGGATGGTTCGGGATTCGATCGAAAGTCAAACCGACGCATTCCGAGCTGCGAAATTCAATTTGGAAGCTGAGTGGAAGAACCACTTCTTACGAATCCGCCAGCTGAATCGGGATGAACTTTACGACAAAGCTCGTGGAGAAATCCTAGATGAAATAGTCAATCTTTCATTAATCGGCGTGGAAGAGTGGGAGAAGCTGCTGCAAGAAAAACTGTGGAACGGCATATCTTCTCATGTTTTCGATCAAATTCTCATGCCCGCCTATGCTTCTCAGAATTCCGGATCGTTCAACACAACAGTCGATATCAAACTGAAGCACTTTGCTGATAAACAACTCGCTCAGAGAAGCATCGAAACCGGCTGGGATACTCTAAAGGAAGTTTTTTTCCGACAAGTGAATCAAGATTCTCGAACACGGAAGGACCATGATCCCATTTTCGATACTTTGAAGGAAGCGGTGATCGAGGAGGCAATGCTGACGCACGGATGGGACGAGAAGGCAATGGATTATCTCCGGGTGATTCAGTTGAATGCAATGGAAGATCGGGCAGTACAAGACAAGCGCTCATGGGAATCGGCATGCAACTTTTTAAACAAAGCAGCTTCAGAGAGACTGTCTGCTGTGAAAAAACAGTTGTCTGATGACCGAGGACCGGGATGGGCATCCAAATGGTTTATGTGGAAGACGCCGACGGTGGATAACCATTATTCATGCGTCATTCAGGACGAACTGTACACTATTCTGGAAGCCGATCCTGATCACAAACAGGCATTGACAGACGATGACATCACAGTGATTCGGAGGAACATCGAAACGAAAGGAGTCGGAGACATACCGACGGAATCAATCAGGAAACAGTGGAAGCTGGTCTTTAAGAAACATTTCCTTGAAAGGATAATCAATAGCAGCAAGGACTGCCTCTCAATGTATCAAATGTATCGGCAAGGAATGATTGAAGGCCAAGACATTGACTGCCAAACCATTGTCCTCTTCTACCGGATTCAGAAAATGGTCAACCTGACATGCAATGCTCTCCGGCAGCAAATCACGAATACGGAACATCGTCGACTGGAAAAGGAGATCAAGGAAGTTTTGGATGATTGGTCACAAGAACCGGACGTCAAGAAGAAGTATTTGACAGGCAGGAGGGTCGATTTGGCTGAGGAAATTCGTAAGTATCTCGACAAGTCTTTAATGAAACCAATTATATCGTTGCAGAGCAAGTCCGACGAATTCAAGAGAAGCTCGAGGAGTTCATGGCTCAACTGCAGCGAGAGAAAGTCTGAGACTGTTTTTGTAGTTCATAGTTTAGGTGAGACTAGTAAGGCATTACTGCCGATTTATGAGTGAATCTAGAAAACATGTAATTTTGCCACTTTTTGTATGTTCTCGGCTCTTTGGTGCTTTGCATCCGTCATCCTCCCCCGTTACCCATTATTTTTCCCATCATCACCCTTTTCTACATCTCGAAATTTTCGGATGGCGACTTTTATTCTTAGGCAATCTCAACTTTGAACCGGTTCATTTCTCTGTTGTAAATATTCAGTTAGGTCTTATTTATTGCTTTTTCTGCTCGAAGAAACACGATTCTCCACTAACATTTCCAAATATTTTCTTCGTTTCCGCGGTCACTTATCCGCTTTGGGTACTTATCCTTTATGTTTTCTCCTTTTTCTTTGCCATTTCTAATCCTGTCCGCAGATGTCGATCAACACGGCGAACACTCCCGATGGGCTCGGAGTGCTCCTTTACAATGGAGAGACAATTGTGATATTCGCTCAAGGAGTCGTCATGACTCTAGGAACCAGTGAGAATCAGGTGAGTCGGGTCAAGGAGCGGAATTTTAAACTGAAAAGGATGTCTTTCAGAATTTGGAGGGCCGCCGAACGGGAACCATCTACCTCACTTCACACAGAATCATTTTTATGCCGGACGCGGGAGATTGGCTCAAATCGTTCGAGATTCCATTCAACAACATGCAGGATGTTCATCTAGATCAGCCCATTTTTGGTTGGTGTCTTTTCATTCGATTTCATACAGCCAATTGTATCGGGTTTCAGGAGCCAACTTTTTGAGGGGAATTGCAACTGCCGTTCAAGGAGGTCTGATGCGCGGAGAAGTCGCCTGGCGGATGACGTTCAATCGCGGAGGATGCATTGAATTCGGGCAGTCGCTTCTTCAGGCTGTCGACAGAGCCAGCCGAATGAGGCCCGCCAATGCTCCTCCAGCCTATTCACCTCCCGTCGGAGACTATTACTCGGCTCCACCTGCCTATTATCAACCCTCCCCAGATCAAGGTAACGTGTCCTCCTTTCTGAATTCATACGTATAAGTTCTCAGGCCCCAACGGCTTCAACCCAACAACTGACTCTTTCCCTGATCAGCCCAATCCGTCGCGAGTATTCATCACTTCCGCCCCTCCACCGTACCCAGGAATAGGGCCGGAACGAAATCCGCAGCCAACCGAAGAACTGCACGTTGCCGGACAATTCGAGGCGCCGCCCGCGTACGTAGAATCAGCCGAAGGAGTACGAAGAAGACATTGAACATACATGATATTAATTAAAAATAGTAGCAAAGCTATTCCACTTCTCTCAAAAATCTCATGAGAATATTGTGATCAGACTCTGGTAGTCGGCATCCTCTCCTCCCAAATACACCCTTTCAAGCTCACGTGGAATTCTCAAAGAAGCTTCAAAGTTTATTGTGTGATTGTAAATAAACTCCCATATATTCTCATCACATTATCCTTCGATTATCCTACAAACAGTTTTCGAATCTGTTTTCTTATCTGCTTTTTATTCAGTTTTTTAAAATAATTTCTTATAATTTTTTGCAGGGTTTGAGAGAAAACTATCATCATCATGGCTTCGAATTTGACTGTGAATGTGCACCCGGGCGTTTATATGAATGTCGTCGACACTCATATGAGACGGTCGAAGAACTCGTCGAAGAATGCCGGACAGGAGAAGTCGATGGGAACCCTGATGGGATACTACGAGAAGGGCGCCATCCAAGTCACCAACTGCTTCGCCATTCCGTTCAACGAGAGCAACGACGATTTGGAGATTGACGATCAATTCAACCAGCAGATGATATCGGCGCTCAAGAAGACGTCGCCTAACGAGCAGCCCGTCGGATGGTTCCTTACCACCTCAGACATCACCTCCAGCTGCCTCATATACCACGATTACTACGTGCGCGTCATCACCGAAGCATCCGCTCGTCGCGAATCTCCGCCGATCGTTGTGCTCACCATCGACACGACCTTCTCGGGAGACATGCCGAAGAGAATGCCGGTGAGAGCCTATCTCCGTTCCAAGGCCGGAATCCCAGGAGCCGCTGGCCCACACTGCGCTATTTTCAACCCGCTCCGCGTCGAGCTGGCCGCTTTCCCAGGAGAGCTGGTCGCCATGCAACTGATGGAGAAGGCGTTGGATTCGCGCAGAAGAGAAGCAACTTTGGAGAGCGGACTGGAGCAGTTGGAGACGAGCACTGGGCAAATGATCGAGTGGCTCCAAAGAATGCTTCAGTAAGTTGCTATTTCCTAATAAATTCCTATTTGAACCGTTTCAGCTACGTGGAAGACGTAAACAAGAACGGCGAGAAGCCAGGAGATGCTCAGATCGGTCGCCAGCTGATGGATATCGTCACTTCCACTTCGAACAACATGCAGCCGGAAAAGCTCGACACGCTGGTCAAGAACACGCTCCGGGTAAGGCATTTCTTTCCGAATGTTCTTTCTGAGGGAATGAGATTTCGAGTGTAGTAGGTCAATGACCAAAAACCAGAGAAGAAGTAAACAACGCTAAGGCGAGAAGCATGGGGGTGCCTTTATGACGAGAAGCAACAAATATTTGCAGGACTACGTGATGGTTTCGTACCTCGCCAAATTGACTCAAACGCAGCTGCAGGTTCATGAGCGTCTCGTTTCCGCCTAATTTGATTTCCCCATTTCTCGTCCGTTGGCACTGTTGACTCGTCCGTTTCCTTTTTCTTTCTTTTCTGTCTTTTGTTAGCTCCTGTTGTTTTCCCCCACTCGATTCAATTTCCTTTCCGATTTTCTTGTTACAAACATGATATTCGGCGTTTCCCTCTATCTGTCACTGACCCCCTAAATTTATATTGGTTTTCTGGATAATATATTCGTTGTTGGTTCTACTCGAATAAACATGGTTGAAAAAATATTCTTCAGTTCGAAGATGTACTTTTTGGTTGCATGTGATTCCATATATTTCGTGGCATCTGAATTGATCAAAAGACTGAACCTCTTCAAGAACCCTTCCGAATGGGGGAGAAATGGACGATCGAATGAGAATGCGATGGAAAGAAGCGAAAGAACGCGTTGGAAATGCGTACCACGACTACGGGCGGTACTTTCTGATCGTACGTTCAATGAAAGAATCCGTAATCTTGTTTCAGACTGTGTGCCGCCCATCCGAAGGCTTGCCTCTCGATGTCCCTGCTCACGATGATTGTGCTTTCTTATCCCACGATCACCCGCCTACGCCTGCCCGTCAGTACTCCAATCGACGTGTTCTGGAGTGAACATTTACACGTGAATGGTTAGAAATAATAAGTAATCAGGGAAAAAAACGCTCTTTTTCTAGATAAAATCTCTCCATTTTGGATAAATGAGAACCCCGCCTCGTACATCCAACAGTTCATTGTTTCGACGAGTGTCGATCCGTGGAACGCGACCGCATTGGGACCGGAGCATGCGGTTCGAGCGGCAGTCGCCACAGCATTCCGAATCAGAGAATTGCTGCTCGAAGAGCCGGCCGTCGAAGAGCTCTGTCTCCGTCTGGCCACACAGAGACACTCGTCTCCGTGGCCGTTCCGCTCCAAGTCTCTGTGCGTCGTCCTCTCGCCCGCCACAATCTGGTACAACGACGTTCAGAAGTTCCGCGAGGATGACGACGTCATCGTGACGATATTCAACGAACAGTGCAAATCGACGTTTTGTATGCGAGATTTGCTGCTCGGAGCCCCGGCTGAGGCGACCGGAATCAAGCAGAAATACCAAACGAATCGGAAGAGAAGTTCGTATTCTCTTTAACGAATAGTTCAGCCATCCGTGTTTGTTTCAGATATCGAGTTCGCGGTCACTATGTTCTTCGCTCGATACAGCACGAAAGTGATTGCAGAAATTCGAGCAAAACTTCATAGAGAATTCGAGTTAATTGTGAGTAGCCAATAATGCTCTTATTTATTTTTTCAACTCACTTCTTCAGGAGACCCCCGCCAATGACGAGCGAACGTTTGTTCAAGTGTATTTCCATCCCTTGAAGACGTTCTCCGATTACATTCCGCTCATTTCGACGTACTTCGTTTGCATGATCTATGTGTACTTCTCTTCTCGAAAGTTCCAAATGGTCGCTTCCCGCTGGGGCCTCGCCTTCGCGTCTTGCTTCACCGTCGCATCCACTCTTCTGATGACCACCGGAATATGCGCACATTTGGATCTGAGCACAACGACCTGGGGATCCGAAGTTTATCCGTACATCGCCCTGATCATGGGACTCGAGAACACACTGTGCATCACGCGAAGTGTCGTCTACACGCCTCCGTCGCTCGACGTCTCCTCAAGAATCGCGCACGGACTGTCTCAGGAAGGATACAAACTCACGAAGTATTACATTCTGGAGCTGATCGCCCTTCTCATCGGATTCCTCACGCGCATCTCCGACATTCAAGAGTTCTGCCAGTTCAGTGTCATCTGCGTAACTGTCGACTTTTACATGCAACTTTTCTTTTACGCTCCATGCCTCACTTTCGACTTGGAAAGATTGGGTTTGGAGGAAAAACGGAAGTTCGCCGAAATTCTGTTGTACGAAGAGATCCCGAGGCTCAAGAACTACGCGCCCGTAAGCTGTCCAATGAGAAAAGTGTGGCCGAAACTGTTCGAAATGAAAAAGATGCAAAAGAGAAAGCTGTCGGACTCTGGAATTGAAGTGCTGAAGGAAGAGCAACGGCGGCTTCTGGCAGGCGGGAACGTGGATTCGAAAGACGACGGAGACGTGCAGGAACCGAGACCGGAAGAGAGTGTTCGCATGAAGATAATGTATTTCATAACGAGAACTCGCATCGTTCAACGCACAATTCTTATCGTTTTCGCCGTCTGGACCGTTTCGCTCGTGTTCTTTGTCGGCTCAAGACAGCTCGGAATGGAGAGTAATTTGACAAGTGAGTAGGTGTATGGAGAAATTATTCTATGATTTCATTGCAGATCAATCAATCGAAAGTCTCACTCGATCTCATCGAATTCTGTCGACAGCCAACCTTCGATACGGGAATTGGCAAAGGAGAACATACAAATGGTGAACACATATCTTTTCATCATTAAAAAACTTTCATTGCAGGTGGCCTGCAGTTGCTCACGAGTACAACATTTCGCTGAATTCTCGCTACGTAACTTTCCTCCCGCCGATCGTCATAAATGCGAAGGTTCATCCCAGTCATTTCATGATGCAAACTATCGAAAAGAGCCAAGATGTTCAAGATGATTCCTCCGAGGCTCCCATTCTGCGATCGAGGATCGATTGGCTGGAAATGCAGCTGAAGATGTACTTGGCCGCATTCTGGCTGCTTCTGATCACAACAGTCATCTCTTTCTTTGCCTACGTTTTCCTGATAGATCGATGGAAAGTGAAAGGCGTTCAACAACTGCAAGAGCCGAAACCATACGATGGAAAGACGAGCGGCTCGCAGACCACTCGAAACGTCGTGGAAACGGTTAGAAGACGGACAAGAACGAATAAATTAAATTTATTTGTTTGCAGCCTCCGATTGTATTCAATCGTCACCTCTTCCCCATCGAATCAGTTGCAATTGATGTAAATGATGCTTCAACATTTGTTTCGTGTTGTCAAGAAGGAATCGTGTACCTCTGGAGCACGCAAACCGGACAGAGAATCCTCCGACTAGACAGGTTGTGGACGATCGCAGAGATAGAAAAGGAGGTGCCGCCTCCGAAAGTATGGGCTCTTGCCAAAAGGTATTCCGCATTGACTTTTCTCTGTTCACGTCGAGTTTCTACAGAAATGACGTCGTTATTCTCGGCTGTTGCGATGGAAGAATTGAAGTAGTGAGCATCTCGCGAAATAAACTGATCGGAGTGCACACGACGTCGACAGTCGGCGTGTCGCACATTGTCTGCCGAGAAGAAATGGTTGCCGTTGTTCGGTTGGACGCAACTATCGAGTTTCTAAAGATGCACTATGACACAACAGCTGGAATGGTAAATAACATAATGTCCAAATTTTTGCATATAAAGGTTTCTTCAGCTGCGCGTGAGCCGATTCGAATCTATTAAAGAAGTTCGTGCCCATCAGAAACCAGTGTGTCGAGTGGCCACGTGGAAGGATCAGCTGATCACTTCGTCATTCGATCGGAGTATCAAAATGTGGAATTTGGAAAACGGAGAACTGTCCAACGTGTTCCTATCTCACAACTCGCCCCCTATCAACCTGGCAGTGGATGAGAGCAAGTCGATCATGTACTCGTCTTGCGAAGAAGGCGTCATCTGTTGGTGGAATCTGGTGGCCGGAGAGCTCATTCGGTCGGACGACAACAACTGCAATTGTCCGTTTGAAATTCGTAATGTCATATAATTCGATCCGTTCAGGGGCATTCCAACTCGCCACGTCTTCTGACTACTTGCTCGGATTCTATGGCTCCTCGCAGCTTTTCATGTGGTCCGTGGAGACTGGTCAACTAGCGTGTCGGGTCACAGACGCCTCTAATGATGGATCGGTGAGACGAAGTAATTAGTTAACTGTATAAAACACGTTTCTTCTGTCAGAGCGAAGACACGCTGTACACAGTCGGAAGCAGTGGCGTCGTTTCGTTCGATGATCAGGTGGCTGCCACCGCTTCTTCCGATTCTGTCACTTTCTGGGATCTGAAGCATCGGGCGATCATTGGAAAAGTGAGCAATCTAGTTTGATATTCATGTAATAATTGGCATTTCTAGGTGAAAGTCGGTGGAAAAATCAGTTCGATGCGAAAATTGACGGACCACAGCGTTCTCTGCGGAGTGGACAACTTGATGTACTCGGTCACTGTGCCATTAGTTCGATTCAAATGACGGCGTCATTCTTGCCATGTCCTCATTCTTATGTGCCTTAATTATCAACAACTTTCAGGAACAAAACCATTGTGATATTGTCTCTCTGCCAATCTTACTAACCTTGTATAAAGCATGTACTTTTTGATTCCTTAATATGTTCGTGATTTGGTTCATCTCCTTCTATATCTTTTTCATATGAATTCTTTCCATTTTCACCGCCTTTGCAGATGGCCGAGGAAAGAAACGACTATCCGTTTGCCACCTTTCTGGATCAACACGCTGCGCAACTGAACGCAAGTGCCGTGCCACCTGAGCTTTGGCACAGTCTTTACAAAAAACTGTCTGATCAGTCTTTTGATGCCGGAGAATATTTCAACATCATCTACGAAGCTGACGACGAGAAGAATCAGTTCGTCAGTGCGTTGAGAGATCTGCACAACAACGACGAGGAAAAGTGAATACTTCAGAGAACCCCAAACAGATTTAATTTTCTTTTCAGCATCTTTCTTATTGATCATTTTTTCTCTTTCTCTGCCGAAACGGCTCGCAACGCTGTGGAAACAACGGATGGGCTCGCTGAAAAGCTAGCCGTGCTCTTCGGAATAAATGTACGAAATTTAATAGTTTTCATCCACTCTCCAGTTTTCAGTCCGAGACTCCCGAAGCCGATGAGACTGTTGAGAAGATTGAGACCTCCGTCGAGAATGAAGAGAAGAAGCACGAGGAGACGTTGAACGGGATTGTGGGCACTCTCCCGCGTCACGAGTCGGTGGATGCGAGACTCGGATCGTATTCTTTCGACGATCCAAAAACTGAACTTTGCGATCGTGTCGTGAAGGAACTGTGGAAGTTCTCTCAGACATACTCTGTCAGCTACCAACTACCGAATGGCGAGTTGGATAAAAGATCGGTGTGGTATGTGATGGACAATTTCGGCTCGAGAATCCGTCACTCTGCTTCTCCGAATGCTCGTATAATTCCGCTGATGTTCGTTCCGCAGCAGACCGCTTTCAGCATCATGTTTCTGACACAGCCTGTGAAAGCTGAAGAGAAAATAGTCAGAGACTGGGCTGCCAATGTGATTTCAGCTCAGAATCCCGCTTGGAGAAAGTACATCGAAATCCCGTGGGTCCCGCAGGACTTCTCCGGGGAGTCGGTTTGTCCGCCGGCGCCAACCTTCGACTATTTCACCTCGGGAAGAAACCCTGATCATCTGGCGTCCGCAGCCGACCAGGAGACTTGCCAATCGGCGCTTTTCGGCTCGGTTCCAACCATGAAGAACCGAAAGCTAAAGTTGTTCGTAGATGACACTCAACTGACGGAGCATCTGACACGGGATGTCGAGTACGTGGGTACCTGGAAAAAGGCGGACATCATCTGGCTGATTCGACATTTCCACGATTACAAGTAAGTGATGGAAAGTGAAGAAGACATTAACAGTTTAAAACAGAAATCTGGCTGTGGAGAATCCGTGTGCCCTGATCAATCAGTTTCCGTACGAATCGTGCATTACTGTCAAAGATCTTCTGGCCGCATGTGCCATGAGAGATCCAGTCAAAAATGACTGGTACCAGGTGCCCATTCCATAGTTATTGTACAATCTATTCCATTTTCAGCTCACTTACAATCTGAATACTCAGCTTCCGCAGTTCGTAGCTCGTTTCCAGAACGACGCGAAGACCAGGCAGCACAATGTGTGGATTGTGAAGCCGTGGAATCTTGCGAGAGGAATGGAGATGACTGTCACTGATGATCTGAACCAAATCATCAGACTCGTTGAAACTGGGCCAAAGGTATTCATGAGTTCTCAGTTCTTCCGATCCATTTGAAAGTGTTCAGATCGTCTGCCAATACATCCATCGTCCGCTGCTATTCCCGAGAGCCGACAATGGAAACAATGTCAAGTTCGACCTTCGTTACATCGTTTTCCTGAACGGACTCTCACCAGTCACCGCCTACGTCTACAACAGGTTCTGGATCCGCTTCGCCATCAAGTGAGTGTCGTTCTCCGTTTCTTCTAATCTTATTTCGTTTGCAGTGAGTTCACTCTGTCAAATTTCGATGACGTTGAAACTCATTTCACCGTTTTCAATTATTTGGCCAAGGAAAAAGTTCTGCAGATGAAATGCGAAGACTTCATCAAAACTATTGAGAATACTTATCCAAGAATCAAATGGACTGATGTTCAAAAGGATATCAATGCTACCATAAGAAAGGCGTTCGATGCGGCTGCCCAGTGAGACCCCTTCATATTTATTCTTTTGAAATCAGTATTCCAGGGAACAAGCTCCGTGTGGAGTGGCTCCGAATGTCCAGTCGCGTGCAATGTACGGAGTGGACATCATGCTGCAGCACGGAGAAAACGACGTCATCAAGCCGACGCTTTTGGAGGTCAACTTCATGCCGGACACCACCCGTGCCTGCCAGTATTACCCCGACTTCGCCGACACCGTTTTCGATACTCTTTTCCTCGACGAAATCGATCCGACGAAAGTGACCGCTATCTGATTTTGCTCCGTTTCTCACTCGCTTATTCCGTTGTTACAGTTTCTGTTTGGTAATTTATCATTTCGAACCGTTGCATGTTTATTATCAATGCTGAATACAAATTGCATAAATTAACGAATACGTGAGAGTATTTAAAATACGTGACCAGTTTGAAGTGATACAGTTTGCCAGTTTTCCGATGGAGCTCACGCTATTGCTTAGAAGCCGAAGAAGTCGCGCACGGCGTCCCAAGCTCCCTGGTCGAAGTGCTTGTGGCTCAGCTGGTTCTTGCCACGTATCTGTGTCGTGTAGAGTCGCGTCGGCGTCTCCGCGTTCAGAACGTTCATGGTCTCCGGGAGAAGAGCGGCGAACTGGCTCTTCTCGGATGGCAAGTGAGCAGTCATCTCGGGATTCATGATTGGCTGTCCGTTCGGTTTGGCGGAGCTTTCGAACGAGGTGCGGAGCACGAAGATGCGGCTGGGCACGACCGACTTGGTTCCGTTCGCGTACAGATCGATCTCCGATTCGGTGGTGGCGTAGAGGAATCCGACTCCGAAGTTGCGACGGAAAACAAACTCGTCGCTGCTTTTAAACGCGTAGATCGGACAGTCGGAGAGGGTGCGGACGTCGCATTGGGTGTCCAGCTCATCGAAGCAGTATATGTAGGTACCGAACAAGACTTTGCACTTCTCCAGTTCGATCGGGATGACTGCCTGTTGGGTGATGAGGACGAACTGCGGGATGTCGTAGTAGGCGTACACCTCCTCGTCGTGCAAGAACTCTCCTCCGTGGACCAGCTGGAATTATGGATTGAACGAATGAGACTATGTCCCGAATTATTCTTACCGCGTAAATAGTTCCAGCCTGTGGAGTGTCGGAGATGTTGAAGCAGATGTTCGTGTCAACAGTCATCTTCTTGACATTGCACGTCTTCGGGAAGACAGTGGTCTTCTGAGAGAAGTCAAGAAGGTCACTTGCTCCGGCACGACGGGTCGTCTCTTCGCTGACAGCATTCAAAAACGGATTATTGATTTTGTTCTCGAGGAAGAGTGACTTGAGATCTCTCTCGAAACGGAGAGAATTCCAGTTGTAGTCGAAGTAGTCAAGGTAGCGCATCTGGCCTCTGTCCTCGGTCAGATTGTACTGAGGAGCCGTCTCGTTGTCCGTTTCGATATGGAACGCACGGCAGATCGAGTCGAAGCTGGTGAAGATTCGTTTCTGGAGAAGGCCGCGGCTGTACTCGTTCATGTTGTTCGTGTTGAAGGTGTTCACGAATTCGTTGAGATCCAGGGTATACGGTACGCAGTGCTGTTTCTCCGGAATAAGACGACCTTCGCCGTACACTTCGTATTCGATTCCATGATTACGGAACATATCAAGGACTGAACAGAGGGTCACTGGTAGCAGAACGGTGGTTATGAGAAGAAGACGCATCTGGAAAAGGATCGATGTTACGGTTGGAAAGAAGAAGAAGAAAGAGAAAGAAGGAGAGGGCTCGAGCAAACGCGCACGATGTAGTGGCGAGCAATGAGAGCGACTGACAGAATGTGACAGTGCCGAGAGAGATGCGTGCGTGCATACGCGGCCGCACTGCGTTCGTTTGGGAAGGCCTGCTCGCAGAGTTGTGACGCAACGCGAACGACGCGCGCGCGCAGTTGACCCCTTTCGGAGCAGATGACGTCATCTTTCATTGTCCTGACGGACTGTTGTCAGGTCTAAGTCTTTCAGATAGGGATTTATGACGAAGTGCGGAGAGGGAGAGAGATACGGTCGCTGAGATTTGTTTGTTACATCTTAACGTCCACTCGAAGAGATATTGCATCAGAAAAGATGAATAGACTCTTGTCAGGGCTCTGGATAAACAAACAAAAGAGTCCTTTAAGTTTAGAAGTCGATGTTCGAATTCGTTCCAAACGATTACTGTATCCAAGCCACTGGGACTCCATAATTCCTTAAATCCCATCTGCTCATTTCCAAACTTCAACTTAACATTCCGAGTATATGAATGTTTATTACAGCTTGAAATGTAACCGATTAACATGATGAATGAATGAGTACGCAATTAATACGGACAGAGACTTTGCAGAACATTTGGTTGAGGGGAAATGTTTCTTTTGGTTTGTCGGAAGCTTAAAACGAAAGGTTACAAAAAAGACGAAAAGAATCTGTTGAGATAACAAGAGTCTGAAGGATTCGAGGGTGAAAAAAGGGGTTTGTCGGGCAGGTTGGTAGCAAGCGAATGTGGTTGCAGATGGTGCTTAGGCAGCCTCTTCGGCGCTGAAAGAACGAAGGATTACTGTAGTCATGAATGATGGATGGTCAATCTATTCTATGACTAAGTGGATAAGCAAGACATGCTCTACGAATGGGCAAACTCAAAATCTTACGGTTTTGAACCAGTTTAGGCAGAGCTGAAACTGAGATTATTCTGAAAGACTTGCGGAGGGAAACTTACTCCTTGGCGGTGAGCGGCTTGAGTTCCTGGTTTCCGGTGAGCACGACGTACTTCTCCTCGGCGTCTTGTGGGGTGTGGAATCCGATGAAGAAGTAGTAGAACCAGATTCCGACGACGGCTCCGACGAAGGGTCCGACGATTGGCACCCAGAACCACTTGCTGCAAACCGCACACAATTTCCTATTTGCTTTTAATTTAAATTCGTATTTTGGGTCGCCTTGAAAGCTGTTTGTGCGTACATGTTTTCGCCCTCTTTCTCCCTCAAAACAACCCCATTTTATGACTCTGTTTTCATTTCCCCTCCTTCCATGTGTTGAGCGGGTGATCGGACGAAAACAAGGTTGGCTGGCAGGTTGGCACGAAATCGAGTACCCGACTTCCTTAGGAAATCGCATGTTTACTTTTCACGTTGCGCCCAGAATTCATGGCATCGACGTCGCCGGCCGAATTGGCAGAAATGCGGTTGTTGTTTACCTGTCCGTCAGGCCTCCCCCACCCGATGAAACAATTCGGACAGACCGCATTACGGTGCGCCGATCATTCGGACGGCAAGAGGAGAAGGAAGAGGGAGACCTTCGGGCAGAGAATGTGACCGCGAAAATGAGTTTATTGCCGCCCGAATCCTTCCGACAGTTGCCTCTTTGAGGCCGATTACTCACGTGAAAACTCCGGATCCGTAGAAGATGGCGGTGAAGAGACGTGGTCCGAAGTCACGGGCCGGGTTGACCGGGTATCCGCAGTTGTATCCGAAGGCAGCTCCGATTCCGACGAAGGCAGTTCCAACGAGAATTGGCTGGAGCCAGGTTGGGTACGCGTTGCGCTTGTCAACGATGTGAGCGATCAGGAAGACGAAGACGGCGGTGGCGATGAACTGGTCGAAGAATCCGTTGACGAGGCCGAGATGCGGAGCCGGGTAAGAAGCGAAGATTCCGGCGGTGTCCTTTGCTCCTCCGATGGTACGGACTCCTCCGTCGAACGCGTTGATGGCGTCATTGTAGACTACGTAGACAACAGCGGCTCCGAGGAAGGCTCCGAAGAACTGGGCGAAGAAGTAAGCGATGAACTGAACAATGGTGATTTGTCCGATGGAGAGGAAAGCGAGGGAGACGGCTGGGTTGATGTGTCCTCCTGAAAAATGGCCGATTGTTTACTTCTCTCACGCAATGCCCATAAATCGGCGACTGTGTGGTAGTAGTCACTTCCATTTCTCATTTTGCACGCTCTCTCAATTCACTCTCAACACACATACCAGACACTTTGGCCGAAACAGCCACTCCGAAAACGATTGCGATTCCGAATCCGACGTTGACTCCGATGAACTCGTTGACTTCCGGTCGGGGGAGCACCTTCTGTGCAACGACAGAAAGGCCGATGAGCTGGAAAGAAGACGTCGGCTCGTTGGCTCAGCGCTTGTCAAATGTCGCAAACAAGTGCCTGTCCCCCGGGGCATCTGCTCGCGGCTCTCACTCGCTCACTCCCACTAATCACTATTTTGATCTACTCGCTCGCGTGCCTCTCCCACCTGACCGTCGTCGTTTCGAAAGGGACCAGAAGCTGGCGGATTCTAATCCTGAGCAGCAAAGAGCACAACGAGCAGCCAGATGTTCCGAATCGGACCTAATTGCATATGAATTAGTCTCTGCTGCTGCTGGGTGGCGCTGTTTCGCTCCCCCCGGGGACACATGTTAGTGATGCTTATTAGACTCACGACGAGCAAGAAGGTTCCACTGAACTCGGCGAGCGCGGCACGAAGCAGCTCTTTGCGCAAATGGAACTTGGCGCGAAGTTTGTCCAACACCATGTTGATCTGAAATACGGTAGGAGTGGATTGGAACAATGGGTACGTGACACGAAAAGATTGAGGTTGAAATGAAAGAGAAAAGGAACCCAGTTGGCCTCTTCTGAACTGGACGCCATGAAAACAAAAAAGAGAGAACGGAAAATGTCGTCTGGCCGGGTGGCACGTTTGCGTCGCGTGTCTCGAAGCGAACAACAAAAACAGAAAAGAGCCTTCAGATGAGAGGGAGAGTGTTCCACACCAAAGATTACTCCTTCTCCCTCTCTCTATCACCCGGAAGTTGCGAACGGCGCAGTGAAACGCTCAGAAACGCATTGATTCGTCTCGGAATACAGCGCCGAATTCGACTGAACAATCTGGTTGTGTACCACGCCGACCGAGTGCCACGCGAGTCACAAACACAAAATATGGGGCGGGGAGTGGAAGGAGAGTGGCTGTTGGTCACGGGCAAGCCCCGCCCCTCGAGAGGGGGCATTTCCCTCGTTTTGGACGGGTGCCAAGGTCGGTGAATGAAATGGAAAGGCGGGGTTGCGGGCCAGGAGAGATCCGATCACAAACCGAAGTCACGCATGGAATATTCGAAATCGGCGCAGAGATTCAGTGATATTGGGTGGTCTATAGGCTATAGTTTGGTGGGCGAGAGGGAAACGTAAAAGACGGATACGCACACGGCCAGGATGTGTTACAATGATCTGCGATCACGGAGACACTCTCACGAATGCCACGTAAAGCTGGCAGTTGTTGTCGACCTGCTCTTTGTTCTGATGCATCAACTCTCCCACCACCTACAGTAACCCGCCACATGACGTGACTCACAACTGTCTTCCCTCCGCCAAACGCCCCTCACCCATTACACCCGGAAATTCCGGCGAAGAGGGTGCATCTGGTGGGTGTCTGGCGGCCCCCGACAGACCGCCATTCTATTGTAATTCTGTGGTCGGCACGCCGCGCTCTTTTAATAATGACTGTTTCGTGAATAGAAGGACGGGGGTCAATCATGAGTGCATTTCCTCTCATATAGTTACCGCTATGACAATGGAAATGAAATGCAAAAGAGGGATGAAAAGGGAGAGGGAAATGAGGGCGGGAAGAGAGACAATCCGTCAGTCCGCTTTCGGTTTAATACGAATCTGATCCTCCCGCTTCCATGGAAACCGAGAGAGTACGCGAGGATAAGATGGAAGAGAACGGATGATTAGCGGGACGAAGCGGGGAAACGCACCGAGCACCTGATATTTTGGCGGCTCTCCCCGTCTCGTGGGCCTTAATTATCTGGTTGTTTATCGCTTCGCGGCGAGGGGATGGAGAGGGAGATTTCGAAAATAACGGGGATCTCTCAGTTATTATGAGAAGGAGAAATGGGATAGGAAGAGTTAACGATGCAGATCTCGAAGAGAATCAGTCAGGTGGAAGGGACGAGAGACCTGAATTGGGAATTAAGGTCGGACAACATCCTCTCAGGACGACAATAATGACAGCCAATGATTCACTGCCGAAGCTGTCCCCTAATGCACCCATCTTTGATATTCTCCACTGCTCGCCCGTTCGCCTAAAAGCTTTTCCCGTGGCTGAACTATTTGTCAAATCGGTGCATTTCATTCATAAATCTCTTCATGCGGATCCAATTTGTCTCGTTCGTGTCGTCTGTCCGTCGTAATAATTTGAGAAAAACAGTTGATGGACGGCTCTCGCAGGGTTTCAAATTCTGTCGTCGTCGTCGCTATCTCTCCGCTCACATCTCCTTCTTGCCGCTGTCTTTTTCGTCTTCCACTGCCACCGAAACCCTGCTCATTTCGTGCGCTTTATTGTTCTCGTCGCAAGTCTCAAACTGCAAAAAGGAGCGAACGAATCAAGGAGACGCAGAAAGTGTCGCCAGATGGCAACATTCGAGTGACGCTGCGACTCTCCGAATCCAGCGCTCTTCTTGCTCTTCCGAATGGCGACAATGATTTATCACTGGAGGAGAGAGGACTCGAGAAGCCGAGGGTCGAAAGGTCCTCCGTGCCAATTTTTTGTGAGCAAGGACATTGAGAACAACAAAAAACAAAGAGGACATGGGGAGAGGGGAAGAGCAGGCACGTGACGGCTCTGGTGACAACAGATAAGCGATGATAGTGGGAATGGAGGGAATCACAAAACATCGGCTGGGTCGAATAACATTTCCGAATTGAATTAGAGATGGAATTGGACGACGACAGACGACGGACGAAAATAATTGAAAATGTACATAAGCGAAACGGCTGGAAAGAAGAGAAGATGTTGGCAAATTTGAAAAATCACGACAATTGTGGAGAGGAGGGAGGCGATTCGAGTTCTGAAAGTTTCCAATGTTTGCTTCACTCCAACAACTTTTGAATATTTATAAATTGCAAACATCTGCCCACTTGTTGTTTTCGATGTTTCAATGTTCAGTATAACGTACTATCCAAACTGTAAAAGATCATTGAGGTGAAGTGTGGGACGGACGCGAACAATACTAATAACAAGAGTAATGAAGGTCAAATACAAGTGCGCAAATCCGGATAAAAAGGCAGGAAATGAATATGCAAATGGGCATTGTATCGGTCGGATCGGCTCAGCGAACACACCGGCCAACACCTCATTATCATGCACGTTTGTGAAGCAAACAAGGGAAGTGCACTCATTAATCGGACAAATGCAGGGACCGTTCAGGTCTCTGATATGATAGCCGTGAAGAGCAGCTTGAAAAATGCGCATGGCTCGCAAAAAGACCTTCCGTAGCATCTACAATTGGTTACTGTTTTGGTCTCTCATTTTTGAGCGCGCAAAACGTCGAGTACGGCTAGTGTGAAATCTTTTGAAAACTCTTTTGAAAGCCAATATTCCCGCGACAATCTCCGATTAATCCAATCAAGTCATATGATCAGTTGAAGTCATAAAAATTATTCGAATGCATTGCAGAAATCCGTGTACTCGGACGGAATGAGATACTCCATGCCGGAAATGTGCTGTCCAACCTGTAGTTTCAGTTTTTATGTTTCTAGTTCAGCAGTGGCGGCTTACCTTAATGAAGACGCTTCCGTGGGTGCACGCCAGTTCCAGAAGATGTTCTGCACTTCGTTTATGACACTTTTATTGCATCATCGTATGCTGCGGCTATTCCGAATCTTAATATTCCTAATTGTCGCAAATCATCAGGCGTCGAATTCGCGAAACAGTGCGGAACTCCGATCATTCTGAAGGCCGCTTAAGGAGGAGAAGGACGTGGAATCCGTCGTGTTGATAAGCTGGAAGAAGTCGAAGAAATCTTCCGAAGATCATTTTCTGAGGCCCAAGCCGCTTTCGGAGACGGAAGTATGTTTGTCGAAAAGTTTGTAGAGAGACCAAGGCACATTGAGGTTCAGTTGCTCGGTTTTTTCAATGTATTCAACTGTTCATTTTGAATAACTCTTTACAGGAGATCATCATAGAATCATCGTTCATTTGTACGAGCGTGATTGCTCCGTGCAACGCCGTAACCAAAAGGTCGTCGAGATCGCCCCAGCTCCAGCTCTTCCAGAAAGCATCCGCGAGAAGATTCTTGCCGATCAGAGTTGGGCGGAAGAAATTGGCGGAATAGTACGGAATATTTCTTATCTTTTTTAGAAAAATGTTTCATGGAATATGATCAACTGACAAAATGTGCAGCACAGCGAGTTCTATTTATAAAAAAATAATGAGAGCCTTTACTTTTCATATAAAAAAGTTATGTAGGTTCTTCCGCCTTCCGCCGCTGGCGGAATGGTGGCGGAAATTTTGGAGGAAGAACTAGCATAACTTCTTTATGTGAAAAGTAAAGGCTCTCATTATTTTTTTATAAATAGAACTCACTGTGCTGCACATTTTGTCAGTTGATCATATTCCATGAAAAATGTTTCTAAAAAAGATAAAAATTATTCCCTGCTACCGCCAATTTCTTCAGCACAACTCTGTTGCCGATGCTCTCCGAGGGCGGTTCGACAAGATCGATTTGTTCGAATGAGAGGGAGCCACCGTCTCGTGCATCTCTGATGCAAACATTACGGTAGGCAATGTAGATGGCAGCATTCGAATGACGCTGCGACTCTCCGAATCCAGCGCTCTCCTGCTTTTCCGAATGGCGACAATTTATCAGCGGAGGAGAGAGGACTCGAGAAGCCTAGGGGTCGAAAGGCCCTTCGGGCCGCTTTTTTTTTTATAGCTATTCTCTGGATTTTCAATAAAACTGGGACAACTCATGGATGCGAAGGACATTAAAAATAGTAGCCAAAGAGTGCCATACATTTACTCCCTGCCGATATGTTTGAAAATGTTCTTGACCGACCTCAGGTCCAACTTATCAGTGGGGATGAAGTCGTCGCCTTTCAGCTCTCCGATTCGGACGTTACAGTGATAACGCAGCAGCTCCCATTCGATGTTCGTTGGCTCCGGGGTGTCCTTCTGCGCCTTCCGAATGATCTCCTTCACTTCTGGATGCAGCTTGCGGTTCGACGTGTAATGTCCGAGCGTCCAGTTCTCGTACTTTCTGAACCTCGCCACCAGCTAGGGAGGAAGAGAGAGAGAGAGTCCGACTTCTTGCATAGCAATAACGTCGGAAGAAGGAAGAGAGAGATAGTACTCGCGGGCGTTCTTTGTTTTAAGTAATATATCTCCTTCCAAGGACGCTAAGCTAAACAGTAGGAGAACAGTAAGCGGAAAGGGAAGCGGGTGGGAAAGCATGAAGCATCCGACGCGAAAGCACAAAGGATCCGACGCATACCGAGCATAACGCTCGCATATGATATTCCTATGGTTTCCACGCGCGATCCGCGTTTAAAGCACATTCGACCCATATGCTTCCTCCGCATTTCACCTGGAATCAAACCGAAAACAAAAATGTTCAAAACCACAATTGCTAATCACTCGGTTTCATGTTGGTCCGATCGTTTTTAAGAAGATCTTTTGTGTTCCATACTTTAGCGGAGCCAAAAAGAAGTGAAGTATTTCATCTGTACCCAGAATATCGTCAATGAGAAATATGAAAGAAGGCGTCGAGAAACATTCTCGTTTGTCTTTCTTTGCAGTAGTACTCAAGCTGGATAAAGAATTCCCTTTTCAGTTTCAATTTGATTAATTGGACTGGCATTCTTCCCGATAAGCGCTCGAGCGTAGGAATGATCAAAAAGGCGGAAGGGAGACGAGAAGCATCCTCCGACTCGTCATTTTCGCGGAACTTTCTCTTCTGCTACCTCCATTTTCCCCTCACTTTCTGCTATAAAAACATTGTCATTTCTGCCACTTGGCACTCTTTTATGTAATCAGTATGTGGCCAGAGGGTTCAGTCGTCACCCGAAAAAGGCCATTTAGTGTGGAGCGGACTGGAGTGCCGGAGAATGATTACTACTTTCGTTGCGCGAAAAACCAATTTCTGTAGAGGGCCGCCCATTTTTATGGTGTTTCTTATTGGCTCAACACTGGCTTCGTGAGCCCATTTTCCTCGGCAAAGGTGTCTGACATTCTTCTTTCCGAAAAGCATCTCCACTTTCCGACGCTCCGTTTCCAGATGCTGCCGGTCCAAACACTCTTCGCGCTCCTCCTGCTCGTGCTCACTTCGACGGCGTTCGTGCTCCAGGACCTTCCACTGGAACGATTCGAACGGAGCGGACACAGCGAAGAGGCCGATCAGTTCGAACGACAGGCGCGGGCGGGTCTTATCTTCAGGCCAGCCGCCAACTTCATGACAAGATACAGGTGTGTTCTGATCATTCGAATGATCCCAATCGGTTTTCCTCTTTCCAGAATGCTCTCTGGATAACGTCCGTTTGTCGAGATCTCCTTCCCTCCGAATAAGTAATGATTCTTGATCATAAATGCTTTCGTTAACTCTCCTTTCTTCTTTTTGATCACTGAAAACTTGACGAACAATTAGTCAAGTGACCGTCCACTTCAGAATCTTGACGATTGACGTCAATGCTGAAAACAAGTGTCAGACAAAAGAGAAACACAAGAAGGAGGATAATAATAGACAGTGGGGAGGGAAACAAAAATATTTTTTATTCTGGAGATGATCCGTTGAATCCGTCCAAATATTGTCGTCTTCCCTCGTCTCTGCGAGGGTCTCGGAGATTCATTTCATCCATTTCCGCAGCCCGCCCAATTTGTAAGCAAACAAAACCAAAAATGAAAAGAAGAAGAAGGCGTGAAGTGCCTGTCCTCCGATTCCGCCCCTCTACGAACTGTTTCACTCGTCCCAGTTCGTCCCTTTTCCAGTTATGAGAACCTTCCTCATCGCCCTTCTGTTCTCTGTCTCCGATGTGCGCGCCGGAAGCGTCGGAAGTAAGTTTCGCGCCCGGAGAGTTTCATTTTCCTTCATTTCCCCCCACTTTCAGTGTGTCGAACCGAGTGCATCGAGCAGAATGCGCAGAAAATAGTGCGAGTGCATCTGAAGGTTGTGTCCGCCCACGCGTGTTCTCATCTCTTCTTTTTCAGGATGATCTCGTCATGGCCGGCCTCTGCAGTAACAAGTCCGACTCCTCGGGCTCAGTCGTCACTCCGTACGTTTGCCATCGAAATGTCGGCCTCTGGAGCCTTGACGAACTCGTGAGCTGGAGAACCGTGTGCTTTTCCCCACGTCATCTGCTAGTTTCAGGACGAGGAGGGAGTGGCTCCGTTCGAGAAAGAGTGCCCGACGCCCGAGCAGTTCTCCTCGGAGCTCCGTGCCACGTGCCGAAGGTTCAGGAGAATCAGGACAGCCCGCCGCAAAAAGTGATCGATGATGAGTACCCGAGCTCAGGAGACACACCAAAATCATTATAGCCTTTGTACATAATTCCATTTATTAGAAAGAATAAATAAACTGAAACGAACAATGAATTGTTTTCTGGGGAGGGAGGGAAGGAGTCAAGTCAAATCATATCAATCATCACAAACCTTGAATAGAAGTTATTATCACAAAGAGCGGAGAAAGTGGGGAGACAGGGAGAGGGAGAGGAAGCACAACAAGTATACACATTCAGCAGGAATCGGAGGGACAAGAAATGTGTAGAAAGCTGTGGAAGAGAGAGACAGAGAGAAGAGACAAGAGCTAAAATACAAAAACAAGACTAAAACGCCCGGGCTCATAATTTCATTGGGATAAATATCGGATATCAAAAGGTTCCTTTTCACCGGCCAAACACTTTCCACTGACTGCGTGGGATCTTCTGGAGGTACTTGATCTTGTTGAAGAACACTTTGTACCTGGAAATACATACGTGAGGAAACCCTCTCGTCACTCGCCGCACTTCAATCATTTTTCTACAACTGATTTGATTTCTTTTTCCTTTTCCCATTTCAACGCATTTATGTTCCGGCCGGCTGCTGCTGCCAACAGAACAAGTTGTCTCGGTCGGGTGAAGGTCAAGACCTGCGTGATTCGGAGAAGGAAGTGACTACTTATTGGTGATTTCCGAATCACGACTTCAAGTCAGCCCCGTTTGTTTACTTACCAGATGATGCCGATGACGGAGCAGACGGCCACCGAAATGAAGTATCCGTCGACTGCCACTTCGCAAACGTCTCCGCCTGCCTTGCACTGATCCGCCAGCACTTTCGTGTTGCACGAGTATAAAACGCTGAAAGGAATGGATGCGATTGTTCATTTTTACTTTTCCCACGCACTCTTTAGTTCCTTTCACAATACAGTCTTTGTATGTGAACCAGTCGGTGATCGAGAGCACAACAGTGACCGGCCAGTTTCCTCCCAAGTTGTTCAGAGTGTTCAGGAGCGTCATGTAGGTTCCTCCGATGCGCGGGTCCGAGATCTGTGCGATGAACGCCATCATGGAGACAAACATGCAGTAGGTGGACAGCTGAAAGAAAACTCCTTCGTTACATACACAGGAAGTATTTAACAAACCTGATGGAAGATGAATCCAGTGATCCAGACAAAGTAGACAGAATATTCGAATTTTCCGTCCGGAAGTCTGAAGTGAGGAGTCCACCAAACGAGGGCAGCAAACACTCCGCCGATGAAGATTCTGTAGGGGAATGCGAGGAGGAAGATGTTAAGAGGACGCGGTCCCGCAGTCCACTTTCCAATGATCCACGGAAGAAGAATTTGCATTGGCGTGAGGAAGACTCCGATACTGGCGAGACGGTCTTTCGGGATTCCCATATCAATCAGTTTCAGACTGGTCATTCCGTCAGACGCTGCGAACGCGAGCTTTCCAGTCAACAGAATGGCCACCATATAATGGATTGGTCTCAATTTCAGAATCTTGTAGAGCACGGCATACGACTCGGCGACACCCAGCTCGAGTTCTTCGTCGTCCTCGTCCACAGCGGCGGTTTCCCCGTTATTTCTGTTCGCACTTCCGACTTGTCGACTTCTCGCTTCAGAATAAGCACGAGTGTCGTCGTGACAATGAACACCCATCCCCAGAAGAAGACGTATCCTGAAACAAGCGCATTGTTTGTATTTATCATTGCCTGGACGTGGCAGTGACCGGTGAGTATTCGGTTTCAGGCGAAATAAACAATAGTTTCCCTTGTGCAGGCCTACGTTCATTATTAGTATGCATTGTTCGTCCACCTCTCGAATGGTTCCGAATGCGTCACTTGCACTCGGGAATCCCTCGGCGCATTCCACCCCCGGATACTCTTCGAGCTTTTTCTCATCTCTCTTTCAATTCTCCAAATAGATCAACTTTGCTCAGCGTGGGTGCATCATAAATAGAACAAAACGCTGAGGAAAAAAGCGCGTCGACTCGAAAATCTCCGCCCATTTTACTCGGCTCGGCCTCCAGAAAAGAGGACGAGACACATTTAAGCGAAACCAGAAAAAACCAATTTTCATTCGCTTTTCAGTCCGTATTCAACTCGGCAACATAACATGAATAACGGCATGACTACACGCATCATCGCCGCCTTCCTGCTAATTGCCGTCCTGTCCGCTGTAGCAATGAGAGGTAGGCTCACAGAACGAAAACTTCATTGAATGCGATCATTTCAGCGAAAACCGACAATTGCAAATCGGAAAAACTGCGGGAATTGGTGCTAGAGACTGTCGGAATGTACCCCCATCAGTACAGCTATCAGGCAAAGTAAGTAAACGGCAGACTTCCTTGTTTGGAATCACCTGCTGCATTCCGAAGATTGCTTGAGAAATGCGTTTGGCTTTCAGATATCTGAAGCAGCAAGCGGAGGAACGATTCGGATTCTGGTGGAGTGCTGTTATTGTGAGCGAGCGGGGCGGATACGGAATGAGCGCCGTCTACGATCAGTACAAGAACACGAGCTGCGAGATGATGCTCTTCGACACGTACTACTGGATCGGAAGGACCTGCTGAGCAGTCGTCTCTCTACAATTTTCCTCGCTTAGTTTAGTCTTTCGAGCTTTTTTGTAGAGAACATTTACGAATCTATGGGTTACCGCCATTCATTTTGTGTTTGTATGAAAATAAATAATTGGTTGAAACAAACACAGTCTCCGTCTTCACTTTGATTTGTCCAGTGGTGCGCACCCAAAGCTGTTTTCCAACCTATCAACAAATTCATTTTATTAGCTCCCCAGGGACGCGAGTCTCCGTTTTCCCGCTGCCATAAGGGGCTTCGAAACGTCATTTTTCAAGCAAGTGACGAACTAAAATGGAATCGGAATTCTCTCGCTCACTTCGCCAGACAACTTTTCTCTTTTTTGTTCTTGTTTTTTCGGAAGCGCCCACCTGCCAAATCGATGAGTCCCGTGTCCTTCTGGTTGTCTTTCGAGCGCAGGAAATCATTGCAGAAGCTGGCGGACTCGAGAGCCAAGAAAACGATGTTTCCGAGGAAGAAGCCGGCAGTTTGACCGACAGCATTGCAGGTTGATGCGTATCCGACGTTCTTCCTGCAAATGAGATCCGTTATCAACTGTTTTAATACTCTAATTTGATAAAACAACACCAATTCTAGTCCATTCACGCATTCTTAACACGTCCTTGACGAATGTTTGTTTAGAAAACACTTCGAATAGAAGTTTGATCTCAGAAAGGCTAGAACGTGAGAAACTGTGTTGAAAACAGGTTTCAATTTGGCAAAAAACAAGGAAATGTGCTCACTTCGAAAGCATTGTAAGTGCCCATCCGTCGACGGCGATATCCTGAGTGGCGGCCAAAAAGTTGAGGGGCAGGAAGATGAGCATCAGGAATACAACATTCGGGGAGGCGCCGTCTTTTTCGCCCATGATATCTTTCACTTTGTACGAAAGGAACAGCATAAATAATCCGATGAGGTACTGGCAAGGAACCATCCACGATTTCCTCCTTCCCAGCTTTTTTGAATACACCGAGTCGACAATTGGGGCCCATAATAATTTCAAACTGAAAATGAAAAGAAAGTATGTTTTTTTGGTGTGATTACAAGGAGATCTTACCTGAAAGGCCAATATGCAAATGAGAATATGGCTTGTTCTGAGTAAGAGACATGTTTGCTAGAGAGAAGAAGAGGGACAGCTCCTATCAAACCGAGAGGAACACCTTGAAGAAGGTAAAGGAATAAGAGCAGGAGTATCGATGAGATGTCTCCTTTCAACGTGGTGTGCGTCCTTTTCCACCAACTCGCGTTCGGATCCACATTCTGAAATTGAATAATTCTTTCACTTTTCTACGGCACTTGCTCTTTTCTTTGCATTCCCGATAAGTGTTCAGTGTACGGTGCGCTCGTGTTAGTGAAGTCCAATGATTAGTGAAAACTGACAGGATCTGGCAACAAATGGGCGTAGTCTTCCTCGTCGTACTCGTCATCTTCGTCGCTGTTTTTCACTTCTTGCTCCGGAGGCAGATAGACTCGCGGAAAATGACCGCCGGCAGTCGAGAAATCGACTTCCGGCTCGTAGGCCATAACGTCTTCTGATGTGTGCGGCAGCCGTTGTTTCTTGTGTCGGGAACGTACTCGTTCTGTCATCGCTAAAGAAGAATCCATAGAGTTGTGGGGCGTAACGGATCAAAACGGACAATCTCACAACACTGACCCAGATTCTCTGACTCGGAATCAATATCGATGAAAGTGAAACTCATGGGAGTAAATAGTGAATAGAAGAAATCGAATGGTATTTCTGGAACTTAATATCTAGCGCATAGGTGGTTGCGAGAAGGCGAGACGTCTAGGAAAGTGGGTTAGAGAGAGAATATCAACATACTAAAGAGACTTAGGCAGCGCGGAAGGTGACAAACACGTTTTTGTAGTCATTTTGTAGCCAAACGCGTGGCAAACTAACTTTCTCCGTTCGATTCCTTCAAAAAATGCTCCAGGCTGTGTAAAACAAACAGAAAAGAAGACACGTTGCAAAAAACGAAAAATTCGGAGATATTTACGATAAACCGCGCGCGGAGCGGGAGACCGGATTGTCGTAAGTGTTAGGAAAACCGAGTAGCTTGAAAAGCTCGAAACGAATTCAGATTTAAAAACTTTGCTAATACATTGTCAATTACTCAGATTGAATTATAGATACTATTTATCAATCACCCATGATGACGTGGTGAATATCGAAAGCGTTTTGATCATTACAGTAACCTTGGTGTGACGTGCGGTTTGGCGGGAATGTCTCCCACGGCTGTTAGAAATGTGATAAGAATTCCTTTTGATCCGCGAATGTGGACTTTGATAGGAAACGTGAAGGTGGAAACGCAGAAGTTAGTGTTATCAGTGATGACTTTCAAAGAAACAGACAGGGGAGCGAGAGAACCTTCTTTTTCTTCTTCTCTTGCTTGTTCTCTTGCACAGAAACGATGGTGCACTGCGACGGATGGGGCTGGATTGTGGAGTCGAAGTCGACCGATTCGCTCAGATCGAACGGTCCGACCGTGGCGGTCATTTCGAGAGACAGCGGGCACTCTCGACTCTTCGTTCCGTTTTCCCTCCACTGGCATTCAGGGGCGGCGCCACAAGGGTGACAGCAACAGGCAGGCAGGCAGAAGAACTAATTAAAACTGCGATGAGGGCGACGAGATCTTGAACTTCTGACTGACAGCGGAAGAGGAATGTGGTGGACACCGAATAGCTGTCGATCGATAGCCAAGTGATAAGTGATAAGCGACGGGTGGGCAGCCGGCCGATCCAATATCTGATCACCATTCGTTTCCAAGTGTATTTTTGGAGTCTCCGCCGTCCCAGCGCCCCGATGTCCGACGGACACGGCCAGATCAGATGATCCGTACCTTTTTTGCCTTCTGTCTGACACATTCTTCGATACTTCTTGACGTGGAAACAAAAGAACATTGGGCGCGGTCCTGTCATTGTCTGTTTTCTTCTTCTTCTTCTTCTCATTTATGACATTCGAGAAGCTGCCCACTCTCACAGAAAAAGAGAGAAAGAAAGAAAGGTTCTTCTTCTTCGAAAATGAGGTATCGACCAAAGTTTGGCACCACATTGGAATGTAGTCATTATCCGGCCGGAGGGCAACAATTTCGAATTAGTCATGTCGGTTCGCGGAATTCCGAAACGAAAGCGAAGTTCAACTTTTCTTGCCAACTTCGGAGGGATTCTTTCGAGATCTCAACTATTCAAGGCATGCAATTCCAAACTGTTCCTTGTTCTTTGCCTTCACTTTTCATCCCATTCTCATTCATCACGGATTGATTAAAAAACATATGATCGGGAGTAAATTTTCCAAAAACGTGATGAATTGGATGGTATGATGAAGGGAAATGACAGACAATGTGTCACTTTCCATTTCGTCTTCAATTTCTCATTTTCAGACCCCCGGATCAGGGTGACCACAAAGTTTGTTTTACGATATGGTTGGGCAAATGAAGGCTTTGGAGATCCAATCGGACCTAAACTTTGCAGGCTTTCTATACTTAGATTGAGCTATATTGGGCCCACGATTCAGACGATTCGAAGCCCAAAAGGCTGTAAACCTCTCAAAAAGCCTTCGCCGGCCCGGGTTTTACCCGTTTATCATGGCTAACCATATGATTGGGAAATCATTGATAGGAATGGGAGAGAGTACGCAGAGAAATAGTTAGAGTTATCAGTAGAATTGATAAGAAGTGCGGAAGCAGGAAAACGAAAGGAAAAGAGAAAAGCAGCCGGAAAGATGAGTTCGAGCCCATTCTCACCTGGTTCTCCTGAGCACAAGTGCTCTTCCTGCTGGCGGTGACCAGTAGCGGGCCGTCGCAGTGCAACGCGTTCATCGGCTCGTCCATTACGAGAGATTCTCGACGAAGACGTGGTTTGTGTCTGGCTGGTTCACCCGGGTGCAGCGCTCACAACTCTTTATCACTCATCATTTTGTCCTCCCGCTCTTCGGCGCGTCGTGTGTCTCAACTGTATTTGATATCGGTGCGATTTTAAGAGAGAAATATTTAGAAGTGTGACGGAGGAATATTAGGAGAGGACGAGGGGTAAGTGAGACTACTGGGGGAGGAAGAACTAATCAATTGAGACGTTTTTGATCGATGGGGAAAATCGAAAGTGGATGAAGCTTGATTTATCGTCTTGCAATCGAATGTCGGTTGTTTTTGAGGGGTTTTCACATGAAGAACTCACTGGAACCAACTGGAAATTGTGGGCTCAGAGGGGAGCAGATCTGATTAGAAGAAAGAAAAACACGGATTGACAGAAGTATTAGGAAAGCGCAGGGAAGGTACAGTGAGTTAGGGAGAAACGGCCGGAAGTTCGACCTCGCTGGAGATCTTCGTCTTTTTATAATCCGGAATTGTGTCCTTTCCGAAAATGATGACAAACGACATTTAATCCGGAGAAACCAATTCAACGCGATGCGACCCTTTTTTGTGATGGCCACAAAAATCACAAGAATATCGAGAATTCGAAAAGCGCGCGCAGAGAGATAATAATCATGAAGAAGACGGAGACGCCCGAAATAGTACAGAGATGTCAGCGAACGAAAGATAGATGATATAAGCGGGGGGATCATGTCCGCCGATTCGCTTTTTTGGAAGGAAAGATTGACCAATCCTGGAAGACTGGAACGGGCGGAATTGAGAAGTGACATTGTGCCAGCGTTTTATATGTTTTCCCAGTTTGTCATCTCGCATTACTTTCGGCCCTCTTCTCCTCTCGTCTCACACACTCTCGTTACAGTAATCCCATTAGCAATTGGTCGTATCTCATCGGATGATCAGTTACCTTCTCTGTCCCCTCTTTCCCGCTCTTCATATTCTTCTCGTCTCCACTTTCAGCACTGTTTCGCTCTTTCATCTCGATTTTCTCGAATTGGCCGTCCTCCAGGTTGCCGAGGTCGTCCTCATTCCGTTGATTGTTCTGTAAAATGAGCCGGTTGACTATCAAAACATTGGCTGTCGGAAGAGAGGAAAACCGGTCCACCAAGACAAAAAGTATGACGTGGCAAAGTGTTGTTACCCACTCACACTTTGTCTTCTTCTTTCTCAAAAGTGTAACACGGGTTTGTACTTTGAATCGCAACGACTATGAGACCCTGGTCATGACATCGTCAAAAAGTTTTTCATGACTATCAAGGGAGATACAAATTAGAACTTTGCTATTATATAGTACTTGGGCTCTAAGAAAAAAGCGAGAAAAACAGTACCTGATTAGAGCAATCAGCAACTTTCTGTGGCATTGTGATAAGTGATAGCTTCTGATGGCGGTGGCGGTCACTTCGGCACTAAATGAGCCCTGCTCCAAGAGTTGCGCACTCTCGGAAGTCTGTGGACACAACAGCTCATCGGCCCCAAATTGAGAGCGCGCTAATTCGAACCGACTGGCCCACTGGTCATCAGCCGACTTTTCGATGGAAATCGACGACTCCGCGGCGGCAAACATTGTTTTTTTCGCTTTGATGCACCGTCTGTTCCGGGAGACAAAGGACTGGATGGGAGGGTGGCGGGCAGGGCAATCTTTATCAGAACGTTGATCAAATCAAACGGATTATTAAGAAGCGAAAAAAAAGGAGAAAACAGAATTATTAGGTATGTACAATGGCACCAGTAGTTGAGGAACTAGAGAAGAGCTTGAGGTGGACTAGTGACGACGACGGAGTTTTTTCACTCTGCGGAGTCTGAAATCAAATGGATGCCTTCAAATTTATTCTATTTGTTCCTTACTTTTTCTTCAACTTTTTCGGCTTCACAGGCACGATTTCCACGTTTCGGCCAATGAAATCTGAAAATTCTCTTCATATGAGTCATTCGGAAAGCCTCTCACCAGATGAGTCATTTCCAGCGGAAGTGCATCCATTCTCAAAGTAGAGATCTTTCTGGAATTCGTCGTATTTAAACTCGTCTGGACTGGAAAGTGAGTCTTCGGTCAACAATCGACATTTTCCGGTGATTGGATTGAAAGTGGACGAGCGGCATGTGTAACGAGTGGAGAGGACACAGAGCTCAATGCACAACTGCATTCCTTCGTAGCCGCGCGGCAATCCGTCGAACTCTTCGACTGCCTCAATTCGGACAGAATAGTCACGGAAGGCAACAAAGTTGGAGCATCCGTCGAAGACTGAGAAAGTGCGGGGATAGCAGAACTTGGTGGAAGTGCTAGCGGTGAAATCTCCGGCCACTGGAGCTTGCAGGGTGACTCCGTTCGATTGTGCTCAAATGGCACGCGTGGGTCTTCTCGAAGTAAGTGAAGGAGCGGCAATTCTGGAATCGGAGGGCAATGATTAAGATGAGTGGTTCATGCGTCGTACCTGCTGTTGGCAGATCTTTTGACATTCCCTCCTCGACGGAACATTCGAGTCGATCTGCTCGTCTGCGGACTCATCGGCTTGCTCGCTGTTTTCAAAGGCAATCCAGACATCGACATCGTCAGAACGGCATTCTAAATTGGACAAAATGTTCTAAATAGTGTGGTAGTAGACTTACCTGTAGTAACGATATCTCCAGTTCTGACTTCATCTGCCTCGTTCACTTCATCTAAGAAAGACTTGGCCTTTTGAATGTACGATGTGGACGAGATGGTGACTGGTTTCAGAGCAGGTCTCTTCGTGGCTCCAGCTGGCTTCCTTCTCAATTCCGACTGTTTTCGGAAAGCGGCCTCTTCATCAAACTGTATAACCTTCGCTCCGTATCTCAAACTGTTTTTCAGCTTCTGTTTCTCCTCCTCCACCTCCTCATCTTCCGCCTTTTCCCCCATCAACATCTCGTACTTCTGTCTGTCCTCAGTCTTCAACTCCTCCAATTTCTCTCCGATCGTCTTCTTTCCAGATGGCTTCGCGTCCATCTTCTCCATCGAATCCATCCATCTCTGCTCGCTTGCCGCCTTATCCCTGTACACTCCGTTGTTCTCCACTTGAGCATCTCCTTCACTGAACGAACCGGTGAACTGCGACGGCTCCATCACCGACTTCAGTTCCTTATCCAAGTCAGTTTCGTCGATATCAAGCACAGATTCAGTTGTCCCTGTCAAGTCCTCGTCGTCGTTATTCTGGATCATTGGCTGAGTTGCTGACTCGAAAGTGACAACTTCTGGCATAGCTGGTGCTTCCGAAGTCTCCGTGGTAGTCATCGGGAGCTCAGTGGCAGGTTGTTGCGTTGGAATTTCTATTGGTGGCTGAGGAATGGCCAGTTCTTGTTGAATCTCATTGTTGGTGAACGAAGAAGTGAGGAGAACCGGAGGAGAATCCGGCGGCGAGACGTTCGGATCGGCTGCGTTCTCCGCATTCTCTTCTGCAAACAGCTAATTCCACGGTGACGGAAGTTGAGCTATCATTCCATTCCCCTTCCGTATCACCCTATGTCCACTTCTTATTCTTTCGACCGATAAACTCTTTGCGAAGTGCTTATCTCCGAGAGAAGTGAAGCCGTTCTTCAGTTTGTGTACCGACGATAAATCAAAAAACCCACGCAAGCAAGATCTGGAGACGACGCGAAGGTAGGTCATTTTGGCCGAGATGACTGCCTGATCGACGCCCTCATCAGAGAAATAATGGCAAATGTGCTGGACCGTATCATAGACGACGGAACGGCAACGGGACTGAAAAGAGGGAATGCGTGGGGTGAACATGGAAGGGAGTGAAATGATTACGGCGGATTGAGCACAGAAAAGCAGGCACATGTCCTCGGTTGGCATCCTCCATTCACTGTGGTACGGCCGAACATTGACCAGTCGGTGATTAGCATATCTTTCGAAACAAGGCCGCAGCACTGAAATCACAAGTAATCCTATCTGTCAGTTCGAATCAATTAGGGTCACCTCTGCTGTCTGCTGTGCTGGAGTCAAATAGGCGAGAAGAATAAGAGGAGAAGATACCTCATTGCTGAGGAGCACTCTGGAAATGTGACAGTTTACGATGATGGGGGGTATAAATAACAAAGGATGGGGAATCAAGGGAATAAGAAGAAGAAACAAAATGCGATTTGCGATGGAAGCCACCTTTCCGACACAAAGAAGCCGTCGCCTCCTCGATGGACGCACTCTTTGCGGCGCTGACCTACATCCCAGCTAGCTCGTCCTCTGGCTAGCTGATAATCGAAAATGAAAACGGAGAAGCGGCGAGGGGCGGGGCGACTGAAAGCGAGATTTTCCATCAATCACCAAGTGCAACTTTCCATTTCGATCCATTCTTTCTCGAGAAAATCACTATCGCTTCTCTCACCTGCGCAAAACGAAGAAACATTCCCGAGCGGATATTTTACGCGCGCGGCGATATAAATGCAGAGATAAGTGATAAAGAAAGAGGGTTCAGATATTCATTTGGGGAGGTCATTCAATGAATGATTCAGGCGACAGTCACTGGTCTCGATTGGATGTACTCCTTCAGCTTTGGCTAGCCCATGACACGCTCACGCCACTCCAGAATCTGGAAAGAACACTTTGAAGAAGCAGGCTGAAGAACATGTTTACCACTGGATAACCCTTTGCATATTCAGGCCACCAGTTGAGGAGAGTCGTCATGTTATCCATAATTATCAGATCGCAATCCCGAATGACTCTTCTCAAAGTGGCTTGTCAGCAGCGGAAGGAACTTGTCTCTTGTCGGAATGAGCACCTTCTGCTTCTACTTCTCTCCGTCCAAACTCGTGTATCCGAGCTTCGTGTAGAAGTAGTCGTGGATCTCGTCGTAAAAGTCATTGAACTGGTCGGCGAATGCGTCCACCAGTGCCTTTTCGTCCGCATTCTTCCCCGCAAATCCTATAATATTCCTGGCTTTTTGCCGTGGGTTGATCTAATTAACTCACCAAACTTGTGTCTCGCAATGGCCATCGACTGTGGGATCTGTAGCAGAGTTGAGCGGAATCGATTTTTTGAAAAGACGGAAGGCGGAATTCAAATTTTTTTGGCGGAAGGCGGAAATAGAGTCGGAAAAGTTGCTGGTCAGTTATTATACTCAAACGGAATGATGAAAATTGAGCAGTGCGGAACATCAAATGTTATGCGACAAGTTGTTATGGCACGTGGTGAGAACAGAAAACCAACTTGATTGTGTATCGGGAAAACAAACACACATCTGAAAACAAGACGGGGGTTGGTAATATGATAATCACAAACTTTTGTAAGCCGAAAAAAGCACATATCAATAACAGAGTTCCCTGCTAATCACCGTTACTCGTGACTTTCTCTTTGTCATTTCACTTCTCGCTTTGCTTCCTATTTGCTCATGTACTTACCTACTGACCACTATAAAAGTGAGCAGCTGGCCACTTCCTTTCACCGTTTTTTTCTGCAATGCAACTCGTCCAACTTTTGCTCTTTTTTGTTCTAATTTCTGTTTTGTCTGCTTACGACTGGAGGGACGGGCAACTTCCATTGGAAAGGCTTACTGTGGCTCAGAGTTCGACAAAGAATTCGGAAACGAAGGTGAGAAGAGAGAGAGAGAGAGAGAGAGAGAGAGAGAGAGCAAAAGGATATTTTCATTTTCAGACTGATCATCATGTTCCGAACAACTCAAACTTCCCGCCGCACAACTATTATCACTACCGTTCCAAGTAGAACATAACAAGTTTTGATCTGAAAGTTCAAAGTTTCACAACATGCTATCTTCCCCTCAGATTCTCCAATTACACTTAAAATGGCTATAATAAACACTTACAAAGTCAGAAAAGTGTTATTTTCTCCCATTGTTTCAGATCGAAATTCGGACATTCTCTTTTCCTCCTTACTTTAGTCATTGCTCTCTTTGCCACGTCATCATCCTGGATCACCGAAACAATAAGCTAGAAGCTACGGAAAACAGGTGGAACTGTGTGATTTCAAAACTTATTTTCGGGAAAACTTTGAGATGTTTGAACCCATCGGTTGTTTCAGAAATAAGAGAAAACGATGTGATCGTGCGCGAGAGAACTTCGATTAATCTGCTTGACTTCATGAGAACTCTCCCCAGCGAGAAAGATAATTAAATTCTGCAGTTTAGGGAAAGTTGAGCCAGTCTCGAGATGTTTTTGGCGTGCCCTCCGAAAAGAAAGAGCAGGTGAAGCTCAAGACTACCGTATCCTTTCGCCACTTCCAGCTGCTTTTTCGGGAAAACTGTTGTTGAAGTGTGGCAGCTGAATAGCCGAGCTCTGGCATTCCCCGCTCATTCTCCTCCTTTCCTCGTTTCTTCTCAGAAAACATTCCAGACACCACTTCATTACAGTTAAAAGAAACAACCGTCTAGAGGTGTCGTTTCCAGTTCACCTCGTCTCGTCGCCGCGATGTTTTTAGTGGCGACACGTGGCGGACTCATCCTTCTGCTGCTTCTGGCCACCCTGATAACTCCGACGAACACGGCCGTCAGCGATGAAGACACCATCATTTACGACGATTACACACCCGGTCAGTGATTTAGCGACTTGCGCGGGAAAAAGGGGAGGCGTGCTGAAAAGGCATGGGAAGGAGCGAGTTTTTAGATAGAAACGCGTTGTTGGAGGCACAAAATGAAAGCCAGCTGAGCGAGCGTTATCATACTAAGTCGAACTGTTCTTCAGAGACTTTTTAATGATATTCAAAAGCGATCATCTAGTTCTCATTCGTCATTTCTGTCTGTCCTAACTGAATTCCCAGATGTGCTCATCAAGACACATTGAAACCGTTTGAGCTCTCATTCGCTCCTTTTTCCGTCGTTTTCCCTACGTACGAAACACTTAGTTTTCTGTTGTTCTTCCCACGGATCCGCCGTGATAACATGTCGGAGCTCGGGCCAACATGCCATTTTCACTCCTAATTACATCTTCGAAATGACTGAACAACAATTGGAAAAGCTGCCTGGCTGCCTAGCAACCTTCATCTTTTTCGTCTTTAATGTTTGATTTCTGTGAATGGCCCACTCACCCTTCACCCTGATTACCTTTTCTTATACTTCATATCTCATTTCGACCACATTCTATCTTTCTCTCTCTTTCTCTTTCTCCGTTCCAGCTCTCGTTGGCATGGGAAAAAACGAAGTTGCAATTCATTCCGCAATTTTCTCGCTTCGTTCACCGCACCCTATAATTATTCTTTTTTCCCGCTCAAGTTACGTCTTCTTCGTATCATCTGAAGTATGTCTTTTGAGCCAGTTCGCTCTGCCGCATCGCGATATGTCGGTGGTGTCGGACGGCGCCGTCGTCGTCTCGGACGGAGTCGTCGAGTCGACGACCATCCTCTCGACGCTGCTCACTACCGTAATCACGACGCTGGCATCAACAACAACGGCAGAATACCACTCGACGCGGTACCCCCCTCCGAAGAACTGGACTCCTCCGAACACGACTGCCAAGCCAAGTTCGTAACGTTCGTTCCGTGGACAAACAGAGTATCTTCTCAACTGACGCATGCTACCGTTGCTTGATTTTCAATTAAAATAGCAAAGAAACACATTGAAAAACACCTGTTTGTAATCACGAGCGTGAGTATACGGTAGATCAGGTGAAACTTGGTGAGCGATTCAAAAAACCAAAGAGCTTCTGCCGCTCCGCTCTTCTGACACAACCCCTCAATTTGGTTGGCGAAAGAAGGCGTTGAACTGAGAGAGAGAGAGCCTCTTTCGGTCGGAATCTCATTTGCGGCTGAGCCGCTGCCTCGGCTACAGTAGTCTCTCCTTCGGCTTCGTCTTCGAGAGCAGAGGAGCATAGCAACTAACTGCCAGGTTAGCCTTGTTTGCCGCGCGTGCCCGCCTTCCCAAACTGCCCCGAGAGTGTGTAAAGAGTCTTCGGGAGGAGTGCAAGGTTCTCCAACTGATAGCCGCCGCCTCATCGCTTTTATTCGTGGGCTTATCCGCGAACAACTGACACTTTGTCCAGCCGGCCGGCGGCTTGGTCCGGAACCTCTTGAATCTTTTAATAAATGCGACCGGGTTGCATTGTTTCACTCGCGCCCTAGCATGTCATGGATAAATTGATAGCCTCGTGGACGACTGAAACCTACTTGAATGGGTTGACTATCATCCAGCAGTATTTGAGCTGGAAAAAAGGCAGTGAAGGTAACGTGCGCATAACTGAGTTGTTGCTTTTTTCTATTTCATTTTCCATTGAATTCTGATCTTTCAGGAATGGGCAACACGGCTTCGGCAAAACAGGTCGCAGACCAAGTCGCCTATGGAGTGGTAAGTAGAGGAAGAGAGTGCACGTCTTCTGAATCACCACTCAGATCTCTTGCATCACCGTGGGCGTGCTCATCGTCATGCTCTACATGTCGCTTTTCGGTCAACGCATTCGAGCGACTGCCGTCCGTTGGCACGTTTTCAACTGTAGTCTGTGGGGTGTGCTTCATTTGGTAAATTGAATTATCGGTCGCTTCTTACCGTTCTGTCCGCTGCTTTAGATATCATACGCATCATTTGCTGACAAGGCACCCTGGCCGAATTACATTACCAATCAGAACTGGAGAGACACGGCCAAACAGGTCGAATGTTCACCCGATCCGTTTTCCCTGCCGGAATGGTCTTTGTGTATCTGGAGCAGATCGTGCTCACCATCGCACCTCGTCTGGCCAACTCGATCATCTTCAATGCGATCTTCTTCCTTCTCCTCGTCCCATTCCTCAATGGTCTCATGATATTCCTCTATTTTGCTCATGTAAGTATACTTCTCGTATGTCCTTCTAATCGCTGCCATTTCAAGTATATGGATGTCGTTTGGTTCTATGAGCCGATTGATCTGTTCAACTTGGTCACATATCTGCTCTTCGTCATATTCACCGTCATCTACTTCCTCTTCTGTCTGTTCGGAACCTGTCTCTGTTGTGCCACCATGACCACGAAGAAGCCCACATCGGTCAGTTGACAAACCCTCATCTTCTATTAACATTTTTTATTTCCAGCGGACAACTTCGACATTCGCCGACATGTGGCTGCTGTTCCCGTACGGAGTAGTCCCTTCCATCATGTACGGACCCTCCTTCGGAATGACTTCTGTCGGGTTCGCCATGAAGTATCTCCTCACTTGGGTACTCGAAAGCGGTCTTCTCACCGGTGGCTCCAGCAGCTCTAGCTCTGACTCCAGCAGTCTGATCGACATGAACCTCCTGATGCAAGTGGCCACCAATGCCATTCTCGCCATGCCCTGGTTCGTTCTGCTCTTCCCCCTCGTCCAATCTCTCCTCGCCCTCGTCTGTCTTCGAATGTTCCGTGAGCAGGTGAGTAACAGAAACTGCCGATAAGAGTCGTGACATTCGACAGAGCGGAAAGTGAATGGGTGTAGTTGATTATAGAGAGCTGGTTTCTATGGTGAATCGGCAGATGTTTGAAGTCGAGAAAACATTATGACGCGGGGCCGAAAAGCACAGTGAAAACCTTATTATCGGAGAATTCTTATTTTTCCAGTTCTTCTTCATGATCTCGTGCGGACGCATTTTCGAGGGAAAAAGAGCCAAAATCGGAATGGTGAAGAGCGACGAATGGAACGTTTCCTCGATCGGACCGCCGCCACTCTATCCGAGTTCTCCGTCCGAAAAGCAAGAGGCCTGAGTGTGTGATTGCTCGTCCGTTCGCCTTCCTTCCCGGTCCACTGTCCCCCAAATCTCGCATTCTGTGATCTCACTCACCCCGTTTGATCAACCGAATAAATGCATATTGTTAATGGACTTTCTTCAGTTACCTTATCATAATATTTGCACAGCTTCACCGCTGATAAGTCGGCCACCTCTTGTTGACAAAAACAACTAAACATGTGAGAACTGGTAGTGCAGACAGGCGTTCGCTTTGAAAACAGTTTTGATTCCGGTTGCATGGTACCAACTGGCACTGCATGCGATAGTGCTCGCCTCTTCGGTTTTACATCCCGTTTCTTTTTGGTTGACGTTGGTGGTTTCTGTTTTTCCAACTCAAATTAATTCATAAACAAGAATTTTTATTTGGCAGGTGCATTGTGACAATGAGTTCAAATGAGGTCGACGGACCGATTATGGAGGCGCTGCCCGAGGATGACGGGTGAGTGGGGCACCTGGACGGCCGCCACAGATGGGCGCTCGTTTGACACTCACCATTTATTTTTGAAGCGACCTCCTACGGCGCCAAATGCAGCTGGAAGAGGGCGACGAAATAGCAGCCGATTTGGAGAGATGGCAGATCGCAGATATGCTGGCAGATGGCGTCGAGATCCAAGAAGACGTGGTCAATGAAGAGGAGGAGGAGGAGGACTACGACTGGGTGACGCCGTTGTCCCGCGAGTACTCCAAGTCATTCAGTAAGTGATGCGTCTCAGCTCTTTCGAGTTCATCTCCGTCGAAACCCGCGAAATCTCCAGACATCGAGGTAGGGAACGGGTCTTTCTCAGCTGCCATCCGCCGCTTCTTCTGATGTGCGGACAGATAGAAGAATGGCAATAAGCGCGAGTAATAACATGTCACACGACACTTCTTCTCCCCCTGATTTCCTCATCATCCTCTCTGAATTTGCATAACGTGTTCGTTTCGTCCCGGCCCGTTTCGGATGGATCAATTCACAGGTCAGATTGTTTTGGAACGGACGGAAATGATCAGAGAAGAGTACTGTTTGCTTTTTTCGTGTGCGGGGGGAGCTGTTTGCTCTGCGTAACTATCCAGTATCGAGAAAAGAAGTCGGCGAATCTGAATTTTTTTCCCTTCTCCTGACTATGAGAATCGTGTCCGGTGACAGTTTGTCTTGCCTCGTTAGGTTCTCAATTAGATTGTTTTTCCTTGCATCCAGGTGCCCATCACTTTCAAACTCGTTCCGATTCTTTCTGGCTGTTCATCAAAGTGTGAAAATTGAATTTGAACTGTGTCACGATTTATTAAATACTGGTTCGGTTCTTTTTTTCCATGAAAGGGCAGGAGGCTTAGTCAGTGTGAACTGTGCATTGAAGGACGTACTTGTGGAGGTCTTCTCCCTCATTTCGCCCCCTTTTCAAGGTGAATCTGATCTCACCGCATCCCGTCCCTCTGATTCCGTTCTTTCCCAATCCAGTGTTGTTTAAGCGGACGGTATGTCAGCTGACTGCTATCAACAACGCGTCGCTTCTGAATCGCCCGTCTGCGGTGAGTGCTCCCCTTCCTCCTCCACGTTTTTTGTTGACTGTACAGCAGACTGCCCAAAAATAAACAAGAAAACAATCGACGTGTGTTCCTCATTTTAATCGTTAAATAAACTTAACCTAGTCCGATGTGTGTCTGAATCCTCCTCGGTTCACACGCTCTCTCGTCTAAGGCATCAGCTGATGTAGGAAGGAAGGCTTTTCGTGGCACGGATTGGGAGCAGCCAGACCTCTTTCCGTTCAGAAGTGAAAAACGGTTCCCTGAACGGTTCGCAGTTTGCTCGTCTCTTCCGACACACTTTCGTTTGACTGCTTCTTGATTTGTTTCTTGTTCGTCCAAACCACCCACCACACCCATTTTCTTCGTTTATCACGAGATCAGGCGGCCACAAGAGGAGAAGACGAAGAAGACGTAGAACGAGTTCTCTCCTCTGATTACTCTTTTCCCCTCGCCGTCCCTCGGAACCTTTTCACTTCTTTCGAATGCACTTTGCCTATTCGCCGATGGTTCCAAAGTACAAAGATGTGCCAAACCGACTGCAGATCGGAGACAACGAACCGGCCGGTTTGCGTTCCACCCACTAGACCCCCAACCACTAACACGCATAGAACATAGATGTTTAACCGAAACTAATGATGGATAAGTTAGCGAATTGGCTAGAATTGCAGGCAGTGACTGGTTCGGAGATGATCGAGAGTCGCTCAACGATCTGGCAAATACTTCAACAACGTCCACCTGAGCGATGTGAATTTGGTGGTTGGGGAGGAGAGGTGGACCGATCATTCCAAGTCGAATGGACACAATATTTTCTGTTTCAGTTTCCCTGCGCATCGTCTGATCCTTGCAAAGAGCAGCGAAGTGTTCGATCGAATGCTCAGCCAGCGATGGAATGGAGAGAAGAAGGATCTTGAGCTGGTGGAGGACTCCATTTGTCAGAAGTCTTTTCTGCCTTTCTCCGCTTTCTCTACTGCAACCACGTCGTCTTGCACCAAGAAAACTGCCTGCCGCTTCTCATTCTTGCGGACAAATACAATGTGACCACACTCAAAAAGGTTTCCTAGAAACTCTCAGTATTCTATTCAAATTCTCTAAACAGGTGTGCTTGGACTTTGCGCAGTCCGAGATTCTTCCGGTGCTCGACATCAAGGAACTGTTCTCCGTCTGGTTCTCTTATGCTACCAAAGCGTACCATCCGAGTCTGATTCGTTCGTGCATGCAAGCGATTGCTCATGACTTCGGCGCACTGCTCAGTGAAGAGTGGGAAAAGAATTGGCTAGCGCTCGACAGAGATCAGATGGTCGAGATTCTAAAATGCAACAATTTGAAGTTGACCAGTACGTTCGCATGAAAAACTGGAGCTCAAGTGTTGTTTTCAGACGAATTCGCGTTGTGGGAAGCCATTCTGAAATGGATCCAGGCCCCGAGCCATCCGGAAAGAAGAGGCAACACCGCCAGTCCTCTTCTCACTCTTCTTCTCCCGCTCATTCGGTTCCCGTTCATGACTGCCGACGAGCTGGGCCAAGTTGAAAAGTCTTCCATCGCTGAGATCCATCCGAAACTCTTTCTTCCCCCAATTCTTCTCGCTTACAAGTATCAAGCCCTTCCATTGTCCAGCAGAATCAACTGCAAGTGAGTCAACCATTCGAAGCCTCCTTACACATGTTTCTTTTCAGAGAGTTTTCCAACAAGCAGTTCCTTCTTCGGCACTACGAGGATATCCGTTGGGACCGAAGGATCACTCTCTCGAAGTCACTTCTCGCTTTTCCTGGCGTCGATCACACATTCACGCTCTCAACTAGATCTTCCACCTATCCAAATTCCGAATGGAAATGGACTCTCAAACTGACTGGGCTAACTTTTGCGAATGCGAACAATGCGGATGCGCTCCGTATCTTCCTGATTGGCGAAGATATCGATCAGTCAAGGTGCATCTGGTTCTTGTCAATTACCAACTATTGAAAGAGTTTCAGAGCTATCGAATACATGCTGCAAATAGTGGATGAGAAAAAGATTCTTCGTTCATTCTCTGGAAAGAAGACGTTCACTAAAACGAGGTAACAGCTTAAAGTCTCTTTCAATTTACTTTCTCTGTTTCAGGTACTCTTTGGAGCTCGAGATGGAGAAGAAGATCGAATTCGGCGACCTGCTCAACGACGAATCTTCTCTTCTGTGCAACGGAGACCTCATCCTCCAGCTCATTCTCAAACCCATCGACTGATTCCCTTCTGGCTCTTGTCCCCTCCTTTCCCATTACTCATATTCTGTCTTTCCCTATCCCTCCTCAATTCATATAATGTGTTCCGACCTAAATAAGGATGTGCTTATCTAGTCAAATAAACTTTGCTTCCTGTTTCAAACCAGTACAGTCCATTAGTGTCGACAAGTATAAAAAGAAGCGAGAAAAGACCGGAAGACGTTCATTTCGAATGGGAGAGAATTCAAAGTGAGTTGACTCCTTCTCCATCTTCATCGTTCCTTTTCGTTTCACAGAAAGTTTGTGTCGTGTGACGTGGCATCGGCGAGGCGACTTGCTTTCTTTGGTTTCCTCTCCGCAGTCCTCACTTCTTTGTGCGCCATCCTCCTTGTTCCCTCCGTCTACTATCAAATTGAGGTGGGTAATGAGAAAGAATCTGAATAGTTGCAAACCGTTTTTACGATTTCTCAGAAGGTCAAGACGCAGTATGAGGGCGAGTTCTTCTCGTGTAGGAAGGAAATTGACGAGATGAGGAAACGGAGTGTGAGGTTCGCATTTGCAGATGGTTTTGAGGGACGGAGGGAAAAGAAGCAGGTCAAGAAAGATATGACCGATTTGGTGAGTAAAGAATTGGGTTGAAATTCAGATGGATGCTATTGCAGGACGACTTCCGAAGTGGCTACTCGTACAATGCGCCCGTTAACCTCCATCCAAAAATTTCCAAAAATTGCTGTCAATGCTCTCTAGGTCCTCGTGGTCCGAAAGGAGATAGCGGAGCGAATGGGAAGGATGGTTCGTGTTATTACTTGTTCGTATTCTGATAGATTCTGTCAGGGCAAGACGGTAACCCCGGCAAACCTGGACGGCCCGGAATGGATGCGATCGAAAGAATGATCTCTGATGGATACGTGGATTTCTGCTTTGAATGTCCTCCAGGAGCCACTGGTGTTCCGGGGAAACCTGGAATCAAGGGAGTGGTTGGAGAGCCGGGAGCACCCGGAAATAGAGGAAAGAGAGGAAATGGCATTCCTGGGCCAGGTATGTCCCTCCAGCAATTTAAAGAATAAACACGCTTTCTTCTAGTTGGGCCTCCCGGTGTTCGTGGAAAAGACGGAGCCATTGGATCACCAGGATTGGCTGGTTCCCCAGGAGTTGTTCATTCAATGGAAGGCCCTCCAGGACAGCCAGGACTTGCTGGATCAGTTGGAAAGCCAGGATCACCTGGGAAACCTGGACCTCCAGGTGCTGACGGGAAAGTTGGTATCCCAGGGCCTAGAGGTGATCCAGGAGGACCGGGCATTCCAGGCCGACCCGGCGGAGAAGGTCCAGTCGGAGACAACGGAAGAAGAGGATTGGACGGCTCCTGCTCGCATTGTCCACCAGCACGAACCCCTCCCGGTTACTGAACTCTCCGCGTGCCGTTTTCAAGAATACGTGACTGCCAAAAGGTGCATTCTCACAATCAACCCCTTTTTCTGCAAAAAAAAGAATACATTTGACACGTATAACCCATTTTTCAATAGGCTCTTTCTATTCTCCTTCCTCATTCGTAATGCACTCGATAAGAAGAAGTGATCAGAAAAGATGGACGGCCACATCGAATGTCCGGCTGATAGTGTGCCTGGCCGACCGGACGCCATACTTTCACGTGGACAAACAACTTCTTCTGATGTTCGATAGACGGTTGTTTCAGCAGGTTGGCTGGCTTCCGGGTCAAACAGCAAACAAAAGGGCGAGAAAGAAGGAATGGCCGAACGAATGTGTTCGTGATATAAACTAAAGTTGTATACACTCATTTCTGATCTTTAGGAATGTCCTTTCAGTCGTCGGGTTGTCTAGTCAAATGAATGGATACTATTGTATTCTTGTGTTGCGACCAATCAATTTCAGCCTGAAAACATTAAAACAATTGTGAAGGGAAACGTGACTTGCGCGGTGCAATCATCAATGGTTCTGATCGTTCCGCAAAAATGATGACAAACGTCTTCTCGGGGAACATGTGCGCAGTACGTGACAGTTGCTGTCTACGTGCCTATCGGAATTCTGAGTTACTGTAGAAATGGAGATTTTTCTCAGATCTCTTCGAAAACGACATTTGTAGTGTAGTGCTTAACCGTAACCTTTGCCCCCATTGTCACGGAATGCGGCTGCCCGCCCGCTTCATCGTATCATTCGGAATGAGCCGATGGGAAAGAGGAGCACATTCCGTAGCCGGTGAGACAACGGCAGTCAACGAGGAGAGAAAAGAGGGAGAGTGCTCTTTGAGCACAGGATTCATACACACTTTGCACTTGGCTCCATGTTGTGTAAACCAATGAGAGTCTCGTCGCAAGACAAGAACACCTTGACGTCACAGCGTCACGGCTGGGGAATCACTCAAACTCAAAAGATAGGAATGGCCCTTGGTAGTCGGATGAACTCCGTTTTTGAATTTCTCTATTTCCTTCCTTGTAGCCTGCTGGAAATAGAACAGAAAAGACACGCGGAGAATAAAGTGATGTACGAGCTGATAAGCGAAAAGCGCATGAGTTTGCGCACGGTTCCCGGCGAGAAGTTTGGTGACGCTTACGGATTGGCACATAAATTCTTGTCGGCGAAGTTTCTGAGAGAGACACCTTCAGAGGTAAAGATCAAAAGATGGACTCTAACCGATCAATGACATATCCGTGTATAACCATGTTCACCATAAGATCTTTTCGGGGAATTTCCTCCGAATGAAAGTTAGTCTAAAGATGGTTTTTTAGTCTTTATTCCACATCAAAGTTCAATCTTCTAATATAGCTGGTTCATCGTCTAAATCACGAGAGTATCTTCTTCTTCTCCTTCTCTGATCTATGACGTGGATCTTCCACTAGTCGTACTCTGTGGCTCGGACGTCCGCAATACAATACAATCGAGACGTAGTGGACAGAGATCGTCGCGGCGGACGATACGGGTGCGAGGTGATGACAAATTATCAATGCGGAGACTGACAGCAGCTATCTCATTTGGCTGGCGGTCTTCTTGCAAACCGACCGTCACACCATCCAATTTGCTGATTATCACGTACGCGTCTACGTGACTTTTGGCACGAACTATCGGGCGGTGGGCGGTACAGACCGAACACGGGAAGCGATGAAGGAGGCACCTTCCGAGACCTCCCCGCCCTCGTATAAAACGGTCGGGCATTCCATTCTCACCGTCATCTTCTGCTCGCTACACCGAGTTCACAGAAACTTCAGTTTCTCCGCCCTGCTACGTAACAAGTACGTGCCTCGACAGGCGTTTCTCTTCCGTCTCCTTCTCCATTCCGATCCCTTCGCACAGACTTCTTGCATCCCTTGAAGCGTTGCAAATGAAGCGGGTCGGGCCATGCGTCCTCCACGTGACACCTCCTTCTTTTCTTTTGAGTCTTGCTTCTTTTTGATCTAGCGAGTTCCTCTTCTTCTTCTCAAGAAATTTTTCTCATCGTCATCATTTATATGGTCCCTTCAGACTATATGTCATCATCGCCGACACTCTTAATGATGGAACGACTCAGCGAAGTGCGTGTCTACTCTCCGATGTCCTCCTCTTCCAACTTCTCCCTCGAATGCATCGCTGCAGCGTGGCTTCCCGACACTGTCCGCGCAGCAGCCAGTCCTCTTCTGGCTTGGGTCATAATGGTAAGTCGGCGAAAATGATCGGTCTCCTACGTGACAAGTCACTAATTCGTGTTGCTGACGACAGCTTGTATCTGATTCCGTGGGCATACAATGCATCTTTTAAGGTTGTGATCGGCACGTTGACACCTTTCGGCATCTTATCAGGACTCAGCCTCAAGCGATCTATCAAAGAACTTTCAACCGAACGATCATCGAAGCTCGACGTGCTGGACATCTTTCGCTTCCTGGCCATCCTCTGGGTCATGCTCAACCACACGGGAAGCGAAGGACGCGTGGACATTCTGGAGAGACTTCCGTCCGCCGACGCCTTCAAGAGTGCCATGCATGACCACCCGATTTTCGGGGCTCTCCTCGGCAACTCTGCCCTCGGAGTTGAGATCTTCCTCGTGCTCTCCGGATTGCTGGCTTCCCGTTCGTGGCTTCGCAAAGCGGACGAGCCGTTCTTCCAGCACTGGAAGTCGTTCATCGCCCGTCGCTTCCTCCGACTCGCCCCTTCCATGCTCATCTTCGTCTACATCGCCGCCGGCCCGATCATGAATGCCCTGCTCCCTCGCTACTCTTCCTCGATGGTCTCCGCTTGCGGATTCTGGGGAGTTCTCTCGCACGTCACATTCACTTCCAACTGGCAATCGACGCCAACTTGCATGGGATATTTGTGGTATTTGGGTCTGGATATGCAGCTCTACATGATTGCTCCGATCTTCCTCAACCTCCTCCACAAGTCGCCGAAGAAAGGAATCGCTCTCTCGCTCCTCGCCATGATCGCCTCTGCTTTCATCCGTGCTGGATACTGCACTGCCTACGGAACCTGCAACAAGAGCGACGTCGACATTCCATTCATCTCCTACCCCGGACAAGATGCCGCCACTCTCAAGTCGATCTACGCCGGACTCTGGGACATGTACTCCAGACCCTACACCAAATGCGGGCCGTTCCTCGTTGGACTTCTTCTCGGATATGCCACTACTTGCAGCCAGGTAAGCATCGCAACTTCCGATGCCTTCTATTCTCTTCGTTCCTTTCAGTTCATCATGTCCCCATCCGCCTCGAGAACTCTCTTCCATTCGAGTCTCTTCGTCGCCGTTGCCACCATCTACGCCATTCTCCCTGAATACTGGCATCCGGATGCCGGAAACACCGTCTACAACACCATTTACACTGCCGTTTTCCGAACTGTCTTTGCTGTTGCGATCGCCGGAATGATCTCCGCTCTCTACTTCCGCCAACAATAGTGAGTCGTTCCCTCTTCCTCTTCCCATTCTCAACTCTCCATTTTCAGCAAACCTACACATCCAGTGTTCGCGATGCTCGCCAAGCTCACCTACAACGCCTACCTGCTGCACATGCCCGTCGTCTACATCTTCAACTGGCTCCCATTCCTGCAGACGGCCACTTCCCCGGTCCACCTTCTCCTCGTTCTCCCCTTCGTCGCCGTCCTTTCCTTCCTCGCCGCTCTCATCTTCTATCTTTTTGTCGAGGCGCCAATCGGCCACCTGACTTCTCAGTACGCCACGCGTCTCGGTCTCTAACTTCCTCTACATTCCCCTGCTTGATCTTCTGCCGAAAAGCTTCCCATATAATATTGTGCCAAGTGCAACACACTGCCTAATAACGTGTAAATAGTGATTCTCGCCCTCTAACTTATCTTTGTATGTTGTCATTTTCTGTACATATTCAGTCACTTTCCCATTATTGCGGTGCTTTTTCGAGTGAAACGGGTACCAAATGAATCTTTATTACATGCAATCAAAACGGACACTTCCTTCCCTGCTTGTTCAGAGCTCTCCAGTAGTCGAGGCAGTCCGTCGCAATCAGTCTCTGGCCGTGAGCAGTCCGCTCTCGCACCGCCATTGCCATCGAGATTCTCGCCACGGCGCTCATTGCCGAAAACGGATCTTCGCCTAAAACGGGAATAGATCTCGTCCATTTTCTGCAGTAATCTCGCCACTCACAGTCACACTCCGCCACGATCAGTTTCGCATTCGACGCGGCCGCCTCTTCGATCTCTCCGCCTCGCTGCACTCCGTCGAGAAGAATGTCTGCTTCTCTGAAATTAATCCTTCGCTTCTGATCGCAACAATGTTCAGTCTTAGGATTGTAAAGGACTAGAAAAATAGCGAAAGACGGCTCGACAAAAGCAGCAACTTTTGCACAGATTCTAAACAACTTTTGCACAGAGAGTCGACTGAAATTTTCACAAAATCTCACGTAATACATTGAAAAGTAAAAAAAAGAAGATACATTATCCTAACCTGACAGCGTTTGCCATTTCTGCCAATGAATGCGATCCGATTCGGAACTCCCTGATCGCCGCTCCGTGGTCCTTCAGAATCGCGGCGACGATTCCGATGTTCTTCGTTCCGTGCACGGCGACCACTTCCGCTCCGCCCAAATAATTCTCTCCCAACTGAGCTCTCTGTTTCACATTCGCTCCGATGTACAAGTTTCCGACCATCTGAAAGCAGTCGGAATCATCGGAATCCCTCGTGCGGCGGTCCAACATAACAGAACTGGGCAGAATAGAACCGCTATATAATAGAACCGCGACATAATATAACCGGGCAGAATAGAACTGCGCAGAATAGAACCACGACACAATAGAACCGGCCACAATATAACTGTTTGGAGCGCCTTTTAAAACCTTTCTGTAGAATAATTGTTTCGTAGAAAAAGATAATTTTTGAATCTCGTGATCGATTTATTGCATTCATTAATTTCACTTCCGTCGTGATCCTTCTTCTCTATGGTAACGAAAACCCACAGAAAATAATTTTATTGTACTATCAAAAACGAAAGGAAATCAATTTTCTACGTTTAAACTGTGGTCTTCTGCTTAATTGTTCAAGAGACGAAAAATTTTGCGAAAGTTAATTGAAAGGAACAGACAAAATGCTCATATAAATACACAAAGACAGTTCTATTCTGCGCAGTTCTATTATGTCGCGGTTCTATTCTGCCCAGTTCTATTATGTTGGACCGCCCCTCGTGCACTTACCCTTTTTGCCGTACGGAAGAGGCTCGGCCGCATGTTTCTCAGCTGCTCGTTCTGCGAATCTGCCTACACTCGGCCAGTAATCCAATTTCAATTTAGTTTTCTTCGTTTCTGTTTCTGTTTTGCGGCTCCTCCCATTCATTACCCGGAGCAGAAGTAGCCAAGTCAATTTGAGCGTAACCCCGCCAGCTAATTAGAGAAAGCGAAGACACGCGAGAACAAACCGATGATTTTTATCGGACAACGAACTAAACGATAACGGAAAGGGAGGGGTAGAGAACAACAGAAGGACGCGTTGAATAACAGTGAAAACAAAATGAAAATATTAAACTTCAGATAGAAAACAAAGAATAAGTGAAAAAAGTTGGAAGAGGTTTAGTGGTCGTCAGCTGACAGCTTCTTTCTTTTCTTCGGTAAGTCTTCCTCCTCGGTTTCTCTATTTCCAGCCTCTTGCTGCTGCTGCTCGTGGAGTCTCTTTAGTCTCTTTTTCTCCTGCAAATACAATACAAGATAATACAAGACAACAGAAGACATTTTTGTGGGGACATTGCCGACTTTACCGCGACTGTAAGAGGTTGTCAGGTTGCCCCAAGTGTCTCCATTACTTCATTTGGTCATATTCATTCAGTTTCCACTCATTTGAACCCACTACAATAAAACGAAGCTTGGATAAACATTTTTTGAAAATTGTTGGTATTCTTTTGCGCAGGGTCTTTGCCGCTGGTTCGGAAATTTCAATCCGACCGCCAGGTCGGAAAAATGTTTTGGCGTTTCTCAAACATCTCGCACCTATGCCCAGTTGCTTACTAGGAAACGGAAAAATTTCAGACGAGTGGAGTTATAAAATTGCTAAAAAGTGCAGTATCAAAATGACAGTTTGGATGACAATTTTGATAAGGAAAATGAGCCTAGTTTGATCAAAATTGTGTTTAGGAATATGAGCAGAATAAGGGGACTTTTTGGGCAAACATTTCAGAATGCCACGAACCTTCTTGAGTCGTTTTCTTTCGGCGTCATCGATTTCCTCGGGTTCCTCTTCCTTCAACTCCTCTTTGATCTCGAATTCTTCAGCCTCCAGTTGTTCCTTTGCTTTTTGTTCACGTCGTAGTCTCTTCCGTTCTTTCTTTTCCGCCTTCCTTTTCGCTTTCTCTCCGTCCGACACCTCTTCTATGACCTCTTCCTTGATTTCCTTCTTGATCTCGATCTCTCCGTTCATAACAGCCGCTTCTCTTTTCGCTTTTAGACCAGCCATTTTGGCGGCGAAATAGTCTCCGACGGAAAGAGTGCTCACCGTGTTGTTCCCTTCTTTTTTGTCCTCTTCGGAGTCCTGACTGTCACTACTTTCCTTCTTCTTTTCTTTATTCTTCTCTGCCGCCCTTTCCTGCTCTTCTCTGTCTTTTTTCAGTCTTCCAAGTCCCAGGATTCCCTTTTTGTGGCTTTCAGTGTAGTTGGTCGTATCCTTTGCTCGGGTGAATTTTTGATAACTGAAAAGAATCTACCCTAAACGTTTCATTCCCAATTCTCATCACTCACTGAATTCTACGTCGGATCGACTTGCTCTTCAACTCGATGGAAATCTTCTCGGCGGCAGTCGCCTTCTCCTCTTCCGTCTGCTCCGGCTCCTGCTCCTTATTTTTATTGAGAGCCGCCAGAAGATCGGCAAAATCGTCGTGATGCGAAATCCATGTCGAGTCGTAATCAGTCAACTTGTCAGCTCCGAATCCTTTTCCCGAATTATTCGCCTTTAATTTGACTGCGTCGGCGCTACCCTGACGGTTTCTTCCGAGACCGTCTCCTTCATTCCATCCCATTTTTTCCATAAGTCTCTTCGAGAATCTACAAATTGACTACAAGTGAAACGGATTGAAATAAAAAGCCCTACTTTTGATCATCGTTTTTCCATGTCAGATTCTGTGGATCAATACTAATCCTCTGTTTCCGACGTGGCTCAGCTAGAATCGACATTTTCCAACAGTTGCAAACGTTGGAGCGTCGACAAACCCTGAACAAATGTTTATGAACAACGAAAATGAGATAAATGTAAAAAATATTTGAAAGTGCATGAAAACACTATTACCCGGAAAAATGGCATGTTTCCGATTACATTTTATTGAAATCGAGGACAAAATAAATTACTACGAATTATTACAAATCATCAGATCACGAGAAATAGAAAGCGAAGAGAGAAATGAGAAGACAGGGTTAGACTCCGACCAACTCGAGTACCCAAACTTCTGACATTCCGAGCATTTTCATCGGCGGTCCTTGATAAAGAGATCCAGCAGTTACCATTAATTGAGTGTTGAATGGCACTTCGTAGAGACCATAAAAGTAGGGGAGAAGCCAATAAACGATCGGAATGACGACGTAAAACTGTCCGGCATGAGTGTGACCTGACACAACAAGGTCCACTTTAGCCAGTTCATCCGGATGATCGACAATGAATTCGCCGATCGAAGCGGGGTTGTGGGCCATCACGACCTGCGAGGCGTTCTTCGGACATCTGTGCGTCGCCTTCTTCAGATCCATGTGGTGATAAGTGATGCCCGCTTTTGTGCTCGAAATGTCATTCACTCCAGCCAGACACACACCTTTGATCATAGAACTCCTGAAACAGCGGCCTGATTTCGTGGCCGCATGCTCTCAAACTTACTCGTTCTCGAGCACCGTAATGTGTCCATCTCTGTAGTATCGAAGCCATTCGCGTGCGTCTCCGTAGTAGTATTCGTGGTTTCCAGTGACAAAGAAGGTAGGAGCATGCACGGGAAGTTGTCTGTAAGGTGCCTTGTTTGCTTTCAGTGCGAAGCGAATTTTACTCACAGAACAGGTCTGACTCTATCCTCGATGTCCGTCACGGGACCATCGACCATATCTCCGACGATGAGAATGGCATCGACTGGACTGTCGAGGACATTGTCTACTACTTGATTTATTTGATCTCTGTAGACACTGGCTCCAGCATGAAGATCCGAAATGATTGCGAGTTTCAAACTGTTTCCTTCAGCGGTGAAATTTCGAATTCCGATGCGTTTGTGCTTCACGACAATCCAGTCCCTTGAGATGAACATGGAAACGGAGAGGATCAGAGTGATCACGATTGTGAATCTGAAAAAAGATTTTCACAAGTAATTATCCAAATCACTCACTTGATCTGCGACTTTCTTTTCCATATGAGATCATGAAAATACGGAACCATTCCGACAAAGTCGAGAATCCAGGCAGTATAACGGAACTTGTGCATTACTTTGGCGAAGAAATTGACGAGTCCGAATCCACATACGAAAGCAATCATATTAGTCCAAATTCCGGCGCAAATTGAGGTGAGATCGAACAGAAGCCACTGAAAGGTTAGAGTCTTCACTTAATTTAGTCTTATATCGATTCAACCAACTTGTAGAAAGGTGGGGGCGTAGTACATTAAGTAGACAGCTTGTCCCAGAATGAGATACACGATCAAACAGTCGGAGCATCGCTTGCGAATGATCTGAATAACGGCATTAGGAAGGATTGGTCTAAATCTGTATGTACAGGGTCATTGCGCGTGAAAAGGGTAATCACTTTTGATAAAAACAAGTAACTGAATGTATATATTGTTTTTAGGTAGACAAAAATTAAGATTTGGCTGCTATTTAATAGAAACCCTTTTTTTCTTGATTTTTCAATAAAAAAGTATTTTAACGACACTCCGCTATCCCGCCTTCCGCGCGCTGTTTACAAGAAATGGGTCTCGCAACGCTCGGCGCGTCTTCAAATTTAGGTTTTCTCCTCACACTACCCTCTGTCTTTCTGCGTTATTTTACCGCATCACGAGTAAAAATCGATGAACAGTTTTTTGACGATTAAGAGCTGACTTACTCAAAACTCTTCGTTTCACTCCAAAATATCATTATGTTCTAAACATCTTTGCAGATCTAGATCTTGTCTATTACTATCGATCGAGAAACTTGATTCTTTCCGACATCATCTGATCCATTTTTTAAAATGCAGCCGGTAAGCATGAATTTATCCAATCAATAAATCAATGGCGTTTCGATTTGTAGATTAAGTTTGGGCAGCCCATGCAGGTCAGGCAACAGAGCTTGCCCCAAAGACGATATGCACAGCAGGGTGGCCCGTCCCGCTCTGGACAGCAGCCGTCTTCCTCAATGTACGATGAGTCTTTCACCGACAATGTGAATGGAGGAGATCGATATTGGGAAGATCAGCAGGGAGGACAACAGCCCGGACCAGATAAACCAACCGGATTGCGGCATTTCTCGACCAAAGTATGTGAGAAGGTTAAGGAGAAGGGACTGACCAACTACAATGAAGTGGCTGATGAACTTGTCTCAGATTACTTCCAGAACAATATTATGAAGCAAATCGATGTTGTGGTGAGTTTCACAATAAAGAAGCCTGACAGCAATGGTGCCTTTCAGAAACAAGAATATGATATGAAGAACATTCGCCGTCGTGTGTACGACGCATTGAACGTTCTGCTCGCAATGAATATCATCACTAAAAACAAGAAAGATATACGTTGGATAGGACTTCCCGCTTCTGCTTCTCAAGAAATAGCGAGATTGGAAGAGGAGAAGGCCCGAAGAGAAGCGAGCATCAAGAACAAAATGGAGGCTCTTCAAGACATGATCATGCAGATAGTCGCTTACAAAAACTTGGTCAGAAAGAATCGAGAGGATGAACGGTTTGAATAGCAAGATAGTAAAACCTTTAATTGGTTGATTTCAGTACACTCGGTCGTCCTGATCCCGACTCTATCATCCATCTCCCTTTTTTAATAATAAACACGGACAAAGAGTGAGTGATTGAATTGCCAGCCCTTCGAGTCGAGTAATGATCTCATTTCAGTGCGAATGTCGAGTGCAGCGTCTCTGCTGACAAATCAGAATATCTCTTCTCTTTTGACAAACGCTTCGAGATACATGATGATTTCGAAGTTTTGAAAAGTGGGTTCACAGCCAAAATATTTTTGAACGAAAATCTGATTGCAGAGATGAACCTGACTTGCGGCCTAGACACAGGAAATGCGTCCGAAGAAGACATCCAACTGGCGAAGAGCTTCCTGCCAAAACTTCATCAGCATTACGTTGACGATATCATAGCACGTTAGTGTAATTAAATTCGATCTATCGGAATTTTGATTTTTCCAGAGCGCAAGAGGGAGCAGGAAGAGAAGGAAGAGCGACAAAAGCTTATGGAATTGCAGACGAGTCAGATGCAGCAGTTTTACGATCAGACTGCTCGCATGGATCCTTCAATGAACGTGATGCCTCCCCAGACTTCTCGCTACAATCGTCAACTCCAGGAGCATCTGATGAACGATGGCACAGAGGATCAAGCTGGTCAGTTGACTACCAAAGCGATTGTCAGAATACAGCCCATTTCAGCTGCCGCTTCAATAGCTGAAAAAGAGGACGAAAAGGAGCATATTCCAATGACAAGGTGAAGTTTCCCTGGTCGTTCCTTCAATTCAATGAAGTATTTTCAGAGTTCCGATGTACTACAGTCCTCAAAAGTCGCGTCTGCCGTCCAGCTCGACAGCTCCACTTCCAGGAACCACTACGACTCGCCGTTACTTTGTTCAAAAAACAGCACAAGGAACGATCAAGGTAGATTGAAATAGTTATTCGTTAAACCGTGAAAAGTATATTCAGCGTGAATTGAGCCCGGCAATCCGTAATATCTCGCGTCCATACGTGACGGCTCCATCGGGCGAACGTCGTATGGCGGCAGCCGGAGGAACTGTTGGAGCTCCAACCGTCAAGTATTATGTCTCGCAAGGACAGTCTTCTTCTTCGTCTTCCAATCAACAGGCCCCACGATATGTCAGTTTGAATGAAAATGACAAGTTCAAAAATTTAATCTACAGAGAGTCCGTCCTCCTCCGCCACCGCCTGCTGCGGGTACGGCCACACAGCAGCGTGTGGTCTATCCGGGATCGAGTCAGGTGCCTCAAGGCCAGAGAGTCATCTCGCAACGTGTCATGGGTCCAGGCGGTCCACACCCACCGGGGACTATCATTCGGAAGGTGATACGGAAGGTTGTTGTGAACAACAGTGGAGCGAAGCAGTCGCCTGCCCAGCAAGTGATTCAAAAGAAGATGATGGAGCAAGGCAGTCATCAGCAGCACCCGGGAACTTCCGAAATGGTCGACCGCAAATCAGACCAGCCGATGACGTCAGCACAGGCCGCCGCTCTTATTCAGCACCCACCACAGGAGGAGTATGACTACTTCTGATCCCCATTCTTACATTGCCCAAACTTTTTATAAATGAACTGGCCTCAGAATGCCTTATCTTCAGTACCACTCGTTTACTCTTCACTATTCGATGTAAAATGTGGAGGATTACCTCTTCTGCCGCCTCCAATCACTTCCTCGACATTCAAGTTGCCTTCATTTTTTTATTTCGTGTTAAATTCCGCCCTAGATTTAAGTCTTGTATTTTGGACATTTTTTGCTTAATTTTGAGCAGTAATAAATTTTATCCCCCCCATATCACCTGCATTCGTCTCCTATCGAGTGCTTTCTCTTTAACGATGTCGTCGTCGAACCAACGCATCAACTGGCCATAAGCGAACACGTTCAAAACGGTCAGAATGCACTGAATTCAATTATTTTCATTTTATTTTTCAAAGTGCTCACTTCTATTCTTGCGACCGAGTCGATTCGGCGGCGATTTCCGATGACGTATCCTTCGGCGGCTTCAATCTGAAATATTTAGAATTCTTTTAGTTTTTAAACTTCGAAATCTTACCCAATACTTGGAGAGAAATTTGAGCAGAATCCACAGAAAAACGGAAAACGAAACGATGAACCGTTCGACGCTCATCGTCATTTTATTCTCTGAAAACATCATTTTGTGAACTTCTCCCTCGGAAGACTTCTCTTTCTTTCGTTCTATCGACCGCCCGGATCGAAACCGATTTTATCGTAAAGGGAAAGTACGCGGAAGCGACGGAAAACGGTGCCGTTCTGATCGATCCGCGAATGGAGCCGAAATTTTTCGAATAATTTATTAGAATTTACACATTTTGGCACAATCATCACAGAAGAGCTAGAAAAAAGATAGAGCGATGCATATTAGAGTATTATGAGACGGGAAAACAATCAAATGTTCGAAGTGTTATGGGCGTCGTCGTCGAGGGCTTCGGCGTGTTGTTCGAGGCTTTGGAGGGCCATTCGCATCGTCGTTCGCATGTTTTTCAAACACTTTTGGAGACGTCTGAAAGCAAATTATTTAATCTTTTCGGATCTTCCCGAAAGAATCGTTTTTTGAACATGTGAATGAGGTCACTCACTGTTTGTCGAATCGGCCGACGAGTCCCGCCCTGTAGTTGTTGATCTGCACTCGGATTGCAAGCGTCGTGTAGGACGAAAGAGCCTCTTCCAGGCCCGTCAAATCAATCACAATCTGAGTGACGATCAGCGGAGAAGTGTCTGAATTAAGCTTCGAGAAATGGAGGAGAAGAGCGTCGACGGCGTTCGAAACTGTCTGCTGGAGGCATTCGACAGCCAGTTGAGGCGAGTAGAGCTCCAGTTCGGCCTGCTGGAGCACCGAGCACAGGATCATCTCTTTCGCGTAATCGGAGATATCTGAAGGGCAACACATTCTTGCGGAATGTAAAGCGTTCATTACCGTCGTCGTCAGGCATGTATTCGTAAGTGGCGGAGGCGATGAGCGGCTGGAATGCACTGCTCATCATGGCGATGCAATCGTTGATCATTTTCGTTCGGAACGACGATAGTTTTGCCCGTGATTTCTGAAGAGTTTAGATTTATACAAGTCCTAAACAATGTGGAGACCTCCTGAATTTGATCAACGTGCTTCACTCCGCACTCTTGCATCTTCTTGCCCACGTTGTTCAGTGTCTTCGCAATGATAAATTCAATGTCTCCGACTGCGATTAACAACTTCTTCGTAGTGATCTGCACATAATGAGCTTTATATAAGTGGTTCACTTATTTCACTAACCTCGTTTCCTTTCTTGCTCTCAGATTGAGCCAATTGTTGAGGTCTCTGGCGGGTGAATAGGCGGTCGAAAGCAATTTTGATTGAAGTGATCAAATGGACGAACAGATCAATGATAGTCTCTCGGAATCGTTCCCTCGAGAAGAGACAAGCTTCTCCGGGGTATCCGGTAGTCGAAAGGGCATCTCGAGTACGGGTGATGTACTCACAGACCTGTGAAACTTGTCTGGTTGAGGAGGATTCTCATTGAATTTCTCAAGTTAACTACCTCATTCTCGTAGTAATCCGGAAGCATAGTTTTCGCGTGCTGAGCTCTATCCAGAATGTCCTGCTTCCAGTTTATTCTGTGAGCAAGAAGAGCCACTCCTGTAAATTTCAGATGTGAATCTTCCTCATTCTTTCTTCAACTCACTCTCAACTCCACAATCAACAAAGTCAGACACTAATTTCAGCCGAACAGTCATGCACAACTCGACGAGCGGCTGCACGTGGGTCAAACTGAACTGATTCTCGAGAAGGGAGGAAATGAGCGATCGAGTAGTTTTCAGACTTTGCTGAAGGTTCGACCGACTGATGTCCGCTGAGATCTGAGGCCACTTGGCAAACTGATCGCCGTACTGCTTCGTAACCAAATCAGGAAGTGCTTTCGGGACGAGCGCATTGAGAATGAGCCACGAGGAGACGTTGATGATGTTGGTGAGCATTTGCTGGAAGATTGGCTGTTGAAGCGATAAGAGATGAGAAAGGAATGTTACGTTTATGTCTTCAAGGCGCTGGATTGCATCTGGAGAGACGGTCGAGTTGTGATAGGTGTTGGCGAGTTTCCAGAATGACGGAAGTTTGCTCAGGAGCAACTCCACAAGTGTCGTCACAAAGTTCTGCAGTTCGTTCGTCTTTGTGATTAGTGGATGTTGTTGAACTCGTTGCTGATTCTCGATAAGCTCGGCTGAAAAAGGGTAACTGGGTGGTGAATATTGAACTGGGGCTCTTACTCTTTGCCTTTTCGAGGAACTGAGTCTGCATATCCCATAGGCTCTTTTCCAGCCAAACATAGTAAGAAGTGATGCAGTCCCAGGTGGGGTCAGACTCTGGATCGAGTATTTTCAGATATTTGATTAGTTTGCTCTGCTCCTCGTAAGAAACTGGCGTATCTATCAGTTTTCTCTTCATTTCCTCTTTGCAGACATTCATTTTCCGATCGATTTCAGTCATTACTTCAAGACGATTATGAACTTGTTCTTTTTTATTTCAAATAGACTCACGCTCTCGGAAAAGGGGTACATCCGTATCCTGATACAGAGACTTGGCTCTCGTGTAATCGTTTAGAATAGTGATGTATTCTCCTCTCTTCATGCATTCCTCGATCTTTGAAGAAAGGAAGAAGATGAATTTGAATCGGACGATGACTCCGAGAGCATTCCGCGTCGCGTCCGCATCGTCTTTTCGCTTCAGAACGTCTGCGAACACACTTTCCGCTTTGGTTTTTGAGTCTTTTATCTGAAACGAATAAATGTGAATAAATAACAAGAGCAAAGAGGGAGCAGCTTACAAGTTTAGAAATATTGGCAAGAGCGGCAAAGTGATCGGCATTGGTTCCCTTCTCGAGAGCTTGATGCAGATTCGCAAGGGTATCGACACAGTTGATCAGAGAATAGAGATTCGCTTTATGCATTTCTTCGCTTCTCTTCGCATCGTTCTGTTTCGCCAGTTCCATGTTCTTGATAGCAGTTCGCAATTCTTCAATTCTGAAAACAACTAGAATTTACAACTTTACAATAAGCTCAAAAACTGACGTTGCATCTGCGTGATTCTCCAGAAGATACCACTGCGGCGAGAAGTTCTCCATGCGTAAATTGCCAGATGAATCTGGGAAATCGAGAGAGAGCTGACCCTGATCGAATCTTTTCTGGCTCGGAAGCAGGCCTAACGCATCTCGTTCGTCCTGAATTTGAGGAACACTTCGAATCGCCTCTCTCCCGGGGACCGTTCTCGTCTCGTCCACCCAAACAGCCGACTCCTCAAGTGGACCGATTTGGGTGATGAAGACTCGGAACTTGACGTTTGAAATGCCTCTTCCACCTGATCTCGTGGCAATTCGAACTTCTCCGGGGCCACGAGCCGCTTGGCCTACGCGCACAATGATTTTCGATGGCGACTTCCATCTGCAGCGAAATATATCGCTTTTTTTCAGAAGAGGCTTCTTACTTCAGTGTCGGTAGACAATCGCAGCCGCAGATTATTAAACAGATGATATCGTTTTGATCGCAACCCAAATTTTCACCTCGAATCGTCACTTGGGTTCCAGGTACGCCTGTAATTCCAAAAAGTGACTGATAAATGGAGGAACGCGACGTACCTTCAACTGGCGACAAACCGGTCACAGTCGGCGGTCCTTTTTCTTTTGGTTGGCTTATGTCATCCATTTTTAAGTTTTACCTGTAATTTTGATATGAATAAACCGCGAGAAACTGTTGAACTTGTGAAAAGAAACAGATGAAAACAGATTAACCACGCTTTGTCCTCGAGGAGTACACGGACGGTGGCCTATGTTTCCAAACAGCGGGAGAACGGAGTATCGTTGTTTTTTTCAATATTGAATTTTCTCCATTCTATCGTTTTAAAAAGGTTATATTTTTCAGTTTTCTAGGTAGCATGCCGAGCAATACTTATCATCATCGGCCAAGAGAACGGCATCAGCTGCCAGGAAGACGGTTTCCGGAAAGGTAAGTCTGGCAAAAACGCCAAATTCAAGCGAAATGTTATCATTTTAAACTGTTACTAGGTGGAACGCGTACGACAACGTTGGACGAGACATCGAAGGAACACGCTTTGTTCCGTTTAAAACGCCGCTGGACAGTTCGTTCTTTGATGGAAAGGACATGCCAGAGGAGTTGCAGTTCGGGGTGAAATCCCTGATGGAAATGGCGAGACGAGTGGAGAAACAAATCGGTCTGGTGATTGATCTCACGAATACGGATAAATACTACAAAAAGACAGAATGGAAAGATTACGGAGTTGAATATGTGTAAGTGATCCATTTTGTGCGCGCCGAAGAACCTCTTCCTTCGCCTTTTCAGAAAGCTTAACTGCCCAGGCCATGAAGTCAACGAAAGAGAAGATCTTGTTCAAGAGTTCATTAGAATTGTGAAAGAGTACATTGAAAACTCAGAAAATGGTTTGTATTTGTTGAAAACTAATTTGAGAGATCCTTTTTTGAGATGGGAAACTCGTTGGAGTTCACTGCACTCACGGACTCAACAGAACCGGCTACCTGATCTGCCGTTATATGATCGACATCGACAACTACAATGCGGCCGATGCCATATCAAGTAAGTCCTAGCTTCTGGGTGCTTGACAATTCCAACTTTTCCAGGGTTCGAATATTACCGTGGCCATCCGATCGAGAGACCGGCGTACAAGCAGTCGTTGTATGAGGCGGAACTCAGGAAAAAGAATCTGCCTATAGAATACGAAGAGCCGGAAGACGAAGAGAAAGATGAAGAAGAAGAAGAAGACGACGCCAAATAACTCACTGTTTTATATTTTGTTGTAGTAATGTTACTCTCTGGGAACTCGATCGCAATCTTATTAGAAAACTTTGCAATCTAATACGAACTCGTTTGAAATAGAATTCGCTTCAATTAGATTGCAAAATCTTCTAATTAGATTACAATCACTGCAATTTTTCTAATTAGATTGCAATGTTTTCTAATTAGATTGCAATTTTTTCTTATTAGATTGCAATTCAGGAAAAAAATATTGTAATCTAATACGATTTTACTGGAACTTCAATTAAATCTGATTAGATTGCGAAATAGAGCGTTTTCTTATTCGATTGCAAACTTTTCTAATTAGATTGCAATCGAGTTTCCAGAGCTGTTGTTAATCCGAAATTTTCGGGTGGCATGTCAAATATATGGCTTGGTGGGAACTATATCCAAACTTATAAACATTCTTTATTACTTTGCAATTAAAAAGTTCAGGTAAAATCTCTGGGGATAAAAACATTTGCAGCATGCAAAATAAATAAATTAAAAGGTATTTTTTTGGGATTCCGGACGGAAGGCCGAATTGGTCAAATCACAGAAAAATGCGGATGATGACGGGGTTTTTTTGATGATGGAAATGGGGAATAGATCGTGAAAAGGTTTAGTGAACACATTTCCGGATGGTCAAGGGGATGGAGTGAGGAGAATGGAGAGACGCAGTGATTATGCGACGGAACAAGCACTAGGGCAAGATGACAGAATACTAGGGGGGCCGAGGCGGGACGGAGAGTTATTCCAGGTGGATCGGCTGGAGCGGGAACGCGTTCTGTGGCTGAGCGAATGGCGGGAAGCTCGGAGCAGCCGAAATCTGAGAGAGCGGGCTCGTTTGAGCCGTAGCAGCCGCGCGGCTACGCAGAGAGATGATGGCTTCTCCGGTGCAAATCGGAGTCGGCCAACGGGTGAACATGACCTGAAACTGAAGTGATGAACAGGGAAGTAACACAATTCGGAACTCACATTCTCGACAGTGTGCTCCGCGGTGGTAAAGTTGGCGACGATCTCTGGCACACCCATATTGATGTGGATCCCGTAGATGACCAGCTGAGTGACCTGTCCAGGAACGATCGGAGAGATCGGCGGCGACGGGTAGCTCGACCAGAACTGCTGAGCCTGGGGCTGGGCAGCGGGAGGGAGAATTCCGGCGTGCGGAAGGAATGCGAGCGGCGGCTGCTGTGGAATCGGGGCCTGATTGACCAGACGATGGAGGTTGAGCTCTTCCGGAGAGCACTGAAACACCTCGATGTACCGCTTCTTCTTTCCGACCGACATGAAGTTATTGTGGACTCCGGCGGCGGTGGCGGCGGCGGCGGCCTCGCTGACCATTTGGATGAAGGCCTCTCCGGACGGATTACCCTGGTTGTTGAACACCATGTGCACGCCCTGGTACTTGACCATGGCGGCGTAGTCCCCGAGGAAAGTGACGATGTGTTGAACCTGCAATAAGTCCTTTCAATCACTGTGCTCGGCCACCGGAAGCTGTCTATCCATCATCATCATCTCTCTGTGTTCTCACCTGTTTTCTCTCCTCATCTGATGTTTGGAACAACCTGCTCTGCGTGTGTATTTGCCTAGGAACGAATCCCGATTTGCCGAGATAAAATAGCCGAAAACAGAGAGGGAGCAACCCAGGTGAGAAAAGAGAAAACACCGTCATGCCCCTTGCTCCTCCGACTTCCTTCCTGTCCCGAATCATCCACTCACCGTCGCCTCGTACGGCAATCCACGCAGGCGGACGCATTCTTTCTTCTTCTCGTCCGGAGTCTCGACGGCCGCGGCGATGGCCGGGGAGCTGTTGATGAGGTTGCATCTCTTGACGACCTGCTGCACTTCGGCCGCCGTGCTCTTGAACAGCTCGATGTAGCGTTGTCCGATGATTTGACGATGCTTCAGAAGCCCTTGCTGAGCGTCCTCCTCAGTTTCGAACATGACGAAGGCGTCGCCTGCAAAGGTGCGGGTTAGGAGGGGAGAAGAAAAGGGATTACAGTACCAGTGGGGCGTCCGTCGGTTCTCGTGATGAACAGAATCTTGTCGGTCAGTTTGAGCGGCTCGAAGAAGCTTCTCTGAAACGGAGAAATAGGAATGAGCTGATATCTACTTTCCAACTCACAATTTGAGTGTCGGTGCAGTCGTAGGGAAGTCCCCGCATGCGAACGATCACCGCATTGGCGCTCACGAACTCCATAGCTTCGGTTGAGGAACCTGCAACCAGGGGAATGAGTCAGAAGAACACGTAGCGTCGCGTAATAAGTGCACACTTCCAGTCGACGAGTGAAAATCAATCAGTATGATAACAGAGTGGACACTTATCAACAATATACGCAGAAACACGTTGTATTGGTGTCTTGCCCTGCTTATTTATTCAGGCACACTGGCGATGTCTGACACCACCCGAACGATGAGGCCACGTGAAAGAGGTGTCTTCGAGGAAGAAGAGAAGAAGAACGAGACGATCGAGGCAACAATAAAAGCATGGGAAAAGGGTCTCGTCTTGACATTTCGGAAAACGCGAGCTTTTCATGACTTTTTCAGAATGAATCATACAAAACGTGGAAAAGGTCGTGCGTTAAACCCGAGATTTATGAGACGACTGCCTGGAGCCTCGGGAAGAGCACAGAATGGTCGGAAGATGCGTTGGCAGAGGGGGCGGCGCCACGCGGCGTCTTCTTGTATACCAACATCAGAGAGGAGCCGTCACAGAGATATTGTGATTGTGCCACAGAAAATACAAAATAAAAGTCGGCTCCTCTTTCTCTCTTTCGATTGAAAAGAGGAGCGCTGCGCCCCGGGACGTCCGTTTATGGCCGAGGTGGGCGATGAAATCAAAAACGGAGTGGCCAACGAGGCACGGAGAGCTGCAACGGGGCAATAAACTGGGGATACGGTATCATTTGCATTCAGTTATGGCTTTTTGCGAAACAAAAAGAAAAGTGAGAACGGGGGAACGGGGGAACGGAGAGACGACGGAAAAGGAGAGAGCACGAGCTACGTGTCGAATGCAAATCGGTGGGAATCTAAGAAGGACTGCAAAAAGAGAGAGAGAGATAGAGTCTATTTGGTCGGAGGGGTTTTTGACTAAAGCGACCAGGGACAGGAACAGTGACAGAAAAAGACGGGGGATTTTAGGTTCAGCAAACTTTGTTTGGCTGGTTTGTTTTCGAAATAGCGTGATCGAAAGACAGAGGAGTGTCTCGAAACTGACACATCCCAGGCAGGTAGGCCTCCTCCCGCAATATTATTTCCATCCATCAGTCAGTTCATCAGTGCCCGGGTTCTGTTTGGACAGCAGGCGAGCCCCTCCGACGACGCTTGCTCAGTTCGTGAGACAGCTACGAATACAGCACAACACTATCGATACGAAGGACCGAGAAGAAGTGAATAAATGGGCAAAATATGGGCAGGAATGAATAAAAAGAGAACGCCCCCATACAATTCTCCGAAACCATTTATGCTTTATTGCATACTGCGTCGTTCTCCGTGAAAGGTTTTGTTTGGTGATACGCTATCGGACCGGGAGGTGCCAAAACGGCCCGCGGATTGTGTGCTTTCGAGGTTAATTGACACTCGTCAACGAGCCGTCGTGACACGTGGCACACCGGGTATACGATGTCTTTGAAGAGAGCCGTCGCTTTTGGACGACGGGATGAACAAAATGGAGGAGCGGACGAGATGAATGTGCATTTCACGGGGGGAGAATGCAACCAATGGAGACGGCCGGATTGCCACGCGATGTCAAGACCACTGAGTTATGGGACATTTTCGGATGAATACGGGTTGTCAGAAAGGAGACTTTACCATAGCCGGCGTGCGAAAAGGGTTTGAAACGTAACGATAGCGATAGAGTATCGAAAAGTGTGAAAGTGAATGCGTGGGGGATTCCATCATCACACAGATTTGGACGGGCGCGCGAGAACCGTTAATCGGCTGCCCTCTTGCCGAAACGTGGCACGGACTCACCTGTGGCGACGTGCAGGAACTCGTCCAAACCGGCTTTGTAGACCTCGATGTATCGGGAGAGCAGGAAGTTTCGGTGCCTTTTGAGAGCAAGATCTCGGGACTCTTGGCTCGCAAACTGGACGAGCACTTCTCCGTTGCGGCGGCCTTCCGAGGATAGGCAAAGGGCGATTCCTCCTCTGCAAAGATTCACTTTTTAGAATTTGTAATCTACCCTCCTTCTCGAAAACGTTGAAATACATCTGTGTGTTCTCACACTACCAGGGCCGAGAATTAAAATAATCTTTTTTTAAAATATAAACACACTTTTCTCTCTGTACATTTATTTCAGCAAAACACTCACGGAACGATGTCGAGACCAGCGAAAAACTGGGCGACGTGTTGATCGGATGCCTGCCAGGGCAGTCCGCGAGCCCTGCAAACCACGCTGTCTCCATCGACGCCGACCTCGTGGTTATCAAGAATCGGCGCCGGCCTGTATTCAATCTCCACTCGTTGGTGTATCTTGTCGAGTCTCTCTGCAAATCACTGATACTCTTCAGAGGGTCAGCGCTGCCCCCTTTCTCCAGTCATCAAAAAACAAATCCCTCTATTATCTCTCGATCCCTTTTCGCAAAGTATGTCAGCTGCACGCTCGAAAAATGCCAAAAAGTTCCTCATTGCTGCCCGCGTCTCTCATCCCGGACGGACCGTCTCTCGCCGTTGTTTGCCTCTGCGCGGTGAGCCATCACAGTCTCGGACACCTCGACTGGTACGCACTGTTTGCACTGACAATGGAGCACAAAAGGCGACGACAGGACACACCGCGTGAGACCGAAGCGGCGGCCGAGAAACGGACGTGTCCGAGGACACCGAAATGAGATGGATGGGTCCGCGAGAAGAGGAACAATTGCATTGACGCCCCCGCACACAATGCGACTGTTTCCCTCCACGCATATCTGCGCGGTCATCGCACCACACTACGAACCTTCGTTCAGATCCAGAATTGCCCTGGCAGCGGCCACGTCGTCTTCGGTGTCGCACTCGTTGTAGTGATGGCTGATATCGTAGTAGTTGAGCAGCTGATGCGGCACGAAGAGCTCATTTCGCACGAAAAGTGGAATGAGAACGTGGCGAATCGGCTCGGGCCCTTTTGTGAATATGTATGAAGAGGGGTAATTGTCGAAGAACTTGACGACGTCATCCGGATGAATATTTACATGATGTGTGGATATGGGAAAGTCGGAAGAATCACACGAAGACGGCGATGCCACCAATGTGCTATTGTTGTTGGCATCCTCGCGACGGCCGAAGAACGAGGTGACCACTAGCTTAGTGTTTTCGTCATAGTTGCCGTCAGATACTCGTATGAGTAGTAGTCGTTGTTCTGAAATTAAATGGGTCAAGAGGTCAGCGGAACATTTGTTTCGTTCGCCCCCACACTACTTCGTGCCACGTCAATTCAAAACAATGGTCACTGCGATGTCGATAGAATTACGTAAACAAACTTCGCGGGTGACCTGTGTATAAACACTGCGTGTCAAGGAAAAGCTCAAATCTTCTGGACTCTAAAACACTTCAAAAAAGATTCCCCAAAACAGTTCTGATAGGTTGTTGGTGTCTTTGGACTGACCGAATTGGGTTTGCAAAAACAGAAATGCCTATCTTTCTCTCTCTTTTTCTCCAAAAAAGAGATAGAAGATCAAGGTTACGAACTGTAGAACTATGAGCTGGAGACTGACAATTCCAGATGGTAAAAAGACTTGCCTGGATGAGACGTTGGCCGATTCATCAATGTAGGGAATCGTCAGTGCGTCCTTGGGTACATACGCAAACCAACGGGGCTGCTGGCCGTCGAGACGACCCGCCACCCGCGCCGATGAGACCGCCCCTTTCGCGAACTCACTTTTTCGAACACTGTAAAATCGAGATTCGGATTGCGAAGAGCGGAGAAATGCGCGAGAGAAAAAGACGAAGAAGGAAAGAAGAAGAAGATGAAAACAATGCAGCATCAGAATCTGTCTTTCCGATCTAATTATGTATCGATAGACTTCGAGTGAAGGCCGCCTAGGTGTTTACCGCAAATGCGCGAAATGGGGGCGAAGCATGCGACTGTTTGCTCTGGAATTAACCTTCCACTCATTCGTGACGTGGCACCCTTCGATTCTCTGATCAACCGTTCCCCATTTCCTTCCAGATAACATCTTTTTCTTCTTTTTCTTCTTCCTCTTCCCATTGCCATCCGTCCGTTCATGCTCCTCTTCTTTTCTCATCTTTCCATCCTAAGTCTCCAATTTTCGCCGTCAGAAATGACCTCATTTTTCGAGGACGTGGCGGACGACCGGAGTGAGAAGAAGGTCTTCGGACAATATAAAATCAAAAGAAGACGTTTAGGGGAGAGACGCAGACGCATCGGAAGACGCAGAAAACAGTGACGGCTATTGGGTAATTGAAGAAGAAAAAGAGGAAGAAGTTAGGCGGTTGTTTCGATGTCTCTGTCGGCTATCACCTCCGTTGTTTCGTTCCCAGTCCGGCCTCCCATCAATTATAGTTTGAGGCAAGAAACATTCTCAACTGGTATCCACAACCAGATCCTTGCGGCCGTCTTCTCCCAATTCTCTTTCCCGTATCTCGGAGGATCAATTAACATGCGTGTGTGACTTCTTCACGGGGTCTTCCTTTCCCTCAAACGATCACAAATCTGGCGAGTATCTGGCGAGGGCCTCCTCCGATCCGATTCCAGTCCGAATTACTGGGAGAGAGTGCGTCTCCACGTCGCCACCACCTCGTTCTTCACCGGCGGCCCCAGCAGTCATCATCGACGTAATCGTCGGATCCGATCTCGAAATGCATGCGGAAATCTCGTATCTTGTCAAGGAACTTGGCCAGAAACGAGTATGTTTTCGGCTTTTGTGTTAACGGGTCACAAGAACGCGGCAAGTGAGAAGAATTATGTGCTATTGCGGATGTGTCGGCTGATGATCTCCCTCCTCCACTTACCGTAGTGCATTCAGCATTCGCATCGCATCGAATCCACGTCCGATCGAGTGCATCTTCGCGATTCCGACTGATCCGCTCACATCGACGGCTGCAAAAAGGGAACAGGTTAAGAAGATGGCCTTCAGACGCGGTTTATGACTTCTTCGGGAACCCTCAATTACGAGCGGAGCACTTGAAAAGGAGGCGACTTACCCAAGGTCGTCAGAATAAGTCCGATGAAGATGAATACAATCGAGACGAGCATGTACTCGACGGTGCCCACCGGATACAGGTCACCGAATCCGACGGTTAACTGGAAATCAGGGAGAAGATGAAGGGAGAAGGTAAGAGACTCACCAAAGAAACAAGACAGAAATAAAAGGAATCGAGGAAGGACCACATGGGTTCGAGGAGAGTGTAAACACACGCAGATATGGTCATGTAGCCGAGCAGAAAGACGAGAACCAGGAGCTGTCGGCCTGTCTTCGGATCTTCCGTCGGGTCCATTATGAGCATGTCGGCGACGAACTTGGCCAAATCGGCAATGGTCACTAAAGTCAGAGGGATTCTGAAAAAGTTGAAATTGTTTATGAATCCCTCGTGCTCCCACCCAAAAATCGCGTAGCCAACACAAAAGATTTTGCCGCCTGTTGAAATGGGGATCAAGTTGCCGTATCCTATGGAAGTGAGTACTGTAGTTGTGAAGAAGATCGAAGAGATCATAGACCATCTGCTTGTGTTTTTTGGAGCCAGGAAATCTGAAAACAAACGCTTTTTTACTTTTGATCATTCCATCTCATACCATTCGGTTTCAATCCGTCTTTGAACGCGCGAAAATTGATGAGAGTGAAGGTGTCAATCAGGTTTTCGACGTCCGAAACCGAACGATTCGGTGATTGATGGAGGTTAACGACAAAGTTCCGATAGCTGTTGTGGTATGACTGGTAGCGGTCCAGTTCGGCCTGATGCTCGATCTTTGTGAACAGATAGGCGCCGGCGATGATGTAGGCGACGGTTGCGAAGATGAGAACGAGATGGAAGAGGGCGAGACGCAGATTGGCGAGCAGACCTGCAGAACCAAAGTTGATTTGGACGGCTAACCGGGGGTGTCATTCGGAAGGCTGTTTGAACCTTTCGAGACCGAAAACTCTCGCTCCTTGTGATGCGGATGGAACGGAGTGGCCATGAAAACCCGAGAACGAGCTCGCTGAAATCACAAAACTACCGTAATCCTTCTTCCTTGAATTCGTACCATGATGTGTCAGTTCGAGGACTGGGAAACCAAAGAACCAAAACAAGAATTACTAGGTGCTTTTCGGGGAACAAACGAGCAACACATCGGGACATATGTAAACACGACAAACCTTCTTTCGGAGTATCGTTGCCGATGTTGTTTTGCTCCAGAATCATGGCGTTGCGGCGGCGAGCCGAGGCCGTTCCGAAGTGGACCTGCAACACGAAAACGGCTCAATCAGGCTGAAAGCAAGTGGAAGGGAAAGAAGAAGAAGAAGAAGAGTTTTTGGAGTGAAGTAATCGTTGAGTTCATAGTTGCTCACGCAATTTCGGCCAATTCGGTTGGCGGAGGAGGCAACGAAATCTTCTTTAATCGTCGGCCGGAAACGTGTGAAAAGAAAGAAGGTTGGCCGAAGAAAAGGGGGATATTTTGGAGTGCTGGCAAGTTGAAAAGCTGGTTTATAATTGAAAAGTTTGACTTCTACTTTTAAAAATTGAAGACCTGATAGTTCACTAGGAAAGTCCAAATTGTGATCGTTTCTTTGATCACATTCGAAAACTTTCTTGGACATTGTTTCAATTTAATCCCAACTGTTCACCGGTCAAACGGGGCTGATTTCTGGTTTGGATTTTCACAATTGAACTTTGAATTAAAAAAAACGTTTTGGATAATTGCCTCTTCCGCCAATTGGATGTAAAACCTTTTTCAATCGAATAAACATTCCCTCACCTGATTCATGTTGTTGGCATCGGAAAGCAGCTGAAGATGCGCCCAATCGGTGTGATTCCTAGAAATCAGCGCAGTCGCCGGAGTGATATAGAAGGCGGACAAATGTCCGGCTAGGAACCGTCCCCGGGGATGCATAGTGATAGTGGAATGGAGACGAAGACGAGTTGACACGGGTGACAAAAAGGATTTGAAGAGCGAAGGGAAACTCTCGCAGCTATTCCCGGACAAGTGTCAATTGTGGTCTGAGCAGCCGCCGGTCTCATACTTTGGAGTCGGCCTCGCAGTTTTAACGCGTCGATGAACACTGCACCGGCCACAACCTATCCGAAGGAAGGGAAAGAAGACGAAAAAGAAGACGGGGAAAGGAAATCGAGTTAAACTGCGAATTTTTGGGGGCGGAAGCCTTTTGCACTATTCGAAAGAGCCGAGAAGATTATGTTAAAGCAGGAAGACAAACGGAATAACAAGACAGAGCATTTCAGATACTCCTTCAAACAATCACGATCGTTCCGATGGACCTACTATCTATCTTATCTTCTCTATCCTTCATTCCTCCCTTGGTCTGTACAACTTTCGTCATCGGCGAACAAGTTCGTCTGCAACGAGCCAAGAAACTCAATGAAAACGACTTGACGACGGAAATCTATTAGTTGAGCCAATATTTGCCAAGTATTGCGCATAAATCATTGCAGCACAACCTCCTTTTTTGTAAGAAACGCGCCCCCGCAGACAATAACCCTCTCGTTCAGTTCATTCCGTTGCGTGCCCTTCCTTCGGTGCCCTAATAGTTCCTTGACCCCGTCGATAAATCTTCGTAAGCCACTTGACACCTGGATGCCTTCCGTGCTTCCAATAACAAATTCCCCCGTCTCCTCTCCGCCCGAGCCGTGCCTTCTCCTCAATCAAAACGCAATCATCTTCCACATGTTGCTTCAAAAAAGAGCTCTTTCGTTTCGTTTCCCTCCACATCCCTTCTCTCCGAAGGTGTCCATATGGTAATTAATCGTTTCGCAGGGCTGCTGCCACCCGGCGGTCCCACTTCAAAGGGCGAATCAAGCAGCAACTCGAGTGCCGCTTGACTGTTGCAAGACCGATCCATTCTAATTAACGCTTCCTTCCCCTCGCTCGGCCATTCATCACACCGTTTTCCATTGTCCGTTTGTTGTGATTCACGGCGTCCCCGCACAAAGAGCCCCTTCCCTTGCTCCTTCTTATCAGACACCCCCGCCTGCTGCTCCGCTCTTTTCCCCTCGCAACTTCATTTTTCTCGTCCGACAGTACGTCAAACTTCCAAACTGACCGGGGGTGCCATGTGATCGATGTGCACGCAAACAGACCCCTTCTGATTACTTTTTCGACGTTTTTCATCTTTAAAACTAGCAATTGTTTTTGTATACTTCCCACTTTAAAAAACAAAATCGATGACATCAGAAGAGTCCTCCAATTTTTTCTTTTTTCCCATTTCTTTGCTCACTTTCTCTCATTTTTTCCCATGTCGACCCCTGCATGTTGTTAGAGTTGTGATTCATGGATTTCAATTAAAACACGAACAAGAACCCCCTCGAGCAAACAGTCTTCGCCACAGTTCCCATTGATTCATAGTGTTTATGGCGCCGTTCTTGCCCGCCGGCACATGCGTCGGAAGTCGTTTCCGTCTGGGCGCCGTCCTCCAATTTATCTCCACACAATTGGACAACTCGTCCATATTGGAACGTGCCAGCGGGGCACCGGACTGGTCGAAACAGACCGAAAAAGACGACGACGGCGCCCCGCCACCAATAAAACATTGCTGCGTTTAAATCCGATCTCGCACATCATTCTCTGATTCAGCGCTCTCTCCAATGCCCCGTTTCAGATGAGATTCCTCTTCCTCTTTCTATTCCTCCTCATCAGCATCGACACGAAGGACTCGACGACGACGAGCTCATCAGTGCAAGTCAGAAGACGGCAACGGAAAGTGGTGGTAAGAGAATGTGAGTTGCCCGTCCCGCAATACTTTCCTTCTCCCTCTGGTTGATCTCGAATCTCCATTTGTAGGGAATCTGACGGCTTCAGGCGGTGAGTAACGTGCCCTTTTGTGGTGTCCTCCCCCCGTGACTCCCTTATTCCAAATGTATTCCAACCCAATTTGTGCGCCCGCGATCTCTCCGATTAGTCCATACCTTATTCGGTTTTCGAGCACTTGACCAAATGAAAAACGCGTGAAAAACGGCACGAAATGAGATCGAAAGGGGAGAGAGTGCGAGAGTGAAATGAAACGGGCGAAAGTAGACGGCGCACTGCTATCTGGTACGCTTCCCTGGGAGGCATTTCGAGCTGATGCGACGGCCCGTCCGACTGATATTTCTATTGATTATTTTGAAACCGATTGTGAGCGGACAGTTATGGAGACGGTGCGAGGATTCTGGATGCAGTGAGTTTGAAAGTGAAAGCCTCCGGTTCGCAAGTTTCTCTCTTTCTCTCTCTCTTTTTTTGATATGTTAAAATATGCCGAGCATTCTCTTTTTTCACATACCTTTTCGGCAACTTTGAGCACAAAGGACCCGTGAGAAACGCTCGAAAATTTTAACAAAAGTACAGTAACCTTTTGGAGAGCACGTGAGAAAAACCGCCGTTAAAAGTGACGTTTTCGTGATAATCGGCTTGTGTGCTCGTCCCCGTATCAGTATCAAAAGGGCAGTAAGTGAAATGAACAGGTCTCCTTCCCCCCTCCATTGTTCTCCTCATAAGTGTTCCCTGAAAACTCGAGACCGTGCCAAAATTGAATACAACTTTGTTTGGCCAAATACATTTTTCAAAGTTACTTTTGACGACTTTCGATTTGTTTCTCTTATTGTTCACTGCTTTTGACGTGTTCGTCAGATCGAAAAACGCAAGCTTACTGTACATGCGCGTCAAGTATTGCGCATGCAAGAATCCGCGATTTTCGTGATTTCCCCTGTTTTGGCACGGCCTCGAAAACTCACTTGAACTGCATTTGTACGTTCGTTTCTTGCAGTCTGTTCCGGCACCACAAATGGAATCTCTCGTTACGGTTCGGGAAATATCCTCGAGGATCTGGAAAATGTTTGTTTGCATTGTATTCACTCGGAGAAGAAGAAGAGACGCAAATAGCTTGAGGGGTGAAACGGCCAATTTGCAGATGTACCGGGGCTGCCGACGCGTTTATGGAAATCTCGAAATAACTTGGATTGAGGCGGACGAGATACGCAAATGGAGACAATCCACGAACAGAAGCGACGGCGGAGACGACTCCGCGCCGCTTAAAACCATTAACTTTTTCGATCATTTGGAAGAAGTGAGCTCAGAAAGGGAGAAAGAAAGCTGATGGAAATGGGAATGGTTTCAGATCAGAGGGAGTCTCATCATCTATCGGGCTAACATCCAGCATCTGTCGTTTCCGCGATTGAAAGTAATTTATGGAGATGAGGTGTTCCACTCGAATGCTCTTTATATTCACAAAAATGCAATGGTTCACGAGGTGGTCATGAAGGAACTCAGAGGTACTTTTTTGTGAATTCAGTCGAACACAGACAACTATAGTGGTTTAAGTGATTCGGAATGGAAGTGTGACGATACAAGAGAACCCGAAAATGTGTTATCTCGGGTCTAAAATTGACTGGAACGAACTATTATACGACAAGACGAGACAGAGTGTGGAGACGACGAACTCGCACCAACACTGCTACGCCGACGACGGAACTTCCATGGCGAAATGTCATCCAAAGTGTAATGGTTTATGTTGGGGAAAAGGAGAAAGCGATTGCCAACGAGGTAAAGCGGAATGATTCAAAGTCCTTTGAGCCATCTTCGCTTTCAGTGTACCGTTCTGTGTGTCCCAAGCCGTGCTCCCAATGCTTCTACTCCAACTCGACAAATTCTTACGAGTGCTGCGACTCTTCGTGTCTCGGCGGATGCACGGATCACGGCCCAGACAGCTGCATCGCCTGCAGTAAGTACGAAATGGATGGGATGTGCGTGGATGTCTGTCCGCCGAGGAAGGTGTTCAACCACAAGACAGGGAGACTCGTTCCGAATCCCGAGGGAAGGTATCAAAATGGAAATCATTGTGTCAAAGATTGCCCTCGTGAGTGCATTCTTTAAAAGAAAACAAGAATTGAGAAGTTTTCAGCGGAGCTTCTGATTGAAAACGACGTTTGTGTCCGTCATTGCTCCGATGGTCACTACTATGACGCGGCGAAAGATGTGAGGGAATGCGAAAAGTGTAGATCTTCCAGCTGCCCAAAAAGTAAGCATTGATAGTAGACAATGTTTCTGATAAATCGTTCAGTTTGCACTGTGGACGGCCCATTGACGAGTGAAAGTCTCAAGTTGCTAAAAGGATGCGAGCAGATTGATGGCCATTTGATAATTGAGAAACCGTGAGTTGAAAGGCAAAAAAAATGTATGAAGTGTCAGATTAAATTCCATTCGTAAAGAGCTTTCTCTTCTTTTGAGTGCTCAATGAATGGCACTTTTTGCGCGGAGTGGACCACATTTTCGGGGGATTAAAAGGCAGTGGCAACTCAACCGTATATAAATATTATTGTCTTTCACTCCCTTCCTCTCTCTCTCTCTCTCTCTCTCTCTCTCTCTCTAATCCAGGCATTACAGATTCGAAGCAGAGGAACTGAAAGTGCTCGAAACAGTCAAAATTGTCAGTGAGTACATCACAATAGTCGAGCAGTCCTTCCTCAATCTCACTTTCCTTCGAAACCTGCAAATCATCGAGGGAAGAAAGCTTCACAAGTGAGCATAAACTTCTTGAGATTAGTTCAACAATTTGTCATTTCAGTCTTCGATGGGCGCTCGCCATTTACAAGTGTGACAGCCTCGGGGAACTGAATCTGAACAGTCTGAAACTGATAAAGACGGGCGCCGTTATTATAAATGACAATCACCGTCTTTGCTACGTGTCAACCATCGACTGGGGAAGCATAATCACCTCGAAAGGAGAGGCGAACAAACCGTCGCTCGTGGCCAGAGGAAACAGAGATCCCGTCAATTGCAGTACGTCCAAAGTGGTTCTAGGCACAGAAAAGATAATTTCATTTTAGAGCACGAGAAGGAAGTTTGTAACTCCAACTGCAATTATCGGGGCTGTTGGGGTCCATCGGCTGGGGACTGCCTCGAGTGCCGAACATGGAACAATATGGGAACTTGCGTTGAGAAATGTCAAGAGGAAGGGTTTGTTACGTCCCTTTTGCTCCAAACTCTTCGATATTTTCCAGATATCTGCGCAATCAGACGGCAATGAAATGCCAAAGATGTTCGCCGCAGTGCAAGACTTGCAACGGACTCGGAGAGTTCGATTGCCTCTCCTGCCTCAACTTCACCCTCTACAATCCGAATTTCGGAAACCGGATGGAATGTGTGGCTGAGTGTCCGGGGAAATCCCACTTTGCAACTGCCAATGACGTTTGTGAGCAGTGTCATCCGAGTTGTTATGACTATGGGTGCGAATAGAGTCCTAGCCACTTCTTAATCTCTATCTATTCAGATGTACGGGACCTCATGCGAACCTTGGCCCGGGCGGCTGTAGCATGTGTAAATACGCAGTCGAGAACGGTTCCATATTCTGTATGGAAGCTCCCGGAAAGAACGAAGCATGCGTGGACAACGACCTTCCCAACTTTTTCATCGCAAATTTCTTGCCTGACGGTGTCACCGAAGCGGTCAGTAACCTTTATAAATTCACAAATAATATTCCCTTTACAGTTCTGCAAAAAGTGTTCAGAACATTGCGTTACATGCAAATCTGGCGGTCGATCAGTCGAAGAGGACAAGTGCGTTTGCAAGCACTTCGAGTATAAACCGAACCCGAAGGAGGGAATTTGCACCGAAAAGTGTCCGATCAACACTTTCATTGATGCATCGGCGAACACGAGTGATTACTCAGTCTGCAGGAAGTGTCATCCTCAGTGCGATCAGAACTATCACTGCTCGAATCCGTTGCCGACTGGATGCAACAAATGCAAATCTTACTCGATTCTAGTAGATGACGATATTGTGGTATTCCTCTTTTTGTTACGATCGTTTAAATATTTTTCTCAGGAATGCTTGAGCGAGTGTCCACACGGGAAGTTTGCGAATCCGGCGAATGGCGAGTGTCTGGACTATGACATCGCGTCCAGACAGTTCAAAACTCGCATGCTGATCATTGCAAGTGTACTCGTCTGCTTCATGTTCATGTTCATTTTCATTCTGGTAATCTATTTTACGCGCTTTCTCCTCCCGTGCACCGATTCCAATTTCAGCTCATCTACTGGCGTTGCCAGAAGATTGGAAAGAAACTGAAGATTGCCGAAATGGTCGACATGCCGGAGCTGACCCCGATCGATGCGAGCGTCCGTCCGAATATGAGCAGAATCTGCCTGATTCCTTCGTCTGAACTGCAAATTAAACTTGACAAGAAACTGGGAAGCGGAGCATTCGGAACTGTTTATGCGGGAATCTACTACCCTAAACGAGCGAAGAATGTGAAAGTTCCTGTGGCGATCAAAGTGTTCCAGACGGACCAATCACAGACGGATGAGATGCTGGAGGAGGCGATGAACATGTTCCGTCTGAAACACGAGAATCTGCTAAAGATCATTGGATTCTGCATGCACGACGATGGACTCAAGATTGTCACAATCTATCGGCCACTCGGAAACCTCCAGAACTTTTTGAAGCTGCACAAAGAGAATCTGGGAGCCAGAGAGCAACTCCTCTATTGTTATCAGATTTCTTCCGGATGAGATACCTCTATCACCAGAGAGTTGTGCATCGTGATTTGGCCACGAGAAATGTGCTCGTCAAAAAGTTCAACCACGTCGAGATCACCGATTTCGGACTGTCAAAGATTTTGAAGCATGACGCCGACTCGATCACGATTAAGTCTGGAAAGGTAGCAATCAAATGGCTGGCTATCGAGATCTTCCTCAAGCACTGTTACACCCACGCATCCGACGTGTGGGCTTTCGGAGTCACCTGCTGGGAAATCATCACATTCGGACAGAGTCCGTATCAGGGAATGTCCACGGACAACATTCACAACTTCCTGAAGGACGGAAACCGACTCTCTCAGCCTCCGAACTGCTCCCCTGATCTCTATCAAGAACTTCTCCGATGCTGGATGGCCGATCCAAAGTCCCGTCCGGACTTTGACACTTTATTCCAGAAATTCAAGGAGTTCTGCAAGGTTCCCCAGTTGTTCCTCGAGAATTCGAACAAAATCAGCGAGATGGCTCTCTCCGCCGAAGAGCAGTTTCAGACGGAGAGGATCCGTGAAATGTTCGACGGAACCATCGATCCACAGTCTTACTTTGAGACTGGCAGCTTGCCAAGTTCTCCCACTTCCACAGCGACGGTGAGAATGAGATGAAAAGAAGTATGAACTTCTTTTTTATATGTTTCAGTTTACAATGCCTAATGGAGATTTGATAAGTCGGATGCAATCTGTCAACTCTTCCAGATATAAGACAGAACCATTCGATTGTGAGTTGAGAGGGGAGCATCAGAGAGAAGATTCTTTGATTTTCAGATGCGGCGTCAGACAGTTCATCGCTGGATAATTCGTATCTGATTCCGAAGACGAAAGAGTTCCAACAGGCCGGTTTGTACACGGCAGTGGTCACAAATGAAGATGGCCATACTGGTAACTGCACTTCATCTCTCAATTCATTGTGAACCGTTCTATTCAGAAGTGACCCCTTCTAACGGCGACTACTACAACCAGCCGAGCACGTCTTCTTCCTCAAATGGCTATTACAACGAAGCGGCAATTAAAAAGGCAGAAGACACGACAAAGGAGCAGCAGCAGCAGACGCGGTCGAATACCAGAACGAAGAAGTGGTGCAGAAGGAGACGTGCCTTTGATCCCTCCGTCATTCTCACTCGTTGCCATTTGTCCAATTGCCATCCCGTGCATAATTACATCTCTTTTTTGCCTCCTCTCATCTCAAATACTTTGTACTTTTCTCTCCCTCTCCCTCAGAGCTTTTCGACCGTTCCGAGCATTTCTTTGCGGGTTTTTTTCTCTGTCCAAACGAATCGAATCCAACATGTACAGATATATAAATCTTCGGAAATCTTTTCCCTTCGGGCTGATTGCTCGCCTTTTTTGTGCCTTGTTTACACCACACAAACACATCGCAACTTTTGACAATTTTTCACGCTATTCGGAGCATTTGGCGAGGGCGTATCCGACGGACGGATGACTATAATGGATGTTTGAGCTCTTTCGCTTTTTGCTCGATCGAGCATTATGACACGCGTCGCTATCTGATTGAGCGCATCCGAAGGGACCGTGACGTGGCACGCCGGGCGGACCCACTAATGTGTTTTCGTTGCGTTCCGTCGCTAAAAGCCCGGATTCGTTTCTCGATGGCCTATTTCTCTCCAATACTGCCCCCTTTTTCTTTAAAATGCATCACAACACAACAAAAGCCTCGCAAGGATTATAATGGTTCTTTACATAAGAAGCGAGCGGTGGGCGGTGCCGTCTTCCCCCCGATGCCTGCGCATAATTCCATTTGTCACCCTTGATTCGTCCTCTCAATCCGTAACCAGAAGGGACCCGTCCCCATTAGCCGCATGGCTCGGGCTCTTTAATTTATGCTCCTCGTGTCCCGCAACAAGTACGCCCGTCGAGAGCCCATCTTTTGTTGTGTGTGCTGGGCGCTCCGCCGCTTTTCTCTTATTCTTCTTCTACTTCTTCTGCTGCTGCGCGACCAAAAACACTTTCGCGACAAGTTTATCACTTTGAAATGGACCCGCCCCGTCTCCTCTTTTCTGCCCAAAGTGCGGTTACGGGCGCCTCGATTCCCCGGGGACTCTGCGGCCTTTCCGGCAACTCTCGGCTCTTCGCATCGCCCGACTGCCGCCCGTCGAAGCTTTGTTCTGTAATTTCGGAGAAACATTAATGTAACGACCGCCACGAGTCGTCTGTTAATTGCTGTTTTCGGGCGACAATCTGAAATCTTTTCTCTGAAAACAGGCGGATGCTCCGTGAGCTCTGTTTGCGTCCATGTCTTCTTCTTCTTCTTCTTCTTCTTCTTCTTCTCCCCTTCATCCTACTCTCAAATCAAACTCTATTATGGTGTCGTTGTCGATGTGCGCGCATGCTCCGAGAGCCCCGACGTGTCCAATTTCAGACCGAATCTCTTGGGGGACTCCATGAGCACACAGAGCACATTGATGTGCCCCACAACTTTTTTGGGCGGCTAACAGGGGTCGGCACTTGCATTCTCCGATTTTCGAGGTGGATCAAATTAGCGGGCGAAGAAAGGAAGAAAGGAAGGGAGGGAGACGTTCGCTGAGTGTATCCGATTCAATTTCCAGCGGCTCACGATTCACTTTCATGTCACTTTTCGAAAAGGACCACAAACCGAATTGAACTTTCATGAATTTCAAATCGAATCTACTCTTTCTTGAAATTCAAATCGAAACGGAATTCGTTAGTGTCCCTCCCCGAGTGCCGTGAGAACTTTCTCTCTTTCCAACCATTTTTCTGTTCGCTCATCCATCGCTTCCCACTCTTTGCGAAACTTGTCAAACCGCCACTTCTTTCTCCATTCCCCAAGGTCTCCTTTAAGATTTGTGCGTTCAGAGGATGTCTCAAAGTTCGTCCGCTTCGATGACGGGGGAGTACAACCTAAAAGTGCCTGCCCAATAAGGAAAGGGCAAATTGCTCCAATTCGCTTGAATTGTGCACCTCCGCCGCCAAAACTCATCAATTCTTGTTGGCCCTTTCTCTCTTTGTCCCTTCCCTCGACGTTTTGTTTTCGGCAATCGCTCGGGAAGCCCACTTCCTCTTATTCCCCCCCCTCCAATGCCAATATTGTTCGTTTTCAGAATGGCTGTTCCGTAGATGGCTGGAACTGTGGACGCCCACGAGCACGTGGCCAAGCCCCGTCGGCCGAGTATTTTCCGAGTGCTCAGACGGACCGGCTACGGAAAGTGTCTCGTCTGCTCCCTTCTCCTCGTTCTCTGCTTCTTTTATGCTTCTTATTGCCACGTCAAGCATGAAGCATACTCTGGAAGTCAGCCACTTCTTATGTTAGTCTGTACAGGACAAATTTGAAATGCATCCGGTCTATTGCAGATACCAACACGGTCCCTGTGCTCAAGGGTACAACTTTGTCCCGATTGTGTTCGGATTGATGCTCTACATCGTTTACCTAATGGAATGCTGGCATAGTCGGACAAAGATAATAAGTATGAAGAAGGTGCGGGTGGAGGATGCACTCGATTACATAACGGCACTGAGGACGTCGCCTCCGATCGTCTGGTGGAAGAGTGTGTGCTATCATTACACGAGGAAGACGAGACAAGTGACTAGGTACAGAAATGGGGACGCGGTCCCTGCGACACAGGTTTACTACGAGCGGATGAATTCGCATCAAGCGGGCAGCATGTTCATATATGACACTTGCGGATTTAGAGTGAGTTTCCAAAATAATTGCGATTAGACATATGAACTTTAGGACATTTCCAAGTCGATAACTGAAGTGGAAAAGTACCATGTGACCCGTATTCGATTGTCGAGAAGCTTCGTCTTTGCGAACATGCAAGCGGCCACCGAGTTCGAGCAACAGAGATCTCGGTTCTTCAATGATAACGAGACGAAGGACGACTACATGGAAGTGAGGGAGGGAATGGATCTGGCGGAAGTGGGCTTTGTCGATGAGATCCTCGCGTTCAACAGACCGACGCCTCCGTGGTTCCTTCATCCGCTCGTCTTCTGGTTCTTCTCCCTCCTCGTTCTCTCTTGGCCTCTCCGAATTTACACGGAATGGCGGACTGCGGTTCTTTCGTTCCAAGTTGTCAAACTGTTTGGAACACACTACTTGAGGTGGGCCGGGATTAAAGGAGGGAATCGGGTGCGTGGGGCATCAATCATTCAAGGGATTACTGGGAAGAAGAACGAGTAGTCGGCTGGCAGCCAGTATAGTTTTGTTTTCAGTCCGAATTCTGTCAACTACACGGGACCCTTGACCAGAACGTCGACAATGGACACTGTTGAGCTGGAGGCGCTTCTCAGAAGGGAACAACACTTCGTCGTGCCCTCTTACAGCGAAGTCATGCTCATGCAGAACACGATTGCAAACTCGAATGTTCGTTGGAAAAGACCGGAAGCACACCCAACAATCTTTGCGTTTCAGACGAATTATCCCAACTTCCGGTTCATGGAGCCAGTAATTCACCCGCGGCCGTTTGTGACGACAACCAATGAGCATGTTGTGCTGAGAAACTACGGAGCAACTGAAAACGAAGGAGACCCCGAGCCGAGTACAGCTCCGAGACCTCTGAGAGTCAGCAGAAGCATGACTTTCGTCGCTCAGTCGCCATCTGAAAGAGCGACAATTCTGGAGAACGGGAGAGGGAGGGCACTGCCGTCTAGTCGAAGAGGCCCTCCGTTACGCTCTCTTTCCATCGGAGGCATTTCTGCGTGGTCCAACGGGTACAGAGAAATCGGATCAGAAGATTTGCAGATGCTCATTGAACCGGATGAGCCTCCTCCGCCTTATGAGGTTCAGAAGCAAATTGCACAATGCACAATGTACACAATGTATTTTCAGATGGCACTTCGAATGTGTGCGCCGCTTTACGAACGCCTTCGGAGATCGATTTCTTCACGTTTGGCTTCGATTTCACATTCGAGCTCTAAAGATCTGAAGTCTTTGACGCTCAAAAACAACAATAACAACGAAGATCCAGAACAGCCTTGAATCGGGTGATAACCGTGTGCCGACCAACCGTTTTTACTTATTTTATGGGGCTATTCAGCGTATGTTTGAAAACGAAAAAAAAAGGAAAAATAATGTTTTTTACAGCCTGAATAACCCCATTATTGTTGTTTTGTCTGAAGAAAAATAAACGTATTCGAAAGACACTTTTAAAAATTGAGAATAAAAGTTCGAGTGTCAAAGGAACATGTCCATTTTGTCGGCTGCAGGTCTTGCCACGAATGCATCCAGGAATACGGTTTTTGTTAATTTCGAAAAGAAAATCAGGTTCCAAGCCTTTTTTAGATAGGATTTCTGAAAGTTTTCACGTTGATTAACTTGAGAAAACCGGAAAAGTGCAATAAAAGCGACTGAAATGCCTAGGCGAGAAGTTGGCGGCCGAATTTTGCCATTTGAGCCTGGAAGCACGCAGTATGAGGACGACGAGTTCCGGGGGCAGCGGCGGAGACCATGGATGTGCTTCCGAATCGGCGCTCTGACACAGGAGTTCACCACGGAAAACTTTATGTTCGTTTTCAGATTATCTCAAAACTTGATTACTGGATTTTTAGTTGTTTCATCGATAAAGTGAAGTCGACGCTTCTTGAGAAGGGAATTCTTCTGGACAGCGATCCTCTCAAATACACATTTGTAGACATCGATTATAGTTTGGTAACGAATCAATTTTGAATTCTAAAATTGTACATGGTTCTACAGTTGAACACGGAATTGAAAGGGGGTCTAGAAGAGTGCAAGAGGAAGTACGAGCCGGGACCGCTCTCCCATCCGATCGTCATTCTCATTCTTGATCAATACGGTATAAAAGATTTTCTTAACTATTAAAAAGTAATTGCCTACAGACATTAATCAAGTCGACGAGATCATTGAGACGTATGTGAACAACACGAACTTCTTCAAGGTTTGTTCACATTCGACGAATCTAAATACACGTCGCACATTGTTTCTAGCTCGACGTCCCGGAAGCACTGGAGATGATCCAATCGTACGAATACGAGAAGCTTGAGTTAGTAAAATCTTTCAAGAAATTGCCAATGTATTGCTTTATAGTGAGATCTGCGAAGAGTTCGCTAATTATCTAAAGGCATCGGAGGATGTTGTGGAAAGCATTGCGATCAGATGGCCGGTTGAGGAAAGGTGCGAGTTTTTTCCTAAAAAATTTAGACAGATTGTTTTTCCAGAATTCCAACATTCGGAAGCGCCTTCGATGCTCCTTTAGCCATGCCACCCGCACCTCGCCAGCACCGCGATCAACGGTATAATCAAAGGCGAGTGAGCTGGTTATCGACTTCTTCCGTTTCACACCTTTATGTTGCCCGACGTTGCTTCAGCATAAAAATGTGAAAAGCGGTCTGCAGATGCTTTGCTCTGTTTAAAGGCACATAACCGTTTTGATGCGATGGTCCCGCAGCGATAACCATTTTCCACGCGGTAAAAGAGCGAACGACCTCGAGTTTGTTGCGTTTCTCTGTGCTTCTGTGTTTGGAAAAAAACAAACAAGCATTTTTTTAAGCGAACTTTGGCCTACTTCAGAATTATGGGGACATACAGCGTATGTTTTCTCCCGTGTTTTTCGTTTTTTACATCGCTGAATTGAGTTTTGTCACGTAAAAAACGAAAAAAACGTACACTGATTAACCCCATAAGGTTTTTTTTTCAAATATATCACTAACTTCAAGTTATAAAATAGTCGGTTTTTCCAATTAAAACTAGTCAGTTTACATATCGCTGCGGAAAAAACGACGGCCGAAGAATGCGGCACGATTTTTAGGCCAGTCGAGTCGAGCATTGTGAAAATAGAGGAAATTTTTTGAAAAACTGACGCAAAACGAGGGAAACCTAAATTTTCGACTATTGCTGATTACCGAACTTACCTAACCAATGTTCTATCTTGTTTTTTACTTTGATACGTCTAAAGCTTTATTTACAGAAACTACACCGGTCAAATGGACAGATATAATACTTGTGAGTAAATAAACAATCGGTTGCTCAATTTGTAGAATATTTCAGATTCAAAAGCTCCTCCTGGTCTCCCGCCTCCAGGTCTTCGTAAAACGAACGGGAAAGAGATAGATGATCCAAGTGTGAAATCCCCAAAACAAAGGCAAAAACGCTAATATTTTCAGATTTCCTTGAGCCTCCTGGTTTGGCACCGCCCAGATCTCCTGCACTCTCATCGATTGATGATATCTCAGATAATCAGTCAATTCTAGGACCTCCGGGTTTGTGAGAACCGACAAGCTATTTCAATTTTAAGTTGTTGCAGGTCTACTTCCTCCACGAGATCCGGGACTTGATGTTCCCCCGAATATTCAACTAATTACTCGCGCGTATCCTGAATACAGCCAGCCAGGCTCAGAAGCGATTCGGCCTGGAATATCGGGCGTAGAAATGGAAGAAATTGAAGGCGACCATCTAATTCCTCTTCGAAGTATTCATGCTGCCCGAACGCAAGTGGAGGATTCTGACGATGAGCGTGGAATTCCATTCAAACAAAACTACAGTCTTATGGTTGGATTGAAATTGCATCATTGTTTTTTACTCAAATCGATTTCAGGCAAATCACATAATCGGAGATAGACTTTACGAGCGATTCAAACAGCCGTTCCGCAAGCTCACGAGCAATCTCGACTTGTTGTACGTGATTAACTACGCAGTGAGCACGAAGCAAAAGGACGCTCACTCGGCTAGCAAAACCATCCTTGCCCACGCATTTGCCAATGGGTTTGTCACTAATCTTTAGCCCGAATGAATTTCTTTCTCGTTCAGTCTCACGTTAAAATTGAAGAAGGCGTTTCTGGATCGTCCCTTTAGCCACGGAAATTGGACGGAGGATGCCGCTGAAATGCTCTTCGAACTCATCATGATGCACTTTTACGCGGCTCGGTTCAAAGGAGGATTCATGTTGACAATCGATTCATATGTGAGTTGAGCTCAATTCTAATTCGCTCTGAAACAGGATCGTTTCAGCTGCTGTCGTGGAATGAAATTGTTGAATCGTGGAATATCACCCCGAAAGATCGCCTTCACGAAGTGCATGTTACCTCTTCCGAAATCGAGAATCTGAAAAAAGTTGTGGGTCAAGTCAAGAAATGGATCTATCAGGCGGAACAGTCTCTCAATGAGCCTATCTCATACCCACCGGAAGACGATCGACGCGGAGTTCCATCTCGTAATCAAGAAGGAAATCATTATCCGAGACTCTCTGAACAACGTGCCACCGAAACCTACGGGCAACAGAGAGACACTTATCACAATGATAGAAGAACTCGCGAAGGAAGACAAGATGAGTACACACGTGCGAGCGGAAACTATCCCCGTGAAGAGCGTATTCGCGATCACGGACACAATCAACAAGAGACCTACTACGAGACTGGAAGAGATGAAGTGGATTTGGCTGCTGATCGGAGACGTTATGCCGAAGAGAACCAAGTTGAATATTCGAGAGACAACTCGTTGGGGTTTCATGGCGAGAACGGTCACATTGTTTGCAAGGACGCCGAAGTTTCCTTTCCGGGATCCGATAAAACGATAATCGAAAGAACATCTCATAACGAGACACTGAAGGACAAACAAACAGACGAAGAAACATTCTCACCTGATCAGCCAGTCGTGAACTCGGATGAGAGAGAAAAGCAGAAGTACAAGTACAACGAGAATGATTATCATCCGCCATGGATGAAATGCGAATTGATTGACCCACCGGACGACTTCAAAATCTTGACGTCTGTTCCGATTCTCGCTGACTACGTCAACCCCGTGGAGCCGTATTTGCGTCGAATTCGAGAAGATGGAGTTTACAAGTCAGCCACGCATTACCTCGATGTTCAATTCCGTCTCATGCGCGAAGATCTCGTCAGTCCGTTGAGAGACGGATTGGATATGTATCGGAAGAACGGAACCTGCAGAGGCAATCGAATCGAAGGAGTTCCTTGTTCGGACGTGTCGATCTTCAACATCGAACGAGTGGACGGAAAACAAGTGACCGAGAGAGATGGACTGGAAATGAGAGTCGCGTGGCCGTCGCAGTTCGACATCAGCAGACTGTTGGAAAACGACAGAGAGATGAAGGAACTCGGACTGATGATGCTCTCAAATGATCGTTTTACCGATGATTTCCATCTGACTTACGTGCAATCGTCGTTGCTCAACGTGAAAGGCTGCCTGCATTTGGTGATTCTCGAGGAGACGGCTCCATTCAAACCGAACACGTCGTACCAAATGGCACAGGGAACGAGTTACTTGCCGTCTTACAAGCACGTGCTCGAGAACTTGCGAAGGACCAACCCGTTTAAACCACTTCCGTTCGAGAGATACATTGTGCACGGAAAGAAGGAGATCTTCCGTCCCGCCTTTCAGAGAGCCGAAAAAAACGAGGCGCAGTTGGCTGAAGAAAAAAGATTGGAGGTGAGAGGCATAAGAACTTCACAATAATCGTTGCCCTTTTCAGACGATCTACGGTGAAATCCGATCTATCGCCGTCGCCAACCGCTACATGAAAGGAAAATCGGTGCCGGGGGGAACGGATGTTGGTGGCGATGACGACGATTACTACTACAAGTATTTGCTCGAAATGATAATGGGTTTGAGGAATCATTTCAGCTCGGCTAATCGTTCGTCTTCCATGCAAAAAGAGGATGATTTTGAGTACGAACAGTTGAAAGAGCCTATCTTCAGGCCACAGTTGGGAGTGCCGACCAGAGGTAAATTATTCTGATGCGACTTTAATAGCCATTCATTTTCAGGAAGCGATGATCAAATCTTGATCGGCAAAAAATGGTATCGCATCTCGCGAATGCTCGACGACTTCCATCCGACGTACCTCGATGAAAGCCAGAGACTCGCATACATCCACACGATGCGAAGCGAGTTTTCCATCATCCAAGGACCGCCGGGAACCGGAAAAACTCACATAGGAGTGGAGATTGTGAAGACGATGCTGCAGAACCGATCACACTGGCGGATGACTGAACCGATTCTGATCGTTTGTTACACGAACAGCGGATTGGATAATCTGTTGGAACGTGTCTGGCAGATGATAGAGGATGACGAGGAGCTGTCGAAGGATAACGGAAAACCTCGGATGATTCGGTACGGACGGAAGTGCGACTCCGAGTTTCTCAAAAGACGGGGTGTCATGCGACAGCAAGTGAACGATCAGTACAAAGGAAATGTCTCGGATCGGTTGCAAAGCGAGCTGAGCAAGGCTGGCGCCAACAAACGGAGGAAGAATGAAGCCCTTTCAGTGTCCAGCTACACTCTTTACTGTTCCCGCAAGTATGCTCTAGTTCATTCCCTCTTTCCAAAATACATTTTTCAGTGAACTTCTTTCTTACGACATTTTGTCGCGAGTAATGGATCCAAATTATCAGAAAGAAATTGCCATTTTTGCTATGGAGCACGTAGATACGAAGGAATGCCTACTGAATTCTGATGAAGCTCTCGCATGCTGGCTACTTGATCGCGATTTCGGAAAAGCGAGTAAAGCACAGATGAAAAGAACGAACAAGAAGCAGAACAAGTTTACGGACGTTCCTGACGACTCTGACGACGAGAAATCGGCGTTTTTGACTGTGGAGAACTCTGACGAAGAGGATGAGTCGAATATGGACGATGAGAAGATTCTCGACAAACTGTTTAACAAAATGAATGTGAGTTTGAAACGATTAACTTGGAAAGAACAACGTTTTCAGCTTGAGTGCTCCGGAAAAGATGTTTTGAATGCTGTCGCTGGAGGAGAAGAAGACGAGTATTTGACGAATTCACGGTGGGAGATTGTTCAAGAAAACCAGCCACAAGTTGTTATTCTCATGGGGAGAAAGGAAAAGAACGTAAATAATTTATAATGCACAATCCGACGTGAGAATCACACATTTAGGGTCTTCCTGTTGATGAGCAGATTGCGTCTCTCGTTAAAGATCTGAAGGGAATGATTATGGCCGCACCGCCTCTCCGGAAAGAGGAACTCAGCGACATCAAGTTCATCTTTAGTCTTGCACGACCGAAAAGATGGGCTCTTTACAACACGTGGTGTTCTGCTGTGGTAAAATAAAGATAAAAAGAAGCGAATCATCAGAGCTTTTTTCAGAGAAAGCTCGTCATCGAGAACTTGCCGAAGCAGATTCAAGAATATCGGACTGCTTGTCAAGCCATGCAGAAGGCGTACGAGGTGTTCGATGCGGAAGTGATGAAGATGCCGATGGTTGTTGCAGCCACGACGTCCGGATGCTCACGACTTCGTCCTATGCTCGAGATGGTGAAGCCGCGCATTCTGATCGTTGAAGAAGCTGCCGAAGTGCTCGAATCACACATTCTCTCCGCGATGGTCTCCAGCGTCGAGCAAGTTGTGATGATCGGAGATCACAAACAACTTCGCCCGAATCCGGCTGTCCACGAGCTCGGTTTGGAGTACGGAATGAATATTTCGATGTTCGAAAGGCTGGTTGAACGAGGCCTGCCTTACCGTCAGTTGCGCGAGCAGCACAGAATGAACACCACAATCACAGATCTGATTGTGAAGCCGTCATTCTATCCGAAGTAAGCTCAATTCACTATTGCCATGACAAGATGTGATTTTCAGTGTGCATGATGCAGAATCCGTCATGGGATACCCAGATGTCGAAGGAATGGATAAGAATCTGTTCTTCTGGACTCACAGTGGGAAAGAGGAGACTCCAGACGGCATCTCCTGGCTGAACAAGTCCGAAGTGAACATGGTTGCTGCTTTGGTTCAACATCTTCTCAAGCAAGATTACACATATAAGGACGTACGTTGGGATAGCTAATGTTGGCGAATAACAATCGGATTTCAGATCGTTGTGCTTGCTACGTACGCCGCTCAACGCAACTACATGTACCGTGAGTACGGATCCATTTTCGGCTCTCCGGATACGGCGCTCGTTCCGGTGGAGACTGTCGACAGCTATCAAGGACGAGTATGTCACTTTTCCTTCTAGTTAACGCATTCATATTTTTTCAGGAGAGCAAACTCACAATTGTCAGTCTCGTTCGTTCTCATCGAGGAGTGCAAGAGAATTTGGGCATTGGCTTTCTCGCTGTTGCCAATCGTATCTGTGTGGCACTCACTCGTGCTCAGCATGGTATGTACATCATCGGAAACGGCGGATACCTTCAGAACAACTCGACACTGTGGAGAAACATCGTCAGGAACCTTGACAATCACAATCTCATCGCGTACGCTCTGCGCCTCAAATGCACGGCGCACGGCAATATGATCAGAATCAACGAGCCCGATGATTTCAAAACTTGCTCACCGGAAGGTGGCTGTCTCGATGAATGCGGTATTCAAAAAGAATGTGGCCACGTGTGCCGCCGGCTATGTCATCCGCGCATCGAAGCAGAACACCGGCACCCGTGCGAGTATCCGTGCTCGAAATCATGCAAAAACGAGGACTTCCGCCATGCATGTCCGAAAAAATGCCACGAGGAATGTGGAAATTGCACGATTTTCGTCGAAGTAAAGCTCGATTGTAATCACCTGATCACGACCCCGTGTAGTCGAATTTCAATTGCAAGATGCGATCAAAAGTATAATCACTGAATCACAGTTTTCATTCATTTCAAATGTAACTTTTAGGTGCAACAACTTTCTGGATTGCGGACACAAATGTCCGAACAATTGTGGTGCCCCATGTGTCGAGGTTTGCCAGGAAAAGGTCACGATTAGACTGAGCTGCAATCATACGAAAGTAGTTCCCTGCTGGGAGCGGATGCAAGACAAATTCGACAAACAGTGTGTGGAACGGTGCGAAGAACGTATGCTCATTTGTGCTCATCAGTGTGCCGAGTTGTGTGGAGCACAATGCACTGTTGAGTGTAAAGAAATCATATCAGTCCTATTGAAATGTAATCATTGGCAAGATGTGATTTGTTCAAACGTTGGAGCCAACAAGGATACGAGCCATATCGAGTGCAAGGTGGAGTAGTTATGCATAGGTGTTTTGAGTTGAGCGCCGGCCGATCGGGACAGGCGAGTGGGAGGGGCCTGGTTCGGAATAAAACTGCCCAAATTACGCGGGCTGTAACAGGTTGCCAGGTTGCTTCAACTGTCTAAATTACTTCTATGGGTCATATTCGTTCAGTTTCCACTCATTTGAACCCACTACAATAAAACGAAGCTTGGCTAAACATTTTTTGAAAATTGTTGGTATCCTTTTTCACAGGAGGAGGGGGTCCTATGGTTGCCGCTGGTTCGGAAATTTCAATCCGATCGCTAGATCGGAAAAAAGTTTTGACGCTTCTCAAACATCCAGCACCTATGTAGTAATGAAACATCATATTTTGAGTAGAGTTGTTGCAGACCTTCGTTCCATTGCCCTTGAAACCGTGTAATCACACCGGACATGTCCAGTGTGGCCAAGATCCATCAACAGAGTTCTGCGTGGAGAGATGCAGGGAAGAGTTGAACGAATGCAAACACAATTGCGGAAACGAATGCGGCATTTGCTACAAAAGTATTATAAATTTCAGAAATACCAACACTCAATCAATTTCAGCTGGAAAGCATGTTTGTCAACAGCGATGCGAGAAATTTCTTGATTGCGGCCATGAGTGCAGCGCCAAATGTGGAGAAAAGTGTCCGCCGTGCAGATCGTTCTGCAGCAACATGTGCGAACATCAAAGCTGTGGAATAGGAGAAAAAGGATTCGGCCGCGAATGCAGCAATATCTGCTCCTTGTGCGTCTCGAACTGTTCCAACAAGTGCATGCATCGCAGTTGTACGAAATATTGCTACGAAGAATGTGATGTGAAGACTTGCACAGAGCCATGCTCCGAAAAGCTGAGATGCGGGCATGCTTGTCTTGGAATGTGCGGCGAAATGTGTCCAAGTGAGAAAACGACAATAAAAACAATATTTTTAGTCGTCTATTTCAGAAATCTGTGGAACTTGTGAACGGGAGAAGTACGTGGCTTGTGTGTCGAATATGGATAAGAGTTCGCAGAAAGTGCATCGTCTTGTTATGAATCCAAAGTGTCATCACATTTTCCCAGTTGAAGCCCTCGACGAATTGGTGAAAGCGCAGAAGGACGCTGGCAAGCAGCTACGATGCCCGAAATGCAACGCAGTCATCACTGGTGTGCAGAGATATGCAAAATACACTAAGAAGCGAATCATAGACATCAATGTGGTAGGTCAACAGAACGTTTCATTCTGAAATAATCGCATTTCACTTCAGCGGAAGTTGAGGAAAATCGCTTGTACGGAAAAAGAAACGACGGACATAATGATAGTAAGGATTCGCGAAGATGTGTCTGAAATCATCAGGAAGATCGAGAACGTGATCGGCACTCAAAACAAGCGCAGCGAAAGCTTCACAGTTCTGCAAACGTTTAAGACTAACGTTCAAGATGTCACGAAAAGGCTACTAACCTCCCCAAAAACGACGACAATAACAAGTGGAAGCTACAACACTACTCAAATCTCACGCATTGCTTCCGTGCGGCTGTCGAAATGCTCAATACGGCAAACATCATTAAACTTCAACGGAAACAGATCCCGCCGAATGTCGACATGATGATTGGGCAGATGTTCCCTGAATCAATATTGTCGAGAATGGTAACCGAGTTGAAAGAATTGAACAAATTCATGAAAAACCACATATCATCCGTCCTGCCGGGAGTTGTGATGCCAACAGTGCGACTGCAACTAGCCAGAATGACGGTTCTGTACGAGGTGTGTGATTTTTCCAACAGTCGATTGTTATTTTATCTTTTTCAGTTGGCAGTTATGTGCAGCGCACTGAAATCCATCTCGGCGGGTATGTCTGAAGACCATGCTAAAGCCATCGGAAAGTCCTGCAAGCAATTCTACTTTGGCGATGAAAGACAAAGCTTGGATGTGCATATGGGTTCGATAGAATGCTTTGTTTGGTGCTCAAAACTCTGTTTCAGAAGAGTTCGAAAAGCTTCTTCTCAACGTCGTTCCCAAAATCGGAACTATGTCATCGTTTTCCACGTGGAAGAAACTCAACTTGCCAAAATTCTAAGGAATTGAATAATTTTTTGCCTAACATCTTTCTATGGAAAATTTCTGAGCTCTTCGCTTATAGTGTTTTACTGTTGTGTATCAAGATGTTCTTCTCTCATGTTAATTTCGCGTTCACCTCATATCCATGTTTTCTTTTTTTCTAACATTGTTTTATATGGTTATTTATGTGTCACAAAAATACGTATCCAAAGGCACTGTTGCATTCGCGCTCTGCCGTAACACACCAGAGACGCGCGAAACTAATTTCAAACAAGTGATCTCATTCTGCCTCCTCAACCAATGGTTTTTAAAAAAAAAAAATTATAATGAAACAGTTTTCATTCTCAATTCATATGCATTTCTCTGTTTCACTGCATGTTCCCATATTCTGGCTACACCGTTATTTCATGATTTATCGAAGTTGAGCACAAATAATACATATTCAGGCACAAATGGTTCTTCCAAAGAAAAGGAAATCGATGCTCTCGCAGGAAGAGAGAATCTCAAGACTCAAAGAATCGAGATTGAAGTACAGTCATCTGGGAAAACCGAAGAATACGTCGCTGAGTCTGAGTCGGCCGGATCCCCTTTCCTCCTCCACTTCCACAATTCCGACGGCTTCCCGACCACTGCTAAAACCGACGGTCCCTCGCAATTCGATTAATCCGAGATGCGCTCTCCCACGGCCTTCCATTGCTCCGATTGTGACGAAGAAATTGAATTCACGTGATGCAGACATTGACTTCGAAGTAGATCCGAGTTCAATGGCAATGATACAAAGCGGGAGGGTCACAATTCCGATGAACCGGCCGTCCATCAGTGCTTCCCGACATACAATCGGATCCAGACAATCCTTTGTTGGACGACAGTTCAGCCGATTTGTTAGTGTTTTCTGAGATTGACCATATCAACCAATTGTTTTCAGAGAGCTTCCATCGCCCAAGAGCCACGTGTCAGCCTTCTGCCACTTGGAATCAACGTGTTCGAAGCGAATGCCACTCAGAGATCAGAGGTTAGTGGAATCGTTGAGAAAAATTCGAAACGTATTAGTTTGCAGGTATCCGAGTTTCTCAGCAATATGCTGCCAGGCACGACGCCTGCGAAACCGAACACCGCCACTAATTCGGCCGCGTCTACAAGCGTATTCAACGGTTTACTGAACTCAACTCGTCAACGGAAAATTCGTTTCATGGATTCGGCGATTCAGGAAGTGCGGGAATCTGCCGAATCGGCCGAAGTGGCTGCTGTTTCCACTTCCGTTCATCACAGCCCCACTTGCGACACTTCCTTCATGCCCACTTCCATTCTGTCGACAAAAAAAAAAGATCGGAAGGTAAATTTCGTTTGAATGCTGACCGTTATTCTAATTGGTTTTTTCAGACAGAATGCCCGGTTAGGACACCGAGAAAGAGAATCACATTCGATGATGAAGAAGAAGAAGAAGCAGACGGAAAAGGAGAAGACAGAACTGCCAGACAGACAGAAACAGTTTCGAAAGACGTTTTGAAGATGGAAAAAGCCGTCGCATCTCTTTCTAATCGAAAACTGAATGAATCTGAAACAATTCGAGTGAAATCTGCAATTGAAAAGCTGAGAAATACGTTGGAGCATCAGGAGAACGCGAAAGAAGACAAAGAGGAACTGGAAGAAGAATTCAAGTCTCCGGAGAGGAAGCGCGCTCCGAGCGCATCAATTCCGATAACGCCGCTCAGAAACATTCTGAACTCGATTGTCATTGAGGAGTACCCGGACGTGGAAGAAAGAGAGGTCGAAGAGCGAAAAAACAAGAAACGCAGAAGTTCGAAGATGAAAGTCGGTCGCCGATCGTCCCGCAGTGGCAAAAAGACGCAAGAATCTGAATACATTGACTGAAAATATTCCATCCTGTAAATACCACTGATTGTCATTTATCGAGATCCCAATGAAGTTATTTTATCGAAAAAAGTTTAAATTAGAATAATTTATTGTCATAGTTAGAAGACAATGAAACTTCAGAAGAAACAGTTGAACGGGGGGACAATAATTATGATTGAAATGGGCGCGGACACCTCACATTGCTACCACTTATTTACAGACAAGGTCATAAAGTTATGTGAGAAGTGAGGGCGGAGGGGGAAGAAGAGAAAGAAGAACATCTACGAAAACAGAAGTTGTCGCATAGAAAACGCGGATACGGATCATCTATCCCTCGCGGGATCAGTCGGGACGGGCGGTCGCTTAGCGACGACGGCAGCAGGAACCTCCGCACTGCGAGTATCCGGAAGAGCAGCCGCATCCGGAAGAGGTCGACGTACACGGGACGACGATCTGGGCGGCCTGCTGGCAGGTCGACTGGCACGTCTGCTGGCAGATTGGCTGGCACTGGAGGACGGTGGCAGAGGCCTGGCACGTGTTCATGCACGACGACTGGCACTGGTTCTGGCAGTTGTCTTGCTGCTGAAGAACGATGACCTGCAAAGAGACGGGGATGAGACGGCGAGCGGAAGGGGTCCGGGCACTACCTGTTGCTGGTTGCAGCTGTTTCCGGAGCACGAGCATTGCGACTGGCACTGGGAGTTGCACTGTTGGACGCAGATCGGGGTTGGGCACGCGGACTGGCACTGGTTGGAGCACGAGTTGGAGCACGAGTCACCTTGCTGGGCAACGATCACAATTGGGGCCTGGTTAGAGGTGCAGCTGGAGGAGCAGCTCGGCATGCACTGTGGGACGCAAGTTGGCTGGCAGGCCTGTTGGCAGGAGGACTGGCACGACTGGATGCAGATCGGGGTGCTGCACGAGCTGGAGCACTGGTTATTGCAGCTGGAGGAGCACGAGTTGTCTTGCTGAACGACGATGATCTGGTTGTTGTTTCCTCCGCAGGCCGGGGCGCACGCGGACTGGCAGTTGCAGGTCGGGCACGTCGACTGGCAGCTCGACTGGCAGGCTCCGCACTGGTTCTGTGGCTGCAGCACGACGATCTGTGGGGCAGAGTTACCGCACGAGCTGGCGCAGGTGTTTCCGCAGGACTGGGCGCAGATCGGGGTGGCGCACGAGCTAATGCACTGCTGCTGGCACTGGTTGCACGAGTTGGTCTGTGGGAGAAGAATGACCTGGGAGCCTCCGCACTGTTGGTTGCAGGCTGGCTGGCATTGCTGTACGCATTGGACGGACTGGCAGGAGGACTGGCACTGCTGCAGACAAACTGGGATGCATTGCACGTTGTTGTTGTTGCCGCAGCAAGAGTTGGAGGAGGAGGAGCAGCACTGGCGCTTGGCACGCGACAGCGCCAATCCGGTCTCGTTCTGCAATCAACTCTATTTTTGTTTGGGCGGCAGAGAGAGGCATCGCGTGCAGGAGGGAGCCGCAGACACTGGCTCTCTGGCTCCCTCTTGCGATTGTTTGGGACGGTCTTAGAAGTGAGTGCGAATCGTGTGTGTATAGGGCTCCTGCGGACGACGGAGAGCATCTTCAGTGGCTCCTCCAGAGAGTGCGCACTCTGTTTACACTATCATTTTTCCTGTTTTGGAGCAGCCGCATGCTCGTCTTGACCTCAAGGGCGCTCGAAATTTGTCGGCGAAGATATAATTAGTAGAGACGATGCCAAGAGAAATGTTGATCTAGATGTTCCGATCGAAAAAAAAGAGAAATATCAGAAAATGGAAGGATAGGAATGAAACGTGAAAAGTATGTTCAATGATCCTCTAATGATCGTGCCTAATTCCCTATGTACATTGTCATTTTCTATAAAAACCTGCCCGTGCACCCATTGATTCTATTCTTTTCATTCATAATTGTATAATAAATGGTTGTGTGCTTTCGCATCCGCAAAATATCGAAACGGTCAGAGGGCGCTGTTTGCTTACCGAGAAGCGGGCAGAGAACACACTACTAATGGCTATTACACGAACAGAAAAACGGAGAGAAAAGTTGGGAAAGAGGCGGGAGGCTCACCTTGGCAGTCTCTTCGTCGGCAAAGACGAAGGTGCTGGAGAATGCCAGCACGGCGACAAAGAGGATCGAAGCTCTGCTGGCTGCCATCTGTTTCGAAACGGTGATAGTCGGAAGAGTTGGGAAGTGGAGACTGGGCTCGGTGGCTCTGTATTCTTACCCTCTGCCACCGCCCAGGTTATATACAAGCGGCGAGAGGCGGTCGTCCGCGCGGATAGGCGCCGCGGCATTGCTCCGCCTCTCGCGACGGGCCGCCGCCTCTCGGGTGCTTACGTTCGAAACAACTCCTTGAATGCGCGTCGAGAGCATTCTCTTCATCACCTGGAGACACTAAAACAGGCACGAGAGAGTGTGTGAGACGAAGCGACGCAGACAGTAGACGCATGTTTTCGAACAGCTCTTGTGAAATATTTCCTCGAAGATTTTTGGTGGAGGTGGAGGGCGAACAGTCGAGGGGTCAGCATGTACTGAATCAGCTGATCAAGAGGAGCGTTCTAACCAAGCCGAACAGACGCCTGGAACAGGTAGTGCGACGTCACAAATTCGCACGGTCCTTGACTTTGCACGCGGATGAATGGCAAGTGCCACCAGTTGCGAAATCCTTGTCAAGCTGATAAGTGGCTTCTTTGTGACGTGGACTTTACACAGTCCAAATTTTGTACACTTCCATCCGGCGCCATTTAAAATTGACTCAAGTCTGAAACTGTACTACTGTAGTTTTCAAATGTGGAAACGGGTTCGTGGCTAAGCTCCCATTCTGGATCGTGCTCCTCCGTCTACATTTTGAGTTCCAGACAAGAGTCTTGTCTTCCCAGTGTCAGATGCTCGTTTTCTTCCGCTCTGTTGATCATTTTCCGCACCACTTTTTGCTCAAATCGCCTCCGAACGGTGGCCAAGTTGCCCTTTGCGGATCGGAATGTCGAGCCTTTCCTTCCCAGAATAGCACTGATTATCTGTAGTTGCGCAACCTTCAACAACTACACAAATATCTTCCATTTCAAGTATTTCGGCTATAAAAAGACGGCCGGCGCGAATTGTCAACGGCCAAAAACGACTGTTTGTCCCTTGGCTGCAGCAGCTGCTCCTCTCTCTCGTTCATTAGCTCGTTAGGGAACGTTCCTGATGTCCGTCGACAGCTACTCCGCGGTGCCAACTCTCCCGAATGACTCAAGTATTTGTTGGCTGTCCTTTTCATTCAATGGTCACTTCTGGAACCCCTTGGCCAACTGGTTGTCTGCCACGTGTTCGTCGAGTGCATGACGTGAACAGCTCTAATTTGATTGACTGGAATCAGCCGATGACTCATGTTTACTCGCATTCCACAAAACGTTTCAGATGAGCTGCCGTTTGGCAAACAGACACTTTTCGATCCACGTTTCGTCGTCGAGAACACGCGTACCGGTTGCCGACTCATCACGCACTCGAAGACGAAAAGCTCAACAAATCAAGGCGGGTCAACAGAGTGTGCGAAGTGATCAGCGGAACAGGAGGTCGTCTAACTCGCAGATGTTTGATGCGAGATGCCACGTGTACTTGCTCCCAACACAATCGTAGTGTGCACCACGAACCGGATCGGTGACATAATGCGTTGACACGGGGTGTGCACCTTCCCCGATTCTACTCGCTGTCACTCTCTGTTCTTGCCGAGAAAGAGCATATGTTTGTCTGTATTGCTCCCTAAGAAACATTGCCCTAGTCCGGAATTGCCGTGACTTTATTTGCGAATCGAGGCACGGATTGATTGGCAAGCTTTTCGGATGTTCACAGATGGCCAAGGGCAGCTCGGTCGCGCCTTTGTTTGGTCCCAACTCTTTGAAACTTCCGGCTTTGCCATCGGCAGAAGATCACGCCGAGACTGACAGATGCCAGAGACTGAACTCCATCGGCGGCGCCGGCTCATTCCTTCCATCAATCTGTGATTATCGGCGATAAACTTCCAAGTGGTCATGGCACCGAGAGCAGATCAGCAGCAGCAACAGGAACAAATAAGTGGCGAACTGATAATCTGCCGGAAATGATAATCGCCCCCGTATCATATCGTATGTGTGTGCTCCGTCTCCGGGCGAGAGCTCCCTCTAATCCTTCTCTCGCGCGCCATCTGAACCGGTCAGTTCGGTTGCCGAAGACACTGATGATGAGATGGTCAGAGTGTCTGTTTGCGCTCGCATTTTTTGCCGCGCATTGTAAAATGTTTGAGATGATGAGAGAGAAAAAGAGAAGACAAAGGAATTCGAGCCATCCTCGAGGATCCTCCGAATTTTTGAAGAGCGACAGAAGGTGAGGGAAGCGCATTTATTTATGCAAAGCAAGTTCACTGGGAAACAAAGTACAACGTGGTTAGGAGGAGCAAAATGCACGAAAGACCCGAAGGACGGGTTGAGATTCTCGTGGTAGTTGGGAGAGGGACCGTCGTGGAAGAAGAGGGCAATTGAGAAACCGTGTTAGTTAGAGGAGTATAAGTAGAGGAGGCATTGGTCATCATGAGTTCCAGCTCACAGAAATCGCCAAAGAAACCGGAGGAACAACTGCAGATACCGTAGGAAAGAGTGGCACCAGAAGCACAGATTCGATCCCAGCAGTACTCTCCGGTATACCGTTCGGGGCAGACGCACTGTCCGTACTTATCCACTTCTCCTCCGTGACATATTGAACTGTCTGCAAGATTACGCACAATTTAAAAATGAAATGAAAGAAGTCAGTGACCTGCTGGACTATGTTGATAATAGTAGAAGATCCGGCGGAGAATGAGATTGTTGGAAGAATCGTAGCTGGTCAGTGTCCACGTAGTCAAGTGGTCGGAGGGAATTTGTACTTTTGGAGTGATCCAATTGAAAGAGCAAGTGTTCGCGTCTCTCGCCATAATGGTCAAATTCTTGTAGCTCACGGGCTCGTCATATCGCATACGATTAATTATTTCTGGAAACTGACAGTTTTAATCGAAGAATTTGACTACTGAAAACTGACGAATCTCCAAGTTCGAAGAGACGGCCTTGGCAGCGTTTGCACTTTGCTTGATGCGAACAGGCACATAAATGAATTCTCTCGACTTTTCAGCTGTAAATCTCAAAAGTAGTGCAACATCAAATAATATCTGTTTCAAACTTGTTCTCTGCAACGGAATCTGTGAATTGACAGTATCGGAGACACTCTTTTCCGTGAACCCGTAAATGACTCCGTTCGTTGATCTGTGTCTCACTGTGATCTGACAGCCACCTCCGGCAGCAGAAACGGAAACTTTCCACACTCCCGGAGTGAATTTCGAAGTGTCTGAGCATCAACTAATTCTTTATTATCTTCCTGAACTTTCGAACCAATGCTGAGAGACTTGAAATTGACATTTCCAAAGTGTGTGTTCTCTGCCGCTGGCACCGTTTTGCCTGCTGCGTCCACAATCGAGATCCCATTCAAACCAGTGCCCACGAATTGAAACACGGTCCGCTGAGTCTCCTTCTCCACAAACGCATCCAGTGTGAATGGCACAGTGTGGCAGTCCTGAACACAAAATGATTTCTGCCCCGATCTTTGTGATCTCTGTTCTTACGTATTTCTCCATATCAGTGGTGAGAGCATTCATCGGCATTACGTCGGCAAATAAATTGACAAGCTGAAAAATTTTGAACTCGGCGACGCCATTCTCTCTATTGACAGACGCTTACCGTACTCTCCTGGGCGCCCAATGGAATGATTCTGCCGTTACTCATCTTTTGAACGAGTTCCAATTGCCACGGGAGAGCAAAGACTTCGGTAGTGACACCATCGGCGATTGTGAAAAAGTTGAACTGAAACGATTTGGGCTCATGTTTTTGTCTCCAGTTCTATAGATACTTCAATGTTTCTGTCCACAATATCCCATTTTCTAGTGGAATTCTGCACATTCTTGACTGCCTGATTGGTGAAATAATACACTTGAGCAGTCGGTTTAATGTTCGATTTCATTGCCTGAACAACCGACGAGAGACCCAACGGGGCGTTCAGTTGGCCACTGTAAACGAGTCCGTTCACAAGAGTTCGGAACTTTCTGACGAATGCAGCAGGATTGTAAGTGCTGAGAAGCACTCGCGAAGTGTCGTCGTTGTTCACAATCAGGGTGAACTCCTTCTTGTACGATCCGGTGCTCGTGGAATTGGCAAGAGCCACAATCAGATCAATCTCATTCGCAAGAGTTGTGTATACATTCTTATTGGCTAAGTGTGCCTCGAGGATGAAAATGAATTGATTGGCCTCTTCAAAACGAGGATCATTGATTGCATGGATGTTGGTCACGGGCAGGATTCCACTGAATTCACATCGCGAAGATGTTTCTTTTGGAGCACATTCTTCTTATCCAACTGGGGAGCCACGAATCCCTGTTCCTGATGCGTGTAGTGGGCAACTGAATTTTATTGTTACACACAAAAGAAGAATAAGTTGTACTAACTCTGGTCACAATATCCGGGAGTAACTCTCACTTTGTAATCGTTATTCCGTAGTGAAGCTGATGAACTTGTCTGAAACAGAACTTGAATGTTCGAGTGCGTCAGGTGCACTCACGTCACCGGCCCTGGCGGGCAGTCGTCTGTATTCACCCAGGGAGGGAACGCCATCTCGAAAGTACAGTCTTCTTGGGGTCTTCTGAATGCAACGACGGCTTCCCTCACAACTTGAAAATTACTCGACATGACTCTGTAGGTCATGTTCGTGTACTGTGGAAATCCGAAAGTACGGATGGTCGAGTGCATCGTCACTCCCAAATGGACAATTCCATTTCCAACGTCTATCATCATGTCACTGTTGTAATCGAAAAGAAGTGTGTTTCTGGACTGGAGGAAGATTCGGAAGTTGTAGAAATCGCCGGAAGATTTGATGTAGACAGTGCTCATATATTGTGCAGCGACCAACTAAATTATCATTCTTCAGAAGTTCATAGTTACGGTTTATGAGTTCACCATGTAATTGCTACCCTTGGCAAGAAGAGTTGTGCCAGGGATTTCTGGGAACTCATAATCTAGAATATTTCAATCGTCTCAGTACCAACTTCAACTTTTCCCTACCGGAAGAGTCCATTGTGATTAGTGTGAAAACCCAGTCGGCTCCGTTGTCTGCAGTCGGAACGACGAGTGAGTCTTCGAACAGTCCGAAGCCAACGCCGACGTTCTCAGGGAAGTAAAACGTGGATATCACACTTCTCAGAATCTGAAATGCCATCTCAAAGGTTCAGAGATTTGAAGGAATTCCTTACGTCAGTGGTTTCTGTAGAATTTTTCACGAAAAAGTAATCACCGTGGGTAGAAAGCGAAAGACGTCTGTAAACATCGACTCCGTCCAAAGTCACGCTTATTGCAGAAGGAATCGAGAGAATGAAAGAGACCTTAGATCTCCACAAGTACGAGATTTGGAGGCACAACTGTTCCGTGTTTTTATCTTCGAATCTGTGTGACCAGGGAGTCGCATCGGAAGCGGGACTGTCTGTGAAAACGAGAACGACTGCGTGGGATTTCATAGAAGGGAAGATCTGTTGAGCATTCTTGAGAGCCGCGAGCACCGGCTGCGTGTCGTCTCCATCGTACAGCGTCATGTTTTTGAGGAACACCACGACGTCATCGGCACTTTCTGAGATCATTTGAGTGATTGTCGTCTTCTGACTCCCTTGGACGAATCCGTAGACAATAAAGTTTTCAATCCAATTCTCTTGAACTTTGTTGTTGTTCCAGTTCTTTGTGATTGAGTCGGCCATGTTCTTGAATCCAGTCGTCAAGCTGTCCAGCTGCTCCTTCATCGACTTCTTCATGTTGAACACAATGATGAACGACCTCTTCTCCAGGTCCAAGTTGTCCTCGTTCGGAGGCCTGCATCCTCTGATTCCACAATACTTGTCATACCATCCCGGCGCACACGCACATCTATTCTTGTCCGGAATTCCCCATCGCTGACACCTGCAACACCAACGTGTTTATGCGTTTATCGCGTTTCCGCATACGATTCTAGAAATAGAAAGTGTCCCCAAACAGTTTACCGTCTTCTGCATGCATTTGTCATTTTGCAGGTCTTATCAGTGTAGTCACATGTAACCGAGATGAAAAAATGAAAAAATGACGGGAGAATCAAGAGTACGATAGAAAGGGCGGACGAGATGGAACGGATGATCTGGGGACCATTAAGAATGAGAATGAGCTGGGAATGAGTTGGGAATCCTATGAATACGGAGCAGGAAGGAAGGAAGGAAGAACGACTAATTGTAATGCTTCAAGAATCATGTTTTTTGTAGAATGAAAGAGGAAGTGTGCTCTACCGTCGAGTCCTTTGTAAACAAGCCCTCAAAACAGAACAATACATCCGCATCACTTTCACAAATTGTCCAATGCGCCACCTTGTTGAGCACCCTTCTGTGTTTCAGTTTATACATTCTACGGGTTACTGTAGTTTCGCACAGACAGTTTTGAATCCGTCCTTTGTCCCAATGAAGTTCTCATTTACTCTATTCGGTCTTCCTCCATACCTAGAGAGCTAGGGACTCGAGAACTCACTTCACAGTCTCACACTGTCGTCCGCCCACATATCCCGGGCAATGGCAGTCCGTCGCGTTCACCGGAGTTCCTCCGTTTAGACATTGTTGAGCTGAAAAGATAGAGAGTGAAGAAGAGGGGCGCCTGTTACCTGTAACTGAAAATAAGGTAAAAGCCACGAGGACTGCTATCGGCATGAGTTGAGCCATGAGTACCCTGAAGTGTCACCGAGAGACCCAACCATTTCTAGAAACGAAGGAGGGGTGTGGCAAATGAAATGAATCAAGTGAATTCTTCAACTTTTGAACTCGGAATTGTTTATGAAACCTTTGGGGCTCTTAGCGGATCCTCTTCATCACGATTCCGTGTGTTCACTTCAGAAACTGTGCATCAATTTGTAGCCAGATGTGATTCATAGCTAATTACTAAGAAGTGCTCAAGTAGAAGGGTACTGTAACAGATAGATACTCTCAAGAAATCTTCCTTTGTTCAATATTTATACATTTTCGTTGTTACAATCAATTGCAATCTGTGTTAACACTGAAAATCTGAAATGTCTGGAAACGAGGTTTTTCATTCAAATATTCATCCAAAGTGTCTTCTCATCCCTATTCTGTCGGCCGCCCGTTTGATACTCAACTTTTCTGGAACTCTTGTGAACAAATCAGCATTTTAAAGGTTATGGTATTGAGTTGAAGTTTGGTCGATCTGAACGTCTGAACGTCATGTGAGATGAAAGCGTTGTGCCTATTATGGCAAGGATCACGACCTGTAAAGTAGGATACACCACTTTTTTATTGCTGCCGGATGAAGCAGAATTGGATGACTTTGGCTTTGGTTATTTCTTTGTTTGATGAACTATTTATGATTTCGGACAGTCGCGATCTACCGTAATCCCACATAAAATTGTGACCGGGGACACTTGGAGTACAGTAACTCGGGGAATGATTGAATGATTCTTCGTAGTCTGCCGCGAATGATGACAACTTGAAAGTGACGTGGCGCACACGAGTCAGCTTGCCTCACTTTCTGCAAAAATGAAATTCTCCTGAACTCTTAAACTCAATCGTGTCCGCCGCCCACAATTTGGTTTCTTGACCTCTCCCCAAATCACAGTCGTTATCAGCCAAAGTGCGTACAGTCTAAATCGGCCCATTGTTTTATTTGCTCTCGCATACAGTACCCCCTTTCCGCCCTTCTCTCCGTATTCTTTTGACGACATTTTTCATGCGATAAACGTCATTCTCAGCTATGATTTCACTCACAAACAATGCCTTCAATCTGCAAAACTCACGAAGATCAGACTCGTTTCAAGTACGTTTTATTCACAAACTTGTTTTGTCATTTCATACAAATCGGTTACATAAAAGCATGAGAATTAGACTGAAGACTCCCGAAACAGTATGCGAATGTTTTGTTGTCGTCTGAATCGGTGTAGTTGTCGGCACTGTCAGTCTTGGTATTATTGTCGTGTTCCCAGGAAGCACTAGCTCTGGAAATTCTCGTTATTGTTGGTGTCTTTCCCGTTGAAGGCAGTTACCATATTCACAAAAGTCTCCCAATGTTCCGGGAGAACAACAACAGATTCCATTTGAGTACGTGGCTGCGGGCTGGCAGATCCGGTCCCAGCAGTAGTCTCCCGTGTATCTTTCCCGACAGATACACCTTCCGAATTGATCCACTTGTCCGCCATTACACACCGAAATATCTGCAGTAGATGTTTTGGGTTTTCTTGGAGAGTGAGCAATTGTGAACCTTTTGGGAAATGCTGGTAGTAGTAGAAAATGCGGTGAAGAATGAGATTCCCGGAGTCGTAGGCCGACAGCGTCCACGTAGTCAGTTCATTTTTCGGAACCACAATGTGATCAGATATAAAATTGTAGGAACATGATGAAGGATCTCGAGCAGAGATCGAAGAATTGTAATAGCTCTCAGGTTGATCGTAGCGTTTTCGATTCACAATATCTGAAAGAAACGAGAAGGGTCGGAAGATTTGACTGCAATTGCAATTCTTACGGATTTCCAGATTAGTTGGCACCACTGGAGCGTTCACTCTGATCGGAATGTAGATCGGTTCAGAGTCGGAGGGGGCTGAAACTTTGGGTCGAAACCACATGTTTCTCAGAAATTAGTACCTCTTTGCGAAATAATTTGTGTAGAAACATTGTCATCAGTGTTCGAAGAAGTGAAGCCGAGAATTGCTCCGATCTCGGTGTTCTGCCTTACTGTAATCTGACAACCTCCCTTTGCGACCAACGCAGAGAGTCTCCACACTCCTTTGGCAAACTTGTTAAGATCTGGAGTTCACCTGATTTCGAGACAAGAATTTGAGAACATACCGATGTTCAAAGATACGAAGTTAGGGTTCTGATATGTGATATAGTCGGTGAGGGGAATCAGAGTGCCTGGAAACGAAACATGAGTACTCATGCGTTATGTCTAACTTCTACCATTCGCATCGGCTACTGTAATGGTTTTTATCCCAGTTCCGACCACCTGAACCACTACTTTTTGAGCCCCTTTTTCCACAAATCCATCAATGACAAGTGGCGAAGTCTGGCAGTCCTGCAACGTTTTCAATTCACAACTTTTGCAATACCGTCTTTATTTACATATTGTTCGTTGTCCGTAGTCAGAGAAGTCATCCTCATAATATCCGAAAACAGATTTGCAAACTGAGCAACGATTTCTTTTGTTATCCACAAAATGACACTTACGGCAGTTTCGTTTCTTTGCAATGGAATAAGTCGTCCGTTGGTCATTTTCTGAATGAGTTCCAATTGCGATGGAAGAGCAAAGATTTCCGTTGTGACGCCGTCGGCGATTGTGAAAAAGTTGACCTACAATGTCATTTCTTTACTCCCATTCCATCTCAGTTTTCTTCGAATACCTCAATATCTCTTCTCAATATGTCCCACGTTCTCGACACATTTTGAACATTTTTCACTGCTTGATTTGTGAAATAGTACACTTGAGCAGTCGGCTGAATATTCAGTTTTTGTGCCTGAAAAACTGTATACAATTTCATTCTGAACATTTTCTGAGCAACACCTGAACAACAGAAAGAAGGCCCAAAGTGTTATCAAGATTATCATAAAGAGGAAGAGAAGCCACTAGATTCTGAAATTTCGAAGAGAAAACTGTTGGGCTGTAGGAGCTGATCAACGCCCGAGACTCTGAAAAATGCAATTGACGGCTTGGTCACCAGTATTTCGAATCACCAATATCATTGTGCACAACCAAAGTGAACTCGCTTTTATACGTTCCGGTAGTGGTTGAATTGATCGCCGTCACTATCTTTTCAATGTCCTCTGCCAGAGTTTGATAGACTGCTCTATTAGCGGAATGTTGCTCCAGAATGAAGACAAACTGAAAGATGGGATATTTTTAAGAAAAAACAAAGTAAAACTCACTTGTTTGTGCTCTTCTAATCTCGGATCGTTCACTGCGTCGATATTCTTTTCATCACAACTGAGCACACGTTCTTGCTGCGAAATCGGATCAAATTCACTTGTTTCCATTCCAATTCCATCCGGATGTTCCGCGTTTCTATCGCCTGAGATTATCCGATTCACTTCACCATTCATATTTAGCTCACCATTATAGCAGTAGGCAGGAACGACTCTTTGTTTTACGTACCCATTGTAGTAGAGTGTGTGCAATTGTCTGTAATTCTGATGTCAACCTCATTTTCCGCATAATTCAATTACGTGGTGGGTCCCGGAGGGCACTGAAGAGTGTTCCAAGCAGGGAATGCGAAGGTGTACGTGCAGTCGATCTGAGGTCTCGGAAACGAGAAGAACTTCTCGCGAAGCAACTGACCGTCAGCCAATCTCACATCATAACTGCTGTTCAACCATTCCGGGAATCCGAACGTCTCCATTGTGGCGAACATTTCAATTCCTTGAACGAATATGATTCAAATACTCTCGTTTTATCTCACTATTATGACGCTCTGTTCAGAAACTCTTTTTGCAGTGCAATTTGAGCGACCTCGGTGCCGAGTTTGAAAAGTTACACCACGTTTTCAGTGGAAAATCACTTCGCGGCCTAAAAGTTCGGCCAGATTGCGAACAGAGCGCCATTTCTGTGAGATGCCCCTATAATACCAATGGCTATTATTCCATTTCCAACGTCAATGCTCGTATCATCGTTAAAGTTTTTTAGGATGGTGTTCTTGGATTGAATGAAGACGCGGTAGTTGTAAGTTGTTCCGATCGGAGCACTTATTTCGACTGCTTCGTCGAACTGGCTGGATTTTGTGTAAAACTGAAAGAGTGTAAACGTTACGTAGATCGATAATATCTAATTCACTAGAAAAGAAACTCCTTCTGCATAGACGTTTGCTCCAGAAATAGTTGGAAGATTCAAATCTATAATAATAAAGATAAAATTTTCAGGTACAATATCAACTCCTACTCTTTGATGGATCAACTGTTAGCAGATAGAAAGCAGTGTCGTTCTGCTCATCAGGAACCACCGTCACCGAATCGTTTCCCGTTTTTCCGTACACCGCTGCTACGTTTTCGGGGAAAAACTGGGTTCCTATAACGGAAATAAGGACAGTTTTTAGTTCAGATGTGCTCTTGAGGAAGAAGGTGTCGCCGTGATTGGCCACAGAAAGACGTCTGTACACGTCAACGTTATCTGGAGAAGTATCGGTCCCATCGGGAACGACAAGAGGAATGAAACCTAGAAGCACGTGGTTTGTCGTACAAATTCCAGTGGGAACACACCTTGGATCTCCACAAAAGCGAGATCTGAAGGCAACTTGTTCGACGTTTTTGTCTGTGAATCTGTTTGAGAGACTGGGTGCGTCAGAAGCAGGCTGTCTGTGAGAACGAGCACGATGGAGTGCGATTTCATCGACGGGAACGTCTGCTGTGCATCTTTGAGGGCCGTGAGCACAGGTTGCGTGGCATCCCCATCTTGCAGCTCAATTTTGTCCAAAAAGTCGACGATATCATCCGCACTTTTCGCTATCGTCGTCTTGACGGTCATCTGCTGATTCCCTGAACGAATCCGTAGACGATGAAGTTCTCGATCCAATTATCGCTCTGATTTGTGTTTTTCCAATTCTGAATGCAACGTTCGCACGCGTTATAATGTTTCTGTGTACCGTCGTGATCCGTGTCACCATCTCCTGGAAGTTCTCTTTCAGCACTTTCAAGTGTTCCGCCATCGACGTTTTCATGTTGAACACAATAATGAATGACCTCTTCAGAAGGTCCAGACTGTCTTCGTTTGGAGGCCGGCATCCTCTGATTCCACAATACTTGTCATACCATCCCGGAGGACACGCACATCTGTTTTTATCCGGAATCGAGAATCTTTGACATCTGAAAAGTTTTCCCTGATTGTTGGAACCGAAACGTCTTTTTTCGAGAGAAATTTCACACCAGCTTATTTCTTATCAGCGCATTTTTAAACTGGTCATTGGTGCGAAATGCAATTCGTATTGATTTTGTTAATACTGTTTTGTTTTTTCATCGGGTCAAGAAAGAAACGAACTTTACAGTTTCACAAAGGCGTCCGGCGACGAATCCAGGACATACACAATCGGTCGAATTGATCGGAGTACCGCGGTTGAAGCAAGTGGCCAACTGAGCGGAAACTTCTGAAAACGTGTTGTTTTAGATGAACACAAGATAGAAATCAGACGTACTTGGTAGCAGAGGAAGTATCGAAACGAAGACGATCAGAGACGTGCTGCGCATTGCCACCGCCTGAAATCTTTTTTTTTCAGTTTTTCACATGTACCTATCGTCTAAATAAACGATTATACGTTCATCAGTGTTGTTTTTATAAGCGCTTAACTTCCCATACTAGTAACGTCTATTAGGGAACCAGGCAATTGAAAAAAGACGTTGTGCACTCTCACTGTCCGTTTATCACTCGCATTTATATGATTCACTCTTTGTTATCATCGGGGGAATCACTCGAAAACGAATCTTCGGTGCGTACAAAGTGCTGATTATGACGAGAAGAACTTTTCAAGAGCACTAGAATTAGGGATTCTTCTGGATGATCTTCGGAATTCTTAGAGTTTGATAACTTGGCTCGTACCACTAATTTCAGACAGATAAACCCTTCTGTGCAAACTGTGCAACCTCGGAGGATCATTAGCAGTGACTTTTGATAATCATCCTTTTCCCTCCAGCATCCGTCTCTTCTCGCTGTCTCGTTCTGTTCTGTACGAGGCGTCACTAATCCGCGTCGTTTCCGCGACTACTCGATCAGATCGGATCGATTTCCCGCGGCCACAGCTTTCTTTATCTCTCTCCTCATTCACGCTTATTGTTTTGATGTGATCGAATGTGTGTGCGTCTGCATGCTGGTTCCCTCTTACTCACACCCATTTCATCATAATCCTCCGAATTTGCATTGTCCGATCGGTCGCGCTCGACGCCGTTTCGATTCGCATAATTCGGGTATACTTCGCACATTCAATCGGTTTTCAGCACCATTACCCTTCTCTCTTTTTTCAGTGGGATCCAACTTGCCGAACGCAATAAATTGTGCGAGTCGTTTGCAGGGCAAAGAAGAACAAAACGACGAGAGACGGTCTGCGGAGAGAAAGTGAGAAGCCGAATGGCGACCACCGACTTTCGCCGCCGTTATCCATCCCTTCTCATCCTCTTACTTTCCTGTCAGGTATCTTCCGATTTCTTACTCCGTCCCCCTCCAATTCCCCGTTCCAGTCAGCCTTTTCGTTCTCATTTGATCAGTGCAATGTGACCCGTTCTTGTTGGTTTCATCCTCCGGAATGCGAGGTGAATAACTTGGCAGCCTGCCAATCGGGAGTCGAATGGCAGATGCTTCCAGAAGGACTCTTTCTACAGGTTCCTCACTCCATCCTTCCACACTCCTTTCCCGTTTTCAGTTAGAAGCAAAAGTCCACGATCTTGATCAGACTCGTCCGTTCTATGCAGCGCTGGGATTCAGCTTCAACCAGAGAATGGTCAGTCCGTTCCGTTCTTCTATTTCTTCAGAATCAAGAGTTTAGGACGATGACACAGTGTTCGAATGCGTTGTTCCGCACACGGGCGACGGAAAAGTGCAAATATCATTCAATGACGAAACGTTCAATCAGGTTCTGCCGCAGGTTCGTTCTCTTGTTATTTTGGTGCGTGGAGTCTTCCGCTCTTGAAGGCGTCTTCAGTGTTGCTGACCGAAGGGACCACTTCGTACGTGGACGGGCTGCTCACTTGCAGTGCCAAGCTGCTCCTCGACAACAGACCGTTGATCGACAATGCTTCGCAATTCATGGTTCACGACCTGGAGACTGCTTCTTATCACTTGCTGTTTGCTCGTGGAAGTGCCAACAAATACAGTAACATTTATCAGAATTGAGTCGATTCAAATGTTGCTCCTTTTCACAGCCCTTGAAAAGGACATTCACTCGACGAACGACGGTACCCAATTCCCGTGGATGTCCGACGAACAAGTATCCTTCTGTCGTACCAACTGCTCCTCTCCAAATCTTTACCATATTGGGCAAATGAGACAAACGTACAATGTTTCTCGATACTGGAGATACAGAATTGCAGTCTGGCATGGTAATTCCGAAGTGCAGTCCTCCCTTCAAAGCTTCCAATTTCCCCCTCAGGCATCTTGCTCATCTTCGCGTGGTGGGTGCTCGGTTCGACCGGAATCCTCATCAGTCGCTACTTCAAGCCGCTGTTTCCCAGGAATAAGCTGCTTGGCACTGCCGTTTGGTTTCAGGTTTGAGCCACGAGGGAATCTGAATCAGAAGATGACGTGTCCCTTTTCAGCTGCATCGAGACATGATGATTCTGTCCGTAATCATTCAGGTCGTGTGCGTTCTGTTAATTTTTTATCAAGCCGGCTGGGTTTGGTATCAGTGCTCGTATATGTGCACTTCTGATGTGAGAGCGCTGATTATGACTTTACTTAACTGTACTATATTTACAGGATTTCTCGAAGAAAATGCACGCAATTACCGGATTCACAGCCACAATTTTGGCTCTCATCCAGCCGATCTTCGGTTTCCTCCGCCCGTCCCCCACTTCCAGCATCCGTCCTTTCTTCAATTGGGGTCATTGGCTCCTCGGAATGTTCTCCTGGTCTGTCGCTTGTGAGTTCTCATTTGCTCTTCTCTGATCGTTGACTCTCCGCCCTTTCTTTTAGCTGCTACCATTGTGCTTGCCCTTCCGATGGGTAAGACCGGCCTCAACAGGCTATACGGCCATGTCCCCAACTGGATTGTTCTCGGCTACATTCTCTTTTTCATCGGTTGCAACTTGGTATTAGAGATTATAACGATTGCAAGCAACAAATCCAAAATTGGTTTGTTCTCTTTCTCGGAAAAGTACAAATCGGCCTGAAAGTTGTATTATAGAAGGAGTTCAACCGCATCGATTCACAGTCGGTCCGATGGGAATGGCGCTTGCCAATTTGAACACTCCGATAAAGGATGCTCCGATCGAAGTGCCAAAGGTTTGCCCATGGCCCCGGAGACTTCTACGAACTTATTTTCAGCGTACAAAAGCGAGAGTGACCGTTGTGGTCTTGCATATTTTGGTCAGCATTTCCGTCAACATCGCCTTCGCAGTGATGCTCTTCCGGGCGCTCTGGACGCATTCTCCATAGACTCCATTCTCCGTTTTCCCCGCTTCCACCCGCACTGGTCTCTCCCTCTCTCTCTCTCTCTATTCCTCTTTCTCTTTTGCTGTCTTCCCTGTTTCATGACGTGTACATTCTATGCGATTCACCCATAATAACTTGTTTATTTATTTATTTTCCAGAAGAAAACACTGCCAGATCAGTGAATAAAAACTGCAAATACAAATTAGTTACGTGAATTATGTGTTTTCAGGGGGTGCGAGGAAAGGAATCCGAGAGAAATTCGACTGTGATATTACGGAAAACATTTTGAACTCGTCGTGAACATGGGAAACTCTTTGTACACCTTTTCACTTTTTCTTCTTCTTCTCCGCGTCCTTCTCTTTGCTCGAAGCAGACACAGCTGAAAAGTGACTAGATTGTTCCCTTCACAAAAGAGCAAACACTCACTGTTTTTCGTAACTGGAACGTCGACTGAAAGGCTGTTTGTGTTGGCCAACGGGTGCTCATTGCTCGGCTTCTGAGGCCGCGGACTATCGGGAATTGTGTTCGGCGGAGCGAGATGTCCGTGACGGATCGCCAGCTCGGTCTGAAATCGAAATGAGTTAGAGGGAAGGAGAAAGAGCAACTCAAATCCAAATGCTTTCTGAGTTCAGACTTGGCAAGTAGGTGACAGATGCCCTCTGAACACCTCAAAGATCAGACATCATTCCCTTCGTATCACATTTGAAATACATAAAGCCAGAACGACACAAAATGGGACTTGAGTGTAGGGTTAACTTATTATTGGATTGAGAAGGCCCGGGCCGTCCGAAATCCAATTGCCACGTAGGGGCGCGAGGGGGCGAGCCAAAACATGTTTTCGGATGGAATCGAATGAAAGTTTTGAAGCGGCATCCGTGACGTGGCAACTCACATCGTTCGAATCCTGTCTGAATGCCATTTGCCGCACCAAACTAGCTCTGCGGACCTCTAGCATTTCATATCCACAAGAAGGCAGACGGGAATTATCGAAGAGATGAACTGAAAAAAATCAGTTTGTGTGGGAAAGTGGGTGAAATGGAATTGAGAGTAGCGGGTTCATCGCCTAAACTTGTGAACAAACAAAGGAAAAAGCGAAGGGAGCACAGAGAAATGGAGAACGGCTCCCCGCACCCCTTTGGTTTCAATGCAAATCAATCAAATAAACGGAATTAGGCGAAAGAAGACAGGCCTAAAGTAATGAAAAAGGGAAAGGAAGGGGAAGCGGGTTGGGAGCCGACGGGCGGCCGCGAGCAGAAAGGTTGCGAGGACCGGGGACGTCCTAATCCCGTCGGAAAGTAATCATGACGTGATGGGCTCCGCGCGCTCTCTCTCTCTCTTTTGGGGAGTCGTCGCCCCATTGCAATTGCCCCGCGAAAACAAAGAGGTCCTCGCAAATTGGCGCCGTTCTTTAGAAAGCGTCAGAGAAGACGCTCACTTTTCACCATTCTCTTGTGCTTATCAGCAATTCAGATGGAAATAGAAGTGACAAGGTCAAGGTGGGAGGCCGGGAAACATGTTTGCTCCCCGGTTTACACCGACAAAATAAACGGAATCGAGCGAGCTTACTACTGAAAAAACTAGATCTCGTGATAGCAAAACCCGCAAAAAAACCTTCTTGAGTCTTTTCCCAAGCTTGTCAACAATAATATTATGAATTGAGAATGGAAGGAATGAAAGGAAATCGAGGGGAAATGAGAGCGGTCTCTCTTGGAGAAGGCGGACTCATTTCCACGTTGCCAGGTGATGTTGCCGCTTAGATTCGAGGCCGGGGAAACAGGAATCAGGCCGGTCTGCAGATGGTCACAGACTGACGAATCGTTCGGTTGGGCAGGCAGGTAAGCCTCTCGCTTCACTTTCGCTTCGACGAAAAGTTTGAACCGGAAGAAGACAGAAAAAAGGGGAACACGAGGAGGAGAAGTGGCTCGAGTTGTGCCTAGCAACCCGGCGAATGGACACCGGAGAGAAGGTGAGAGAAGGCAAAAAATGGGGGGAGAAGGTGCCGCCTTTCCGGAGAAAACATTCGATTTCGGAGGGAGGGAGAGCGAGACGGTGACAAAACGAGTAATTGTTTCCGGAAGAGAGTTGCCTTCTCGGCTCTTGGTTCAACTCAAAAATGCACTTTTTGAGGCGAAGAAAGAGAACATCGAAAAGAGATAAAAAGGCGGAAAAGGCTCGGAAGAAGAAACGGAAGGAGAAGTGGAAGCATTCAGAATACGGGAAAAGAGTCATGTTGATGGGCGAGAGTGGAAGTTTCCACGTGATAATAGAGGCTCACTACAAAATTGGCATGTTTTGAAGTTTGGCGACAATTGTTTGACCGATTTATTGGACTCAGAGAAGGCGATAGAAACACAAGAAGAAGGAGTCCGCTCGGGAGCTCTGAAAGTGCCGGTATCCATGGAGATCCGACATAATCGAGAGCCGCGTTTCCGTGAATGTTCATGACTTTTTCACCGTCATTTTTACCTTATTTCGAAAAAACCAACGAAAATAGGACAGTGAGCCCCCTTCTCGGGACTTGTGTGGAAGAGTGAGTGAAACCCGACGCCCGCTTATTCTTCGAGAATAGCCTTTTTCAAACAAACATGGTGAGTGATCAACACGCTCTCCTCCGCCCGAAAGCGCGACTTTCAAAAAAAGAGTATTTTTCCAGCCAATGGCAAAAAGATTAGGGCGAATGTAGGTGTGATTGGATTAGAAGAAGCCACGCGCCTGAAGGAAATGGGAAGGGGGAGGAGGGAGAGAAAGAGTTAATCTTTCGTCAAAAAGTAGGCTGAAAAAGATGTGAAAGAAGGAGAGAAAGTGAGGGACTCTCAAAACACGGGCCTCCTCTCTGAGGTGTAAATAAGCAGAGAGAGGGTGGTCCGAAATGGCATCATTTGGCCGAGTTCGTTTCGGATTTCATCGCCAACATCATAGTCCAGTCACACAATTCTGGAGGCACTGACCACGAAATTTGAACCGTTTGATCTGGGGACAACTATTGTCGACGCCATGCGAGATTGAAAAAACAAGAAAGTGGGGGAGTGTCTGGAGAGAAGTCTGACTCTGGGAAACGGGAGAATATCGTGAGATGGAGAGAATCGAGAAAGGACCTGCAAAGATCGGCATCAGAACGGAAATGTTCTCAAGCTCTCCGAAAATGTTACGCATGAGTTTTATTGAGTTTTATGATCGAGTTATGTTGATACATACTTTTGACATAGTCAGCGGAAGCCAAACACGAAATATTTCATTACGGTATTCTCATCATCCAATCTTTGTGCTATCCCAACCAATCCCCCGTTGTTTTCCCTATCATATAACTCTTTGCTCTCTTTTCCCCGATCAGACAGGTCGTTCTCGCTTGTTATCACTATTCACCGAACACTCGGCTCGTTTATGCACTGCTCTCGTGCGTGTATTGCTCGAAACGTTCGTCCGTTCTCCTCTCCGCGCGGTATAACGTGGGCCCTCTCTGGGGTCGATGTGTTTGCGCGGCGAACAAACAAGTGCGGAGAGCACGTACCTGAACGGAGAAGCCGTCGAGAGCCGCAGACATCGACAAATATGACAATGTGACGTTCCGAGAGGTATCGACCGCCCGCCCGATCCGATTCGACTAATTCGTCGTCGTCGTCGCACGGCTTCTTTCCCCACTCTTGTCTTTTCGACGGCGCCGCAATTTAGTCTTCATATGCCGTTTTGCCCCTTTCTCTTCTCTCACTTTTACCGTACACGTTTATGCATTTTTGTCACTTTCTCCTGCTTTCGGCAGTCAATTGAGGAGAAGGAGACATGTTTCCTCGGGCGAAACAAGTCATCTATGCATACTCTTCGCTTTTTTGCCAGTGACATCTTCGTCTTCTTCTGCTTTTTCTCTTCTTTTTACCGGCGACCTCCCCGTCTTTGTTTGTGCGTGCGGCCGGATTTCGGTTTTGATTTATAGTATGAGACAGTTCGAACGAACGCCCGCTCGAGGTGTCGCATTCCGGTTTTTGCGTTTACCTCTACCACATGTTTCATTTTTTGGCCTTTTCTCTTGAAGACTTTCCTTCTCAAGACTTCAAAGTACTTCTTATTTGAAAGTAATGTACTTATTCTCTTCAGTTTTAATGCGAGGTTCTCCTCAAAGTGGAGGGTGCTTGCAGCAACATGCACAACATGTTGCCCTATCACTTTTTATCGGGCTGGCCAGCGTTTGCCAATCATTTCCATACAGATCGTATGCAAACAGCCGTCCGTTCACCCCGACACCTCCCGCATTTCGATCGCCTCGCCCATCAATCAGTTCCAAGCTGATAGCGGTGGCCAACCCGATTCTTACCCGAATTCTCCGTCTCTCCTTCTTCTTCGTCTTCGTTTCGCGCATTCTTTGTTATTTATTGTTGTCGTTGCAATTATTAATTAGTAGAAATACCACACAGTTCAATGTCATCACTTGTTCGTTTTCAATTACAAATTGCTCTGTCTCTTACTCTCATTTCCTTCCGCCCCAAAAATCACACCAACCTCCCCGCTTCCCTTTTTCGGTCATTACCTTTTGGGCTCTCGCTCTCTCTCTCTCTCTCTCTTTCTCTCCCTCCCTCCACCCGTCTAATCCCCGGTTCCGTCCTTCCTCCTCGTTTTCCCGTACGTACAGGTATTAGGAAGTAGTGCCGGAGGGTCTGACCTTGATGACAGCCCCCGATGCCACCAGCCGCACTTCCCCACACGCCTATTGATCCGTCTCAGCATGAGGTCTTTTCCTCAATCTTTGCATAATTTATCGCTCACACCTGATCTCATTTTTTGGCGGATTTTAGATCGTGTTTCGGTTGCGAAGAGGACGAAAACGCTTCGCTTCGCTCTTCCCTTCCCACACCGTATTGTTGTTTTCGCACCCCAAACGAACCAGGTATAAAACGATAACTGTTTCTGTATTCCGTTCTTCTCTCCCTTCTCCTTTTTTGTGTCGCTCGTGTTCTACACACCGCTTGATTGCTCGTTGATTCCCCCGGGTTCACATGACACGATGATCTGGAAGTTTCCGGAAAGTGTGCTCGACCCGGCCGCCGCGCCTCCGCACAAAAGACGAACTTGCTCCGCGACGAGCCTAATCCTGGGCGGCCCGTGCCCATTGTGCTGCTCCGAAGTATTTGGGTTCCGAATTAGAGAGTACTCTCGGGCAAGGAGGTCTCTTTCGCCCCGTCTGTTCGCGTTACAACAAGTTGTACAATAGATCAAGCCGTTCCCAGTTGCCGACGCATGATTCGCTTCTTCTTCTTCTTCTTCTCCTCCTCCTTCTCCTCCTCGTTCCCGCCCGGCCGCTACTGCTATTCCATCCGCGCCCTCCTCGAGTTTTTTGTCGTCACAACAACAGGGCCCCGCTGTTTCTCGCCTCGATTCTGTATTGATTCGGAAAACGAAGGAGCGTGCGATGCCCGGAGAGAAGACTATCTCCCTCCTTCTTTCTTTTCCGATGCCTATTCTCCGCGCCGTCCCAGAAACCAGGCGATGAACAAGATGAGGTATCTCGGGATGAAAGCCCTCTTTTTGTCGCGACCCGTCCGCCCGTTTTTCGTTTTTCGATCGGTACCGTCTGTCTCGAGAAAATTGAAAGAAATATGTTGGAAATGCGTACGTACACTTATGAATTTGATTTATGCATCGCCGAGAAGTGTAACCTTTTCAAGCACCGTGCCTTCTTCTTTCCGGTTCCGAACCAAACTTCATCCCTCTCGAGAGTATGATTCACTTATTCTCGCCTACTTCTCCTTTCCCAATTCCCTCTTTTTTCCACTCTTTGGCCTTTCTGAACCACCTTTTGCCTCCCGATAACCATCTCTTTTGGTTCTTTTCCCGCCAAACCACTCGTTATTTTTGTTTGTCCCCTTTCTCTGGTTTCGTATCGTTCATTTCTCTTTAATCGACAATATCAGATGGGTTCCCCCGAAGGAGCTTATCACGTCTTCTTGTTGTTCGCCTTCTTCTTCTTCATGTTCGTCCCTTTATCCCCCACAGATTCATGACGGCCATCTGTATGTCTGCCGCACTCGACCCACATTAAACTGATTCAATTTGTGGCCACGTTCCAGCCACCTCATCTCCATCTTCCTCCTTCTGCCTAACTAGCTACATTTGTTACTCGGCCCTCATTATTGCCGCATCTCCCACTTCCCTTCTACTTCTTCTCGCCTCTTCATCGCTGCTTCCCCCAAACTGGGTTTGAGTTGACGCCGTCACCATCACCAAATTGGTTATTGTTTCTGTGTCGTCGTCAAGCCGTAATCGCCTTTTCGCAACTTCCTATTAGGTTCTGCCCAGCAGATCAATCCCCTCTTGCCGTGCCTATTTTCCTGTTCCGCCCGCCTTTTTCATCTCCTCTGTAAACTGTGTGAAACCGAGTTCTTATCATAATCTGTGACGGTCATGCGTTCTTTCTTACAGCATTCGCTTTATAGTAATATTTACTCTCGAAACCACCGCCTGTTTGAGGAGGGTCCATGTTTTTGAGTCCTTCACAGTCACAACTTCTTCTTCATTCCATTTCATTCCATTTCATCCATTTTATTGTTGAACCAACACCCCGTCCCTCTTCGCAGTCACTCAGTTTCCGTATTCTTTCCGTCGATCACAGTTCTCGCCGGAAGACTGCCTCCCTCCTGATTAACCAGTGGTTAGTGTCTTCGGAAGATTATGTGCTAATCTGCCGCTGTTTAACAAATCGATTATTGGCCAGAGAAGACACGTCATGGTCGGTGCCGCGCACCTGACATTCCGGCCGCCGGAACAAAACGGCCGAAATCCGATCTGCCATGACAAGCTCGTCGCGAGCACCACATTCCCTCCGCCTTCACCCGCCCCGCTCTCTTTGTTTTATCCCGTGTTTTTTCGCGCTGAACCGTTTCTTGTTGTGGTTGTGGATGGACGGACTGGCTGAAGAGCTCCCATGAGCAAATTAGGAAGCAAATGATTGGAGGGAAAGCGGAGGAGGAATGAAAGAAGGACAATATACGAATTGGAGGGAGTTGGAGACGTAGTATAATCTCCTGGGAGCTCTGCTTTTTCTGAAAATAATACTTTCCATCAAACTTTGGAAAACAAAAGCACCTAAAAAATGAATGATTTCTGTATTTCATTGTAATCCGAAAAAGTTTGCCTCCAAGAAGACCTCCAAAGTCACTGAACATCTCGACCATTCGAAACTCTCATGAAATGTCCTCGTTTTTCACCCATTTCCCATTTCCTACAGTCTCATCCAACGTTTTGAAACCCCTCTTGAAAGCGCCGCTCGGCAAAACATTCTTGACCTGCCGGTGCCAAAAATAATTCCGGTTGTGCATGTACTCAACGACGGCGGTGCGGGTGCAGGCACCGGCCCGTCCCGACAGTCTCTTTCCGCGGGAGCCCGCTGCTCTGCGTCTCGCCGACTCGCCCGTACTTCTGTTCCCTTTCATTGGCTCCAACCTGAGCCGGACGGCGACCACCTTAATTGATGCTCCACAGCATCGCGCGCTCGCGCAAATGTTTGTTTTTCCGCGCGGCGACGTCGGCGTCTCCGCTCTCTGCGTGCTCCCGTTTCGCTTGCTCTACACCGCCGGCGGTCCATCTCGCGGACGGTATCTTTGTGTCAAGCAAAATAGCCTCCGCCTTCAACCCAAAATCCTTTTGAATTTACCGATTACGTATATTATTACCATCCGATGTCTTTCTGTTCTCTCATCTAACACCGCTGCTTTTATGTATTCTCTATGAAGTAACAGTAGGTTCAGAGACCGGAAATTACATGTTTTCCTACCTTTCATTTCCGTTGAACATCCATCTGGAATACCACTGACACCTCTCTTTCCTTCTCAATATATCACTTCAAATTTCCACCTGCCATGCGTCCAAAATTCTGCCTCAAAAATTCAAATTTTCTGCCGACCTTCAGTGTTCCGTTTCATTGCATTCAAGGTTCATTGCCTAGTCTTATCAGGTGTCAGGGCCTTCCTCGCCCAACCAAAAATGAATCGGAAAGTCAATATTTGGCTTGACGACATGAAATGACTAATGTATTCCTCCTTGCCTACCCCTCAACCCCCTTACAGTCCCAGTTTTACCACTGCCGCCGCCCCACCTTCCTGTTGATTCTGGAACTTTGTGTCGGGGGTCGTAAACTCGGCGGAAACGCGACTGACTCACAACTGACACTCATCTTTTCGTTGGTTCATTCCCGATAGTGCCTCGGCTTCTCTCCCTTTGTAATACTATTCCGATACTTGCATGGATCATCTACTTTGACTACCGTAATCGTCTTATCATCCCTCTTATCGCCCTTCATAAACTGAAAGCGAGATTCCATAAACAAAAACCCATTTGCCTCATTCCTCCTCGCTCACCTTTTCCTTTCGGAATTCCCCAAACACTATCTCTTTTTCTGCATCCCACCACTTTCACGGCAATTTTTTATTCATTCCTTTGTCCATCTTCGAATTAACCACTTTTCTCCGTCTCCATCTGCTTCTAATTCCACTTGCCACGTCATTTTCCACTAACATACAGTACATGATTACCTCGCAGCATCTCGTAGAGTTTGTCACCACTTCTTCTTCCTCTTCTCCTGCTTCTTCCCTCTCTCTCTCCCTCTTCGCTCGTTTTCTTACTTTTTGTCTGCCTCCTCCGATGCTTCCTCGAAGCCAGTTTCCGCCTCTCTCATCCACTGTCTGCACCTCTCCATCTCGCGTGCTCTTCTCCGACAGTACGGAGGCCCCCTCCGTTCGTCTTTTTCCAATTCCATTATGAGGCCTGTTGTTCGAATGGCAAAACCTAGAAACCGTCCCAATCCGTCCACCAACCCACCCGTCTTTTTCTCGGATTTTTGGTCGCCGACCTCTTCGCCCCACTCTGTTTTATGACCCACCGTCCGCCCGCTCGTGTTTCTCCGTTTTGATCTCTTCTCTGTACCAATTGACTGTAAATACATCAAAGTTATCGCTTTTCTTCTCTTTGTTCGTTAGCAACACTCGCCCGCCTCACTCCTCACTTCTTCTTTTTGCTTGCAGTGTACAAGTCCGGAGACAGATTCATGTCCTAGTGGCATCATCGGAAAACAGCCGTTCGAGCGGAAGCGATGAATCAAGAGGAAGACCCCGTCAACTTACAGATCTTCGTGCCAGAGCTCAATGTGCGGGTGAGTGCATTCCAGCTGTTTGCTACAATTCCAATGCTCCACTCCTTTCAGAAGTTTCTCGCCGTCACCCAGAACGACTTCATCTGGGATGTGAAACGGAAACTTCTCGCCACTCTGCCACAGGCTCTTCCCCAAGCATTCAACTACGGGCTCTTCCTTCCTCCGTGCGATGGCCGTGCCGGAAAGTTTCTTCTCGAAGATCGTACGATCCGCGATTATCCATTCACGGACTGCGTACCGTATCTCGAACTAAAGTACAAGAAACGCGTGTACAAGATGCTCAACCTGGACGAAAAACAGCTGAAGGCGATGCATACAAAAGTATGTTTGCCCCTTTCTTTTCTCGCGCATTTCTTGCGCATCCGATCGAACATGTCGATAGAAGACGTGACAAAAAGTTGGCGTAATTACAAGGTGTTTTATGTCGGAATCCGTCCGATGTGTATCTTCTTCCTGCAACTAATAATATTTGTTTGCGCACTTTGTTCAATGCTGATGCTTATCTTTTTGCAGGGCCAACTCAAAAAGTTTATGGACTACGTGCAGCAGAAGAATAACGAGAAGGTGGAAAAGATGTGTGTGCAGGGACTGGACGCCAACTTCCACGATTCTCAGGTACTACAGAGAGGAAGGAAAAAAACAGATGAAGGAGTTACAGGGAGAAACTCCATTGACACTGGCAGCAGGCATCCCGAACAATCGGGCAGTCATCGTCTCGTTGGTCGGAGGAGGTGCTCACATTGACTTTCGAAATTCCGAAGGGCAGACAGCGATGCACAAAGCCGCTTTCCTGTCTTCTTTTGAGAATGTCAAGACACTCATCGAACTGGGAGCTAGTCCGAATTACCGAGATCCGATTGGACTCACCCCTCTGTACTACAACATGCTGACTGCCGATTCGAATGATCAAGTGGCCGAGATCCTTCTGCGGGAAGCTGCCGATATTGGAGTGACCGACATGCACGGAAACCATGAAATCCACCAGGCATGCAAAAACGGACTCACGAAGCACGTCGAACATCTTCTCTACTTTGGAGCTATTATCGACGCGGAGAACGTGAATGGAAATACTCCTCTCCACGTCTGCGCAGTCAACAATCGACCGGAGTGCGCCAGAGTGTTGCTTTTCCGAGGGGCGGATCATCTGATTGTGAACAAGCAGGGACAGACGGCACTCCACGTGGCACACATTGTCGGGAATCCATCGGTAGCTGATGTCGTTCAAGCTCACAATCCGAGCTCATCAGGTAGTTCTAAAAGTTATTGGAAAGTAATGCATTTTTACATTTTCAGTTCCATACCGAGGCACCCCACAGTATTCCACGAGACGGCGTCTTAGTTCAACAATCACTCGAAGGCGTTCGATGTCTCAGTCTTCCATATGCAGCCAAGATGTCTACCGTACTCCTCAAAGTGTTCGGAAAGCTCCGGTCTCTGCAGCACCGTCGCCAAGTCCTTCCCGTTCATCGAGAACGACAATAACTCCATCTGAATACGGCACGATGCGAAGGTCCGGAATGGATTCGATGCGGTCAATGATTGCCGCCGGACACGAGACAAATATTGCCAGGATTCTTGTCATACCAAGAGGAGTCAAAGGATTCGGATTCATTCTGAGGGGAGCGAAACGTCAGTCATCATATTTTACCCCAAAATCTTCACTTTTTTGTTCAGACGTCGCGATGCCACTGAACTTTGAGCCGACATCCCAAGTGCCAGCTCTTCAGTTCTTCGAAGGAGTTGACATGTCCGGAATGGCCGTACGAGCAGGTCTTCGGCCTGGTGACTACCTCCTCGAAATAGATGGAATCGATGTAAGAAGATGTTCGCACGATGAAGTGGTTGAGCTGATTCAACAAGCGGGAGATACGATCACACTGAAAGTGATCACTGTCGACGTGGCAGACATGAGCCGTGGAGGAACGATTGTGCACAGAGGGCAATCAGGTAAGGACGCTTCGAGTGGAAGGAATGTTTGTGAAGTTGTTCTGTTCTGTCATTGTCTAATCCGTGCACCGTCACCGCTCACTTCACTTCCAGCTCGTCACTCTTTGGTTTTCACTCCCACTCCGTCGACAATCTACTCATCGACAAAAGCCTCCAGTGTCTATCGGATGAGATTTGGTTTGCTTTCTATGTTTGCTAATTACTCAGCCACGTTTCTAGTTTAGATCTAACTTATCTGTTATTTGTTGATTTGATTCATCGTAGAGACGAGTAATTGAATGCTTTCAGACTCGCACGAGGCGCAAGCTGTCGACTACTACGCTCCGAATGAAATCAGGAATGCGTATTCTGAATCGAGGCATGCGTCAGTGCGACAAAGGGCAGGGAGCGGGAGGAGAATATCGGCAGCCGAGCTGGAGAATCTGATGGTTCGGCAGAGAGTGCCTTCGGTCCAAGGAGCTCCTTATCAGATGCAGTACGACCAGGAATCGTTGAACGGAGGCTATTCTTCGAAGAAATACAATTCGGTGTCGGACATGAAACGAAGAAAAGGACAACGGAATGTGGTTGCTTCATCGGCCGGTTTGAACAGATCCACTTTCGAACCAACGGTAAGAAAGTATGTTCACAGTCTCAAATGCAATCATGTTTTTGCAGCCAGCCACCAGCACGTTCGAGTACAATTGTAGCAGCCGGAGCACTCCTCAGCTCTCACGGATGGACTCGTTTGATTCCTTTGACGATGAGGATGAAATGCCAGCTCCGCCTCCGACCACGTATGCTCCAGCTGACCTGTCGAGAGACGTTTCGATGCAAAGGAGTGAATACTCTCGGCCGTTCAGACCCACTTCTCGTCCGAAGACCCCTCCACCACCACCTCCAATGCAGCATCAGCAGGCATATCACGCGAGAGCTCCTTCCCAACCTGTTCAACTGCAACCTCAACAATCGATTCCGCCGCCACCTCCTCCGCCGCCCCCGCCGCAGATGCTGGAGCCAACGATGGTGCAAGTGGAGTTCACGCCTCCGTCCACGTCTTCGGTACCCGGCCCTCCACCCCCGCCACCATTGCCTCCTATCTCGTCGGGAGCTCCACCGCCGCCACCTCCGCCGCCACCAGGAGGGCTTATGAATCACACTCCCAGTGCTCCAGTGCTCACGAATAAGGGAATCTCTGCGGACGCATTGAGATCAGTTCAATTGAAGAAGGCAGAAACGAGAGAACCGTCTTCGGCACCTTCTTTGAATAACAACAATAACAATAACTCTTCGACGACTGATTTCCAAATGGACTTGAAAAATGCGTTGGCGAAGAGGAGAAGCAAAGTGGCGCATGATGTGGACGAGGATGAGGAGAGAGAAAGCCGTTTCGAGGGACTGTCTCTCAGAGAAACTGTTCGGGAAAATGTTGTGGAGAGAGGGAAAGGCGTGCAGAGCATTGGAATCGTCAATAAGAAAGACAGCGGGTGAGTCGGTGAACGAGCAAATCGTCGAAAAATGAATCGTCTTCTGTAGGTACACTTCGTCGAGGACGTCGTTAGAGCCGTCGGAATCCGAGGAGAAGGATCACCGTCCTCACTTTTCACTTGATCACTCGCCGAATGTGCAGCGAGTGACCCTGATCTCTCAGCATTTGGAGGACAATTACGGACAGAAAGACAACGTACGTTTCCCGGTTTCTTTGCCTGCACTTTCCAGAAGAACTCTAACCACGAGGTGTGAATGTGCCCCATTTGTTCTGTGTGGATTGTGCCCATCCCTAACCGAATCCGCATTCAGATGTCCGTCGCCTCATCGTCAACGGCGTCCTCCTCCTCGACCGTCGATGTGACGAAGCCCGGCTGTTTCGTGGTTCCGTCTCACGTCATTCCTCCCGTTGATTACGACGACGACCCGGATTCAGGGACCGGAGACAGCGACGGAGAGATCCGCTGTAAGAGCTTCTTTACATCACGAAGAGACTTTCAATGCACACACTCTTTATGTTCTCACATTTACAATAAGACGATAGGGATATGGTTGGTTCTGATCAATTCGGTAGTAATCAGTCTGGGAGGAATGAACTTGGGAGAACAGACATTAACTTGGGCAATTATTAAGAGTTTTGCACGTTTTTGTATTTCTGGGAATCATGACCACAATTTTCTAAAACCGTTCATTTAGTATGTGTAAGAATTTTTTTTGAAGTGTTCATATCAGTTGGCATTTCTCACATCTTCTTCAGTTTCTCTTTTTCGGGGGCTTTGTTCTTTTTCAATAAATTCCTTTCGGTTTCAGGTAGTGAAATATCATTCGAACACAAGAAGGTAGACGTGTGGACCGTGGAAGACGTCATCGGCTGGCTCTCCTCGCTGCGGCTCTCCGAGTACTCGACAGCCTTCCGAAGTCAGCGCATCGACGGACGGTCCCTTCGCCAATGTGACCGTTCCCGATTCACTCAACTGGGAGTCACCCGAATCGCCCACCGTCAAACCATCGAATCTGCCCTCCGAGGCCTTCTCCAGTGATCCATTTCCTCCCTTCCTTCTGTGCTTTCGTTCCTTTTCCGCGTAGCTATTGGCTTTATCGTGTACATAGTGACTGACCGTGCCTATTCACTGCTCATCCTCATCATCATCCCCCCCCCCCCAATCTTCCTTCTTTCGGTGTCCTAGGGTAATGCACACAAAGTAATGTCTTCTTACAGTTTCCGAAGATATCCCCCCACACACACACAAACATGAATCCATTCTAATATTTATACAAATGTGTTCCGTCCTTTAATGATTCTATGCGACTCCGTAGAATTCTATCCGTTCTGTGCTTCCACACTTGAAGATTCATAAACAATTCGGTGACTCTTTCATGAAATATATAACAAATTTATTTTGTCGGACACACACATACAGATTGTATCTGATCAGACATGAACAAAAATTATAAATTAGAATCGACAACAAGCACATTTCGAAGCACATTACTCATGATTTCTGCTTCTTCTTGAATACAATCACCACTTCTTCTTTCCTTCTGTGAAATCTGGACGGAAGGATGAGTGCCGGCTCCGCCGAATACGGCGTCAACGTCGTCGTCGTCGTCTTCGCCCAGCTCTTTGGGGTCACCGATGGAACGGGCAGTTCCGTGCTCGTGGACGGCTCTTCTTCGCGTGACTCCGATGATATTTCATTCCTTCGTTGCCAGTCTACCACTCTGTTGTACGGGAAATGAGCTTTGGAGCCACCTCCGAAGCGGAGCTGATAGGGAAGAGGTCATTTTGAAAGGGAATGGAACGCTTACCTGTATGAGCTGTGGCTCCACTTTCACTGGTTCAATGACTGGCTTCTGGAAGTGCCTCACCCTTGTTTCTATTCTAATTTTTCCGTCTCTTGTAGCAGTGGCTCTAAAATATAAAAATAGATTAGGTACACAATCAATTACTCACTTTCTCCGCTTTACATTTTGAAAATTGATGAACTGAACACGCAGTTTTGGCTTGAAGTTATCGATGGCATCCGTTATGACGTGGATTTCATTCTCGGGAATATTGAGAAGTTCATTCCGACTGTCGTAGGCGATCAGGTTATCGGCCACTTCGATCAGTGTCGAGCACAGAAGAAAAGAGAAAAGCGAAATGGAAATCGAGAAGGACATCGGACGGATACGCGCAGGACGAAGAACTGACGGGCTGGTGGTCATTTTCAGGCAGACTAGTATCATTTTATTACACAGTAGGTGTATGACATGGGATATCAGTTGAGAGGAAGATGTTAAAAACTCGTTGCATAAATGGAAAGGGAAAGTCAGAGGACGACGTTATCTCTTCGAAAGAACAGTTCCTGACGAGCAGCTCGTGAAGGGTTTCAGAGCTGAAACATACGTGTCACATTCAGATTAAAGGAGACTTCATGACTGGTTTCTGCAATTATCCATTCGTCATTTTGATTGAATTGATCACCGAACCTTGAGCTGTGCTCTTCACTGTCATTTCACAAACTGTGTCCACTTTCATGTATCAGGTAACCATTTTCGCTTTCATGTCAGGCTTGTTTGTGTCGATGCTTATCCATATTGACCGTTCGTCAGATAGAAAGCTGCCAGAGAAAATGAATGACCTGACAAGTAACCAGTCGGCGATGTGATCTGCGCTTCTCCTTTCGATCAACAGTTATTTCGTGTTGCATTTGTGTTGCAACACAAAATAAAAGAGATGTTTGGACCAGAATGACTTCTATGACATTTGTGCTGTCCGGGATCTGAATAAACGTTTTTCTCAGAAATCGAAGCTTTCTGCAAATAAAGTAAGGACAGCTGAGAATTGACCACAAATCAGACTTCAAAGATTCAGAAGAAGAAGAAGATCTTATTATAGCTATCAAGTTAATGCATTTTAACTTGTTCAGATCTAAGTTTTCTCAGTTTTTTTCTTATCGTCTAATCATGTTTCATATTCTGATTTCCACTGAACCTTTTGATATTCCGAAAGATATTCTATTCTCCTTGAAGAGATTAAATCGAGCTGATAATCTTTTGATAGCGATATGAGTGATCGAAGCGAATGGTTGCTCATCAGTTTTTCAATTTTCTGAGCGTATCGCGTCTCCCCGAAAACATTACTCTGGAATCTCTTAATGAAAAACGTTGGCGACGTTTCCGGATGGTCTTCTGATTCCTCACGTCTCCGTGAGATCTTCGTTTCAAAATCATTGCCTCCGCTTTGATGTTTGCGATACGCTGCTGTTTTCGCCGATTAAATCCTTCGCGAAGTTGAGTTCCAGATCAACTGGAGAAGCTCTTTCAACTGCCATCAGATCAACATAATCCCTCTTTGAAGAACAATGACACATATTTAGCTTAATGAGGGGAAAAAGAGAACAGCCTCCCCCGCAAGAGTATTATTCACGAGGGAAACTCAGTACCCTTTTTATAGTGTTTCAGTTCCAGACATCACAAATAACTTCGACACTCTCAACTTCTGCAACCGAATGTGCCCTGGCCAGCGAGCAAAAAGAAGCTGCAGAACTTTTGATCACGCAAACACTTTGCCACTGCTCGATTACGTAGTGTATTCGTGCTGCGAATAATTTATGAATCGATGAATTTTCGGGGAACACTCGAGAGCTCACGTACATTTCTAACCGGCCAGAGAGATCACACTTTCAAAATGGGTGAATAAACAGCTGAAAGGGCACGCGGTTCGTGGAAGTAGACGGTTGCTATGGATACCGGAGAGGCACGCGGTTGCTCAGATTACCCAGTCAAGTATTAGCGACTTGAGTGCATCGCATTGTAATCGGAGGGATCCTTATAATCCTGTGCTCCATCTCGTGCCCTTTTTCCGTTTTCTAATTCTCTGTGAATGTAAAGAGGTTCTTAGTCATATCAGCTAATCATTTAAGCAAAGCGAAGAGGTACACATCTTCATTTTTCACAGATTTGGCATGCCTTCATAGGCGATATATTCTGTAACTTTCTTAAGTTCCGGACCGTTCTCAGCTCAAGCGTTCCTCATAACCACAGCTGCATCCGGAACTTCTTATCAGTTATCCTCCCTGATATCCTCCACCCACATTCCTTCATTCAGAAGCCAGCTCAAAGCCCCGCCCCTTTGTGCTCCGCCCTCCGTCTTGCCATAAGCCGACTCAAGATTGTTATTCCACAGCACTTTCTGCTTTTTTCCGATCGCCAATCTGTTATTCTCGCCTCTTCCCCTCATTCTCTGGCCGTTCTCTTTTTGCCATTTCGTTTTTTTCTTCCCTTCCCTTTGTGCTTGAATGCCTCACTTCCGTCGGACGACGCTCGGCCCCTCGCTCATTGTGACTTAACCTTTGTCCGGGAGCGGCCCCAGACTTTCCCTTTTTTTTGCTCTTTCCGCTTTGGCCCTCTCTCCATTATCATCCGTGTCAGGCCCATTGAGAGGCCTCAGTTTTTGCTCTTCCACACCGCTGTTTATTCGGATTTCCGGTCACGAGAGCATTCGCGATGATCAACAAACTGAAATTAGAGTGGCCGGAAATTCAATAATCCATCAACCGCAGCAGACTATAAAAAGCAGAGTGTCTTCTACGTGGAATTCGACACTTTTCACCCTCCACGCCCATGAATTATTCGACTTCAACGTGCCCCCTTCTCTCCCATTTTTTGTCGGGCTCTGTCCGTTTAGTCACTAATCCCTTTGTGCCATTTCCCTCCGTCGCATTCGCATTATCACCAGCCCATTCGTCGATAATCACATTTTCAGAGCGTGAGAATGAGCTCGAATCTTGTGCCTCCGCAAGTATTTGTTGACACTCCCCGTCCACATAACAAGGGATCGAATTCAGGTGAACACGGAGGATTTCCAATAATCTCCCAGAACCGATTATCTTTTCCAGAAGACTTTAACGGACTCATCTCGGTCTCGTTGAGCAACTTCGTCGGCCAGAGACCCAAGAGCCCGAAAGCCCGGAAGAGCCCGTCGCCACGAGTGAGCCCGATGGCGAGCCCGCGGCCGAAGAAGAAGTGAGCCTGTGAAGTCGACGCTTTCCTTTCAAATAACCCATTTCCTTTGGTGATCAACCGTGTTTCCATCCTTACTCCTTGACTCTTTTTGTGTTTTTTTGCCGCACGGAAGTCGCTCGAATCCCGTGAATGCCTAATTGAGTGTGGCAAACTTTGGACTGGGATTTCCTTTCGCTGCAAGAATCTTGCACATGTCCCTTTTCCTGTCTATATATTCTCATAGTCACATACTTTCATGGTGAAAATGAACTATTTGATTGAACAAAACGATGAACTCACTTCAGCCGTCAGATTATTCAATTCTATCTTTAGAACCGTTTTCGTTCTCGTTCTCGTTTTCGTTTTCGCTCCGCTCCAATTGACTCCATTGGTGATTCTGTGAAGTTCCATTCAATTTCTCGGTCCGATTCACTCGAAGTTCTGCATTTCTCTTCTCTGAATTATTCATAGAGTCGGCCTAAAAACGTCTCGGTTCTGACATCATTCGAATCACTTCCTTGCTAAATAAAATCACGAATGAAGAAAAGCTCTGAGAGATAAAAATATTTGAACGGATTGATCTGTTTTCTGGTAATCGGCTGCTTCTGGAAACGGATCAAATATAAAAACTACTTGAAGGTGTAACTGAACTGTCAATTTTAGTGGTGACCAGAGGTACGCGGAAGTGGAAATTACTCATTCGGAATTCGGATTCCGCGGAGCTGGACCATTTGAAGAGTCTAAATATACAATACCTACTTCTCTTGGTAATATCTTATTTGGCAAAGTATCTCGCATGAAAATACCTCGAAAATCTTGATTTTTAACACATTGACGAGTTCCAGGAAATCGAGATTTGTCAAAAGTTTTAGATGTTCATTGAATTTCATTTATTAAGCTCATTTTTTATTCAAATTGTTAGCGCACTTTTTCCGACCATTTCGACCATCAATTTGGACCACATTTTATGATGTGACGCATTTTGACCTTTTGACCATTTTTGAACATTAATGAAAATGACACATTTTGGATGAGTTGAGACATGTTTTTGATTAAAATAATCCTTGAAATGGCTTGAAAATGAGAAAATTGAGGATGATCGAAAAGGTGCGCCAGAAAGGCATATATTGTTTTTATCATTCGCTTTGATAAGTCGAACTCTGTGTTTTTTCGTGGGGAGGTCTCTTCTGAATGGACCTAATCACCTGTGCATTCATCTAGAACCACCCACCATTGTGCATCTTTATGCACCGCTTACACAAAAGGATATAAGCTCATAAAAGGCGTAATCAGGTTTCCATCGAACACACAAATGATGGGAGAACTGAAGATGAACTCTTTTTCGGAAGCCAACGATGCCTCGTCGCACAATGATGTGTTTTGTTCCCCTTCCCATCCTTCTCACGTACATTGTCTATCAAAATGCTTCCCTGGAAACCGGTATCTGAAACGACACATTGTGATCTCCGAATGTCTGATCTCCGGTGCAGTTTGAAGTGGGTCAAAACGTGGAAATTGAATGGATGTTTGGTGGAAGGTCGACGATTAGCGAAACAACTAAACATCATTGTTCCTGGAGGAAAGAAGAAAAAGAAGGAGAAGGAGAAGAAGATAAAAATCCGGGCTGATCGTTCATTGGTTGATCCGATGAAAGAATGCAAAACACCTGCCGAAGCCTGTTTTCAGTTTTTGCACGAATCTTCTCCGAAGTCCTCCACGTTCGCGTGAATGCATCTGAAAGCCGCATTGCATCGGAAATGCGATCTTCTCTTGGGACGTCACTGAAAATCCGAAACGAGAAGATAAATTGGAAGCAAAGTACATAAATAGAAACATTTTGAGATGTTATTGCCACTTAACTATAGCGAGACACTTTCGTCTTCGGAAGAAACAAAAACCCGGTGACCCAGTTCTCGGAGACAAAATGCTATTCGTTGTCATCGATCATCTCGCAAAGTCAATTGATCAAAGTTGAACGACCGATTCTATTGTGAGCGCCGCCGTCGGCACCCGATTCTCCCCCCAGAGAAGTGTCCGCTTCCGCCTGCCGGCATATTGATAATCGGACAGTCTGGTCCGTCCCGAAGCAGCCTCTAATCTTTGAAAGTTCATCGTCGTCATCAGCGGCGACTTGACGCGCATCCCGTTCCGAGACAAGTCTCCTCTCATGACTCTCCGCCACCTGCCCGTGTACATCCGACCGCAATCATCCATTGTCTCCTTCTTCTCCTTCTTCTTCTTCCAAAAAGGAAATCAGAAACTAGCAGGATTGTGATAGAAGGCCTGGGCAGTGACACAGAGAGACGCGAGACGAAACGGGATTCAAATGATTTTTCAAACTGCCGTCAGAGCCTCTCTTCTGATGCAACCATGTCTCGTGATCGGCAGTTTTTTGTCCTCCTGGTATTTCATGTATTCTTTGATGCCGTCGTTGCACGAGGTAAACCAACCGTTCGCCTCGCTCCTCAACACTTTCCTCTTCAGCTCCGTTCATCCGTGACCGTCCCCGAGGTCTCGGTCTTCTTCAGTTGCCCACCGGAATGACGGACGAACGTTCCGGACCCTTCTTCCCCGGTCTGTACATTGCCGGAGACAAAGCAGGACTGAAGCCCCAGACGGTCCCTGACGTCTCTCTTCCTGGACAAGTGGCCAGCTTCTCCGGAAGGTGAGTCACTCGTTTCCTTTTGCAAATTCCTCTTCATTGTCATCCTGACTTCGTTTTCATTCACTTTCAGATCCGCTTTCAACCCGTTCACTCACATGCTTTCCGCCGTTTACACCGAAGATCTCGTCGACGGTTGGGGTACTGGATTTGCGGTTAATGTAAGTGAAATTTGCTTTGCCGGATGTCAGCCGAAAATGTTCAGGGTGTGAATAATCATGGTTTGAATGTACGAAAGAACTTTGACGCGTTCGCTGATGCACCATTGAGTAGCAGTGACGGAATGTACCAGCCATTCTTGACGGCAGCGACTGTTGGAGGAGAGTACGATCTGTCGAAGATCAGAGAAGTTTCGGGAAACTTCAATCTTCCAGTGCCCGGATTGAATGAACTTTTCGACTTTGACGGAAGGTTCATGGTCAAGGGTACGTGTTTTGTCACTATTTCCAGTTTTACCAATGTTTCAATTGCAGGAGGAGGCAACGGTATCCTGAACAGTGCGATGGAGTTCCCGCTCACCCTCACCGACCCGAACGAGCGTGCTCCGTACACTTTCAAGTACCTCAACTTCATGGCGGATCGTCACATGCACTACGGTCACGTCGTCCCGAACGTCAATCTGTTCGTCGTAGGAAAGGACAAGATCATGGACAGGCTGGTGCAGAACAGACTCAACCCGACCATGATCGGCTAACTGGCACGTATGCAACTGTAATAAGTAATAAATGTCTCTAATTAAACTAATAATAATCGAAAAGGTCACGAATAAATATTTATTGTGTTGAATGTACAGACCGGAAGAGCCTATTGCTCTGAAACACACCGAAAACTAGAAAATTAAGGTACTGGGAACCTGTAGATCGGAAGTGAACTACCCTAAATGTTTCGAAACGGGGAGTAAGGGAAGGATGAGATCAATTGGGACATGACAAATTGAGTAAAGCTTGTGAGAATAGAAGTGAAGACCCGGAAACGATTTAAAGAGCCATTGGAGGGACGGTCAGGGAGTTGCCGAACTTTGGAGATTCCATTGAGATTGAGTGACCGTTAGATGGAGGCGTCATCGGTGGAATCAACTTGTCACGGTTCATCTGCAACATGCAATTCACCAATGTTTCCTGTTCAAAATGTGATACAGATGACATATCCAGGTACGTTCCAGAAGTCAGTTTCCTGTCGGATTTGACTGGAGCCACCGCACCTCTGACGTAAATGTTGGCAAGGGCGTCACGAAGCTGAAACGATGAAGTTTGTCCTGAGCCTTTATCTTCCAAGCAAGTACCTCCTTCAGCCCAACAACCCCGACAAGCTTTCCGCAGTCGGTAACATACGCGTGGGACAGTCCGAGAAGGGAGAAAAGAGTGTGCACTTTGTACAGGGAAGATCCTAAAACCAGTTGGAATGGGGCTGCGTCGATGGCGATCTCATCGAGATCAATGTTTCGATTCAGAAGAATATCTGCATTCGTTTCCTGAAACACACCCATTTTATAAGTTTCCCCAGCAACAGATACGCACGGCTTTGGACAAATCGGCCGAAGAGGGTCTTGTGAAGACCGCTTGAAGCGGAATGTTATTGGGACAATGAAGGGGAGAGATCGAGAGGAGCGTGTTGCCGGAGAACGTACGTTCCGAGACGAACTCGACCTGATCGGCAGTCGTTTGCTCGCTGCGGGCGGATTCTGGAATTGAGTTCTCCCGGGTCTGGGAGCTGTTCGAACGGCGAGACGGGGATCGGCGGGACAATCTGAAAAGAGTCAAGGATATGGAAAAATGGAAAGCAACGATACCTCATGCTCGTTCTTCTGATCGTGTTAAAGATCTCGGCCGGAGTGATTCTCCCGATGTTCCGACTGTCTTGTTGATTAACGAGCACATGACGACGGAGAAGCATTGTCAGGTAGCGTTTTGCCACCGAACCGAGAAGGATCTTGTTTTCTGAAAAGTGACAGTAAATCCACTTCCTCCTCTTGAAGTCCTACCATGATCCGTGACAATCGGGAAGCTTCTTAAGTGCGGCGCCAGCTGAAGAATCTCCTTCATCTCTCGGTAAGTCATATCTTTTGTGATGTAAATCACATCCGTGACCATCAATTGTTCCACTTTTACAGTGTGCACAGACACTCGAGACGGCGGTAAGTCCGGCAAGTACGGATACTTTTTGACGCGGATGATCGATTCATAGATAGACGGCTGAAGGAACTTGCAAACTGCATTTCCCATGAGCATCGCAATCTGAAACGGAGTCGGTGTTTGACTCTTTGAGAGTACACACTCACCAAAACGGGCAAAATGGGGGAGAGTTGTCCGGTGAGTTCGCAAATGATGACTGAGACGGAAAGCGTGTGAGTGACGGCTCCGGTGTACGCGGCGGCGCCTACAACTGCGTAGAGACCAGGATGGATTGGAGGACCGCCAGGACCTCGCATTCCTTCGGGGAACAGCACCACCATCGTCTCACCCACTGAAAATTGAGGAAAATGAGTGCAGGGAAGAAGTGGATAACTCACTCAATCTGCCTCCCGCCGCACCAATGATGAAGGAAGGTACGAACACTCCAGCGGGAACATTGATCGAAATGCAGATGGCAACAAGAACGAACTAAAATGAGAGACTGGAAAGGGAAACAAACAGAAGCACCTACATAAAGGATGTAATAGAGAACGAGACTGGTGAAAATGGAGACGTCGCCCTCAGGACCGCCCGTCCAGTGCTTGAGAATCGAATCCGGGCACCTCCTCGAATCATTCGTCGCCCAAGTGCAATTGTTGAAGAAGTCAGCCATCGTCTCTCGGAACGTGAGCCGCCCGGCAAAGTATCTTCCGAGCCCTTCCGGGAAAGTGAGCACTCCGACCACGAATGCCATGAAGACTGTGAACGCGAGAAAACTGCAAATAGGTCATTTGAATACCACTAACTGAATTCCAAAGACTGACTTGTTTCGAAAGATCATTCGGTACACTCTGTTCCTGGAGCGGAACATGGAGATTTGGCGGTGAATAAAGATGAAAAGAGATCCCATGAGACCGCTGATAAACCCGAGAAGAAGGAAGATTGGCAGTTCTTCGACAAGAAAACAGTCTGTCGGAAAGCGTGTCTGGTAGAATGCAGTGATTGTTCCGGACTGTTCGGCAGTCACGAAAAAGTTGGCGCATCTGAAGACGATAGCGGAGCACGTGGCCGCCAGAAAACCCCTCCAATAGTTTTTGACGGCAAAGTACTTGGATGTTGATTCGATTGCGTAGAGAACGGCTGAAACGTGCTTCCTGTCAGTCATTGGTCCTCTAGGAAGCGGGTCTTTACCTCCGATCGGCGCTGAAAAGGTGCACGCAATTCCCACTGCGCATCCACTTGACAACATCTCCATTTCCCGTCCTAAAAACACTCGTTCTTTTCCTTTACATTTCCATTATTTTGCCGACCTTCATTGCTGAAGAAAGCCGAGTACTGACAGGCGGAAGTGATTTTTGAAAGCAATGTGGCCACGATGGCGCCCATATGAACGAAAGGTCCCTGAAATAGAGATATTACCATAAGATCGGGGAGCTCAACGACTAAAGCCGCCAAATTTGTTTCGTGCCTGTTCCCAAGGGAGCTCCGCGACTCCTCGATTTGTTTTCTTCACTTTTTTCCGAGATTATTTCAATGGAAAAAAGAAGATGCCCCGGAGAGGAAACAATTTTGTTCTTGGCCTCACCTCCTTTCCGATCGGGAGCCCTCCGCCCATGGCCAGTGTCAATCCGACCATCTTGGCCACGAGCGTCCGTGTCGTCAAGTAGTTCTCCATTTTGAAGCCGTGCATTATCACTTTGACCTCTGGGATTCCAGATCCTGGAATTATTCACACCCGTTGTTCTGGTCCTCTTTGACTAACGTACCAACTGCTTGTTTTGATACAATCTGACAGAAAATTGCGGAAAACATGGTGAGAATAACAATATGAGCGACCCATTGAGAGAACGCCAAATACGATGAGATGGCGAGAAATTTATCATAGAAGGTCACATGTGCTGAAAGAGAATCCGAGGGGGTCTGAGGAATGAATACGGCTAGTTACCATGCTGCAACACTTCGATTGCCACGTCCATCCCGACGGATAAGACTGCGGTAATAACCCCAAGAAGAGCGGAAAGGAACCAGTCTTCCACGAGGAAATGGACGACGTTCTGTGCTTGTCCTGCAAACAGTCCTCGGTCCATTCGAACGCATTCAGACAGACTCACGTGTACAGAACTCTCCGAATGTTTCATTGCTCTCCACGTGATCCTCGGGCTCCTCGTCGGCGTCCTCTGTCTTGCCGCCCGGGCTCATGTCGAGCAGAGAACGCTTCACATCGCTCATCACACTGAAAACCAAGAATATGTTTTTTTGCAGACGACTGAAAAAGAAGGAAAGAGGTCCTAATTTTGATGGGTTTTGGTTCTCCCCCTTATTATTTTCCTGCCGGCTGCTGATTGGCAGGAGCATGCGACACAAACGAAATTGTGGGTGCTGCCAGAAGAGAGCTGCTCTTCCATCTTCCACCTCTTCTTTTCAATTTAACTAGGAGGAGAATAATTAGGATGGTGGGTGAGAGGCGAGAAGTTGTTTTGTGCATGAGCAACGTGTGAAATAGCGAAAAAGTGCGAGAACCCTGGAAACCGATTTGATTGGAGAGAAAGAGAGAGAGAATTTCGGAAGGGAGAGCAGATGACGAGCCGATTTAACGAGTCATAAATTCTTGAATCTTGAGTTGCACGTGTGTGCCTCAGCGGAAGAAAATCAGCGAATGGAAAAAAACACTGGAAGGAACACTTTCATGCATCGCAAAATGAGATGATGTGTGACGTGGCACATCTGGAGCCTGAACAAACCCAGCAACGGACTGCCGGGCCAGGAAATGGACAATTTGGAAAGAGGACACACGAAAATAACTGGGCAAAAGACGTTCTCTCTTTGGCCTTTCCTCCGTCGTCTACTCGAACCGATTCATCGAGTATCAATCAAAAATAAGCCGACGGCTGGAAAGAGAAATGTTTGAGAGACAGATTTGGGTTGCACGGAGAAGTCCCTCCGAATAAATATTTGCGGTGGTGATTCCTGAACTTTAAAAGGAAATAGAACTGCCAGTGTTTTTTCTTTCAAGTCAACGGAAATCTCGATTGAGGGGAGCGGAACAGAGAGAGCGGAAAATTGGCGGAATAGATTTGAAATGGAGGTAGAAGAGGCTACAAACGGGACGAAGAAGGCACAAACAGGCGAGCTAATGAGCGAGAAGAGGAGCTGAAGAACGTCTTTGTTATCCTGTTCAGATTTGTACTTTGAGCTTTCCTAGACACGGGAAATTGCTCGCATTGTTTCCGGCGCCCGGAAACTCATATATGATGTGTCCGACCGGAAAGGAGAGGATCTTCTGACCGGCATGTGATTGATCTATGTACTCACTCGCAGAGATTCTTCTACACTCTGTCCAATACAATTGCAAGAAGAATTCCTGGTCAGAAGAATTTGTTCGGTGTCCGAAAAGTTTATAGACTAAAATCAAACGTTCGTGGGAAATGCCACGAGATTTCCGAGCAGACTGATCCCATTGGGTCGACAAGATTTCATTATCTCGAGAATGAGAATGGTCCGCAGAAAAACAGGAAATGTTGTCTGCGGGCTCTCTTCGTGTGGGCTCCGCGCTGAAAAGAGCCCCGACATGTCAGTTTCACAGTGAATGAAACAGCCCGCACCCCCTTCCAGTTGTCACCTTTTTGAATAGTGTGCCGCGCATCGCTTTCGAAAAAGATTCAATTTCGTTGTTTCGCCAAGAGAACCTTTTATGCATCAAAAGTGCTCAATTGAATTGCCGAGAAACGGAGGCATCCCGTCTTCTGATGTCAGGTTTGATTAGATTTCTCTTACAACTTTTTCGGGCTCTCCAGGGACGGCGCCCGTCTGCTGCACTTTCGAATAGGTTCAGAAATCATTTCAGAGAAACGGCCGACTCGAAATAGAAAAAAAACAAAGAGTGAGAATGAGGCTGACGAGTCCCAGGTGAGTTTGAAAAGGGAAGAAGAAGGAAGCGCACAAAAGGATTGGTCGGGTGGAAGTGTGAAAGAAAAGTGAGACAATAGAGGAGGGATGGTCCCCTCGAGAGGCGCAAAAAACACATTAGATTGACGATCCGTCGCAGAATGGGACATCATTTTTTATAAATGAGCAGGAGTGATCCTGAATCTAATATTAATAGTCCAAACGGGAATGTCGCTCCCTCGGGGAAATCGAACTTTGCTCCGGATCTATCATTGTTTTGTCTTTATCCGTCCGTCCTAATGAGGAAGTGTCTCAGTTTGCTTCTCAGTTTACTCGTCCTCTCTCTCTCTCTCTCTCTCTCTCTCTCTCTCTCTCTCTCTCTCTCTCTCTTTTTCTCTCCTTTCTCAGTTTCTGTTTTATTCATCTCGAAGTGTGCATCCCCTTATTCTTCTTCCATAATCAATCTTTTTTGCAAGCCTCAACGGGTTCGTTCTCCGCCGTCATCCCAGCCGTTTTCTTCCGAATGTGTGTGGGCTTCAATTCGATTTCCTCCCAGCCCTTTTTTATCATCGAAATATTCGTTTCATGATTCAATTCGGTCGAAAACGGAAAAAAAGAAGTGACTACTCGGAAATGTGTACGACGAGGAGTTCTGACGGAATTCTTGTTTTTCTTAGTGGTCAAAAATGTAAAGTTTTTAGTAAAAACGAATGGGGAATCTGTCCGTTCTCTGGTGGCCACGATAAGTTATGGAAGGCTGGGACATGCATCAAAAACAAGAGCGCTGGGAGTGTTCCCAGCTTTCTTCTCGTTCGGGGCCCAAAATAACTGTATAGTGCACACGGAGCAGGAGTAAATTAACTGGAATTAAGAGGTACATCCGGATACTCAGAACCGACAGGGATCGCCGCTTCGAAACCTGAAACCCAAGGTGGTCTGAGCGACAAACAAAAAACAAAAATCAATTGGTTATGTGAAAGCGGAGAAGGTGATTAGCCGAGTGATATTCCCACGAATACACTGCTCTCCGAGTTTCGCCGTCTTCGACGCCGTCAGCCGGTAACTCGAGATTCTTGTGAATTCGGAAGCACTGGCTCTCCTCCGAATGCTCTCTGATTGACTAATCCCGTGTCCCGAAGGACCATGGATAGCCGGATACGGATGATAAGAGAAGTAGTGCACAACCAATGGAATATGCAGCTAGAAAATAGCTACAAAAGTGTCGTTAACTAAAAAAGAAAACGGAGAAGCGAGTCTGATTTCAGCTGCCTTGTTATGCCGGAAGCCACATGAATCAGCCAGGATCCGGGGACTCTTTTCACAATGGAAACGTACCTTCTGATCCACGATTTCTTCGGCTTGTGATGGTGCAATTGGAGCATCGCCAGAGGCGACAGAATAGAGACTTTAGCCAGAGGATCCATAGTTTAACACTGCTGTTCTATCTTATCATCAATCCAAGTTTCGGAATTCAAAGAATGAGGGACTGATGTGGATGGGTGGAGCCAAGCCCTTCGAAAGGAGAATGCTCCGAAAAAGAAGGAGGACAGCGGCAGCAGGCTCCGAAAGGGAAAAAGAGAGGAGAGATACTGCTCGCAACACAGCAGCACTAATTTTTGACAACCCGAAACGGGCGCCTCTCTTTCGTTTTTTGACTTTTTGTCACTTCCTGTGAGGGGTAAATTGGCTCGACTGATACGAGTTGAAACAGGACATCCGGCACACAAACTCGCGTTGGGCACGTCTTCGGAATGCGGAAAGGAAGGCGCGAAACGGAGTACAAGGCCGCCAATTCCGGGCATTTCGGAGCGGATGACGTGGGAACTGGGAACGGGGAAGAAGAAGAAGAAGTTGAGACTCTGAAGAAGTCCATTGAAAGTGAAAGCGTGCACTCAGAATATATTTGAACCGCGAGAGCAAGGTCGTAAAATAAAATGGAAGCAAGACTAGAAATCTTGACGTCGCTCGCCCGAGCACCGGCAAAAATATCACTTCCAGTCGAGTTCACTGACAAGTCGGCCGAGGGCATCGCTCGTTTCTCATTATGCAAATAGACCAGTGCTCCGATTCAGGATCAGCCTTTTTTGCATTAAAGACGTCACTTGTGATTCTTTCAATGAAAAGATCTTGAGGAGGAGACACCCGGGGCGCCCCGTTTGAAATGCGACACCGGCCAAGTTCGGCGCACAGCTTTTGTGGTTTGAATTATTCAGATGCAATAGGAAACGACAGATTTCAGATGGAAAATGGATGAATGAGGAGATTGGGAAGGACGGCGAGTGAGGGGAAAAGACATGTTCGAGGGGCTGTGGGCAATCGTCAGTTACGCTGATCTGTCTGCTCGAGATTAAGGATTTATTTTTGAGTTTCGGAAACGAGCAGTTCGGTGTCCCGATAGCACAGTTCCACCAGTTCAAACATAAACATCAGCGAGCTCTACAAACTTTGATAGATTTGAACGCAGAAGACCGCTGTGCAAAGTCTGGAGAGGGGCGGGAAGGGATCGCGTGTTCCGGAACGAGTCGAGTTTCAAACGGTCACGCAGGTCCAATAGAAGATCAGAAGGCGGCGGATAATGGAAGAAGCGCCGAGGTGTCAGAAAAGAAGCGGGAAAAGTAATAAAAATGTGTGGGATGTGGTGGCTGTTCGGACGGGAACCACACGACCACGGGGCCTGCAGGGGCGAGTACGGGATGATACGTGATAACACATACATTGTGCGGCGCCTTTCTCTTTCATGAGGCTGATGGCCCGGTGGCTAATCCTTAACCGATCCGGGCACCTGCTCTCATTTGTTACACCCCTCTCTCTTTCTCTTTTTCTCTCCCCGGGTAGGTCTGAGAGATCAGCGACAAATCAGTGAACTTTAGAGCGGGGGGGACTAGTCTGACAAGAATGTTTTGACAAATGAGCCACTGATTCATTGTAGCTTCCAGTTTCAGCATCCATCACTCATTTTTTGTGACGGCGAACATTTGAGAACTTGACAAAACAAGTGGAAGTGTTGAGGAGGGAGACCGTCACGGAAATAGTTGCAAATCTCGCATTTTAATACTCTAAAAGTGAGTGATATTTCATTTCTAAGTTCGCAAATCTCAACCGGATTTCCCAAGTGTAAGTTTATTTTCGAATTCTTTAGAATTGAGATCCACTAATTAGAGCTCCAGAGAATTTCCGTTCCTCGATTCAATCGTGTTTTTAAATGAGTATCACGGACACATCATAGGGAAAAGAAGCGAGTGTAGACTTTTTTGTTATAAACGAATGAGAACGAATGATAGAAAGTGGGCTCCAGGAGGTATTTGATTTCTTCTGATTACGGTGACGTTGAGGATTTCCGATAATTTTCATTAAATTTCCGGATAAAGCCGGAAGTGTCATTTTCCCTTCCAAAACTAACCACTACCTCATCCCCAATTGAAAACAAGGAAAATGCGGGCGGAAGGGCTCTGGGGAGAGAGTTTCGAAGCGACAAAGGAAGATGAAAATGGTAAGAAACAAATTGAATCTGTTTTCGGGAGTTTGACATAATCGAATCAATGGCGAAGCAAATAAAAAACAATTTTCTCAATTTGCCCATTCGGCCGCCGCCTTTCCTTGCTCCCACAACTTCTGGAGCTGATCTTTCCTCCTTCTTCTTTTTATCCCCTCCTCCTCCGCTTCCCCTCAACACCTCCAGATTCGCTCTGATCCTTCCTTCCTTCCTTCCATCTCCACTAACTACCTTTTCTCCTTCCCAATAACGTTTTCTTTTCAAATAGAATTAGTTGTTTTTTCTCCGTAGTGTTGTTGATGAGCAAGCTGCGCGCAACGATCTGAGAGAGCCCTCGAACGAGCAGAAAGAGCGACGAACGCTAATTACCCAAATTGACATATGCAAATGACTTTTTCGTCGTCGCCCTCACACTCTGAATTGGTCATTTGCCAAGTCATGGAAATGAACAAAAAGAAAGGTTACATGGTAGATTTGCAAAGTAAAAAAGCGGTTTTGAAGAGAGAATGAAAGCAGAATGGATGGGATACGATACTGTATTGGCAAATGAAGCGAATCGAAAAGGTGAGCTCACTTGTTGTCAATGTCGATGTGCGTGGCGGCGATGACTGCTGCGGCAGCCGGAGGCGCGGGAAACACGGTGACATGCTCGGAGAATCCGACTTGTTTCATGTAGAGCACGACGGAGGAGCAGAAGCAGAAGGAGAGAGGGCCGGGGCGGAATTAACTGCACGGAAAGACCGAAGAAGAAGACATGTGCTCGGAGCGGCAACCTTCGAAACTCCACCCTCTTCGTCCGGGCGTCGAAGGGAGAGACGCGCAGCAGAATAGACACGAATCATGATTGAGGTACTCACTCGGCAGCCCCCAGCACACACACACAAAAAACTTGTTTTGACTATTTATGTACGTCTTCGTCTTGTCAGGTTTTCAATTACAGCTCCGCCCCAGGAGCCCTCGGCTTCTTCCTCTTATTTTCTGTAATTCGATCGAAACGGGAGAGAAATCTGAAAAAATAAGAGCAAAGTGCACGACCCGAAAAACTCCCGTTGCTCGTGTAATCCCTTCATGAAGAATGACCCCCATTCCCCCTCTTTCATAGGTCACAATAACTGGACTTTTGAGTCCGAAAGAAACTGGATACGGATTAAACTGGAAACAAAAAATTGAATCTGAATAATCTGCAGTCTCTTATTACGCTGGGAAAATGGTTTGGATAGAGAAATGCATAACGGATTAGAGCAAAGGAAAACAATGGAAATGTAAACTGCAACAAAACAAGAACAGAATGAGAGTAACTAGGAAACAACAAGGAATGCGTCAGTTTGTTCGGAACGTCTCGAGCATGTCGACCTCCATATGATGGGTCTCTCCGGGGATGATCAAAGAGTGCAACGGCTCGCCCATTTCCATCTTGCTCATCTCTTCCATGCTCGAATACACGATTTTTTGATTGTCCCATCCGACTCTCGCCAGTCCGACGACCATCGTCTTCTCGTCGTATGCGCATACCTCTCCCTTGCCTCTCCGGCGCTCACAGATGGTAAGCAGTTGTCTGGCCGCCTCTGAGCACTTTTGGTACCTGGCCGGTTCGAAGATCTTCCGCCCGCGCATCATGTTCTCCACCGTCTGCTCTTTCGTTTTTATATCCAAAAGACACAGCGTGTGCATTCCACGCTTCCGATTCAATGCGATCTTATCGTAATAGCTTTCCGGCTGCCATTCGTCCGTCCACATCACAATCGAAACGGTCTCTCCGAAGTTGTAGAGCTGCAGTCCGCAGCATCCGACGGCATTCATGATAGAAGCATTATGAATGACTCGTACCTGAAGGAATGTCGTTTAGGATTTGGAGTCTGTTCTCACAGGAATGTTCTGTTGCTTGGCGCGAAGTACGAGGTCAGCGTGTGTTGTGGCTCCGAACGGATCTCCGACAACCAGAAGTGCGACGTCTTCCGTGTCTGCTCCTTTTAAAATGGCATCTGATTCCTGCTCAACCACTGTCCGATCCGCCTCAATCACTTCTCTTCCGTAGAAATTTTCCAGATTAGTCTTGTCGAGTCCGTAGCAAAGAATGCTCGTGTAGGCTTCCAAATGCACACGGGCACACTTTCTGAAATTTCCTTCATGTTGAAAAAAAAACCCCGAGTTTGCGTACTTGACAATATTCAACCCTTTGACGGTGATATCTTCGACGTCTCCGAGACCCAAACCAATCAGGTAGAATACCATCTGAATAGATACAACTTTGCAGAGGTCTGAGATAAATTAAGAAAGTAAAAAAAAGTTAACGGGATTGGAACCGATTTGAGAGTTGAACAACAATAAAAACGATTAAATTTACTAAAGCTCAGAACAGAAAAGTGAAATTGAGAGATCATTTGGTACATAAATTGCTTACTCCGTTTTTGATTTGGAAATTGGCACATAATGAACAATCATTTGTTTCATAATAACAGTATTGGTGACTACAAAGAGGCACGAGGCGAGGAACATGAGGAAGAATGTGTTGTATCCTTGGAACTCAAACAAGTACGCCGGCAGCAGCCATAGACCTTGAGAAACGAACCACGCGGCGATAAGGGTGAGGGTTCTCGTTCGGCTCATCTGAAAAGAGTGATGGGTATTTAGATAGAAGAAGTTCCAAACAATCACTTCGATCTTGTGAGCTACTAACGGCAGCAGAAGGATGTACCAGACAAAGTACTGACTCGTGCAGACTTTGTTGTAGGCGACGAAGGCGAAAGTCGAGAGGAACCAGCAGAACGGCAGATCTTCGTAGTATCGGAATGCAAAGACGACGGTTAGAAGGATCTGAGGGACGAAGGCTCCGAAGCCAATGATCTGCGATATCGTCGGGTTATCCGAGTAAAGGAACAGAAGATAGAAGTAGGGAGAGAAGTTGTGAGCGAGATCCTTTCTTTTGATGTGGTAAATAAGGTATTCATCGAGAAACAGCTGACCGTAGATACGGAAGAAAAAGAGAACGACGAGAGCGAACGAGGAGAGGGCGATCTAGAACTTGAAAGGATTAGAAGACGATAGAACCGATAATCAGCTTACCAGGACGTACGCGAAACCCTTCCAGTTCGTGAACAGACTTTTTATTCGACCGACAAGATCTTTCTGTGCTCTGAACGTGGAAAGACTCAAAAAAACGGAAGGAAGGTAGATCAGAGGGTAGATTTTGAATTGGATGGCGAGTGCTCCGTGAACAAGAGCTGCAGACTTCCAGCACCCTTTCTGCAGAAGTATGATGTTCAGTAGCACGATAGCGGAAACAATCGATTCTGCGTTCCCTCTGAAATATGTACTATTTAGTCAATCTCATAATTTAAAAAACCTTGCTGAAATGATGGCAGTCAGCGGATTGGCGAGCCAGTAGATCACCACATTTGTAGTCTGAACGTCCTCCATTTCAGCTCTCTGAAATTCAAGATTAACGGTTTTAAAGACAAAATCTTACTTATCTGCTTCTTTGTCTTCCAGATCTATTTCCATTATTTGAAATAGAGCAGAGCCACAACTATGTCACAGATGCAGAATAGAATTTTCCCGAAATCGGGGAAACTGACAACAGGATATAGAATCCATGCCAGGGCAGGAGTGTATCTGTAAACTGATGATTGTTAGCTCACATTCCAGTCAAGTGCGGCGAATACCTGTACGTTGCCCTATCAAACGGACTTCCGCCTATTGAGACGTGCTTCGCAGCATCCGAAAACACGTGGTAGTCAATATCTGTGAAGTTCACCTAAATAAATAAATTTAATTATTATCTTTGAGACCAAGCAATCCCTTGAATAAGTAGTCGTGAATGTGGGCATATAAAACCAGCACTATCCTGGCGGCAAAAGCGACTTGTAGTATCTGAAATTGTGCTATTCACAAAAATAATCTGATTTCTGAATTACCCTTTCTCTAGAAAATGTTTCGTTCCGAACAATCTGGCAAACGCATTGCATTTCCGCGGAAAATGTGGGGGGAAAAAAGAGAGAAGAAATGGGAGAGAAGCAAACGTGCTCCAGCGAACTGAATTCAGCTTTTGGAGGGAATTCAAACATCAAGTTTTTGTTTACATCGAATTCAGCTCAAATGACGACCGGGCGCGCGGCCTACAACATGTCTTAATTTATATAGTTTTTCCTATAATGTTTAACACTGCTTCTCTGTTTCCATCAACAAATTGCCTTTTTCCCCACCAATATTCATCAAATGCTGTCCTTCTAACTGACAAGAACACGCTATGTTCCGATGCATAACAAATCGTCTTTTTCCAGTTTTGCAGCCGACGCAGACAAATTTGAAATTGATCGAATATTGTTGGAAAGAAGGCGCCGCGTTGAGACGCAGATAATTCTCTGCCTCTTTCGCCGGGCTTGTTTCTCTGCGTTTCTCCTCCCCACGTGCTCCTTCTCGCTATTTTTGTCGACGACTCTCTTCGCTCCGACGCTCTTTTCGCTAGTTTATTTCGATTTTTCTGCGCTACATTTGACATTTATTCCTTTCCAAAAATTTCTCGCAATACGAAAGTGTTCTCGCGCTCATTCCCAACTTTTTGGCCACTTGTTCCGCGTGGATCCTCACCACTACCGTACTTTTCCATAGGATTCAATTGGCATACTTTTGTAGAGCTGTAAAAAATACACTGAACACCTCTATTGGTATGCGAATGAAAACATCGAGAGAAAGGGAATGAGAGAGGAGACGCAGACATCCGCAGGCACGGTTTCTGCTTTCGTGGCGAGACCCGACCACAACGGAACGATTTTTCGACATCTTTTCCTCCTAAGACATTCGGATTGTCTTTCCACTTATTTAATTTACGTTTTTAAAGGTATGAACACTTCCGGTGGCAGTTTCAAAAACTTGAAAGCTTTGCTTGATTACAATGAAGAGAAGGCGAATACAGATTGTAAGTCACAAGAAACTTCAAAGTTGAAATTATTTGTAAACATTCCAGTTGTACACACTGGCAGTTCATCCGATTCACCGTCCAGCTTATTGGACATTCTGATTAAAGCAGAGGAAGGAATCCAACAGATCGGGCAGGCGGATCCGGTCGATCGGATGGAAGACATCGGAGAGACGGTGATCAGTCAGTTGACCGGAGAGATCGGTTTGGGCGAGGACGAGGAGAGCATACGGCAGAACGCATTCAAACTTTTCGATGAGGCAATGTCCTACTCAAAACCAGTGCTCCCTCAGAAACGGAAATGTAAGCATTTCTTGCATTTTGTTGTGAAACACCATATTCAGTTTTCCAGATACTCGTTGGAAACATCCCGTTGAAAACAAGGCAGTTTTTCCTGCTGCGGTCCCTCCCGTGGTGGAAAAGGCCGACACGAAATCCACAATTCCGAGAGCGAAATTCGCCGTAGATTGTCCAGAATTCTTTGAAACGGGCCAAAAATATCTGCTCAGTTTCAAATACTGCATGAAAAGCTGGAAGAAGAGCGGGAGACGCTATTCGAAGATCAAGTGAGCAAAGACGTCGATCGACTGCTTCAGGCCGCAAATCGGATCTACGGACCGAAAATCTGGAGCGACGAGGAGAAGGCCGAGTTTGCGAAATACTGTAGGAAGCTGCGAAAAGGAACGTTGACGAGTGATGACAAAAAGGAATTGAAGACATTTTACGCGAAGGCGTACAATTTGGAGAATGGCGCAGTGCCACAACCGGTCGTCCAACCGACTGTAGAGCCGCAGCAAACGGAAACGACGACGCGAAAAGTGGAAGTGTTCCGACTCCGACTTCATCGCCGATAAAACGAAAAACTAATCACAAAGAAGAGGAAGAGTTGTTGTACCCGAAAAGAGCCACAATCGAGATGAAAGGAGTGAAAATAGAAATCAAAGAAGAAGATGTTGATCCGTACGAAGAAGGGTGCTCAACCGAAGTGGCGCCGCCGCCAGTGAAAATGCAGTTCACTCCTTTCCACCCCGGAATGAAATACGAGAAAGAGAAGGAATTCCGCGCCGCCGCCATAAACATCTTCATGGAAGTCTTCTTGAATGTCCGTAAGTTCACCTCCAGCACCGGCTCTTCCGATGATCCGATTCAAGCGAGGAGGAGGGGAAGACCTCGCGTTCTCTACCGTCCGGCAGTTCCGACACCAGATGAGCAAGCGAAAAGGAAGGAAGAGGATTTGAAGTATCTGTCGCGGAAAATGAATGAGGTGATGAATGAGGAGGAAAAAGTATGGAGTGTAGAAGAACTGGACGAGCTCGGACGATTCTATCACGTGTTCCGAGAAAAGATGAACTTAACTATTATCCAGACGAAGGAGTTGGGGAACTTCCTGCGAAAGGCATTTGGACGACTGGAACAGTATGAAATTGAAAGAGAAAATGACGCGGCTTTGAAGGAAAAGAGAAAGTACTGGCAGGAATACAAAAGGACTCATGAGCCGTCATCGCAACGAGGAGGTACAGCTTTAGAGACTTTTTGATTATTAACAGCAACGAATTCAGGAAAAAGAACGGCGCATGTGAGGACGACCCCAGTCCGACCGTACATCAAGACTAACATAGACACGACTGGAGAAACGGAGGAGCAGAGAAAGGCGAGGAAAGCAGCCTATTTGCGTGCGTGGAGAGTACGTAGAGGTATTCGAAAACTCGGTGGAAAAGATTGAGTACATGTCATTCATAGTTTCAGCTGAGCAACAGAACACGCAACTGGCCTCGTTCCTCGGAATAACTTCTCCGGACGATGAAGGAAACAGTGAATAGACTTCGTTGGCACAATTTCTCGCACAAATTAGATAACTTATAATAATATTCTGTTCTATTTATCCGGAATAATTACTTGCAAATAAAGACTATTGCATTTGACTTTATGATCACGAAGTCACAGAAAAATCATTTTTCGGAAGATATCACTTCGAAAGACATCGCAATACCGTTTATTTTAAGACGATGTAGCTCAGCTGCCGGTAGAGATAGCAAAAAAGTTGTTAACTGATAAAATGTGCAAGAAGACCTTGTGCTCTTTTTTTTCATATCTCTACCGACAGCTGAGATAAATCGTTCTGAATTGACAATGTTGGTGCCACGGATCAAAATGTTAGACAATGTTAGTCGGAGCCCGAGTTTCGAGTTTTCCCCTCCTGTGTGCACCGGCATTGTCGCATTCTGCCTCGGCGACCTCTTCCAATTAATCGAACGTCAGGATCGTACTGAAACGTGCACCAAATAGATGAGATCGTCAGAGATGCCGCCGTGCATACATATTATTTTGTTGCTGACGACGGCACAAAGGGGCATGCAGTAAAAGGCGAGTTGGTAGGCCTCGTAGAGAGGGAACCAATAATAGCCCTGAGGATCCGCGGAGAGCGTCGGACCGGAGAAGGAGAATTCTTAAAAAAGTAAGAGAAGGAGTTGGATTACTTTTAGGGAACACTTACATTGGTCCCATTACACGTGGCACTTGGCTGAACCTTGCCAACCCGATTTTCGAGCTCCATTAACTCAAAAGCCGTAGGTCGGATAGGAGCGGGTGTTCCAGATTACGAGACAGGGGGACGGCGAAGTGGATCGATCCCACGCAAGTGGCTCCGCTCGCTTGGAGTGGCTGTTCGCAAGTCTGAAGATGGCGGCGTGATATTCTGATAGGGAGGGGGTTCACTTGGAAAAGGTTCAGAGTTTTGAGACACGACTTCTCCAGGTGTTTCAGAATCCCTCCCTATCAGAGACTTAAGACGCCATCCTCGGATGCTCAAAGAGCAGTCTCTTCAAGCGATGAGAGCCACTTGCGCCCGATCCTTCCGCTTCTCTCCCTGCCTTCTACGCGCTCCTGCTGTTTCCAGCCAGCTTCTGATGCCTTCTCAAGGCTTCTCAGAAACCTCGCTCATCAGAATCTCACGACGTCATCCTCGGATGCTGGAAGAGCAGCATCTCCAACATCAATTTCACTACATTTTCGAAAACGAAGGGGATTTTGTTGTAAGGAAGATAAATAAATGTGATATGGATTCTGACAATGTATTCTCGAATTTGTAAACTAGTCACTTTAACTTCTTCTTGTCTTTTTATGTTTTTTCATTTGTTCTTTTCTCATCTTCAACAAATTCTTTGGCGAATTCTGAAAATGCTGCTTTCTGCTAAACCGGGCGACAGTACGACACTCCAGAGGTCGCCGACTAGTCGGCAACGGCGAGTGAGGCGCACTTTTTTCCACTGTTCTTTTTCAGTTTTCCATCTTCAAAATGCATGTTTTCTTCCGACTGCTTCCTTAGTACTCACCTTATTATACAAACCATTTGTATCCAAACCAATAGTTACCAATTTAAAGTAAGATGGGCCACGGAGAAGAACCACTGACTGCCACGTATAAAACTCAAAGACCGCCATGGATCGGGCTCTGGAGCGACCGTGAATAGTGAGTTGACTTGAAAATAAACTTAATAGAGTCATCTCGATCAGAAATAAAGAACAAGTTTCTGAATTTCAGCAAAGGACGCCCCGACTGGTGGAAGGAGCCCGGACTTGAAGATTCACTGACACGTTCCGGAAAGCTCCGTCTCTATCGGGCTCGTTTCCGCGAGGAAGATCCGGATTGGTATGACCCAAAGGTATCTCTGAATTAATTGTATGCTAAAAACGTGACAACGTGTTCATTCAGGTGAAAGATGGGGAATCTCTCACCGGAGCATTCGGACTCGATTCGAAGAAGACGAAGAATCTCTCGAAGAAAGGAGATCAGCCAGGAGAGCTTTCTGATTTCCAGAATAAGGTCTATACAGGATCCCACCAGTTCAAGGCTATTGCCGAGAAGTTCGAGCTCAGCAAAGAACACCCCGGATTTGCTGTGAGCCCAACGATGAGCGATTTGTACCAGAGTGAGTAGTAATTCCGAAAACAAAAACAGAAAAATGTTTCACTTCAGCTCCGAAGGCCAACCTGGGAAGAAATGCCATTCTGCCGAACTCTTGGTACCATTTCGGTCCTCGTTTCTTCGATACTCCTCTCAATGAGGGCGCTTTCTGGAAGGGACTGGCTGCTGCCAAGTACGCTGCAATTCTAGGTATAGGTTTATTTACTTTTATTCTCATACATCTTGTATTTTAGTGGCGCCATACACTATCCTCGAGATCCGTGCTCTGAACACTGTCTCGGTTGCCAATCTCTCTCCAAGAACTTTCCTGAAGGTATGAACTGTCCGCCTTTGTTTTTAGTTATTCCTTTTCTTCAGAGATATGCCCAATTGGCTCCGTTCCCATTAGCCGTCGCTTTCGCCTGGGGATTCTCTCTCTCGGCGGCTGCTACTGTTCGCAACAAGGATGACGTCTACAATCACTACTTCGCTAGTGCTGCCGTCGGATCCACTGTTGCTACGATGAGTGAGCTGTTCAGTTCAACTTTTTATAAAAGCGAACCATATTTTTGTAGAAAGTAACGTTGCTCTCGGAACCTCGGCCGCCATATTCACCGCCATTCTAGGAGCCTTCTGGCAGTACCAACGGCATTCCGAGACCGGACTCCAAGGAATGGTCACTCACTCACGCTCCGCGGGTATCTGGGGAGGCCCGCTTATCTGGCAGAAACTGCAGTACGGAGATGCCGACGTTCCGAAAACTCGATTCTAAACCATTTTGTGTTCTGTTTCGATTTTAGCTTCGATTCTATCCCCATGTATAAGATTCTTAGTCTGCGAAAAAGAAAGCATTAGCGTTTCTTTTCTCGCGCTTCGCGCCAAATAAAATCAGCAGTTATGCGTGCTTTTGCCTGGCTGTCCGGCTGTATCGGACGGCGAGCAAGAAGGCGCAACAACAAATCGATTGTTTCACACACTCGCTGGCTGCCAGCTGTTGTCTAGGTAACAGGGCGGCGGCTCTCGGCTGGAGGGATACGCACTCCGGCACACATTCATGCATTATTCTCGCCGATGAAGACGTTGAGCCTTCTTGTGTCCCTCGCGGCACTGCTGCTGATTCCTCCGTCTCAGGAGTCGCTCGGATGCAAATATACGAAGAATCTGACGGGCAACGGAGATGGTACGTTTCGGAATTGAAATAGATTCTCAGTTTATTAGGGGATTTTCAGGGGGCAATGAGCACTGCCTCTACTATTTTCTGCTCAAAAAAGAGTACGAGGAATCGGGAAACATCCACTCGTTGATCGTAAATCCTCCGAGGACCGACGAGATGAAAATCACTGTAATCAACATTAGAGGACCACATTTAAATATTTGAAAGATCTTCTTCAGATTGAGAATGTCCTTGTGAAATATGTCGAATTGGTCAAAGGATCGACATATCAGTTCAATGTTTTCGGCGACATTTACCTGGTATTTCATGTCTCGCTCCACCATGCACTTATTATAATTTTAATGTCAGAATTGGAAAGACGAGCGTCTGATCTGGTCGAAAGACGGAGAATTCGATATCTACGACCATCTTTACCTGTCCAATTCGAGTGCAATTTGGACCCCGCACGTTATAGATCACACGTGAGTCACAATGAAGAAATTGGAGAGAAAAGGGGAAGTGGTCGGGATGTGTGGAGTCTCAGAGAGCAAAAGCCGCGGGAAAATCGGATGAGCTTACAGGCTGTGCATGGACGGCGGATGCACTTATTCGGTGGACGACGTCGACGTGTACGAGGGAGGAATGGTCTACGCGAGGATTCAGTTCAAGTACCAGGCGAGCTGCGCAGTCGACTATAAAAAGTGAAATCTTCTTCGGATAATCCCCTCATTCACTCGGTTCAGATTCCCGGAAGAAGATGATAGCTGCTGCATTTTCTTCACCGCTTTCGAGCCAAACGTTCTCCGCACCAAATTCGAAGTGGAAGGAAAGGCGAAAGAGAAACTGAGCAGACCGGTTTACGCGCAGAAAGTGTACGAGAGAGAGGAGCAGCTGAGTGAGATGGCTCAGGAACACTCCCCGTGGGTTGTCGTGGAACGGACGATTAGTGTGTCCCATCTGGGAGGACTCGAGTCTCTGGAAGTGCTGCAAGTGTGTGTGAAGGCGGAGAAGCAGATGAGCACGTTCCGAGTGGCGCTGCTCTTTCCGGTCACGCTGGCTACTTATGTCATGTTGGCGTCTCCCCTGTTCGGCGACCTTCGCACTCAGATCTTCGTCAAACTGTTTGCTCTCCACGTCCAGACTCTCTGCTTTCTTTACCTGTGCACAATAACTCCAGCCAATGGATTCTTGGGAATTCGTCCTCATATCTGTAAGCACGCATTCTGATCTGATCTGACCTTTCGTCCGTTCTTCAGACACCTTCTACGAGCTCATCTTCTCCATCAGCTTCCTGAGCATCCTAATCACTCTCGTCGTGATGGCTCTCAGTCGTGTCAAACGGAACGTCCCTCCATCTCACAGACTGTTCCTAACGGCAAAACTGGTCAGTCGCTCCGTTCTTTTTCATCTTGTTGTGTTCTCAGGCAAAACACAATTTACTCGATTACTCTTTATTTTTAAGAGACTTAAAAATACAACCGAATGCTGAGTAAGCTCGGGGAAAATCTATCCAACTGAAATGATGACAATTCAGCTTGATGTGTGAGAGAGAGAGACGCAGAGAACGCGCGCTGTGTGTAAACTCGCGCCACACATTTGCTTACGGTTTAAAACTTGTGGGTCTGCACCCAACACCTCCCCTTATAAGAAACAAACTAGGGATTGTGGTGAGAATGAATATGGGTAAGAGGGAATAGGGAAAACAACAATTTAAGTCCTGTTACTCGGATCGAATCTGACGATAGGTTTCCTCTCGCGTCCACTCCGACGCAGCGGCTCTTCATCTTCTGGCGCTCCTTGTGCTTGACTCAAATGTGGTTGACCTGATTGTCCCTGATTCGCGTGTCCCTGACTCGGTTGTCCCTGACCTTGTTGTCTTTGACTTTGCGATCCTTGGCTTTGCGATCCTTGAGGCGATGCTCCTTGAGGCAGTCCTGGTTGTCCGGTATCTCCTTGCATCGTGACGTCTGTTCTCGCATTTTCCGATCTCGTTCCAGTGGTGGAAGTGTCCTCCTTTCCCTTCACGGTCTCGTTGAAATAGAATCCATCACACGACAACTCAAAGATATCCTCCATCGTTGACCTCCATCGATCCTCCTTGCTCACTCCATTTTCAATCACTCTCGGTTTCAGCTGATTAGCATGAACCGTTCGTTCACGTCCGTCGTTCAGACTGACAACGTACACCACACGACCGCGTCGTTGAATAACCGTAGCTGGTATCCAAGACCACGAATTGTGTTCGAAAATCTTTGTGAAGACTGCGTCGTTCACATCGAAAGTTCGATTTTTCACTCCGTTATGTTTGTCAAACTGCTCCTTCATTCCCGGACGGGAATCCGAACATTTGTTCAACATCGGAACCAGGAGAGACATCTTCGTACGAATACGTCTTCCGAAATGAGCTTCCGCCGGCGTCAAACCTCCAAGTGTATTAGACGGTGTCGACCGGTAATGGAACAAAAATTGCGACATTATTTCCGGGTTCACATTCCCCTCCCCTTTCAACTTCTTCAAGCCTCTTTTCAGAGTGTCTACGAAGCGTTCAGCTTGCCCGTTAGACTGTGGGTGGAATGCAGGAGACCGGATATGTTCAATTCCGTACTCATGACACATATTCGCGAATTCTCTGGAAACAAACTGTGTTCCGTTATCCGAAACCAACGTCTCGGGATATCCATGAGAACTGAATATGCCTTTCAGCGTTCGTACAGTAGACACGCTCGAGATTGATTTAACAATCGCTACCTCTGGCCATTTTGACTTTGCATCAACCACTACCAGATAGTACTGTCCGTTCTCGGGACCTGCATAGTCAATGTGCACTCTTTGCCAAACACGTTCCGGTGTGTTCCAAGGCTCTAGTGGCACTTTTCTCAGCGTTTTTCCGTGGATTTGACAAGTGTTGCACGCCGCAACCACTTTTGCAATGTCCTCATCCATTCCTGGCCAGAAAACAAACGCTCTCGCGAGTTGTTTCATCCGTACCATGCCCGGATGTCCTTCGTGCAATTGCTTCAGAATTGTCTTCTGCAACATCTCCGGTACGACAACTCTTTCACTCATCATTACGCAGTCTTTCACAACGGACAACGACTGCTTGATCGAGCTGAACTTCTTCAATTTCCCTTCCAGTTTCTTTGGCCAAACTCCTCGGGAAATACACTTGATAACTTCCTTCAGAACGTTATCTTTTTCCGTCTCCGACTGTACGTCTTCGACTCGAACTGGTAGTCTTCGGACAGCAGACTGCAGAGATCCTTCTACATCCACTTCCACTTGAGCTATGACCATATCCTCATTCTCGGATGGCATCTTCTGAATCATTCGCGACAGCGCATCGGCTTGTCCGAAATCATCGGTCTTCACGTATTCGATTACGAAATCATACGCTAGAAGAATCGTGGACCAACGCACCAATCGATTCTGCGAGTGTACTGGAATTCCCTTTTTACTTCCAAAAATGGAGAGCAACGGTTTGTGGTCCGTTCTCAGTAAGAACTTTCTACCGAACAAGTACTTGTGGAATCTTTTCACTGCAAATATCAATCCAAGGCCCTCTTTTTCAATCTGGGAGTAGTTCTTTTCCGCAGAATTCAAAGAACGTGCTGCATGGGCAATCGGTTTCTCCGTTCCATCGGCAAAGCGATGACTAATAACGGCTCCAATTCCGTAATCGCACGCGTCAGCTGCCACAACAATCGGAATATTCGGCTGGTAATGTGTCAGATTCAGGTCAGACGACAGGACGTCTTTCAACTTCTGAAAAGCCTCAGCCTCTTTCTGGGTCCAAATCCAATCACAATCTTTCATGAGCAGTTTGTCGAGTGGACCACGGAGCGATTTCATATGCGGAATGAACGCACTGTAGTACGTGATCATTCCCATAAAACTCCGCAACTCCTTTTGGTCCTTCGGCTCACACATGCCCTTGATCACCTGCACCTTTTCCTTGTCTGGTCTTCTTCCATTCTTATCAATGATAAAACCCAAAAATTTTATCTCCTCGCCGAGAAAGTGACATTTTTCAATTTTCACTCTGAAGCCATATTCAGAAATCCTCTTGAACAACTCTATCAAATTCTCCATGTGCTCTTTTCCAGTTCGGCCAACAACGATAATATCGTCGAGATATGCCGTCACGCCTGTCAGTCCAGTGATCATTTTGTCCATGATCCGCTGGAACACCATCGGCGCCGTTTTTGCCCCGAAAGGAAGTCTCTGGTACTGGTAAAGCCCACGATGTGTGTTTACCGTTAATAACTCCTTTGACTCTTCGGCCAGTTCGATCTGCAAGTACGCGTCCTTGAGATCAACTGTTGAGAAAACTGTTCCTCCGTTCAACGTCGCGAACACGTCTTCTGGCGTCGGAATTGGGTGATCTTCATCTTCCAAAGCTTCGTTCAAGCCCGTTTTGAAGTCTGCACACATCCGCGTGTCCCCATCTGCTTTCCGCACGCACACCAAAGGTGCCGCCCACGTACTGTGGTTCACCTTCTTGAGAACTTTCAGACTTACGAGTCTGACCAGCTCTTTGTCCACTGTTTCCAAAGCTCCGTATGGTACCGGACGCTTTGGTTTGAACACCGGCGACGACCCAGGTTTCACAGTCAGCACTGCCTTTTCCTTAGTACATCGCCCCAGTCCTTCTTTGAACACTTCCGGAAATTTTCTCTTTAATTCCGCTCGAAGTGTTTCCGTGTCTGGACTCTTCACTTCGTTTACCATCAACCCTAGGTAATACGACATTTCCGTCGATTTTCCGATCCAATCTAGCCCTAGCAGATTTCCTTTCTCGCGGACGTACACAAAACCAGAAGCTTGCGAGCCTTTCAACGTGAAGTTGACGTTTGCTCTTCCCAACAATTTCAAGTCATCACCGCTTGCGGATGTCACTCTTGTTGCGAAACTCTCCAGTTTTGGTTTACCGATCTTGATCCACTCGTCTTTTCCAATCAAAGTAATATCGGAACCAGTGTCAAGCTGGAAATCCACCGACCTGTCATTTATGTCCGCCGTGACGTACTGTCGTACAGCGTTCACGTGTCTGTTTAGCTTCACGTTCTGAGTTTTCCTCGTGCCACTCTTCTTGCTTTTTACAGTACTTTTGACATATGACCGCTCTGTTGACAATTGAAACATTTTGTCAGTTTCTGTTTGCAATCCGGCTTTTTATGGCCCTTTTGCCCACAATTCCAACAAGCTTCCTCTTGTCCCCCTGAACGATCTCGGTCTCTCGTTGGTTTCTTTCCTTTTCCGTTTCCTCTGGAGTGTACCGCTCTTACAGCCGGCTCACTCTTCTCCATCTCTGAAACCACACAATTCTGTCTGTCCGCTTTCTGCCACTCTTCGCAGAGGTCGTTTATCGTGACAGTTTCTTCTTTTTCCCACTTCTGTTCCACATATTTTATGAAATATGCACGGATAGCCTTGTCTTTCGACCCATCTAACCCTTTTAACCAGAAGAAGACTTTCCATCCGTCGATGTCGATCTTGTCCAGATTTGCTGCTTCGCACATCGCGTTCACCTTGTTGGTGTACTCTACCGTCGAGTCACCGTCCCGAATAATGTTCATGCACGCAAATCTGTGGGAGAAAATACTTTTCTTCACGTCAAACATCTTCCTCAAAAGTCCGACAGTCTCCTCAAACTTCATTTCGGTGTGTTTCTTCGGACAGATCCGCTTAGAAAACTGCTCATACACCTCGTCCGAAAGTTTACTCACAAGCAACGAAACTTTCGCCTCATCCGGCAAATCTTTTCCCTCTTGGTCGAACGCAGTTCCGTGCCGTTCATACCACCTCGAAAACGTCTTCTCTGTTTCCAGATCAAACTGGAACTGTGAAATCCTGCCGCTGATCACATTTATCAGCTGTGATTGCGACACGTTTGACTCGCTTTGGCTCACCGTTCCCGGATTGCCATTGATCTTTCCAGATGACATGGACTTGATCAACTTGTCAATCGATTCTTGATGCCGAGTTGCCTGCAACTGCATTTGCTGTTGCGTCACTTCGATCATCTTCAGCATCTTCTCCATCATGTCGCTATTCACCGCCATTGCAGGTTAACTGGCACTGACGAGAATACACAGAAACAGTCACCGCCGTTTATACTGACACGGGTACTTTCTGCTCACAAAATTTCACCACCGTTTTTTAGCTGTCGTGGTTACTATTCTGTAGAACAAGAATCGCGAGCGAAATCGAGTTCGAAATCTGATCGCCAATGTTGTGTTCTCAGGCAAAACACAATTTACTCGATTACTCTTTATTTTTAAGAGACTTAAAAATACAACCGAATGCTGAGTAAGCTCGGGGAAAATCTATCCAACTGAAATGATGACAATTCAGCTTGATGTGTGAGAGAGAGAGACGCAGAGAACGCGCGCTGTGTGTAAACTCGCGCCACACATTTGCTTACGGTTTAAAACTTGTGGGTCTGCACCCAACACATCTCTTGCCCGTATTTCAGATCAATCGTGTCGTCTGCTGCATTGAACCCGAACGCACCGACGCCTATCACCGTTTCGTCGAGGAGGAAAATCCGGAGAGCCGCGCTACGAACGAGGTAAATGAGTCGGTGATCAGACGTGGCGCCGAGGTAGAAACCGTTTTCGGCTGGCTGTTTTCATTGTTTGTTTCAGATCGACTACACCCAGGACTGGCGCCACATCTACCTCGCCATGAATAACATGTTCTCCGCCTTCATGTTCTCCGTCTTCCTCTTCATGACCTTCTTCGAGTTCTTCTAAATAATCACAAACTTCCTCTGTATTCCTTCCCATTCTTCGTCCCCTGTTCTCTTCCCGTTGTGATACGAATCTGTCCGTTTTCGTCCCGAATAAAGAATGTCTCCCAAATGACATCCGTACTCTTTATCTTCCGACCTTATCCAGTCCTCCGCCGTCTCTCCGATCCGCGCACTCTTCCGAAATGCCGCCGAAAAACTTGAAAACTTGCGGATGATCTCCATAAAAGGGAGAGAGGCGCCGTCCCCGATTAGACGAGTCACTGCTTCTCGGAACAAGGTGAGTCAATCGAATTCCATTCTTTCCTCAAATCATTCCCTTCTCTTCAGAGATGTCTGTGAAAGTCGCGTGTTATGTGACCGCTTCGGTCACCGTCGCCACCTTGATGGTCTGCTTCATGACCATGTCGACCATCTACTCCGAGGTCGACGGATTCAGAGAGCAACTCGATTCTGAAATGAACGTCTTCAGAGTAAGATAGACTTTCGAATGATCTTAAAATATAAGACTGATTCTTTGCAGCAATCCACCAACGGTCTCTGGAAGGACATCGTCGTCATCGGAAGAAACAGCAAGCGTGTCCGTCGTCAGTATGAGGAATCGAATGCCACTCCGACTCCACACGCCGACGGATCTCCGTCCGTTCCACCAGGCCAGCCACCAGCAGTCCCGCCAGTCTTCAAGCAGCCAAAGACTCCAAACGGAGCCGACGGAAACGGACCAACCTGCAACTGCCAGGCCGACAACAAGTGTCCAGCTGGACCATCCGGACCAAAGGGAGTTCCAGGAACCCCAGGACTTGACGGAATTCCAGGACTCGACGGAGTTCCAGGAGTTGGAGCCGATGATATTGCTCCACAACGCGAGTCTGTCGGATGCTTCACTTGCCCACAGGGACCAGTCGGACCACCAGGAGCTCTCGGAAGACCAGGACCACGTGGACTGGCAGGGCCAAAAGGACAGAATGGAAACCCAGGAAGAGACGGACAGCCAGGACACCCGGGAGAGCAGGGATCCTCCGGACCAATCGGAAAGATCGGAGAGCCAGGACCACCAGGAGAGAAGGGACGCGACGCCGAGCACCCGATCGGAAGACCAGGACCAAAGGGATCCAAGGGAGACCAGGGACCACCAGGATCACCAGGACAGAATGGACTCCACGGACCACCAGGAGAGCCAGGACCGGTCGGACCAGAAGGACCAACTGGAAAGCAAGGGCGTCAAGGACCAGACGGAACCCAAGGAGAGACCGGAGCAGACGGGCGACCAGGAAAGGACGCCGAGTACTGCCACTGCCCGGACCGTGCTCCAACGGACGCCGTCACCGGAAACCGTGGGTACAGAAGCTTCTAATCCATTATTGTTGCTCCTTAATAAACGTTTGGAATCGACAAAAAGGTCTTTTCAAATATCCATTTCTTTTGCTTGTTGATCTTCTTCGGATGCCCTTTCAAAATGAGCTCTCGTCGTCTGCGCTCTCTTTTGCAGTATAAATGTGAAATCTACAAAAAGGTGTCAAAATTTGAGTTGGAAGGACAAATAATCGGCTCGCAGTGGGAATCGGATATTCGGGCGGCGCCTTCCTCAACAAAATAAATATGACGGCAATGGGGGAAAGGGCGCGAAAAAGAGAAGAAGAAGAAGAGCGAGAGAATGGCGGAGAAGGCGTGCCACTACTCGCACTCTTCCTCTCCTAATAGAATTCAAAGAAGATGTGCGAAACTTGTCATTCATTCATTCCGTGCTCTCTTCTCTCTTCGTCAAATCATTCAAGCAGTCCGTCGTCGTGCTCCTCCTCTCCGCCTCTCTTGTCTGTCTTGATTCAAGAGGCGTGAGAAGCGCCAGAGTTGGACGGACCGCCCGCCCACGTACGAAGGAAACGAACAAGTTTACTTTTCGGTTACCCTACGGCGCCTCCGGGGATATTCGAGCCGTTGCAGCGACCAAAACGAGGTGTCCAATTGAATATTCATCATTCTCTCGCGATTCGGAATTAATATTCCAGCTCCTGCTCTCTGTTTTTCTCCCTCTTGTTTCTTTCTTCCCTCCATTCTTCCTTCTCAAGACGTTCATCTTTTTCTGTTTGGCTGAATGAACCTGCTGGAACCGACAGACTATAGTCAACAGAAGAAAGAGAGAGAGAGGGAGAGCTTATTCCGCTATTGTCCATTTGATAATCCTTGTATCATCAAGAGTTCTACGTTTGCTCACATATCAATTTTCAGATCAAGAACGTCTAGGCTCGAAAGATCTCGATTTGTGCTAATAAGAAACTGCTCTCAAGAGCACGTCTCCACCTCTTTTTCTTTTTCTTCTTCCTTTTCGCCGCCTTCCATCCCACTCCTTCTCGCGCTTATTTTGCATCGTAATAGAATTGCGATTCAAGTGTTGACGATTCGCATCTTTCGCGCATTTTCCGTTTTGTGTTCGGGTGCTGGCTCCGCGGCCAACTTGCATCTTTTCTATTCAATTCGCCCTTTCAACCTTTCCACGCAGCTTCTTCTTCTTCTTCTTCTTCTTCTTCTTCTTTCCTCTCCACAACTTCTTCCTTTACTCTTGATTTTCCAAGTCACTAGACAACCGAGACAATTCAGGAGAGAAGGAGGGAAAGCGGCGAGACGACTTTCATTATGAGTCTAATTACGGCTCCTCCAGACTGATTCCTGCGGCGCCACACCTCCCTGTTTTCCTTTCTTCTCCTTCTTTTCCTTCCTTTCCTTCTTTTTTTGTGACGAGATATCACACATTCTAATCATCCGCAGTTGCTCGGAACTAATCCCCAGGAATAATAAATGCGCATACATTTTCTCTGACAAATCTTTCGTCAGTTTGTGTTGTAGTTGGCGGTAGTTTGCTCCGAATCGCGAACAATTAGTCACTTTCGAAGTACGCAAGACAGTTGGACTCTCAAAGGTCTGCTCCTGAAATCCAAGAACATCACCGTGAAAGCTCAATGATTCGTGTCCTATTTATCAGTCTTCTCAAATGACTTCCGAGCCGTCCGTCCGGAAGCGTTCCTTTCCGTCCGCCCTTCCCATGCCCTTTGCCGTCCTCCCATTTCCATGTCACTTTTCATGCACATCTTCTTTTTCTTCTTCTCCTCCTTCTCCTCCTCCTCCTTGAAATTCAATCCGAACGACATAGTTTTGGTCATTTGAACCGAGCTCTCAATTCACTCTTTTTGCTTATTGTTTCATTTTCCCTCTTGCTCATCGACTTCTCAATTGGCCCCTAGGACATGCATACATACACACACATTTGTTGAAATTTATGGGCAACCGAGCATTGACCGATTGTTTATTGTGCTTTGGCAAGAGGGTGTCAATCGGGAGAAAAGGGAGAAACGAGCGGAGAAGAAATATTGTCGTTTTCGAAATGGAATTGGAGTGAAATAGTTTTGGAGATTGATTCATGTTGACAACATTTAAATTGGATTCGTCTTTCAGCACATTCTTCCAGCAAACCGTACTGAGCAACTTCCTTGTGCTTGTCTCCCTTCCTTCAGAAAAATATCAGCTCGCCGAGCAAATCCCGTCCGCCGCAGAAGCGGAAATCCAAAGTGCCATATTCAATTAGCCGTATCTTCTTCCTCTTTCCCTTCCCATCTCGTCATCTCTCTACCCCCAAGAGAATCTCGCCCGAAGAAACCGTTTTCAGGAGTCGACCCCATAAAATCTGGCGATTCGGTAGATGGCCCCATGGGATACGTGCACGCCGTGCTCTTCTGGTAAGTGTCTGGGGCGGCTCCTTCCGGAGATAGCGGGCCCAATTCGTCTTCGGCCTTGTCTTCTCGGTTCTCCTTTGCCCCGCCCGCTTTTCCTTCTCCTCCTCCTTCTTCTTCTCCTTCTTCTACTACTGCTGCTTCTGCTTCTGCCCGTTTTTGTTTTCGACTCTCTCTTCCGCCCATATCGTCCTCCTCGCGCATCCCACCCTCGATATATCGCCGCTCTGTCGGTTTGGCTGCTCCGCGAGCCGACGACGCCAAACCGAATTCGACTCTCTATTCTCCTTCTCCGGCGCGAGGAGACGACGCGAAGCAGAAGAGTCGGAGAAACGACGAATCGACGACGACGACGGCGCGTTTATTTTCTGCTCGAATGCGCCATCCCAAAGCCAACGCGGCTTGCTCAAAGAGCCCTAACACCTGACCTCTCAGAGGAATGCTATTATTCCTTGCTATTCTCTTCAGGCTCTCACTGTCCCAATTGCCAGTCGAAACGATCGAAGAGGCGCCTCCATCGATCGCAGAGTTCTCAGCCAACATCATCCGCGATTTCGAGTCGCAATCCCGGTTCTCTCTAGTTCAGGAAGTGAGTTCTGTTTGGCCTATCGCCAATCCCCCAGAGAAACTCCACGTAATTAGCGGACTAACAAGCCATTTCGTTCTTTTTTCAGGAGTACGAGAAGCTCAAACCTGATATAAAATCGAAGAAAGGGGATGCGGCGGCAAAATTGCGAGACGCCACGGAGCACCTCGATCGGCTCATCACCACGAGAGTGGAAGCTCTCAAGGTAACCCAGACTCGTTCCTTCCGTTTCAAACTCTGACGAGCTCTTTCGAAAATGCATGAAATAGCATGGTCCATAGCGATTTGTCAACGAATTCCCTACGAATTGTACTATAATTATAAGGGAAAAAGACAGTTGTTTGCACTGAAAACATGTTATTCCACATCACATATATTTCGGATATGACCGACCCGGTTCCCCTTTCTCTTTTCTTTTCTCTCTCGGCGCACTCTCTCCTCCAATAATTACGTGCCATATCCGCCCATTGATGAGCTCTCCAATTGCTTTCATGCTCCAGAAATTGGCGGCCAGTGCCGAGGCTTCCGCAGCGGTTTTCGACGAGTACGACGATCAGGCGTACGCGGTGCCACAGGCGGATAAACGGTGCGAAGCGTACATGAAAAGGATGAACGAGTCGAATGTGCACATGATTTCGAATAGTGTGGAACAGAATGCACAGTCAGGCGTGCATATTACTGTCGAATCCTATCAATGTGGTAGGGGGATGAGCACAGAGGGACCGCGCTGAAACAGTCTGTTCAGATCCGCGCGTTATGAGGGATTTCGACTGGACCGGCACCAAGTTTATCGAGAAGACAATGACAGAAAACAAGGAAAAGTCTCCTGAAATGGGTCATCAGTACATTGGGACGTACTCTGGTTTGACGAGGATGTATCCAAGTGAGATTCTCCTATGATCTATCTCCCTCTAAATATAACTATTCAGGAAGACACTGGAAAGTGGAGCCTGCTCCGATCACAATTGACCTGTTCGACCCGAGATTCCGGCCGTGGTTCGTGAATGCCGAGTCCGTGCCCAAAGATATTGTCTTTCTTCTTGATTAGTAAGTCAATGGCTCGTTTTCTCCGGGACCTCTCGTTTTTCAGCTCCGGAAGTGTGAAAGGACCCACGATGCATCTCATCAAGATCACAATAATGTACATTCTCTCCACGCTCAACCCGAACGACTACTTCTTCGGCGTCTACTTCAATAACCACTTCAACCCGATCATCAGCTGTGCCAATCGAACATTCATGCCTGCGACGACCAGCAACAAGAAAGTGTTCTTCGAGGAGTTGGGAATGCTGGAAGAGAAAGACCAGGCGCACTTTTCGACCCCGTTGAAGTTTTCGTTGGATGTTCTGCGTGGAGTGAGTTGCTTCCCTTACAAGGAACCCACAGAACCCCATTCTCTTGCAGAACCTGGATTCCAATCAGTCATTGTTCGCTGACTACCGATCCGAAGGTCACAAACTGCTCATAATTTTCACGGACGGAGTTGATGAGTGGCCCCATCAGATTCTGGATGAAGAATTTCAAACGAGGAACAGTGAACTGGTGAGTCTGGGTCAACATTTTCTTATATTCACTGAACATTAGATTCGAATCTTCGGATACTCGATGGGATACGGTACTAGTCTACTGCCTCTCCAGCAGTATATGGCATGTAAATCCCATGGAGGATACTCAGGTACGCAGTCTTGTTTCATCCACTAACAACCTTTTCAACTTTTCAGAAATTGACTCAATAATGGATGTGAAACCACAATCTCGAATGATTCAGGACAAGCTGAGTAAAGTGAGAGGGGCGGAGTTGAAAGAATCGCGGGCGGAGAGCAGACATCCCAGTTGGACGCAGCTGTACATGGAAGCCCAGGGCATCGGACCTACAGTAACCCTCTCCCTTCCCATTCTGACAAGTGATCAGCGTGTTTGGAGAGATCAGGCGTTATCTGGAGTTGTCGGTACGAATGAGATGTTTGGCACAGAGTGCAACAAGTTTTTACAGCAATTGATATTGCGATCAAAGAGTTCACCAAGTTCCTACCCACTTCGAGTGAACAAATGTACGCGTATATCGTCGACAACAACGGAATGCTCATCTACCATCCACAACTTCAAATCCCTGTAAGTATCCGATACTTTCCTAGATATAAAAAAGGAAAAAAATTCAGAAAACGGAAGTGCATTGCATCCGTCGGAGTGCTTGTTATGATGCTCAACAAGTGAAACAAAGGCTGGATCAGGACTGAGGGTGAGATTTCGAGCAAAGTTGAATAGTTGAGCAAATGTTTCAGGTGCACTATGGATTCAGTGACGAGAGAGTTTATCGGCTGGTTGGACTGATTGACAGTATTCCCACCTTGGATATGGTATCCATCGTATACTGTATCATCTAATTGACAACATCTTTCAGTATGACCTGGAAGGTGATTCCACTGCGATCAGGGACTTGAGAAGGCGGATAACAACGAAGACGTGCTACGAAGAAGCCATCAAAGATGTGAGTTGGACCAGAAAAGAAAAGGACCACATTTAATTTCCAGGAATCAAAAGAATTTCACTGTGCTCACATCAAGAACTCGCCGTTCACAATTGTAATTGTGAACAACGTGGATCTGAAAACTGTTTATTACGATGATAATGTTCCGGATCTAGGAGTGCCCGATAACAAACTCGTCACTTTCTTCTACTCGCGGAGGGATGTTTGTCAGTGGAAACTCGACGATTACCAAGCAGCCGACCGTTTCGCCGTCTGGACGGACATTTCCAACAAAGAAGAGTGCTCGTTGGACGACATGAGACTGCCCCGAGCATTCGCGAAAGGACTCACCAAATGGGCGACGTCGTGGCCGAAATCAGACATCGACATGGCCTGTCATCACGTACAGTACCCCGAGAACGCCTCCGTTCCCCACTACGTGAACAGTTTCGTTCACACTCGCTCCAAATTGACCGCATTCTATCCGACATGGTATCGTTCAGTCGTTTCAGTTCTTTTCTCATAACGTTTTTTCCAGTTCAAGTCAAGATATGAAAACAGTGAACAAGAAGTTCGACGAAGAGATCAAACTGACCAATAACAATGACTTTGTGCAGTTCTCGATGCGCTCTGGCAGTCTGCTGATCTACCGAACAATTGCAGATTATGAGAACAACCGACTGGCAGTGGTGGGAACTCAATGGAAAGAAAACTATTTCGACCAGTACTTTGACAACTTTACGAAGATGCACTCGGATTGGAAAGTCTGCAAAAAGGTATCGCACTCTTCCATTTCACCGTTAAACAAATGAATCATTGCAGCAAGAGTGTTCGATAATCACTCGAAACGGCCACGTCATCGCTTCGTCGGCCACCCGAATGCCAGCCCATCTGGCTACTTTCGACCCTCAACTTTTCGAATCCCTTGTCAAAGTGAATTTGGTCTCCACAAATTCCTGGGTAGATGTTCAATCCGAATGCAAAGCGAAGAGGATCGCCCCGTGGAGCAGCGCAGCCCCCGCTTCCAGCAGCATCCTTCGTTACTTTGTCAATTCTCTCTTCAACTTGGCGAAGACGTCCTTCTGGAAGAATCTTTTCGAGTCCATGGTCACACTGGTCGACGCACAACCCTCGATGAGCGGGAAAACGTGCACTTTCCAGAAGATCAAGCCTTTCGAACGATGTTTCATGAAGTTTTTCCACTACCGGATGACTCTGAATATCACCAAACAGTTGCAATTAACGGGAATATCTACGTGTTCCAGGTAACGATAGCTCCTGAAAAGCGAGTTTGTTTCAACAAAAGTTTCAGATATGCCAAATTGTATCCCGTGCCAAACACAACCCTTTCACTTATCATCGCAGATCGAGCATGCAACCAGTATAAACCGAAAAAGACCTACGAAGCGGAACCCAAAAAATGTGAGTCAGATTGTGCAGAAGTTTCAATGATCGTTACGATTTCAGTGGAAAAGTGCGAGGTGGTTCATTCGCATGCTCGTCGAAAACCAGATAGTCTCAACGACTGGAAGATCGAATTGCAGGTGGGGATTTCCAGATTACCTGAAGATGATCCGAGTGGTATCAAAAGTTTCAGAACAAACACGTGGATTGCGTCAATGGCTCCTCCGTCCGGAACGCATTCCTCTTTTCTCTGATCTTTGTCGTCGCCGCTCGAATTTTCAACTGATACTTCATCCTTGTTCTGTGAAATAATGACGTGTTCTTATAATATGGATAACATTCACTTTCCCGATATAATCCAAGTGTTCTCTCTGTCTCTCTTCCTAACATCTCCTATGCGGGTGACTCAATAAAGATTTCGGTCTAGTTGAAAATTGAAATCTTATCCGGGATAATCAAAGAGATCTGTGCTGCTTCTTACTTCTGCAGACATCAAAACAGAATGATAACGTGATTCCGGAGCCAAATTGGGTTCAAAAACGATACCCGGGTTTTCCGAAATTGAAGAAGTCGTTACAGTTAAGACATGGTGATAAAATAAAACAAATGCTTTCATGAAAGAGGGATGGTAACATTTTAATCTTCCCATGCCAAATGCTCAAAAAGATACGAGGAATTGAATTATATTTATCTTGACATTTCTTAGGTTTTGGAGATATCTGGATCTAGTTCTTGGCAGTTCCTGGAAAAATCCCAATCATTTCTTGGTATCCCTGTATTCTCTTGAACCTGAGACCTGGACCAGTTTGTTCACAGCTCAACTGCCACATCCCTTCCCGTCTAAAGTCCATTCTGCAAAACTCAAACTCGAGGAACCATCTGGAAGCACTACGCCCTTCCTTTACAACGCACAAAGTGGCTCCCCAACCTTTGGCCCGCCGCTTGACGTAAACGACTCCTTGAGAATGGCGAATCCACAGTAACGGCTTCCTTTTCCACGCACTCATGACCGACGGATCCCGTGCCCACTAAGTCCGTGGGCGTACTCTCTCTTGCACAGTAATCTGGGAAAGTGGAGGCGTGCGGGCAAGGCCCCTCTCATCGGCTATGCAGGTGTGGCTGGCTCCTCCCTACCGGGCTATAAGAAGGCTCTCCGAAGGCCTTGACTCACTCTTCCCATTTCATTTCCCCCCTTTTTTGTGAAAGCCTCTTTTTCAACGAATAATCTGCGGAGAGTGATTGTATTCTAACACAGAATGAGTGACAAATCGGCTCTTCGCCCATCATGCGACCGTTCATCCGAATCCTCCGAATTGATTCTGTCACTTCCTTCTCCGAACATCTTACGTCAATCAGTCACGGCATCTGACTTCTCCGAAAATCTTCCGCTAAAGTCGGCGTGATCCTCTTTTCAGATCAGGGGTCATTCTTCCCTTCAGACTCTTTGTATACTCTTAATCAAATCTGCCCGCCGACTCACTAGTCAGACTGTTTTATTATGTCCTCGGCGCTGCATTGTTAGACGTCGTACCCACATCATTCGAATGCATTATTCAGCCTGATTCAATCTCATTTCCCCCCTTTCCTTATTCTTGATCAAACTGGTCTATTCATCAGGGTCTAATCCAGATTATACAGATTGTGTATTTCTGTTCCGGCAGAACACAACTATAAATACCAGAAAGGAGCACGAAGCCAATCACATTCTTTTCGATCTTCGTCATGTTTCCGACACGTGAACAGAATGTGAAACCGAAAAAGTTCGTAGTTCTTTGAAACCGTCTCATCGAAAACCCGAATTCATGAGATAATCATAACATGTGGGAGTTGCATAAAAACGTCCGATCTCGTGGGTTGTAAAGGGTGTGACTTTCTGCCCCCTCTACAGTAACTGATAAGGCATTCCTGCGCGCCCGGAAGTCCCCATCTGCAACCCTTTCGTCTACTTCTCTCTTCACAGCATTCCATATAAAAAGGGAACCCGAGTGATTGTTTTCTTCATTCTTTCATTCCCTTCAATCTGTTCTCCGTTCTCACCGTCCTCATTTTCTGATCGAATCCATTCAGTTTCAGCTATGCGTCTCCTCATCTTGGCTCTCTTCGTGCTCTTCGCCATCACCCAGGCCTATCCGTCCACCGAATACCAGCCTCGTTACCGCAAGAGCCAGACCCGTGAGTTGTCCTTTCGTTTCCTGTTGACCCGCAAAGTGTCCGGTTTCAGAGGAGGCTAACATCCAGCCGTTCATCCGGTTCCGCAATCGACCCAGCCTCAGAACTGGATGTTCCGTCCCGACGTTGCGCCGTACTTCGAGTGATCTCCTTCGTCGGATCGTTCTCGCACCATGTTAGAAATCAACTGATACACAATAATACTCTTTTCCGTTTCGAGGGGAAATTGTGAGCACTATTCGATATCATACGTCGTCTGATTTCATTGATATTGATATTAATAATAAAAGCTTCCATTGTTGATGATGTAACTGAAAGATGAAGTCGTTGTTTTGATTTGGGATCATAGAGGAAGCATATTGAAACCCCGAAACGGCACGGTCACCAGTACAGATTCCTCGGGGAGTGTCTGTTTCCATCAGTTGAAAAGAACTTTCTGATAGATGTTCATAGTGTTGCAGATATGAAGAGACCCAACTGTTTGCTTAACTTTCATTTCGATGTTCCCTTCCCAGCACTTATCAAATCAAACACACCGCTGCCTACGTGTTAATCCACTCCCCTCATTTCTTTTGCTCACAACTATTTCGTTCTGGAAATGTCACTTGCTCATTAACACGGTGAATGAGTTTCTAACAATTTACGGATTATAGCGACTCGTGCACATCGTCAGAAATTGAGTTGTCGCCGCGTTTTCTCATTCCGTCTTTACTATTCCTTCGGTTTCTCTCCCGGGAATAGCGGGCGAGAGCGAGAGACGCAAACGATAGTCACCGGAAAGAAAGAAAAAGCAGGCTGCCTCGTTTTCTTGGCCCAGGAAACCCTCCGGCTGCTCGCAATTGATATCCACAGAGGCTCACTCTCCACCCGAAAACTTTGTAGAGTGACGGACACGGCCACGAAAGCATTCCAGTTGTTTTCTTTTCTTGTCCTTCCTCTTTTGAACAGCTTCTTCAATATGTTTCGTCTGCTCGGAGGGCTCATCCGTCTATCACTCATAGCCTCGTATCCCATTTCATCCATGTGCATATGTGCTAACGGCCAAAGAGATGACGGAGATACATAAGAGAGCGGGAGAGAGAGATTGCTCTGCTTCTGCTCTCCGGCTCTCCGGAAGCAATTCTCTCTATCTCCGGCCGCTATAAATGTGATTAACAATCAGTTCGCTTGTTCGTTTCCGCTCTGATTGACTCCCAAAATAACGGTTCACTGGTCCCCAGTCTCCGGAGAGCGAAAAGAATGTCGTGCTCTTCGGATATCCTCTTTATCAGCCGGATGGCTTGACAGCTTCGTGGGGGCGGAAACGGCTCAAACGGCCCGACATTTGGAGACAGCTCCGGGGGAGTTGGCTTCAGAGTGCAAGTAATTCGAGACGCCACGTCTTCTTCTTCTCTTTCATCGCACCGAGCTCCGGATTTCCGAGCAATCACCTTCTGAGTCACCTCCAAATCGGTAATCCACCTAGTACACCACAAAACTGCTTCTCGCCCATTGTGTCACAAGAAACCAATTTGCGTTTCCCTCCGTTTCTCAAGTTCAAAGCGAGCAAGTGCTGGAATAATTGCGAGAGCCGCGTCCTTTGCGGACACATCTCGCTCGCCCAATCCCCTGCTCACCCGTATGTTATTCCGAAGGTGTCGGGAGTACCGAGTACATTGCCTCCTTTATCTTCTATACAATTTCCAGCGACCTATCTGCCACAAGACCTCATAAAGCCAACGGATTTATGGGCCGTCGAAACCAACGCCTTCTCCTTTTTTCCTTTATCCCCTCTCCATTCAACCATTCATTTTGAAATGTGTTTTATGGATGTATTGTGCCAAAAACAAATGAATAATGGATCCTGGCGCTGCCTTTCCATAACCGCCGCCGCCCCCAACTTGGTCCTCTCAATCAGGTCACTCGGGTGCCTCATTACGTCCCCACGGCCGGCTGTTTCTTTGTGTAGAATATTAAAACGACTTCTTCTTCTCGTGGCTCTCCTCTTTACATTTATATCTTGTTGCCTTCCTCTACTCGTATGCGGCTTCTTTGCTACGCCCAATTTCACTTTGTCCCATGCGAAACTTTTGCAGATCCTTCTTCCATTCCGCGAACAAGCAGTCGGCATGGCTAGTAAGTTTTGTTTTGTTTTCCTTTCCTCCGAATTCTTTATTTCTCCGGAGGGACACGACGCCGTCTGTTTGTACACCTAGGAGGAGAAGAAGAAGAAGAAGTGGTTAGGGAAGAAGGTTTTCTGGAAAGATGCGTGCAAAAACAGCGAAATTAAATGGACTCGGTCGTCATCTCGTGAAAAAGAAACTTGCCGGAAAGGGATACATTTTCGAGTGGCTCAAACATCGAACGATGGAAAAGGGAACACCTGAATGACGTGGTTATCCTTTCAGATTGTCCTCCGCACTGGACTGGAGCTGCTTGCGACTGGCCGATCTGCGTGAACGGAAGAGCCAATGCGGCGACGAAGTTGTGCCAATGCACCAATTACTATGCTCCTCCATTTTGCATTTCTTGTCTGCCAGGTTGGTTATCGTCCCCAGAGTTCCCGTTCAGCTTCTGATTCCAGGATACTGGGGCGAGTCTTGTGACCGTCAGCCTCTCAAAGGAGTCACTTCTGCCAGCGACTTCCCGATCCGCATCCCTCCGTTCCTGGTCAAGCCCATCCTTCTGGCCATCGCCCTCTTCTTCATCCTCTTGATTGTATTCATGATCTACAGGTGATTCTGTTCCCCTCTCTCCTCCACTTTTCCCCATTTTCAGAGTGCGCACCTACATCCGCAGCCGCAAGCCTCCTCGCTACGACGACATCGCCAAGGACCTTCCGCCGCCGTACACTTCCTAATCGTTCCTTCGTTCCCGCCGTCCGATTTCCCCTTTCCCGCTTCATTTCACTTTGTGTGCTTGTTACGAGTTTTGTGAATTTCCAGCTATTGCTCTCCCGATGAAAAAGCAACGAATCTAGAGCACAATTGTCATAAATGACACATAATTCAGTTTTATTGCGTTAGAAGCACGACATTTCGGAGGTTCGTAAAGATCACCAACGAACAAATGATACTTTTGACATTCGATTTCAATAAATTAATTGATCATCATGATAATATAAGTTGGATTGCGTAAGTAGACGGTTGATTCGAAGACACTCATTCCTGTATGACTCGCTCTTCGCCGGTCCGACCGTTCGTCACCGTGATCTTCGGAAGAGGACCCAATTCTCGTTTCGGGGACATTTCAGGAGACTGAAATGATTCAGAGAAAAGTTCGACGCACTTTTAAAATTGGGAATGAGAAATCAGCGGAACCGATATCGAGAGATGCTAATAATTCATTTCATCTCCGTGAATTTTAAATCCATTCGTGACATGTCATTTCCGAGAATGACTCTGCACAAAACAATCACAGGGTTCACAAATCTTGCGAGAATTATGCACACAACCGGACAATGATATCACTTTCTGTTATTTTTCACATTTAATCTCAAATTCTCAGGAACCCTTGCAGAACACTTTTTCTCTGTTTTTCATGATGAGAAACCGGATCCGGCGCGTGGGTTGTTTTCGCAAACAATCACTGGTTCTCTCACCTTTCTCCTACTGTACTTGAAGTGACATTCTTTGAGGCAGGCGAGCAGGAACACGAGCAGAATGGCAGCCAGAATACAAACGGGGATCAGCTGTTCCCACGGCGTTGGGCCTTCGTAGTCGTCGATTATCGGCTCGCTGGTCATCTCGCTCACTGCATTTCTTGGCCAGAATGGACGCGCCGCAGCAGGTGTGGGGAGCAGCTAGCTGCGGCTGCTCCAAGAGCCAGAGCAAACAAGCAGAGGCAGGACAGTCCGGACGGGACGGACGGTGCGAAGTCGAGGTCGTGAGCTCGCAGTCCATTGTATCCGCAACAACAGACGGACGAGCCATTTACGGATCTTGTTGCTTTGTTTTTCTGGAGAGAGAGAGAGAGAGAGAGAGAGAGAGAGAGAATGAAAAAGCAGGGATGAACGTTTATAAATAGAGACGATTTGGATTTCGTTGCAAATGAAGTGAAGTCAGATGAAACTGTAGTAGAATCCGTACAAAGTGAGGGAAAGGGGAAAGGAATACAAAAGTACATATGGAAAGAAAGTGACTACAAGTTTGTGGATTGGTCCATGTTCTGTTTCTTCAAAAACTCGAGATTCACATAATCTGGATCCTCCATCATCGCATTCTTGATGGTTCCAGAGAAAAGCATACTGTCCGAAGTTCCGTATTCGTCTTGGTTTCGTAAAAACTGAAAGAGAATAGATAAATTGCCATTCATTTCCTTTCTAGTTTCTCACGTCTTCATCCAGGAACGGGTTTGTCTGGATCAGCTGCTGCGTCTCCGATTCCGGAACGACGTGGCCTCTTTGACGGAGTTCCGCATCCAGATGATACCTGAAAAAATCTGGCGCTCAAGTGTGTTAGCGTATGCGTCAATATTTGTTGTTTCATTCCCTAATCACGTGTTGCAACTCACCGGTACTGCTGATATTTCTGCTGCGTCTGATAGATGTACTGCTTCTCTTCCATCCCCAGAATGCGCAAAAAGTTCTCCAATTCGGGAATTTCGAAGGCATCCCACTGCAAAAGAAAGTTTGTGTCTGAGTCTCGCAGTCTCTCATCCAATTTGTCATGCCTTCTCGCAATCAGCGAAAAAGAAAAGAGAAAGAAGGAAAGCGTACCAGAATGTCGCCAGTGTCATTTTCTTGCAACACGAGCGCCTTTCCACAATGTGGGCTCGGCCAGTTCAAGACCACTTTGAGTGGGCACACGTCGTCGGAAATTCTTGTTAGCTTTCCTGCAAATGAATAGAATAATGTCAGAAGCAGACGGAGGATGACTCACTGTTGAGGGTACACGCGGACTCGTCAGTTTGCTGCTCGCACTCGTAAAGGGCGAACTTGCGAGGGTTGTCGGCCACGCGGAACTTCTTCAGAAGGGTCACAATCATCTTGCGAGCAGTCGTCTTACTGTCGATGTTGATCACTTTCGACGTGTTTCTGGGCAAGAAGAACGAAGTGATCGTTCTCAGAGACGTCGTTTTCGCAGTGGATTTGGCAGTGTTGACCACGTCGTAGACAGTCGGAGGCATCACTCCCTGCACTACATTTATGGGTCGACTCAGGTTCATGTGCACGTGGATGTGTCCTCCGAACGTCTCTCCGTCCTCGTGCAAACTGATTTCCATTCCCTTCGCCACAGAGTTGTAGGCTTCGATCTTCCGTTGCAAATCCATTTCCTTGTACTCGTCGGTCCATTCGAACGGCGTGTCTTCTTTCACGTATCTCTCGATCACGCGAAGTGTCGAGTGTCTGGACTCTGGCGGTGCACTCGGCTCTTTTTTGAGACTGTCCATGGGAGAAAAAGACTTTGGCAGAGTGAATGAACTCTTCGCAGAAAAAATCGGATTCTCTGCGGACGTGCTTGGAGTGTTGCCGTTTTCTTTGTCGGATCCAGTGCTCGAACTCATTGCAGGTGGGAGGATCAGTCCTTTCGGAATGGTTCCGAGAGTTCCGTCCAGTTGGGGGTAGATGGAATCGAATTCAGATGAAGAAGCGAGAGAGCTTCCAGGCGAGCGGCAATCCAGAGTGACCAGGTCGCGACATCTGGCGTGGCACGTGTAACTGCAGTCTGAAAACGGGGAATTGAGAGATCAAATAGACCGGGAAGGTATTACGTTCGCATTTGAGTGCTTCCCTCAGAATTCCCCAGATGAAGTCGCCACATTTGTCGCACCAAGTCGGATGGAGAAGCGGATGAACCTTGAAGTTGTGGTTGCTCGTCTTATTGCCCTTTCCTCCAGTTGTTATCAGATCCCTCAATGGTCCAAAGTGCTGCCGTTCTATTGTATCATTCCAGACATGACTCGAATCGAGGTCAGCCAGAAAAGTCGCTCCAAAGTCCCATATCTGAAATGAGCATTGGACTCCACACTCACAATCTCAGTTCTTACATCAGTCTGCTCGCCTTCGTCCTCCTGGCCGCACTGATCCAACTGAACTGGTCGGAACACGAGCGTGCTCTCGTCGTACTCTCCGATCGACTGCTCGCTCTGAGGACTACTCGTAGTCGATGTCTCCTGCAAACCAATCATTCAATCATCTCGTCACCTCGAGTTGCCCTCCCTTTCCCTTCACTCACCATTTTTTCGTCCTCCGATCGGAGACCTAACTGCGACATCCAATCAGGGAAGAGGCCCAACTGTGACAATTTCGTCCGAAGGCCACCGAACCAACTGAAAATAATGGGAATTTAGGGCTGAATGGATCCTCTTTGATGTCCGAAATAGTACGTCAAGTGGCGGATTGTGCCAGAGAAATCGCGAACAGATGGTCGGTTGCGGGTGGCGCACAGGATTCAAAAGGGTCTATCGATCGGAGGGGCAGAGCGTTGTAAACGAATCAATTGATAAATACATTGCCACAAACGAGAGGAAGAGGAGGAAGGAGGACGGATATTAAAAAGTGAAAAAGAAAGGAGGCAGTCCGTCTCGGCATGCGGGATAATTGAGAGTTTATATCAAAACATGTGCCTGCTTCTTCTTGCTCTTTGGGATCACAGACAAACTGAGAAGCTTCGTGGTGGTAGGTTAGTTTGACAGGCTGATGATGTTCATAAATCACGGAAAGATGATAAGTTATAGTCGTTGAAGCGAAAAGAGAAACGACTGACGAGGAGGTAATGGGTGGGGGAAAAGAGAAGAGAAAGCGAAAGCGAGAGGAGCGAAACGACCTTATGATCGGCAGAGAACACAAGGGATCGATTAGAAGGACTTGGTGGCCCCGGGGCAGATGACATACCTGACATTTGTGGAGGATCCGGTCGACGTGGACGGCTGGAAGGCGTACGATTGGTACGTCGGGTCGTCCGTCGCCACGCGGACGCTCGGCTCACTTTCTGCAACTCTCTCTCTTTTTCTCTCTCTTTCTTCGTTCTCTCGCCCCTTGTCACTTCACTTCCTACTGATTGTCAATAAAAAATGAGAACAGAGTGAAAGTTTAGGGTGTAAACGAGTGGGAGCTCCACGGAGCAACCGAGCAACTCTTTGACGTGGCAGCTATTACCTTTACTTCTGTCATTGTTGTTGATGACCGAACGGAGCATGTGCACGTACAGCTTGTCTGAAAAATGGTCGTCATTCGAGAGTGAGGAAAAGTGCACACGGAGCAAATTGCGGGACAGATTATGAAAAATTCATGGGTGGTTTGGTTTTGTGTGGAGAGAAAAGAGGAAGAGAGGAAGGGAAGGGAGGATCAAAAGTGAGTGAAATATGAGAAGACAGAAACGAACAAATGACGGATTGGCGGGCAACGCAAAAGGGACCGTAATTATTGGAAGCGGGCCGAATATTTCTGTATTCGGGCCGGCGACGACTGGTATTGAGAGGAGGACGTCCGAAATGGAGGTCAGGCGGACAAACAGAGCGTGGAAAGAGCGTTCCTAGTGAGGAGGCGCAGAGGGAGGATACTGCGAGACAGTGTGCAGTTGGAGCCGGGAAGTGCGCGAGAGACGACATGCTTCTTGTTTGTTGCATTCCATTTTTGGGTGGTCTGTTCTTGGCCTCGAATTCGAATTATTAGTCACTTCGTAAACACGACTAGGATAGTGATAGTGTTGGTCAGTTTTATTTAACAACGAACGATTGAAAGAGATCAAGGGCGCGAGAGACTATGACAGGAGGAGAAGTTGACGGCGTGAAGCCACCCATCCGATTAAGGGATAAGTGTCGAGTTGGGAGCACTCAGCCATGGGACCTCTTTCACCCAAAGAGCTCAGAATAGGCGAGCCTCTTTGCATGTCAACAAAACCGAGATATGAAATGTTTTTGAAAACAGAATAGAAAAAGAATTCTAACGGGGACGACCTATATCACAAGAGAAAAACTTAACGAAAAATATGGATAAAATATGAAATCATTTTAGTGGTTGCGGGTGAACAGATAGTAGAAGAGTGCGATCTGCATGATGAGTACGATAAAAATGAGGGCGAAGAGAACGCCGAGGACGCGACACTGCCACGCGCCGCTGGCCGTCGAGTGTCCGTCTTGTTGCGATACCGAGGTGAACACCGAACCGGATCGAGTGCTGGAAACAGCGAGAGAATGGTTGTTATTCAACAGACGAAGGACACTCACTTTGTTTCCGGCATGTAGTGGTTTCTTTCTAAAGTCGGCGCGACCATTGATCTGGGCGGTCCGAAGCGTGACCTGGCTGGAGAGGGCTGTGCCTGTTCGTGCATCATTTGTCGGCGTTGTCTCGAGAAGATACTCGGTGTAGTTGGACTGCCGAAAGGTCTTGCACTTCCAACAATTGACATGCTTGCCACAGAAGGAGCGAGTTGTTGAGGTGTTTGAGCTCCTCGACTCCTGGAGAGCAGTCCTGGCCGGAAATGGCTCTGAAAGGTGCGCGTGGACTGAGCAACCGATTCGCTGTCTTCCCATTCCATCGCTTCCATGTAACTGTTCTCTTTGTCTTCCAAAAAAGCACGATTTGACCATGAAGTGGTGTTGGTTACGTCACGGAGCAAGTTTGGAGAAGAGCGAGAGAATGGTGGAGTAGCAGAAGGAGTACGGTGCTGAGGAGACTGACGGGACCGGTTCAGGACTGCGATGTCATCGAGAAGAGAAACGTTCCGACTGTTTTGCGATGAGCACTGAGAGATTGGAGTGGAAGCGACCGAGAAGGCACTGAAACGGAAAAACTAGACGAATTGTTAACAGAAGTATCACCTAGAAAGGATTTTGTTTGGTCTCTTTTTGTGCAATTTCTTTCTTGGAACCATAGTAACTGTAAAAGACAGAATAGTCGCGAAGGAGGCGCATCCACACTTGATAACAGCCATATCTTGAGTCAGATTCTGAACTAGAAAAATGAAAAACATATAATATTTCTGAACTCACATCCATCGGAATTAGGGAAGTGAGCAAAGAGAAGGTTAGAGCGATCGGGAGGAGAAGATCCGTGAGAGTAACTCGGCACCTGCAGTTTTCAGAGTTCGTTCTCGTTTCATTTGCTTTTGGAGTATTTACATGTTATTGTAAACTGCAATCAGATGGGCGAAGAATGTGAACACATTGATCGCGAACGAAGACGAGTATATAGCCGGCAGCTGATCCTGAAGGATCTTCGGAAAACTGATCAACAGGCAACCGGCGTCCTGCTGCAGGAAGTCGATGGTGGCGAGGAAAAGAAAGATCAACGAGACGAAGGAAGCTATGTGAAGGGATTCACAAATGGTTCCGCCGGCAAAAAAGAAGCGACGGGACTTCTTCTTGCTACTTCTCATCACTTCTTTGAGCGTCGATCCGAGCGCATGCTTCAATTGCTGCCTCATGTTCAGCAAATACGAGTACTTCCTCTGTGAACAACATATTTTCAGTTGGATGGTTTGGATATCAAACAAACCTTGTCTTCCTCCAACTTTCCGTGAACTTGAATCGTACATCTCGGGCACAATTGATGCGTTCTCTCGAGTTTGTAACGGAAATCCTCCAGTTCCTCATTCCATCGCTCCTCGTCGACCGCTTCGAACTCTGCTACCTTTTTCATAATTATCTCCTGTCCAAGATTACATTCTGAGCACAATCCATTTGCCGCTTCTGAAGGTGACTCTTTTCATTTTAATATTCATAAATTTTGGATAGCTCACTGGGACTCATATTGACTCCGTTGAATCTGTCCAGAAATCCTTCCGTTCTTTTCTGCTCCCTCACTCGTTCACAGTACTGTTTCGGTGCCGTGTACGACTGTCCGGGAATGCGTCGGTTGTAGTCGCCGTCCTCATTGAACCCATTGTACTGTTCGCACGACGGACACGTGAAGCTGTTCCGATCGTTGTAGTTCACTTTGGTCGACATGTGACAGAACCAGCACTCGACGCTCGATTTTAATCTAGGTCTGAAAACGAAGATAATCTGAACTGGAAAGGAGCTGAGTGATGTACCGAATCGCTCTATAGATGATGGGAACTGAGGCGATGGCCCCCACTGCGGCAACGACTTCCATCTGAAACGGTATCTAATGAAAAAGGGAAAGAGAGGATCACACACACACAAAAGTAGAGTCAATCGATAGAAACATATTATTAGAAACCGAATTTAACTAATAATAAACGTGTCGGATTTATTACCAAACTAGAGACACAATTAATGGAATAGACATCGCACAAGTACGTATACACATACAGAACAGGAAAATAGCCGATAACTAGGGGCCTTGCTGACGAATGGAGCACTCGGAAGCACTAAAATGGAAAGGTTCTGGAGTTACACTCGGAAGGAAGTCTTGGATAAATGGGGAGAAGCGGGCGAGAAAAACACAAATTTACGGGGAGAATTTCGCAACATCTGAGGAAAATGGAGTGATTCGATGAATTACGAAACTCGTTGGGTCAGTTCTAAGTGTCCCAATCCTAAATCCAGGAAAAAAACATCATGTTACAGAGAAACAGAAGAATGATTAGGAAAAGATCGTTTCCAGAAAATGCAGGGGCAAGAAGGATTACTGCTTCGTTTCGATCGCTTCGAACACCTTTCTCGCATTCTTTATGTTCATCGTAATCATCGGACCGGATGCGTTGCCGTCGGGGACCACAATCTGCAGAGATATATAAATTATGAAAGCGTGAATACTCTCTACCATGACGTATGTGTTCTGAGTGAACGAGTCGATGAAAGCGGAAAACTGGCTGTTGCGCACTTGGATCGAGTCGAGCTTTGAGCCCATCTTACTGAAACAACAACCGACGCTTTCCATTTCCCAGTCTCTTGAACTCACGTGCACGACAGTTTGAACTGTTTTATGATGTTGGACACTTTCTCGAAGCGATGCGGATCCTTGTGTTCGCGGAGCACGGCATGAGCGATCACCAGGAAAGTGGCTCTTTCGAACAGAATAACCTCGTCGGCGTCGAGAATCGCCCCGAACTTCATGAGTTTGTCTTCGACTGTGCCGACGTTCGGCACCAGATGATAGACTATGGCCGACCACGCTTTGTAGAGAGTCTCGTCCCAAATGCTACTTTTGAAGCACTGGCAGACGGCGATCGGACGCTCGCTCTGAAGAGGAGTGGCCGCCAATTCACTGTATCTCATCACTTCGGCCTCTCGTCTTTTGAACGTCTGTAAACGGGAACTGCATTTGAGAACTTGTTTTCTTAGCATACCTCATCTCTCTTGTCCTCTTCGATCAAATCCATCTTGTGAATCAGGCAGAACACCTGTGCATTCGGCGAGTTCTGGAGAAGAGCCTCAAGGCAGGACTGATAGTATCTGAGATCCTTGTCGAATTCACGGCTCTCTACGTCGAACACATATATCAGCACCTGCACGTTCTTGAAGATCTGGTCTTTCTGCGAAACAAGGAAGTTCTCCATGAACGACTCTTGGCCTCCGCAGTCCCACAGATGCAGAACCATGTTTCCAAGGAACCTGACGTGCGCGTGCTCCACTTCGATGGTCGGTCCGAGACGCGAGCAGTCACGGGCGATGTAATTGGCGAAAATGATCGACCGCATCGACGTCTTTCCGGAGCCACTTTTGCCCATCAAGAGCACTTTGCGCTTCGACGACATTCTGAAAATAGTTTTACAGTTTCAGGCAGTTAGGAAGAGGTTCACAAGAAAAAAGGAAAGTATTGCAAATGATTCAAACATTAGTTATAATCACATGTTTCCCTAAAATATAGCATCAATCTTTATTACTTCATGAAGAAATACAATGAAATATCGGTGATAGACGAGTGAAACGAAATAAGATGGAATAGAAGATCAATTCTCGCAAGGAAATGAATATTAATTGAGAAAACTCCATAAATACGTCAAAATGTTGGGATGATTAATCATCGAATTAGAGAATAATGAAATTTCAATACCACCTATACAATTGGAAAGTAGCGGGATGTGGACCTAAAAGTTTCCCGAGTAAAATATATTATGTATTAGAAGAAGTAACAAAAAGACCGTGACACCTAGACTTTTTCACTCTTTATCATCGTCTTTGATAAGAGAAAGCTTTTTGAAAAGGATGAGATAAGAGATGAAAAAGTCGGCGATTACGGCCTGCGAAACGGTTTCTAAATGCATCGGATGCAGCAATACTCGCCGAAAACTCTGGCATTTCGTTATTAATCTAATCGTAGTCTACTCGAGTTATACGGCGGCCTAATAAGATTGATATGACACCTAATTAGATTAATAAATTGTCTAGCTAGATTAATAAATCTTCTAATTAGATTGATATGTGCTCAAATCAAGTTTCACGCCAACCGTCTGCTGGCTCAAATCTCGATTGCGCCAAGAAAAAACAGTCCAATCTAATTAGGTCGCGTTTAGATCAGTAACTTTCTAATTAGATTAATATCGAATTGCCAGAGAAGGAAACGCAGGCACTGGAACGCCGTTCTTCGAACCAGAAAAGTGAGAAGAGCTGGCAAAGACGGAGAGAGGGAGAGACTGAAGAGAACCGCAATTTAGAGATTGATAAGTGAATAAGTGAAAATTGCAAAAGAAACACAAACAGAATCGGAATTTTGGTGCAGGAGGTTTAAGTGAATCGCGTACAGGAATATGAACAGGGACGTTTTGAGTGAAAAAAGACGAGGGGAAAGCAATCCATTGGTCTGCAAATCAACACGAATTAAAGATGAACATGAAGTGGAATAAATGGGAGAGCGCCTCTGGACTTTACGCCTCGCTAGAGTTGTCGTCCTTTGGGGGCGAAATGCTGGCAGCCAATCCTACAGTCGCAGGGTCGGTTGGCTTCGAGTCGTTCGAGCTGCTCAATGGCCAATCGGAGCTTTCTCCTTGCTCGGAAGCGTCAGCTCCTGGCCATTCGGCAAAGGCGGCTGCACTTGTGCTGGCAGACGTGGACGGATTTGTGGTGGGGAAGGACGAGAAGTCGGCCCACATGTCATCCACTTGCGGTGGAGACATGTCTGAAAAATCATTATGTATTCGAATTTATGTGTGAAAACATAGGTGGGATTGCTCTCTGAATAAAACCGGGAGACACAGACGAGTGCGATGGACTGAGAAGTGGCTGCGATCCCACCTATCTCATCCTTTATTATTACCTAGATGCGAAAGATCGGGCAATGTTTCGTCAACCCAGATATTGTCAGGACGAGGTCCCGGAGCAGAAACCACGTCGTTTTCTCCGAGTGGGGGCTCCGTAGGCCACACCCACTCGTCGTCCTCATCCGGTTCTATCAGAGCAGTGCTACCAAGGGTAATATCGGGATACGTACTCGTAGCGGCGTTGAACTCAGCAAGCACTTTCTCCGCGTCTTTCTCGTGCTCGCCAGGCCACGTCGACACGTCGAAATTTGCCTTGCCGCCAGAGCAGGACGACGAGTTAGCACGCTCTGAACACAGCTTTTTGAACTCATCCTCGTCTGGGGTTTCCTCGAACTGTTCCATGTCAGAGAACCGTTGCAAGTTGACTTCGAAACTGGAATTGGAAGCGATTTTGCGAGTTTTTTTGACAAAAGTTTTACCCGAACGAGTTCGAGAACCCTCTTTTATTGTTTGATGACAAGGCGTCGATTTCTGCGAACTTCGCAGACGCGTCTGTCCATTCTTCACTGTCATTGAATCCATGACTGCTGTCATTTCGCACGGACGATCCGAGAATGCTCGAGTCGTCGAAAGTTTGCATCTGTGGACGATTCTTCAGGTTGTAGTTCACAATTATATCCTCCAGCTCAGTCCACCGCTGATCCCTGTCCAGAATCGCTGCCAATGTTGGTGGAGGCAGCGGACTTCTCTTGGCTCGGAAAATGGCATCTCCCAAGTTCTGATTGAACGATCGGAGACCGCATGAAGAAACCAAGTTCTGCGCTGAGTGAAAGGAGCACGCCGTATCGTAGATGTTTTTGATTAGACCACTTTCAGCGATCAAATACTCGGCAGCTGGAGAAAGAACTTCTGGTGAGTGGGGGAATCGGGTATGAAGCAACAAAGCGACCATTCTGACGAGCAACGAGTGGAGAACACTTGCACGGGGCATCTTCTTCGCTGCATCGATTAACTGAAATGGGAACTATCTGGATGGACTGAGAGGAGTGAAACCACCTTCACGAAGGGCAGTTTCTGCAGAGCTATCGCAAGTTTCTCATGAGTGGGAAGGTGATTTGTGTTGCAAAGCTCGGTAACCATCCGGAGCAGTGGTTGCCAAACGGATCCGTTCACTTGAACGTCTCTCAAGATTGTCTGCAGAATGTTGTCAACGCGATTTGAAATTATTCCCTCTGCGATTCTCTCGGGATCCGGCTGCCAGTTCTGTTCAAAGGGCTCGTTTTCCATGCACGGTCGCATCAATCCGTAGGTGTAATGCCGTTCTTCCAGTTGGTTTCTTTCAACTTCATCAAGATGTTGAGCCGGAGAACCTCGTACGAAGTTAGTCTTGATAAACGATTCCAGTATCTTTGCCGTTGAACTAATCAAAGCCGACTTCTTAGCGAGTTCTTCTGCAGTGCTGTCCGCCTGAAAGGTATGCAATGATTTTGTTAAGTTTAACTCGTCTCGCCTACATCGAAAACGACGTTTTGAGCTATTTTGGAGATCACAGTATCTTCCATGGCCTTATCATGCAATGTATCCTCCTTGCTCTCGAGAACGTAGAGTTTGTCTCTCAGTTCACGCAGTATCTCGGTGTACACCTCGGCAAGGGCCTCAATGTCTTCGTCAGATTCGACTTGGATCATCCGTTCCACAACTTTCTCGAATACATTCTCGGAGATCATCCACTGAAAAAAATATTGATTCAGTTTGCAGTCCCGTGTTCCTTACCTCTTTCACAACTCGTGTTCCCTCTCCCGTATTCGGAATCCGTACAAGATTCTCGAGAAGACATTCAATTGCTCCGAGGTGGATATTCTGGATGCACTTTTCGAAAAACGTCGTCTCGTTTAGGAGAGAAAACGTCTGCAACTAGTGGCAAAAGGATCAGAAATTGGTTAGCAGAGAACGAACCAGAACGAACTGTCTTGACAGAAGGCATTCCATGATTTTGGCGAAAAACCCGGCGATCAGATGAGTTACAGGGGTTTCGTCGTTTATAAAGTCAATCAGCACTTTCCTGGTTTCGTCGCTCTACAAATTGAACGCAATAAAGACTTTGATAACCGCTCATATATGCTTTATACCGAGACAATCAACTGTTGGTATATATCGGTGCCTCGAATCGTCAGAATTTCAGAAGCGATGAAGGACAACCTGAGACAGAAATTGGTATAGTATTTCTTGAATAGAAACTACCTGTATTGGTCTTTCATGGGAACGTTCGGGTCAATAGAAGGATTTAGACTGAGGTTCAGCAGAGCGACCATATTTTCCGGTTTCGTAATGCTGAAACGATTCCGTGCCATGAAGATTTCAGCATTCTACTCACTATTCAACGAGTTCGGGTTTTCCGTATCGCGAATCTTGTACTACGAATTCATTGAGAAGCACATCTTTCAACGTGAAGTTGTCAGACTTCAGAAGCTGCATCAGCGAGTTCTCCTCTTCCTCCTTTGTCCAGAACATCTGCAAAATCTTGGTAAGCATCGCTGATCGTGCCCGCGCGCATCGATCGGCTGTTGATAACACAACAACGCGATACGGCGGTGAACAAAAATAAAAACGTTTTCGCAACGGACGACGGAGCGAAGAAAACTGAACAGAAACGAGAGGAAGATAACGCCGATTCGGAACGATATGGGCGCGAAAAACTGCGCTGTGCAATATTACGTGAAGGTGTTTACGCGCGCGCACGTGATTTGACGTCAACATTGCGGACTAAGCGGGGAGGAAAAATGGAAATGGAGTCGGGGGAAGCGCGCTTTTCCGTTGTCCCTCCCGCCACTATTCTGGCTGCTTGCAAGTCTCGAGATATCTGAATATGTGATCTGTTTCCCTCTCGTCACACTATGGGAACCATTTCATTAGCCGTACAATTGTTCATTGTATTCCTGCTAACTTCGTATCTCCTGAATAAAGTGAGTCTACACTCGTTTCATCATAATTACCGAGTTCAATTTGTTGATTTCAGTATTCCACTATTCGAAAGCAGAATCCTATAGTAACGATTTCCACGTTCATTGGATGGTATTTCTCTCTGATCATCATATTCGTCCTCCCTCTCGATGTGGCAATTGTAAGTTCTTCTAAAGACATTTTACAGCTGAGTCGTCGTTTTCAGACGTTCTTCCATAAATGCGAAACGGATCGGCAACGACTGTTAAATGTGTCATCGACTCCGGCTCCAGTGATTCCGGAATGCGAGTTGCCGGGAGGATACGTGCCGGATGGCGTGCTCTTTGATCTTTGGCGTGTCGTCTATTGGAGTGCCCAGATGCTTACATGGCTCATACTGCCGCTTCTCCAGAGTTACGTTACTGCCGGCAATTTTACAATTTTTGGAAAAATCCGTGCTGCGGTAATCAACAATGCGTTGTACTACGGAATCTACTCTCTTTGCTTCCTCGCAATTCTCATCTACGCCATGTTCAAAGGAGTTTCCCTCAACATGTAAGAAACATGTGCGTCTAATTCAACATCAATTCAAAGGTTCTGTTTGCAGCGAGAATTTTAAAGTTATTCTGGTGTCTGCCTCGAATACGTGGGGTCTTTTCTTGCTCGTCGTGTTGCTCGGACACGGACTCGTCGAATTGCCGCGCAGTCTCTGGCACCATGGCAATCGGCGTAAGTGAAATAGTACATGGAATAAATGAAAGAGAGCAACTATTCAGATTATCGATTGAGAAGAACGTACTTTGACATCGAAAAGTTAACGTCCGAGAAAAGTGAAGCAGAAGAAAGTGTGAAGGAAATGTACAAGTGAGCAGTTGCAGTTATCAACTGCAGTTATACTCATTTCTTTTTATCTTTCAGGAAAGTTCGAGTAATTTTTAATTCCATGAAAAGTGACACAAATGGTCAGAGAAGAAAAGTGAGAACGATATTGTCAAAGTTTAGCGATGACGTCATCGACCAACTGTTCCCATCGCGTCAAGTTATTGACAATGCCAATTTGGAGGAAGGCGAAGGACACTGCTCAGAAGCAAAACTGATCAATCTGCACAAAAAGACGATCTACGCTGTCCAAACACTCAACAGTGCTACGGCTCAGTGGAAGTGAGCATTTAGTTTTTTTTTTCAAAGTTCAATGTTCTTTTTCAGAGTGCTTGTCGATCGAGCTCTGTTTTTGGAAAATCTGGCGTTTTCGGAGTCGCACGGCTACAACATGGAGCTTCAGAGAATCGGATGTGTTCCCGTTCCGGTCCGCAAGTTCTGGTACACTCGTCTACAAGCTCCCTTCTGTCGAATTCTCGGAGTTGTGACTGTATCGATGACTTTCTTCGTTCTTTTCTCCGAATGCACATTCTTCGTCGTTTCCCACACTCTCTCTCCAGCTGCGCTTGTCACTGAATATGCTGCAAATCGGTTCCATTACAAGTACACGCAGTTTGTTGCCTTCGGAATCATTGTCTATTTGATTACCTGTGCATACTTCACCATCTTTCGGCTCCAAATCTACAAGTATTATCACTTAGATCCGAACGGTCACACTGATGAAAACAGTATTCTGTTCAGTGCGATGTAAGCTCCTACTGGTCTTATAAATTCTTGTTATCCCTTATTTTCAGGCTCCTCTGTCGCTTGACTCCTCCGATCTGCTTAAACTTTTTGGGGATGATTCACATGGACTCGCACATTTCAATGGCGAAAAGCTTCGGAGTTGAGACTCAGTTCACGAAACTGATGGGACATCTGGACGTGATTCCAATTCTCGCCAAAGGAATCAACATTTACCTGCCTATATGTATAATTCTGCTCTGTGCCATTCACTACTACCGCGTCGGAGCCTACGTCCTCCACAATATTGGATTTGACCAGTTTGTGGAAGCGGACGAAATGACGAATGACATGATCAACTCTGGTCGATCTCTTGTGCAGATTGAGAGGAATTCCCTGAGACGATCGAGCGAAAAGAATCAAAGAAATCAGAACTGGCAGAGTAGTGCCGGGAGCAATGGAAATACAACTAATCCCGGTCAAAAATACAAGTGGTCGAGGAAGAACGAAGAAGAACGGCCGATGTTGGAAGAAGAGGAGATGGAAGAGCGGGAGCCGACGGAAAGCACTCGGATCGGGATGTCCCCGACGGAACACCCTTCTTCGAGTGGCTTCTTTGACGACATGTGAATGAGCTCGAGCTGATTATTGGACGGTGCTTGTAAATGTGTATTTGCTATTAATTTATTTATATCGCATAGATTGCCCAATGAATGTGAATACTGTTCGAATATGTGTGAATTTAGTACCAAAAGGTTCTCAACCTTCATTCATTCCTTCTCATTGTCCTCTCATGCCATCTCGATTTCTTTTATGTTTCAGATGGCATTGGCATCCTCCTCGAATGCCATTCCGATGGAGGAGCTCTTCGGAAATCCGTTCAGACCGAAAAAGGAACGAGTTGTGAAGGAGGAGAAGCCATTCGAATACACGCCGTCAGCCTACGTTCAGATGATCGACCAGATGCTTGGAACAAAAACACGGCCGTGGAATCCCGACAGAACGCCGATCAAACCGATTCAGATGCTGTCACTTCCAGAGATGTCCCGAGAAGAACGGTGGATCCAGTGGGGGATGGAGAACTGTGCAGTCAAGGCGACAATCTCGGGAGTACTCGGAGTAGGAGTCGGATTTGCATTCGGACTTTTCACCGCTTCCGTCGATCCGCAACTGTCCATGGTCGGAGGAGATCCCACCAAACAAGTATAGACCTCAACTTCACCTGATTCTCATAGGAAACCGATACTAATTTCAGCTCACTCTGAAACAAACGTGGAAAGAGATGTCTAGTCGAATGAAATCGTACGGAAAAAACTTCGGATCCATCGGACTCATGTTCTCCGGGGTCGAGTGCACGCTGGAAACGGTGCGAGCGAAGAGCGATTGGCGCAATGGAACCTACTCCGGAGGCATCGTCGGAGGTCTTCTCGGTCTGCGAGCAGGAATCATGCCAGCCATGTGGGGAGCCGCCGGATTCGCCGCCTTCTCGACCATCATCGACCACTACATGAGAGGCTGATTGTCACGGGTTCCCTAGATACCTTCTTTTTGTTTTAGTCAGCTTAGTCCCCTTGTTTTGATCCGTTTTCTTTCTTTTGTTTCTAATAAATTCGAAGCACTTCAGATTCTGCGCCCCGGTTCTCACCATAAATCCGAATGTCGCCTGGGCGTCTGTCCCCCTCTTCACTCATTTGCACATTTGTCGTTGAGCAGTCTCTTCAGAAGTTGCTCTTACGACAAGTGTCGATTACCTTGACCCTCATCGGCGGAAAGGTGCAAAGTGGGCTGTCACTCACAACAAGCGGCTCTCTCTCTCTCCGTGTCCGACAAATCGTTTACGATGCCGCAAAAGAGACCGCCCGCGCAGCTGCCAACGTGGTTCCCTTCCGGCATTGTTACAGTATTCGAAGCACCGAATACAATGATTAATTGCTACACGAGTCATTTTGACCGTTGTTGCGCAATCCGATTGCCGGCTAATGACTCCGAGGCGATAGGTGTGAGAGTTACGTCATCTGAAAACGTATTGCGCGGTGCAATGATAACGAAATTGAGCGTAAATTGCAATTGGAACGTGTTTGCGAAGTAGTAAATCATATATGATTAGGAGAAAGAAAGAGAAAGAGAGAGAGAGAGAGTTGACCTGATTAGGTAACAGTTTAAATTATTTTGAACAGACTGATGAGAATCGCAAATAGACTATTTGATAAACTCTGTTGAAACATCCCTCGGGAAGGCGTCTGGACGGTCCCAATCGAATCTAATAGCAATTGTTATTCTAAAACCCGTCGCCGCTGACATATCACTTGTTTCGCCTCTCTTCTCCGTTTCGATTCCTGTTGGAATCGGTTCGCTCACGCTTCACTGGACACCGTATCCGCCGAAGGCATCGCAGAGTTGTGTGATCCTATCGGAAGAGGTCCGGCAACAGTACGAACCTCTCCCCGATGGGCACCCGCACTCCGATTGATTGCAATCATGTGGGCGCCCCTTCTTCCGTTTCTTCATTCCATTTTTGACATCTATGCATAGTGTCAGTTACAGTAGTCCCGGCGAGAGAAGGCGGGCGGGGCCACCGTAACACAAATATTTGCATTCGAAAATATGTTGTGACAAGGGGGGGAAGAGAAGTTGCGAAAACGCGAAATCGGATCGCAATTTGAAAGCGATGACGCTAATTTAATTAGTGGCCTATGATCTGGTTGAGTGAAGTTTCACTGTTTGTTTTGATTCATGACGACCCGACACACAGGCGTGCGTCGACACCAGCAGCCACAGAAGAAGCCGAAGATGAAGGAGGAGGAGGAGGAGGAGGGAAAGAAGCGAAGATTACTGTAGATGAGTAGCAGAAGAAGATCAGAGAAAAAGAAATTTGCAGACAGACCGGAGACATTCAGAGCAGAAAATGAGCATTCGCAACTGGAGCTAATCGATTTGAGGGAGCAGGTACTGTACTGCCAACTACTGATAAGCCACTCTCCCAACTGCTCTCTCCCGCATTCATTCCCTTTTCTGCCACTGATTACTCGGTTTCTTCTCCTACCAAATGCCCTCCATACTTACGTGTTTATGTGTTTCCCCCCTGGACCAGAAGGTGTCATCGTTTATGTATTCTTCGAGGTCCATTACCTAACAAGATGGTATTCGAATGCTCGGTTACGCAACCCGGCTCACTGTCCAACTTATGTGTCCTTGGTGTCTGTGCATCTCACTTTCGCACGTTCCCTCCGTATCAAGATCGTGTGCATCTTGAGTTACGCCACTTCGACGACTTGTGTACGTCGCACCTTATAATTTGCGGATTAGCCGACATCATCGCATTTGTATGGAAATACGGGCGGCAACTCTTTTGTCCGGTGAGAAACTACAGTACTCGTCTCTCTCTCGGGGCCACCGTACTTGAGGCATTGTGCTCGGCGTACTTGAAGTAATCCTCTTTCGATGCTCCGCTGGCAGGTGCTATTATAAATACTTCTCGCCATTGTGCGATGACACTGTTTCGTCGCGACTTGCGGCCGAGCAATTGCCGGGCGTGTGACTTTGAAAGAGGCCAATTTGTATTTGGTTTCAAGTTCCTGCGATCTGAGATCACCTGTCACCATGTGCCACGTCAAACAGGGTGGCATAAGTGAAACCTCGATAATTTGATCTGACGTGGCAAATTGATGAATGGATTTGATAAGGCGGAAGGAAGGATGGAAGACAGTCCCTTCCATGTTTAGTACGTTCTTCTCCCAGACACTCAACACCCGCCTCACCCCGTATCACTGTTATCAGTGTAATTGCCTCCTGATCGGCTCAGCTTCTGCGGCACACTTTCATCTTTTTCTGTTTACACTCTTGTCCACTTTCAGACGCGCATCGACAAATTTATGATTTATTTGGAGGTATTATGTGATAGAAGCTCGAATAGGAAAGATCAATAGAATCATGATGAATACCGCGTGCGGTAAGAGGAGAAGCACGCGAGAGATCGGAAAGGAAGCTTAGAATGCTGAAAGGGGAGGGGAATGAGAGACTAGAACTGATTATGGTAAATTGGGAAAGGGACGCTATCATAATGATTGGATGGCAGAAGATCCGTTCTCATTCGGAGAAACAGACTTCTTCTCAATCTGACGGATCGGCGCCTCCAACGGCATCACTCGCGAGGCCATAATGGAGAGCAACTTCTGACTGTCGATCGGAGGAGGGAGGAAGAATGCGGGCATATTGGGACAGGCACGTGGATTCATCGGATGGGAACCGGCCATCATTGGGATCGGGCCCATCGGAGGCATCATGCGGGGATTCATGAACATGCCGGGCGGCATGAACGGAGGGAACTGCATCGGATGGGCCAGCAACTCGGGCATGTTGTCCGCCGTCTTTTTGAATCTGAAAACACTTGACCCTCGTTTCGAAAAGTTGTCGTTTTCCCAAGGATTGTGCCCCGGTGGGTGCGATTAATGACAACAAATTGGTGACAAATTATCGAAACAACTGTCGTTGTCGCTGTCGTTATGTGTGCACAGCCGACGGCTACCTCAAGTTGTAATGCTCGGCCCAGCTCGCCCGGACTCACCTCTTCCTTCTGCGCAAGAAGGATCCGTTGTCGAACATATCCTCCGAGTTCGGATCCATCGTCCAGTAATTGCCTTTTCCAGGATTGCCAGGTCCACGTGGCACTTTAATAAAGCAGTCGTTCAGGGAGAGATTGTGACGGATGGAGTTCTGCCAGGCGGGAAACTTCTCCTTGTAGTAATCGAACTCATTTATGATGAAATCGCAAATCTCAGAAAGCGTAAGTTTCTTTTCCGGAGAGTTGACGATGGCCATTGAAATGAGGGCGATGTAGGAGTAAGGAGGTTTCGTGTGCGCCATTTTTCGGTGGGAAGACATTGACTTCACTCTGAAAAAATAGAATTTGAGTGGATATACTTTAAAAAGGGTAAGTTACGGTCCGGTCTCTTCACTGTCCTCGTCCTCCTTTCCACTGTTGCTCTGATCGTCCGATGAACTCTCCACTGTGCTCGAAGTCGAATTGTTCCTTTTGCTCGCTTTCCTGGCTGGCTCTTCGCGTTCATCTCCGACCGATCTGCTTCTTTTCCGTGACTCGTCAGTCGATTTCTCTTCAGATGACGTTGACGGCTCCGACAATCGGGTGTTGCTCCGTGGAAGTTCCTGCTCCAAACTTTCATTGATCGCCACTTCCGGTTCGAGTTTCGGAGGCAAATCCACGTTTTTAGACTTGGTGGAGAGTATGGATTCCATTGAAAATAGCATTTTGAGCCGTTTAGGTCTACTTCAATTGAATTCTGTAAAAAAAAAGTAATAAATGAGATAAGCAAGACTAATATTTTTATAGGCTTATCAAAATGTTTAAATGGACAAGGCGAGGAAACGAAATACATTAATGGAAATGTTGCCATTTGGAGGAGGAGTACGGTAGCAAGAGGAAGAAGAAGAAGAAAAGAAAGTGCGGATGATCATGGATGAGGGAGCACTTGAACTCGGCGGATACTGTAGCAGATGATACCTATTGTTGGGGCGACTCGAGTGAGCCGATTAGAGCCGAAGTACACACTCGGCCGAGGGACCACCAGGCGTTCGCGAAGTTTGTCAAAACAGAAAAACACGAGGATATTGTATCAGTTATCTTAGTTAACACAAACAACATATCAAATGTCGTCGGGACGCGGGAGGGGGAGCCAGAGCAGCTCGGCGGAGATGAGAAGAACAATTGAAAAATGACGGGTTGGCGACGGGATGAGCGGCAGGCTCCTCGCCGGTATACTGTAGATTTATGACGGAAGGACATGTGCAAAGACGAAACGTTTTTTGTGCAACCAACTCAAGTTGAATCGAGTGGGAAGCGAGTTGTAAATTGATGAGCGCGGAAAAGCACGGAGGTGCAAATGGACTACCGTAACCCGAGGGACAAGTGAAGGGAAAGTTCAAGCGTTTTAGTGGGAAAGCGAAACATTTTGATTCTAGAAAGGGACAGCAGGTTACAGAGCGATACGGTAGATGAGGACCAGAGGAAAACGGATGAAGAAGCAGGTAGAGAAGGCTGATCGACCAAGTTGGAGGGAAAGTTTTGATAGATTACCGAGGAAAAGTAAACTGTACCCGTTCCCATCTAAACATTGGTTCTTCTGGGCCCCTATCTTCCGTTTTCGTCATCTCGAAAAAAGAGGGAAGAACAAAGCGTGGAAGCGGCGGTAATTGGATGACACCGCCCACTGGCCACCGCCCCGGCTCCGCCCATTCTGCGTGTCGCTCGAAATTGAGACTCATCACTAGTGACACAGACACACATATACTGACGGAGAAGACACAAATACATATATTTTATCACTGTGATGATCCTGCCGATCATACGAATCAGAGAGAGGGAGTGACTGTTGAATTGGCGGCAGGCGGGCGACGGGACCCGGTCTGTTCTCCTTCAATTACTCAATTTTCAACTACATAATTCGGGTGGCAATCGTGGTTATCTGATCTAGATTGATGGCAGGAAGTCGGCATGTACGACAAACGAGGGCATAATGAGGTAACGCCGGGGGTATCACAGAGGGGAGACGGTCCGCCATCCGGTTATCAGATCGGGGAGTTATCAGTGGAAGAGGTCAGGTTATGTGCACAAATAACGGAGCCGCGAGGACAGAAGATGTTGTTTATGGTCGTAGGAAAAGTGATATAACGGAAGGGGTTTCATTTCAGAAGAGAAGATCGGTTCGGTTCAGTCGTTGACACACAACTGATAATGGGTTCATTGCTGGAATGGATTGGCGGCCGATGGGCTGGTCTCAAAAGAATCGCAGTCTCGAGAGGACACGAAAGGCTATAAATTTGGGTGGAAAACTGCCTTCTGAATTTGTTTTCAACAGTTTATTGTACTTGAAAACAAAATGGACTGGCGTTTGAAGGAAGTTTTGATAGGAAAAGAAAACGGGGAAGCTCTGCAGTGACAAGGAGCAAGCGAGATGGATCGGGGGCACATGTGACAGGGAACAAGGTGGAAGAGGTACCACAGGACCGGCTTACAACCGCAATCTACGCCGCTCATCGATGAAATGGAATCAATCCGCCCATCCGGAAACTTTTCAGTTTTTCAGAATCCGATACACAAAAAATTGAAATTGAAATTGAAAATGGATGAGGCAAGTTCCCGCCCACATCTCAGACCTTCTATCAAATTCGGTTTGACAACCAGTTTGCCCCCGAAACATGTCAAACTTCAGGCGCCAATATCAGCAAATAACCGAAGATTTACAAGGCCATAAACACGAAGGTGCCTCCCTCTTCCGCCCCGGCTGGTCTGGCCGTAAAAAGTTTTTATGTACAACAATACAGGACCGGGCGGAAAAGTTATAAGAAAGTTGCTCATTGACAGACAAACAAGATAATAACGTGAATGCGGGATAAAAGCGTGGAAAGTCGTCAAAGGAGTCGGCATCCGTTTGAGCACTGCGGACTTTAACTGCCCGAGCAGCGGCTGCAGCCGGAGACTCGACACGCAGGTGTCATCGGTGAGTGTCGAACACTCGGGCAACCACAATAACCTGTGCGAGAAGCACCTCGGGACGCCGGCGCCAGAATCGATCCATCTTCATTCGAGGTCTGCCCGCCCTATCTGCGACAAGAATCTTAAACGGTGGGGTCTTCAACCGAGGGAAACATGGGTACACGCCAAGTTTCACAACGATGCGCTGACACGATACCGTCTTTTAACTCGCCGACGACGTCTTCCGTTTCCCGCTAATTGTCGCTTTTTCTTACCGGGATTCCCAGGCTCTCGGATAGAACGACGACGACGACACCGTCATCCGATAATTGGAGCGAACGAATTGGGAAGAAGTCGGCAGATGAAACACATTTTTGAAAAGATTTTTCCCCGGAGGAAAACTCGCGGGCAGGTGCCGGGGGATTAGGTAATAGACACTATTAGGCGGCACGAGCCACTTCCGTTTGGTCGAAAAGTTTTGTGACAGTAATTATGCCCTTTGAGACGATGCCGCCACATCAATGAAACTAAGCGGATCAGGATGTTCAGGAAGGAATTAGGAACATTCTGGAAAGGGGGTTAACAGGCCTACAAGGGATGGATCATATCAGAGTTTCACTGTGACCAATCACAACAATGACCTCGTTTCATCAGTGATCAACTGGATTACCGTAGTGCTCCAACAGGCACGTCGCCCCCATCGATCCTCCCCCGGTGTTTGTTGATCCAGCGCTTGTAAAAACGGCTGTCAGCAGTCGGGAGGTCCGCACCGAGCAGGAAGATGAATTACAAATCGGACGGAGGGCATCGAGGACATCACCTCCTGCTTCTCTACTCTCTTCCTCCGATTGTCACACTCTCCGCGTGAGAATTTCGAAAACTTCTTCCGTGTTTCCCGTTTCCTGACAGATCAGAAAGTATACGGTGCCCAGAGATTCAGAGCCCCCGCACGATAGGCGACTCTTTTTGTAAACTTTGTAAACTGGTGACAAAACTTTACACCGTCAGTGTGATTATAATTTGATTAGTGTTTGTTGTGGGAGCGCACCGGGAGGCAGCAGAAGCTCCCTCGGCAAGTGCATCATCACAATTTGTCCGGTGGCTGATGGATTGCTCGAGCAGGCGGTCTTTCGGATGCTCACCAGCCCACCAACCGTTCGGGGATCGGATTAGGACCACTGGTAAACATGGCAATTCTCGAGCGTATTAATGTTTAATGCATTGAATTCTATTCGATGAGAAAAATAATAATACTACGAGGTTTGGTGTGAAAATGTGCATTATTGGGTGAGCGAGCATATGCGAGCAACAAGAAGGCCGTTAAGAAAGAGAGAAAATGGGATTGTGTTTTTAGGAACCGCTTATATTATTGACATCTCAATACTAAAGAAACTGAAATTGACACTGGAAATAACAATAATATTGGTTCGAGTGATTGGATTACAAGTGATTGAATCCGAATGCCTTTCTACTTCAGTATCTTGGCTCGACGGGATCAAACCTGGATTACGGTACGATTTGAACTTTGGAAAGTATTCCGCTGAGGACTCAATTTACACGCTAATTAATCTTCATTTACAAGTCTTTTTCGGTGCGGTTGTCCAATAGTCATTTCGCAAAACAATGAGCCATTTTCGGCGCTCATCAAACGGTCGTTTTTTGTTCGAACTGTTCTTCTCAATGTCAGATTCGAACGGATGATAAGGAGACCGCAAAAGTATGTGGAAAGGTGGGAGAATGGTAAATGGGCATGGACGGTAATCCGGATGGCGGAATACTGTATCAGAGGGATTAACAACTTGAGTTAATTGATGAGCAACATAAAAGAAAAGCGGAAACGGAACAAGAGGACACAGGTATTTGCATGGACTGTGGGAACATGGGATTATGCAGAGAAGTGACGAATGCAAGTGGCTGCAGTGTGATGTCTGTGAACGCTAGGATAGGAAACATGAAGACGTAATTTTTACATAATCAAAAGAATAACATTTGATAAGCTTTGGCTTTCACTATCATAATCAATCAGAGACGAAAAAATCAGGTTTATGTCTGTTCTCTTCGACTGTTTCAAAGTGTTCGACGACGAAGTGACGCACTTCCTGTCCGCATTCCGCACCGATTCCAACGATCGTCTCCACCTCCGCCGTCCACAAAAGTTATAGCCTTTTGTTTCTTCTGCAAAGTACACGATAGCCCCTCTCTCTCTCTCTATCTCGCCCGGTGGGGTGATAAAACAATGATTTACCCGAGGGGATCTTCTCTTTTTTTAGCGACGGACTCGTAAAAAGCAAGGAGAGACCGTTCGTGTCTGTGTCACAAATCAAGTGCGCGGCGACGGCGGCAGTCGGTGAGATGAAAACAGAAAAGGATGACTGGCTGACTGGCTGGGTGGGCTTCCCGAACGGTAAAAGTGAGAGGGGCAATGCATTCATTCACGAAATACCGGTCAAGAACAGAAAATATATAGGAGTTGGTTCAGAGCTTATAAAGCCGAATGCTCATAACGAAAGGTTTATTGCACGGTATAACGTACAAATAAATTAGGGGTTGATTAGTGATCGGATCATGGCGGGGCAAATAAATTAGGGTGGGCGCGGGAAAACAGAATGAGCTGGCGGCGAGCCAGTTAGTGTTTGTGCGAAGTTGGACGAGCCACGTAGAAGATGGTGGCCGAGAGGGCGGTCGCGACGATGGTTCCGATGCCGAGGAACGAAGCGAAGCCTATCGGAGTGAGGCAGATTCCGCTGGACGACGGAACACGACGGCGGGACTCTTCTTCGGAAACGAGAGCGGCTGCTTCTGGGGCGGCTGGGTTAGATCCCTGAAAGTGATCTCAAATGGTTAACGATTGCTATCGGACCGTCACCTCGATGATATCTAGAGTGCTGAGCTCGACTCGAACGTCAAGGATTCCCTCGTTCTCTCCGAATGATCTCTTCTTTCTGAGCAGTCTCAACTGAGCCAGATTAGCACGAGCAACGGCCGGAGCTGTTGCTGGAGCGGCCGGAACGACGGCGGCGGCTGGGGAGGCGGCTGGAGCAGCTTCCGCTCCGGCTTGAGCGGTTGGCGCGGCGGCAGCATGAGCTCCACCGGCTCCGGCCTGTTTGACAGCTCCGAATCCCTGTGGCTCTGAGCAAGTTGGGCGAGCGCACTCACTTCCAGGATCCTTGATGGTTATGGAGATCTGGCACTGGTAGAAGAGCTGCGAACGATCGGCGTATTTGTAGACGTGAGCTTCCTGGCCGGCCATCAGATCCGTTGGGTATTCCAAGTTGTTGAGCAAGAACTTGTCAAGGGCGCACCCCTCCTCGTTGAGAATCTGGACGGTGTCTCCGTTTCCATCGTCGACTGTGCAAGAGTGAACGACGGCGCAGAAGGTGTCGGTGGTCTCGGAGTCACAGGTCCACTTGTGGTAGACTTGCTGGCCGATGGTGGCGAACTGGATTGGCTGTCCGGATGGTCCTCCGTCGAGAATCTCGTACTTGCAGACAGGCATTGGAACAACCTGGGTCTGGAAGGCTGTGGTCAGGTCGGACACCTCGATCTGGGTGGAGACGGTTTTATCGGACTCCATGTAGAAGCATTGGATGCGGTAAGCGCTGAAACGAAAGCGTATAGGAGAATTCAAAATCCCCCATTCAAAGTGAGAAAATATCTGGAAATGTATTCAATGTCATCTCAATATGAAAAGACGAATTTCTATTATTAAATGTGCACTCGCGCGTGCGCAATCTGCCAATGATCTGAAAGCGAGGGCGTCGGAGAACAACTGACTCACAACCATCAAATATTCAATGTGTTTCCTTGTTTCTAATCCTATTTTAGCGACGCCCTCGAGATTTCCCTCTCATCGCACCTACCGATCGACTTTGGTGACGAATTGAGGATGGAACGAGATGACGACGGTGGTGGAGACGAACACTCCCTTCGGGTTGAGCGAACGGGTACGGGCGGTGTTGCACGAATCGAACGGAAGTTCGATTCCGGCCACTTGACGGCCTCCCTCATCGGAACGACAGCCCGCCTGATCGTAGAGTCCCTTCACGTAAACGTGTCCCTCGAAGGGATTACGGGTGTTGAAGTTAACTGGAAAAGGAGGAATGGAAGGCTCGGAGGGGAAAGGACGGTACCAGTGATGGAGTTGGGCCCGCATTCGACCTCTGGCTCGCCTTCCACGTTGTTATCGACTGGAATCGCAGAAACGGAAAAGACGAGAACGGCGAGGCAGATGATCGGTTTCCACGTCATCTGGAGAGCTCAAAGAAAACAAAATGGAACGAGAAAGGAACTGTGAGAAAAATGAATACGAGGAAGAAGGAGGAGAAGTGTTAGGAACGCCGCGATAATGATGTTGGTTATTGAATGCCGTTCGAATAGGGACGATTAAGGAAGGGAATAATATCAATTGAGAGGCGCCGTCTTTATACCACATCTACAGTAATGTATCATTTCTAGCTGGTTCTTGCTCGTCCTCTCCGCCCCGCTTGTTCGCAAGAAACTGGGCGCGCCAAGGCATATCGCGCCAACTGGATTACTGTGTTGTTACCACTTTCCAATCTCTAATTAATCATTTTAATCTGACACCCCTCGTCGCTCTGCAGCTTCTTCTCTATTTTCAGGGAACAAGTCACTGGATCCGCAAACAATTTTATTGTTTTCTTTTCGTCGCTGCCATTCGACACTTATCGCGCGACGATCTCCGAAAGGCTTGCCGAGTACATCACAAACACATGGACAACATGAGTTGTCATCCTCATCCTCATCACCATCATCATCAGCCGGAGTTCCGTGTCTGCAAGTGACGAGGGTGTTGTTTGACACCAATGGGAGCACCGCAACATTTCCGTCACACTCCTCGTGTCCTCGAAAAAGCAAGACGGAGCTAGGAGCAGTCAGACGAGCAGCACAGTGTCGCAGTCTTCGATGTAAACAAGCGTGATCAGACAAAAGAAGCGATGTTTTTTGGGTTTTGGTACGTGAAGAGCGAAGAGGCGTCTGTTGTTCTGTTTCGAGCTGAAAACCAAAAGAGCTCTGAATGTTTGTCTGATTTCTACTGGCTACAGCGACATGTTTTCGAAAGAAGGTTTTGCTGACAATGTTTTTTCAAGAGTTCATTGGAAGTGTACGAACGTACGCACGGAAGAAAACAAGCACACGCAAATGTAGAGCTGACTACGGATCTCTAGAAGTTTGTCGTTTGTTGTGCGGCGCATTCTCTGCCTCCCCCTTTGTCCATCTCCGTCATTATAAGTTAATCGTCCGGCAGCTGGAGAACGGTTCCAAGTGATGCAAGCAAGCGGTGAACCGGTTCCTCCCGTTCGCGAGAGTGACCCCTTCGTCGCTTCTCCCCCTCATCCGCATCAAACCAGAGCTCATCTGCAAATCCGAGCTACCACTACGCAACTTCCGTCCTCCAATCATCACCGCTGTTTTCTTCCGTCGACGCTCTTCCCATCGAACACTGCTACTTCCGGACATCGTGGTCCTCGTTCTCCTATCGTCGGCCGTCGATCCTTTCACAGTTGTTTTGATCCACCGCCGCCGTTTGTCGTACTCGAAACGTTTGCGCGCATCGCATTCTTTCTCCTCGACTGGTTTCCAACGAGATGAAAGTAACTGCCAATCGACACCCAGATGAACGCAATAACCGTTTTACAATGATGGAAAGTTCAGGCAATAGACAGTTCGCTTCCTTTTTTAGTGGTAGTACTCGTTTTTCGAAGAAATACTCCAATCTGTCTGGTGCTCATTTCCGCTTCCACCCAAAAAACAAAGCGTGTCCCGCTGTTTCCTTTAAAAATAGCCGATTAGATTGGTCACTTGGACCTTCAGATCCCTCCAATCGGCTACCAAATTCAGCTCTGTAATCGTTGGTTTGCGAGAAAGTTCTCAACTTTGCACACTTGGTTAAAAGTGATGCCATTGAACTTGGACGCAGTCGAGTGGAATTTCCACCCTCCGTACGGATGCCCAGGTTCAAACTATTTCTTCTTCTTCTTCCCTTTTTTAATATTGACCACCCCCTCTTTTGTGGGCGCTCAGGAGGGGAGAGCCGGAACCATGTATGAATGCCAGGGAGAGGGAGGAGTAGGAGGACATTAATGCGAATTAATTTTTAGTCCGTTACAAACATCGATCCCAGAATTGAGAAGAGAAGGTTTCAGTGCGAAGACGGCAATTAGCGCGACTCGAAGTGACGAGAAGAGGAGGCAGAATGACGTCTTCAGGAGAGCTATCTCGAATTACGATCGCTTTTTTGAAGTCTAAAGCTGCTAATCAGATGATGTCAAGGTGCGGAAGTGATTCCGAGACAGGCTTTTCCTTGCAGAGCTTATCGGATAAACAAGAGGAACGCTGCCATAAAGAGCAGTGATAGGTTGGCGACATCCGGATCATCGACAGGATAATCTTCTCTGAACATCCCTGAGCTAGCCTGATCGGGAATCGAGCCCCCGCCAGTGGGACGTCAGAAGAAAAGGATGACGGCATGCTAGAACTAAGTGGAAGGATCCTTGAGTTCTGGAAGCTCTTCTGAAAAGTGCTCAAAGTTCTCCGTTTTCAAAAATCAGTGTCGGTTCCCCAGAGTTTGTTAAGTCCTGAAGTGCAGAATCCTCTTGCCAGAAGACGTTTAATCGCGTTATCCGCCGTAGGAACTCAGATGACACACTACTTCGTTTCACCTTGTTATGTCCCTTCGCGATCTAATCAGCTTTCCGACGTCGCTTTCCTTTATTTCCTTGTTTTCTCTAAATGGACACCTCACATGTTTATCGTGACTCAATATGTTTGAACATTTGATAACACGTGGGAGTGCTATTTCAAAAAGCAGACTAGACATCAACAGCTTCTGGAGAACGGTCGAAAAGGAACCAGGAAGTCAGAGCTCTGATTGATTACAAAGGAGAAATGTGGCCCGACTGAATGAGACTACTCAGAAGGATCCCGGAAGGAAGCGAGGGAGCGCATTAGTGAGGACTTATCAATCGGGGACTCAACAAAACTGATTTCCGATTCAGGCCGCGTGGTTCGGACGATAGTCTCAAGATTTTCACCTAATGAGGATCACGTGAGTAAAAGTTCCCATTCACTTCGTCTGACTTGCAGGTTACACCCTAGCTCTACGTTATCATTGATGTACAGAGTATTTTTAGTAGAAAAAACAGTGATGGTAATCTTCTGAAAATAGGTCCGCGACATCCGGAGATGCCTTTCATTTCCTTCTTTTTCGAGTGTTCTGCAAGTGCATTTTTAATGTTCAACATGTAAACAAATGTAATGTATTTTGAAGTTAGCATATTATTTTCATTCACTAAATTTTTTCTCATTTGGCTGAGAAAGCATTCAGAATACAATGAAGCCTGTGATTCAAAATACAATGCAGCCAAGGGAACATTATTTGTTCCTGCCCGAAACCGAAAACTTTCTGAGCCGTCCCCAAATCACAGCGTTCTCTCTCGCAAACATGCGAAATGAATTTTGCACTGGCGGACAGAACTTCGCCGCCGATGTAGGTTGTTGAATAATGGAGAAGGTTGAGCTTAGAACTTGTGTCGCGAAGACGGGAATGTGCTCAGAATTTCAGATGTGCTCTTCTCCGTCGTCTCTTCCAAAAAGACATTTATAGAACTAGGAACTTGACGATCATCCCAAAAAAGAAAGAGAACAAGGGTGGCCGAGGAGACAGAGAAGAAGAAGAAGAAGACGTGCACGTCATTATAGTCATTGGCAGAAGGGATTCGATTATAGTGGTCACAAAGAAAAAGGGCTCTACGACCTATTTCCGTCGTGGGTGTCGGCTGGAAATAGAAAGAAAGAAAGAGAGAGAAGATAGGAAGGTGGTGGGCATTCGGGAACATCGCGGACGACGCGGAAGTGAAACGATGATTGTACGAAAAGCGGCTCCGATTGCAGACGCTCAACGGATCATCCCACCGATTAGAGGGTTCAATAGCGAGCAGAATAATGCGAGTAACCCTTCGGAACGGCATTCCAGTTCTTTCTGTTCTGGTGTGTTCGGCTGTGACGTCGTCCACTGTCCCCCCAATAATTCAATCAGTGATCAGCATTTCCGGAAAGCACCCCAGACGGAGTAACCGTGTACTCCATTCCACTTCCTCCCCGATAAATATGGTTCGTCAGAATACATTGACCTAAGAGGTGGTTCTTCGTATAAATACATGCAAACTCTCTTGGGAGCGTACTGATATTGTTGTTGTAATAAAACGAATTGCGTAGGTACTCCTGGGAGACTTCTTCTGACGCGGATCTAGATGACTGAGAAGAACGACTTTCAGAGTGAAGAACGCGTTCGTTTTCGACAGATACGAACTAGCTCTAGACGAGCAGCTGGAAATGCGTTCGGTGTTTATGCTATTCCTGTCGTGCCAAGGGTGCGAAGGTGTTTCTTGACCGAAATGTGCTCGTGAAGACGGAACTTTTTTGATATCTGAAGACGAGACTTCATTCATAGAACTTCTCCGTTTCCGTCAGTCTGCAATGTTTCAAAGAACACAAAGTGACGTTTCCTCATTCCGTTTCCAGGCACATTCGCAAAATGACTGACCACCGGGAAGTTGTGTTTCCCCCAAATTAAAGATGGCGCATGACGGGGCTCGGAAGAGCATCGAGAGCCCAGACGTCATGAGTCAAACCGAGTTTCCGAGGGCACCAAGAATCTTCTTCTTCTTGACTGCTGGAACACGCCTGCATTCAGAATGCGTCTTCTAATTTGAGGAGCCAACGAAACCTAAAAAGGCGCAGGAAACGAGGAAGTGCTCTGGGCGTCACTGCTCTCTTTTCGCTTCATTCTCGCTTATGTGTGTGGTGTGTATGCTGTGTGTGCATCGCCGCCCAAGAGAGAAAGAGAGAGAGAGGGAAAGGAGTTATTTTTTATTAGAAATCCCCGCCTGCCTGTTGAAGCTCCGCCCCTTTTCAGACCCGCCCGCCACATCGGTCTGGCGGTGTCCCACACTGTCATCGACGTCGTCTGTGCCATGTGCCACGAGCCGTCCACCTCCTCCGCGCCCCACTGTCTCGAGACACTCGACCCCATTTCTACCGTACACTTTCTGTTCGATTCGGTCTTCCGAATAGGCATCCGGACGCAGTGCATCCTGTTTCTGCTCCTCACTCTTCTCGCCCCGTGCTCAGGTGAGTACTCTCTTTTGTTTCTTCCTTTACTACTACTACTACTACTCGTTCCCTAAAAACGTGCTGGTAATTGCCACCCCCATCCTGCTCCCATTCAATCTCTTTTTTCGTTCTCTTCCGGATTTAGCGCATGTGCTCCTTTTATTTACTTATGGGAAAACAAGGCATTTACCAGGCGCCGCGGTCCGTTTAAACACGTCACTCAGACGAATTTAATAGCGCTCCCGTGTCGGGTCATCAGTAAAATGAGCCCGTGAAAAAATGGGTTTCCTGATTTTCATGATGGGACGGACGGACGGCCGTTTGACTCATGACGGATTGAGCAGAAAGATCGAGAGCAAGCCGTCAAATCGGATGAAAAGGGACGGGTTGACATTTCGAGGGACCTGGCCAAACAGGCCAATTTTTTGTTTTTGGTATTCTAATCCGTTTATCTTCCAAAGTACGGCGGCCATTCGGGAATTTCTGGTAGTCATTCATCTGTTTTAATCTTCGCGATTCCAATTGGCAACGTCTGAAAACAACTTTTGTGTCGTCAAAAAACACGGATATGTTCGGTTTGGTCTGGCATCCATACGGTCTTCTCCGGTCACCTCCGGATTAATGAGGGAATCTACCGTACATTAGTGCTCAGCAGACGTCTTCCGTGTTCGCATATTGATTATTAGCGCGAATGGAGGGACCCCCGACGAGGACATCATCCTCCCCATTTGTTATGAATAGTTTTCTTGCAACTGGCGAATCAGACGCGCCGAGATGACGTGGGACGAGTGATTCACGGCGATGAATCTGTTAGTTCCTGAACTGACCGCCGTCTTCCTGCTCGCCATCATGACATTTCGGACCCAGACGTGCGATGAAGCGGAATAGGTCCCGTATTGAGAGTGCGCGAGTGCGCGGACAACCCACGCATCACTCTGATTTTTGTTGATTCCATTGTCGGTTTGCAGCCAAAGGGAAGTGCTTCAACACGCAGATCGGCATGAGCATCGAGGGCGGCAACTACCGCAGGATACGCAACTTCGAGGATCGAGCGTGAGTCTCTCAATTTCAATTCTTCGGGGAGGGGGCGCCTGATTACGGCTCATACACGATTCATAAGAGTGTCGGCGACGTCGGAATCGGATATCAGATCAAAAATGTATATGTTGCAGATGTGCCAAAGAGTGCATCGAAGATTTCTCTTGCTTCGGATACGAATGGAATAGCGAGGAAAGAGTGTGCTACCTGAAATCACGGAGCACTTCCGGAAAGCTGGTTGCCAAACAGAATACCCTCGTCGGCTTTTGTCAGGATGATGGTGAGAGACGGAAGTGGAACTGATTGCTCGAATGTAAACTGGTTTAGAAGATGAAGTACGGTATCGCCTTCAAGATCACGTTATTATCGGACCAATTATTCTGGAAGCTGATGATGTGCCGGATGGAGAGGAATGCAAGGAGAATTGCAAGAAAGTGGGAGCTCTCTACTTCAGTTGGAGGCCCAACGAGAGCCAAATGAGCAATGTTGTACCTTCGGAAGGAGACGATGACGAGGAAGAGCAAAGACTTGGTGAGATCGGATCCTAATCATTAACTGATCATCATCAGAGTGTATTTCAGGACACTGCAAGTGCATCAGCACAATGAACGAGGTCCGATTGGAGTACGACGCGTTCTCCGGCTTCATCGGATTGCCGAAGCACAAGCACCGCCGCAGCATCTACCTGCGCGCCTTCGGAATCTGACCCGTCCTTCGTCCACTGATAACTGTAGCAGTTAGCCGTCTAGCTTCTTCCCTTCACTTTCTCTCTTTCTCCCTTTCTCTCTCGTCCCACTATTGCTCAACGGGTTATTGTCTCATCTGCTCCAAATCACTCTTCATGCTTGGTATTCCCCTTTATTTCGCTTGATATCTCTTTCTGAATTTCAGAATCCTATTTTGGTTGAAACGGGTTTACGGTACTTATTGTGTAACTATGGATCGCTTATTAATAATGAATCAATTTTGTAATCACCTTGTTTTTGAGCATTGAAAAATTCGAATAGAAATACTGATTTTGTCCCGAGCATATGTTCTCTGTTTTCCAATTGAGAAGTGAGTACGTGTCGGGTGCCAACATGTCCCGGCCCGATTGCAAAGCGCTACCTTTTCCGTGCAAAACTCTCTGAAGAAGTGAAACGCCATAAATCCTCCGGAGAGCATAGGAAGAGCTTTGAATCGCTAGAGAACGCGGAAGTAGAAGCCGCCCGTTTGGGAGGAGAAGAAGCCATTGTGAGCAGCCTAATCGACGTTGTTTGTCTCTGTTTATGTTTAGCTACACATCACTTTTTTCTCTGAAACCTTGCAGTGTTAATCTGTTGTTTGGACACTGGGCAGCGAAGAAGTTGTTCTGAATCACGGAGGAAATCACAAAAGTTCACGGAGGGATCGAACCGATTTGTGTCGGCTTTTCGTTCGGAATCCAACTCGAACCAGCTTCTGGCCACTTCCTCTAATTACCTCTCGTTTGGTCCAGTTCCTGCAGTGTCCGGCCGACTCAACTTCGTTCATAATCCGAATCACCATCAGCCGTCCTCCGGGTGTCTTCCATTCAAAACAGTGTCGCCCGCCGAAAAACGGGTTGCCCTCAGCAGATAAACTGACGTCGAACTTTCAACGATCAAAGCCTCCGCAGCTTCTTTTTTAGCGCCTGTCTTCACTTTGCGGGGCGCTTCTGCCTCGTTGTCCTTCGTGTCCATCTCTCCTCACTTTCTCGTCCACTCTTCCAGCCGTCCAATCCGGTTCTGGTCATCTCTTTATCTGAGGTACTGTCACGGTGTTATGCAATATGCGACGGACCGCCCCCTGACTGTATAGACTTTTTCGCCTGCGCCCGCTTTTTCTGCCCTATGTCACATTTGCCATAGTTTCGCTTTCCGCGTTGCGCCGCATCCTCCACAGTGTCCGCAGAAGCCATGCGTCGGCTTGTACTCTACTTATTGGTGTTCGGCGGGAGCCTAGCCTCCAACATCCCATGCGGAAAGTCGTTTATTCCATGCGAGAATGACATTCTCAACCATCAACAAGAACTTCACAGCACTGACGAAGGTGAGTGGGCTCTTCTCGGCTCTCATGACATGTTGCTCTACCAACTCTTGACAATCCACACGGACAAATGTCAACCTTACGATTTAAATGTCAACTATAACTTCCCCAAACCAACCTTAGAATTGGGCTCCAAGCCAAGTAGGCACCGATGTCCTTTCCAGCCCATTTCTCTCCCCACTTCACTTCATTTGACCCCCTTACTGGGAACGCCCGACCATATCTTCGTGGAATTAGTGGAGCGTGATTGTGATGGAGAATAAGAAAGAAACGTCATTCTATTCCGGGTGAGGGTGGTAGTAAACGAGGCGAATAGCAGGGGCACTTTACCTGCAAACAACAAAAAGAGGGGAAAGGAGGACAAGAATCAGACCAAACTAATTGCAGCGCCATTCGTGTCCCATCGCGTCCCGGATGGGCTTCTGTTCGTGGCCGCCAAGGAAGGAGAACGCGAGTCTCTGAGACTGTTCGATTTCCGCGACTCGGCGTTCCAGTACTCGGGACACCCGCTCTCCACCTCCACTTCACAGTTCACACGCATTCACAAAGCCGACAAGAAGGCCTCCGATCGCAGTAGATCCGCATTCACTTCGTTGGCTATCACCAAGCGATTAACTGCGTACGACCGACCACAATCCAAACAGACCCTCACTCGTTTCTTTAGGCTGGGACTTCGCGAACGAGAGTTGAAGTACGGATTACCACCCAACCAGATATCTTCTACCATTTCCAATTGCCCAATTCCAACCATCGACCACTGCTTCGCAACCAATTACCGGTACGTATTCGTCGTCCGCCGCGTGTCCACTGCCACCATCCTCCCCCCAAATTCACTTTTCTTCCTCTTTTCATTGCGCAATCTTATTGAGTAGATAAGCGTCGATGTCGCTTTCGAAGGCAATCCAGTTTTTGTCTTCCAATCCACTTTCGATCTTCTTTTCAGATCATTCTCTGGCATTTGCAACAATGTGGCACACCCTGAATGGGGAGCATCCCACACTCCGATGGCGAGAATCGTCCGTCCGGATTACGCGGACGGGGTGTCAGATCCGAGAGTGTCCGCAGTGAACAAGCCGTTACCGTCCGTCCGCGGACTCTCCTTGACTCTCTTCTCTCCAAGAGGACAGGTCAGTCGCGAATCTCTTGAACTTGTGATCGTTCTCTGGATGCGTTGCAAGTAGAAAGTTCTGCCAAAAGGCTTCCATTTCTCTTTGCTACTGCTCCCAGCTGACTGACTTTTTGTGTTCTTTCCGTCTTTTCCGTCGTCGCGAACGACCCTTTTTTGGCCTAGTACGTGACTCATTGCACCAAACATCCTCCTCCCTAGACACTTCTCTTTTAATGTGTTTGAAACACATGCTGAGGATGTCTGTGCTCAATAATAGAACGACAACAGGCACAAATAGCTTTGTGCTTTTGCGATTGAGCTCAAAACAGAAAAGGGACCGACTAGTTTCAGGTGCACTCGGATGTTACCACAATGATGGGATTGTGGATGCAGCTGGTCGCTTCGGACATGGTTAACGTCGTTCCGTTTCAAGCAGTCAACGAGGGCACGTCTTCCGCATTGCCATGTTGCAAGAGGGGATTCAATCATTCCGAGTGCGACTCTATTGATATTCCTGCTGCGGATCCTGCATACAGGTACAACCGATGGGATTAGTAGAAGCATAAGGACCGAATGTTACAGAACCAGACTGAACTGTATTCCACATGCCAGATCGATTATCGCCCCGAGGGAGGCGTGCAGATTGGGACCGCGTGAGCAGGCTAATTTCGCTTCTTCCTACCTCGACGCTTCCTTCATTTATGGATCTAACATGGACAAGGCAAAACAGTTGAGAACATTCAGAAATGGTACTCTTGATAAGTCAACGGTTGAAATTAACATTTCATTGTTTATAGGACAACTTAGAACCGCAGGAAGTATCGGAGAACTCCCAGCCACGGACGGAACCCTCCAATGTCAGGCCACCCACTCGAGGTGTGCTCTCTCGGGATCGGACGAAGTGAACATCCTTCCGAGCGTCGCCGCACTCCACACCGTCTTCATCCGCCAGCACAACAAGATCGCAGATACTCTCCGGGCCATCAACCGTCACTGGACCGACGACAAACTGTACGAGGAGGCGAGAAAGATCGTGTCTGCTCAAGTGCAACACATCACTTACAATGAATTCCTGCCGGTCCTTTTGGGAAGGGAAAACATGAAGAACTATGGACTGAATCTGCACTCTTCTGGATTCGATTCCAACTACGAAATGAACTTGGAGGGAAGCACTTTTAACGAGTTCTCGGTCACCGTCCCTTACTACTTCTGGGCACTTTTTCCGTCCGATCGCTCTTTCTCTGACTTCAACAATCCATCGAAACTGTACGAACAAGGACCCGTACAAATCCTTCGTCAAGTTCTCACTTCGAATATTTATCAGCCAACACTCCGTGCAAATGACGAGGTGAAAAGCGGCTTTTTGAAGGACAATCACGAGTTCGGACTGGACCTGATCTCGCTGGCTTTGAAGCAGGGAAGAGATCACGGAATTCCCGGATACACCACTTTGAGAGCAAGTTGTGGACTTGGAAGAGTGAGCAATGTACACTAGTTCAATTATGAAACTGTTCATTTCTAGATTGCTTCTTTCAATGATCTTCGAGAGATTTTCCTGCCAGAAGTAAAGCTTGAGCAGATTTCTTCCTCTTACGAACGAGTGGAAGACGTTGACCTTCTGGTCGGAGTGTTGGCCGAAAAGCCGTTGAAGGGGTCCTTGGTGGGACCAACCATGGCTTGCATCATCGGAAAACAAATGCAAAGAGTTGGTTCGAGGATAGGCTTCTTACCCAACAAACCTCAATTTCAGACAAGGAGAGCCGATCGTTTCTGGTACGAAAACTACTTTGCCCAATCCGGATTCAATGAGGCTCAACTTTCCGAAATTCGCAACACAAAGTTGGCTGAAATCATCTGCGCCAACATCGATATCCGCCGAATTCAGAGGAACGTGTTCTTCAAAGAGGACGTCTTCGAGTGGGTGAAAGTGATTTGATCGATTACGAATGATTCCTTTCAGCAACATGGCCATCTCATGCAACTCGTCTGTCCTAAACGGACCAGACTTCAACGAATGGAGAGATGCGGAAGGAAAGCCAGTGTTCCCAATCCGGCAGGAAACCATCGAAAAAGTGATCAATCTGGCGAAGAAGAATCTGAAAGACCAGGAACGGAGAGAGATTTCGAATCTGAAACACAACCAGGGACGGTTTGTGAAGGGAGATCCACTGTTTGCGTACTCGAACATGATGAGAGCGAAGGAAGGAGCCAAGCAGGTGTCTCAGATCTCGGCCCTTCTGCTCGAGACGACAAAGTTGCTGATCAAGGGAGAAGGCCTCGATGCTGACGAACAGCTGCCGAAGCTCGACACGGACACACTTCAGAAGATCCTGCCTGACATTGACGTCACCACTTTCGTCAACAATTACACCGCGTTCCTCTCCGAAGACGGTCAATCGTCTCAAGAGGAGTGCAGTCCAAAGATGCTTCCGTGCGATCACACGACTCGCTACCGTACCTTCTCGGGATGGTGCAACAACCTGAAGTTCCCCGAGTACGCCAACTCGTTCGCCCCTCTCCGCCACTTGCTCCCTCCGCAATACGACGACGGATTCGATGCTCCGCGCACTCGAGCCAAGTCCGGCAGGGCTCTCCCGAACCCACGTAGAATCTCAAATCTGGTTTGCGAAGACAGAGATATTTCGCACGTGAAGTTCACTCACATGGTCATGCAGTTTGGACAACTTCTCGATCACGAGCTCACCCATTCTCCAGTCGCTCGCGGCCCGAACGATCAGATTCTGAACTGTACAAAGTGTGATTCTCCCGAAAAGATATCCGTCCACTGCATGCCGATTCGTGTCGAAAAGGACGATCCGTTCTTCCCGACGCATTATCCGAACGGCGAGCCCCGATGCCTTCCATTCGCCCGATCTCTTCTTGGCCAGCTCAACCTTGGCTACCGTAATCAACTCAATCAATTGACCGCCTACGTGGATGGATCCGCCATCTATGGATCCACGAAATGCGAGGCTAACGCCCTGCGTCTCTTCACTCGCGGTCTTCTCAACTTCACCGATTTCGGCCACGGACAGATGATGTTGCCGCAAGGAAACCAAGAGAAAGACTGTCGTTCCTCCCGCGAAAAGCGGTCGATGCCATGTTTCGTGGCAGGAGACGAAAGGAACTCCCACCAGCCCGGACTCACCGTCATGCACACTTTCATGGTACGAGAGCACAATCGGATCGCTATGCAACTGTCCGCTCTGAATCCCCATTGGAACGACGACACCGTGTACGAAGAGACCCGCCGCATTGTCGTCGCCGAAATGCAACACATCACTTTCGCCGAGTTCCTTCCAAAGATCATCGGATTGGACCTTCTGAACGCGCAGAACCTTGTTCCGAAGAAGAACGGATACTTCGGAGGCTATGACGACACTTGCGACGCCTCCATTTCACAGCCTTTCGCGACCGCCGCTTTCCGTTTCGGCCACACTTTGATCCGTCGAATGTTCCCGCGAATGAACTACAACTACAAGAATATGAGTGAGCCCGTCGACTTGGCTCAGCACTTCGGTCACGTCGGACCACTGTACGAGCAGGACAAGGGAGGAATGGACTCGATGCTGATGGGATTGCTCGGCACTCCGTCGATGGCGTTGATCGACACATTACTGACGCCGTCCGCAACCATTTGTTCATGAGAAGAGGAGAGAAAACGAGTGGAATGGATCTTATCGTGCTCAATATTCTGAGAGCTCGTGACCACGGAGTGCAGCCGTACAACGATCTGAGAGAGTATTGCGGATTCAAGAAAGCAGTCGTTTGGGATGATCTGAAGGGGGAGATGGACCAGGAGAACATCAACATCCTCCAGTCGCTCTACGAATCCCCGGATGACGTCGATCTCTTCCCGGGTCTCGTCAGCGAGCGTCCTTTACGCGGAGCTCTTCTCGGCTCGACCATGTCATGCATCATTGCGGAACAATTCGGAAGGCTGAAGAAATGCGATCGATTCTATTATGAGAACGACAATAATGCTGCCAAATTCACTCCCGCTCAACTGAATGAGATCAGAAAAGTGAAGTTGGCGAGCATTTTCTGTTCGAATAGCAAGTACCTGAAGACAATTCAACCGAATGTGTTCGACGTCACCGATGAATTGACGTGAGTTCCCGCGTTTCCTTCAACCGAAACGTGGCCTCTTTCAGGAATGCTCAAGTGCCGTGCTCCGACATTCCTCAAGTGGATTTGTCGCTCTGGAAGGAAAGAAGTAAGTCGCATTCGGAAGACTCTCTAATCGTGACCCCATTTCTAGAAACCTGTGAGATGAACGGACGGAGCATCGCCCTGGGAGACTCGGTGCACATGACTCCGTGCGTGACGTGCACGTGCACCCTCGACGGAGTAACTTGCAATCCGACCAAAGTGGACAGTTGCGAGAAGCTCACTCACAAGTACTTGCTCACGGACATCGCCAAGGACACCTCGTGCATGATCCAGTGTACGGACTACATGAAGAGGGTATGAGCATTGTTCAACTATTTATTTTTTCTTCATTCTTAATTTATTTTCCCCTGTACATACGTTTTCCCTCCACTTGCCTTGCCCATTTCATCATTTTATTACAACTTTATTTGTTAGTGCAATGACAGATAATAAAGATAACAAATTCGTTGTTGCACATGTTTTCGATTAGATCGAATCAAATGTAAGAGCAAAACTAGTATTTTCACCCGTTTTTGACGGTTTTTGACTGAGAGATCATCGTCGTGTGGTTCCACCGTATCCGGAAGATGAGCGAGTAGACGTCGATGGTGATGACCAGGAAGATGAGCCCCAAGAGTCCGAGCTGGACCCCCAGGAAGAACCTGTGTTGCCGAAGTACCGGTTTCGGGGGTATCCGTAAGCATTGTTGTTGTTATTGAGCCAGCTATTGGCGAGATATCCTCCGATAGCACCTAGACTTGCTCCGGTCCAAAAGGAATTTCCACTGCCGTTTCCACTGCTTCCGCTGGCTCCACTGGATCCACCCGAGCTAGAAAACTGACTTACCATTTTTGAGAATCTTTCTCCTTTTTCCTCACCATCCTCCTCCTGATTGCGAGTCACCACGAAACCCATACGGCGGCGGCTTTCCGTAGCTATCGTCGTAAGGTGGCGGAGCACTCGGGTATCCTCCTGGGCCTCCTCCTCCGGATCCTGGACCGCCCGGACCACCGGTACCTCCTCTTTGGTAACCGGAAGCTTCCGAATCTTGATTCCTGTTCGACCACATGACGTAGATGATGTAGACAATGAAGGCAATAACGACAAAAGTGGCGAACTGATCCCATCCATCTCCAGTCTTTCTACTCGAAACGGAGTGATTGCCGCTTCCAGAAGTGTATTCCAGCTCATACTCGAGCCCGCAAGATCCTTTGAGAATATATGGATCTTCCGCGTATTCGTATCCTTCACACGAAACACTCAGTGATCCGAACTCGACGTCAGACGGCAAGTCGGCGTCGCACTTCCATTGAACATCGGTTCCGTCGAATCCAGTGTTTGTGCATTGAACAACCTGAAGTTTAGTTTGTTGTGAACAATTAGCTTTATACTCACCTTTGGAGTGTACTTTCCTTTTGCAGAACCACCGATGCATTTCAATTGCATTGTAGGACTCACGCGCCGTCCAGTGGTCATTTTTCCTTTATGAAGAGTAATTGCGCTTACATCTTTCAGCAACACTTTTTCGCGAGCGGCTAGAGGAGCTTCTTGTTATTTGATAACCACTTTCATTTTCTTACCTGACGTTTCAAGAAAGACGACAGAGAGAATAAGACACATCCATAACAGAAAACTGGTGGTAAGTCGAGAAGTCATTTTCTGAAAAGAGAAACAATGAAATGAGTGACCTCTGAGACCGATCAATTCTCGGCGAGAGGTTTGCACAGTGTAATAGCAAGACAAGAACACCACAGATCGTTAAAAGAAATTGGAAAAACGACCAAGAGTGGGAGAGTGGTTAGGGGTAAAATGACGTGTAATAACACGAGGCCTAGCACAGAGCTACTCGAAAATATTTCGTAGCTAGCTAAGATGCCGAAACTCATCTAAAAGAGAGAGTTTAAGAGAAAGTGACATAAAAACAGATCGGCCGTGATTGAAAACATAATTTTATGAAAACCACAGTGGACATCGTTGTTGATGTTGAAGGAGGCAGCTCTCTACAGGTGAAAATAGGAATGAAATGATTGAAAAGACAGTTGTTCTCAAAGATCTGTTTCTGTTGGTCTAATGGAAGAAAAAGAAAGTTGTTTCTTTCGAGCGAAACTCACGTGAGAAAGTTTGAACATCCGAAAAAAGTTAGTCCGCGGGACGCGCTTTGTCGTTCCCTAGGTCATGGACTAGAAAACTCACAATCGTGGCGAGATATTTTGAACAGCGAATTGTCTGCGCCTTGAATTGCTGACAAATAAAATTCAAATTGCTCATCGCTTTTCAGAGAAAACTACTTTTTTGTGTTTATCGTTCGATTTGTAATTGCGATAATCGAAAAATGATTATAATATGAATTCTTGCTTGTTTTCAGAAATGGCCATTGAGAAAGTGGAGGTGTATCTCACTAGAAAGCAAAATGCCGCAACTGGCGCTATCGCCGAAGACTGGAAGGCTCTCAACGATTTCTACAGCAAGAAGTAAGTTTTCCATATAAACTTCAGCAAAGATATGCTTATTCTTCCAGGCTTTGGCATCAGCTCACTGTTCTGACGCGCTCTTTGGTCAAAAAACCGTATTTTGCCACTACCGTCGATATGCGGGAGTTTTATGAGAAGTGAGGAAGCTATCAAAACTGCAGAGTTAATAAACTTATTTTCAGCTTTATTGCCGAGTGGGAGCAGCGCGCTAATCCCCTGCAGCTAATCGAGATCTGCATTCCGATCGCTCAGACAATTGGTAAAGCTGATAAGATGAAAGGAGTCGAGTTTTTGCTGAAATTCGGGAAGGTCGTCTACAAAGACAAGATCGCCGTTGCTCGTCTGCATACAGGAATCATTGAGCTCAAGCTGGATAACAAAGACAAGGCTGGTCAAATTCTGGATCTGAAGGGTATTCGTGCTCAAATCGATTCCACGCAGCAAGAAGTCGAGGCTCTCGTCGGAGTCACCGCAGTGCACGCTCCTTTTTACCGTGTTTCTTCCCTGTATCTCCGTGAGACTGGAGATTTCGCCGGCTACTATCGCGAAGCCCTCCGTTATCTCGGAGTAGAAGACACTTCAACTCTTACAACGGAGCAGAAGCAGGTTCACGCCGTTCTTCTCGGATTCGCTGCTCTTTTGGGAGAGAACGTTCACAACTTTGGAGAATTGGTGAGAATTTTCATGTGAGTTTGTGAGCTCAATGTCTATTTTCAGCTCGCCCACCCGATTCTAAAATCACTGCAAGGAACTCGCGAGGAATGGCTTGTTCAAGTGAACTTTTATTACGTTATGCAGTTGTTATTCTCAATTTTAGGTGCTCCTCGCTTTCAACTCTGGAGATCTCCCGCATTTCTTCGCGATGGAGAATGATTGGGCAGGCTGGGATGATTTGAAGAAACAGAAGGACTTCCTCACCGCCAAGATCCGCCTGATGGCTATCATGGAATTGGCAGTTGATCGTCCTACTAAATCTAGAGCCGTCTCTTTCAAGGAGATTGCCACCAAATGCCAGATTCCATTCGATGAGGTCGAATTCCTGGTGATGAAAGCGCTGAGCAAAGACCTGATCCGAGGAGACATCAATCAGGTCGAACAAGTGGTGTACATCTCGTGGGTGCAGCCCAGAGTGCTCGACAATCGCCAGGTTACTGTTTAGAGATTGAAAAAGTGTTAAACTTCAAAACTTTACAGATTGAAGCAATGGCTAATCGCATTGGAGAATGGAAGAAGGACGTAACTTCAATGGAAGGAGTCGTCAGCAAGGAGGCTCGCGAGATTCTCACCCAGGCCTGAATTCTCTATTGATTTCATCTAATTTATTTCTCCTATCGCTCCCGATTCATTTCTCCCCATTTCACGATCCATCTGGCTTATTTGCCCTGTATTTATTTGAATCCAAAAATTAATCGGTTTCCCGCATAAACTATGTCGTCCCGTCTGCGATCCTTTTTCTAACTAACAAAGTGCTGCAAGTAGTTCACCAGTCGTATCTTTAACAGCTTCTATTTTTGTGTTTCGTTCAACCAACATATTTTAAGCAATGACTGAATTGTCGAAAAGCGAGGGGAGTAGCGACGGAAAGGGAAATGCAGTATCCGAATGGGCTGACACAGTACTCCACTTTGTCGTCGATCTGAAGAAGAAGCCGCCGATGACTCAGCTGGGAGTTGGCGCAGGATTCGGCACGGTGACCGGCTACTTCGTCACCAAGGTGAGACCGGTTTCGTCGAATCAGAAATCAAAGTTGAAATATGAAGATTCTGGAAAACCGGTTCATCGGAATTTATTGCAGGGAGGACGTATCGTGGCTGCCACTGTCGGAGTCTCGTTCCTTTTGGCTCAGTTCGCCATTCACAAAGGATACATTACACTGAACGAATCGAAGATCGAAAGAGATCTTAAAAATTTGCAGAAATCGGTCATGAAGAAGTATTCCAAGTTTCAGTATCGAATAAAAGAATCGAATCCGTTCAGAGTTTCCAGAAAGGCCAATGCGATAAACGTTCCGAACTCGTTCATCAGCGATTACCGCTGGATTCTGGGCGGATATGCCGCTGGAATGCTCATCGGGTTCAGTATTGCCTAACGGCAACAAATGTACCATTTCTTTATTCGAATGTAAACTTTCTCTCTTTTCGATCTGTAAAATAATCGAAATATTCGATGTGATGCATAAATAACCTACTACTGGCTCCCTCTCCTTTTCCCTCATGCTCCTAGTCTCACTGTCTAGTTTACCAAATTGCGTCTAGTTGGCTAATAAACGTGTCTATTTCGTTTTTCATATATAGTCACCAGCACCTCTTCGGTTCAAGTTCACCGTTGCGTTTCAAAATTCCGCCCCCGAGTAACTTTGCTACGACGCTCCGAAAATTACGCGGCGCACAGCTGCTCGTGGTTTAGTGTGTAGTTTCATCATTTCCGTGTCGCCGCTTTCACTTCTCAAAAGCGAAAAGTGACGACTATAGTCTAGTTTTTTCAGGTAAAATTACATCATGGGTTCGTCACAGTCGACTGCTAAAGTAAGTGAAACTAACATAGTTTGTAGTCGAGATTCTGCTGATTTTAGGTCCAGGAAGCCAACAGTGAAGCGGAAAGGATTCGTAGGGCACAACACAGTATTGCGGCTGCTGGAGGAGGATCCGAATGCCCATTGACTGCTGAACAGAAGGCCGCTGCTGCCGCTGACGGATGCGGTGGAGGTTGCCCTGTCGGAGCCGACAAAGCTTCCATCAACCCACTAAACAATGTGAGTCTGTCTTTGAAATAATATTTAAAAACAGAAGAAAAGATTGTAGGAGCTCGAGCATCCGAACCAGAAACCAGCTCCGGATCAACCGTTTGCTCTGCCCACCAAACGAGAGAAATCGACGATCCCAAAGGCTGGAACTGGATCTGAGACTTGGACATATCCCAGTCCGCAGATGTTCTGGAACGCCATGCTCAAGTGAGTTCTTATTTTCAAAGTGTTCACGTAGAAACAGTTTATTCTAGAAAAGGATGGAGATGGCAAGACGACTCGCTGTCTCAGAAAGACATGGAAAACATCATCAGCATTCACAATGCTAACAACGAAGAGGCTTGGAAGGAAGTGCTCAAGTGGGAGAACCTTCTTCATCCGTAAGTACTTCTCTGTTTCATTTTTTTATTGAAATAATACATTTGTAGAGAATGCGCGGAACCTAAACTGAAAAGTTTCAAAGGTGACGCCAAAAACATTTCTCCCAGGGCCAGATTCCGCAAGCTCTTCCTCGGTTATGATCTTCCGTTCGATCGGCACGACTGGGTTGTTGATAGATGTGGAGTGAAACATGTACAATACGTCATCGACTACTATGATGGAGGAGCCGTTGACCCGAACTCGAAGCTGTTCACGATTCTTGACGTGCGGCCGGCGATGAACGATGTTGGAAATATCTGGGACAGAATGGTATGTTTTGCCTCGCGTTTGAATTCAAATTCACTTCTTCAGGTGGTTGCATACTGGCGCTTCAAGTTCGAGACACTCGGATTCACTCCGAATCTTCCGATCCCACCGACTGAGGGACACAACGTCGCTCATTAATTGTTCGTTCTCTTCCCCGCCTTCTTCCCTACCAATAACTGTTTTGCTCTTAGCATATTCTGTAGTTAGTTTAGCGCTTCTTTCATTGTTTGCTGTTAATTACCTCCGGATGGAGCTCCTGCTCATGATCTTTCAGTGTCTTCAACCCGTTACTTTACTGTGTTCGTTCCTTCCGTTTACCCTTTCGTCTTGAGAATATCAATGAAATTGATGTCGTTATTATACTGGAGTTGTAAAAAAAAGTCGAAAAGCGGAAGACAAATACCCTAGAGATCTTTATAAAGTGAAAGATGCTGAGGAAAGAAAAATGTTCAGAATGTGGCTGCTGGCTAGTAAACAGCTGACCAAGTTCTCGCAGCTTCCACGGGTTTCTCTGATGAACCAAGGGATTCAGAATGTGTTTGTGCCCCAGAGACCCAGAAAGTGAAAGAAATTATAAAATTTTCAGAAAGCAAGGATTCCGGCGGAATTTCGGAATCTCAGCGAAAGATGTGGAAGAGAAATCGAGGAGAAGAATCGGTTGGTGGCTGATGGGATGCGCCGGAATGTGCTACGGAGCCGTCGCGCTCGGGGGAGTCACCAGGTGAACTCGGCTAGATGGAATGTATCGATTGATTGGGCGAAGTTGCAGATTGACAGAATCAGGCCTCAGCATGGTCAATTGGGATCTGTTCAGAACGATGAAACCTCCGTTCGGACAGAAGCAATGGGAGGAAGAGTTCGAAAAGTACAAAGCGTATCCCGAGTATAAATTGTCAGCTTCCACTTTGTTCCTTTTTGCGGAACTCTTCATTTCAGCAAATCATCAAGCCAAGAAATGACTCTGAACGAATTCAAATTCATTTGGTCAATGGAATACGGTCATCGGATGTGGGGCCGTGCCATCGGACTCGTCTTCCTCATTCCGTGCGCCTACTTCTGGGCACGCGGACGATTTGCGCCGGACATGAAGAGACGGATGGTACTAGCGACGTCACTTCTGCTCGCGCAAGGAGGAATCGGCTGGTGGATGGTCAAGTCGGGACTCGATCCGTCGCAGAACTCGTCAGACGTGCCACGTGTCTCGCAGTACCGACTGGCGACTCACCTGACGATGGCCTTCGTTCTTTATTCGATCTTCTACTGGAACGGTCTCTCTCATCTCATGAAACCACACGATGTAGGACTCTATTTTGTTTCCTATAAAACTCTGTGTTTCCAGCTTACATCAGTTCGCTCGAAACTCGGAGCTCTTCGCGGAATGACGCACGGCTCCAAGTTGATGGTCTTCTCCACCGCCATAATGGGCGCATTCGTCGCCGGCCTCGACGCCGGACTTGTCTACAATTCATGGCCCAAGTTCGCAGATTCGTGGATCCCTGAGAACATGCTGAGCCGGTCTCCCACGTGGAAAAACTTCTTCGAAAACGACGTTACTGTCCAATTCGTGCATAGAAACCTGGCGTATCTGACGGTTATCAGTGTGCTCTCCACATTCCTCATCGGCCGGCGTGCGCCCATTCCGAGAAGGACACGAATGGCTCTCAATCTGACAGTGGCCGCAGTCTTCGGACAGGCCGCTCTCGGCGTATTCACTCTGGTAACTCTGGATCATGCTACTTTTCTTGCATTCTTTTCTTTTCAGATCAACTACGTGCCCGTGTGGCTCGCCGCCTGTCATCAGTCCGGTTCGATGGCTCTCCTTTCCTCTGTTCTTTGGTTGAGTCACGAACTTCGCCGACTTCCCAAATAGTGTTATCGGCAATCATTCATTTGTTATCAATCATTATTAATTTATATATAATAGCATCATCATTATTATCTTTGCTAGGAGAATAGTTCACTCAGACTTTCCAGTTTTCCATTCAATTGTTGTCCACTACTTTTTCTGTTTTTGATGTTTTTGATGTTACAACAGAAACGAGATCTTCTTCTTCTTTTCGTTCTTCGGCCTGCTTCCGTCAAAGTTGTAAATCTCGCGCACAATCTTCTGATAAGTCGGATTATTCGAATCGGACGATGCGAATTTGTCCAATTCTTTTCGAACGATCTGAATAGGATTGAAATCGATGAACAAGTTAATGGGATGAATTCAGAATACCTGCGCGGATCCGCTTTTGTACATCTTCACCATCAAATCTTTTCCGATCGTTCTCACTTGCTGATCCGACGTTCGAATGCATTTCGTCGCGAATCCGGCCACCATTCGGTCGTCCATTCCTCTGAATCACTCGCGTTTCCATGCCATAAAAAATGCGAAACTCACGTGGATTCGTGTGGAACCCCGTACAATTTGGCGATGATTTCCACAAGAATCGCCCTTCCTTTCAGGTTTTTCGAGTTCGAATTCAACAATTTCGTCGCGTAGGCCTTTGCAATGAACGGCAGTTTTGCAGCATCTCTGAAAGTGACGAGCGTCTCATTGACGAGCCGTTTCTCCTGAAAAGTGGGGGATTATTCTGGAAGAGTACTTGGATGACCGTACACTTGAAAGGACGCGACTTGCGAGAACCTCACTCGACTCGGAAGCGACCCTCTTAATGTACTTCTCGAGTTTCAAAGTAGGCAAACGGGATGTGCAAAAGTGATGCCAGAGGAGTAAAACGTCTTTGTAAACGTTGAAGAGGGGCTCTTTGAGCAAGTGAGCAAGCAGGCAATTGATGCTTTCGAAGGACTGCGACGTCTTTTCTCCGCTCAATTCGTCCACTTTCTCACTGATTTCACTTATTCCTTCCTTCCGATTCTCAAAGTGTTTCGAATAAATTTTGGCAATCTGGAAGTGAAAATTAATGTAAAACACGTGAATTCGGGAGTGCTTACTGTCTCCAGTCCGAAAATAGAAATCGCTGATCGAACATTTCCCCTTTGATCGGGCGGAATCATCGCGAGCACTTGCTCCTCGGTGACGTCATCCGTCGACATCCGATCAGCTGCTTCCGCGGCCTCGAAGTTGACAGACGAAGACCGTTTTCGGTTGAGCGCGGCCGGCACAATCATGTTTTCCTTCTCCAAGAACTTGTTCGTTCCGATTCCAGTGCTGCTGCTCCTTCCTGAACTGTCCCCATTTCAACGTACTTCTCATCTTTCACTCACTTCTGGCGGAAGACGCCGAGTTCCCTTTGACCGCGGGCGAAGGCGTTCTCTTCCTCGATGCCTGCGAATCGGTGGTGATCGGTCGGACGGGCACTTCCCAAGCGGGAGTGCTCCGTCTCGAAGTAGCCGAATCGTTTGTGGAAGGTCTTTTTGGAGTGGCAGTCCGACGAGAAGAAGTGGACGGAGGACGGGGCGGGAGCAGGGCGGTCTGCGAGGGATCGGCGGGGATCTCGGTGGGGGAGAGGTCTGGAGGAGGTGTGCTTTGTGGAAGGAAAAGAGCAGAGTCAACCGACCGACTGGCTGATAGAGTTTTGGCTTCGAAGGCGGTTCTTTGTTCTCTGGGAACAGATTCTTCGGACGGTGAATCTCTTCGTTCCGTGGCTGAAACAGAAATCACTGAAAGAGCAAGCTGGACGACCCACCATTGTATTCTCCAGCAGTTTAGGCTCAATTGAAGCTAAAATGTTCGATCTCAAGGCTGTTATTTCATCTGAAACTCTTCAAAATCTTCACGACTTCACGAGAATAACTCGCCCTGCAGGTCATTCGCTCTCTGGAAGTCTTCCTCTTCCACTGCTTCATTCTTATCGTTTTCCAATTCTTCCATTTCTTTCGTGGACTTTTTCAGTTGGCGCACGGCCAACTGAGCTGATTTGGCCAATTTGAAGTCTTCGTTCTGAAACGATCTCTTCAAAAACTCTTCTGATTCTCCAGCTCTCACCGCCACGGCAGTGTGCTTGTTCTTCTCAATCGCCTCTATCATTGCCTGCAGTTCTTTCGAATATTTATGATCTGGAATCACATTTCTGGCTGCCTCTCCCGATTTGAATTCTCCCGGATCGACGCCGGGCTCTTCATCCGTCGGCAGATATTTTCCGTACAATCTCACGTCGACCAGTCCGACCTGAAAGCACGTTTGCCTACCATTTCCTTAATTTGATCCTACTTGAGAATCCAGATTATTGACGACGTCCACGTGCGCTTCGGATACACTCAATATCAGTTTTGTGCATATTTCATCGAGGAAAATATTTTTGAGCTCATATTTTTGATCTTCACTTTTTCGACTTTTGAACTGAACTTCTCTGAAAAAGAATGAAAGTTGAATGAAAAACACAAAAGGAAGGAAACCCAATATATGCGTCGTCTTCTTTTCCAGAGAATATCGATAGCTTTTTGGCTGAAATTATTGACGGCAATGAACGTTTTGGCAGAGATTCTTACGGATAAATTTATTGTGGGCAACAATTTCAATCTTTTCGATTTCACTTTTCTGGCGAAGATGGAGTTCGATTTCTATTGGGAAATTTAGGGATCTGGAAGTGGAACTCATCATCTTTAGACTCTTTCCGGAACTTCAGATGAACTCACTTCTCAGAAATCCACGGTTTATCGACAAGAAACTGTCGATCAGAGTTGCGGATTCCGCCAATACGCGAAACGACGTATTCGAGTTGCATTTTCGTAGTTTTCGAAAAAGGAAAACCGAAGGACGCAGCCGGGGCGTGCACGGAAGGCATGGAAACTGTCGTCAGGGGGGAGAAAGACGATGTGAATAATTTATCGAGGGAAAGAGAAAAGCGGAAAGACATGGAAGAGAGAAAAGCAGAGTAAATATATATACAGATGGAGATATAATTAGAGAATAGTTAGGGGATCATATTAAGAAGGGACGATGAGCATAAACGAGGGGAAACGGCCGACAAGGAGACAACTGGGTTTGAGAGAAAAAGAGAGAGAGAGAGAGGTGGGGACGGTAACCGTCTAGTACTGATAACCGCCGTTCTGCTGAGTCTGTTGGGGCGGGCTGATCGTCCGATGGAAGGACTCTGTCGTCGTCGTCACCTCGTACTGACGATCCCGGTTGCGACGGTGACGTGGCATTGTTCCGTCCGCCCGCTCGACGTCTTCTTCGTACACACTGAGAATAATGGTTAGGGATCGGTGACTAAACGTGACAATGACTTACACGTATTCCTCCTTGACGGACGGAGCTTGAACGCGTGGCAGTCGGAACCAGCTAAAGAACGGAGAGACTCGTTCCTCTTGAACAATCGGAGTACGTTCGACAGTCAGGTGGTAGACTTCTTGGAAGCAGAGAACGCAGTAGCACTGGAAACGAATGCGATTCGGAAGAGAAAAGAGAGAAAACGGACCAGGAACCAGGCCATGAAGACTCCGATGACCCAGGCGACCCAGATGTCCCGCCAATGGTTCTTGTACCCGTTGATGCGGGAGAACGAGTCGACGATGCAGAGACCGATGAAACCGAAAATGAGGAGAGGACGGAGGAGAGGAGCTCCACGCAGGTTGATCATGTAGTAGATGTAGAGCTACAAAGGAGATGGGGTGAGTTGGGATGAGGACGGAGTGGACTTACGGAGGCAAAGCAGGCGGCGTACGAGGAGACGACGGCGTGGAGAGACGGGAATGTCAGCCACGCGTAACGGAGCTCATCGGCACCTCTGAAAATAAACGAAAACGTTCCTATGAACTGGTAGAGAGACAGCGTACCTGTAGTTGCAAGCAAGATGCGGAGACGGAGAAGGAGAGTGCTCCAGAGGCGCCGTGCAAGCCCTGGAAGTTAGATTTATACAATTTTCAATCAGTTTGATGTCTTACGTTATGGAGACATTGCAAAGAGAAAGGAAGTACGGTCTCTGATATCCAGTCATCAATTTGATGGTGTCCACGAAAATCTGAACGATCAGAAGACCGGCCAAGTAGATGATGACGAAACGGAAGAGTCTTCGGGTGAACAGATGAACTGGACACTCTCCGCAGTTCGCATAGACAATCTTACGCGGTTTGGTACTGAACAGCCAGAACATCACTTCTCCGATGAGGATGACGAGCGGAGGAATCGTGAAAGCGAGCGTGTAGAGCAGTGGATAGGACACGTAGACATTGAAGTCTTCAGGCACGAAGTTTGGCTTGTAAAGATGAACGTCTCGGCAGTAGAATACTCGGTGATGGTATGGGAACACGCTTGTGAATCTGAAAACAACCGTCTTCTATTGAATTCTAACATTTTTATCATAGTGTGTCTTCCAAAAATTCAGTTTTATGAAAAGCCTCAGCGATAGTGACAAATCTGATCACAAACAATCACTCAAACATTTGGTATTTTTGGTAATCATTGGCTTTGCGCGTGAGAAAGCCACGCGCGGTGTGGCCTGTGGGCGCAGCCGACACCTCGCGGGTTCCGCCGCCGGCTATCTTTTGCGTGGTAGTCAACTCCGCCCACTCGAGGTCGCGTCCAGGGGTGTGCGGAAAATTTTTTTCGGAAAATTTCGGAAAATCGGATTTTCCGAATTTTTTTTTTCGGAAAATTTCGGAAAAATCGGAAAAATCGGAAAACTCACTTGTTCATTGGTTCAATAAAGTGTTTAAACAACGTTCTAATACAAAAAAAATGCTTATTATGATTTGAAATCACTTGAGTGGGCGGAAGCCAAGCAATGGAATATTTTTTTGCAAAAAAATTAGCCGAGAGAAGCTCTCCGGGTCCAGTGTTTTCCGATTGTCAGTGAGAATCAGGGGTGTGCGGAAAATATTTCGATTTTCCGAAATTTTCCGATTTTCCGAGAAAAAGAAGTCAGTTAAATAGTAATTGAAGAAGAAGTCAGTTAAATAGTAATTGAGCTTTGTAAAAATTCTCAGTAAAACAACGTTTGTGGGCTATTAACAAAACTGTAATGCAAGCTTGATGGTGCCTTTGCCTTGCAAGTTTGAGTACTTGTTTTTGCATTCGAATAAGATCTCTACAACGATCTTTTTATTAAAACGCGGAGCAATTCATTTCTTATTTAGAAAACACTCGTTTGCGTTAGAATGTTTCTACCGAAAACACTCTGCCGATTGCCCTGTTTTAGGCAACAAAAAGCAGCGCTTCTTCTTCTCCCTGGGAAAGCGAAAAGCTTCCAAAATGGTCAAAGTATTGTGTTTGCACAGCTTTCCTGACCGCACCCGACCGTTGTTTTACACCGTTTCTCGGCTTGCGACAAACACTTTGGCCCCGCAATCAGTTGGCTCGCGCGTGCGCACCGTAAAGACTCAAGTAATTTATCCGTTGGCCGGGCGAGCAAACACGTACTGGCTATTTGCCGTACTAATCTGTCACTCGATGGAGCAATAAGGAACTGTCAAAGTGATCGAGGAAGGAGAGATTACCTCAAGTAGTACCAGAGAGCGGCGAGACACGCAATTCCGACGACGTGGAGGACTGCGGAAGGGAAAATAAAATAGTTGATGTAGGAACGGGGTCGTGGAGGAGGAACGGTTGTCACGCCGCCGTACTGGCTCGCCGAGAACACCTGCAAGCTCTTCAGTTTCAGTTTTGTCTTCAGCATTTGCAAAGTTCTCACCTCGGAGTGTGCCCTCGAAGGTGGCACGGACATGTCGGTTCGCGCCGGAATTTTCGCTGGTGGTTCGTTTTCTGGTTTCTGAATTGGGAAGTTCTCTTATATTTTAAGGGAAGACAAGTTTCTTAATTGTTCAAAGCACAAAGATTTGAAAGAACGGAAAATGAACGAAACGATTAGATGAAACCCGCTCAAAATTAGTTGGGAATATGAAATAAGCAAGAACAAGAATGAGGATGAAGAACCGATTGGTTACAAAACTGAAGTGCAGAGAAACTCGGGAATGCAAAGAGAACACACCGAATGAGTCATGATCTGTTGCCCCAGGGTGTGTCCTTCCGGAGCATCAGAGCCGATCGATCGATGCTCTGACTGCTCGTGGGGGCGAGCGCTAGTGTGCGATGCTCTTCTCCGCAAGCCCGGCGGACAGGTAGGCGGACGTATAACTAGCGTGTCTGAGTCTCGATCATCTTCTTGGTCTCTCCTTTCCGCGCTTCAGGCTGCGTACTGTACGTGGTGGGCAAACAGTCGGAGAAGAAGCTGGAGCTCCGATTCCGAATGACTAATGACTTCTCAGGGAGTTTCGCTTTTCTTTTCTTCTTTGAGAGATCGAATTGTTCTGGTCTACACTAAGAATGATGCAGAGATTCAGAATCTAAAAAAGAATGCGTGGCGACAGGGTCCGAATTACTCTGAAAAGCAATGAAAACCACAGTTTGAAAGAGAAACCACAGTTTGAAAGAGAAACCATAGTTTGAAAGAGCAGTCAGTCGGATGGGCAGACAGAGTGGCTCCGATGCTCGAGATATCGCCTTTCTTCGGTAACTTTTTTCTCGCTACCGCTCACTTACTCTCCTCCCCCTCCGCAAACATTCATCATCAGCACCGTCGATCAGAAAGAAACATGGCCGTTCTGTTCTTCGTCATCCGAGAAACGGGCTTCGCAGGAGGCACAAAAAGATAATCTGGGCGTCGCGACGACGCGCGCATTTGTATGCACATTGGCGAACAAACTGACCGGCCCCGCGGCACAACCACTCGATGCGCCAGGGAGAGTGCGGAACACGGAGGGGCTTCCTTCATGAAGAGAGAGTTTTCGGGTGCGCCTCTCCACGCCGGCATGTTCTGCGGGGGCCTGTTCAATGCCATGTTGCCGGCTCGACTAATGCGTCTTAGACACACTCATTTCTACAAAGTGATCGGCTCGAAAAGGACGAGAAAGCGGTGACACAATTGACCTGCACCCAAACGAACAATTTCATTATCTCGGAACGTTCTCGAAGACATGAAGGAATGCACTCCGCTCCTTGAGTCTCTTCTTTGTAAGGTCATGCTCCGAATGCATTAGCTTGTGTGAACATTTTTAAAAACCTTTCATATAAAATGTGAAGCAAATATACAATCTCTGTGTTGATGAAGAAAAAGTGAACAAACAAAATAACCAGCTGTGAAGAAATGATCATCGGAGAAACGAAGGCAACGTTCATGGACACCGGTAGACATGGGCCATTTCGAAGTGAAAACGGGGCGAAAATGAAGAACGAAACAACAGTGGGAAGGGAACAATATTACGGGCGGAGAGACACAGGGAACTAGCGGTTATCTACACGTTTCGGTTGAAAAACGGCAGGGAATACGGTAGATATGAGCAAACGGGCGGTTTTTAAAGAATGATAATGATAATGGGGATGACATCATGGCTAATTGGGGATGGATGTCTTGTTGGAAGAGATTACAAAGTATGGGAAACGACCTGATTTGGGAGTGAAAACTTGAGAAAGAGTTCGTTAATTATCGGCGCATTTGACGCACTCCAGACTGACTGGAAGCAGCGAGTCGTGGATCTGAGTGGCCACTTCCTGAGGACACGTCTCTTCGGTCACTGGCTCGCGGGTCATTGAGCACTGAAAAGAAGACGTTTTACGAACACCTCGATTAGGGGATCACTCACAATCTTCGTGTTGTTCTCGTATTTAGCCATTGTGCATTTCATATCAGCGCACAGTTTAGCGCATTCCTGCAGATTCTCCGTCTTCTCGTGCACCTTCATTGACGGCATCGTCCTGGTTGGGGTCACTGGACGGATGTTGTAGCGACAAGCTGGAAGAAAACAATTATAAATGGACACAGGAGGGGTTGAGTACATGTGCATCTGATGCAAGAGACGACAAATGGATGCAGGGCCGCGTGCTGTGGAACGAAATCGGCGAGGTTCCCGCAGACGACGTCGTCGGAAGTCAGGAGACACACTCCTTGGGCAATGGTTCCGGATGGAGAAGGAATGAATCCAGCAGTCTTGCAGTGCTCCTGAAGATTCGGGTTACTATTCCAAAAGGATCCAGACAACATACAGTTTCGAAACATTTGCGAGCGCAGTCGGCTGGGGAAGAGGCCGGAACGTCGTTCGTGATGTTCAGTTTGGGGAGACTGGCCACCGGAATGACCTGGAACTCCACCCGTCCGTCACACTTTGAGCTCACTCCTGGAAAGAAAAAGTGATTGAGTGGGCGATAGATGACACGATTACCTTGATGGAGAGGAATATTATCGGAACTTGTAGACGGTTCATCAACGGAGAACGAGGTGATGTCATGCGCCTTCTTTTCTTCGGCTGGAAACGACTTTATCAAAGAAAGCATTAGGAAGCCTAATGCTTCTCCTTATTTCTATTCTGCTCCGTTGTTTTTCTAAATCACTTTTGCTTCAGACCTAAACTGGTTGATATCACACGAATCACAGTGCAGAATTAGGTGTTTGGAACTTCACTTCAAATTGTTTTAGTGTCAACATACCACACGTCACACAGTCAATGGCGACAACTTGGTTGATTTTGGTGAAAGTCCACCAGGTGGTCGGTGTCACATCAGTACAATTAGTTTCGAGATGGGCAGTCTTCTGATCGGCGTAGTGCATCAGACACACAGGACGAGGAAACCGGGTGAAGGCGGCACGAACACACGACGTCTCAAAACACATACGAGCACAGTGCTCAATAGAAAACGCGACGGCGTCCCGCTCGAAGTGCTGGCTCAGATCCACCATTTCGGAGGCGATGAAACGGACTCTGCCGGTGGTGCATTCTTCAAAACATTAGTGGGATACGGGAGAACAGAACTACGAGAGACGGTTAGAAACGACTATTAGAACAGAATGAGTCAGAATACGAGGACATACCGTGTTTATTCTCAATTGCTTGAGGGAGTAATCGTTGGATTGGACCTAGAATGGTGATCGGTTAGTTGTTGGGAAGACACATGAATCGTAAGAGGGTTATTATGCTCACCGAGTTTCCGATTAATCAGATCTTGTGCTGCTTGAGATGTCGGCTTACGGGGTCTGCCGAGAACAAAGTCAAGACCACCAGCCGCGAGAGCATCAATCAGATCCTTCACAAGTTGTACTGGTGGTTCCGTCGTAGTGCCAGAGGCTCCTGAAGTGGTCGGCTCGGCCGAAGCAGCTTCAGTGGAAGCGACGGTCGTTGGGGCGGCAGTTGTGTTTTCCTTCTTCGAGACGTTGTTTTCGTAGTCGTTGTCTTTCGTTTCTTCGCTTCCCTCCTCTTCTTCGTCTTCACTCTTTGGCTTTGGTTCAGAAGATGGCACAAAGCCGACGTTATTCGGCAGATTTTCTCTGTGAGTGTCTCCGATCAAACTCTGCAATCAGATCACTGTAATCACTGTTTAACTCGGATCGCTTACCTTATTGAACATGGTTTCGTCGATACCCGTGAGGAAGTCACTCGTGTCAGTGCCCTCTTCATCTTCGTCGCTGCTGGAAGTCTCTGAAAACTTTCCGGTGACCAAAGCAGTTGCTTCGGTGGTTGATGATTCCTCGTCCTTCGATTCAGCGGCCGTAACTCCACTGCCCTCCTCCACAGACTCAGTTGTTGTTGAAACCGAAGATGACTCATTTTCTCCACTGGACTCCGTGGTTTCACCCTGTTCCGATGCACTTGCTGTCTCTTCTCCACTCGCTTCAACTGTAGCACTCTCTTCAGATGGCGAAGTCGTCTTCTCCGCTTCACTTGTCGTGTTTTCTTCGGTAGCAGAGGTGGTGGTCTCAATCGTAGACTCTTCAGTGGTCGAATCTGTTGATGCTCCAGTCACAAACGCTGGCTTATCATCGTCTTCTTCTTCGGCCGAAGTAGTGGAAGTTTTTTCCAGAACAGTAGTGGTCTCTGCGGCAGCCACCGTGCTGTTCGTCTCTTCATCTTCAACCTTCGATACTTCTCCGGATTCCTTAATATCAGCAGTTTTGGTAAGATCGACGCCTGCCTTCGCAGCGACCTTTGCTAGATCGGCAGCGAACTGCTTTCCGAGCTCCTTCGCCATCTTGATATTCTCATCTTCTACTCCAGCACCGCTTCCTTCTTGACTTGGTTCTGCCGTAGATGCCGGCTGTGTTGTAGACTCATCCTCACGACTTCCACTGTCAGTCACAAATGCAGGCAGGTTTTCCTCATCTTCATCTGTCTTCTTTTCAGATGGGACAGCAGTGGAAGAAACAGCGGCCTCTTCTTTTCCAGATTGATGCTCTCCAATTACCTTCTTCTCTGCCACTTTTTCGGCAGAAGATGTGGATGACTCAGCAGTTTCAGCAGTCTCAGTGGCCAAAAGTGTGGAAGTAACAGAAGGCTTTGGAGTTATGACCGGAATATTTGGATCGCGAGTTGTAGTTGATGTTGCTTCCGAAGGTATTTCTATTTCAGCACCAGCAGCAGTAACGAAAGCAGAATCTTCAGAAGACACGGTAGTGGCATCTGTAGCAGTCTCTGTCACTGTGACCTTATCATCATGGGATGCTTCAGATGGTACAGCAGTGGAAGAAACAACGTCCTCTTCTCCAGAAGTCTCGGTAACGACGGCAGTGGTAGTCTCCTCTCCGGATGCTTCAGTGACGGCAGCGGTGGTAGCCTCTTTCCGGAAGCCTCGGTAACAGCGGCAGTGGTAGTCTTCTCTCCGGATGCTTCAGTGACGGCGGCGGTTGTGGTCTCCTCTCCTGAAGCCTCGGTAACCATATCGTCATCAGATGCTCCAGATGAGACAGCAGTGGAAGAAACAGCGGCCTCTTCTCCTGAAGCCTCAGTCACAGCGGCAGTGGTTGCCTCTTCTCCGGATGCTTCAGTGACGGCAGCGGTGGTAGCCTCTTCTCCGGAAGCCTCGGTAACAGCGGCAGTGGTAGTCTTCTCTCCGGATGCTTCAGTGACGGCGGCGGTTGTGGTCTCCTCTCCTGAAGCCTCGGTAACCTTAGCGTCTTGCGATGCTTCAGATGGGACAGCAGTGGAAGAAACAGCGGCCTCTTCTCCGGATCCCTCAGTCACAGCGGAAGGCGTAGTCTCCTCTCCGGAAGCCTCAGTCACAGCGGCAGTGGTTGCCTCTTCTCCGGATGCTTCAGTGACGGCAGCGGTGGTAGCCTCTTCTCCGGAAGCCTCGGTAACAGCGGCAGTGGTAGTCTTCTCTCCGGATGCTTCAGTGACGGCGGCGGTTGTGGTCTCCTCTCCTGAAGCCTCGGTAACCTTAGCGTCTTGCGATGCTTCAGATGGGACAGCAGTGGAAGAAACAGCGGCCTCTTCTCCGGAAGCCTCAGTCACAGCGGCAGTGGTAGCGTCTTCTCCGGATGCTTCAGTGACGGCAGCGGTGGTAGCCTCTTCTCCGGAAGCCTCAGTGACGGCGGCAGTTGTGGTCTCCTCTCCTGAAGCCTCGGTAACCTTAGCGTCTTGCGATGCTTCAGATGGGACAGCAGTGGAAGAAACCGCGGCCTCTTCTCCGGAAGCCTCAGTCACAGCCGCAGTGGTAGCCTCTTCTCCGGATGCTTCAGTGACGGCAGCGGTGGTAGCCTCTTCTCCGGAAGCCTCAGTCACAGCGGCAGTGGTAGCCTCTTCTCCGGATGCTTCAGTGACGGCGGCGGTGGTAGCCTCTTCTCCGGAAGCCTCGGTAACCTTATCGTCATGAGATGCTTCAGATGGGACAGCAGTGGAAGAAACAGCGGCCTCTTCTCCGGAAGCCTCAGTGACGGCGGCAGTTGTGGTCTCCTCTCCTGAAGCCTCGGTAACCTTAGCGTCTTGCGATGCTTCAGATGGGACAGCAGTGGAAGAAACCGCGGCCTCTTCTCCGGAAGCCTCAGTCACAGCCGCAGTGGTAGCCTCTTCTCCGGATGCTTCAGTGACGGCAGCGGTGGTTGCCTCTTCTCCGGAAGCCTCAGTCACAGCGGCAGTGGTAGCCTCTTCTCCGGATGCTTCAGTGACGGCAGCGGTGGTAGCCTCTTCTCCGGATGCTTCAGTGACGGCGGCGGTTGTGGTCTCCTCTCCTGAAGCCTCGGTAACCTTAGCGTCTTGCGATGCTTCAGATGGGACAGCAGTGGAAGAAACAGCGGCCTCTTCTCCGGATCCCTCAGTCACAGCGGAAGGCGTAGTCTCCTCTCCGGAAGCCTCAGTCACAGCGGCAGTGGTTGCCTCTTCTCCGGATGCTTCAGTGACGGCAGCGGTGGTAGCCTCTTCTCCGGAAGCCTCAGTCACAGCGGCAGTGGTTGCCTCTTCTCCGGATGCTTCAGTGACGGCAGCGGTGGTAGCCTCTTCTCCGGATGCTTCAGTGACGGCGGCGGTTGTGGTCTCCTCTCCTGAAGCCTCGGTAACCTTAGCGTCTTGCGATGCTTCAGATGGGACAGCAGTGGAAGAAACAGCGGCCTCTTCTCCGGATCCCTCAGTCACAGCGGAAGGCGTAGTCTCCTCTCCGGAAGCCTCAGTCACAGCGGCAGTGGTTGCCTCTTCTCCGGATGCTTCAGTGACGGCGGCGGTTGTGGTCTCCTCTCCTGAAGCCTCGGTAACCTTAGCGTCTTGCGATGCTTCAGATGGGACAGCAGTGGAAGAAACAGCGGCCTCTTCTCCGGATCCCTCAGTCACAGCGGAAGGCGTAGTCTCCTCTCCGGAAGCCTCAGTCACAGCGGCAGTGGTTGCCTCTTCTCCGGATGCTTCAGTGACGGCGGCGGTTGTGGTCTCCTCTCCTGAAGCCTCGGTAATCTTAGCGTCTTGCGATGCTTCAGATGGGACAGCAGTGGAAGAAACAGCGGCCTCTTCTCCGGATCCCTCAGTCACAGCGGAAGGCGTAGTCTCCTCTCCGGAAGCCTCAGTCACAGCGGCAGTGGTTGCCTCTTCTCCGGATGCTTCAGTGACGGCGGCGGTTGTGGTCTCCTCTCCTGAAGCCTCGGTAACCTTAGCGTCTTGCGATGCTTCAGATGGGACAGCAGTGGAAGAAACAGCGGCCTCTTCTCCGGATCCCTCAGTCACAGCGGAAGGCGTAGTCTCCTCTCCGGAAGCCTCAGTCACAGCGGCAGTGGTTGCCTCTTCTCCGGATGCTTCAGTGACGGCAGCGGTGGTAGCCTCTTCTCCGGATGCTTCAGTGACGGCAGCGGTGGTAGCCTCTTCTCCGGATGCTTCAGTGACGGCAGCGGTGGTAGCCTCTTCTCCGGAAGCCTCAGTCACAGCGGCAGTGGTTGCCTCTTCTCCGGATGCTTCAGTGACGGCAGCGGTGGTAGCCTCTTCTCCGGATGCTTCAGTGACGGCAGCGGTGGTAGCCTCTTCTCCGGATGCTTCAGTGACGGCAGCGGTGGTAGCCTCTTCTCCGGATGCTTCAGTGACGGCGGCGGTTGTGGTCTCCTCTCCTGAAGCCTCGGTAATCTTAGCGTCTTGCGATGCTTCAGATGGGACAGCAGTGGAAGAAACAGCGGCCTCCTCTCCGGAAGCCACAGTCACAGCGGCAGTGGTTGCCTCTTCTCCGGATGCTTCAGTGACGGCAGCGGTGGTAGCCTCTTCTCCGGATGCTTCAGTGACGGCGGCGGTTGTGGTCTCCTCTCCTGAAGCCTCGGTAATCTTAGCGTCTTGCGATGCTTCAGATGGGACAGCAGTGGAAGAAACAGCGGCCTCTTCTCCGGATCCCTCAGTCACAGCGGAAGGCGTAGTCTCCTCTCCGGAAGCCTCAGTCACAGCGGCAGTGGTTGCCTCTTCTCCGGATGCTTCAGTGACGGCGGCGGTTGTGGTCTCCTCTCCTGAAGCCTCGGTAATCTTAGCGTCTTGCGATGCTTCAGATGGGACAGCAGTGGAAGAAACAGCGGCCTCTTCTCCGGATCCCTCAGTCACAGCGGAAGGCGTAGTCTCCTCTCCGGAAGCCTCAGTCACAGCGGCAGTGGTTGCCTCTTCTCCGGATGCTTCAGTGACGGCGGCGGTTGTGGTCTCCTCTCCTGAAGCCTCGGTAATCTTAGCGTCTTGCGATGCTTCAGATGGGACAGCAGTGGAAGAAACAGCGGCCTCTTCTCCGGATCCCTCAGTCACAGCGGAAGGCGTAGTCTCCTCTCCGGAAGCCTCAGTCACAGCGGCAGTGGTTGCCTCTTCTCCGGATGCTTCAGTGACGGCAGCGGTGGTAGCCTCTTCTCCGGATGCTTCAGTGACGGCGGCGGTTGTGGTCTCCTCTCCTGAAGCCTCGGTAACCTTAGCGTCTTGCGATGCTTCAGATGGGACAGCAGTGGAAGAAACAGCGGCCTCTTCTCCGGATCCCTCAGTCACAGCGGAAGGCGTAGTCTCTCTCCGGAAGCCTCAGTCACAGCGGCAGTGGTTGCCTCTTCTCCGGATGCTTCAGTGACGGCGGCGGTTGTGGTCTCCTCTCCTGAAGCCTCGGTAACCTTAGCGTCTTGCGATGCTTCAGATGGGACAGCAGTGGAAGAAACAGCGGCCTCTTCTCCGGATCCCTCAGTCACAGCGGAAGGCGTAGTCTCTCTCCGGAAGCCTCAGTCACAGCGGCAGTGGTTGCCTCTTCTCCGGATGCTTCAGTGACGGCGGCGGTTGTGGTCTCCTCTCCTGAAGCCTCGGTAACCTTAGCGTCTTGCGATGCTTCAGATGGGACAGCAGTGGAAGAAACAGCGGCCTCTTCTCCGGATCCCTCAGTCACAGCGGAAGGCGTAGTCTCCTCTCCGGAAGCCTCAGTCACAGCGGCAGTGGTTGCCTCTTCTCCGGATGCTTCAGTGACGGCGGCGGTTGTGGTCTCCTCTCCTGAAGCCTCGGTAACCTTAGCGTCTTGCGATGCTTCAGATGGGACAGCAGTGGAAGAAACAGCGGCCTCTTCTCCGGATCCCTCAGTCACAGCGGAAGGCGTAGTCTCCTCTCCGGAAGCCTCAGTCACAGCGGCAGTGGTTGCCTCTTCTCCGGATGCTTCAGTGACGGCGGCGGTTGTGGTCTCCTCTCCTGAAGCCTCGGTAACCTTAGCGTCTTGCGATGCTTCAGATGGGACAGCAGTGGAAGAAACAGCGGCCTCTTCTCCGGATCCCTCAGTCACAGCGGAAGGCGTAGTCTCTTCTCCGGAAGCCTCAGTCACAGCGGCAGTGGTTGCCTCTTCTCCGGATGCTTCAGTGACGGCGGCGGTTGTGGTCTCCTCTCCTGAAGCCTCGGTAACCTTAGCGTCTTGCGATGCTTCAGATGGGACAGCAGTGGAAGAAACAGCGGCCTCTTCTCCGGATCCCTCAGTCACAGCGGAAGGCGTAGTCTCCTCTCCGGAAGCCTCAGTCACAGCGGCAGTGGTTGCCTCTTCTCCGGATGCTTCAGTGACGGCGGCGGTTGTGGTCTCCTCTCCTGAAGCCTCGGTAACCTTAGCGTCTTGCGATGCTTCAGATGGGACAGCAGTGGAAGAAACAGCGGCCTCTTCTCCGGAAGCCTCAGTCACAGCGGCAGTGGTTGCCTCTTCTCCGGATGCTTCAGTGACGGCAGCGGTGGTAGCCTCTTCTCCGGATGCTTCAGTGACGGCAGCGGTGGTAGCCTCTTCTCCGGATGCTTCAGTGACGGCAGCGGTGGTAGCCTCTTCTCCGGATGCTTCAGTGACGGCGGCGGTTGTGGTCTCCTCTCCTGAAGCCTCGGTAACCTTAGCGTCTTGCGATGCTTCAGATGGGACAGCAGTGGAAGAAACAGCGGCCTCTTTCTCCGGATCCCTCAGTCACAGCGGAAGGCGTAGTCTCCTCTCCGGAAGCCTCAGTCACAGCGGCAGTGGTAGCCTCTTCTCCGGATGCTTCAGTGACGGCGGCGGTTGTGGTCTCCTCTCCTGAAGCCTCGGTAACCTTAGCGTCTTGCGATGCTTCAGATGGGACAGCAGTGGAAGAAAAAGCGGCCTCTTCTCCAGATGCTTCAGTGACGGCGGCAGTGGTAGCCTCTTCTCCGGAAGCCTCAGTCACAGCGGCAGTGGTTGCATCTTCTCCGGAAGCCTCAGTGACGGCGGCAGTGGTAGCCTCTTCTCCGGAAGCCTCGGTAACCTTATCGTCATGAGATGCTTCAGATGGGACAGCAGTGGAAGAAACAGCGGCCTCTTCTCCGGAAGCCTCAGTGACGGCGGCAGTGGTAGCCTCTTCTCCAGATGCTTCAGTGACGGCGGCAGTGGTTGCCTCTTCTCCGGAAGCCTCAGTCACAGCGGCAGTGGTTGCCTCTTCTCCGGAAGCCTCGGTAACCTTATCGTCATGAGATGCTTCAGATGGGACAGCAGTGGAAGAAACAGCGGCCTCTTCTCCGGAAGCCTCAGTGACGGCGGCAGTGGTAGCCTCTTCTCCGGAAGCCTCAGTGACGGCGGCAGTGGTTGCCTCTTCTCCAGATGCTTCAGTGACGGCGGCAGTGGTAGCCTCTTCTCCGGAAGCCTCAGTCACAGCGGCAGTGGTAGCCTCTTCTCCGGAAGCCTCAGTGACGGCGGCAGTGGTAGCCTCTTCTCCGGAAGCCTCAGTGACGGCGGCAGTGGTAGCCTCTTCTCCGGAAGCCTCAGTGACGGCGGCAGTGGTAGCCTCTTCTCCAGATGCTTCAGTGACGGCGGCGGTGGTAGCCTCTTCTCCGGAAGCCTCAGTCACAGCGGCAGTGGTTGCCTCTTCTCCGGAAGCCTCAGTCACAGCGGCAGTGGTTGCCTCTTCTCCGGAAGCCTCAGTCACAGCGGCAGTGGTAGCCTCTTCTCCGGAAGCCTCAGTGACGGCGGCAGTGGTAGCCTCTTCTCCGGATGCTTCTGTGACGGCGGCAGTGGTAGCCTCTTCTCCGGAAGCCTCAGTCACAGCGGCAGTGGTTGCCTCTTCTCCGGATGCTTCTGTGACGGCGGCAGTGGTAGCCTCTTTTCCAGATGCTTCAGTGACGGCGGCGGTGGTAGCCTCTTCTACGGAAGCCTCATTGACGGCGGCGGTGGTAGTCTCTTCTCCGGAAGCCTCAGTGACGGCGGCAGTGGTAGCCTCTTCTCCAGATGCTTCAGTGACGGCGGCGGTGGTAGCCTCTTCTCCGGAAGCCTCAGTCACAGCGGCAGTGGTTGCCTCTTCTCCGGATGCTTCAGTGACGGCGGCAGTGGTAGCCTCTTCTCCGGATGCTTCTGTGACGGCGGCAGTGGTAGCCTCTTCTCCGGAAGCCTCAGTCACAGCGGCAGTGGTTGCCTCTTCTCCGGATGCTTCAGTGACGGCAGCGGTTGTGGTTTCCTCTCCTGAAGCCTCGGTAACCTTATCGTCATGAGATGCTTCAGATGGGACAGCAGTGGAAGAAACAGCAGCCTCTTCTCCGGAAGCCTCAGTGACGGCGGCGGTGGTAGCCTCTTCTCCGGAAGCCTCAGTCACAGCGGCAGTGGTTGCCTCTTGTCCGGATGCTTCAGTGACGGCAGCGGTTGTGGTCTCCTCTCCTGAAGCCTCGGTAACCTTATCGTCATGAGATGCTTCAGATGGGACAGCAGTGGAAGAAACAGCGGCCTCTTCTCCGGAAGCCTCAGTGACGGCGGCAGTGGTAGCCTCTTTTCCAGATGCTTCAGTGACGGCGGCGGTGGTAGCCTCTTCTCCGGAAGCCTCAGTCACAGCGGCAGTGGTTGCCTCTTCTCCGGATGCTTCAGTGACGGCAGCGGTTGTGGTCTCCTCTCCTGAAGCCTCGGTAACCTTATCGTCATGAGATGCTTCAGATGGGACAGCAGTGGAAGAAACAGCAGCCTCTTCTCCGGAAGCCTCAGTGACGGCGGCGGTGGTAGCCTCTTCTCCGGAAGCCTCAGTCACAGCGGCAGTGGTTGCCTCTTGTCCGGATGCTTCAGTGACGGCAGCGGTTGTGGTCTCCTCTCCTGAAGCCTCGGTAACCTTATCGTCATGAGATGCTTCAGATGGGACAGCAGTGGAAGAAACAGCGGCCTCTTCTCCGGAAGCCTCAGTGACGGCGGCAGTGGTAGCCTCTTTTCCAGATGCTTCAGTGACGGCGGCGGTGGTAGCCTCTTCTCCGGAAGCCTCAGTCACAGCGGCAGTGGTTGCCTCTTCTCCGGATGCTTCAGTGACGGCAGCGGTTGTGGTCTCCTCTCCTGAAGCCTCGGTAACCTTATCGTCATGAGATGCTTCAGATGGGACAGCAGTGGAAGAAACAGCGGCCTCTTCTCCGGAAGCCTCAGTGACGGCGGCAGTGGTAGCCTCTTTTCCAGATGCTTCAGTGACGGCGGCGGTGGTAGCCTCTTCTCCGGAAGCCTCAGTCACAGCGGCAGTGGTTGCCTCTTCTCCGGATGCTTCTGTGACGGCGGCAGTGGTAGCCTCTTCTCCGGAAGCCTCAGTCACAGCGGCAGTGGTTGCCTCTTCTCCGGATGCTTCAGTGACGGCAGCGGTTGTGGTCTCCTCTCCTGAAGCCTCGGTAACCTTATCGTCATGAGATGCTTCAGATGGGACAGCAGTGGAAGAAACAGCGGCCTCTTCTCCGGAAGCCTCAGTGACGGCGGCAGTGGTAGCCTCTTCTCCGGAAGCCTCAGTCACAGCGGCAGTGGTTGCCTCTTCTCCGGAAGCCTCAGTGACGGCGGCAGTGGTAGCCTCTTCTCCAGATGCTTCAGTGACGGCGGCGGTGGTAGCCTCTTCTCCGGATGCTTCTGTGACGGCGGCAGTGGTAGCCTCTTCTCCGGAAGCCTCAGTCACAGCGGCAGTGGTTGCCTCTTCTCCGGAAGCCTCAGTGACGGCGGCAGTGGTAGCCTCTTCTCCAGATGCTTCAGTGACGGCGGCGGTGGTAGCCTCTTCTCCGGATGCTTCTGTGACGGCGGCAGTGGTAGCCTCTTCTCCGGAAGCCTCAGTCACAGCGGCAGTGGTTGCCTCTTCTCCGGAAGCCTCAGTGACGGCGGCAGTGGTAGCCTCTTCTCCAGATGCTTCAGTGACGGCAGCGGTGGTAGCCTCTTCTCCGGATGCTTCAGTGACGGCGGCAGTGGTAGCCTCTTCTCCGGAAGCCTCAGTCACAGCGGCAGTGGTTGCCTCTTCTCCGGATGCTTCAGTGACGGCAGCGGTTGTGGTCTCCTCTCCTGAAGCCTCGGTAACCTTATCGTCATGAGATGCTTCAGATGGAACAGCAGTGGAAGAAACTGCGGAGTCCTCTCCGGATCCCTCAGTCACAGCGGCGGTGGTTGCCTCTTCTCCAGAAGCCTCGCTTACGGCGGCAGTCGTCACTTCTTCATCGTTGTTCTCAGCAATTTTGGCACTTTTCAACGGCACTACAATCATATGTCACTATTCAAGTTGTTCATACTGTGTCTCTGGTTCTTACCACACGAAAGACAATGGATCCAAACTGTTTTGCCTGATCTTTCCACATTCACCAGTCTTCCGTTCCCACAGAAAGGCTTATCTTCATACGCCAAAGAGCATTGTTGTGTAGTTGGATCGTATCTGGCAGCAGTGCATCCGTCCTGATATTCAGGTAATTCAAAATAATAATAAAAACCGATAATTACTTGATAACAGCGATGAGCGCAGATTTCGGATGTTGGAACTTTGAGGTTCAGTTCGAAAGGAGCTGTGAATTCGGCGCTTCTCTCTTCGATCGATTGCGCCTGGAAGTGCACTATGCAACCTTTGAGAAGGCTGTCATCGTCCCCTTCTTGTCCAATTGTTTTTATGGCCGTCGTGGTTTCTGGATCAGTCGTTGTTGTCGTCGGCTTCTCTTCAGCTCCTGTCAATGTTGCTTCCGTTTCACCCCACGGGTTGGTCACAGATGACTCTGTTGTTGTTGTTGCTTCACTTCCTTCCCCTACATGGACTGGAACTTTCGGCACGTCCGCCTTGGTCGTTGGTTTGATAGCATCTGAAATGTTATTTTAAGAATGTTTCTTTCAATGTTCTATTTACAGCAGTTAACGCAATGAATCCATGTGACTTCTTTGGCCATGTACTGTAAGAAGACGTCTCCTCGTGCACAGAAGTGTTTCTCGTCGTACGAAAGACTGCACGTGCTCCAAACCGGATCAAATCGGGCTCCGGAGCATCCATCTTGATAGCAGCGGGTTGCACACATTTCGATAGATTCCACCTTGATTTCTATTTCAAATTTGGCAGAGAACTCTTTCGGTCTCTCTGTTAGAGGTCTCGCCTGGAACTTTATGAGACAGCCTCTCTGGAAATCTGCCTCGTTTGCGTTCAAATCGGTCGGTTTGATTGTGGAGGTTGCGATAGTTGAGGTGACGTCGGATGTTTCGGGAGTGGTTTCAGAAGTCTCTACAGTAGCTGCAGACGCTTCGGTAGTAGAGACGTCTTCAGATTGAGTTGTCGCTGAGAAAGCAGTGGTTGTTTCAGCTGGGGCAGCGGTAGTTCCAGTACGGGCCTCATCGATATCACTCTGTTTGACGGTATCTGAAAGCGCCACAATATTTGTGAAATTGAAGTCGTGTACTCACAGCAGTTAACGCAATGAAGCCAGGTCGCTTCCTTCGCTTCGTAGTGAAGGAAAACGTTTCCGCGGGCGCAGAACTGCGGATCGTCGTAGGAAAGTGTGCAAGACTTGTCAGCTGGATCGAATCGAGCACCGGAGCATCCGTCCTATTGAAACATATACTGAAAATCGCCACTTCTGAAATTTCAAACCTGGTAACATCTTGTTGCACAGAGTTCAATCGAGTCAACGGGCACATTCAGTTCGAACTTCGCCTGAAGGTTCTCAGGTCTCTCCTTCAACGGCCTTGCTTGGAATTTGATGACACAGTCTAAAAAATTAACTTTTCATTGTGTTTCCGATTGTTTCACACGATGCAATCATGCAATAACTGTCTAGGTTGCCATGCACTCACGCTTTCTCTGTGTCGTCTTGACGCCTTCCTTATCCTTCGCCAGTTCCACTTTCGTGGCCACTGCTGGCTCTACGTCATTGGACTCTGCCAGTGTGGCAGATTCAACAGCTGCCGTTGTTGCAGCAGTCGTTGCCTCTTCTGTCGAAGCTGAAGCTTCCGTGGTCGTTTCGCTGGCCGTAGTCTCTTCGGAGACAGTGGCCGCTTCAGAAGTAGCCGTCGTAGTTGTCTCATCCGCGGTTGCTTGCGTGGTCACTTGTCCTTCTTCTTGGAAAGCGACAGTTGTCTTAGCAACAGGCGGAAGCTTTCGCGAACCTTAAAGAAAGCAGTGTAGAAGGGCGTATTAAAAAGCAAGAACAAAAGTTCTGAATGAACTGAAACTTGAACCAAAGCACTAACTGCAACGGAAGCACTGCAGCACCACATCCTCAGTTCCCGAGTACGAGAACTTGTTATCCGCGTCCGTGCACTTTTCCGTCCTATCTCTTCCCAAGCGGCATTCACCCGACGCCGGCGAGTACACAGCCACCGTGCACAGACCGACGAAACAGAAACGCGCACAAGCATTCGCGCTGAAAAGTGGTGGAATGGCAAACTGAGGAAACCAAGAGACTCGAACAAAGTCCGTCTTACCTCTTGACCGGTTTTACGGTATAATGGTCAAAGTTTGGTTGCTTCGAGATGTCCTCCACTTGGAAATTAATATAGCATGCTGCAACCGAACATAGAACTACGAAATGAGAGAACAGAGTGCATGCGGAACAATAAATTCAAATCATTCATCTCAGACAACTCTAGAAGTGATGACCATCAGCCCTATAGTCTAGCTCCTAAACAGTCGGAAACTGAAATCAAACTATAAAGCGAAAAGCGGATTCACCTGGATAGTAGTTACCTTTGCGGTCTTCTTGGGCGGTCTGAACTGGAGCCGTTTCAGTTGAAGCCAATGGTTCCGAGAGTGGAGTCGTCGTTTTCGACGGACCTGAATCAACGATTCAAGCGAATTCAATAGGTTTGAGTGAGTTAACAGTGAAAGTGAAGTGATCAGAACTCTGCGTGAAGTGCTTTCATTCGTGAATTAGAGTAAGTGCACACCTTGTTCCATACAGTACGGGCAAGTAATCTGCACTGGAACGTCCGTCTTTCCGACTGCATTCACCAGCTTCTCCTTTTCTCTTCACAGTGATCGTTGTCTACCAAATCCTCGGTTGCTACCGTGTACAAGCAGCTTCCTGTGTCTGGCTTGTACAGTGCGAACTAAAATGCATTCTCATCTCATCTCTGTCAACCCCTTCTGAAGACGTACTCCACACTGATAAGAGTAGCAGAGTTGGGCGCACTCTTCGGCGGATCCGACGGACGTTTGGTTAATCAGCAGATCGACCGTTTCCCAGTCAATCGTGCTGGTGACCAAGAAGCGGAGATGTGTGTTACAGACTCGTTGATCAACAGTTCCCGACCAAACGGACGACGAAGACGACGATGACGATTCTGTGGACAAAAGAAAGCCATGCAAACACGAAGAAAAGAGACAGTCCTTTGAGAGAGAAGGTGTCCTTTGACAAGTACATATTGTACGTGTCATTGTACTCTGATTGACAGCTTAATTGTGCGGATTCCTCTCTCAGACAAAGCTCTCGTCGTCTCAAAATTCACTCACCGGCAGTTGTGGTGGTGTCTTGAACGTGAAGGTCAACAATTGCCGTCGAGTGTCCACTTGGCGTTGTCGATTCTGAAGAGAAAGAATTTGAAGAATTCCTCTCCTCTTCCGTGTTTTTTACCCAGTTTCGAGTCGATGTTATGCGTGATTTCCTCCACCAACGGCTTCTCAACGAGCTTCTCTCCGCTCTGTCCGACTGCCGTGATCGTCTGCTCTGTGAAGCTGCTGAACGGCGGCGCTGTCACTGTAATTGTCGTCTCTGTTTTTGTTGTTTCCATTCTAATTCGTCACGCTCTTCAGCCTCGTATCACTTTTTATGGACGCTTCATAAAGAATGGCATTCAAATACGAACACACAAGAAGTGACAGTTTCGAAAGGGACTGTCACCACTTGATGACAAAGCAACAGACATCAAATGACTCATCCCTCTTCCTCTTCAAGAACTTACCAAAGTCTCCGTTCGAAGGGCATCTCAGACAGTCAATAGTAACTGCTTTTCCGTTATAGACCACACTTTTGGCTGGAACGAGCTTCTGGCCAGTGCAGTTGTAGGCGGCAAAGTAGAAGAGAGAGCAGGAGTCAGCCTTCGATTGATCGTATCGCAGCGAGTAGCAGAACTGATTTCCGAAGCACGCGTTTATGCAATCATGGATGGTCTCCGTCTTGATCTCCACGAATATGTACGGGGACCTATCTGCCTGCGTGTCATTCAAGTACACATAGATGTTGTCGGCGCATTCTGAAAAATTGAAGTTATCGTCCCTCTCCAGTTGTTTTCCGTTCTCAAACACCACCGTAATAGAGGCCAGGGTCAAATTCCTGAGCGAAAAGAGCTTATTAAGGGGGAGAAGAAGAACCCTTGTTGATATTGTAGCCCAATTCCGATCGTCTTCCCTCTCACGCGCGTCGTTTTTGTCGTCGCCCCAATGCCGAACCAATTTAGGGATTATGCTAAACCACTCGATCTACTCGTGTACCGTCTCCTCCGTGCCAAACAACCTCGACATGAATAACCCGCGAGATAGCTGCTTATCTGATCTGTTTGTTGTGTGTCTGCGAACAACCATTTATCAAAAAATTCACTTTTTCCTGTCAAAACCAGCGTCTATTTATCATTTTGTCGTTGTGCGCGGTACGTACTCGCGCGCGCGCACCTGCGAACGAAAAAAAGTGTTTGAAGGGGTGGCAATGACTGCAGAAAAACGGCGCCGAAGGTGGGGAAGAAGAAGAAGGAGAAGGAGACGTCGCTGATAACGATCTGCCGACGGAAGAAGGCTTCTCTCTTTGACTTGTTCCGAATCGAAATGGTAATCCGACTGTCGTGTGTCCGTGTTGCGTATTTCAGAAGAAGGAGATGAAGGCACGACCTTCACCGGCTATGAAAGAAGGAAGGCGTCGTGGATAAATGAGGCGTGTTGGCGACAAAGAGAGAGAAAAAGAACACACATTGAGTCGGCGCACGAATCATTCGAACTGGCACAATTTTTTGAATGAGACGCCCTGGAGACAAAAAAGGAATCGAAATGAAACGCGGCGACGGGCCGGTGACATAGAAATCAGAAAGTAGGATGATGTGAAATGGAAAAAGAGTTCGGGTGATTCACGTGGAAGAACAAGGTCAGCATGAGTCACTAATTACAAGTACTCGGCCAAATCATTTCCAGAGATTCCTTCTCTTCGACGAGCAAATATTTGTGTTTCTCCCCCGGAAATGAATGATGATTCGACCTTGTAGAGGTGGCAAGCTATTGTGACCAATAGCAGAGAAACCTTGAAACCCTCCTAATAAATTGTAGTTTTTGCCTTTTTTGGCGAAGATGAAAGTTTCGCGGGTGGTTTATTTACCGATCTCTCTGCTTTCTGATAAGAGAAAAATAGATAGAAATGAGTCACGATGACTTTCAGAAGGATGCACTTTTTCAGGTGATCTGTTCTGTTTTCGATTCGAATGTTTTCAGTCTCAATTCGCTCCCAAAATGGACGTTTTCTACTCGAAATATTCCAGTCTTCTCTGATGGGTTCTTGACTCATTTGTCCTCGGTTTCTCCCCTTGCCACCTCTTTCCCTTTTATTTCATTTTCACAACTCGAAGTAGATTGTTTGTCAATAACTGCGAGAATGTCTCCTCCGTCTCCTTCTCCTTCTTCGACAACCGACATACTTGTCATTGGTCATAAAACAGTGTAGAGAATGAAGAGGTGCCCCGACACGCTGCGGAATTTTTCACAACACGGAAAAAAGGAAAAACGGGCCTTCACGGCAGGCCCTTCTCTTTTTCCGAGTGAACGAAAATGGTGAGTGATAGGTGAAGTATGTAATTGACTGTGAACAATATACACTCACTGATCGTCTGCGGCAAATTGAGCGGTTTCGCGTGTGAGACGACGACGAGCAAGGCTGCGGTTGCTATGAGAAGTGTGCTCGAGGAAGGCCACCTCGGCTTCATTTCGGGAACGAATTTGTGCTCACGGTGGTCCCGCCGATCTGCAAAAGAAACCGGGTGGTCAGCTGGCGCCCTTCGGACAAACCTTCTTATATTCTTAGGTCCGAATTATGGTGATGCGCAAATCGGTCGAATATTCGAATCGTGGAGGAGTGCGCCTACTCCCTTTGTTGAGTGCAAACTGCAAAAATGGACGATCAGTTGGGAAAGTTTCGGGTCAAAGCACAGGGGACAAGGATGCCATTGAAAAAATAACAAAGGAATTGATAGTAGGGAACATGTTGTCATGCGGGTATGAAAATAGAACTTGATTAGGGACGAGATAAGATTTCAGCGCGAGACTCGGGTGGAGGGGTCAATTGGCAGAAGAGTCAAACGAGGAAGTTTGGGTGGAAAACAGAATGTTGCGAGACGGCAGAAGGTCAAGAATATGAAAAGAGGTGATAAAACCGGTTCGGCAGGGGCGAAAGCAGCGAATTCGATGGCAGCTTATCCGTTTTTTGTCTCTTCTCATCTCAACCCGATAGGGAAGTTTCGGGAGGAAATTGAGTAGAAGACGGGTGGTCACTCGACATGACGAGCCCCCCGCAACGAACCTAATTCTACTAATCGCCACGGGAGCGAGGACACGCTAAATGGTGTGAATCGGTGATGGCGACGGGCGGTGTCGGTGGCGGAAACGAACGGATTACTGTAGAACGCCGAACGAGGAAGAATCGTTCTTTTTTTCAAAGTGAAAAGTGAGTGAGTATGGCAGAAGCTGACGGACGGATGAACAGAAACGGCGTCAAAAAGAGTGAAAGAGACGACAGGAAGGAGCGTTCGTGTGGTTTTTTTTTCGTCGAAACCGAAATTGACTACTGGTAAGGAAACGAGGAAGAACAAGAAGAACAAGAAGACGTGGGCGGTCTTCTTCCTCTTCTGGATGACGTGGCAGAGGTCATATCCAACTGGAATTGAATCAGTAACGAACCGGCCGTAAGAAGACACTGAAACGGTAAGAAGACACTGCCGCTGGCTAGGCCCTTATTACAATAACTTTCAAGAAGAAACAGTTTTTGATAAACCCACTTGTTTTACACTTTTTCCCCGCCGTCCGACCGTGTAAGTACCCCTTCTCACAAAAACTTGAAGCAATTGTATCAAAAAAGAACAAAAACGACGATTCGGGGAGGGCAGAACGCCAACGACGGGCGCCGTCAGTTCTGCAGATCAGATCATGTAGACATGATTACGCTTCGAGACCGTACCTGGCGGCGGTGCGTGCGAGATCGCCGGGTGGCAAAGCCAAAGAAGAATAAGAAAAAACTCGATTAGGAACAAGAAAAAGAGAGAAAATGAGAATGAGCGGCGGAGAAGAAGGGTTCGCTTCTGCCTTCAAAAGGGGGAAGTACAACGTATCAGTGACGACGACGGCGACGGAATGCCACCTTCGATCAAATGGCGGAAATGAACAAATAAGCGAGAAGGAGAGAATGGCTCGGAATCTGGTCAGATCATGGAGATGATCCAATGTTCGCTCAACATGAACGGAATACCGAACAAGCTTACTGCTGTCTCATCTTCACTTCCATTTTTCTGAGAAACTCGTGTAAGCTTCCGACAACAAGGCAGAAGCAGCAGGTTGCCGAGGGTGTTAATCCGCCATCTCGAGGTTTTGGCGGCATGCCACTCGGTTTCGTTTCAAGTGGGAAATTTCGAAAAAAAAGGAATCAAAAAGAGGAGCGAAGGCAGCAAATGACGAGAGGTTGAGTGGGGGAGTAAGGCAGCGAAATTAGCAGAAGAACAGGGAAAGGAAGGGGTGAAACTGAAGGGGGTGAACCAGTGAAATGGGTGGACGGTTCACAACATGTAAATGATGTTACTACTATCGCCCTGCAATCTCTGCACTACTCTCATTACTGTTTTCTTTCCGTTGGACACTGGAATGTCGGCTTCAGAAGTCGCAGCAGAAAGATTCCCAAAGGAGAAAGTTCCATCGATGGAGTGCGAAGGGAACATGATGAATAAACATAGTCGAGAATGAAATTGAGAACAAAACGCTTCGAAGGTGTGGTGGTTTGATTCGAACCAGTTCAGTCGGTGGCCATACTAATATTGGTTGATGGGTGGGAGGAGAACCGAATAAGATGACGACAACGAAGAAAGAGACGGAGAAGACGTTCGTCGGTTCCAAAGGAGCCGACCGTCGTCCTTGTCGTCCGAGTGGTAACTAACTTGTGGCAAGCCGTCGTGACACGAAGTTCTGTCGGTCGGGTCGGCCCGTCTGAACTCCGCCCATTTTTGGCGAGATGGAGGAGATGGCAGGTAGTTAACGGAGGAAAATGAGGTAATGGTCAAGGAAACGAAGGAAGACTCAATATGGGATCTGTGTGAGACACGGGGTGATAACGAGTTAGTGATTGAAGTAGAAGACGATGATGATGATAGGGTGGAACCGTCGCCAAGAACAGTCTCTCTTCTACTTTCGATCATCAGCTTATTCCCCTCGACACTGATACGGTATTGCATGACACCGAGGAGGGACTGTTCTAGACCCTCACAGTCATAAGTTACTCAAGGAATTCAGGTGATCTCTCTATTTCGGTCCAACGAGAAGGAGAGAAAAGAAAGATGGGCAGGAGGAAAAGGATGCATAATATTGATACGGTGAAAGGGAGGAAAGGGGATAACGAAAGCCCTCAAAAATTGCGTTTATCTGCAGCGCGTACGCAATCATGATTGCATAAAAAGGACCGGATTTCGACACACGCAGTTTCGTTTCATTAACAAATTATCGGTATGGCAACTGTCTTGGGGACAAGGTGTGCGGGCGTTCTCGGAACAGAAAAGAGTAACAAGGAGAAGAATCAGAGGAAGAAACAGAAGACGTCGGATGGCAAAACACTCAGCGACGGCTTGAGAGTGTTGCGTCAATGTGATACTGTCGGGACGGATGGACGGAGGAACATATCTACGTAACAATGCGCAGCAGCAAAAAGTCGACGAACAAAAAGAAAAGAGGATCGAGTGCTGGGAAACGGTTCGGACGAAGTTGGTTTTGGAAATGAGGCGAGTGCAAATCGGAGGGAAAGCAGGTGATTCCGAAGAAGTAGGGTAGGCGTACCTGTTACTACTATGGACGGAAGGATCCTAGAGTGCCTGTAGTGCTCTGAACATATTCCAAGTTTCAAATGCCTTCACATGATCTCAAAATAGGTTTCCATAAAATGGCATGAGGTTGTTGTGTGCTGTTTCAGCGCCAGCCATATATCACACCGTCCCTTCACATGATCATCAAGTTTCTGTTGATTTACAGGGTTACTGATGAGATTTACAACTGTCGCCCGTATCTGTTCCTCTTTTTCATCACGTTCTGCCTCTCGACGGCTTCTTCTCAGACCACCGCGATCTGAAACGAATGCTTCCTCACGTTCCCCCTTCCCTTTTTTGGCCCGATCTCTATCTTCTTGGCTATCTGGCAAGGTCGTCAGCGGCTTGTACTACACGGTCGAATGTCGAAAAGCCGTCGAATGTGCCAACCTGTCATCGCAGATGGAATATATGAGTAGGTTCGAATTGCCGCCATTTTCAATGGCGCGGAATGCGATCGCCGCCCCCTCTTATCTGGACATTACACTGAAATATATCGAGGTGACCCTGTTTGCGTATTGCCGACGGACGGAACCTTCCAGTGTCATTCGAGTACCGTACCCGGTAATTGGCAACTTTTTTACGAGATCTTTTATGACGACCCGGGCAGACTGGCAGCTTCTGATTTTATGACAGAGCGACGACGTCAGGTGACCGTGAAAGAAGAGGAATTCCAGCGAACTTTGTCTCTGTTTTGGCAAGTCGGGCAGGGGCGCCACTTGTTTGTTGTGGTAGCACAGAGCAGTTGAGACCAAGTGACCCGATTGCTATCGTTCTTTTCCGTGTGATCTTCCGTCCATCTCCTGATTTTGCGGTCACGTTTCCTCGTTTCAGGTGATGGTTGTTTTACCTTGAAACCGAATTACTCACCTTCACCAGAAAAAAACTGGTAGAATGACCCACAATAAACTGGACTCAATTACAGCCCGATGATACGATAGAAATCTGAGGAAAATCGTTCGAAAGTTGCAAGTACTAATCAAATTAGATGATTATCGGGGCGGAAACGAATCGGGAGCGGACGGAGCATTGAAAAAACGGACAAGGTCAGTGCGCGAGTGCAACATTATATGATAATCGAATTCGCTGCGAATTTAATTGGATTTTCGGTCAAGATGTGGGTTATGAGAGGAGGTAAACAGAGAAGGTCAAGGGAACAAACGAGAATCCTTCCGGGGTGATCATATTCATTCGAAATCAAATCAGGAATTTAGAAGAAGTGACGGACACTGGCCTTCTTGTACTTGAGCTTGAGGGAGGCCTCGCAGAACGGAATCGGCTTGTCTCCAGAATACCACTCACACAGAAGAGTTGGCAATTGATTCTGGAAGCCCTGGAGACTGGTGAGAGAGACTCCGTTCACGACCATCCATGGGACGAACTGGTGCTGAAAAGGATACTGTTGAAGCAGAGATTAGAGCAAGTTTGACAACCTTTTCTGGCCAGACATTGTTGGTGGTGGCAGCGGCCTTGGTCTGAAGATCAGCTCCGAGCTTCGAAACCAAGCACGATCTGGAATGGAATAGTTAAGTTCACTTCCTTCAAATAGATTTCTTACTGGGTCAGTCTTTGGATGTCTCCTCCGATTTGCAACTTCTCAAAGCATTGCTGAACGGCGTCTGCAAACTCGACCTTGCGCTGAAGACTCTCTTCGATGCAGGAAAGGGTTGGAAGCGGGCTCTGATCCTGCAGGGAATCAATGAAGCATCCCTCGAACTTGTTGATGGAGCATTCTTCCTCTCCGTGCTGGCACTTGATGGATCCGTCCTCCAAGATCTTCGCGTTTCCGAATGGAACCAGCTCAATGTTCACGAAATCAGCAAAGTTCTTGTAGACAATTGGGTAAAGCTGCTTCGTCAGGAAGTTCTGGCAATCCGGGCACAGCGCTTCGATCAGGACGGTGATGTTGATCTTTTGGTTGTGGACTGCAGAGCGATGTCTGAAGAAATCAGGCTTTCGAAGGGAGAATGCCGTGAACTCACTTGTCGCACTGAGCAGTGAATCCACATTGAGACTCGATATCCTTGTTGGAACACCACAAAGACGTCGGAATGGAGTTGCAGTCGATGGCAGCATGGACTGCGCCGAGCAGAAAGAGGGAGGCGAGCGACCAGGCGAGCATTTTGGCGGCGACTGGCAGGGTCAACCGAGCCGGCGGGACGACATGTGTTCAAGAGATGGGAGAGCAGACGGCGAGAAACGGGTCAGGAGATATTGCAAAAGTTATTTTTCATCGGGTGGTGCCAGTTGGAGACCGGAGCAACGGAGGAGGGAATACAGGAGAAATGATCAGAGAACAAGAAGGCGAAATCGATGTTAAACGATATCTCTGAGTGTGACGCTCCAGTGCAATCCAGTGCGATTCCTTGTGAAAAATAAACAAATGGAGTGACGCCAAAGTCTGAAAAGGAGCTGGCACCTTGACATTTCAGACGCCAGCACTTCTCCTGTCATCTCCTATAAATCAACCGCTTTGATTCACTTTTGCCAGGGAGACGTCTCCACGGGTTACCCGTGAAGTGCCGCTTGGAGCCCGCATATCTCCCGGCCTCTCTTTCTGCAAGTTCTCGTCTTCTTCTTTTTTTTCCCGTTTTAATTTTTCTTTCCTTTTTGTTTTTGCTTCCGTTAGTCCTCGAAACAGTGACTCACGTCTTCCGATATGAAAATACAGTACGGTTATTCTTCATAATGTTTTGATTATTCACCAACGACAACACAAAAGGAAGAAGCATTTCAAAAGAAGCAGTCTGTCAGTCAGTCGGTCCCCTCGCTCCGTCCTTCTCGGAACGCCTGCTGTGACCGTTTTTGTCCAACAGCAGGAACCGCAGCCGCGCAGCTATCCACACTCCGTCAGTACTGTCTGCGTCTCTTGCATTCCCGCACTCCCTCCGCCCACTCGCCGCCTGCTGCATCCAGCAGTACTGGTCAATCGATGGCCGCCTGCCGTCTGTCTTTGTCTAGAGTCCTTCACTCGCTCCGCTTTCTTTCTCTCTGCAGAACACTACATTATCGATTCATTTTCCAGGATGGATCCCAAGTTCCTGGTCATAGAAATAGACTCGAAAGAGCAAGCAGTTCAGTTGGTCCAGGTTATGGTAAGTTGCTATCTACTCACGTGGATCGGAAGTATTATTGTTCAGCTGGACAAAGGATTCGCTCGTCTGATGCTACTGGATAATCTCGAGAAGCATCCGGCACTTAAAAAAACCAAGCAGGATAACTTCCGAGAGTTTGCCACGTCGCCTATTCCCGAGGAAATCACCCAGCCACCGAAAGAACAGAAGTGAGTCATAGTCTCTAGTAGGTCGGTTAATTGAAAGATCCGTTCAGAGTAATGTTTCCCACACTAGCGCAAGTCTCGAATCCGCTGGTCACGTCGACGGGAATCAAGCAGGAACCGGTCAACACGATCGCGATTGCAGATGATGAGGCAGTCGAAGAAGAAGAAGATTTACCAGTGGCCAGAGACAACAAAAAGTAGATTGCCATTGACAAAAGAACAGTAGGATCCTATAAACTTTCAGAGGAGTCAAAAGATCATACGATCAGGACGCGGAGGACACGGATTACAGGGAACAACTGATGAACATGTTGTGTGGCGAGCCGGAAATTGTGCCCATCGAAGTCAATTCTGTGGTAAATTGCAAAACGTTGAGATATTGAACTTTTGAATTGTTTTCAGAACGACGAACCATCGGCTTCAAACTCTGACGAACCGCCTAAAAAATGCAATACGGGAGAATACCACGAGTGTCGGCTATGTGGAGTACGTGTGAAGACGCCTCGCAGTGGTCGGTGGAACCTGCAGATGCACGTGATAGCCCTTCATTGCGTGGGTCGACAGTACCGATGCAAAGAATGCGACTATTTGGACTACAGGAAGTCGACAATGAGGAAACATTGTCTCGCGCAGCACGGCGCAGACATTCCCCCTCACAATATTCAGTGAGTTCTGGAAGCTTCCTATTCCAATTCGAATAATTGATTCAGAGACACTGCGATGAGGAGGGAATGGCACGAGGCGATGGTGAAGTGCTTCCCCGAGTTTGCGCATCGTACTGGTTTCTTAAACTGATCACTCCGGACTGATACCATTCCCATTTATTTGTATGACATAAACGATTGTAGAATGAAGCATGCAAAGATTGATCAAAACTTGACGTTAGTCTTCGTCTCGAGCTCCGCAATGGCGACGTTGATGTCTTTCACGAGAATCGTCTTCCATCCGAGGGCTTCAGCGGCGTCGATGTTCTCCTGAAGGTCGTCCAAAAACAGAATCTCTTCGCCCTTCACTCCGAGTCTCTCCTCAACCAGTTTATAAAAACGGAGGTCTGGCTTCATCATGTGCTCGCAACAAGACTCGACAACCTCGTCGAAATATGTCAGATCACACGGAAGCCGCCTCTCTTTCTTCTCCTGAAACAGTTAATGTTCGGGAAGGAACCGATTGGAGGAAGGAGATAACTGACCACATCCAAGTACATGTTATTAGTGAGCATCGCAGTCTTGAACCCGCGTTCGTGTAGAACTTGAACAGTTCTTTCCATCTCCTTGTACTGTAATCAAGTGGGATTCACAGGGGTTTCCTAGTGTTCAACTCACGATCCGAACGTTATCCCCTCGCAAACATTCGGTATACGGTCTCACTGAGACAGTGTAATCCAGCGTATCTCCATACTTTAATCAGTCCAATTAAAATGAGTGAACGGAATGGAAACTGACCTTTTCGCGAAGGTAATCGAAGAAAAGGCCTCCCTCGATCTCGTCGACCGTTAATGTTCCCTGGAAAAGACTCCGCTCCGGACCCAGCCAGGACGAGAACTCGGCGCTGAGGCACTCTGTATAAACGGCGTTCTCCGGAAGCCCGAGAGCCGTCGACATCGCCTTCCACTTTGCTCGGACGGTTTCGTACGAAAGGATGACTCCTCCAAAGTCATAGACGACGGCCTTGATGTCGTTTGCAGACATGATGAGGATACTGAAAAGAGCAAAGGTTACGAAATGAAAAGGTTGTTTCCATGTTGAGAAGCGAATGAACGAAGTGGTCGGAGCAAACGAGAGACGCAGGAAGGAGGCGGCGTCGGTCGAATGAGTGTACTTTCATCACTAGAAGATACAAGCGAAAGAAGGACTGGCGAATCAGTCAATTGATAGCAGGCTGCCGACACAAAAGTGTACAAACCCACAGGAGGGCGTGGAATTTGAACCTGATATCAGTCGGGGTTGACGGCAATTCTGTTTCATTGGACTTTGAGGTAGGGAACAAAACGTGCCAACCCATCTCTTTTTTCCCTTTTTTCTTTTCTTCTCACGCTTCATGCACGCTTTCTTCCTCTCGTCCTGGAAGGCTCTCCGCGAACGAGCAGAACCCAGTCAATTGGTGTCGTATATGGGCCCATATTTCAATATGCCCCCACGGTGGGCCCATAATGCGTGATCCGCAATTCACCTGTGAGCTCAGTCGGTAGAGCACTAGACTCTTAGTTTGGTTGTCGCGGGCTCGAGCACCGCATTGGGCTGAGGTTTTGTAGCTTTTAGACTATGAAGCTGCCCATTTATGTGGAGCATGCGTGGTGATAAAACAGTTTTATGTCTATCTTTTAAAAACCAAAGTGTGTTTGTGAATACACAAGCCGCAAGATTGTGAGTCAACAGGAATAAGTCAGAATTGGGGGGCGGGGAGAGAGGGAGAGTGAGGGGGAATTGGTTTGGTTTCCAAAAATGGGGGGATTTGCCCTTTTTAAATAGAACGATTCTGTGGCAATGAAGTGGGCGGAGCTTCTTGGAATGGAAGCATAGATCGCAGAGATTCAATGAAAATAAAAAGAGGCATCGGACTGTATCGTGATAGTTTGTGTCGGAGGCGGCTGGGCTGACGTTCATTCAGTTATCATCTGAAGTTTGATCACGGTTTTATCCGATCGGAGCGGACACCCCCACGAGAATTTGAAGTTTTCGATTGGTTCGATGAACGGAAATTCGTGGCTGAACGGATTGAAACACCCACGTGTCTGCAGGTTTGAATTAAAAACGGATTACTTGAAACACTTGGAATTTGTTCAATGAACGAAACAGGTTCAACCGACTCAAAAAAGTTGATGAGCGACAAAGTAGGACGATAAGGAAGAGGAATGACAGGTGGAAAGATCGTGAACAGCGCTATCTGATCCGAATTATGGAGTCGTCCTCTTTCGAACGGAAGAAGCATACAAAGTGTTGCCGGATGTTCGCTGCGCTTTTTCGAAAATGTGTTCTTCCTGGAACAGTTCAAAAGTTCAACTTCAGAAATTCCTCGGTTTCTGATGACTTCGTGGCGCCGAAGCTCGGCGCCAGTTTGGTCGAGTATGTACGAGTCTGTACCGATGTTGATCTTTTGGTAACTCAATCAACTCTGACTGTCAAATGTAAAATCGAACCGTGAGAACTTTCCTTTTGGATCTGATCAGTGTGAGAAGCTTTCTGTTCATATACTCGAAGAAACTAGACACACTACGAAGAGGCTTATGCGTTGAGAAAGTTGCAGTCCACTGACCTCCTTCGTCTTCCTTAATTCCCTTTCTCGGCGCCCTCTTACAAGTCCATGCGGCGGGGCTTTTCGACCATACTAGACACACTGGGTGCACGAGAACGTATGAGAAATACTCGCAAGTTCAGGTTACTTTTTCAAGCTGTCCAACGAGAAAATCAAAATCTCCGCTTGGGAGCGCGTCTAGACGAATCGGAAGAGTTCGGAATGAAAATCACTTTTGTGTGTAGTTTGTGTATTGATACAGTGTGGAGGAGGAGACCACGCAAAGCAAATTGGAAAAGGGGAATGGGGGAAGCACTCCTCGTTTGGCATCGCAGTCGGAATGAGCCGATCGTATTTTGTGTGGCCGTCGGAATGTGTAGCTAAAGGTACCCAATGACGCAAGTGTTTCATTAATCACGTGGTCATTATCATTCCACCTTGCTCTGAGAAGCGCTCGAATAGAACTGAATCGTTGGCACGGAAGATTTCTGACATGAGATACTTGGATACTAGGACACGCGGATCGTCGACCTTTAAAGTTGGAACATCGGTCAAACGCAATTGTTATTCTCTGTTAGAATTGCAGAACATGACGTTTTTGCCAGTACACTTCTGAATTGTTGACTTGTCCACATTGTTCTTCGGATTGAAGTAGTGATAAGAAGGAGATGTTCGACAATGGGAAAGATCGTTGCGAAACCTAGTTACCGTAAATACTGTATTTGAATGATTTTCGGACGTTTCACACGACCCTAAAATTTCGAACATTTCATTTTGGGCACTCTGAAAAATAGAAGGGCATGCCCTTCGAATACAGTATTTACGGTAGTCGGGAATTACATTCTGACCTTTGGTCCGAGATATTCGGTTCAGACTGATTCAATGGTGCATCGTTAACAAATGAATAGTGTTCTCGTTTAAAATAATCGGATCACGGATGGCAGAAAAAATGGTGAAGAAGTGTGTGTTGAACTATCGAACAACATCACAATACAGATGATGTCCACGGATTTTTAATTTGGATCTTCTTCATTTCAGGTTAACTACGATTATGACGCTCGATCGAACGAGAGATCTGAAAGGTGTTTGCAGCCATAAAATTACTTTAATTTATTATAGGGGCACCGCACAGAAATGGCGCTCTGTTGAGAAACTCTTTTTGCAGTGCAAATTGAGCGACCTCGGGCCGAGTTTGAAAATTTAGGCCATGTTTTCAGTGGAAAATTACTTCGCGGCCTAGAAATTCGGCTAGATTGCGAACAGCGCGCCCTTTCTGTCCGGTGCCCCCATAATAGCTCTCTCAGCTTTCTACATAATGTCTAAAAACTGTTTTCTGATGATCTTCATAATAAATAAAATGGAATGCGCGCGCGATTGTTCTTGTTCGAATCTATTTTTCTTGCACTCTAGTTCTCCTGGTTACTTCTTCCACAATTTCATTCCAAAAATCACCTTCGCAACTTCTCGCCCGGCAGCCAACTCAGTGGGCGGAGCTTACGCCATACAAACTGTAGCGCACGGCGGAACCCGCGAGACGTCGGCTGCTGCCGGCAATCACCTCCGGCCATGGCCGCCGGCAGGCAAGAGTTGTGATGACTTACTTAGGACACCTTTGGAGGATCTCGGTCCGCTGAAAAGAAAAATAGTACGCCTTAGTCTGAGCTCTTATTCGAAAGAATTAAGCAATTTTTGGGAGAAAGCAATGCCATTGGCTACAATCGGGTTTACCCAGAAATTGCAATTGCGATTTATTTGTGTGTGGCTGCCCAACGACCCCATTAGTTACACCGACTGTGTCTACAGAAATTTGTTCCAATGTTACGGAGAATTTGGCGAGTTGATGTTTTAACATAGATCAGAATTGAGCGATCAACTGGGATTCGACTGTCCAAAGCTGCACTATCGGCGAGAAAACACGCATTGCCGACCTCATGGAGAACCTGCCAAGTCGAAGGAACAAATCACAATCTTCCGTTGACTGTCACATTTACACATTCACGTCTTTTTCCAACCACCGAATTTAGAAACAAACATGTGTTGGAAACCATTCCTCGACTGATATTTTGCGAACAAATTGGCTGCAGAAGACGTCAGGAGTCGTTGTTTTGTCAGCAGAAGGAGGCGGTCGAAACAGGGGCCGCTGCCCTTCTTCCAGTTGTTCACCCTTCGGCAGACACTCGCTTCTTTGTCCTTCGACTCGTCTCGAATTGCCACGTCATAAACTTTGAAATATGCCACGTTCCCTGTCCACCGCCCTTTAAATATTCACGCAGACCCCTTCCAACACGCAGTTTTGCATTCCGAAAACAATAATCCAAACAGTTTCGGCGAGTGTTTTAACTTTATTCCTCGTTGATATTTTCGCGCCGAGAACTAGTTGAGATCATGATTAATTTCCGATTTTTACACTTTTTCGAAGCCTGGAATGGAGAAGACGGGCGGAACACTCTCTCTCTCTCTCTCTCCTTGTGTCGATTGCCTTATGATCATCGTGTGAAAAGGGAAAGGGACAGGAGTTCAGACTACTCGATTGTTTTGTCTTCCCAAACAAAAAACCAGCGAACATTCACACCAAGGTCTTTGTTTTTGGTCCTACAGTAGTACTGTATTCTCTCTTCTTTTTCCCATCGACTCTTTCAGCTCTAGCATCCGATTGTTTTCATCTGGGACTCATCCCAAGCCTCTCTTCTGAATCCTAAATTCGAATGACGTGATGCCCATTTTCTCTTGTTTTCTTTTAGTTAACACTCCCTCTCAAGTCACACGGATATCTCACAATGTCTCCGTTTCGGCCACCCCCGCCCACCCGATTCCCTGAAAAATGAACCGTTTTTTGTGATCGATAAGTCTCGTCGATTTGTCTTTTCTCTCTGATAACCTCTGAATTCTGCCACGCCGATCCTTATAAACCCCCGTTTCTTCACTCGCGTTCCAACTTTCGCTTCTTCTTCTTCTTCTTCCTCCACCTCCTTCTCCTCCGATGATTGTTGTTTTGTTGTGTGTTTGTGTAATTTCGCACTTCTCTTATTCGCCCCGCGCGGCCTCGATCAGCCATACCCAATATCGTGATCGATTTGCACTATCAAAACGCGAAAAAATAAGCGAAGATGGGTTTGTTGGGCGGGAGGAGGGGGCCCGCCCCGCTGAAGAACAACCCAAAGATAAAAATGAGACGGGCGGCCAGAAGAATCCGCCGAAATGCGCTCTCCGCCGTCGTTTCTGCCATCTGAACTGTTCCGAAAGCATGGATACCTTCAGATGAACTGGATCTCCTACTACTTGGGAAACCATCCCCGACGCGTCCTTCTCGCCGTCTTCTGCGCGCTGATTCCTCTGCTCAGGTGAGGTCTGATCAATGGCAGATCGCAGAAGCCATCAATCACATTCATCTCTTTTCCTTTCCGCTTTACAGCTACTTTCTCATCTACCCGCTAGAAATCGAGTGTGACGTTAGAAGAGGTTTCGCCAACAAGCACGGCCACGCAGTCGAAGAACTTACCGTAATCCTCATTGCTGATTCCGTTCGAGACTATGTCTTTTTTCAGAAATTCTCCAACTTTACAACATTTCGGTGGGCGGCCTCGAGATCTGGGGAGTCCTGGCCCGCAACAAGTCACTCGAAGACGACCTGACCATCAACTTGAAACTGCTGAACGAGGTCGACCGACTGCATCAGTTTGTGTGGAACTACACTGCGCAGTACAAAGGAGAAACGATCCGGTTCAAAGATCTGGCCGCCGAAGATATCAACTATGTCTTCAACTACTATCGGGTACGGTAACATGCACTTTACGCGAGAATGAAGGACGGTTCAGAAACTGCTGGCGATCGAATGGCTGCCCGGCGTTGACCTGTCCTACCCGCTCGCGTCTGCATTCGGCCATCAGTTCTACCTGGGATCGCAGTTCTTTGGAGTCAACAATGGGCAAGTTGCGAAGGTGAGATATCTTTTTCTTTCCGCGTAGTTTGGTCTTTAAAACGTGCGCGGCAGCTTCTGATGTATGTAGCAGAAGAAACGGCAGATCAATAAGTGACATTGTAGGAAGGACCGATCAAAACGGCCAAGTTCGTGGCCCTCTGGTACATGAGCAAAGCGGAAACGTTCGAAGAGAAACAGAAGTTGCAATCGGTCCAACTGGGAATATTCCGGAAGTCGGCCGAAGGATTCAGCGACCTCTACAACTTTGAAATGTTCGGAGACCAAGTGGCGAACGCGGAAATGCTCAGAGGCACGCTGACTACTGTGAAGCTGTTCGTGATCGGCGGAATTCTCATGATCGCCTTCATGGCGTTCACTTTCATCGAACTCACCACCTTCTCCAAATGCATGCTCATCCTCGGAGCGATCGGATCTCCGCTGGCGGCCACTGGTGCTTGCTTCGCCATTCTCGGCTGGATCGGCCATCCCTTCAACTCGATCATGTGCATCACTCCGTTCCTCATTCTCGGAATCGGAGTCGACGACGCCTTCTTGCTTCTCAACTGCTGGAGACGTGAGGAGAGCAAGGAGCCGCATCTGAAGTCGGCGAAAGAAGCGGAGAATCAGCTGGCCCGTGTGGTCCGTGAGATTTCGCCGTCGATGGCCATCACTTCCCTCACGAATACGATGGCGTTCGGCGTCGGATTCCTGTCGCCAACCCCTCAAATGAGCTCTTTCTGCCTAGGAACTGCGCTTGCAATCGTCCTCGATTTCCTCTTCGAATTTCTGATTTTCGTGCCGTGCATGGTTATGTTTTACGAGAAAAGAGTCGAAAAGCCGTCAGAGTCGATGGAAAAGAACGAAAAGAGAGGATCCCATCAGTCTTCGGGTCGTATCTCCTGGAGATCCTTCACGAACGGACTGCTCTCCATCCCCGGAAGAGCCCTGGTCATCCTTCTCTATGCTGCTCTTTTTACGGCTTCCTACCTCGGGGCGGCCAGCATGGAGACAACGTTCGATCCATCGAAAACGTTCCCATCGGACTCGAAACTTGTCGATTCGCTTCACAGTTTCACGACAATTCAAGAAGAGGTAAACAGTAGAGAGGCCACGTGATCCCCACATGAACACCGATATTGCAGTACTCTCCGTTGAATTTCCTCTCCAAGGTTCCTGATCTTTCAAACGAAGCTGATGTGGCCAACTTCGAGGAGATGCTCCGTCGGTTGGAATTCAGAGAAGGATGCTATGGAACCGTGGGCAGTCACAACATTTACAGGGACTACAAACAGGTACAAACGGGAAGAAGGGACGATGTTTGATCGCAAATCATTTTAGTACTTGAACCTCACTTCGTCGGATGAGAAAAGTTACGACAAATTGGAAACATTCTTGAAGGGGCGAGGAATGGCAGACAGGGGAACAATCAAGTGGCACAAGGAGGGGTCAGACTTTAGATTGTTAATTAACTTTAGATATCCCGTCATTCCAGAAATGAGACAATCGTCGATTTCGTCAACTTTGTCGTCGTGTGCCAAGGCCGTCCGAGCTGGTCAGAACGGGCGGTGAACGTTGAGAAGACACGACAGATTCTGGCCGATTTCCCCGAATATAATACCACACTGTTCGATTACGACGGAACAATCTACGACCTGATCATCACCGTCAAGGCAAGCAGAACGGTTTGCAGAAGAGAGAGAGAGTGCACTTTTCAGGGCGAACTGGTCAAGTCTCTGGCCATCACTTTCACCTGCATGACCATCGCCTGCTTTGTCATCATGCCGTCTTTCGTGGCACCTACCATCGCCTCCGTCGCCACCGTTTCCATTTCTTTCAGTGAGTGATTCGGGCAGAGAGAAAAAGAATTGATTATCAGAAGAATGCGCATGAAACCGATGGTTCGAGCCTCGCATTGGGATGATGATTTTTCAGGTCTCGTTGGCTTTCTCTCAATTTGGGGACAGAACCTCGACCCTGTTACAATGATTGACGTTATCATGGCTATCGGGTTTTCCGTCGACTACAGCGCTCATGTTTGCTATCACTACTACTGCGCAAGAAAATCAGAAACGAACTCAAAACAAGAGGTGATAACGAGGGTCCTGCAGGCAGTCGGGCGGCCAGTTATTGAGGTAAAACGGAACTCACTCCGGCCATCCGTTGATGAGTTGAGTTGCAGGCGTCCCTGACGACGTTGCTCTGCATGGCTCCGTTGTTCGTCGTCCCTGTCTATATGATCCGCTCGTTCGCAAAAACAGTGACGCTCGTGACGACGTTCGGGCTCCTGCACGGCCTTTTCTTTCTCCCCGTCGTGCTCTACTTCATTCCGCTGGATGCTCCCAAACACTCTCTGCCCACTTTCACTCCGAGCACTCAACCTCTCGTGTCCATGGAAGACGACGAAAAGTAACGTGTTCCGACCCCGAATTCTTCTCTTTTGTACATATCCGTTTTGTACTTTTCCCCTCCCTTCAGCCATCGATAACGCGTAGCCTTCTCTGCCAAACACCTCATGAATAGTCTGTGTGTAAATACTAGAATCTCCGCTAATAATATTAATAAAACGGGCCGAGCTGAAAAATGTTTCGCAGAACACACAAGAAGACGTCAAACATTCCGAGACGATTGTCTTTGCGGTCCGCTCTGATTCACTCCTTTTTATTCTCTTCAAACAGACCCTTCTTCCCTAAAATGTGTCTGTAGAATCGATCACGAGAAACAAAACAAACGAAATTCGGAAGAAGGTTTTTGGCAATGATAAGTAACCCGCAGTCACACGGCCGAAAACATCAGCTGAAAAAGAGCAGAAACCATGACGTGGCAGAGCACTTTCGGTCAGATTTCTCAATTGATCTTTGTATAGAAGACGAAGACAGGTTTGTGAAGATCAAAACAAGTTGGAGAGACGGAAACAAACGTGTTATTATTATCAAATGGAATGGAGCAGAGGAAGTCTGGAAGAACGAGCAGTTCCGGTTTGTACCTGAAGAAAAGACAATAGGGGAACATGATAATGTTAACGGAATTATCGAAATATTATGCATTGTCTTGTGAAAGGGAATGATGATGCCATCTGACTGGAAACATTCATTGGTGCCACAGCGATAACAGATATAGAACAAACAATCGTTGAGAAACTTCTAGTTTCAGGAAGAACTACATTCCTCGTCACCTTCTGGAAGTTTCTAAAATTCAGATGCGATTACTCCCGGAATAATTTCAAATATTTCCATGAAAAACGGCCGTTGATCGATGCTGTCGTACTCTGAAACACTTGAAAACTGATAAGCGAAACTCTCCTTTTCCTCTGTTATTATTCATTGGAAATTATCATTCTTTGGAATGCAGAAAGTGCTAGTCAACTTTGAATCATGAAAGTGTGTTGAATTGAAATGGATCACACAGGTACACAGATAGCAACTTCGCGTGGAAATGAATTCCTAGTCTCAAAAGTGACGCAATCAAATTTTAAAGAAAACCGACATAACAGCTAAAAAGAGAGTTCCGTCACTCGTCCAAACACAGATAACGGACAACCTTCCATTTCCGGTAGTTTTCACTTTCTCGTTACTTTATTTATTTGTTCCGTTCCTTTTCAAAAATAAACCTGCAAAAGAAAACATAGCGTGTGGAAGCGGGCGTCTCCATTCCCTTCTGGTCCCCTCACCGACACTGTAGCCTTGGCTCCGATACGCTGAAATGACCGAGACACGTCTGCGAAGCGCCGCCCACTTTCGCTGTCTCTCGGCTCCGTTGATAACGGCCTGAATCGGGCAGTCTCCGCACAGTGATAAGTGTCACTTTCCGTGATTTGCCTCCAGTTTCACTTTCCCTTTTCTCTGTTTTCGAGTCCCGTGATTCAATATTTGTTTGCCAGGTAGCTTCCGGCTGAAATTCTCTTAAAGTCCAACTCATTCCCAACTTTATTCGCCGACTGACTCACCTTCTCTTCTGTCGTTTCGTCGATAGTTATTTCCGTACTTCGGCGTCAAACTTTCCAATCTCGTGCTCTTTCCCGAAAGAGGCGAGTCAGCTGGTTTCAGAGATACGCCCACTCCATTGTCAGATAGGCAACATCATTTCGTATACATATTAAACGTTTCGAAGAAAGTGAAACGCACTGATAAGAGAGCCCTTCTTCGCTTCCACGACTGACGAAAGCGGCCGCCCATCGGCCCGTCATCTTTATTAGTTGCTCTCTGCCCGCTCTAGTTTTTGCTCTTTCGGTGAAAAACCATAAATACCAACAAGACTATGTTGTTCTTGCCTAAGCAGGATTGCTCTCTTCTACTAATTCTCGGATAAACCCTCGAGTTTCTGCTCGAGCCGCCGTCCATTTCGGTGCAGTTTCCCGGAGCGCCCGCCGACTTTTCTTCTGAAATCGTGTCCTTTCTTCCGGCTCTCATTATTTTCGGAAAGCAACCCCAACTTTTAGGGCTCCTTCGGCCTCGTTGCCTCATTTCCGAATGTCGTTTTTGAGTAATGATTTCGGCAATCCGCCGGCCGCCACTTCGCCGCCGACTACTATCTCTCCAATGCCCAAGATTCCGACAATCCAGGATATGCTCAACAACATCGGAGCTTCCACAGGTGCCCCTTCAATCTCTTCAGATCCTTCTAGAACTTTAATGCCATTGCAGTGAACCTGATGCAGAATCCATACCTCCAACAGAATCAGATTCCCTTGACAATGCCCCAGCTCACGTTCAACCCGTTCCTCCATCTGAATCCTGCTATCAGCCAGGAGATTATCCAGCAATTCCTCGCCATGAGCTTCAATGCTCCGACTGTCCTGGCTGGAATGGCCAACATCGGAGAAGACGAGGGCACTTGCAACCCGAAGATGCGACGTGGCGACCTGCTGAAGAGTGCCTCTCTGGACAGCACCGAAGATCCTCCGGCGAGCGCCATCACTTTTGACAACAACGGAGACATGATCGTGCCGAACAACGACAAAGAAGGTGAGAAGTGAGCCTCGGTTGACCCCGTCTGACCGTTTCGTTATCAGGCTGGTGCCGCAATAAGAAGTACATCGAGAGGACGGAGAACGGTTACATGTGCACTGTTTGCCGTAAGGTTTACGGAAGATACAACTCGGTCTCGTACCACGTCACCATCTACCACAGAAATCCGCCAATCAAGTATTCGCGCCAAAACCGTTTTCAGTTGGATTATTGTACTTTCAGATGCAACATGCCAAACTGTCAGTTCACCACTCGCGAGGCTCGGTACATTCACTTCCACAAGTACTACAGACACGGAATTCCACTTCCGCAGAGTATCGATCAAGGTAGGTTGAAAACGTGGAAATCTTGGATTATCCAGGCGATGATCGAGTAGAAGTGTTATCGGGAAAAGAGGGATTCCGATACTCTGAGAAGGATTTGATAGTTTTCGAAGAGAGTCTAATCTACCGTAGTGCTCTTGAACTGCTTCGTCACTACTCGCTGCTCTCGCACACATTCCGCTGCAAACATTTCGCTGATAACTGCGATTCATTCCAGGAAACCCGTGTCGCTTTCACTTTCGCTCTCGTTCTCTTCTCCGATAATCTGATAACTGTCGTGCTTACAGGTTCTCGAAAATGCCCTCACTGCCGTCACGTGTCGAAGAGTCCGGCGATGCTCGAAAAGCATATCAGGAGGCATCAGTTAAAGTGAGTGGACGGGTCACGGGGTCTCTTATCAGCGTGACGTCTCGTTCTTCAGTTCTCAATTGTTTCTTTCAGGGACGATCGCTCGACGGACAGTAGTGTGGATCTTCTGGAAGCGATGCGCGAGAGAACCTCCACCATTTGCGACGAGACGATGGACGTGGAGCCAGTGGAGACGGACGTCGTGCTCGAGACGAAACCGCGCTCGTGCACCTTGTAATTACAGTCCCTCCATGTACATATCTTGTGTGTATATACTTTTCTCGAATGCTTCATTTGTTGAATTGTTATTTATGTTCATTCCCCTATTCCCTCCCACAACGCGGCCTTCTCCAAATACTTTATTTGACGATAACTGCACTGAATATGTTAATTATCAATTGTGAAATATATAGATTTCTTCTTTCTCGACGGTCAAATTTTGCAGCGGGACTCATAAGAGAACGTGTTAGGTATCACAACGGAAATATCGGAGCGGTAAAAGGGCGGAGCTCATGCGACGAGGGGCTCTCCCTCCGAATTGCTTCCGTTCATTCCGGTAATCATCAGCTTCTCGTCCATCGACTCGTCCCTCATCGCCAAGCACGGATTCGATGCGATCACGATGCTCCGCCGGCGGGAACCGTTCGGTTCCGTGACCAGAGCCAGCGAGGAATCCGCGATCCGTGTGAACTGAAAAAGGCGATTATGAGCATAAGAGACTTATGTGGGCAACCAATATTAATACAGACGATAAGTTGTTTTGAGACGGTTATTCATTATGAAATCACGTGTTTCATACAAAAGAATGCGATGAGAAGGAAGGAAGGATGGAGGGAACTGCTTACCGATCCTGATCTGAAGTCCTTTGACACGTGTGGCGACCCGATACGTCTATCAGCCAACTTCACATAAACCGGTCGGTAAAGCACAATCTAAAATTAGCTCCATTTCGTTGTGCATCTCGTTTTTTCATTGCTCACCTCCTCCTCCTTGTTGATTTCCTCTCCTTCTCCGTCATACACTTGCCCCAATCGGAATTCTGGCGATACGTACTTTCCCCCTTCCACGTGGTTTGAACAGAAGTCTGCAAAAAACGAGTTTAGATTCGGTCACGATACCGTCTTGATACCGTAATCAACTGGTGGTGGTGGAACATTCGGTATACGGTAGGGAAGAGTGGCCACTGTGAGCGGGAAATCCAGATGAAGGCACTCGTTTCCCTTCTCGTCCTCCATGCACACTCGCAGGACGTAGTAGATCTGGATGAGACGGCAGACGCCCACGAGGGTCGGGGGAACGACTGGCAGTCGGATCGGCTGCTCGAGCGTCGAATCGTACTTGCCCTGCGAGTTGGCAGCAATGGAGGGAGATCTGGAAATGCAGGGATCTGACAGGTGATGTCACTCCGTGGAAGGGACTCACTTGTGCTCGAACACCACGCATGACATCATCTTGTTCTCCCCGAGCAGCCCCTTCTCGACAAACACTTCGACGTGCTGCACAAGACGGATCACAAGGCTTTGCGCCGTCGACTGTCTGTTCTCGATCTGAGCGCGCACACGGATGTTCTCTCCGCACACGTAGGCAGTCCGTTCGAGCACGATTCGCAGGGCGAGAGCTCCGCGTTGGCAGCACCAGCAGCAAGTGACCTTGCGGTCCTGTGCGGTCAACGGACTCAGGTACTTCTCTTCCATACTGTCGATATGTGGTCCGATGATTGTGAAATATTTGATTCCCTGTGGAGAAGACGCGTACGGAATATCAATTATCACCTGAACTGGAACTCGGTCGGAGTGTTCTGATTGTTATTCGTACCTTGAAATAATATCGAATAGTACAATGTCTGCTTTCCAATGAGCACGGCAGAGCCGATTGCGGGAGATCGAAATTGAAGGAGAACTGATGAACCCCGCGAGCCAAGATCGGCACGCTGTCGGACTCGTCGTTCTTGTCTGAAAGTGGTCATGTTTGGGAACACTCAATGTCACTCAATACCTTTTCCCCAGAGCAGCTGCTTCTCATCGAGCACGTACTGGTCGTCCTTCAGAGTGCGCCGTTCTCCCGACTTTACCACTTTCAACGTAGCATGTACTTTTCCTCTGAGCAGCACTCGGATGCCACGTATCTTGATGTTCTCCGTGTTTTCCAGAAGAACGCTCCCACTGATTGTCTCGCCAGCGTAGTAGACATCCTGAGAAAGAAAGGAGTTTGCGTGTTTTTTTTGCAGCCAAACTAGATTTGTGGGAAGAACTAACCTTATTGAGCCTAATATCAAAACTGGATATGTAGTCCATGCCGGATTTCTGTTCCTCGACCTGGAAAAAAAGAGTATAGCCTGAGAACTGACAGCGGTTTTTTCTCGTTTTCAGAACAACAGAAATGAGAGCTAAGCACGCGAATAGTTTGTTTTATTTGTCAGAGAGCCCTGCATCTAATTGGCGCAGAAATCCAATTGACTTTTCACATTTCACGTCCGTTTTTGAGAGCTGCCAAACGCAAGGAAACGAGCAGAAACGGAGAAAAGAAAAGAAAGGTTGGCTCGTAAAACGAATCGGAAATGGAAATGAGAACGAGGAGAAGACGGCGGCTCGGCGAGCACATCTACGGTATCCGTACTCTTTAATCTACATGATCATAAAAAACTTAAGCTTTCTCTTCTTCCCGGCTCGAGAGCGTGCTCTAATCTTCTGGAATTGTAGCCGAGCGCGGAGCGAAGGAACCAAACAAAAGATAGCAAATCGGCCTAATCCCTTGGAAGAAGAAGAGGGAGAAGAATGAGAGGGAAAAGGGGAAAACGGAATGAACAATCCGTTGGTCGGTCTCGGAAATTGGACACAGAACGTATCCATCATGAAGAAGGAAAAAAAGAAAAAAAAAAGAGGAGGAGCAAGTGCACGATGGACCTGAATTATGGATGCGTCGAAGGGAAACGCGGAGGGACTGAGAGAAAGAGCCGTAATTGCGGTCGCATGCACTTCTGAAAATCAGGTCCCGACACGCAAATTGCCAGTCGGAATGGGAGGCAGATAAGAAGCCGTGAGAACAAAAACAATTGGAGATCGGAGAGAGAGAGAGAGCGAGAGAGAGAGAGAGGAAGAGAGACGGAATGAATTCTCATCCACCCCCGCCTGCCTCATCATTTCCTGGAGGTCGAAATATCAATTGACGGGCAACTTGTCGGCGGTTTTCAATTTCGACGTCTCCTGCTCTGCGCTTTCTTCGGTCCATTGCTCATTTACCAAAAGTGGAGCGCGGCGGCCGGAAATAGCGGGCAATGGAATGGAGGCGATGTGATGGCGAAAAGCGGATATACACGTACGTATGAATGAGGAGGAACGAGAGGCAAAGCAACACAATATGGGAGGGAAGTGGCGAGTTTGCCTCTGCAAAGAGCGCACTCTCTCCGGCAATTAATGAAGCAGGTAAAGGGCAGAAGGCGTCGGGCAAAAGTGTGAAATGAAGTCGGCCGGAAAGGGGCGAGAGCGGGGGAGCCAGTGTAACACGATACACGAGTGTCTGACAGCTTCTGATGGAAGAGAAAACGATGTCGGATAGCTGATTAGAGAAGGGGATTAGACTGTTTGGAGCGAGGATTGGAGGAACGAGAGCTTTAGCAGAAGATCCAGATAAAATTGGCAGGAGGGGGAGGAGGAGGTTGCAATGCAAACTAGATGCGTTATGCAGAAATGGAGGCCGGGAAGAAGAGCTGCATAAACTTTGAACTATTTCATAATCGAGTGGTGGGAGAGATCTCTAGTATAACTACAAAAGACACCTTATGCGGAGTTTCGTTCATTTTCGATCGTGGAGAAAGGGCTCTTTGAGCACGACTTCAGAGAGCGGGGCGTGATGGCTCTTGTGAATACGGCCAAATGAAAGCAATCTCGAAAACGTCTGCTTTCCGGACGAGGGCCTCCCGTCGAAAATGCAATGAGCTGGCAGCTAAATCCATGGCAACGAGGCGGATGAGTGAAAACGGACGGGACGGGGGGATAACGGGAGGATGAATACGAATGGGCCGAGTGTGGAGAGGAACGATAAAGGGGCAGTGCCCTTTTGGCAGTGATGAACGTTCCTCTGGGGAGCTGACCTGGAAGTAGTGCTTCTCGAGCAACGAGCTGATCATTGTTCGGTAGTGCTCTCACGTGTCCTCCCGCCTGCTAGCTCGTTGGCTTCTTCTAATCAGATTGAGTACTTCTTGGACGAAACGAGTATATGTATAGAATGGAAAGACACACTGCCTGCACACACACACACAGCACTTGGACGGCACTTCGAGATTCGTGTCGACCCCATGGTCCCAATGGGAAATCGAGGCGTGCAATGAGGAGCAAACAGACACACACACACACACACACACAAACGGAAGAAGAAGACGCTCCTCATTTCTGACAAGGACTTTTCGGCGCCGTTGGAGAGATCACGCGCCGCGTCACTCGGGGCGGAACGCGAATAATGAGCAAACTAATGAGGTTCGTTTGGGAGAACACGTCACGACTAATCTGCAGAACAGAAGAAGATTGGGTTAGTTATGGAAAGGTTACGGGGGGAAGGAGAGTGCAATCAGTCATGGGACGAAGAAGTTTCCGACTCTTCTGACAGCCTCGTTCCGTGTCCACCGAAATTAGAATATCATGTCAAGAATCGAGCTCATTTCGAATTCAATTTCCCGCTGAAATACACCATTGAATTGTGTGCGGAAGGCGACCAATTTCACGCGATCGAGTGAGAGATAAATAAGGCGTAGGGACACGTCATAACCGGAGAGCTGACGTGGAAGCACTTGAGCCGTTCTGAGCATCTGAGCATCCTCTTCAGCGGTCAACTCAGAAGCGTAAAAACTTGGATTATCAACGGCCGTCCGGGGGAGCCAGGTGCATGTGTGATGGACTCGTAGGCCGAAGAGCAGCAGAAGCGGGGGGCAGTGCCTTTTCTCCGGAAATTATAAAAGGTTGGAGGGAGTCGGCGTGCGGCCACAAAGACGTCGACAAGAAATTGATGAAGAAGAAGGAGAAGAAGAAAAAGAAGAAGAAGAAAGGTTGGGAAAACACAATGAGCCTAGAAGAGAGGACGACGCAAATGGAAATGGATCTATCTAGGCGCCCCTCAAATTGGCTCTTTTCCTGCTTTTGGGTTGGCAGAAGACAGAGCATAAGAAGAAGAGTAAGAAAAAGAAGAAGCAGAAGCGGTTGGGTGGCGGAAGAACAAAATTCGGGCAATCAGGGGCGCCGTCGACCCGCAGGGAGCCTCGTTTGCCTATTTGTTGGAATTGACGCTTGACGAAGGCGCGCGCGCGCGTCCCGAGCAGACACGAGAGAGGGTAATTCATAACGCAGACTGACCAGTGCTCCGGCGGGCGTCCTCGGCGGAAACATCATCGGCCACTTCTTGATGACGGGCGGTGCGGAGTATCTGAAAAGAAGCGAATGCGACGAACTCGGACGCTTGCTGCGAGTTTCCCATTTGTGCTCACCTATTCCAGTGACCGAATAAACTATTCTGTGTAATTGCAATCTGTCTAGAAGCACATGTATGTCACTCTCACTCACTCGCCGCTCATAAAAATGTTTGTTTGCGCAGTTAACCGGTCAAAGAGCCGGCTCTCCCAAGAAGGCGTACCTTATGAACTTGTGTCGGAAGTCGACGTGTCCGTGGACGAATGCGTCCAGGTTGATCAGTTTTTCTTGAGTTCATCGACACGAAGAACCAGTTCGGAAGAGGAGAAAGAGTCGGAACGGAGCGACATTCCGAGCCAGTAATGAGTGGGAAGGGACCTTTTTGGAGGAAAGCCATGGCTGGAAAAGAAGGTAAATATTATTGAGAAGCGTCCTTGATGGTATCCAGTGTCGCCGTTTAGTCCTCTGATGTTCCTACTTCACTCTAGGCCCGATTCTCCAATAATCAAACCTCAATCAGTTATTATTGTTCGAGCGATCTTCCTAATCCGTGGTCGGTTCGGTTGAAATTCAATCAAATCCGTCGGTAAGCGGATTCCTTTTTTCCGATCCCTACCCATTCGCACACCTCGTTCCTCATTCAGTTGACAATGCAACCTTCCGTCGTGTTCTCCCTTTTTTACCTTTTCGGCCTTTCGTTTGTCTATCCGGCACCCACAAAGGGCTCGGAGCAATTGGAATTACTCATCGGTCAAGTCTATCCGGAGATCTCCACCTATTTGACACATGCTCAGATCAAACTGTGAGATCTTCTGATGTTCATGTTACAGACTCATAGTCTACTGTTGCAGCTCTTTCAACACCTCTCCATCGTCGTCCGCAAATCTAAAACTCTGGAAGAAATAGCAAAAGGTAGGAGGCGAGAGGCACGCATTCATCCCCTTCGGATGAAGTGACAAACAACTGATACAATATTTCTGACCGATAACACGCGATATCACAAATCCCCCAGTTTTATAAATTTTCCCAAATGGACATGTTTACAGCGATGAGCCAGCCAATCATCAACACAATGACTCCAGAACAGAAGACGGAGTGCTGGGCGTCGATCCAGAAGGCGCAAAAGGGATTCGGAGGGTTCCAACAGCTCAAAGTCATCTTCTTCCACTCGTTGGACGCCGTTCAGGACTTTATGGGAGACGCGATGGAGAAGGATCGGATGGAGATCACGGCGAAGGCCGAAGGACGCACCGAGGACGAGAAGTTGGCGATGATCTACGAAGCGTTCAGGGCCTACTTTAACATTGAGTTCGGACAGAAGGTCGGCTGATACGGTAGTTCTGGATGTCCGACTGAACATTTTCCAGGTCATGGACACGGTTAAGTACTCGATGACCGAAGAAGACTGGAAAATTGCGACGGAGGACGCCGCACTCTACTTGAATGTTGGCAACTTCGACTTAAAGTATTGATAACTGACTGGCACACCACTTGTTTACCATTCACCAAACCAAAATAGAAATATTTCGTATAAAATGGATACTGTATTTTTATTATGCGGGACAAATTTCAACCAATTATTTGGAGTTGGAGTCAATTTAGGGCATATAAAAAGCGTGTGTCATGCTGAAGAATTCATGATCATGCGTCTTCTTTCATTTCATCTGCCGGCCGATGATTATTGTGTTTTTGTGCGGGAAGCCTCTCTTACACTCTGCTCTATTTACCACCGAGATCACGAGAACAAGAAAAGGAAAAACGCATTGATAACAGATGCAAAGTTTGACGAAAATAGGAACGAGCGGACTTATTGAATCACACACACACACGTTTTTCGTCGAATTCCCTCCGCAAGGTTTGGTAATGAATTCTGGTGGTCGTCGTGTGAATTCAGTCATCTGGCACTCTGGATTCCTTCATTTCTGCCCGAAGAAATTGCCGTGAAGCCTCATTGTGCACGGGTCCGAAGATCGGAAATTAGTTAGTCATCCGTCGTGCCTCTTCTTTTTTGTTGCTTCTAGTTTCTGTCGTCCTGCTTGTTTGCTCCGTCCGTCTCCTGTCGCCTCCTAATGTGATCTGACATCTCCGTCCGTCGAAGACCCCACCTGCGCCCTTCTTCTTTCCCAAAACATTGTGAGCTCAGCCCCAATCCAACCCGTTTGCTCTTTTCTTTTCACCAGATTTTGATTGATGAGCCCATCCTCATCTTGTTGCCTGCCGTCTTCTTCCAATCGAGCTCCAATATAAAAATGCTCTTCGTAAAATTACATCATTCTGCGAAACGTCCGAACCGCCCGTCAACTGTCATTCGGATGCCTCTTCGAGCCGTATAAAAGTGCACTCGCAGACGTGTTTTGTTCATTCGCCAATCGGCGTTTTTCGTGCCGAATGCCAATTATCACCCAAATTGCACGCCGCCGTGATTTTCTCTGAAAACACGACGACGACAAAAGAAGAAGCACGGCGGGTTCTCCGCGCGCAGCTCTTCCGGTCGCAATAAAAGCGCACTCATGTGTCCCACCGTCGGCCGTCCAAACACAATTTTCAATTACTTTTTTATTGCTCTCAAATCAATCACTCTTTCGAAAGCGAGTGCCTCCCTCTTATCGACCCGCTTCTCTTTTGATAAACTTGTTTTCTTCGCGAATGTGCCGCTTTGATAACAACTGCTCTTCCATCCGTCCCACTTCATTTCTCTAATTTTCCATCAGTTCAGGATGATCGTTCGGATCTCCTTACTGGCCAGTTTTTTGGCCGTTTCCACTTTGGCCTTCGAATGTTCCCCGGATACCATCCTCCGTATGGCCACCAACAAAAGAGAGAAGCAGTTGGAGAGAGAGTGCCACGAGCAAAAGACTGCACAACCTGTGTGCGCCACGAAAGACACGCTGGAAAAGAGCTGGAAGGAGTTCCAAGAGGTCTCCGAACAGTACAAGACAGCGGTGGCCGAGTGCAGAAAATACGTGGACGAGAAGAGCAGACCGAAGAGTAAGTGAAGACGGAGAAGATGAGAATGAGGGAGGAAGAGTTGCAGGAACTGTTCTGGACGGAGATGCGGGAGATGCGAACACTGAGGAGGAGAGCCATGATCACTCGAGAATGAGAAGACATCACGATCACGAGAAGGGCACGGACACGCCGATGGAAAGCATCAGCAGAACGAGGATCACAGAAAGCACGGAGAAGGACACGCGCACGGAAGAAAGCGCAGAGAGCACGACCCGAGTGATCCGAACGTTGACCACACCGGACACAATCACAGAATGAGAAGAAGCGATAATGGTAAAAGTCATAAAAAGGCGTTCTCTGTTATATTCGGAGATTCAGATGACCCGAATGACACCACCATCGACCACACTGGACACAACCACAGAATGAGAAGACATGATCCGAACGACCCGAACATCGATCATACCGGCCACAACCACAGACGCAAGAGAAGCAACGGTTGGTTATTTAGAAGGGTTAAATGATGGTGAAGATTCAGATGATCCGAATGACACCACAATCGACCACACTGGCCATAATCACCGTATGCGTCGCTCTGGAGATCACGATCCAAACGACCCGAACGTTGATCATACGGGACATAATCACAGAATGAGAAGAAGTCATAATGGTGAGGGATTTATCAGATGAGATATCAATGACTGATTCATATTGCAGATGACCCGAATGACACTACCATTGACCACACTGGACACAACCACAGAATGAGAAGACATGATCCGAACGATCCGAACATCGACCATACGGGACATAATCACCGTCGTCGTCGCTCTGGAGATCATGATCCGAATGACCCGAACGTTGACCACACCGGCCACAACCACAGACGTCGCCGTCATCACGGTGAGCATCTGAATCCATCCACGAACCATCCCCACTTCTCCCCTCTTAGACATCGCCTCCCGCTCCCGTCGCACCGTCTGTGCCACTGCCGGTCACGATCAGCTCTCAGCCATGAGCTCTAAATTCTCGAAGCACTGCGAAAGAGGAAACATGTAATCATCTGGGTTCTTCTCTGAATTCCATCTAACTGCCGTTTTCAGATGTCTGCCAGACGAAGATCTTCCGAAAGGAAAACAACAAGATGACATCCTCGCCCTCCAGAAGCTGCGTGCCAAGAAGTACTCCGACTACCTGAGCCAATTGTCGTTGTGCTACGGAAAGCTTTGAAAGCTTTGAACAGTAATAATCATTGCATTAACCAAGCAGTAGTCATGTGTTCTCCCATCTACTAATGTCAACCATTTTATTGTTTCGGTGCAATCATATTCGCCAAATGAACACAATTACTCGTATTTACACAGTCAACTTTAAAAGAACACGTTGGTCAATTGACCATCATTTTTATTATTAAAAGCCTCTGTCCGTATGTTTATTTTAGGCTGGTCGAACAGGCGCCTGAAAAAAACAGGTGCCTGTTTTTTCAGGCGCCTGTTTTCTCAACGCAGGGATGCAGCGGCGCGTTGAAAAAACAGGCGCCTGAAAAAAACAGGCGCCTGAAAAAACAGGCGCGGGCGCCTGTTTTCGCCTGTTCGACCAGCCTAGTTTATTTACAAGACTTTTGACATCTGGCTGCGATGCTGAGCTTACGCTCGGAATCAGCTTCGGCGCATGTTAGATTCTCAGAACTGTCCCGTTAAATTGTTCACGTGTCCATTTCTTAATTTCTCCGTCACAACGTTTTCCGTTTCAGAAATGAAAAAGTGGCCGGACAAACGGAGAAAGAAAGAAAGAAAGAAGGAAATGAACAGACTCCATTGGCTTTTTATTAAACAAGAACAGGAAGAGGAGAATGAAAAAGAGAAAGAGGAAGAGCCCTAAAAAGTGAAAAAGACCTGAAACCCCACAGTAACCCACCAAACTACCGTAATCCCTATTCTTTTCTTTATTTTCAGTCACGGCCGAACCTTCCGGATATCGCCAATTCAAAACCGAGTCCACGTCACAGACCCGGCTGATTTTAACCAATATTCACACGGAACGGGTCATGTTCAAGATCAAATTCTAGAACGTTCTCCGAAAATGGGGCATACCAGTAAGTAGCACTTTTAGAGCACTTTCAGGGCTTCTATCGTTTGTAACCCATTCTGAACCATTCCATTTTGAAATAAACTGAAAATTTCTTACAAGTCTCTGAAACTTCTCATCTCTTCGTTTTTCTTTCATGACGGTGTCACAAAATTCGGTCTGTGGCACAAGGAGCTCAATTATTTCCAATTACGCCAATGCAAACGCGCTCCATTGACAATGCAAAAAGTTTGCCGCGCACAGGGGTGTTCCGTTCATTTTCTGAATCTCTCGGAGAATTTCCTCTTCGAAAACTTCAGAATTCCAGTTTGAAGAGAAAAATAAAGATCTTATTTTCAACCAAAATTTAACAATTCATATTTTCTCGATTCAGTATCACTGGATTAGTAATAGAAGTTGGTTTGCATCCCCCAAACAAAAATGTCGTATTATTACGAAGGCGTCTGGAATTCAAGCAACTTTTCCAGGTGCTCATCCGTTTGTCACACGTATTCTAACTTTTGATTTCCAGCGACAGTAATACCGATAATTGGCGACCCACAAACCATGCTTATTCACAGCATGAGGTTAATTTTTTGCGTTTTTCTCGCCTCGCTGATTGTATTCATTTTCAGCAATATAATCCAGTTTACCCGTCGTTCAGCGGCACCGCGGACTTTTTAGCATCTTCGGCCCTGCAGGTTACCTTTTTGCTTTCCGAACAAGTGGGCGAAGATGAGAAAAAGCTCTTTCGAACCGGCGATGTTTCTCTCTTCTTGTCTCTATTCGCTTGTTTTCTTTTCTTTTACAGAAAAATACATCACAATCAACTCAATTTCCAGGAACCCGCTCCGTACAACCCTACCAAGCGCTCCACGTCTGCTCGCGAGACTCAGAATCGGCCAGGGAATTCAATCCGTCGTGGTGGCAGTCATCAGAAGAGAAATAAGAAGACTTGGAAAGCCAAGAGGTTCCATTTGATCACTCTGAGCACCGATCCGCAGGGAAACGCCGATTCGACCGACTTTTCGAAGATACAGGAGGCTTCTCCTAAAACGGTAGTCACAGTGGCTCCTAGAAACAACAAATGTGAGACTCATACTTTGATGCATCAAAAACAAACGTTTCTCTTTTAGCACGCGGTGGCAAGGGCATTCAGAAAATGCCTAATTACAGTGGATCGCAGGTCAACAACTGGGAGTCAAACGGCTTCCAGCAGCCAAGAGGATCATTCGGTCGACCGCCTCACAGGGGAGGACGTGGACGCGGAGGAGGCGGAGGACGCGGTGGAAGGTTTAATGGAGCCTTGAAGCCGACAAACAGCAAGGATGACATACAGTTTGTGGCTCTTCCGGACGATGCTCCGGCGATCACTCTCGCTGTCTCTTCCGATAACATCCTCGCTTTCCACGGCTTCGACAGTGTCTTCACCACCCAACATAGTGTAAGATATAACACTTACGTTACTCCTTACGCAGAATTTTGTTTTTTCAGTTCCCAGTGCTGATCGACAAAAAGATCTACGCGAGTTGTGACCACTACTATCAGATTTGCAAAGTGACCGACTTGACCGGCGTTTCTAGCGACAAACTGAACAAGGCCGTTCGCGATCAGAACGGAAAACCGATTGTCGAATCGAGCGGAGTGGAAAAGGAGAAGAAGGCGTTCAGTGCCATTGCAAAAGACATAATCCGAGCATCGAATGTAAGCTAGTTTCTAACTTCTTTTCAAATTTGTATCGCTTTAGATCAGCAAGGAAAAGGTAGATGAGTGGAGAAACACAAAGGGTCTCGAAGCGATCCAAAAGGGATTGCATGCGAAGGTGGCACAGTCCGCACATCTCCGAGAAGCTCTCAAGGAAAGTGGCGATCGCATTCTCGTGCACGCATTCGTCCGGGACAGCATTTACGGAACAGGGTCGAATGTTCTTCAGGTCAAGAAATGGCTGGATGATCTCCTCAAGGCGGGCGTCAAAACGCTCAGAATCCCTTCTGAGTACCCGCTCGACGACACCACTGTGCAGCACTGTCCAGTATTCGCTCAAGGGCGAAACATTCTGGGAGTCATTCTGATGCAACTCAGAGAAATGATTCGCAAGGAGGAAATTGAAATAGTTGATATGAGCAAGATTTACGATGCTCTTCGTGTCAACGATACGGAGGCAATGGACGTCACACCCACAGGCGCCGGATTCATCATGGACAACAGCAGCGTCGGAACTTTCTAACAATTCCAATATTTTTTCTCTTCTTTCATCCTTCCGTTTGTTCGTTCTCTAATGTATTGTTTCTGGCATGACCAGATCCCAATTGTTTTTGTGCTCGGAACATTTTGCCAACAAATTTTATCAAAATAAATCAAAAAGGTACATTTAAGCGTGAGTTCTCTTTGTCTTCTGACGAGATCGAGCGATGGTGTCGGATAGGCCGGAAAGGATTGCGAGGGCGATGAGGAGTACGAAAGTGCCGCCTGAAACGAGGAAGGATTCAGAGGAGACGACGGTCGGATTGGAATACCGCAGCACGCGAGGAAGATTGTTTTTTGTCCAGTCGTATACGTCACCAGCTTCTCGGCGTCATCAAGATTCAACGCATCTGAATCCGTGGTGGTTGAGTAGAAGGAATTCGTGGAGCCAGAAGACGATGAGGAAGAAGAAGAGGAAGACGGAGAAGAATTCGCATACGTGGAAGTGTAGGAAGGTGACGTGGAAGTCGAGGAATCATCGACTGATGACGTGGATTGTGCCGAGCACTTTTGGATTACTGTAGGCAAAAAACAGTCTGCATAGATTCTGCTGCTTATTCTAGATAAACTTACTGAAAAATGAGAGAAAAAGAATAGGGAAATGCATTTTGGAAGTGAAATGTTTGAATTGAATACAAAGGACGAAATGGGGAAAACGGGAGGGAAACGGCCATGGAGACGTCGGCGGAGAAACTATGGAAGCGGTTCGATTCATTGAGAAAAAACTAATAAAAAAGAAGAGCTAGTTGTGTTTGTCGTCTTTTCGGGAAGGACTGAGCATCAGAGTGAGTCCGAGGATGAGCGCGGAAAGGGAAATCCACCAGTAGATGGAATGGGATTCGGAGAAAAGAAGACTGCCGAGAACGCCCTGCAAACGAGCACATTCGGGAAACGACTTTGGGAGGAAAACTGACGGTCAACGCGAAGTTGCAGGCCATATTGATAAGCATCGGAGTGCTCGTGCAGTCCGAAAGCGCCAGCGAACGGGTGTACGTGGCCCACATGACGATGTTCGAAACGAGAAAAACGAGCACACACGACACCTTCTGAATTCTTTTCTCTTTCTTGAAAGGGGTTTCAGTTCTAACTGCGTAATGGTCCACTTCTGAATCGAATGCCAACTTCCCCGAGACTGCTCCAATCGATCCGCACATTCCGGCGATTGCGGCCAGAACGGAGCTCCTGTTCATTCTGAACGCAATCTCACTTTGTGGGTGTATTCTCTTCTATTGGCAAAATATACGAAGAGCTGAAAATCTCTCTGTTCTCATCTGATAATCGGCGGAACTTTTAGGTTTTATTATGAAGTCGAGCCGGCAAAAATCGGAAAAGGAACGGGGATCGGATTGAGACACAAAACGGCAGATTATTGAACTGATCGAAGAGGTGTGAGCTGGAGGAAGGTTATTTCTGGTTGGCGGCAGTGAACACTTTGACGACGTCATTGTACACCTGGAACATTTTCAGTCTTTTTAGACATTTGACCTTCAATCTACCTCATCGACGGGACGCTCGCTCTTCACTTCACGAACAAGCCCGTTCTTTTCAAAGTGCTCAATAATTGGGAATGTCTGTTGATTGTACGTCTCCACACGTTTCTTCAGCGACTCCTTGTTGTCGTCGGTTCTTCCCTGGCCACGATTCAGACACCTCTCGATGCAAATCGGAACGGGACACGAGAGGAAAAGCACGAATTGCACGTTGGCCTTTCCCGCCATCTGCTTGTTCCAGCCGGACAGATTGTTCTCGTTGCGAGGGAATCCGTCGACGAGGAATCCTTTCACGTCCCCACTCGCTTTCATTGCATTTTCGAGCAGAGAACAAGTGATTTCCACGGGGACAATCGTTCCGTTACGTATGTGACCTTCGATGAGCGCTCCGAATTCGCTTCCTTCCCTTTGGCGCTCAGCTCTCAGAAGGTCTCCAGCAGAAAGATGCACGTAGTTCAGGTTCTGAGGAGAACTGTTTCGATCGAACAGCACGAATTTCTAAGGCTTACCTTCTGAATTTTGGCGCAAATAGTTCCTTTTCCGGAACCGGGAGGACCGAGAACGAAAACCACGTTGTGCATTTCGGTTCGAGTGAACGTGCCGACTGACAGGCTTTGCAAAGAAGAGGAGAGAGCAGAGAAACGCAGACGACGAGATGTGCGAACAAGAGCGTTGAGGGCGGAAACCACTGGAAAAGGCTGAACGTTCAGAGAAACAGAACGAGCGAATTTAAATGACAATGATAACGTGGCTGGCAGGCAAAGATTGTTTGCAAAGAGAGAAATAGATGCGACTTGAGTTCATTTCAGTACGCTCAGGATTAGCGACGTGTTACTTGAGATTTTCTTCGTTTGCCATATATGCTCTCCAGCTAAGCACAGCCGGATACTCACTCGTTTCTCGATCAAAGCCAAGTACAGAAAACTCACACATGCAGTTGCTTCTACGACTACGAAGCTCTGCCCTGCAGTCTGCCGAACAGCTCTATAGAAGTCCTCCATCTTCAATTTCTCCGATATCATTTCAGAAGACCACCGAAAAGCAAGAAAGTTCAAAGATTATTAGGGAATCGTTTACTTGCAAGAATTGAGTGGGAAATTGTGAAAATTTAGTAACATGCGTTATAGCACAAGAATGGGAATTGACGAAACAGATTGCTTAACCCATTGCGAGAGAAAAGGAGATAAATAAATAGCATTGAACCCGTTAGTTTGCTTTTAAACACAACGGAATGTTGTAGTTTTATTCGAGTTGATCAGGCTTCGCGCTCTTCCGTCTTCTCTGGCGATTTTTTCAGGAACTTTGGTGGATTTTTTGCGAGGTATTTATCTTCGATGCGACGGAACTCTTCCGGAGAAACCTATGAATATACTAGCTTGTGAAACTAGCACAATGGATGGAAATACCTGAGTGAGTCCGGTTGGAACATTTTCGTCGATTTCGCCGGCTAATTCGACGTTTTCTCCTCGTATCAGCATGAATCCTTGACTCGTTTCACAGTAAACCTTGTCGACAAATGTTCGTTCGACGACATCCTCCAGAATGAGATTGGCAAACTGGTCAATCGATCGGAGGAAACCGATAAGCTTTCGGCCGTCTCGGAGTACGACCAACAGCTTCTTGTCAAGCTGCTCGAACAAGCTGATGGCTCCTGGCAAATATGGATCCGGCAAATCCATTTTCTGAAAAATGAAATATGCATTTTTGGAACATGTTATCGATTCCAGAAATAGTGGAATTACGGTGAACCTATTAAAATTGCTGACCGGCTTAAATTAAAGTGAAATTGAACATTTCATACTCATGATCATGAAAACGAACCAAATTATCGGAAAACAGCGCCGAAAAAAGGGATAAATCGAGTCGAACACGCGAGAGAGAGCGTGGCCGGAAGAGACGAGCGACGGCAGACAGATTAAAGGCGCACGCTTTTTTGCGGGCGGGTCTCGTTGGGAAAAGGAAAACCGATCCTACTGGCTCGAATTTTGGGCCAAAATTGCAATTTTTTCTTCTTTCTTCTAATTTTCTCGCCAAAATGTTGATTTTTTTGTACAAACAATGCCAAAACATAAAGAAATTGCAATTTTTGACCAGTATTTGTAAAGCTCCTCGTTTTTTTTCCAGCGTTCCGTTACTTTTAGGCTTTTTCTCGAATTCGTAAATTTTAGTTTTTATTGTAGGGTTCAACTATGCCACGTCTGAAGACTGTGCAATCGAAGGTGACGAAGTCGCCACGTCGTCCGTTCGAGAAAGAGCGTCTTGATCAGGTTAGTCGTGAGATTGAAGAACTGAAAATGGTTGCTTTTCATTACAGGAGCTCAAGCTCATCGGAACTTTCGGACTCAAGAACAAGCGTGAGGTGTGGCGTGTCAAGTACACCTTGGCTAAGGTCCGTAAGGCTGCTCGTGAGCTTCTCACCCTTGAGGACAAGGACCCGAAGCGTCTTTTCGAAGGAAATGCCCTTCTCCGTCGTCTGGTCAAGATCGGTGTGCTCGATGAGACCAAGATGAAGCTCGATTACGTGCTCGGATTGAAGGTCGAGGACTTCCTTGAGCGCAGACTCCAGACCCAGGTCTTCAAGCTCGGATTGGCCAAGTCTATCCACCACGCTCGTATCCTGATCAAGCAGCACCACATCCGGTTAGTATTTTTTAAATTGCTTCTATTTAAACACTGAAAATTGAATAATATGTAATCTTTTTTCAGTGTCCGCAGACAAGTCGTCGATGTCCCATCCTTCATCGTCCGTTTGGACTCGCAGAAGCACATCGACTTCTCTCTCCAGTCGCCATACGGAGGTGGCCGCCCAGGACGTGTCAAGCGACGCACCTTGAGAAAGGGAGACGGAGCCGGAGGCGACGATGAGGAGTAAATTTGTTTTTGTTACAAATAAATTGTTGGACATAAATCTTCGACCAATATGTTAACAGTCGTTTTTCCAGTGGCAACCGTTTTTCTGAACTTGACGTGAGCCTGTTTTCCAAGTGAAAAAGAAATCGGCGGGACGAAGCTTGCACAAGCATCACTATTTCCGAACGCTTCGAATATTCAAAAAATTAAACATTCCCGCAGAAGAGTTCACGGTGAATGTGTTCCGACGGATTGGTTTTGTTGTCAGCCGGGAACAGAAATCAGCTGCCATGAATAAAATTTATTTAACAAAGTATAAAAAGCTCGACGATCAAAGCGCATGGAAATTAGAAAAGACTTGATACCCGTTAGATTTGCATCGACCGAAATTCTTCAGCCAACCCGCGAATCGTATTTGAGACATTCACCTCATCGGGCCAGCTGAAAATAAATAATTAGTTGTAAAAATGGAGGCAACAACTTACAGATCAAGACAATCACCGAGTAAGAAGAGAGCTTTCTTGTGCAACTGAGCCAAATCATCCGGTATTCTCTGCGCGATGTCTCTCACATTTGTCATCTGCACTTGAGCATTCGGATATTGGTCCGAACTGTTCAGATTGAGGTCGTGCTCGATCTGTGCCATCTGGTTTCGGATCTCCTCTTCATCGAGATGGTACGCCGTGTTCTCGCTCATGAGAAGATCCATCATTTGCAGCGGTTGATTGACCAGAGCCGTCGCTTCATTTATTTTCATGTCCGTTCTGAAAATAGGAGATTCAGAATAGAATAGAACGAACAGCCTCACGTGTGAACATTGTATCGTTTGAGCATGATCCGTCCCTGCCCCACAGACATAACGTCCCTCATCACTTTGAGTTGTTCTTCCGTTTGCAAATTGATGTGCACCACCTCGTACTTGCCACCTCCGATCGAAATGGATTCAGATCTTCGAGTGGCGGCAGCAGGAGCGGGGCCATATCTCTGTAGGTGACGGGTTCCTCGTCAGCCTTGGTTGGCTTTAGAATGATAGTCACGGCGACCTCGGTGACATTGTTTTCGGCGACATCGAATGGGACGAGAAGTCTCGGTTCTGCGGCCAGACTCCACATAAAACGGAGTGGCTGATGATAGTGCCTGAATAGAGAAAATATGACAAGGGAAGAGTAAACCAGTGATGACTCACGAGTTGTCAGCAACAGTGCACGGAATCGACGGGAAGGTGGCCATGATGATGAGGGCGATCGAGAGCGGATCCTTCTTGAACGCGTATCTTCCCTCTCCTAGCAACAGCATACCGAGAGACTGATGGGCAATCATCTGCTCGAAGTGCTTCTTCCCGATTGTGTGCCAGTCGGAGTCCGGCTTGTCGCACTGCCTCAAAAGTCTCGCGTACCTCATCACGGTCAGATCTCCCGTGCCGACTTTCAGCTGAAACGATAGATTTGAGTAAGATCAGAACCGGAATCAGCTCACGATAGACATGGCGATGACGAGCATGGAGTAGCACGTGGCACGAGTGTAGCCGCCTGCCTGCATACACATTCGTACACTTCCCATATTCTTCGCCGACTTTCCCTGCGGCACAACAATTTTCACATAGAACTCCTGAAATATGACATCCTAGGTGCTCTTTCCAACCATTCAGGTGCTTACAATCACTTTAAACGCGCGGCTGACAACGTTCTTCTCAAGAGGACCTCCACAAGAAGAGAACTTCAGGGCGATGGCCATGCAGCCGGCAGTCACTGCGTACAGATAAGCCTGAGCGACTGTGCCCCGATCGACGATGTCGTTCCAATACTTTTCCTCCTCCTCGTCAAGCTCCTCGAAAATCTGCTGTCCGTCTTTATCTCTTTTGATCGGAGCTCCGAAATGAAGAGTTGATAAGGCGTATTCCTTGATCACTCGCGGAACCAATCCTTTGATGAATTCGTGCGACGGCTCGATTTTGTCCCACATAACAAGACATTGTCCAAGAACGCGAGTGTAAATCGTGAGTGGAATGATTCGCTCGATGTCCGTTATAGTCTCCGGGATGGCGAGAGCATTGGCGATGAACTGATTGTGCGTTTTCATGAATGTGAATCCGAGAGCGATTGCAGCTGCGTCGGCGGACTGATGGATGTTGATATTGTTCGATTCCTTCACATGATGGGCCACTTGGGTCCCTGTCATGAGAGCTCCCGTCGTGAACGGCAAAGATGAGGTTTCATTAGTAACTGGAACGGTAGCCTGTGGAAGGAAGACGCATTGATCCTGCAAAAGTTTGGGTTTAAGATTGTAATCACTTGAAAACACTCACTCTACGCATTCCCTTCATCATGAAAATGAGTCGTTTTGAGATAGGCGGAATGTTTTGTTTGAATGGGATCACACTCGACGCGGCTCCGTTTCCTTTCCCCAGCATGATCAGCCCTAGCGAGAAGCCGGCAGCCAGTTTGTACGCGGACCTGTCGGTCACTGGTTCCTCCTCTCTACTTGGCGCTTTTCCAATCTCATTCACCAATTTCTTTGCAATGTTCATGTTGCCAGAGTCGGCAAAAAGAAGGCCGAGTGCCGCAACGGCGGCCGTCTGAATCACGAATTCCAATTTAACGTCAATCGAGTTCGGACCCATCAAAAAGGGAAGATGAGTGGCAAGGATTTTGTGAATCTGAAGGTCGCACGTCGTCAGATTGGAGGCGCAGAGACCGAGAAGCAGTGCGACCGACTGAAACTTCTCGAGGGCGGTGAGCATTGAGTGGGCGTAGTACATGTTGAAGTTGGCGAGGTGACCGTTGAGTCCGAGTCCAAGGATCATGCCTCCGATGACCGCATGCGATTTCATGCTCTTCGAAACCATCACAACCCATTCGTTATCAATTCGGACGGTGTCACTCGATCCCATTTTGAGCGCAGCAGCAAGGGCGTTGTAGAAGTGAGCCCATTCGGTGCCCGACTTGAACACGTCCGTGGTGGGAGGATCACACGTCACTCTCGCCGGATAGACCATTCCGCCCAAATGTAATCGAGGGATGTGGAGGTTGGTGAGCAGAGAGGGCACGGAAGAGCGGAAGTAGTAGTACGCGCGGCCGAACGATTGGGCGAATGATCGGAATGAAGTCTGGGTCAGATATCGGTCCTGCAGCTCTTTCATATTGTCGTCTTCTGTTCGTCGTCTGAAAACAATGTTTACCGAATGAGAAAGAACGGGAGAAACCTACAGAATGTTGGTGGCGACCAGAATCGGACGGGAAGAATCGAGCATCTGTTCGACATTTCTTTTCCGAATGTCATGGCTCCATCTGAGTGCAGCAATGACGGTCATCTCCTCGGGAGTGGCGAAAATACACTTTTTGGGCTCAATAGTCTGGGCGCCGGCAAATGCATCCGCCTGGTACTTGAGAAGCAGAATCTTCGGGCAAATAACCATGTAGTCGATCACATTCGCGTCCATATCAAAGAGTTGAAGCAGTTTGTCCGCCTTTCCAGCGGAATTCGAGCGGGAATCGTTCATGATGCTGCGGAACGTTTTCAGCGTCTCACCGGACAGTCCGAGACGGCGTGCCCAATCCTGTCCGATCCATAATTGACAATCCAAATTCACATTCGCTCCTATCAGACCTCGTCCGACGACAAGCACGGTCAGAAGATGCAGACTCTTCTTGGTGACTGATTTTGGAAGAGTTCCGAGATTCTGAGCAGTTGTTCGCTCCTGAATCAAATGCGCCATCGTGTTATAGAGAGACCATCCGGGCTCACAAGGCTGAGCAGCTGCTTTAGTTGTTCGTGTAAGTGCGGCGACAGATTGAACTCGAAAGCAATTCGATTGAGAAGACATTGAAACAGATCAATGTAGTACTGTTCGTACTCCTGGTAATTGAGTGCTTTCGAGAGAATGTACGCGTACGGAATGAGATCCAGAAGCACCGGATGCATCGGAATGAATATCGACCACTCTTCGCATTGTGCGTGGAGGGCATTGAAAAGATCGCGGGCATGCTCGAATCCGTCCCCTGTCGGTTCCAATTCTACGAGGAACTGCGTACGCTTTCCTTCTTCGCGACTGACACTGCTCATAGTCGTCTGTTTGAACATCATATCATCAAAGAAGTCTTTCATGAGTGCATCCACTTCTTCCGCCGACATCTCTGGTTTCATTCGCTTCCCTCCGTGTTCTTCAGGACTGTCCGCTCTTACTGGTTCCGTTGCCTGAGTCACGTTCACACCGACGTTATTGAGCATGAAAACGGCCACTTCCGCCAGCTCTTTCTTCTCGAAATCCAACCGGTCCAGGTCGATTTCTCTCTTGATCGCTCTCCATCTCCGCAACAAAGTCCGCGAGAATTCGCGATTGAAGTACAGGAAGCAGGTGGTCATCAGTTGAGTGGACGCCCTGCACAAAACCGTTTCCGGAATCTTGAAGATACAACAGTTCATTCCATTGATTGCGAAGATGTGATTTTCAGAGAACGTATGAAGTCGGTAGTCGATACTCTCTCGCTTGTTGCTGATCTTAAAAGAGAACGATGTGAATAGAAATATAAAGAAATCAAACATCGGGAATGAAAATCGGTGCGATTCGTTCGTTTCCTCCGTACATTGCAGTCGTGTAATCGTAGCTCAGAGTGATGGTTACTCCGCTTTTCCGCACGAATGCGGCATCGATGCAAGTGACAGTGACAGGCTCATTCTTGCCTCCCTCGCTCAGCTTCTGCCTCGTCATTTCTGAACTCTTCCAGATCGGAATGATTTTCATAACTTCCCCCTCCGTGGAGACCAAGTTTAGGTAAGTGGTCCCCAAAAAGTTTGATAGGAAGACTTTGTTCGCTCTCGGAATGGCTCCTTGCTTCGGTTCCACGTACACGCACTCGAGACAGATTTTGGAGAGGAGCAAGTCGACGTCCGGGTCTCTTTCCAGATCGCCAAAGTCGACGTCATCATTGTTGTGCAGGTCATATGACAGATTTCGTGGCGTATCTCTGATCATTCTCGTGAAATCTCTTATCAACTCTGCATTGCTGTCTCCTCTGCGGAACTTCTGCGTGAGACTTGACCGGAACGGCGAGGCGGTTGTCTGAAGACGTCCGTACGATTGCGTGGGCGAAGAGCTCGTTCCTGGTGCCGCCTCATCATTTCCAACCATTCGAGCGAGGGTTCTGAAACCGATCTATTGTCTTCCAGGAAGATATGTCTTATGCCCACCTTGTGTGTATATTCCTTTCAAGACCTCCTCTCGTGTTGACTCTCGGCGTATTCGGCGTGGATGCCCAGATTTGCGAGTCGTTATTACCTGAAAGATCGCGAGAATCTTACTGGATTGTGTCCCCTTATTGGCCTCATCACCTATTCTCCGTCTAGTTCATTTAGCACAAAGCTCTTCGAAACGTCGGTCAACCAAAACACACGCAAGACGGCAAACTCTTTTCCGATCGGAGCTCCCGCTAATCTCCGCTTTTCCTGTACGCCTTGTTTTAAGGGATGCTGCCCGGCCGTCGAAAGAAGACAACAGGCGAAAAGAGCACCGAATGCAAATGTGATTTACGCCCTCAGGGCTATACATATCTACAATTTCGCATGCGCAAAGTCTCTTTTGTCGTCGTGCACACTCGCAACGGCGCCTCCCTCGCAAGGATGTTACGTGAATGGCGACAGAAACAACAAATTCGACTGCCCAATCTTCATGTTTTCGACTCTAATGCGCTTCCCCGTTCAGGTGCAAGTCTTGTGAACAAAAGCCTGTGCGGTTATCCGATCTGCACTCGAAAGGTTGGATTCCAATCTGCAGGAGTGGCCGATTCCCACGCCTATCCATCTTTCGTCCCTTTTGACGTAGGATAATCAAATCGGCTGTTTCGATTTCACATTTCATTGACACAATGCGCCCCCTCTTTTCATTCTATCTCTCTTCGATGCTCGTCAATCAGAGTTCGAGAGGAGCCCTTGAGCAGTCTGAGGGGACGACGGCTTCCCCGGCGGCTCCGGATCTAATCAGCATTTTGGGATTCCCAGAAAAGAACATTTCCGTGTTATGTAATATGCACCAATACCGTAATAGATGCCTTGTTTTGGTGGCCGTCACTTGTTCGTCGAACTGCAATTCGAACCGTCGACTTCTCGCAGCCCCCCCCCCCCTCTCCACTTTCGTTTCAAAAAGCTGCCAGAACGCATTGGAGGATGTCAATCATTTTTCTTATTTAGTAGGAGTTGTTGTTTTGCACATCGGTCCCACGGCCGTCCGCTGACAAGAACTGAGGCATCCGACGTCTTCCATTTATCATCTCCCAACACCATTTCGTTAGACACTTCCATCTTCCGTCTGGTCCAAACTTATCATGACTGAGCCCTCAGCGCCTAGCTATTTCCCCCGCAGTGCTCATTTTGAGTGCCGCCCTTTTATGTGTTCGTCGCACAAAAAAGGGTCGAGGATCCTTTTGACTGCACCATTATTGGAAAGCCACGCATTTTGTGGTCTTTTTGTTAGAATGAGCGACGAAAGACTTCTCTTTCAGCATTTTCCATGCACCTAGATCAAGATGACTGAGAGATTGTCACATTTCAAATAAAAGTTTATAATGACGTCTTCAAAAATGAGCTCATCATTCGCTTTCATCGCGAGCCCACTTATCATTATGGATCTCCGCAAGAAAAGCACGAGACCTCCGCCTTCTCACTTATTCCCACCAATTTGCATAGCGAAATAACGGCTCTCTCCTTCCGCGCCATAAACAGAATCCCTTTGCACATTCTCTGATTCATTCGTTTTTACGATTAGCTCACTCATGGGTCCCAACCTCATTTGTCCACTCGAATTTTCAGTGCACCAGAGATCGTCAGGACTATGCGCATATCAGAAAATGGGCAATCAGTCTGCTCGCCAACTGTCCACTCATCGGAAGCACGTTGTGCATACGTGGAATACGATTAATGGGCATGATCCACAGCTATTGAATGAAGCCATCAGGTTTGTAGCGAATACGTTTACCCAATGAACTGACATTTTAGTGAAGCTTGGCTCAAATCGGCTGAACTGACGCCTACGTGGGTCTGGGCATTAGTTGACCTTCCAGAAACTATGCATGCCACTTACAAGGAAAACGCCCAGTTCTTGAACATTATCAATCAGGTATCAATAAAACGCTGACCTTTTGTGCTCTACCTCTCAAATCTCCTTTCCCATCTAGGTCCGAGATTTCCTGAACATCTTGATCAAAGTGCATAAGTGCGACCCCGAGATGATCAAGACGCTGTCCTTCCGTCTCGGAGCAAGACATCGGTCCGTTTGCGGAGGTTGTGCCACATGAGCTGAACGTCAAATGTTTATAGGCACTACATGAACGAGGGCAACGACAACTGCTACTGGGCTCCGTTTGCTCAACAACTTCCGATCGCCATGAGCAAAATGTACATGAGAGTCGTGACTGAGGACAGCAAGTAGGGTAATGGGTCGGTTTTTAGAGAACGAACTCCGTTTTTAGAATACGGAAGATGCTTAGGATTCGATCGAGAGCTTCAGAGAAAAGCGAAGAGGAGGAAGTGTGCGAGTCGTGGAGACAATTCTCGTGCATGCTGGTCGAGTCTATGAAAAGAGGATATGAGGGATGCGCCAGTGAAAAGACCCCACTTCGACTCAGCATCACCAAGTACTCCAACTTCCAACAAGTCCGTTTCAGTTCCCTTTTCCAGTTCGATAATCTCGATGGCATCCATGAGGTCCACCCGTTCACGGTCCGCCTCGCACTTTCTCGAGCCGAATATGTCTCCAGCAATCGGTGCGTCCCCAGTGCATCATTCCCATTCGTGTCGTAGCTCACCATCTTCTAGCCGCCGTCCGTCACCTCGTAGATCGCTTAGATAGCTTCTCACACGCTCTCACTTCGTTCTGTCTGCTTTGTCGTGAATCAGTTTCCGTTCAGTTCACAATTATTTTTCTCCTTCGTATCAATCACACTAATAAACATCAACTAACCGCTTAGGAGTGCCGTGTTCTTTTGTTCATTACACGCTTTCTGTTCATCGTTTCTATTACCGTTCAGCTCCGATGTGTGCTCTCCTTGGCTCTACGGAAAGCAATTCAACAACGACAACTACTCAACCATCATCGCCCGTCACTCCGTATCGGAGGAGGAGCATGTTCCGAGCAGGAGGACATCTCCAAAGAAACAGTCAAGACTTCAGTGCTCTCCGGTAACTTCCTGCCAATCACTACTGATCTGCTCTCTATTCTAGAACTCGTCGTATGTCTTCCCCCAATAATCCCTCCATCCTCCTTAACAATTGCGACATCCAGTTGCTCAAACTGACGTCTCAGCTAAGCCCACTGGATGCTCAAAACAAGCAGACTAGGTTGCCCAGCCGAGCACATCAGCAGCGGCGAAGCATCACTCTGCTCAATTTCGACCATCATAACCGTTCGCGATCCCCTTCTTCTTGAATAAAATGTTTATTATTACCGTCAAAGATTGGCGTCGGCAGAGTTCCCATCATTCCAGCTGCACCCGGATTGTTGGGGGTGGAGTGTCCGAAGCCAGAACGAATGTACGAAGTCAACGGGGATCGTCCTTCAATGTCCGAATTTTCACTTCGGAAAGGGCAATCACTGAATACTTTAGTTGTTAACTCAAAAATTATAGCGGAAACAGACTGGCTGGAGACTTGGTAGTTGGTTCGAAAGTGGTTCTGGGCGCTGATTGTGGAGCGAGACTAGAGGCGAACATTGTCGAATCGTGTTGTTTCCGCAGAGTTTCCACGTACCGAATGGCCGAGTGCACTTCTTGTTCTTCGGTCTCCCGTGCCATATAAATGCGGTGCACCTTCTCCTTTTGATCGTAAACGACCACGAAGTTATTCGCAGTGTCCACCATTCCCGCTTCGTCCTGATGTGATTGCCAGCAGAATTTCCATTGTGGATGGAATCCATTGGTTTTATAAATAACAGGAAGCAGTTCTCCGAATGGACCGGACAGAGAATAAAGATGAAAAGTGTCGTGATTATGGAAATTCTGTTCGGTGGAGGAGTCGTAGAAGCGCTCGACGAGGATTGCGTTCGAGCAGGAAAACACGTTCCGGAGCTGGAAAAAACATGACTGAATTGCTGAAAAGGGGAGGTTGAATACCTTGAATGGAATCTCATAGTGATAAAAGTGATAATCCGGGAGTGAAAGGAAGACAATGCGATGCTCCCCACAGACGACGAGGAACTCTCTCGGCTTTGGACTGTGCTCCTTCCGTTCTCCTTTCCCTTTCCGCTTCGTTTCTTTCTCTTTTTCCGAGTGTTTCGCCAGAATAAACGTGTGATGGAAGATCTTTTTGACATCAAACTCCATTTCGAATCTTGTCATGATCGACTTCGAACATCCCATTCCGTCGCCAATAAGGATAGCCGGTCCCGAACAGAACGCGTACACAGTCTTGTCATCCTTTATTTGATATGAACAGAAGCTCGTATCATTGCAGGCGAACTGAACAATACGTGAAACGTAGGTTGACCTTTCCAAATGAGTCTCACCTCCCCAATTTCTTCTTCTACGTCAAAATCGCTTTGTTGAATAGCAGAAATCATATTTTTAGGACAGCAATCATCAAATTCTTCACTCATACAAATTATTCCGAACGCTTCAAACTGAAAACTATCGCTTTTATGCTTCTCTGTTGAACAGTACCATTTTAAAGTCAAAATTACCGTGTCAAAGGGAAAATCCGACAGAATTTGAAACGGTGCGATAGGGCGCACTTGCTACATGAACACAGCGGAAGGTATTGAAGTACAGAGCAACCGTTCTGAGAATTTGAACACGAAAAGAAAGTACCCAGGGTGAGAGCTTCATTGTTTAGTTACGATAAAAATAAAGATAAATTCGTTGAGAATAGTATAAGATTGAAGATCATTTGAGATAGATGTCGTCGTTCAAAGTTGCGAAGTGCCTTCCTCCTTCGTCTTCTTCGCTTCGTCGGATTCTTCTGATGGTTCTGTCGGGCGTTTCGTTGGCCGACGGACCTACAAATTGGGAAACTGTTAAATTATTTAAATCGTACAGAATTACCAAATTGGTAATATCATTTGCCTCCTCCGCCGCGTTCTCTTGCTGTGGTAATTGAGAAAGAACGGAAGTCAGTCCCTCGAACTGAGCCTTTATCGATTGCTTGACTTCTTCCGCTTGAGCTGCAGAGCTGAGGGCGTCAGCAATCGACGCGTCGAGTCCCGGCAGCATGTCCTCCAAGTCTTTCAGATCTTCCTCGACTTCGACTCGTTCAGGACCTTCAATGTCTTCACCCAATTTGGTCTTCTGCTCATTCACTCTATCAACTAGAATCTTCTTCGCCTTTTCGAAGTACTGAACAGTCTCATCGTAGCGCGCATCCAACGTGCAAGCGTTCGCGATGAGCGCGTATGTTTGTGCCAGGATTCTGGAAGTGGGCGGGAGAAGAGCGGTTTGAAAATCGAGAGCGAGGGCCAAGTCCTCCTGAGCCTGCACGTATTTTCCGTCTGCAAGACTGTGCTCACCGAGAAGCACCATCACATCGCTATGCTTCAGCTTCCACTCCCCAATCTCTTCCGGATCTCCATTCTCAGATTCTAGCTTCTGGATGGTCACCATAGAAATACATCGAGCAGTTTCGAGAAGATCCCACGAGAGCTTCATCGAGTCGTCCTCGTCGTCTTCCACTTCATCACCAGACTCTTCTCCATCTTCTTTATCCGATTGCTCGGCTTCTTCTTCTTCTTCCTTTTTTTCAGTTTCTCCGGTCGCTTCTTTATTTTCTTCTTCTTCATCTCGGTCCAACTCTTTTCCTTCTGTTTCAGGAGTTGACTGTCCTGTTTGGCCAATTCGAGAGTCGCCATTCCGTAGTACTTAATGGCGTCGAACGTCTTCTCGTGGCCCTCGCCGTACAGTTCTGCACTCAGTGCAGCAGCATCGCTCAGCGCTTCTGTAGCTTCTTCAGCGTTATTCAATTTCAGAAAACGCCGGCCGGCGGCGATGAGATCTCCGAGACGTGACTCTCTGGCGACGAAGCTTTCTTGTTGAACTAACTCGTCTTCTTTTTCCTGAGTCATATCCGGTAAATCGGCAGAATCACCAGACATTGTTGTTTGTTCCGAAGACGACTGGGGAAGGCTGAAGACGAGATGTTTCGAAACAATAAATCAATGAGGTGACAACGAAAGAGAGACGGAGAACTTTTAACTGAGGGGTTAGTAACCATAGAAATGGGGGAAATCAGCATCTAGACCACACCGATATACTTATAACGCTGAATGTGCATATAAAATAATCCACTAATTCAAACTTTCTACCGATTCAAAAAACGCTTTTGAAGCCTAGAAATGCCAGGCGCCTCCTAGTCCCCAAGAGACGCAGACAAACTGGCGCGAACAAAAACGGAGCGTGTTTTCGATGCTGATGAGAGAAAGGAGAATACGTTAAGTTATTAAGAAGACACATACCTAAGGGAAAATAGACAAAAATAATTATAAGATGCTGAAACAAAAGAGTGTCGCAAACAAATTGCATACGTAAAATTTTCTCTCATTTTTTAATGTCAGAAAAATAAGAAAAGTGAGCTGGAAAATACGGAAATAAGTCTGTCAATTTGAAAATTATATTTTCCCGCTCATTCCCAAGCCCGTTCGTCGCGGGAGCCAGTAACTCAAAGACGCGTGCGCCTTTAATTTATGTTCGCGAATTTGGGATTTCAAACTTTCCTGGACACCGTTTTGTTTTCCTCGGGGTTTTTTCCGTTAGAATTTTTCCGATACGATTTTTTCAGGTTTCTAGGTATCGAAACAAACAAAGAAGTAAAAAATGGAGAACCGGTGAGTAAAGAGCAACATAAAAAAGCGGAAAAATTCATTCGACTAGATAGATTTTGATAAGACACGAAGAAATACATTGAGCGGGTGGTAACGGAAACGTGGAATAGAAAAATTTGGTATTGACACTGAGATCATTTTCGGCGAGTTATAAAGTCACGTTGGTGATTGTCTGAAATATTCGCACTCGGTTTCAGGGCTTCCCCTCGAAACTCACCTGTTTATCTTTTCTTTTCTTCCAAAACAGCCACTTTCTTCGCCATCTTTCGAGTAGTGCCGTCTTTTCATTCCCACTCTCAAAATCTTCAACGGCGGTCTCGACAGAATGCTGCGGAGAACTGGATAGCCGAGCTCTTTCTTGTCTACAATCTACTTTCGTTTTTTTTTCATCCAAATTATCAGACGTCACCTACTTTCTTTGTCCTCCTCCAAGTGACGTGTTTGAAAGACAGGTATACGAATAGGCAGAGCAAATTTACGATACGTTTGGCACACATTTCGAGCCTTTTCATCTCCAGATTCTGTGAGTTGAACCAACGAAATTTCGAACTCCTACGGTTGATTTTTCCTTTCTGATTTCCTATCGAAAACTTACTTCAGCAGACTTTTTGATATCCGGAAACACGAAATTCTGAACCCAATCGGCAAAAGTGTTGAGGTTGCTGTACTGGCAGGTTCCGATAAGAGCGCCGTGCTTCAAAGTCTCTGAACAGACAATTTATTGAAAATTTGCAATGATTTTGCTCACCACTCCGCTCGTCATCGCGCCACAAGTGCATGTGCGTATCGAAAAGAGTCAGAGACCCGTTCGTTCGGTCGAAAACAATTAGGACGGTCCGAATGCATCCGATCATGACGAAAACGAGACGGCGTTCCGATTGGAAGAGCGTGCTAGAAAAGAAGACTCATAGACAGTGGCGGAAGAAGTGATTCGAACCTTCGGACGGCCAGATTGATTAGTTTCGGAAGAGAATCTTTGATGGACCCGGTAGACAGTTTGAAATCTATTTCCTATAGTCAGATTGTTGTCGTTCCAGTTTGAGACGAAAAAATTACAAACCGCAAAGTTCAGATCGCAAGCTTTGATAGCATCTGGCAGGTTGTAGACTCTAGTCGAATCGTGACCCGCGTCCTTTGCGTATGCCTCGTTCCCATCGACAATTCCGTTGACCAGACAGCTCACGATCCTTGAAGGGCAATTCTGAAATACGAAATCTTTCAAAATCAGTCCCGACCGAAATCACCACTTTCTCGCGTTCGCTCATGCCACTATTGTTCTTGTCAGTTTTGATCATTTGGATATTCCGAGCCGAAGAGGTGCACGGTCTCTGGAGCACCTCAGCCCCGCCCATCACTCTTCCCGTCACTGTATCCTTCGTTAGAATAGGAACTGGCGTCGGCATGTCAATGTTATGTATATGGATGAGTTCAGCTATTTTAAGAGCGATTAGAGTGCACGCATTTGACAGATTAGTCTTGCCGCCGAGTGAAGATTGAGATATATGTATGGGGAATCTCCAAACGAGAGTGCTCTGAAAACTTGACTGTTTTACTCTGATAAGCTTTCGAAAGTAACCTCATTCTCGATGAAAATCATCGGTTGAATATCTTGATAGAGAACAGTTCGACTCTCTCCATTTGTCGATTTTGACCGTTTTCGAAACATAAATACAATGAATTAAGACGAATTGTACAAGAATGTGTTAGAAAATAGTAAAATACAGCCAAAACCCAAAGGTCCGAGCAGAGACGACGAAATCCACGTGGGCATCGTCAAAATTAACTTGCTGTCAAGTTCACGCAAAAGAAAATGGTTGCAGGATGTCGACGCGAAGTGGACTCCGTCTCCAGAAGCCTGAAGTGAAGAAGAAGGTTCCGTATAAAAGAAAAGCCCCGGAAAGCGACGGAGAAGATGAGGAGACTCGTGTGCAACTGCCAGGTAGATGATGACCGTTTTCATTGAAGGGACCATGTGCTTGCAGGTGAAAATGCGTTTGAGCGGTTGGAAGCTCTTCTCGAGAATACCAACAACTTCGCCATCCCTATCACCCAGGCTGATATTCGCGCAATTCACGGTTAGTTTCAAGGGAAAACTGGAATAAGAACTCAAATTGCAGGAAATTGTAAAACGAAACGGTTGAATAAGCTGCAAAAGACGGACGCGCTTAACATGGTGGCTCAAGGATATGATCGAACTGCCACGTTTTACGACAGAACGCCTCGTTTCATCAAAGGAGAAATGAGAGATTATCAAATCGAAGGGCTCAACTGGATGATTTCCCTTCAGAAGGCCGGCCTCAACGGAGTGCTCGCCGATGAGATGGGACTCGGAAAGACGCTTCAGACTATCGCCCTTCTCGCGCACAACAAGATTGTCGAAAAGACGACGTCTCCTTCCATCGTCATCGCTCCGTTGCCGACCATTCTCAACTGGAAAGATGAAGTGGAGCGCTTCTGTCCAAAATTGCGAACTATTGTGCTTGATGGAACCATGGACGAGAGAAAAGCAGTTTTCAAACAGAACGTGAAGAGTCAGAGCTTCGACATCTGCATTATGTCCTACGAGACGGCCATCAAACTGGACAGAGTCATCCAGGCGGTTCACTTCAACTACGTCGTCATTGATGAAGCACAGAGAATCAAGAACGACAAAGTGTCTCTGGCTGTGGCCGTCCGCTCTTTCCATTCAACACGTCGTCTTCTTCTGACGGGCACTCCGTTCCAGAATAACGTTCACGAGCTCTGGGCTCTTCTCCACTATCTTGTGCCGGCCATTTTCGACGACGCCGAGTCGTTCGAAGAGATTTTTTCGAGTCAGAATCTGTCCGCGGACGTCAATCTGATCAACAGACTTCACAGAATCATGAATCCGTTCATGTTGCGTCGTGTGAAGCACGACGTGGAGAAGAGTCTTATGCCGAAAAAGGAGTACAAGATGTACATGGGACTGACCGAATTGCAGAAGAAATGGTATTCGAAAGTGCTGAACAAAGAGATTGAAATCATGAACAGAGAAGGAGTTCGTAACGCGAAGAAGTGAAAAATCCCCTCCGATAATTTCCATTTGTACATTTTTTTTTCCAGAATCTCGCACGTCCTCATGGCTCTTCGTGAAGTCACCAACCATCCGTACATGCTTCCAGCTGCCGAGCCGGTCGGCCCTCCTTTCGTCACTGACGAAACCATTGTGTCTTCTTCCGGAAAGATGATGGTTCTCGATAAAATGCTCGAGAAGTTTCAGGCGGAAGGCTCCAGATGTCTCATTTTCTCGCAGTTCACGATGATGCTAGATATTCTTGAAGACTACGCAATCTGGAAACAGTAGAACATTTCTCTACCACAATTTTTTATATAAACAAATTTCAGAATCAAGTACAGCCGTTTCGATGGAACAACGATGAATGATGAAAGATTCGATAAGGTTCGCGAGTTTAACGCGGAAGGATCCGATACGTTCATGTTCCTCATGTCGACGCGTGCGGGAGGACTCGGAATCAATTTGGCCACTGCGGACGTCGTTGTCATCTACGATTCGGATTGGAATCCTCAAATGGATTTCCAGGCGATTGCCCGTGCGCATCGCATCGGCCAAAAGAAACAAGTGCGCGTTTTCCGTCTGATCTCTGAAGGTACCGTCGACGACTACATGATGCGCACCAACGAACATAAAGTTCGTCTTGGAGGAGTTGTCATTCAAGATAGACAACATCAGATGGAAGCGACGAAAACGAAGGCCGAACTGCTGGAAGCGCTGAACGAGGCGGAGCATCGTATTGCCGCTGGATCTCTGGAATCGATCGGGGAGATCGATCTGGAGAAAATGTTCAAGGACGCTGAGGAGTTGGCTATGAAGGAAGCGAACGAGAAGAAGAAGAAATTGGCGGAAAGCAACCGGTATTTGGTGCATGAGAAAGGAGAGCATGAGGTGCGTAGGAGATGCGGATAATATCATGATAATTCTGATTTTTGCAGATTTGGGAGTATTCCGGACAAAACCACTGGGTCAATCCGAACAAAGAATACAAAGATCGCACCGTCGAAGATCGCCTCCGCAAGAATCCGAAGAAGACCGAATGGGACGACCATGCCGTCACTACGTCCGAGTTCTGGAGCAGACTCGGACTGCATTTGGATCACTATGGTCAAATCTGGAACTACCGTTTCTACCCACAGAGATACGTGGAATTGTGCCAGAAAAAGTTTGATTATTTGAATGGACAAAATCAGATTCTGTACATAAAAGCATCTGAGAAAGTGACGAAGGGCGATCGCAAATGTCCTCCGTTAACGGACGAAGAAGCTACCCAGTTGCACGAATTGGCCGTCGAGAAAGCGTGCTCGTGGAGCTTCAACAGATTCTCCGTTTACGTGAAGAATCTCGCGTCGACTGATCGCTTCGATCACCTAAAATTGGCAAGAAGTATCACTTGTGATGAGGCGGAAGTTGTCCACTACTCGACAGTTCTGTGGGAGCGCATCAACGAGTTGCCGAACAAAGACGAGATTCTCGCCAATGTGGAAGAGGTCACTATGAAATCTTGTTTTCCTATTGCATTTTTTATTTTCCAGTACGCAATGGAGTGCGAAAACAACAAGAAAATGACCGAAATGATTGGAAAGAAGCTGGCCATGTTCGCCGATCCTGCCACCGAGATGACGTTCGCATATGCTCTTCTGCTCTGGGACGAGCCGTTCGATCATTTCCTCAACGAGGATCGGTTAGTTTTTTGTAGCCGAGTTCGAATTCACATAGCGTTTTCAGCTTCATTGTGATGTTCATGCACGAGAAGGGTTACGATACGACTAGTCTCGGATCACTCATGCAGGCGATCAAACTTCAGCCCCGTTCGAGTTACTGGCCGTGCCAGAAGGCTGGATCTGGAGTAGGCGATTCACTGTTTGATTTTTTCTGATCTTCGATTTTAGGTCGTCAAGAAACGTCTCACTTATCTGATGAAACTGATCGAGAAGGAGCTCTGTCAACCGAAGCTGGATCCTGAGAACGCTGAGAACCTGGAAGAAACTACAAACGAGACCGCAGACGGTGCTGACGAGCCTGAAGGAGCTGCCGACGAGACCGCCGAGCACAAAAAAAAGCCAGTCAAAGAAGATGGCATTGACGAGCAGAACAATTCTGTTTATTAGGCGAATGCATTTCCTTTTTACCTGTTGAAAGAACCCCCTTTTATCTAGTGGTCCATGAGGACTATATCTGCCCGAGATCCATTTTTCATAGGAACCCATCACCCAACTGATTTAACGTGTTAAATCTAAATTTCAAGCTTCTCTCATTAATGTGGATGTTTTTATGTGTTCAATGAATTATCATTTTTCTATCATCACGCTGTTTTGGTTTTCAACAAGGTTCATGTGCACTTTCGAATCTTTCCTTTGTTTACTATGTTCTGAGTAATTAGCCATCTCCCACGAGACTTTTGCTCCTTCTTTTCTTCTGCTCGCTCCTTCCTCGCGTCTCCGTTTTCTTGTTTTGTTACTCGTCATATTTTTTCTACGAATTTCCCAGGTGAGCTACTTTTTGCGGCTAGTTTTGGCTCAACAGCTTCTCGTGTTGGAGCGGGTCAGGAAACTGCTTCGTCATGGGTTCGTTCGCGAGAGCTACAATCTAGTTTGAACTATTTTCTTTTTCGTGGACGCCGAAATCGCGCCTGGCCCCCTCTTTCCATTCTTTTCGTATCATATGACCGTCCCCCCTCCCCCCATTGATTCTTTCGTTTTCTTCAAATTTGTGAACTGATAACAAATATGGGTAAGTTCTAAACATTAAAAATCTAAAGAAAAAGAGAGGTAAGCTTAATAGTTCAGCAAAAGTGGGCACGAGAGCATATTGGGTCAGTTCTCAGAAAGAATAAGCTGAGGTCTTCCTATGTATTCCTTCGTAACATTTTCCCCTGATTTCCCTCATTCTTTTTTCAAGTTCCTCTGCAACTTTAATGAATTCTGCGTCCTCTCGTCCGCTTTACTCTCGTTTTCTCCGCGCGGCGACGTCTTCCGAACGGGCGGCGAGAGGCGCGGAGACGCAGACGCACGAGACGGCTGCATCGTCGCTCCATTGGCAAATCAGCTGTTGTTTTTCGAGTTGACGAAAAGAGGCGAGGCGGCAGTGACGAAGAGAGCCAGAAAGAGCTCCGTCGGCCGACGCCCGCCTTCTATCATTGATTCCGAATCGTTCCGTTCCGTTTCTCCACTTCCATTTTCATTCTCATCTTGTTTTCAGTCGATGCCCGAGTTATGCGAGTGCTCGCTTCGCTGCTGATATTATCGTGCCTTCTGGGAGTGACAGCCGTCTCGGAGAGCGAAAAAGAGGTGAGGAAAGGCGAAGAATCAGATGGGGAGCAAAAAAAAAGAAGGAAATGAGCACGGCCGCCCGGGCGGAAAGAGTCCTTTTTTAAAAGGGGGATTAGCGGCCGACGGATAAGTCTGTTCGGACGGACGGACGGAAAGAAGAGCTGGAAATAAGAGAGAAGACGTTATTTCGACAGCGGAGAAATGAACTGATTATCTTTTGAATTGGTGCGGAAGAGATTAGAGTTTTGAGCCTAATCTCTTTCTGTAAATTCATTTTCTTCTATTTCTCGATTCTTGAAGTTTGAATCCGCTATGCACCACTCCAATTCTCTTTTTCGCTCTTCTGACTCAATTCGGCGGTTGTTTTCGCACTGAGTTGGGTTTCCCAGAAACTCTTTCTCTCTCTCGCTCTCCTGCTTTCTTTGTCATCTCTCGTGGGTTTTAATTAATTAGATCCGAAGCGAGAAGAATGAATGAATCATTCGCGACTTCCGTCCCCTTCTCGCTTCTTGTTTTGTCCATTCCACACGTGTTTTCCAGCAATAACATTTATTAGTGGGGGATTCTGAAGCTCTCCGGCCGTCTTGGGGAATGTTTTTGAGCGCAGAGCTTTCACATATAATTGGTATTTGTCGAGAAGGTTTTTGAAAATGAAAGGGTTTGAAGGCAAAACGAAAATGAAGATGTCGGGGAGAAAAATGAGGAAAAGGGCGCGGAGAGCGAGTGGGGAAAAGAGAAAGAAAAAGGAGATTGAGCCAATGATGTGCTCTGTGGCCAAAATGAGAAAAGAGCAATCGATTGCAGAAACTGAGAGTGTTGAAACGAAACAACCTCTTTAAACTGGACATTTCGGCCGAGTCGAAGGCCGAATTCAAGTCCTTCATGGGCGCATTCTGCCTGACGACGCTCTCGGCCAAGGACTTCCTCAACAACTACATCCTCTGGGAAGGCGTCGAGTTCCTGGACGGTGTCAGAGACTTGTGAGTTGCTTGCGGAAGACGTGCGGGGAGAAAAGAGCGTGATTTCAGTCTGGACCCAATGAACACTGACCAAGGAGCCGTCAAAAAGTACTTCCACCACATCGGGCACGAATTCACGAACAACTGCACCAAAAAGGACCACAAGAAGATTGCGTTCGAGCACGACGTCGTCAAACAGAAAGGAGTCCTCGAGAACTTTCTCTACGACCAAATGACGAGATCCGAGTGGACGACGATCAACTTGTGAGCTCGCGGACCAGCCATTCATTCATTCACCTGTAGTGCCCTTGCAATTCTGAGATGCGCGATTACCAGTAGCCCTTCTCCTTCGTGTATTCCCTCCGTTCCCTCTTCCTTCGCTTATATACGAGGTTCCACTTTTCACTCTTCATTTTACCTCCCATTATTCTCCTCATTTCAAGTATTTTTCCTCGTTTTTAACAGATAAATCATTCATTTCGATTCAATCGAACAGATTTATGGTCAAATCTTCGGACGATGCGTTGATGGCTGGGTTGAACATTGAGTAGATGATGAGGGCGAAGGCCATCGAAAGGAAGAGCAATCCGGTCGGAGCCAAGTCGAAGATGTGGCAGCGGAGAGTGAAAAGGGCAGAGGTGAACGGAATCTGAAATGAGGATTCGGGAAAAAGAGCAAAAAGAGGGAACTCACCATTGCGCACGAATGTTCGGAAACGAAATGAACGTTGCGCGGAGAGCCGACGGAGAACCTCGCACAGCGACATTTCTAGGCAACAGCATAGATTTTATTCGTTCATTTACTATGGAAACATCTAAAAAAAGAAAAAGACATCCAGTCGTAAAATACAAGGGGAGCAGAAAACGGAAATTAGAAAATAGGGCGAAAGAAGGACACTTCTAGAAACTAAGGGCTCCGTGAGCACACTCATTGACTGATCTGCTTGGCTCCTTGCTCGGCGAGCACTTGCTTGTGGAACTCGGCCATTCTACGCTCGAGTTCCGGCCGGAAATGACGGATAAGACCCTGGAAAGGATAATTAAGAGCGAGCTCGTTACGAGGTTGATGAATACCTGAACTGGCCAGGCGGCGGCGTCTCCCAAAGCACAGATGGTGTGCCCTTCGATCTGTTTGCTTAGCTCCCACATCATGTCAATCTCCGATGGCTTCGCCTTTCCGTCGACGAAACGCCACATCATCTTGTTCAGCCAGTTGCATCCCTCGCGGCATGGAGTGCACTGTCCGCAAGACTCGTGTTTGTAGAAGAGCGAGAGTCGGGCGATGCACTTGACGATGTCAGTCTGCTTGTTCATCACAATAACGGCGGCAGTTCCGAGACCGGACTGAGCAGCAACGAGGGCGTCGAAGTCCATAAGAACGGTGTCGCAGACGTTCCTGGAAAACACATGGAAATGAGGGAGGAATGAGAATGAAAGTAGCTCACTTCGGCATAAGTGGGACAGAGGATCCTCCTGGAATGATGGCGAGAAGGTTATCCCATCCTCCGATGACTCCTCCGCAGTGACGTTCGATCAGATCCTTCAACGGAACAGACATCTCTTCCTCGACGGTGCACGGGTTGTTGACCTGTCCGGAGATGCAGAACAGCTGAAATTCCACAATTTAGTGATAAAAAACACAATTAAAATTATGCTCGTTACCTTGGTTCCACGATTTCTCTCGCGTCCGAAAGAAGCGAACCAGTCTCCTCCACGACGGCAGATAGTCGGAGCGACGGCCACAGTTTCGACGTTGGTGACAGTGGTCGGGCATCCGAACAATCCGATGTCAGCCGGGAATGGAGGCTTCAGGCGTGGCTTTCCTTGCTTTCCTTCGAGAGATTCGATCAAAGCAGTCTCCTCTCCGCAAATGTAAGCTCCGGCTCCACGATGAACGAACACGTCGAAGTTATACCCGGTGCCGAGGCAGTCTTTTCCGAGATAACCGGCCTTGTAAGCCTCGTTGATGGCCTCTTGGAGAATGCACGCCTCGTTGTAGAACTCTCCGCGGATGTAGATGTAGGCGGCACGGGCTCCCATGGCGACTCCTCCGATCAGGCATCCTTCGATGAGCTGCAAATTACGGAATTTATTTGATTTACTTGTTTAAAATCTACACCTTATGCGGATCGTGGCGCATAATCTCTCGATCTTTGCAAGTTCCGGGCTCTCCTTCGTCAGCATTGACAACCAAATATTTTGGTCGACCATCGAACGGCTTGTTCATGAATCCCCACTTCATACCCGATGGGAAACCGGCTCCTCCTCTTCCACGAAGTCCGGAAGTCTTCAATTCTCCGAGAATCCAGTCGGATCCCTTCAGGATGATTTCCTTTGTCTTGTGCCAATCACCCTGAAATTTAACTATTGTTTTCAAACAAACACTTGGAACTTACGCGAGAAAGAGCTCCCTTCAAACGATAATCATGTCGGCCGTACAAGTTAGTGAAAATGCGGTCGCTATCCTTCAGATTTCCGAAAGAAGTCTTCTCCTGCTTCACTTGGGCATTCGCATTCTGAGCCGACGTAACGACTCCACGAACGGCAATTTTCGGTACTGAAATCGAATTAAATGTAAAATTATTGTTTGAAAAACGTTCTACATACCTTTCTGTCCAATTAGCCGAGCCCCGAGAGTGACTGTTGCCGAAGCCATCTCTGAAAAATCAGTATTGAAAAGAAGGTGAAAGAACAAAGAGTTGGCAGAAGCATAAGGCTGAAAAGCGATAGAATAAGACAAATATAACGTGTGTTGTTGAAACAAATACTATGTTAGAATTGTATTATCAATCAGGTATCAATTGATTTCTGCGAAAACCGAGTCAATTCCCACTAAAATCGTCGTCTGACCGGCCGTTATTTCGGAGCGTCGTTGCCAATATTAAAGGCGCATACACTTTTTCCGTTTGCGTCCTGCCGCGATTCAGGCAATGTCCAACGAGTGCGACCGTATACCAAAAGAAATTCCTCTCTAAAAATTAATGCTTATCCTACGGTTTTTTCAACTTTTTCATGCTAAATTCGACAATTTTCGAGAAATTTATATGTAAAACCCTTCATCTAATTGCTCTTCGTCGTTTTTCAAAAAATCTCACTGAAAAAAAAGATAAACCTTTTTTTTGAAAGCATGTTTTTGTAGATTTTTGGTTCGAAATCATCCTGTTTCTTTGCTTTCAAATGTATTTTTCTTTAAAACCCTTGATTGATGAAACCTCTTTTATTTGCTCCTTCCAACTTCTCCAATTTATGCATTATTTTTCTTTAATTTCAGGTAAAATGGTCAACGTGCCAAAAGCCAGAAGAACCTTCTGTGATGGCAAGTGCCGCAAGCACACCAACCACAAGGTTACCCAATACAAGAAGGGAAAGGAGTCCAAGTTCGCTCAAGGTAAATATTTCTTTAAATATTTTGGGACTCTATATTCTATTCAGGACGTCGTCGTTACGACCGAAAGCAGTCTGGATTTGGAGGACAAACCAAGCCCATTTTCAGAAAGAAGGCCAAGACCACCAAGAAGATCGTCTTGAGAATGGAGTGCACCGAGTGCAAGCACAAGAAGCAGCTCCCAATCAAGAGGTAATTATTTTCTATTTTTTCTCTGAAATGCAGAATTTACACCTGTCATGTTGTAAATGGTGTATTCAGAGAGTTGAGGTATTTGGCAGATTTGCTGCTTACATTAAAATGTTTATTTTTCAGATGCAAGCACTTCGAGCTTGGAGGACAGAAGAAGTCCCGCGGACAGGTCATCCAGTTCTAAGCTGTTCATTTTGTTGTTGTATTCCAAAAATAAATTTTTTTGGGTTCTCCTGTGATATTTCCAGCAAGCAACTTGTAGTACTCACACTGGCTATCTGTTCGATGGTCTTTTTTTCAATTAAAAAATATATAGGTAGAAGATGTCGGTCAATGAAGTGAAAGTTAGAGATTCATCAGGAAAAGGTACGCGTCGATTAACGATCTGAGCTCACAAAATTCCGTTCTAGAATTGGCGTGTTTGAAAGAGAACGGGGCAGTCGTTAACTTTGGACGTGATAAGCGAACATGTCATGTCGCTTTCGATCCTCAGGCAGCAAGAGTGTCGAGGGTGCATTCGACGATAGAATGGACGGACGAGGTAAAACTGGGACTACGGAATGATCGTAAAACTGCGTGCATTCAGGGAATTGTCTATACTGATAAGAGCAAAGAAGGCACAGTTATTGATGGAACAAAATTGCGGCAGTCCTCGAAAGATTTGGATATCGGCGTGTACCAAGTTCAAATTGGCGGTATTCCGATCACGATCGAAGTAGACGGAGATGTCAGTTGAAATTGGGAAACATGCATTTCTATTTATGAGAATTTATAGGAGCTCGAGGAAACAGTAGTAGAAACGCTACCATCGGAGATGGAAGAACATTCCAGAGAAACTGTCGTCGAAAAAGAAAGTGTCCCGACCGAAACGGCTGACGATGACGATGAGTTAGTCATAATTTACTGTTAATTTTCTATTTTCAAGTAATTTAGATTTAACGACGTTGCATCTGTATCCACACTTGGCTTTTCAAGGGATAAACCTGATCGTAATTTATTTCCGAAAAATGCCAAAAACTATTAGTTTTACTTCAGGAAAGAGGACATCAAGTGGAAGTGTGTACGATGGGCCGTCTGAGCCACGTGTCAAAAGACGTCCAATGGCACGAAAACCGGCGGATTTCGACGACGAACTGGAAAATCGAGGAAAGAAAGGACCGAGGGTACGGAAAGCAACGGAACGTTCCCTTTTCGAAGAGGAAACTCCCGCGAAGAAGAGCAAATCGACATGGGAACCTGCCTCGTCCGCTTCACAAAGACCCATCAGAAAGTACGTGATTACGATGATATAGCAGATGACCCAACACGATTAGATCAGCTATTTCAGACCGATAAACACCCCGGCCGAGCCGGATGCAGAAGTAAATTCAATCGCGAAACAAGTGGCGGCCATTCCGTCGGTCAGTTCCACGCCGGCAAAGGAAAAGCCGCTGCACAGTCAGCTGATGAAAATGGACCGAGGACCGGCAGCTCCGAATGAAACCATCAAATACGCCAATCTGATCTTCGTTCCGTCAGATTCAAAAAGGAACGACACGACGGTTCACGATCCGAGTGTGCCCAATTTCAAGAGATTCAAACCGAAAACTAGACGAGACGGACGATTTTCGGCCGCGTCGATGTTAAGTAACACAACCTGCAGTACCACGATTAACCTTGTTGATGCCAGAAAAATTCATTAAATGCCATTTCGAAAATTGAAAATCAGGTGCTCTCATCTCTGTACTATACAATAATCGATTTGCGATATACGGTTTGTGAATAACTATTTCATCCTTCTTTTTGACTTTCGTACACTTGTCGTCGCCGAAACGCAGGCAATTACTGTCGATGCACAAGGGAGCTCCGGCCGCCGGACACTAGCGATCTATCAAAAAGTGGTGGGAGCAGTCTCTGAAAGCAGAAGAAGAAGAGTGTTTTGCCCTCTTTTTGTGCCTGGCTCTTGCTCTCATTTCGTTTCAATCAAACCCTCCTCATCTGCCAAATAAATGAGTGGAATGTGCGACGCGAAACGCCTTTTCCGAGATGCGCGCTCGCTTTTTTCGAGTCGCTTTTTGCATTGTTTTGGCACGTGGCACATTGAAATGTTTATGAATTTCGGATTTCGCTTACAAATGGACTCTTTGGATTCGCGTAGATTTTCCGAGTTTTTTGGTTGCTATGTGGATCCCAACTTCACTGGGCTATTTTTTCAGTTCAGTAATGTGGCTGCGGCCGCGGTTTCACGTGAAGTTCAGTCGGGGAAAACCGTTTATTTTGCGCATCTGCTACTTTCATAACCCTCCAGGCCAAGGCTAATTCTCATACCGGGGCCGAAGTTTTCCGAAGTTGCCCTCGAGTGTTCGATCAGATATCCGTCTGACTCATTCTCCTTATCTCCTTCTCCCTTCTTCATCTTTTTCTTCTATTCCAGACACAAACCAACTTCCTTTGTGTCCCAATTTGTAACCGGATGCGTTTCGAATGAATAATTGACGTTTTCCAACCTTCTCAGGTGTTATTTCCTATTATTTCCGTTTCATACTTGTTTTATGGTCCCACCCACTACTCTCGTCTCTTTTTGCTTTTCCCCCTAATCACATAAATTAAGGAGTGCCCCCCAATTGGTTTGTATTCCCAGAGTGTTTCTCTCTCTCTCTCTTTCAGCACTTCTTCTCCCTCTTCTTGTTTTCTGGCTCTTTTGTCTCCTCGTTTCGACTGCCCTCTGTGACTAGCAAAACTAACTCGATTTGGCCGTTCCGCCCGCCCCCAGCCCATGCTCCCGTCTCCCGTCGGCTCGTTTCCCAAATCTTCTTTCCCTTTTTGTTTTGCCTCATCAATTTTGTCCATCCGGGAGCCGCCCCGAAAACGAGCGAACAATTCGGTTGGAATCAGAGAGCATTCCCTTCCTCTCTCGCTTTCCGTTCCTCCGAAGACCTGCATCTGGCAATGATTAACTGACTCTCTGGGTGGCGGAGAAGAAGTTCATTTGTAAACTAAATATTCGCTGCGAATGTTTAGCAAACTGACTGATTCGACGCAAAACGATCACATCAATGTCAATGTTATGAGGAGGCGGAGAAGACACGTCGTTCCCGTGTGGGCGGAGGGCTGCTGAGGATCTGGAATACAATCGGTTGTATAGTATTCCATTGATTAAGAGTAAGCTGAATGACTTTCATATTGTTCTTCTATTTGTACAGTTAAATTCTATCTTATTCCTTTTTCGAATCATCTGGTAAACTCGAATCTACTGATGATGCTAACGACTTCTTTTTCCGTGAGCTTCGTATTTGAGATGTGTTGTGAAAAAGTGTTCTTTCTGGACCCACTTTCCGCACAGTTGGGGTGTTTTCAGTTTCGACGTTTCGCTTTCCGGGGAATTTTCCGGTCAATTATCTCAAACTTGGTGTCCGTTTCTGCTCATTTTCCTACAAAAAAGTTACTTTGACCTCTCTCTCTTCGTCCGCATCACTGCCCTCCCATCTGCCCGCCAAACTCAGCTGTTGCCCTCCAACCTACACAGTTCGTTCGCCATTTCCAGTCCCAATCCATTCTCGTAGTTTGTCGGCATAATCCACAATGTGACGATGATCGTGGCGCCCATCCTCCCTCCCTCTCTCTCCTTTTCGCTCTCCGTGTTTGTTTAATCCCCTTCTCCGTTTTGTATAATGGAATTAGCACATTCCGGACAACCGCCAGCACTCCTTTTCTCGCTTCCCTTTTTCATATTCGCCGCCTTTTTATCACTTGTTGCCCTCTTATTCCAGATTCTTTGAAAACGAACGAATGTGGCTGCTCTCACAATGAAATGACGACGTCGAACGAGGAATTGATCCCAGTGAGTCCGCCGTCAGATTATGCAAATGGACTACCGCTTTTATGAGTACCAAACAGAGACCGTTTGTGGATTTGAAGGGGCGGGATGAGGGATCCCAAGGGGCTCCCCCGAGAGCACCCACTTTTTTGAGGCGAAACTCGTCGGATGGCGAGCTAAAAGAGAAAAGAAAGCAACACGGTTGATGGATGATGGTTTTTTGACGGGATACTTGCGTGAAAATGGACAGCCATCAGTGGAAACTTGTCAGGGACGTTTAGCGGGGAATTCTAGGCAGGACTATTATCTTTCTAACCCGACATAGTAACGGTCCACAGGCATCAGGCTTCTTCGGTACGTTGTACCATTCTCAGGACTGGCTGAATGCCCGGTCTAGTCTATTTTTGAGGCCAAAGCATTGACCCCTTTGCAACCAACCGGACCCATACTTTCTAGACTTGAACTGAAGTATTTGGCCCCAAGTTTTAGATTAATCTGGTTATCAGGCCCTGAGAAAACTAGGCCTATTCGGCCTCAAACCAGTATATCTTGGGACCAGATGATCTGATTCGTCTGAGCGCGGACCCAAGATACTTGAATCTAAGTCATCTAAGAAATAACCCAGAAAAGTTTGGGTCCGATAGGGTAATTGCAACTGGGTCAAGGCCTCGCCAGTCCTTTAAAGAAACCACGCATTGCACGGGACCTGCTCTGAAGCTTGCGTCCAAATATATAAAATACTGGAATCCAATTCTAGGAAGCCTACAAAGTGTTGAACTTGTCCAGTGCCGAGCCCTTCCTAAAAAAAGTCCACCCAGAAGCGCTGGGATCTCATTTCCTCGCAAGAGTACGTCTTCCAAAGTCTTTTCGAAATCTGGGATCACGAGTCATTTGAATAATCGTTCCACCGCCGGCCTTTCCCATTTTCTTCAGCTCATCCCATTTCCGTCCTATTTCCGTCCTTTCGATTCGAAATATGATTCTCTCGCCTGGAGGTGAAAGGCGTCTCTCTCTCTCTTCTTCAATTGGAAGTGCTTCTTCTTCTTCCTATTCTGCTGGTGATGCAAAACGAAATGATTCAATTATTGCGCGACGCTGTCGCCTTCATTCTCGCGCACTTGTGTCCCTTCTGATTATGAGCACCGAGATGCTCACCATACCAATTAAAACGAAGAAGAAGGAGAACGGCCGAAAAGGGCGGCGCTTCCGAAAACTAATTATGTGAGATGGAGAGAGGAGAGAAAGAGAGAGAAGGAGCCCACGGGGCAAACTTCGGATGGTATTCATGTCAGAAATATCTCAATTCCGACGTTAGCTATGCATTGGTTTGTCGCCGGAAGCGGGTCGACGCCTTCGTTCCGAAACATGCAAATAGTAATAAGAGGAAGGGATCCAAGAGCAGCATGCATTTCGAGTTCAAGTGCTGCTCGATTAAACTTCGAGCATGCTTTGACGCGATGAGTTTCGGGAAGGGATTACGGTAGTTTGTCGCACCGGCACCGGCAATGAAATGAAATGAAATGCAAAGTGCGTCGATGTATTTTCACCCGACATACTTAATTGCCCCTCTATTCGGTGCTCTCTCCCGTTCGTTCTAATTCAAATCAGTGCATCTCCATCCACTTCCGCTGTTTACTGCTTCTCAAAACGGAAGGAGTCGGTCGTTCGTTCCGAGCAGAGCAACGTAATCCAGTGTTAATGCTCAACGGTGGGTGCGAGAAGGGCAGTGTATAATTAGCTCATTCGGTGCAAAACTGATGTTGTTGTCTTGTCACGAAGAATGCGCTGATTCCGCGCAGCTGGAGAAAAGGGGCGGGGTCGGTTATGAACTGGACCGCGCAAGCGGGTTCGATGGATGGCAGAAGAAGAGGGAAAGGAGCACGCATTCTTTGCGCATGCGGATTCATGGACTCTCTTCCGCGGATGAACGCCGCCGCCAACTCGTCAGTGGATTCAATTCAGGTCAGAAATGAGAATTCGTATAGCAATCGGGAATCTGGAAGGCGTCGTCTCCTGTCGTCTTCCATCAAACCAATTGATTCCCGGAGTTCCCTCCTCTCTTATCTTCATTTAATCTGCGACTCTTCCTCCCGCACACTCTCCCCGCACTCCAGGGAATTCACCTTTCAGAAGAGTGGGAGGAGGACGCCTTCTCGGCAATGAGTTCGCTTCTTCTTCTTCTTCTTTCCCATTCTCTTCCCCCGAAATTCCATTGTACTAGATTATAAGTGACAACCCGAGATCTAATATGCAAGCCAAGACAACATTCCATTTTATTATTCTTGCTTATTATTATTATTGTTATTAGTTCACCCACTCCTCCGAGAACAACCAATCAAATTTGTTCCCGGGAAGCCATAAGGAGCGTGTTTATTTGCATGTACAAGGTGTTGCATTTCAAGCGTCCGGGGAGCCCATTCTCTGTTTGAGCATATGTTCGACGAATCGGATTTCCACGCATGTCCCCTCCGCCAGAACCAAACATTCCCGCGTCCGGAGAGCACCACTAACAAGCGAGAGTCCCACGTCCGTTTTTTGCCAATTTAGAGCCTCTCTCGGTTCGAGCTCTCCCAAAAAAGAAAAGGAAAGAGCATTCAAATTCGCCTCTTCTATTCTATTCTCCAGTTTAGTCTCTAGTAGTTCTTAGCAGCCATCCCAAGTGTGTTCATTTGACAGCTCATTTATTTTCTCAAACTTCTTGAACTTGGTCTATCCTATCATTTTCTTTTCTAATGGCACCCATTACGGTATGCCCCTCATTAGCACTTCTTTCCTCCTCCCGATTGTTCCCAGCTGCGGTCGGTCCGTGTCTAGTTTTTCGCACAGCTGGATATGTGTTCGCATTGGCGCATTATGAAGAGGCTTCTCTATGAGGCCACCCTACCACCAACAATTATATTGTTACGTTGGGAGCGTATGAGTGGGGAAGAATGTTGATTAGAACAACAACTTGAACTGAAGAACAGGGATCATTACATTCATTTCAGATCTACACGGATTGGGCGAATCGGCACCTGGCAAAGGGCAGCGTCAGCCGGCCGATTCGAGACATTTCCAATGAATTCCGCGACTATCGACTCGTCTCCCAGCTCATCAATGTGATAGGTGAGTCTTGAGAAGGAAGGAGACGCTCCTGAAATATAAATGAACCGCGGCGACTCGAAAAGCGAACATAAATTGGAGGCAAAAGGGCGGTCTCTTGCGTTTGGAACAATTGGCTCCTCCGGAGCGGAAAACGAAAGAGGGCGCCGAGAGTTTACTACCCTCGGGATGATTGGGAGATAAAGAGAGCCGGGAGGGCCCCCCTCCGACGTTAAATGTAATAATTGGTCAGTTTCTTCCCGGCCCGGCTCCTCCTGCTCCCGCTTTTTGCTCGCTATCATCTCTTTCTCTCTCTCCCGTTTTTCGCTTCCTGATCTGATGCCGATTGATGATCGTAACGGGAGATCTTGTTTTCGACGGACCAACCCTTGCAGATCAAATTTCTTCCCGGAACTGATTGGTCATCAGAAAAGTGTTCGTTTGATGAACAGGTGTTCGTCGCCTCCGAAGTTTAGCCAGCTGTTTTGAGTTTCATGCAGCTGATGAGCACGTGGCACCGAAAAAAGAAGTCGCCAGCTCACTTTGAATCGCCCATTTTCCCACCTCCCTGATTCATTTCATTTGAAACCCGAGAAAGAGCATCACTTTTGGCTCATGATCTTCTTTTCTTCTTTCCCTTTCATTCCTACTTTTCGCGCATTCCTCTTCGTCCGTTCTTCCTCGCCATCGTTTTCGTGTTGCTGTCCTCACAAGTTGATGAATGAGTTGCCACGCGAAGAGAAGAGTAAGAAGTTGGTGACAGTAGCGAATGAGAATAAGAAGAGATAAATATTCGTCCTTTTGTTCTCCCTCTCTCGCTCCTGTTTCGCAATTTGCTCGTCGTCTTTCGTTCGTCAGCACCGACCAAGTTAATTGGTGATTTATCGGTATTACGCTGTCCCATCAATCTGCTCAGTTAGTGTTTGCCTCGCGAGCCCTCCACGGGCGCCCGTCGCCGATTTTTTTGCATTTGAAAAGAACGGGAAGGCAGGGAGATCGGGAGGAAACAGAGAGAAGAACTCATGTTTCACATGCGATTCGGGAATTCGAATCACTTTACGTTTTAGAAACACAACATCACACTCTGAAGAGTCATCCTCGCAGATCACTCTCTAGGAATTGCACTTCTTACAGCATCTAGAATCCATCCTTATCAGTGTCTGGTACGGAATGAACAGAAGGACAGAAATCTTTTGAGTGAAATCATTTCAAGGTCTTCTGTGTCTAGTGAAAGTGTCGCCCAATCGTCCAGACATACAAGTTATCATCTGCTTTCCCGCGCGCCAAGTGTGCAACAAAACAACAATTGCGCAATGATATCCATCTCATCCAAGTGCACACTTCCTTCTCCTTCCGTTTTCTGGTGGTCCACTTGTTTCCTCCGCCCGTCATGCTCTCCTCATCAACCACAAAACCCCTCACCTTCTTATCACTCGCTCGCACCGCTCAAAGTACTGCGTTCGCTCCGAGACAGTTGTCCGCCTTGCGCATCGCTCCCCGAGCCGCCTTCCCGACATTATTTATGTATTTATGCACACCCGATAATCCATTAAATTTCAGTGCCGATCAACGAATTCTCGCCGTCATTCACAAAGCGATTGGCCAAGATCACATCGAACGTAAGTGCCTCCTCGTTTCCCCGATTGCCCCGTATCACTGCTCCTTCCTTCCACAGTGACTCACTTCTCGACAAACACTTGTTACTACTACTGAATACTTTTTTTTCTTTTCTTTCTTCCCCTTTCACATTTCCATTCGCATGTTTCTGATTACAGTGGATTGACACGTTGCTTCTGCTAATCCTTTCCGAACTAATCGACCGTGATCGCCGCATGCAAATCACTCATTTCGCGCCACATCTCTCAGACTCAGCTTTATCTCAAATGAAATGAGAATGGAGAAGTTTAGGGGGAGGGCGGCTAGGAATTGCACTTTAGCCCTCCACGCCCACAACTATTTTCAATCTAACTTTTCTCAAATCGAGGCACAAAAACAAACAAACTTCGTCTTCTCTGACCTGCCTCTTAGTCACAGGAATCGAAAACAACATTTCTTCCAACATTTTTGTACCCGAAACCCCATCTGAATTCTTTCCCAAACCCATTTCTAGTTGCCCTTTGCCTTCCGGCAGTTGACAGACATTTCCATCAAATATTTACATCTGTGATTGTCGTCATCACATGCCTTCAACTTCTTCTTGTTTTTCACTCATGTTTCTTTTCAGCTTGACGGTCTCGAAACGTGCCTCGACTATCTGAAAAACCTTGGTCTCGACTGTTCAAAACTCACAAAAACCGGTTAGTTTTCCATAAATTCGCTCCTCTTTTTGTTTTCCCATTTCGTATCAAAACTATACGCATTTCTGCCTCTTTTCCGGATGACACCACCAATTTTTTTGCTCTTCCGCCTCTCCATTCCGCAGAATATGTCGTCTCATCTGGCCCCTGCGCTCCCCGGAGACTTGGCTCCTCGTAGAAAACCTCAAATTTTGCTCCATTTCCGAGCGATTCGAGGGCTATCATCCAGTGCGCGAAACTTGTCGTTTTTACAACTCTCTGCTTGCCTTTTTCCATTTTATCGCCCGTCCTCAATACGGTTTTTATGTACAGTTTGGATCCGAATGGGAGCGAGGGAGGAGGGACTAATCCGACGAGTTCCGGTCATCTCTTACTTCTCCTCCGCCCACGCGTTTTTGAGGAATCCATTTGCAAAAACCATTCGTGTTTTGGTTCGAGCCTGACCGAATTTCACATTTCATCACATTCTGACTCATCCCATTTTCCGAAGCGGCAAGTGCCGACACAAACGATGTTTTTTCCGAAAAGTGACGACTTTCTGAGCGCATAAAATAGTACCAAGGCTGTCTTTTTTGAGGAACTGTACTAACCAATTGCACCGGTCACCCTTCGGGATCCCATATTTCCCACCCTATTTGTTATTCCATTCCCCATCTCTCTCCCTCTCTTTTCAAATGCAAACACCGCTGGCGTGGCGCCCGCAAATGGATGTCCACGTCACTCATCAATCTGTTATCTCCCGTGCCGTGCGTCGGCTCTTAACACCTGTTCTCTTTCCGGAATGTGTTGGTTGCGCAAGTGTTTGTCCGAACCGTATGGCACTCAATTCGAGAGCCCTCCAGCAGGTGTTTGGAATCCTCGCCCGCACCCGTCTGTCTTCTCGTTTCCGATCGGGGTTAACTCTTCGTTCCTGCCTTCTGTACCGCTGACGGGCTTTCAGATGCATATCTCGGTTGGCGAATCTTGATTTTGAGGTCGCCGTCGCCGCTTCCTCTCTCGCTCCCCTCGTTTCGAGTAATTACTGTCGTGAAAGAGGTGAGACGGTTTTTCGCGCAATTCGGCGGTTCCGTACCAAGTTGCAGTGCATCGGAAGGGGCAACCTTGGCACTGATAATCATCTCTCTTCCCCTTCTCTCTCTCTTCTCTTCTCTCAATTGTTATTATTACTGTTATCCGTTTATTACCTCCTATGTCTCGTGTCGAAGGTACTAAAAAGTTTCCTTTTGATGAGTCTATTTCTGGTTCAATTCAATCAAAGCCTCGCTTTGCTACAGTACGCTTATTCATCTTGATTTGAATCAATTGAATCAGAAGTTGTTTCACATTTCGCAACGGCGGCTTACGAAATGGGATTTCCGAGGCGAGGAACTGTAATCCGTCTTGTTCGGCGTGGTCTTCCGTCCTTTGCCACCTATTATTAGTACTAGTCCTTGCAAACTTCTCTTCATTCAGATGTTCCAATGTGCCGAATCCAAAGTTATCGGTTCATTTCCTCCCGTTTTAACGACGTCTTGTCTCGCAGTTCGCTACGAAAACACATCTGTTCGGCACCTAATTTACACTCTCTTTCAATTATCTATCACTTCCGTCGCCATCTTCACTGCTTTCCTCTTTTTCGATGCCGACGCAAAAAAGAAGAAAACGTGCTCCTCTCTGGTTCTTCTCGACTGCTCATGCCCGAATTTCATTTTCACACGATACCATTTACATTTATGAGACGCGCTCGTCTCTCGCGCCGCGCGGCTCTTTCTCGCCTAGGTTTCTTCTCGCTTTACGCCTTTCTCCCCCATCGAATTTATCACTTTCGCATGTGCCGATGATTTATCCGCACTGAGAAGAAGCCGTCCAAACATCCGGCGCCGACGAGCACTCTTTTTCCTGGAGGAGATAAACTTATCATGTTCGGAGTCCCCACTAACCGAACACTACAGAAAACTGCAAACCAATTGCATATGTTTGCCCTAGTCAGTTCCACTTTTCTGCGCCCTTCCCGAACTTGTGAAATCGGTCGTTGACTGTACGAAACGAAACGAAAACTCAATCTATTCAAAGCAAAAGAACAGCGTTTCCGAGTACACAAACGTCCATTCAGAGCCGTTTTCTGGTCGGTTCCCTCTCAATTGTCATTCGTTCCGCCCGTCGCGTCTCCTGTTATCACCCTTTTCCGGAAACGAATCCTCTCTTTTTCAGACATCGACAGTGGCAATTTGGGAGCGGTCCTTCAGCTGCTCTTCCTGCTCTCCACCTACAAACAGAAGCTGCGGCAACTGAAGAAAGACCAGAAGAAGCTGGAGCAGCTCCCGCCCGCCGTCATGCCGCCCTCCGTGTCCAAGTGAGTCTTGATCGTTCTCAGATTTCCCCAAATGGAACATTATTTGCTTTGTTTGTTAGTCGAGCAGTCAACATTCGGCATTTATTTTCAGGTTACCCTCTCCACGTGTTGCCCCGTCAACCCCTTCATCTCATAATCAGAATTCCAACTATTCGACTCTCCAGATGTCTTCACGTCTTCAGACCCCTCAGACCCGAATTGCAAAACCAGGTCAGTTATGTTTCGCTAAGTGACGTGGCAAAATGGAAGAATTAGAAGGCGTTCGGACCGCTAAGTGAGAGACAGGTTGTCTGTGCGTCCGTTCGCGAAGGACAACAACAACAATTTTCCAATTTCGCTGTCCACTTTGCTTATAAACATTCGGTGGGAGTCGCTCAATTAATTCGAATGAGAGCAAGCCAATTACCGGGGCGGAAGCCGCCCTTCTCCGTCTTCGGCCCTTCTCAACTTGCAATTCCGATGAGGAGGAGCCCACTTGCGCGGCGTCATCACTGACAATTAATGTCGCGTTTTATGCGTCTCTTCCTATTCCACTCATTAGGTTTCCGACTCCACTAGTACGACTTTTCCCTACTAGACGCCTACTTAGGAGATTACTCTTGTAGTCTTGTTAGGGGAACGAAGAAGATGGGGCAAAAGCTAGACAATAGTCGAACACCTCAGATTGGAAGCTTTCTTCAAAAAGTTATTATACATTTCCACGCGCTCTCTTTTTATCCGCTCTCAAAGTGCTCTTTCCGGTACCTTTTTCATAAAAGTAATGCGAGGCGGTCACTTTTTGAGGCTCCCTGCCCGTTCTTCTCAGATTCCCGGCTACTGCTCCCTCTCATAAACATCGTCCGCGGCTCTCTCTTGTTTTCCGCCCTCTTCCTCCCTTTTTTCCATCAACGACTTCTTTTTGAACCGCTACCCGAGGTCGCGCCCGTTTCCCGTCACGCACAATCTTTGTTTACGTGCTTATCTAAGGCGCCGAATTAAAATATGGCTATGTAGATTGGAAAGCGACAGCACCGCGCGTTTTTCACTTTCCGCCATCGGCGAACGATTGAGTCACGTTTTCAGATTCGTCGTCGAAGATTGGCATCAGACCGAAAACGTCGGGTCTCAAACCGCCCTCTTCCGCCAATACGAACTCTCTCCGTCCGTCGAGCAGATCAAGTGGAAACAATAATGTGGGCTCGACGATCTCCACATCTGCGAAGAGCTTAGGTACGTCCCTGATCCCAAATGCAAATCCTCCAATTCCCAATTCAGACTCCTCCTCGACCTACAGCTCCATCTCAAATCTGAGTCGTCCCACACCCGCATCTCAGCTTCAGAAGCCAACAAGATCATTGCCACAACAAGTCCGGGTGGCCACTACTGCAAGAATAGGAAGTTCCAAGTTGGCGGCGCCGAGAGCGGTCAGTACTCCAAAACTTGCTTCCGTCAAAACGATAGGAGGATTGAAACCAGAACAGGAAGAGAATACTCAGGCAGCTGGCAGTGGAGGAATGCTCAAATTGAAGCTCTTCAGCAGCAAGAACGCATCCTCAAGCAGTCCGAAACCAGGCAGAAAGGCAGAACCGACGAAGATAGCAACACCTGTGAAAAGCAGCGGACTGAAGCCTCCGATAAGCTCGGCGAGCAAACTGGGAAGTGCCACGTCAATGTCGAAACTGTGCACGGTAAGTCCCATCTGAATAGAGTCGAGTGACAATACTTCCAAAAGCTGTGTATCCGAACAAATACCCCAAAACCAACCTACTAATAAAAATGATTATTCGCCTGGGAATTGCGTGTCGCGTCGCTTTCTCTTTTTGCCCCTTTTCCAAACGACTCTGTCACTTTGTGCCTCCTCTTTTATTTTCCGAAATGTTGCAACGGAAGTGATATGCGGAGAAGCGAGGGCGGCGCGGAAAAACACATCTGGCGATGGCGACGACGACGACGCGCGTGCCAATTTCTCAGTTTTTGAAATGTGCAAATTGAAATGTGCTTTTCGGAAAGAGCTTCTCCTCCTGTCCTTCCTTCCTTTTAACTAATGACACTTCTGCTCTTTTCAGCCGAAAGTCACCTACCGAAAGACGGAGTCGCTGAGCCCGCAGGACAGCAAAAGATGCTCGAAAAGCAGTGAGGAAGAGTCCGGCTACGCGGGCTTCACGAGCACGTCGCCGGCTTCCTCGTCGACGGAAGGCTCGTTCAGCATGCATTCCACCTCCTCCAAGGTTTGTTTTGATTCGAACGGTCCGATGTTTTTGCACGGCCACCTGCACTCGTCACCTGCCAACATCATTTTCACTTGCAGAGTTCCACTTCGGACGACAAGTCCCCCTCCTCTGACGATCTCACTCTGAACGCCTCCATCGTGACGGCCATCAGACAGCCATTGACCACGCCAAAACCCGCCGAGGTATACTGTAGTTGCCTTGTTCTTCTCCCACATTTTCGAGCCTCGGAAGATTGTTGAAATTCGAAACTCAAGCTCTGATATTTTGGTCTTCAATTACACCCTTTCACACTTTCCTTTTTTGCTCTTTAGAATACATTTCACTTCGTTTTTTCTTCAGGAGAAGCCAACGCTAGCAGTTAAAGGAGTGATGAGTTCGGCTAAGAAAGACCTGGTGGCAACTGTACCGCCGACGATTTCACCTCGAGAATCCGAGAGAAGCCAACCGACGATCGGAGTTGTCAGCCCTATCATGGCGCACAAAAAGATTCCGAATGGTGAGTTCACTCTAGATTAGTACCGAAGTTTGACCTGCCACCCCTTCGGACGCAATTTTTGGATTACAAAAACTTACTACACATGTGCTGACTATTCTTCTCCTCATTTCAAACATCATCACTCTATGACGTTTCTCTTCAGAGAGTCCTGTAGCTGAGAAAATAGACGTTCCGGATAAGCTTCCTCCAATGAGCATTGACACTGACATTCCGGAGTCTCCGTCTATAAAGTCGTTCGAACGAATTCCTCCAAAGATGGCTCCGATTCGTCAGCCGCCCACTTACGACCAACTGCTCAAGCAGGGAAAGATCACCTCGCCTGTCAGGTCGTTCGGTCAGTCAGTCCGCCTCCAATTATTCTTCCGTTTTTGTTGACAAATGACCTAGTGTGCTTGGTTTCAGGATATGACCAAGTGGAGTCGTCGACGTCCGAGGACTCCATCTCAGCCATTGCTCACGCCACCGCCAAAACTGAACGACCACCACCTGTGGAGCCGAAGGTTCCCTCGGCTGGATATCATTCGTTGGAACGGCGGATGCAGAAAAACAAGACTTCGGGTGAGTATCGGAAGCCCACTCCAGAGTTACAAAATGAAATTGTCACTTCTTCAGAATCCAGTGGTTACGCTTCTGACGCGGGAGTGGCAATGTGCGCAAAGATGCGGGAGAAGCTGCGGGAGTACGATGACATGACGCGTCGAGCACAGAACGGCTACCCGGACAAGTGAGTCCCTTGGCAGCCCGTCGGTCGCAATTAATCCAGAAGCTCAAAATTAATGAGAATCACTCGGTGATCGAATCCCCGAAAGACTTTTGATAGCATCTTCCCTAGCCCTTCCCTCCGCCTTCTTCTCAGTCTTCCCTCCTCTCGCGCACACGTCCATTCATGCGCAAAGTGCGACGATTTTGGTTGAAAGACATGACTTATGAATGAGGGAACCGAAGAGACACAAAGATGGGTCTCAGACCGTGGGAAAAGTTTGTCTCTTTCGTGAAATTTGCATTCGATGCTCGGTGGGCCGTACGAATTGGAGAGATAGGGAAGGAGAAGAAGAAGAAGAAGAATAAAGAAACGTCGCATCTGGTCGCAACTTGGTTGCCAGTTGAGCTAATGTTTATTTACTCTCTAACGAAGATCTATCGGTGCATAATGGGAGGAGGCGGGTGCGCATCGTAGAGCAAGAGCACTCACTCCCTCGCGACTCACAGTTGCTTTTGATGGGGCTCTTTCGAAACTGGTTATGAAATGCGAGAAGGGGGAGGAGGAGACAGTGATCCTTCTTCTTCTTTTTCCATTCTTCCGAGCCATCCCCCATCCTCTGTCCATCATGCCGATTTGGCGCACGCAGCTGTCCGTCCGGAAGCAGTCCGCTCGTTTTTGGGTCGTGTCGCGACTTCCTTCCGATTGTCTTGTTCCTATAATTAATTCATTAAGCCGAGAACAAACGAGCGGTCTGTCTCCGAACAGATAGTGTTCGAGTAGGCACTCGAGCGCGCCTTCCAACTCGCCGCCCTCCGACTCTTTCGGTCATCTCCTTCTTCGCGCACGCTCCTCCGCCATTTACATAATCTTTCCGTGCAATTCATAAATAACTAAACTGTGTGTCCCTTCCGTCCGCCAGTCTCCTTTCCGTGAACAACCGAGAATTTGCATTCTCTCGCTCTCGTTTCCTCTTTTCGAAACTTGAGGTCGTTTCGACAAGCATTGAAGGAAACGAAATCGAAAAAGAAGAAGAAGAGGAAGACAATGTGTTTTTAATTTCGGACCTCCGCCCGGTGCTGCTTCCACTCTTACTAGAATATGCACTCAACTTTGCTCCGTTGCGGCACTCCATTGTGCTTACGCCGCCGCCATGTCCTCTTCTTTTCAAATTTCACAAATTGTCGCAGCTAGGTGCCTCCGAGAATGGGGCAGTATATAGTAGAAGTAGTGGATTCCCTGCCCGCCACTCATTCCGTCCAGGTGCAATGTCCTTCCTATCGAGACTTATCCGCAAGTAGGTTCCATTCTTCATAAAGGGTATAATTTGAAAGGAACGAGCCGGCCTCGTTCCACGGGCGTCATTATTATTATTATTATTATTGAAACGAATACCAAATGAGGTGTGCCGTAATTGTGCAAGACGGAGCACACCTTCTGCCGCCGGCGTCAGTGCCCCTCAGTCGGCTCCTTGTTAATGACCGATTGCACGCAATCAAGATTAGGCACGCCGGCTGCATGCCATTCATCTGGAGGCGGGTTTCTTCAATGCAACTTTTCCCTTTTTCATGTGTTTCTTCTTCTTCTTCCTCTCGTTCGTGCCCATCTGCTCTAATTCATCGGCGCCTTAAACCGATTATAATGATGTCGGAGAAGGATAGGCAGGGGGAGGAAAAGGAGGTCTCCGCGCATCCGATTCGAATTCCCACTTGATACATTTTCAAACGAAACTAACATCTACCACTGCAATGAAATAGTATCTATTCAAATATACCCGCCCGGTCCAACTTGTTGCCAACCTCTCCGTTTTCAGCTTCGAGGACAGTTCATCGGTCTCGTCTGGCATCTCCGACAACGCCGAGCTCGACGACATCTCGACGGACGACTTGTCCGGCATGTAAGTGTTCTTTCTCCTACTCCCTTTCCCATTTGTTTATCCTCTCTGCCGGGTGCCAACAAACTATTCTATTACACGGACCCTTTTCCACTTCCCACCTCAAATAATAACAAGTCGTCGCTCCGACTGACTGGTCAGCTGCCTTCCTTCCCCCTTTCCCGTTCGTTCGCCATCTTGAGTAATTGGCCGGTCCGGCAGCCAGCCTCCCTGGTGTTTATGAGAACGTCGCCGTCTCCCGCACCGCCACAATAAATTCAGCTTGAGAGTCGTCCGTGTTGTGCTTGCTTTCCCTTCCTTTCCCCTTTCACTCAGCCAACAACACCAATCCATCTTGGTGTTCCGTTTCGCATAATTTCTCAATTTCGCTCCAAATTGACTTGGCGTCTGATTTATGAACCCCGGGCTTGCTCTCGCCTTTCTTCCCATTTCACTTCCTCTCGAGATCGCATCTCTTTCAGAGACATGGCCACGGTCGCCAAACACAGCGACTATTCGCACTTCATCAGACACTCCACGTCTTCTTCCACTTCGAAGCCACGTGTCCCCAGTCGTCCTTCAACTTCCGTCGATTCCCGATCCCGTGCAGAACAGGAGAATGTCTACAAATTGCTCTCACAGTGCAGGACCAGTCAAAGGGGATCTGCTGCCACGTCAGCCTACGGTCAGCACTCCCTCCGTTCTCCCGGATACTCTTCCTACTCGCCTCATCTTACCGTCTCCGCGGACAAGGATACGATGTCAATGCATTCACAAACTAGCAGGAGACCTTCCTCTCAGAAGACTTCCTATGCAGGTGAATACTCGCAAGTTCTTTTCTGTTTGGCTTTTTCTTCTTTTTGGGTGCCTTCTATCGCTTCTTTCTTTTCCAGGGCAATTCCATTCTCTCGATCGAAAATGCCATCTTCAAGAGTTCACATGCGCAGACAACCGAATGGCCGCACTGCTCAGTCCTCGCCGAATGCCCAACATGTCATCCAAATACGACTCCATCCATTCAGGTACAGTATCTTTTGCTCACCGCCTTCTAACTTTCATTTTCTCACCGCTTCTTCCTTATGTTCCATTTTCTAACGTCTTCTGCCGACTAACCCGGGCATCGCTTTCTTTTAGCAGCCTCCCTCAACGCCTCGGGAATGTCCCGTTCGATGATCCTTCTCGAGTCCCTGTCTCCGCGTCCGCCACGTCGTCACCAGTCTCCGGCCGCTTCGTGCGTCCTCGCTTCGCCCTCGACGCCTTCTTCTTCCCGCCGGTCTCACTCTCCGCGCGCTCCTTCCGCCCGTATCCCACTTTCGCTCGCTTCGCCTGTCCACGTCAATAACAGCAGGGGTTCGCAGTTTTCTTTTTTCTTTCTGGTGATGGAGTGTTTCTTTTCTGAGTTGTTGCGGAGCTGTCCACTCTTTTGCTGTTTCTGCTATTCTGATTCAGAGTATTTCCCGTTTAGGTTCATATTCTGCCCGATCCAGAGGAGGATCCAGCAATGGAATCTACGGAGATGCATTCCAACTCCATCGTCTTTCGGATGAGGTAATATCGTACCTCTTCACGTCTTCAAAACCTTATCATGATTTCAGAAGTCGCCTGCTCACACCGCCAGAAGTGAAATGGGATCACAGCTCTCTCTTGCCAGCACCACAGCTTATGGATCTCTGAACGAGAAGTACGAGCACGCCATTCAAGACATGGCCCGGGATTTGGAATGCTACAAGAACACGGTCGACTCGCTGACAAAGAAACAAGAAAACTACGGGATGCTCTTCGATCTGTTCGAGCAGAAACTCCGCAAGTTGACGCAGCACATTGATCGATCGAATCTGAAGCCAGAAGAAGCGAGCCGATTCCGTCAGGACATTGCACATCTGAGGGATATCAGCACTCATCTGGCAGCCAATTCCGTCAATCACAATGTAAGTGAAACCGTTGTTAAGACGAAAAGACGAGGGATGTTCCTTTAGGAAGGTGCCGGGGAACTGCTCCGTCAGCCGTCTCTCGAGTCGGTCGCTTCGCATCGTTCTTCAATGTCTTCGTCTTCGAAGAGCAGCAAACAGGAGAAAATCAGTTTGAACTCGTTCGGAAAGAACAAAAAGAGCTGGGTGAGTCCATAAAGTTTTCTGGAAAAAGTACTAGAACTTATTGAGTTTCAGGCGCTTTCTGTAGATTCCCAGGTACAGTGGTCTAGTTATTGTGAAGTCGTAGAAATGTGAAATTGTTGTGACGATACAGAAAATTATATCGTGTCTTGTGATACGGAATGCTGACATTTATCACAACCAACCAGCTACTTCTTGCAGATTCGGTCGTCCCTCTCAAAGTTCACGAAGAAGAAGAACAAGAATTTCGAGGAGAACCACATGCCGTCCATCTCCGGATCGCAAGGAACGCTCGACAATATCGACGTCATCGAGTTGCGACAAGAACTGAAAGAAAGAGACAGTGCACTGTACGAAGTACGATTGGACAATCTGGACAGGGCACGCGAGGTCGACGTTCTGAGGGAGACTGTGAACAAACTGAAGACGGAGAACAAGCAGCTGAAGAAGGAGATGGACAAACTGACAAACGGACCCGCCACCCGCGCCTCCTCCCGTGCCTCCATCCCGTTCATTCACGAAGATGAGCACGTCTACGATGCGGCGTGCAGTTCCACTTCGGCCAGTCAGTCGTCCAAACGATCTTCTGGATGCAACTCGATCAAAGTGACCGTCAACGTCGACATCGCCGGAGAGATCAGTTCGGTGGTCTGTCCGGATAAGGAGATCATCGTCGGATACCTTGCTATGCCCACTAGCCAATCCACGTGGAAAGACATCGACGCTTCGATTCTTGGACTCTTCGATGGCTACATGACGAGAATAGACGTGGAGCACCAGTTGGGACTCGACGCGATGGGCGCCATACTCGGATATCAGATCGGAGAACTACGAAGAGTCATTGGAGACGAGAGCACGACGATCGCATCGCATCCGACCGTAATCCTCCAGCCGACCACCACCATCCGCATGTTTATGCACGGAGCTGCGCAGAGCCGCGTGGACTCTCTCGTTCTCGACATGCTCCTTCCGAAACAAATGATCCTCCAATTGGTCAAATCGATTCTCACCGAAAGAAGACTCGTTTTGGCCGGAGCCACTGGAATCGGAAAAAGCAAACTGGCGAAGACCCTCGCTGCGTACGTCTCCCTCCGCACGAATCAGTCGCAGGAGAAGATAGTAGACATCAAGATCCCGGACGACAACAAAGAAGAGCTCGTCAAAGTGGAGAGACGTCTCGAAAAGATCCTGCGCAGCAAAGAACAGTGCATTGTGATTATGGACAACGTGCCGAAGAATCGCATCGCGTTCGTCGTCACCGCCTTCGCCAACGTGCCGATTCAGAACGACGAGGGGCCGTTCGTCGTGTGTACCGTCAACAGATATCAGATTCCCGAGCTGCAGATCCACCAGAACTTCAAAATGTCGGTGATGTCGAACCGATTGGAGGGATTCATGCTCCGATACCTGCGTCGTCGCGCGGTCGAGGACGAGTACCGGCACTGTGTGCAGACGCCGTCGGAGATCTCGAAGATTATCGAATTCCTTCCGCTCGCCCTCCAGTCTGTTAACAATTTCATCGAGAAGACAAACTCTGTGGATGTTACGGTCGGACCGAGGGCCTGTCTGCCGTGTCCGTTAAAGATCGAGGAGTCCCGGAAGTGGTTCATCCGATTGTGGAATGAAAACTTCATTCCGTACATGGAACGAGTCGCCAGAGACGGTCAGTTTTTCTTTTTAATTTCGAATGCAGTCTCTCGTTTTCAGGCAAGAAAACATTTGGTCGTTGCACTTCCTACGAAGATCCGACCGACATCATCAGTGAGAAATGGCCGTGGCTGGACGGACCAAATCCCGAAGACGTCCTGAAGAGACTCCAACTGCAGGACCTGGCGCCCTCGCCCGCCAACTCTTCCCGCCAACAGTTCAATCCACTCGAGTCGCTGATCCAACTGCATGCCACTAAGCATACGCCCATCGACAACATTTGAACAGAAGACTCAAATCTTCTCTCGCTTTCCCCCCTTCGTACCGGTACCTGATGATTCCCCTCCCCTTGTTCCTAGTCGCCCGGGTGCCGTCGAAGCAGTTAATCCATTTTTTCTTTCCAACAGTTCCAATTGCTCATTTTTTATTTTACTTAATAAAGCAATGCATATTAACAAGTGATTATATAAATGCTATGATTAATCCAGGAGTTCTAGTTTTATTATGATGACCGATACGTTGTCTCCGCACTTTCTCCGAACCGCTTCTGCTGCCATCTTCTCAGCGACGGTCCTTAGCTCGGCAGTTTCCCTACTCTCGTTGGTTTCTTGTTGCAGATCCATCTGAAACTGATCTTTTGAGACAATTATTGGGGAGGGGGGTGGATACGCTGACAGACATTTTTCATTGTTTTTGCATCATAGAAACAGTCGAAATTGATAATGAAAAGGACATGAATGACCACGAACTTTGGAATAACCAGTTTTTTTTGACATAGGTGGCCGACACACACACACACACACACACACATCTGATATCGTTTATCATAGGCTAGAGACAGCATGTTTCGTAAAACCTATAAATTTTGTCTACTTTCTGTCAGATGTCGAAGTCCATCCTTTCAAGATCACGTCTATCAATTTTCATTACAAAATATTCACTAATTCTTGAGTTACAGCATTTTTGTGAGCAATTCCAATCAACTGGTTTCTCTCCAGCAGCGCAGCAAAAGTGGGCGTCCACGCAATGCAGCAGAAAAATTTGCAATGGAGGTCTCCGAAGTCCAGTTTTTTAGTCACGAAAAGAATTTCTGATGTTTTGCATGCAAAAATGGAAGATATTTTTCATTTCTCATTTGGCGGGTCAGAGACCACCGCTCAAAAACGAATTTCTACATCGGTTAGTTATCTTCATTAAAGTGATGCAGTTCAAAAGTCCGCAAATTAGGATCAAAACGATTGCGACGCCCCGCCCTTGTGTTACTGCGGTCCCCGATGTTAGTTCATTACACACGATCGACCGAGTAGATCACTCTTTTGTTGTTTCAACGCTATCCACCCATGTGGGGTCCTAATCGTCATGAAGTCGCTGAACGAAACATGACGTCGCGAGGCGGCATGATGAGAAAAGACGGTCGCTTCAGCTGATGGACGAAAGATTACGGTGTGGTTAGCGGGTGGCTGACAGATAGGAAACGTTTCGCCTACGTGTCAAGAAGCAGACGTCAGGCGCCTTCACAGTCAAAAGTTGCACTCATGACGGTGTCTGCAGGAATCGGAATGTACTCATTCAGATGGTCACAAGGCAGCGTGGTTACACACAGTCTCACCTTCTTCACAGCCTCGAGCTGCTCTGATGCAAATGTGATCGCTTCCAGATTCGAGAACGACTTCCAGAGACCATCGCAGGCGATGACGGCGAATCTGAAACATCAAATTGTTGGTCTCTTCCGTGGGCGCGAAGCAGATTCTCATTTTGCACAATAAAAATCGTCGTTAAATTTTATACGAGCCGCATTATTTTATAAAAGTGTTCTCTTTCTTCCATTCTTTCTTTCTTTTCCCTTTTCAGCTCAACTTCGTGGCTTTCTGTTCTAATCCAATCGATGTCCGGGGCAGATAAGTGCTCGCCTTGCGCCATGTTTGTCTGTGCTTGCTCTCTGCTCGTGCTGTCCGGCAGAGCACCTTCATGCTCGGCGAGCTCACGAAACACATTCTCTGCTCAGGATGTCGATCGATGAACGCCTCGAAGATGAGGTCCCAACGGCACAAACGACCGTTACAACATGTTGTTCCAGTGACGTTATCAACGAGCTCATGAATCCACTGATTGAGCAAGGTCTAAAGGGCAAACAAGTGAGTTTCCTCATTCCGTTGCTTTTTCCGCGTACTTTCCCTGGTCATAGTCCGCCTAGTTTCCGCCTAGTCAACAATGCTGTCGGTGACCGTTTGATTTCAACTTCCGTCGGAATTTTCTAATAATTCAAGTTATTCGACCGCTTCGAAACAATAATATTGCGGTGATCGGCACGTGCTATAATAACGTCGGGAGAGGCGGCGTCGCATTGATATCCCATGACGGTGTGGGATAAGCGATGGAAGAGGGGCGGTACTGACATCGGGTATTGATTGGTCCGTAGGTGGAGAGATGCCGGGGTATAATAGGGACAAGCGGACAGAAGGCAGGACCCCTATGACCATGGCCGTTTCGGCTAAAGTTTCCCCTTCAAAAGACCTTGCTCAACTTGAGGAAGCCCAAAACGATGCAGAGCCGCCTAACGAGAAAATGAAAATGGAATCGCTTTTTGAAGGACTTGGAAGCTTTGGAAGGTGAGTAACTAACTAGATTGTCTACATAGCTGGATAAACTTTCTACATTACAAATAGCTTCTTACATGGTTTCATGACTCTGCTATTACACGTTTATGTATGTTAGTATGTAGCCTTGGGGTCTCCGCATCCATTGAATAGATCAAAGCGATTGTCGACACTGTTGATCAGTTACAGTAACAAACTAGAAGAATATCAGGTTTCCCCCCAATTCCTTTGTTTTTCGATCTTATTTCAACTACACAGTATCTTGAAATATCCGTAGAAAGCAGGTTTATCATCAATTGGTTTCGAAATGTTTTTGCAAAAGTTTGGAACTGATTGATAAACAGCGAATAGACTACAGTATCCACCGACAATTACTTCCTTTTTCAGGTTTCAACAAGTTCAGTTCGTTCTGATATGCATTCCCATCGCATTTGTCTCTATGCATGTGATGAGTTGGACTTTCGTAGTCTCCTCAGCCAGAAAAATGTGAGTTTAGCAGTTACGCGTTCTTCCATCAGAAGATGCGAGGGTGTATTGTTGTGATACGATCACTGTCAATAACTGGTAATTGGGCCAGATAGATTTGTGATTTATCAACGTGGTGCGTGCATCGAAACAACCGATTGCTTCAATTCAGATGTGACAAATCGAACGAAACGGAGACAAGCGGATGCAGGGAACTAGCGTATTCCGCATCGGACAGGGTAATCAATGATTGATGGAACACAGAACAGTTTGCAACGTTTTAGTGGGAGATGGAGGGAGACAACGCCTGGATTCGGGCAACTGTCCAGGCTCTCTATTTTATCGGACAAATGATCGGCTCGTTCACTTGCGGAGTGATGGCTGACAAGATCGGACGCAAGAAGGTTCTCTTCTGGTGCTTAGTTCTTCAAGTGACGTGTGCGCTCACGCTGATCATAGCCCCTACTTGGTGGATTTATGCCATCGTTAAGTGAGTCATCGAATCTGAGAGGCATGACAAATTTAAACTTTCCAGAGCTGGAACAGGATTCACCCAACCGGGAATCTACGGAGTCGCTGTTGTACTTGGAATCGAGTTGGTCGGCAAACAGTATCGCAGCATTATCGCAGTCATTGCCAATGTTTTCGGAGTGTTCGGAGGGGTCTTGCTGGCTGTTCTTGCCTACTTTATTGTCGACTATCGCCTTCTACACGCTTCTATAGCCATTCCATCACTCATTTTCATCACCTACTGGTGGTAGGTTAACAAATAGATTCTAGAGATAGGGTTGCATTCCAGGATCATTCATGAGAGTGCTCGATGGCTTGTATCGCAAGAAAAATACGACGAAGCCAATGTGGTGCTCTATGCCGCCGCCAACATGAATAAGAAAAAGATTCCAAGTGATTGGTCACACAGAATAGAGAAGAAAGTTGACGTGACCGCGACGAAGAAGAAGGACTCGTTCGGAGTGTTTGATCTGGTCAGGACGCCTCAGATGAGAAAACGAACTCTCACCAATTTCATCATGTGGTAAGAAAAGAAAAATAGGCTCGAGACGAATGACATTCTTAGGCCAGTGACTACCATGATGTACTACGGAATGACGATGAGAAGTGATGTCGGTGGAGGAAGTCTTTTCGTCACTTTCGTCACTTCACAGCTTATGGAGCTACCCGCAGTTATCATCGTCGCTCTCCTGATTGACCGACTTGGAAGAAGGATAATGTATTCCGGATCCATCTTTCTCGCAGGACTTCTCCTTCTCACCAATTGGCTCACTCATGATCTGATTCCTAATCAATGTGCCGTGATTCTTCTAATGATTGCCAAGGGAGCCGTGTCCATGGCTTACACCGTCATGTACACCTACACATCAGAACTTTTCCCAACAGTGATCCGAAACACTGCAGTAGGATGTTGCTCGACAATCGCCAGATTCGGTGCAATCACTGCGTCATTCATTGCTTTCTTTTTGGTAAGTTTTAGACCACTTTCGTTCCAGACTATTTCCAAAACTCAATTTTAGGTGGAGCGCTACGGGCGGATAGTTATGATTATCCCGTTTACAATTCTGGCTCTTTGCGCCTCCGTCGTCTCGTGGCTATTCCTGCCAGAGACAGTAAACAAACAACTTCCGGATTCGATTTCCGAAGTGGAAGGAAACACGATTTAAAAACAATTTTCCTCATTCTTACTCTCGTCATGACTACACTTTCTTTGAACGTATTATGTACATAAACCATCTTTTGAAACTCACAAATCATTGGCAGTCAGTGTCAACTTTTTTAGATCCGGAGCGCAAACTATTCCGAGCGCTTTGAATGGGACGTCTCCGATTGAGCGGGAAACTTCGATGACTCCGTTAATGCGTCCGTCTCTGGAAAAATATTCTTGTTTAGTTAACAAGTGACCACACACACTTGACGACAGCTCCGGCCTTTTGAATTCTCATTCGTTCGTCGTGAGCCATCGGGTTGTGATCGACGGTGAGGCAGACTGGGGAGAGGGAGCCGTCCTCCTTTTTACGGGCGACAACTGCTCGGCTGTCTCCGATGTTTGCCACGTAGACGGTGTTGTTCAGAATGATCATTGTCGTTGCTGTCGTTCCGTCTTTCCACACGGGTTTACTGAAAAGAAAGACAGTGTCGTTTTGTGCAAGCTTTTCCGAGTTTTCCCACTTCTGCTTCGCCACCGTCAGAAATCCATCATCGACCGCCTTGTAACTTTCTGCGAATGTCGTTTTCAGAGATTTTGTTAGAGAAGCAAAGTCTATGGCTGTAAATGAAATAAGTTTAGAAAAGGTCTTCGATCGAATGACTACTTTTGGATAGTTTATTTTTCACCGTTTTACTCATATGATTCTGACAGTATACGGCGGCCCGAGGACCAGCATGACCGTCAAAAATGGCGAAGAACGAGGATCGGGATCTAAAGAGGGAGCTTGATAATCGAGATGTTCTCACTTACAGAAAGTCTTTTTCCTCTCCCAAATCGAATTTTGAATGCAAGATGTGCGTGTCTTGCATGTCTGCTCGTTCTCCTTTCCGGCATCCGTAGGCAGCTAAAGTGTTATGCAACTCTGAAATTGAAGAAAATTGAACTACTTGTTGCTGATTTATTCAACTGTTGAGTACCTTTCGCTGCTTTTGGCTGTTTCGCATCTTTCGAGGAATCGATCGAACTTTCTACACTTCTTTTTCGACTTTCCATTTTCTAAAAATATTCTAATTTATTCCAGGCTAGGGATGCAAAACAGGCGATTTTAGGCGCCTGCGTGTGTTTTTTTTTCAGGCGCCTATTCTGCATTCTTATTTCAGGCACAATCGATATGGAATTTTGACTTTTCCGCCTCTCTTTGGGCGGACGTGCAAAAATCCGATTTGAATGTTCTAAACAGCGCGCGGTGCCGTTATTTCGGAGCGTTGTAGGAGCCGCCGAATTGATTTTGTGACTTCTCCTCTGTTTTTCTGCGCTTTCTCGCCCCCAATCACTGTTTTTAAAAAATCACATTGTTCGTCACATTAGCTGCTCATTTATACCTGAATCTTACTTTCAAACAGTTTATTTTCAGAATGGCTGCCTCTATGCGTCACATGGCCAACTTCCAAAAGGCTCTGCTCGTCGCCAGAAGCGCTCCGAGACTCTCGACTGTTGTTCGTGCTACCTCCACTTTGAACGACGGAGCCAGCAAGGTTCCAGACCACTCGACGCACTTCAAGGTGAGAAAATCATACAAGCTCTTGGTTTAGCGTAAATAATTCACAGCTCGAGCGTCTGTGGGCCGTCGGAATGCTGCCGATCCTTCCGGCTTCGTACTTCATCCACGGACCGGTCATGGACGCCGTTCTCACCGTCGCTCTCACCCTCCACATCCACTGGTTTGTCTATTTTTACAAAAAATATCATTGAAAGGCAATATTTATACAGGGGAGTGCACGGAGTCGTCTACGATTACGCTCGTCCGTACGTGATCGGAGAGGCTGCTGCCAAGGCCGCCCACGTCGGAGTCTACGTCATCACCGGACTCTTGCTTGCTGGCCTTCTCCACTTCAACACTAACGACGTCGGAATCACCAAGGCTTTCGAGCTCGTCTTCTCCCTCTAAATTATCGAGCAGAAGCGCTGATTCCCGCTAAATCCCAGTTCTGTATTCCGCCTGTTTCTCCTTTTCCTTATAAAAAAAACGAAAATCCCCTTTCCAGATTTAGAGTGAAGTTCTTAGTTCGAATTAATGTATATTCCCAATGAACTGTTCTAACATCTGTCGCGCGGCGAAAAAGAACGTTATTGGATTGAATGATTCCAAACTTACTGATTGTAGACGTGCCGAGTTTTTTCTAGATGACTGAAAAATTATTGATTTTTAGCAGAATGGTAAAATCGGAAGAATACAAAGAAAAAGGCGCTCGAGAGGAAGAAGCGGTTCATGCTTCAGGCGAAAAAGAACAACATCTTCAAGGTATTCTAGGTTTGGCATGCTCAGTTTAACACAATAGATTCAGGCACGTAGAAGAAATAACTTTTCGAAAAATCAAAACAACAACTACAAAAGGCATCATCAACAGTACCCGGCAAGAGAAAATCAAGAGAAACAGGATGCGACGGCTCTTCGCCAGCGTGGATTCTTCCAAGTGATTCCGACGGACGAGCTGCCCAACGTTCCCAGTGCTCACACGGTCCCTGTCTGTTATTCGAAAAGAAAAACGGACCGGAAGTGGAAGAAACGTTCTTCGCGTGCGCAATTTACCGAAATCAGACCGAATTCTGCGATTTCAAACTGCAGTACAACAAAGAAACGGGAGAAATCGAAGAGAAAGAGGAAGAAGAAAAGAAGAAGAAAAAGAAGAAAGTCTTCGGATACAATCGCATTCCTAAAGCGTGAGTAGGCGGTTCACGGAAGAAAAATTATGGTAATAGTTACAGCCTCTCGGAAATGAAACCATCGGACACGATTCTCTACTGTAAAGAGTGCATAAATGTGTTCCCGAACAAGCACGAATGTGTCTGTGAACCGATCGAAAAAGAAGCGCTCTCCCGACCGACGACCCTTCTTCCGCCAGTCAGCGAGCAGCACGGAGAATCTGTAAATTTCATTTTGCGACCTTATTTTGATCGAAAAATCTAACTTTCAGCAATTTTTCTTCTCGGATGAGTCGCTAGGAGTGATTCTCAAAGCAGTGGAAAAGTCAACAATGGATGGAGTCTTGTGCATCGGAGCACCAAGAGTCAGTTAACCATATTCTTGCTCTTTTCATAGACGTATATCTTTAAGATCTTCGAAAATGTCCGTGCGCTTTATCCTCAAAAAAACGTGTTTCTGCTCGATTACGATAAGAGATTTGTGAGCGCATTCCACCCCTCTTTCCCTCAAATTCCATCCATTTTCAGGCTAAATTCTTTCCTTCGAAACAGTACGCTCAGTACAGCATGCTCGTCGACCACTTTTTTTCGATAAGAACGCCGAACCAAAGCTTTTGGAATTCTTCCAAAACAGCAAAAGCATCCTGCTGATCACTGACCCGCCATTCGGAGTGTTTATGGAACCACTTCTCAAATCGATCGAAAAGATGAAAATCGATTTGTGGGTACAGGGAAGAAGGCGTCCTCGTTTTTCTCCATGATCGTGCTGCCCATCTACATTCGGAAGTACGTCCTCCACGACAACTTCTGGATGTCCGACTACAGAGTGAGTTGGTTGCACCTCCAGAATCCTCGAATTTACTTTTTTCAGGTGACATACGAGGGACACAAACTGTATCAGTACCCGGAGAAGACGATCGTTCGTCTGTTCACGAATCTCCCGTCCGAATGCATCGATTTGAACGACGTCTCCGGCTACAAATTCTGCGAGCTCTGTGACCGATGCGTGACAGAAAAGAACGTGCATTGCGAGCGGTGCAAATCGTGCACTTCAGTCGAACAGGGCAAATGGAATCACTGCGAACAGTGCGATAAATGCGTCAAACCGAGATACGTGCACTGTGCGGATTGTGCCCGATGTCACCTTTACGGAAGATGCATCCAGAAATCGTATTAATTTTTGTTTGTCTTTAACCAATTTTTGTCAATTGTTATCATTTTCTGTTGTTCCGTTCCCACCTTGTTATTCCTACTATAAATCGAATCTCCTTATATGAAGTGAGATCCGGATGACCAGTTATTCTTCGGACACTTGTGTCTCCAGAGTGTTTGCTTATCGCCCTCCTTTCTCGTTTCTTGTGTTCTCCCGGTGCTTCTCTCTTCTACTTCTTCGCCTGATGACGTGGCAATCGGAAAACGATGAGATCGATTCTCTCCGTCGACTGACGCTCGTTTCGTTCACAATCACCGTCTCCGTCCTCCTGATTTCGTCCGTCGGCTCCGTCATTCTCTTCTCGCGGACATTTAGTTTCCAGGTCGAAATGCTCTCTTTATTCCCGGGAAGACCCCCACTTTTTCCAGAGCGAATTGGAGTACGAATTGAAGTATTGTGTATCGAAATCGCACGATTTATGGGACACTCTCACTCAGGTTTCATTCCCAGATTCCACTTGTTTTTCCAACCGAGCTGAAATTTACAGCTCGAAATAGCGAAGGGAACGAAGAGCCGCCGAAAAAGACAGTACTTCATGGATTACTGTAACGACCTTGTTTATTGCGGAGCACCGACCAATTGTGGACAAGAATCTGGGTGTACGGTACATTCGGTGCACTCAAATGGATGTGGAAACACGGAAAACAGCGCATGTGCGGAACCCGTCCAGCAACCGATAGTGCAGCAGTTCAGACCTCAGGTGAAAGCATGTTTTATTTTTCATAAAAAAGTCTGCAACTCTTCCTTCACGTTGAACTTACGCATGTTCTTTTCAGGCACACTTTTTGTTTTTCTATTGTCCCCTTGGGGACTGGGCCGAGCCCGGCAGCAGTGCAACGCCAGGACGACCCTTGGAAAGTCGGAGCAAGCCCCGAGCCTTTCCTAAGCTCCAAAAATCATATAACCTTTATTACACTCATTCGAGTGTATACCGTAGGTTAATACGATAAGAACAGATACTACACTTTGATCTTAGCTAATAAGCCGAAGAAGCGATAACCTCCGCTCTTCTCAGCCGCTCTTACCTATCTCTATGTCCCGACAAAAAACGGGCTCGCGTCAGCCACTATGCTATAAACAGGGCGAGAGACGCAGAGATGAGAATTAACACTCCGCGCATATGTGCGTACCAACGCAGCAACCCTTTTTCCGCCGCTTTCCTGACCTCGACCGTATCAACCTACGATATGAGTGTAATAAAGTTTACATGATTTTTGGAGCCTAGGAAAGGCTCGGGGCTTGCTCCGACTTTTAAAGAGTCGTCCTGGCGTTGCACTAATGTCGGGCTCAGCCTAGTTCCAAAGGGGACAAAAGAAGATTAACAGGCGCACCTGGAAATGAAATTATTAAAGAGTTGAAATATTTATGAGGATGGTTGCCAGTTGTTTTCGTGGTGGTTCCAATTGGTTCATGACACTTTCAGAGCATATGTATCTATGGACCACCAGGAATGCCCGGTTTTCCTGGACCAGATGGATTGGACGGAGAAGACGGCGCAGAAGGATATCCTGGAACTCCGGGTGCAAACGTCCCGGACCCACTCTTCCTGAACTAGAAGACTTCTGTTTCGATTGTCCTCCTGCACACAGAGGTCCACCAGGCCAAGAGGGTCCGAAGGTGCATTTACTTCCTCGAATTTACAAAAATTTTCAAATTCAGGGTCTTCGTGGTCCTCCCGGTCCTCCGGGATCTTCCGATTTCTATGTGACTGCAGGACCTGCTGGTCCACCTGGACCTCGTGGCCCACCGGGTGATCCTGGAAGTCCTGGTGCTCGTGGACCTCCGGGAGATTATGGAAGTGTACTCCAAGACCATGAGACGATCATCGGACCAAGTGGCCCACCAGGTCCTGCCGGTCCTCCAGGTGTTCCCGGTCCTAGAGGAGTCGATGGAAAGGCTCGTCATGGAGCAAGTGGACCTCCGGGGGACAAAGGAGGGAAAGGGACGCAGGGAAGCGCGGGAGCAAGAGGGTCGGCAGGGGAAATCGGAAGACCAGGGCCGACTGGAGGATGCTCGCATTGCCCCATTCCACTTGTTTCTCCCGGATACTAACTTTCCTTTTTCTTCGAATGAATGTTCTTTGCTTTGTGATTTATAATTGGTCCGGTTATCAAAAGATGATGGATACGCAACGGAAAGCGAGGCCGATTGGGACGAGATGGTCTTTTGATTACGGTAAATGCAATCGTGATGTGACGTGAAAGAGATACGGAGAGCACTTGATGACGTCACCGATTGCCACTCTTTCCCAGGCATAAATTCGTCGGATTCCACCCACACAAACCCGCTGACCCCGTCTAATTTGAGTGTCGTCCTCCAAAAAACAGACTCCTTCTGTCGTTCTCTCGCTCTCTCCCACCTCCTCATCTGCTGCCTTCTTTCCCGTTTCAGGTCACAGATTCCTGGATAAATGATGTATTATTTAGTCTGTGCACACCAGAGCACACTCATTATCGATCGTCAATTCGTGCGAGAGAGTGTTCATGTCAGCGAGAGTTTTGAGAGTGCTGCGTGTGTGGGGATATGTGTGAGTGAGTGAGTGTGTGTGCGCGGTGCGCTCTTCTTTTCGTTGTGTATGAGGCCAACGCGAGAGGGCGGAGAGGCCGAGACGGACGAGGGACGACGAAATAGCGGAGAGGTGGAGGGCGGCGGGACGGGTCGAGCAGTGGCCTCCCAGTCGAAACTACGCACACAACACGTACCCCTCGGTGTCCATTTACCCCACCCTTCGATTGTATTTGAACCATCCCGAATGGCGACTGTGTTGTCACAGTGCTCCGGCGCACTCCGGACTCAACGCTCCCCACTTATCAACTGTTCGCTCTGCTCCGTCATACATTTCACTTCCTCTCCGTTGTCCACATCGCCTCCCCCTCTCATTATTTCGATCTGCCTCCCTTTAACCGTATCGATGTTGCATTACACTTGCCATCCGCTGCATTATACACTCCGCGTCGTCGCTATTCCCTTTTTGAAACAGCTCACCGCCGAACGCGTCACAAACAACAAGCTACCGGACGGGGCAAACAACGGCCGCTCGCTGCAGAATGTTGCAAGGTCAAAAGGCATTGTAGCAGCAATTCGGGTCAAAAATTTTCGCATCGTTTCTCCGCCTCGCATTCCGAAATCCGCAATTTTCCGCAAAACACCCGTGTTTGTTTCAAAGGCGCAGCTGCTGTTTTTCTCGGTCAGGTCTCGACGCGCACTACCGTACTACTCTACTTTTGTTTCGAATTCTGTTTTGGCGCGGGTTTTTTTCTGTTCAAAGAACGTGAGTCACGCGAATTCAGCGAGAGAGAAGGAATCTCGTGCACTTTTCTGCGCACCCCGTGTCTCTCAAATTCTATTGATTTTTGCTAGTTTTCCTCTATTTTGTCAGCTGTACGTCCGGAAGGGTGGCGACTCTGCGTGTACTTCATCCACAAGTAATCCTTGTTACACTGACCGGCTGCTGCTGCTCAGCCCCTCGAACAATCGTTTAATGTTGGTGTCCGCACCGAAAGGTCAGCTTACACTCACCCACTCGACTCGCCCACTCTCCCCTTCACTCCGTCTCATTACCGAATCGATAATTATCCCTTTGTCGCTCTCCCACAATCTGTTCCGTTTTCAGCGAGGGTTTCACTAACGTTGTGTCGCGCAACACGAAATAACAGCCGGTAACACCTGAGGGAGAGAAGAAGCGCGGAACAATGGCTGAGAAGAACGTAAGTTGCGAAGAGATGGTCTTTGATCCGGCCGCGCTGTGTGGGAGCACGCGGAATGGGTCATCGGTCAACGCGACCACCCAAAATGCAAACAAAAACGCTTCGGGCACGGCCAATTGTATCAGAATGAGTGTTTGAGACGGCGATGGAATAAGCTAGACGTAGAGCTGAACCGTCTTTCCATTCGACCTATTTTTCGCCCATATTTTTGATACAATGGTAATTTTTTATGTCAGGCAGCGCGCGGTCATTGTCACGCAACGTCTTGAGCTCTCCACAAATGTACACGTTTTTATAGGAAGTGACGGAGCAACCAGCTGAGAAGCCAGTGAAGGCCACTAAGGTGAAGGGAACCGTCAAGTGGTTCAATGTGAAGAACGGCTATGGCTTCATCAACCGAACGGACACCAACGAAGACATTTTCGTTCACCAGACCGCCATCATCAACAACAATCCGAACAAGTACCTGAGAAGTCTCGGCGACAACGAGGAGGTCCTCTTCGACATTGTCGAGGGATCCAAGGGACTCGAGGCCGCCAGTGTGACTGGACCGGACGGAGGACCAGTCCAGGGATCCAAGTACGCGGCTGACCGCGATTCTGAGAATCCGGGACGCGGAAGAGGAGGACGTGGACGCGGAAGGCGCGGTGGCCGTGGTGGTGTCAGACACGACTCCGGATCGAGAGACGAAGGAGAGGGAAGCCAGCGTGGACGCGGCGGATTCCGTCGTGGAGGACGTGGAGGAGCCAGACAGAACAGCGGCGGAGAGGAAGGAGCCCCAGTTGAGGTAATTCGATCGAATTATAAAGAGCAGACAGGTTCAATGATGTGGTTGCAGGGCGGAGAGCAACGCGGAGGGCGCGGACGTCGTGGCGGACGTGGACGCGGTGGACGCGGACGCGGAAGCCGTGGAGGACAGGGCGGACAGAGCGAGGCCTAGGCACACGAAAAAGACCTCGTAGATCAACTAGGTTTTCTGTTTCCCTCCTCGCCGTATTACACCTTCCACGCTGTTTTTCCTAACTCATGAATTCTATTATACAGTTAACCTAAAAAAGACACGTCACAACCTGAATCATTCTCGTAATTAAACCATTCTCCCCATCGGATTTTCCGTGAGACCCACCACTCGTTTCTCACCAAATCTTCATATAATCGACCAACTGATGATCGCCCCCACACTACAATTGTTTTGTCTCCATCTCTCAACCCATTCACATCTGACACTGTTCGACTGATGACTAGACATAATGTATCTGTACCCTTTTTGAGAATCTTTACTTCCAAGTACCTCCCACCTCATTCTGAAATAGTTGACAGCATTAAAATTATTTTCGAGAACGCATGTTGATTTTGTTTTGTTGTGCTTGACGTTTTCAATGTCCTATCAGAACGAACGTTTTTGAAAAAAACTTTAATAAATCTACTTTATTTATTTATTCAAAGAGCAATAAATTAAGTACAGATAATTCAGAAACCCTTGAGCTTCGCGTCAAACTCTTTGCGAATAGAGTCGGGAAGTTTCGAGTAGATCTCCTCGATCTTCTTGAGTCTCTCCGGCTCCGGCTGCATCGGATCGTGCATGATCGCGACGACTTTCTGGAACTGCTCGACCGCCTCCTTGCTCATAGAACTGACCGCCCGATCCACGTTTCGCCGCTTTTCCTCCGTCTCCTTATCGATAACGTCATGGCGGAATTCGGAATACATTTCCTGGACAACTATTGAGAATGAACAACGGAACGGGCGGAACAGACCTGTCTCGCGTCGGACATCGTTCTCATGAACTCTTCGATCCTTCGATTCTTTTCCACTCCACTCCACGTCGGATGCTGCACAATTTCGTAGAACTGAAACGTGCAAAATAGAGACAGAAAGTGATTTATGCGGGCGGGCTCCGCAGCAATTCGAAGCACTGCCTTGGCAACTGACTCGGTCCTGTTCGCCGACGGAAGCACTCTTCAGAAAGGGCGGAACGATGCGAGTGGGCGCAGAAAACGGCTGCTGCAAATGGAGAATTGAGTGGGCCAAAACCGGAGGGGAAGTCACCTGAGACGGCGCCCTCTGATCCACTTGATACTCGGACGGACCGACGGGCGAAGTGACACGGGCGGGCTCGAACGATTGGCCTGAAAGCGAGGAAATCACTGGGGGGAAAGGCTGCTGATTTATGTCCATGCGAGCACGTCACCAAGTGGGAACAGCTCGAGAAAAGCGAGGTGTGTTTTTGGAATTGTTCGTGGGAGAGAAAAGAATACGAAATGTTAGTATCAGAGATTTCGAGAAAGATTTGAAGAAGAGAGGGCATTCTTTTCTCCGGGAGGTAATTTGTCATGGAATTTCCGGGCTCGATTAGGGAATCCAATCAAATGATTTTCAACGGTTATTTTCGAGGAAACTTGCATGTGAAAAACACTTGCGCAGAGATCCGCGGAATGCGAAATTTAAAAAATATATTGTCTGACCTTGCATCGGCGGCTGCACCTGAATCCTTGTCATCGGATTGAATTGGAACCTCTGAGCCATCGAATTGTGCATCGGCGCCTGATTGATTCCGTTCATCTGACCCGTTTGGCTCATTTGATTAATCTGATACCCTTGGCCTCCGAGTCCGTTCATCTGACCGATCGGACTCATTTGTTGGCCAGGAATGTACGGATACCTCGACTCGAACACATCTAAAAAGATTTCCATTCGATTCTCTCTCACTCTCTTATTTTCCGCGCTCGAACTCACTATTATATTGTGGATACGGCTGGTTGGGACTCAGCGGAAAAGTGAAAGACTGTGAAAGTGCGGCGGGAAGCGAGACGAGGACGGCAACAAGAATCGGCAGCATTGGATGGACGGACGGACAGGCGGAAGCGGATTCAAACCTTTATACAGTTTGGTAAGCAAATAATGAGAGCTTTTGTGAATAATAATAATAATCGGAACACACACACACACACTCGGCGAGGCAGTGTTTCCAGTTGTCTCGGATGGTGTTTCGTGTTTGCCATCGAGATGTCTATCTCCCGGATATTCAGGTTTTGTTCGCAAAAAGAATCTGCCAAGGATGTTCGGAAAAGAAACGGATTGCAGGTACTTTGTCACGAGGCCAACTCATATTATTCATAAATTTTATCCATGTTTTTGAGCGAACATCAGCAGAGCACTGATTCGAAATGCACATCAAAGACGAGCGGATATCCACCAGAATAATAAGAGCAAAGCGGGGGAGTACGGTGGATGTTTACACCGGAAAGTTTAATTTGCAAGGAAAGGTCGAAGGTCGTGGACGATGATGATGATGATGATGATGATGACGAGCATCATCATTCTGTGCAAAATGTTATTTTGCTTTGCACCGCCCGAATTGCGTCTAAAACTCAATCATTATGGAACGGAAGCTGCGGAAGCCGATGGATAATTCAGAACTTCCCTTTCTTACTCATTTTATTTATTTTGTTCTCTACGCTTCCTTTCTTCCTTCTTCCATAGACATCTTCCAATCCACTCATTCCTACGAATTCGTAGGCGGGCTGTTCCCACGTCATCTGAAAGCCCGTGCGACTCCGTAGTCCGTCAGTTTCCAAATGAATTCATCGCCGTGCCGATTTGCATGTTTTCCGTGCGGGATCCGGAATCAATTGCCATCATAAATTCGGGAACAAAACGTTGTGTTTTCATCGTTGCGTGAGTGCCGAAGAGCCCTCAATCGGCACGTCTTCTGCAGTCGTCCTGATGACCGACGCCGCCTGCTTTTCATTTCTTCTCATACATCAGTCATCCGCCTTCTGTTTTGACACCGTCTAATCAGGATTGACACGATCGAAACGGAAGAGAGCACGGCCTCGGGGCATTCGGACGGCTCCAAATAGGAAGGGCGGAGTGTACTTGATGTCATTACAGTAATCCGCCTACGAATAGCTTTTCTCCTTTTTTTCGGATTCTGCGCAAGCTCAAGTATGCAAATTGTGGTGCAATTAGGTGCGCATAATTGTGTACGATTGACGTGGCATTACTTGTTGATCGAGAGAAAAAGAAGGTCAAAAGGTGTCGCGAGTAAGTAAAGTATTACAGAATGGCGGATTAGAGCCTACTCATTCGAAACGAGTTGCAATCAGAATGTATTGGATTATGATTCTTTTCAGAAAAAGAGCTCAGTGATCTTTAACGCCAACAAACTCTTCAATCCAGATTCCGAATCGGAGCGCTCTTTGTCTGAAAACACTTTTTTTTCTTGTTCGCCCATGTTTTTTATATCCTTCGTCTTTCATCTCCATCAATTATGCGCGTCTCTTCCGCTCTTCTAATCAACATCTTCTTGTGATCTTGATCCATTTCTGCCCGCTCCGTCCGATTCCTGCCACGTCATTCACCTTCCGACATCACCCCACGTCAGCGTATCCGTCCAAATCTGCATCTTCAAATGATAGTACTTCTCCTCGGATTCGCGTGCCATCTCACTCTTGACTCCGCCTTTTCTAGCCTCGGGCATCTTCCCGAAAGGGGCGGAGCCTCGGGAGAAGCTCTCGGCGGCGGCTCCTCAGTCATTCGTGCTCGTCTCCTCCGCGCCCGACTCACTTCTTCTTTCTTTCAGTGGGTACCCAGCTCGTCCTCGCGATGAACGCCAACGTCTACTCGATTGTGTGCTTCCTCTCGTTCCTCGTCCTCTGCATTTCTGCACAATTGGTAAGTGAGCGAGTGAGACAGAAAACAGGCGGATCATTCGATTGTGTCTTCCCGAGTGGATTATCCATCAGTCTGTCTGTCTTCTTCTTCTTCTTCTTCCTCGTCCTCTTCTAGACCCAATTTCCTTGTTTCCAGCACGCCGACGGAGCCGACGTGGAAGGAATCGTGGACAAACGCTCACCGTACAGGTTAGTCATCTGATTCCGAGAGTAAGGTGCGAGTTGTTCCCACGATCCCCCGCCAAAACACTCGCATTTCGTTTTGCCTTCACAACAAAATCTCAACAAAATTGGGGGGCGGCGCGTTGCTCGAATATTATAAATTCCAAATAATAAATCTGCATTTTCGCAGAGCTTTCGCATTCGCCAAGCGCAGCGACGAAGACCTCGACTTCCTGGAGAAACGGGCGAGATACGGATTCGCGAAGAGGTGAGGAGAGATTCTGGAGCATTCACGATGCTATCGTCGCATTCGGAAGACGTCACGATGACGTGTCCTTTTTGCAGATCTCCGTACCGATCGTTCGCCTTCGCGAAACGTGCATCTCCGTACGGATTCGCGTTCGCCAAGAGAGCCCAGTTCTCCTCGTTCGCCTGAATTCGCAGCTAGTCCGTTCCTTTTTCTGTTCTCTTCCCCCCTCTCTCTCCTTTTTCTGCCCCCAACTATTCTTTAATTGAATGTTGTTGTATTGTGTGTCCTTATTTCATTTGCCCTCCTCCCCCCGTCGACTAAAATGAAAGCGAGAAGATAAATAAACTTGCACATTGTGGATGTTTTCAAAGCTTTTATAAATAGTAGCAAACGCTTGGGTAAAAAATGAAGAACGGAAAGGAACAAACGAAAATTAAATAAATAATGAATAGTGGTGGGGTGTGATTGTAGATGGAACAAATGGGGTTTGCCATCCTTAACGATGACGGCGACGATCATCTGAATCCACTCTCTCCTCGCGACGACGGTCTCTCTTCTCATGACGATCACGGCTTTTGCTACGGTCTCTACGATCACGGCTCTTGCTTTTCTCTTCCTTTTCGCGACGATCACCTCGCTCGGCACTGCGATCCCGACGGTCCCTATCTCTTCCTCCGCGGTCACGACGAGCTTCGTCCGAATCCCGACGTTGACGACGTTCCTTACTCTTCTCACGACGCTCACGATCCTTTCCGCTGCGGTCCAGACTGTCATCTCGTTCCCTGCTCTTCTCACGACGGTCACGATCCTTTCCACTGCGATCCCGACGATCATCTCCGGCATCACGACGATCATTCCGGTCATCTCCTCTCTTCTCAGTGCTCGTTTCGCGTCTACGATCACCAGATCGTGGCGGCAAAGGCTTCTCCTCTCTGCGCCTCACTTCCTTCTCGTCTCCTCGACTCTTTCCGTCGTTCTCTTTCCCTTTCTGCGTTTTCTTCGCGTCAACATCCAGCTTCTTCTTCTTTTTCTTGGGCTCGACAGAAGAGTCCGAGTCAGAGGAAGATGACGAATCGGATGAGCTGTCATCAGAATCCGAAGAAGAGTCATCCGAGGAGTCAGAAGAATCGGAGGAAGAATCAGAAGAGGAGGACGATGAAGATTCGTTTCGTTTCATCTCATCAAGCATTCCCTTCTTCTTCTTGAGCCCTTTTCCGAGCCACTCGCGAAGTTCAAGTCTGAAGTTGTGATGTTATGAATGATTAAGTATTTATTCTGAATAAATTACGTCAGTCCTCCAAGTCCGATCATTGTGAAGAAATTAATGGAGAATCTCGCACTTTGTGGATTGGTTCGTGGGAAGAGTCCAGTGAAGCAATGTGCCAGGGTTCTGAAAAGAGGAAAACAAAAACTGGAAGACGAAGGAGGGGTCTCTTACGGATCGGTCACTCGGGTGTGCAGCTTCACCATTCCCATTGCTTCGACGAGTTCCACAAAAATGTATTTTATGTAGATTCTGCCAGCAGACGTCGTGTCTTCCTCAGTCATTTTCACGTCGGAGAGAATGTTCCAGTCAATTGCGTCAGTGGAGAGAAGGTGGGCGATGAGCCGCGCCAAGTTTCTCAGTTTGGTGATGTCGATGCGATGAACGGTGGAGTAGGTGTCGCGGCAGAGCTGCTCGAACATTTTCTGATATTCGAGACGAAGACGACAGAAACGTTCAATGAGCATTCCGTAGAAACGCTCATAAGTACGCTGCTGAGCGCAGCAATCGACTAGCATCGCGCACAGTTCGTTCTGAAATTGGGAATAGTGAGATGGTGTCAGCACAGAATCTCAAACCTCGAGATTCTCCGGAATTTTCAGTTTCAGCAACTTGTGCGCGGCTTCTTGATAATCTAACGAAGATTGAAGAGTCAAGTAGACTTCTCTGCAATTAGCGATTCATTTAAGAGTTAGATAAGCATTTGCTACCTTCTGAAAGCAGTCAGATTCTGATCAGTGTTGTCGATGATTTCGGTAGTCCTTTTGGGAGCTTCCTCCGTGTCACTGCCTTCTTCCTCTTCTTCAGATTCCTCCTCTTCGTTGCTTGAAATGTCGGCATCTCCGATGATTTCTTTGCGAATTTCCTCGTAGACAGTCTCGTTCTTCTCGAATTCTGGATCCAATTTGAATACATCTGAAAAATATACTCTTTACACCCTGTTTTTTCCATTCTCTTCCTCACTGAGGCCGTTCTCTGGATCGACAGCGTCCTCCAAATTGAGCGTGTGGATGATTTGATCTTCTTCCTCAATCAGATCCAAGTCCTCGATGACCGCCGGATACGCCTGCAATTCATTTTCTCGTATTGTTTCATCGGTTGTATCACATAGACGCCGTCATCTTAGCCGCTGCGACCAGCTGACGACGACGCCATTCAATTAGCGAATTGGTGAGAAATTATAGGGGGAGGAACAAGATTTCGAAGGGATTATGCTTATGAATGCGTGCGCAGAGGACTGGCCTCAATTGCCATCCGCACAAGTATACAATAGTCGGCGGAAAGTGAGACGACGACCATCGGTCAGTATTGCGTGATGCTGGTGGACGAATACGTTCTCGTTCTCCTCGTTCTCCTCGCCTTCGTTGGGCTTTCGAATCAGGTACGTATAAAAGTAAACGAAACTGTTCTCATCATTTGTGATTTTTCAGGAAACAGATGCACAGTATCGAAAGGATTTGAAGCAAATCAATTACTACAACTGGCTACTTCATCGTCATCGAACCGAAAAACAAAAAATTGAGAAAGTGAATAAGTGGGTTTTCCGAAAAGGTTAATCGTCCACTTCCGTTTTCAGTGACATCAAAAACGCGCGTCTTCTCAAACTACAGGAAATCATCGATACGCCAGCCCCACGGAATGTGAGCGCCTTTGTTTTTTTATGATCTTCAGGATGATCTTACAGGTCTCACTTATTGCTACGGACACGAATTACGAGAAGATCCGCCGATTCGTACATCCAGTAGCTAACAAACCAGTGACTGAATCGATTAAAGAGCTAACTGTACTCCTGTCACCGCAGCGAAGACAAGCTAGAAAAGAGCAGGATGAAGCAACGGAGAAGCCGGAAGGAATCGTGGAGTTTCAGTTATCGGAGAGGGAATACCAAAAGTTCTCAAAGTTTTTGAGTAATAAGACGATGAGAAAGAAGCTTATTAGACGCTAATGATTAGGAATCGAATGTTAATAAACTTTTTATCTGAACACTCACCGCGAACTTGTCCTTTCGAATCTGCATCGCAGTCTCAATCATATACTGAATACGTCGATCCAATGAGTTTGCCGACCGTTCGGTTTCCATCAAAATGGCACGGAGACGGTCGAAGACACTGTTGAGGGCAGCCGGTGCAATCTCTTGAAGCTTGGCTCCGCATTCTTTCAGAAAAGCGATTGCCACTTCGACTGAGTCATCGGTCGGTTCTTCGAGCATGAGAATCATGATTTCAAGAGCCAGAACTTCGTGAGCCACTTGTTGATTGATCAGATGGGCAATGAATTTGATGACGTTCACGGTCACACCTCTGTCGTTTCTACGGAAACTTCTTTTGAACTGAACGATTAAACGACGGAGCAGAAGCTCTCCGACGTGCGGGAATTTAGAGTTGATGACGGCGACCAAGCCAGCGTAGACATTCGAAAATCCTGGCGAAAATGCTTGGGCCTGGATGATGTCACGGCACAGAAGTCCCCTGAAAACGAACTTCCGATAAACTAAGAGGAATACAGACAGCTTACTTCGATCTGATTACGTTCTCCTGCAGAAGTTCTCTGACGATTTGAACAAGATTCTTGGCATTAACTCTGTTGACCAATCCGTGAATCTTTTTTTTCATTCGTTCCCAGTTCATTCGCTGATACTGTTCACTAGACTTGTCAGTGATTGCCTGCTGCATGAGCCGCAGCTTCGCCGGGGGAATATACGCTCCTCCCGTTCTCGTTCTCAAGATATCCTTCGGATCATTCTTCTTTTTCTCCGGTTCCGCGACCACTTTTGGAGGAGCCAAACTCGATGATTTTTCTCGGACTGGAGATTTTTCTGGCTCCCGCGATGGCGAAGCCGAGCTGAAAATAGGCGAATGCAAACTGTTGATTGTGAACATTCTCACCTCTTTTCTATTGGTCTCTCATCCGGAGACGCTTCTCGGCTTCTGCTTTCTGGTGGCGTCGCTGGCTGCTCATCAGCTTCGTTGTTTTGACTGCGAGTTTCAGGCTAAAATTAGCAATTTTTGCATAATTACCCACCTATCGCAATTCGCCTAAATTCAAAAATTACCTCTTCACTTGGCTCACGAGACTCCTCCGGCGTGGTTGCACTGCTTCCGGACTTCTCAGTGTTCGTTTTCGGAGTGTCAGGCTGAAATAGATACGTTTTAGTCATTAGGAACACGGGTAATCGGACCTCTACGCTTCCCTCTTTTTCTTCGCCTGAATTTGGTCTCGGCGAAGTTTCCGGAGAGGACGAACGGCTTGACGGCATTTCCCTTTCTCCTGCAAAAATTAATTAATTAATGTTTAATGGAACTTGAAATACATATTGTCGAAATAAGAACGTTTTTTTACAAGAAAAAGAGACAAATTTAGTAGTTTCGAAAATGCCGCTGAGGCGGCGAGAGAGAGACGATCCGCTGTTTCTGGCCGTGCGGCGGGGCACGTTTGCATACCTCCTCTTGAGTTCAAATTCAAAAGTGCTCGTCTCTCAATCAGTTTGTATTGCATTTTACACGTAAAACGAAGCGGAATAGTGCAAAGAAAAACGTTTTATTTCATTTTTGCAGTATTTAAAAAGGCTTTGATCAACACCGATTTGTCGTGAAAAGCGTCGCGACGGGGAATTGGAGCAGAAGAGACAAGCGGAAAACAAGTAATACACGTGTACACCTGAAAATGAAAGCAATTCTGCAGACACAGTGCACTCTGAGTGTTTTAGGATATTGTTGTTTGTATTTTATATTTTCTACCTGAACACAGTATAGTGAATCATGTTTTCAGGGATCCAAAGTTGCCTGAGGACGTGTTCCATCCAGCAATCAGCCAGCTTGATCGCTCGATTTTTGATGACCAATAAAACTGCCTTCGAACGGAAATATAAAAACAAAACATTGTAATTTTTCATTTCAGGTCCTCAAACTCGTGCCTCAGTTCCCGTAGTGATTCATTTTTGAATTATTCAAGTTTCCCTTTGTTTCTCGAAGCATGAAATCGGTTGATATTTCGTCCTTGGGAGGTCGTACCTTGAAACGGAAAGTGAGAGAAAAGTAATCGTATCTCGGGTGGCCATCTCAAGGGAAACCGATCACGTTGGCTCGCCAGAAAGCGAAAAGATCGAAATCGCGCGAATTCCGATCGGAGCCGCCCGAAGGTCATCAGAATGGATGGCTGGTAAACAAATCATCCGAGGTTCGATCACTGTTTCTTTTTGTTTGTCCCTCGCGGCGAAGCGGAGGAGGGAAGAAGAAGGAAAACTGAAATGCGATCGAATATCTGATAGGACGCTTGTTTCCGCGGCTGCGGCGTGTTCGAAACCAGGTGTTCAGGAGAGTAGGAAGTCCGCCGAAGGATTAGGCAACACGGTAGACAAACAATCGCAGATGATCATGGGCATCGGGCTGAAAGCGTGAAAAGGAGAAACGTCAGAAGTTGCGAATGGAAACAGACTGGAAAGGTGCCTAAGAACCGAGAAATGCTTGAATACCGTTCTGAAACATGAAGAGGAGAGACCCGTTCTCATTTGCATAGTTAACTCGGAACTCGGTCCTTCTCAAGGTTCATTGAAGTCGGAAGTTTCTTCTCTTATTCATGAATAAGCAAATTCCAATTCGATCTCACGCGGTGTCACACGACCTTTAGCCGCATCTTTCTTTCTCTTTTACCCGTCATCAAAAGCCGTCAAAACAGTTTTTGTGCGTCGAAAAAGTCATTAAAGAGTGACTGACAGGTAAAACGACGAGGACGTAACACGAAATGCGCATAGATTACACAGTCTGAAAAACTGCGACAAGTGTCTCGCAGATGATATCTTGCGCCGGGTCTCCCCCAGCTTCTTCTTCTTCTGCTTCTTCTGCTTCTTCTGCTTCTTCGCCCCTCACGCACCGTTAATCGTCCGTTTTGGACGCGAGTGTTAAGTTTTTTGGGGGGCAGACTCATCGGCCCCCGCTTGCAACACTTCCCTCTCTTATCATCTACGCAACATTCGAAAGATTAGGGATGAGGAGGGGATAAAGAGGGAAAGAGTACGAACGAAACGAACGGACGACTTTTGTTTTATGATTATGACGGCCTGTTTACATTATAAACAGTCGGATACCTCATTGTCGAAATCGTCCGAAATGTGCTTGCTTATACGGGAATCTGAAGACGAAAACGGGCGCGGATGATGATGGGATTTCGGAGGAAATCTGCAAACGGTATGGGAGGAAGTGATATGGAAACACGCATTGAAATGGATAGATGGATGCAAGTTTCAGAGAGTTTCATTGAAGACGGAATGCAAACTACTATGATACAAGTTCTCGGAAGAATCGAACATCATCCACGGGGCTGTGTTATCGGCGGACTCATATTTTTACACCTTCCGAGCACTCCATTTCCTCTTTTCACTTTTTCTGGCCTCCAACTCGTCACTTTCGCTTGCTCAACGAACAAAGTCAAATGTTTCGATTTGAAAAACGACCTTGATTACTCGAAAACGCGATACCGATCTGCCGTTATCCGACTCATTTTCAGTCTTTTCCCTCCGTCCGTACGCCCACTCTTCCAACCTGTCGGCGCCGAAAGGAGGCGTGGTTTCCCTCGGTTTTTTGCTGCGTATCTGCTTTGTTTTGGCAGCGACGACGGGCAAGTGTATAAAAGTGCGCGGCGGATGGCAGGTAAATCAGCAGCATTCGCCATGTCTTCTGCCGATAACGAGAAGAAGCTTTGGGTTGAGGCCGAGTCCCTCCGCAAGGTCGCCTTTTTCGGTATCTGCATCAGGTAACTCGTCTCTTTCGTTACCTTCCCTTTTCCCTTTTCTTACCGTTCCCTTCCAGTACCGTCGCCACGTTGACGGCTATCGTTGCCATCCCACTGTTGTACAACTACATGCAACATGTCCAGTCCACCCTCCAAACCGAGGTACCCATCCATCCCTTTCCTCTTCCCTTCCATCTCCCCTCTTTTCTAGGTTGACTTCTGCAAGCACCGCACCAACGGTCTCTTCGACCAGTACGAACGCATGCAGCAGCTGAAGGGAGTTCGTGGAAAGCTCATCGTCAAGCGTCAAGCCGGATACGACTCGAATGTCGAGGCCGCTGTCCAATCCACCCAGGCCTCTTCCGGAGGATCGTGCTGCTCTTGCAAGGCAGGACCATCTGGACCACCAGGACCACCAGGAACTGACGGATCCGACGGAAAGGACGGACTTGCAGGACCAGACGGACAACCAGGATCCGATGCCGATCCAGAGGCCACCCCATCAGAGGCCGACTTCTGCTTCGACTGCCCAGCCGGACCACCAGGAGCCCCAGGAAACGCCGGACCAAAGGGAGCCCCAGGAAACGCCGGAGCCGACGGACAGCCAGGATCCGCTGGAAACGACGGAGCCCCAGGAGCCCCAGGAGCACCAGGACCAGCTGGACCAGACGGACAGCCAGGAGCCGCCGGACAGGACGGAGCGCCAGGAGTCGTCGAGGAGGTCGCCGTTCCAGCTGGACCAGCAGGACCAGCAGGACCACAGGGAGCCCCGGGAACCGACGGAGCTCCAGGAGCCGCCGGACAGCCAGGACAGGATGGACCACAGGGACCAGCCGGAGACGCCGGATCCGACGGAGCCGCCGGACAGCCAGGAGCCGCCGGAGAGCAGGGACCAGCCGGAGAGCCAGGAGCGGGAGGAGGCTGCGACCACTGCCCACCACCAAGAACCGCCCCAGGATATTAGAATGTTGTTTGATGAGAACAGGAACCTACTCTTATCTAACTACATTTATGTATATTTTCTGTGTTCTTTTTTGTTTTCCTCTCAATCACCATGATTCTCAGAATAAATTACATTATCATGCAATTCTCCCGGTGTTCGTTATCATTCGAGAATGGAAGGAAAAAAAAAGGAAAAATCTGTTCACAAACCAAAAACAGGAAGATTCAGGGTGAGGAAATCTTTGAAAGGCAAGGTAGTCTGCTGATAACAAGCAGCCTAATTTGTTTCGCATGACCATCCACGTCATAAAAACACGTCGTCCTCGTCGGTCGTCCAACAACACAATCAGTTTCAAAGAGAAATGCCGGCGGATCGGATGCAATGTACATACCTATTAGAGAGGGCACAATCGACACGAACGAAGCACTATTACGGGTAAACGACACTCTGAAAAGTCGTGATGAGACCGGTTTGATCGGTGGAATCGAATGGAATGGATGGTTGAAGTGTTCCGATCCGACGGGCCCGGCAGGGGGGAAGTGTCTGACCTCTTCTTCTCAAACTTTTCTGCCTTATCACTGATTCGATCAACGAACAGCTTGATAGCTTCCAAAAAAGAAAGTTTTGCTTTCTCTCGCCATCTTCTTTGTTGTTTTTTTTCCTGCAACGATCACATTCTCCCGTTTCCTCACACTCCATCAACGCGCACTTCTCCACAAAACTGTAAGTTACACAATGGAAGAGACTGATAAAGAGTGTGCGAGAAATGAGACGCCCAGACGACGATGATTTTGTAAACTTTCTTCTGGAAATGGGGTATAAAACGGCAATGACGGGCAAGGGAAGGCATGCAGCATCGAATCATGGAAGACAAAAGAAGACTCGTCGAGAAGGAGGTCGAGGGCCTTCGCTCCATCGCCTTCTTCGGCATCTCCGTCACGTGAGTTCCGCTTCTTCCCGTTTTCTGATTCAATTCGCTGCCTTTTCTAGCATCGCTGCTGCCATGATCGCAGTCATCGCCATTCCTGCCTTCTACAGCTACGTGCAGCATGTCCAGTCCAAGCTCGATTCCGAGGTTTCTTATGGATTCTCTCTTTCTTCTTTCTCTCATCGTTACATTTTCAGGTTGACTTCTGCAAACACCGTTCTCTGAGCCTGCACAATCAATACGAGGTCGTTGAGGAATTCACCGGAGTAGCCTCCAAGTTCGTCGTCAAGAGAGAAGCTCACAAGGGAATGAGCAAGAGACGTGTCGCCCGTAGAAAGGTTCTCAGAAGACGTCAGGCCGAGTGCTGCTCTTGCGGTGTCGGAGGTCCAGGACCACAGGGACCACCAGGACGTGCCGGAAACGACGGAAACGACGGATCGGCTGGAAACGATGGATCTCCAGGACAGGACGGATCTGACTCGTACGAGCATCAGCAACAGAGAAACTACTGCTTCGAGTGCCCAGATGCTCCAGCTGGACCCCCAGGAACTCCAGGACAGCCAGGACAGCCAGGAAACGACGGACGCCCAGGACAGAACGGAGGACCTGCCCTTCCAGGACCAGCAGGAGCGCCAGGAGCCCCAGGAGCTCCAGGACAGGACGGAAACCCAGGAAACGACGGACAGCCAGGACAGCCAGGAGAGAGCCGCGAAGTTCCAGGAGCTCCAGGACCGGCAGGACAGCCAGGACAACAGGGAGACGCCGGACCAGCCGGACCAGATGGAAGACCAGGACAGCCAGGACAAGCTGGACAGCCAGGAGGACCAGGAGAGTCTGGAAGCGATGGACAGCCAGGACAGCCAGGAGGACCAGGAGAGGACGGAGAGGACGGAGCTTCCGGATCCTCTGGATCTTGCGATCACTGCCCACCTCCAAGAACGGCCCCAGGATATTAGACGTCATTCTCATTTTTGTCTTTCATTCATTCGAGTACCTCATGACTCCTTTATCCGGACGAATAAACCGTTCAATTAGCCGTCTTCGCTGCTCTTTTCGTACAGCCGCTTTGCGGAGCACCGCTTCCTGTCTGCGAGCCTCCGTCGTTCGTCAGTCGCATTGTGATGCGCTCTTTCTCGCACGCATTTCAATGAAGTCTACCATGCAACCGCATGCTTTCTCTCTCGCTGCTTCCCACAAATGTCACATTCCTTATTTCCATATTTCAGCGGCTAACCCTTTTTGATGTGCTTCGGGCGGCCGAGCAAACACCCCCAACCAACGCACACTTGTTTCATTTCGAGACCTTCCTCCCTTTGTTTTTTCTTTTTTTCCTTTTCTTGCCTGCAGAATCCATCGGATTGCGGGCAGCTGGGTGCATTAAAACGAGTCGTAAACTGGTGTCCTCCTCTGGAATTATGACTTCTTCGTCGCCCTCGCTGCCCTTGGTGCCTTGTGCCACCCTCCTCACCCACTGAAGCACAAGCCGTTTTCGTTTCGCCGAGAGGAATAAAAGCCGTGATGTTTGTCGTCTCCGATCCGAACCGTATCCGCCTCCCTGTCTTATTTGCCTATGCAAATCACTCGTTCGTGTTTTGCTACACCAGCCCTGGCAGCCGTGGATTCTGCAATCCGGATCCAAAGTGTGCCATAAAGATTGGCATCAGTGAACACATCTTCTCGAGTCCCTGAATGACTCTTAAGTTTCCCCTCCCGCCAATTCATTGCGACGAACGGTTCGCTGCAAAAATATGTACTTTTCCACTTCTTGGCTCCACTTTCCCACTTTTCGATATCGTGGGCCCATCTGATGTTTCCATATTTTGACGGCTCCTAATCGCAGTTAAACCTCGCCACTTCTTCCACGGCGTGCCCCATACGTTCAAGATTCTCAGGCTCGATAAGCGAAAACGGGGATGGGGGGCCGCAGAATCTGAATGTTTTGACACTTGGCACTGCATTGCACTTTCGTAAAGTTGGAGACTATTAAAAAACGTTTTCTCCATGGGGACATCCAAAGGGAATCTTTTAGCCAGTTCGTGAGTTCGCAAAAGACACCAACGGATTCTCACATATACCTTTTCCGAACTTCCGATTACGTAATCCCAGACGGTGCTCTCGAAGCCATTTGTCATATCCAAAGTGATTTCCGCCTCCTTCAATCAGCTCGTGTTTTTGTCGCTCCCTTCCGCTTCGACCACTTGTCATGTCATCGCGAGATGAATGAGGTTAGCCGGGCCGACGGGTTGCAGCATCGGCCGCGCATATCATCAATCGCTTCATTCATTCGTTCTCGCCTTCGTGCCGAAACCGCCCAGTTGTCACCAGGACGGCGGTCACATAAAAGAGTGCCTTCTCGGTGGACAAGCTGTTCTCTGACAGCTCGTAACACTGCCCGACCACAGGGTTTATGACAACTTCGGAGAGCACCTCGCCCAGCGTCTTTGTCTTCCTCTTCTTCTTCTTCTTCTAATCTCTGCTCCAGTTTTCTTGCTTTTCTTTCGCTCGAAATGTATCCGTTTTGAATAATTGCCTTCTTTCAAACGCCAAGTTTCGCGGAGCCGCCACCCCTGCTCCATTCAAATCATTTTCGCAGCGGGGGGTCGAGAGGACAAATCAGAGGGCAGTCCTTTCCCGAATGCCGCCGAGCAAAACGCGCACTAAAAACTCTTTGAAATGCTAATCGCGGTCCCTGATGGCAAGCCGGAGCCCTATTTTAATCAAGAACGAACGGACAATGCGGCTGGGTGTCACCTGCCCGTCTGTCGGTCCTTTCTCTCCCATTCAACGCCTCATCTCCCTGTATCACCTAAACAAAACAAAAAAAAACGTCTCTTCCTTCGCTTCCTTCAATATTTGCAAAGTATAAAACCATCCTCTCCCTTTCTCTTTCGTTTTCTTCCAAAGTAGGTCGAGAAGTGATAAATCGGAACGGAAGATTCATGACGGATTGCTGCCATTCGGGCCTCCCAGCTGTTTTGTCAAGAAGGTGTGCAGTCGGTCACCACCCACAAACGCCACTTTTATACACATAATTGTGTGTTTTGCAGTCTTTTTCGTTTACTGTTCAAACCCTTCTCGCGTCGAGATGACTTTGTTCTCGCTTCTCTCCGATTGATGCCAATTTCCGAGACTATTTAGAACCCATTGTCAAAGTGCTGTGTAACGTGCTTATCCTTTTTCGCGCTTTTTTCATCATATATATGGAGAAGCTGAATTTGAAAACGATCAAAGCTTCAGAGCAAATTCTTGTCTAGTTGAAAATGCTTATCGCAGCCTTCCCTTAGTTTAACTGCCCCTGACTCAAAGATTGTGAAATTCGAGCATTCCTTCTCAAGTTGGCTCCAGTTGCCACTTTCACAACCGTTCAAAAGCAGAACTCCCATAATCGTGCGACATTTTTTCGTTTTGCTTTTCTTTCTTTCTGTCGGTCTTTTGCCTTTCAAAATAGTCAGAGTGTTGACTATGACGTGGCACTCAGTCTGGTACATACCGCCCTCACACCTCTCGTGACCGACCGACATTATGATGATTAATCCCTGTTCCCCGTTCTTTTTTCATTCGATTTCTATACGATTATTTTTCAATCTCCCAAATGCACTGCTATATTCCGTCTTCATAATTATTGCAAGTTTCGTAGTTTTTCTTTCACTCCTCCTCTTCTTGTTCTTCTTTCCTTCAGTTTTTTCCGTTGCCTCGAGCACCTCTTGTTGCTCCTCTAGTACGTACAAGTTGAGACGGCGTGACCCCCGACAGAAGAAGAAGAAGAAGAAGAAGAAGAGAGAAGAAGAAGAAGAAGCCGTCGTGTCCTTCTATTCTTTTCTCACCTTCTGCGCCTTCTGCACTTTCGGAATATTTTACTTTTTCGCCTTTCCGGTGCCCGTCATTAGGTCGTTTCAAACACGGAAAGAGACTGAAAGATCGACAATAATAATCGACGTCGTCTGAGAGTTTTCCTGCACTTTTGCTGCTTTGTTCGCGGTTTCTGAACATTTAGAACCTTTTTTCTATCAAACATCTCCTCTCACCTACAGTAATTCTTCAACCCAAAAACATAAGCATTCCCCCTCTTTTTATGCTTGTTTATGCATTCTGATTGTTTGCCATTGGCTTCTCCAAGTGCCCTACCGTCTGCCGTCCGTCTCGTATTGCCAGCTCTTCGAGAGCAGACGTACAAGCAGGTGTGAATGGTTCCTTGCTCACTCGTTTCTCGTCCCCGGCTTGTCCTATTTTCTTGTCGCTTCGTACGCCTGAGCTTCCTTCCGTTTTTCCACCGATAATTGGCCGAGTATATCGGGTGACGATTGCGTCGTTTTCCATCAATTATTCAACTAGGTAACCCGTCTAATTTGCCCTCGTCGGGTACGAATTCCGGAGCACGCCTCCGCTTTTCTTTTCCCGATCTGTTTATTCTTTATCCCGGCCTCTTCTAGCCACTTTTTGGCATCCGAACATGTGTGTGATTGTTTATATTGGTTTCTTCTAATTGCCACGTCATGCCTTCTTCCCCGCTGTCCCCGTACTTTTTCCGTTTTTCTCCATCTCTCTTCTGAAGATACACACACACACACACATCAAAGACTCCAAAATCAAATTTTCGTTTGGGTTATCGTCGCTGTGAGAGCCTCCGTCCGTCCGGCACTTCTTCCTTCCCCCCGCTTCATTATATTTATCGCCTCGTCTGCAAAAAATAAAGAATTTCACTCATGCGACGCTCGGTTCTCACAGCTTCTTCCATCTAATTTGGCAACATCTTCACTTGTTCATAAACTGCCAGAAATGCGCTCAATTTTCTCTCCGAATTCCTCGTTCTTTTCTCTTCAAATGCCCCCTCTTCGCCTCTTCTTTTCTTCTCCGCCTTTCTCGTCTTTGGCACAACAAAATGTTGCCTTTTGGGTGGTTTTGGAGATTTCCCAAAGTTTCCGCCGCCGCTCAAGCCTCTCAACGCTCTGTTTCTGACACTTTCGAACGTCGACGCAACAAGACGTAATCGGCAGATGATGACAATCCGGAAAACTGGTCCCAACAGGGCCGGATAACCTTCACACGCTTCTGGATTCGTGTGTGTTTCGCGTTTCAACTGATTACTTTTTGATTTAGAGCCTTTCCCCGAGGATCTCCCTGCTGCCCCACTTCCATTTCCTTACCTTCTCATCCACCCTTATCGTTCTAATCACAAATTACCGCATTCCGATCCACTGTCCATTACTTTTGATGCTTCTTCTTTTTCTTCTCCACGCCCACCCATCCTTCCTTCCTCTTTTTCCGTACTAGAATCCATCATTCTTCCGTTTCCATTCCATCTTCCTTTCCGACTTTTCCTTTTCAGTTTCCTTCCCAAAATAATGAGCCTTCCCGTCCGTTGGCCCCCGCCTTGACAGCTTCCTTTCCTTCCGATTCAATCCATTCCTCAAAAGGTGCTCTCCTTTCCCGCGGTCCCAACGGTCATTATCATCGCCCATCGCGGCTTCTCCTCCCTCTTTCCCCCTTTCTTTCCTCCTAGTTGTGTTCGATACCATGCCATTATCCTTGCGAAGAAAGCCCGTCTTTTTCTCGTCACGCCCTCTTTCGTCCCGTCCATTCTGACACGCACCTACATGTTTAGTGGCACATCTTCGCAAAAGCATCCTCGCCGAAAAGGTGCGAGTGAGCTCAAAGAGTTCTTCGTTCGGCGCCGCCAAACCAATACAATTTGCGCTCGGACATTGCCAAAACATTCATTTTTCTGCCTTCCGGACATGGTCAATACGTGTGCCGGCACACAAGTTCTCAAGTGTTTTCTCCACAACTTTCCTCGTCCAGATTACTCCTCCTCCAGATGGAAACTCTTTGTGCGCATCTCGCCGTGCAAACTTTTGCGTGGAAGGAGAAGAGGAAGAATTTTGGTGTATTTTTGATAGCATTTTATCTAAATTCTCGTTATGACGGCAAGAACGTTCTCATTTGTTCCCCTTATAAACTTTAAGAAAAAAACGTTGTCTCAGACGAAAACAAAAACTTTCAGTATCCGAAAATGAACAAATCAGATCGGCCATGCAATTAAATTCCTCCGTTTATGTTCCCAATTTGATAACTCAACCGTATTCCACAGACACACCAATCAACAACAAAAACAATGTCCGCACGGGGTGTCGGCGGGTCAACATGACCCCCCGCACGTTCGCCTTCTTTATCACCCATGTCCTTCTCCGAACACTCCTTCTTTTTTTCGCGCAACAACGATAAAACTGTGCAGCGCTACGGTCGTATCGCTTTTTGCAATCATTTCTCGTTGCTCTTCGCCTTCCCGTTTATTCTTATAATTCATTTCTTGCAGCACATCGATGAGTGTTCACTGTCCGAAGTAAACGTTGCGGAACACTTCGACCGTCTCCATCACCATCATCAAATCGTGTTTCGAGGTGAGTCCACATCCTTTCTTCTTTCTTCTTTTTTGGGTTTCGCGTCGATCACAGAACGACTTTCACCTGCTGCTCCTTCCCATTTCCACATCACAACCTCTTTCAATTATTCATCGTCGATTCACCCCTTTTTTGAGTTTCCACCCCCTAAGCTTTCGGTCGCGGAGCCATTCCGACTGACGTCCTCTCGTCGATCATCCTAATTAATCGTGAACAGGTGCCGCCTCCTCCTTCTTCTTCTTCTTTTCCATTTTATTCTGCTTCTTCTGGGAAGAGTCGACGTCGCCTCTCATCTATCTTCGGACGGCCGTCATTCCTTCATATTCCCTTCTCGTTTTGCTGCAAAAATTCAGTGAGCAAGAAGTGTGAGCTCATAAAAAAGGACAGGCGACCCAGGACCGTCGGTTCCTTCATTTATCACTCGTTTTGTTGCGAAGGTGCTCTCTCTTGAGGCCGATTGATCTGCTCGGCGAGCCGGCGGCCGATCCATTCATCATCGTCTCGTCAGCCACCCACAGACACTTCGCCCCTTCGCTCCGCCACTTCCGATTCCATGCATTTCGTCCATTTCCGATAATTATTATCAAAATGGATCCAATTAATGCGTTCCTGCGAGCCATTTCCGTTCTCCGTCTCCTCGCTCTCCGTAACTTTTTATTTTATTTTTCTCATTCGATTCCGTTGCCCGGTTTGGGGTCGCTCGTCACCTTTTTCTTCAATTTACTCAGCCACCTAGCTTCGTTACTACTTTTTTATGTGAAAGGTAATACTTGGTCTCTCTCTCTTTTTCTCCTTTCTTTCTTTCTTCCATCCACCAGTTTTGATAAAATCGCGCCAAATTTCCGGATTGGCAAGCAGTTATTAGATTAGAAGTCAATTGACGGTGGGGGTCTTAGGACGAAGATGAGGAGAGGAAGAAGAAGAAGAAGAAGAAGTAGTACTCGAATAAATTATGCATGCTTCCTCCTCATTATCAGTTGAAGAAGATTCGCAAAGTCCGCGGAAATGACGAGCACACTTTCCGGAATGATTAGGTCATTCGACACGTAACGTTCAATCATTGCCCACATTCCTTCAGCTACCTTCACAAATTAAAAAGCCTTTCCTTCCGCTTCCTTTCTGTTTTGTTGTTCTTTTCCAGCGGCATTCATTCCGCTCAAAAAGCGTGAACACTGAGTGACAGCCGCCGAATTAGTGCCACCTCACTTTATATGCTGGAATTCTGAAGAAAAGAGCTAAACACGAGAAGAAGCGGTTGACTATAAAAGTGACGACTTCTGTGAAAGGTCGACTGATTCTGAAGACCTCTTGTTTGCCTTCCTTCGAATTATGGAGATTGCGTCCTCCCACCACTCCCCCCGCAGACATTTTTCCAACTCAATTACTATTTGGTTTCTTATTTCTTATTTCTCGTCTCTGACCCACAGAAACACGCGCTTTATTACATTTTCCATCTTCCATGTTCACCTTTCATCCAATTATTGACTTCAAGTGACTATACGGTGCCATCGCAGACATTCCGATTGCTTTTCCTGCTCGGCCGAGCCCTGATTATTATGAGTCGGCGCTTCCAAATTCGATTGCAGAAGTGTCGCCAACGAGCACACAACACAATCATAATGCGTCTAGTTTCGGCATTCGCTAACGAACTTTCCGGGTCGGCCACCCCCGTCCACCTTCTTCGCTTTCTTCCATGACGTTTGTTCATATCTGAAATGAGTGGCTCGAGTTTCTGCTCTTCTGCTTCGCTTAATGTCATGTAGTTCGGACGGGCACTCTCATGTTCCTAAATGTAATTTTCATTCCGGCGCCGTCGTCCTCTTCCCCGCCGCTCATTCGATATCTTTCCCTTTTTTCATTCCGGTCCGTACCGGATTCCTTCCTTCCTTCTTGTTTGCAATCTTTCCGAGCAGCTCGTTCGCCTCTCTCTCCATTGTCGGCACAAAAACATTTAATGAATAAAATATGACAGTCAACGACACCTCAGGGCGAGGCGCGAGAGCCCGACTTACTTGCTGCACATCGGGTTTGCTCGTCAACATTCTCCCGCCAGTTCAGTACTGTACCCAATCAATAATATATCATCTCCTACTCAAACATCCAATCCATTTGATTCGCATTAGTGTCCTCTCCTTTCCGGATGACTCCATAAATATTTCTCCAGGCAAAGTTTTCTTTTTGCGAAACAAAAAAACAAATCTGGTGAATATAATCGGTCGGTGGAAGGGTCCCCAGGGAGCCCGTGCTCCCATTGTCCACTCACTTCGCAACTTTCGTTTCCTCCCGGCAGCACTCTGACGTCGTGGAACATGATGGGACTCACCACACATTCCTGTCATTCACATCGCGAAATGGGGGTGGTGCAAGTGCAAACTGCTCGTCAAGTCGGCCGCACTTTTCTCCCTCCGTTTCCACCTTATTACTGACTTACCGATCAGATTTTCACCTAAACTGTTGCTCTCGAGATCTATGTTCTGTGAATAGCACCTGTGGCGGACAGACTTCTCAAGGTCAGACTGCTCTTTCGTCTGGAGAGCCTCTCCCTAGTAGTAGTAGTATTGCAATTCATCGTGCCTGCTCATTGCCCGATTAGTGTCATTCCTGTTGCCAATTGCTCTTCCCCTCCGTTTCTCTGCGTCTGCCGGCTCTCCCCGCTGCTCGGCGCCAATTCCAGCTCCAAATGACCCTCACCTGCCCTCCCAATGGTCATTAATAAAAGCAACAAGAAAACGCGAGCCGCACAAATCGTGCAACAAGTGGGGGCTCCGGCCCGCGCCTTTTTTTCTCAGCCTCTCCGCCCTTCTCCGAAACCGCCCCATTTATGGCTTTTGTCAGTAGAGGAAAGGAAAGGCGCTCGGGGGTGAAAATGTGGCTTTAATCGCTTCTTTTTCATATCTTTTTGTTTCATGAACTCTGGTTCCGTACTCTCCGTCTCTTCATCTCCCACACTCTTTTTCTCTTTTTTCAGATCCTCTCCTCTCTCCAAAAGTATTCTGTGATTGGAGCGCGAAAATAAACCCAAAAAAGAAATCAGATTGCATAGTAGAAATGTTGCTTATCTAGCGATGCTCTCATTCAGAAGCGCAAACTACAGTATGAATCGGATAGCGCGTCATTTGCGGAATGTAGCCCGCCGAAAAGGCTCGCTCCTTCTGCTTCTCATGATGAGCGTCTCGTTGCTGACAGGCACGGACGCCAAAGAAGACAGTAAGTTAGGGGAGGAGGATGAGGATTTCGGGTGGAATGCCGAAGAACCGCCCGATGGGCCACCCTCCGACGGGGGCATCCCTCTGGTTCGCAAGGAAGAGTTTACTAACAATCAGCTATATGCTGAAGCCTATCAGAGTTATATTCAGGCTCTCGCATGTAAGTTGTTCTTGCAAAATATTCAGATTAAAAACGACGAAGGCCGGAAAGAATTGTGTCACGCCATAATATATTCTGTTCAGATCCCGCCCGATTAGTTGTTCGTCCCGATTCCTCTACGGTCGTTGATGAGTCCAAGATCTCTTTCTTCTGTAGAGCCGATGGAAATCCGTTGCCCAGTGTCATCTGGAGAGTTAACGGAAAGTCAATCACGGATCATAACCGGTAAGTTATGATGTCTGATTAGCCGGATTCGAATAACTTCTTCAGCACGGTGAATTTTTATGGGGCGCAGTGGAGAGTTCGGTCCTCGTCCCGTGAACTGTCTGCTGCTTATTTCGCTGGCCGGCGTCACGCTCCCCAAGCCTTTTTCCGCGCACCAAAACTTCTAATGCGTGCTGTTTGAAGAATACAGATTCATTTCTCCTGATTTTTTGAGAATGAGTTCATTATGATTGAAACTCGCAAGCAACAACGAGAAACTCGCAGAAATGTCTAGGGGTCACTGTCAAAACAGTTTTTTTTTTCGAAATATGACAGCTAGTGCGTGCTTTTTGTATCTCTTTGTTAGTTTACATCATAATGAACTCATTCCCAAGAAATCAAATGAAATTAATTAGTTTCTTCCGACGGCACGCATCTGAAGTCACGGAACAGCCAAGGAGCGCGCGGCGCACTTTCCAAGCCTTCTTCTGTGCGCCAGAACTTCAGATGAGTGCCGGTGAAAGAAAACTAAATAGTTAATTCAATGAATGAGATTAATCAGTATTTCTCCGGTGGCACGCATCTAAAGTCCCTGGAACGCTGTATCTGAGCCTCCGTGGACGACCGGCTGCCGTTCGGCAATGTTTTGGTACCAAAAGTAAACCGGTCGGGACCAACTTTTTTGCAGTTAAGAAAAAGCTTATTTAATCTGGAAAAAAAGTACGCGGATGATTAAGAATTGTACGGTCCAGTTTTTGAGAAAAATCCGAAAAGCCGGTTTTGGCCAATAGAACGGCGATGGCCGCCGAGGCCAGGGACTAGAAACCTCCGCGCGACCCCCAGGAAAAATCACCGTGTTCAGCATTTCCATCAAATCCCTCTCCACGGGCTTATCAACTCTTCGCTTCGAACGAGTTTCCGTTGATGACAACGCTACCGTGATCTCTTGCTCCGCCGATAACGGAGTCGCGAATCCGGTCGTCGCAGAAGCCTCTCTGACGGTCATTCCACGAGATAAACTGCCCTCTGGATTCCCACAGATAGAACTCCATCCATCACTGAAATCAGTGGAGCAGGGAAAGACTGCCTATGTCTCTTGTCGGGTACGTTCCTTTCTATTACTTACTTTCAAATTCAATCGTTTAGGTTCGCGGCGATCCACGGGCAAAAGTGCTCTGGTTGCGTGATTTGATTCCTCTGGACATTCGAGCAGACGGTAGATACTCGGTCAGTACAATCGGAAATCCGGGAGCTCTCATGATCCAGCACGCTCGGGAAGAAGATCAGGGAAAGTACGAGTGCATCGCGAGGAATTCTCTGGGTGTTGCCCACTCGAAAGCAGCAAACCTCTACGTCAAAGGTCAGTTCCAGGGTCCCTGGGGTCCGTTTCCGGCAACTGAACCGCCCGGCCGACTGATTAGTACCTACTTGTTTATTCATTAGCGCCTTGTTGCGGTCCTCTGCTCTATTCACTTCGAGAAAGAAGAGAGATGGCGACAAAAAGTGTTCAAATTTGCATTAATAGGTTGTCTCCATTCTCATCTTTCTCTCGTTACTCCCATTCCGTTGTCATCTCTCCCTCTCTTTCTCTCTCTTGTCCTTCCGATCACATTTGCATTTGTTTGAGCATGTGGCCTGATATCTCGCTCTCCGGCCACTTTCATTCGGTCACTTGTTCTCCTCATCATCGTGATTTTCATGAAGGAAAGGTGTGAGCGCCACTGATTTATAGTTATTCTTTCGCTCGTTAGGAAATTCTGAGACACTCTTTCTCTTCCTACATTATCTTCTTCACTTCCGGTCTGTGTCTCTTTGCTCATTCGAGCGGAATCTCTGATTTAGATGTCACTTTCCGTTGACCTTTTCACATTCTTTCTCAAACAGAAAACGTTACCTTTAATCTCTTCGCCATTCTCTCAATTACCTTCGAAGTTCTAATTGCGCGAAAGCTTCCGTGCTGTCCGTAAGCGCCGTAAAACAAATTGCTCTGCAGCTTCCGGGGAGCCCTTCTCAAACTGTGGTCAGCAGTAATTGGAGGTCATCTGGAAGATGTCGGGGCAGCCAGGCGCCTTCCCGACATGTGTGCTTTATGTGCGCCACGACACCCGATGACCAGCAATTTCTCATTTTTATGACAGCCGGCCACAAATTTCGATGATTCGAGCCGTCCTCCTCAGATCTGATCACCGACGTCGTCGCCTCTCCCTACTTCTCCGATTCTTCTTCTCTTCCTCCTCCATTACAGTTGTAAATCCCGGCATGCTTTCAGCAATTAAAGCTGCGCGAAATGTTTGCATATGCTAATGGATCAGTGCGCGAGAGAGTGCGCAGATTGAGGAAAAGCTGAGATCTGAGTGTTTATGACAGTTTATTCGATTGGGTTCATCATCATCTCACCCGCTTCTTCGTCCCTCGTCCTTTTCGCTCGTCTCCTTTCCAGCCGGTTTCCGGTCACATCTGTTCTTGTCACTGCGAAGCGCCGCCCGTAAATCAACAAGTTGAACTACCTTTATCCGTCCTCGTCCGCCTGTTGATTAGATGAATGTTCTTCCCATTATTCGTACACATTCCGGCCGCTCCGTTGATCACTTCTCGCCTTCTCGTTAGCCTTCGGATAATGTTATCACTTCCTTTAGCTTCTTTTAGCATCTATCTTTACACTCTGAAGCAGGTTTCTTTCCGTTCTGTTCTTGTTATGACGTACTCCTTCGAGCTCAGTCTACCGTAATCCGTCTTCTTCTTCTTCTTCTTCTTCCCCTTCGGCTCCTAATGACATGTTATCCGCTCCCATAACAATACGATGACAAACAGTGAGTCGTTCGATTGGCTTACAACAACTCCTTGCATTCCTTGAGTTCCACCCTAAGTACTTCCTCTTTCTCTCTTTCTCCTTCTCCCATCTTTCATTTCATTTCTCCCCGATTCAACTCCTCGATAAGTCGTTTTCTTCCAAACTGCTCTCCCATAAAGTTTCGGCCCATAAACCAACGCAAAGAAGGGAACATGTCCCCAATTATCTGGCTCTCAATCAAAATGCGCTCTTTTCTTTCCCCCGTTTGACTTCCAATGCTGCTCCACCCCACTTTGTCATCCTCCAAAAATTGATTGATCCTGCCAAAGTTCTTCTTTTTCTTTCCAATCTCTCTTATGATTTATCTGTCACGTGTGACCGCCTCCTCATACTTTTTGCGACATGATGGAAGACAAAGAAGCTTCGGCTGCGGCGGCACGGCAAATAATTAATTCGGAGGAGCACAGCGGCGGCGGCGAGCAGCAAAAGAAGCCTCCGTCGACGAATTCTCGAGCAGTCCCACGCGTTTTTTAACCGCTCCTCCTTCGTTTTCTATTCATTTTCCCCGCTGTTCCGTACTATATCAGAGTGTTCGCATCTGGACGTTCTCTCCGAGAATTCTCCTGCACGCGTACTTATCCATGCGTGACTACTGACCGTATGTCTCCCCGTTTACCTCATTTTTTCGTTCCCAACCAACCCGTTCATCCATCTCGATTACAAATTAGTGCAGAGTGCGTGAGAGACAGTGATAATATGTGAGACTCAGACCGAACAGGCGTGCTCCGCGAGAGCACTAGACCCGAGGTTTTTGATTGAAAAATTTGAGGTGTCTTCGATCGGAAAGCAAGTGACATTTTATCATTAATTGAGGGCCATTAGTCAGTGTCCGTGCCCGTTGATCCACACGCTTCTCCTCACTTTTTGATTGTGTTTCTCTCAATTTTCCGTCTTTTCTCACTCGTTTCGTACTCGAACACTTCCGAAAACCTGTGCTCCAAAGACGTTTCTCTTCTTTTCCAGACACTTCTTCTCTTTTGCAGGAAGACGGGGGTTCGGTTACTAATTCCATCCTCTCTCTCTCCTAATTCCTCTTTATTTTCTCAAGTGTATCCGAGCAGCTTGTCACTACTGCTTCACTCGCTTCCCTTTCCCGCTCTACTTGCTCTAGTTGTAGACAATGAGATAACGAGCGATGCTGTCTCCTCCGGTTGTGCTATTTCTGGCGGTGCTCACCGGAAGCACCGCTCCTTTCCTCGACAATACCCTCCCATTGTACCTCTTCAAAAACCTAGACACCAAAGAAACGAGCACAGTTCTGACAGGTTTGGTCGCCGAAAAAGGTTCCCCAATTCCCAATTCTTCCCCACCCATCTAATTGATTTCTTTCTCAGTCCGAAGAGTGCCTCCCTACTTTTCCTACAAACTTGAACGGCAGTACGTCGTGGGCGTCGGAGGAAACATCAATCTGACATGCGTGGCCGTCGGCTACCCTATGCCACGTGTCTTCTGGAAGAAGACGGATCAAAGTGAGCTCAGATTTATAGAAAAACTATACATCAAGTATAAACGTTCAGTGGTACTGGATGATCCCTCGACTGCTCCGATCGGGAAGAATGTGCTCACTCTGACTCACGTGGAATCGACGGAAAACTTTACTTGTGTCGCTGTCAGTGCTCTCGGAAACATCGAAGCGACGACAACTGTCATTGCAAAAGGTATTTCTGAGTCGATCTACCAGTCCAACTAGAAATGTCTATGTTCAGAACTGCCGCCCGCACCGACGAGCATCGTCGTCTCCTCCGTCACATCAGAATCTGTCGTCATCTCCTGGAAACCGCCAAAGTACAATGAAGTCATCAACAAATACTTCGTCAAGTACAGACTAAAGTGAGTATTTCTGATGTCATTTTCTGATGGTTCGCGAGTGACTGCATGGTTTGAATTGTTTGTCAGATCCGACAAAAACGACGAGACAGTGTTCACGAAGGAAGAAGAAGACGAAGCAGAAAAGGATGAGAAGGACGACGAGAGGTGTGTGGCCTACAGTAACCCGAAATGAGCACGTGATTTTCTGTTGCCGTGACATGATCAATACTAGATTAGACTCAAAAATGAGTAGTAATGATTCAAAATGTTCAGATACGCAGAAGGAAGATCTTCTCGTGGAAAGACTGTAGAAACTCTGGAGACTAGTCTCGTCATCGACAGTCTTGTGCCCTTTCAGGTAAAAATAAACAAAACAATCATTCTAAAAACTTCTTGGATTCTAGACATACGAGTTCACAGTCCGAAGTGTCGGCCCAGTTGGAATGGGAATGGAGAGCTTGCCAGTGGAGGCCCAGACCATGACCAGCAAGCCAGCAAGTGCTCCAGTGAGTCCGCAAGCGAGAAGTCTCAACCGAGATTCGATTCTTGTGAAATGGGGGCCATGCGAAACACCGAACGGATTGATAACTGGCTATAAAGTGTACTACACGAATGACGTGGCAACGGTCCCTTTAAATCAATGGAAGCAGGTAACGGAAAGAAATGAACATCCAATAGTTTGAGAACAATGTTTATAGCACGATGCCAAGTCAGATGAATTCATGACTACGATCAATGGACTTGAGCCTGACGCGCGATATCATTTGAAAGTGGTGGCTCAGAATTCGGAAGGAGATTCCCCTGCCTCCACGCTGGTCACTGTAGCCACGCGCCAAGGAAGTGAGTCTCCCATTTTCTTCTCAACTTCTCACTCTACCTTTTCAGTCCCCGGCCAGCCTCCCATGTTGAAAGTGAAGGCGCTCGACTCACGAAGAATGCAATTGACGTGGGATAAACCTCTTTATTCTTCGCCCGTTGTCGGATACACTGTCCGATATAACACGTCCGACGGAGAGAAGGAGCTGACTTTGACGTCGCCGCACGAGAAACATGTGGTCACCGGACTGCATCCGGATAAGTATTACTACTTTAGGTGCGTCTGCAATTGACGGCAACTCATCCGAATCTTGTTGTTGTTTAGAGTTGCCGCGTATTCGGAAAGAGGTCAAGGAGAGTTCACCGAGCCAATGATTGCCAAAACGATCCCGTCCAGTAAGTTCTTCATTCGGATATTATCAGTACTAGTGGTTGTGTTTCGTTGTATCGTCCCGTGCTTTTCAGTTCCTCTTTCCTCCCCAACTATCCTCTCTGCCGCGGCAACCTCCTCGAAAAGTGTCGAAATCCGATGGAGAGGTCCCGAACAGAAGAAACTGAATGGTGTCTTGACGGCTTATCGGATTAGTTTCCTCCGTCTCGAGGACTCGAAGCCTTCGCCTCATCCGGATTCCGAATCCGACGAATACGACGAGGACGTGGCCGACGACTCTCTCGAAAGGATGTCTGTTGTGGTGCCCAGTGACGTGACCTCCTACGTTCTCTCCGACCTTCTACCGTACTCTTCTTACGAGATTACGGTAGCTGCGTCTACTATGGACGGCTACGGCCCGGAGAGCGCATCTCGTGTTGTGAAGACCCTTGAAGACGGTTAGTCACTCTTTAATCTCATTCTTTTTCAGCGGGCTCCGAGGAAGAGTCAACAGCGCCTGGTAAGTGGACACTGATGTGGAAAACAGATTGAGGCAACCAAAAATACATTACGAAACAAACGATGCGGGTTTTTTCGTGGGTGGACAAACTTGTGATGAGTCTCCGGAGCAGCAGAACAGCGGCTCCTTTCCCTTCTCTTTCTTCCTGCTTAATGTGTGTTTGTGCTCCACTGCTTCAATTTGGCTCGTCGAGCCCGCTCTTCTGCTGCTCCACTCTCTTTCTCAAAACGTTCCCCCCAAAAAAAACGATTTATCCGCCGTTTTATACTGGTCTTCTTCTTCATCTTCTCTCCCATTTGCAAAAGAGTGGTGAGATATTGAAAATGAGGTCATGCAAAAGGGAAGTATTCGTTTGCCCCGCCGAGCTGCCAGATAAATGGTACGTTTCGGGCGGCTCATCGTCATCAATTCTGGGGCACTTTGCCTCTTGCCCGACCGCATTCATCGCCCCGACACCGCCCATCAATCTTCCGAAATGGGCGGGGGTTCTGCCAGTGCCACCAGCTGTTTGTCGCCGGTGACTTCCTTCCAATTCAAGTCGCAATGCGGACAGGTGCGCGGAAACGCCATGGGCGCGCGCGGAAAGTGTCACATCGAATCGTCATCAGAAGTTGATGGAAATATTTCGATTCGACTATGTACATAACACCACAATTATCGCCTCATTCGCTTAGTTATCCGCCCATCCATTTTATAATACTTGTACCCCGTGGATGGCCTACGGAAAATGGTTCATTTCGTGCATAATCCACTCTGATGCATGACAGATGGCCCTTTTCCCACAGATTCTCTCTTCGCCGCCGCCTCCCGTTCAATTCTTTCCCTTCGAAAGCTTACCATACTGATCAGATCAGAGCCAGTCAGTTCATCATCGTCATCGAAGTGTATAAGCTCTTTTGCGCGAAGAATCTGTTCGCGTTCTTCTCGTTAGTGTTGCAAGCTGTTCTATTCTATTATAATTTGATCGCTTATCTTACTCGAAGCCGCCGCCGCACTGAATCCCCCAGCGGATTCCGCCGCCTCCGATTTTTGGACGAACACTCTGTGCCCTGCATTTCATCATATTCCGAGTTTGATTCATCCAAGATGGACATGCTCCAAACACGGCCTCATTTGCATTTGCTCTCCGCTCCCTATGGTTAGTGTCCCTTTCGTACCATACGAACGTGCTCGAGAAACACTCAAACCTTACCACAACACATGTCTTTTTCCACTCGAGACCGTCCTCACGACCCTCTGGATATATTGTGCCCCTATATATTTCTATCCATCTTTCCATATGATACGTCCGTTCGTTTTCCGTCCTCTTCTTCTTCTTCTTGCGTACGGCTTCGAGACGAGTGAGCGCCGTATTTGCGGGTCCCTCGAATATTAGGTTACATTCATTTCGCACCGCCTCCAAGTGTTTTGCTCAATTTCCAAGTGTGTCGAAACGCGCGTTTCCACTGCTCGGCTCTTGGAGACCGTTCTGCCGAAGTTGTCTAAAATGGGGGAATTCACAAATTCGTACGAAAACCGCGATGCCAAATTCTCGGAAAAAAATGCCAAAATCGCGGATTGTTGCATGCGCCATCGTCAGTTCAAAAAACGGAAGCTTACTGTAAATGCGCGTCAAGTATGGCGCCTGCAAGAATCCGCGATTTTGGCATCCGCGGTTTTCGGTTTTCCCCGTTTTGGCACGGCCTCCAAAGCCCATTTTTTCAGTATGATTTTTCATTTCTCACCCGATTTGGTCTACGGATTTCGCTTTCATCTTGACCGCCCCTCCTCGTTTTCTGTTGACAGGTCGACCCATCATATATCAAATAATGCGTCGAGAGGCCTGCCTGCGCGTATGCGTTAACACCAGTTATTCGCGCTTTTCGTGTGCTTGACTCATAGTGGACGGCGCTCATGCTCTCGACGCTCTTCCCGGAGGTTCCGAAACTTTTTTGCACGAGCGGCCAAAATTTTTTGTTTTGCCTTTTTGCGAAAACTGAATCCATCTCATAGTACTTGTTTCTGAAAAGTGAAGCCTGAAACCAGATGAAGGACACTGTTCAAATAGTTCTTTGTTAGGAACATGGTCCGGCACATCCTCTCCCATTAGAAAGAAACAATAAAAGTGAGTGAGTGACCGCCCGACGCAGGGTGAGCGTAATAAATTGCGCAAGGTGACCGGCCGTTTGCCCTCCGACCCACCTACCTACCTGTACACACCCACGGACTGCCCTGTCCGTCCATCGATTGATTTGGGTGAGTCTTGAATGGGTGTCTGCCATGACGCATCCCGTCTGCGTCTAGGCGATTAGCACACTGTCTCCTATCCGATGCCGTCACAATAGGCCCTCGCTCATCTTCTTCGACACCAACGTCGCCCACCCAACAGCCATACCTCGTTTTTTTCGTTTTCGTTTCTGTTGCTGCTGCCGCTCAAGGCAGAATGGTTTGTTCCGGATCATTTGAGCGCGGTCTCCGATCCCATTCGTTCGTTTCGCTTCCATGTCGAATTCGTCCCGAGGTCCCACAGGCCGTCTTTCCATGCCACCTTGTAAAGTCCATTGTAATGTGTAATCGGTTGCCCATTCACTCAACTCTTCTCTTTTCAAAAGTTGCGAAAATTCCGTCTTCTCGCCCTCCTTCTTCTGCCCTGACCGCTTTTCAATTGGCTCTTATTAGTTTGACGGGTGGCGCGGAGCACTTGTGAAAGAAAGATTCTTTCGCCGCTGCTCCGAGATGCCATCGCTTTTTTGATCCTGCTGACCGACGGCACGAAAGCTTTTTAACAATAGGTCATTCTCGCGGAAGGCTCTTTAGGATCCAATCACTTACTGGCCAGTGGCCACCCGACTATCCCTTAAGGTTGTTTCATGAAACAGCTGACCCCTTCCATTATTTTCCCTCGCTAAAAGCATATTCTGGTCATAAAGAATTCAAAAAAAGTTCATGCTCAAGTTGCGGTCAGACCACTTGAAACATTGTCGCACCGACACGTTCTTTACTCAAATGTTTGCCGCCGTACGAATGTGTCACCTTTCGACCGTTTGTGCCCTTTCTTTCGTTTGGTGCCAGGTGCCACCACACACTCACCATCCGACTTGTTCTTCTCGTTGAGAACGATTCTCTCCAAGGGAATGTCCCCCTCTAATTCTTAATCGGATCTCGCTAGTTACTCGGCGTCATGTGCTACACTCTTCAATTCTTTTCGCCTTATTCACTTGCCGACTTCCTATCGATATTCCGACTAAATTAATTACACTTGAGAGACGTCTCGTAATTGGTGAGTAGAGGTCATTAGATTCGTCAGCACTCACTCGCTCGGGTCCGTGCAGCCGGCTCCTCTCTCCTTCGCGCAGTGCATTTATGTAATTCCCCGCCGTCCGTCATGTTCTTTCGGAGCATGGAGCACATAGTCTCCTTACGACCATTCACGCTGCCATTTGGCATGTTATGAGCCCTGAGCCTCACTGTTTGCCTTTCCCAGTTGTTACTCAGCGCCATATGGCTCTTCTCCGTTAGGTTATCAATTATTAAGAGAGCGAGCGCATCTACGTATGCTCTGATTATTATTTTATTATTCACGCTTGTTGTTACAATACACTTTACGGCGATTGAGCAAGCACGGACCGTGTTGTGTACTAAAAGGCAGAAAGAGTAGTTTCTTTTTCTCTCTTTCCCAGATACTTGATTTCTTTCTTCCTCTCCCACATCCTGCTGCGGAAAGCATCGGAACGGTCATTTTGTCGTTAGCAAAGAGTCGTAGGATGGAGGAGTGCAAAGTTTTTATTAGGTCGAAAAGCGATTACCTATCCGTCTATCCACATGTCTTTTGACCGTTCCGTTGTTCTCTGCTGATCCGCCCGAATCGTGTTTGACACTCGTTAAAAAAGGGCCGACAATAAGACGGCCGGTGCGACCTTTCCAATAAACGAAAAAAGAATGAGAACAGCTTATCGAAACGCCCTACCTCACTGCCAGATGATAAGAATGCGAAGGGTCTCTCTCTCTCTTTCCCGCGCACCTAGTACCTTTCCTTTCTGCTCTCCAACCCTCCGCCGATATGTCACCTCTTCTGGTCGTGTCCCCAGGAGAGGTAAACATTTGGGCATCGGCCATTCATCTTCAAGCCACTTGTTTTGGGAGTCGTTGCGCAACCCTTCACATTTCCTCCTCCTTCTCCTCCAGAGTTTTGTATTGGAGCAGCAGCACATGTCTTTGCGTCGACGACAAATTGGAACACTTGCTCTTGTCGCTGTCCACACTTCCTCTCGATTTATTAGGCTCTCACGGCGTCTTCTTCTCTACTGGCCAACAATTGGCTCCAAAGGGAGCAGGTGCGATTTCGACTATTCATCGCCACAATTAAACGAGAAAACAGCGCACACATTTTCTTTTGAGCTCGCACTCTTTTTCCTCTCGATTTCACTGGCTTCGCTGGATTAGGTGACTTGCCACTCCAGAACAATCAATTCCCTCGTTTTCTTCCTCTCCCTCTCTCTTTTTGTGCCGCTCTCGGTATACGATGCTCCGCGCTTTTGCTCTTCTCTGTGATAATGAAAAACAAATCCGTTGAGCAAACAGCCTCCAATCTGCCGTACCCTGATTCCTTAACAAAAAACTAAACGGACACCTTTTGTCAACTTTAGCTGTTTTGTAGTTTTTGCAGAACTTTGAACATGTCTTTCATCAGACTACATATTCATCGCAATTCACCGCCGTTGCTCGTCCATCCATCTCCGCTCATTCATATTCCTTGCTCCTCTTCTCCCGTATAAATAGTCATATCCTGCTGACAAAAGAAGAAGAAGAAATATGAAGCTCGGCCGTTTTTCTCGCGGTCTTCAAAATTGGATGAAGTGCCGAGAGATGTGGTGGACTCTTTTTTCATCCAGCTCTCCGAAAATTCGAAAGAGCCGCCGCACCCGGTCCGAAAAGCAACACGAGTAGTGAGTGCTACGGGGGCCACTAGAATTGTAAATTATTCGGGCTCCCGATGCGCGGGGCGACGCGCGTCTCTGTCTTCGCCGCGCGACTCGATTTTTTGTGCATGGCTTCTTCCTCTTCCTCTTCTTCCGTCTCTTCTCCTTCTCCGGAGGCAGTTCATTCGAGCGAGCCGTCACCCCATCCACTGGCCACTTTTGACGCAATTTCGAAAACTTGTTCTTTTCTAAAAGCTAACCTATTCGTCAATCGGAAAGGACCAAAAATACTATCATTTGTCGAATGCCTCATTTTGTTTGCCTGGCTCGTCTTCGGATGCGTGAGATGTCCATGGCGTCGTCGTGCTTTCCTTGTGTTTACAATTCAATTATTCTTGCTCGTTTGGCTCGGCTCCTTCCCGCCATCCCCAAGATATTTTTGATCTTCTCCCTCCCCTCCTCTCTCACTCTTTCTCGTTTCATCGCTTTCTTCGTCGTTTACCAAATGGTTATTTTGCCAGATACCCTGAAATGGACGACTGACGCCGGTTCACTATTACTAGAATAACAGACACTCAGAGAGCAATTTAGCAGAAAAACGATGGGAACGCATCCGCCGATACATGCGATCACCAGAATTCGCACCACCCTCTTGATATCTGTGCTATTACTGGCCCCCGCGTGTCGGGGCCAACAGAAAGGTAACGATTGCGTCCTTGAGGAGCGGAAGACGGACGACGAATGGCATAGAGACCGTCCGTCCGGTGGGAGACATCAATTAACACCCGGGGAGAGAAGATGAAGATTGATATTTGGGAAATGGGCGAAAGCAACAACTGTCATCCCATAATGAACTCATTTTTCAGTGCCATCAGCGCCTCGGAATTTCCACGCAGAACTGACCAGCGCTACCTCGGTAAGAATTTTACTTTGAAGAAGAACAGAAACATTGGGAGACGGGGACGGGGGGGGGGGGATTCTTTTGTTGGCGCACTCAAAAAGTGATTAACGACAAACATTTCCCCTTCATCGTTATCTTTCCCAAGAATCTCGTAAAAGTATCTCTTCTCGAATTGTTTGAAAAATGAGCGAGTGGACGAGAAAAAACGTAGTAGTGGTTGTGGCGGGCATCCCGTTTATCTGATCGCTGTCCGCCCAACTGGCAGGAACTCATTGAACGGAAGCAATTGCAGGTCAAACTGACATGGGACGCGCCGGCGGCAGCCAACGGCGCCCTTCTCGGCTACTACGTCTACCTGGATCGGATGGTGAACGGAGAGCCGGCGATGGAGAAGAACAGCAAGAAGCGCATCGTGATGATCCGAGACTCGACGAAAAGATACTTCGAGCTGGACAGTCTTGATCCGAACACGGAGTACTCTTTCCGATTGAACGCATTCAACAGGAACGGAGACGGAGAGTTCACCGAACGGAAGAACGTAGTCACTCAGGGCATCCGTGAGTCGTTTTCCTCCGATACGCTTCCAGACTCGTCTTTTTTCAGCTCCCGAGGCACCCGAGATCGTGTCCGTCTCCCTGGACAGTGATGAGCCGCCCGTGGTCGCGAGAATCGAATGGAAGACGCCGAAGATGAAGCCGAATGAGACACCGATCGAAAAGTACAATTTATGGCTGCGTCCTCAAGGATATCCGGATTCGTATGTCAAAGGGAAAACGGTAGACGGCAGAGACCTGTCAACCACTATTTCCGGCCTTTGTGAGTATCTTTTAGTCCGTTTCTCTCCAAAGAATGTCTCTTGTTTTCAGGGATGGGAGTCGTCTACGACGTGTTGTTGGGGGCTGAAAATCGAGAAGGACAGTCCAAGAACGCGACGGAGACGATCGCGACGCCAGTCGGAAGTCCCGACGGAGAGCCGATCGGAGTGCAGTACGAAGTGATGAAGGGAAAGGTTGGTGAACGAGTGTCCTCTCCGAGTTTATGACCGTGCATTTCACATGATATGTACTCGAACATGTGAACGAAACTAGAATATTATGAATGTTGGAAAACACTTGCGAGAAGGCTCCTCCTCCTCCGTCCAGCATCCTCTTTGTGATTTTTATGAGCGAGAGTGCAGATGTTCCCGTTGCGAATCACTCTTAGCCGGTGTCTCCTCACCACTATATTCTCGCTCACCTGCTGCACACTCGTTACTTCTGAAATGACTGCAGATCCATTAGAGAAGGTTTCCAATAAGTAAATTAGGAATTAAGAATTCAAAATGAAAAATAAAAAGTACACTATCCGTTGGCTTCCAGATCGTCGTCTCCTGGAGACCTCCTCCAGAAGAGAAGCGGAACGGCAACATCTCTAGCTACAAAGCTATTCTTTCGGCGATGGACGACAGCACCGACAGATTCGAGAAGATGGTGAGTCTTCATTTCTCTCGATCTTCTGCTTCTGGCTCATTCTGATTTCCTCTTTCATTCTCCTTCGCTGCCCCTCTTCATCTAGTGATGTTCCCACGGTTTCTCGGTTTCTTCACGCATTCTATCCAATTTTCCGGAAATCTGCGATACTTCCCTCTGCAGTAGGCCTCCACGTCTTCTGAAATTGCCTTCGTTTCTCGTTTTCCACGGCATCAGAAGCGATAATTAGAAGATGTGCTTGACGAGATTTCGACAAAGATTTTGTGCTCTCCACCTTTCTCCTTCATTTCTCCATTCAAAATGCCAAATCGAAATGAAAAAAGGACAGGAAGAAGAAGAAAAAGGAAAAAAAAGAAATAATAATAATTCTCTTCTTTCCTCATTCTTTCTTTCCGTTGGCTCCGATTCGACGGCATTCAATCTGCTGAAACGGATATTCGAGCACTCTTTTTCTTCTTCCGACGACTTCAGAATTGTTTGGATTGCTCTAGGCTCTCCGCATACCACTACAATTCGTGTATTTTTGCATTCTGCGCCCTCTATTCGTACCACAATCATTTCCGTCGTCTTCGTCTTTTTCTGCTCTTTCCAGACGCTGTCTGATATCCTCTCATTCATTTCATCCAATCATTCTTCTTCTTCTTCTTCTTCTTCTTCCGCGCGGCGCAAATGCGACGAAGACAATAAAAATCTGCGGCTCAATGAGCATCCGAGTGGTTCGACGAGCTCTAGGAGCCCTGGTGGCTCAAACCGAAAACGAAACGAGCGGTGTGTGCAGCAGAAGACGTCGTTTTGTGTCATCCTGACATTTGCGGCTAACTAGTTGCCGAGTGAAGAGCACGTTCCCCCATTCATCCCTACGTAGTTGGTCGCTCTTCCGTCTTCTTTTTCTTCTTCCTCTTCTTCTTCCTTCCATTTTTCTTGCTCCGCCAAATTGTTGTTCATCACTGTGCAGCTCCTCCGGCTGCCAACGACGACGACGCCGCGACTTCGACCGAACGGACGGCTCTTCCCTTTCTCTTTTTGCGAACCCTTTCATTATTTGTCATGCTTTCCGTTCTCATCCGTTCTCCGAAAGTGCGTTCCCCGCTCGCCGCTTCGGCTGCCACATTCTTTTAAAGTACGAGGACACAAATCTGTGATGACTGGAGGAGAGTTCCATTCACAAGCTTTTGCCCAGTCTTCTTCTTCCTCTTATTTTTCTGCTTTCTATTCCATTTCTCAATCCCCTATCTTCGTCCGTCATCTGTTCGTGATCCCATTAGAGAGAGTCCCATCCACCTAATCCACCCTCATTCCATCCCATTCCCCATCCGTTCCGTTCTCTTCTCATTCTCTCCGTTCTTTCAGGTACCAGCTCCATCGACATCCTCCACTTTCGAGGTGAACGTGCGCAGAGCCTATCTGTTCAAAGTCGCTGCGGCCACGATGAAGGGCATCGGACCGTACTCGCCCGTTCTCACGATCAACCCGGATCCGGCCGGTTAGTTCTATTTTCCATCTTCTTTTCGTGTTTACCTGCATGTGGAAAGTGTCACCCCGAATGTGCATGATCGGCGGCAAGACACACTAAATTACATCAAAATGTATTAGTTTTTGCGCCGCGACTGATATGAGGCAGTTAGGCTCTCCAGGAGAGGTCCTTGACTCTTCGTAGCACCTGCTGCCGCTCTCCCGGCTTCTCCTGCTCCGTCCGACCGCTTCACGCCCTTCGACAAACTTCTCGCCGTCCGTCCTTCCCCCCGTAATTGAGTGAGCACAAGCAGTTCCAGTCCCGCGTGTTTACCTGCTTCTCCCCGCGTCGAATGGAAATCCGGCGGAAATTTGAAATACCGCTGAAAAGTTGCCGCGCCCGACGTCCTCCTCACGTCTACAATCCGTTTCCAGCAGTAATATGATAGTAGGCCGCGGGCATCGGAAATTGAAAGTCCTGCCGCGCACTGACCACGTAGTACCTCCAGTTGGAGCGCAATAATAATAATGAGGCTGAGGCCGTTTCCGCCTTCCATCTCACTCTATATTATGTCGTCCTCCCTCTGTCGCCATTCGCCGTTTTGTTTCAAAAAGCGTTTTTTATTGCTTCTGTGCTTCCGACGATTGAGGTCCTGGCGGTTGCCGGGGCCTCTGTGCTTCCCTTGCAAGTCAACTTGGCGTGAAAATTGTGCATCGATGTACTTATTCGTCCCGCCGCTCTTCCTCACCCAGTTTTTTGTTTCTTTCGGTTTTCCATCCACATTCTGCCGGTCGGCCCCTTGATTCTTGACCACTCCCTTTCCAACTCACCTTTTCTCTTTCTCTTTCAAAAGAGAATTACGGTAGCCAACTTCCGAAAGTTGTTTTTGACTTTGAATTGAGCTCTCAAAATGGAAGTGGAAGCTGTTCGCAAAACAATGCTGCTCAATTATTTTCACCTGCATTCAGCACGACGGCCGCTTACGAGAACAGCCTAAATACCCGGTGTCTGAGCAAATTCGGTAGTTTAAAGATAGACGGAGGAAACATTTCGAATGAAATTGCTCTCTGACTCTTCTTTTCGGCACATCCATATTTGACAGGCGTTTCGACGTCACATGTCAAATGAATTTTCCGGAAACTCCGTCTCTACCATCCCCTTGAGCTCCGCGAGCCGTTCTCTGAACTTCTGCTCTGTTTCTAATTAGCGAGCAACGCGATAAGACTATCGATTTGAGAAGCCTCACCGTTTTTTTCTCGCTTGAATAGGTAAACTAGGCGGCTGTGACTCGTGTCCGCCTCTCGGGGCGCGATTCGATAATAATTCTATTTTTATTTGTCACAACTCTTTCTAGCCCAGAACCTTTTTGTCGACTCGCTTGTTCTTTCTATTCTTTGCTTTGGTGCTGTCAAGTTTGTCCAGAAGCGTCAGACACCATCTGTTGGCGGCGGCGCACCCTCGCCTATTTACTTTTAATATGCGTGAGTGGAGCAACGGACCAGAGTTATCTCTATTAGATGGGTGACACCACCTCGGAAGTGAACTCCCCACGGAGTGCCCTAACCTCCAGAACATTCGAAAAATTCCTCGTTTCTGTGAACCGCCCCCAATAACAGGTGTGTCGACCACTAATGGAGTCTCCGCTGATCCCAAAGCTGCAAAGTTCTATCAGAACCGCCCCCGCCGCCATCAGTCGTTTTTGGTTTCGAATTTCGAGAAAGCCAACGCATTCCATTCCGCTCGATGCTAATGAGGCTTACCGCCCTGTTCGACGCTCACCGCTTGACTCTCTGACGTCATCGTGGCTACTTAGGTGCCGTCACATACCATAAAACTGGCCAAATGTGCACCTATTATGGACAGGTGAACTCGGCCGCCGCCCAGCTTTTATTGGTCTTTTCCGCACTCTTTTCTCATTTTTTTTGACACTTAGTTTCTTCGCGCGCTAGGTTTTGCAGTAATCCCGAAAGAACTCACTACTAAGAAATGTATATCGAAGGTGGCGGGAGGGGATGAGCGCTTGTGATCTGTCATAAATTCGAGATGAGCTTCGAGCGTGTTCCGTGCCGCTCCATTCCTTTAGCATCCATTGACCCTATGAGGAAGTTAGGCTCCTTATCCTTATCCCATTCTTATTTATAGTCTTTTCACCATTATATAGTTCACAATGAATGCCCCCGTGAGAGAGAAAATGTGGGATTATATCAGTTAGATAACTGGAGCTCGGAAGAATTTCGGATTAGATACGCCGGATTAGAAAAGAGCCGTGCCCGGCCCGCCCCGTCTGTTTCAGATCGATTCCGTTTCGCTTAATTTCCGCTCCCGCCGTCTCTCTGCTTTCCAAATTGTGGCGATTTGTCATGATTATTCAGAAATTGCCATTGTGTTGCTCCCGGAGTGGGTGTACGTGGGGCTACTCCCCTCCCTCGCTCGCCGCAACGTTTTCTGATCCTATTTCCGTTAGGTCACAGCACATTTTTCGCGTCGTCACAGACTTTTAATGCACCATCGGAAAACGGATGTTCCCTCTCTCGGGGATGGATGAATCTGATCATCTCTCTTTCTCTTTCTCTCACTCTCCTTCGCAATTTGTTATTAAAGTATTCATTCACTACACCCTTTGTTCTACCACTCTTTTTCGTTTTCCTGCCCCAGAGTCGAATTTCAGTCAATCCCTTCCTTACTGATCTTTTCTTGCTCTTCTCTTCGTATCGTGCCTTTCTGAAATGTTGTCCGTACAGGTTGATTGCACTGTCGGCCTCTTCCCGAAATGGAAGAGGAGGATGACTTCATGTCACAGAAATCCATTGAATCTTCGAGTGAGACGGAAGAAACGACGACTCAGGCGCCGACGGAAGATCCTTTCGGCGAGAACATTTCCTCCACCTCGTGCAAAGACGGCATCGTGAACACACTGGAGCAACTACTAATAGTGTGGCATCCGGGTGGAAGTATCACGTGTCGAACACGAACGACGTCAAGCACGCGTGGTTCAAAATGGATAATGCCACGTCGCGCATTTGTCAATTTATCGGAGGTTTGGACTGATGCGTGGAATGTTCGTACATAGTATCTACTTGTAAACTGAAGAGAATAGAAAAGAAAAACAGCTGTTTCTTCGGATGTGTCGGATTAATGAAGGAGATGTAGAAGTTTCTGAGATGAATATTTCATTAGAAAGCGGGAAACTCAAAGGTCAGAAGCTAGCTTATGAGAGCTGACCTTCTTTCGTTTTGGAACTTTCCGCTTGACTTGAACCTCCCTTGCTTTTGATTCGAACCCGCAATCAGTGATTCATCTAGCACTGCTTGTTGTTCCAATAACTACCTTCTTCCCCCTCATTTTCTCAGCGTTTCCACTTTTTGAGTCTCCTTCGTCGGTCGGCCTTCCGTAGTGGTCATCCTCATCGTACGAACCACTGGAGCAAGACGCCTTTTTCTTCGGTTCGACTCCTTCTGTCGTCTCCTCCTACGACGCCTTCTGTCTCCTATTAATCATGTCTTATCGTTCGTTGAAGACGTCTTCGTCTTTTTGGAACCAATTTTACTAAAAGGTTGTCAAATTCCTCGTCTCTTCTCTTTCCCTTCCCACCACCAGGCCATCGTCATTTTTTTTGAAACGGAATAACGAGCAAAAGAAAGAAAGCCGCGAATTGTGGTGGTGTTGTCAGTTTGGAAGCAGCACAGCAGGCGTCTTCTCCCAACTTGATCTATTCTATTCTCGCTAATTACCGACGGTGCTTTGGCTTCTTCTCAGTCGCTGCGCTCTGTGTTTTTTCTCCACTTGCCGCAACGTTAATCCGTGATGGAGGCGGAGGAGGAGAACATCATCGACGGCGTCGACGGCCGGCAGAACGAAGCACGTCTACTTCTGCCGCTCCGTTCCCGCCGTTCCAACCGTAATCGCGAGAAAATGAACAAGATTGTGAAAGCGAAGCAGAAGAAGCAGATGCAGATATCTAAACAGGCCCAGCACAAGAAACTGGAGACTGAAGGTGAGTGAGTGGGAGAAGGATGTGTAATTCCGCAGAAGAGCAGGAGAAGGAGGAGTATTCGTACTAGTATTGTTTGGGGAGCCTATAATTAGCCGGGTTTTGGCGCCATTCAGTTGTTTTGGTGTGTGTTCCCACGAATTCCGTCGACTCACATCATCATCAACTGAAACATGTGCCCCTCGGAGTGGGAGCCCTTTTGTCGGCCCATAACAGCCGTCGAATGGCATGTGCTTGTCACTTTGACAACTCTTCTCGGCGACCCGTCCCGCCCTCGATTTTTTCGAGACAAAAACCGCTAGATGTGGTGCGTTTTGCTCTGTTTTTGTGCACAAAATCGAAACGGAAGCTGTTGGCGAGAGTTTCGCGCCTTCGAGTCTCCGGCGAGCGCTAATCCAATTTTCATTTCCTGTCGTTGGATTCTGCGACGAAAGTGCGTCGAAGCAACACATCCCTTTCTCCTGCTCCTTCTCCCGCTTCCGCCGTCCCTCCTTCTCGCATTCCTGCCCACGTTCCAGATCTTATCGTCGACAAAATTGAAGACGAAATGGGTTATTCCACCTCCAGAAAAACGGCTTCCAAAATATCAACTGCCGATGTCTACAGCGCCATTCTTCACCACGCTCCAGGCCCACTCACACATCCAATCTCAGCCGGACTGGCGAAGGCCAAACCGACAATCGGAGCCCCGATCCCTCGTTACCTGACCACTACGACCCCTTCCACAATATTCTTCCAAGTCACTCTTCCGTTCATGTCAACTGCTTGGAACCGGGTCACCATTCTGGAGAGTTCGTATTCTTTCTCGTCATTCTGATGTTGTTCGGATTGAAATATTGTAGCTGATTTCATCAAAACAAGAGTGTCATGGGTGTAGTCCTGATTTCAATATATAATACTTTCTCTCTGAGTTCCAACTACCGTAATCTCTCCAACCGAACGCATCTAATCTGCGGGAAGTGCACCTCACAAACTACAACAACCGCATTCGGCCTATAAACCCTAGCCTAGTCGGTCTCTTCCTGTTTCTGTTTTTTCGTGAGCATCCATTTTTATTGCATGCTCCTGGCTTGTGCTCCCCTTACCAGAAACCATGTATATTTTATGTCGTCGCGCGTCATTCGAATCCGAATTCTCGAATTTCGTCGTCGCGCACAGCCGATTCACACGGAAAAACATGCAACAAAGTGAAGTGCACTTGATAAGTATTCGAGGATGTGCGCCCACCCTCGTCCCATAATGTTTCTACTAATTGAGTGTCGAGACGTGTTTCTCGCCCCTCCCTCGCTCCGTGTTTTCAAGAAATATGAGATTAGTCCCTGAGCAACAGCACAAGCGGTTGCCTTTTTCTTCTCCGAAGGACCCCCGACTCTCCTTCTATTGCCAAGTTGTATTACTACTTCTTTTCTCCAATCGCCCTCCCCTCGTCTCTACTTGATTGCACTTGGGTTCCGCTCTCATTCATATAAAAGAGCCGCGCGGGAGGAGTAGCATAGAGGAAAATTACTGCGCAGACAGCAGGTGGACGACGACGAAATCCGGAGCCAAAAAGGGCGTGCGCAAGTGTATGCGACTGGCAGCCCCGTGGAGCAACTCTATCCAGCGCCGACGCCGCCGCCAGCAACAGCAGCAGCAGCAACAAATTTATGCGGAGCACGCGAAGAGAACCTCGCGGATTTGATACGCTGTTCCGGTAACCCGTCGCTCGCTCGGCCCACTTACACGGCAAATTGCGCAACTAGATTGGCTCAAAACACTTCCATGACTCGCTCGTCCCGCTTCTCTCCGTGCTCCTATTACATTCGACATTCGCATTCGCACTGACTGTCCGCCGAATCGTTTGATGTGCGGCCGTCCGCCGCCGCACCGACGACGACAACTTGTGTCCTCCTCTTCGCATTTTGCGCCCAGTTGTGCTTATAATCATGAATAATTCGGGCATTTTGCGCAACCTCGGCGTCCTCCTTCTTCCCGCCCTACTACTGCTTTCCATTCGGCCACCACATATTTGTGCTGAATACACGGATAACGAGCTGGCGGTCTTCTCGCGGAACACTCGGTTCGTCGCCGTTCCGAATGATGATCGGTCGAAGCGCGCAACAGAAAGAGTTCGCTCTCGACAGCTGTTCGGAAGGGGCTTCTTCGGATCGGAGACTATGAAAGTGGAGAAAGAGGAGCGGCGCGAAGCCCGTCCGATGCTCCGCAGCTCGCCAAATTCCCCGGAGCCGGTAAAGAGGAAAAACGAAAATATATTCGCTGCTGTCATTAATACTCTTCTGCACAAAGAAGAAGGTGTGCAAGAGCCCGTGCTAATTGAAAAGTGATGTGCAGCATGCTTGTCGTTTTCGCTCTGTTAAGTGACGTGTTTTTGTGCCATCCATCTTGTGAAACTTCATCAAGTACCTTAATTAAACTCATTTTCAGCATTGGTCGGACCGCCAACGAATGTCCGTGTGGAAGCCACTAGCAACTCGACGGCAGTCGTACAATGGGACTTCGAATCTCAGAAGGTTAGCAGTCTATACTCGATTTGTTCTCCGGACGCCATCCCTGGGGTCCCGTTCCGCATTTTGACGGGTCGGGTCCACTATTCTTTTGCGTCTGTTTGTTTTCGTTATGGAGCACACGAGTCGTGCCTTGTGCTCAAAACAAAAGCGAGGCTAAGAAAGAAATTGAATGCCTTCCGCGGAATTACGCTACAAATTAGAATGAAAAATGCTTTCAGGCCGACTCGTTCGTCGTCAAGTACATGCACGAGCCGGGAAACCGCATGGATACGGAGAAATGGAAGCAACAGCCGGTGATCAGCTTTGACAAGGAAAATCCGAAACGGTTCGCTGTGGTCTCCGATCTCACGGCTCACAAGCCGTATGCATTCTGTGTGCTCGCCGTAAAGAACAATGTGAGTGTGATCTCCTTGGAGACGTTCCCACGCTCGATGAGCACGCATTAATGAACAATTTTTCAGCGACAAGGTCCGTGCTCAGATCCGCCCACTGTGCTCGAAAGCGTGACGCCGACGTTCATGGTTCAGAATCTGAGAGTGCGATGGAAGACGAGCAACTCGGTGCAGCTCACGTAAGAACTCGGAGAAATGCTCACAATTTTCTCAGACTTTGATTGCAGATGGGAGTACAACGGTCCCAGAAACGTGGGATTCTATGTGAATCACACGGGAAAGAAGGACTACATGAACCACGAGCTGCAAGAAAAAACGATGTCTACACCTGGATTCGGACAGGATCTCGATGAGAAGACACGCGAGTATCTGTGGACCAATCTCAGGCCGCACATGATGTTCACATTCCACGTGGGAGTTCGGACGTTGCCTCCGGGAGCTCGGAAGTACTGGCCCCAGGAGGTGGTAACCACGACGGACCCAACTGGGCCTCCGTACGTAGATGTACCTCAGTTGATTGACTCTTCGGGAACTCAGCCCGGCCAGCAAATGATCCGGTTGACGCCTGCAACGGAAGAATACGGAGTCATCTCGCACTATTGGATCATTGTTGTTCCAGCTAACTACAGCACGGTATGCCCAGGTTATCGAAGGTGTGGATTCATAGTTCTGTGATATTTCAGGAAGATGTCGTCAACTTGGACAGCGTCGAACTGGAAAAGGCAACCGCCGAAAAGCGTACTCAACTCGCCCGATCTCTAAGTGTGTCTCCGTCGAAAAAGTTGAAGAGGCGAGCCGATGAGGAAAAGACGGCCACGAAAGCGAAACGGGCTCGTCGCGGAGCAGTGCCTGGGGCCTACGTGGCGGCGAGATTGAGTTCCGATCGGGTGAAGCAGCACTACAGGAACAACCAGCCATTTGTGGTCGGAGACTCGCAGGTGAGCATAGCAATTGCCGCAAACGGCTTCCCGCAGCCGCCTTCCCGATACCCTTTCTTTCTGCGCCCCCGGAAAACAATCTAAATGCGTCTGTTTTGTCATGTTTCCTGCTCACTGCCACAATCTTCTATCAATAAATAAACGGGCGAGCGTTGCGAGTGACGAGACGAATCAAGAGTCGGCACAATTTTTCGCCCTTCCTCCTCTTAGTTTTACTCTCGTTTCCGTTGAGATTTAGGCAAAATATCGAGGCACTTACGGACCTTTTCATGTCCACTTCAAACTTTTATGAGCGTTTCCCGGCACTCATTTTATGGTCAGTCATGTAGAAAAGATGGCATTCCCGCTCACGTTTCCCTTCCTATCCATCCGAAATGTCGGCTGATTCCTTTGATATCCCGACAGAGGTTCCCACGATAAACTCGATGCAATCCGATTCCCTCTCACTCTCTCTCCTTGCTCTTCAGCTTTTGCCAGCCCGCCGCCGCGGACTGTTTTTGTGTAAACATTGATCGGTGTTATTTTGCAGTTGTATGACGGGTTCACCAACTACCCACTCGAGCACAATATCCACTACCGACTTATGATGCGAGCGTTTGCGAAGAATGACGTGCGTGCCAAGGACAGTGTAAGTTTACCCTCCCGCCCGCCATTCACATGATCTCAATAATCAGCTTTCTTTTAGTTCGAACAACGTGCTCCGATGAGTGAGAAGCTGTCGCGACTGTATTCCGACTCTGTACTCACCGAGCCGTTCACAATCAAGTCCGCCCTTCGGGGAGCTTCTCAGAAGTCGTCTCCATGGGTCGGTGCTTGTATTGCCTTCCTCGTGCTCTTCTCGATCGTCGGAATGCTCATTTGTTGGTGGCTGCGATGCAACAAGAAATCTGCTGGAAGACATCCGAGACACGGATCCATTACCAAAGTGGCGTTGACTGGAAACATCATGAATGGAGGTGCAATGCCCGGAGAGACGAGCAAGCTGTTGGCGACTCAGAACGAGTACGGACGGCATGTGATGAATCCGTACGAACAAATGAATGGAAACCATCAAATGGAGTCATCAATGGATCTGTACCCTCTGCCCAACAGTCACTCTCGTTCCAACGGATACGCTCCTGTCCCAGTCCCTCTTCCAACTCTCCCGAACAACGGAAACACAGTCACCACAGTCGTCCATCCAGCTGTTCCGATCGCCGAACTCGCGAATCATATCGAACGCCTACGCATGAACAACAATATTGGATTCCAGACGGAGTTTGAGTCTATTGAAACCGGCCAACACTTCACTTGGGAACATTCGAATGCCGACGTGAACAAGCCGAAGAATCGATACGCGAACGTGGCTGCTTACGATCATACCCGAGTGGTGCTCTCCAACGTGGAAGGCATCGAAGGCGGCGACTACATCAACGCGAACTACGTGGATGGATACGACAAGCCGAGAAGTTACATCGCCACTCAAGGACCGCTCCCGGAGACATTTGGAGACTTCTGGAGAATGGTTTGGGAAGAGCAGTCGGTGACGATTGTGATGTTGACGAATCTGGAAGAGAACAGCAGAAACAAGTGCGATCAGTACTGGCCGACACGTGGAACTGCGATCTACGGAGACGTCGAAGTGACACTGCTCGAAAGCGTCCATCTGGCTCACTACACGATGAGGACGATGCGACTGAAGATGATCGGAGAGCCGGAGATCAGAGAGATCAAGCATCTGCAGTACACTGCCTGGCCAGACCACGGAGTTCCCGACCATCCGACGCCGTTCCTGATCTTCCTGAAGAGAGTCAAGACTCTGAATCCGCACGACGCCGGACCGATTATCTCGCACTGCAGTGCTGGAATAGGACGGACGGGAGCATTCATTTCCATCGATTGCATGCTCGAACGTCTTCGCTACGAGAACACTGTGGACATTTACGGATGTGTGACGACGCTGCGAGCACAACGGAGTTACATGGTGCAAACAGAAGAGCAGTACATCTTTATCCACGACGCCGTCCTCGACGCAGTCAACAGCGGATCAACGGAAGTTCCCGCGAGTCGGTTACACCAGCACGTGCAAGCACTCATGCAGCCGTCAGTCGAATCTATATCCGGAATTGATATGGAGTTCAGAGTGAGTTCACGAAGGAATGAGCTTCTTTCTGATCCACCATTTTTGCAGCATCTGACGACATTAAAGTGGACGAACAACAGGTGCATCGTGGCCAATTTGCCAGTCAATCGGCAGAAGAACAGAATGCTGAGTGCTGTTCCGTTCGACTCGAACCGTGTAATTTTGCATATGATGCCAGGAGTTGAAGGTTCCGATTACATCAATGCATCCTGGATTGACGGTTACAAGTAAGTCACGCAACTCTCTTCTCTCCAACCAAATTGGTAATTTCAGAGAACGTGGAGCATACATGGCAATGCAAGCGCCGACGAACGAGACAGCCGCCGATTTCTGGCGGGCCATCTGGGAGCACAACTGCTCGATGATCGCGATGGTTGTGCAGACTTGGGAGCGTGGACAGGAGATGTGCAGCGAGTACTGGCCACTGGAGAACGGAGTGAACGTCGGAAATCTGGTCGTCGAGCCGATGACCGAGTTCAACATGGAATATTATCTGCTCCGCGAGTTCCGGCTCACTGACTTCCACACGAACGAAGTGCGGACGGTTCGGCATTTCCAGTTCATCGACTGGCCGGACAGCGGACGACCGCACAGTGCTGAGCATTTCCTGGACTTTGTCGCTCAGGTAACCAACTTATGCAGTGTATTCTCTCAATGATTCCAATCTTCAGGTTCACAACACGTACGCTCAGTTCGGCTGCACTGGTCCCATAACCGTTCATTGCACATCGGGCGCCGGGCGCACCGCGGTCTTCATAGCTCTTTCCATCATTTTGGATAGAATGCGCGCCGAGCACGTTGTGGACGTGTTCACCACTGTAAGTTAATAAAATAGGCTCTGCCACGTCATAACTCGTTTTTTTCCAGGTCAAACTGTTGCGAACGGAACGGCAGAACATGATCCAGGAGCCAGATCAGTACCATTTCTTGTACCAATCCGCTTACGAGTACCTCGCTTCGTATGATAACTTCTCCGCGTAGGCCTCCTTCCCCAGTCGTTCCCTAGTGTTCCTCCCCCGGTAGATGCTTCTCACTTTCTACTTCCCATTCTCTTTCTCGAATACATACCCCTCCACTTCTCCCACACGGGTTCCTCGCTCCCCGCTATTCCTTCTCTCTTTCCTCTCGCAACGGGTTCCTTCATCCAGTCTGGAAAGTATCCGTTCCTTTTTCTTCTTCTTCATCTAATTCTACTAATTCTCCCCCAATCCATGATACACAATTTGCTCATGTCTCACCCGGATTGTTTGTAAATACTCGAAAGTTTCACTCATCATCAACGCAATCCTCCCCCAACTTTTCCTAATAATTGTACTCGTTGTATGTGATGTTTTCAACTTCCGACAAATTGCTTTAATAAACTTTCCTGATTATAAATCACTTTATCACAATTCACACCTAAAAAACAAATAATGGAACAACGATAACCACTTGGAATAATAATATTAGATGAACGAATAATTGACGTGACGACGAGTTGGCTTTTCGGGAAGATCTTGAATTCGACGAATAGATGGTGTCCAGCTCGGCCTGTTTCGCCAGATTGCATCGGTTTTCTTTGCAGCAGCAAAATGAGAACTGCAAGAATTACTGTAGTGCCACGTCACTGAAATGGAATGGAAACTCGAACTCACGTTTCCTTTCATTCCGTCGTAAAACGAAATGTCCTGGCACTTTCCCTCGCTCTGCTGACAAACTTGTCTGTCTCCGCCGGTGTACGCACAGCGGGAAGAGATTCCCTGCTGGAAGATTCCATCTGAATAGGACAACTACAGTAATCCAGTGAGCCGCCGGAACAAGTACCGTCGTCAATCGCCGAGTGCAGAATCACTTTGATGCAGAACATTGCCGAGCACATGGCGGTGTCGTTGATATGGAAGTGGTTGTCTTCGACGGAAGCCTGCAAGCAACTGATGTGTCCCTGGGGGAGAGCTTCTAAACGGACCTGCATTCGGCCGACGAATCCACTGAAGCAGTCGACGAGTGCATACGTGGCAGAGGGGAAAAGAAGGAGGAGGGGGAGAGGGAGTAGTAACATCTGGAAGAAACGAAACAAATGAAAAGGGAGGAGCATGTGTTTGTTATCTGCAAAGTGCTGAAACCTGCACGCATAATACGACGGAGAGAAACAACAGAGATTGGGCCAATAAGCGGAGGAAAGAAGGGCGGGACAGAAAGAAAGAGAGAGAGAGAGAGAGAAAGAGCAAAGTGACGTGCTTTATTCGGTACCTACCTGACCGGTTTTCAAAAAAAAAAACGGAATACTCCTGAGGAAGAGAGGATTTCTGACTGAAAATAAGAAAACGAATGAGTGGGGAGGGACGAAGAATCTGCCCAAATTTCATTTCCGAGAAGAAGGAGAAGAAGAAGCTGCTTGTCTCCCCCTCCCGCTCTCAACATTTTTGCATAAATCGAGACAACAATTTGTCATTTGTGTGTGTGTGTGGCAATGATAGAATCTATTGGACCGTCCATTCAACCCGAGAGTTTCGAGGAGACAGCGGGGAAGAGCGAGAAGCGGAGCGAAATGATTTCGACGCGCAAAGTCATAAACACCGTTTAATTTGGGATTCGAGAAAGGAGAGGACCTCTCGAAAGTGATTGCATTGGAAATCTGCGGTGAATGGTGGAATTAAATGTGCGCGGGACCTTCCGGAAATCACACATTATTCAAATGCCTTCTTGTGTCATCAGCAATATGGGAAAGGATGGCTTCACTTTGGCAGAGTACTCTTTTCGGAAGCATTCACAGGGGCCATCTACTTTTTCTTCGATACTATTTTATGCATGAGGTTTATGAAAAGTGCTATGAACCTTATAATCGGTCGGAATACAATGCGAACCGCGCTCCATTGATCAGCCGATTGACGGCTTCACAGAAGAAGAAAACAAACACGCGAAAGAGGCGAATCGTTTCGCTATTATCCATTCGATTGCACTCGGAATTTCAGAGCAGTCCGTCTTCTTCTTCTTCTTCTCCGAGTCATTTAGAAACTGGGAAGGAACATGAAAGAGAGAGAGAGAGAGAGCAAAAGCCCTTCTTCACACTAATCTCTGGACGACTCAAAAAGTGACAAGAAGTTCCTTTTTTGGTTTCCTCCGGAGAGCTACGCCATCCGTCAAGAAAGCGAAACTGCAACAAGAGAGCGGGCACCTGCCCCCATTGCGCCCGTTTTTGGCGTATCGGGTTACGTGATGAGGAGCGATCGAATCCAAGAAAAGCCCTCTCTCAGCCGGATTTGGTTTTTGATGGTGTAAACTTTAGTTGAGATTCATTTTGGAAAGGACAATATCGTAAAAAGTGAGATGAGTTTAGATGAGTATTGAATAGGGGCGAAAGGTTACAGTTGAGAGGGATGAAGCGGGCGTCGAGTCAACAAACAAAACAATCGAAGGTAAATACATTCAGTGTTCTTCAGCAGCTACTCGTCTTTCTCGACGACCAACGGCATGCCCTTCGACTCGAGAAATTCGGTTACCAGCTTCAATTCGACCATTCCGGACAGCTGATCGTTCCCGTCGTCACCGCGAGTCCACCTGGAAAACGGAGATGGGCATCTGGCAGGCATATGTTCAAATGTTGAAGGGTTCAGGGACAATTGAGACACGAATTTATGCAGAAATGCACTCACTTCAGAACCCGATGATCTTTGAATTCGACGAGCTGCGTACGGAGAGCGGCGTCAGTTGAGGCTATAAAATCGTCCCTGAAATGACAGAATGAAATGAGCCATAACGGTTTTTCTTTTGAACTTGGCCGCATTGAAGAGATCCCAAAACTTCACCGGCTTCTTCGTTTCGAAATACATTTGGAAGAAGAGACGGAACAATTTTTGAGAGTTGGAAGCGAGTGATTTCCAAAAGACGTCAAGAGAAGAAATTGTGTGCGAGGATTGATTGGAACGGGCATCAAGGCCAAGAAGACGTGACTCTCCGGTCATAAGCTCGTGGAATGGAATCTCGAATGTGTTGACGGTGATATGAACAAAAGAGAGAGTTGATATTTGACGCTGAAAATAAATTTTCGAAGAGAAGAGTTACAGAGTACGTACAGAATTCCAAATGAAAGTGGAATAGACATGATCGACAGTCGCGATCAGTTTGACAATATCCCGATCTTCAAGCAATTCGCAAAGCGCTTCTTGATCATTTCTGAAAGGATTCATTCTGATCTTTTTAAAATATGAGTGTGTCACCTCCAGTCCGGTGCCTCAATGTTGTCGATTATCAGAATTAGTTGCAGAGCGGCTCGTTTTAGATTACGTCGAATCGCCCGTGCCCATTCGCTCGTCGACTGTCCTCGTCTGATCTGAAAACTGCCCGTTTCAGTCAAAATAACTTTTCTCTGTTACATTCTGGTTCAGACTCATGTGCTTATTGATGGCGGAGAGCAGTGCTTTGGGCTGAGCCCATCTTTCCGTGCGTCCACTCTCATGTATGTCAGATCTTTTAGTTTCTCCTCGAACTTTGTGAGCACTTCGCGTTTAGAACCGACTCCATGGATCAGAATATTGAATCCGGAAGCGAGGTACAGAACCCACTTGTCGAATTCTGTTCTTTCGAGATTCGCGCGTTGTTCAATGACAGAGTCAGATTCGTTTCGGCTGACAATGTAGTCACGGAGACCCGGAAGATCGCACTTGGTGAAATCTGCCGTCAGACTGTCGACGTCTTCATCCTCCTCAGCTTCGTCGTCTCCCGCATTCGCAGCACGTCTTCCTCTCCGAACTCTCGCCGTATTCATGCATTCCGCAGCCGTCTTCCCTTGCATAAAATAGTTTTCTATTGCCGATGCGGCCAGAGAACTCGATTCATCTCTGAAACAACACTTTTTGCATGTTTCTCTGTAATTGCAACACTGACTCGAATGCCAATTGCTCCATTGGCTCTTCTTCCAAGTTCGCCTTCAAGTTTTTCCGTGCCGTATTCCTTTTTCCGTCCGTCTTTCGTGTTCCAGTCTTTTCGGGGGTCGGCTTTTTCGCAGATTTCTGCTCCGGTTGAGGGTGCGTCCCGGTACGCTTGAGAATTTTGACTCGTGGCATTTTCTGAAAAGATTGATAGAACATGCAGGAAAGAAAATTAATGAAAAGGAAAGAAGAGTTAGGAGTCCAAACCAAGTAACACAACACGCAACACACAATGTTCAGCAACATCTTTGAGAGTATTTTATTCGAATTTGAAGAGGTTTCCCTCTGAATTGCAAAAGAAGAGAAGGATACATTAAAACTGTTGGGTACTTATCACATTCAGTGTTAGAGAATAATTTATTGAAGCAGAAAATGGTGGGAATTATGAACGTGGAGAACAATGCGACGGATTACTTGAGAAGCGACCACTTGAACTGTTTGTTGGCCGACTCGATGAACGAGAACCCGATCTGAGAAACAGATTGGTCGGAGAAGGAGACTTCGTCGCTCTTCAGGGCAGTTCTCTGCACAACAGCTTGAGCATCCGTCTCCATGATAACTCTGGAAAGGGATTACATTGAAAGAATTAGAATATAGAGTGAAGTAACTCACCCCTCGTCACAAATTTCGTCAACGATGAGCATGACGGTTTCCATGGCGTCGATCAGCGCTTTCTTCTCGACGTTCTTTCGGAGAACAGTGGAAACAGCGTCGTAGAGACAGGTGAGAGTGGCGTCGAGGAACAGCTCGTTTTCGCGGGTTGATCCGAGCACATAGAAGTATAGATCAACGTTCGAACGGTACAAGCAGGTTACTCCGTCGAGCAGAAGAATGTCCGCTAGAAAGAAGTTTTCGCTTTTGATTCAGTTGATTGAAAACTAACATGCAGTGTTGCGAGAGGTCTTGGAGAACAAGCTCTTCTCGAAAGCCTTCTGCTCTTTGACAGTTCCGAAAGTGGTGTGATCGTAGTACTGAAAATCAATAGTTTGGCAGCTTGTGGTGATATGGAAAGAACAAGTACCTTTGCGAGAATTCGATTTCCGTCCTGATCGAGAATCACGATTCCCTTTACACTGTACAACGAAGTTGGATCCTGAAAACACTTAAACTCGAATAAACCTTTCAAAAGGCTCAACTCACTTTGTCGAAGTCGGCCATGTTGACTACTAGAATGAGATTTTACTGGATCTGAAGAACGAATGTAATTTTTGATTGGAATCTGCTGAAAACGGGTCGAAAAGAAGAGAACAAAGCTGCTGGCAACGTCAGCAATATAGCCGTAAATCGTCACGTGGAATCGCTGCAAGACCCGCGATGGCCGAGGTTTTGCACGACTCACGGCCGTGGCCGAACTTTCGACTGTTGAGTCGAATTACGGGGGACACAGTTTTGCACATTTTTTGCACCTATTTTCCATGCTTTCAAATAATTTTTTGTTTGAATTACTGTTCCAGATAAAGTAATCCTTCAATTTTTATACTTTTCAATCGCTATTCTCTTTGATAATAACGTTCATTTGCAGATAAAGTATGGGAAAGAAGCAGCATCAGAAGGACAAGTTATACTTGACCAATTCCGAATGGAAAGCTATTGGAGGACACAAAGATGGTAACTTGTACATTTTAAAGGTATTTCAATATGTTTTAATCATTCAGACACTGGTACGCGGCTCCAGAGAGCTCAATTCAAGCGCTTGCCCATTAATCACTGTTCCTTGTCGCTTCTTCCCTTCGAAAATCCTGTTTGTGCTCGATCTGGAGAAATCTTCGAATTGACGTGACTATTTTTTTAAATCATCTCTAAATCAGCGTTTTTTTCAGAGCGATCTTGCCGTACGTAAAAAAACACGGCAAAAATCCGTGCACAGGAAAACCGCTGACCGCCAAAGATCTCATTCATTTAAAGTTCGACAAAGGAGAAGATGGAAAGTTCCGATGCCCCGTCACATTCCGCACTTTCACTGATCACAGCCATATACTGGCAATCGCGACAACCGGAAATGTGTACTCGTATGAAGCCATTCAGGAACTCAATCTGAAGAGAAACCATTTGAAAGATCTGCTTACCGATGTTCCTTTCACTCGTGCGGATATCATTGATCTACAAGATCCGAACCATTTGGAAAAGTTCAACATGGAACAGTTTCTGCATGTTAAACTTGACCTGAAAACATCGGAGGAGTTGAAAAAGAAAAGGAAGCGATGAAGGATCCAAAGTTTTACATCAGAAGAATGAACAATGCGTGCAAGTCAGTTCTGGATCAGTTGGAGAAAGACTACGTACCAAAAAAGAACGAAGTTGAAGAGGATTCGACTGCAGACGCAATCAACGCGGCGCATTACAGTCAAGGAAAAGTAGCGGCCGGTTTCACTTCGACCGTTATGGCTCCAGTTACGAACAACAAAGCGGCAGTTCTGGACGATGACACCGTCAGATACAACAGAGTGAAAAAGAACGGATTCGTGCGATTAGTCACAAACTTCGGAGCATTGAACCTCGAATTGTACTGCCAGAAGGCTCCAAAAGCGTGCGAGAACTTTATAACGCATTGCTCGAATGGATATTATAACAACACGAAATTCCATCGATTAATCAAAAACTTCATGCTCCAAGGAGGAGATCCGACTGGAACCGGGCACGGAGGAGAGTCCATCTGGGGAAAACCGTTCGCCGACGAGTTCATTTCGGGAATGTCCCACGACCAGAGGGGCGTTCTTTCGATGGCCAACAAGGGATCGAACACGAACGGATCCCAATTCTTCATCACTTTCCGACCGTGCAAATATCTAGATAGAAAGCACACAATCTTCGGAAGACTTGTCGGAGGACTCGAGAATCTGACCACCATTGAGAAATTGGACACGGAAGAAGGAACAGACGTTCCGACGGTGCCACTGGTTATTATGAGGGCAGAGGTGTTTGTGGATCCTTTCGAAGAAGCGGAAAAAGAAGTTCAAGCAGAGAGAGCTGAAATTCTGAAGAATAGTGAGCCACCGATAGTAACTTAAGAAAAATTAATTTATTTCAGCTTCGAAAGACACTGCCTCGTTGGCCAGTAAGAAGGAGAAAGAAGCTGCGAAACCGAAAGCAGTCGGAACCGGAGTCGGGAAGTACATGCAATCTGTGACTGCGGCCAACAAACGACACGGCCAGATGGATGAAGTCCCCTTGGAGGCCGCCAAGAAGAAAAAGTTCGCAAGGGCCGGACTCGGAGACTTTTCCGAGTGGTGATAATCTCCTAATTTCCTAATAACTATTTTTCAAGAATTTATAAAATTGTGGATAATTTACATCGCAAATTACAACAAAAAGCTTGTCCCATAGTCGAAAGAGCACCTAGAACGAGAAAAGACAATAAGCTAGATTTAATCCTTCTTGGTTTTCTTGTTTTGGAAAGTGGAACAGTCATTGATAATAAATATAATTAGCATAGCACAAGACTTCGGAGACGAAAAGGAGGCGGAAGGGGAAAAGCGAGAGGGAAGGAGTGTGACGGTGTTTTCGGACAATTACTACTGAGATTTATACACAAGGACTACACTCGAAGCGGAAGTTTAACGGTATTATGGGAGGACGGGACTCGCGAATAAAGCATTCAGAAGAGGGAGAGAGGAACAGGAGACGGATCAGTTGGCTCCGCGGGAAGCGACGGCGTTCGAGATCTCACGCACGATTTCGTCCTGCTTCTCGAGATCACTTTGCTTCTCTAGAGAACGAAGATCCGACATCACCTGAAGAACACTGAATCAAGTGGAAAAGGAGATGGATTTGATACCTTCTTAGTCTTTCCAAAGTATATTTCATTGATAGTGTGACGCATTTTCGATTCTTGGTCCTCAATCATCCGTCCCATGTTGGCGAGATGCGTGTTCTGGTCGTTGATCGGAGCGTCCATCTCGTGCTGTCGAGTCAACGATCCTCCGAGGTTCATTACTCCGCTCGAGCTCTTGTTCGTCTGCAGCCACAGCATGATGGTCGACGTCAATTTGTAGTGAGCCTGACGCGCCTGAACCAGTGGACCGTTGTGAAACAGCTCAATTCAGAAAGAACTACCCGCTCAGTGATCTCGATGACGTGGATGGAATCCCAGCATCCGGTGATGTTCTTCGCGCCGTCGCCTTCCTTTTTTATGAGCACGATTCCGGCAAATCCGCCGTTATCCAAATCCCAGAAGTAAACGGAGGAGACTCCGCCTTCGAAGTACCTGCAAACAAGTTATATAGATTTTGAGATATATGCGAGCTTACAGATCACGGTAAGATTCGAAAGCGGCGTTTGCCTCGATCTCCATCTTCCGACGTTTCTCCGATGGAAGCTGCCCATCTTCAAGTGGCGGATCGTACGTGTTGCTCCATGGCGATCTGAAACAAAAAGATGATAGTGAGATAGAAACCGATGACTCATTGCCATTTATGAACTCTTTTCAAATGATGACTCATACCTATAGCTGTCGCCATCACGATTGTAGTCACAAAGCAAATACTGTTTGCCGGTGTCACGATCCGCAGCGATTTTCAGCGGTTGGTCAATGGTACCTAAGGAAAAATATGAATATGAGGATATTCTCAGTGAGAAGGTTACTCACTGAGAAGATCGTCGACAAGATGCGGGCAAAGATCGATCAGGTCCGTTAGGTTCTTGTCGCAGTGCTGAGGCGGCAGTCTGCGCATCAAGTCGAGGGCGCAATCGAGCTGTTGTTCACCCTGAGAAGGAAAATATTCTTTTAAATTAAATTTCAGCGATAATCACTCACCATTTCGATAAAAGCGAAGCAGATGGGCAGATGATCCCTGAAATAAACAAATAAATGTTTCGAAACAAAATCGATGAAAATTCCCACGGGACGGGGAAGTATTGACTGTCGGGAGCTTTAGTGACCGTTTGAACAGTCTAATAAGGGGTCAGAAGAAAACAAACAAGTTGCGAAACGGGAGTAATCGCACAGAAAAGTGCGGCCACTTCATTGATTTTACATTCTTTTCTCTCTTTTCCGCTCTCCTTGTCCTCCCCATACCGTAGTGGCTGCACTCTGGACGGCAAATCGCGGCGAGACCCGCCGATTTTTGGCGTTTCGCCAGCCATCTTCAAATTTTATTTTCCGCGGGATTCTAAAATTTTGCTCGGTTTCCAAAATTTTCCAATTGAACTCCGAGTTGATTGTTTTCCATTTTATATTACAAAATGAAACTTAACAATTTCTGCTGTTTTAAATCATTTCTGTTCGCATTCGAACCTCTTTCGCGCAACCTTAGATTTTTTCGCATCTTTTAACTAACCATTTTTGATTCTCTTTCCGCCCAGACTAATCACTGTTTGCAATTAAAAATATGTTTTTTTTTCAGCACTCATTTTATTAAAACTTCAATATCCATAATTTACTATTTTTTCAGTTTCACCGAAGTCAAAATTGGAGCACGGAACAGTACACGTCATTCTAGAAACTTACCATCCGAAGTAAGTTTCCGAAAATGAAAACTCAAGCAGTGCCCCATGCCTTGCGAATTTCAGCGTGCGAAAAGAACAAAAGCCGTTTCGAAAATCAGTGAGCATACTATGAAAAGATCGGGCTCCATGTTGGACAGCGAAGACAGTCAACGATCCACGGTTAGACAATCTTTATCATTCTTTTCATCTTGCCGCTGTAGTCAAAGTGCTTTTTGTCGATTAAAAGCTGCCGGCAGAATTCTCTCAATTCGGTAGGCGGTGCTTGATTACGAGTAGTATAAAAGACAAGCTCTGGATGATTTTAAGCGCATTTCCAAAAGAATTTCGAGATGCTCTTCGTCCTTGCATCGGACAGAGAGCACGGATCTCAGCGCTTTTCACGTTTGCCATTGGCATCTCGATGTCGACCACATGCTCCGATAAACTCACGTCAACGACATGTTCTCAATTTCACTGCCAGAATGCAAAAGTTCAAAAAGACAAATATGAAGTGTAATTCTAAAGTGTCAATGCAAATGAAAAGGGATCCACCGAGAGCGGTGAAAACTCCGTCGAGTCTCGTCTTTTCTCTGCCATTTCACTCTCTGCCGATTCTTTAGAAAGGACAGTAGTCAGCCCGTCGCTCTCTCTCACTCTCTCGCCTGTTACAGCACTTGCTCTCTTTCCTCACTCCGCTACCCGTTACCGCTCTTGTGCCATCTCTCGCATTGTTTGATTTCAGTTTCTGCCGCGAACCTTCCCATTCTTTTTTTGTGTTAACCGCTCATTCGCTGTTAATCACTGTGCGAATAGGAATCATTCGTCTTCCGTTTCTAATCGATCCAATTTTGCACTTTAACCGTACTCTGCGTCTCTAACCGGTTATGCCTTGTCTTGTCGGTAGTCTCACGTCTCGCCCATGTTTCTTCGTTCAGCCTGCCAGCTGCTGCTTCCTCTCTTCACTTTTCTTCTTGCCGCCGACCTCCAACTCAATTTTCAATCTTTCTCATTTCAGACCAAAGCCCCACCATTCAAGAGATTCCCGGAAAATCACGGATCTGAACAGAGCGACGACGTAAACATGAACGGTACTTTTCTCGAATAATCAGACTTATCCTATTCTTTAAAATTAGGAAACCATGCAAATGCTGTCGAGGGTCTGTCGGTCGAGACGATGACGAACGGGGAGCGCGTAGCCATTCTCGACTTCGGCGCGCAATACGGAAAAGTGATCGACCGGCGTGTGCGCGAGCTGCATGTTCAATCGGAGATGTTCCCACTGAGCACTACCGCTCGTGAGCTGCTCGAGCTCGGCGGCTTCAAAGCCATCATCATCTCTGGAGGACCGAAGTCAGTTTACGCCGTCGACGCGCCGACTATCGATCCGGAAATCTTCACATGCGGGCTGCCAGTGCTCGGAATCTGTTATGGATTCCAACTGATGAACAAACTGAACGAAGGAACAGTGACAACGCATCCGATCCGAGAGGACGGAGCGTGTGAGGTTCAGGTGGACACGAAGGCGCTCCTGTTTGACGGACTTGAAACAACAGAGACGGTCAGTAGTCAATCGAAATTAAATAAAACTCATGCGTTTCAGGTTCTCCTGACGCACGGGGACAGTGTCTCTGAGAACACAGTCGCTCCTGGATTCAAAGTTATCGCCAGAAGCGGACATCACGTTGCAGGTAAGTGAGACTAACGATAATCACATCTTAATCCAAACATTATAAAATATTCGTACTTTAGGAATTTGTGACGAGGAGCGCAAGTTATACGGTGTCCAGTTTCATCCAGAAGTGGACCTTACTGCCAACGGCAACAAGATGTTCGAAAATTTCCTTTTTAAAATAGTTGGATGCCTTGGCAAGTTCACAATTGAAAACCGCGAGGACCAGTGCATTGCCGAGATCAAAGAAATTGTCGGCGACAAGAAGGTGCTCGTGATGGTCTCCGGAGGCGTCGATTCGGCTGTCTGTGCCGCCTTGCTCCGTCGGGCTCTCGGGCCGAACCGTGTCACTGCTATCCACATCGACAACGGATTCATGAGATACAATGAGAGTGATGCCGTCGAGAAGAGTCTTGCTGCACTCGGTTTGCCTATTCATAGTAAGTTCCGAACTCCATATCAATATTCATATTTTAATGCATTCAGGGTACAATTTTGGACCCACATTCCTTTCGAGCACAAAGAAAGAAGAGCCGGGAGAGCTCTCGTTGGACGAGTGCGATGATCCGGAGCTGAAACGGCAGATCATCGGAAACACTTTCATCCGCGCGACAGATATTATCATGAAGGACCTGAGTCTTCGAATGGACGACTACTTCCTGGCGCAGGGAACTCTCCGTCCTGATCTGATTGAAAGTGCCAGTGCTCTTGCCTCCGGACACGCGGACACCATCAAGACGCATCACAACGACACAGAGCTCGTCCGCGAGTTGAGAAAGGAGGGAAAAGTTGTTGAGCCGTTGAAAGACTTCCACAAAGATGAAGTTCGAGAGTTGGGAAGAGATCTCGGACTGCCGGAGGACATTCTTCAGAGACATCCGTTCCCAGGACCAGGACTCGCCATTCGAATCCTCTGCGCATCTGACAAACGACCGGAAATGAACTTGAGTGGTGAAATGTACAGCGGAGATGTTCATGGAAGAACGATTGATGTGATCGAAAAGTTCCTCAATGCTGCGGTAAATCCGAGCCAAGGGTACTACACTTCCATTCAGCTCGAGCAGACACGCAGCAATGTAAGTCACTACTCTTGCTATCCCGGTTTATCAAGTTATTTTAAGGTGATCGCGTCGCTGTGCGAGAAGGATCAGCCGCTCGCCCAGGGACAGACATTCAACATTCAAGCGAACGTTCTCCCGATCAAGACGGTCGGAGTTCAGGGAGACGCGAGAAGCTACTCGTACGCCGTAGTCCTCTCCACCAACGAAGAGCCCATTCCATGGAAACTTCTGTTCGCGTACGCCACAGTCATTCCGAAGCTCTTCCACGAAGTCAATCGAGTCTGTTACGCATTTGGCGGGGAAATAGAGGGACAGATCGAAGACTTGACTCGCACGTACCTCGTTCCGCCCATCATCACAAAGCTGCAAATGGCTGACAAAGCTGCGAACGACGTGTTGTTTGGACGGATGTTGGCTTCAGATGGAACCCGTCTCGGTAATGCGGGACGCTGCATTCAGCAGATGCCAGTCGTTCTGCTTCCACTCGATTTCGATCGTGACAGATCTATTGCTGGATCCTACAGACATTCGATCGTCCTCAGGCCGTTTGTCACTTCTGATTTCATGACAGGACAGGCCGCTATCCCAGGAGTCCACATTCCAGAAAAAGTACGATTTCTTGCAAGAAAAACACAAAGAACGACCTTATTTTGCAGACCGTGCTGGAAATGGACTTGGCAATCAGACAGAAAGTGCTCGGCATCTCGCGTGTGCTCCTCGACATGACGTGCAAACCGCCAGGCACAACAGAATGGGAGTAAACTTCCTCATTTAATAAATCTTCCGAACACTTTTCCATTTCGGGCCATTCAAAACCATTGTGAACAGATCTTCATCAATGCGAAATAATGTCTTCTCAGGTGTCACTTTCCCCTCGTTTCCTCTGCCCTTTTCTATATAAATGTTATTTTTCCCCCGTTTTAAAGATTTTCCCAGAATAGTTTTTTTTTTCAATAATTGTTAAATAGTTGTTATAAGATGTTGATTTCAATTCTTCATGCCATCGGGTGCACTTGGACACTGCTCCAAGTGCGGTTCAGCGTAAGACGCGAGTAGGACCCTTCTTCATTGAGAGCCGATTGTTTTGATTGATAATCACGGTGATTGCAAATATAAACGGTTAATGAAATTATTCCTTTTTTCCAACTCTTCTTCAACCTGGTCGTTTTCTCCATTTTTTCTTTTCAACTTCTCGACGTGTTTTGAGAAACAAGTGTAATTTAGATGAACAGACCGCATAGCCGTTTCTCCAGAAGTGAGTTTTCTGTGTATTCGGATAGTCTTCACTGTGCGCTAATCGCTCTTTTCCCCCGGAGAATGCTTTTCCCGACGTCATCCATCTGAATTGTCTGCTCGCACACCACTCTTTTACCCTGCGTCTCCCACATTCCTACTCTCTCCGTCCAATGCTCGCATAACCGATTTCGCCTATTTCGCTTGTTTCATCCAAAACAGCTCCCGATTTAACTCATGTTTCCTCTTTCTGCAGTCATTTTTCCCTTGTTTTTCATTTGCCGCTCCTCTTCGAATGTTGATCGGACGAAGGCAGTCGGGGGTCGCCCTCCCGAGGAGAGAGCGTGTTAATCAGGGAGAGTTCCTCCCTCTGATCCTCCCTTTCGGTTCCCTCTCTATCCGTTTCTCTCGATCAATCGACCGCTCCGAGACCACGTTTCAATCAGTCACCAATTGCTTTTCCAATGTGCTTTTCGAGCTCTTTTTAAATGCAGTCCGAGTCAATCGAAGCGGCTGTTCGCGCTTCCTGGTGTCGGTCATTTTCTCCGCGCGTTTTGATCTTTGCATTTTTGAACGGATGTTGGAGAATAAACAAGAGGCGCAGACGACTCCAGACCTTCCACACACAGCGGACGACGAAAACGAAAAAAACCAATCGAATCAGATTTACAACGGCTTCAATTCGAAAGCCGCTTACTATTAATTTATTTAAGACCAAATTGTCTGAATTTATCTGCACTTGTGATCTATCACCGAGAAATCTTTTGACCTACAAACTGGTTTTCCACAAAGGTGTGAGACGAATCAGCGGAAAGTCGCTGAAAAACGAGAGAAGGTCATTTGACGGGCGACAGAGGCGCTGTTCATTGTTCTACTCCCTCCGCGTGTTCGTTCTGCATGTTTGTTTGCCACGGATTCCTCCCAATTGTGATGTATGAAATTTAGCCTCCAAGACGTGTAGTTTGTAGTCCATGAAGCGGTTCGTGTACTTTTGTCTCTTCTGCTTCTCAAAGTACAACCAGCAGATGACGAATCCGTATAGTTTTGCCGATAATGGAGTCTTTTTGCGGCACAATGTATGTTGTGCCCTCCTTTTCCACGTGGCCGCAATCAGATAACTGACATCTCCGTAGACGAAAAACCTTCGTAGACGATCCTCTTCCCTCCTATAAATCTCCTAATTCCGATCGTCTGCACTTTGTCCCTCCTTTCTTTCTCCGCATTCTGCCCGAGTTTAGTTTGAATTTCTACCTCTTCTCTGTACCGTGTAGGTTCTTATCACATGTTTGCTGCTTGCCAGCATTGTGTACTGATAACAATCTACAACACCAAATTGGTGACACTGTGTTGCATTCGCTCTTCTTCATTTCGATGCGCCTCATCTTTCAGCCCCGTCAGATGACGTCATCTGCCGCTTCTGGAACACTAGATGCGCTTCCAGCTGACAACAAGGTCGTCGTGTTTGTGAAAAGACCCGGTTCGTTGAAACTTACTTTTCATTTCTAACTCCATTTCTAACTTTTCTATTTTCAGGGGAGAATAACGCGCCAACTGTGGACTGTTTCGACGTGATCCCGATTGATTCGCCCACGGAAAAGGAAATCACTTCCGAGCAATGCATCGTGCGAACTCTTTTCTTGTCCGTCGATCCATTACAAGTACGTTTCACGTTTCATTCCAGTGTGAATTTCTTGTTCTTCCAGAGATGTCGCATGAATCCATCGACGGGCGTCGACTACCTGGGACCATACGAGATCGGAGAGCCTGTCGACGGAATGGAAGGAGTCGGAATAGTCGAAAGGGTCGGCTCTGCGTGCAGCTTGAACGTCGGCGACGTTGTGACGGGATGCATTCGTCTGTGGACGTGGACAAAGTACTTTGTCTGTGACAGCAGCGACCTCGTGAAAGTGAACCTCCCTCCGAACTTCTCGCCGTCCGTCATTCTCTCCTGTGCCGGTCTCTCTGGCATCACCGCTCTGCTCGGAATTCGGAAGAAAGTGTGCACTTTGTTATCAGCACAGGTCACATTTTATTCCTCGTTGTAGGCATTGATCGACAGGAGCCGACCGCAAACGATTGTCGTGTCCGGAGCCGCCGGAAGCTGTGGGTCACTTGCCGGACAGATTGCGAGGATGGAAGGATGTTCGAGAGTAATCGGAATATGCGGAACAGATGAGAAATGCAGACTGCTGGTGGGCGACTAGCTGAGAGAGAAGGAAAATAGCGAAGAGTTGCAGAAGGAGGAATTCGGATTCGACAGTGCTATAAACTACAAAAAGGAGAACGTTGGAATACGGTTATCGATATTGGCGCCCGAAGGAGTCGACATCTACTGGGATAACGTTGGAGGAGAAATCTCCGATGAAGTCATCCGAGCTGTGAGTTTCTTTTTGTTTTGGAAGAAAAAAAAAGAAAAAGCCGTTTTAGATGAATGACGGCGGACGAGTCGTTCTCTGTGGACAGATTGCCGTCTACAACACAGATCTTCCGTACCCTCCGCCGCTTCCAGAGCAGACAATCCACATTCTGAAAGAGAGGAACATCCAGAGAGAGAGATACCTCGTACTCACCTACAAGGACGAAATGGACGAGGCGATTGCACAGTTGTCTGAATGGTTGCAACAGGATAAAATTAAGGTGAGATTTCAATAACAGTGTCCTCTTAAAATCTGGTTTTATAGGTTAGAGAGACAATCTACGATGGGCTTTCGGCTGCTCCAAGCGCCTTTGTCGACATGATGATCGGAAAGAACATTGGAAAGATGCTCATCCGCCCGTAGTTTGTTCACTTCCCTCTCCACTAGGCATCGCATTTCCGTTTCGCTACCGCCCGCTGATTCGTCCCACCGATTACGAGTTCTTTGCTTTCTTGTTCACCTTTTCACGTTTGAATTCTTAGCGCTTTTCCGTCGTTCTAAATACTTCCCAGTCATAATTCGAGTGTATGTATAGGAGTTAATAAACTATTTGGTTCTCTGCTCTTCCCGATTCTTTTCCGTTTTTCAAACTAGTGGCAATAACTATAAGGATATCTGTTTGATTTGTCGTTGAACGGCTTCACATTTTGTTCTTCAGATGGAGGTGCTCAAAAAGAGAGTGACAGTGCTGACGAATCAAGAAGTGCTCTCCTTCCTGAATAAAGTGAAGAAAGAGGAGGACATCAAACAGCACCACGACCGATGCAAAATGCTCGCCACAGTCGTTTATGAGGTGGGGAAAGTAGAGAATTCAAAAAAATTATGGAAGTTTGTTTCAGACGAAGAAGTACTTGAACACGACGCCGGCGGCCACACAGAACGAGGCGGTCATCTGCGAGCTCATCCCCAAGTTGGCGCCATTCAACGTACGCACAAGAGAGATTCCTCTCGCTAAATCCCTTTTCCTTTCAGCTGACCGGCGCGGAAACTCTGCAAGTCGTGAACATGAGGCCGAGTTCGGTGATCGATGTGCAATTGCTGATTGAGGAGACCGAAGAGAGGTATCCGCAGGAGGAGAAGCTGAACGAACTCGTGACGACCGTCACCGAATGCCTTCCGCCGCCCCCGCACCGCTGATTCTGATTCTCGACGTCTTCGTTGTTCTACGTTGATCTCTTTTTACTGATTTTGTTATTTCTTTACTTCTGACTCACGCATCAATATTATTTTAAAGATCATTTTGTCATTCTCATAAAAATTTCCCATTCTCAAAATCGAATCAGTGGGAAACGGGGTCGTATTCCCAAGATTTCCCCGTGACTTCCATAGTTTCGCTTTCTGTTTTTTCTCGCCTTCTACATCAAACGGTTATTGCGTGCACGTCACACTGGCTGATCATTGCGCGCCGTTCCCCCGCTCCTCTCGCCCCATTTTATTCGCTTTTCGGCCGGAGTTTCAGCCCTCCGCGTCCACTCGATTTGCCGTATCTCTTGGCAACCACCACAAATGATATAATATTCGTCGTCGCTGGTTTAGTTTGATCTTCTTATTTGTCGTCGCCCGTTTTCTGCTGCCGCCTTTGCGGATTAGAATTCTTCATTGGATCCCCTCCCTCTCGCTGCACGTTCTCTTCCCTCCTCCTCCTCAAAGAGGAGCCACGTCGTCGCTCCAGAGGCGAGCCAAGTGAAAAACTTTGAAACTCTGCTCCATTAGTAAAACATCTGCCACCCAGTTTGAGTCCGTGACAAAAGGTCGGAAAGCCAAACGGTCGGAAAGAGTGCCAAAAGGTCGGAAGAAAATGACAAGAGGTCGGAAAGCCAAAAAGGTCGGAAAAATATGACAAAAGGTCGGAAAAATATGACAAAAGGTCGGAAAAATATGACAAAAAGTCGGAAAAAATGCCAAATGGTCGGAAAATAGGCATTTTAGCGTTTTCTCCAACCTTTCTCCTGACCTTTTGTCTTTTTTTTCCGACCTTTTGTCATTTTTTTCCGACCTTTTGTCATATTTTTTCCGACCTTTTGTCATTTTTTTCCGACCTTTTGTCATTTTTTTCCGACCTTTTGTCATATTTTCCGACCTTTTGTCATATTTTTCCGACCTTTTGGCTTCCGACCTTTTTGGTTTTCCGACATTTTGTGACGGACTCCTCAGTTTTCCATAGAATTGCATTGACATATGAATATTCAAATTAGAGCGGATTCCGAGTGTAACACCTAAGACATCATGTGTGTGCAGGTGCAAAAAGGTCTCGCACTCTTCATAAAACCATGTTGAAACTTCCTGAGAGCTCGCACATATTTGAATGACGTTTCGAATTCTCAGAATCGACATGTGCATTTCCATTTCTTTTCCATTTCTTTTCTCAAATTGCGCAAATCGTGAGGCAGCTGAAGAACAGCTGAACTCGTGTGAAACCGCTCTCCGAAGAGGGCGACCAGCGGCAGAGACGGCGAAAAAGAAAAGAAGAAGATCTCTCCGCTCATGAGCAACTTATTCGCAACTTTTGGTGAGTATAGCTCGAGCATAAACCAACGTGTTCGGAGAGCCCTTCAGATGACAAACGTTTCGAAGAACTCTTGAACAGCTCCCAATCCAATGATATCATCTTCTTCTTCATTATGCCCCATTCCCATCTCGCATACATTTTTTTCATTCTCTCGAGAATCGTGGTCACATACCACAGATAAAACTACGAACATATGATAAACCCGATAGACGGGCGCGCGATGACAAGTGACAATTGGCAACGTCATCTTCTTATTTGTCATTCTTCCCTTTGACTCATTTCTCCGAAATCTCTACAGTAATCGTGCTTCTCACACCTTAACGGCGCCAGAGAGAGAGAGAGAGAGAGAGAGAGGCGGAATGTTTGTTTGAAATGGCGGGGTGACAGCTCACCGAATGTCAATCAATGTCAACCCGTCTGCGCCTCGTCGGGTCATCCAGTCTCTTTCTTTCGAATGGCAACTGGCCTGTCTGCGTCTCTTCGGTCGGCACTCTCTCTCGCCGTCCGTCCGCCTGTCTGTCAAGCCGAAGAAGGGGCGAGCAGACACGAGAAGCGACGACGACGACGACAACGACGACACCGAATTCATCAGGGCCACACCACCAATTTTTGATATGCGCCGTCGTCCAGTGACTGCCGCTGTTGCCGCCGCCGCCGCTCCTCTCGCCTCTCTTCTTCAGACGACGGTCATCACGAAGGTGGGCCCCGAAGACCGAGTGTTTGCAGCCGAGACTGTTGTCTGACTACCCCTCCACCCGGGGGACGAACTGTCATATTCAATGTGTCACCTGTCAGTTTGCTGGCTGCTCTTTCTGTCGAAGCACGCAAATACGTGCCTTCCTTCCTCACCCACCAATATTTATCCTTCTCCTCACTATCACTCACTCCGCCCAGACAGAAAACCGTAACTTTTCACGCGGCTCAACGTCGTCATGGAATCCGAATTCAGCGTTCCGCCCGCCCCTTCTCACTTCTGATTTGTCTCGTTCTCGCTCGTTGTAAGAAATTCTCTGAAAATGGAAGAGAAGGTCACTTCGGGAGAGAAAAAGAGAGAGATCGAAAAAAAACTTATCAAAAGGGAACTGTCATCCCGCATCAAACGGTTTCAGTTCAAATGTTCCTCTACGACTTCCTTCTCCATTCCCCCATTTCTCTATTTTCTTTCTATTTAGGGATGGACCAGATAATGGCGATGGTGAAGACGGTGAGCGGTGCTTCCCCCGCCAGGAATCCGTTCGAGGGGGAACTTCGTATGGAGGTCAAGACCGAGCAAGGCTAGTGGATGAGTCATATTTTGTTTTGAAAAGAAAAAGAAAGAGTTTTGAAAAGAAAACGAAAGCGGAAAGAGAAATAGAAACACCAATTAAGTTTGTCCGCAATTATGTCTGCGTCCCTGCTTGACAAGCGAGTAAAACGGAAGGAAGCGACGTCTTCTTCTTCCAGATTCGATGCTCTCCCAAGTGTTTCCCCATCTGAGCACTTCGAGCGAATCGACCAGCGAAGATCACATGTCATTCGACTATTCAGACGCGTGAGTCATTCCATAAACAAGAACATTCCGAACGAGATATCATTTAAGAGAAGGCATGGGAGACGGAAGGTCACAGCAGCTGCCTTTCCGTCATTTCGTCGGAGATCCACGCGAGAAGAAGCTCCAGGAGAAGATTGAGTTCGTGAAGATCGTCCTGAAACACAAGAGTTCTCTGTTTGGCGACTGCGACGGACACGAGGTTTGTGCCCTTTCCGACCTGTCACTTCTCCATTTAATCACTTTCAGATAACGCCCCGGTCGAAAGAAGATGCGTGGAAACGAGTGGCCGCCGAAGTGGAATCGGCCAGTCTGGAGAGTTACCGAGGGAAGCCATGGGCACGGCTGAGGGACCACGACTGGCAGTACGTGCGGAGACACGCACTCTCCAGGAGTGAGAATTCGAACCGACCGTGCGGGAAGCTGGGAGAACTCGACAAAATTGTCCTGGAAATCATTTCGACGACGGCTCTTGCCAACGCAGTCAACCAGGCCTCCAACTCCCTGATGTCTCAGGGATCCACCAACTCTCACACTTCGCAGCAATCGACTGACAGTGTGGAAATCTGGAAGAGTCTGCTCAGTTCTGTGAACCAGGATAGCACGGACACTCCGGTAAGTCCCTCTTCTTGCTTCCCATTCTCATTCTAAGAATTAGCTTCAGGAAATCGGGACGAGCTTCGATGCCAAAGACGATGTGTTCTGTTCGAAAACAGAAGACGTCTCAGTTAACACTTCAGTCCTCGCGGTACCTGTTCCAGTCCCTCCGGTCACCGGAACTACCGAGAACATCCTCGATTATCTGCAGAAAGTGACCCACGTCTCTCCGAGTCTCACAGTCGACGCCGCCATCCAATCCGTCTCTCGAGCACTCACAAAGTCGCCCATCGCCAAGTGAGTCACTGCCCGAATTCAGAGATCACGTCTGTAATTCCAGGAAGATGACATCCCGTTCTGCGACGGCGCCGTCCGTCTACGCCATCACCTCATCCACTGCCTCGCCTCCGCAGATCGCCACAACGTCGTCCATCCAGCCGCCGCCAGCCAAACGGCAGCGGATCGAGTCGGAGAAGTTAGACACTCTTCCACGAACTAGACATAAAATATTCATAATATTTGTTCAGAAGTCCTTGCGCTTCTTCGGTGACGTCAAGTTTCGAACAGAAACGGGAAACTCTGACGCTTCGGAAGATGGAGGTGGACATCCGACACACCGAACTGCTCAATGAAAAACTTGAACTGCAAGTGCAACCCTACCAAAACCGCCGCTAACATTCCGTTATAGAGAAATCCGTGCAATCGAAGCCCAAGAGAAGCGAGCACAAGAATTGCACGCGATCGAAGTGCGCGCGGCGAAGGCCAGAATGCTTCGTGGAGCGGCGATTGACGAGCCGTCCATCGAATCGAACCAGCGGGTTTTAGTCCGTCAACCGAACGGGTACAACTTGGAATAGACACCGGATAGTTGGATAGATTTGTTCATACTGTATTTAGATTTATATATTTTTTGGGTAGTTTCCGCTTTGTATCATATTTCCTCTTGTGATCGCCGACAATTTCTCTTTGTGATATTTACAGTAGAATAATCGTTTTGATCTACTGAATTCGATCTCCTTCTTCCGTTCTTTTGGGTTTTTTTCTTAATTTCCATTCGTTATTATTGTTTTGCGCGAATGCGTCCAAACGGGCTCCTCATCTTCTTCTTCTTCTTCTTTTCCCTTTCCGATTTCGCAATCTTCTATTTAGTTTTGATTCAATAAAAATTGCCAGTTGGTCTTTCCTGTTCGCTCCAAAGTGAAAGTGATACTCGTTTCAATATCTCATTTTGTTTATCGTTTCCTCCGTTCGAATAAAATAAACAATTTCCGGTCAGTTTGCAGAATGGAGGCTCTTCTGCGAAACGCCGACTTCCGCTTCTTCATGCAATGGCCGTTCGGAGTGCTGATGGGAGCTCAGACGGTTCGTTTTCTATTGGTCTCCACTCGAAAACCGTCCCGTTTAAGTTCTTCTCTTTCCTTTCTCTTATCGTCTTCTACTTTGCCGCATTCCTGTACGAGGGCACTTCGTTTGTCATCACCACGCTCACACTTCTGCTCGTCTGCAGCGTCGTCCACAACGTCATCCACGTGTTCGGCCTACATCGCCACGTGTTTAACTTGAGAGGCGAATCCAGGTTCCTTCCAGGCACCCTTCTCGTGAGTTCTCCCGCTCTTCTCCTTCCGAATTCCCCTGCACAGGTCTTCTTCACTTCCCTCATTTCTACCGTCGGAATGTTCTTCTCCACTCTTATCGTCTTGGTCGCATTCATCGATTCTCTGCGCTTTTCACCCCGTCTCATCGTCGTCTATGCCATTCTCTCGGTAATTTGAAACTTCCGGCTCGTCCGAATGACCTATTTCTTTTCAGGTGACGTGCTCAATTCTGCTTCTCGCCTGCGGTCGCATCGTCGTGCTTCTGGTCCGGGCGGCGCCGAACGGACAATTCCAGGCGCTCGTGCAGGTTGTCATCGAGGGAGACCGCACTTCCAGGTCCGTCCATTCTCCGTTTCCCCTCACTCGAACTCTCTTCAGAATCTCCGCTCCCATGCCGCCCCCCGATAATTCGACCAGCAACAGGAATACGACGACGACGACTAACTTGGTTTGAAGCGTCTTTCTGCTCTTCATCGGAATCTCATTCCATTCTCACATCGATTGCTTCGTTCTCATCGTATTTCACTCCTTGCCTCTGCCGTTTTATCGGAAATTCCTGTCGAACATTTGCGCTTTAACCTTGTCAAACATGAAAATTTTCGAACTGAGTCGTTATTATAAACATTTCAATTTTTTGGCTGATAACTTTATTCCATCATTTCACAAGAGTAATGTTGAGTTTGGGACGAGCAAATCGAAAGGATCTGCAATAAAAGAATTGTACAAGAAAAATGAGAAGAAGGTAGAGATCGAGTCTCCATACAAACGGAACATAAATAGATTGGAATTAGTTTGGTACAACTTTAAATGGGAGCGACAGATAGGGGAAATAACGTTTTTTTGCAAGATATATATAAAAAAGCGCAAAAACACGATTTTGTTTGGTGGCCTGTAAATATGGGAGGAAAATCGTGAAAAATAAATGTGGACGCAAAATTATGAAGAATAAATATAGGGAGTAAGAATTGATGGGATAAAAAGTGAGAATTGGTGGAGCAATCAGTTGCTGGGGCCGGCCTCTGCGGCATTCTTCTTGTTCTTGTTCTTCTTTTGCTGCTTCTCCTGATGCTCCTCCTCCGCTTGTTTTTTGTCGAATTCCACAGCTTCAATAGCCAGTCTAGCGTCGTTCTTAGCTCTCTCAAGAGCATCACCGACGAGGCGGGTGCACGTGGAATGACCGTCGGCAAAATTGGTCTGGAAGATCACGTCGGCATTCGAGAACATTCCCTGCTTCAGGGAAACGATGATGAACTGAAAATCATTCATAAGGAGGCTGTAATTGAGAGTATGATCACCTGGCTGTTGCGGAAATGAGTTCTGATCATCATTCCGATGTTGGCAGTGTGAGATAGATCGAGGGCGGCATCGACCTCGTCAAGAATGTAAAGTGGAGCTGGTTTGAACTTGAGCATGGCCAGAATCAACGAGAGAGCGACAAGGGAACGCTGGCCTCCGGAGAGCTCGTGAAGACTGTCTTTCTCGACTCCGTTGAACGAGACTTTCACTTCGAGCCTTCGTGGAATGTCTTGCCCTCTGGAGGTCTGAGCTTAGCATCGGCATCTGGCAGCAAGCAGTTGAAAATTTTTCCAAAGTCCTGAAAGATTGCTATTCAGTTTTCTTATGTAATTTCTTTTTTCTGCTTCTTCTAAAAAAAAATTAGAAGGCAATTCTGGGATGAGGACGGCAAAATGTCTCAGGTTTCGCAAGATTATCTCACAGCCATTCGAATTAAATCGTAGATTAGGACATCATTGACAGCGGCCGACCTCGAACCAGTGGCCGCCAGCCTACTTGCGCGCACGCACGTTACCACCCGGCCGAGGGGCACTCACGTTGTCGATCGAAGCGTACGCCTTTTCTAACTCCGCAACCTTGCGTGTGTCGAGGACCGCGATTGTGGTCTTCAGCATTGCAAAGTCCTCCTTCAGTTTTTCTCGCTTGTTTTTGATGTCTATGACCTGAAAATATACATTTTTCATTCACATTCATAATGATCACGTTAGCAAGACAATATAATCTTTGTCGTCAGCTGTAGAATCGCTTACCCTAGCCTCACAAGTATCCAAATTCGAAACGTTCTTCACGCATAGACATCTTTCGAGCTTCTCGATTTTCTCGTTTAACTCATTGACCTCGGTACTTCCCTTTTTGGTTGTGTAGCCTTCGAAGTCGAAGTTTCCTCCTTTCTTGTTGAAGTTGACCTGCTCATCCTTGATCCATTCATTTTTCTTTTCCATAGCCTTGGCGTGCTTCTCGTTCGCCTTCTCTGCTTCGATGAGTCGTGTTACCTCATTCTCTCTCTCTTCTTTCTTTTGTCTCTGGAGATAAACTTATTTACACTCGAAATACTTTGGCGTTTTCCTACCGTTTTCCCTTCCTCCCTGCGCAATGCATCAGCTTCCTTTGACAGTTTCGCGAGACGGGAGCTCGCCTGTCTCAATCTGCTCTTCTGCTCGTCGATCTTCGTCTGCACTTGATGCTCCTCTGCCAGCGCAGCTTGCAACTCGGCTTCAGCTGAGGGCAACTTTGCCTGGAACTCCTCAATCGCTTTCTTCTTATTATTCACTTCCTCCTCATCTTTTTTCAACGAGGCTTCCAAATCATCGACCCCCGCTCTGAAACATGCCATTTTCTCTTAATAAATCAATTCTAAAACATACGACAAAGTCAAAATATTCTGTTTGGCAGCATCCGCCTGGTCCTTGTTTTGTTTGGCTCTTTCGTCAGCTTCACGGAGCAAACGCTGCAGTTCCTTCTTTCTCTTATCCTGCGAATTCTTGTCATTGTTCTTCATCAGGTCGAGATTTCTGACTCTTGTTTGCAATTCTGCGAGCTCTTTTGATTTTGTGGCGATCTCCTGTTCCGAATCGGCGATGACCTTCTTGGCCTCATCCAGATCCTTCTGAACAACTCCGATTTCCGAGTTTTTCATGTTGTTCTTGATTTGAGTCAGCTTTCGCGCCTTTTCGGTCAACTCGCTGTTCAGGCGCTCGTATTCTCGACTAAGGGATTCGTTGCGTTTCAGATCGACCTTCAGTTGATCCATCTGCTGCCACAACTCGACTTCTCTCTCTCGCATTTCCACCAATGGAGCAAACGTGAGCAAGGTGCTCTTGTTTCCCTGCTCCAATTTTCCTGCTGACATGACTCCAGTATGTCTCACATCTTCTCCTCTGGTCGTGATAACACGCAAATGAACTTCTTTGTCGTACGCGATCGCTCTAGCGCACGGGAGAGACTCCACCACGAGAATCTGGAAAAAAAATATAAGGTCTGCGATTGGAAGTGTTGCAAACATTTCCAAGGCAATTGAGGAAGGTATTGCTGATGCATTCGGGATACTCGATGAGGTCGATGAGTTTAGTGACCTTCTCATTGAACGCTGCCGCCTGAAAACGTGTTTGTTTTAGTTTGGTATCCCTTTGGCATAACAATATTTTTTCCCTCTTCATCGCCGTCGACACATCAACTTAACGTTGCGCTTCGAGTCGGCGACTACTTCCGGATAAAAGTCACTCGCAATTATCGGTGACGATTAGCTCCTAGCCGCTTCGCTTAACCGTTGACAAGAAAGTCACGCACGTCTTCCCCAGACATCTATTTCAAAAATGCCTTCGTCAGTTCTCCGGTTTCGGGAGAATAGAGCAAGTTTGCAATCCGACGCGTAGACAAGAGAGCAAAACATATGCAAATGTCATTTTCCTAAATTTATATTCGCGCTCGCATCCATCGACATCTTCTTTCAGTTTTCCCCTCATCTTTTCTTCATCCCACGCCTGGTTTGTCAAACATTGCCGAGTTCGCTGAGAAGGCGATGCGAGTGTGTGTGTGCACACACTTCCCCTGCTCCTCCGGGGACTCCACTCGTCCGACAATTATTCATTTTTGTGTTCTGTCCCCCAAACGATATCCGGAATGAAAAGAGCCCTTTCTCCATAGGGATAAGGAAGATGCCTTTTCAATGCTCTCAAACTCTCATTCATACTAGACTCGCTTTCGAACAGAACACCTTAGGAGGTTCTTGCGCAGTCCGAACGAAAGTGGAAATAGGAGAAGAAGCTAGAATCTCGCAGAAAACACGCCGGAAACAAGACGGGCTTATGATTGATGGGTTGGCACAGGCAGCGTGAGCTGACGCTCCACTATCTCAATGTGCGCCATGCCACGTCACATCTTGCGAAATGATCGAATGACCACGAGATGAGTGCTACCATTAAAAACATTACACAGACAAAAAAAAACCGAAGAAGGGTCAATTACTCTGGCGAACAATAAGCTCATCGATCCTCCCATCCAAAACCAACACTATCTAAAATTCTACATTGCACTCTGCAGGGCCGAAAACAAAAAGTGTGAGGCGAGCGGATATTCGGACGAGCGAACCGCTCCTCTCATCACAACGCGCTATTTCCAGCCACGTTCAACCCAACCAATTTCTTTTTCTCATCTCGCTAACCGAGTTTTTATTCTCTTTTTCTTCCCATCTTTGTCACATTTTCACCGTGAATGTGTATCTGCGCGCGTGTGTGTGTGCGTGTGCATTCAGTGTCCCATAGTCTTCCTCTTTTCTTCTTATTTGCCTCGTTGTTGTTTTTCGATACTTCGTTGTCGTTTTTTGTTTGCCTACACCGACGAACGCGTCTGTTATCCGCTTCTAATCTAATACTGCCGAAAGAGTCCTCTTCTGTCCCTTTCTCGACGCCTTCCTGCCCTCTCTCTCTCTCTCTCCCTCTGCTCTGCCTTCACTTACTTCCAGGTTCATCTCTTTTTCAGTCGACGCCGATAACCACACGGAAATTCGTATTCGCCTTCTCGTTTTCTCCCCAAAAACGTTTTTGATTGTTCTTTCTTCAACGGCCAAAACTTCTTCCGGAAATCATTGTCTACGCATTACCTACTTGCATTTGCGTTAATGAATGCGGGCAATAAGCGAAAGAGACAAAAATACAAATATTTTCGGCGGGTCGTGGCTCCCTCCTCTTTTATGTACTACTCTTTGTTATGGCCGGGCTCCACTCTTCCCCTGTCGCCGTCCCTCTTCTGCGCACCGCTCCAAAACTGCGACAGACGGAAAGACTTATGATTCCAGAAATGGCGGCGGCGAGCACAAAACCGTTGCGCACATTCGCGCTTCGGTCTAATCAAAAACCGCTTTCTCTTCCGTAGTCGGTCGACATCTATCGCTTCTCCGAACAAACAACGTCTATATACGCAACGGCACTACTGCCACCGCCGCATCCTCCCTTCACAAACGCGTCCATACACGGGAGGCTCCTCCGACTAGAAAGCGGCCGCAATTTTTCATTTTTCGAACCGCGAGCCCCCTCTCCTCGCGTGAATATCCTTTTCGTTTTCTTTGATCGCTAAAACTGGAAGAGGACTAGAATTACTTACTTGTTTTTCGGCCGCTGCGAATTTAATGGGGCACATTGGTTTCGCCTGGTTGGATGGACGTGAGTTCTCCGAGACTGGAACCATTGTTCTACGTCCGCTGAATGCCTTACTGTCGATGAGAAGACGGGCAATCTCCTGGTTACGAACGACGATGTTCGTGAGCTGAAAAAATATTATTTTATTCTCTCGATCCTCATGGTTCACCAGATCAAATCTCAGTCAATTTTTCGAATGTAGTTCCCTAATCCGCTAGTCATTCTATCACCTACAGAACGACCATTTGCTGTGTGCTATGAGAAGTGAGCAATAATCCGAAGTTCGTAAACAATGACCGCTGCCAGTGAGTCTCAACCAAATACTTCTTCCGCTGACTTTTGCGATCTTTCCCACTTTAATTACACATCAACGTCTTGTTGCCTTGCCCATTTTTGACGTTTTCGTGAGTCCCCAACGGTCCGCCCGCCCCTCTAATTAATCCTCCTTCGTCCCACATTCCAACTGCACCCAAATCTAATTCGCCGCTTCTTTTCCTTCATTCTTCGCTCGTTTTCCTTCTCCTCCTCCTCCTCCTCCCTTCTATCAAAACCGGGCGGTGCCTTCGCCTTCGTCACACAGCTCTTCACAAAACGACGAAAACTAAAATAAAGAAAACGAGAGGAGCAGTAGGAAGAGTAGTTGTATTTTCAACGCTCTCCATCGTCTGCCGGTCTTGCTTCGCCTTCTTTCGTCCGCCTCGGTGCTGTTCAACTTCCTGTTCAGGATTAGGTTTTCATCTTTTCACATATTCTCCCAAACTCCGAAAGAGTCGACGTGGCTAAAATGTTTCGCTTCCTTGTCTTCCATTCTCCTGTCAAGTTCTGATAACTCCGGACTCATCGGACGAGTGACGGGCCGAATGTCTCTGGAGGTGTGCACGCGTGAAAAGGGGAGTTTTGGCTGGTGTCACTCCGTTTTCCATCAGCCCAAAGTTGGAGTATCGACGTGTTGAAATAGGATATCCCATCAAAGAATAAGCTGCAGTCTCGCCGCCGTCAAGCCCACACCACCTTGCAACACTCAATTACGAGCCAGCAACTTGTCGTGACATCAGTCTTCCGGGGTGCGCCTCCCACCTAATTATACCCCTTTCAGCATAGACACTTATTCTCGTCCGCCGTCGTCTTCCTCCACTCTTCTACCAAAACAACAACCCTCAGTTTATAATAACGACCGGCCGTTGATTCATTTATTCACATCTCAGCTCGAAACGAATGTTGGTTATGAATTATAGCCTTCGAGAAAATAGTGAAAACAGGGAGCTCCTAACATCAAAATAGCTTTTCTCTAGAGGTATTCTTTCAAAGCCCCAGTGCTACTGACAACTTCATTTCGGACTGACACTCCGGCTCGATGGACGCCCGTCACTTCGCCGGGGCACTCAACTCAACTTTTGTCGAAACGTGACTTTTCCGGGCGCCCCGCCCTCTGCCTCTTTTGCACCTCGGCCCTCAGTCTCCGCCCCTCCACACCCGGTCTTCTTCGTTGATTCCATCGTGGCGCCCGTCTTCCGTTATCAATCATTCGCCCTGGGTTCTTGCTCATTTGCTCATCGTGTTTTCGGCGGAAAAGGCCACGCAGAGCGGCCAATAGGCGACGCAGAGACATTTATTCGTTGTGCGTTCGGCACGCAGTGGCCCCTCTAAAATTTGAGCCAAAGCTTCACATTAGTCATGTTTTGCATCAGCAAAAAGCCGGTTTTCTTTTTTCGCATCTTTTGCGCATATCTTCGAGCCATTGGCGAATATCTCCCCGAAACTAGCCTACACACAAGAATGAAAACGCGTTTTAGAAGAAGCTCGTTTGCTCCAGGCTGTTTGAGCTTTCTTGAGCTTTCTCTTCGAAAAAACAACTGTTCAATTTTCTTTCTAATGGTTTCTATTGTGCATCTCATTTCTCACATGTCCTTTCTTTGTGCCACCCACCAAATTAAGGCACTTTGTGAGACACGAAATCAAAAGAGAAACGAAGAAACAACAGGAAGTGGCAGAGCCAACGCCGAAAGCGTCTCACTTTTCTCATCGTCATTTCTCTCCACTTCTCATTTTTTGCACTAAATGATCTGCGATTTCGCGATAATCCCGTCCATTTTCAGACATGACATCAAGCGAAGATGTGATCACTCTCAACGTGGGCGGCACAGTGTACACTACAACTCGGAGCACTTTGAGCAAGGAAGCCGATACATTGCTCGCCAATATCGCTTCTGGATCACTGTCTGATGACGAACAGATCAGTGTGGTGACTATGCCGGACGGTTCTCTGTTCCTCGACCGCGATGGACCTCTTTTCGCTTACATTTTGCACTTTTTGCGCACCGATAAGCTCTCATTGCCGGAGCAATTTCGCGAGGTCGCTCGTCTGAAAGACGAAGCCGATTTTTATCGTCTTGAAAAACTTTCGACGCTCCTGGCGGCTAGTTCGACTATTTCTCGTCCACGAACCGCTAATGGATACACAACGTCTGGAGCTGAGACGGGTGTGTTTGTTTTTTTTTTCTAAAGTTGGGAGCAATGACAGAAACTTGGATGCCCGTAGACATTTTTTTCAAATCAGAACTATTCTTCAATATCATCCTATCCGATCCGAAAATACGAAAATACGATCACTAGACATATTAGTCACCCGATACAATACAAAAACTCGTTGCCCATTTGTATGATTCTGTCCAATTTTCAGGTGGATACATAACCCTCGGCTACCGCGGGACATTTGCATTCGGAAGGGATGGCCAGGCCGACGTGAAGTTCCGTAAGCTGCATCGCATTCTGGTGTGCGGACGGGCGACGCTGTGCCGTGAGGTGTTCGCTGACACACTCAATGAGAGTCGTGACCCGGGTGGCCCAGATGACGGCGAGCGATACACGTCTCGTCTCTACTTAAAGCATCAGTGTCTCGAGCGGGTGAGTCCAATCAATCGTATGGTTGGGAAAGGGGGCTCCAGATGACGACGGGATGGAATAAATAAATATTGCCTCGCTTCTTACGCATTCGTTTTCTTTTTTGAAGGCTTGCGATTTGATGGCCGAGAAGGGCTTTAAACTCGTGGCCACATGCTGTTCCGGAGCGAATGGACTCGCCGCCACGAATCATCGATCCTCGCGAGCAATATGGGCAACATTAATCAGACGGTGAGTGCCTACACTCGAGCACTCGACAAGATTGGGAAACGAAAAGGAGCAAGTACTAAGAGGTGAATTGCAGGAGCTCATGAACCACCGCAATTGCGGAGACTACGAGGAACAACGCTGGGCGCACTACACCGAATACGTCTTCTTCCGCGAGCCACAGTCCGGATACATCACACCGTCACCTCGCGACTTATAATTATTTAACCCTTCCCTTCCCCGTATAATATTACTTATCGCTGTTCGATTAACTGTGTCGCATAGATAGCTGACACGAAAATAAAGATAACTAACCAATGGGGCGACAGCGATTTCTACGGCCATAGAAAACGGTTCGGCTCCGGGTTTCAGTTTGCACATGTGAGCGATGCATCCCAAAATATCGTATCTTCTGTCGAAATTCGGAACCGGCGGTTCAGTATAATTCAACTGGAAGCGGGCATTGCTGGAAATCATAAAATTGGAGAAACAAAGGTGAGAATTTGAAACTAACAAGTTGTTCTCAGTCAATGTTTTTCTGTTTGCCTCGATACTGTCGAGTTCTCTTTGTACAGCACTGATCAGATTCGAGTCAGTTTCGTACTTTTTCTGGTCAAAGTGGAGGTTGTTTATTTTTTCCGACAACTTGTTGACCTGAAATCTGTTTTGATTAGGAAAGGTCGAGCCTAATGAGCATACATCAGTTTGAAGTGATCCCAACGAGCTGATCTCACTCTTGCTGCGGGAAGCTAGGTTGTCGTGCTCGCGTTGCAGTTCTTTGGTACGTTGAAGTGTGCGTTCCTTGCTGAAACGAAACAAACGTATAAATCGGTACAAAGACATAGAAAATACCGATTCTTGGCTGTCTTGATAGAAGCTTCGAGCGTGGAAACCTTCGTTCTGCACTCCTGCACCTCGTGCTCGATCGAAACATGCTGGCCTTGGTCGTTGGCAACGGTTCCTCTGGCCAGCGACTCGAGTTCATCACGATACTTGTTGCCGAGCTCCTCCTGTTCCTTGAACTCGTTGATCGCCTCTTGGCCTTGGGCACGACCGGACTCCAGTTTCTCTCGTTCCTTATCGATAATAACTCTATCCTTGACAAGAGCTCTGTTTCCAATGTCCACTTCCTTTGTCAGTCTCGAGATTTCGTCGGTGATCTCCGCCTTCTGACCCTCGGCCGCGAACTTCACTTCTTGTTTCTGCTTGAGCTCTGCATGCAACTCGTCGTCCAAGTCCTTGTTATTGCGATTCTCCTCCACCTGTTTCTTTTCTTCTTCCTTCTTCTCCAGATCCTCTCCGATCTCTAAGATCCTCTTCTCCAATTCCACAACTTGAACCTTCACAACTTCGACTTGCTCCCTGTCTCTTTTGATTTGTTCAAGAATCTGGAAGAACTGGAACGCATCCAACTTCCTCAGCGCGCTATCTCTGTTCTTGGTCAGTCTCGTCACTTCCACCATGTTCTTCCGATCCTCGCGGAACTTTTCCATTCTTGGATCGATACTGACTGCGAAGATCTTGTCGATCTCTTTGATCTTCGCCTCCTTCACAAACATCGTCTTCTCGGCATCTTTCTTTTTCTGGTCAAACATTTTAGTTCCGGCGGCTTCTTCAATCATTCCAAGAATCTCTTCTGGCTTCATGTTAGCACAGTGGTGATGCGGCCTTGCATAATCAGAAAGTGAGGATTATTGACGTTGAGACCGATTGAACGGAAAAAGTCATGAATCTGAAAACTTTTTGCGAAACTCGTACCGATTCCGTTCGTTACCTTGGCGTTAGTGCAGGCGTGTCCGTTGAGAGTGTAGTTCGTGGCGCAGCCCTTTCCGCTGGCCTGGGCAATGATCGTTCTCTGAACAACAATCTCCTTGAGATGCTGCATTCCGAACGGCGAGAATTCACTAATTTCATTGTCAAATCGAATCTGAACAGTTGCTTTGGTTCCTCCGTGAGAAATCAATTCAGCCATCGATTCTGAAAATGCATTTGAAAACTAATACGGACTGCACATACATACTGGCTCTGATGTTGTCCAATTTGTTGATTCCCAGGATGAAGCAGATCGAATCAAGAACATTTGATTTTCCACTGCCATTGTAGCCTAGAAGCACAGATATTTTAAATAGTACTGGATTCTTCTTTCGTAATTGCTTAGGTTTCGCAAGCACAGTAAAACTTCAGCAGAAGCACTCTCAAAAATACAGCTGTGCCGATTTGAAATGAATTTTCGAAAGTTTCATGCTTCAGCAATACAATAGTTAATTGAATTAGAAAAGAAAAACAAAGCAACAAGCAGATCGAACAAAAATCGAACAAACCTGTGATTGCATTGAACTTATTTGAAAATCCCTCGATTTCGGTGCTTTTTTGATACGACTTGAATCCATCCAAATGGATGGATTTGATGAACATTGTTTCAGCACCTGAAAAATTACAAAATTCACCGCAATGGGGCTATTCAGCGTATTTTGTTTTCCGTTTTTTTACATCGCTGAATTGGGGTTTTTAACGTAAAAAAACGGAAAAAAATCATTTTTTCACAGCCGGAATAACTCCATGAAATTGGTTAAAACGAGACGCGAAAAAGTGTTCAATTTGGACAATTTGGAATTTTGGCGCCTTTCGGTGTCCGCATGCACGGCGGTGTTTGCAGACTACGACAACCCAACATCTTACGCGCACACTCGCCGTCTCCAGTCCCGCGCTCTTTTTCTCTAGCGCCACACATTTGCAGTCATGAGTTCTTCAGAGCTTCTGATGGATTCAGAAAAAGAAGAAGCGGTCACCACGACGCAATCAATTGAAGTCCAACACGAGGAAGTCATCCCGGGGTGAGATACGCGCCTATTGATTTGCAAAGCTTCAGAATATTGTTAAACAGTGAAAATTCAAATTTAATTGTTTACAGGTCGTCACCAGAAGGAGTGTTTCCTAACGATGAACAACACTTGTTCGAAACGTCCGAACACGCAAACAATCAACAACATGTCCCATTGGAAGTAGAGGATTTGAAGCACGGAGAGGAAATTGTGGAGGAGCAACCAGTGCAAATGGGCGAGATGATTGTGGAGGACGGAGATCATCAATTCATGGTACGAAACGGAATCATAAAAAAGAAGGAAAGTAGTTTGTTCAGTTTCAGAATATGGTTCAAGTAACACCGGAAGACGTTTACGAAGCTGGGTTTGACGTGGAAGATTTGAACAACTTGACTGAGGAACAACTGAATATGGTGGTTGCAATCAGTCAGCAGAGACAAGCGAAGCAAAACGGTCAAGAACACGCAGAAGAAGGAAACGGCCACCATCACATGATGCACCACGAAATGATCGGAAACGAATTCGACGAAGGAGCAGGAGGAGATGGCAACGAGTACGGTCCAGACGACGGCCAATCTCAGATGATCGACAATAACATGCATCTCATACTGACAAGCGACGGCGGAGTGAATGTGACCGACTTGAAGCAGCGGCAGTTTTATGTAAGTTTCGAAATAGGATGAGAGAGAGAGAATGCGTTGCCATGGGCGACGCACCGACAGAGAGACCAAGAGTATAATCCGTTGGACGGAAAAGAAATCAGAAAATACGTGTGAATCCTCTGGGCATAGGTATACGAAATACTTAACACTCGTGGTCGGTGAGAGAAGATGAAATGCGATAGAAAGAGAAAGACGGTAACCTGCGATTAGCAAGCAGATGAGAGAAGCGCCGCAAAAAGAACAGGTGCATAGCACAATTTTCGGATTATAATGAGCAAATAATGACATACAACGGACTAATTATCCGATCTTACGCGCAATAATTTTCAGATCCCGCCGAGTTCCATCGCTAGTTTAAATATCGACCTTAACAATCTGACCAATGATCAAATCCAGCAGATTCTGCAATTGGTTCCAACGACACTGTAAGAAATTCAGGGATAACTTTGCCTATTGATTTGAAATAATTATTTCATTATTTCAGCAAAGAGACTGAAGACAAGAACGACGAATCTGCGTACAATCGGGATGTGCACGATCAGGCCCCGTCCACCAGTTACCATCATCATCACGGACAAATGAGAACAGATAGTATGGATAAGCTCGAGAATGCGAACAAAGTATTCGTTAGTTACAGAAACTGTTCGGAATCCGATGATAGGTGAAAGTGTGCAAATCCGCACGCCCGACGGAAGACTTCAGGATGCCGTGGTCAAGTACGTCAGAGGGAACGAGTTCAAGATCCAGTTCATGGATGGAGAGTTCGCCTACGCGACGACCGACCAAATGCTCGTTCCGGACAGAAATCGAGATCACGTGGACTATCAGGAGCCCGCTCCAATGCTCGTTCGCCGGGCAGACATGGGTCGTATCGGTCCGCAGAAGAGGACTACAACTTCAGATGACCTGTGCCCTCCGGTGCTCAAGAGGTCCTATCAGTTGGCGCCAGTGGTTGATGGACCGCACGTAGCGCACACTCCCAACTTTTGTTGCCCTATTTGCGATAAGAAAGTGTTCCAAAAAGAACCATCTTACATTGTCATTCGGCTGCCAGCCTGTGATTCGTGTACACGAGAAAAGATCATTGTGCTCGACGAACAAAATTCATGACGAAGCCATTCCCAGTACTCCAACTTCTGTCGATAATTCGTAATTTCCAAGTACACTGAATACTTCATGCTCCAATCTAATTCAGCCCTTTTTCTTTAACCATGTCGCTTATAAAATACATTTATGAACAAATTCTGTCCTTGTAAAACACACTCGAGGGTAAGACAGGGCCGAGTTTGCAATATTGTACACGAAAATAAGGATGCCATCCGTGGCTCATCCCGGTTTACTTTTTCGCTCCTCTCGTCATGAAAGCAGCGAGTGCCTGGTGGCATTCCTTCGATTGCCAGCGCTGAGTAATTAAGTCACATTCGATCTGAAAATGTAGTACTAGATCAGAATTCTAATAAAATGCACTACTTACGTCATTCACTTCGAGAAGCTTCTCGCGGTGGAACGAACGGAGAAGAGTCTTGTTGATGCGAAGACTCTCCGGTGGGATCTGCGAGAATTCCTCGACGGCCTTCTGAGCTTGCATCTGGAACTCCGCGTCGGGCACCACTTCGTTGATGAGTCCGTAGTCCTTGGCAGTTTGAGCAGAGATCTTCTTGCAAACGAGCAGCATTTCCGAAGCTCTCAACGATCCCATTATCAGCGGGAAAGTGTAGCTGGAGGCGCCTTCCGGAGACTGTCCGAGCGGAGCGAACGGCGTGTGGAACGATGATTTATCCGTGGCGATGACGTAGTCGAACATCCCGAGCACGGTGACGGCGATCCCGACGGCCGGTCCGTTGATCAGTCCTATCAGAGGCTTCTCGTGCTTGATGTACGCCTGGAAACACGCGATAATGAATGGAAAACGGGCGAGCAACTTACGTCGACATAGTCGTGAAGAACCGCTTTCGCAGCATTTGCCATCTCGGCAATTTGCTCTTTGTTCCCTCCGGCAGCCGCTTTGAAATTTGTCAAATCGTTTCCGGCGGAGAAGTACGGGCCATTTGCAGCGATAACGGTGATCGACGTGGATTTGTCATTGTTGGCGACTTCCAGCGCCTTCTGAATGCCCTTGTACATGTCCAAAGTCAGCGCATTGAACTTTTTTGGTCTGTTCAGAGTAATCTTGAAAATTTTTCCTTCGCGGGCCACCATCAGTCCGTCGACATTCTCCAGGCCTTCGACTGAAGGTCCGGTCGGAGCTGGAGCCGCAGCGGCGTCTTCCGAAACGAGTCCGCCGACGAGCTTTGCATAATTTTCTCTCGCCTCGTCCTGAGTCTGTCCTTTCAGACTGTTCCATGCGTCGAACTTGGCGCGCCCGACGAAATCGATCATGCCGGGCCGCTTCCCCTGAGCGTCCCCGACCGTGGCCTGCTTGAACAGCGCATACAATTTGAGCTTCACATCATTATCCGGCTCCTCTTTCAACGTCTTCAGTTTCTTCTGCGCCTGTTCAAAGTCCGCTTGCGTTGAAAACGAACGGGCGATACTGAAAAAAAAAACCGGTTTATTGACTGGCCAAACAACAATTTTTTACGTTTGTGGACTATAGAGAATGCTTCTGGCGGCAAGTGAGATATTTCGGAGCATTCTGAAAAATAAATAATATTCGAGAGAAAAGTGAATGGAAGCGGAGAGACAACGAAAAGAGGGGAAGAGAACAAAGTACGCGGGAGGCCGAGGGGAAAGAATGATAAGAACGGCCACGGGAGTGTCTTTCCCCGTTGTTTTGAAGAAGCGACTACGAATAAAACTACGTGTAGTCAGAGATCAGCAAGTTAAACAACACGTGCGTCTGCCGATAAACAAAACAAAATGTGTCCAACTTTCCTTTTTCGTGAAGATAAAGAACGGGACAACCTGATTGAACAGAGCTCACGCGGGAAAATATGTATATCGTCTCCTTTATTCTGGTAGAAATGATGGAAATTGTGAAGGTAAAACAGGCGAAAAGGGTAAGTTACACGATTGAGAGGAGAGACAGAAGAGAATGTGATCAGTGGGTTCCGCCGTTTACCAGATCTTCCTGGCCACCATCTTGCCTTGCGGAGTCACGTTCTCCCGCTCGTCCCCTCTCTCCGATGTTTCCACTCCTCCGAAGCTCTCCGGCTCGATCATCCTTTTCTTCTTCGCCGCCGACGCTCCCGTTTTGTCATCCGATTCAATGAACTCGGCGATGTTCGTGGGCGTCGCCTTCGGCCGATACTTTCCGATGATCATCTGCTGATGACACGCCGATAACTTTCGGCGGAACAATTTCTTCAGAAGCGGCGTCTTCGAAACTCCATCGTCTTGCATCTTTTGCGGCGAGAACTCAGTCTGCACTTTCATCTGAATTCGGAGTTTTATCAAAGATATTGATTCATCGATTGCTCACCTGAGAATTCTGATTCGGTGTGGAATTGTTTAGTGGGATCATCGTCTGCGTGCTTGAAAAAGATCTGGACAACGCGGAGAATTCAGAGAAATATCCAATGAGCGCATTTTTTTAGAATTCAAATGAAACAACTCCCGCCATCAGAATACTGTGTACAATGTTAGAAGATCAAAACTTTTAAGTAGTCAAAAATTGTCTCGTCCATGTTCGTTTTCAAATTTGCCGCCACTTGTGTGTTATCAATAGAGCACATCTGCATAATTTCATAGCGCAAATAAAAAAGAACAGTTTATTGTTTAGACTCTGACGACTATACGAGTAGAAAGAAAACAATGAAAGGATTGGAAAGAACGCATTTTGAAAAAGTAAGTAAAAGAAAGAAAGGATAAGGCCACCGCATACGATGCAAATGGGTGAAATGACTATTGGGAAACGAGGGGGGAGACAGAAGAAACAGGGGAGGGGCAAGATACGAATAGATTATAAGACAAAAATAGAATTAATTACCCTGTAAAGTTGACAAATAGAGGAAAATGAGGAGACTCAAATTGGCTGCCTACAAATTGCATAAACATTGTTCGCCTAGACAAGTTGTCAAAATGGTCGGAAAAAAGAAAGATGGGGGGAATGATACCTGAGTTTCAGAGTGTTTCGAATCGGTTAAACGTGGGTGGCTAAGCACATAGTGAAGCGGCACAGAATTTGAGCAGATTTGGAGGGGGGTGTAAGAGAATATACGAGGACGAACAATCGACCCGTTTCGCATTGAATCCGATATATTCTAGAGCTGGTGTACAGTACTATCACGACGAACGAAAACAGGGAAACGAGGAAGCAGAACTACGCTAACACTGAAGTAATTATTGCTGGGGAATACAGTGGGGCCGGGCGATTTGGAGGTATAATCGTTCGCCGGAAGCCTTGACGAATGTTACTGCGGAGAGCTGAAAAGGAGGAAATTGAAGGGAACGGACGAATATTACGGTACCTGATCAGATACGGGAAGGGCGTTGACAGCAAGGATTCTGTCTCCGACCTTCAGTTTTTCAGCGGCGGCAGATCCTGGCTGAAGGGAAGTGACGAGTATTCCACGGGATCGTTTGCCGATTCCCATTCCCAGTTGCTGATCGACAACCTGGACGAAACACTTAATGATCACTTCCCATTAAGCTTAATTTTTACCTTTTTGAGCTCGACGAGCAAGGTGTCACTGCCTTCTTCCCGCAGATCGTGGATGATGTCGATGGCTAACGAGTTATTGTTGTTGCTGCTTGACGTCGTCGTCGTCGTCTTCTCACGCTCCTCTTCTTGCACACTCATCTGTTATTCACTCTATTGGACTTCACCTTGGAATTTTAAACTCACAAAGTCATTTCCAGAAGAGGGCTCTTCAGTTACCGGCGAGAGACCGGCCGGCTCTTGCTGAGTTTCGCAGCCTTCCGGAGAAGTGTGTGTGATGATCGGACGCATTGGCGGCGCCGGAGGAGGAACATCCTTGCGTTCCTCCCTCGAATTGCTCGGAGTGGGGACGGGTTCTGCGGATGAACTGGCTTCAGGGAGTGCGGTTCCCGCTGGCGTGGATGACGTGGCAACTGGAGCGGAAGAAGAGGATGGCGCGGGGGCCGGAGTGGAAGTGGTGGCCAGGGGAGAGGGGGCTAGTTTCGTACCCGCCGTATCATTATTATTCTCAGTTGTCTGAACAAAACTGAATTGGAAACGGTCCGAGTGGATCGGAGAGCCGAGACGAAAGTGCTGGTGTCACTGGGTGAGGGTGCGAGACATCGGTTAGATCGACCAGCACTTTGTTCTACGGACGGATCGGGTAAGCACGTGCAGAATCGGCCATGAAATCAAAAAATGACTCGAGAATAAAGAGTAAGTGGTGCGTCCAGTTTCAACTGAAGATTCGGAGTAAGTACGAAATGAAAAACGATGGTCTCCATGCTGATGACGTCTATCGGAAAATAATAATAATGAAAACTGAATGCATCAACTGGTGAATCGTGAATTGATCGGGTTGCGGCCTGCCATTCGACACTGTGCTCACCTTTCTACCAACCCTCGGAGTCGTTGCCGACTTGGCCAGTGCCTGTGTGGCCGCGTGCACTCGGTTTGCTGTCTCCGTGATCTTCCATCGGCCGAGCTGAACGAAAATGTTTTCCGAAAATGTCATGGACCCGTCCTCACCTTCAAATGAACCTTTCCTGTGATCGTCTTGAGCATGGCAGCAACGTCCTCCTGCATGCATCCTCTCACATCTTTCCCGTTCACTTCAAGGATCTGATCTCCCGTCATCAGGCGCCCGTCCGACTCTGCCAGCCCTCCTTTCACTATTTCACTCACATACACTCCCGGCTCGTTCTTCCTCCCCACAATCGAAATACCGAGTCCTCGGCCGGTCTTTTTGACCAGATCTATCTCGAATATATTATAGATCTGGGTGGGATCGAGGAGTGAAAGCTGGAGGTTGACGTCCCGATAAATGAGTAATCGGACTTTGGGAGGTGTCCTTCGAAGGTATGCGATCGACTGATCGTGCGTGACTCCTCGCAACGAGGTTCCGTTCACTTCGAGCACTTGGTCCCCCGGTTTGAGGCGTCCGTCGTGTGCTGCTGCTCCGTCCGAGTACACCTCGTGGATGACTACCGTGCCGAGGACGGTGTCCGCCCCGCCGACGATCGAGAGACCGAGCCCTTTCCCGTCCTTGTCTATCTCAATCATCGTCTCCCGCGCATTCTCGATCGGCTGTGTCTTTTCGATCGAGAACGACTTCTTCCGGCTTAATTCTGAAATGAAGTGTTCGGTGACGATGAGCCCTTCTGTTTCTCATTCGAATACCTTCTTGGTTGGGAGCAGCATTCTCAATGCCTTCCGTAGTTGGCGGCATTTGTGTCGTAGACTTCTGCAAAAGCGCCCACATAATAATGGATGAAAACGGACGAGTGCTCGAAAACAAAAAAGGCCCGCATTAGAGCTTTAAGGAAAGAAAAATGGTTGTGCTGAGGAGCGAAACGAGTGATTAGCACGGCTGTAATTTGTGCTTTCGGCAGGTACGCAAAGAAGTCGAAAATGGGCACAATGAACAAAAAGAAGGAGAAAGAGAAAGAGGAAGGGAAGGAGGCCTTCTTTCAATTTCCGTCGCTTCCAATTCTCGGTGGAGCCCATAGCCGTACACCCAAATGCACACGTGTTGTCAATCAAAAACACGGCGGCGCCGCCCTCACTCTTTCTGCCGAATTGAGCCGCCGGGGGCCGCCCGCTTCTCACACATTCAATTATGAATTATAAGCAAATAAAAAGACCCAAAAATGTTTGGGTGAATGGGAGAAGAAGGAGAAGAAGAAGAAGAAGAAGAAGAAGAAGAAAAAGAAGAAGAAGGGATGGGGGAGAAGGAGTGCGCGAGAGGCTCGGGGCGGATGAAAATCGAGACGAGAGTAAGTGGGCGCTGAGTTGAGTTGTTGTAGAGCAGCCTAAGCGTACTCGCCCGCGTTGGCCAGCCACCCCACATAATCTCACATTCCTTCCGAGCAAAAATGCAACTCGAAAAGAGAGACATAGTGGATAGAAGAAGGCGAGAAGAAAACGAAGAAAACGAACAAGCACAACATCTTCTAAAGTTTGTGTATGTCTTTTTCTAAGAAGAGCTCCATTAGTGATAGATGATTGTGTAGGTGCACGCAGATGACGTCGAAAGAAGGAACTACATTTGGAGCGGAGAGTGCAGACAAGATGATGATGATGCTGGTGGCGGTGGGTTAAAAATAAGTGGACGTCTCCAGAGAATACAATGATAATGAACGCGAAAAGAGCGAGAAAACAAGGCAGAAGGAGGCCGCTGCTTCCCTCCGGAAGACGTTCTGGCTTCTGAATCGGAACAAACACTAACGGATTCAAGTGGCCGACGAAAAAACATTTCGAAACAAAGACGGGCGATGATTTGGTTGACGCGTGGGCGTCTTTCGTTGCTATGGCGAGAATTGTTTTCGAAACCAACCGAACTGATCATTAGAATTCACTGATCCCTTATCACTCTTCCGGCTAGTCGAGGGTGCAAATGACGAAAAGGGATTCGGAAGGGATTATATCGAAATACTAATCCTGTTCGTCCATCTAATTCTTACTTATTTAGAATTCTAGACCGAATAAGACACAGTGACGGAGAAAGGGGGAAGGGGGAGCACAAAAAGCAGATGACAACACAACTTTCTCTCTTTTTTATATAAAAAAGCGACGGGTAAATCTGGCTAATGGTGTGTCGCGGAAAGAAAGGCGAAGGGAGCACAGATCTCGGAGACGCCGGCTCGGAGAGCAGCGAGTGTGCGCGGCGGCTCTCGCGCCTTATTTAGGCCTCGCGACTGCGACGACGACTACTGCGCACGCGACGATATATGAATACACGGGTGGGCAGAGGCAGCGACGACGACGAAGGAGAAGGAGCCGAAGAAGCAGAACAGAGAGAGAAAGGCGAAGTTGGCTCGCTGGCTCCGAAAAAGGGGCTTTCTCTCTCTCTCTCTCCCTTCCTTCTTTCGCACAGATAGAAAAGATACACCGGCAGTTGACGACGACGACGATGACGATGATGATGATGATGAAGATGGAGGAGAGCCTTCAGAAGAAATTGACGGAGAAGTGAAGTGAAGCGAAGGGAAAGAACACTTGTCGCCGGCGTCGTCGACGTCTTCTGAAGGCCTCACTGGAGCACAAACTTCTCCATGGGCCCATGTTTACTTTGCGCCTCGCTTGATTATTTACCCTGCCACATTGCCACCCGCCGTGTATCGCCTTTCATATGATTCTTGGCGGTTTTTCAGACTTTCGCTGTGATTGTCAGGCAAAAACGGGGACAAAGTGCCAGGTGAAGCAAAGCAAAAATGGAAAACTTGTTTGTGTATTGAAAAGTTGATAAATAATTCAACGAGTGACTGGTGTGACGGGAGCGACTGCCGAGGGAGCACGTGAATTTGACGGCGATGAAAGGGGACAGGCTGGCAAAGTGAAATGAAGAGAGGAGAGAAGAAGAAGAAGGAGGGGGAGAAGAAGATGAACTCACCGATTCGGTGGCTGTCGGAGAGGTCGGCGGCGACGGAAGAGACTGACTGCTCGTGACGGTGTCGCTTCGCACGGCGCACTCGGTCTGAAATATCCGATGTAAAAGAGTTTCGATAGAAAGGAGTCCGAGAGAATGCTCACCAGTGCACCATCTCTCCTTCTCAGAACGATCTCGATGTTCTGGTGCTGATCGCAGCACTCTCGGACAACTGCAGATGCTGCCACGTGGGAAATCTTGTTGAGAAGACGTCCGTTTATCTCTAGAAGTTCATCTCCAGGACGTATCGCCAACGGACACGATGGCTTGACATTTACGACAAACACATTCTGTTTGTCACGATCTCTGAAAGGAAAACAACTGAAATTAGATAAACTCTTACTTGGAAACTCACTTATTTCCTGCCAACGAGATGCCGAGACCTGCTTCTGGTCGTTCGCAAGCCACTAGAACCAGTTCTCCGCCGTCCCGATCGTACTTTCTCTCGATTTTTCCATAGGTGTAGAAGAATTTCGAGGGGACTTCGCCTTCGCTCTTAACTTGATAGACAGCGGAGTCTTCGTCGATTCCCAACGCTTTCATGGCTTCTGCTTCCTTCGCAGCCGTGTCGAAGGAAGTGGACGGGGAAATGATGACCGGGTCTTCTTCGTGAGTCTCCGAACTGCTCACATCGGAGACAATGAGTGGAGCTGTCTCGTTGGACGGCGACTTCTTCACCGAATCTTTCTTTTTGACACTCTTCACACTCTTCTTGCTCTCTACAGAAACCTGACGATCGACACTCTTCTCCTTGACGTCCCTGACTGAAACTTTTCTCGGCGGTGTCGATTCCTTCTTCTCCTCTTTCTTCTCCTCCGGCTTCTCCTCCACTTTTTCTCCCGTCTGATCCGTACTCCTCCTTTTCACCGTGTTCTCCCTTTGAATTTCAGGTGAAGAGCACTCGTCCTTGCTCTCTGATTCCATCGAGGTTGTCGTGGATGTTGAAATGGACGGAGGTGGGTAACTGCTCGCTGTCTTTGTCGAATTCGAAGCTACCATCATTGGTTTAACGGAGTAATCAGTGAGGGAGGTGTCATTTCACTTGACTCCTCTGGCTTTGCATTCTCGAATCTGACTGAGCCGACGGTAGAGTTGGAGGCAGAGTTGATCATGTTTTGTTGGTTGGTATGCAGTGATTGGAGTACGAATCTCACCGGATTTGATGCGTTTTTGATCGCATTCACCGCCTGTTCGTGAGTGGCGTCTCTCAAATCCACGTCATTCACCTGAAACAACAGATAAATCTTCCAGAAGACGGAACAGTTGACTTACACTAATAACCCGATCTCCCATGTTCATTTGCCCGCTTCTACCTGCCGGACTGTTCGGCAGCACACTTTTTATGAAGATACCGCACACCGTGTTCCCGGTTCCGGGAAGTCCTCCCTTCTGGGATACTTCCACTCTTCCACCGACAATCGAGATTCCGAATGACTTGTTCGGCTCTCTCACCAACGTCACTGTTCTGGCTTCTCCCCAGTACTTGGAGCGGACCAACTGACGAGCCTGAACATTACCACTTTGCTGAGCGTTCAACGTGCACTGTTACCTGATTCTGAAGGCTCTCGGATCCGGTGGAAGGTGTCCGGGAAGTGACTCTCGACATGCTCGGGTCAGTGTTGTTGAGTGTATGGGTCTGTAGAGCTACCGACTGCTGACTAATTGAAGTCGTCGTCGATTCGTCGTCTTTCAGTACGGCTTCTGCTGGCGTCGTCGCTGCTCCGGCCGCTTCTGCTCCATCCTCTTTCTCTACTTCTTCGTCCGCAACTTCGTGTTTCTCCTCCGTCGCTTTCTCTTCACCTGCCAATTTGATGCCACTCGGCGAAATCGATGGCGGCACTTCGGGCTTGTTTTCCGGGGAAGAGGGCGATGACGTGTTTTGCACGATCGCCTGCTCGACCTCCTCTTCTGTGCTCAAAATATGAAGTTGCGAAGTGCGTTGGCCAGAATGGTATTCTGCGGAAACAGTGGAACGTGTCAGCAGTGCCTCTGCAGGCACTGTGTCGACTGGGCTCTTCGGGGCGGAAGAGAACACTTCCGGCGGAGGCGGCGGTAACGGCGGAGAATCGCTTCGTTCTTCCCGCTGAAAAAGATGCGTTCACTAATCCGCTGAGAGCCACTTTCTTCGCAAATCAATTCGGAACTAGCCCGATTCGATTACCTTGTGGTTCTTTGTGCTGCTCCAGTCTTTCGTTTTGTGCAGCACACTCAGTTCGATGCTCGCATCGGTGATGGCCTCCTGCAAATCACTCAACAATTAGGACGTCTTCAGGCATTTATTCTCTTTCTTCTGGAGACTACGCAAGAATAGAAAATGGATGAGTGAAGTTGGAAAATGCGAAAAAGAGAAGGACAGGTGAATCCTGATATATTCGAAAAGCAGAGCCGCGGGCTCTCTCAAAAAATTATAAATCTATTAGCAGGATGTAGGCTCGGAGAGGCGGGGATTTGGCACGCAGGAAAGCCGTCGAGGATTATCATCGACGACGGAGCCGGCCAGCACCGCGCCTATCGATTTGCATAGAGAAGACAGCATCCACGTCATTATGACGGGCGTGCGACGAAGCGGCAGAAAGGGAAGACTCACTTTTATGATCAGGTTGACAAAATCATCAATTTCCACTCCATCAATCAGCCGCCCGAGTCGCTTCCGAGCTTCTTCTTCGTTTTTGCTCTTCGGCCGACTGCTCTCCAGTTCATCGAGAGCCTGCAATGACTCATTGTATTCAAATGTTTCTTTATCTTCAGGATTAACTCACTCTGACCGGCTGGGCTTCGGACATCGAATCAGTCATGATGGAAGGTGCTTCAGTCTCGTCGTCGGTCATCTCGGTCTTCGAATGACTGCCTTGTCTCTGCATATACGGACTTCGGTAGAACTTGGGAAAGACTCTGAAAATGTACAAATGAATGAAAATCAGATGGGAAGGGAGGACTCTTTTACTTTGGCGAGAGTCGATTAATAATCGGAGAAGACGACTCGGAGGGCCTCTGAAACCTCTCTTTCCAAGTTTTAGCATCCGCTGATGTTATGTATGTGACACTGAAAGGTTGAGAAGATGAGTGGTTGGAAGAAGAAGAATAAGGAGAAGGAGAGATGGGGGTAAATGCTAATTAGTAGTACTCGGAGGGCAAATGATGATGAGACGGAGTGAGCAAAAGAGGGAGAAGCACGTACTTGCAGAAGGTGCCCACTAGATTGGTCCGCTTCAGAATTGCCCGAGCTTGCGAGTTGGTCACATTTCGTAACGACTCAGTGTTGATCTTCGTGATAAAGTCGCCGACCTGAAATGACAATGAGTATAAGTGAAGTCAGGAGCCTCACAAACCTGAATCCTGCCATCCAGAGCCACCGCCTTCTTTCCGCAGATACTCTTCACTACACACCCGTTCACACCCTTATCTTTATCTCCGTCTAAAACTATTCCTAGAGGTAGTGCTCCTTTTTGAAGCTTGACAGTTCTTTCGAGGTGTGTGGGAAGGAAGACGACGTCGTACGCCCATGATCCTCTGTAAAACGGTGAAAGTAGAAGATAAACATTGAAAGGTATAATCAAACCGTAAAGATATGGGTGATCCACAAGGAGATACGGATCTCGTCGAGCACGGCGACCACGATGCCATCGAAAACTCTGACTGAAAAGGGAAACGATGAGGAGAAGCGGGGATGCACGTAAATCGGAAGTTTAGTCACTTCGGACTGCTAATCCGGAAATCGGACTAAGTCGTTTGCCCTGGTGGCAAAGTGATGGGCAAACCGAAGCGAAAGAAAGGTGAGAAAAGGGGCGGTAGAAGTGGAAACGTACTCCGTCAAGACTCCGTTCACTGCGTGCTGTCGACGGACTTCGCGATGGATAATAGCCCTGAAAGAATGGACGAGGACAGTGGTGAAACGGCCAAAGGAAAAAGACCGAAAAGGCTCTCGTTCGGCTTCTTGTTGTCGTGCAAAAGGAGAAGGAAAAGGAGAAGCATCGAAAGGGAATGACAAAAAAGAGACGGGTAGGCCAGTCGGATAGAATTAGGAAGGAAGGAGGCCGAAGATGCTCTCAACTCGAGAGAGAGAGAGAGAGAGAGAGAGGGAGGACAAGTGCCGAAACGATGCATAACTTCTCCGCAAAATAGAGAAAAGAAGGGCACAGATTCGATTTTTAGAAAGGGAAAGTCATTCAGAGGGCACAGGTTGTACCACTTGAAATCACATTTCCCCTCTGCACAAAAAGCGAAAGGTGGAAAGCGAGAAGCACATTCGCCGTTTCTCAGCCATAAAACCTGAGAGGCTCACCTGAGGATGAAGTTTTCGGTACTGGTCAGCGGTGCCGATCCACACAGTCTCTTGGCTCGATGTTGTGCCCGATATCTGAAGTGTCAACTCTTTGATAAGCTCTGGCTCATTGAACACTTACGTATCTTCGCCGTCCGCGCGGACTTCTCCCTCGTGCCAGCAACCGTTCGCTTCTGGAGCAGAGCGGCGAATGCGAAGTGAATTGTGACTGAAAGAGAGAGGTATCGGAATGCGACAACAACAATAACAAATAGGATATATCGGGGAATTTCGGGGTGAAAATTATATATGCAACACGCATTCATCCGCGAAATTCTGGAAGGAAAAGGGGTGTGAGACGGAGAGAAGCGAAAAAAATGACATGAATTTAGATGAGGTTGAGCGGACCGGAGAAGAATGGAAAAGGGTCACACCGGAAGAAGATTGACTTGCGAATAAATAACACAAGAGACTAATACAGTCAACTGAATGAATTCGAAATTAGAAATGACAATTTGCTCAGTTGTTTCCCTCGCCCGAAGACGTCGACGTCCCCCCGCGAAGCGAAATGTGTTTGAAAGAGCACGAAGAGAGTGTGCTCCCTACGGAGGACACAGCGACAAACATTGGTCGACGGAGCAAGGTATTAAAAGGGAGCAAGAGCAAGGGCCGCGGGCTCTCAGAGAGCAAGAAGCCACTAGAATGGAGAGCGACGATGCCCGACATTTTAGATAAATTAGCGAATATATTCGAATGGACGCCGTGGGCTCGTCTCTGCGCGGGCGGCAAGCCCCCTCTCTCTCTCCTCTCTTCACGTATTCGGCGTGTAAATACGATGAGGACATTGCGCGGTGCTCCTCTTTTCTCTTCGCCGCTGATATGGAGCACACAGACAGGAAGCAGACTGCTCGCTAATTCCCACGCCGCGGAAATCTCGTCGCATTTCTATTTTGACGTGGCAACAGAGATCTCTTTATTCACGGGGGCACTACGGATCAGAGCCGCTTTATACGTTTACGTACGGAGCTGTCACATCGAATGAGCCGGAAACCGATCCAGGTCAGTGGTACATCTCCTCGTTTCCTGTCTTCTAAAGAGGGGAAAGTGCGAGAGAGAGAGAGAGAGAGCCCGAAAACGTGGTAAATAATTAGAGAGCCCGACGTTCCGAGTCACTCGTTTTGCGTCGAAAAAAGTTGTGTCTCGGACCCACTGCCTTCTTCCTTTTTTCTGGACAGAAGCCGCACTGAATACTCTATAATGGAAAGAAGTGAAAGGGAAAAGAAAGAAAACGCGGGAGGACCGAGAATGGATTCAAAATGTTTGGCTTCGCGGAAACCGAGGGTGTCTTATATCGGCAATGAAGAGGAATTGTATCACATAATGTTATTTCGTAACGATAAAAGGATGAGTCATCCGGGAGAGTCATTCTTTGACGGTGCCGATATGTTTGAGGGGAAAAGAAAACATACCTGGTCGACTGGAATCGGCTTCGCAATACCCAACCGCACTGGTCCCATTCGAGCAGCTTTAAGAACTGCCACTGCTCTTTCGAGACTAGAAAAAAACAATTTGGATATGGGACCCCGGAAGGTAAGTTACCTGCTGTTAGACAGATCGTGGTTGTTCACAAACAAAAGACGGTCACCGGGAACGATTCGTCCGTCCGCCTGTGCAACTCCTCCGGGAACCAGAGACTGTACAACGATGACACTTTCGTCGCGATGTGTTGGATCCTACAATATTGCCGTTTTCCATAGCAGAAACAACATAGTACTCACTTTATAATCGACGATCGAGAAGCCGAGACCTCGCGAGTCTTTGCACAGATAAATGACGAGAGGAACACAGTTCCAAACTGCCAATCCGTGAAAGTTCTCCAGTGACTTCGACCTCAGTCTTCTGGAGACCTTATGGAGGAGATGCGTCGTTTCCGCCCTTGTGGACGTCAAATCAAGGTCTGATTTGGCTTTCACGACAGTCTCCTGATTGGCAGCCAGGAAGGGGAACGACAGCGGCAGCTGCTTCTCGTAGGTCGTCGGCTCGAAGAGGTGCAGATGTTGGGACCTGAAAGCATGAGGGTTCGGAAACAATGTAATCCGTGAGATTGATTACCTCCGGGCCACGATCAGAGTTACTGGGGCTCCCGAATGAACTGCTCTCGTCAGAGCTTGTCTCACAGTGACATGGGACTCTCCGTACAGGGGAGAGTGGTTCACTTGCAGCAGTTCGTCTCCCGCCTGTAGCTGCTTCGTTTTCGCTACTGGCCCGTTCTGTCTGATCGACTCGATGTAATGGTGAGGGCATAGTTGTGCTCCGTTCAGCACATCGACAGTCCCTTCCAGTGAGATGCCGAGTCCTCCGTCGACCGATTGTCTGTCTGGCTTCACAACCGCCGCGACTATATCTATATCGTCTCCTATCCGACTCTTCCACTCTTTCAACAGATCTGGATTCGAGAGCTTCACGTCAATCACTTGCGTTTCGGTTTCTTGTTGTTGCAGCATTTTCAGGCATTGTGCCTGCGGAGAGCTCAGTGGAAACCGGACTAGTTTCAGTTTGACTTGATCTCCAGACTTGACAAGTGTCCGGACACTGTCCGCATGCGACATGTGCTCGAGAGTTGTACCGTTAACCTACAAAAAGCATGTAATGGAGAAAAGAGCATTCAGAAAAGTGTAGGTACCTCTAGAATAAGGTCGTGCACTTTGATGACTCCACTGGAAGAAGCGGCCGAGCGAGGGACCAGCGACTTCACGAAAATGCCACCGATTTCTTCTGCAAACACCTCGTTTCTTCGTGGCCTCTTGGCATATAATTCGGTTTAGCGTCGAGCAGATTCAGTGTACGCACGAGGACCCCTCCCGTCTACTTCTTCTCCCCCTTTTTTCCCCTTCTTCTGAATCTTCTTCAATGCGCGTGTCGACTTAAGAAGACGACAAAATGCACTAAATTCGATTTACGGGCTCCCTCGAGCGTCGCGACGGCGGCGCCACCACAAATTGGCTCTTCTCCAAACTCAACAAGATTTGTATGTGTGTATGCGTGTGGGCCACCTCTCTTCCTACTGTGTATTGGACAAACCTTTCTTATGAACATATCCAGCTACAGTAATACCGAGACCGAGTGCCGGATCACGATTTAATGCCACATCAATCAACTCGAACTTGGTCGATTCCCAGTTCTCCCGCAAAAATACTGTGAGAGCCTGGAAAGAAATGAAAAAGAATGAGGAAAGAAGGAACGACGGACCATTTCCTGCAATGACTTGAGCGAAATCCTCGAAGTGATTGAATTGCTATTCCGTTTGCTGCTACGACTAACACTAGTCACTATCGAATTCTCGTCTGATTGGCCCGTTTCCACAGTCGGCGACCGCACCATTTCTCCAACTTCATCTGAATAATGGAAGGCTCGGTCGTCAGCCGGAAAGTCTGACGGCACTCACCTTTCCCGTCGGCCTCTTTGATCTCCGCTTCGTCTTTCCCGACTTCTTCTGCTCTTTCCTCTTCTCCCTTCGCTTTTTTGGATTCTCCCTCGCCGTCTTCACCTCCTGCACAACTACTTCTCCGTTTTTCCTTGTCCCTCCGATTATAATTCGGTGCACAATCACATGGCTTTCTGCAATTACTGAATTGAAGCGATTGACTCTCGGAAAAGCACTCACCTCAAATCTATAGTATCTGGCATGTACGTGGTTATCTTGACCGGTTGGAGGACTTCGGCTCGAGATGTCGTCGGCTCTGGCTCTTCTTTTTCCTCCTCGATGGGCGCGCAACTGATGGACGGAGAAACTGTAGTTGGCGTCTGATTCGCAGCGGTGGATGGAGCCGACGTTGCCATCTGAATGTTATTGTTTGTCAGGGGAAGTGATTGATTATGTACTTGGCGCTGCAGAGCTTCTTCGAGCGTCGTGGCACAAAGAGCCGCTTTTGTGGCCAATGTGAAACACTCTGAAAAGTTAGGAATCAGTGGAAATTAAATGCAGAAAATGGGGGAAGTTAGGGGTCAGAAGAAGAGGGAGAAAAAGCCAAATTGAGTTGGATTTGAATTTGTGGCTGCTCGTCTCGCTCTCAAACTACTTCATTAACTGAGTTCTTCAGCAACTGCCGGTGCCGAAAACGAGGACGACGACGAAAAAAGGCAAATTGCGAGGAAGGGGGGAGAAAACGAAGGAAAACGAAGGAGAAGAAGCCATTTATGGAATATGCGCGGAACGATAAATTGGCTGCGAGTCGTCGTCGGCGGGCGAAGAAGTAGCCGAGTGACGACGAAAAGAGCCCATCCAATCAGAACTTTTATGACCCAACTGCGCCAGACTCGGACACTGCTTGAGTCGCAGAAAAGGACTAGGAGAGCAGAACTTTACAATCCAATTTGGCTTGAGTAGCAACAGAGTTCAGATATTCGTGCGGACGAATTGATAGGGATGCGGGCGGGGTGAATCGTCTGGGGCGGGTGGGGGCAACTAGCAACTCGGTAACGAATTTAGCCTTAGACGGGAAAGGAGCGGGCAGAAAAACGAGAATATGGACCCCGCAGAAGAGAATGAGATGGGACACAACGGATACACACACTCGCGCGGCCAGAGACAGACACTGCTCACGCATACGGGTCGTGCTTACACACAAGACCTTGAGGAAATACGGAAAAGACGAAGAAGAAGAGAAGAAGAAGGAGCCATTCGTCGCATCTACATATTCAACGCATTCATGATATCGTTGGTTCCGAACACAATGCACATTACTACCTACTATTGAAATGGAGAGACTAGAAGAGGGGGAGTGGCGATGAAAAGAGAAGGAAATGTCGGGAAACCCTAGGGACCGGATGATGGAAGACTGTACTGCAGAACACCTCCAGGAGGAGCTCAAAGAGAGTTCAGAAGTGAGAGACGCAACCACTATTCAATATTCCGACTCGCGAGAATTTTTCCTCTGGGGAGGAGCGAGTTGCTGACAGCTGTTCACAATAACATAAAAAAACGAGCGAACGAAGATGTTTCGGGAGGCAAAAACTCTCGAAAAACAAGTGTTGAACGACTATTTTATAGTTTGGGATGGGATGACGTGACTGAGATTAATGGAGAGTACCTGGGGTGTCGATGGGCTTGTCCGCGTAGGCGATCGGACGGCCCACGATCATGTCGACTGTCGGGTGCTGGTGACGGAGAATCGTGGCTACCTGGAAAAAAAGCATCACTAGGACTATGGTCAGAAAGGTAAAAAAAGAAGAGCCTGCCTGTTGACTGCTCATTCCATGAGTATTGATGTTCCCGATCTGCAGAATGTGATCCCCGGGCTGAAGGCGTCCATCCTGCAAACCACTCCGCTTGCACTCATCTTCCTCACTTCTAGGACTTACTTTATCTGCCGGACTGCCTGGAAGAATAGTCTTGACGACAACTCCAGTGCTAGTTCCGCCGACGATTCCGAAGCCGAGTCCGCCAGTTTCAGTGCTCAGATGGATCACTTCGACTTGTGTCCAGTCGCCCGATAACTGAAATTATTCGCACTTTTCCACTCGGTCCCTCTCCCACTCTTCCCTAGCTTCTTTCTAACTGACATTACCGCGCGACACCTGGTAATTGACTTTGTTGATTGCGAACTTTTTCGATTTGGTGGGCATTTAGATTATCGCGAGTTGCGAGCCGATCTGCGGAATGGCAATGATTGATTGATTGGCAAAATGATGAATGCGGGAACAGAAACGACGGAGCAGACACCCGCAAATAATGTGAGGCGGAAACGAAGAAAAACAGGAAGGAAAGAGTGCGGAAAAGAGGTTTCGTGTGATGACGTGGCAAGAAGTGATGTCGTGGCAGTCGGAGCATCTGTTTCCGATCCGAAGCGAACAAAGCGACGACTCGAATAGCACTCTGGAGGCGGCGGCGGCCGAGGATGACACATAAATCTTTGCGAAACTTGGAGAACAAGGAGAAGTCGAGTAGATTTGCCTTGAAATTCGAGACGCCACGAACGCAAGGAAAGAGTAAAGTGATTGCGGAGAGACCCGCAAAGAGAGACGGGCGCCGGAAAGAAAGTAGGAGGCAGACACGACGGACCAGCCAGAAATGAGATGATAATGATAAGACATGAGGGAGCGAGAGGATCAGGTTGACAGGGACCAGGTACCCCTTACCGCAGACTTGGCTCTCCTCAAATAGATTTGGAATAAACTATGAGTAGACTTTAATCTAACGCTTTCAAAATAAACTTTTACGCTTTTGATTAGTACAAACTAGAATCCGGTTACAAAGGTCGCTCGTTTTTATCATCCCCCGCGACTAGTTTGTTTATGACTAGAGCCTTCGTCCAAAATAGTCCAAAGAGTCGGCGCAAAAGAAGTAAAAACGAGATATCAGACTCTTGAATCTCGAGCCGAAAAGCAGAACAAAAGTGGGTCTGATTGCAAGCTTCGACTCTTTTCTTCCGCCGCCAACACATCGCCTAGTCGGCCAAAAGAGGAACGATACTCACCACCATGGGAGTTGCTTCACGAATAACACCGACGACCAGGTGTTGATGAGCACAGACCGATTGACGGCACGCAGTCTCAAACGTCGATTTGCCTATCGTCTCTGCAATACGATTGAATGAAAGTGGAACGGAATGAAAAGGTCATGGAGAGAAAGGGGGAGAAGGAGAGAGAGGGAAACGAGCAGCAAGTGCACAAATTGAATAGAAGTTAGGACGCTCCCGTCCGATGGGAGGAGATGGAAAGAAAAGGATGCAAAAATGGGAGGGTGCCCTCGAGCGAACACTGGAGAAGACTCACGGTTATGTAGCCGGAACTGGGCAGTCGTCGGAGCTCCGTTCGTGTCAGAGACAGTCGGAAGAGCAGAAGGCGCCGAGCAACCACCACACGCATCGATGGCCACCACGCAATCTCCGATCCGAAGTTTGCCAGCTGATCTGTAAGCAGAAGAAGGAGGAATGCGTAAGTGACCGGAAATCGGATATTCTCAAACAAAACGTATTATTAATAGGGCAATGGTGACGAAAGCGACGACGACGACGAAGGCTACACAGGCCAAACGCCAAAGATACTCTTCGGAAGAGGAAAGCCTTCTTGCACAAGTTGGCGGGAAACGAAACCGCGTGGGAAAAGATAGTGAGAGTGGGAGAGGGGCTCCGAAAGAGACGTGTGGAGCACAGGCATTACTGATTACAGTAGGGAATAGAACGCGACGTGACAATCTCATGAATATTCATAGTTCCATACGGAAGTGAAGAGGCGAGGAACGTAATGATATTTGGTCGGCAGTGCACTTTCTCGCTCTCTCTCTCTTCTGCAAACTTCTTTATTCTCACACACTCACTAATTGAGCTGCTTCATAGGCAGAAAGTGCGGGCGGGAAGTTGGATGGAGCTCTCGTCCCTCTCGAGGAATGGAAATTCGTGGGCGAACAAAAGCACGGGGATATTATTGCCTCGCCGACCAATTCGCTCTTTTCAATTGGCTTTCGGCACACGCGCAGTCAACTATTTTGCGGAGACGTGGAGCCGCGGAGCCGAATCGGAACGAAATGATCACGGGGCAAAGAAGAGAGCTCTTGTGGATAGTGTCTCCGAACAAGGCGATTAGCCAGAGGGACGGAGGGCACCGAGAGAGGCCTGCCCGCCTTCCGACTGGTTCTTTCTCTCTCGGCGCCTATCTCTTCAACAACTCGTTTGCCGGCTCATTGCTCTAACTAACACCAACACCAATTTCCCCGCTCTAGCCTTCCGCGCTGTGCTCCACGCTTCTTCGTGGCGGCCGCCAGTGGAGCAGTGACAAGTAGGCAGAGCACTCGTACTCGGAAGCCACTAAAAACGACTACTTATGCAATTTGGGGGATTGGGGAAGAAAGGAAGGAAGAGGCAACGAAGAACGAGCCGTCACTTCATTAATAATCGAGTTCGCCGCCAGAGATAGAGACCCTTACGAAAACTCAATCAACTCTCTTTGCTTCTCTTTTTCTTGAATGAGGAAGACGGGAAAGGAGAAGAAGAAGAAGAAGAAGAAGAAGAAGAAGAAGAAGAAGAAGAAGAAGAAGGGAAAAGACCTTCCGAAATCGCCTGGTTCACTGGGGCTCTTTCGTGGCCGTAAAGAGAGCGGAACACCGCATGAATAGTTGAAAACCGAGACACGAAAGCATGAAAACCGAAATTGAGACACAACGTCGTCGTCCCGGCTGCTGCTTCTGCTTCTGCTTCTGCTCCTTCTTCTTCGTCTTCTTCTCTTTTTGCATTCTATGGCGTCTCGCTTTCGCCCGCTTCCTGCATCCTTTTGTCTCGCCGATGAGTTTTTATTGCACGGGAGACTGGCGGTGTGGCCCCGTCGCGAGAACAAATTGATGTGCTATCAAGAAGAAGAAGAAGAAAAAGAAGAAGGAGGAGGAGAAGAATGAGAAGAAGAAGACGTCAACCCCGGAGAGATGACAGCTGAATCTCGAGCGACAACGACTACTACCCACCGATTCTTGACGTCTTTTGGGCCGACGACCAGCAGGCGTGATTGCTTCTCTTTCGTTTCTAGAACCACTGGCTCGACCTTCTTCGCATCCACGTGGACGAACAGAAGCTTCTGGAAAGCAGAGAGTTTGAGGTGAACTTTGGGAAAATACCAACTTGATTGGGCTTGAGATTATTCCGGATCTCACTACACTCAATCCTCTGGCTGAACTCAGCAACTCGCTTTTCGGCTTCACCTGACACAAGTGTAAGAAGTCCGAAATTAAGTTTAATAGAAACTTACTATTTCTAAGACTATCTGGGTTGAAGGCTTCGTGCGAGGACTCTGGCTGAAAAACGAGAAGAATTGAGAAGGAGCAGAGAGCGCGGGAGGAAGCGTTTGCAGCTGAATCACGTCATCTACTGAATATTTTTAGAGGAGCATTCAGGTGAGAAATGGGTCTCAAAGGGAGAAGGGAAAACAATTGAACGACTGAAATATGCACAGGTTTTGAGTGTGTGACAATCCCGTAGAAAATTCGAAACCCGTGGATTCCAAAACCCGTAGAGTCAAATCCCGTAGAAATGGGCGGGGCAAGGTGCGCGCACACTGTTTTGACTCCTTTTTAATTGCCTTTCGCCCCTTTAGTAACTACCCATTTGAGACATGAAAATTTGATAGAACGATTAAAAAATGCCATGAGGAGTAGAATATTCTGAATTTTCTGCATTTTAGTGTATGTGTTTACGTACTTATTTCTACGGTTTTTGACATTTTTCTACAGGTTTGTCACACACTCCAAGTTTTGAGCACGAAGAAGGTTTTCTAGAATTCCCCCATGAATATCGACTGCTAGAGAAGGTTCACAAAAACCGACTTGATGGGAGAGCTGTTTGAAAAGCGGATCCCTGAGAATTCTCTCGATTCTCTCGATGTCCTCCTTTACGTCACCGCCTTCTTTCCTCGATTTTAACTCTCGCAACACTTCACGTATCCGTTCTTCCTCTGCAATCATTTTCGTAAACTCTTCTTCTCATGATCTTTCGAACTCACCGGATTGTAACGGCATCGGCCATAGGCCTCGCGTGCTGCCTGTCGAGCACCTGAAAATGCAAACTAGATCGGCTCTGGGGGACTGGAGGGCCACGGAGCATATTTGTTACACACAATTCGCAAAAACAATAGATTTAGAGGGAGAGCCGCCGGGCACCCGCGGCCACACAACACATGCTCCGAGAGCAAAGAGGACCACTGTTGTGACAGTTTGTTTTTACACACACGTCTCGAGCTACAACCGGATGGCATGACAATATAATCACTTTTGTGATTTATCGCCATTCGTGAAAGTGCTTTTGGTTTTGTTTTTTCCGGCAACGCGATTCTCTTGAGAGGCAAAAACTGGAGTGTAAAGTGTGAGAACTCGAGCTCCACGTGAGCATCCATGAGCACTTTCTCGTTTCTGTGAACTCGTTTCAGAAAAAGAAATGGGAGAGGAGGAACAAGGAGATGAATGGAATTCATAACCAGGAAAGCACCTATGTGTACCATTTGGTCAATTCTGAAGAACATCGGAATGGTTCTGGGGAACATTTTCCTACTTTCATATTCGGATCTTAAAATGTGTTTAGAAACTCCCATGAAAATAATCGAAAAATGGATTCCCGACGTGAACTTTCACAGTGCAATTTATCGCTAAGTAGTTCACGTTAGTTGCGAAATGTCGGGTTGCGTAAGGAAAAAGTGGGAAGAAGTGAGAAGTTATTGGTTGAGTTACAGTCTCAAATCGGCGAGCTCTGAATTGAGTTGCTCAATGAGAAAAGTCGAGAATCGACCTCTCAGATTTTGAAAATCCAATGCTCGGGCCCCTCTCCTCCCAAATGATTATATAGCGGTTTGATAGACGCGAAGAGAGCGTGTGATCGGCGGAGACGCCGGCGCATCCGGGCTCACGGCGGAGCTCTCCGTCTCACCCGAGATCGTTCGTTTTGTGACGGAGAGAGAGGCCGAAATTACAAATTGCATACTCGGAAAGGTTGAGTGAGAAATGTGAAATGGGAAATGGACGGCATGGAGCACGGAGCCAGAGGGAACAATAAATATTTTTGGGAGGAGGATTAGGAAAAGGAAGCGGAGAGGGGAAGAAACGGGCGGAGCCGAGCACTTGGTGGATGAGTATGACGTGGAATTGAGAGAGAAGAAAAAGGAGAAGAAGACGGAGTGGTTTTGGGGTTTGCGTTTTGAAAAAATACCTCAATAAATTAAACCCCACCGAAAAAGAGCCATTTTTGGGGACTCTAGGTCAAATGTTACTGGAAGCGGGAGAAGGACACAAAAAGGAAGGGTCCGAGTGCGAATGTGATGCATTTGTGTGTGTATTTCTGCGTTAGTGTGTGTGCGTTTGGATAATTGAGCTATCGTCTTGCGTTGGAGCAAAAGAGAGGCAGAAAAAGGAAAGAAAAGAAGGAAAAACGGAGGAGAAGAACAGAGTCTCAGCAGCTGCCCGAGCCCCCACTAACTGATCCACTGGAGTTTCACAAAACTTCCAAGAATCCTTATGGGCTCAAAGTTCTCTTTCTAATCCTTCAGAGCTCTCCGGAAGGTGTTCGTCATCTCCCCCGAGAGCACATTTTTCCCTTCCGAATGCTACATTCTTCCTTCCCCTCGTGTCCTTTTTCCCACCACTTGGCACTGCTATTTGTATAGGAAGGGATCCTTGAGCCAAACTTTGACTTAGTTTATTTCCGCAGAATATATATGAAGGAGGAGGAGAAGAAGGAGAAGAAGTGTGGTGCACGGAAGAACAACACATAGAGCTGGGTGGTGGCACACAAAGAAACATGGAATGAGCACAAAAAACCGACGAAGAAGAGGGGGAGAAGATGAGAGAAGATGCATAATTAGAAGGAAGAAGGAGAAGAAGGAGAAGGAGAAGACGAGTCCCCCGGAACCGAAATAAACGGACCCACCGGCTCTGGAATACGGAAAAGGGCTCACTTGGATGCGTCGTCCGCCGTCATTTCTGCTTCTTCCATCCGACCGATGCAGTTCTTCTCCTGAATTCAAAATTTCAGAGGTTCACTTGGTCTCTTCATTCATCAGAACAGACGATTCGTAAAAACAACGAAACACTTGCTGGGCGAGCACAAAAAATATGCGGAATCTGATAGACTAATGCGCGGTGCGAAGAGGTTGCAGAAGCGGCGGATGAATGAGAGCCAGGCGGCACGCGAGCCCGTCTCCCCGGCCCGATATGGAATCTCCAGGGGCCATCTGAATCTCGCCCCTCCTCTTTTTTGCACTAATTCCTTGCTGCCACTGCTCAAGTATCTATTCGATTGTTCTCTTCCTTTCCCGCCGATATGTGTGTTGTGTCTCGGGTGCTCTGAACTTTTCAGTAGGAGTAATTTTATTTAAACTCCTTTTGTATTTTCTAACAAGAATAAAATTTGAATAAAAAAAGTGATCGTGAAGTTGTTGCCGGGAAAAAAGGACCGATTAGACGACCCGAAGCGGGCCGTAACCAGTGCGGATAAGAATGACGTACAAGTGGTTTGGGGGGAAAATGATACGGAGGAAAAGTCAGGAACAAGGGTCGGGGACAGGAAAAGGGGACAAACGGAACGAACACCTACGGTAAATCAATATGATACAAAGGATAGGCGGCAGAACAAAAACGAAACGGAAATTTAAAAAGGGAGCAGATAAGAGACAAGAGGAGATAGGGGAAAGCACGGTAGGCACTGAAGTGAATCAATGAGAACAGAGAGAGAGAGAGCAGAAAAAGGAGAGGCAATCCGTCTGAATGGAGACCGAACACGTAGAAGGGGCTGCCGAAAGTGAGCAGAGAACACCGGAGCATGCGCCTTGTCACAGGAAGACATGTCTCAATCACAGTCGTTTTTTTTCTCGATAAACGTGTTGTAAAGAGAATGATCGATCAAAATATGAATAAGTGGAGTCATTCACAAATCGGTGACACGATGCGAAGAGGTTCTCGACCTAGGACCGTCCTTCTCCGAATGTGAGAACGCGGCATTCTGGCGGCGTATCGAAGTGTTGCGTCCCAGTAAGTTGGTGCGATTGAGGAAAGTGGATGAGGTGAGTCGGGCACTGAAATAGCTGATGAATCAAGTGAAGGAGCCTCACAGCAGCCGGCTTACCGGAGGCCTCTCTTCGGCGTCGACTCCGTCTCGTCGTTGCACCCGGACATTCCCACGGAAGTCATGTTCGCGAGTGCCGCCGGATCGCACGAGACTCTCGGAGAAGCCATGTAGGATGAGTTCTCGTCTGAAAAGAGCACGCTGTACATCAGATTCAACATACAAAACTGACTGATCTGTCCCAAGTTGTTGCGACTGGGGTTTCTTCCGAATCCAAGAGTGCTAGCCAGAGTCAACTGCACATTACTTATTGCTCTCCGCATTCGATTCTGTGAAACAGGCGGTCCCATCGCTGTGTCATTATGCGACCATTCCTGAAACACATCAATATTTAACGTTCCAGAATGATTTTCTCACATTTCGCGGCGTCCTTTCGCTCAACGTTATGTTCAATTGACTGCCGTGTCCGTTCGGTTGTTTTGTTCCACAAAGACTGAAATTTGAATTCAGAACGTTTTCAAAGTGCGTGCACTCACCCTCTGAAATACCGCACTGTCAAATCGGCCACCATTGGATCGTCGAGTTGAGAAGCGTCTATCGTGTCTGGCATCAGGAAAAATCTTCCGCAGTTGCTCAGAATTTTGACGTGGATGTCGTCGAGGAAGTCTCGAACTTCTTCGCCGTCACTTGACTCGAATACCGTTTCCGTGTCGCCGCCCTGCTCGTCGCGGTGAATCAGACACCAAACAAACACGTCTTTTGGTTTGACGGCTCCCGGAACATGCTGCTGAATTTCAATGATTTTCGAAATGTCATCTGGCGGCCGAATCCGGGTAGCACTTCGCATCGAGACCAATTGTATTTGATCAATGTACTTGTATCTGAAGAAGGAATAGATTTGTAGTGAATTATCTGCAAACGCCTCACGGTCTTCTTTGTCTCGAGTGCAAACTAGCCCACGAAGCTTGTCTCGCAATTCGCTGCATAGTGTTCTTTTCGCTCCGTATCTTGGTGATCTGCGAATTCGAAATTAAAAACGACAGCGGAGCAAAGGCCACTTACAATTAACACATCGTGGAACAGGAACAGCTTCATCTTTGAAAACTGCTGAAGACGCTGCGAAGTGCTCGCAATCGGTGAGACCACCAGTTCACGTATGAACATACGGTTCGCGGCCACGAGTGTTGGCTACAATACTTTTAATTTGGATAACATTCGCAAGGCATACAAACTTACCGGCACGTTTTCGATATCAGTGAACTTGCTCATGTGAGAGATGAAATTGTCGTTTCTCTCGCGTGTCTTGTTTGCGATTCTGAAAAGCACATTTTTATTCTGCATTCTTGTCTACAATTCCGCCTCACTTCAACACCTCATCAATCGTTTTGGCGGCTTCGTCGGCGCTGTTCTTAAGTCGCGACGACTCAGACTTTTTGTACATTTCCTTGAGAAGGAGCACGACACTCGGAAGGCGTTGAACAGGCTTCACCATCAGATCAGATAGTTTCAGACGATGAAACTCCGGATTACTTTCTTTCGCTTTGCAGAATGTATGGAACTTTGAGTTCTCCCGGTCGTACTTGTCGAAACATCGTTTAATGGTATCGTACGAGTTGAGATACTGCGGGTACGCCTTCTTCATCTCTTCCTTCGCGTTGATCCAAACTTGAGCAAAGTCAAGACTTTTGTCATCGTTTTTCTTTCCGTTCGCCACAGAAAGAAGACTGTTTGCCTCGTTCAGCATCGCCGTCAGTCTCGCATAGATCTTCTCATGTAGTTCGAGAATTGAGTCTATCTTTCCGAACATAAGACCGACGTCGGATTTGGGCATGAACTCATTCTGGGTCAACTCCTTCTCGAGTGCACTTTTAAACTGAAATTAGTCATTTTCAGGCCTACTGTTCCTTTTTTCTTACCTTAATGACCAACTTCAGAAGAGACACATAGTTCTTCTCAGTTTCCACCATTTCCATGCACACACGTAGACGCTTCGAGGGCTGGCGTGGCGACTTGCACATGTTTTCCACGTCATCGTTCGAGTATATGTAGTCGGGAGTCATGTTGAGAGACGGTCCCTCCGCACTGCAGTCACGCATCGACGACAGAGATCTCGAGTTCTGTGAGCGGACCGATTTGCCGAGCGGGCTGTTGATGGTCCCGTTTTCGAGTTGTTTCCGACGGAGAGTTCCAGTTGGCAGGGCGAAATTGTCTTCCATTGCGCAGCACCCTCTGTGCAAACTTACCCAGAACCACTGTAAAGGAGAATCAAGATATGGGAATAAAGTGACGGGAAAATGCGAACCTCTTGGGTGACGTGCACTTGGTGCGGCGAGACTGGCAACGGTTCGATCTCATCGTTGATAGGATTGTAGACGACGTGCGTTGCTTTCGACGGCTCATCAGCCAGAGTCCCGCCAGTGTTTTCGAGGTTCGTGACCATGTCGTCGATCTCTTGTTGTTTGAATCCGTGAAAGAAGAGCGTGAGTCCTTCGAACACTCCGAGTTTGTGATTGTCCACCTGCAATTTTCTCTTTACTTCGCCTTAAAAGTACGAGTAACTCACAAATTTCTGCTCGAACACGTTGAAGTACGGATTGTCTCTATATTTCCAGCAATCTGTGATCCAGTCTGCTCGCAACGTCGGGACTCCAAACAATGTCATCGACTGAAAAAGAAGAGCAATGTGAGTGAGAGCAGAAAGGTACAAATGCACAGTAGCCACAAGTTGAATGTCACCATCTTTTTTGTGGTGACATTATTATTTTCTCGAACAGAAGAGTAGAAAACGAAATATTCTATCTGTCTCACCTGCCCTTTCTCTTCCACTTTGGCGCCAATAAAGACGTTTGTTCGTTGTACGGTCTGAAATTTGAGCTAACTCAATTAGAAGAGACTCCGATCTAGTCACGACTTACATCTTTCCTGACACTTCCTCCCATGAAATGTACCAACTCGACGAGTTCTCTTTTATTCGTCACTTCCGATGACAACTTCATCGTCACATTTTTCATCAATTCACAGTAAAGAGGACGGCACGGTCGCAATGGCATTAGATCCTGCAACTCTCTCATGGATTTTCTGTTATTCGGGTTCCATTTTCTATTTTACAACCAACCTGTGCTGTCTGTAGTTTGTGTCTTAAAACGGCAGGTCCGACAATAAGATGTGCACTGGCACCTGTTTCTTCATTCTTGGTTAGTGTGCGGTACAGTTCGGATTTGAAGTCTCCACAGAAGAATGTGTATTCGCTCCAATCGGAGTCCAGTTCGCTCAGACTATCATAGTAAACAACTTCGATCTTTCGTTTCTGCAACATCTTCCTTGAAAATCTACACAGCTTTTCAATAACTTACCAATTTCTGTTCTTCAATCATGTCAAAGATATCTTTGTGTTCTCGAGCATCTTCCGTTGAAACTGCTAGTTTTTGGATGGTTCTCTGCCGCTTTTGCGGCGACTGCAGCATCGAGACATCCATCTCAACTCGCAATTCGAATTTATCACTGGCTGCAACAATGTTTTCTTTTTTTAAGGCAAACAGAAGTGAAGAGGGCACAATAACCAGTTAATGCAATTCGAATCGGCCAGATGTTCGCGCCGACTTGGTGTGATCACCGTCACGCATTTATGCAGACATGCGCGGGGATGTCGCGCATTTCGATGAGAATAAAACTGGTGAAAGTTGTTCATTTGGAGCATAACAGCTTAGTTTACATGTTAAAAAATGTCAAAATAATAGGCTGACACAAAGTTTTCAAAAAAAAAAGGTTTTCTGAAGTGTGAAAAAAAACTCACAAAGCATATGAAATTTAGGAAACAGAATTTATAACGTGGAGAGATCGTGGGAATGAATCAAGAGCCTTTTTCACGCAAAAATAAAGGTCCGATATTTGACGTGAAAGTTAAACCACGTATTCGTCATCCACTGGATCCCTAAATACATCTTGCCTCTATATTATTTGTGTGTTCTGTCCCATAGGTGCGGGATGTTTGAGAAACGCCAAAACATTTTTCCGACCTGGCGGGCGAATTGAAACTTCCGAACCAGCGGCATGAAGCTATATACCCTTTACAGGATCTTTTGGCAGCTTTACGGCTGCCAAATTGTTTCTCCAAACCAGGCCCCTCCCACTCGCCTGTCCCGAACTGCCGGCGCTCAACTCAGATAACCTATTTTCTGTCCATCTAATCTTGCACACCTGTTCAGCCAGTTAATGGCATTATCCCCTCGATGTGGAGACTGTCCAATCCGTACACATCACAAAAAATCTTCCCCGTTGGTTGGTCACAAAGACAGAGGGGTGTGCCACCAGAATCTACGCAGAGCAATGCACACACGTCCGGTTAGGTCACCTCAGAAAGCTGTGAGGCCACGCAACCAGCTTTCTCGCTCAGTTCCATGTCTATAGAATCAGTCTCTGTTCTCTCATTTATGGGGCTATTCAGCGTATGTTTGTTTTCCGTTTTTTTTTTCGTTTTTTTTAGATCGCTGAATTGGATTTTTTGACGTAAAAAAACGAAAAAAAGGAAAACAATCATTTTTTCACAGCCTGAATAACCCCATTACGGTTTTCGAAGAAATGCCACGTCAACCAATAAAAATTTTCTGTTGGCTGTGCTCCACCGAGTGTTTGAACTTTCTTAACCGTTCGTGCGGCCGTGAATTTCTCTTGCAAAATGCATCTGGAACTTACTCTTCACAGTCTGGCAGACCGGGTTCAATGATTGCCCAATCCGTTGGTACCACCTTCTTCATGTCTAGATCCCTCCACTACAATCACCCTGTGGATCCTGGACAACGTCTGCTCGCTCTCTCTCTGCGGGAAGCGTACTATATCCCAATTTGGCACACTGCCAAGTGTTTGCGCGGGAAATGGGCCGGCTGTTGTCCGACCGCCTCGGATACCACACGCTTTCGCAGTATACCATGCGTGCGCGCACGTTCAAATGCTCTGCGTACCGGTGCCTATGTTTCTCGTTTCATCACAGGTCTTTGGAACTCAAGTAAATTTCGAAGTCCTTCACAAACGCACCTAGACACCTAATTACCGTCCGTAAAACACCTAGACACCTAATTACCGTCCGTAAAAGAGATAAACTTATCTCCAGATCTGAATTCACACATTGTCAAGATTTTGCACTGATTAGTATGTTTTGCCTATGTCATGCTCACACGAGCAACTTCATGGTCAGGAGGTTTGAAGTACAAATAAATTTCAATTTTGGCGCCCTTTTTGCTTTTGAGTACGGTTGAAATTTGTGTGTGAAGGAGCGCCGCCGTGAACATTAGACAGTCATGTTTCGGCGCGAACCCCCGTTTCAAATGGAGCGAAGAATTTGAGTCGCCGTCGCTCCACTCTCTTCTTTTTGCTCTTTCCCTGATTAAACATCGTTAAGATCCACTTCAATGAACCATGTGGTGACCTGTCTGCGCACATTGAACCCTATTGCCATTGCAGAAAGACATCTAGTCGCGAGTCCTTGTCATGGCTCCTTCACCAAAGAAAAATCCCCCAGGGACGCCTAAAAAAGTAGCGCAGATGACTCCGACCAAGGCAACGAGGACGTCTCCACGCAAGAAGGCATGGGCCTCTCCACCGAAAGCCACTGCCATGTTTCAAAGTGACCTTTTTGTGAGTTTTTCTCAGATTATCTAGAGACTTTTGTCCGTTCTCAGAAGGCTGAGGACTTTGCCGATCTGTCGAACAGGTCATGGGCCGAGATCACCGAAGAAGACGAGGAATTGTCTGCCCGCATCGATGAAAGACTGACCAAGAGCGATTCGCGCAGGAAGGGACAGCCGAAGAGGGTAAGAGCAGCACGCGGACAGTTATCGATTGAATTATCATTTCATTTTTAGGCCAATCAGGCGAAAACTAAGTTTGTCCGCTCTATGGAGCTGACGAATGAAGTTTTCCAAGCTTCGTCATCTCGCCGTACCACGAGAAGCAAGTCGCGAACACGTAATGGAAATGTTGTCATCGAGACTGAGGAGGTCGAACAGACCGAGACGATAACTCTGGAGACTTCGGCGGGACCTATCAGTCGCAAGAGATGTCTCTCGAACGCTTCAACCATCAACGAGGAAGCATCTCCAACAAAGCGCCGTCCCGAAACCGGAAAGTCGAATCGTAAGGCTCCGCGAGCACGTATCTACAAGAACTCGGACAGCTCGAGCGTGACAAGCAGCCCATCACGAAAAGACCATTGGGAGGAACCAACTCTTGGATGGTGCAAGGACGAAGCCACTCTGACGAGACGCTCAAGGGTAACTTGTGACGTTGAGTGGAACGCGTTATCCATTTTTCGTTTTCAGGAAATTGAAAGAGCAAAGGAAAAGGCTGTCTATAAGAAATACGCCGCCGAGGTGCCACTGCGCGATCGCATCAAGGGAGTTCATCCCCGCACTCCGAACAAGCTCATCAACTTCAGTCGCCGCAGTTGGGACACTCAGGTTCGTGGGATCGAAAAGTTACATTTTGACGAAACGATACGTTTAGGTGAAGAAGTGGAAGAGAAGCCTGTACGAGTACTGCGGAGAGGAGCCTTCCGAGTCAGTGAACACCTCGTTCTGCAGCTATTCGGACGACGCTATGAGTGTGGCTAGCGATGTTGGGGACGAGAAAGAAGTCGAAAACAGATCGGTTGTGAAGGATCTCGAAATCCCGGTATGAATTGAAACTTCGTGCCTTTTTAGAGTTTTACTATCTGCAGGTGCGCCCGGAAATCGATTGCATGGCATCGCTGCTCGGCAAGTTTGATGTCGATTCTCAAATGGGAATGGTCGACGAAAGTACTTTGAAGGCCTCGAGCAAGATGGATCCATCGGCCCCAACCGACTTCTCGAAGCTGCACCAACTGAACCAGCATTAAACCGATACTCAATCAAATCATTCCTTGGTTCTAAACCTTCCCGTTACTTTCGTTCACCCGTTAGTAAAAACTCTATCCACCCAACTTAATCATAAATATTCAAACGGTCCGTAATAGAAATAGTAAGATGAGTGGTTCGTTGTCGTCGCTTGTCGTCCTGTTCCATTTTGAAGCCTGTCCTATTCGTTGACCTTCCCTCATTGATTGTTAAAAATTCACCTCTTCTAAACTGTAATCTTATCGAATTTCGCCCTTTTCTCATAACCAATCGTCAATCAATCGTAATTTTCGGAAGCCTGAAATGAATTTGTGCTATGCCCCTCCTCCTCGAATCCTCTTTGGTCGATGTATGATTTGTCGTGTCGCCAAATCGGTCGGATTATGGCGGGATTTCGAGTTCAAATCGTCCCTCTCGCACTTTTTTCGCCGCCTTCATTCCAGTTGTGATGTTCAAGGTTCTGGTCGTCGTCGGTCTTCTGATTTGCCACGTGGCAGCCAATATTGATGCGTCGAGCATAGGAGTGCCCGCGGACACTCACAAAACGGGATTTGGCGTGGCGATTCCGGCGTCTTCGGGACTCGCAGGTATGTATTCAGGGCGGAGCATCCGGATGACGTGGCAGTTTCAGACGAAGAGCAGCAGCAGCTGCAATTGGTGGACGTGAGCCCAGAGGATGAGAACCAGCAGAGTGTGAACCACGTCAAAGAAAGTGAGACGAATTCGACGTCATCCGATTTTCACGTTTCGTTTTTGTTTTCAGTGTTCGCCAACGCGTTCAACAGCATCAAGTCGCAGAGAGAATCCATTATCGCCGAGAACTCGACCCCTAAATCTACCTAATTGCTATCTAAACAGATATTCAAATACAGAGTTAATTTTGCTAATCAGTAGTTTAATATCACATGCAATATGACCAGAGTTACAATAAGGCAAATTTTGGAAAATATATACAAAAAATGTTCAATCAAATGGGTTCGTACTGAAGAACGGATTCGTGGCGTCGTCGTCCTTGCGAGTCGTGGATCTGTGCCGACCGGTGGCCACGCTGCTCGAGGCCGTCGACATTGTGCGGGAGATGCTCGCCGTCTCGTCGTCGTCGAATGGATTCGTGGTCGTCGTCGATGCTCTTCCGCTTGCTCCGACGGTTCCCGCGGTTCTCGACTGTAAATAACACGTGATTATTCCGTTCTTCTAAATAACCAACCTCCGACTTTCTTTTCTTCTTCTTCTCGTCGAAAAGCCCTCTCTGCAGATACGCGGCAATCAGTTCCATCCCGTCCGTCGCTTCCGCCAGTTCCTTCTGGAACTTCTGATAGCTGATTTCTTCGTGTCTCTCTTCCTGATAATTCGTTTGGCACGCCGGGCACTTGTCGGTTCCGTCCGTGTACGATTCGAAGCAGTGGACGTGGTAGGCGTGCTTGCAGAGAAAATGAACAGTAGGCAACTGGAGGGGAGTATCGCACGCGGAGCATTTCGACTGCTGGAGCACTTGAGCCCTGCAATCGAAAAGGTTATTCGGATGTTTTCAATGAGAATTACTCACTCGAACTTCAGCGATTCGACAGTTGAGTCCAGTTCGCCCATCGCCTTTTCGTTCTCTTTTATCGTTTTTCTGTCTTGTTCTATGAACCCCTGCTGCTTCCGGAGCCACTTGATCACGTATTCTCGGACGGATGATATCGTCAGATGCTCATTTTTAGAGAGAAGTTCGAGGACGACGAGCGGATGAATGAGGTCAGAATGCTCGATTCTGAAAAAAGAATATGAATGTAGTGTAGCGGCTCACTTCTTTAACGTACTCTTTCAGAAATTCAATGATCATCGGCTCGTTCTCAACGGTCGCTTTCTTTCCGATAAACGTGAGAGCGTCCAGCCAGAGGCGGTTCTTTCTGAAAAAAAAAATTATCTTTCTTCTCAATCGATATCATAGAAACTAACTCATGTTTAGGACACGTTCGGCACAACTTGATAACTGCCTCCAAATCCCCTTTCTCCTGGTAGTACACCATCAGTTCCATCGACCGATGCGCTCCATTTAGAATGTGCTCAATGAGCGGAGTGCAGTCGAACATCTGAGCCATCTGGAGCGTCGTATCCTCGTTCTCCTTGGTCACATACTTCAAGATTTCGTCTTGAAGACGTTGAGCGCTCCATTCCTCTGGCTTGTACGATCGAATACGATGCTCGAGAATCAGATTTACGAGTTTTTGATCGACGGCGTTCGTCTGATTGAGTACGTATCCGAGGAAGGCCTGCGAGGCTTCGATATCGCCCATAAAGATGTCGAAAATTCGCATAAAGTTGTTCTGCGGATCCGTATTCGAGCGGATCTTTTCCCAGAGCACGTGCATGAGCTCGTCCCTCGCGTGCAGAAGAAGGTCTCTCCCGTACTTTCCCGTCATTTCAATCACACTTTCAATCGGCATCTTGGAGATGTAGGCGACGCCCATCGAGTATTTGTGCTGGTAATGAATGATGACATTCAGAGCATCCTCGTGCAACTGGAACTTGGTGGCCACGGTCTCCGCCTCCTGGAGATAGTTCCACTTGAGAAGGATCTCGAAGATGTCCTTGATTCTGGCGGTCCTCGTTCCGTCGTTAATCTTGTTCACAAAGTCTTTCAACTTCTTCTTGTCGCCTTGCTTCGCGTACGCATTCATCAGAATCTTCGTCTGGTGTTCATTGTCTTTTTTGGCGTCGTGCAGACATTCCAGATAGATGCACAGCTCTTTAATTCGCGAACTATCCAGGTACCTCTTCATGACGTACGAAGGCTCCAGCATCCCAATAGTATCTTTGTACTGATGAATCGCATTCTCGTAGTCCCCTTTTCCATACAGATAATCTCCGTACTTTGCGTGAATCGTTTTCAAATGCTCCGCTCCGTCTTTGGAATTCCGGGCAATTAGAACGGCCACGTCGAACAGATTCTTCTTGAAGAGAATGTCCAGTTTTGTGGCGAGATTCTTTTCGATCAATTCAGAGAGAACTCCGTCGTGGCTGAGCACACGCATCGTGTTTCCGGCAACGAAAAGACGGCACAGATTGGGAAGAGAGCACGAGAATCCGATGTACTGCCCCTTCACATCATAAACCGTCAACATTGTCATGAACTCGGCCTCCTTCTGGATGACCGCGTGATGCTTCGTGAGAACTGCCAAGTATTGTCCGTTGGCCACCAACTGCAGTTTCTCGAATCCTCTGCCCAGCTGCAAACATCTTCCCACTTCTCCGTCCACGTCAATGCACTGATCGGCGTCGTAGAAAAAGAGCATCTCCCGACTGGCGACTATCAATTGGCCGGTGCTCTCGTCGAACGTCCAGCAGTCGGCAGTTGCTCCGTTCGCATCGTGCTTCTTGTATCCTGTGATGATCTTGTTATTCTCGATTATGTACGAGTACACGTGCTTTTGAGTAATCACAAAGATGACCGTTTTAGATCCGGGCAGCGCAGCGATCGCCAGTCCAGTGACTGCGCCGTCGCCAGTCGAAGAGTCCCGAACGCGGACCCACTTGGACTGCAGCGCCTTGTCGTGCAGAACATCCCCGTAATAGTAAAGAACAGTTCCGTCAGTGTAGCCGACGACGATTCCTTGAAGACTCGAGTGGACGGCGATGGAGCAGGCGGGACCCGCGGAGGTCGGGTTCAACGGAGACATGCGGACGGTCCGCATCACGTGCGGGGTGTTCTTCCCCACTCGTTCCGGATCCCAAATCTTCAGAAGCGTGTTCACTGTGTCATCGTCCTCTCCGATTGAAAACAGATATTTGTCGGCCGAATGTAAAGCTGCCAACGACTTCTGGTACGCCTTCCAATAGTATTCATCGTACTGGTTTGTGAGTCTGGAAGAGGAAGTTGGAAGAAGGAAAGAGAGGGGACAGAACTGACTGGAAGACTCCTCCCTTCGCTTCTCCGAGGTACACGGAGCCTCCGGAACGGCACCAGCAGTCGATCGAGACGTCCTTCAGTCCGCCGAACTTCTCTGTCCGATTGTCTCGATCGAAAACGACGGATCTATCGAAGAAGTTGAACCTTCTCCATCCGAATTCGGAGGAGGCCATTCCTGTGGCAACGGTCTGATGATCATAAAACAAAACGTTTATAGTTAAAAGATATAGTAGTGAAGAGAACAACGGCCAAACAAACAGAGAAAAATAAAGCGGATGCCAGTTTATTGAGATTTAAGCCAAACTGTACAGTCATAGTTGATGTTTTGTTTTTTAAATGGCAAATAAAGCATGTCAATGATAAATTTGAGCTATTCACAACCTATTACAGAAAATTATTGGCAGATATAAACAAATACAGTTTTTGAACGAATTCAATTCGCATTTCGGATTTTCACAATCATGCAGTACACATTTCTGACGATCGCCGACTCGGCCGTGTAGATCCTTTCGAGGGGCTCCTTGATGTCTCCGATCATCTTTTTTGCTTCGTTGATGGCTCCGGCGGCGCAGAACAACTGAGCGAGCTGATACTTTTGGAAGAGCACGGCTGGATCCGTTTCACTTTGGTACTCGAGCATGATTGAGAGGAGGGTGACGCCCATTCTGGCCGCGAGTCCGATGCTGCAAACTTATTGATACTGTTGAAAAATAATAGGTTCGACATTCGAATTAGAGTTGGCAGCGAGCCAAGGACACGCAGTAAAAGTGAATTAGAAATGGAATGACTACTCACTCTTTGGCTGCCAACGCTGCAAAGTACATAAATCGGAGAACGGGCAGTCGGTGCACATTGAACGTGTGGAGGGTGTCTTTGAAGAGTTCGAGCAACTTCTCTCCGAGTTCCGTCCGCTGAGCCATCGATATCATCTCGTTCTCGAACTTTGCCCGGGAAGCCATCGCAGTCTCTTCGGCCGTTCGGCACAGTTCGTAGTGATCCTGAGTCATCTGCCATCCGCACAGTTCGCACAGTCCGTCCTGGCTGTTTCTCATCCATCCGCCCGTGCAGATTCCGCACGACCACGCCTCCATCCGCGCATTCCGTTCTTCGTCGCAGCATCCGTCGCAGGCACAGTCAAACTTGTACTTTTTCTAGAAACTTGAAAAAGATTATCTACGGGGGCAGCTGCTAGAATTAAACCTTCAGCGCCTCTTTTCGCATCGCCTTCGGCATAAGTTCGTCGATGTAGGAGTGGCAGGCACCCTGGAGCGTGGTCGGAACTTCCTGATCGCAAACAGGAACCAACATGGCAGTTCGGTTTTTGTAGCACACTCTTGTGGTCGGTTTGCACGAATGATTTGCGGCGCTCAATTTTATGCAGAGGCCAATTCCGATGGCGTTTCCAGTTGAATTTCCTATTACGAAACTATTGATCGACACTTTTTTGAATATCGTTTTCACAAGATCAATGTTCGGCGGATAGACTGCAAATTTCACGAAATCGGTAGCGAACTCGTCGGCTTCTGAATCGAGCGCATTCCCATGATCTTCAAGCGTCAGGAAACTGCGAGTTCCTCCGGGAATGTAGTCCGCTTCCACTTTGCCGTCTTCGCTTCTGCTGAGCATTACGGCGATTCTCTGCACAAGTCGGATGGAATCGTTTGCCACTTCATTCGTGTCCTAAAACGTACAAAGTTGGTTAAGCATAAGGCGAATCCATTACCTGGATAGATTTGCACTCGGCTCTGTGCAGTCTCCAATCAGATTTCTGACAATCCTGCGAACAATATGCGAGTTTCATGCACGCACTGCACTTTTTGGGCTCGGACATACTTATCAGGCAGTGATTGCAGTAGGAATGGACCTGATCCTTGGCAAGGGCGAACGCGTAAACATTTTCTTCAAGTGCGTCGGGCGGGAGAACCATTCAGCCTAGAAACAGACAAATTCAACAAAAATTATTTACGGCGCCGCGCTGTTTCAGATAAATATTTCTACAGAATGAAAACCACTCGTGAACGAAAACCAGGAAATAAAGGGAAATGCACAATTTTCATTGGAAATCGGAGAAATGAGTCAGGGATGGAAAAGAAGGAAATCCGAAATTCGAGAATACACCGAAACAGGAACAGATGTGAACGAATACTCCGTGTGGAGGGGACTTTCAGTAGAACAAAAAGGGGAATATAATGAAAATAATAATAATACGGATTGACAGCAGATTCATAAAACGGAAAGTGATTAATTGAGTCCCATGGTGTTCCACAGCTTGCTGAGCAGTCCGTCTTGTGGTTTGCTAGTCGCCTGCAATACCTACCGAAAAGGGATAGAATAAATTAATTCAGACTCCACTCACGTTGTTTCTTTGGTCGGCAGCCAGTGGTCTCATTCCGACCGACGAACGGACCGAAATTCGAGACGAGCTGTAAACAATGACTGAAATGATAGAAACAATCGATATCTCTCACTTGAGTGAATTGTTTCCATCAAACACATTCGACGAGTTGAGCACGTTGTTCTCGTTGTGAAGAGCAGATTGGTCGCCGATGTCGCTGTCGGCAAACGAGTTGTACATGGAAAAAGATCGATTCGCAGCCGCAGTGGTCGTGGATCTCGCCACTATTCCAGCCGCCGAGCCGTTTATGACGTCCTTAATGTTTTATGTGAACAGCTTTTTGTCTGTCTGCGTATCACTTACTTTGTTGGTGCATGGAACCACTCCGATGAATGTCTCCGTGTCGAGGAGAGTTCCGTTGCGGGAGAGAGCTTGCTGAGCATGAGTGACGCACGAATATCGAATGTGCATGAAGTTTCCTTTCGACGGCGCTTGATGGCTGACGACTTCTCCGTGACGCGAGAACAGATTCAGAAGAATTGACACCTGATTGGGGTTGAAACCGAACACGGTAACCCACGTCTCGCCCGCATCTTCACCGCCTGTAGTTGACTCTTCTTCGGCTGAAATTAAAGATACCAACAATTTACTTGTACACAGCTTATAATTACCCAAATGGGAAGGAAGACGTTGAGTGAGTGGCGTCGAAAGAGGTGTTGATCTGGCCGCAAATGTGTTTCTCCGTGCAATCTTCTTCGCGGGCTCAACCTTGTCTCGTAGCGACCGAAGTGGAGGCGCTAAAACTGGAGTTTTGAATGAACAACTACTGAATGGCATACCATTAAGAGCTTGACCTCCGAACGAGGAATTAGACATAGGTTTGGTAGAGGAAATTGCTGAAGTTCCTCCGAACGACACGTTAGCATTGTTATGCGAAGGAGTGGACGGCTTCTCGCTCGACTGCACCAAAGCAGGAGACCAATGCACCGTCTTGGCTCCCGGAGTATCTTTCACATGAGGTGGAATCGTCGGAGCTGGGCATGCGAAGATATCGGCTACAGGAGCCGACGTCGTGTTCATCGGACTGTTTGTGTCTAAGAATATGGTGGGATTGAGAATATCTCAATATTGAAAAGACTTACAATTGGCTGGAACTGTCCCTTTCCGCTTTCCAAAGAGAAATGCTGGTGTGGACTGGTCCAGTGGTGTTCCAAGGCTGAAAATACTTATTTTTTAAAGATGAGACTGCTATGTTTACTTTGATAGTTGCGATCCATTCAAATCAATCGAATTATGCTTAGCAGATGTATTGAGGAACATTACTGGAGCACAGCCTGTAATAGTCAAATTACAGATTTCCGGGAAGTGAAAAAAGAGAGAAAAAAATTCTACAACGTGTTCTGAGCAATTTATATCGAAAATCTAACAAACAAACACAAAAATCAGAGAAAAAAATTCGTTTGAATACAGACTCTGCATTCACCAAACCTCAAACTGACGCGCAATTGCGTATTGGAGGGAAACGTCGAAAAATGAATACGAACTCGAGAAAACACATTTTTCAATTGAAATTGATTCAATTTTTAGAAGAGATTTTGAAAAGAATGTTCAAGAGCAAAAGATGCGCGTTTGTTAATCAGTGCACAAAAAAAAATTTGTCAGATACTCAGAAACTCAAAGCACGTCCAATTCGGCGAAACTAAAAGAGGATGCATCAAACATGAAAGCACATTTCACACATAACAAATAAGAAAATGGTCAGTTCAGCTCCCCATCGAAGCGACGCTCAATCCTGAAGACAACAATCTCTCCTGAAATGCCACGTCACGCCGAATCTCAAAACCCACGCATGGTTTTTCATTACCGCGGACTCTGCGCCGCTATCTCCGATCCCTGTGTCTTTCATTTTAATTGCAAAAGAGAGGGATGCGCCCATTTAATTAAATTCCGTCGACCTTTTTTGTTGACCACACACATACGCAAGCCGTTCTCCGTGCTCGTCCTCTCGTCAAAAATTTTTGTTCGTAAGTACAGCGCAATGAAAGAAAATGACAGAATTGAAAGAGGCGGAGATTCTTCGCTCCTTTCTGATTCACTTCAAAATAATGTCATCGCCTATTCCAAGAATGTACTTTTTCGTGGTCGGAGCCGCCCGTGCCATCGTACTAACTACTGGCACCGAGCGTCGTTTGTCGTCCCGTCGAACGCCTACAAATGGCCCCGTCTCGCCGCCTTAAAACAGCCCGCATTCCATCATCTCCGGCCACTTCTGAATCTTAATTGGATGTGATCCTCACTTATTCAACAAGTTGCTCTCGAGAAGAGCTTCTCCTCTTTTTCTCTTCTTCTTTTTCTTCTTCTTGTTTTAAAAGCACTCTCCAGGATGTTGTTGATGATGATGCGCTCAGATTTAATGAGTTCTATAAAAGAGATAGAAGACTGCGGCGAGAGAAGCGAAGAGAAACTAGTAATAGAATTGAGAGCAGCATTTTCATAATTACATTCTGGTCGCCGATGCCGCCAAAATGCACTGCGGCGACGGAAGAAGAGAGAAAAACGAGCGAGCACTCGTTTTTTCCGTTTCATTTGCATGTTTCTGCTCTTATTAGTCGTCCATTATTCATTTGGAAACCAGCGGTTTCTGAGGCCTTATGACGTCTAAAAACAAGCAACGACCGATCCGAACAGATCAGTTTTCCGATTCAAAGCACTCGAGTGGGATTCTACCGTACCCGCGGCTAATTTATACGCGGCGTTTGTGATGGTGACCTCAGCAGGCACTTAAGTAGTCAAAATGTTTGCAAACATTACACTTTGCTTTCAAAATTATTGTAAAAGTTAAGTGTGGCTGATAACACCGTTGCGGCTCCGACGCCCGTTGCATTTGTGTTGTTCTGTGTGGCCGACCGTTCGCCACGCCCCTTTCGCTCCCACTTCCATCAGCTCTTTTCGCTTCTCGAATTCATTGAACCATTGCGAATTTCGGCCATCCGGGAACTCTCTCTCTCCCTCCGCAAATTTCACGTTTCCATCCATTTTCTCCGTCTTTCTCGTCATGCTCCAAAGTAATAAAAAAGGTTTCGGGGCGGCTGTCGCCAGAGTGCCCAAATTGACTCGTTCGGAGGGCACTAACTTCCGGCACGCCCCGCCCACTTTTGTCTAATTTCGAAAGAACAACGAGACGGACGGGCGACAGTCTCAAAGCGGTGTGTGGCTCTGATAACACGCAACAACGTTCTCGGCACTGTTTTGGTTATGAAATCAACGGGGCAAAACACACAAATGAATCAGCTTCTTTTCGGTCGTGCGTGCCGCCCCGTTTGACTTCGTTTACCACCACATCAATTAGTATTCTGACGGGGGAAAGAGGGAAAACGAGCCGCCGTCGTGGTCGCGGAGGAGCCGCGCTTTGTCCTGTTATTGTCCCCGAACGGCGCAGACATCATAATGTAATGTTTATAATATTGGTGACAGAGATTATGATGATTAGTCCGTTGGGGGCCTAATCTTCATCTCCCCGTCAAACATAATGTTAATCGAAGAACGATTTTTGCGAACAACAACCGCGACACACCTGCACAATTTCCCATTCCCCCACTGGCCCACTACAGTAATGACGTAAAGTCTGCGCGCGAAAAGGTCGTTGGCTAGTTTCCCAGGCGACTTTGTGATTTCTCTCTTGCTTTCCCCAATCATAATTCAATTTTGGCTGGAAAGTGGAAAGCTCTCGAGCTATGTTTCCGAGGCTCCGAGAGATGTCTGATGCTGTATCGGTTTCCCAGAAAACCTAATTAGGTCACACCTGCTCGTTCGCTCTTTCCCCTCTACCGTAATCCCAATTACCGGGTTGCGTGTACGCTCCCGCATTATGATCACTCTTTCTTCTTCTTTCTCGTGAGTGAGTGCTCCTCCAATTACTCGCCTTCTTCCTCTCCTTCTTCTAATCCTTTCCCGGGTGCCCGTCTAAATATTGCAACTCTCATTAGTCGGTTCATTTATTTTCCGCTCTCTTTTTATTAGTATTTGCATCTGTCCTCTTCCTCCTTCTCCCGAGCCCCACCCATCTTGCCGACCTGTGCTCAATGAGCTTCATTTCTCTCTCTCTCTCTCTCTCTTTCTCTCTTTGCGCAGCTTCCTTAAATTTTTAATTAAACGCCCGAAAGAACACACGTCAATTGCGGCGGCGATTCTCTTCCGCCTCCCTCTCTTTCTTCCGATTCACTTTGGTCCGAGACTGTGAATGACACATTCATTGCACCCAATTATCCGTTTCTTTTCCCGCTGCTGCCACGAGGGCATTCTCAGCCATTTTCTCCGTTTTTCGTTCGTTTCCCACCCAGTGGTTTCTGATTCTTTCTCTCCAAAATGCACAAACTTCGTGCTCCCCTGACTCGATTCGGAGTAAGAGCCGGAGCAAGAGTGCTGCTCTTTCTCTGAATCAGACACCTAAGAGTACAGCTCTGATTACACGCTTGAAACAGATGGTAATAGGCAGTTAGTGCACACATCCCGTGGTTATTTTCGCTTAGCTCTCCTCATTTCGTTATTCGCTTCTCTCTTTCAGTCCGAATGGTTCACTCGTCGGCCTTCCATCCGTACACCCGTCCAACGGTTCCGAATGCGAATCAAGTGGACGAGAGTCTCAGGTACGTAATCCCTTCCGAGTCAGATCATTCGGGTCGAGCAGGTACATGAGCAATAAGTCTCTCTCTCTCTCCGGGAAATTGCCCCGGGCCCTCGGAGCACAGAAAAAACGGCTCTCTTTTACTATTTGCGGAGTGTATGCACATATTAATATATATATACTTCTCCTCCTCCTCCTTCTTCTCTTTATTTCTTCTTCTCCATATATATTTATCGCTGGCGACGCGCCTGCCGAACCGAATCATAATCTGACGTGCTCCGTGGGGGTGAAAGAGAGAGCTCCTCCGGCACAAAATAATTAGAGAAACGGCGGTGGCCGTGTCACTTCTCACATGTTTTGCGCGAGTTTTAATTAGTTCGCAGTGACACACACACACACATGTACATACAAACACGCTAACAAATTGTAAATAGAGCGGGGAGCTGAATAGATTTTAATTGGACGTACTGCATTCGCAGATCTAAAGTTCAGAAAATAAAGGAATCACTTTCAGATTCCTGTTCAATTCGGAGGCTCTTCTTGCTCTCGCCCAACTCCAGAACTCTTCGAAGGTGATGTCTGTCGAGTCGCCGAAGCAGTTGTCCCCTCCGACTTCCGCTCCGATCCTGACTCCGAACCCGGTCTCCTCGACTTCCTCCTCTTCTTCTTCTTCTTCTTCTTCTTCTTCTTCTTCTTCTTCTTCTTCTTCTGGCTCAGAGCCGCTCCAGTCGCCAACTGCCACGATGCCCCATGAGAAATCGCGAAGAAAGCGGACGACGTTCTCACCGGAGCAAGCGATGCGTCTCGAATCGGTATGGGAAACGAGGAAGGGAACAGAGACCTTATAGGTTGTTCGTTTCAGGAGTACTTGGGTGACAGCTACATGGCTCGCGAAAAGCGCCTTCTTCTCGCCCATTCACTGAATCTTTCTGAGAATCAAGTGAAGACGTGGTTCCAGAACAGAAGAGCCAAGGACAAGCGGGACAGGAAGAGTGACAAGTAAGTGAGGCCACTTGTGACAAGTCCACATCTGTCTTTTTCAGTTCCTCGTTGACCGCTCACTCGAGAAGATCCTCCCCATCCCGCAAGTGCTCTTCCGATTCCACACCGACTTCATCTTCATCTGCCGCTGCCGCTCCGACTGCTTCGTCCTTCATTATCCCGCCTTCCATCACCCATCAAGTGCAAACTGCCACGTCACCAACCACAGTCGAAGCTCTTCTGATGTCGACCCCTGCTTCCCCGCCCGCCAGCATCATTCATAAAGTGGAACAGTTTCCCGCCCCACCGCCCCTTCCAAACCTTTTCCTCCCAAACATTGACAACCTGAATCTCTACCTGAAAAGTCTTCCTCCCTCGATCCAGTCTCTGCTGGTCTCCTCGCCCTCTCCGGACTTATTCAATCACAATCTCATCGCCCCATTCCCGCTGTCCCTCCAATCGGCCACTATCTGACGGCCCCCACTTCAGTTATCTATTCGGGTTCACAATCCCATCCGTTTCTCTCCATTTCAACAATATAACTCCAAAATCTCTGTCTCTGTCCCCGTTCTTTCTTACAAGTATATGTTTCTGATGAGTTGACTGAATAAATTATATGTACATAGTGGAAATGTCGAAAAACACAGAACACATACAGTTTTCGTAAATATTGACAGTAACAATCAAGGGAATGAGCCACCAATTAGAGCCAGATCTGGGGCCACGCTCCCCGTTTTGTTTGAGCAGCTTCCTGTCGTTGCACACCGATTCCGTGTCATTCTCGCCGAGCGACACAACATGAGATCGCTGCTCTTCTTCCTTCTCCTGGCTTGCTCCATTGCCGCCGGTATGCGCCACACCGCCACTCTTTTTCAGTCTGTCCATTTCAGCCCAAAGCGAGTATGAAGAGTTTGCCTCTTCCGAAGTCTCCTCCTCGTCATCGTCGTCATCGGAACAAGCCGTGGATTCTGAAGAGGTGCTCAATTCAAATTATAGGTTACGCCCGCGGAAGCCTATAATTTGGCACATTATAATTAATCTCCAGCATCATTTTGTTTGCAGATTGTCGACGGATCCGGCTCGGGGGATGAAGAGCAAGTGGTTCCTTTGAAAATTAACATTTTGGGCATCCTTCCTGGACCGGGAGACATCAGAAAGAAGAGAGGAATTATGGAGGTGCTCGGCAGAAAGTGAATAATTCGGATGACCTTCGTATAGAATTGTAATGAAACATTTTGTATCAGTTGCCACTTTGGTTCATTTGAATGACAATAACAACAAGCGCACTTGAATCAGAAGAAGAAAATTATAGTGCTCAGTAGGGTTCCGAATCGAAGTTTAAACTCATCAGTGTAATCTAAACCGCGGGCTCGTGCATGTAGCTAAGAATCCACCCTATCCTCATATTCTTCAAGTAATGTTCTTTTCAACCCTATTTGGCACGGAGCCCCAGCCTTCCAATCTGCGAAAAAAATTACGCTTTTGTACTGCGCCTTTAAACACTACCTCGGAATCCTAGTGCTCAGGCAAGTGCGCTTCGAATGCTACAGAATGTTTCAAAATATTATTATTCGAAAAATTCGAAACGAATCTGACGTGAAACCCGGCCGCAAACAATCAAAATTCTGTGATTTGCGGTAGAGCGCGACTTCTGCAGCAAACGGTCTTATCCGAGCTGAACGAACTATGAATTCATGACAAACGTGGGAAAGTTTCTGCATACACCCAAAAAAGCGCCACACATCCATCCATTAGCTCAATTCGATGAATCTGCGTTTCTTCGCCTCCGCACTCTCTTCTCCACTCCCTCCCTCTACAGTATCTTTATTTGTTTGAGCAGCTTCTGATCGTCCCGGCTCATCAGTTGTGTCCTTTCACTCTAGGAGCAACATGCGTCCCTCGCTGCTCGTCCTTCTCGTCTTCGTCATTTCTGCGGCTTTCGGTTCGTCGTCTTCTTCCTTTAAGTCGTTTCACACCATTTGTTTTCCAGCTCAATTCGCTGACTCGTCTTCTTCTGAACTGACTGAATCTGATTCTTCGGACCCTTCGGAATCTGAAGAGGTGCAGGTCGAAATCGTTGAAGGATCCGGATCCGGAGATGCTCCACTGAAGCTGAGTATTCTCGGAGTCCTTCCTGGTCCAGGAGATATCCGTAAGAAGAGAAGCCTTCCGGGCTTCTTCGATATCCAAAAGAAGCGTTGAATCCTTCAGTACTTCGCACTTCCCTCAGCCCACAAGTTCCCAGAATAAACAATTGAAATTATTTAGTATGTTACAGAGAATACAATAGAAATTTTAGAATATCCTACAGAACAAAGTCATGTGAATAAATAGGCGATAGCACCGTTGGGAGTTTTGTCGTATCACAGTTAGAACTCGACCTTCGAGTCTCGAAAACAGAAACCTATGCATAATGATACAGGAAATAGAAGAAAGATGTGCTCTGAAAAATTAAATTAACCTGTAGGTGATGGAGCAAGAAATGGAATGGGAAACATCAACTTAGGAAGGGAATTCTAACAGCTACATGATCGAGCAGCCTTCTTCGTCGGCCTTCGCGAGAGCGTCTTCTGCACAAACGACGTCGTCATACCTGAAAATTCAGAAAATTTTGAGCTAATGATGTTTTCGCTGTTACCTCTTTACTGATTTGTGTGCTCTGTCGGCACTGCGACTCCGTTCTCTCCGTCCTCCGTTCATTACATTCTTCGAGAATGACGACCGACGCCCACGCTCGTCTTTCTTCGATTCTGCCGAGTCTCTCCGTTCTTTTCCGTTCGGAAAGAACTTCATATCGGCTATTCCTACCTGCTCGGCAACAACTGCCAAATGAGCATCGAACGACTGTAGAAGCGCCACGTACCCACAGCACTTCTCGACCGCCCATCTTCCGAGTTCAGTGCATGCGAACCGAATTCGCGCGAAGCTCTTCTCTCCGGCTCTACGCACCATTGAAACATTGATTTCCTGCCGAAGTTTCCGCTCGTCGCGGCTGATCAAGCAGAGCAAGAAGACCCAATCGATGGCGGCAGTTTGTGAGAAAAGGTAGAGCAGAAGCTCGATCTGTCGGCTGCTCTCAATGTTTCCACGTGAAGACTTGGCGCCGACGAGGAAGTCAGTGTTCTGCCAGTCCCCAGCCAGACTGCGAGAGTCACAAGAGGATGGAGTGACTGGAGCCGGAGCCGTCGGAGAAAGTGGATTTATTGTGGAGGAAGTGGAGGGCGAACGGTCGAGAATCGGGACCAGTTCTGAAGCACTTCCTCGCACTCTTTCCAGCAGCGCTTCTTCGATTTCCACTTCTTCTTCGCTGTTCTCATTGTCATTCTCTCGAATCGGCTGTGCTCCGTTCAAATCAACCACAGTCTTTTCGGTTTTTCTGTCTTTCGGCTTCGAAGTTTCAGCAGCTTCGTTGGCAACAAGTCCATTCAGACTGGCGGTGCTCTGACTGACTCGGATGTTCCCGAGTTTCTTCTCGATTTGGTGGACAAACTGTGATCCGATGACCGGATAAGGCCAAGAGAACTGAGCATGGAGTCGGGTGAGAGCGAGAGAAAAGTCCGCAATAAGATAGCAGTTTTCGTTGGTGGACTTTGGAGAAAGCGACACTTGTTTCCGGCGAATCTCGAGAAGCCCAGGCAGGTCAAACTGAAGTTCAGACCAGAAAAAGCCGAGATCGAGAAGCCAGTAATTGTTGAGAAGGTGCCACGCGTGCTCTTCCAAGATTACCGTCATCTTTGCAGCCAATCGATTGACAGTCAACGGGGGAGACATTTCACCGGACATTCCCTGCAACTAAATGGAGATGGAAGAATCAGAAACGTATTAATACCCTTGACAGTGACGTTTTCTCTTTTGAACTACCGAACGAGTCCTTCCGCTGCGTTTCCTTCTGATCCGTGCTCTGCGAATGTCTCACTTTGCTCAGCCTTCCGGCTGCTCCTGCTTGGAATCGGTTGATGACGAATTCATTGGAAGATTCGGCTGAAGGAGAGGATACCGTCGGTCGGCGGGACAGCGAAGTCTTTGCACTTGGAGGCGGAGTTCTGAAATATCACGTTTCCAAATGAACTAATCGGGACTATTTTCTTACAAAGCGTCTATATCTTCGGAGCCGATGGATCTGGCAAATCGAACCATTTCCTGGGCGATCGTCCACTTCTTCTCGGCAAGCGCTTCTCGAACCAGCCTCGCCGCCTGCTCCATGCTCACTTCCGTCGTCTCCAAATTCTGAAGAACTATCACGAAACTGGCAGCGTTCTCCAGTTGTTTCAGCTGAAGACACTCCTCGAAAAGAGCGTTCGGTGAGCCGGTCACATCGAAGAGAGTTCTCCAAAGGGCAAGTTCCGTTTTACGGGCGCAATGAGCAATTGTCATCAGAAACTCGGGAAATTCATGAATGAATGCGACGCATCGGGGAAGCAGCGGGTCGGGGATGGGCTCGCTGCTCGTCGCTTCTTCTTCCAGAACTCCGTGGAGTAAAAGTTCAAGAGCGTGGCAGAAATGAGGAAGAGAACGGCACGCCCCGGCGAGTTCGAGGGCGAAGACGCCGAGATTCCGTTTAAGAAGTTGGCGGAGAAGATGATGGACGAACACTTCGCTGTTTCGATGGAGTCCATACATCGAAATGCTCGCCATTTGTCCGTTCCGGGAAGCTCTAGCGACGTGTTGTAACTGACTTTCGACGCCCACGGCAAGACAGTCTCTCGCACTGATCACAATCGGATATATGTCGAGTTCGAATGGGAGCATGATCCGCTTGGCTATGAATGTCATCTCTTGAGTTGTCGTGTTCCGTTTTCCTGGAACCAGTGGCATCCAAACCCGAATTCCTTTGGCTCCGCAAGCAATCCAAAGAGCATTGCTCAGATGGGATGACGACTGAGCAAGCGGCGAGGAGGCTCAGAAGCCGTAGAGACACTCCTAACGGATACGTTAGATCCGTTCCTCCGATGGCCAGTCCAAATGGGTTCGAGGCTCTGTTGAAGAGAAGTCTGAGAGACAATGCACCGATCATGCCACATCCTTTCCACGTACGACGCAATTACCATAGGCTGATGGAGCTGAACGAGGAATTGGGAATTGCAGAGGGAATCGGAAGCGGAGGGATACCTTTCCGTCTTCATTCAGACTAAGAGTGAGCAGTCTTCCGGCAATATTCACGAGAACAGTGTCAATACTCGCGAAGAATGTTGGAGGCAGCTTCCCACGAACGTCCAGGTTCAACTGGGTCATCTGTAGAGACACGATGCATGTCGGATGAGGAACGATTTCGTTGATTCGGATAACGGTGACAATGTCTCCGGATACTTTTGTGAATGCATCTCGGCCCGATTCGAGATGAGCCGTTAGTTTATAAAGAGTGATCTGGGCGGAAATATCAAACACTGCGCAAACATCGTCTCTGAAAACAAAGAAGAATTCGAAAAGATCAGCATCACAGAACGGACCTCAGGGCAGACATGACCGATTTGTTCTCGAGTTCAATGACAGAGGCGAATCGATTGTCAAGGCGTTGTGAAATGGGAAAGAAGGAGAGGTGCGACTTGTCGGTGTCCGCATACACTCCGACCACTCCGATGACAGCATCGTTCCAGATGAAAATGCCGCCAGTCACAAGAAGATTCTTCTCTTGCGACTCATTCCCAAAGATCTTCCACCTACGAGTGCTCAGCGAGCAGTAGGCCATTCCTTGATCACCGGCGACCACCAAATGGTTGTAATTTCGGTCTGTGGAAGCGTACTGAAAGGAAAATTGTGCTCAATAGATAGAAGGGAGCAGTTGCTTACCCGGAGTGGCCAATTAGAAGACAAGTACTCGTGAGCGACCGTAATGTGATCCCAAACGGAATGTGGAGCACATGCATCAGCCTCCCTGTCCCGTGCAGCACTGATTAACACTTGCGAATCACTCATGAGAACTGCACGATCGCAGTGTTCCATTATAGGACTTGAGCAGGAGGCACTTCTGATGAAGGGGTGCATGCTGAACTCTTTTCTTGTCCCGAGCCATAACTGATATCCTTCCGGCCCCCATTCCACAGCCGTGTACATATCCTGCTCGTCATGATCCGCTGAATAGTCATCGACGACGCCTTCTAGATTACAGAAGGATTGTGCGCCGAACGGGGTGAAAACAGCCATGAGACGAGGCAGAGCATGAACTTCTGTCGATGAATTCGGGTTCATTTTTTTGGGTGCCCAAACTGCTGCGAATCCGTATCCACTTGTGAGCGCCGTTATTTTGTAAACAGGACCGAGGCGGTTTGTCAAATCGGGACCATTCGTAACTTTCGGAGCGACCCGGAACGACTGCACCAAAGATCCATTCAACTCGTCTATGTTGTACGCGCAAACTTCTCCGCTGAAGAGAAATATGAGTTGAAATACAAGAGGGAACATAAAACATACTTTCTGCAACCGAAAATTATGAGAAGGAACTTGTGATTGACATCACAACACGTGGCATCTTTCAGGTTGGGAGCCCACACTCCGAGAATTGCATTCGGAGCAAAATTAGGATCATTCGAAGTGAGAAGAGCACCTTGTCCGTCGGAGAGAACAATTGAAAAGCCGCCGAGAAGAGGGGCGTAGACGGCGTCGACGATGTACGTGGATTTTGATGCGACATTTTCGGATTTTGATTGCAATTGATCGGCAGAGAACGGAATAGCACTGGCACGGAACGAAAGATTGGCAATGATTTCGCCGGTCCACGTGACGTGATGGGTGAAGCCGTTGCGCAGACAAACTATGAATTCGTCACGCGAAGGAACACAGCTGAAAACGGAGGATTGGAAAAGCTGAGGAGACATAGAAATGGAAAGATACCACGTGGGAACATCTGCCAGATTGATGATGATCGTCGGATGAAGGTGTGCCACGGGTCGGTTCCCTTTTATGAACAGTTCGGGCGAATTCCGTTGAAAGTAGGGATCTGCTGAATCCGTGAAGTTGTAGCACTGCTCATGGTCCCGAAGCTCAAGCTTGTAGATCAAGATCTTGCTTTGGTTTGTCTGAAAACCTTCGTTCCGCTTTTTTTTATCAGTGTTCCGACAAAAAACTTACAGTCACAGCGATTGTACTCGAATCAGGCTTCCAGTACACTTGTCTCAGTTCTCCATATGACTCAACGAATGTCTGATCGATAACTCCAATGGAACATAGCAGAAGGGCGGCTGAAATGAAAGAAGGATTGTTTTGAAGAGTGGAAGTCAGCCACATTTGCAAGCCAAATGTAAACGGCGTCGTTCGTCGCTACGGCTATCAACTTCCGATCTCTGTTCGCCACGATCGATCGGACTTCAGCTTCTTGCGACTCTTTGTCATGTTTTGGAAGCTGCAGCACCGATGCTCTGTCTTTCTGGAAAAAAATTTCAGAAAGGGTCAGAAAATGGGTCAACTTACAGGTATGAACATCACGCGCAAAAATTAACCCATCAATGCAGTGAATTCTGAAAAGTTTTAAAGGTCTAACTAATTTTCAATTTAGCGATTTTGTGGGAAAAAAACGAACAGAATGAAGAAGATAAAAAGTCGCCAATTGGAAAAATTTGCCGCAAGAAAATTTTTATTGATTTTTGTACGTGAAATGAGAATGTTAGTAATGGTTTTATAAAAAGCTGAAGTAATTTAAAGTTTTTAAAACTTGGATTATTTCTGGAGCAAAGCACTCTGAAAAATGGAAAATTTGGCGGACGGCCGAGAATATGACAGTTTTAGGCCGCTAGTCCGCGGAATTGATTTTGACCTTCGAATTCAAGAGCGGATTAGATATGCTCATGGCACTGAATGTATCAGCTGATATCAGTGGAAATAATGACGTTGAGAAGATAAAAAGTACAATTTTGAGGGCGGTCCAACAGAATAGAACTGGGCAGAATAGAACTGGCCAGAATAGAACCGCGAGACAATAGAACCGGCCACAATATAACTGTTTGGAGCGCCTTTTAAACCTTTCTGTAGAATGAATAATTGTTTCGTAGAAAAAGATAATTTTTGAATCTCGTGATCGATTTATTGCATTCATTAATTTCACTTCCGTCGTGATTTCTCTTCTCTACGGTAACGAAAACCCACAGAAAATAATTTTATTGTACTATCAAAATCGAAAGGAAACCAATTTTCTAGGTATAAACTGTGGTTTTCTGCTTAATTGTTCGAGAGCCGAAAATTTTTTGCAAAAGTTAATTGAAAGGAACGGACAAAATGCTCATATAAATACACAAAAACAGTTCTTTTCTGCCCAGTTCTATTATGTTGGACCGCCATTTTGAGTAGCTACTAGTAGTAAAACCTACCAAACTGTAAGAAAAGTTGATATGCGCCTTTAAGTTTTTATTACTGTCAGATTACTGTAAAACATGTTTTCGTTCGAAGATTCGAATCGCGATTCTCGAAATTGCTCCTCTTCTGAGCAGATTCTGGTCTATTAATGACCGTTTATCGAAAACAAAAAATTTGCAGATGTATAGAAGGTACGACCCCACATTCTATGATTTCGTATCCGATCGCGCGAGAGTACATCGACAGCGCGTGCTCCAACGAAGGATGGGTGGACGCGAAAGCCGGATGGGGATTCCGCTACATGCACGGTAATGTATCTTCCAATTTCGAATCACTGGAGTGTGTTTTCCAGGTGATTTCGGCGTAAACAGCGGCCGAGTTCCAGGTGCTCAGACCGCGTTTCGTGCTCTCCTGTGTGCTGCAATTAATGCTCTCGAATACGTGAGCAAAACTCAAAAGCTCTCATGTTCTTTAAAATGCTCGTTTCAGGCTGACGCTTCCGATTCGGATGAAGGGAAGTCCATCGTCATCGCTGCAAAGAACGATCAGCTAAGAAAAGAAGTGCATGGCGAGAGAGCGCTTGGAAACGAAGATCTCTGGGAGCAAATTGACAAGCTGATGACTGAAGTTGAGGTAATTTAACAGAACTTGGAAAAATTTACGAGCTATTAACTGTTTCCAGGCCACTTTCTCGACGATGCCAGCCGACCCGAGCCGCAATCAATACTACAGCGCTTCGAGAGCCGCCAGAAGAATTGCTGGAATAATATCGGAGGAATGGGACGATGAGCTAGACTGCGAATCCGATGGAGGATTCTAATCTCTGTTCGTAATTCCATATTGATCTCGGTGTTGCTTGAATAAGAGAGTTGTGTTGTTTTTGAAATGGAATTCCTTGCCGGAGCACTTGACCAAACAAGACCTTCCGAGAAGATACGAAGTACATTCCCGGAATATTTTGGTATCCTTTTGACCATAAAAGCACAGAACATTGTAATTAGAATTGTCCGAAATGCTAAAGTGCCATTCACACCTCACCCCACATCATTTTTCGATCGAAGAGCTTCCTACTAAAGTGGTACAAACACTCTACTCCATTGATTTTATTTCTGATTGAATTTGTACTTTGAGACATCAGAATGCCTGCACAATATTTCAGCGTGAGATTCTTTCAAGAAAACAGCCGAGGCGTGTCGAACGAGCGCGCCAGTGAGCTTTCAACCGAAAACAAAGCTCATAACGAGCTGATGCGGAATCAGTTGTTCGCAACTGTACTTACTAATCGGAGCCTTTGAGATCTTCGGAATCGGAAGATTCCCCCGCCGCGTACTTTTCTGCCCTTCCTAATTTGTACCCAATCTCTTTGCCTGACATCTTCCAACTTCTCCATCAGTTTCTTTTTCTTGCGAGTTCCGCTCCTTAACTTGTTGTGTCGTGACGTGGCACTCCAATCTGCCCGCTTGTTATTCCTAAACCGCCCGACTACCGTAATAAGGTCTCCCGACTCAATCTGCCGCTGTTTTGACCGATTCGAAAACAAAAACATGTCATTCCTTCTCGACGGCGTCATTCTTTCTCCTTGTTCGGTTCGATGCCGGCCTTGTTTCTTGCCGTCTCGATCTTCCCCGAATCGTTGTCAAGGAGACCCTTTTCGAGGTGCGAAGAAGCAGAAGACGTGAGCTTTTTGCGAAGAACAAAACGAAGGAGGAGAAGAAGGCGTGCGAACCGAAGTGCTGCCTTTTTCAGAGAGTGCCAACTCTGCCACTCCTTCCTGGTCATTCACTTCCCATTTCAAAGAGTCTCTCACACATCCGATGACTTCAATCCGACATTCGAAACTGCCGTTTCCACCTGTTCGCAGTCTCAAGATCTCATGACAAACGCAATTAGCGGGTGGCTTTCGTGGCTGTGCTCGGCCGGCTGACTCACTATCACGAATCTTATAATGTGCGAGTTCAGGCGACCGAAACTGAAGCGCCAGTTCAGAGCTCACTTTCTGATTGTGGCCATTCACTCGCATAATCTGTGCGTTTTTTTTCGGTGAAATGCTCTCATTGAAACATAAAAAAGGGCTGCGAAAAGACCGTAGATCCCGGCGGATTTGAAGCTAATCCGCTGCTAAGGTAATCTTCGCGATCTGCTGACATTCCAAACCGAAATGTCACTTCCTCAATTAAAATATTCTGGCGCGTGTTCGGTAATCGGAATTCGGAACGAACATTCCGTTCGTTCCTATTTAATTGCCCCCCAGGGGTGTGCTTCCATTCGCTTTCCAACCACCTCAACTTTACTGAAACTCGCACTCTCATCGATTTCCCCCGCTTTTCCCGTCGGTCGACGACGTGCATTCCCCCGAAATGGCGAATAAGGGGAAAATGTGATTTATAATTATTATTCGGGCCGAGAGCGAGAAGGAGAGCGGGCGGCAATGTGCCAACAACACCGCCTTCCAGTTGCTTCCGCGTGATCCGCTTCCGCGCTCTTCCGTGTTTTTGTGCCCTCTCGGACACACTTTATCATTATTTCGATTCTGTTCGTCTCTCACTCTGTTTACCGCTTCCCCCACTTTGCTTTGGTTCTTTTTTTTCCTCCTGAGTTGTTTTTTAGTGAAGTTAGTAGTACCCTATAAGTTGGGTTAGCCATTGGTTTTTCCGTCGACCGAACGACAGTTTTACGAGCGCTCTCGAGCTCTCATTCCATTCCATTCCACGTCATAATTGGTGCTCATTCAATTTCATTCTCCATTATGTTAGTCACTCGCCGGCGAGCGACCGGCCGACAACGAGCCTTTCGCATTTCCGTATCTTTCGCATTTCCGTATCTTTTTCTTCTCCGTTCCCCCTCCTCTGTTTTTTTCTGAACGTTTCACTCTTTCTTTCAGCAGACCAGACTCCTTTCCACTGATTTATCAGGTGATGACAGCTCATAGATAACTCTTTTGTGCTCACTTTCTGAATATCTCCCTGATTCCATTCAGATGGGTGCCGCATTGTGCGCACCGAGAAAGAAGAAAACGGTATCCTTTCAAAGCTCCTTGAGCAGTCTGAGTCCTTCTTTTCAGCAAGTGGGAGCCTCTTGGGTTGGCAATGAATCAGAGAATCCATTCGACGAAACGCTCACTAAAAAAGATCGTACCCTTCTGAGGGAAACATGGCAGAGATTGGAAGAGCCCAAAGATATAGTCGGTCTCATCTTTTTGGATATTGTGAATGACATCGAGCCGGATCTGAAGAAGGTGTTCGGTGTGGACCGGGCTCCGCGAGCAACAATGCTGAAGATGCCAAAGTTCGGAGGACACATTCTGCGATTCTACGAATTTATGGAGCAGGTGAGCCCTCTTCTGCTTTCTGCTCATAACCTCACTTTGTATCTCTAACCGAATCCGTACACATCTATACAACTACAATCTCCTCAAACTCTATTTTTCAGTTGACGTCGATGCTCGGCACGTCGGAGAATCTGACGGGAGCGTGGCAGTTGGTTCGCAAAACGGGCCGGAGCCATGTCAAACAGGGGTAAGGGGGCAGCTGGGCGACACGTCATCGGGTGCCCGCGTGACGAAATCAGAACCAGAAAGAGAGCGATATGAAATGAGGGTGGAGATTGAGTTTGCGATTAATCGGTTTTTCCAGATTCCTCGAGCAAAATCAGAATCAGCTGGAGAAAAACTATTTCGAAGTAGTGATAAATGTATTCATCGAGAGACTCATTCCTTATTTGACGGGTGAACAGGTGAGAATCCCCATCGGAAGAAGTCATTCCCACGCATTCTATTCCAGGAGCTGCCTCCAGCGGAAGGCAAAGAGCAGAGAAAGGTGCGGTTTGCACAGAACTACACGCCCTCGCAGATCACGGACGTTTGGAAGAAGTTCCTGAATATTGTGATCGCTCAGATGACGGACTCGTTCGAATTGGAGAGAGCCAAACAGAGAAATGCGCAGAGCACGAAGGCGTTGGCTCCGAATCAGCACCTCGAACAGGCGGAACGAAAGAAGAAAAAGGTTGCGGTGAGTTGCAGTGACGTGGCAGAATGAGAGGATATGGAAAAGTTTAGGAGAAGCAGAGTGAGATCGAGAACACCGCGAGTTCAAATGAGCCAAAGGAGCAGGAGCAGATGTTTGAGGATCCGTTCTGATAGGCTTAAAAGTTTAAATTTTTATTTGATGCCACAAAGTAAACCGTAATAAATTCAATTCAATTGTTCTAAAAGTGCTCTTGAGAACTGGATTGTGAGCTGCAGCTCCGCCTGAACGATTCCATTTCGGTCGAAAACTGAAAACAGTTGTCTGTTGCGAAGATTCCTAAGGAATGAGCCTACTTTCAATCACAATTGATTTGTTTTGTGTGTTATTGGGAACCAGGATGATGCTTCCGAAGCCCAGTTCCTCTTCCTCCCCAGGGCTAATCTTGATCACTGTCAGCTCGAATTTCACGCTCGCTTGGATCCATTGATTGAGAAGTGAGACTTGGCCACGTGTCAGAACGTATTCTAAAGTTACTCTCACATGAACCAATTCATTTGAATCTGATTATACCTTTACTGAAACTGATATCAACATTATCCTGAGGTCTTCTGGGGAAATCGAAAACACTGCTCTTCGATTGCTCATTGTCAAAGTCCAGGAAGCACCAATCCACGTAGAACTGAGTGTCCTCCCTCGTCCACGGTGTCAAACTTGATCGGGGCACCAGTTCGAACGCCTCTAACTCGATCACCACTTTCATCTCCGGCTCCACTACATCCTTGTCCACTGGCGACTCTGGTTTCTGCACTTTGATCAGACTCTGGCCTTCGTATTCCAACAGAGGGACTGGTGGTTTCTCGGCACGACGAGGCGTCGATGTATTTGAAGATTCAGATGCTGGAATTGGGCGAATGAACGCGGAGAATGGAATAAAAAGTGAGTGAGTTACCGGGAATAGAATGGTGCAGCGGATTCGTGAACTCAATGCGGCCTGTCGTGCTCTGAGCTTTGGCTGGTGGTTTTTTCGGCGGTTCTGTGAGAGAGATGGGTCCGACTGGGATGTTCCGAGGCTTTGCAATCGGAGGAAGCACGCCCAGAAGGCTCTTGAGCTCTTCCGTCTGCAACTCTTTCTTCTTATCTCCCTCTTTGTCTATCCCTTCTTCTTCCACTGCTTCGTCCAATGATCTTTGAGTGGGTGGCGTGGATTCTCTCGTCTTCACGGACCCCTCCTCCTCAACTGCCGGCCGGGGAGTCTCTTCTCCTTGACTCTCAGTTGGAGAGGCAGATTTTACGCTTATCGGTGAGTCTTCTTTAGATTCTTCTTCTTTTTGTTCGGTCTCTTCAAGTGCAAGGACAGGTATGGCCGGAGCCACACGAAGGGAAGGAAGAGGTTTCGGGGGAGCATAATCGAACATGGGCTCAGGTTCTCGGTGAGACGATTTCGCAGAGACGGACTCTACTCTGAAACAATCAGAAGCGGTCAACATGAACCGAATTAAACAACTTACTCTTCATCATTATCATAAACTACTCCGTCCTGAATGTCTCCGTCCGGAGCCACTGGCAGATGATAGTCGAAAGCAGCTGGCTTATTCTGAAAGGAGGATTGGTTTTGAAATGAACTCGTTTCTAAATGGCTTACTCGTGCCGGAGGACTGAACAAGCCTTTGGAGTTTGCGGAGAATGAGGATTCCGACGAGGAATCAGAGAAAGTTCGAGGGAGAATGGATGAGATCGGAAGGATTGGGGTGGGCTCGCTGGTCGGAGGAGCAACTGCCGGAGAGCCGGGCAGTTCCTCCCGGATGATCGGCTCGTTCTCCTTGACCGGAGTCACATCGAACTGTTTGGACGTTCTCCGGGGAGGAGCGACGACTGGCTGACTGGCTTCCGGCTCTCTTTCCGGTTTCACGAAGAACGATGGGATTTCGTGCTTCCAGAGGAGACAGATATCCAAGGAAACTGAACTAGCACGACCATTCACCTGCAACAAAACTGCGTTCTTTGGGAAGATCGAAGATCATCGAAACTACGTCAAGCATTGGGAACACTCCTTTGATTGAACCTCCCAATTTGCATAACGGATGAAGGGGCAAGTGAAGCGTGGCGATAACCCCGTCCTGCTTTGGAATGTTTTCGATTAGGAAGAAGGAAATGTTCTGGAACAAAATAATGAGTTGATGGAGAGAAAACAAATCCTACAGAGCTAGTAAAGAGACTTCTGGCAGAATCCGTCTTCGGAATATGACAGTCGCGTTTCGATCGGACTTCGGGGCTGCTGGAGAAGTCAGTGAAGTAAGGGGAGAAAGAGAGGAATTCGTAGACGACGCAGAACTCGGCCGAGTCCTTCGCGAGTGTCTCCAAGCCCACCACTCGGTTCACCATAATCGTCAACGGCTCGAAGCTATCCTCCTCTTTCTGTTCCGTCTCCAACTTCAACGGCATCATATTCCTAGCAGTTTCACTCCTTTTAAACTTTGTGAAACTGTCAGATATTGGCTGCGAAATATCAATTTCATATCTCAATGTACACATTTCGACTCCAGTCTCCACGGATTTCAGAATGATTTCCGAGCAGAACTTCTGAATGACATTCTCTTCGAACAAAGGAATCAGCGAGATTGTGGCGGCGGCGAGCAGTTTGAAAGAGTCACTCGCAGGGCGGTACATTTCGATTGTGATGCCGTTCTGAAAGAAGATAATATTGTTCATATTTAGAATCGATTTAATACGGTTTGAAGATAATGGATGAGAAGATTCGAAACCAGCACGTCATAAACCGTTGTGAAATCCATTTTTTGTTGTTTCGGCTCCATGATCGGAGTGGTTTCCAGTTGGAAATCGAAGAATTCCAAAGAGAAAAAGAACTTGGAAATCAGAGAAGCAGCTGGTTTCACGTGGATCAGCTTGACCGAGAGATCTGTGTTAATGCTCAGAGTGGGAAGGTTCAGCTGGTTGCTCAGAAGCTTCACAGGCTGTTGACCCGAGTAGGCGATCGTTCTGATCTGCTCCTCCAGCTGGAATATCTTTTTCTGCTTCTCTTCAATCTCTTCCTTCGCCTTCGACAACATCTCCGCACTCAATTGTTTCATCCGTTCCAGCTCATCTTTCAAAATTCGAATCTGGAACATTCCCATGATTCAAAGACCGTTTCCCTTACTCACTTCATTCGACTGCTTCTGATTTATGTCGTACTGTACCACGAGCATGTTCCTAATCTTCTCCAGTTCCTCGTACAACTCTGCATACAACTTCTGCCATCTGCCGAGACTGTTGTCTCCTGCTCCTGCTCCGAGACTCGTCATATCTGCTATTCCGACGTCGTGCGACTGCAGAATGTCCGCCACTTCCTTGTACAACTTCTGCAGCAGATCGTCGTCCGCCCTTCGCATTCTGCTGATTTCGCCCTGAGATGGACGCTTCCGAATCGGCTCGTAAATCATCGGAGGAGGTGAATCGCTCCGTTTGTCCTCTTCCGCTTTGGCTGTCACCGGAGCACTTGTCTGTTTCCTTTCCGCTTTCGCCGCCTCGTACTTCTCTTTGTAATGCACTCGCATCGCCTCGAACTTCTTCTGATCTTCCCTTCTCCTGTGCTCGCTCTCTTTTATTCTTCGCTCCGTTTCTTTCAACTGCTCTTCCAACGCTACATTCTTCTTCTTCTCTTCGATACTTTCACGTGCTCCGTATTCTGTTGACTTCGATAGAGACCTGAACAGCAACGCATTAGATTTGACATGGGAAAAGAAGGGTCTTACTGTTGCACCAGTCGTTCGTTCGCTTTCTTCACCAGTTCACACTCTTCTCTGAGCATTTGCAGATCATTCTCGGCCACTCTCAACTTGTCCATCAACACTTTCTCATTCTGGTCCGCGATCCTTTGAGCAGAAACTGATAACTGCTGCTTGTTCCCATTCGAGCCTTTGCTCGGTTTCTTTTCCTCGATAACTGGAGTCGCTGACCTTGCCGAATCACTCATTTCAGACATTTCAGACAGTTCCTCTCCTTCTTCGTCGTCGTCATTATTGTTGTTCGAAGATCTCTTCGACGAAGAAGTTGATCCTCTGGAAGGTGGAGCAGAGTCGGTTGAACGGAGCTGAAAGGAAACAGTGAGAAGTTGGAACTAAATATTAACTGACTTGTTTCAACTTTTCAATCGTGTACTTCAACTCGGCGATTTCATCATTCTTATTCTTCAGCGTCCGATTCAATCTTACTATTGTCAACTTTTCATCAGTGGCGAGTTGGAGCTTCTCCCCTTCTGATGACTTTCTGAGCAAAAAAGTGTTTACAGATTAACCGGGAAGCGCTCACTTTCTGATTATAGGTGCCGTGGGTGGTCTGTCGATGGACCCAGTGCCGGCGGTCAACGGAGGTCTCTGTCGCCACGTGGACGGAGGCTGCCGGAACGTCGACCTTCCGGTCATCATGGAAGCCGTCGCAGCGCGAGCAGAAGGGGCAGTGTAGATGAGAAGCTGTTGCTTCGCTGCCTTCAACTTCATGTCAAGTATCTGATTCTCTTTGACTACGTCGTCGTACTTCGACCGTTCGACCACCTTCTCAACCCGGCTCTTTCTCTCAAGAAGATTCCTTCGGAACCTACTATTAAAGCTGAAAAGGTGAAACATGAACCTCAAAACGGAATGACTAGTTACGTTGTAATCTGCTTCTCCTGCTCTTTAACCTTTTTCTGTGCATTCTGTAACTCTTCGACTACATTATGAAAATGATCTTCGAGTTGTGGCCGACTCCACGTCTCAATAGGATACCTCGCGGAAACCCTGAACTTTCGCCTATCAAACAACATTCTGAAAGCGTATCACTCACATATTTATTTCCCAGAAGACTAGAAATGAGCATGCAGAGAGGCGGAAGGAGTGGAATTGGAAGTGGAGGGGCAGGCATGCGAGACGCGCACTTCGCCCGTTGCCATGGGGAACCGAGGCGAGCGACGGGCGAATTGATTAAGGCGTTTGTGTGGGAAACCTTTCGTTTCGGAAGTGAGTCCTCCGCGCGGAAGGGAAAAAGAAAGAGGAAAGGCAACGAGCGATTTGCGAGAGAAAGGGCAGGGACACCTGGCAAAGAGGACGAGAAGAGCGTCTGGCGGATGGATGGCTCCGAACGAGGTCGGATTTGCAAACTGAAATGAATGCGATTATAGCTCTCAAGTCTGTGCTTTTTGTTACTGTCGAGTATTAAAAAATATAACAAAAAAGTAGATAAAGTTTGTTGCCCCTGTCGGGAAACAGAGAGTTGGCATTACAGAAAGCTAGGAGATGATCCATTTCAAAACCGTTTCCCAATATTCAGGCAGCTCAAGCGAATGCAAAGGAGTTCTACCTCTTTTTTTGCAGCGAAAATGGACTTCTCCAAAAGTGATCTTTAGAGGAAGAACAGTAACAATTGTGAAATCTGTCGGGAAGATTTATTCAAAAAGAGAATGCGAAAAGTACGGTGAGAAGAGCGATTCTCTGTGAAACAGCGTTGTTCTCATTATACCGGTCGCTCGAGTAAGTGTCTCTTCGCAGCTGAGTGTACTTGCAGGAGGCGGGCAGGGTGTTCCAGCGGATCTTCAGCATCTTGAACATGGCTTCCCGGTTGTTCTCGAACATTCTCGCCGTGATCTGAACTCGGCGATTTTACTGTGTTTGTTGCGTCTCCACTCACCACTTCGCTCCGGTAACCACAGTACTTTCCGTGCTCTTGGATGAAGCAATGCGAGAAGTGCTCGAAATCCCTGGAAAGCACGGCTGTTTACAGTTCCCATTGGCAATTTCTCACATGCAAATAGTGTCAATGTTCTCTTGTGTCTGATTCTTTGCGAACTTGAGCATGTCCGTTTCCAATCGCACTGTCTGGTCCCTGCAGACACTCGAAAGTCGTTCTCCGTTCTCTTTCCAGCACGGGAATTGAGCACGAACTTCTTAAACTGACAGTTGTTTTCGTTCTCTTCGGAACAATCAACCTTCCAAGTTGTTGCAGGCATCGTGCCATGATCTGATCCCTGCCAGAATTATGGATACTTCTTGGGATGTGTTACAGTTGTTGACGCACATTTCGAGAAGTCCGTTGCTTCTAAAGACCTATCAGTGCTTCTCGCAATTGCTGTACGAACCCCATTCCTAATCCATTAACACACCCAATTCGGCACCTCATAACCCTTTTTGCAAAGACGGCGTCGAACCCATTTCTTCCGTTTTGCGGCTCATTTTGGAACGGGTTCGTCCCAGGAGACGTCGGCCGAATAAGAGACACTTTTGGGTAAGAAAACATACGTGCAGATGGCCTTCGCCTTTATGAAAGCTGCAGTTTCGTTTCCAGTCGTTTTGAGCAGGTTGAGCAGGGGAAGTGTGAAATCGTGCGACCATTCGTTGTCCATCTGAGATAATCAGGACGTTAGGTGGGGTGTTTCTACGGGGAGTTGAGCGCTAAGGGCATGGGAAGTGAAATGACAGAAATATCAAACGTTCGAAACAAAAACTAGAGTTCTACCGACAGCCTTACTTTCTCAGCGGAATCGTTGACTTACCTCTCTCATGTGATTATCTTTGCATCGGAGGACACAGTGATTGACGTGGAATTCAGTGTCCGCCATCAGAATCACTGGCAGAAGAAGACAGAGAAATGCGCGGAAGGGCATCCCGTTCGGACAAGAATGGGTTGACAAGTCAGGCTTGATTCGCGTAATGAAGACGTGCCACTCGAAGGGGCACAAGAAAAAACATTTAGTTGCGACGCCTTCTTCTTCTCCTTCTTCGTCTTCTCGTAATGGATTCCGATGGAGATGTGTTTCCAAATGGGATTTTGAGCGTCGGGGGCTCCTCCTCCTCGGCGACTTATCTTCACTGACTCTTTTTTTCATAACCCGAGGCGACAACGGGCGGCCCCATGGGGCTGACACTTATATTATGGATATGTGCGGGACATGCAAACAGACGGAGAACCGACCCGAAAGATTGGCACTCACCTCGAATGCAAACCGATAAAATGTTTCCTTTGGGGCGTAGAACCCAGCGGTTTATCGCGAAAACAAAGAGTTCACAAACAAACAAACTCATTTTTTTGATTGGAAACTTGAATGGGACACAATACCGCATTATTCTTGAGGGAGGGATGTTTGAAAGAGTTATTCAGCAGCTTATTGCTACTACTTCACGATGTATGCGCCTTTTTCACTTTGACAGAGAAATGGCCGAAGATTCTCCTTGCAATAATTCCCGGCCATGCACTTTTTTAACAAAAAATTCCCAAAAAAAAGAGTATTTTTTTAATTGCGTGTTGAAATTAATATTGAAATTGAACTGATGTATCTAAATTATTTTCAGTAATGAGTACCTCTGTTCCTGGACCCTTTTTCACAACAGCTACGCCGGCAGACCACGTAACTGAAGACTTCTCCTCCAGCATTGGATATTTTGAGGTTTGATAGAGTTTTTTGTATTTATTCCTAAAGTATTTTGTCTCAGAATCTGTCAGAAAGTGCTATACACGCGTTTTTCGAAATCAATGCTACTGTGGAATGGATTAAAAACGGAAATCATCGACGGATAGCTCTTCAATTCCCGGACGCACTGCTCCCTTTCTCTGAGAAAGTGACCGCGTTAATAGAAGGCAAAATACGAGCAGAAACATCACCTGAAGAAGTCAAGAAAACGTTCGTCCTCGCTGACACATCATACCGCAGGTAAATTTCAACATTCAAGCAAAACTGAAATGCTTTCTTGTTCAGTTGCTGTGTGGACGAAGTGGCTGCTGCTCATGCAGATTGCACAGCTCTTGTTCACTTCGGAGAAGCCTGTCATAGTGCACCAACTGAAAAACTCGATGTAAAGTGAGTTTTCGAGTGTATTCTATGACAACTACGCAGTTTCATGCAGGTTTGTTCTCGGAAATATGTCAGCGTGCATCGATCAATTTAAATGGGAGTTTCAAACGATTGGGAATCAGTTAACTGCCGATCATGCCGTCCTTCTCATGGATTCGTGCTTCGCTCATGAACAAGAAAAAGTTATCGCTGCGATCAAAGAGATACTTCCATCAACTCGACAAGTAGAAAGCGCGTCGCTTCCCAGCGCAGAGTCTTTAAAACTGGACCGAAAAAATGTGAGCCTTTAGTTTTTAGCTGTTCTCCGTATTCATTCAACTGCATTCCAGATATATTTGGGTCGAGAAGTACCTCCTTGTCTCCGGGACAATCTGCCCACCGACCTGATCTTCTGCGGATTCCCGAATTCTCCGCTTCTTCCCATTTGGCTGCTCTCCTATCCGAGTTGTATAACGGTGACTCACTTCAATCCGTACGACAAAACTATTCAGCATGAAAGGTTTGTTTGTTTATTACAACTTTTATTATAAGGAAAATAATATGGAAATCAACAATAACTAGAGGAGTTTTCTCCTAAACAAGGAACTTTTCGTAGTAATGGTTCCTGTAGAATCGCGTCTTCCTTCTGTATGGAAGTTGTTCCGAAGGCAGCGGGTTCTCATTGGAGAACGCCCGTTTCTCTGAAGACTGGAAGTTGTCGTGCACTGTCGGCTTCTCTTCTCCGGAGTTTTCCACGCTCGATCTCTCGGCTCGCGTGTCTGACTCTTTCGGTCTCACCTGCTGCATTTTAGCATTGCTCTCGCCTAAAAAATTGTTGTTTTTTTACCGAATAAGCACTTGGACCACTCACTTGGAACCTGTCCTCCATGTTCTCTAGAATTTCGAAGCTCTTGACTTCTTCTGTGCTCTTCCCATTGTTTCTCTTGGAACTTGTTCGGTTTTCTGTGATGTTTCTCCTAAAAGTAATTATGTTTTCTAAGCAATTTCTACCACGAGCCTACCGCTGGCCTATCCTCTTCTCCTTCAGATTTCGAAATATCCTCATATTCCGGGTGGGCCTTCTTCCTCTTCTCACCCTCAAATCGTTCAGTTTGCTTCACCGGCGTCAGAGATTCCTCCACGTGTTCCCGTCTCTCCTCCTTGGTTTTTGGTCGTCGGAGGCCCGGCGGATGGGTATCCTTTCTCTGATCTTCTTCTACTGATTGCTCCGATTCCGTCTCATATCGTCTTGATCCTTCTTCTTGTCGTATGGCCTTGTTTTCGTATTCCTCTCTTCTTGCTGGCGGTGGAGGTGGTTGCCTCGAGCCGTATCCACGATCCGAGTTCCGATTGATTTCGACTTTCTTCAGTGGCCGACTTCTAGTTGATGATGGCTGATCAGTCTCGTATCTTGGCTGATCCTCAAACGGCGTCTGCTCCTTTCTCTGATCTCCTCCATATCCCGATGAATGACCCTCTTCTAGTTTTGATCCAGATCTCTCATCTGCATATCCTCTTGCTCTGTCACTTTCGTATGCTCCTCTGCTCTCCTGCGGCCTTCTATCATATTCTTCTGGATAACGTTGCTCTTGATGACGAGGCCTTTGTCTCTGTGGTGGTGGCTTTCTTGATGCATTCTCTGGAACGTACCCCGCCGCTTGTTCTTTTGCTCGTTGCTCACCATCATAGCGGTTTCTTCCCTGCGGAGCTTCTTCAGATAGCTCATAGTTTGGTTGCCTCTGTCTGTCGAATTCAGGACTTTCTTCATATCTACTTGGACGGCTTGGTTCCTCGCGTTCAGCTGATTGCTCTCTCGGTCTCTGTTTCTGATTTCTTCTCTCGTCATCAGTGTATCCGACGTCGGCAAAGTCGTACTTAGATGAACGCTTCGGGCACGGGCAGTATCCTCCATCAGTTCCTGGTGCTCCAGGAGCAGAAACTCCTTGTGGTCCATCGACTCCTGGGTTTCCATCTGTTCCTGGCGGACCTTGGATTCCTGGACTTCCGTCTTGTCCGTGCTCTCCATCAATTCCAGGATCTCCAGCTCTTCCAGGCACTCCCATCAGTCCCGGCTGTCCTGGTGGTCCCGGAATAGATCTGCACGACTGACCATTTCTGCCCGGAGTTCCCGGCTTTCCAGGTGCTCCAGGTACTCCGTTCATTCCATGATATCCAGGTGCGCCAGGTGCTCCCGGCTGGCCATCGTTTCCATTCACGCCCTGCTCTCCATCAATTCCATCCTCTCCTGGTGGTCCTGGTGGGCCATCCAATCCTCGCTCTCCCGGGGGTCCGACTGGACATTGAATGCATCCGATTATTGGATCGTAAGACGATGGATGTACACCCGAATATCCTCCGTTAATACCACGAAGTCCACGTGGTCCGTCTTGACCTGGGAATCCAGGCGGTCCTGGTCTTCCACGAGGTCCTGGTGGTCCTGGAGGGCACGTGTTCGGTTGAGCAGAGCATTGATCACACGGGTTGCCTCTTGGTTTCGTATTCGAAGGGAATCGAGGACGCTGCGGACCGAACCCTGGACGCTGGCTGCTTCTTCCTGACGGTCCCTCGTCAATCGAAGTGAATGGAGTGGTATTATCTGGAGAAGGCGGAACTGGTCCTGATGGTCGGCGAGGATTCGTTTGTCCAGGGAGTTCTGCGTTGATCGGATTACGAGATTGAGTTGGTGATACACGTTGTTGTCCCGGAAGATAAGTCTGGGAAGGATTCTGCGGTTGTCCCGGAACGTACGTTTGCGAAGGATTCTGTGGCTGGCCAGGTACATAATTCTGAGACGGATTCTGTGGCTGCCTAGGAGCGTTAGTCTGCGAAGGATTCCGTGGCTGCCCATTAACATATGTCTGCGAAGGGTTCTGGGGTTGTCCCGGAACTGGCGGGACAGTTGGGAGCTGATCCTCTGGATATCCTGGTCCTTGATTTGGCCGACGAGTATTATAACCTCTAGGCCATGTTGGTGGTGTTTGACGGTCAGAATCGTAACCTCCGGAAGGCTGACGTGGCGGAGGAGTTATCGGCGCACCGGTATTCGGATTGTATGGCACGCGAGGATTAATTGGATTTGGCGGGGATTGAGTATAGTTTGGTGGGCTGTATGGCACACGTGGGTTCGGTGAATACACATCAGTTCTAGTGTTCGTTGGCGGAACATTCGGAGTTCTGTCGTTGGGAACATTTTGAGGAGAAGCAGTACTGGATGCTTGATGTGGCTCATATGGTGGATAAGGTCTGCGTGAGGAGGCTGGTTCTCTGCCGTAATCGTCATTATTTCTTCCATTCGGTGGCTGATAAGTTGACGTAGCAGCTGGTGGCGGGGCGCGGAAACCTGGAACTATACATTATACGGTCAAACTGAACTGATTGATATAATTCGCACCTTGAATTGTTCTTGGCATAGTTGGTGGCAACGGTTTTCTCGGCCGCGATGATGGTGGTCCACTGTCGTGGCCAAAGTCATATCCTATCTCTTCGCTTTCATAAGCACTCGTTGTCGCAGATGTGGTTGTGGTTGTAGTGGTTGTTGTAGTCGAAGAGCTGCTCTCTGACTCGTACTCTTCTTCATAAGATCTCTTTCCACGGTCCAACTCTTCTGCCTCTCTCATCTCTTCCGGCGTTGACTCGAACACCAACTCATCCCAGACATTGTTAGCGATATCCTGAATGAACTTACTTCGTTTCGTAAATATATATTTTCCTACCTTGAATTCAACTAGTTCTTCCTGGGCTTCATTGTAAAAATCTGATATGTCGTGAAGAATATGAACTGTTGAGAGAATGGCACCGATTGCAAGAATAAGGCAAGCAAACGCAGCGGCGCCAGCCAGAGTGTAGGATTTAACCATTTTTAGGTTAGATTACACTCGACGACGGCGGAGACGTTGTGAACTCTGAAGGCAAGAGTAAAGGATTCTGGCTTCAAGAGGATTGGATCAACGTGGAGACGCTTATAAACGGAACAACGGCTATATCATAACCTTTACGATGCAAATACGCATTCGACTGTCTGTCCGGCTAATCGACAAGATCGTTCGGGATGGTGATTGGGTGCTTGAATCATTGTAAAGCCCGAACAATGAAAACTGACGGCCAAGATCAACCGGTTACAGTCAAAACACGTGGCAGACGGACGGCGACCACAGTCCCAAAAAGGTGTTAGAAAAGCCTGGTGGATAAGGATCGATGGATCTGGAGAAAATGAGACGAGCGGCGCACGATGAGTGGACATTGTGGCCGAAATGACAGTCGGATCCCCATTCGATGCGGTTTCTTCTTCTCGACCACACCGGGACCGCTTTTTCTTCGGTTTTCTTGACCTGCATCGCGCCGTTCTCGATTCGCAGAGTTTTTATGAACACGTCCGGGTGATAGCGATAATTCAGATATGCGGTTTGATTATCTTCTTCTCCTTCTTCTCTCTTCTCCGATGTCCGTGGCGCCAGTAGAAAAAAGTGCGTGCGCCGCATTCGATTTGACTAGCGAAAGTGATGAGTGAAAGCGATCGGATAGGAATGAAGGAAGTTCTGGCTCTTGCGGGAGGATCATCGAACGCATAAAATGGCTTTATAGAATAAACATCTAATGGAAAGTCTACTGGAATTATGAGGATTGTCTTATGCTTGGACGTGACGTCTGGCAGCGACCACACGCTTCTTGGCGACGCGTTGACGGGCGACAACACGCTTCTTGGCGACGGCACGATGACGGTTGGCGGCGACATTGCGGTGACGGAAGACCGCGGAGCTGCGAGCTGGGCATGGGCAGTAAGCGGCATCACTTCCTGGGGCTCCGTCGTTTCCTGGGGCTCCTGGCTGTCCGTCTTGTCCTTTTTGTCCTGGTTGTCCTGCTGGTCCTGGTGGTCCTGGTGGTCCGGCTGGTCCTGGAGTGCTTCCGCTTCCTGGCTGTCCTGGCGCCCCTGGGGCTCCTTGTGGTCCTGGTGCTCCAGCTGGTCCTGGAAGTCCACGTCCACGCTGTCCAGACTTTCCTGCCTGTCCTGGGTTTCCTGGGGCTCCTGGCTGTCCTGGAGCTCCGGCGTCTCCAGCTGGTCCTGGTGGTCCTGGTGGTCCTTGGCCTCCTCTTTGAGCTGGTGCTCCTGGCTGTCCGTTTGGTCCCTTTTGTCCTGGGGCTCCTGGAGATCCGGCTGGTCCAGGTGCTCCTGCTGGGCACTTGATGCACTCCTGCTTCTCGTGATGAACTGGTCCGGCAACTCCTGGCAGTCCTGGCTTTCCGGCCTGTCCTGGCTGTCCATCGAGTCCCTTGTCTCCTGAAGCTCCTGGTGGTCCTGGTGGTCCAGCTGGGCAGTTAGAGGCTTGTGGTCCGCAGTTGCACTGAGATTGCTTCTTCTGGCGACGTCCGAAGACACTGCGGGCAACACGGGCAGAATCATCATGGTTGATCATTGAGTTCCAGGCATCGTTGGCGAATCCCTGAACAGTCAAGCTCCAACTGATGGACCATAAAGCTAACTTACTCTGAACTCTCCCAGCTCACGGTGGGCCTCATCAACAAAAGAGTTGATGTCTGTATAGATTTGGAAGACGGAGATGAGGGCTCCGAGAACCACAATACCGGAGAGACCGGCCATGACCGAAAGGAAGGTTGTTGACGACATCCTCGCAAGCGACTGCTGTGTCTTGGCAACTGCCAACTGTCCTTTTATAGCAGTAACCGACGCGAAACTGTTTCGTTTTTCTGATTAGAGTGTACACTTTCAAAGCAGAGAGAGTGTGGGATCCTGAGAAGGTTGCAAGCGCTTTGTGATACTGTCGCCGAGAGAACACTGTATCTCTGGAGACGCTGCCATTTTTGAGAATAGCAGGAAGTAAGTTTTCGGTTGGTTGCGAAGGCAATTTGGGTGTTGTGTCCACTGTTTTTCGATTGTCGGTTATTCACTCAAATTCGATGAAGACGTCGTCCGAGACGATCGTATCGGTCTTTTGCAGAAAAAGTAGAATTCCGATTGAAGGAACGTTATCATCGCGGCGTTTAATCTTACAGAAAATTGTGACGTGACCAAACCGATTGTATCTGCAAGTTCTGAGAGATGTCGAACTGAATGGCATTAGAATACTTTCGAGGGATTCCTCAAGAATAAGAAAAACATTCAATTTCTTGCAATACTATGAGAAGCATTCAACATCGGCACCGCTTTCCCTACATATATTCCACAAAAATCCTTTCTGCAGTCCCATTCCTCTAGCTTGCTTCCGATTTACTCATGAGTCAGTTCACCATAAGCTCAATTCAAAATGAGCGTCACCCTGCAATTCACTTCCCCATTTCCTCTCTTCCGTTGTTCATTTCAAACCAACCTAGCCCAAATTGTAACACTTCTTTGTTCGTGTTTTCCAATTAACTCTCAAGAGAGATGCGGAGAAAGTGACCTTGTCGTTTGTTTTTCTTCATTCTGTCTTTTTGTTTCGTTTTCGCAGAATATTTCTTTTGTTGGCAACAGTGCATGTGTCTCGACAGAAAGCTGAATAACAAATTCCTTCAAACAAAGAAAAACACAGACACCGAATTTCTCTGAAAACGTCGTACCCCATTTGTCGTGTTTTTCCAAACAAAACAAGTAAAACGAAATGTAATGGAAAATCTTTTATTTGGTTCAAAACCAGAAGAGACTATAACATGTAGTGTGAGTGAATTTAAGCCTGACGGGCGACAACACGTTTCTTTTTGATAACGCGCTTCTTGGCAACACGGCGACGAACAACGTTGCGGTGGCGGGCAGCAACAGCACGGTGACGGTATCCTTGCTCGGCAGGTACGCTTTCGACTGCAGACGAGCCACCACGAGATGGGCATGGGCAGTAAGCGGCATCGGATCCTGGTGCTCCGTCGTTTCCTGGAGCTCCTGCCTCTCCGTCTTGTCCTGGCTGTCCTGGTTGTCCGGCTGGTCCTGGCTGTCCAGCTGGTCCCTGTTGTCCTTGTCCTCCAGACTGTCCTGGATGTCCGGCGGCTCCTGGTGGTCCCTGTGGTCCCGGAGCTCCAGCTGGTCCTGGGAGTCCACGTCCGCGCTGTCCTCCACGTCCGGCCTGTCCTGGGTTTCCTGGGGCTCCTGGCTGTCCTGGGGCTCCGGCGTCTCCAGCTGGTCCTGGTGGTCCTGGTGGTCCCTGGCTTCCTCCTTGTCCTGGGGCTCCTGCTTGTCCGTTTGGTCCCTGTGGTCCTGGGGCTCCTGGGGCTCCGGCTGGTCCTGGCGCTCCTGCTGGGCAAGTGATGCACTCCTGCTGTTCCTTGCTGTGTGGTCCAGCAACTCCTGGCTGTCCCGGATTTCCGGCCTGTCCTGGCTTTCCATCAAGTCCTCTGTCTCCTGGAGCTCCTGGTGGTCCTGGTGGTCCAGCTGGGCAGTTGGAGGCTTGTGGTCCGCAGTTGCACTGAGATTGCTTCTTCTGGCGACGTCCGAAGACACTGCGGGCAACACGGGCAGAATCATCATGGTTGATCATTGAGTTCCAGGCATCATTCGCGAATCCCTGAAGTATCGAACGTTTACAAACCACATAAAAAAGTTCACCTTGAAGTCTCCGAGCTCCTTATGGGCACTGTCAACGAACGAGTTGATGTCGTTGTAGATGTGAGCGACGGAGAGAAGAGCTCCGAAGACGACGAGTCCCGAAAGGCCGGCGACCACAGCAAGGCAGGTTGTTCCGGTCATCGCTAGATGAAGCCAAGATGCCATTCAGCGTCATCTGCCGTCCTTTTATACCGCTCTCGAAGTGGCCGAAAAAAGAAGAATCACCCGCTGCTGCTACTGCGCGGAAGATTACAGCAGTAGCAGCAGATGATCAAAGACGGTTTGTGTTCACCAATCGACTTGCAAAAGACCGTGGCAGGTCAAGGGACACAGACAGTTCCATCGTCATTTCCGAAGCAGTAATGTTCCTGACGGTATTGTTTGAAGTTCGTAATCATAAGTCAGTCTTCGTTCCGATGGTCTCTTCACCTGATGACCTTGCTTTACAATCACAAAGAATTCAAATACTTCTTCGCAATTCATTTGATAAAAAACGTCACAAAAACAAAATTCAATGAATAGCGACCTTGGAGATACTTCTGGCCGGGCACGGACAATATGCCCCATCTGTTCCTGGTTGTCCCTCTGTTCCCTGCTCTCCTTGAGGTCCTGGCTCTCCCGGCGTTCCATCCTTTCCAGACTCTCCTTCATTTCCTGGCTGTCCATCTTCTCCGTCGTCTCCATCAGATCCATCCTCTCCGCGTCTTCCGTCAGTTCCTGGTGGTCCTGGTGGTCCCTTTGGTCCTGGCTCTCCGATTGCCTTTCTTCCCGGCTGACCTGGTCTTCCAGGTGTACCTGAAGGTCCTTGTGGTCCCTTCTTTCCTTGTGCTCCGGCTTTTCCAGGAGTTCCATCAACTCCGTCATTTCCAGGAACTCCTGGTTCACCGTCCTCTCCAGCCTCTCCAGCTGGTCCTTCTTCTCCTGGAGACCCTGGTGGTCCTTTTGGTCCAGGTGGGCACTTGATGCAAGTTCCATCGGACGGCTGTTCCAATCCGATGCCTCCGTATTCTCCTGGAATTCCAGGAATTCCATCGGCTCCATCAACTCCATCGTTTCCTTTCTCTCCTTGCGGACCAGCCGGTCCTGCTGGACAATCGGAAGGTTCTTGCGAGCAGTTACACTTGTCTCCTGATCTCCTATGTCTTCCGAAAATCATATTGGGGGAAGGTGGCGTCGATAGTTGTTTGAACATCATTCTGTCCCAGGCGCGATCGGTGATCATCTAAACAACGATTCGATTGACAAGAAAGGTCACTATTGAAATGAAACCTTGAAATCTTGCATGTTTTTGTCGGACATGACCTGCAAACTGTTGAGTTCTTCCGAAATATTCCAGCAAGCGAAGAGGGTAGTTGCAAGTACAGTGGCACTTACAGCAGAGCCGAAATAAGAGATGAAACGAGATTCCATTGTTGCGAATCTGATGAAATGCCAGTGTTCTGTTCCTTTTTATAGCTGACACAATCTCACAGATCATGCCTGAAATCTTGTCTCATTGTGCCTTTTTTTCAGCACTCGTTCGTCTCGTCTCCTGCGCAAACGACTTTTTCTGGTGGAAAAGCTGAAGGATGCGGAGACAGTCGGACTAGTCGTCGGCAGTGTCGGAGTCGATAAGCATCGCGAGGCGGTGAAACGCATGCGGGAGCTGTGCAAGGCAGCGGGCAAGAAGATTTACGTTATCTCTGTCGGAAAGGTGTGTCCTCCTTCTCCTATCACAGTACTCTGGAAACTCGATTGCAATCTAATTGAAGCAAATTCTATTTCAAACGTTCGTATTAGATTGCAAAGTTTTCTAATTAGATTGCGATCGAGTTCACAGAGTAATTTCTGCTTCCAGATAAATGTTCCGAAGCTCTCAAACTTCTCCACCGACATCGACGTTTTCGTTCTCCTGTCGTGTCCGTTCGGTGTCGTTCTCGATTCATCCGACTATTTTCGACCTGTTGTCTCTTTTTTCGAAGCGGAAGTAAGTGGATTCTTCCTATTTCTCACCCGTTTCGTCACTTCCAGATTGCTCTGAATTCTGCAAAAACGTGGGCGGCAGATTTTGGATGGTCGGCCGAGTTCGCCGCGTTCCTTGAAGGTTCGTTGCGTTTCGCGTTTCCGCATGACTAACTTTGCAAGTTTCAGACAAAATCGCAACGGAAGTACCCGAAGACGAGGCCGGAGATTTTAGTTTGATTTCTGGAAAGGTCCGCCATCAAACGAAAGACGAGGAGCAGAGCGCGGATGGACCGAATTCAGTGAGCATTTACAATCCCGGATACTGTAATGATCGGACCTGGAAAGGATTAGACGACGGCGTCAACACTGGCGAAGGCGGAACGACGCTCGTTGAAGGACGGAGTGGAATTGCACAAGGGTACTCCGGAAAATAAACCCCTGTCTCATTTTTTCTTGTTTTTTGTTAACTTGTCGCTGTTTTGTTATTCTCATAGTCTTTATTCTGATAAAAACAGGAAAACTTAAATATGTATCGGGTTACCGGAGAAAGCGACCCAAATGAGCGGGAAACAAAGAAAACAGAAAGTGTACAGAAGGAGAATTGAAGCTAAAAAGATCAGAGAATAAGTTCGGGGGAGTTACTGACTGCATATTTGAGGTAGTAGATCCAGTAGAAGACGTTGAAGAGGATGAAGGCGAGTGGGAACAGTGCCCGACTGTATCGGTCGATCCGCTGCGCGTACTTGCGGTTCTCTTCCACCCGGTTTATTCTGCAAATCTTTTTGGCGGTTTGGCGGTGATTACTCATTCCGAACCTTTCTTCAATGGTTTTCCGCTTCGAAGAAGGCAGCAGAGAACGACGGACAAACAGCGGCGCCTGGTTCATCTCACGCAATTCCTTCTTTTCGAAATTCCGCTGCAACGTGGCATTGTCCTCGGTCGGCTGCAGAGACAATTCGTAGCTGATCTCGCAGTTTCCGTTGGTGAACTGAAAGCAGAATGAGAAAGGGAAACGTGCGGACGAGTGCTTTTGCTCACTTTGTCCTTTTTCTCTTTATACTGAGAAACCAGGTCATGCACTTGCTCGGAGAGCCCGCGAGCCTTCGGTTTGGCGCGCACTTTCCTCCGGACGCAATAGTTGACGGCTGTGAATTCGATCATTGCGGAGAAGACGAATGCCATGCACGTGCCCATCCACACGTCGATCGCCTTCACGTCAGAAGCCTGCATCGAAATGGAGCGAGAAATGCAACGAGAAATGGGAAATGAATACCTGTGGAAGAGCCATTCTGGCGGCACTGGATTGAGTGGCGAGAGTCAGAAGGGTGGTGATGGAGAGAGAAACCCTTCCGGGAACCGCCTCGACGTCCAGCCAGAAGCTGAACCAGCTGATGATGACGATGAGTGAAGTGGGGATATATGACTGGATGATGTGATGGGTGATCTCGCGATCCACGTGGAACTCAGCCACTGCGGACGACCAGACGCCCGTCGCGTACTCGTCATTCTTCGTGTAGAACTTGATGCGCTTGAGATGCATATCCGGCATCCGAATACCACGATTCACTTCCACTGGATTTGCTCCGTTCCACCGGATGATCAGTTGTTCCTCGTCATACGCATCTAAAGTCAGAAACGTGTTCAAGATACGCTTTTCTAGTTGTTGTCTTACAGCTGAGAATACGAAGTCCACAGTTTTGCGAGTCTAATGGATACCTAGCCAAGTCCTGCATACATAAAACCGTCAATGATATTCTGAAATGAAACTTTGCACTCCTCAGGTTTTTCAGAGTTCATGTGATACCTGCAATCGTACCAGACGGTCCCGTTCGGGTAAATCCATACTAAAAAGTTGGGCTGAGTGACATCATGGAAGTTGGCCGTCCGGGCGTTTGCAAAGTAGAGATCCGGATGCCACAGCAGTCCGAATAACTTGGGATCCTTCACCAGAATGCGTTTTGTGTTGTTGTGTTGCAACCGGTGATCTATCCATTTCTCTTGGAAGTAGATGTCCACTTGGAAGTCCTGAACGACTCAAATGACGACTGAAGATTAGCTCCGCGGGGCTCGGGTTTCGACCATTTCCGCCGATTCATTGCTCTCAGTTCACACACGAGATTTTGCTCTTTTCGAGAGTCGAATGGACACTACTTCCGTCGTCTTTTTCAGTTTTTGACCTTAACCCTTTGGATGATGACTATTGTCAAAATACTAAGAACTAATCCATCACACAAGTGTGCATTCTATACACTAATAACTAATTGTTTTTGTGTGCTCGGTATTTCGTTAGCGTGTCACGGGCGTCTTCTGAATAAGTCATTCGGAAACCTTCAGAAGCCAACCTAAACGTGGACCCTCTGGTTCCATTCAGACACTCCCAAGTTGTTTGAACCTTTGTACAATCCGACGGAACAATGAGCAGACCACTCCCTGCCTTTCGACTTGTATCTCACAAGATTCCAGATGAAATGGATATAAACAAGGGAAAGCGGGACAAGAAGAAGGAAGGAAAAGAAGAAGAAGAACACAAGAACCTGTATTTTTAATCCTCTTCCCCTCTTCATTTCTTCCGTTTTTCCGCACTTTCGGCCGTCGGATGAATTCCTGAGTTGACCTCAAACCGCAATTCTCAGTGGAGCGCGAGCGACCACGAGCCGCTGAATTTGTGTAGAATTTGTGTAGAATTCCAAATTTGTAATTTGAAATTCAGTTTTGAGCAAAAGTTGGTGCCCGTCTCCCCTCGTCAATCGGAAAAGTGTTTTGTTGGGAAAGAGAGATTCCATTGAATCGACGGATCTTCAACTTCTTCAGAAAAGTGTCAAATTGTGGTCGGACGGAAAGAAGAAGGAGACGCTTGCTCTTTTGCTCGCCTCTTTTTTGTTCTCACTCAGACACTTTGGTTTGTCTCGAAATAACTGCTCAAGTCATATTCGAAAGGCACTCGCTCGCCTCCTTTCGCACAACGACATGGTTCAAAATCTTTGGGGAATAAGCGGCGGAAGTGGACCACAGTTAATGTTTGGATACTCACTCTTCTCACTAATCACACACGGCGACCCGGTCCGCTAGAATTGAATCCTAAAAGAGCCGCCGGGAGCAAAGTGAGAAAAGAGAAGGAAGGAGGGGAAGAAGCGTTTGCTTCTTGTGAATTCGAAGCACGCGCACGCCTGCCCATGACTAATTGTCTGCCCAATTTTCACCACGTTTTCAATCAGGTTTGACTTGCTCCGCGAGCAAGAAGAAGCCAAACGAAACTTCAGGAAGTTTAGGAAAACAGCTCACCATGGATTGTGCGTGGAACGACGACATTCCTTCGATGTACATCTGGATATCCACGTACGTCGGTTCGTCTGAAACTGTGTCACGTCTTCTTCGGATTGGTGAGTCGATTGTTCGCAAACCCGGTGCGGAGCCTATTCCAGACCTTCTTTCTTTCGTGTTATGTTTTTTTTGTTCTCGCTTCCCGGGCACAACACCCCGAACTAACGAACCCATCCAAGCACACTCTTCCCCCTCCAAACTCGTTTTTTTCTTGTTATGCCTTCCAAACCCCTTCCCATCCTTTTCCGTCTCGCGGACAGTTTCATTTTCGCCGGAAGGGCACTCTCGAATTGATGGATATGCGCGGTCTGACGGATGGGAAGAGGCGGGGGAATTCGGACATTTCAGCCGGGGCACAATGAATGCACTTTCGCTCTGTTTTCAGCAGAACGAGGAGCGGAAGAAAAAAGGCAGACGCGGGAGGAAGAATAAGAAATAAAAAGTTTTTACGAGGGACAATAAAATTGGGTTATGAACAAGAGGGAGGCACGCGTCGTCTTCGAGGAAGACTCTTAATTAAATGAGACCGAACAGAGCTGTCAGCCGAAAGAAAGTTGATTCATACGGACGGATGACCTCGGGATCTTGAGAGCAAAAATATAAATGAGTATGAGCATGTTTGGGTTGATGACGTGACAGAATGAGCTCACCTTCATCCAGAAGCGGGTACGCATTCCTGTTGTAGTTGCCGAGCCTCTTCAGAATCTTCGTAACGTCGTCGACCCGAAAGTCTTCTTCCACTTGCGTAACATTATCGTCAGAAGTGAAAAAGTCGGCTTGGCCGTTGGCCAGAGAAATAAAAGCTATCCAACTGTATATTAGGATTTTCAGGAATAATCTGGGCATTCTATCTCTCCGGAAAGAATGCGGCAGTGTTGGCGAAGAAGACGAAGAAGAGGCTGACTAAGCGAGAAGCCGAGAGGGGCACAAAATAAAAGGGGCGGGGCTTAGGGGCGCTGCGACGACGACGACAACGACGAGAAGGAGAGCCTCCGGGCCTGTTCTGAGTGGATTCCATGGGAGTTGTGGATACAATCGGACAGTTGAAACACGGCGGAAAAGGCGGAAGTGGGGTCAAAGTCCGCTCGCGGAATGGCCGCGTACACACAAAAAAGGCACCAGCGCCGTTTCGACGCCTTTCAAAAGACGCCTGTGCCGAATTTGCGCTTATTTGTCGCCGAGGCGGTGCCGGTGGTGCAGAAAAGGCGTCTGCGCCTTTTTTCCTGATTACGTCTGCGTCTCCGCGTGTCTGACCATCGATTCCGATAACAAACCACTGTGGTTTAGTGTCATTCTGCACGTTCTTCGTCCTTTGTGACAATGCTCTCTGCCCGTTTAATTAGGTAAAAACCCATTTTTGTTTCAGTATTATTCCTGTTTCAGTAGTCTACGGAATGTCAGCAAACTAGCATCTGTTTCTGGTCCGACCGCGGATCGGATTGTGAATGTCAAATGGACGGATGGTTAGTTTGGTTGCAAATTTTTGGATTCTCGATTCTGAATTCGATATTTTCATAACAAAGATCCACATAACAATTTCCCTCGCTTTCCCGGTTTCAACATGAAATCGCTGATTTATTCATCAGCTTTAGGGATATGCGGTAGTCGTTCACACATATTTTTCGCTTTGCATTTTTTAGAAAAAATGTTTCAGGCAAAACCGGCGAATTCCCGCTCATCTGGCTGCGGGACACGTCTCCGGATGCGAAGACCTACACAATCAGTCCGGCGATGACGGCCCGCAATCTGACAATGAATGAGTTCGATGTGGAGCAAAAGTCGCGAAGAGTGTGGATCGACGAAGGAAGTGACTCACTAAAAGTGGAGTGGGAAAGCGGGTTGTTGAGCACGTTCCCCTCGGAATGGCTGCAGATCCGGAACCCTTCAGATCAAGAAGCACGCAGAAGAAGAAGGAAGGTCTACTTGTTTCCGGAAGAAACCTGGGGGAAGGAGGAAATTGAGAAGAAGCTGAAAAGATTCAGCCACGAAGAGTTCCTGAACAACAACCGCGTGATGCACGACTTCCTGGAAGCAGTGTGCGTTGATGGAATCGCCGTTTTGAAAGGAGCTCCAAGAGGAAAAAGAGGAGCTGTGGAAGCGATCGGGGAGCGGATAGGAATGATCAAAAGGACCCATTTCGGAACTGTTTTTGAAGTGAGCACCAAGGCGGACGCATCAAATATGGCCTACGCTTCCAACGGTGGACTTCCCTTTCACACCGATTTCCCATCGCTTTCGCATCCGCCTCAGGTGTGCTTCTGACCTGATTGTATTTATAATCTCTTATTATTCCTATCTAGCTACAAATGCTTCACATGCTACAAAGCGCCGAAGAGGGCGGAAACAGTCTGTTTGTTGATGGATTCCATGTGGCTGAGCAGGTTTGAGAGTCGAAATAGATCAAAAATATCAGAAAAGTAATTCAGTTGAAAAACAGAGAACCCAGAAGTGTTCCGTCTTCTGACAACGCATTCCATGGAATACATTGAGGAAGGGTACGATGTTCATGAGATTGACGGAAAGACCATCCGATTCGACTACGATATGTGCGCTCGACACAAAATAATCAGGCTGAGCGACGAGGGGAAAGTGAACAAGATTCAGTTCGGAAACGCGATGAGAAGCTGGTTTTATGACTGTGAGCCTAGCGAAGTGCAGAATGTGTACAGGTGAGCAGTAAAGATAAACCTGGAGGCAAATGTGTGTTTCAGAGCAATGAAAGTGTTCACCGATCACTGTTACCAGACTAGAAATGTTCTGAAGTTCCGATTGGAAGACGGCGACACCGTACTCTGGGCGAACCAACGTCTTCTGCACACGAGAGACGCGTTCCGGAATGCTACCGGAAAGGCGCGCACTCTAACCGGTTGCTACTTCGATTGGGATATTGTTAAATCGCGAGTTCGTCACCTTCGGGACAAGCTCTCGTTGGAACAGAACCAGCCTTCCGCTTGACTTTTGACTCATTTATTATCCAAAAAAATGCGTCCAATACATATAGAATGTGGGTGAATCTTGTGTGAATACGAATAAAAAATGTGAATGCTATAATAAATAAACTCGACTTATCACAGAATCATTACAAAAACGGAACGAAACGACGAACGAGAAGAGTATTTGGTGATGAAGTTAGAAAACAAAGTAAAAAGAAGTAGGAGAAGAAGAAGCAAGCATTGTTTTTGTGGGGGGAAATAGGAGGGAAATTAAAGCGATCGGAGGGGACGGGTCGATGGGAACGGGAGAAGTTCGGGGTGGGGAGGGGCTCTATACATCCGAGGGATATGTCTCTTCTTGGAAAACTTGGGCGGGTGCACATAATTTTTTGAAAAAATTACGAAAAAAGATGGTGATACACTGGATGGAAATGGGACGGAGGAAGGGAAATGGACGGGGAATGGAACGTCGGTAACCGGATCGGAGGGAAAAGAGCGAACGGGACTAGATGCCGGATTTTGAGAACGACACCCTCAGATGCGCGTTCTCGGCCAGCTTGTGGTTGTGCATGCGGATCAGCGCGTCGATCGCCGTCTCGATGTCTTCCAGCTGACACAGGGCCATCTTGTGGTCTTTTCTGGAAACATACTGATTGAGCAGGAAGCGACAGCGAATAAGAGAACACTTACGGGAAGAACTTGAAAGCCTTGACGGCGTAGCCAGCCTCGGAGAACATTTCCTTCAGCTTGTCCTCACTGACAGAAGTCGGAATGTTGGAGAGATGGAGAGTGGCGCACGGCGGGTAGATATTCAGATAGTTCTTCGATCCCGGCTTCTTGAAGCGATGCAGAGTCGAGTGGGCGTAGTCGCGAGTGAGCCCGGCGTCCGGCTGCCCTTCCTTCGGCATCTGCACGTTTGTGTGCTTCGACGGAGCCACACGGATCAGGCGATCGTGCCATTTCACTTTGTCCAGATGGGTCAGAGCTGTAAGCGAATTGTTTTAACGTGTTGCCCTGTCTGTAACACGAACCGAGCTGTGCCTGCTGCGGCTCCGAGTACTGAATGAGTGCGTTGTCCTTCTTGTTGTACAGTATCTTTACACGCATCACATCTCCGTAGACCCCTGAAATGCTCTCTGCTCTTGCTTGCGCACCACATAAAACCATAAATTCTCTTATGTATTGTTTACGGGTCGTTTTCACTTGTTTTTGTGTGCATCTACGCTTTCATGGTTTTTCGGAAGAAAAGCAACGTGTAATAGCAACCAAAATCGGAGAGAAAATCATCGATAGACCGACAGGGTAAAGAGAGAGAGAGAGAGAGAGAAAGAAAAGAAACATACCAAAAAGGGTGAAGAGGGCATCCGTGGTGACTTTCTGAAATAAAATAGGATAGATTAGAAAAGAGAGGAATAGTAGTAAATAGGGTTGATGGGGTGCTAGTAGTAGTAGTAGTAAAAGTTGTGATCTGGATTAGGCGACAGATCAAAAAAGAGAGAGAGAGAGTGCCACATGAACCAAAGAGCAAACTGTTCAGAAGGGGCGACTAGAAATCGATCGGAAGCATGCCGAAAGGGATGCGAGAGAGGAGAGAAGGCAAGTGTTTGACCCGGTTCCTAGTCTGTTTCAAATGACTCTACCATCTCGTGAAGGTTCGACACCAGAATGACCGGCGTCAGATTGAGCACGTTGACCGGGAAGCGCAGCGAGGAAATCGAGGGGGTCAGGCTGGCGGAAGTCAGTCCGAGAGCAGGCAGATACGGAGCGAGGGCGGCGGCGTTGGCAGAGTCTGGAAACGAGAACACTCGAGAAGGCACTTCCGAAAGAGGCTTCGCGGCAAATTAAGAGCGGAAAACTAACCAGTGGCAGCGGCGGCGGCGGCGGACGAAGCGAGCTGGCTGGTGAGGAAGGTGGTGGCCGGATTGGCGCCGAACGGGAAATTGTACGGATTCGAGGCGATCAGATTCTGCAGCCCTGGGACACCTGGAAAGATCCTTATTATCTTAAAGTTCGGTGGTCTGGATTGCTGTACCGATGGCCAAAGACTGCTCGAGAGTCATTTCACCAGCTGGCAGGTTTGGATTGGTGTAATCGCGAGACTTATCGTTGTTGTACTTCACGTTCAGAGTGCTCAGTTTGCTGTAGTCGATACGAAGGGTGCAGCAGCCGTTGTAAACGTTCTGGTTCTCGAGTCCTTGCTTCGCCAGCTGCGCAGAGTTCGCCTCGCTCATCTGGATGAGCGCTTGGAAAGTGTCTGAAAGAAAAAGTGGGGAATGAACGGGAATTGCTCGAAAACTCACTGTTCTTGTTGAAGGTGATGATGCGGAGAACCTTTCCGTAGCGAGTGAACAACTGATGGAGCACTTCGAGGCTCACCGGGAACATCATGTTCTCGATGATGACGCGAAGAACACTGTTCGGCTGCTGCTGAGTTCCGACTTCAAAGTTCGAGACGGATCCATTGGTGACACTCTGAAACATGGCACACTAAGATGCAACTGGTTTCTTCACTGGTCTTTAGTTTCCAAAACATTTTTAGTTTCGAAACGTTTTCGTAAATGCTTTTCCTATGAGTCACCAACTTTAACAGACGTTCTGGCGGCTGCCACGTCAGTGTTGACGGGAGCGCGGAACGCGGCGGTGGCGTCGAGCTGATGGTACGGATGGTCGGAAGTGAGCACTTGAGCTGCCATTCTTCGGAACTTGACGGGCGGTTGGGACGGCGGCAGTGGCGCGGCTAGAAGCACGTGAGGAGACGCACCCGTCGCCAACTGCGGCTCGCAAAACGCCAGTCGCTTCGTCGTACTGTAGTTGTCATAAGAAGGGGAAACGTCGCGGCGTTTGCGTGATAGAACGGAGGAGTTGGAGGAGGAAGCGGACGGAGAATCCATGCGGGTCCAGATCGATATGAGAGCGGGAACGAATGATGGGAATAAAGAAAGGAATGAAAGAAGGGAAGGAGGGGAGCGGGGGCGCGGACGATGATAAAACTGCAATTGCCCGGCGGGGGAGGCAAAAACGGAGAAAGTGCCGAGGGAAAGAAGAGCTTCGACAGTTGTGTAACACGTGTTTGCACTGTATGAAAGAGATGGAGGCGGGCGACGGCAGCAGGTGGATTACCAGATGTAGAGGACGATCGCGAGGGATGAAAAGGAGAGAGTTGGAAAGGAGAAACCGTACTAATTGGATTACTCGGACTGCGATTCTGAATAGCGATCAGGTGAACTCTCTAAAGATCGGAGACATCTATATTTAGAGCTGCATGGTCTGTGATAACAAAGAGCAAGAAAGAAGAGAGAAATGAATTTCCCAAAAGTATTCCGGCGGAAGAGTCGTATAGTGGTGGAGAGCCGTTGCTTTCGTCGCCGTCGGGTGATAATGATAGCCCACGGGAATTGACAAGAAGAGAGAGAGAGAGAGAGAGCCAGAGAGACTCAAACTCTCCAAGAGAGGGCAGGTGAAGGTGTAAGCAGCAAATGCTATGGACATTTCTCGACGTCGCCGGTTGATTTCGTTTCGCTTTTATCCAAAAAGACGGCGAAGGACGACGGGGAGGGGAGGCGGAGGAGGGCGGGAGCTCGCGAGCAGAAGCAGCTCATATAGCGGCTCGTCGCCTCGGGGCTCAATTTATATTAATTAGCAATTGGACGACGTCGAGGCGAGAAATATATCTAGAGAGAAGGAGTAGAAGCAAGCAGGCATATTGCGGAGACCTACGGTAAATACATGATACTAGTATTACTATTCTGATGAACGAGACGATGAAGCAGCCGGGCGAGGGGACACGGATGCGTGGAAAGCGGATGAAACCGTTACTGGGTCGGTGTCTCTTCTCCCCCCTCTTTCGCTCGTTAATCCTGCCGAGAGAATGTCCTTCTCCCACCCTGCAACGCACACTTTTTTGGTGCCGTTTTGTACATAGACTGTAATTTATCCGGTCATCGTCGAGGTTCTTCTTCTGGTTCCGAGAATCTGAGTGTGGCAAAAAAGACGACGTTTGCCGTCAGTTGACCCAGAAATTTATCACTGTGAATGGATGCGAATGTAACTGTCCTTTCGACCCGATCGGCAAAAAGTTGAGAGCGGCGGCGAGACTGCGATAATTGGAGAGATGGAGACTATTGAAATGCACGAAAGCGTGAAATGAGAAGAAGAAGAAGAAGGCGTCAACGGCGGCGAAGAAGAAGAAGAAGAAGGAGGCGACGGCGGTCAAAACAGAATGCAGCTGGAATTGCAGTTTCAGCTGGTCCGAAGCCGAAGGATCTGTGGGGGCATAGAGAATGAGCCAATTGAAATGCAAGACACGAGTGGCAGAATTATAGATGGAGGAGGAGCACTTATTCAAATTTAGTTGGAAATGGGGACGAGTTGTTTTTAGGCATTCGAGAGAGAGAGGAAGAGGGTGAAAGCGGCCAGTTTCGTTTTGACTAATGAAGTGGAAAAGTGGAATTGGCGGAGGGAAGAAGACGTCGGAAGCTGAAGATTCGAGAAAGAGCGGATGATGGAGAGATCTCATGTTTCGGATTTCCGCACTGATTTCGGATTTTGGATTTGCGATATCAGAACGGAAATACGCGATAGGAAGTGGGAGAAGGAGGGGAAAGGCCAACGCGGACAGCTCATCGTCACGGACCGTCTACTTTGAAGGAAAAGTGCATAAGAATCATATTGAAAGGAATCCGTCATGGATCTCGGCTCATATTCTTCTAATATACACAACATGTATGTACACACACACACATATAAAAGAAAGCGAATAATTAACGAAGCACGAGCTGCTCTCTCCGAAGATGAAGCTTATTTGCGAGACGGAAGCCGGGGGAGACTTCTTTTTCAGGCCGACGGGCGGACGGATGGATGATATGAACATTATGATGATTTTGGCAAGAGAGAATGTTTACCGATGGAGTCGATTACCGTGGATCCCCAGAGTGGTAATTATAGTCCCTGGCAATTAAAGTATGGGCTCGCCGGCACGAAAACAATGCATTCAATATGGGAGCATATCGCCGGAAATGAGCAAAATTGGTGGACGGAGAAAGAAAATAATCAAGTAATGGCACTGCAATCTGGAGAAAAACGAGACGGAGAACGGAGCCGCGAACTCGAACTCTCTCGACGCCAAACAGGTGTTCGAGGTAATCAGATTTGGAAGTGAAACGATGTGGTTGCTGAGTGTGTAAAGCCGAGAAAAGGGCCACCGACGAAGACAAATAGCCGACGCTCCGTGAGCAGCATTTCAAAAATCCTTTAATTAATGTGTGACGGAATGACGAGTGGAGACGAAGAAGGCGAAAAGCGAATATTGGCTTGGCGGAAAGAAGGGGCGCCAGACCGGCAGGGATCGAAAGACGAGGAGGGAAAAGGGAGCCCCATATTCCAATGGAGGGCACTGCTATTTGTCGAATTTGTAATTAGGAGGACTAGGAAAGGAAGGGGCTCAGCTTGAGCATCGACTCAATATGAGACCACCGTGGAACTGACAGACACAAAACGGCACTGGAAGCGGAGCCGAGTGGTAGCAGCTGCAACCTGCCGACGAGTGTTTCCCCTTTGCTTTTGCGGAACGGAAACCGAAATTAAAACCGAAACCGACACGATCCATAACTTTTTATCGTCCGGTTTTATCGACGCAGCACCTTGCAAAGGGCGCAAGGTTTGATGGATGAAAACGGAGAAATGAAAAAGGAGGCGAGGTTTGTGCTTTTGAGATCTCCGATGGATACGACATAAGAGTTATATATGAGCACTCCAACTGGTCCCACTGGTTCTTCTTATGAATACATCTGGAAGGATCTATGAGTACAAAAATCCGAGTGTCTGAAGTATCAGAACTCGATTTTCAGTTGGCAAACAACTTTAAAATTTTGAACACGAGGTCTAGAAAAAAAAGGAGATGCTCAAGTGCTTCTGGAGGAATTCCAAATGAAGAAGACACATGTGGTGGTGAATGGTCTACGATGATTGTCGGATGTGCAACAGGATGTCTGTTTTGCATAATCTCAGTGTCTCTTTTTCCACCCGTCTCATCCCGTCGCTCTTGCTCTCCGAGCACTCTTCGAATGCACCTAATGGAATTAATTCCGTGTTTCAATTCCCGAAGAGCGCGCGCAGCCGTCGTTTTGCCCCGGCAAGCAGCCAATTTTATAAAATGGCGGTGCGAACGAACAAGCCGAGAGAGCGACGGAATCGGAGAGGCGGCTGGAAACGGAAAGAAGATGCGCGCCTCCGAGTGATTATAACCAGATGCGACCCCGCTCTTGACACACTGAAATGAAGCGGAGCACGGATGAATTCGAGCAATATTGGGGGGATGAATGTGACAAATGAAACAGAGGGAATCAACCGGACGGAAGGGTTCTTCTTGACCCACAACAAGTATAGTCCCTGCCAAACAACAAATAATTCTGAATTATTGATGAAGTTTGGCAATTTTTGAACTAGCAGCTCTTTCAAGTAGCGAACGGTTGGTGAGAGACTCTGCGGATGCTCTCAAGCTCTTTGCTCGGGTTTCCGTTTTCCCACATTTGTACCCTACTCTATACGCCCACGTCTTCCTTCGTTTGCTCTTTTTCTGTCTGTCTGACGTACCTCGGTATCACTGATTGCCTTGCTGTTCTTCTCGAACTTGAGCTCGCGGTGAGTACTGTACTGGGCGAAAAGTGTGCGTCCGCGAATCTGAAAAGCCATTTGGAAGTGTATAGAAAAGTTGGAAGTAGGCAAACCTGAATGGGGACGGCAGTCATGGCAGCCACAAATGCGCACGCACTCGCCTCGTCCTCGTACTCGACGAACGCCTGCAATGGGAGAAAAATGGCATGGCAACGAGCGGCGGAGCACTGATAACCGCCTCGTCGTGCGTCATTCCTCACTCACTCACCTGGCTTTTCCCCTTCAACATCATGTAGTTGCAGACGGGCCCGTACTGAATGCAGAGCTGCATCAATTCCACGTCCACGAGGTCTGGCGGTATGTTACGGACGTGGACAACCTGCAGAAGAAGTTCGAAAAGGGGAAAGGGAGCAAAAGACAGACCTTGGATCTTGGAGCAGTGGTGGCCGACGACGTTGTGTTGCATTGTGGCAGCGTTGAGAGCTGAATTCCCTGCAAATTAAAACTTTCGTTTTTGTTTTGAGACGCCCCAAAACAATGGGAATCTTCCCCTATGAATCACGAAATGCCGCATTTCAAAATATAGATCTTTCAGGAGGTTAAAGACTGACCACAAATTGAATCAGTTATGATAACTAACCTGAATCTGAGTAATGGGGTTACCAGTGAGTAGTTGAGCCGTAGTCGCGTTGGAAGCGGCTGCAGCGGCGGCGGCGACCGCAGCAGTCGCCCCAGACGCCGTCAATCCGTGGTGCATTGCGGGCGTGTAGAACTGCGAGGCGTACAGCGTCGGATCGAGTTTCGCCTTCTTCGGCTCCGAGTCGGCCGTCATGACGTTCGCGTAGAAGGCTCCGACCGCTCCGCCAGCAGTCGCCGTCGCTGCTCCTCCGTTGCTCAGTGACAATTGCAAATCATCGGGCCCGCGCTGCAAGCAATCAAGTGACGGTGTGAGACCGACGGAATTGCCCATCCTCTCTTGCCGCTCGTGGGCATTAACTATGCTTACTATGCTAATTGACAGCGACGACGACGACTGAGAGAAGAAGGCCAAGTCGTCACCGACACTCGCACCAAAAGTTACCTTCTTTCGAGAGTAATGAACGAAAGGAACTCCCGTGAAATAGTCCGTCATCGTGGGAAACGTGGGGAAAAGAACTGATAGTAGTCAGTTGGGAACGGACAGGACGGGGGCGTCTTCGATGTGATAAAATGCAAATTGGATGGCCCGGAGGGTGATAAAACTAAGATGGAATTGCAGTTTCCATATTTTGTGGCTCATAAATAATAATATTTTTTATGTTCTATTGACCTTATAGTTTGTTGAGCAGAAAGAAGCGAAGAAAGTCGCGGGAAGGGAGCGAGGGCCTATCAGATCGGCGGTTTCCGAAGGTTCGCGCACTAATTTAGTCGGAGCTCCTCAGTTTCTGCGTCTCCGTCTCTTGCCCACTGTTTCTTGTGACTCAAAACCTACACAATCCGACTCGCAGCATCTTCAGTAGCCCCTAGAGACTGCTGGCCAAAAAGGTATCTTATTTTACTCACAAATGAGATGAGAGGGTCCTTTCAAAAAGGGCTGTGACGTGGCAACTCACCTTGGTCATGTGGATGTATCTAGATGAATCTACTTGTACACTCCGGTACCGACCGTCCGATTCTAGATCATCTGAAGTAAGGAATGGAAGAAATAAAAAGAGCGAGGAAAGAGCGAGAAGAGAGAAGAGATTTAGAGAAGAATCACGAAGGAAGTTGATGTCTCCTTGTTCTCGCAGTAGGCTCCCGGGGCGGTGCGCGAACGGGAGCGGCCGAAAGTCTCAATTATTTGCGAAAGCAATACAAAAATCTGATCGTCGCGTGAATAGCGTGAGAATCCAAAGAGACGCAGACGTGTGCGATGGACGGCGGGAGCCTGCGCGGAGCAGCAAACAGCGGGCGGGAAGATGGTATTGTGGAGTGTCAAAAGGGCATTTCGAGCCCCCCGACTTTTGACACGTCTCACTTCTGCACAGACATTCTCAGGAGCAGAGAGAGAAAGAAGAAGAAGGCCTACATGTGTCACAATAAACACCATAAATCCGAAGGGCAATGGAGAGCCGCCAGTAGTGGGAAGCCGCGTTGGGAGCCGAGGATCCGCAAAAAATATGAAACTACCAGATGTCGAGGGCCAATAAAGCGGTGCGGAGGAGCCGTCGATCCTGGACGGAGTAGGGTCGGACGGAGCAGAGAAACGAAGAGAGAGAGGAGGAGACGGAGGGGATGGGCGGGGAGCGGGCAGAGGACGACTGACCTGGGCGCCTGAATCATCGAAGACGCCTTCACAAAACATGCGTACAGTCATGTTTCGCCTATGTTTTTGTTCATCTCTCTTTCCATGTTTTCATTCCCCATTTTAGTATACATTGCTGACTTTCTGCTGACAAACCTTGAGACTGTACATCCGCACGTAGGGGTTTGGTACAATTGTCGCCATGGCCTGAAGCTGAAATTATGTATTGTCAGGAAAGAGTCAGAAGTAGAAGCAAAGAAGTAGAAGTTTGTGTGTGTGTGCGTTCGGAAAACCCAATGGAATCTGGGTTGATGAAGGAAGAGAAAGGGAAGAAGAAGTGTAGCGAAAGGAATCAAATTAATTATTGATGCAATACAAACAGGCGGGCTCCACATCACCCGAAAGCCCTTGATCTGAACTCTTTTCGAAATGGAAGCGCGTTTAGCTTTCAGGTTTAGGTTTCCGGATTGAGGATCACGCGAGGTGACAGGAGCACACAAATTGGAAGGAAGGAAAAGGAAGACGGGCTTCTGTTTGTTATTTTAGGATTGAGAAGTGAGAAGAAGAAGAAGGAAAAGAAGGAAAAGACGAAGACGACGACCAGATTGTACAATAACTCGAAAGGAGCGCAACCGGCTAATTGAGCGGGGCGCCCGGGGCGGCAGCAGACACCTACCATTGATTAAGTGATTAGTTGCAGCAGTCACATTGCCTCCTTGAAGACGCGCACTCTCTCGTCGCTAATGGATTAGGTCAGCCAGCAGCTGGATGTGTTAACAAATTATCACACGCATAGCATCCGGATGGACGGCACACATAAGACGGGCGGCCTCTTCTTCTAGGAGAGCTTATCACTATAGTTACCGAAGGGCGGCAGAGACGCAGAACGCAGACGAGCCGAGGCAACGAACACGGAGGGGATATCGATAAGAAAATGTGAATGAGGGACGACGTCAGAGAGGCAAATGGAATGCGACGACGAGGACGAAGACTCAAACGGTGTTTTGAGACACTCTCGCTCATCGTCGTAGAAATTGAGTTGTGTACGCTCCGATGAAGAGCCGAGTGAGTTGGCGGCACCACCGGAAATTGGCAACAGTTGGGAGGGATGGGCGACCGAGATATTATGCTTAATCGGCGGAGAAAACGGGAGGAAACGCGAGGAATGTGCACTGATATGGACGAAAAATCCGGGCGGTTAATACCTTGTCGAGCTCTCGTTGACTCTCCGTTTTCTTCTTTTCCTTCTTCTTCTTCTTCTTCTTCGTGCGCTCCTTCTCTTTCCCGTTATTCGCGGGTTTCCATTCCCAAATTGGTTTTCAAGTATTCCTATTAGGAAAGAGCATGCGAGATGAAGAGACGCAGAGAAAAGGTAGTTGAAAACGGGTTCGTACATACATGCACACGTTTTCGATTAAATTGAGAAAAGAGGACGAGGACGAAGATGGGCGGTGCCGTCCGGGAGCCCAAGTGTGTTTGGGTTCACACGGCTCCGATTGTTTGCAATCAAACCACCGCCCGGTATTTGACAGATATCACGGCCGATCCGAGAAGGGCGGCTCTGATATGCGAGGTGGGAAACGCGATCGGATGGGTACAATTATTGTGTGCAGAGAAGGAATACATCTCGGGAATACTGTAGGTGTGGACACGACTATACGATTCTGAGTCAGAAGCGCACGGGAAGAAAAACATCCGAACGGAGGGAGTATGATAGCTGAGGGTCGTCGTCATTACACTTCATGCGTTTGTAAAAGGCTTCGAGAAGGGAGTGGTGTTGAAATATGCAGTTCTTTGTGGAAAGGAAACAGTAAAAGAAATGGGTTAGTACATAGACCGACTTTTCAGCAACGTTCCATGTCGGCATGTGACTTTAAATATGAGGTTAAGGGAGAACCTCGCAGAGAATCGAGACCGCTATGACACTGCACAGAAAAAATAGAATTGTCCCAAATTTTACCCATTTGTGACCATTTACACTAGAGGTATCAATAAAAGAGCTCTGAGCTCTGGGAAAAGACACAAAATAGGTATGAGCCTAAAACCTAAAAAAAAGTCATTCGATTTCTCGCATGTTTTTGAGCATGTTTCATGTTGGGACCATCATTCTTCTCTATAAACCTAAGAAGTTGCTGGATTGGAAAAATCGGAGTCATCTTGAATAGAACACCATTGTGTTTGACATTGTTAAACTTCAGAAGAAAGACTGTCGGAAACCTGAAAACCATCCGCCCGACTGCATAGTCTCGCCCGATTCCAGAACCCATCAACGCAGTTTGAATCACTTGGAATAACCAGAAATCGACACCAGAGACCACTAGAATATACTCCTCAGTCTCGTGAATCAAATATGTCTGCTCTTTTTAGAAAATGAATCCTTCTTAATTTTTTCAGCTTTGTAGTTTAATGCCTGCCTGCTCTTTCGGACTGCAATTCTTCTTCTTCTTCTTCTTCTTCGTCTCGCTCACGTTTTCCGGTTGAAGTGCCCGCCCGAACATTCCGGAAAAAAGGGCCGACCGGGTGTCCGTGCAAACGTTCGCGGCGCCAGCAGATGGGCTGTCCGGGCGGCCTCATTTCGCATTTGCAGCCGTCCCTCCAATGACCTTTTCATCTTCTGCTTCTTCTTCTTCTTTCTCCCACTTCATCGACATCACAGAACCCTTTCCTGGAATCCACCCTCCAGACACTCCAAGATTTCTCGTCATTTCCGTCGATGGCTGCTCCTCCTCTCACGTCTTCATAATTTGGTCTTTTTAGAAGTGATCCACACCCATACCCGCCAAACTACAGAGTACTCTCGAATGACTATTTGATGGTAACGCTGCTCCGTTTTCGAGTCGTAATTAGGCACAGAGTACACAACTCTGAAGTAATGTATAAAAAGGAATCGGTAGAAAGTCAGTGACCAATCTCGAGATGTCTGCCTTCCCGCTCCTCGTCCTCCTTCTCCTTCTCCCCGTCGCTTCTGCTCAACTTACTGTACGTTATCCAATAACCAACCCGTCTCCAACCGAATCATTTCAGCTGAACGAGCTCGAAATCAGTGCCGAGCTCCGGCGCAAGATGCTCCCTTTGCCTACAGTTCCGACTCACGTGAGCCGGAGTCATCGAGTCGGTGCTCAGAGATATCATCAGTTCGGACAGAGATGCTGGCACCTCGAGTCCTGTAAAAACTGCGTGTGCTGCGGGAGCTGCGGAGGACATGACTTTCTGTAGAGCCCCAGAGCTCGGAATGTTCTAGAATGCTCTTTTCAGGTGTTCGTCGCCGGCCGGCTCCGTCGACTACTGTCTGCTCTACGAGAAGATCTCCATGCATACCGTAACCACCTCAAATGCCCCGCCGGTTCCAATAGTTGAGTTTCAGAATCTCGAGAAACAAAACGAGACGATGGCCTACCAACTGCCGGCCGATTTCCCGGATATCAAATGATCTCCTCACTTTCTGTCTTTTCTCTTTCGTACATCCCATATTTATGCCACTAACTTATTTCTTGTCATCTATCCATTTGCCCGTTTGCTGTTTCCCAATTTATGTGTCTATGTTTACCGTGTACTCCATCAAATGAACCGTGTTACATTCGTAGAGATTCATTTGGTTATTGGTCATGTTCTGAAAGTGCTTCTGACATTTTCATTGGTACTTTTCGTCTGTCTGATTCCTTTCTAATGAGTCTTGAGCTCAAGGACATGTTTGATTACGTGACAGATCATAAAAGTCTTCGAAAAAGTTCAGATGATTACCGTCCGGAGCGACAATGCGAGTGCGCTCTATTGCGAATTAATACATTTACGGAGGCATTTCGATTTCTCTCGTTTTTCCCTCGCAAATCCGTTCGAAATGAGTGCTGAGCCGCCGTCGACGTCTACTGGAAAACAAAAAGGTAAGTGATTCACGCCCACGCATTCCAATTATTTCGCCGTTTTCAGAAGAAGCCGCCACAAACGAAGAACAACTGATCGATCCGTTCATCGATTTCGAATGCCACGTGTGCCATCTCACCGAGAAGTGCCGTTTCGGAGATCTGAATGTCGTCGACGGACGGTACCATCCGAATTCCTTTTATCGATTGAATCCTTCCCTTCTTCAGCTACGAATCGCCCGTTTACTTCATGAGAGACCCCTTCAAGCCGCCTTCTAGAGACCGCGCAAAGAAGCCGTGCCTCGACGATTTCTTGGTTCTTGGAGCCCCGTGCTCCTCGTGTAATCAACCTGTCTGTATGTCGGATTCCTGCTCGTTCTTCTTCGGAGTCAATTTTTGTGCTCCGTGCGTCAGCAGAGAACGTCGTCGCTTTCCGCCTCAACTCATTCGAGGGATAATCACAAAACACGAAGGGAGCAAAAAAGAGAAAGAGAACAAATAGAAAAAATATTTTACTGATAAATTGATGGATAAATAATAAACGGTTCACAAGCGGCTTGCAAGTTTGATTGTTGCCAAGAGAGGAATTTGACAGGCGAACCCAGTAAATAAATGGGAGAAAGGAGAGAACAAATGAAACAATTGCGGTGTGGAAGGATGGGATACATTCAAACAGGGAATGACGAGATGATGAACATGTTCACTGAGCCTCAGCGTGCTTGTGGAAGTCTCCATTTCCGGCAACCTCTTCTTTTTCGGCTCCGTTTGACGGAGCAGTTCGTTCTTCCCATTCACTGTCCGATGAATCCTTCCTCGCTGCCTTTTTCTCCAACAGCTTCTCGCGCAGCTCATGCTCGTTTTCCTTTTTTTCCGCATGACGATCTTCTTTCGACTTTTTCTTTTCCGGCGAACGACTTCTGCTTCTCTTTTTGTCCCTTTTCCGGTCTTTCGATCTCGATCTTGAACGATCACGTTTTCTGTCGCGGGACTTCGAACGTTTCTTGCGGTCTCTGTCTCTGCTTCTCGATCGCTTTTTCGTGTCACGATCCTTGTCGCGACTGCGGCTTCGGCGTTTGCGGTCCCGGCTTCTGCTTCTCTTTCTGTCACGATCACGGCTTCTGGAACGACGGTCGCGACTACGTCTTCTGTCACGGTTGTCGCGCCCACGAGAGCGAGATCTGCGACGAATTGGAGATGGCGAGCGACGGCGACGCGGAGAACGAGAACGACGGCGATCACGGTCTGAAATAGAAGATGTGGAAGGACGTTCCAACGCGAGGTCTCACCATCAGAAGTCTTTCCGAGTCTAATAGCCTCTTCAACTTCTCCGAGGGCTTGCTCGTCAGTCTTCGCCTGTGGTTTGATGATGGCAACACGAGAGTGCTGTATCCTTAAATTAACTAAATGAAAAAAAGAAGACGGGTGACGGTTACTTACTTGAGAGGTCTCTCTTTGAACTCGAATCCATCATTCTGCAGAGCGTTGGAGACGGATGCTTGTTGCGAGAATTCGACGTAAGCGTAGGCACACGGCAACGCATCCGGCCCAGATGCCATTCGCACGTACATTACCTGCAACAAAACAATTGAGAAAGGAAATTCATTTCTAAGTTCGTTCAAAGTCAAGCTACTCGTCGTAAAAATGTGCAGTACTATCGAGAACAACGCGAAAACGGCTGTTCAATCTCCTAAAAACGAAACAGCAGCTAGAAGTATCATTTGCAGAATCTGCTTCGACAATGAATCGGTTTGCTGAATTTTAAGTTAAGAAACAAAATCTGACTGATTAGGGAACGGATCGACTGATCAGACCGTGTTCGTGCAGCGGAACTGTCGCCTTCGTACACAACGGATGTCTCGAACGCTGGGTCCGTGCCACATCGAACATTCAGTGCACAATCTGCCAAGACGATTTCGAGCTGACTCCTGCCGGACTAAAGAACTGGGGGGACATAACGGTTCCGAGACCGTTGTCCGATGAATGCGAAGACTACGTTGAGTTCGGATGCACTCTCGCTTGGATGGTCTACATGATCAGATTCGGATACATCGGACTTCGATACGGAGGTCGTTCTATGATCGACACTGTTGATGAAACGATCGGAACAGGCGCGCTGCGCAGTCTTTGGTGGTTCTCGTTCTGGTTCAATTTCCTCTACTACGGAGCCATGAGCTTCATTCTTTACGAAAAGTGGCTTCTGGAGAACACCGTTTTCAGCTTTAAGGACAGGTAAACGAAGCCATGAATTGAAAAAATAGACAGTATCTCAGATCTCATGATGAAAGCACTATCAAATCAGTCAGCAGACCATCGACGCGAACAAACAGAAAAACAGTCCTCAAGAACCAATAAACCTTCTAAATGGAAACTAACCTCTCCAAAATACATGTTGAACAATTCGAGCACTTCTTTTCCGTCGACACCCTTCGGAAGGTTCCCGACGTAGACGGTTCTACGTATCTCCTCCACTTTTGCTGAATCGGTGTCTGGCGGTAGTGGCGGGTAGGCGGGCAGTCCAAGTTGCTCCAGATTAGGGTCGACTGTAATCAACTGAAAAATTGAGAAATTAAGCGCTGAGAAATATTTTTAGTTCCCCAATTTCAAAATTTTTTTAGTAATTAGGATCAAAACGGAATCAATTTTTCTAATCGTTCATCCGACGAAGCGCAGCAAAGATTGGCGAGGGAACTGAAAATTTATCATTCGGCAGTACTAACAAGCTTTTCTCGTGCTTTTCTGGATTACGCTCTTGGGACTTTACTGCAATCGTCATTTCAACTTGGTAGTTGCCAGCAGAACTGTAAAATGAACGAGTAACGCCTGTTACCATCAGACGTCTGCTGAATAGAAATAAGAAATATCACTCACCACAGCAGATCCATCTTCCATCTCCTGAACTTTGTTTGTGACGTTTGGAGGCAATTGTCGCTGACCAGCCGTTGTTGAGCCACCGCTGTTAAAGAAAGACTCCTCATCCGGAATAGACGCTGGAAAATTCTAAATTTTTCAAGGGTTACTGAATTCGAGTACTCACGATTCGGGTATGGAAGACAAACGATAGCGCGGTCGATCAGGACGGTGTTGGTGAGATGTTGTCCGACTTCAGCGCACCGTTCGTCGTCGAACTTGATAAAAGCTGTTTTCAGTACGGTATTAGATGTGATATTACCTTCCGACGGATAGACCTGAAAAGATAGAGTGAGCGATATAGGTGGAATTTTTTTAAAAACTGACCTTCATTTCTTGAATTTTGCCGAGATAGTTGAACATGTTGTAAATATGATCTCTCGAAGCGGCGCATGAGATATTCGCCACTTGCAGAATTTTGATTTTCTCCTTTTCCTCCCCCGACATATCTGAAACGAAACACTATAATTTTGAATTCTGAAGAGAAAATCAATTTTAAATAAGAGCAGTTGAAAATTTGAGGTTTTTTATATCGAAAATTGTCGAAACTTCAAATCAATTGACATCTTTATCTGAAAATCAATCCAAATCAATTTTTTTGGCGAAAAATTCAAAAAGCAAGCGTGTGCGCCGACTTGGCAGCATGCCAACCCTTTTTCGTGGCGAGACCCGTCGGGTCACCTCGCCCTCTGCGTCTTTTTTAGGCCGCTGTTCGAAAAACTCTTCGTTCTTGTTGTCTCTCTCTGCTAGTTTTCGTTCGTTTTCGAAGATTTTTACCGAGAAAACTACAAAGTTTTCATAAATAAAATTCTAAATTTTGTGTTTTCGTCTATGGGTTTTCACTACCTGCAGAATTTCCCTCTCAAAATCCATATTTCAGTCCTTTAGTTTGAAAAAATTGATTTTTGTCTTCAAGGCTCTCACTTCTCGCAGTTATGTTTCTAATTTGAATACAAATCGTTTGTTACAGCAAAAAGACAAAAATGGCCGATGATGGAGTCAATCCGAAGGCCTTCCCACTGGCCGATACCAACTTGTCTCAGAAGCTCATGGATCTCGTCCAGCAAGCGATGAACTATAAGCAACTCAAGAAGGGAGCCAACGAGGCCACCAAGACCCTCAACAGAGGAATTGCCGAGGTGAGTAGACATTTTAAATGAATACGTTTCTATATTTTGGAAGGAACGCATTATTGACTTCCGATAAACTGAGAAGATAGGCTATTCGACCTATTCAAAATTTTCAGGTCATCGTCATGGCTGCCGATGCCGAGCCGCTGGAGATTCTCCTCCATCTGCCGCTTTTGTGCGAGGACAAGAACGTCCCATACGTCTTCGTCCGCGTAAGTGGAATTTTTCGTTTTGAACGAATTTTCAAGAATTATGAGTTTTCAAAAATAATCAGCATATTTCAGAGCAAGGCTGCCCTCGGACGCGCTTGTGGAGTGACTCGTCCAGTCATCGCAGCCTCAATCACTCAAAACGAAGGATCTCAGCTGAAATCTCAAATCCAAAAGATCAAGGAGGACGTTGAGAAGCTCCTCATCTAACTCCGTTTCATAATTTTGTTGTTCTGTTACCTCATTGTTGTTATATGATTATCCACCATTGTTTTGTTGGCGTATTTTGCAACATTGTCTCTTTTCTCAAAAATGAACATTGAAGCAAAGGCATTGTGCATTGTATTATCAAAGCCAATTATCGGCTACACTATTCTAAAGTGTAGCTTGGACACGGACAAGTACTTCAGTGGCAACAGAGTTGAGCGGAATGGGTTTTTTGAAAAAGCGGAGGCACAATTCAAATTTTTTGGGGAATCAAAAAAAGTGGCGGAAGCTGAAAGCGGAATTCCGCTCAACTCTGATTGGCAAGTAAATAAACCTCCCGGAACCGGATTCTTCACTGTTGCTGCTTTCTAATTCGACCCCTTTCTAAATACTTTGCTAACCATTCACTTGCCTGCGTGAATCACGGCGTCGCCTCGCGATAGGACGTCAAAAAAGCAATCGCTGATAACTGCAGGGAGTCGCATCCCGGCAGTGAGAGACGACGGTTTCAACGCAAGCCACGCCCCCTCGGTGCTCTGTCTCTCTGCCTCGCATTTCGCTCCGTTCCGTCCATCGAAATGCAGTCGTTTCTTCTGAAACTGGTCCTCGGCGGCATTCTTCTTTCGGTCGCTTATCGCTTCGCTTGTGACCGTTTGTATTCAAATCATAAGCGGACATCGACGGATTCGTCGATGAACGATTCCAGAAAGTTCGAGAAGTGTTCACGTGAGTAAATGCACAGTCTGTGTGAACTGCATGGCCTGTTTGCTCGAGCAAATAAAAACTTTTTGCCGCCTTCAAACCTTCTGACTTAGAATCGATTATTAAAACTACGACCAAAATAGATTATTTCAGCCAAAACTTCGAGAATGGCTGGGAGATCGAAGGATCAGCCTTCGCCGTGTTCGTCGACGGAAAGAAAGTAGTTGATTTGTGGGGAGGATACGCAGATAAGCAGGCAGCTCGCAAGTGGTCAGAGGTGAGCCTGCTCTTTTCTCTTCGAGTCACACAGAGAGCACTTGACCTGCCTGAAAGTGATCAAAAGAAGAAATACAAACGAAACGGCTAGACTTTACCCTTTTTCGACTCACATTATGTCTGGTAGTGCTCTCATAAGTTGTCTTTCTTGGCAGAGCGATACGAATGATGTGATAGTGTATCATTGTGATATAGACTTTTAAAAGCAAAACAAAAGAGTCTGTGACGTCACAGGGAACATTGTTTCAGGACACCATAACGGTGACGTTCTCGACGACGAAAGCGGCCGCCGCTCTGGCAGTCGCACTGCTGTACGAGAAGGGAAAACTGAGCTACGACGAGCCCGTTTCAAAATACTGGCCGGGATTCGGTACACATGGAAGGGATAACGTGACGATTCAGATGGCTCTTTCGCACATGGTAGGGAGGGGAGGGAAACGGAAAAATGAGGAAGTTTATTTCAGTCTGGAATGGCGTGGTTCGACACTCCGATCACCGAGGAAATCGCCGCCGATCATGAGCAAATGCGACAAATCATTGAGAGAGAAGAGCCGAAATGGGCTCCGGGCACCAAGACCGGATACCACGCTTACACATACGGATGGCTCGTCGATCAGATCGTGAGACACACCGACGATCAAAAGAGAGGAATCGGACAGTTCTTCAGAGAGGAAATCGCCTCCAAATTAGGTAATTTCTCCATCTTTCATCTCCAGGCCGAACCTAAATTCCCGCTCCAGATGTCGACTATCACATTGGCCTTCCGAAGTCCGAGCAGCACCGTGTCGCCCGCATCAGCACTCCCAACATGCTGAACCGCCTCGACGAGATATGGACGGATGTCCGGGTGCTCAAGTACATGAAGTCGCTTTTCAAACTGATGACGGTGCGTGATGATTATTCCGGCAGATTGTTTGTCCGGGAAAACTCGGCGGTTATCAGGGTGAACAGTGCCGGACCCGAACCACGAGTCCGGCAATCAACAACCGTTTCCTTTGCGTGCTGGTATTCCCCTTATCGCCGATCATATGACTACTCCAGGAACCAAATGCAAACGGAAATGCTCTCCCCTAGACACTAGTTCTGCAATTCATTCATCTTATTTCAGGACCACCCTCTCTCGCACATTGTCAAAAATCCTTCATGGCTCGAGGCAGTCTCCAGATGCACAATCAACAACCCAGACTATCATCGGTCTGTTTGCCCTTTGCCCCTTACTTGTATTGAATTGACATTTGCAGACTGGAACAGGCCGCCGCGCTCGGAATGGGAAATGCCCGTTCGCTCGCCTCGCTTTTCGACAAGGTTTGTCAATCAATTCGATCGTTTCCACTTTCTCATTTCGCTCGTCAAACTTTTCGTTATCACACTTCAAAATTTACGGCTGACAGGCGAGTTGAGACGAAAAGAGAAGAACAAACTATGTCTATGATAATCGGCACCGAGAAAAAGAGCGGTTTAAAATAAGAGGATTTGGTTTATTTCAGGTCAATCGCGGGCAACTTGTCAACCAGGCTACGCTCAAAACGATTAGTCAGCCGTTCGTCAACGAGAGCGACTTTATTTTGATGACACCGTCGCAAAGGGACACGGATTCTTCCATCTGCCCATCGGACGCGCTGGAGTCAGTTCCTTTTTTGAGTAGTCAACTCTTCATTTCATTTTTTTCAGGCTCAGTATGGATTCGGTCATACTGGTCACGGATGCCAGATGGTCATCACTGATCTCAAGAATCGGGTCACTATTGCCTACGTCACGAATGGTCTGAAAACGGGACTCTATGATCTGTGCAGGACGTATTGGGGACTTCAATCTTCCGTGTACGACGTCATCGAACAACTCAACAACTAGAATCTCTTCATCTCCCTCTCTATTCCTTTCTTGTTTAGCTTCTCGATTAGCATCCTTTTCTTTCTATCTCTTTCTCTCTGTGTGTCCCTGTACAATCCTTTCTCTCTCTCTCTCTCTCTCTCTCTCTCTCTCTCTCTCACCGTTTTCCCGTTGCCCATTCCGTGCCCGTGTCTGTGTTGAATGCGAATCTTTGAATGCATATTTATGAACTTGTCTGTCCACTAATAAACAAATTCATCCCCGATAAACACGCACACACGTTCAGGTGCCCCCTCGGTTGCCATGGACAACCGGGGGTACTGGCGAGTGAATAGGCCGCGCGGAGAAGCCTACGGAGCATACGGACATGTCTATTTTCGGCAATATTATGAGTCTGCAGGAGGCGCTTAATCGATTGCCGCAGTTTGAATATCAGGTGAGCGCACAAAAGAAGAAGAAGCCTTTCAAGTTGTTTTCAGATTAATAAATTGGAAAGCGAAGAACGAGAATCGCACGCGAAGAGCAGCGTTCGCAAGAATTTCGTAAGACAATGTCAGGAATTGCACAAACAGGTTCGGTTCGGATTTTCATGGATTCCGAGTTCATTAGAGCGTATTCTTTAGCTTGACGATCATCGAAAACGAACGGAAAACACGCGAACGGAAGAGACTTTCAAAAAGAACGATACTTTGGAGCGCATTAATCAACTCCGGCAGAAGCTCAGTTCATTGTGTCCTGAGAAGGATCAGACGTCTGTTTCCACTAGGTTCGTGGTCTGAATGGTCCCGATCGATAGCAACGTATCTCTTTCTTTTCAGTGGTGAATCACAGGAGGAGAAACAGAAAACGGAAAAGCGAAGTGTGGAGGGCCGTCGGAAGAGTATGATGTACGAGGAAGACGATTCGGACGAAGGATCCGAGATCATCGAGACGGACGTGCACCTCGAAGAGCAGATCGTTCCTCCGCCACCTGCTCCCGCTCCGGCCCCAGCTGCGGTCGCTCCTCAACCAAAACCCCGGCAGCCGATTGCAATTACCCGGCCGCCTAACGATTCGCCGACAATTAGTAAGAAGAGAGAGGAAAAGAGGGAAATGGATGAGCAGATATTCAACCTGCAGTATCCGATTAGAAACGATTCTTCAGAAGTGATGGAGCCGGTCGTCGTCCGAGGCAACGTGTTCATTGCGTTAGATGACCTGGAACCAGAAGCGGAGGGAGATTTACCTCTGCGAAAGGGAAGGAAGTACAGGATTACGCAGACGAGAGCGGATGGATGGTGGACGGCGTTGGACGAGAACGGGCAGAGGGGACTCGTTCCGAAGACGTACTTGCAGCATGTGAAGGAGCCGCAGAGGGTCGTCGTGAGTGGGATTTTAACGGGAACTTGTGTGGAGGGTTCTGTTTCAGCAATCGAAAGTGTCGAGCCGATTGGGAGTTCGAGACTCGGTCATTGGCATATCGACCACAACGGAGCCGAGCAGAAATGGAGAGCGAGAGGAACGGAGAGCGATTCGAGAGAAGGAATGTCTGGGCCGTGAGTTCGATCACGATCCACATCTTTCTCTCGTTTGCCACCTCGCTCCCCGGCTCTCCACTTCCAATATCGGATTCCACGATCTCTTCTGGAGCCACGAGAAGGACCAAGTTTTCAAGCGAACTGTTCATATCTCCAAAATTATCCGTCTCGTTCGATTCGAGAAAATGCCGCTGATTCAACACAAAGCTCTCGTTCGAATGGCTCTTGTAGACGTGACGAATCCGAAGGCAACACAAGTTGTGAGCAATGTACATACGATGGTGCCACGTGTCAAAGCGACAACGTGGTACTTTGAGAAGAAGGAAAGCAACACTCGGAGTTGCATCGAGTTCTCCGACGTCGTGCTCCGTTCCAACTACAGCTCGCCGACTGTTGTGCTTGTTGTCGAGGCTTCTCACATCGTCAAAACCCAAATTGGGATCGAAGAAAAGAGTCTAGGGCACACGTATCTCCGATTGATAATCGACGATAAAGCAGTGCCGAGCAGGACGAACGTTCTTTACTTGGACGATGAGATAATGTCGAGGATGAAGATGCCGGAAGCTTCGAAGAAAAGACTTCTGCTGCAAGTGATGGACGTGCCCAAGGATAAAATGCCATTTGTCGAGTAGGTCACACTTTCAGCTTCCTCTTTATCACTCCCATATTTTCAGTTCTTTGCCTGACGTCATAGTGTTCAACTCCCTCTATTTGCCGTTTTTCCATTTTTACCGTCGACGAGCAGGAACCATTCTGATAAGGGACAATAGGAATCCATTGAGTGCTGGTATGCAGTACACGTGAAATGTAACTAATAGAATTTCTTGGAGTTTTCAGAATTCGTGTCGGATCCTCTTCTCTCGGTGTTCCCGGGCATTTGCGATGAACATGACATTATGGACGCAATGTTGAGATTGTGGAAGGGAAAGAAGAAGATTCTGGTCAAGATGAGCGAGGCCGAACAGACTGCCGAATTCTTCCAAACATTCATCCACACGGCGTTCTTCATCCACGGTTCTGAGATGATTTCCTACGATGTTAAGGACGAGTCAGTGCTCTTTTTACGGCAAGATGTAAGAAAAAAAAATAGAAATTAGAAATCAACCAACAAGTTTCAGATAATTCGTCCGATTGTGGAAGCATTGAGAGGTGGCGCCTTCAAGGAGTTCATCTCGACGCGCAAATTCAAACCTATCAACATTCTAGACTATTCTTTGGATCTTCTAGGTCCTCATTCAATTGACTAATATTGTTTCGTTGATATGAACGATTTATTCGAATCATAATGTCAATGGAGATTTCTCAGAATCAAATCCGCCTCGAGAATTTTCTTGTGAATTGTTTCTCAGGATATTTCAGAAGTTCAAGTGGAGGGTATGGTTCTGGGAAATCTACGACTTCCTATTGAGTATCACCAGAGACGGTGCTGGTAGACCCAGCAGCTTGAGTGCTAGTAGCTGCTGAAGCGTCAGTGGACACTGCCGGACCGGCAGAAGTGGACGGAACGGAAGTGCCCGTGGCTCCGCTGACTGGAGAAGCAGACGATCCTCCGGCGGCGGTGGTTCCTTGGGTCCAGCGGTCACAGTGGTCCCGGTGAACTCGACGGTTGTTCCAGTGAACTCAACAGTGGATGGCTGAGTTCCCGGAGATCCCTGGGAAACAGTGCTTTCTCCGTCGGTGGCCGGGTTCACAGTGGAAGTGATTTCAGCAGAGGGAGTGGTAGTTGGAGGGGCGATGGTGGTCGGGCGGGTGAAGCACGTGTAGCTGAAGGCCGTCGTGTTCTTGAAGCAAGCGATGGCGTCGTAAAGAAGATGGGCGGTGTAGTTGCCATTTTGAGCGTCGGCAGAGAGGGCTGGAATTCAAAACTGTTGTGGTTTGACTTAAAGCAGAATCACAGACTAGTGGAGTTGTCAGCTGTTGCTTGCACATTGCTGTTCAAATTCTGGGCGGCGTCGTTGACAATTGAATAGTTGCCATTGAAGTTCTGAACTTTGCGGATGTGGACAGAAAGCCCTTCTTCCTACCGTCGTGAACTCAGACGTGTTCGCATCATCTCCAAACTTGCTAATAGTGTCGTTCAAGACCTGAAGACTGTTTCCTATCTTTGACACTTCCGACGCCAAAGCATTCTGATCGATGTACTGGGCGACTTCCTGCAAACGTTCCAAATCCCATCACTTTTCCAAGTTTGGAGTTTACTTTAGGAACCACAAGTTGGAAAGTGCACTTTCCACCCTGGCATCCATAGTTGAACGTGGAATCGAATCCGAAGACGGCGGGAAGGAAAAAGAGAAGTAGGAGACGCATTCTGAAAATGGAGCAGTTATAGGACGCTAGTGGAGGCGAATAGAGGCAAATGGAAGGGCGTTGGTTGGTGGCGCCGATTATGATAATAAATCATTAGGTGCTCAACTGATAACGGAAGAAGAAGAAGAAGACGGAGGAGGAGGCTACTTGCGAGAGGAAACGATGACGAAAGTCGGAATTCCTTGGGACACAGATGTACAAAAGGTTTATCAGAAGCAGAAGCAAGTAGGGGAACACAAGTTAATCAGATTTACTGTTTATTTGTTCGGCACTAGCATCCTTCTTCTTGTCTTCCTTACTGCTCGCAGGCGATTGGCCCTTCTCTTCTTTCGACGGACTTTTCTCTTCTTTCAAAGGGCTCTTCTCTTCTTTTGACGACGTGTTCTTGTCCTTCTTCTTGAGCCATCGGAAGGTGAGCAGAAGAAGAATCGAGAGGGAGAACATGCAGATTCCGGCGAGTCCGATCGACGCCCACATTCCATGAACTGGTTTGCCGAATTGCTCGCACAACAGGAAACCGGCATTGTCGAAGATTTTGACGAGTGGACGGCACTTGAAGAACTTCTCATTCAGGTCGGTCTGAAGAAGATGAGATCAGTAAAAAAAGGACGGGAGATGGTCACCTTGAGCTGAACAATGGTTTCATTGATCTGCCGGTCTCCTTCGTCAAACTGCTTGTTGTTCAGAACACTGGCAATTTTGGTCTGAAATCAATGAATAAAAGGAGCGATTCCGGTAGGGACTAACAATTTTGGGAGCATTCTCATTCAACTTCTTCAAGTTTTTATAGAAATCGTTAGACTGTTGCACAGTGAGCTCGAGATTTCTGGAAAAGAACATTAGAGGATCAGGAGAGAACGCACTTAAGAACGCACTTAATGTAAGCGTAATAAGCTAAGTCAGCGCTGGCGGAATTACAGCTGGACACTGGAGCGTTTTTGGATTTTGTGAGATGATCTTGCAAATCTTTGACACGAGTCTGTAATGAGTCTCAAACTTATCATATTCTCATTGCATTAGTTCATACCTGCCACGTGGCGTCGAGCGGGAACTGTCTATTTGGCTGACTCAGAATCTGCTTGTTCGCCTCGTCACGGAAAATATTCAGTTTCAGTTTTTCAGATATCGAATCAACTGGAACGGATTCAATTGGAAGAATAGGTAGGTAATTCAGATACCTAAAATGATTTTGGATCCATTGATGGCCTTGTAGATGGTGCCGGACGGAGAGCTGCACGTCTCGAGAAGTTCTCCGATGTTGACGACGTTGGGAGTTGAGTTGTCGCTGCTCGCAAGCGTCTGATTCAGCAGATGGAAGAAGTGATAGTTCGGATCTTCAAAGATCGGAACACAAATCGCAGAAAAGAACCATCCGCCGACAAATGCCAAACTTGAGAAAAGGAGAAGAGTGACAGAAAGAGAGATTGTGGTGTGGAAAGTGGTGAGCACTCCTGAAGCCATCTTCTGCGCAACACCGTCCGGTTTCTTCTGAGAAAGAATAATGGCGGCGATTGCGACGATGCAAAAGATGCATCCGAGAGCGCCGGGAACTGTGACTGAGACGCGGAATGTGATGTTGGTGATCTTGTAGCTACTCGACTGAAAGTTGTGTTTCATGATGAGCTATGATCCAAACATTGGATTCACTCACACTCATGAGTTCACGGTGCTGTGTTTCCAGATTCTGTAAGACCGTGTCGAATTGGCGCTTCCCATCATTCAACATATTCGAGATAGAGCCTGTCGTGTTGGTGATGTTAGTTTGCGCACTTCTGATCGTGTTCGATACCTCGTCCGCCTGAGTTTGAATGTTCTTCTTGATTGTGTCCGTTTCCGTGTTAATGTCAGAGAGTTCTTTGGAGCTCCTTACTCCGGTTGCCGCAGCCGATAACCCCTTAAAAACAAGTGAGCAGGCAATGAGCAAGAGGAGACAGAACTTACGGCCAACGTGGCTTTAACACCCGCGTATTGGTGAAACAACAAAGTCATGCTATCCGTGCACGTCTGCCCAGTTGAAGTTAACATTTGCAACTCGCCTGCCAACTTGTCCGCATCGTTTGATGTTTCGGTGTTTTGAGCACTGAATGCTTGATCGTCAAACTGAAACTATCGAAATGAGAACGCGTTGGAGTATTGTCCGTCACCTGGTCGACTGCAGTCACTCCGACTCGATCTCTCGTTCCGTCGACCACAATTTTGGAATAGCTCTGGATGAGTTTGTCTATCCGCCCGAGAGTCGTCGACGCGGTCCTTCCCACTTCGCACACCAGCTGGTCCGTTCCGTCGACGAGTGTGTTGCTCATATCTTCAAGTAAACTTATGATAGACTGAAATCAGACAACTAGAGTACCCGTGGATATCTCTTCAATGTAAATAATCGCATCATCGATCGAATTCGTCAGTTCGGTTTGGGCGACATTGAACAGAATAACGCCGGTTAGAACGAACACGAAGATCGTGAAAAGAAGAAAAGCAAAGATGTATCCGGTGTTTTTCGAGCGAACAGACTGAAATGAAAAGCGTTCATGGTCTTAGAGTAAGACAGAGTACCTCTTGTTTGGGAGCACACGTGCGACAACACTGCCAGATACACGCGGCGATGCCGAGAACAATCGCGGCAAGAACCAAAATGAAACCGATGCTCCAGAAGATAATCGCTCCGATCTGGGTAGCTAACAAACCCGTGAAGATCTGAGTGAATGAAGCATTTCCGCCGAAGAGCAAGTCAAACAGATCCTGAAAAACATTACTTCAGCAGAAAAAAGTGCTCTCCACTTACTTTGTAAGACTCCGGGTCCGAAGAGCTTTGTAGTCCGTCCGACATTACTTTGGCGATACTCAAGAATCCGTCGATTCCTCCGAACGACGGTTTCATCGAACCGATCTCCTGGACTGGGACGGCACATTGTTTGGCGGAAACGGCAGAGAATATGAAGACTAAGAAGCCAACCATTGAAAACCCAATCATTCCTTGAGAAGAAGGACGAACTATTCGTGGAATGGACGCATGAACTCGGACCTTGCTGATAAGGGGAATGGTGCCAAAGCACGGGAAATGCCAGAAACGAGGAGGCTACGTGTGCGCGAAAGAAATGAGATCTCAAATAGTTTATTTCGTGTGAGTGAGGAAGTAACAGTGTGTGTAAAGCATAGTAACGACGGAATGTACAGAAGAGAACTTGAGCCGATCGGAAGATCAGAATCTTCGCAGACCTCGCTGCGTGCTTCCCTGATTGCTCTGATAGTCACCGAACAGATCATTCACTCGAGGGTTTCTGGAAACAGACGTCGTATTATTCATTGCCTCCCCCCGAAAGTACCTTTCGTATTCCTGTGTATCATAGAAATTGGGCGACATTGGAGGGTGTCTCGAGTCCGGAAGGACCTGCACACGTGGGTAAAACGATTGGGAAGTCGAATCCGGGAGATACAAAGCGGAACTGAAAATCAAAGTAAATTGATACGTGAATATCTGATATCTCACGGCTGTTCATCCAGTTCGTAAGGTCTGATTCTTGGAAGTCTTCCTCCCGTGTTCGACGTTGAATTGATGGCCGGCTTGACGAAGACGTCACTGCTGGAGAGGAAGTTAGAACACTTCTCTTGATGATTGAACAGAGGGAAAATAACGGAGGGAGATGGGATCGAACGAACAATTTATCAAAAGGGAAGCGAGTGGGTCAATTTGAAATGATAACGAGACACGTGTCACACTTACTGTTCGTCCCATGTTCTGTTTTCACCCAATCTTCGGTTTCTGTCGGTTGACGCCCACTGAAACCACCTCAATCCGATCAGTACATGCCATCTCCTTACTTTTCCGACTGTGGGATCTTGCTCATTTTCTTCTTTCTTGAGCCAACGGAAAGTGAGCAAAAGAAGGATGGAGAGGAAGAACATGAAGATTCCGGCGAGTCCGATTGCCGCCCACATTCCCTGAATCGGTTTGCCAAGCTGCTCGCACATCACGAACCCGCCGTTATTGTAGATGTCCACGAGTGGTCTGCACTGGAAGACGTTCTCATTCAGGTTGGTCTGAAGGTAAAGTTATTAAAAGTCGAAGAAAATGATAAAATATAACAAACCATGAGTTGAGCAATAGATTGATTGATGGCTGCGTCTCCCTGATCGAACTGCTGGTTGTTCAGGGAACTGGCGATTACGGTCTGCAATCATGCAAGGATCGACAAAACATTTAAAGCTTACAAGAATCATCTAAAGCTTACGAGTTGTGGAGCATTTTGGCTCAATGTCAACAAATTTTGATAGAAGGTGTTGGACAAGGCAACCGAAGCTTGTAGATCTTTGATATATTCGTCGTAGGCGTCGTTTGCGTCGTTGTTCCCACAGCTGGACACCGAAGCGCCCTGTGCCTCGGTGAGACGGTCTTGCAAATCTTTAATGTAACCCTGCAACCCAACGTTTTCATGTCGTACTCAAACTTTTAAAGACAATTTACATTCAAGTCGGATGGAAAAGTGAATTGTGGTGCTGGCTGTTTCATAATCTGCTGGTTAGCCTCGTCACGGTATGTGCTCAGTTTCAACTCGTTCGATATCGAATCGGCTGAACAACTATGATCTGAAAATGAACTCAAGCAAATAGTAATACCTGAAATAATGGTAGACCCGTTAATGGCCGCGTATAGTGTGGTGGTGTCATTATTGCATGAGTGGAGAACATCTCTGGAATGAAAAGGTAGTTAGAAACGGGGGCAATTCTTGAATTACCCAATGTTAATGACATCTGGCGGACCGTCAAAGCTGCTGGCAATGGTCTCATTCATAAGATGGAAGAGCTGATAGTCCGGATCTTCGAAGATCGGAACACACATCGCAGACATGAACCATCCGCCGACGAACGCCAAACTTGAGAAGAGCAGGAGAACGATGGAAAGGAAGATGGATACGTAGAAGGTGCTGATCACTCCGGAAGCCAGTTTCTGGGCAATACCGTCTTGTTCCTTCAGAGAGAGAACGATTGCAATGAATGCGAAGATGCAAAAGAGGCATCCGAGGCAGGCGGGAACCGTCACAGCCACGCGGAACACAATCTTGACGACTGTGTACGCACTCGACTGGAATTCTGAGTAATGAACTTGCACTCTTCAGAAGAGAACTTACAGTCATTAGATCTCGATGTGCAGATTCAAGTGAGTTGATCACAGTGTCGATGTCACTTTGCACGTTGTTCAGCATTCCCGTGATCGAGTCGATGGTGCTGTTGATGTTCGATTGAGCACTCGTTATCGAGCTCGACGACTGGTTTGCTTGTGCCTGGATATCACTCTTGATTTGATCAGTCTCATCGTTGATATCAACAAGTTGAGGTGAAGTTCGAATATCATGTGCTGCAGCTGACAGAAGCTAGAAAACGAGTGAATTAGAGACTGAATGAAACGAAAAGTGCTCACCGACAACTTTGTTTTAACGTCGTTCATCTGACCTAGCAATGTATTCTTGTTATCCGTGCACGTCTGAACGGCCGAGTTAATCCTATTCAACTGCGTTTTCAACAAGTCCGCATCACTTGATGTTGCGGTGTTCTGAGTCTCGTAGGCTTTGTCATCGAACTGAAAAGGAATTGGTAACCCCTCGAATAAGTTGGACCTATGCGTATGAGCTCACGTTTTGCACAGCAGTCACTCCGACTTGATCCCTCGTTCCGTCGACCACAACCGCCGAGTAATTCTGAATGAGATTGCTCATTTGTCCGAATGTCTGCGACGTCGTCTGTTGCACTTCGCACACCAATTGATTCGTTCCGACGATGAGCGTGCTGTTCAAATCTGAAGTACATTCCCGGATGATCATCAATATGATATATTCACCGTTTGAAATCTGGCCAGTGTAAATCATTGCGTTATCAATGGAGTTGGTCAGCTTCGTTTCTGTAATGTTGAAGAGAATGACGCCGGTGAGCACGTACGCAAATATTGTGAAGTGGAGGAAAGCGAAGACGTATCCGGTGATTTTCGAGCGAACAGACTGAAAAAAGAAGGTGCTTATAGCGTCAGAAGGCTACAGTACCCCTTCTTTGGGAACACACGAGTAGCAGCATTGCCAGATACACGTGGCGATTCCCAGGACGAGAGCGGCAAGGACGAACACGAAACCGAAGCTCCAGAATACAATGGCGCCGATCTGGTTGACAACCATATCCTTGATAACCTGATCATATGTGACACCGCTACCGAAGATCAAGTCATTCAGGTCCTGGAAAGTTCATTTTGTGCAAACGAGACGGAAATCATTATCAGTTAGTGATAACAGTGAACAATGGAAACAATCGTAACGTACGTTGTAGGTCTTTGAGTTGGGAGTGCTCTGAAGTCCGTCCGAGATCCCTTTCGCGATGTTGTAGAAGCCGTCGATGCCTCCGAACGACGGCTTCATCGAATTGATCGTCGGCATCGTAAAGTCACATTGTTGCGCAGAAACTGCGGATGTCAAGAAGACACTGCAGCTGACTAACGAAAGAAGAATCATTCCTGGAATGGAAGTGACTCGTAGAATGGGTCGATAATATCAGGAATAGTGACGATTCTGACGAATACACGGAAAATGTCAGACAAGTAAGGCGGGAGACGGGACGGACAGGGAGTGAGAGCGTGTTTGCTGACAAAAGAGAGGCGAAGAAAGGCGTGTCAATAAATGATTGCTCTGAAAATGCAAAGTTTGGGTGGGGTTCTCTCGATGATAATAAAGTGTGGAATGCTGAAAGCGCGCGCGAAGAGCCGCCTGAACAACAAGGTTCCCTTCGAAGTTAGTGATAACAATTTGACGAGGGGACAGCAACGTACTGCTCGTCCTCAACTTGATAAGGACTTTCTGGGCGGAGGGGGTGGGCGACAGCAGATACTTTGTTGGCATTGAATCATCGGACGCCGGAAGGAATCGGTGCAGTTTAGTTCCTTTTATGTAGTAAAGATAGAGCAGCAGCAGCAGCAGAAGGAGAGGAAAAGGGAGGAGTGGGGACGGTGTTGTTTTGATTTGGGTTGACTGAAGTATACAAAAGTGACGAATGGGGGAATGAAAACATACGTTCGCGAAGGATTTCGTAAGAGATTCCGTTGTAGAAGAGCTGAAATCATGAGTCATCAGTAGGGTCCGTCTGAGTGTTTCCAAGTTCTTCAGATGAATGATCTCACAAGGAATGCTGCTGAAGATCGATTTGCCTGGAATTTTGCAGTCGTGAGAGGGTCTGCTCGATGTTATTCCCCCACATTTTTGAACAAACGTTCTCAAAGTAGCAAACGTAAATTTTGAAAAATCCAAAATTTCACCTTTCCACGTCATTCAAAGTGTAGGCATTTCTCTCTATTTTGGGCCCTGTATGTGTACATTAGCTTGTTTTGGAGAATTCAGGAAGTGAAGAGAATATCACCCAGCAGATTCCTACATATCTGCTAAATTTCCACCAAATCAAGGCGCATCAGTTTGAGAGCGTGTCTTGTCAAAAAGGACCGCTCGTATCGTATGTGAGACTGCTTGAGCTCCTTCAACTCAATAATCGTCGAATACACGCCGCCAAGTTGTTTCTACGATATCATCGTCATATTGCGTTGTGTTGCAATCGTAACGTTTCTCAAATTGCTCATCACTGTCGGCTCGTCAGGAATCTTCGCTCCCTCTTCGTTTTGCTTGCCGAGAAACCCGTTTCGGTGAACTTTCCGCCGCGCATCAATCTTTTTTGCTTCGTCTGCTATCACCACACGCAAAGAAGCGGGAGGACGCAAAGAAATCGCGTTTTTGAAACAAAAGCCTTAGTTTCAAATCCCGACTTTCGCTTATCGTAGGGGTCTCGTTTGACACAAAGGTAGAAAACGAGTCCGGAGGCGTCGGCGTCGCCCGTGCGCGCGCTTCGCGGAAGACGGAAAAGATATACGCCTGCGTCCGGACTGTGTTATCATCATTATCACTTGTGACACACGCCCCCTTTGCCCGCCGTCACATCCCGGCCATTTGGGGCTACCTAGCTGCTTTCGTTAGCAACATCGACGCTTTCCGATCGCTTTCCCATTTTGTTAGTTCCTGCAGACCATCATGATCTCGGCAGTCGTCATCTTCCTTTCCGCCATCACCGTCTCGAATGCCTGCGTGCCCACCACCACGACGACGACCACCACCACTCGTGAGCATTCTCTTCCTCAGCATCTGCTCATTCCTCTCAATTTCTAGCCTGTTGCACAATGCTCTCACAGTCCGTTCTGCCCAGAAGAGCCCCTTCCGTCTCCACCCAAGAACAGTGCTCCGTCCTTCAACGAGTCTCTTCCACTTGCCCCGTTGACGGAATCGTTGTCTGTGATGCTGCTCAAGAGACTAACGTAAGTGAACTTTCCCTTCTCTCAACTTCAATCGTGTTCTTCCAGCCAACCTCCATCTCGATCGAATTCTTCAGTTCTAGCGGTACCGTGGTTCGTACGGCGACAGTCACTGGCAGCCCGGCCTCTTCTGTCACTGTCAAGGTAACCGTACTCCTTTTCTCTTTCAAACTACTTCACTTTTTGACAGGTCGTCTGTGTGAACGGAGTCTGGCGTGTTCCAGATTCGACCGGAAGTTCCACCAGCCAAGCCATTAGCTCCGTTTCGTGCTCTCAGGCCGGATCTCAAGGAACGGACCGAGGATACATTATTGGAACTTCTATCTAGTTCCCTCATTCCTCTTTAATAATTCCACTAATAAGTGTATTAATGACCTAATAAGGAGACTCTGATTGATATCAATGAACTGTTCGAAGCGATAAATCCGAAACGATTTATTATCACCAAACAAACAAACCAGATCAAGAAGTCTCGTTGGTGGAGGGCGCGGCGAAGATGCGCGGGATGCGGCGCGCCTCGAGGAATTTGTGGCGGAAGGTGCTCGAGAGACAGAAGAGAAGCCACGGATTCGAGAGGGCGAAGGCGTCGGCCGACACCGTCAGCGACACGACCACGACCTTGTGCGCTTCCGTTTTGAGGTCGAAGACGTGCAGAGCCAGCAAGAACTGCAAACAAACAAACAATTAAGTGCACGCGAAAGGAGCATGTGATGGGCACGGAAGATGTTGAGCGGACTCTGGACGGTACCTGAAAAGAGGTCATGGCAATGACGACCGCAGTGGAAAGACACGCGTAGATCAGAAGGTTCGTCTGCACGGTCGATGCCAATTTGGGCTGCGTGTCGAAGAACTGAAACGAGAATTGTGAGGAACGAAATGAATATTGAAAGAAAGAGTATCACCTGCATCCTTCTTTGTTTTCTGTGCACAAGCCATGCAGATATATTACAAAACAGGCTGGATCCGCAGAAAAAGCTGTAAATGGAGCACGTGACGATCGAATTCTTCTCCTGGTCCCCCTCGTTCACGAGATGAGGCACGAAGCTGCCGTTGATGTCGATGTAAGCAGCCGGTTGAGTGGCCCGGCTGGCGGTCGGAATGATTGCGAGCAGCATTCCGAACGCGAACAGCAGCAGAGTCACCTTCTTCGTCCAGAACTTGTTGTGGATGATTGGCCAGACAATGGCGGAGAGTCGGTTGACGGACAGAAGCAGTTGGGCGCACATTTCGACGAGCACGGCGTACTGGGAGATGACGAAGCCGAGTTTGGCCAGGTGCGGAATATATGTCCATTCTTTCCAGCCGGCAATCGGGAATCGGAATGCGAGCAGGGAGATCAGAACTTGAATGAAATCAGCGGGTGCTGAAGAAGTGAATTGGGGAAGGAAGAAAACAATTTTTAACTAACCACGGAGAAGAAATAGTCTGTGAAAAGCGGTTTTGAATTCAGAATCCTTGGACCAGAGTATGTATACGAAAATGAGCGTATAAAGGCAGAGACTGATGAAGATGTAGGCTGTCTGAGCAGCCACGATCAACGTGTAGTTCATCTGGAAAACGAGCGGAATGGCGTCAGAAATGAGGGAGCAATCGGATCGAAATAAGCGGAAACGACCGTAATCAGAAAGCAAGAATCTCGGGTTTCGGGAGGCTACAGCGGGCTGTTTCGATGAGCACCGCGGAGTTGAGGGCTCCAAACTTTTTCAATTAAACGACGATCGCTAAAGGACGAAGATGAAGATGAAGATGATGAAGGAGAAGGAGATTCAGAAGTCATAAGAGAGCACGACGACGTTATTTGATTTATTTTTCGATGAAAATGAAAACAATGAGCAGAATTTGAAGGAACGGCTATTTCTGGGAGGAATTAGCCGGGATGGAAGGATCGGTTTCAGCCGGAAACTCGCGGCAAAACGATGGATTCGCTTCTCGAATTTCGCGGCTCACTTGAAATGAAAAAGATCCCAAAGTGAGCACCTTGCAGAAGAAATGAAGAGGTGTGTGGCTAATTGGAACGACATTTTTGAGGGCATTTGCTATTTCGAGTTTACTATACGATTTCACGTGAATGCAAGAAGATCACGGCTCGATGAGTTCTGATTTGGATCGGGAGCGAAGAAGAAGAGCAGAATGAGAGGGGGGAAATTGGAGGAAGAACGGGGGCGGCGAGGGCTCGCGGTGCAAGTGTTTTCAATTAGAAACCACGCTTTTGCAATTCTTCGATCATTTCCGAATGAGCTTCTTTTTCTTTCGAGTTGGCTTTCTGGGTGAAGAGGTCGAATATTTTGCTTACCATCGCGACAAACAGGTGATCTTTCTTGACGTCTGCTTAGCAGTGTGTTCGTTTTCTATCCGCTTCCAGACGCTCCCTTCTAACAAACAAGAAGTTCGTTGAGAACAAAAACCGCGGGAAGTTTATTAATACGCGAATATCAGATAAACAAATGAATTGATGCAGAGATTTGAATGTTCATGTTTCTTCCACGTGAGATCAGAGAGTCTTGGCGTCGTCGAACTGTTTTCTCGCCTTCTTCAGCTCTTCGGACATCGATAGAAGGTCCTTAACTCTGGAGAACTTCTTCGAGTCACGACGAATCAGATAGTGAATGTCCTCGAGGGCCATCTTGTCCGGCTTGCCCACTTTCATCGCCAACTGACACAACTCTTTGATGTACTCGAGGACTATCGCCTCCAGAGTGTCGAGCGTCTTGTCGTACGGCTCCTGAACAATTGGATGCTTCTTTTCATACACTTTCTTTCTTACCTTGTCGTCACCGAATCCGAACACCATCGTACGGAGATCTCTTCTCAGCACGTGCTTTTTGTCCTCCGGATGCACCACTTTCTCCTTTTCTTCCTCTCCGTCCGAGTTGAAAATATCCTCATCGTCGTCCATTTTTTCTTGAATCTGAAACAGAGTTTCAGATAATTAAACAAAGATGGCAATATCAAATAGAGTATTTGTAGCGAACAAAATTATATTGATCAATTCAAAAAATCGTGGGTAATATTTATAGATCACTTGAAAAAAAAAGAAACTAGTACATCAAGGGAGTGGTATCAGAGAAAACCAGGAAAAGGCACATGAAAAAGGAAAGAAATTCTGAGCTATTACCATTCGAAGCTTAAAGTTATAATTACCAAATTCGGGATAGACGGATACGAGAAATCGGGATAGACACAAAGAGAAAGAAGGGAATTGCAGATCCGGTGTATAAAGTGATGAGTGCGTGAATGAGAACAAGAAGAGTGAACAAAGAACACATGCAAGGGCCAAGTAGTGTGTGGTCGGAAGACACGTCAAGTAGATCACAGTAGTCAGTAGGTCAGAAGGAGTCTGGCGGTCCGTTTAACCGCGACGCAGCTTCTCGTTGATCGTGCGGACAATCATTGTCGTCTGGAACACCAGCTGATTCGCCGACACTGAGACCTAAAATTACTGTCTTTTCTCGAACGTGATAGTTTCGTACTTACCTGATTTGCATTCTGATCTTTGAAATAGGTTTTTAAGGTGTTACTGAATCGTTTCGAATAGTGAACAAACTCTCGCTTGCGTTTCTCGACGGCCGGCTGCGCGGTCACTGGTACAATTCTGTAGACGGCGTTGATCGCTTCGAGCAGTTTCTTGATTGAAGAAGCGATCAGTTTGATGGTCTCCAAAAAGGCGTGACGGTCTGACATCTCTTCCGGCACTTTGGACAGCACACGACGCAGCTCGATGGCTCTGAAATACAAAAAAACGGCTGACTCGCTTTCATGAGAGCTTTTACCGTTTCGTGAGCTCTTTGTAGTCGCCATTCTGTTCATAGCCACTGACAATCAAGTCGTTCGTCGGCGAAGTATCATGCATTCTCAAGTAGGACTCCTGCAAAAAGAGGGCATTCAAATGGATCAGATTTGTAAAGACGCACCTGCAGATTGACGTTTAACTCTGAATCGTCCAAAATAACCTTGGTAAAATCGTAGAGAAACGACGGAGAAGCTTGCTCACAAGTGGTCAGTGCGTTGTGCAGTTTCTGAAGAAGCCTTGCAAGTTAAAATTGGTTAAATATCAGAAAAACTTACGTTGAGGGCCAGGGACGCTCTGGGATCGTCGCGATGTTGTTGCCTGAAACAAAAAGCTATAGAATGCTCAAAGAAGCGCCGACAAACTTCAATTTCTCCATGACTGGATTATACAAGCACTGATAGGTCATCGCGCCCAGATATCCGCCCTCTTCGTTCATCGTGAAACTGCTGAAATAAACTGATCAAGAAACCGAAGAGAAACGAAAATGCACGGGTACAAAAGAGACGTATGCATCGATCGATTTGCAAATATGCAGAAATCAGAGCGAGTGAGACGCAGACCGGACGCTGAATGCGCGAAAAGATAATGGGGAAGTGAGGACGGAGAGTGTAAATAGCGGCGGAACGTTTGAAAGGAATGTGCCGAGGAGCTGACTCACACAACGGTTGATAAAAGGAAACGGCGATTTATCAGGAAGAAGCCTGTCGTGGAAACGGAAAACTAAAAATGAAGGTTGAATAGTTCAAACTTTTGTCATTTTCGATAACTATAGCTTTATCTTTAGTCATAAAACAGAAAAAACTGATTTTGCATCTAAAATTCCAAGTTTTCCGAGTGAAAGGGCCGCCAGCTGAACTGATGCAGGGCATTGCGATTAGAGCGCACTTGCACACTCGCCAACAAGCCGCCAAACGATTGCGAACCGAACGAGGTGTACCGCGAGAGTAGAAAGGAAAAACGGACACAAACATATTCTCCATAACATATGCTCACCTACAAAAACAAATACACATTCCATTGTAGCCACAGAAGAATAGGTGTGATGTTATTTCCGAGAAATACATGTTAAATGCAGACACGACAAACCCAAACTTCAGAATCTGCTTCTGATGTGTTCATCATACTTCAGAAGTATTTACTTATTTAATTGGAAGTGATTGGTGGTAACTGGAATTCGTCGAAAGCAAGTGAAACTGCGGGGTCTGCGTCTCCGATTGCCACGTGTTCTCTGGGGGGATCCATCTGATATCTGCGTCCGCCGCTGATCCGTCTTTCGCATTTCTCCGGCTGTCTTTTGCCGTGTGTTTCCGATCAATAGTCTCTTCCCTGGGCAGTCCGTTCACACCTTTTCCTCCGGAAATTTCCGCTTCGAAGCACTTAATACTTCTCAGAAGTCGTCCGCAACCCTCTGGAATCTCTTCCTCGCCCCATTCTTCTTCTGAACTCTCATGATTCGCACTAGTTGTTCAAGTGAGTTAACTGACGACGTCGACGGGAAACCGGTTCACATAAACTTCTTTTTTTTTGAAAATGAGGTTTTGAGTGGGTGGAACTTCCGGACAAAGAGCGATTGACATTCTCATACTCTTTAGAGTGAGAAAAAGATTTGTGCTTTTCTGCTGATCTTTTGGCGATCGAGCAGGCTTGGGTGTTTGATAAATCGTTCGATTAAAGTGCATCGAATCAAATCAACTCAATCGGTTTCCGTCAATTGGCGGGGGACTAATCAAATGAGAGTGTTTCATCTCTTGTCGAGTGACCCAATCAGAAGTCATTTCGAGACGAAAACGTCGTCTTTCCTTCTCCTTCTTCTTCTTTTTCTTCTTCTTCGCCGCTCTGCCACCTCACCTCTCCGCTCTCTTTCCCCTCGCCTCTAATACAAAACTAGTTGTTATTCGAAGTGTGTGTACGGAGACCCTCTTTACCCCTTTTTCGTTTCTATTTTCCGAATTCAAACATACGTTCATTCTTCCATTTTTGAACTTTGGGCGCCGTTTTCCACTTTAGGCCTAGTTGCTTATTAGTCGGGTGCTCTTTCTCTTTTTCTCTTTCTTCCAATTACGCCCACGGATTTTGAATTTGAATTCAGTCACAAAAATAGATTTTAATGAGTGTCTTTCCTCCGGATACGTCGTCCTTTGTGCTACTGGCTCCGGGGCGTGGCGCATGTCATCCGCATCTCGCCATTATTATTATCTGCCTGCTCGCCCGCGCGTGCGCGCACCAGCTCTCCTCCTAAATGCATTGTCGGATCTGGAATCGCGTCGTTCTTAAGTTTTATGTGAGTTTTGAATGAATCGCGAATCGAGTGGGAGCGGGCGCGACGACGGAAAGGGCATGTGCTGAGTGAGTTGCCGAGGAAGTGTCACTCAGGAAAAGGCAAAAACGAGTGGGGGCACAGTTGTTATCTTGCGAAATTGAGTTGTTTGTTCCTATTGTGCAACTTCTTCATGACGACTAATTTTGAGAAGAAAACTGTGAGCACTTTGCTGCTTCCTCCGTGCTACCGTAATCCTTTCATGGTAAAATAAAAGCTAGAAGCCAATCTGGTACGAACAGTTTTGTAAAATTCCCAGCTAGTCTTCAGAATCTGGTCCGCTAAGATGTCTTTCCGCGGCCATATGATCCGTGTAATGAAGCCGTGATCCCCTCTCTTCCCCCGTGACTTTATCCTTTTCTAATTACAATTTCCTGTTTGTTTCTCCCCTCTCACACCCACCCAGATGCTCTGTTTATTTACAAACAAACCGCCAGTTGTCTCGACCTATGGTTCGAGCCTTGTTTTCACTAAAAATTATCGCAAGTTTTGTGCTCAACAACTCCATTTCTGTTTGCCTTCTCGTCGGCCTCCCACCCGCCCATACTGTCTCGGATATGGACGAAATGCATCCGTCCTCCGTCGTCTCTGTTTGTGCTTCGTCCCGCCAGTGTCTCGCTCGCCTCCCAAGCCGCGGCGCCCTCGTTTCATGGCTGAAAATGAGCATGTTCAGATGAAAAATGACCGAAAGTACTGGTATATTCTGCTATTGCTCGGGTGCCTCGCACTCCTCAACGCTCTTATTTCCACGTGGCTCAAGCCTTTTGAGCTAGTCCAGTGAGTTATTTATTCACAGGGGTCTTCCTCATTGTCAATGTTCGGTTTTCAGTCACTTCTCGGTCATCAACATCCACTGGATCAACTCCATCATTCTTATTGCAGGGCTCGCTCCTTTCATGTTCCCACAAAAGACGCTCAAGTGAATTAATGCACCCGCTTCCCCTGGTGACACACTTCCTTTTCAGATCGGAAACCGCCATCGTTACTGTGAACGTGCTCAGTCTGTGCATTTGCCTGAGCTGCGCCTTCGCCGACCTCGGCAACTTGGGTATCAAAGTGTTCGGCAAACCGAACAACACCGGCTTCTTCTCCAACTTCATTAGTGACGATGAAATCGAAACGGTGAGTTCTTTCCCCTTTGTTTCTCTCCGCTCCCTCAGGCTAAAGTTTCCCAAGGTTAAATGTTGAAGGAAATCCCTTATCCGCCGCCAGAGATCGCAGATCACCTCGCTGAAATGGCCCAGAGATTTGTTAGTTTCGCTCCCCGTTCCGAGCCTTAACCACTCGCTTCTTGTCCTTATTTCCTCTCACTTCACGAGTGTTTTGTCCGTTTCGCTTACCGTAGCGTGTCTGTTCTCTCTCTCTCAAAAAATGCCCTCATCTTCAGAGAAATCATCTGTTCGTTTACAACTGTCTGGATCTGGTCATCTGTGTTCTGGCTGCCTGCATTTCTCACAAATTGATCGTGAATCGTATCGACGCTTCTCCGAAACTTCACCTGGTTCGTTTGCCCTGTTTAGTCATATTATTAGTCATCTGAGTCAACACTTTCAGACGGACAATCGTCGTTTCCAAGGCTATGGAGTCGCGCTGATCATGATGACAGTGACTGGAATCGTGAATCACATCTGGCAGAGGATGATTATGGTCAACCACAAGCAGGCGATCTTCCTGGACATGCACACCATCGACGAGTTCTCGTGGCTCGTCATCAATCTTGCCACGGGAATCCTGGTCTTCCTCTCTTCGCAGGCAAACCAAATCGTGCAAACCACTTCGTTCATTCTCTCCGGCGCCACAATCTACCCGTCATTCTTCTATGCTTGGCTTGATTATAGGTTAGCTCGCCGTGCATTGCTCACAAATAATAATGACTTCGTTGCTCAGAGTCATGACGTCGGCTCATTCGAAGTTCCTATTCCGTCAGTCGATGGTCTCTTTGATGATCTCCATCCCACACATGTTTGTACTTCTGACCATCTTCCTCACTTTCATCGTTAGCACTTCCTCATCCGTTCCTTTCTTATTTTCTTCCCCTTACAGATGAGCCGTCGAGATGCCACCAGAGTCAACCCTAACCCGTCTGAACAAGCTGATCTTCGTCGGCTTCTCCGCCTTCTTCCTCATCATTTCGCTTTCTCTCATCAATGTGAACTTGTACGCTCTGTTCACAAAACAGTTCTACAAAATATTCCACAGCAGTGAGCAGAAAGTGAGCTCCCGATCGATTCTTATTCCTCAAACTGTGTTCAATTCCTTGCAGCTGCCATTCCTCACCGCGTTCCTCGCCCTTTTCACCGGTCTCAGTGTTGCCAGCCGGTTCAACTACATCACGATCGCCGCTTCGCTCGTCACTGGAATCTTGTCCATTAATGCGACCTACTTGCACATATTCTCGTATGTTTACTTGCAAGTGAACGGCTATTTCATCGACGGAACAAGCACGGAATTCCTGGTTTTGCCCTCTGATAAATACGACAACGGAACTGAATGTGAGTTGGAATCAAAAAGGGATGCAAAAGTTGAGAATGGTAGTGATTTCAGCGTCAAGCGTGCATTCGATCGAGACTTCTCTGAACGTGATGTCTCTGATCGGCTCCAGTGTTCTTGTGATGTTTCTGGTGTATTTGGCCAGGTAGGGAGCAAAAATTATCATTGGCTTCTAAATATTGAGCTTTTTCTATTACAGAACAGCCTTCCCACCGCCTGACAATTCCGAAGACAACAGTGAGCGAATAGTTGAGAAAGTGAAACACGAGAGGAGCGTGCTCGCACTCGGAGTAATCATGCTCGTCTCGGCACTGCTGGTGCTCCTCCTCGCCTTTTACGTATTCTTCCGAATCACGAGCCCCCATCCTCTGGTCACCATCTACTCCCAACTCTTCCATATCGTTCTTGCTCTTTCTATCACTTCATACGCTTTATTCCAGGCATGCTGAAGGCGGTAGTTTAAAACTAATGTTCGATTTAGGTGTTGGTGGCCGAGCATCTCAACAGATATCCGATTCTTTCGTGCGCACTCGTCATTCTCTCAATCATTCGAGCATTGGACATTCTCACTCAGATCGACTACAAAGACATTGGAAATCAGCCTTTCACATGGACTGTTCATGCTGTCATCGAGTATTTGGCAATGTTCTGTGAGTTGAAAACAGATCCAGACGCCTGTATTTTACCATATTTTTTCAGTTCATTTTGCCACAATCGCCATCGTTTTCGAATTGAAGGAACCGGAAGACCGCTCATCGAGCCAGCCGAGGTCAGTCGAACATATCCGTATTCAGAGAATCCCATAGTTTCAGATCCCGCTATCCTTCGAGAATCCGCTCGCAAACGCGACCGACGAGAACGGGTACATCATGCTTCGCACCGCGGAAACGAGCAGGATTCGTGATCGTAATCACGCATTGCATAGTCATTCCCCCAAAGATCTCACCACGTGTTGCCAAAAAAGAAACATTAATAAACTTGTCACGTTCCCTTCATTTTCTTTTATTTTCTAATCCCAAAATGGCTACGAAAGGAAAAGACAAAGTTCCGGCTTGTAAGCTGTCCACAATCGTCAACAAACAATTTATGGTAACCGGAAAAGATCACAGCCGAGAGCATTTATTCGCTTTTCAGACAATTCAGATGATCGGAAAGGGAGGCTACGGAGTCGTCTACGAGGTGATCCGTCTCGATTCTCCGACGTCGCGGTTCGCGTGCAAAGCGGAGCTGGCGGTGGCGCACAACAATCTGAAAACCGAATGGGATTTGATGACGTTGTTGAGGGATAACAAGTCGAGGCACAACATAAGCGGCGTCGAATTGGGCGCCGAACGCAATTATAACTACATCGTCATGCATCTGGTCGGACCGTCACTCGCTGATTTGAGAAAGGCCACGACGAAGAAGGTTACGCTTGGAAAAGGGATAAATGGATTGAGAATGGTTTATTACAGACATTCACCTTGTTTACTACCACCGTCTGCGGCATTCAGTGTTTTGATTCACTCGTGGAACTTCATAAATTGGGGTACATAGAAAAGATTAGATTGGAAAGATATTAATGTTATTGGGTTACTGTAGATATATTCATCGCGATGTGAAGCCCGGAAACTTTGCGATCGGAGTGTTGGGATCGGAAGAGGAGAAGCTCGTGTATATACTCGATTTTGGACTTTGCAGGAATATGTTCAATGTACTTAACATAACAAATGTTCATCTGAAAACATGGAGAGAGTTTCAGAAGAGCAAAGAGCTCCGAAAGCCGCGAATGAAGGCTCCGTTCCGAGGAACCATTCCGTACTGCTCGATGAACATCCATAACCGGATGGAGCCGGGACGCCACGACGACTTCTGGTCCCTTCTCTACATGCTCATCGAGTTCCAATTGGGAGATCTGCCATGGGATAACATGAGCAAGGAGGAGACGAAGAAGACGAAGGAAAAGAAGATTGAAGAGCTGTTGAGCAAGTGCCCCACCGAGTTCAAGATGTTCAGATGCTATCTGCTCACTTTGTGCTACTCTAAAGAACCAGGTCGATGATTTAATATGATCAAAAAGCAACCGGTGCTTCAGAATACCCAAAGCTTCGTGGAATTCTCTGTCAGATTATGCTCGTCAACAAATTCACTTCGGATATGCCACTCGACTGGCAGTCTGGTGGAGAGTATGAAAGCATCTTTAAACCGAGAGCCGCGTGAGTTTTCTCAAAAGTTATGAGAGTCAATGTGTCATCTTTCAGAGTGGTGCGTCACAAAGGAAGCAAGAATAAAGTGAGCTTGGCCGATCTCCTCGATCTTCCGCAGCCCGGCGGCCACATCTACACCGAACTCGATTTCCCGAAGCCTTTGGATCAGGAGGTGCCGCGAGACGAGTCCGTCTCGAAGAGTGACGACACTATCATCGAGAAAGACGGCCCTCCGCCGGCTCCTCCGCCACTCGCCCGCTCTCCCGCAACTCCCGCGCCACGTCTTTCTACGGAGAATCAAAAAGGAAACGCTGCGAAGGCGACTGCCCCCAAACCGAATGCGACGGTCGCTTTGAAACCGACTCGCGGCTCCGCAGATCCTCTTTCCCCGCCAGTGAAACCGATGAACGCGAATGTCACTGCTATTCCGAAGCCGCCCACGATGCCTGCTCCTCCAGCGAAGCCTTCCCTTCCGGCTGTCTCGTGTGCGGCTGCAGTCACTGCGATGCCTCAACCGCCACCACCACCGGTTACAACGAAGGCGACGGCGACTGCAATGCCACAGCCACCCACGAAAATTGCTCCTTCGATCGCTCAACCTCCTCCACCGCCACTTCCAAAAGCTCCATTGGTTTCCACTGCTGGGGCTGTCACTGCCGTGCCACAGGCTCCAACCAAAGGACAGAACAAGCCGTTGCCAGGAAAGGGCAAGAAATGAATGAGAACGATTGTCTTGTGAATAAGATGTTGTTTCGGACAATACTCTGTGTAAATGAATCCATTCTCATTCAAAGGTGTCCTACCGTTCTCTCCTAAACATGTTGCGCGTTGTTGCACTTCAGTCATACAACCTGGCAATTACAATCGAATTCAAAAGGTGTGTGGGTGGCTCGTGTCCTCCTCTCCTTCTCAGAGAGAGAGAGAGAGAGAATAGTTCCCGGCGAATCGTTCTCGGGCATTCATACAAAAGAGATGAGCGTTATACGACCGAGCGCGTCCCTTCTGCACACGGCGGGACGGGCTATTGTTGGGCCGGTGCAAGGGCAGCCAAGACCCCCCGGACACTAATTACAGTGTGCAAGGACGAATGCAAGGAATACTTTTTCGGGGACGGAGAAAAGACGAGAACCTGGGGGAACATTACACAAATCAACTTGAAATTCACGCCGTATTGTTTCGCGCAAATTGGGAGTAGGATGCATGTATTATGGTATTACAGGGGGAGACCTTGGCGCGTTAGCAAGAAGAGGTGACTGAGATCTTCTAGAACAACACGGGTAATTTTGTTAGGATTGCTGCAATAGGTCTGAAGTTCAGGAAGGCTCACAACTACTTGAACTTCTATGTAGTTTTCTCGTTTCTCCCAAACAGAGATCACTCATTCGCAACCGGAAGTAGCAGAATTTCGCCCCCAAAAGTTCACAGTCTTCCACTTCTGTTCGCTTTCTTCTTCAAACACCTCGCCGAAATGAGGTCTATGAGTTGCACAAACAGTCGCATCCTTCTTCTTTTTCGTCGCCCATGCGTCCGATTTTCATTCAAACATAAGGCGACACAAGTGGGCGGGGCGTCGCCGGAAGACGTCGTAACCTCCTTACACGCGTATTCCCACTACTGCCGCATGTCCGCGAGTACGACTCCCAAATGATCTTGCACCCTCTTCTGCTGCTACTTGTGATCCTTTTTCAAGTGAGTTCATGTTTCAAAGACCATTTAGTTCAAATGAACATTCAGGTAACGATCGGAGCCAAAACTCAGTCGGCATTTGACAATTCGATAATTGGTACGTCCCCCCTCTTTCTCGTCATATTTCTTTTGTTTTCTCAGGTCAACCGTACATTTCCTGCCAGAGAGACAGAATCATAATAGAAGTGATCACCGAACGATTGTTCACCGGAAAAGTGTTTGTGAAAGGAGATTACGCGAATACACAATGTACACGAACGTTCCGAAATGGAGCAGTGGTCAGTGACAGTGAGAAAAGAACGACCGATGAGAGAATCTTCCCGGGAACCGTGACAAAGTCACGGGAACCGTATGTGGAGGATCAAAAGAAGACTACGAAGACCACGACAGATCTGGAAGTGGAGAAAAGTTCGAGTTCTGGATCTGGATCGAATCTGAAATCTGTGCAACCAGATGATCTTTCCGGAAACTTCGGGATTCATTCAATTCATTCCACGCCAGACGTCGCAGAAGGTTTCATATCGCATCCAAAAAACGGATCCTCTGCTCCTGATTCTGATTCTAATTCCCTGGAGTCACCGGAAGAATGGAAAGGCGTCGGAGGAGTAGCCAATGCGGGTGGCCAAGCGGTGTTTGGAGGAATACGTGGGGAAGAGCTGCGAGTGTTTGAAAAGTCTTCATCATCTTCATCGTTAACTCCTCGCAGCAGAAGTGGTACCATCACTAAATTGTAACGGGATTTTCTTACTTCTTCAACATCATCTTATTGTTCAGACCTCCCTCGGCTCAATGTGCCCCAACCACTTGTGCTCCGTGCATCTGCGAAGAGAAGAGATCCCGACGTGCGACCAATTCGATCCGTCTGGAAGTTCCTCTCAATTCGTGCAACTCCAAAAGAGATCGAAAGGTAAACCTTTTCCCTTCATTTCTTTCGTTTTTCTTAAAATTCGCGCATCGCATAGTTGGCGCATGTGCCAATTATGTGGATTCTCCCGTGGATCCCTCTCACTTCATCCGGTTTTTTCTTGTCGTCGGCATGCGTTTCAACGCAAGGATAACCAGAGATTGAACCACTAGAGAGTACTTTCAAGGCCGCCTTGTCTTCGGCGGATCCTCTTTTCCCGGCGGGTCAACTTTCCATTCCATTTTTCAGCTGAATCCTCCGTCTGTCGTCGTTTCCCTCGTCGCCGTCGTCTCCTTCCACGACAGTTTCATCACGAAGCTTGACAAGGCGTATCACATCCAATGCGCGTACGCAGAAGCCGAGAAGACTGTGAGCACGGATTTGGATGTCAAGTGAGAATCATATTTGGGAGGTCTGAGGGAATAAGATGATATTTCAGTATGTCGGATGAGCAAGAACTGAATGCAACAGTCGAACCGCCCACTTGTGACTATCTCATCTCTGACCAACGGGGAGTTTCCGTTCAAAACAGTATCGTTGGCGACCTGGTGCGCCATCATTGGACCTGTAAAGGCGGAAATGCGAGTAAGCTGAAAATGCTCGTGCATCAGTGCTACGTCAAAGACGGAGCAGATCAACAGTATCCGGTCATCGATGAACACGGATGTACTGTCGATCCGTACGCCCTTCAGACTCCGACGTATTCGGAGGATGGAATGAGCGCTCAGGTGGACGCCTACGTACTCAAGTATCCCGATCGATCGACAGTCGACTTCCGATGCACAATCACTTTCTGTTCGATCGAAGATGCAGAGTGTCAAGTGATGACGGTAAATAGAGTTGAACGAGCAGATCACGTGATGTCAATTCCCCTTTTCAGCCACCTAGATGTGACCTGAACAACAACTTGAGAAGGAAAAGAAATACGCTCCCGCACGGAGTTTCTTCGATGTCTCTTCATGCGAATAGCCTCACCGTCTTCGATATTGACTCTTCGAAGAGTTCCGACTCCAGCCAACTGCTGCCGACGCCCTCTTCACTGCGTTCATGGGAAGAGCTTGAGCGGAAGTTCTGTGTCTCCGTCGCCAGTTTCGGAATCCTCATCTCTGCCTCCACCTTCTTCGCAACTATCTGCCTCGCCGTCATCTTCAGCTACTTCTTCCTCCGTTTCAATCACAAATTCTCACTGGATAACTGACCTCTTTCCCTTCTTTTCTCTTCCCCCTCTCTCGCATTTTCGTCTCTTTTTGCTCGGGTATCCATTTTATTTCGCAATGAACAATAGTTATGATTCAAATGATCGTCGTTTCGATCGGCTGATAAGAGAGGCGGAGAAGAGCAGACACTCGGCCAAAACAGCATTCGTATCGCCCGATGCCTCTTCGGTTTGACCGATTCCGGCACTTTCCGGAAAGCGGGAAAACCGCCACTTTGGTAAACTCCCTTTTCAGAACTGTTGTATGTATTTGAATTGTTCAGTTTCTAAGCGCTCTTCTCGGGTTTCTCCTCTCTTTCGCCGATCTCCACTATAAAAATGGTATTCTTTATTGGCTCCGCAACATTTCAAATCATTCACTGATCTATTTACGAGTAGCGAAACTTCTGTGGGAACAGTAGTTATGAAACGTTGCGGAGCCGATTTCTTAGGCCATTTCAGTATTTTGTTAATATTTATTTCTAGAGACCAAGTTCTTCTGGGCGAGTTTCTGGCTGTCATTCCTGTTCGACGTCGTCACAATTCTGATTCTTCTCAAAGATTGGGATGAAAACGTCGACTGGCTTCGCAAGGCGCCGTTCTCTCTTTATGTAATCATTCCCATTACTGAAACCTGAATCTTTACTCTTTTTCAGCATTGCATTGGTTCTCTGGCTGTCAGTTTCCTAATGTTCGTCTGCGGAATCTTGTTCTTGCTCAGTGAATCTTATTCTGGAGATGGAGTACTTTACGTTGGAGCGGTTAGTTTTTCGAGTGTCAATTCTTTATCAATCCGCACTTTTCAGTTCTTCTGCCTTCTCATTTTCGCTATCCGAATGGCGTGTATTCTGAAAATGTTGCCACAGTTGAAAATGGAAGTTGGCTTCCCAGGTACCCTCATCCGGCCATCCGCTCATAATCCAGCCGATCACTTTCAGAGCGTCCGAGCAATGCGGATTACGAGAATCACGGCACTTCGATCGTCTAGTCCGTTCTCTGCGTCTCTCCCCTTTTCGTCCATTTTTCTGTTGTATGCAATGAATAAAGCGTCGGGACAGTCTGTTATCAGGCGCGCACGAGCATCGATAAGGCACGATGCAGTAACCGAAAACAGACGGCAAACGAGCCATCTCTTCGTTTTTTCTCCCGTTTCGATTGGATTTTCAATTCATTTTTTATGTCTTTCAGCTCAGAAAATGCCACTGAATTTGTCGCGGTTTAAGAAGTTTCCGGAACTTGTCAAAGTTGTGTCGTTGGTGAGTGCATTAGAAACCAACACAAACTACAACCTGGTCGGGCTGACCAAACGTCCGGCCCAGGCTTTTTGAAGGCCTTCTAACCTAGCAAAACCTGGTCTTTTCGGCCTCTGATCCACACATTTCCAGAGTTAGTGATTCAATAGGTCTAAAACTTGAACCATGTCTAAGAAGCCTGCAAAATTTGGGTCCGTTAGGAATATTTCAATTGGGTCAAAAGTTTAGTGCTCAAAAAGAATTCGAAAAGCCTGGGCCGATATTTTAGAGAACCCTGAACCTAGTCAACAACCTATTTCAGGCGGCATCGCTTTCCCTGTTAATCTACCTGGGAACCATCAAATTCCGTCCCCCGGGGATCTCGCTGATCTGGTTCACAATCGGCTGTTCCATTGTCTTCGACACGTGCACCACTGCCGTTCTTCTCAAAGAATACGACATTTCGGTGATGGCCATCCGAATGCTGCCCTACTCGGCCATCGTGAGTCCTCTTCCGCCTGCTCCCCGTTCTGACCGTTCTCAGGAGTGCGTCGGCTCGAGTCTCGCCGTCATCTGCTACGTCATCTCGACGGCGCTTGCGATCAGCAGCGAAGAAGTCACCGACGACTTCGGATTCCTCGTCGTGGCGCTCATTTGTCTCGTGATTGCCGTCGTCTACACGGTCAACTTTGTGATAAACGTTCGGAGATGGAACAATGGATCGCATCATGAAAGTGAGCAGAAGTTTGTAGAAGAAATGTGCTATTGGTTACAGATCCGTCGGGTGTCTACGAATACACAAGCTACGGAACCGATGAATAAAAAGTGTTTGGTATTGTCTTTTTCAGAAATAAAAGTTGAAAACTTTCACGGCTTCTTCCTGAATGTTTCCAGATTTTCAGACTAAAACTTCCTTTTCTGAAGTTTGCTGACATTTGATATCATCTTCTTCATCTGAATTTCCCTCGATGCCCTGAATTCCCCCTTCCCAATCTATCTTTTTTTTCATCAGTTCAAGGACGACGGCGGTTTCTTCAAATTCGTCAAACCGGTCAGTTGACCGCCGTCTCTCTCGATTACTTTAAACATTTTTCTGTGATTTCTCACCCAATTCCGTACTCCCCTGTGTCGAAAATCTTTCGGGAAACACTCTTGTTTTTGGCACGTCTTTCTTCTTCAAAATCCTGTTTTCTACACCAGTTGACTTTTCATCACTTTAGTTTCAGTTTTTGTAAAAATGAAGGTTATTCTCCCGTTGACAGTGTTTTTATGTCACTTAACGGACGCATCCGAGATGACAGATTTCCGAATGCGACGAGCATTTCACAGTGAGTTCTCGTGAAGCTCCTCTTCGATTCCATTCGATATTTCAGATGAGATTTGCCGTGAACGACCGTATATAACCACCTGTAATCGTCCGTTCACTATCAGAGATTATCGAGAGGAGTTGGAGAAGCAGAGGGGAAATTCGGGGGAGGATCCGGACACGCAGGGTTTCAAGGTAAGCAGATGACGAGGAGGGGGGCTTAGTGAGCCTGCTCGCATGATTAGATTCAGTCTTATCAACGTGACGAATAACATCGCAAGTTTTAGCCAAAATGATTGTAATCGAATAGCATCTCAGTACCCTTCGTTCAAAACTATATATCTCAGCTGCCTGCAGAGATATCAAAAATTGGTCAACTGAGAAAATGTACACAATGTTTTAATAAACAATTTTCTAGTTGACAACATTTTGAAATCTCCACCGGCAACGAAGATACATCGTCTTGAATAAACGATGCACACCGAGTCTTAAAAGTCTTTTGTTCAGGCGAGTCGCCGTGCTGATTGGGTGGATGATGAGATCGACGAAAAAGACCTGGAGTACTACATTTGGAGGAAAAAGAGACGTCAGTGGCTCCGCAGAAAAGCTGCTCTGTGAGTGATTTCTGCAGTTTTCAGCCCACTAGACAGTCCGTTGCAAAAGTATAGGGCCACCCCTGAAAATCACCGGCACGTCTTCCCCAGGTAGTATCATGCCTCCGCACCTTGAAAATCGGAATCAGCATGAAAAGTTACCTCTGGAAAACAATTTTGGGGCCAGTACAGTGGGTGCTGAGGCCATGGTGCTGGAAAATCTGAAAAAGTGGCTTCTGCAGGCGTTTCATAAGTATAGGGCCACCCCTGAAAACACTCTGGAAGCCTCTTAAGCTGATAAACATGATCTTGAATGGGGTTCTTTGCACCTTTAGGATGTCCAAAAAGCTTTTTTGAAATCATGTGCAATGACCCCGACGCCACCTAGGGCCACTCTCCCGGGTTTAGCCTAATGTTCTGTGTGGAGCTCGGGAGTGGAGCCGGGGGACTCCGATGATCTCAAATGAGTCAAATCTTGTTTGAAACAAGTTTTTTGAGCATTTTCAAGTCAGATTCGTTCAGGCCTCTCGATTCGCTAGCACGTGATATCAGATTTTTGACCAAAATGAAGCCAGGCCCAACAAGGATCAGACTGGCTTGAGCGTCAAACTCCAGGCTGACATTGCACACTTATGGAACTTCATAAGGAAGGTTTCAAGCATGGCATGTTTGAGTTTGGTGTCAATCGGATCAGTTTCAACCGATTTATGAGCTCCCGATTGTTGAAGTGAAGAAAACCAACATTTTTCAGTACATTTCTGTTGATTTTCTTCACTTCAACAATCGGGAGCTCATAACTCGGTTGAAACTGATCCGATTGACACCAAACTCAAACATGTCATGTTTCAAACCTTCCTTATGAAGTCCTAAAAGTGTGCAATGTCAGCCTGGAGTTTGACGCTCAAGCCAGTCTGATCCTTGTTGGGCCTGGCTTCATTTTGGCCAAAAATCTGATATCACGTGCTAGATATTCGACATGCCTCAACAAAATTGACTTGAAAATGCTCAAAAAACTTGTTTCAAACAAGATTTGTCTCATTTGAGATCCTCGGAGTCCCCCGGCTCCACTCCCGAGCTCCACACAGAGCATTTGGCTAAACCTGGGAGAGTGGCCCTAGGTGGCGTCGGGGTCATTGCACATGATTTCAAAAAGGCTTTTTGGACATCCTAAAGGTGCAAAGAACCCCATTCAAGATCATGTTTATCAGTTTAAGAGGCTTCCAGAGTGTTTTCAGGGGTGGCCCTATACTTATGAAACGCCTGCAGAAGCCACTTTTTCAGATTTTCCAGCACCATGGCCTCAGCACCCAATGTACTTGCCCCAAAATTGTTTTCCAGAGGTAACTTTTCATGCTGATTCCGATTTTCAAGGTGCGGAGGCATGATACTATCTGGGGAAGACGTGCCGGTGATTTTCAGGGGTGGCCCTATACTTTTGCAACGGACTGTAGAAGCTCTCATTTTTAAGGCTGAATGCGAGATTCCGTGCCGAAAACGAAGGGTACATGGACAGAGACACGGACAGAAACGGAGACATTGACTACCATTATCACTACCACGAAGCGCCGAGATACGGTGGTTACGGAAGGTACGGAGGATACGGCTACGGTTATCCGAGATATTCATATTATCCGTCCTACGGAGGCTACGGAGGATATGGAGGAGGATACGGTGGATACGGCGGCGGATACGGTAGGACCGGAGTTTTCTCTGCGAATTCAGAAGATTCTGTTCAGGATACGGAGGCGGTCTTCTTGGAAATATTCTCAACATCGGAGGGGGAAGTGGTCTCGGAATATCCACTCCGATCGGAGGCGTCGGCATTTCCAGCGGATGGGGAATCGGAATCGGGTGATCCGATCCCCAATTCGATTTGTACATTATTGTTTTCGCAATTTATATTTAACATGAATTTGTTATAAACTAACTATTGTTTTCCGGACAACTTTATTTCACCGAGTCTTCAAAAAGTCAATGATTTCGTAAAAGTGCTAATGAACAAGGGACGAGGGAACGTGCGGTAAAAAGGGGAAATGTGGGTGAAAATGTGAGAAAAAAAGAGTAGAAGGAAGAGAATGGTACATGAAAAGAAAAGGAAAAGAGTATTCGAATGTTCTACAGTAGAGAACTTCTACTGCTTGAGGGTGCTCTGTACACGGAACAGATTGTAGAGCTCATCGACGAGCGCCTCGTGACGGAAGCTGACACGGATATCGGGCACGTTGGTGCGGTGGATGTCGTTTCCGAGCACACCTTCCTCCTTGTAGCTCGGTCCGAGCCAGTGGATTTTGACCTGCAAAAAAAAGTTGAGAGGAAGGTTCACTTCATTTAGGACCGACCTTATCCTCGAATCCACTCTGCATGACACTGTTTCTGGCCAACTCGCACATGTCGCACGAGCTGAGCTTCCACACCTGCGCGGCAATCGAATACTCTTCCATCAACGCCTCCTTTGTGTAATGGAACTGGAGAGGATCATCGGTCGAAAGGGAAACATTGAGACCCTTCTGCAGGTATTCCGGAAGCGGATTTCTCTGGTAACTGATGAACAGCGAATTGTTCGACAGCGGCGACATAGCGATTCCGATCTGAGTCAGGTAGAAGAGGTACTGAAGGACGGGCACTTTGCGGAGCAGGATTCCGTGAGCAATGCTCTCGCTGGTCAGGTATCCAGTCAGGAGATGGGACACGTGTCCGGCCTCTCCGCAATGTGGACGCAGTGCGAAAGTGTTGAGTCCGCGGGCACGACGGAAGGCGTTCAGGGCGCAAATGTTGGCGTACATGTAGAAGAGATAATAGTTGTACGGTGGATTCTCCAGGTCGGTGTATTCTGGAGGACAAGCAGTGGAACGATCAAACTGCAAGATGAAAAATATTCAATAGGGTAAGGGAGGAAGAGAACGTACGTGAACAAATTCGTGCTTGCTCTCATCGTCGACCGAATCGATTCCAGAGACTTGCTGCAGGAAGAGATGGAGTTCCGGGTGGGTCGACGGATCGTTGGTCACTTCGAACAGAGGAGTGAATAGGTTGTCGAGCATGTCGTCAAAGTTCTTGACCATGTTCTTGGCGCGGTAGACATCGCTGAAAGAAAATAACAATCAGTTTTGAAGAGCTCTCACAACTCACTAGAGTCGCGGAATCTGAATGAGCCATCTGGCGTTCGGGCTCCAGACGTCGTGAGTGAGAGCCCATTTGGCCAGGTTGTCCCACTCGCTCTTGCTGCGTCCGTAGATCGAGAGACGTGGCTCCGAATGCTGGTACTTGCTGTCCTCGAGATCCGAGAGCACTTCTTTCAGAAGATCGGCAAAGTACTTTCCGCCGACGTAGTTGTCAGTTTTGATGAAGATCTCACGAAGAGTCGACTCGCCGACTGGATTGTACTTCGTGTTGAACTTATCGAAACGATGGAAAGTGTTGCGATCGGCGTGCACATCGAGCATGTCGACCGAAAGATCGTACGCATCGATGCCCATCTTCTTGAAAACCTCCTTCATCGTCACTTTCTGACCGTCCTTCTCGAGCACGACGGCATCGGCCTCCGTCTTTATCTTCTTCTTGATGAAACGGAGCAAGTGCTTCTGATTCATGGACGAGGCGGCGTGAATGTGAGTGTCCACTTTCCGAATGTTGTAGAAATCACGATGGGAGACGCCCTTCTGCTCGTGCAGCTCACGGAGTTCATTGAGCAGAACGTGCAGCTGGAACTTGTTTCCAAGTAGGAGAGACGACGGAAACAGAACGACTTCAGAGGCCCGTCGACGATCATCGCAGTCAGCTTCTCCGTGTCGTTCAGGAACTCCTCCTTCGTCACGTAGACAGACTTGAACTGTTCATCGAGGGTTCCGTCTTCAAGACAGATTTCGGTCTAAAATTAGGAATCATCTTCAAGTCATCACGACTCTCACAAACCACTCCACGGTTTCTCTTCAACTGATAGATCTTCTCGTACTTCGGCAACGGATCATTCTTTCCCCAGTGATCCTTTGGCGGATCTGGTGGATTGAACGACGTCTGCACAGCTGAAATAGGAACAGAATTACGGGACGAACAGTGACACTAGTTTAGAAGGAAATCCGGATGTTAACAGTCATTTCATCCGGTAGGAGTAGAAGTTGAAAGAGGACGAAATTGACGGGAATCAGACACAAACGGGAAATCGTAGGGGGAGCAATTCACTACAAGAAACGGTGAGAAACCGAGAAAGAGTGAAACAACTATTAGTATAACTAATGTCAACCTTAATGATGAGTGAACAATTTGTTCACTGGATTACTGTACTTATGGTAGATATTCTAGGCTAGTTAAGAGTTAGAGTCTTAGCTGAAAGTAATGGAAAACCAAACAAGTCAGTTGTGAGAGCGGACTGTTCACTCGCAAACTCTCTTACCCTCCAGGTTCGCGACGCTGGGCGGATGAAACATTACTTGTGCTAAATTGAAACAGAAATTGCTGAATCGGATAGGCATTGTCTAAATCTTCAGGTGATCCTCAGGATAATAGATGATAGGATAGATGTACGGTAGAAGCCTGTTCACAACTAAACAACTACGTGTCGATCTCAACCTCGAACAGATCAGTGTGCAAATGAACGTGGATTCTTCATGTGAGTGCTGTCTACCATCATCATAATACTGTGTGCTCATACCCTCCAAATAAATAAAACTGTTAATCTGCCCGAAACTTACATAGCTGTCTAACTGAAAAAGAACAATTTGAACAAACTTTTCGAAGGACAATCAGAACTTCAACTCACTGGTCTCCGTGTTCTTAACACGATGTTTCGGAAGATTATTCGGATAGTGTCCAGTCAAAAAGTTGCGAGTCGTCGACGGAAACTGATTTCCGATGCGTTCCATGTAACGGGAGCGCAGCTGAAGGGCCTCGATGAGGTGTCCGGAGGCCGTCTTCAGATCCTCCAAAGGCACTCCGCTCAGCTCCTCTCCAGTGATCGCCATGCGTTGATAGTTGACGTCTACGGCATCTCTGAAAGAAACACGATCAAGATGACGTCATTCATAGAAGGCGCAGTCCAACCTGAAAGTGTGCAGATCGAGCTGCTGCGGCGACTTGCACCGTGGCTCCGTCTGAATTTCGTCGAGAACCGATTTCAGCGAAGACGGCGACAGACATCCTTCGTTCTGCGATTCGAGACGAGCTCTGAAACTTGACATTGCAATGGGGTTGGTAGGATATTTGATAATGGTGCGAATCTGGAAATCACAGAAAATCTTGTTGTGTTTATACATTTCTCATATCCTACAAAAAGACAGTTAGATGAGAAGGAGGAGATCATGCACATGAAAAAACACGCACACACGAGAGGATATTGACTTCTCAAACTTACTGCACTTTCGCCCATAAAACATGCAAGTCAATATCGAGAGCCATTGCGGACGAGTGGTTTCTTGAATGTCTTTTGAACTACAATATCATGTAGTCGAACACTTTTTTAATGTGAAAAAAGCATAGTTGGCATAAGGGAAATGTGCATGACCAAAAAGAAATAAGATTTGGATGTATTCACTCTTCTTTTTTTTTGGCGGGGAGCCGATAATCTGGAACGGATCAGAAGGGAAATGAAGGGGATAAGGAAGCCTACCAATAACAGAATGTCTAACGTTTTCGGTTTGGAATTTCAGTTCACAAGTACCCACAAATGTGAGCCTGCTAGAAGCCAGAAAGTGGTGAATCGAAAATGGCAAGAATCACAGCTCTCGAGGCTGTAAATCAGTAGCGAAAACACCTTTTTGTGGGGGATTTACTTCTATAAGTTTTTGTACGACTAGAATATACTCAAGCGTGCTCATCGATCAGAGTGCGAATGTCAACGAATTTCCGGTTCGACGGACCAAGATTCCCAGAAAAAAGTGAGCTCTGAACGCTCTATTTCAAATATGAGCTGCTCACAGTGAATGCAAGGAGCCGAAAGTGTTTCGTGAATCAAAAGCGCACAAGGAAATGTGAAAATGGGTGAATGGGCAGCTGCCATAAAATCAACCTTGGCTCTTCTCGTTTTCACATTCAATTCTGCGAAAGGGAGGAGCCTCTTTCTCAACTTTCTGCTCAAGAGGTGGAAGAAGAAGGAGGAAGAGCCAAGAAAAAACTCTTGCAGTCTGTGTGCTAATCCTTCCTCCCAAATACAAAAAAGGAAGAAGAGAATTGTGGTTAGCATTGTAATCATGGGAATGCGGTTCTGAAACCGAATCAGAATCAGCAGCACAATGAGTCATTTAATACAAATCCTCAACCTTTTCTTGAGTCCCTCCTTTTCCGAACAGGGCGGCGAATAGAATTCGGTTCCGACCACGGAAGTCGATCCGTTCTTCGCGAGACCCATTGCCACGTGTGCCACTGTATTCCTTCGCTCCTTCTGATGCTGTAGTTGTTGCTGCAGAGTCGGAAGCTTCTTCTTTGGCACTTCCGCCTTCTTCTCTTCGATTTTCGACGTCGACACATTTTCGCTGAAAAAGACACACGGGGACATGCACAACGGACAGAGGTTTGACCACACAGGACAACGTGCACTGGGCATCACAGAAAATGGGCTAGGAAAGTGTTATTTAAAGGTGATTAGGAGAAAAAGGGATAGAAAGAATGTTAGAAGTGCCTATAGAATAGGTTTACGACGAGTTCTGCTGGTAAACTCACAAGCAAGACCACCGTCTCGTTTTTGAGCCCTTTTCGCTAAAAATTAGGCTCCGAATATTCGAGCGACGCAAAACGTTTTCGAAAAACCTTCCCACTTACCGGTTAGATATCTCAATGGTTTTGTGGACGCGCGACTCGTGTACTTCGATCGGAGTCGTTGAAATTTCGAACGGAGACGCAGTCGAATGGTCGGCATGGCCCATCTGAAAGCGATTAGGATTGATTTAGGCCTGAAGACGGAAGAGCGGACAAGCTCACCGCGTAGTTCTTTTTGAACGGTCCCGAGTCGAAGAGCTCGCTGTCGACGGTCTCTGAAAGTATGATTGATAAAAAAAGGAAAAGACGAAGTGAACACATTCTCCGAACAGAAAACCATAGACTATCACAACACTTTTTGTGCTCACCAATTTGAGCATTCGTCACGTCTGTGGATAAGTCATCTGAATCACACCCGGTTTAACGTTATACACTGGAGAAGTGGCATGTCCCATTTTCATTATAACTCTCACTTTTCTGACTCTTTTCACTTTTCTTTTTCTCAACTGTCGGCGCTTCCTTGGGCGGACTTCTACTGTTCGACCGTTTCCGCTCAATCTTCTCTCTAAATGACCGAATCTCATTCTCCCCCAATTCATTCGCACTCTCACTTCTGCTTCGCTTGGAAATATCCCTCGGGCGGCTCTGAATCCTCCGACTTTTGTTTTTTCACTTTTCGTTTCGGACTCGGAGAGTCAGGCGGATGCTCGACCTTCCGGGCAGTCGCCGTTGATTTCTCAGGCGAATTCTCAGGCGTCGTATCGAGTTTTTCAGGGATCCTAGACTCAAACTGTTCATAGACACTCCCTGATAGTGTTCTCACAAGCTATTCGACTCATTGTTCACGACCGGAACGGGAGCGAAAGTGCTCGAGATGCCCGTGATCGAGAAATCCACCTCGGTCATGTTGAACGATCTCGCTTTTTTCGCAGTGTTCGGGCCGACAATCGTGTCAGTGGAACGGATCTTTGCCAGATTTACGTTGAAAATGGGAGATTTCAGAACAGGAGGGCCTTGGTTAGGCATACTATCAGTTCCCGCCGGTTGCTCACTGATTACCCCGTATCTCCCAGTCTTGTTTTCCGACGCATTCTCACGCTGCAAACCAGTTCTTTGTCATGTCGGAAAAGCGAGAAAGTAACCTTCTCCAACGTGGATTGCTTCGATCCCATAGCTTTTCTTTTCGCTAACCACTTTTCACCGGTTTTGGATATTCAAATGACTCGAATTCCCGGCCCATTTAGAGTTTATAACATTTAGTGCAAAGTTCACGCGGATAAGGATAATGACTTACTCATTCCGTAATCGCGGATGTTATCCAGAGCATTTGGGCGTCCAGCCTAAAAAAAACTTTTCCAGATATTGTAAGTCAGTCAGACCGTACCTCAGAAGAGGGAGACGTGGCTACCGTCTCCTCTTCGTCGTGTTCCTCTGTTGGAGTGAAGAAGCTGACGCCGTTCTTGTCGGTCGGCATCTTCTTCTTTCTTCACACCTGAAAACTGTTTCGTTTTTATGTCGGATGCAGAAAAATCGCGATAAAAGGTAAAGTGCGAAAAAGGTTTGTGAAACGTTGTTATCAGAAGGAGAAGGTGGAGAGGCGATCGTAAAAATGTACATAAAAGATTACGATTGGAAGGAAACTGGCACCAGACCGACGGCGAGGGAAATGGCAAAGAGACGGGGCGGGAAAGTTACGGAATGTTTTCGAAAAGCAAGAGCCATCACTCACGCGTTTAGGTCAACCAGAGAGGATTTTTTGGCGAAGACGACAAGATATCTCCTGCCTCTTTTTTAGTGTAAACATCGGCTTTGTCTGACGAGTTTTCCATTTTCCGAAAAGAGAAAAACAAGGATTAGCTCGAGTATCTGCTAGATCTACAGATCTTGCAGATCTCCGAGATAGGACGAAAATGGACTACCTCAATTTCATCGGCCGAATAATAGAGTTGATCAAAAGATCGTCAGAACAAGAAGGCTCACAGAATCTCACGGTCTCTGCCCCACTGATAATGCTCGATGGAGGCATCCCATTCGTTTTTTGCACGTCTCTCACCTAATCGGCTTTCGCGTGCTCGCGTGTGCTGCATTTCTGATATTTATCTTTCGTTTTGGTCGGCTGATAACTCTGATAACCATTAAATATGTGTGAGAGAACACGGGCAGTGTGGAGAGATGAGAGAAAGATGATGGACTATCTGGTAGCGGACGAAAGTGCTGGAGACGGGGGAGTCGGGCGGTTGTTATCGGTTATCACCTGCCGATGACATCTACACGCTTTCAAAATTTTTATGATACTGGACTGAAACACTTGCAACTTTTGATGGAAAGGTGGCAGAAGTGCAAGGATCAGACAGTTCGCAACTTTAGAAAGGGGCCATCATGTGGAACCAAGCGCATCAAAATTGAGACAAGTGAACTGGAACGAGAAGAAGATGAAAACATAAGCGATCCATCCAATTCCCACCCATTTATCGGTCGATCTTCTTTAGAAATCTAAACGGCGAAACGAAAACGAATGTGTTTTTATGCTTTCTATTTACAAACAAATCCGAGCGCTTATGAAACTCGATTTGGCGGCAAAATATCAAACAAATTCATGAATTGTTACTGCAAAAATTGGCAGCAAATGACAGAAATTTATTACTTTTTCCTACGTCTTCTCCAAAATTCCAAGAATTCATTTCGATTTTGATTCGTTCAGAATTCTGCGTCTCTCACTGAGAAGCAAAGAACAATTTGCAAAGGAAACGGGGCAGTTCGCAAGCGTTCGCGAGAGAAATCTGCTTGCAAAAACTGAAGCAAAGTTTGGCAAGAGAACGAAAAAGTTCGGTCCAGCAGAAGTCAGGTGACGGCGGTCACCAGATCCGTGAGTAAGACCCACGGGGGGCAGACGAACGAAAATGTTTTTCTAAGAGTTTTTGCAGTAATTTGAGCCGATTACTAGCTCGGTGAGCTCGCACGAAACCCGTTATAATGTTCTTCATTCTCTCTCATTTTTCATTTAAAAAGCAAATAATCCGTTTTTTGCGAAAAGACAAATAGATTCTTTCACTATTTCGAACACTACTAGAAACGAGAGAAGCATGGAGAATCAAGAGAAACAAAGAGAAAAACGGAACACAATGCTCCGTGGGACATGCTCAAACGATGGGTGAGTAGGAGAAAAAGGAGAAAAAGGGCGCCAGCGGTCACCGGACCGACGAGAGTGTGAGAGGCGGCGAGACGCAGAACGGCAGAGACATCAGAAGACGACGTTGGGAGAGGAGCCGATAAAATTGCGATGTAAAAGTAGAAAAAAGCAAAGATTTCTGATGAAATTCCAAAGAAAATACTCGAAAACCGAGAGAACGGAGTCTAATTGCGGTCAGTTGTCATTGAAACTTTATGTTTACTCTCCGAGAAACGTTTCAGATACCTCACCGAGCGACAAGAGCAGTAATAAAGAAAGAGAAAGATAGGAGCATTCAAAAAATTAAAATTGTGACAAGAGCAGAACACGAACCTGTCAATTAGCTGATCTGTGTCTGTAGCACGAAGAAAAATCGGAAATCCATGGAATAATTTGATGCACAACGATGAAAACTTTGGAGACCAACAAAAACAACCTTTGCATTAAAATTTCAACTTTTTTGTACTTATTTTGCTTGAATAAACATGCTGTTCACAAAAGTTGCCGAGAAACAAAGTACATGTAATATTTACGTCTTCACCTGCCCCGGATTCATCCCGAAAAACGTAATAGTTAGCGTTTTCAACCGATTTTCATTGTTTTCAGCTAAAAAATTGCATTTTTGTCATCAATGTCACAAATATTTGAAATGTTTCCATAAACAGGTCGCCAGGGCCAATTCAGGCCGGACCGGACCGATAAACGTGTTCTTAAAGGTTGTCCCAGCCTGTGACAACTCTGAAAAACACGATATTCGATTCATTGTTCTGTCAGAAGCCGCAAAAAAGCATTTCGGAATGCTTCACTACATAAAACGCAAACGCAAAAAAAAAATTTTTCTGTCGCTTATTTTAGCAGAAAACCTGAAAATTGCTGTTAAAATTTGAATTTCACGCCAAAATGACAGGAATGCGGCGGAGCGCGCTTGCGCCAATTTCCAGTTGGGGAGAGCGTGTTAGGCGGCTTATATTTAGCAAGGAAAAGTCGAATTTATAATATTTTACGCGGCCACAACTTTTTTAAACTCCACTATTTTATAATATTTTACGCGGTCACCATTTTTTTTTAAACGGCGGACCGACATAATAGAACTGGGCAAAATAGAACCGCGATATAATAGAACTGCCCTTTTCTGTGACAGGTGTGACATATTGAACTGTCACCGTCCCTCATGAACACCTTTAGGACACCGCACAGCCAGCTGTCAACAACGGTCTCTACACTCACTTTCCAGCAAAGCGATCGTCGCTTTTTTCTCCTTGCCCACTATCTTCCCAAAGGCCGACGTGGGTTTCGGTTGTTTTTCTGGTTGCTCGAGTGCTCGTCTCTGTTCTTAATGCGATAAAAATGCCCTGAAAGCAAGAAACGGAGCGCAATTAAATCCCGCTGTCATTGCTTTATTGCTAGTAAAAAAAAAAGTTCACTGCTTCTTATTCTTCTTCCGTTTGCTCGCTTTCTTGACGATAGACGTCGGCGCAAGCGACCGTTCCCCCCGTTCCGTGCCTGTCTGCTGCTTCATCTTCTGTGCCTCGTTCGATTTTATCCTCGCCTTCGTCTTCTTCAGAACTCTCTTTTCCTGTTGCACCAACATCCTTTTCACCTTTTTTTTGAGAAGAATTCTCCGGATAATCCTCCAGTTGATGAGAATCATTCCTATTCTTTTCAGCCTTTTCCGTCTTGCGATCATCTGTTTTTTCGCCAGCCTTCTGCTGTACAACTCTCTCATTTTGCTCTTTTGCTCCAAAGCCAGCACTTTTCTCCGCATGTTCCGCTTTTTTCTCCGATAAAGTCGTCTCCTCCTTCTCTTCCGATGCTGCCTTCTCTTTCCACGGATCCGCTTCCTTCCCTTTCTTCTTATCCGTCTTTTCAGTCTGCGCTTTCTTCGCTTCCTCAGTATTCGCTTCCGCTTTCTCTTATATCTTTTCAGCAATTTCGGATTCCGTGCCAGTTCCATCTTCTTGGCAACCTCTTTCGGATCCAATCGTCGTACCTTGTCCCTGTCCTGCTTCAGTACACTCGTCGGATTCGTCCTGCGCTTCTTCGCCGACATCTTCTTCTGCATGATTGGTTTCGGGATTTTCGGGAACACTGGCTTTGCGAACAAAGGTTTCTTCAGTCGGACTACGCGCGACATTATCACTCGGATGGCCTTTCCGTTTCGGGACGCCGGATGTGTCGACTGTTTGTTGATGAGACGCATCTGACGGAGAGGAAGATGTGTTTCTCGCGTCGGAGCCTGCTTTCGCCACTTGAAGCGCATCAGGTCGTAGTAGAGAGTGACTAACTTCTCAAACTTCGGACGGATTCTAGGGCGAGTCGGTTCGATGCGGAGATGATGACGTTGCCGATTCCATTCATCCATTGCCTGAAGGATCAATTACAGTATCTCTCGTGCACTCCTAACTCACATTTCTTTTTCTCCGTTCCTCCCTTCTCCTGACCCTCCACACCCTCAACTTCTCCCTCATCCGACGTCTTTTCTGCTTCTTGCGCAGTCTTCTCTTCAACTTCCGAATCCTTTTCCGCAAGTCCTTCTTGATCGGTTTCCCGTCTTTCCCGATCTTCACTCTCTTCCTCTTCCTCGTAAACTGCTTTATCTTCTTCTTCCTCACTTTTTTCACCGGCTCCACAATATCCCATTCGTTGTTATAGAGCAGCTCGTACTCAATAGGCCTCAACGGACAACAATTCCTGATCAGTCGGACGGTCCACTCTTTGATGGGCGGAGGACGGAACTTCAGTCGGATCCACGTGTCGATGGTTGCGAAGATGGCTGCGAAATTGGGCCGTGCTTCATTGTTCGGATCCCAGCATTTGTAGAGGAAGTCAGCAACTTCTTGGGGAACGATCTTCGGCGTCGGGACCAGGTGGAGAGGTCCTCCATTGTAGTCCCTGATCCGTTTGAGTAAAGTGTGTGAAGGGACGTGCTGCAGAGGCTTTTCACCGTTTTGAAAAATCTAAAAATAGGAAAGAAAGAGATGAAAATGGATATTATTTGGTTACCTCATTGCAAGTGACAGCGAAACTCCAAACATCCGTCTTCTCATTGAACTTTCCCTCTTTAGGCTTCACCGATTCTGGAGGCAACCATCTGATGGGCAATTGATCCTTCGACGTGGCCACGATCAGCACCTTATCCTCATCGTCCGACATTCCAAAATCGCTGAGTTTCAGGATTCCGTACCGGTTGAAGATGCCGTTCCTGGCTGCCAAGTCACGATGGACTATTTTCCTAAACGTCATCTTTGTGGCTTTTCATATGTGCTCATTCTCTCACATATCTGCCAAATACTTCAATGCTTTCGCAAGCTGCCAACACCAAAGAAGTTTCTCGGAGAACTGTGTCTTCTTGCCCTAAAAACAGAGAAAGTGTACTGGGATTGTGAAGAAGGGCTCACATGATTCTCCAGATGTTTTTCCAGACCGCAAGACAGCATTTCCACTAGGAGCATCGGCGCTTTGGCATCCAAACAGATCCCGACCATCTTCAACAGTGTTTATAGCAGATATCCCCATCGAAACCTTGCCTTCACAATATACGGACAGTCCAGCCTGGCCATTATCATCGCTTCCCTCATCAGCTCCGCTCTGTCGACCAACAGCCCGTTCTTGGTCACAAACTTGATGGCCACGAGTCGCCGTTGATACGATCCGATGATCACCCTTCCGAAGTTTCCCGCTCCAAGTGTTTGGGCTCCTGCTGGCGCTCTGAAAAAGATTGAAACATTCACAAAAATCTTTCGACTGCTCACAGAATATCTTTCTTGCTGAGGAGCCAGCCAGGTTTCGGCGCCGGGGAACTCAAAATCATGTTGGTATTTCCGATGTGATGTTTTCGGTAGTGAGTGACCAATTCGACGATCGTTTCGTGCCGCGTCGTCGTGTCCTTCAGCTCCCATTTCGGACCGTTCGGGATGATTTCCAGGTGCGCGAACTCGGTGTTGTCTGTGACGATCGAGATCAGAATGACGGTTCTCTCTTTGAACGGCTGGCTTCTGACTAAGAATGTGCCCACGTTGTAGTCCGCTAGGTACCTCTGAAAAGAGTCATTTCCAGAAGGTTCTGCCCGTGCGAACGTACTTCCGCGTCCATCTGAGTGTGTAGTCCCCAGTACCATTCGCAGTCCGTGTACTTTACTTTTCTCATCCGCTCCCCGAACTTTCTCTTCGGTTTCCTCGGCTTCTCTTCACTTTTCGCACGTCTTCTGGCCGATCCACGTGGCGTTCCGTTGGCCGGAGAGTGGCTTCGACTCCGTTTCTCGCGAGTCGCTTCCCTTTTCTCTTTGCTCTGCACATGACGACGATGCGACGACGGCTGTTTCCGAGTCTTTTTCAATTCTTCTTTTACGCGACGCCTTTTCGAAGCTTTCGCCATTGCGAATTTTGTAGAATATCTTTAGGAAAACTCTGGTAAATGATTCTTTGTCTGACCAGAAGATTTCCGAATCTGATCCGAAAGAAAGCGACCTCCTGACCTGGCCAGACCAGACGCAGAGAACTCTCGGATCAGACTCGGAAATCCCCCTGATCAGACTCGGAAATCGTCTGGTCAGACTCGAATGCGGAAGCGGAGCGTCGTATCGCGCCTTGTTTAGCAGTTTGTGAATTTAACTAGAATTTCGCAAAAATTAAAGCTTTATTGATAGAACCAGTAAAACAAAAACAACCGAGAGGGTGGACACGTGATTTGGGAATACCTAGAATACAAATACAACAACAAAAACAACGACAAATGCGTTTTTTTCACTTTTTCCACTCTTATGTTATCCTTCTGTTTTTTTCAACTGTTTTGAATCTTTCAATTGATTCAGAAGAAACTGGGAACGCGTGAACAGTGAAATATCGTGGAAAAAATTGGCAAAAAAGTCACCAAAAATGCTCTTTTGGCAGTTGCAGTCTTTGGAAGGGTAACAGAGTGTAAAAAAGTAAAAAAACCCAATGAACGTACTTAGAATGTTACTCAGTAGGTGCCGCAGATTTTTGGCCGTCATTTGCTCCATTATTTGCCGCTTCTGGAAGATTCTTCATGTCGGCACGTGCTTGGTCGCTGTAAGAGAGATTTTCGATTTAAAAGTAGGAAATTGATAATGTTCTCACCATAAATAAGTTAAGTGGTTCATGTACAAATGGGACATAGTCTCAATGAGAACTTCTTTGTCCATTCCCGTCACTTTTACGCATTCAGGCATCAACCCTGGAACAGTGAGAGGTGATATCGTAAAGAATAATAAAAGCACATACACAGCGGACCATTGACGATCTGAATCGGCACAGGCGTATACTTCAAGGGGTTATCGGCCATCGAGTATTGGGCTCGAATAGGTTTTGGAAGAATCTAAAATGCAATAAATCACGTCTTAATGTACAGGGAAGCTTACAAAATTCATCCAGACATTGGCAATGGTCTTCACAATACTTTTGATCGATTTCTTACACGGTTTCATAACCAAGAACACTTCGTTCACATTGATCATAGCTGCAATGAAGAAGTTATAGCGCTTTCAAGATATACCTTACGATCATCGTGCTTGATGTTGTCGATCATAATAATTTCGCACGACGCGGCGACAGATGGAGAAAAGGTTGCGATTACTTCTTCCTGAAGTACGGTTATTCATGAGCACACTGTTGTCAGCGATGAGGCAAATACGCTCCGCTGAACTCGGTTTAGCCCGAAATTCATACGATATGATTTTTGCTCTTTTCTTTTACAAATTTGCAACCAATAAAATCGTATTTTTTTCCAATCAGTTCTATTCTCGTGAAAAGGATGCATCTTTGCCTGTTTTAAACAAATTTTCCTAGAAATGAGGCTCATATTTGATCATTTCGAAAAACAAATCAGATTTGCTTTTCGGATTTTCTATATGCTGTCAGACTGAAAACGAGAGTGGTTATAGTCACGGTACTGGTAACGGGTTATCCTCAAAAGTGGCTTCTTGAAATGTTCTTTTCACGATTTTAGAACTAACAACGCGGAAAAAACGTACGAACTCATTCTGGTTCGGCTAGCATTGAGTTCAGCGGTACGAATTTGCATCGCTGGCGACAGTAGCTAGAAAACTTCCTCACATCTTTTTTGGTGATTGTGGCAACTCTGGCGGACCTCTCCCGTTCGTTCTGCATCTGGAATTTCTGGCATTGTTTAAGGGGTAGTGGCACTAAAAAATGTTGTCTCACAATTTAGCTCACGTGATGACCTAGAGCCGACTCCGCCCCTTTTAAGCCAAATAATTTAAAGGTTTTAGCCCAAATGACCTACTAAAAGTGATTTTTAACACTTTTGCACAACTGAAACTGCACTTTATTTTGGATTCTGCACCGAATGGCGTAATTGCAGGAAAATTGGTTTTAGTGCCACCACCCCTTTAAGTGTTAAGTACAATAACCAAAACTTACCAGCGTTAAGAGACCAGCTGTCGCCGAAGCCCACAGCTTAAGTTCTGGACTTCCGGTTTTTGCTATGGCCTTCAACTCGTCGAAATTGATGTCGAGTCTTCCCCTTGTTGCATTGGCCACTTGTTTCTGAAATTGAATTGTAAATATTCTTGAGAAAAAAACCAATAATTCTGACTCTGAAGCTGGAGAAGCCTTCTTCTGGTGTGCTCAATGCCTTGTCACCAAGATCGAAAATCGACAATTTCCTTGGAATTGTCACAGCTTCAGACTTGCTCGTCTGATTGTCGCGTTTTTCCATTTCGGCTTTTTCAAACAAATCAAAGTCGGGTCCGTTTTCTATAAAAATTTCGTTGGTTGTCAGTCTTTCCGTGAATTCTCCATTTTCGGTATCGAACGCCTGAAATTCGGTATATATGTATAGGAAGAAGCATGCAGCGGTCACCTTATTCAAGGGCGAAGTTCTGAATTCAACTCGAGGTTGGTCGGATTTTTTGTAGTCGACTCTTTTTGCAGTTACAGGAGGGCTCGACCCCTCCATTTTCATTTTCTTGTACTCCATGAATCGTGCCAATGACGACATCTTAACAAAAACACTGAAACTTTAATTTTAGCGTTGAAAAAGGTATTCTTATGGTTTCAAACCATGATGAAGTAGATCAGTTAGGCATAAATAGAATATACACTTATGAGAGCATTGGGCGGAATGAACAGGGCAATACAACGGAATGAGAATTCAATTGGACAAAAATACAATAACCGATAAGATGGGAAATTGGAATTGTAATACAATTGCTGATCCCTCTAACTATAGCTCCAAAGGTGGTTGTGGACAACGCAGACACAACTTCCCTTGTATCCTCAATAGAAACTGTATCTCTCAAAAGGTTAATGGCAAGCGTTTGTAAGTGGTCAGTACTTAAAATGAATGGGGATATAATAACAGAAATTTTAGAATCCTGATTTTTAATAAATCCTTTGATGGATCCGAACTGTACAGTACCGAGGTACTGAAACATAACATTGGAATCATCGCTATTTGGGGAAGATTTCGCCGAATATCTCTTCCCTAAATAGAAAAATGTCTCCGAAAAAGTATCATTTGCATCCATGACACTTTTGAGTGAGTTGGGAACTTCAGAAGAAAAATCGACTTGATCACGTTGTTTGATGTTCATAATTGTGACTAATTTTTCGGAGTATACGTTTTTCGAACCATATTCCGGGTCAGCAGATGCACGATCACACACTTCTGCGTAAACTGATTGTAGAAGGGTTGTGCTGCAATCGTGATAATAAGAATATGAGTCTGTAGGACTGGAAGCTTACTTTCTCAAAATAGCCGAACCGATGCCATTAGTTATTTCGGGGACCAAATGACGCTGCAGTACGTGGTAGGCGTGTTCGTGTGGCTGTGAAGAATAGGGCAACAGTGAGCCGTAAATTTGGACGAGACGGGGGGTGTGATATATAAGCTGCTGAAAATAGACGTGAGCTAAGTAACATTTCGCGAAGTGATATGCTCACGTGCACTTTCGATCCTCGCAGCAAGTTTGGGGCGAATGAAACGATGAGTGGAGCCAAAAACTTGGTGATTTTTCGGACCTGTAAAAACGGTATTTTACTGAACCTATCCAGATAATTATGCTGTCAGGGGAGGGGGGTCCCGGGCCGTCAACTTTTCCCCTCTGACCGGCCCGAGGCGGGCCAGGCCGCAAAATCACAACTCTGCTTACTTTTATGTGCAATTCTCCATCACCAACGCTACAAGGAGATACCATCAAACGGAAAAGAGCATGGAAACCAAGAATGATAGCGGCGCCGACTCCTCCGATCTCAATCCCACAAAGTGCGTGGCCTACAATCAGCGACTCGTACAGCTAAAAAACCAAATTTTCACCAGTTCTGACCTACTTTTTAAAAAAATCTGTAACTTAAATAGGTGTTTTTGCTCTACCGCCAACTCCGCCCATTGTCACCGAAAATTTAAGAAATTCATAACACAAATGACCTATACTTCAGGTAATTTTTAAAATTTGGTTAACTGAATCGACCTAATTTTCAATTCAACTGGTAAACGTGCACCAATAGGGTAACACTATAAATAGTTTCCAGTTCGTTCCACACAAGAAATGTTACCATTGTTTTTTCGGATCCTGTCATGTCAGTCAATCTTCTCGAGATACATCTGAACTTGGATGGCAATTTGACGTTGACGTCCATGTGGATTTTTGCAGTCTTAAAGATGTCGAGTGTGTTTTGTGTCAAGAGTTCTGAAACCGGGCATGAGTGAGATAACTACTTACTTAATCACCTGATAATATTTTCGAAAAAACACCCTCACTAATAGTGTGGAAAAGATCGAGTGGACTGAACCACATGGGACACATCGAATTGAAGAACGTGTATTTCCCCCTTTCTAATAGTCCATCTTCCAAAACATCCGGCACATTTTCACCAAATTTTTCACGAACTGCAACACACATTACTAGTTTTAGGGCATTCTAGCACATTTTTGATCTTTTTTAACCATTGAAGGCAATATTGCGCGTGAAGTTTTCTCTTGAGGACAGAAAAAAAAAATCGCGCGGGAAATTTTGGGGTAAACGAGGTGCGATTCGAGAGAACTGACCCAGAATAGAACTGTGCGCGGAATAGAATTGTCCGGAATGGAGTTGCCCCTAAAATGAAACTGACCGAAATGGAACTGACCCGGAATGGAACTGTCCGGAATAGAACTGCACTGCATTTCTGTGTGGCACTTCTATACCGGGGCAATTCCATCCCGGACAATTCAACTTGGGTAGAGTTCCATTTGGGGCTGTTCTATTCCAGGCAATTCTACTCCACGCACAGTTCTATTCTGGGTCAGTTCCATTCCGGGCACTTCCATCATGGGGTGCTCCCGGTGATTCAATTTTTTGACAATATCAATGTACGAGTCTCACGTTCAGTAGTTTCATTAAACTGTTTCTGCTGAGTGCCTTGAGAGACACAATACGGACATGCCGCCTTTGACGAATGGCCCTTCATTGCATATACTTTTCGGCGTGCCTGAAACGAAGTGTGAAACAATATGATCTGACCAGAGAGCTTCTTACGGGGTCGTCATGAATGCCAGTTATGATAGTGGCGCTGTACGTCCAGTTTTTCCAAAATATGCTCTGTTGCAATTCATTTTGTGCCCATTTCATGAATCGGTCGTGAATTTTCCAATTCGGATCGACTGGAGAAATGTAGATTGCTGCGACTGTCACAGCTCGAATAGATGATCTTGATTTGTCTGGAAGATCCAACGGGAGCAGTGTTAGTGGCCACACCTTCCTCCTGAAACATTAATATTTAAAGAAAAGAAGCATTGGCAAGCTTACTTAGTGTTTTTTTAATAGATATCCCATCAAAAACCAGTGATGAGATGAATTCGCGTCGATGATTGATCCTCGGAGAGAAGAATTTGGCGGAGCCGCAAACATGACATTGGTGACGATGAAACACTTCCGTTTCGAATTTGTTCGTGAGCATAACGAATTTCATCTCCATACGTCTTGATCATAGTTGTCATTCTTTGCTCCAAATCGGCGAAAACCAGTTCTGCGGATGGGGCGGAATTTGAGCATGAACACCTAAATATTTATTATGTAAATTTCGAATTGAACACGTTCGTCTTACTTGTCAACATCTTCCGCGCAAGCACTGCACACTTTGATCTGTAACAATTTTGGGCCGTCGGAGATTATTCGGCGAAGTTCTGCTTCATTTTTGATGGTTTCGAGATCAAAATATTTGTCCATGGCTGGAAGAATTCTACATTGCAATAAAAAAATTCTTGATTTTTTTCAATCGAACGAACCAGATTTCGATTGTGTCGTTGATACAAGAAAATAAATCCTCAAAAACATCTTGATCACTGAGATTTGCCCACTGCGAATTCTCTCCGTTGCTCTGCGATGGAATCAATCCAAGCGTGTTCGATAAATCATCAAACCCTTAAATGTTGACATTAATTCTGACGAAGTAATTGATTTTTGTGTTGATTTTGAAATTTAGAAGAAAACATACCATCCTCCGGCAAAAACTTCGGCCATTATTCCTTGCGGATCTTCTTTTTTTCTCTTCTTCCCTCGTGATGTGTTCTATTATTTCTTGCGATTTCCGGTTCTTTCTCGCGTAATCCATTATTTCCCTCGTTGTCAATCGTTTTTCGTTTTCGAGCCGTTCTCTGAAGTCGATCGCTCATCGGGTACTGAAAAGAACTCATATTTTTCGCGAATACATATTATTCTGTTCAAAATTTGCATGAAATCAGTAAAAATAACGTTTAAAGTTAAAAATAATGTTAAAAACATGTTTTTTCAAGAATTTGAAGATGCACAAGAAATGCGCCAGCACGCGAAACGCGCCAGTAGTGCAAATTTCCAAATCTGATCAGATTCGGACCAGATTCCGAATTCACCTGGTCAGACGCGGAACTCGGATCAGATTCGGAAATCTTCTGGTCAGACAAAGAACGATTTACCAGAGAATGGCGGAAACCGTGAGGGAACGGACGGTCCGTATGAGGTTAGAGTTCAAGTTGTGGAGTGGAGTGCCACGTGGAAATGAAAAGCTTTCCAAAAGAGATTTTTTGCGGGAAAATTGTATGATCTTCGTGAGATACGGATCAGATCTTTCACATTCCTCAATTAGTTATCTTCGATTTTTTCTGGCACACTGCCAGCGGAATCCTCTTGAATTTTCCGCTCCGAACAGGTATTCCGCTTCAGATATTCGGCCGAGATTTGGAAAGCGTCGAGAATCGGAATGACGGATCTGTTGGCCCGTTTCCAGAAAGAGATGCGAATCTCGAGAAGAAGAGGACACACTATGGACACACTCCTTTTCCCTTTCCTTTTCCTTTTCTCTTCGGTATTCTGACTTCGTCCCGAAGAAGCTCTCGATCTTTCACAAATGAAAATGCACATCAACGACACAAAAAGGAGAGCGCTTGGGAAGGCATAGAAACGGTTGCCCGTGGCTCCGTCCTCTTCTCGGCGCTCTCAAAACTTTTCATTTTTTCCCCATTCCCGCCTACGAAACAGAATGCGTGTCGGGCCGGCGAAATCTGGCAGTAATCCGACCGAATTCGAGTTTTTGTACTAATTTGTTTAATCTTTTTCCGATGCGAAATAACTGGAATCTAGATTCTTTGGGTCGATTTGCACTTGTCCATTGGCACGTTCCTATCCTTTCAAAAATGTTACATTTTTCGGCACTTCTTAGAACCCTCTACTACACTGTACTATCATTAGAATCACAAATGAGGCGACCATTTGCAATACTAATCAGTGATTAGAATGTGAGATCGTGCTCTCTGTTCTTTTCTCTCTCTCTCTTTCCACGAATCCACTTCATTTCTGTTGTCAACCGCCCGCCCGTTCGCCGTTTTCTTTTCGATGAAGTGAGTTTCTGCGAACCGTTTTTGAGTTCGAATCGTGCGCGTTTGCAATCGGTGCAATAAATGGAGCGCTGCAGAATTCCTAGCAAACGACGGAACGATCGGGAATAAAAAGTGATATTCGAAACGGGGGAGCGCGGGCGTTTCGCTGCCTTTTTATTTTTATTGAATGTCAAAAAATCGGAGCGATCGGGCAGCTTTTTGTTGGTTTCTACTTTTGAGGCGTTTGCTTATTGAGAAGAAGTTCCTGGAAATCCGCGCTCTACCGCAACGTTCGTAGAGCGACGCGTATAGATCGAGAACGAATGTTTTGTTTCGAAAATGTGCCTGATCTCCTGCCTGGATTCATTCCTTTTCCATCTCGCCTGCATGCGAATCTTTCGTTCTTTCTGTTCAGTTGACCGAAATGCTGCTGACAATTGAATTGATAGCTCCGTAAAAACAAGACTCGGACTATGAGAACGACCTGAAGAAGTGCAGGACTCTTCGATGACTCTTCGTAATCACCCGAGTCTCCCGATAAGCACGACCGCGCCCATCTGCCCCTCCGTTTCAGACCTACCTTCCCGGTTATTTGCCTACGAGACGTTCGTGATGCCATCATCTTTTTATCATTCTTCCTCTCCTTCTCTCTGTTATTCTCTGACCTATATTCAAAACTGATATTCTCTTTTTCATTCAAATTTTGAAAAAAAAGTATGTGTGTGTGAGTGTGGTCAATTGAATGGGAAGAAGACAGCCCAAAAAGCTGTTTCGTATTGTTTGGTTTTTGAATGTCGGCGTGTGAATTTCCGACGATACCCGACCGCGACTCTTCCTTTCTAAAAAGCATCTATATACTTTTGGAAACACAAGTTCAGCATCGTTTTTTGAAGCTATCAGTGATAAGAGACTTGAAATATATTGCCTACTTCTGTGCCTACGCAGTGCTGTTGAACTCTCCCTCCCTCTCTTGTTAACGGATCTTTCTTTAAGCAGTGTCCGTCGGTAACGTTTCTGTTTTTCGTTCGGCCGCCGGTGCCCTATCTCTCTTGCCATCTAAATCGCAATCCATTGGTAGGTCACTCTTTCGAGAATCCATTTCTCATTCCGCTTCAGAATTAGGTTGGTAACGGGAGAAGGAGACAGAGCTGTTTAGGTTAGGTTTACTGAGAGAGTAAGTAATAAACATTTAGACGGAAAAAGGAGCCATTGCACCCGGAAAGAGTAATCAAAACATTAATGGACTCTTTTTGTGTTTACATTATTATCTGGACCCTCCTCCCTACTTTCCTCCCCATACTTCTGCTTTTTCTTCTTCGTTCAGTCCGACAGTTTGCAGCTGAACCAGTCAATTGTCGGGTACCTGGTACACGAGTAAACACGGATCATGACGAAGACGAACACAAAAACTGTCCGTTCGTAATTGTTCTCTTCTCCCTTCTCTTCTATTTTTTTTCTCACCTCTGCTCCTTTTTTCATCGGTGTCCTTTGCGACTGTCTAATTACTTTTTTCTGGGGCAATACTCGTTAATTAGTCAGATTTTCTTGAGGGTCATATTCGGGTAAAGGACACTTTTGATATAATCTTCCGTCCAGTCACTTTTTAGCGCACTGACCGAAATTCGTTTTGACTCGACGGAAGACCGCCTCCCGAAAGAGTAGGTCACCTTCCAGCTCCCTCTCTCCGTCCCTCTCCAACTGCAAACTGCTTCCGTTTTGTCCTTTCTCTCTTTGAGCAGCTGTCGCCTTTGCTTATTCTGCGGAATACAGTGACTTCTCCCACACTTTTTACAAAAACTCGTTGGCCTCTGGCTCTAAATACATGAAAGTAGCCCGGACAGCTGACTCGTTTCCAGTTTTGCAGCTGCAAATTCGATAGATTTTTGCCGAGAACTTTGAAGTTAGACAAAACAATGAAATTGTTTTTTTTCTCTATTTCTTTTGCTATTCAATTCTTCGTCCATGTTCTCTGAAAAGAAAGAATTCAGTGAATGTTGCCGGGCGAGTAAGCTATAATTTGCGCAGCCAGCTCGGAGAAGCGCTGTTATTCAGATGCCCAATTTGTTTCATTTGTGAATATCACCGCAAACGTACAATACCATCCATACAAACATTATTCCCTTTTCTCTTTTCCCGAAAGATGCCGTACATGACCTGTTTGTTTAGCTGCGAAACGAGAGGAGCACTGTCCCATTCGCACTAACGCACGGCTACTTTCGGACACTCGAACTAATTTTATCCACAATTTCAGAAGATCTTACAAAATCAAACAAAAAAAAGATGGAAATTGAGTAACCCGGCCGAGGCCTTCTGAAATTGGGACACGTCCGGCAGAGCGCACTTGCATTTCCAGCATTCCGGCTGAAAAACGGGCGTTTTCAGACAATTTATTCCGTTTTCGCTCTCGTAAACTGCCAGAAACATCGAGATTCCGTCGTCCTTTTGATTCCAAAACTTTTGAAAATAAACATTGATTTCCCGGGCGGTTCCCTGGTTCCCTGCTTTCTTGATCGCGCATCGTTTTTGTTTTTATCCGTCTCTTTTTCTCGTTCACTTCCCTCCCCACTGGCCCCATTTTTTGTTCAGCTCCTCACGTACTCCGCTCCTTATAAAAACGTTGAAACTTCGTAAAATACAGTCGTGGAGTCAGCTCACGTAGCTGTGAATTCTGTTCTTCATTGTTTCTATGCCTCGTGTCTGTTTTTATTTAATCTTAAAAAGTGTCATTATATTCCCAAATGCGCAGCTCTTTTTGCTCTTTCTCACTTTGCGTGTGTTCAGCTGTTTCGGGCACCGTCCGCTGACGAAAAGAGCCGAGTTATATTGATCTGAATTATCCGTATTTTCAGTTTGGACGAGATGATGGAGGACGATTGGACGGCGAGCGGCGCTCTCGAAAAGGACATCTTCATTTCGGCGGTCAACCAGGACAAGGATACCATTGATGTACGTGGAGAAAACAGAAAGCTGTCAAAATTTCCGAATTCCAGTACATACTTGCACCTTAGTCTTGCGCTTTTTTTTTCAAAAACAAAAAAAGGTGTTTGAAATATCACAAAACCAGTGATTTTCAGATTCTTCAAATTTTTGACAGCGACAACGATGAATTCACTCCGGACACGATTCGGATCAAGATGGAGCCGACCGATGAGACTTCAGGTGAGCGATCTCCGCATTTTCGGAGCGATACCCTTCTCGAAATTCCATAAATTCTCCGCCCGTATCTTTCGTTTCTTAATTTATTAGCTCAAGAAGGAGAAGTTTGATCGGAAAGGTGATAAAAATTATGTTTAAACTACACTCAAGTTCCGCTTTTTCTTTGCCCTGTTTCAAATTTTCAGCTAAAACAAATAAACACAATTTGCGAAATTTTCAATGATAATTGGAATCTTTGCGCTGAAAATGATAGACATAGATCAAAGACAAGTCTCCGCCCACCTACGAGCTTCGCCTCAGACTCCGCCTATTTTCTGTAGAAACTACGAAAATTGCCCCCTCGTGGTGATGTTGATGTCCGCAGATGACGTCATCCGGGAGCAAAAGGACAAAATTGATATCGGAGCAGTGAAAAAAGCATCAAAAGTCTATTACGAATGTACGGGTAGGAGACGTGAGAATTCGAAAATGATGGTTTTCTCACTGTATCCAGTCTTGCGAATATCAAATTCGAGAACTCGGAGGTCACTCTTTCTAGTTAGCAACGAACAGATTTTTTGTAAGGTCCCGAGACATTGGGAAAAGCACTGTGCTCGACTCCCCCTTCACACTTGGATACGTGTGAATTGAAAGTGGAAAAGCTTCGATCGCATATCAAACATCAATGGCAACATCGTATATTCGGTGTTTCCGTCCTCGGCAACATCTTGTTATCAGCTCGGTCCCTGCCGTTTTACGACCGCCATCAAATATCGATTATAGCCCTCTAGGTGTCATGTTGTTATGAGCCCGCAGTCACTGAAACAGTCCGATGACTAAGAAGGCGTGACGAGATGAAACTGAAGTGCCTTGTTTGCAGTACCATCGGCGCCCTTTTCTGGAGGCCTAAAGACACAAACATGTGGTGCTTCTCCAGGCTTATCAGTTATCAGTTTGCTCCGAAACTTGTGCTCTTTTCTGTAGCTTCTCTGCCCTCTCGCACTGTCTCGTTTATCAAATTAGCGTCCCTCTCTTGTCGAGTTGCTGCCGCCTGCCCCACCTGCCTGCTGAAAAGACGGAGACGAGAAGAACAGTATCATATTCTGATCTGCTTCCTCGCGTCGGCTCACTGTACATACTGTACATTCTGTAACTATGGACATGTCTTGCTCGTCGATGCCAATGCCACTGCCGATGCAAATGAGAATGAATCCGCACGGCGGCGACATGATGGGCACTCCGAACAATAACTTCGCGATGAAGTGGGAACCATGCACGCCTCCAGACGAGAAGCCTCAGATGCTTTTTCCTCCGCTCCACGGTATTTTCAATCATCCGTCGAGGCATAGTAGCACTGGAGAAGGTATGAACTCGAATTAGTCGTTTCTAGGACTGCTATTTACAGCCTTATGCCGCGTCCAAAGTTTAAAATTTTGCTGGGATTTCCTTGAACTTTGGACGCTTTTCATAAACTTTGGACGCGGCATTAGGAAGAAGAGCTTTGTATTTTTCTGCAAAAACGGAAAGTTTCGTCACATTTTATTCGTCATCTTTTGCTTACATAATTTCCTCGCGTTTTACTTATCTATTCGTTCCGCCATATTCCTTTCTCTTGAAAGTCAAAAGTACACCAAAGTTTCTTTCAATAGAACATTAGTGCGATGTCCTTACATCACATGTCTTTCAAGCTGTATTACCTCGCACACCTCGCACAGTACATTTCCCCTTATCATAATTTCCGTTACGGAAGCTTCGAGTTCGAAATCGGTATTTTTAGCACAAATCATGAAATTTGTGAGGATGCAACAATTTCAGTTATCAAAACACTTTCCCAGCGCTGTTATCTCGACCCATACTGATAAGCTCCTTCTGCAGGCTCTTTTGACCATTCCACGTGCGCTCGTTCCTTTCCGTAGCCTCTGACGTAGTGGTCTCCACGAAATTAGCTAATCCGCCAGCGGAAACTTTCCCTCCAGTTGTCATCCAATTTAGTGGCGTTTCCCGGAACTAAAACTGGAAAGGGAGAAAAAACGGCGAATAATCGTCATCAGAATCTCGTGCAGGTCATTGACGTAAATGCAATTTATGACCCACTTTCTCCTCTCACTCGCTCTCTTAAACACTTGTTTACTTATCTAAAAATTTCCGATAGTTATCACGAAATGGTTGATAGTTCTGTTAGAAGCGTCTCGCAACCCGAAAATGTTTCCAAATTTGATCAAAAGTGGAACAAAAAGCAAATGGAGATCGAAGAGAAGTGGGAGAAGAAGAGAAGTCATAAAAAGTTGGTAGAGGGTCACTGATAAGGAGCCGCGACCACGGGAGCCAGCTTTCTCTCCATCGTTTGATATTGATGTCAGAAATGGAAATTATAAGATTACGGTCGAGAATGGAGCATAAAATTGACGCAATCGTAGATTGTACCTGGGCTAGGAAGAAATCACATCAGATTTCTAGAAAACACCAGAAGGACGATAAACCTGTAAATAATTTGCAGATTATCACGGCTCCTCTTCGGGTAGTCCGTCTTCATCGCTCTCGTCGCCGAATGGATTCAAAGACGAGCCGCTGGGCCTGGATGTCCACTTCGGAAGTTCGCTGTTCAACGCGCCGTTCAGTCCCTCCGCCACCTCGTCCCAGTAAGTCGTCCGAATGTGCTCTTGACTAATTTTGTACGAAAAAGATGAAAGTAGGTCACGGTGTCACGTGGACCACCCGGCGCGGAGACCCTTTTGACCGTTCTGTCCCAGTGCCACGTGGGTGCTGAATTTCATTTATTTTTTCTTTCAACTTGCTCTAAAAATGTTTTTTCCTATCAGGTACACTGTAACTTGACGCGAAAAGGTCGTTGAGATGATATTTTTCTTAGAATTGAGTAAAAACCATAGTGAAATTGATCTCTTCTTCGATTCAAAGACACTCTAACCGGTTGTAAGCGTCTTCCAGCAGCCCGTCATCTTTCGGAATGATGCACGGATCGGGACATTCGATGGCTCCGCAACAGCAGCACTCCCCGTTACCTTCCGCTCATTTCTCGCACAATCACCATCATCACCATCATATGGTTCAGCATCATAACCAGGTAAGAGAAATATGCATGGAAAGAACTGAACGACGGCTGCCGACGTTTTCAATTCGCAGAGTTTTTGAAAAATATCGTTTCTGATAAGTTTTAGAACAAGTACTTGCTTCCTTTAATAAAGCCTATCAGTTTCAGCCGAATTTGCAAATGAGCATGAACCAGATCTTCAACGGTCCCACCCATCAATACATTTCCGCAAACGTTTCACAAAATTTCCTCTTCAAGGATTCGACAATTTACGAAGGAATGGGTACGCTATGTTTTATTCAATCGAATCAAAACAAAAAATGTTGAGAAATGTCTGAAAACTATCACATTGACATGCAATTTTCAAAGAAAACGCTTCAAAAACCAAAAAAAAAACAGGTGGCCTAGAAAGACGGCGAAGTTTTCTAGTCCCTCACGAAAAGCTGCGAAATTCGAATTTTATCGCAACATCTGCTCTTTCTGTTGTTTTTGACAATTTTCCGTCGTTTCGTGGGCTGTGTGCTGTGCTCTTTTCGATTAAAAACGTCTCAATTCGAATCCCATTCATTTTTTCGAATCGCGGCGCCTCAGAAAGCGCTTTTTGCAATTAACGACACACTTGAATGCACCTCCTCGATTGGACCTCTCCGACGGCTACCCAATTATATGTCCCCCTATTCCCTCGTTTCTTCCATTTGTTCAGCCACGTCACCTGATGACGTCAAGGACGTCTTCTGATTCTCTCCGTTCTGCCTTATCTCTCGCTCTCTTTTCGCTTTTGATCCGGTTTGCCACGTCATCACACAATGCCTGTGTTTCTCAATTTCCCATGATTTTTCGCTCTTCTCTCTCACAAACATGGGCATTGCGTTCTGATCGGTCTCTTCCTCTTCCCTTTTTGATCTGCCACGTCATCGGCACAATATTTTCCACTCCGCTTCCGTCACGAGAAACATTGTAGCGCTGCACATCGAAAAATGCATATTTCTCCGCCCCCTTTTGTTCGTTCTTACTCTGCCACGTCATAAAGAAAGCGACCATTAGTTTCTGTCGTAAATAGTTGTTTTTCATGCTTCCAAAATTATTTAAAGAAAATGGCAAATAGGCAAGCGAATGGACCAGTCAGCTGACCGATTTCCTGAGCATTTCTGAGTTGGCAGATGGGTGTCATGTCAGTTGTTTGGAACGTCTTTCGAGTAAAAATTCCAATAATTATATTTTTGTGTTTGTTTGAGACAGTAAACAAAGACGATACGACCTCTAGAATCTAGTGTAGATCCTAACTGCTGATTGTCGTCAAACTGTCTGTACGTTCCAGGATGAGATTAACCGATTGATTATTTTTTTTTATTGACTTCCAATGTTTCACCCAGTGGTAAGCATCGCACCCGGCGCGGTCCGTCCGCCCATATATACCCGAGCGCTTGCCCTCTTTCGCTTTCTTCCCCTTTCTCCGATGTCTATGCGATTGCCACGTCATCATCAATTCAGTCTGTCACTTCCAATTGGTTGGTGTTGCTGCAGGCGGTCGGTTGCCGGGAAGAGAAGGAGGCCTGGGGCGAGAGGGTGGTTATGTGCGTGTTGCGTGGCGGACGGACGGACGGAGAGAATGAAGGAAAAAGAGAAGGAAGAGGATGGGAGTGCCACGTCATTCGCCCGCCCGCGCTCCCGCTTTCACATACTATTTCACCGCCGGTCCCAGGACGAGGTGCCTTCTTGCGGCCGGCGACCGATTCGGCAGCAGTCTCCTCGCTGTTTTCACATGTGACATGCCACGTCACTTGCTGCTTCTCCTGTCTTCATGAGAATACGATTGAGGAAGAGAAAGATAGAATTCCACGTCATCTGGAGAGTGCAAAGAAGTCATAGATGATGGAGACAAGTGATTGTGTTGCCAGGAGACCTCATCGCAATGAGTTCTTCGTGTCGTTTTGCTGCTCGCCCGCTCACCCTCTCCCGCCTTCTTCCACAAGTGCTGATGCTTCTTTGCCACGTCATGTGACACGCGTCTGTCCCTTATCTATTCTCTGCGTTTCCCCGATCTGAACAGTCTCTAGCTCCTCCTTTTCCTTCTGCTTACACCAGTCATAGACTTCTCGTCCTTCTTCTTCCATTTCCACTTCTTCTTAGTTTTTCCCTTCTCAAGTCAGTCCTTTGCTTTGTTTACCACTTTCCCACGTCATTTTACTTTGCCACGCCACGTTTTCCACTTTGCCACGTCATAGTCGATGGATGTTTTTGAAAGACTCTGCAATCGGTGTCTTTCTTCGCTTTCTTTTTGCCTTGTGAAAAATTGGCCATGTCTACTGTAGACAGACAAAGGGAACATCTGTCTATCGCGTGCAGCGACTGAGAACACATCCGAGACCCATACAATTTCGAAAGAACGTTTCCGTTTAAGGACACATGCCGTCTTCAAACTGGAAAACCTCTGACATACTGTAAATCTTGCGTCTCTTAAGAATATCTTTCTCGAAACCTCTGTTCTCTACTACCTTCCTGATTGCCTTCTATCTTTTTTTTAAAACTCAAAACAAAGCCGTCGTCTTTTCCGCTCCAAATTTTCGGTACCCGTCGTCGCCCACGGTTTGTCGCCGCTCCAATTCCGCTGATATTCAGTCGATGTCCCCCGCAAATCGAGCTGATAAGGACGAGAGAGAGAGAGAGAGTGAGTGAGAGAGAGAGTGAGTGTCAACGACGTGTCAGTCGCCTCTTCATTCTCAAATAGAGGGCGAGAGAGAAGAAGTTGCGTAGAAGAAGTTCGAAACGATTCTATTTATCGGTATAGAAGTAAAAAAAGCAGTGACGTGGCATCATTGAATACACACGCACGCAAGCAGTACGGCTAGAGAAAGTGTGCAAATAGAAATGTCCCTTCCACAGGCACTTCCACGTCATCTTATGTTTGAAACACGTCTTTTCTGTCCCGAGAAGTTCCCACTTCCCACTATTCACTATAGATGACAGAAAGTTATGACGTGGAAATGCGACTGGGTGCCAACGGCAAAATGGATCATAAATGCGGGAACATATGGCCGTCTGACCTGAGCGGACTTTCTGTCCATTCATTCTTTCGGTGAATAATGGCTCTTCGCCAACACGTCACGAGCTTCCCACTCTTGTCGACTTCCTTCCGTTGTTTCCCAGAGCCATTGGGTACCCTAATGCCCAACGGGAAAATAGGAAATAGCCAAGAAAGAGTGAGGGAGCGAGGAAGAGACGCCGCTTGTCTGACTTCTCTGACGTGGCAAAGTGTGTATACGGGGCCCGCTCTCGGGTCTCTGTGACGTGTCGGCGTCTCCGAGGTTAACGCGTGGCAATGCCCATCTCTCCTCTAATCGGTCGGTCCCCCGTCTGCCACGTTGCGATCTCTGCGCCTCTTCCTATACAATGCTCTTGTGCCTTTGTCGGACAGGGTCGTCGATCGAAAACCCTTCGCCGCTCTCCCCTCTGGCCTCTTCTTCTTGCCTCCCTCTTCCTCAATCCGTTGTCCCCTTAGGGCCTTTTGGTACACTCGCTCATTGTTGCCACGTCACCCAACACACGCACGCATGGACATCCCTCACCTACGGCATTGACCTCTATCTTCACCATCTGCGCCTTCTTTCTCCCCTCTTTTCTAGAGTCTCCCACAGAGAATGTTCCTGGCAAAAGCGGCTCGCTTTGCCACATCATAAGATATTTGATAATACACTTTGGGAAGATACCACCCTTTCTGTTTTTGTGACAAGTGTTAAGTGTTAAAGTTCAATATTCTATTTAAAAATAGTCGAAATACTTTTGCCACGTAGTAATAAATGCCGAAATTGTCGAGTTCAATTTTCGCGTTCAACCGGGAAACTTCGTGATTTCCCACAGGCTGGAGCTCCAAAATGTTGGTTACAATGTTACACTTTCGTTTCATCTGTGTTTCACACTTTTCAGCGCTCAAGATAAAAGCAGCTACTCTCGTTTTCCTCTTTCCGTCCCCAGTTAGCAAGTTCATCGCGAAATCATCAAATGCGGGTTGTGAACGTGCATTCCGCCTAATCTCTTTCACTCCTCGTTTCTCCTCGTACTCTGTTAGTAGTCGGTATCCATATTTTCTGTACAGGACTCAATGGCAACACGATGTACAGCCAACGTCTTCATTAAAGACGAAATCAAAGAAGAGCAACTCGACAACATGGATTCGATGGACATCGCCGCCATTCTGAACTCACATGCGGCCACAAATTCGCATGATTCGAGTCCTGACGAAGAAGAAGCGGATCTGACATTGTCGAGTGAAATGTTTCTCGCTACTTCCGGAGCCGATATTGACGGAGGAGAAGGTAGCCAAGAATTGATGGATGTTGATGAGTTATTATTGTGTACGTGCGTGTTGTTCCCAACCAAAAAAATACCACTTCCACAAAGAGTTAGTTCTCGAAAATCCCCCATGTATGCCAATGTGATAGTTAAAAGGCCACCTGTTGCTGTTAGGATGGTGGAAGTGCGGAAAGCTGAGGAATAGCAATGATCTATTCACTCACTCAAGAAAAAAGTCGATCGATTAAAAAATTTTGCATATAATTTACTGTAAAGAAAGTGTTTTGGCACCGACAATAAAAACGGAAATGTCAAATAGAGAGCGGGCTCTCACATCAGAGTGGCACAGAGAGCCCCGTTTATGCACAATAGAGGGCCGCCGGGTCGTCTCCGATCATATAAAACCGTATCGATAGATGTTCTCTCTTTTGCATTTCCATTCATTCATTCGCTCGCTTCCCTCCTCTAGTTCTCCTTTTTACCAGCCAACAGCAACAGGTAGAAGTGTGTAAAATATCCAAAAATGTTGTGTTTTTGAATCGAAGTTTCAATCAGTAAATAAGGGAAACTTACTTCAGGTGGCATGGGACTGGCAGCCGCTCAGCAGCAGTTAAAAGCAAGAAACAAGATGCAAGAGATGGCCCTGAGGCAGCACCTAATCACTGATCAGGTCAGTGTCATGCAAGTTTGTTTTTCATTTACTTTTTCTACCGGACAAGCGGCATCGTGCAATAGTAAACACTTACAAATCATCTGCTGATTGTAGAACCTTCAAACGACCGGAGAACTTGTGTTGTCGCCGGAGGAACGCCGTACTCTCGTTCAAGAAGGGTACCCAATACCAGAAAAGTATCCACTGACAAAGAACGAAGAGGAAGCACTCAAGATTGTTCGCCGCAAGATAAAGAACAAGGTAAGCTGAAATGAGAGAAGACGAACTCGTTGAAATTGGGGAACGTTTCGAGTAAATGTTCTAATTTTGGTTCTTCAGCTGTCTGCCCAAGAATCTCGCCGCAAACGAAAAGAGTACATCGACGCGCTCGAGAGTCGTCTGCACTGTTTCAGCGAGGAGAACAAGAGCCTGAAATGTACGCTGTTTCTTCTTTGCCCTCAATAAGAATGATCTCTTTTTTAGTGCAAGTCCATCAGCTTGAGGCATCGAATCGCGATCTCCAACAGAAGTTGCATCAGTACGAAAGCAAGGACAAAATGTGATGATTGGAAGACGGAGATTTATGTCTATTTTACTGTTTCTGGTCTTTGAAGTCTCTTAAACCACGAGTATTTTCCTCCCCATTTCCCCATCATCATCATTATTACAGTAATTTTCTGCACTTTTTTTGTTTGATAATAAATCCAGTGATCTAGCGTTCTTTTGTGACTCATTACGATTTTATAACCGTTGTATCAGGGAAATAATCTTTTAATACCACAAAAGTGATGATCCGAAATGTGTCTTTTTTTTATTAATTTAATTGAATCGATTTCTTCCCTCTAGGTCATTCTTTCCTGTTCCTGTGATAATTTACCGTACTCAAAAAGGTATATACCGTACGCTCTGGAATGTTTCTGTTTTACCCCTTCCCATCATGTTTCATTCAATGATTCATGTACCATCTCCCACTGACTCTTGTTCCATATTCTTGCTCCAAATGCATTCGTGTATTTGTGTTAAAGTATTTGTTTTTTGTATGAAAACAATTTTTTGTTTTTTTTTGGCTCTCCTTCACACTTTACCCCTGGGATACACTACCTCTCCGCATAATTTTATCGCCTCCCCGCTCCCCCTCCCTCTCCCGCCTATTCTGGTGTAGTTTGTAGTTTAATTTATCATCGGATATCTACGCCCCGCCCCCTTCTGACCTTATCCATTCATTGCCTTCTCCCCCAAGCTTTCTTTCTTTCGGTTTCCTGCCTCTGGAAGTACAGTAATGCTAGATAAATTAATGAGTTTAAAAAAATATCGAAATGAATTAGTTTCTAAGGGAAAGTTCAGTTGATAACCACTAGTACCTCGTGCCACGTCATGCGAAGGCTGAACAAACACTTGAATGTAAACACACTCATTCCAATATTTCACGTCATTTCCACATGTTTACTCTAAACGGATAACAACGGATAAACGGGGACTACAGTAACCGGGAGGGGGCGAAGAGCCACGTCACTCCGACGTTTCGGACTAATGAGCGTCACATTTCGACGATGGAATTACCGGAAATTGAGAAGAAGCAAACGGAAATTAGAGAAAACGAGGAGAAACGGAGAGTGAGGATGAGCAGAAATGGAGTGGAATGCGAGGAATTGCAGGCAAAAAGGGTGCGGGAACTTTCGAAGTTGGATAATATCCGACAAATTGCTTTTGGATGATGCACACTTTTGGCCCGGTTGGACTTATCCGATCGGACCATAATCAGTCCTGCTCTGGATTACTTTCAGTGAAATTTGAATTACCGTAAAAATGCAATAGAAGAGCACTCCCGCTATATTCAATCCAAGACGATATGTCTCAGTTTTCTGATATGAACATAGAATATGAAATCAAATGAAGTCTCTTATCGCTCACACCAGTCGAATGTTCTCGATGAAGATCAACAGCGACCGTATCCAAATTTTTGAAGATCAACAGCGACCGTATCCAAATTTGGAAACAGCCAAGTAACTCCATGTTCCCCAGCCAACTCAGCGTCGTTCTTTTTTTCGTTTTCAGTCCGCCGACCTCGTTTTTTCTCGTTAATCTTTTCGCCTCCGAGTGTGCGCCATCGCTGTACTTTGGCCGTCGGTCCGTACAAAAACAACGTCTGTTTTGGCCGGTGAATCTAGTCGGAGCCGGGATAATCCTCGCCCATCCCACCCGCCTTCCCTTCTCTTTCGCCCACTTCATTCCCACCCCAAATGCTGTTCCGATTCGTCCTCTTTCTCGTTTTCGTTTCCGTTCTTGCTCTCGCCAATTCGGTCGAGAATCCGTCCGTGGAAGGATCTCCGCCGCCGCCGCCGAACGGAACGGAGCTGGAGCCGCCACGTAGCAACGGAACAGAGCAAGGACCGCCGCCGCCGTTCGCAGCCAACGGGACCGAGATTCAGGAGAACGGAAACAAAACCGGTGAGTTGGTTCGGAAAGATCCACCTGAAAATGGAATGTTTTGAGGCGGAGTGATCAATTGGATCAAGTCAAAGATCGGAAAGTAGACGTCGAAGTGAATAAAATCGGTTTCTTGTCTTTTGTAACACAAATAAAGCTCTTCTTCGTTTCTTTTCTCTTAATTTCCACGTGGTAAATTCAAATGCAAGTTTTTCATTCTGATAATTTATTTCCATCTTCATCTCCCCAGCGATTCCGATAATAATGGGAAACAGTTTGTCTTGTGAGCTCATCCGACACATTCATTCAGATTCTTTCTTTCGGTTTCAGGCAAAAAGGAAAAGAAGAAACAGACGATGCATCCGACGGTAAAACCGAAAAACACAAAGATAAAGAAGAAGACGGGACGGATAGTTTTGGAGAAGAATCGGAAGATTTATCAGAAGGACAAAGAGATCTATTGCGTGATTTTTGACCCGGAAAGCTTTAGTATACACGATTTGGCGCTCGTCGGACAGAAGAACGCACCCGAGAATCTGATTCGGCACGACGTGGTCAGACTGCAGTAATTCCATCGCTCCCTCTGCATCTTTTCCTGTTTTCAGCTACCGAAAAAGTTCGGAAGAGTCGAATTAATCCCCGATATTTCTTCTCTGATGACTCGGAAAGGAGGCAAGACGACGCCGTTGAAAACGAAGTCGATGTTCGGAAAATCACAGATAGGCACGTCGTCGACGGGAGCAGTGGAGAGCAATTCGAACGGAGAGTTCGAGATTGTGGCCATCCAGGATTACGTGGATGATCTGTACCTGCAGATGCGTGAGTTTCCGTTCGATGCAATCCATCCAGGATCCGAGAATGATTTCAGTGAACGGAGACCGGACGATCGAGGAGGCGCCGAGGGACAGCTCCGCATCGTCGACGGACACGAAATGAGCTGATTTGGCAAATGAGACATTTATTGTTAAAGAGCAGAGGACAATCCAGTGATGGAAGTCTGAGACTTGGTCCGAATGTGCTCCATCGACGGCGTCTTCTTCATAGTCTTCTCGGTCTTCGGAACGTTTCTCCGTTCCCACTTTGCAATTATCGATCGGATTCTCTCTCCCTCCTTCTTGTCTCGTTCCAATTGACGGATTTTTGCGTCTTGCTCACTCATTTTCTTCTAAAACTTGTTGGAGACGTCACGTCAAACTTCTGAAGCCCGCTCACCTTCAGATTGCTCTTCTCGATGTCCGCGGCTCTCAACGTCTCGATTGTCATTGTCGCCAGAAGATCCTTGTTCAACTTGTCCATTTTGTCAATGGTTTTCAGAGTATGAGTTCGTTCCTAGAAAACAGAATTCAGGATTCTCAACGGACTTCTTTCTGCCACCTGAATGATCTTGGCAGCAGTGGTCACGACTGCATTCGCGGGAGATCCCGACCCTTTCTTCCCGTCGCCCTTCGCCACTATCAACTCCTTCCGAACACTTTGAAGACCGCGCAAGATGTTCTCAGACTGAAATGATTCCAGATCGATCTGTGAGAGAGAGCGATCACTCACGACGAGTCTGTTCTCATTCACAACCACTCTGTATACGGATTCTTGAGCGACGAGCTCTTCAATCCGATCGAATATCGCGTCGAACACTCCGCCAACGTTAACATTCAGAAGGTGTGAGATCTGGAATTTTCCCGATTGAACATTTCTTTGTTTTTCCGTTCACTTTGCCGATGCATTTGTCGAACACATCAATTCTGTGCTCCAAATTCTTCCTTTCCAAGTCGCTCGCGAGTAATTCCTGCTCCAATTCGTCTATTTTCTCAGCTGCTTTCGAGTACTCTTCCTCTGAAAGTCTCGCTCTGAAAAGTGCACTTCTCTGGTGTTTCGCCTGTTCCAAGAGCACGCCTTCTGCACTCGTCGCCGCCTTTTCCGCTTCCAATCGCCTCGTTTGCTCGGCATTCTTCTCACGTACTAGGTCTCTGCAACCAGATGTTTTGAGACGTTCCCCTGCCGTTCAACTTGCCTGATGATTCTCTTGACGTTGTTCTCCGTGGGCTCTTCTTCAGAATTCAGAAGCACCGTCAAAGTCTCGAGAAGACTTCGCCGTTCAGTTTCCGCCGACTTCAAAAGGATTATGTTATTCTTGTTTGATGTCGTCATTTCCTGTGAAAACGATTTCAGACATCGATTTTCGGCCTTCAGCATCTCCAGCTCCATTCTTTGTTCGTTTATTGTCGAGTTGAGCAATGCGACGTCATGGTTGATGCGGTTCTCATGGTCTTGGCGGATCTCCAGCTCCTGAAATAAAATGGTTGGATGAAACTAATGAGTGAATCGATTACTTTTCTGCATATTCCATGCATTTCCCGGCTCTGCGCCTTGTTCGTTTCCAAGTGATCCATCAACGTTGACACGTGGTTTTGGTTCAGAGAAAGTGAAGAAGACAGCTGAATTGAGATCAGTTTTTGAAAAAAGACATGAACGATTGCCCTTACCTCCTCCAATTTTTCCCTCAGATTCGAATTCTCTTGCTCCAAACTCGCACATTTCGCTTGATACCTCATAATTTCCTTCTCCAACGCACCCAGGTCGACACGTGCCCCTTCGCCACTCTCAGTCACCTCTTCCACATCCATCTTGAGAATCGGTATCATTTTCCTTTGAAACTCTTTCAGAGAGCCCTCCGAGTCCTCCAGCTTCTTCTGCATTTTCTCCAGCTCCTCCGCCAACTGCCTATTCTGAATCTCTAATTCCTGGCTCTTCGCCTTCCATTCCTCATTTGTCTGGCCGATTTCTGCGAGCTCCAACTCCAATTCTGGAAGTCTTCTCGAGTTTTTCTGCGCCCGATCCTTCCATTTCTCCGCTTCCGCCTCCATTTCCTTCCTCGCCTTTTCGTTCGCTTTCAATCGCCTTTCCAGACTTTCCAGCTTCACTTTCGTCTGCCGTTCCGACCGATTCTCGCGAATTGTGTACGTAGCGGCCACCTGAAAATGTTGGAAATACAGTTTGTTTAGTGGCCTATTGGATTACCGAATCTGGAGATCTGAGCTCTTCCCTTGTGACTTCAGAATCTCCGAGTGTTCTTTTGTACGGCGACGTTCGAGGTCGGAATGCCTGAAACAAAGACGATTATCAGAATTGAGGATATGAGAAGCACATACAGTGGTGATTTTGTTTCCTCTAATGTTCAGAGTCGAGGTGACAAGTGCTTCAGATGACAAATCCAGTTGATGAACAGACTCCGAGTTGGCATTCGAGCCAGTTTCAGATTTATCGCCTTCAGTGATGACATTTACTTGGTCTTCAGAATGGGAACTGAACATGTCGTCGAACTAGAACTTTTAGTGAAACTCAAGTAAGGAGGAAATGACTCCAATGCTCGAGGTGTCCGCCAATTCATTGGAGCATTCTATAATCGGGTGCGAACGAGAGGAAATCTGCATAGTAAGTGAACAGGAAGTGTGCGTCGGAGAACGATGAAGCCGACTAAATGACGTGTGAACATCGAAGTATCAACTTTCTCGGTGCTGTGCAAAACATAACGAATGGGTGAATCATCGGGCCCATGCAACATACATCAGAAGACGTGCTCAGTGAAGTCAAAAATTTATAAATGAAATCACAAACTACACAATGCTCAGAGTGTTTTGAACGCAGCGAACACGTAGCCAGTGGGGCTCTTCGAATCCTTTGCAATTGCGACCTCTTTGTCCATTTTGTGCGACTGTCCGCCCATTTTATACTTGATCGTGACAAGCGCACGGATTGATCCGCCTGAAACCAATGTGGGCTCGAATGAAGAGAATATCTGCAATGGAAAACGTTTGGCTCAACTAGTTTTTGTCCTCTGTCAATTTACTTTCAAGCTGTTCTTGAATTCACTATCTCCCATCGACGCGAACACATTATTTGGGTAGAGAACTATAAATCAGCGTTTATTAAACACTGCAATGATTGCACGGACACCCACAGTTTGGCTGGAATACCGTATCCAAATCGACCAGTTCTCGGTTGAAAAGTTCTTGGAAATGGGAGACGTTGAGTTGAGTCAGAGACTGACTGACTGCTGCCAATTGTTTGTTCAGTATTCTGGAAAAGTGCATTTTCGTGGACGTGTTTCTGCATGCTCACTGAGAAGGAGTCGGCTTTTCAGAACAAATCGGAGCATTTAGCGATAACAGAATCAGAATCTTCAGAGAATTCATCTTGTCGCGGAAAATGAAATGAATCGAGAAAGTAGAAGAGTACAGTTTTATGAACGGTTTTATGGTTTCGGGAAGCGTCATTCGAGTGTGTACGAAAAATGATGGCATTGTAGAAATAACCAATCTTCGGATGACCTCTGATTTTAGACGGAACCTAAGCATGAAAGGCCAGTATTCAGAATTTTCCCACAATTCAGCTCAATTTGCAATCGGATCAACTGCATTCCCTTCACCCACTCTTCCAATTTCCTCTGATTCGAGGGCGTGATGAACCGAGAGGAGGCGATTTCAAAGCACTGGGACTCGGTATGCACGGGAGAAGAACCGCCAATTGAAGTCGTGAACTTTGCAACATATTGAATTGCAATTCGGACGGGCAAAACAACGACGAAGCGACGACGTCGTTGAAATTGTAGAAGATGTGAAATCCGAATAAAGCTCAAACATTGTGTGTGCTTCCCATTTTTGCCATTGCAGTCATTTCTCCATCTATCTATTCATTTAGTTTCAAAAAACACAAAGTAAGAGTTGTTGTTCTCACGTTTCGAGACACGCGTACTTGAGAGGGGCACTTGAGACGGATGGATTCGCCCATCACTTCTTCTCAGTTCATCGTCATCCTTTCGCTTCTCTCCCTCCGTTTTGTGCCCATTTCCTTTCGTTTTCCGGGGCGTTTCCCACGTAGCATGAGATTGGAATGTCACTTGACAAATGGGAGCAGAAACAATCGAAAAAAGAGCATCAATTCCGTCGGGTGGTTCACCACTTTTCCAAATGAACAATGTATCCCTGTTTGAGGGACAACACTTCCTCATTGTTGGGTTGCTTCTCAGAAACTTGAACTTGTATTCATGCAGAAACATATATATATATGTACCCCTTCCGATGTTCTCATTCTAAATGTCAGAAATCGGTGTTCTCAGGTTCTCTAGAGTTCCAGCAGTGTCTTTCTTTTCCCAGCCTGAAGCCTTCTTGTGAATTATGCCCTTTTCCTCCCCTTTTCTCTCAATTTTTAGCCCACAACGTGTAAGTGCTATTGGCTCGTTCTCTTCGGCCGTTCAATTATCCGCCAATATTCAGATGTGTCATTCTCAATGCCCTTGCGCGCAAAACAAAATGTCCGTTGAATTCTCCATTCTCCTCTCATTTTTCTCGTTTTCGTACCCAATGTAGCCGGATGATGTATGCGCGTTACAAACGTCTATAAAATCAGCCATCCAAATGATGAGCAGAAGGTTTTCGAGAGCACGTGGCATTACTGTAACATCTGAAAGAATGTGTTACGTCGCCGACTGATTATTGATCGTCGTTGATTATTGATCTACGTTGATCTATCTACCCGCTAGTTTTATATATTCAAAAACAAGGTCCCAAGCACGTAACAGAATGTGTCTTAGGCCCCTTGAAATGAGACAAACTCTCAGCAAACAGTCCGCCGCAATGTCGTTTGTTTAGGATCATCACTCGCCGACCGTCTGTTGATCTTGTCGTGTTGTCCTTCCGTTGATAATCACTAATCAGTCTGCCGATGTGAATCAACGATGGATCGGGCCCTCGTCGAGATTTGTCAGGAGGTCCCTTTATCCATTCACCCCCTTGTTTTCATATTTGAACGTATTCAGAGTGCCACGACTGCATTCTCGATCGGCTATCAGCTTGTTTACCTGATCAATGTCGTCCTCTCCGTCATTTCCATCTTTACATGCACTTATTTCATCAAAACATTCATTTGGAACTCGATGTTCCACCCGAACTTCAAAGTAAGATCTTGATAGAGGTAACTGATCTTTGAACATTTGAACCTCAAACAGTTCAGCTCCTCCTCACAATGTACTTCTTCGCGGCCATTTTCCATTCATTTCTTTTCACCGCTTCATATCTGATGATGATCGAACGGTTTATCGACTTCCGCGCTGATTGTGATATCCACGTACCGATGGTTCCGTACGCAATCGTGCACAGTTCCATCGCTTGTTGTCTGTTTTGCGGAATGCTCACACAGGTTGGAATTCAAAGATCAGACTGAATTAACAGTTCTTTTTTTAAAGGTTTTCATGGTGATTGAACGACTTCTGGCGACCATCAAAGTGCAAAGTTATGAGCATAGCACTTCGTTTTTGCACATCATTTCCTATCTCTTCTTTGTGGGCCCCCTCTTCGACTTTCCGGTCTTCAAATGATACATTTCAGTGCATAGTCCTCCCGCTTTCTCTTCTTGTCTGGGCCTATCAGGATGCGGACTACAACTCGCCGGTCATCTCCGCAATCAGCCCTCCGAAAGGCGTCGAAGCTCGGGTAATCTCCTCCTGCTCTTTGTTTCTCTTCTCCAAATTCATTCTTTTCAGTTGAATACCCTCTACATTTTCTGTTTCCTACTTGCAATTCTCGCGCTCGTTCTCCTCCAAGTGGTCAGATACGTCAACAAGCGTCAAGAGAGCCGGTGAGCCGAAGAGACGGAGAGTTCCCGCAAAAAAGAGTTTCAGAATTGAGATAAGCCTTTCCGGACGCTTCCAAGTGGTCGAGAACATTGACACGACCACGTTCATCTCTTCGATTCTCATCATCAACATGCTTCTCTCCGTCATCTATATCATCGGAACGTTCTCGCTTCGCAACTTTGCCTTCGATATTTTCATCAATGAGCCGGCTGCCTTGTCCACGGTTAAACTGCTCTTTTATGTGAGTTTACGCAGAAATGTTGGCATTTCGGATTACTGTAGTCTGATGTATTTCAATTTTGTGCAATGATGTCTGAAAGAAGTAACCTCAATTCTTTGCAGCTCCACCCCTCGTTCTCGTTTCTTCTCCCGTTAATCTCCAGCTATCATCTCTCTAAAATGCGTGAACGCCGTCTGAAACGTCGCGAACATATTATGGCGATGAAAACGAAAGGCCGTGAGGGATCTGACGCCTACAATCAACTACTTCATGATCAGTGGACGCAGCACTTCCTCAAATAAATATTGTTCTTGTGACTACGTGGTTGACTAATTCTATGAAAAGTTCACATTGTGTCGTTCACGCAAGAGATGATCCATTCCATTCTTTCGAAAAGCTTTTCTCTCGATTTTGAAATATTGACAAGGAATGCCGAAGGAAAAAAGTGAGGTTCGCATTCAGAATCTAAAGAAAAGAAACGATTTAGGCGATGGTTATGAACGGCTCACCGATATTGCGGTGGGAATGAAAAACGAGGGGGTTCAAGTGAGCACTGTGCTCCAGAATGTCATCGAACAGTACATCGCGCTGAAGAACGTCTTCTCTGAATACTACCAGGAAAACTTGAAAAGATGGCCGCAGCACGTCGAGCGCATCTGCAATGATTTTGTGAATTCGGCGGTGAGAAGTCAGCGAAAGTATTCAAAAACTGTTCTGTTCAGGAAAATGTGAAAGACAATGCGAATCATGTTGCCGATCTGTTGACGGACATGTCACAACCGGCCATCTCCTCAGTGTCACTCATCTCAAAGGTACCGTTTCCCGTCCGATGTGAGCCCAAAACTGATCTTCCAGTTGTTCGCCAACTCGGTCGTCCTCCTGCTCACCGCCTCCTTCTCCTCTTTCATCGGCGCCTACATCTTCGCTCCGTTCTTCAATCTCATCTTCTTGAGATTCGGAGCAATTCTTATCGCCACTTTCCTCATTCCTCTCATGGCTCGCTACTTTTTCTACAATATGAAAGTTCGCTCGTTGAGTGAGAACAAGAAACGGATTGTGTGTGCTACGTTCATCTTTGAGCAGTCCGTCCTCATCGGATTCATCAATCAGGCGAACTGGCTGGACACCCCACTCACCATCGTTGCTCCGATTGTGAAAAAAAGAAAGTTGCATTGGAGGTCCTCTTTCATTTCAGGTCGCTTCATTTGTCTATCCGTTGGCACACGCACACACAATCGAAAGAAACAAGATGGTCGGGCTGTAGCCGGAGCTTCGATGCTTCTTCAGTTGGCTCTGGGGGCCCTCGCACTCCATCTCAGCTCCGGATTCTTCGTCGTTGCATCCCTCTACACTCTGCTCACTGTCGCCGTCGTTCAACTTGCCATCGCGGTAAAAATACATTCAGAAACAGCCCAAGAAGTGTTTTTCAGTACTGTGATCATCCGGAGTTCGAGGAAATGCACTTGACAATGCAATACGTTCTCGGTATTTCGCTCGTCAAAATGTATTCTCTGATGGCCTTTGGAACGGAAGAGACTTTCACCAAGTAGAGCAATAAATGAATTTACAAAGATGTATTTAAAGGCAACTTCATTCTTTAAAACACATTCTGAAAAAAAGATGAGAAGTCATGAATACAAACAATTAAAGTTTGGCGAACGGCGGCTGCGGCTCTTTAGCGAACGTCGCCAAGCCCGCCTTCATGAGATCTTCAGTGAACAGTTGAGACATGTTCCACGCGGCCTGCAACTCTTCCCTATTGATATGATATCTCTCTGACACTCACCACATAGTTCAGACTGTTCTCCACTGGATGGTCTCTCGCGTAATTCAGAATGTGCTTCGTTCCCTGCACACCAACGGGGCTCTTCAAAGCAATAATTTGGCGACCTTCTGCACTTCCGTGAGCATCTCCTCACGGGTCTCAAACACGCGGCTGAGAAGACCTGAACACAGAAAGTGGCATGCGAAAAAAGCGAAACCAGATCACCGACCGAATTGAAGTGCTTCTGCAGCTGAGAAGTGGCGTGCGGAAAGCGAAATCTCCTTAATCCAACTGTGGTTTCCAACCACTTTCGGCAGACGGTTCAGTGTTCCGACGTCCGCCGCCATTCCGACATCGACTTCTTTACAGACAGCACCGCGTCCTTGGTCGCGAATCGCACATCGCAGGCGGTGGCGATGTCGATGGCGGCGCCGAGACAGTAGCCGTGAATGGCCAGGAGCACTGGCTTCGAGCACTCGTCAATGTACGTGAACTGCTTCTGCATAAACTTGATCTTCCGCAGGAAGATTCTGCTTTTTCTGGCCTGGTCTTCTTCAGCGCCATGTTCTCCGCCGGTTAGAAGTCCGACTCCTGGAAGTGTATAAAGCTTAAAGTGTCTTTGATTTGGGAAAAGATACCATTGAGGTCCAATCCTGTGCAGAAATGCTTTCCTTCTCCCTGAAGAACGACGACTCGACAGTCCGGATCTTCGTCGATCAGTTGGAAGCAATCGCCAATCTCTCTGGAAGGGATCTGATCCTTCAAAGTGTCGTTGTGCTGACCTACTTCCAGATTTCCATGTCGAGAGCGTTGTACTTTGACGGGCGGTTCAGAGAGACTTTGTAGACGAAATCGCCGATTGGTTCTACTTTCACAAGCTTCAGCTGACCGTATTTACCAGCCATTTTTGCGATGGGAGTTCTCTAAATTAAAAATGAAAAGGGTTCAAGCGAACGCCTACCTAAGAAAAGTATTTTTGAAACGTCTGTCGTGTATTTATACCGAAGCAACAGAAAGTGGCGATAAGCGTCCGAATACAATGTAGTCTTGCGAGTACCCGTCGTTCTTTCTCTTCTCCTCTCTCCATACTCTCTAATTTTTCCACTACACGCGTGTTGTGATAACGCCCGCTGCGTTTTTGAACTGTGGCGGCAAGGGGTACACGAATATAAAATCAGACGACGTAGAGATGCGAATATTCAGATGAAGCCGCCAAAGTTGGAAGGACACCGGGAAAGTTGTAAATCAGCGTGGTGGCGGTCGAAAGGAAGACGGAAAAGAACGTGTTTTTGCAGGCAATGTCCTACGTTCACGTAGGCGTCGGAGAGAGAGAGAGAGAGAGAGGGAGAAGTGTCGCTCTCAAGGCAAGCTTCTCTTTCTATTCAAACTAACTGTTTTCTCCCGCTCCCTCCATTCCCACTCCCTTCGCTTCTCACACTAATTCGATTTTGTGTTCGAATCGTTAAGCAGATCAAGATCAACCTATTAGCATATTAGCCAGTCTAGCCGCTTCCTTGATGCCCTCTTAGTGCAATTCCACTTCTGGTCAGCATGTTTTCTGAGAGATTCCTTCTTCTTTTTACCCTTCTAGTTGAGTGTTTACAAGCTCAGTTCGTATCGAACGAAAGTATAAAGGTAGGCGTTTGGATACTGTTGGTTTGGAATGAGAATCACTTGCTTTTCAGCTTCACGATATCCTGAAACCATCAGATACTCATCGTCTCTTCGACACATTACAGTATTCAGTAGAGGAACAATATTCCAATTCTCACTTATCTTTTGTAAGTGGATTCTTTGACTCTTTTATGTTCTCAATTCATCTCTCATTCCAGGACGCTTCAACTATCTATAACTATTCGGAGAAACCGATCTCGATTGGAAGACTTAATAGGAAATATAGGTAACTTGCGGTCTCTTTAGTTTTCTAAAACTGGGTTACAGAGATATACTGTACGAAGGAGACATGGCAATCACTTACAAACAGTTGAGCCTCATTGTAAATGGCTCCACAGAGTATCGGAAAGCAGCAAAACGGCGTCTCAGCGGAATCAAAGCGGATCGAAGCAAGCGGCAAGCGTATTTGGATCAGAACTATCCGGCGACGATTTGGAAGAACGGAGTGCCTTTTGTCTTTCATTCATCGCTTTGTAAGTTTGTCATTCTCATCTTATTCTCGTTGAGACTCTATAGCCTTTTGCCTTTTTAGCTGCTGTAGCCAAGAATGCGATTCTGAAAGCGATTCACTTCTGGTACCGGGAGACTTGCATTGAATTCCGACCACGGACGTTCCAGAAAGAAGTGAATTTCCAGAAAGAATCTTGAGTAGGCAGGTCGTTTTCAGTATCTCCTGTTCATTGGAAATGACGACGGATGCTGGAGTACTGTAGGAAGAGACGCGTCGCAGGGAAAACAGGTTGTGAGCATCGGAGAGGGCTGCGAGCACGTGAGTCACATAGACGTCCCAAGTATGTGAGAAATGAGCGCTTTCAGTTCGGAGTGACCTCTCACGAACTGGCGCATGCACTCGGAATCTTCCACGAGCAATCAAGGTTCGACAGAGACGATTCGGTCATGTTCAACCCGCGCGTGGTCGACAGAGAGCTTCTGTTCAACTTTGCAAAGGTATGCAACATCCATCAAATGACATCAGAAATTATGGGTTTCGCAGATCTCTCCTCGCCAAATGTCCACGTACGGACTGCCGTATGACGTGGGAAGCGTCATGCATTACACACCAACTGAGCTAGTCCCAATAATGTTACTTTTGAGGAGTTTATTCAAATTAATACAGATTCTCAACGATTCCGTCCATTCCGACGCTCACTGCCATCGACACGAGCCTTCAGCAAACGATGGGACAATTGGAGGGACCGTCTTTCATCGATGTGCTCATTATGAATCAACATTACAAGTGTCAAGGTGAGCTCTATTTCTCTTCTGTCCCATCCTATTATTCTTTATCCTACAGAGAAATGTGCTCAGCAAGCTCCGTGCGTGAACGGAGGCTTCACAAACTCGCGAAACTGCAAAGTGTGCAAGTGTCCGACTGGATTCGGAGGTCCTTTCTGCGAGTCCATCGCCCCCTCATTTTCGCCGTTTTGTGGCGGTGCTCTTGAAGCGGAAGAGGTCGGATACGTGAGAAAATGGCTGTCATTGTTGGTTTTCAGACGGCTCAAAAGTTCGATATCACAATTCGGCAGTCAACAGACATTCGCTCGAAAACTTGCGTTTATCACATCAAGGTGACGTTGTTTTGCGAGGGTTTTCGTTCAAAAGTTAACATTGTTAGGCTCCCGAAGGAAAGAAAATCATTGTCGAAATACTGAAAGTCGACTCGACGTGCATCGAGGGATGCTATCAGGACGGACTGGAATTGAAGATGAAAAGCGACGTTCGACCCGTCGGATACAGGTAAGCAATACAGATTTTCTAGTTTTACGCGCAAAACTTCAGATTCTGCTGCCCTGAATCGTTACGTCGAAAGTTGGTGTCCGAAGGAAATCGAGTCCCGTTCCTGGTTTATTCGAGAGAAAAAGATTTTTCAGTTTCTTTCGAATACTCTTTTGGTGGGCGAATTCTCGGAAAACAGCCGCAAAATTAGTGTTTTTGCAGTGGATGCAGCTGCCGGATTCGACGATGTCACCAGCGAGAACGCAGTCCTCCAGAATCCCCAAAACGATAATTCCGACGGCGTCAACGTCTCGATCACTCCATCCATCGAGAAGTTGAGATTCCGCAGACATTTGTAGTCCAAACCTCCCACGTGGTTGTTGTTGTTGAATTCAGCTTTATAAGTTCACCCGCTCTCATTCTCATCCTAAGTGCTTTGTAGTTTGTGATTTGCACACAAAACTGATTAATTGTTCGTAAATAAAGTAATTCGTGGCAAATGTGCAGACATTTTATAGAGATCAAACTTGTATCACATATCACACTTTGGCAATTGGGCTTTTGACAGGCACGCTTAGGCAGGTGAATACATCGTTTCGTTGAACTGAAATTAGAAACTTTGTGAATTCCGGAGAAGACAGGTGGAATTGGTGTGTAAGTAAGGCTCACCTGATCGAAAGACAGCTCCATAATTGATACCTTATTCGTGTTGGACAACATAATCACTTCTCGTACCCGCTGCAAATTAATAACACTTTTCAGATGGCTTCTCAGAATGCCTACCGGCGGCTCTCCGTTCCTAACGTGTCTCCGTTTGCATTGAATGTAATTCCGACACTTGATTATAACGTAGAATCCGATCATCTGAACGATGAAGATGGTCGGACACACGACCAGACTGATCTTCGCCATCACTGCGTCACGGAGCGTAATATTCCCCTGGAGAATTGCGTTGTTGTGCGCCTGAGAACAGTGGTACCTCGGACAACAACTCGCCGACGGCAATCAGACTCGTGATGGCATTGAGGACGGCGATGAATAAGTGATAGGCAAATGCGGGCATCAGCCACTGAGTCTGCAGCTAGAACAGTTCAGTGAGAGAGGACGAAGCGAAAGAACTTACTCTGGTGGAGTAGAGCGAGTAGAGAATCAGTCCGTGCGAGGCGCATCCACCGATCAGAAAGCAGACGAACGCGATTCTAGCTGCAATTATTCGAGTTTTGCGTTGAGCTTTTGAAGAAATCTCACCGGTAGTATTGACGGATTCTTCGTAGAGATACCAGGGGAAAATCCACCATCCGAACACGAACACGCCGACTGTCGCACACACTCCGAACACTGCACAAAACGAAGCTACATACTTGATGTGTATGCCGCCGAAAATTCGAAACCGCTCGGCGTTCTCGTCGAATTCCATTCTGAAGGGAGGCAAGTTTTTGGATGTAAATGTACAGACGCCGGACGACGAAGAGGTAAACAGAAAATGAATGAAGGGGAGGATAATATTGAGACAAGAGGTGTACACATAGAGATATTATCCACATATTATTTTGACGAGCCGCCCGTCTCCTCCATTCATTTCCCCACAACGCTTCTCTAATTAGTGAGAGCAGAACAGTTTGCTGCGAGAAGGAGAAGAAGAAGAAGAAGAAGGAGAAGAAGCGAAGGGGAATGGGAAGAAGGTGCAGAGAGGATGGACACGTGAACGAGGGCGGGAGGCCTCTCTCCGACAAACAATCACTATCATTGCCCGGGCAACACACGCGGGGCAGAGCAGTCGACGTGTAATCACTGGTTCGGGCTCTCTTTCTCTCTTTCTCTCGCTCTATGGCTTTGAAATTTCTCAAAGGTCGTCACATTTTCGGAGCAACATTCTGACCAACTGAAAGACAAACAAAAACGGAAGTTGAGACTAGATCTCTAGAAAGTTTTCAGGTGGGAAAAGAATCGACCGATTCTGGCGGAAGTGATATTAAAAATGGGCAGCACAGAACGAGACGCTTTGAGTGAGAATGCGCGACCTTATGAATAGGCTGATAATCATCTCTAATTGCAGTCCCCCGCGAATGGATTGTACTTGGAAAGGGCGGATTCGAATTCGGATCCGGTCTCTCTTCTCTTCGTTTCGACGTGGAATTCGGCTCGAGTGAAAAAGGAAGAATGGGTAGAGAAAAATGTGATTTGCAGGCAAACACACGAAAAATTAATCGAAAATGTTGGTGGCTCTGCACATGGGAAGCCGGCGTCACACGCAAATGAGAGCCAAGATTCGGAGAGGAGTCAAACACGAGACTCTTTTGATTTTGATGACGTCTCTGACCGGCTGAACTTGTACTCCACTCCAGCTTTGCACGGATTCACTTCAATTTGACGTGGTGTTATGAAATCTGAGAAATTGAAAAGATCAAAGTCAGAGAAACATTGAGGCAGTGAGTGCTCCGCGGCAGAAATGAGAGCGCCACGGCTTCGACAGCCGTAATTGAATTTTTCAGGCTTCTAGAATTGCAGCTGCATGAACTTTGGTTTATCTATAACTGAAATGTATACCGCATTTCGGTCTGTTTTCGATGCAGAAAAACTGAAAACTCGACGGGGGCGGGGCTTGTTGTGAAGCGGATAATTGGTAGTTGCACGACTGAAAACCATCTGAATAAATAATGACAGGCTTGCGAGACATTTGGAGCCGCGCGAGAATGGCGAACAGAAGAGGAAGCAGGAGAAAAAGAATGAAGGGTTTATTCGGCGGAAAATCGGCAAATGCTTGAAATGTTTGTGTGTTTGGAAGGAAACTCTTCGAGCCCGGACATGACATTGAGAAGCAGATCGTACAGGAGAAAAAGACCCGTGTGGAATGAAAGAAAAGAAGAAAGCACGAGTCAATAGAGAGATGATGACGTTGGAAGGTGGCGCACTTAAGTTGGTCGACGGCTACAATTTGATAGAAAACATTCGACGCATTCGAGGTGTCAGTTCCTTTCTCGAGACAAGTAATACCACCAGTAGAAGACTGAAAGATCAACCGATTAGATGGGGGGAGCGGACGAGGAAAGTACCGTTGAAAGCGGCGAACATGGCCGGGAACGCCTTGGCTGCGAACGAGTCGACACGGGCTCCCATATCGGCGGAAGCCTCTCGCGAACTATTGTTCTTCCAGCTGATTCCATTTCCGTTCTGCTCACCACTGAAATCACATCTGGTGTTATTTTGAGCCTGAACTGGCTGGACTCAATCATACGCTGACAACGATTGGGAACTTGATTATTGTGTCATGAAATAATCTGCGATAGAAATGGAATTGCATTTCGAGATTGTCAGCCAAAACTACCGTAACCTTCGAGCTAACCTTATGTTGTACAACTCCTCGTCATCGTTGTTGTTCATACTGTACCTCATGGAATTGCATTTCGAAGGACACGAGTACTTCCTAAAACTGACGGGCCGATCGCTGAAATGTCACATGAGTTCTTTCATTCTCTCTTCTGTCTTTCTCCGTTCTTCTCACTTACTTCTTTATTGTGCCGCCGGCGATGGCGCGTTGGAATTTGATTCGTCGCGACCTCCGCTTGATTTCTGTTATTTTATCTACGAATCCGACGACGGCCAACTCGACGAGCGAGAAGAAGATGAAGGCGACGCACACGAAAAACCAGAGATCAATGGCCTGGAACAGAGCGAATTCGGTCCAAAGTCTATACACCAGAGTCTCAGAATCTCATACTTTGACGAAAGAAACACGTGGCAAGTTTTTGACAATGTTTCCGAATTGGAAGGTGAGCGCCATCAGCGAGGAGACTCCGAGGGTGATTCTCGCGGGCAACGCCCTCGTGTCAATCCAGAAGGCGATCCAGGAAATGAAGACGGAGAGGTAGGTGGGAAGGTACATTTGAAGCACATAATAACCGTAGAGTCTCTTGAACCTGCAACAGAACCGTGTCAGTTTGAGTATCTTTCGGTTTTCCGACCTGAAAGTGACTTTCAGTTGATCCCACATTCCAGCCGTATACTCGTTCGACGTTTTCCCCCACGTCACATTGTAGAATTGAAAATCCGGTAACCGAAAATCTTCCGGAGGAGGCATCGTAACGGGCGCCCATTGCTGCCAATTCAGCCGCACTTCTGCTATGTTATACGAGTAGGATTCGAAGACCAAATGACATTCCTGAGCATCAATCGGGAACCTGGACAGTTCGAAACTGCACGGGGCAGAGACTTGTACTCGGTAGTTGAGCCAAACGGTGCCTGCAAAGAGAATGGGTTGGATAGGAAGTTATGAGGAAAGACGGACCGTTCGGGTAGATGATGAGAAGGATGTTGGAGGCGGGAGACTTGTGCACTTGCGTGCTCTTGCTGTTCACAAAGCAGACATTCGGCGTCCACAGCCTTTCGCTAACGTAGCTGTCGAGCGAAAGGTTTGTTTTGCATGAGATGTTCCTGGAACACGCGGCAATCTGATACAATCCTCTTTAGATTGTCACGAACCGATACTCGAGCCGCGGGTCCTCCCAAACTTGGCTGAACCAGACGTCGGCGATGAAAGAGCTCGAAATCTCGGATATTGATGAGATGTCCTGATTAGTAAGAGATCAGAAATGGAAGAGCATGTCACGTCATCGGAAAAAGGCAGTCTAATCTAAGGTGACATGTAAACAAGTCATTTGAGTAGAACAAAAGAGATGTCTGGCCAGACGAAAGTCTTTTCAGAATGGGAATGCCCTTTTGAATGGGAACGTACCTGCACTGTGAGCTCGACGCTGACTTGCACCGAGTTGTTCGACGGAACCATTGTTTTATCGTAGTCTTGTAATAGATCCTGCAAAACACAAAACGATTTTGTGGTCCACCCGAAAATGAACTCACAGTTAGAATACTTCGCCTATGATTCGAGTTGTACTCACAAGGCGCCGGATCCACGTGTACCGCTCCCGCCTTTTCCGTCTTCACCTCTTTTGCTACAGTCGAGAGGAGCAGCATGTAGATGACATCGTGCAGCATTCTGGAAGACATCTTTGCAATGAGATGACGCATTCTTTCGTTTTCGATTTAAGAGGGAGCAGTAAAAGTTCGTTCGAGCAAAGACGCAGAGAAAAGAGGAGACAGGATTCACGCCGATTCGGAGACCATTGAATTATGGGCGGTACGGCTGATTCGGAGTGTCATGAAAAAGAGAAAAGGCGAATTAGAAGAAGAAGAAGAAGAAGGGGGCGAAGAAGTTGGCCTTCTAAATATGTATGTTTTCTTTGGGAGCCAAAAAGATAAAGACGAACGATAAACGAGTTACTGAGCAGCTAATTGCTTAAACGGATTCCCTTTTGAATCGAAACGGAGGGCAAAAGGGCGACTGTAATTGGCGTGGAAGAAGAAGCCGTTTCGCTGACGTCTTCCGCTTTTGCAGGCTTCTCCGCGACGAACGAACGAAATTCGGAACAATTCGGGTTTCCGTCTGATGTCACATGTCACTGAGGTTTGGGCGAACAATTCAGAGAGCATGTGATGGCGCAAAAACAATAAAGGGTAACAGACGGAGTTGGGACGGACAGGCAACGCATGCATAATTGACACATTTCAATCGGAGAGCTTGTGAACTTGTCGAATGTCTGAGCGCAGAAGCGTGAGATTAGAGGGCTTGTGAAGTTTTCGGTCTCTTCCTTCAGTAGCCTGAAGAAGGAACAATAATTTATTCGGGTTTTAGAATAAAAGTGCAAACTTCTCGGTTAGGGGCCAAATTAAAATCAAAAAGAAAACAAAGCGGGCTTCTGGCCCGTGGGAAAAGTAGTAAAGTTCAAAGTAAACGGGCAGGGAAGAGGAGGCAAATGAAAACGTTTTCAGGCTCGAAATAGAAGAAACGAAGAGGCGAGCAGGAGAAGAACTAATGATTAATCCTGCGCCTGGTGTGCTCACTGAAAGTGACATCCACAGGCAATCAGTGCGGTGACAAGTTCGGCAGCACAAAGTGCTCAGTTCGTGCCGGCCGACTCGATTATAAAATCGTGGTCGGTCGGAATGGCGGGTCCGAAAAACGACGAGACGAAAGTGACACACACACCGAATTGAATCCAAAACAAGTTAGGATATTTGGTTGGAGCATTGAGAACGAATGCAAAACGGAAAATTGAGAGGAGTAATAGGAGAAGGAAGGAAATATCTGGAAATGGGGTGAACTCAGAAGAATGAAAGAAACGGTGGGAAGTTTGGTTCAAAGAGGGTCCATACCAGAAATTGCATTCACATGGTTACGGATGCTCGATGTAGAACTAGGACAAACACTGAACGGGGGGTGCCATCTATCGCTTCGCCCACTTTCGAACGAATTAGAGTCTACCGGCCCGGCCCATTGCAAGTTTTTCCGTGTTAAGAAACATAAAACAGGTAACCCGATATCGCCCAAATAGCTTTTTTGCATGAATAATTGACGCAACGCTCGGAATTAGATCATTTGAGGGCCAAAAAGGAAGTCTGAAACTTGAGAAATCGGCGACACGTGCAGAAGCGAAAAGCGAGTGAATGACGGGCGAAAACTACAAGGGAACGACAAGGAATAAGGAGAAGACAAAGTGGGAAACGCGAGTGAGGTCGTCTTTCCTGCCCCTTCTTCTATCCTTCTGGAATTAGAGCGAGAGCGACGGACACAAGGCGTTATGACGATGATGATGTGGGACGGACGGACGGCCGCGCGGACGTTCCCCTCACTTCGAACGCTTTGCAACACGTCTCTAGTTTTCGCGCCGCCATATTTTTCCCCCTTTTCGTGTCTTACTACCGCGAAAATAAATGTGTTGTGAACGAACTTGAACGTTTATTTTGAATCCGGAAAACGAAATGACATCAGAATTCGAGAGATGATCTGAGTTTTGAATAAATCATTACAGAAATCAACGACTGACAGGCAGGAAGTCTGCGGATAAGTCTAGAGAAACCTTAAAGAGCAGTTGCGAAATGTCGCGAGTTGTCTTTAAAAAGACCTCGAGTTAGATTGAAAAAAGAGTCCGTAAATGGGTAATGTGTGTGTGTTTGAGCAGAGGAAAAGTGTAGCAACATTACCGGATTTTCCCCGGGGACGGGACAGGCGGCCTGTGTAATCGAGTAATGAGAGAACGAATAATTGCGAATCTTCCCTTTCCAAATCTTTCAAAACTCTACTCTTCTAATAATAGACTTTCCTAGAATCTAGGGCAGGAACGTTCGAATGTATCACGTCTAGCGAAATTTCTCATCAGGTTTGCTTCATTCTGATTCTGACATCTTGACAACAAACATCAGGAACTCACAAAAGGTGGTAAACAGGAAAGTAGTCGTGGGAAAATCTGGAGGCGATTGATGAAAGACGAAAGATCCTGAATCACAAGGATTCGAAAGTGAACGTTTGTTGTCTGAGAGTGTGTACCGGAAGTTCGAGCGAGTTAAAGACCAGCTCAGGTGCAAAAACAACGACGTCATTGTTTGTAGAAACGAACGAAACAAGTTGGGAAATGGAAACGAATCGGATGAATTATGAAACGCGGAGTGTGAATGGTCACCAGGAAACGAGGAAGCAAAACGAGATTCGTGGCGGCCTCACGCCATCCGCGGGGGACCACATGCAACCAGCACGGACCCTGAAATTAGCACACTGTGCTCCTCCTTGCTCTTTTTTCCCCTTTCCCTCCCATTTTTGTCGTCACAACCGCCCATCGCGACACGAAAATGGGTAGGCGAAGACACATAAAATTTAACGACATTGGCTGTCGGTAATATTAATTAATTAAAAGTGTCGTCGGTCCCTTCAGAGAGTCCTTTTGCCACGTGGATCCCCAGAACATTCAACTTTTGTCGTTGGGACATTGACGGAAAGGAGGAAGAAAACGAGAAATCATTTTAAATTCATAAAGTCATTAATAATGTTGGGCTGAGACGGCCAACCTGAACATTGAATTCGATAACACCAAAGTGTTCGATTCGAAGAGGAAGAGGTCCCGAAAAACCGGAACTGAACAAATGTTGGGGCGCAGTGGAGAGAGAGAGAGAGAGGAAGAAAGTTCGACCCTCGTCCCGTGAACTGCCGGCTGTTGATTTCGCCGGCCGGCGTCACGCTTCCCAAGCCTTTTTCCGCGCGCCAAAACTTCTGATGCATTCCCAAAAAATCAAGTGAAATGAATCAGTATTCGTTCGACGGCACGCATCTGAAATCGCAGAACAGCACGCGGGCGGCGGACGGCGGCACGCTCTAAAAGCCTTCGGCCTTCTTCAGTGCGCCAAAACTTCAGATGCGTGCCGTCGGACAAATACTTATTCATTTCACTTTTTGCGATTTTCTTGTTGCTCTGATCCTTTTACTATGACAATGATTGAGATGAATCAGTATTTCTCCGGCGGCGCGCATCTAAAGTCCCTGGAACGCTGCATCTGAGCCTTCGTGGACGACCTGCTGCCGTTCGGCCATGTTTTGGTACCAAAAGTAAACCGGTCGGGGCAAATAAAATTTGAAAAGTCCACTTGAATTCAAAAAAGCAGTTTTAGCTTTCAGCTCGAAGAGTGTCCAGGTCAACGGGGCATTTCTCAAAAGGTTCTTGCCCTTTTAGAGCCCATCTGCCGTCAGAGCAAAACACGGATAAATTTGCAGGAAGAGCACAAAGTGAAATGTTTCTAATAGTTTGAAATTGCGTGGTTGGCGCCAATTAGCAAACCGAATGAATTAGTTAATTGGACTGGCGGGCGACGAAGAAGAAAAGGAGAAGTTCGGAAAATGCTCTTCACGGAGCCTGACGTCTTCTGGAGCACACGAAACTAGAGGTATCTGCAATGAGAGTACACGGGGAGCGGCGGGCTGAAAAGTGGTCGTATTGGCAGGGCGTTCCTCTCGTTCTCTCCCTCTTTTCAAGTGTTTTTGTCTTTTGATTCGTGCCCGGGAGATGTCTCTTTTGAGAGTATGGAACGAATGAAAAAGATAGAGAGAGAGAGAGAGAGAGAGAGAACGATTTGTGAGAATAAAAGAGAGCTCCGCCGCTGCTACCAGGTTTGGAAAGGCGACTCGATTAGAGCGACAAGCGAATGTCTCGAGCGGAATGCCGAGACATGCAAACCAATTGTTTCCCTTATGGAAACAGAAGAAAGAAAAAGAAGCAGGAAGGGTTTAAACATCGCCCTGGACCCATTTTTATACTACTGCAAGCCTATCCGACAGTTAGACTTTTCACGTATAGAGAGGTACAACTACAGTAATCTCGCCCAGCTTATGTTTTTCCTCGTCGCCCTAATGTTCAGAAAATTATAACTTGAGAATGGAGAATCTAGCGAAAAAACAGCCAATTACAAGGGGGGGTTAGTCAACATAAAATTCGCGACAACTTCTTAGATTCAGGTCTCGAAAGGATGGATAGTCTGGCTGGAAGTGAGCAAATTCATTTCCGGAAAAGGTGTGTCTATGATTCTGATTTCCAGTGTTCCCCAATCATCGATCACCGAGCAGTTGTGTGTAAATCCCATTATTTTGCAGTCTGCCGACATGGCAAAAGCAAAAAGAAAAGGAAAAACGAAAATAAACTGACTGCGATTCAGAGGAAAATGCCAATTTTCCCACCAAGTATTATAGTTGTCATGTCAGACAGAAGACGAATTATCAACAAAAAAAGGCAAAAGAGAAAAAGAAGGAGCGCATTCAGATGAAGTGTGAAGAGAGGCGAAGACCGAAGAGTTCGAAGCTTGTTGCTATGATCGATCGACGCTCGATCTGACAGGAATAATCACTTTTGACGAGAGTCAGCGGCTCGCCGAGCACCGCCCACTGGTGTAATAAAAACATCGGAAAACGATGATTTACTTCTTATTATGTGCTCTCTCTCTCTCTTTCTCTTTTGCGTGTCTTTTTCAACTTGCGCTCCCCATGTTCCATTTGCAAATGAGTTTTGTGAGCGTCGGAAATTAGTATTAGGAGAACGTAAGTGAGTTTTGGGAACTGAAAGCATACAAAAAGACCTTTGACCTTGGTAAAGGGGAGTACAATCATCCGGCGGTAAACACCTTTAGTGGGAAGTGGAAAACATCGAATTGGCAGTTGCTCTCTTTCTCTCTCTCTCTCTCTCTCACACTTTTTTTCTCAATTCAAGACTTCGAACTCTACCAATTTTTCAGGGTCGTCGAACAAAAAGAGTTGATGGATGAAACGGATAGGATGCACTCTCCTTCTCTCTCTCTCTCTCTCTCTCTCTCTCTCTCTCTCTCTTCAACCGCAACTGTTCTGGATGGGGGACTACTGATGCTTTTGCTTCTCCTGATGATGATGACCGACACATCAGTGAGCACGAGCTTTCACATTTCCATGATCAGCCCAAACATCGTCGTTGGGCGGGCTTCATGCGGGCAAACATGCGGCGGACGAGTTGTTGTTTTTTTGACGGAAAGAGGTGATGACAAGTGATGGGATGGGATGAGATAGGAAAAGGAAAATGAAAATGGAATGGAAATAGGTTGAAACTGCACAAAAACCTTTCTGGATAGATAAAGGGACTTCTCAACGAATACCTGGTTCGAGTGGAAAGAGAGGAGAGAAAGCTTTCACTTTCGGCTCATCCCATTCCATTCCGTTATCACTTCCTTCTTGTGACTAATGGAAACGGAGCACAAAGAGTGGAGAATGGAGAGACGAATGGAAGTCTCTTGAACTTGTTCTCTCCCCCCTCTCAGACAATAACTGGCAATTATTCTCGGATTTCGAGGACCTCTAAAGCTCGTCGAAGCGTGCCAAACTCCGCACGTGCTGCTCCTTTTTATATTAGAGTCTTCGCCGAGTTGTGGAGGCTCGTCGAGCGGGCTTCTGGAGCCAACTCATACAATATTGATGATTTTAAGTGCGACCAACTCGATTATTCGGTCATTTGCCGATTAAATTTCATCACTGACTACGTGCAACAATTTAAAAAAGAGGAGGAAATTCATTTTTGATGGGAGAAAGAGGGTTATGGTTAAGCTAAAGAATGAACGGAATGAACAACGAGGTCGACCTGGTGATGACGTGTCTTCGATGCTTTCTCCGCTTCTCCATACGTGACAACCCGCTTCTTGTTGCAGAAAAGATACTTGAACTGGTGCCGGAACTCGGCATTCAGCGACAAGTAGACGAAGATGTTGATGCCGGAGTTGACGCAAGTGAAGTAGGTGGACGGTTTGAGGATGAAACTGACAACCTTAAGAATTATTGAGATGGATCTTCTGGGGGTAGAAGACGAAAAAGGAAGAAACGAACATCTTCGAAGTGCACGGAAAGAATGGAAATGGCATTGGGGATGAAGACGAGAACGAATGAGATGAACGAGATGACAAGACTGTAGCGGACGTTGATGATCTGCCGGCGGACGAGTCTGAAAACGGGAAAGGATTGTGAGGAAGAGGTGGACTCCTCACTTGTTGATTGTCGAAGAAGCCTTGATCATTGTGATACAGTTGATGAGGAAACTGAACAGATATCCGAAGATGTTCATGATGTAGATGAACGTGGCGTAGTCTTTTCCGAAGGCTGCTTTCCGACCGCAATAGTACAAAACCTACAAGCAGGATTTTGATTTCCAGATGGTTTCAGTTAACGTCTATTCTACCTTGACATCCTTCTTCAGGTACGCAACAATAAACCAACTAGGAGGGTCGGCAGCAGAATGACAAGTGTGGAGCCAAAAAGGAAACTCGAGCTGAAATTGTTTCCTTCTTTAGTTTCTCGTGTCTTGGTTCTCATACCGATTTCTGCCGTTCTTGTGAAACCAAATGGGAGCAAACACCGCGAGAGCTCTTTGGATTCCAATAACCATTTGGACCACAGGTGGCCAGATGTCTCCTGGGAGTGAAATGTTATGGGGTGTACAGCCATTCACTCTCACCAATTCCTCGCAGAATGAGCCACGGCTCGAGAGCGCATTGCCACGCGGTGCGGATCGGAAGATGGTGGGTTTGGATGATCTCGGTGTACAGTTCCACACGGTTCTTGCCCATAAACAGAATTGCGAGAGTGTTGAAAGTGTCGGCGAGACCAAGGATCATCAGAATCTGAATGGAATGACTGAAACGGAAAGCGAATTGGGAGTGATCTCACTCTGTTTCTGTGCTTTTTCCGGAGAGTTGGTGAGGATAGAAATACGGAGAACAAAACGATATTAAGGGAAAAACAAATGGCGCCGAAGAAGACGTTCATTCTGAAACCCCTTCTGAAAAATAAACGATCGAACTGGGAAAGACTCACCGATGAAAGGAAACGTAGTCATGAAGATCTTCGATCAGTTGGGCAGTGACACAATCACGGTCTCTGGTTGTATTCATTGGCGGATCTCACATTTTACGGTCCGAATCGAAACGATACAAAGAAAATGGTTTCGAGACGGGAAGGAATGGTGACCGATTGGCAACGGGCTCGCCGCCTGATCGCAACCAATTTGGGCCAAGTGTCTCGCCGTCGCCGCAATGCCTGTTTTCACGGAATCGTCTCGTGTTTGCCACAAAAAAGGACTAAATGTTGCCTGTTCTCAAACTGATTGAAAAGTGTTTATTTATGTTGAAAGCCTACGTGAGAACGTTAGCAAATGAAAGCAACAATTTGATGAAATTGTCAGGGCACAATCTTGAGAATCTTCTCCAAAAGTGCCGCCTTCGTGGTGTCGCTCAGATTCTTGAACTCTTCTTTTATCCGAAACTCTTTGATCTCCGACACACTTTTTATATTCCGCAAGCAGCTGTCCTAAAATGATTCGCTCAAAACAGTGAATTGATAATATTTCAAACCTGCAGCTTCGCCAGCAAATACTGATCAGCCCACATCAATTTGACTATCGTATCGACCTCTCCGGTGGAGACGAGGAACCGTTCGCACTCGTCCATCACGTACTGGATCTCGTATTTGTCGCCCAACTCCAGAAGATATTCGACGTTGTCAGCGGTCACCGGCTTGTGGCAAGGGTAGATGATGTTGAGAAGCTCTCGGAACTCTTCGAGAATAACGTCTTCCAGTTCTACCTGGGCCTTTTCCCTCTCTTGAAAATTTGAATAGAACATGGCGTAGAAGACGGGCGAGTAGAGGGCAAGGTACTGAAATTATTTCCTCACTTTTTATCAGTTGTTCAATTCACTCACCGCTTTGTTGACAAACAATTTCTGTTTGTTGATGACGAGCGTCATGTCGCAAATGTTGGCCTGCATCGCTCCGAAGTCGTACCTCGGCACGTTCCGCACTCCCAGCACCTTCTGAACGACGACGCGCGCGACGACGGTGACCGTGTCGTTCCGCACAAAGTTCGAATTGTTCACCTCGTCCCAGGCCATAAACGAGGGGAAGCCCCAGTTGTTCGAGTTGTAATTGAACTTGTTTTTGAACTCGCGCGAGAACGGAGGATGCGTTCGATTCCCGGAGACCAACCGGAACTCGACGACGGCGTCACACGACCAGAGCGTCGACTCGGACTCTGGATTGCAGTCGATGTACACCGAGAAGAACTTCTGATCCGAGGTCCGCTTCGTCTTTTCCGTTTTGGCTGCTAGTCTCCTGAAAAGAAATATGAGGTGGAGAGAAGGCAGATGTTCACTGACCACGGTAAGTTTCCAATGTACTGGAAAGGAGTGCTCACTTTTGCTCTCAAGCTCGGAAAGTTTTTGATTTCCAGCCGGAGCATCCCCTCCGTTGGCACACTTCGCGGGCGGTTGTACAATTCGAAGTCGAACGGAGCAACATCAGCTGCTCCATTATCGATCTGTTCGGGAGCACTTTGTCTGGGCGGACCTGCAATTGAATGTTTTTCGAATTGATCTATTTCTATGAAGATAGAAGTAATCCTCTAGTAGATTGAACTGGATTATTATTATGAAACTAGTTTTCCAAATCAATTATATGTTCTCTCGAACGTATGCTGAAAGGGAAGTAATTGAAACATTGATTCGTTTGTATTTTGTGCCTACATTCCAGCTTCTCTAATGAATCAAATACTCACTTGAGAAGAGCCTTCGCGGAGCAATCAATGGAGCATCACAGGCACAAGTGATCGAAAGAGCGTCCAGTTCGTCCTGAAGATTTGAACATTCTATTGTTCCATGAAAAAACCGCTCTTACCTCCAATTGGCGTACTTCTTCCGGGTTTTCTCTCTCTGGCAAAGTGTTGTGGTCGCTCATTCTGTTCGTTTCAGATGAGTTATTGTTGAGAGAATATGAGTGTGTACGGCTACCCTGCAAACAAGCACTAGTAGTAGCCGATGGAAGCGAGATTGCACGAGGTAGTACGCAAACACGCTGACGCATTACTGCGGACTGGGGGCGCTCTCCTTTCACAAGTGAATACGAAAGGAGAAAAGGAAATGGATTATGATAAAGATAAGGAAAGGTAATTAGGGAAAAGTGTACGTTGACGGATGTTTCCCGTCAAATCAATTCAGTTGCGGTGCGGCTTCCTTTCACATCGTTTTCACTTTCGACGCCCTTTTCCGCCCTGCCCATCATCATTTTCTCTTTGGAATTCATGAGACTCTGAATGATGATGAGGGACGGCGAAAAGACAATCTGAAGACGAAGAATAGGCGAAAGCAAGTCGATCATTTCCTAGAAAAGTAGGACGATCAGCTCGAACATATGCTGGGAGACTGAATTGAATTGAGACCATGTGATTCCTATTTTTGTGTGAAAACGTGACACACATCTTGTGAGTATATACGATGACTATTACTGTTGAACATGGGAAAAAGATCACGTCCCTGACCAACTGTCCCTTTCAGACCTTCTCTTCCAGAATCTTCCACTTCCTTCTTCTCAAAGTTCACTGCAGAGTCTTGCTCTTTGCATCGTTGGCCGCGCGGAGCAATTTATAAATGCGCGACCCTGTTAACACGATTAAATCGGACACGTACGGATACCTAGAATCGCATAAATAACACATGCAAACACTTTCATTTCCTCGTTTTTTCCCAGTACAGTATGTTTGTTGCGTGTCAACTGCAGCGTCTCCGCTGCTCCTCCCGTGTTCTCTGCTCGAAGCATTGGCACAAACTTTCTGGACCTGAACCACTATTGTGAACAACAAAGTGGCATAAAACGAACAGAAAACATCCGAGGAAGTATGAGAAGGTTATTCATTTGTTGACCATTTTCTGTTTCCGCCTCATAATTTTTGTCCAGAGAGAATACAAAAAGTTATGAGATCACGAAAGGATTGGTCATCACAAATCATTGTGTAGTTTGGTCCCTGATCGATTGTAGATTTAACTTTTATTCCCTTCCATCTTAAAATTTTCTGACAATCTTTACTGCTCACCACGTGAATGCGGCGCCGGATTTTTACGTGGGATTACGGTTTTTCGGGGCTTATACCAATATTGTAGTTCTCCATAATTGTGCGACTAGGCTGATCCCCTCGGCTTTATTATTTCCAGGAATGGGGGGGAATCAGCTCACTTCTGGCCACGTCTTCTTCTTCTTCTTCTTCTTCTTCTTCTTCAACCCAATGATTCCATCATCATTTCTCATTCTTCGGCTCGTAAAGAACATCATAAAACTGTCTCCTTTCCACTCTTTTTTCTTATTCCATCCGATTCTTCTTCTTCTTCTTCTACTTTTTCTCGAACCCATCAGATTCGTGTGCACTGCTCAGGCTCCGCCCCTTTTGTCCGTTCCATCATTATACTCGCTTTTTCGCCGCCGTCTTGTCATCAACAGATCCGTTTGACGCGCGTGCGCCCTTCGTCTTTCGGTCTTTGAAATTCATGAATTTTGACAAGAAGTTCTTGCACGTTAGTCTCCGTTTCGGACCGAGCCGTCCATTTCTCTCGCCCAATTTACGCTTGTTTATCCGTGGATCCATTCACTTCCCATTCCGTCGTCACTTCTATTGTAGTCGTTGTGGTCTGGAATTCATTTTCTGAAAAGTCCGGAAATTGCTGCTCCCTTCAAAATAGTGATTGAAAAGTAAAGTTCGGAGCGCGCGCGGAGGCGTATGCACACTTCCGATAGTCGGATTTAAACTGAAACTGCTGACGACGACGACGTCAATCCGTTTCCACTTTTTTAGGTGATTCTGGCCTTTGAGCCGCCAAGGTTCAACATTTTGATTGACGCGGCTGACGGCGGTGTGGCGCTCAAAATTTGAGCCATTGCCTCGCTCACCTTTCGTTTCAAAAGCACTTTTAGGCTGCGTGGTCTCGGATAAACACGAGTGCCCTCTAAGGAACCGTTCGGAATCACATTGTGAAGAATGGGTCTATTCGGATAGAGAAATGGTTGTTTTGGAAGGAGCAAGTTCAGATTTCATAAAAGACAACTTCTAGTCCCTCTTTTTTATGCCACTGCATTCTTCTCGAGCCTTCGAGTTTTCCTTCCTAGTGTCCCACATGCTTCACAATCCTTCGAACCCTGTACCCACTTCCGGTAAGCACCACTTCATGACGTGGCACTATCACATTTCCTTTTCCTCCAATTTCCGTGCCTCTGTAAGTTTCCCTTCCAGACATAATAAAATAACGATGTCTGACGACGCTTTTAGAGTATGACATCCAATAAAAAGTGTGTATGATGCTATGTCAGCTATAAAAAGAGTATCCGCGAAGAGGAACGAAAACAGTAGTTGCAGCCTAGATTCTGGTCCCCAAACGAAGATTACGGTAGGCGGAAACATGTAAACTCGGCGACGTTTAGATTGGTTTTCGGCCAAAAACAAATCAAAATCAAACACTCCAATTTCACACCGACTCTCTTGATTATTATTATTATTATTCGTATTCTCCAGTCTCTCTGCGCTGGTTTGCAAGCAAAAATCCATTTCCAATCCAGTCGAGTTGCCCAAAAAATCTACACAATTTCGCCATATCTAACGGAATTGCTGAGTATTTTGCATGCATTTCTGAGCAATGTGTCTTCCTTGTTCTTTTCATTCTTTCGCTTTTCCACTTCTATGCTCAATGATGCTTTGCCACGTCACACCCGTCGACAGACGGACTTTCGGAGTGTTGATGAGCAATGCCTTCGGGCTTTCAAATCAATCTGCCGGGTCCGTTCCAGCAAGTGTACCATTCCGATCTTCTGATCTTCAGACGAGAACTCAGTGAGCTCCTCCTCCCAGAAACTTCCTAATTCCCCGTACCGCCCATCTCTTGACGTCAACGAAGCCACCCCCATTTCCGTTTCCCTTCCAGCCAATCGACGGCTCAAGAGCCCATTCCTTGCCCCACTCGGTGTCTAGTATCGGGTGTCCAATCAGCATATCTGAAAGATCTGTTCTCAAGTTTCACTACTTATAAAAAAACGTCAAAGCCAGTGTCGCCGTCAGAATTCGTTCATTTTTTTATCATGCAGTTGCAAACAGGCAGCTCTCTCTCTCTCTCTTTCTGTTGACAGTTTCGTCGTGAAGCTCCGATAATCGGACTGCAAATCGGATCGAATAGACCGGATTCCAGTGCACTTATCCCCCGATAAATGTGCATTTCCACATGGAAAATCGGCGCTTTCCGTTGGTTTTTTGGTCGGCGCCCTGGTGGCCGCATTATTCATCTGAACTGAGGATTTCGGGGTTCCGAGTAAAAAGTCGTCACTCTACTCATCACTTTATTTTTATTTATCATATTCTGTTCATACCCAGTTCGTCGAAAAAGGAGAAGAAGACGAAAAAGTGGATTAGACATAGTGCAGGATTATTGTAATTGTCTAGCCAGTTCCAGCCTGGGCTATATTTCAAGTTATTTTGACTCGTAGAGTGGGTGCAGAGAATGAATCATTCCGAATGGAACTCCGTCACCCAGCCAACTAATCGAATTCTCACCACAACTATCAGGTTGGTCTCTGTCTCGGAATCTGAAATTGTGGGAGAACTTCGTTCCGATTCGTGCCCAAATGACTGATCATGATGATTTTTTCTGGGGGCGCAGTGGAGAGAGGAAGAAAGTTCGGCCCTTGTCCCGTGAACTGCTTATTTCCGCGCACCAAAACTTCTGATGCGTGAAGTTCAAAGAAAACTGATTCATTTTTCCTAATTTTTTGGGAGTGAGTTCATTATGATGGAAACTCGCAAGCAGCAACGAGAAACTCGCAGAAATATCCTTCCGGGGTGACTGTCAAAACAGCTTTTCTCAAAATATGACTGCTCGTGCGTGTTTTTTGTGTCTCTTTGTTAGTTTACATCATAATAAACACGTTCCCAAAAAATCAAGTGAAATGAATCAGTATTCGTCCGACGGCACGCATCGGAAGTCTCAGAACAGCCAAGGAGCTCCCGGACGGCGGCGCGCTCTCCAAGCCTTTTTCTGTGAGCCTGTTGCAAAGAGAAATCACCGTGCGCTCATCCTTCTTCGATTCATTCAAATCTGTTTATCACTTTGACCGATTCGGCTATCTCTTTCCGCTCTTTCGGCTCTCTCCGTTCGACGTCATGCCCACTTCTTCATAATTCGACTCCGCCCCCCGTTTGCGCCGTTGTACATTCCTCGTTGTTCTCTGATTCGACTGAAAAAGAGCACCTGCTCCCGCTTCCCGCCATTCTCCGTCATCACGATTCCTGACCTCAAACGTCTTTCATTGCAGACGACCCGACATGCACGCCTTCTCCGCCTCTCTCAAAACCGTTCTCCTCTCGCTGCTCTTCGCCACTTTGCTGGTGCTCACCGCCGGAAGCACGGCTTCTTCTGGAGAAGACGTGACCGAGCAAGACGTCGAGCAGAAGAATGCCATCACTCCAGAGGAGTTCGTCGCGGTAAGAGCGTTCAGAATACCAGAACATGTAAATATATTTGTGTTTCAGTCTGATTTCTCCGAACAGACCAACTTCTGGCCACCAGTGCACCTCCGCGGATTACGGTAAGTTCACTTCTTATTCTTCTTCTTCTTCTTCTTGTTTTCATTTCAAAGTCTTCAGATCATCCAACGGTAAGCCGACTTTCATCCGATTTGGCAAGCGTGCATCGCCATCGTTCATCCGTTTCGGAAGAAAGTGAGGCAGAGCCAGTGAAGCCCCGAAATGTCTGTAGTCTGATTGTCTCCTCCATCTGCCACGTCTCGAAACTTGCACCTAATCTCTCTCATTTCTTCTTTTCCTACCAATAAATGGATTGATTGTTATCTGTCTACCGGCTTCGCGTGCAATTAACGTGCACAAAAACCAATTTGTATATGGAAAGCGGTCGCGCTGAACTGCCCAGGGATTCGATGGATGAAAATGAAGAGAATGTCACGTAGAACTGCATTCCACGTCAGAATGAGATTCCGGATTGAATGCTCAAACAGCAGAAGCTTCGAAGGGCGCAGGTGTTTCCGTGGGCAGGAAATGGCAGAGCAAAGGTTAGCAGACACGGAATGAAAGGCGTTTCGAATGAGAGAAAGCGGAAGGGAATTGCAGATTTATCAGAATCAGTTGGAAAAGGAAGGGCATCCCTGAGCGACTGGGATCGCGAATCGCCGAAGAGGCTGATTCCTGTTGGGCGTGGGCTGCTTCCGACTGGCCCTCCGTCCGTTGTGCACAGATGAATCCGGCAGATGACTGAACGAGTCAGCGAGCAGAGAGAATGATCCCTGCATTCCCGACTTGTACATTTGGAGTGCACGGTCCGAACTGAGCCTATTCATCATCGAATCCAGTTCGGGAGGTGGAGAATCGGATGCAGTGTGAGATCTGAAACTCAAATTGCACAGAACTCCCGAGGCGCGTTTGATACCCGGTCCTCCTGTTGAATCTCGTGTTCGAGGACTCGGTCAGTATGCTCAGTTGTCGATCACTTGGCTCCTCCAACTTCTGCAAATTCAAAGGATTTAAAGGCTTTCTAGAGTCAGTCTGTACCTTCTGAAGGTTGAACGTCGCTCTGATTTTGTACCGATTGAAAGTTCGCTCGTCCCTTTTTGCCATGTAAACTATTATCGAGAAAAGAGCGGCGAGTTCGGTGAACAGGAAACTTGCCTGAAGAGATACAGTTTCGAAGGAGGACCTTTTCATATATTCAAACTTTTAAACACCAGAAAGAGAAGCCGTAAGACATGTAGAAGAGCGGATCATCCATCTCACTTGCCGCGTGGATTTTGTTGCCAACTTCTTTGGAAACCGCTGACATGTAGACGATGATGCACGAGAAATTAGCGATTCCTAAAGGACAATTGCGAAGTGTCGAGTTGCGAAATGGCCTGTTAACCGGAATTTATGTGGAGCAGAGAAGAAGCGAGCAGGGACGCGTAGGGATTCTTGAGACAATAGCAAATGACAGCCATCACAAGTCCGAATCCATCCAATATCATTCCGACCAGCATGAAGAGAAACGCACGTCTCACTGATTCTGAAACCATTTTTGAAGTTATCAAAATCAGAACCGAATTCATTCTCACGCTGAACAGAAGTGGTCGTGTCGCTGGGCTCTTCATCAATCCAATAGTAAACAGTCGAACAGTGAAACGGAGTAATGGCTGCAATCCCAATCATTTCTAGACTCATCCAGAAAGTCCGCCCAACTCACGATCGGCCCAACAGAACAGCCACGGACCGATGGTCGCATTCTTGAAGTAAACGGGAGCGGTGGCAGTGGAGGAGTCATCGAAATTGAGAGTCTGGTTGGGGAACACAAAGTACTTGAGAACTTCGGAAGTGTAGAGCCAGTGATTTGTGGATGAGCCTGCGGTATTCGGCAATATTTTGTTTACAGGGCTTTAGGGAACGTTTAGGTGTATGGAATATTGCACCGATCTTAGTTTTTAAAAGAACGAATACAAAATCAGAGCTCTAAAGTGAGTGCTTAATGAGAATCAGTAAACAGACGCTCACGCTGACTTTGAAAAGTCTCGGAGCATTTATTACGCATGAGGAATCGCATAGTTTTATCATACTTTTCTAAATCCTAAACCTGAAGAGCATCCCTAAAAGTTGTTTCTTCTCACCCACGTCATCATTTGCCACCGCCAGTTGTGTACTTTTCCAAATGACTTCCGTGAGAACGAGACTTACAAAGTGTATTGCATCCACACGCGATCGCCGAGCAAATCAGTGCGAACTTTGTGAGCCGATCTCGATTGACTCTCCGGATCTTGATGAGTTTGTGCTGACTGACAGGTATCACCATCATGTTGACAATCGAAATGACGGATGGCGGGGGGTACGAATGAAAAAGGAAGAAGTGACTTCTCTCGAAAGAGATGAGATCCTGTGTGCCCGTGGCGAAAACTCAATTTGCGTGGTGAAAAGCAAGAAAAGGTTCCATAAATATCTCTCTTTTATCGGCACTTACAACGTACATTCATATATTTCCAATTCAAAGAGAAAAGGAGGAAATGATAGAAAACATGAGAAGTTTGTGAAGAGATACAGTATCAACATACACACACACACAAAATCCGATTTGCAAGAGAGGGGAAGTGGGTTACTACAGAATAAGTTACGATTTCTTTGGAAAGTGCAAGAAGCATGGAGAGATGAGGAGAATTCAGACAAAATTGTGAAAGATACAAAATCTATTATAAAAATCAATAGAAATATGGCAGGGAGACTCTTTGGAAAAAGAAAACACTTTTGGATGGAAAAACAGATGGATATTTGGATGACAAAAGAGATCAAACTACAATTGATTCAATTGGATTGTGTTTGGCGTTGAATGGGACGGGGAATAGGGATAAAAGATAAATGTGAACAGGTGATTGGCATCTGGAAAGAGAGATTGGGGGGGGGGGATTATTATAAGGATGAAAAGGGCCCGTCGCTAACTGGGAGAGCAGAGATGAAGGGAAAGAGAGAGAGAGAGAAAGAGAAAGAGAGACTATGGATAGAACTGAAAGAGGTTCGAGAGGATAGACTTTGCAATCATCAGACGGTCAAGAGATCGGAAACTGGGCGAACGGAGGGACAAAGAACAAGGGAAGGCGGGGGATCGGTTCCGGACATTTGATACCCATAGACTGCGTTGAGACTTTTTAAAAAATTGAGAATATAAAAGTTCTCTGCGGTTATACTTCGTTGGTGGGAGGGGACGGAAAAGATCGAACACGATCTGACGGGGTCCTCGACCAACGAACGTACCGGCAATTGAACCAGGAACTCGCCGAGAAAGCAGCCTGCAAAAGGGGTACATTGAGAAGATGCTCGAACGGTCGGACGGATGCTCACCAGTCTCATCGTGGCTCTTGGCCAAGAATGATTGCGTCGGGAACAGCTTGTCTCCGACTGGCCTTCCGAATCCTTCTGGAATTGATCCCGATGGCGAGATGCTTCCGCTCTGAAATCATAATGTTCAGTTCACATTCTCTTTTGCCGATTCTTACCGTGTGCGAGTTCCTCTCGTGTTGCGTGGCAACTGCCTTCTCCTCTTCAACTTCCTCCTTCTTCACGTCGTTCTTGAAGGTCAGATTGAGAGCGGCGGCCGAGGAGTCTCCGTCCATCTGATTCTGATTCTGGACGACCATCTGAAGAGCGGCCTCCGTCGTCATCTTCAGTGCGACGTCTTCTTCGTCGTCGCGCATCGTCTTCGCCTCGCTCATCTTGATGTGTCTCATTTGGTGCATCTCCAAGTTCTTCTCGTCTCTGCACTTGTAGCCACACTCTGTGCAGCTCAGCACCTGCGGCTCCTTCTCCTCGATGCTCTGCGTTCTCTGGGCGACCTGGCTGATGAGAGCCATCACTTGGTTGAGATCGGGAGCCGAAACGCTGGCGGCGATGTTTCCGATGTGCTCCTGGGCCATGTGCATGGCCATGATGCCCGACGGAACTCTCTTCTCACACATTGCGCATTTCTCGTCGAGCGGAGTGGCCGGGGTGTTCACCGTCTGATTGTTGTTGGCTCCGGTGGGAGTGCTCGGGACGGACGACTTGTTCTGATTGTTGCGGGGAGTGGAGAGGGGCAGGACGCCGTGCATGTCCTGTCTGTGCTGGCGCAGTTGATTCCTCGTCTTGAACATCGTCCGGCAGGTGTCGCATCGGAACGACAGCTCTCCTTCCCGCTCCTTGACCAGAGTGTCAATGTTGGCGATGACCGTCTTGTTCTCATCGATGACGATTCCGTGCATTTGAGCATGTGAGTCCGCAGAAAGTACTTGTTGCACACTTCCTTATTGCAAATGTCACAATAATTTTTGCCGTTTGACGAGTACTGTCTCTTCACTCCACTTCCTTTGTTTGGCTGCAATTCAAATCGTTTATGATTGGCCACCTCCTTTTCAAATCTTACCGTATTGAGAGCATTTGCCAGTGGATCGAATTCCGGCATTCCGGCGAATTGCTGCAGGGAAGGAGGGAACATGAGCGGGAGTCCGGCCATTCCTTGGGGGAACAGGTTTCCAAACATGAGTGAGTCGTCCTTCATCTGCTTCTGAGACTGCTGCTGCTGCAATTGACTGAATCCTCCTATCTGGGCAAGAAGCGACTGCATCAGGTTGTTCGGAGCGGTCGGGGTGACGGGAGTCTCCTCGCGAGACTTCTGTTTTTTCATCGGAGGCTGCTCTTCCTCTTCTCCTAGTGCGGCGGCTCCAGAGTTACCGTTCACAATGACAGTGGAAGCGGTCGAGTCGACGGTAGAGGCGGTGCTGGCGGCACTGCACCCGGCGGAGGTAGAAGTCGTCGGAAGCATCATGGCTGCCAGAGTTGAGTTGAGGGAGACTGCCGGTGGAGGGGTCGGGGTGGACTCTCGTTGTTCTTCGACGTCGTTCTCAGGCTAGAATTGCAATAATTACTATCGGTTCGATTTCTTCTCAGAGATCCCATCTGTCATCATAAAATGAGAGATGCCCATTTCCCGTCTACCCTTACTCTTTTTATGGGCCACAAAGTGACAACATTTTCAAAAACGAACTGACGTCAGCTCAGGTAGTGATGAAACCCGCTAAACTTATCGAAAAGTCCACACGCGGCAGATCTCGCCTGCATCTAGGTTCTTTCTAAATCCCCTGCCCGGATGACATGGTAATTCCATTTTCCACTTCTTTTCACTTACCGCTTTTTGCTGCGCGAATTGTGCAGCGATCTTCATGAGGTCCATGTTCGGGTTCGTCAGGAAGTCGATCAGATTCTTCTCCGGCAGTGTCTGCTCGGCCACGTCATTGCCGCCACCCGTCTTCATTTTGGCCTCCGCCAGTTGATGTTGTTGCTGGAACAGAGCCATCCACTGGTGGGGATTGGCGGCGAGTCCGTTCTGGAGCAAGTGCTGCTGCAACTGCTCCTTCTCGTCGGATTCCATCGAAGCGGCGCCGGTGGAAGAGGTCGGGCTCGCGGAGCCGCCGGAAGTAGTCAGAACACACGCGCCTCCCTTGTTCATCATTCCGAACTGGCTAGCACTCGACTGAAAAACGTACATGTAAACACATTTTGAACTTATAGGTTGGAGGTATTCGAGGACGAAAGGATTAGAATGGCTGACAATCTCATTATCTACGCAGGATCAGAGATAATGCAAACGGGAGATAAGTATGCATTTCGGAGGATTATGCCGGGAAAAAAACTCAAACTTCCACATGACTCGGTGCGTGAAAGCAACCGATTCCCACACCCCTCTCAAGTCCAAAATTAGATGAAATGTTGCCAAAATCCTGGGAAAAACGCTGCCGTAATGCAGTAGATTTTGTGGAAAAGTGCTCAGAATGGATTTGGAGAGCTGGAGGGAGGGAAGGTGGGAGATGATCCATCGAAATCAAATCGGATTTGAAAGTTGAGCCGCCGGACACTATTGCCCATTTCTGTAGATGATTCGAAAAAAGCGGACAAAAATTTTAAGAGCTTGGCGAGGGAGGTATTAAGGGGAGTTTTAGGAAGAGCAAGAGCCAACATCATGGATCGAATGAGACCGTTTCAAGGTGAAACTATTAGGGGGGTTGCGAGGAGGAGAAGAGGTCATTTGGAAGAGACAATGGAATGGTCCGAACGGGGAGAGAGGGAAAACGGGGGATTAGATTGACGGACCAGCCAGCCATTGTTTAATGAGGTGAGATTTCGGGACGAGATTACAAGCGCACTTGAACAGTGGGGGAAAATGGAGGCAAACGGAGCGGACTACTGTAGGGCGGTCCCCACGAGATCGTCACTTCAGGTAAAGATTTAGTGAAAGGGCACTTTGGAAATTGTAAATGGGGATTGCTGCTGAAGATATGAAAACGTTGTAAATTAATAAAAATGTGCAGAATGTGTTCCTGAGCAATTTATCAGTGTGCAACTTTTCGATTTCTCTTTTGGCAACTGAGATATATTATGGTGAATGAACGGTCGAAGAAAAAGTAAACGAAGAGAGCAGCGCAAGTTGGAATGCAATCTTATCAAAGTTTTACGCGGCGACAACTGTTTATCTGAATGGGAATGGGTGTTCGCGCAGAGCATTCTCGGGTGGAAATGAGAGAGAGAGAAAAAAAAGAAACAACTGGCGATCGGACGAACGCCTGCTGGCGGTCAACTGGTCAGCCCGCCGTCCATTCGAAATGAGCGCACTCGTCTCCCGGGAGGCCCACTGTCGAGAAGAGAACGACGACGAATTCAGTGCAAACAAGAGAGGGCAGAACGAGAAACGGTCCCGCCGAGAAGAAGGGTGGTCCGTTTTTTCGATGACACGGGAAGGGAGGGAGGGACCCTCGTATTACCCGGCGAGACAGCGCGCGAATCGATGAGACGGAGGCAGAAGATACATTGGGAGGAGGAGGAGGAGCCCACGGGAATGGAAGAACGGGGGGAAGGGGGGCCTTGATGGTTCTCCACTAACTAAACACAGGACCGAGAATGAATAAATGCAAAGAAACAGAACAGAACGCGAGAGAGGAGGTCAACTCTCGAAGGGTTCGGAGCGGACGGAAAAAGTGTTGCGGACCGCGAAAACGCGCAGGTTGTAAACGGGTTGTAAACCAAGTAAATGGGCGGGGACACCGTCTTGAAATTCGTGCGAGTCTTGAGGGCGGCCCGGCCACTAGCGTGTGTCTCACTTTAATTGAGTAATCGTTTCCTGCGATTTTCGTTTCAAATCGGAGCAGCAGGAGACGCTTGTCACAGCGACACAGAGAAATGGATCAACTAGCTTCCGTATTTTTACTAAAACTTTTCTACTTCTCCCCCCACTCTCGTTTTCCCCCCTTTTCAATCCGAGATTGGGTTTGGTTTCGACGAGATTATTCAACTTATGAAACGAGATGAATTATTCGGAAGGTGTGTGTGAACTCTAATGAATGGAATCGAATCGAATGGAATTCGTGCGAGTCAGGCCTCCGGCAGAGTTCGTTTATCGAGATCATCTTCTCAAAAAGTGTATGGGAACCGGCCGGACGGTTGAGTAATCGGCCCGACAGCTTATCTCGTGGCCTTGATCACAATCTCAATGGCCCCTGTTCGAATTCAGACTTTTTGATTTCAGGAAACAACAACTAATTGCCTGATTATAATTAGATGTGAATGATGATGATGATGACCAGGTGTTCTTTTCTGTTTCTTTCTCCTCAGAAGGGTATAATTTCAAAAGAGCCAAAGGGGAAGAAGGTTGAATTGTTGGCTCTATGCCAACAGACTCAAGTGGATTAGCGGTACAGTGCCAAAAAGAGGCAACGAGAAGTAATGCAAATGTGGCGAGAGCGAGAGGATTCAAAACGACAAAGCAACGTCTAAGACGAGCCTTTTAAAGAGTACAAATAAATCAAAGTAAAAAATATATTGTGGGATTGTTATTGTGAGTGTGTCTCTGAGCTGTAAATGTTTTGCGAAAATGAAATGGAAACATACTCTCTCACACCAATAACATTTCTGATCTATAATTAACTGGAAGGCCGGAGAGCTGGCATCTAGACGGAACTACAGTAACCCACCGGATCCATTGACATGAGCAGCTGTTGCATTTCGACAGCGTTGGCCATCATATCCTCGTGTCTTCTGAGCCTGCTCTCGCTTCCGTTTCTCACTTTTCAACTCGAGCTTTTTCCTCTTCTTCGTCGTCTTCTTCTCCTGCAAAATCGTCGTCAGTTTGTGAATTAATGCGGTGGTGAAACCGGTGGATAGGTGTAAAATGAAGCCAATCATCATCATTATTCAAATGGATTTTAATGAGCACCCTAGCCATCTCAAATCCTTTCCCCCCAAAGCGATTTCTATAAAGAGAAGAAGGAAGAGCGGGAGTGAGAGAAAGAGAAAGAGTGTGAGGGACGAAGAGACGCAGACAAGTGCTAATATTAGCAGGATCTCGAGAAAAAACAGGGCGAGAAGGTATCCCAGAGGCCCGCTGAAAATTGTAGTTTTAATTTGGCAAAAACAGGAGAGCAGAACGAACGAAAATCTCGGAAATCAATTGGTGGATGCCTGTCGCCCAACACACAACATCCGCTTGTTTTGCGTCGTTCAAACTTGGCGCCTAACTGATTTTCAAAATCGAGATAACTCTCGGGGCGGGCGGCTGTCTGACGTGCTCCCATATATAAATATAATATATATATATATATTAATTTCAATTCCAATCGGCTCGTAATCGCGTTTCGAAAGCCGCTGCCTGGCCGGCTGCCAACACCTCGCTTTCACACATTTCCGTTTTCAAAAGCACAGCAACTTTTTCCGAAATGAATTCGGAATTTGGAATTTGGAATTTCAATTTCAATTTCAGAAAGAACCACGGGGAGCGCGGAGAGCGGTGGCATTCGCGAGTGAAATTGGCAGGTGTATATAACAATTCACGAGAATTTTATATTTGAGCCAATGTCTGGGGAATGTTCTCTTTTTCTATGTATTTTTCGAAAAAAAGCCTAGAAAAGGAAGTGAAATGAGCGTATAAACAAGACAGACGTTTTTTTTTTGGAAGAGAACAGTAATCCTCTTAGGCTGCCATCTCGACTGAGCACTTTCTCGAAAGGTGGGTGTCATGCGGGCAGGAGTCTCAGGGAATTCGGTCTAATTCGAAAAAGTAATTCAAATCAAGTGACACTCTCCTCGGAGACATGAAAGTCTGCTGCTCGGGAGCACATAAAACGGCGGCGGCGGCACCGCGCATAATATTTTCATGCTCAATCCTATTCCAAACTCGCCCATATATATCAATTTAACTTTTTCACTCCTTTCGCCCCTTGCTCCTAATTTCATTGTGTGGGCCGCCTGCTGCTCCTGCTCCTTCTCCTGCTCGACCACTACATCCCCGCGGGCCACGCCCCCTTTCGGGAGTTCCATCAAAATTCGACACCGTCTACCGTACTCCCTGACCTAATTATATTTGAAAGCATTTGTTGCCGGCGGCGTTTCGGAAGGCGACTCCCTTCAGGCGATGAACTAATTTGCAAAGGGAAATTTATGAAAAATGACAAGTTTCACTCGTCGACACTCTTTTTTTTGACGCCTTCTCAAGCACGCTTATATATATCAATAGAAAAGAAGTGAGTGTTCAGGAACAGCGGGTACGTAACCAAGTCAAGCCGCTTTGGATCCAAGTCGATTCGAATCGAGAGCTGATTAGCGTCTGAATCTTCTGATATAAATAATCGAATCGGCTTATTTTTTCGAGGATTGAAAATCTTGATCCGAAATAAGAACATAACAAGAAAGAATAAGATGAAGAAGAAGAGATCTGAAATCCGAAAGTTTTGGAGCACTGGAATTATAGGTACAAAGATCCATGAGTTATCTACAAATGCCAAGTGTCTAGGACTACGGTGATCATCCGCAAGATTTAAGAGTGACGGTACGACTTGCATCAAGAGAAGACTTTAGAGAATTTCGACCAATTTGCAACCGCCGCCGCCGGTTGGTTTAATGGGAGTTTTTGGAGAAGTGAAATGAAAATGATAAGAGAAAAGTGATTCGGCGAAGATGACGTCACTCCACATCCCCCCTCATCTTGTACACAATTTGACTGTATAACCCGAAAAATGGAGGAAGAATCAGTGGCGGAGGCGGCTGATGCCAATGGCGGTAGCGGCTTGTTTATCCGCTTCGGTGCGTTTATTTTGTCAACGAGATTAAAACAGCTTGTCTCCTCTTTTGCTGTGATGGTGTCGGACCGACAGACCGGAGGAGGAGGACGCTTCCGAAACACTTTTACGGTGGGCGCCGCGCACAAAAACAACACATGGTAATTTGTGAAAACTGACGCTGCGGAGGATTGACGAACACGAACGGACAAATCAAGAACCGATTCGTGTTTATTATCGGTTGCCCCGTTCGAAAATTGATGTAGTAGAAGTAGTAGGAGGGATGGAACGAGAGAGAGAGAGAGAGAGAGAGAGAGAGGGAGGGAGTAGGAGTAGAAGCTGTCGGACGCATCCATCCGATCGGGTTTGTTCTCGCCTCTTTCCGCAATCGCTCGGGAACGGGTAATTCGCGTGTCGGCTACTCGAATGGAACATTATCCAGTTGGATAACGCACTGATTTTTTGCGTTTCCGAAGAAGAACCAATCAGCTGATCGGCTTGCTTTGCGCACGGAGATCAACAAGTTGGAAACCGAGGAAACTGTTTAGAATCAAGGAGAAGGCTCGGAGCAAGGGCTGAAGTCTAGAAAGATCGAAAGTGGAGTATGGGGATGTGTCATGAGACGAAGAAGGGTGAACCAATCAAGTGATAGTGACAAAATGAGAATGAAAATGGTAGAGAAGAAGCCTCAAAAGCAGGTTACGTCACCACAAAATGGCGTTCATTTGGCTATGTGTTCAAGTTTCTGGGCGGCTTGGGAGGGGGGAAAGAAGAAGAAGAAGATGTTGTCAATTTGAGACGAATCACAGAATAGCTTCATTCTCAACTGATGTCGCTGCCCCCCTCGCTTCTTCGTTTCCACCTAAACACTTACAAAAACTGTCGGCTTCTCTTCGCTCGCCCCTCAAACAAATCATCTGTTTCAATGGCTAATCACCGAAAATCGCTTTTGGCTTTCGACTTCTTTTTCCTCCAAATTACAATCATCAGTCGTCTAAAAGCGGGTGTGAATCAAATCGGCAATGGCCAACCACATACACATACAAAAAACGGGCTTAGGTAGCTTTGAAGCTTCATTAAAGCCTTGAAGCTTGAGGCTTGAAGCTTGAAACTTGAAGCTTGAAGCCTAAACGTCAAAAAGTAAATAAGGAATTGAGAGTACATCGAATGGCTCCGCCCATTTTCCAGAGAGACTCCGCCCACTTCTCAAATCTTGAAACCCTTTATCAGAAAGACCCGCAAAACAAGAGAGAACATAACTGGTCCTCTCCAAATCGTAATTAGAATGGAATGAATCCACATCGTCAGTGCCCAAAATGCGTTCGAAAAATTCCAGTTGGTCAGCCACACACACACGCAATCCGTCGTTGCCAAAATCAAGAGAAAGAGAGACTTGCGCATGATGTTCGACAAGTTTATATTATTGTTATTATCCCGCCGCCCGCACGAAGAGACCACCAAAGCCACTCAAACTATACAGTAATCTGTCCTCGAAACTCGCAGAAGCCCCGCCGCGCGCCGCTCGCTCACTTCTTCATCCCTTGTCAATTAAGCGAGAATCAATCTGGTTTCGTTCGGGTGGTCGCCGCTCCCCTCCTCCCCATCCATCCCTTTTTTGTTTCGGACATTCCAAGATACTTTTTCGCGCCCCTTCTTCTTTTTCAACAAGCATGTCCAAGAAATCTCGCCTCGAAAATAGAGCGCCCCTCTCGAGATGACCGGCTCCGAGCCGTCTACTTGAAACAATTATTGTCTCGGAGCAGTTTTTTGCGGTGATCTCTAGCGGTTGGTGGTGCAATGATTCAAAAGGTTTCAAAGCTCACAAACTACGGTGGAGCAAAGGCGAACGAATCAAGCGAAAAGACTATCTGTGCAAGAGAAATCAGCGATAAGATAGACGGAAATAAGTAAATGCGAGAAACGAAGAACCGACTGATAACAGCCAACGTCCGTCCACACATCGTCACACCGTTTTCTTCGTCGGCCGCGCGGTTTCGAAGGACAGCCTTCGGCGCAAAATTCAACGTTTTCTTCGTCGCGTCGCCCAAAAAATTTCAACACCTCGCGGATGTCTTGTGTGTATCGAATTGATATCACCGTGTGATACGAAAGAAGTGAAGAAGAGAAGAAGAAGAAGAAGGAGAGAGAAGAAGTCGTCGGTTTTGAACATCATGTTAAATAAGAGAGATTGGGGGCCGTTTTGTGAATCGACCGCCACCGCTCAAAAAAGGGCCGGGCGGTGGCGGAGGGATGAAGAGAAAAGGGGGCATGTGGGTGATAAGAGGATCCGTGGACTTTCCGAACAGACAATTCAGATGGGGAGGGGCGGCGTACAAATGACAATCGGTCACTCACCTTGTCGCACAAAAAACAGCAAAACTCCTCTCCGGAAAACTGGTTTCAGGACGAACGGAAGCGGAGATCAGCAGCAGTGGGAAGCGACGAGCGGATGGAATGAAGACGTTGAGGGGCGGAGACTTGTGATGCCTGAAAGTTTGCAGAGATTTTAAGAGGAGGAACTGTAAGAAAATAGAAAAGAGCGGAACACCCGAATTGGAGCCAATTGAGGTCAACGATTGAATTCAAAACAAAATGACGACTCCAGATGCGACGGAGCAGAAGAATAAAGAATCGAAACTTCTGGGATGAATCTCATTTGATCCGTCAAAGTAGCTCATGGCGGCGAGAGAGTGTGTAGGAGGAAGAGACGCAGAGAACAGGGGATGAGTGTCCTTTGCCTTTGCCTCCTTGGCAGAAAAAACCATAGCGGAGAGCGGGTAGGAGAGAAGAGCCAATACAAATTTCGATGGGGGTCGTCGGTCTGGTCTCCTGCGCAGGAGGGTCCCTCTTTCTTTCTTTCTCCGCTCGTCGAACGAAGGCACACATAAAATTGCGCAATCAGCAGCGAAGGACGTCCAAACGGACCCTCCGGACCGGTCGAATTCGACGCATTGATTGTGGTCGGGTAATTG